AGTTTTACGAGTAAAATGATACTATTTTTGTGGCATAACTCTGATGGTTTGTATGGGAAAAAATTAAAAATGTCAAATAATGCTAAACATTTGAACAGTTTTGATCCTCACTGTATATAATTATTATTATTGCTCGAACATTCTAACAATGACTATTATTAAAACTGAGTGTAGAACGAATATTATGCTGTGAAGTTCAATATACTAGTTTTATATGAATAACCTCTTTATTATGTAATAAATGATGGTTTATTTCTACTAACTTAGTTATAAGAACGACTACAATCATAACAAAATACAATTTGTTATATTTTTATCTTCTTATTACTCATCATCCTTATCCACAAAATATATAAATACTCTTACATTATTTTGTATAACTTATAACTAACAACAATACTTGTATTGATTTTAACTTTTAATAAAACTTATTGACAAGTCTCAACGTACTTCTTCTGTCTTATTTTCTTTTTATTTTATTTCTTTTATTTAATTCCTTAAACCTACCTAAACCACAACAGTGCCGTCCATAGGAACGTCTTCTCTTTCGGTGTCATCAGTAATCATACCGTCCGATGGTGGTGTTGATTGTTGTTGAGGGGAATCAAAGATATTGTTTAGTTGTGTATTACGGTCGGTCTTGAGTGAGTCAAATTTTTGTTTAGAAATCCATTGTTTGTCAAGGAAAAAGCGGGCAACAGCGAATTTAACTGGTGTACAAATATGGTCAAGTGCACGTTCCAGACGGGTTTGTTGGAGGTCTGACGCTATGACGTCTCTTTCATTAGTTGTAAGAGTGGAGTACTTGGGATCTGCAAGGATCTTACCACTGGAGGGGTTAAAATCTGCTTTGATTGTAATGTTATGGTGGCGTAGAAGGTCTGTAAATTCAGTTTCGTAATCATTATGGATAAGAATGGCAACTGTATTACGAGCGGGATAATGAATGTCGAGTAATCGAGCATTATTAACACCAAGTTTTCGAAAGGTAGTGTGTAAGGTGCCAACAGGAATTCGGGCTTTTGTTGGGATGTAGAGGAACTTGAAACCTTGGTTCAATGATGGTGGTTGAAAGAAGCGGGCGGCTGCAGCTTCTCGTTGGAGACGGCGTTGTTCACGTTGTTGAAGTCAAGGTTGTCTAAGTGCTTGTACTTTCTCTTTGTTGTTCCAAGGAGCATTTGGGAATTTAGTAAGCTGGGTTTGGGATTCCTGGAGGGTGGGAAACTCCGATATTGTTGTAACGGCGGGCATGTAAGTCTTGGATTTCACTACGTGCTTGAGAGAGTTCTGCAGTCAACTGCTCGACAGTTTGGCATAACTGCTTGATAAGTTCAAATTGGCTGTTGCTGGCAGTAGTAGATTCCAATTCGGGTGGCATAATCTCCACGTTGGAGGTCGTTAGAGACAATGGTTGTTGATTTTGTGCAGCAGAACGGACTATAGGGTACATTTCAAAAGCTTTTACAGCTTTGTGACAGGAGGTGCATGAAAATTGAGGCTGGAAGGGTTCTTTATTTGAAGACCCATTTCTATAGAAAGTAGTGGTTTTGAAACATGCAGGACATGTTAATTGTTTTCGAAATGTCGAAAAGTTAATGTCGAGTTCAGACAACCGTTCCTCAGTGAGGGCAGGGTCTGCATTTTTATTGTGGGCTCCTCGAAGGGATCCCATCACACTCGTCAAAGGTTTTATTGTCGAACTGTAGTTTTATTTGAATAATAGAAGTCTTAGTAACGCTTGCCAAATATGGTAAAAATTTATCACAAGTGTTGGAAAGCGGAAAAAGGTCTAAAAATAAATATACAGTGTCTCACAAAATTGTCCCAACGTTTTGCACTTTTCTCTTTAACTAACTGACTCGTTCTTCTTTTGTAATCATGCTAGAAAGATATCGAAGATATCATTCGATAGCCTAAGTAATTCTCTATCAAACCATTACCAAAAATAGTAATATAATTTTAAAACTCAGCATAGACGTAAAATATTAAATAAAAAATTGAATATGCATTCGAGACAGTTTTGTGGCCGTAAGTTAATTTTATTTAATTTAAACATTGAACAACTAATAATCAGTCCAACGACCTTTTGCCTTTATAACAGCTTTGCAACGGCCGGGAATAGAGTCTATAACCTTTAAATAATCTTCTTTGGTGATCTTATTGTACCATACATCCGTGATTCTTTCAAAAAGCTCACGAATACCCTTAGGTGGTGTCTCATACTCATTAAGTTTTCTTTTTGTTAGAGCCCATATATGTTCAATAGGATTAAGGTCTGGAGACTGTGATGGCCAATCAAGAGCTTCGTATTCCTGGCTTTTCAAATATTCTTTGACGGGAATTGACCTATGTTTTGAATCATTATCATGCTGGAAGACGATTTGGTCTCTCCTTAATCCTGCTTGCTTGCACACCATTTCAATATATTTCCCTAACTCGTCTTGAAGGATTTCCTTATAAAGCTCTCCGTCCATAGTAGAGTCTATTTTGCACATCCAGCCAACTCCGACACAGATAATACAACTCAAATCATGATTGAACCACCTCCATGTTTATAATTCTGCTTAATATGACGTATTTGAAGACTTTCATTGTCCTTTATCCCAGCCCAGACACGCCCATCGGAGTTAAAACGATTAATTTTAGTCTCGTCAGACCAAATAACCCTTCTCCAATCATCGACTGTGTAGTCTTTATACTTCTTTGCCCATCTAAGTCGTTCTTTAATATTTGTGGGACTAAGTGCAGGTTTCGCTTCCTTCTCTATAGAACCCAAACCGAGTGATTTTAAAGCGCGACGAACTGTCTCAGATAAGACTGACTTGCCTAACTCCAATTTAATTGAATTTCCGACTTGCACAACGTTTTCTAAACATCCTCTAGTTATCTTATGAACACAGTAGTGCTTGTCCCTTTCTGTGAGCTTACCTGGTCGTCCCCCATTTGACAAGCTGCGCCCAGATAAATATGTTTTTCCGATGCGACACACGGAACTCTGACTCACGCCGATCTGCTCAGCCATTTGACGCACAGCACAGAAAGTCCGCTGTTGAGCTTGGCAATAATGTCATTTCTTTGGTTTTCACTTATGGAGCGCATACTAACTATATGGCCTCAAGATTTAGTCCCCAAAATTATAGAATATTCTAGAACTTACCTTAATTATACTGTGGAAGGTACAAAGAAATAATACGATGGCTATTATATGCTAGGCTAAAGTTACTGCCAAATTGTGGGACAGATTTTATTTTTATAGGTACGGCCACAAAACTGTCTCGAATGCATATTCAATTTTTTATTTAATATTTTACGTCTATGCTGAGTTTTAAAATTATATTACTATTTTTGGTAATGGTTTGATAGAGAATTACTTAGGCTATCGAATGATATCTTCGATATCTTTCTAGCATGATTACAAAAGAAGAACGAGTCAGTTAGTTAAAGAGAAAAGTGCAAAACGTTGGGACAATTTTGTGAGACACTGTATATGAGTTATTTAGGGTATTTTTATTTTCGAGTAAACGAATAGTAACCGTAAAAAAGACAATAGTTTTGTCGTAGAGGCGGAATACTTGAATATTGGGACCACATGCTCAACAAACGGTGTTTACTCATTGTTTGGTACAAGCAAGCATTGATTTTTTTTTTCGCAATTGGAGACATAATCTGTCAGAATAAATCTGATTAACTTAATCATTGTTTTTTCTTCATCATTCAAGTTGGGGTCATATCCATGGTTCCACACATATTTTGGTAAATCATCTAAATCTTGATCGAGTGATTTTTTCAAGAAAGCTACTACATTTGGAAGTGTCATAATACAATGATTTGATGCTTGTTCTTCCATATTTAAGGTATATTCGTCTACTGTCTCTTGTGAGATATTGCTATATGTTTCATCATCTATTTTGACAACATATACTGCTTTTAAAAGTTCGATATCTGATGGTGATACCCGAGGTTGATGTCTTGGTTTAGAAGGTGCCAATGCAGGAAAAAAAAATGTATCTCTTCTTGCCTTTTTCAATCAATACATTATCCTAAAAATAAGGGAAGAGTAAATACAATATTCATATTTATGTGGCACGAGTTTCTATTCTTTTACTACATATACAAAAAAAAAAAGTTAGCTGTTGAAAAGGTTTTCAAACACATAGTATATAGATTTCACCCTCTTCAGCTTTTCGTTTATTATTATTTCCCTAATTACAAGGTTAATCAACTGTGACTGATCAAAACAATAACTTGTATACTTACATTTCCTTGATTAACAATGTTAGTAACAGACGCGATTTTTCCAAAGTTATTTAACACATTTGATGATTCTCCATTATTGCCATGTTGTTGTGATTGATTTTGTTGCGGTGGTGGTGAGTTTTCTTTACTTGACATAATTTTTAGCATAGCATAGTTTCTAATTCATCGATAATACGTCCAGCTGCATTTCCATATGATTTTCTAATAGTACCCACTTTATTCACTTCTCTCTTCAATTTGTTAAATGTTTCAGAGATTGATTCATCTTGATTACTACAATATAGCTGAAGTAAATCGATTGTATTCCACTTGTTGGGAGCAGTTTGACTTAAGTAATCTTTTGGATTTTTTATACGTTTGTTATTAGGAGACATGATATTTTGGAAAATAAAAAGGTGCTATTACTTAAAGCTTGAAATTAGTGGTACATTTTTTGAAAATAAATTGGAATACTCAGCCAATTAAATTAAGACAAAGTTCAAACTTAATTTGGAACACTCTTCGAACTTGATTTGGAACACACTGTGAACTTAAGTCTGAACGCTTTTGAAATTTGTATGGAACAATTTATTTAAAAAGAGACTTTGTTTAAGCAGTCCTCAAAATGGTTTTTAGGGTGTTGAGTAATGTTGACAAGATGAGATAAAGGGACAGCATTACATGCTTCAGTTATTCTTTGTGCGAGTGTTTCAGACTCTATAAGCTGATTATGCTTTGTTTGGAGTTCAAAGATAAGGAAAGAGGAAAAAAGAAAAGACAAGTCTGTCAAAACTTCGTATAGTTTTATTGGGTTAATTCCCATATACAGTCGTCGGACTTTGAAAAATAGAATTTCCTTTTATTGTAATACTACTAGTAGTGAAAACCTACAGCTAAAATATGTTGGATTGTCCAGTCTATTAGGAACGAAGTAGAGTACAATCTACCGTTTAGAATTAATAGGCAAAATAAAAGAAGATTTAAGCCGATAGTAAAGGATTCAGACGTGAGAAGAAGTCAAAATTATGCATAATTTGTGAAAATAGAAGACATCGGCATAATTAGTTGACAACATGAGAAAATCAAGAAGACAACACTTACGCATCTTTACTATAATCACGATTTTCCCTGTTGTCACATAAACTTTATTTTGTAGCAAATTTAATATAAATATCGAAAAATTATTGATTTTGAATAAAGATAACCATTAAATATTATAAAAACTTAATTATATTATTTGCTATTTTTACTTAATACTATCTGAAGTTTTACTCTTTCGTACCTCAAGAAGTCAAGAAACGACAAAGTCAGTATTTTTTTCACTAGTAATATATTAGAGAGCCATTCCCATAAAAGAAAATTGTATTTTTCAGAGTCCGACGGCGGTATATGGGGAATTAACCAAAAAGAAAAGAAAATAATCCTTTATTATAATAATTTAGGTAATATTCGCGTACTCCAAAATATTTTGAGTGACGTAACGGTGACGTCATAAAATTTTTCTGGGGAGCAAAAAAAAATACGTGCAAATAGGCGCAGTTCTTTTGGCTGTTCTTATCAAAATATCAGACCATGAATCAAGAAGCTATTACTTACACTGAAAACAATTTGGAGTTGTTTAACGGAGTCAAATTCTTGAAGGAGCTAAACCTACAAAATATTAAGGTTGCTAAGGATATATTCAAAAAAGCTATCAATGCAATCGCGGACAGAAATAGGAGACAAAGGAAAAATGCCTAGCTTATCAAATGGGCAAGAAATGTTCGAAAGTGCAAACACAAGGTAAATAAAACATTTTTATACACACTGATACTCCTCAATACTTAACTCTTTTTTATTGTATAATAAGTACTTCAACTCAACAGAAACAAAGTTGTATATGTACAAGGTGACCCGCAAGTCGATACTCGCTTCCCAAAAGCTCCTACGTGCTCAGGAAGAGGAAGAGTTTTATGAAGAGTTGTTTGAGATCGGGGCATAAGAAGAAAGAGGCGACGAGGAGGGAGAACATAACGAGGAGAGCGAACAAGATGAAGTAGGAGAAGAGAAGTTAGACAATTATGTTTTTGATAAGAAAAAATTTAGATCAAGCTTCTTGGCCATGAAGCTGGAAAGTAAATGGTACCTCTCAACCGGAAAATGTATTGAAGACGAGCTATTTGCATTCGGAATGCAATGCCACCATGATCACCCTTCCCATTCATTCATAATTGTTATAAGAGATAGCAACTACAAGACAAATGAAGTATTTTCTTCAGCTGAAATCGACGAGATCAAAGCTTTTGAAGAGAAGAAACTACCCATAATGCCTGTTGTGATTGTAGTAGCCTTTATAATTAAGTTAATAGAAATAAACCATCATTTATTACATAATAAAGAGGTTGTTCAAATAAAACTAATATATTGCGCTTCACAGCATAATATTCATTCTACTCTCAGTTTTGATAATAGTCATTGTTTGAGTATTCGAGCATTCAAAATAATTATATACATTATATTATGTAATAATAATAATTTAATAGGATTATGATTGTTATATTGAATTACGATTATTGATACAAGTCGTACATATTATATATACATCCATAACGTTGTATATTGTTATAGAGGGAAGATACACTGTAAATTAATATTAACGCGTTGCTTATCCCAAAGACAATAATCGTGTATATTTTTAATATCAGCAACAGCTCAGGCAGAAATCTGCATACTGCATGCAGAGTTATTCGGAGACAAAATTTGTGCATATTCGTGCATATTTGTGCATAAAGGCTTTATTATAGCAGGATTCACTTATCTAAATCACACTCCAATCAATATGACTTACCTCATAAAAACATATAAATAGCACTCGTCATTTTTCCATATTTTTTTTTCTTGGTACAATTTTTGTATTATTTTTCTCAATAAAAACTACTCGAAGTTTTCACAGACTTGTCTTTTGTCTTTTTCTCTTCATTTAACTTTTTGCTATCAAAACAATGCCTACAGAGCTGCGTGACTATATCAACTCCTTCAACAAGAACATCATCCAAGAGTTGAGAAGCCAAATCTTTCAATCTCAAGAGTTTGATCAAGAATATAGCCACAAAGATTCCCATGATTACGATTGGGTCCGATTTACTATTTGTGCTTTACTAAGAGAGTACGGGTCTGGCAGCTTGGAGGAGGAGCATAGCGAAGCTTGGTATATGGCCCATGTCTGGCATTTTATTGATACAGTGTTCAACGGTGAAGACAAAATCACTGTTTTGAGGTAAACTCATGGAGCGACGAATTTCTAATTATATTTTGATACTAACTTTCTTGTGATATTAGAGGGGAAACCAGCAGTAGCAGCTCCAGCAAAAGAAAGAATAAAGATAGATCAATCGCAGCAGTAGAACCACTAGAAAGAAAGAAGATAGGAAAAAAATGCGATATGATCTTTGCCAAGAAATCCTGCAGTCATGACGAAGTAGAAGAATATGGTGCCTCGGAGGCTGGAAAAGCACATGATGGAGACCAGGCTACAAAACGTCTTGAAGAGGGCTATGTTAAGCTGCCTGTTGTGATTGTAGTAGCCTTTATAATCAAGTTAATAGAAATAAACCATCATTTATTACATAATAAAGAGGTTATTCAAATAAAACTAATATATCGCGCTTCACAGCATAATATTCATTCTACTCTGTTGATAAGACAAAGATAACAAAAGAATAAGACAGAATAAATCTGTGAAAACTTTGTATAAAACTTTTATTCTCAATAAAAATTAAAATTAAAAAATAAAGCTTTTTTTCCAAAACTAAAACTGAATTTTCCAAAGATGAGTGCAAAATGGATCCTTATTTATATCTTGTGGAGAACGGGTTACTTCGCGACAGGAACAGAGTGAAGATATCTTGAAAGAAGAATATTTTCCCATAGAATAATTAAAATTATTGTGTTAGAGCTCTAGTCTTTGCCCTGACTGAGAATTAATCTCAGTTAACTCTAATAAATATTAAATTATTGGTGCTTGATCTAGCCGGTTATTTTTCTTGAAACAAAATAATGAAATCTCGTTTGTTCATACTTGTGAATGATATAGGAAAGACACTTTTGATATATATAGATTTATATTCTAACCAGCTTCTTTATATTATATTCATTCCTCAATGTACTACTTAAATGAATTTCATTATATTATATAGTGTATTGAATTAGAATAGAGTTCTCATAGATAGTATACGATTATATTTATAAATTAGTATTTTAGACAATATTAAATAATAATGCATCTATATAACTAATAGGTATAATCTATAATTCATATATCTTTATCATTAATAACTCCTTACACTATGTATTTCTTATCATTATTTCGTAGAGTTAGTATTTATTATAACATTATTTTTCTCATCACAAGAATGTCTTATAAACTGAAATCAAATAATATTGTATGCATAAAGTGTATAACTAATAACTATAATATCATTCGGTTCTTCATGACTCTGATTTGTACATTATAAGATATTATGTAATACATCATTATATACACAACATACTCTCAGTTTTGATAATAGTCATTGTTTGAGTATTCGAGCATTAAAAATAATTATATACATTATATTATGTAATAATAATAATTCAATAGGATTATGACTGTTATATTCAATTACATAATTATTTATAAGTCATACATATTATATATAGAAAGCTATAAAGATAAATATTGTTATGTAATAATATCTTATAGGATAATAATAATAGTAGCATATAAATAATTGGTATTGCTATAGCTGATATATTCACTGTGAATTAATATTGACACGTCGCTTACCCCAGAAATAATAATTTAATATTTTTAGTAACAGCGACAGCTCAGGCAGAAAAGAATAAAAATAGATCTTATTGTAGGCAGAATTATTCGGAGAAAATATTTATGACTAATGCTTTATTATAGCAATATTTGCTTATCCAAATCAAAGTTCTATTAATATCACTTACCTTGCAAAAACATATAAATAACCCTTTACATTTTCACATAATTTTTCCTTGTACAATTTTTGTATTATTTTTTTTCAATAAAAAACTACACGAAGTTTTCAAAGACTTGTCTTTTGTCTTTTTCTCTTTCTTTAACTTTTTGCTTATCAAAACAGCTACCACTACCTCGATACAGTCAGCGGATGACACTGCTATCTTACCTCTACACTCAATGGGTACCCGACCCCATTACGACTGGTCCCCTTCAGAGGGTCTTGCTGAACTGATGAACTTAAATGCTCCATTGAACACTTCACCTTTGCTTACTGACTCCGAACGTAAGACGATCATTGAGTCTTACCCTCCCATGGCTCATTTGGATTACAAAGCACCCGCTACCATCCCAACAGCGGAGCGCCTTATGAATAAAGGCCAACGTTACGAAGACAATTCCATCAAGCAATTCCAATATTTGCTATCTGCAGTTTATCGTCCCCTTGACATTCTTAGTCATGAACTTGTCTCATCAGAAGCTGGCAATCCAAACTTGGAACGCTATTGGACCATGCTTCAGGATATCCGAAAATTGTTGTTACATCTCGGTGCATCAATGACTCAAACCCTTAATAACATTGCTCTTCGTGCGATTGATCCTTCGTTCTCCATGAAATCTACAAATGAAGTTAATTACACTCTCCCTTTGGATGCATTCCACGACACTCTGATTCAACAGACTGCGGCAAGAGAGGCCACTCAGGAAGCAACCATCAACAAACGCCAACGTCGTCGCTTCCAAAATGGTAATTCTGTCTCGAACAGCTCTTTCTCAAACGTTTCAAATCAGCAGTTTTTTCGAGCAGGTCCACCCTCGCAGCAGGGTGGTTTTCTCAACAGCACCAACAGCAACAACAACACCAACAGCAACTACTGCAACAACAACAACAACAACAGCAGCAGCAGCAGCTCTCGTCCCAACAACAGCAACAGTGACAACAACTACAACTACAACTACAGGAAGAACACCAACCCATTTCGTCAGTAACCACATCAATACTTACAGCTACAACACTCGACCCAGTAGGATGTCGTCTCAGCAAATACTATTCAAACTGGACAAAAATTCCCATCAACTCATTCGTCGACACCATAATTCAACACGGTTACAAGATTCATTTTCATACTGCTCCACCTAAAACAATAAATCCAACATCAATTCACCCTCTATCTCAAGATCAAATACCTCTGATCGATCAGACCATCCAAGAACTCTTATCCAAACAAGCAATAGAACCTGTTTCCCCAGAATCGGTTCAACAAACACCAGGGTTTTACAGCTCCATGTTTGTCATCCCCAAGAGAAATGGGGGCATTCGCCCAGTCTTCAATCTCAAGCGCCTCAACCAATACCTTCACGCTCCTCATTTCAAAATGGACACATTACGAGAAGTATCATTAATGATCCATCCAAACGATTACCTAGTCTCAATCGACTTATCGGACGCATTCCTTCACATAGGTCTCCATCCAGACTCAAGACGGTTTTTACGTCTGAAATGGAAAGGTCAAGTCTACCAGTGTCGTACAATCGCTTTTGGTTTAGCCTCAAGTCCCTATGTCTTTACCAAAGTCTGCAAGCCCATTTTAGAACACTTACGCTGTCAAGGCATCAGGATCTCTGCTTACTTGGACGACTGGCTCTTGGTAGCAGACAGCAAAGAATTAGCTCTTCAACAATCTCAAAAGGTGGTTTCTCTTCTTCAACAACTAGGTTGGCTCGTCAACTTCAAGAAGTCGGTCTTAACACCCACGCAACAACTAGAACACCTCGGCTTTGTATTGAATACCTCAAAGATGACAGCGTCTCTCCCTCTCAAGAAACTTCGCGACATCCGGCGATCGATCAAGCAAGTGTTGGACAAGCCCAATCGTCAAACTCCTCGAGTAATACACAGCTTGACGATGCGAATACAGGCAGCTACGTTTGCAATTTTTCCAGCTCGACTGTATACTCGACATCTCCTGTATTACAAGAATCAAACGGTCAAGACGGATGCCGATTGGGACAAACCTCGACCATTAGATCAAGCCAGTCTGGAGGAACTCTCATGGTGGTATCACAACCTTAAGAAATGGAATGGTCGTTCATTCCTACCGTTAACACCGACTCAAACTATTTTTGTGGATGCGAGCGATACGGGTTAGGGCTACAGTTGGAAACAGCATCGAGCTCATGGTTATTGGACTTCAATGGAGGCGGAGCAATCAATCAATTGGAGAGAGCCTAAAGCGGCCCCACCTGGCTCTCAAGACTTTTCCCATTCCGGAGAACTCTACAGTGCTGATCAAGACAGACAACACCACCAGTCTTTCATACATCAACAAACAAGGCGGGACACGTTCTCTCCCATTACTGGAACTGGCAACCGAAGTTTGGAATTGGTGCCTTCACAACAAGATAATGATTCAAGCACAACATATCAGTGGAATACACAACACTATAGCCGATATGGAATCTCGTCGAACATTTTTCAAGAATCAGTGGCAAATCCGCCCATCGATTTTCCACCAGATGAATCAACTGTTGGGCCCGTTCTCGATCGACCTCTTCGCCGACAGGACAACCAAACTGTTACCAAAGTACGTGTCTTGGCTTCCCGATCCGGACGCTATCCATACGGATGCGTTTACCATCCCATGGACGAAGTTTCCACATCCTTACATCAATCCACCTTGGAACCTCATCACTCGGGTACTCCACAAGATTATACGAGAAAAACTTCCCCGGGCCACTCTAGTTGTGCCATACTGGCCCAGCGCGATTTGGTTTCCTCTAATTCAACGTCTAGCACTAACGGATCCATGGCTCCTGCCCCCACAATCGGTGCAAACGACATCCCCCAAAACTCCACACCCACTGTTACCTCGGAATTGGATGCTCTCCGTGTGGACATTATCAGGAATAAACTAGTGCATAAACACCTCAATGCACAAGCGGTTGAGGATCTACTAGTAAGGCAGTTGGCAAACAATGGGACTAATCGGGGCTACCCTAAGAGTCAGTTACGTTTTCTGGCCTGGGCTACTAATAATGGGATTTCTTATACGGCTTACACTCCTACGGATCTAGTAAACTTTCTGGCTGACATGCGTCAAGAGCATAATCTACTGGCTTCCACTCTTAAGTCTTTACGTACAGCGGTGGCTCATCTCCATGACAACTCTAAAAGTATTAGCGAAAGTGAACTGAATAACTCTTATATAGACCATATGTCAAAGGAAGATCCTCCAGTGTCTATACACCGGCCAACTATTGATGTGTCTCCAGCTTTTGTCTATGCTCGATCTATTGCTTCCAGATCCTCTACTCCGATCCTGTTGTTGCAACAGAAATTGGCTTTTCTCCTGGCAATGGCTGCTTTTCTCCGTCCGTCTGACCTGGTTCGTATCCCCTATGCGTCGTGTTCCGTACCAGAAAATGGTCATCTTCAGTTTCAAGTGGTCGCACCGAAAGAAACTCGCAGTAAACGCCCTATTATCAAACCTTTCACGGTTCACCCACATACAGAGGATTACGAATTATGTCCCGTTCAATGCTTTAAAGCAATTCAAGATCATCCGACACTACAAGCTCGTCCAGACAATTCGACTCTCTTTGTCAAGTCCAACAATATAAAAGAATCGTTATCCGTATCGACTGTTTCTAAGTGGTTACATCGTCATTTCATCTCTTTGTGTACAAATGAACCTGGGGTCTCTATTCGATCGTTGGCATCTTCTAGGGCATTAGATTTAGGTATTTCTCGAGACAGCATTGTGGCTCTTGATAACTGGGCTTCATCAGAAACATTTGTTCGTCATTACCAGCGGAATCAAATGGCGCAAGTTGACTTCACATCGACGATTCTATCCAGTCAAGACGAATTTTTTGATGCTTCTGATTCCTTTCAAGCTCTGGATTAGCATAATAACATTTCCTATTTTGTTCCGACGGTCTCAAGAAATTCTCTGTCATGAGCTGACTTGTAATGTTATGTTTCATGATTAAACATGCGGATCATAAATTCATTTAAGAAATTCTATCCTGACTCTCTCTTGATCCGCTCCATCTAATAATATTAAAATCACTAACACTTTGTTGTCAACAATATACCTAATTCGGTCGTAACTAATACTTTTCTGATTCACATCCTATCCTCAGACCTCTTTAACAATTCTTATAAATACCCCATCAGTTTAAATTCATAAATAAAATGATTGACTTTAGAACTATTGTTCGGTCTCGTTGACTCTTTTGTCTTATTATTATTTTTATTTTCTAATATTTTTATTTGATATTTTAAAAGAAATATCACATTCTCTCGAGAAATTTCTTTCGACTGAGAATTGCTATTTAGACCTGAAGAACAAAATAGGAAATGTTATTATGCCCACCCTTCAAATTTTTATTTACTTTATTATATTTGGTCTTTCCCTCCCTTCTTTCTTATTATTTGACCGAGCTCAAATTCGATTGATAGTATAATATTAGAATTTTATTCCTTTATATATCTTTGAATTCGCTATTAAATAAAGATTCAAGAAGATTCTAGCATAATAACATTTCCTATTTTGTTCTTCAGGTCTAAATAGCAAGTGCGACATCATTTTGGCAAATACTGTACAATCCTTGTCCGTTTTTTAAGTAATATAGACGTCATAAATTCCATAAAGTGAAAACATTGAAACCATTTTTTGAGTTAGTGTATCAAAACCTGACTCGTCAATAAAAACAAAGTTTTTTGTAAAATCCATGTTGGTGCCCATCCACTCTTGCACCCACTTTAATCTCTTTTCTAAATTTTTTTCATTGTTACGAGGTCTTGGATGCAACGTGACGACTTTTAAAGAGAGATTACATTGGTCCTTCATAAACTCATTGACTCCAGACTTCTTAATATCAAACCCTTCGAAAGCTGCTGTCAAACTTTCTACAGCATCAGTTATAACAGCAGAAGAATTTTCATCAAAAAAATTAATCAAATGCCGTTTGTGTGGTTTCTGAAGCTTAAGAACAGGCCGGTTACTGCGGTTAGTCTTTTTTTCCAATTCATAGTTATCAGGGTCGCTTAGGTACTTCTGATACCAGTTATTTGCGGTGCTATGGTTCACATTAGCTCTGAAAGCCGTAGCATGAACGGATAAGCCTTTTTGAAGCCTCCAATAAAAAAACAAACCACAAGTTGTTCCATCGTGCATTTCACATTTTTGCCCTTCACTTGAGCCAGTATCTTTTACACCCTTACTGTTTACCAGCTTCTGCACTGTTATTTTCAGACATTTCGACGTCCAAAGGTTTGTTTTTCAGGTACTCCTCGAAATCTGTCAGTTTATTTAAATTGTAAGGATCGCCTTCAATCTCGAAATCCATAGCTTCAGTTCCATCCTCATTCGTAATATTGCCGGAACAGTCTTTACGTAAAAAAAAAAAAGAAGTTCATTAAGAATTATGAGAAGTAAAAATAAGAAGATAAAAATAATGTTCAGACTTAAGTTCACAGTGTGTTCCAAATCAAGTTCGAAGAGTGTTCCAAATTAAGTTCGAACTTTGTCTTAATTTAATTGGCTGAGTATTCCAATTTATTTTCAAAAAATGTACCACTAATTTCAAGCTTTAAGTAATAGCACCTTTTTATTTTCCAAAATATCATGTCTCCTAATAACAAACGTATAAAAAATCCAAAAGATTACTTAAGTCAAACTGCTCCCAACAAGTGGAATACAATCGATTTACTTCAGCTATATTGTAGTAATCAAGATGAAACAATCTCTGAAACATTTAACAAATTGAAGAGAGAAGTGAATAAAGTGGGTACTATTAGAAAATCATATGGAAATGCAGCTGGACGTATTATCAATGAATTAGAAACTATGCTATGCTAGAAATTATGTCAAGTAAAGAAAACTCACCACCACCGCAACAAAATCAATCACAACAACATGGCAATAATGGAGAATCATCAAATGTGTTAAATAACTTTGGAAAAATCGCGTCTGTTACTAACATTGTTAATCAAGGAAATGTAAGTATACAAGTTATTGTTTTGATCAGTCACAGTTGATTAACCTTGTAATTAGGGAAATAATAATAAACGAAAAGCTGAAGAGGGTGAAATCTATATACTATGTGTTTGAAAACCTTTTCAACAGCTAACTTTTTTTTTTTGTATATGTAGTAAAAGAATAGAAACTCGTGCCACATAAATATGAATATTGTATTTACTCTTCCCTTATTTTTAGGATAATGTATTGATTGAAAAAGGCAAGAAGAGATACATTTTTTTTTCCTGCATTGGCACCTTCTAAACCAAGACATCAACCTCGGGTATCACCATCAGATATCGAACTTTTAAAAGCAGTATATGTTGTCAAAATAGATGATGAAACATATAGCAATATCTCACAAGAGACAGTAGACGAATATACCTTAAATATGGAAGAACAAGCATCAAATCATTGTATTATGACACTTCCAAATGTAGTAGCTTTCTTGAAAAAATCACTCGATCAAGATTTAGATGATTTACCAAAATATGTGTGGAACCATGGATATGACCCCAACTTGAATGATGAAGAAAAAACAATGATTAAGTTAATCAGATTTATTTTGACAGATTATGTCTCCAATTGCGAAAAAAAAAATCAATGCTTGCTTGTACCAAACAATGAGTAAACACCGTTTGTCGAGCATGTGGTCCCAATATTCAAGTATTCCGCCTCTACGACAAAACTATTGTCTTTTTTACGGTTACTATTGTTTTTATTCGAAAATAAAAATACCCTAAATAACTCATATACGTTTATATTATAGGTGCGAAAAGGGTCTTGAATACTCTAAAATACTTGCTATCTGTATGCCCAATGATGCAACAAAAAAAATAATGGATGGAATTGGAATTGCATCTACAGATGGAATGGAAGAAGTACTGGTTGAATCATCTGGGTATGGAAATCATTAACAACCTATTACACGATCTATTCTAATCTCTGTTTTTAATATAATATGACGTAGTGAATCAGACAATGGCCATACTATTGAAGATTCGATAAAATTAATGGAATGTGCTGCCATATGCTTAAAACAAGAAATGAATAAGTATGGAGAGGCATCGTTTGAAACGATGCTAAAGCGTAAAATGCTTTGCCTCCAAATCAATGAAAATAAAATCACCCTGTTATCTATGAAAGTTTTAAGAGATGGAAAATGGGCATGCGTAACCGAGCGTTCGGCGGTCGTGCCTAGAAAGTGAGAAGACAAAAGATATTGGTTGCCAGTCATGGAATTAATCATGAAGTTGAAGGTATATTAATAAAAAAACATTGTTTATACACTAAATGAAATTTGAATTAATTTATTTTCCATTTAAATTCAGGTGTCATTGGAGAATCAAAACAAGGTTATCAATGACTTGATTGATGAAAACATCGGTTGGAAGAGCGTTCCCCACGAACAAAGGATAAAAAATCAAACCATTGAATACTAAGTTAATAATAAAGTTCTTTTCTAAAAAAAAACAAAAAAAAAAGTTTATTTTTGCCTTTACTGCATTGATGAAATAGCTGTTAAATAATTCAAACAGGATGGATAAATTTTTTTTCAAACAAATTGTGATTTTTTATCATGAATGTTGAATATTATACATACCCGTACCAAGGAAAAGATGTTTTCGTGTAGAAACTGTTATGGCTGGACATTTGAAAAGCCTTATAATGAATTTACTTCAAAAAGTCAATTCTTGCCTTAGAATATTTAAACTTCAAAAACAATTGAAAATGGCCCCAATGTAAAAGAAAATATTTGTAATTTAATTCCAGAGGTGTACAGTCTAAGAAAATAGGTTGAGTCGCTCTCTCTTGACCCAATCTATTTTCTTCAACTGTAATTAGTGAAATACTTACTGACTCTTTACAATATTATTATAGATGTAACATATATTTAGTAGATAACCGACGATGATAAAGCAAAACAGACAAAAGTTTTCAACTTTATGGCAAATGATTTATCTCATATTTATGCTTTACCATGAATTCCACGATTAGTGTAATATATACATAAACGCTGTTGCATTACCATATCTTCTAATTGCTCTGTTTCTTTAGGAAAACAACATAAATCGTCAATATCATCCTATACATGAATCATAATTAGATAAAAGAAGTCTTTGAAGAACATAACAAAGATGTATATGAAGATAATGACGATGAAGAGGAGAAGGAGCGACTTTCATCCGTCTTATCTGTTGATCATCATCCACATAGAACAACCAAGTATTATTTTGTACATGAGTAACCTATAGAAATAATGGAGGAATAGGCAGAGCCATAGTAATGAAATAACCGTGAAATGAAAAAGCATTATCGAATTCGTTTTTACGAGGTAAAATGAACAAAATAAAGAATCATATCTCAGCAACATACAATATACCATAATCGATATAGATCAATACAACACGTCTAGACTATGATTTTTTTTAGATATTTTTGTATTTTACTCCTTTCTAAATGTTTTTTATACCGAGTCCGTGATTCTTGGATTGGCTGTCAAAAAAACTCTCTTGTGCAGACTAAAAATTCTATTTTTTTTTTGTCCCAAAAATTCTATTTTCAAATACAAAATACTGTAATTAGCCTATATCGAAATACGTGAGATTATAATTTATATTCTATCAACCCTTTGATTTATATGTATTTATTTTAAATAACTTTATCATTTTATATTTCTTCATTTCAAGGCATATATTGACTAATTGCTCGACACTTAACTATGCAGGCTTACTTTAGGTGTAAGCAAATGATCTATGACATGCTGATATATTATTTTTAAGCATTTTTCTTTTTATGACCTTTTGACAGATTAAACATAATAATTGAGTAATACACCTAAGCTATTTAGATATTCAACAAAATATCTCACATGACATGTTATATCATTTACTTTGCGGGAAAAAAAAATAACTGCATGATTCATGCTGTGACTTCATTGGTCCAAGTATGATTCTTATCTTCCCCTTTTCTTTTTTCCTTTACATTTAAAAATAAAACATGAATGAATTATCTAAACAGCCGTTACAGTCAAAGAGAATTGAGCTTATTATTATACCAGGAAGAAGCTTAGGACCTTTTCGAATAGGTAAATATATATAAATCTATATAAATATTCATACATGAATACACAAGTTAATTTAAATGACTTCTCTCATTTGCATAATTTATAGGTTCTTCATTATGGGACATAATCAACTTCCTATCTGACAAAACACAGTTTTTTCCTTCTGTTGAACTTAAATATAGCCAAGAAGTAAGAAAAAAAATACTAACTAGTTTACTGATCGAGTAATTTATTAATCATTTTATTAGGAGCCTTTGGAATATGATCTTATAGTTTCATTACCAGCTAACGGACTTAATTTAAGATTTGATGGATCACTTCAAAGATTGAAGTCAATTGAGTGTTATGATCCAAATAAAGTGAAGCTTGTTTATCAAAATAATGATGTGAGGTAAAGTGGAAATTTTATTATTCTTCTCTATTTTTAACCTATGCTTTAAACAGTTCAAGTAGGACAATACCAACATTTTTATTAATTTATAAATCATTTGGACCCACTTATCCCGGTGAATTTGACTCCAAACAAAGTATTTACACATTAAAATACCCAGTAAGCTATATTTTGATAAATGAGAATAGATACTAACAAAATAGCCATCTTATTTTTATTTTATTTTATTTTTTTGTTTAACTTCTTTAAGGGCTTATCATTTACGTTTCCTATACCCATGAAACATCAAAACTTATATAAATCATCTGTCGATCTTCCTCTAGAGTTTCCTGATGGCACTACACCTATTGCTTCAAAGATTATGCTTTACAGTTGGCAACAAGATACTCCTTTATCAAAAATTATAGCAGAATCCAATACAAAAAAAGGTCAAAAACGAGAGATAGAAAATGCAATAGTAAAACCAACAATAGGAATTACATTGTTATTTCCAACCTATATCGTTAATACAGCTACAGATACCAATGCATCAGATGATATCAGCTATCAAACTATCTCTATAGGTTTGAACACAACTACAGTTCAGGATATACTTGCAGATCTAGGCAAGCCAACAAGAGTATTTTATAAGGAAGAGGATAAGATGAAGATTCATTCGGTAACTAATAAGCATGTAAGTCCGTCACAAGATTCTAATAAATCAACACCTGATAGCATGAGAGAAGAAGATAAAAGCAGAGGTATAATAGAAATAATCAATTATAAAGTGTTATTTTCCTGTATATGTTTACTTTTTTTTTATTATTTAATCTACAGATCCATTATTCATACAGCCAACAGACTATTTCTTTAACTATTTTCATTTGGGGATTGATATTCTAATTGATGGTGGACTACATAAATGTAAGAAGATTATTCTTCATGGAAATATACCTGGTCATTATGATTTTCAAAGGTAAAATATATTCAAAAGACTTTTATGTGTCATACTAATGTATATTATTAGATATAAAAGATGTCCATTTCAAATTATATTTCCTAAAGATAAAAGTAAAAAATTAACCATGTTTTATTAAACAAATTACATAATAATTGACAATCAAAAAATTAGATAAAAAACCAGATAATGAATCTTTATTAGTAGACATAGAAGAGGATAATGAAAATATAATAATGGCAAATATGAAGGTAATTATTTAAATAAAACTAGGTATACTGTATTTAATATTAAGCCTGATGTAAATATGTATACATGTATATATATGTGTATGTAGATTAAAGCAATGCAAGATCTTATACCTTGGGATAAATCAGAAAATCAACAAAAACCTGTGATTTTAACAAGAGGTTCAAGTGAACAAAACCCATTTGGTTCCACTCATTTAACAGGTTATGATGAAGGCATAGCAATGGAGGTGATGAAAAACGGATATGTACCAACAATTATTTTATTTTAATAATATAATTAATAAAACTTTATATTTTTAATACTATATACAATGTAGAAGTAAATATAAATACATATAAATATTTATATATCTATACAGATGTGTTTGTGTGTTAAATAAATTTTGGAGAGTTTGAACAGATTGCAAATAAAAGACCAGCTACTAGTCCAGCACAAGGTAATGTAATAAACCAAGAAAAGAAACACCAACATAATGCCTTCCAGTTAACCGCCTTATAACCTTTAGTATTACATAAACCAATAGCAGCTGAAGCGCCTGTAATACAATGTGTTGTAGAGACTGGCAAGCCAATCTGAGAACAAGTGAGTACGGTTAAAGCTGCTGATAATTCTGCACAGAAGCCTCTTGAAGGTGTAAAGTACGTAATGTTATTACCCATAGTACGCATTACACGATAACCCAATAAAGTTAAACCGAGATCAATACCAACGCCACCATAAACTAAGATCCAAATAGGAATAGGGGTTTTACCAGATACATCTATACGTGCTGTACTCCAAACCTCATAGATGGAAGAAATAGGCCCTATTGCATTAGATACATCATTTGAACCATGTGCAAAGGACGCCATACAAGCTGTAATGACTTGAAGGAAACGGAATAGATATTCAGCATCATCTTCGAAAAGTTCTGTATGAGCATGGACATTTTGAAGTTTTTTATTATCAAGGTTACGAACATCTTGTTTAATACCGTTAAGGGCTAGTTTCAAGAATTTGGACTTTAATTTTGAAGCATTGTATATAAACCAGTTTTGTTGTTTATTTGGTTGTTGAACATCTTCATCTTGAATCACTTCAGTTTCACCGTTGCCGTCATGATCCTTGATTTTTTCGATATTTGATGTTTGAGCTATAAGTTCAATATCTTGGTCAACCTCAGTATCGGCGGGCTCTTCAATCATAGGTCTTGTCTTTAAAAATGGAGTAACAAATATATGATACCATTTGAGATCTTCTTTACCCTTGATTCGACGTACAGCCCAAGGACAAAGGAAAAACTGACAAAAGAGGGCACAGACAACAGCTACAATTAAAGCAATACCTACGATCAAACCAATATGCATTTTATCTGCACCACCACCAGGAGCTTTAAAGATAATGTAAAATGATTCAATACCAGCTGTGAAAAAGAAGTAAATAGGTACTAAACGAATACCCCACTTGAAGCTATCAACACGACGTAAAATTGCATATTTAGTAATCGAATAGATGACAGCAGCTACACAACCAGCAGCAACAGGACTAATAAACCATGAAGCAATAATTTGAGCAACGCCATCCCATCCCCAAGTGATAGAATTGAAACCAAAGGCAGAGATACCAGTACCAATGACAGCACCAACAACTGAATGTGTTGAACTAACTGGCCATCCAAACCTAGTAGCAGTGAGGACCCAAGTAGCAGAACCTACAATAGCACAAAGCATGGCCAGCATAAGCATCTCAGGCTGATCAACATAGTAAGACACAGACAGAATCCCGCCTTTAATTGTCTCTGCAGTTGCTGCACCTAATAAGACAGCACCACCAAATTCTGTAAAACATGCAACAATACAAGCTTGAGCTAATGTTAAGGAACCTGCTGAGACTGACGTAGCAAATGAGTTTGCAACATCATTTGCACCGATACCAAATGCATCTATAAAGGCGACGACCATACCCACTGCAAAAATCCAGGTATAATCATGTATTTCCATTTTATAAATGAATATTTAATATTAAAAAATATTAATTACTAGTAAAATAAATAATAATAATAAAATGAAAAAAATGTTCTGTAACTTAATTTATTTTTCTGCTTCTCTTTTATATAAATATGCATTAGATTAATTAACATAGTTTCTTCGTATAGTTTTTTTTTTTTCCTTGGCTCTAAACCAATCAATATTACTTATGAGACGCACGCTAATCAATGCAGTTTGTAGAAAGGGGATTAAGAATCTTAAAGATTTATCTATAAAATAAAAAAGAATAAATGGAAAATCTAAATTTCTAACCTTTATCTAAAATCAGAGATAAAAAAAAAAGTATATACAGATATAAAAGTTGAAATAACTGAAACAACTTTGAAAGCTTATAGTCAGAAAATAAAGAAAAATATCTGAAAATGACTAAAGCCAGGCAATTGCTCCTGTATTAATACACGTAAGGTAATTCAATTTACCATATCCAGTGAAGTATTTTATTTTTTTTTAGAACATTGGCAGGAAATTTGATTAGCTACCGATTATTTTTCTAAATTTTGAAACTGAATAAAGTTGATATCAATGCTGTTTATAATTAAAAATTATGTATAATAATTTTATTTTAGTTTTATTTTTAAAAAGAAAAAAGAAAAAAGGAAGAAAAAAAAAAAGAAAAAGAAAAAAGGAAGAAAAAAAAAAAGAAAAAAAAAAAGAAAAAATAGAAAAAATAGAAAAAAAAGAAAAGAAAAAAATCCTCACATATACAAAACGATGATGAATGATAGGAAGGAGTGTATAACATAAAATAAACCCAATTTCCCTTTCTTTTTATTATCATCTCCCTTGCATGCCACACACACACACGTGCCTTTTTCAATAATATACATTACCTGTTGTCTTGCTCCTTCCTACATTTTAGAGTATAATTTCATCGTTGTATGCATCATCGCGACGCAGGCATTATCCTGGTCCGCTAAATGAGGGTATAAATTCTCAGCCATTAATTTTAACAATCCCTAAGTTTTAGGAATTAAAAAAAAAAGTGGGCACCCCTTGATGCTTTCAATGATGAAATAAACTATCCACCCTTTAGGATCTAATTTATTGTCTAAGAAAAAAAAAACCTGTCTAAATAAAGCAATCTATAAAATAAAAATTAATACAATAAATATTTATAAATATTTATATATTCCTTTATGTACCTAATTACTTGCATCTTAATTATCCTTTTGCTCCAAATACATATTCCATCTCTTCTAATGTCTTGCCTTTTGTTTCTGGAATAAAACAACATCCTATAAAGCAAATACAGCAACAACTACCAAAAAAGAAATAAACACCAGATACAGTATGTGCTAAAAAGAGAGGCACACAATAGGTAATCAAAATTGAAAATCCCCAATTTAATGCATAAGTGAGTGCTAAACCTTTTGCTCGGGTACGCATATTAAAGACTTCAGCAGGATAAACATAGGATACAGTTCCCCAGCTAAACTGATAGGTTCCCATGAAGATATATAAAAAGGCAATGATAGCGTTGCGAGCATAAACATTGGTCACCATTACTACATAGCTCTCTACATCCACCTTTATATAAACTTGAAAGAGAGCACCAACAATAAACATACTAATACCCATAATGCTAGCACCAATCAAAAAAACGGGCTTGCGACCAACACGATCAATAAACCACTGGAGTGAAACGAAAGCCATTAGTAACGATAAAATACCCGTACCACCGGTGGCTGCAATTGAGGTTGAGGCGTCACTTAGGCCAGCATTTTGAATTATCTGTGGAGCGTAGTAACCGATAGCTGCATAGCCCGTGAAGGAAGTCGAGATAGATATGAAAAATGAAATTAAAGTACGTTTAAGATTAGTTCCAACAAAAAGTTCTACATATCTAACGTCCCCTAAGGTATGTTCAAATTCTATTTCTTGAACAATTTCGTTATATTCACGTGAGACAATGACATGTTTTGGATCTGTCACTTCATGCAGCTCCATCAAAACCTCTAAGCCTTCATCGTAACGGCCTTTATCGATTAGCCAACGAGGACTGAAAGGCATTTGTGTCATAATTCCTGTAAATATGATACAAACAATTATATGTAAAAGCCAGGGACCTCGCCATGACCAGTTTGTTGTTACATAGCTTGTACCAAACGTTACAAAATAACCGGTAACCTGACCTAGTGATGCCATTAATGTGAAAAAACTGATTAAACGACCACGAATGTCAGCAGGAGCAATCTCTGAATGATATAATGGTATAGCGCTATTCATTAAACCTGATCCAAAACCACCGATCAATCTTCCAGCTAATAAGAGGCCAAAATTGACGCCGATAATCTCGAGAAGAATACCAATACAAAAAATAGCAGAAGCGGCAATAATTGAATATTTTCGACTAAACCGATCTATAACACAAAATAATTAATATGTAAATAAAAACAAGGTTTACATATACAAATACATATATGTATATATATTATAATATTTGCAATAATAGTTACCACACAAAAAACCAGCAATAAATGCTCCTAAAGCTGCTGTCATAAGGTATAGTGCTAGCAAAAGACCTTGCAAATAAGTCATATTTTCCTCAGTAAAGAAATATGCTTGGAAAGTAGGCATAGCCAATATACCACTAATGGCACCAGTATCATAACCACAAATAAATCCACCCATAGCAGCAACTAATGCAGATATATAAATTGCCTTACGGAATTTTTTGGGTTCCTCCAGTATAGTAATACTGTTCTCCTCCATGTCTACTTTTTGGTCTGATACCTGGAATTTTGAACTCATAATAAGGAATGAGAAGCAAAAAAAAAATTTTATTATATTTTTTTTTTTACAATATTTTATTGTTTAGTTGAACCAATAATAAGCAAACATTTATTAGTATTCCGATATTTCAACAACATCCGCCTATCTTTCTTCAATCTTAATAGATTTAAAAATAAGATCATTGTTGATAAATACTATACTTAAGAGCACTATTAGAGCACCATTAGAGCATTATTAGAGTGAAAATTATTAGTTTTGTCTAAAGAATTATTCAGCCAATTATTACCTATTTACTGCTAGATACATTATATCTATCGATCGTTACAGTGAACTAGTCACTAACAAACCCTCTTCTTTAAAACTTGTAAACATATATCAACAGCACCAGTTTAAAACTTATAAACTTTTCCATATTCTTGTAAAATGTCTTACTTTCTAAACTCATTAATGATAGAACTTTCCCTTTTTTCTTTAATAAAGAGCTTTTAATATTATTTTTTTTTCTATTTATTTACGGATACAAGTGAAGATTAGGGATATAAATCATTGTATATGCCTCCGTATTCATTCTTATATATCCTATTGAAGTGTGTTGGCTTAAAGTTTAAAAAGAAAAGTATAAAATAAAACTAATTTGAAAAAAAAAAGTCGATAAATTAATGCCAAGTATTAGAGAAGCATGTATGGTTATCATTCTAAAGGACTGTTTAGTATGGGTTAAAAATGCTGCTTCTTATTGGGATAGATATTATTAAGAGTAGGTTAACTTAGATAGCCTCAAGATAGATTTATTTGTCCAAGAAAATTATAAATCTTCACAATTTCATTTGATAATACTGTATTAACATTTAATATCCCAAAAGGGTTTTTCTTTCCTTTTTTCTCTAGCGATCTGACCAGGGCAAAACAGCATATATAAATGCTATATGCTCATTGGTCATTTTTTAATTTTTAAATAAAATTCTTTAGTTTAATTGTATTAACATTTAAGCCTTTAACTATCCACTCTGTCACTCCTTGGTAAATACGATAGCTTAATACGATGACTAAATATATGCATCATCTTACATGAACTTAATTAACTTTTCCACAACAAGCCAATACCCCCTCTCTTCTCCACCCAATTTTGGTCCGATATTTTTAAATTTGTTCTCGTCCTCTCCACACAACTAGTCAATTTATTTACTTTGTTTCCAGATATTTCCTTTTGCTCCTAAAGAGGTCTTTTTTCGTTATATCTCGATTCTTCATTGCTCGGACCTGGGCAAAGCTGTTATTTAATAACATATTGTATTCATTGGGTCATTAGTATTTCTTTATAAATGTTGATAAGGTAAGGATAAAAAAAGGAAGACAGAATAAATCTGTGAAAACTTTGTATAAAACTTTTATTAAAATAAAATTTCTCGAAATGAGTGCTTATTTATATCTTGTGAAGAACAGGTTACTTCGCGACAGGAACAGAATGAAAGAAGAATGTTTTCCATAAAATGGTTAAAGTTATTTTGTTTAAGCTCTCTAGTCTTTGCCCAGATTGAGAATTAATTCCAGTTAACTCACTCTAATAAAAATTAAGTTATTCGTGCTTGATCTAGCCGGTTATTTTTCTTGAAACCAAATAATGAGACATCGTATGTTCATACTTGTGAATGATATAGGGAAGATGCTTTTTGATATATTCATTCCTCAATGTACTTCTTTTAGCCAATCGAATAATGTTATGATTGCTTATTAAAATAAAAGATTTACTTAAAAATAGTCACAAGTTTCACAATTTATCCATGCATAATTATTATACAGACAACACTCATCTGTAGGATCTCCTTTCCTTTATTGATACCTTTTTTTCGCTTTCAATCTATACTATATTATGTCTATTACTTTACACGATTTAATTTATTATCCTAGAACTATTGGCTTATTTGCAAATGGTGTATTTACTGGCCTCGGTATCTGTATGAACTTTGTTAGTGTTCCTTCCATTAAAGCTACAAACGATCCTTTACCTGTATTTTACAAGACTTATTCAAGGGCGTCCAAAATTGCCATTTTAAATATTGCTGTAAGCACTGTTTGTAATGCTATATGTTATTATCGCACTTCAAAGATAAACTTCCTCTATGCCAGTGTATTGTCTTTTGCTAGTGCCCCTTTTACTTTAATTTTTATCGCTCCTATAAATAATCAATTATTTGAGATGGAAAAACAAGGCAGTAGTTATGATCGCAAGAAGGTATATGCATTGATAAATAAGTGGGATAGACTCCAGTACTTTAGAACTATTTCTGGGACTGCAGCTTTCATTCTTAATCTTCTTTATCATTAAATATAAATATATAAATAAATATCTTTACGTATAATAAAGCTCTCGTTTTCATCTTTTTGTTGTTGTATGTGAACTCTGTATTATATTAACTAGTAAAACCAGTATATTGAACTTTAAACACTATATCTACTTTATGTAATAAAAACAAAAATGATCTTTACATAGAGTTAACTTTATCAGAAATATCTAGGTTGAATTTCATGTATCATCAACTAAGAATGTTCTTGGGTGGTGTTCCTTTTTTTTTCTTTTTTTAGCTAGAATATCTATTACATCTATGATACTTTAAAGAGTGAGATGACATTCGATAATTTAAGCAGTGGCTTTAATAGTAGCCAAACATATATCAACTATGCGCTTAATTTTATAATAAAAAGATTAAGTGAATTTACCCAAATGAATGTTCTATCCGAAGCAATTTATTAAAGGTAATATTTGTGGACAATAAACTTGATACAATCTAACTTTTTTTTTACTATACACATCTGCAGTTAATATGATTATGATTATGTTATATGGTTTGCTTGATTTATAGGATATATACAATTAAGTATTTCTTATAAAATTATTAATATTTTCAATAAGGCAGTATCAACCATTTTGTATTCAGTTTATATCATGTCACTATATTTACCTGTTATATTATCCGAGTAATACATGAATGAAGCCAGTTAAGGATTGTTGCATTACTTGGGAAAAAAAAAAGAACAGAAGATATACACAAATCAATATTCATTTAAAACCTTCAAATTGGATATATTCACTAGTTTCTTTAGAAACATAAGACCTTCTATTGCTTTATTTACACTTAGTAATTATCTTTTATATATGTGTATTCTGCTTTCCATATTTGTTTAGAAGCTCTAGTTGCAATGTCTCAGAAGATTATCATTAAGAAATACAATATTAAAAAAAAGGGGGGGCCAATAAAATAATACTAACATGCAAACTAGAAAAAAAAAAAAGAAGTATATAAAATTCCGCATGTTAGAATGAAAAAGTCAATAGTGCCATTTTTTTTTTTTTTTTATTAATATAAAATTTAAAATGAATAACAAAAAGAATCTCAACATCATCTTTTGCATGTAAACAAACTATATAAAATAAATATTTTCGTTTTGTTTTTTATTAAACAGAAATCAAAAAGTTAGATTAAACATGTTTATACTTACGTTAGCATCAACACATAATCGCCGCATGCCTCCTTTTGGATCAACTTCATCTTCGAAATCTTTAGGAGATTATACACACTCACATCAAGTTGTAGATAAATCAACATATTCTTGTTTCCCCATTGGTGAATGTGAAGCTTGTTCTCCTTTAGAAAAAGTAAGCATATATTTGTTTGGTTTTTTTTTTTTTTTTTTTGTGTAGCTTATGCTGATTTACAAATAGAAAACACAACCCTATTGTATCGAATTTGGTAATAAACAAGCAATACGTTGTGAATGGGACGATGCTGAATTACAAAACAAAAATCAAACAACATTTGATGACGATGATGCTATCTCTTTACCTTCCTTTCGTCCTTGTCGCCAAGTTAAAAGTATTGAACGAATGCGTTTTATAAAATTCGAGGTAATGCCGAGATGACGTACTAAACATAAATGACTAATAATATATTTAGGCTTTCAATTTGGTAATGGCTATTTTATCACTTGTTATTTTTAGTTGGAGACAAAAGAAAATTGCTCGTGAACAATATCAAAAGTTAGCACAAAGGATTGGTATAACTGTTGTGTAATAATATTAAAATAGATACCTGCTATATAAAGAAACTTAAACTTTGTTATATGTATAACATATTAAAGAATATTCTGCCAAAATAGACAGCTATGTTAAGAACATTTAGGCAGTATTATGAATAAGAAAATAGCTAGTTAATAGAATGTTAGCAAAAGAAAAAAATAATTCATTTACTTTGGCCAGAAACAAGGTTGCATATTTCCTTTTTTTTTTTTAAGAAAAAATATTAGTATTTAAAGCAAGAAATACAATATATAGGCATATATCCTATTTCTTTTACTATCTAAAAAATGTATTAATATTATAAGCTTATTGAAGCAGATTTGTAATACTTGGCCTAGATGTTTTTTTTTGTTTTATTAATGTATTTTCTTTTCCTTTTCCTTAAAAACAATGTCACTCTTATTGCTAAAACAGTAAGCAATATTATGATATTATTTCATATCTCTGTTACTTTAAATAAAATTATTTCATATCGTTAATTTCTACTCTGTTATATAAATATATATGTCATTTTCGTTGTTCATCTCAGTTAGCATTCTCAGTAATTATATAATTTATATCTTAATATTCACATAACTTTGTTCTCATTATAATACTACAGAAAAAAATTGTTGACCATTTATTGCTCTTTTTTTTTAAAAAAAAAATATATATACAAAAATATATATGTATATCTTTAATGCTTTATTAAGGGGATAATATATTTATACAAGATAAAATGGCCATGTTTAAACAATTCCTTAAATGAAATAAATCAATTTACCATAATGTATATTATCAGGATTTATTAGTATTGTTTATTATATTATGAGAGTATTAAAAGAATAGTAGTTTTAAAGTTTATATTATACATAATACATCTATATATCTTTTAAACAAAGATTTCTATGGGCGCAATTCTATCAACAGTAGTTAATATATTATCATTATCTTCTTCCATAAAATGTGTGGGCCAGATCACTAAATGCCCTTTAATATGTCCCAAAATTTCTCGTATTGAAACTTCATCCTCCATCAATCCACAAAATGGTACAGTTGTGGCTGCTGCTGCAGTTGTCTTTGTTCCACCATGCTTAATATCAATACGTCCCAAAAATAGCTTTGCCATTTTTATGTAATTATCATACTGAGCCCAAGTTTTGACATTATTGTCAGGCATTACTAAAAACGATCTTCGAAACAAATCAGTGTTGACACGTGCAAGCATATGCCAAAAATTTTGGAAATTATCATGGAGTGGATCTTGTAGGATTTTATAAATAGTATCTTGATTAAAGTTGAAGACTTTAAGTTGTTCATTATTACAGGTAATACCATCACCATTATTATCCGTGTCTGGATCAAGTTCATTCCAAAAATCAATATAGTCCTCCCTGGCAAGACTTCTACGTTTACCGAAAAAGGTTTTGGTAGTAGAAGTCGTTTCCTCTCGATGAAGAGGCTCTGCTGATGATTCCGATAATTGTCTACTCTTATCACCAGCCATTCGATTTATTATCACTTGTCCCAGCTCTTGCTTTTTCTTTATATCTTTATGCCTTTTTCTAAATAGAATATGTTTTTTCATAGCAGTACTCCATTTTTTACGACTAAAATCAACCTCACTTGATGAACTGGATGAACTATCAGAGAACTCTGAGGCTTGATCCAAGTCATATTCTTCTTGTCGATTTTGTTGTTGTTGTTGTTTCTCTTGGTCGATTGTTGACATAACCTGAATATAAGGTGGTATACAATTCACGCCATTCTTAGAAATAAAATGGTGTTCTATAAAACTGTTTTGGCTATATTTTTGAATATCTATCTCATCAATATCTAAGCCGACATGTTCACACATCAGCCTCATTCTCAGTGTATGGGCAAATCGACCGACTTTAATAGATTTACCATCTAATACGGAATCCATAAGGTCTGTATCCTCAATATATGCAGCAATTTCAGAATCTCGAGTTCCTAAAAGAGATCGTTCATTAATGTTAGCAGATCCAATTATAACAATCCTATCATCTACAATCATTGTCTAAAAATAATAAAATTAACAAAATTATGTAAAGAAAGAAAAAAAAAAAAAAAAAAAAAGGTGAAAACTTACTTTGGAATGAATATAGATTTGCTCCGTTACAAACTCTCCATTTAGTTCAGCCCAATTCCTTAACCCATAAAAATTAATATATTCATGTGTATTGTGAATGCCTGCTGCATGTAATCTAGCAAGTAAAGAATCAGGTCCTCGTCCAATGGTTAAATATTGGTATTCTGAAATAAGACGTACAGCTGTAGCTTCTGTTTCATCAATATTAGCAGGAAATCCGGGCATTAAGGGTAAGACAAGAATGGCCCTCCATTTTTTACCTTCTCTGTGAGCACGTACAATACGTTCATAAATAGCATCACCTACATTATTTTGATAACTACTGTTTTGCTCTTTGTTGAAGTGATAAAGAACTGATTTTCTACAATATACATATATATATGTATATTAGTTTAAGAAGAAAAAGTTTTGTTTTTTTTTTCTTTTCTTTTATCATAAATAGTACCAATATAAATAAAATGTTCTGAATTTCGAATACTCTCGAAATACGCATTTTGAATACTATGCTCCAAGTATTTAGTAGAACCAATACTCCAAGGCGACACACTTCTCAAAATTTGTACGCTACATTGGGCCATATGGGGTCGCCAAGCATAATGATCTATCTTTAAGATACCATCATGATCAGGAACAGGTAAAAGCATAGGTGTCGGTCGTCTGGGCGCTAACGGCTTTTTCCTCCTCAAGTAATTCCATCGCTGTATAAAGTGACGAGCTGCATCACGAGCTGAATGACCCATCAGGCGCATTGAAATATCATGCCATGGCATTCTTGGTAATGTTGTTCGATCCTGATTGTCCTCAAATGGTTTATCTAATGTATGAAAATCAATGATACGAGGATTTGAATAATCTTTACCAGGCCATATTTGTTCATTAGCAGGTAAGTCATCTATAAGTATATGAGCAGGTGTATCCCAACGACCAAAGCATTGATCAATGCCACCTAAAAATGCAATTTCATTATCGATCACACAGATTTTTTCATGGTGAGCCCAGAAAAAGATATTATCCTTTTTGAAAATATCAATTGCACGTGAAGGGTGTCGTTGAACAAAGATATTAGAAGAGAGAGATAGAAGATGACGTTTGGCAGTATGTGAGAAGAGCGGGAGTGCCATAGCAACTTCTTTGTAAATAATAATGTAGATTTTTACGCCTTGATCTGCTTTACGTTTTAAGATGCGGTCAAGTCTCCATTCATGATTTTGTGCAGCCGGTCTCCTTAAAAACTATCAAAAAAACAGAATATTAATATATATATATACAAATGTATGTATGTATGTATGTATGTATACTGTAGGGAAGTTACTTACCAGTTCAGGTGATAGCCACCAATCATGAATGTAAATACATTCCTTTGCATTTTCGAGAGCAACAGAGATATCCCATAAATAATCTCTACCATCCACATACCAAGTGAGGGGGATATTATGACGAATAGGTGCAAAACTATCAAATCTATTAGGTTTACACCATATTGAATTCTGAGATACTGATTGAATAGATTTTTCAAATTGCCTTGCTTGTTGTTCATTTTTAGTTCTAAGATGATAGACACCATGTATGTTGGTTAGACAGAGAGTGGACTTTTTTGAAGCCCAATGAGATGCATTTACTAATGTACTACTAAACTTGCCTTTATGATGTTTACCAAATAAAATCAATCTATGTATATCAAAATTCTGGTCAAATAAAAAGACATCATAAATTTTGCTCTATTGAAGAAAAAGTGGGTGAGGGGAGGACTTAAAAAAAATTAAATATTTTTCTATATTATTCTATTTATATAATACCTCACTGGGATCATCCACACAAACAATATAACTTTCACGAACAATAAACCACTTGGGTTTGTGTCTTCTTTTGGATCCCGTAGTAAATAAACTTAATCCATCATGTAATAACATGCGTTTTTGTTTAGGATCGCGATCCGTTCTACTCTGGAAGACAGCATAGCCTTCCTTACCATGGTAACCGATATTAGGAAATCGAGACGATAATTGAACGCCTAAAGTAGAAATTTCAAGAAACATACAGAGACGATTAATATGACCACAAGGCCCAATACTTGAAATGAATTGATTCATATAGTCCTCCATATCCTTTAACACTTTGTGATCTGCGTCAAGGAATAGATGAAAGCTAGAATTAGTTGCAGGTGTGTCATTTACCGAACTGGCAAGAGCCATAATAGTATCCTCGTCTACTACAGGCTCAAGCATTGTACATTGTTGTTGAGAACCCTTTTTCTGTTCTTCTTCAAAGTTCTGTAGGTTACGTTGCCTGTTTTGAAAACGGTATTTTGGAATACTGGGAAATTGAGGAGTTCGGCTTGATAAAGTTTTATAAATGTAATGCAGCTTAACAAAGTCCCAATAACGACGATACACTATCCAACTCAAGTTACCATATTGTACAGTAATCTTAAAGACAGTGCCACCATGTAATTTCTTTTTTATTCTTGATTTATCATCTGTTGTTGTAGGCGCCTTTGAAACTTTGATAGTGATGTTTTTTAAAAATATAGGAATCCTTCGTCTGTCTTGCTCATCTCGAGTAAAATGCATAGCCATGATAATGGGCATTAAACCATTTAACTCAGCTTGTCTTTCAATATTGGAAGGCAAAATTTGTTTTCTGACAGGAGCATGTCGATAACTTCCAACCCATTTCTTGATTGTGTTCCAACTGTTGTGAGGAGCAGTCTCAAAACGTTTCAAGAATTGATGTCTAACAGTGGGTTGTTGTTTGAATTGAAAAGACTGTACATTAGAGGAAACTGGACGATCTTCATGTGTTATTGTAAAATAATCTTGATTTATTTTTTGATGGGGTATCTTCATCGTGGTATTGATAGATTTGATATTTGGCTCTAGTGTGGGTTGAGCATTTTGTAGTGTAGTATTTATTGGAGCTTTAATTACCATTAACTTGTTACTAAGAAATAAAACAAACAAAAAAAAAAAAAAAAAAAAAAAAGAGAATAAAAAAAAAATGACTTTTTTTTTTTGGATCAATTTTACTTTAATATTTATGTTTATGTCAATGTGACGAAATGCACACGAGGAGAAAAAGGTAATTATGTTTCAATAAATAGATGTAAATATACTCTTTCATTTAATTGAAAACACAACAAGTTCAATAGATGCTCCCTAGTACTGCTCTAAACAACAACAAGAGTATTTACATTCTGTTAAAAAAAAAAAAAAAAATAATCAAAACAGATATATCTTATATGTATAAATTCACGTATATATTATCATGCTACAAAAAATAATGAATATGTAATTTTTTTTCAGTTACATATGATACCATTCTAATTTTCTTTTTATAATTAAATTAAGCTATTTCTATTACAACTTTTGTACACGTCTATCAATTTCTTCTGAAAATTGTGTACAGCTTAAACTCCAACTTTGAATCATTATCTTGACATGTTCTTGAATTAAATTTTGATTTTCCTTCAAATAAGATACAACATTCTCTGATTCCAAAACCTCTTTACATAATTTTCTTTGTAATTGTGCTCTGAATAATTCTTTACCATTTCTGGCTATTGTTTGAATTTCTCTTAACGATTTCTTAGATGCTTCTTGAAGCTGAACAAAACTTGCCATCTAAACAATAAAACAATTAAAATTATGTGTAATGAAAATCAAACAATGTATGTATGTATATGTATATCTTTACAAATGGATCAGATCCTGCTTTTTCTGCGGCTTTTCTTCTGGCTTCCTTACTGTTCAATCCTAAGGTACGGTTTATTATTTCAATCAACACAGTACCATAATTAAATGCCTAAAGAAAAGTACATAAATGAATACATATAGGCATGTATATGTATATTATTTTCTATTTCATTTATATAAATATATATATCTTACTTCTAATGATGTTGATAGTTGATGGAACGTGTTCCATGAAAGGGTTTTTTCAGAAAATGCATCCACTTTACTCACTATAATATGTATATATCAATAGAAGTAAAATTTACTTTTTGATAAAAATATGCTCTTACATTGATCTTCCAAGATAGTAGTTGCATTTTTAAGTTGGCTGCTACCATCCTCTGACTTCTTCAATAATACTAATGCTTGAGTTAATTCAGATACATAGCAAGCAAGCCAAAATTCATTATGGGTGATTTGTTTTTTAACATTTTCACATTCCAATAAGTCCTTCAATCCCTTTGATAGATGGGACAAGTCTCTAGCTGAATCTTTGGTTTCACAAATAACACTCATGATATGAAGAATATATGACATAACTTGGACCCATTCCTGAGAAGTACTCATATTAAGAGGTTTGCAGTATTCTTCTATATTTGGTTTTTCCTGACCATTATAATTGAGGAAGACTCGGAAGTCACGATTATCAGAATATGTTACTGAACTATCGCAAGTAAGTTGACTAACATCTTGTTCTTGGAAGAATTGGACAGCATATTTAGTTTGGAAGGAGGAATGGATATAGTTTAGACGTATAAGTTCGATTTGAGTTATAGCATGTTGAAGTGAAGTGTCGAGACGACGACGGAATTCAATAAATTCTTGTATCTAAAAAAAATAAAAGTTTACAAAAATAATTATTTTGGAAAAGAAATTTATATGCTTTTACCTTAGAGAATGTTCCATATTGATATGCTTTAACTAACATTTCAGGTGTCTATTTTATTGGATTAGATTTTCTTGTAGGGTATACATAGACTAGTATCTTACCTCAACTTCATTACTCTTATAAATCAATAAGGATTCATGTAACATATCTTCAAGTTGGTCGAAGCAACCAAGACAAGCAAATCTATCTGTAAAGTAATGACTATATATGGATAAATATAAAATAATAATAAGTATTTAAAAAAAAAAAAAAAAAAAAAAAAAAAAAAAAAAAACTTACATCATTGTATCAAACTGAATTTGCTTGATTTCCATAGTCCTGTAAATTTCGAAAGGTCGCTGATAAACACCTAACAAATGAAAGAATCAATAATGCCTTTATATATAAATATTTGTATATATATTTTTTATTACCAAGTAAGGTATACATGCGGACCAAAATCAACTTGATTTGAAAGTTATAAATACTTTTAGTCAATGCCAATTCCAAGAGTGAAATAGCTTGTATCAAATATGAAGACTCTTTGTATTGATGATATAAATCTACAAGAAGATGACTTGCCAATATAGCAAACTCATCACCATATTGCATCTCTGTCTTTTCCAAACCTTCTCCTAAAGGTAAAGCATTTTGATATTCACACCATAATGTGTTAACAATCTCAAGTGCTTCCTTAACGTCAACAGCTGAGTGAAGGCCAAGGAAACGTTCCAATTTTCTGATGTTGACCTGCTTGTGTACATTTTTTATATTTGCTGCTTTGTCTTTTGCAGGTTGAATAGTCTCTTTAAGGCGATCGATCCATGCTTTGGCTTTTTCTCCTTTCAAAAATCCAATATAACTATGAAGGTCCTCAAATGCACAATTCTTTGATCCAAAGCGTTCAAAGTATTTTGCAGTATGCTCCAAGATAACATCCTCTTCTCTCTTTCCAGTCTTCCATAGTCGGTGATCTAATTCAAGTTCAGCTAAAAATGGGCCACGTTTCAAGACTTTAGCTTTTAAGGCCGCTTGTTGCAAACGCTCAACCAACGCCATCGCCTTATTTATCATCTCTGTATCATTTAAAGCATCTATAGCGTCAAAATATGCCAACCAGTGAAACCAATCATCTGCATTTTCGCCATCTAATATTGCTTGACTCATCTCTAACGTTTCTTGCCATCGTTGATTAGCACGTAAGAGTTCAGATTTAATTTGTCGTATTTCAGGATCACGTAATGACTTTTGTGCAAGTTCATCATTAGCTAATAAAAGTTGAAGAGCCTGTTCATTTTTTTGTTGATCCATGAGAATCAAGAGATAGAGACGCATATGTTCAACTTCTTGAAGTCGATTTTCTTCAAGTGCTTTACCCATCATGCGTTCCGCAAGGACATAAGCAAGTGGTGTGCCCTGTAGAGCTAAGGACATAATAGCCCAAAACAAATATTTGTTTTGTTTAAAGAGACGATGAAGCTTAACAGCAGCAGCTTGCTGTCCCTTAAAATCGTTATTACGTACCATAGCCATGAACCAGTGATTAGCAAATTCTTCATTTTTTGGTTGTTGATTGGATGCATTTTCATATAATTCAACGATGACAGAATCTATTAAATAAGAAATGTGTAAATTATATATAGTAGATGTTTTTTTTTGTTTTAATTATTATTACGCTTTCCGAGTTCTTTTAAAGCCATAGTGACAGCTAAAAGTGTAGGCTCATCAGTAGGAATGGCCTTTTTGACTTGCCCACATAATTCAAAGGATTCTTCTTCTTTTCCAGTTCTAACAAGTGCAAGTGCTTTTAAAGCCTTATTTATTAAAAATTATTAATAGTTTAGAATTAAATGTTATACAGATAATCTTTTACCTTGACTAAAGGCCAGTCGGGATTCTTCTTCAATAATTTTGCACAATGTTGAAGAGCAATTTTATTTTGACCTTCATCAAGAGCCTCTATTATCCAAAAATACAAACATGAATAAGCCTTTTTATATTATTTACAAGATAAAAAAAAAAAAGAGAGTAACGCTTACCATAAAGCGGTCTCAGCTTTTTTTCTGTCGTATAGTCCATAGTGTCTTGAAGAAACAACAGTGATAAAAAAAAAATATGGCGCGAGCAGGAATTCTTGTTTAAATTCGGGATTTCAACGATGATAGTAACAACAACAGCATAAGCCACAATGATCAAAATAATCTATAATAATTTCTTCATCAAATTACTTCTTTTGATAAAGACAATTGCATAATTTTTTCTTTCTTTTTTTTTGAAAAAAGTAACATTATAGGTTGGATAAACTAATGTAACATTTTAAGGAAAAGCGCAAGTATAACTAGGATAATGTAAAGAAATATACCTAAGGAATATTATATCTACTACAGCAATTATAAATTATCTTTATTAAAAAAAAAGAAAAGAAAAGAAAAGAAAAGCGAAAGGTATTTCATTTCTCTAATAGCATTTATTATTAACACAAAGGAAAGTTTATAATAATTCATAATATACATTTTCTAAGTGTGAATTAATATTACAATGCATTACATAACATTCTAAGGATTTCCTTTTTATTTTATTTTATTTTTTAAGAAAGAGTAGGCGTTGTACCTGACTTTTTCAATTTCTTCGATTTATTCAAAATAGACTTTGTCTTTCGAGCTGTCCATCTTTCCATTGCTCTTTCGTATACAATGTCTACACTGTTTGGTATATTATGTTCTTCACAGAACTTTCGACTAACTTCTAAAAAGTCATCACCCTATTAACAACATGTAAGAATAAACTAAATCATCTTCTCGTTTTTTTTTTCTTTTTCTGTTTATATTACCTCATGGAATACAGCAGATACAAATCCACTTGCTAATTGAATTTTAACCGCAATCGGCTTTCCTGATTTTTTATGTTTTTGAATATCATTATGATCTAATGATGGCTCTGCTGCAGGGTTTTTGGATTGAATTAATAAACCAGACAAAGCCTCATTGTTGTTTTGATTCAAAGGTTCCTGCTCATCGATAAGATTTCTGGAGGTAGATGATTCAGGTTTAATAAAGCTGCTTGATGTTGATAAAAGATCTTGAACCTCCTCTGTTTGCTTTTTTTGTTCATCAACGTTTTGTGATGATATATTGTTGTTCTGTTTTTGATCGGTAGTATTAACAAAAGTGTCTTGCGTTTGTTTATGGATGCTGGTATCCGTTTCCTTAGTTAGAGCTAAATTAGTAGTAATAACGGGAGATGCAGTAAGGTTAGAAGCTACGATTTTAGTTGTATCAAGTACGGAATTCTCAGCTATATTTGATTCTGAAGCCATCATAGGAGTAACAGTAGCATTATTAGTAGTATTAGATGTAGTTATAATAGTATTATTAACTATAGATGCATCATGTTTATCAATATCAATAGTAGTAGGAACAGTCGCAGTCTCTTTTAAGGAAGTAGGTACCAATGCAGGCATCAATAGCGTTGAGTTTTGTAACATTACCAAATGATCTTTTTCCTCCTCCTCCTCTTTTTGTTTTATCTCAGCTTCTGTTACCGTGCCCGGGATTGTCTCTACAAAGCGAACAGATGGTGAATCTCTGGTTGTAGATTGCCAATTCATAAGTTCAACAAGTTCAACTTCTTCTGATGGTTGCTGCTGCTGATTATTTACTATATTTAAATCATTTATAGAGTCCCATACATCGCTTTTTTTAGGCATCTGTTTGGGTAATATAGGTGTACTGTTATCTGTATCAATTAGTACATCTGTAGCAGCAGTAGATGGTGTAACTGCTCGAGGAGTTGTGGTATGTGATGCAATTGATTTCCGTGGTGAATTAGAACGTTCGCTAACAGTCTCCATACTATTCGCTGTAAATTTGCCCCATGAAGTAGTATAGGATTCAGACTGTACAGTCTCGCGTGGTGTATTATCTCGAACTGATGCTGGACGTGAAGCAGAAGACCTTGGCCGTGAGAAGAGACGACGATTTGATTGCTGTGTAATTGTTGAGTTATTCAGTGAAGACCAACTATCGTTGGCTGATTTATTATTAATATCTGATTAAAAAAAAAAAAAAAAAAAAAAAAAAAAAAAAAAAAAAAAGAAAGAGAGTAAAGTTTAATAAACAAAAAGGGGTAATAAAAAGTTAAAATATATTTTACCTTCTGGTGAAAAATGTGCTTGCCAACTACCTTTAACAGGAGCCGTATTGTTAGGCATTTCTCCCCATATTGTGCTCTTAGGTTTTATGTCCCCATTATCATGATTATGTGGTGACTGTTCTTTGGTTAGTTTCCAATCACCATAAGAATTCCATTTCGGCTGCCCAGGGTGATCAGGTTGTCGCTTATTAAATGCATATTTGCTAGAAAATTTTTCTTGATTACACACCTTAATTACAACATCATCAGCATCATCATCTGTCCAATTGATACATGTATCTGAGCTTACAATTGAATTTGAACGTCTATGTAGCTGCTGACGAGTATATGTTGGCTTTTTCTTGGAGGATCCATTGTCATTTTGAAGATAGTTATTTAAAGGAGGAAAATCATCATCAGAAACAGACGGGTGTTCTCTTGATTGATATGTAGCAGTTGTACGTAGTTTTTGCTGCTGTTGTTGTTCCTGCTGTTGCTCGAATTGATTATTAGCATTTAAAGGGATCCAAGAATCTCCTTCCAAGTTCCAATAAGTGGTTGCTTTTTGTTGCTCTAAAACTTCCTTTACATAACCTTGTTCATTCAAGTTGTCCCATGCCACAAAATTCTGTACCTGCCCCCATCCTTCATTATCGATCTCCATTGCATTATTTTTAACTAATCGTCTGTTGTGTGTTCGTTTAAACATTGCATGTGGATTGATTTCTAACGGTGACTGTTTCCATTGATCGCTTAAATTTTCTTCACTATATGACAACCAACCATTTTGTTGCTTTTGTTGTTGCTGTTGTTGTTGCTGCTGCTGCTGCTGTTGTTGTTGTTGTTGTTGTTGTTGTTGTTGTTGTTGTTGAATTTGACTAAATAAAATAGGATGTGCTTCTTGCACAGGAGGTATGGGAACTGTAGGCGCAGTCCATTCCACATTATTCCAGCCACCCAAGTTATCCTCATTTTTAACATTATTTTCAGAATTATTCCACTGTGACTGAGGTGCTGTATATTCAATATTAGAGGTTTTTTCATATTCTTCTTCATCATCATCATCTTCTTCTTCTTCTTCTTCACTACGGCTTTCATCTTCATCCTTGGAAGACCCTTCTTCTATATCATCAATACCTGATGTCTCATTTTCCACATCATCAGAACCCGATGTTTCATTTTCTGTGGTAGATGTTTGAAGTTCATCTGTTTCTTCATAAATTTGATCTTCTGAAGTAGGTTGAAAAGAACCATTCATTTTGATATCATTAGTCCACACAGCAGGCGTTGTGGGTCGATTCTGTTGTTGTCGAGATTCATTTATCAAGGCTGAAATTCTATTAAATGGTTTTTTGTTGGCTGCAAAATCTATAAAACAATGATGAAATTAAAACATTTCAAAAAATGTTTAAATATCTAATAAAACTTACGTTGCTTTGAAGGTTCTTCATATTTATGCAACATTTCTTTTTCCTCCTATTAACATACAAATGTTTATACGTTAGATTATTTAATATGGCTTATTAAACCCCCCCTTTTTTTTTACCTCTTCAACTTGCTTAAACAAGCTTAACAAATCATCTACAGAGATATTTAGATGCTTAGCTAACAAATGAATTTGTAAGCCTGTCAATGTCACATCCTCAGGCATAGAGCGTGACTGTGCTAAAGCATCAATTGATTGTCTATTTAACAAGATCCTTGATGCATCACCTTCTTCATTAAAATCTCCAATTACTGTCTGTTGTAAATATTCATATTTGATTAAACAAATCTCACGCAAGTTCCATTCAGAACTTGCATAACAGAGCTCATAAATATCTTTAGTTCGAACTTCACCATTATTCTCAAAGAAGAGTCGCATCAAGGACTGAGAAACATAGGTAGAATTAGCAAAAGAACTGAAAAGTTGTGAGTCAAGTTGAGGACATTGACTGATATGGACATGTCGTAAGTATTTAAGTTTACATAGCGCGTTTTCAATAGACCTATTTGTAAGTTTTGTGCAGCCCTTAAGGCCTAGCGTCTGAAGTGAAGCAAAGGAGGTGGCAGCTAAAAGTTCAAAATCATGGTTAGTCACTTGTATATTTTCCAGTAAGAATCGTACAGGTCTTGCTATAGTAGTTGATGTCAGAAAATGATCTAATCCTTCAGATGACTCTTTATCGATCGATTCTGTTGCACGTAACTCAAGGTGAGTCAAATTGGGACAAGTTGTAAGAGCGATAGCAATAGATAAGCTTGTTATTTTTTTACAACCTTCAAGACAGAATCGCGTAAGGTTAGGAAAGGACTGTAAAATCTTAAAGACATGATCATCGCTAAGAGGTGAAGCATCCGTTAAAATTAGCTCGGTCAATTCAAGTTGCTGTGAACAGATGGTAGCTAATGTTTGTTGGTTAATGCCTTGTAGGGAGAGTTGTAAATGACTAAGGCGAGTAGCTCTATGAATTAAAGTACGAGCCCATTGAAGATCCAAATGAAAATTACCGTCTAAACGTAAAGTCTTCAACCGAGGCAATAAATTATTCAAGACAATAGGCGTCATGTCTGCTCCGATAATGTGCAATGATGTAAGATATTTAGCATGTGTAGCCAAAAGCTCAATATGGGTTGTTTTTAAATGCCAACCATAAATGGTAAGTGATGAGAGATGCTCACAATAGGTAGCAATGTTGGTAAAAATAGAAGGCGAAGATAGAGGATTTTGAGGGTGATGACGATCGGACTTAGATTTGGTAATGGTTTGAAATAAACTATTATCGTGATCTGGAAAGATTAATTGAATGTCTTTAACTAAGAGTGCTGTTTTGTTATTGTTACAGATCGTTCTAAGAAATTGTCGAAAATTATGTGGCATGTCAAAGTGAGGTTTTTCCCATAATACAGTCTGTGCTGCTGTAAGCCATCGACGACTAATTAAGCATGCTTCGTATCGATCTTTTTGATCATCCAGAAAACGACAAATGTTCTCCATTACACTATTTGGAAGTCGAAGAAATCCCACCGTTTGAGATTCCTCAAAGGTAAAATCTTCCCAGTGTTCGTTGTACATTAAACTTAATCCGCTATTTAGATCAATTTTGAACTGATTTAAAAATGAAAAAAAAAAAAAAAAAAAAAAAAATAAAATAAAATAAAATAAAATAAAATAAAATAAAATAAAATAAATAAAAATAAAAATTAAAGAGAGAGAGAAATTTAAAATTTATCAGTGATGAGCTTAAATTTACATATAAACTATTTATTATAATAAATGCATGTTATTTGACAATACGCGTATCTTGTATGTTGTATTAATTATTTTTTATTTTATTTTATTTTATTTTATTTTATTTTTTATGTAAAAAAAAAGGGGGGAAACATATATGGAACTTATGCAAAATATTTTATCATTTGTAATATAAAAACGGGGATAATTGATAAAAATAAAAATAAAAATAAAAATAAAAAAGATCTAATTAGCAGTTGCAGCAGTAGTAGTAGTAGTAGTAGTAGTGGCAGCAGTACGATGTTGTTCAGCAGTAGATAAGACAGTCATAATAAGATTCTGTTGTTCAGCATTCAAATCCTTTGTTAAGAGGGTATAAGATGCACTGTTGTTTTGTTGCATATTTCTAAATACTTGTTCAAATCGAACATAAGGATCAATTTCATCTAAAGGTGATTCAAACAAAATCTCTTCTTCCATCTCTTCTTCGTCTTCCTCAAGATCACTAAAGTTATCAGAATGCTGTGCAGCTTGACTAGCTAAATATTCAAGATATTCATTATCTTCATCAGGAACATCTTCATCTTCACCGAGCTCCTCGAATTCTTCTTCGTCTCCACTACCGGCATCAAAGCCATTCAAGTCATCTTCAAAGTCATCATCAAAGGAGCCATATAATTTTTCCATATTTTCACGATTTTCCATAGCCTTGGGTAAAGTCTGGAAGACGTTAACCATACAGGCCAAAATTTGAGACCACCCAGATTGGAGTGTGGCTGGAATCATATCCATAGGTAATTCCAAGAGAGCACAGAGTGCGACAATTACTAATTTTTTATCATGGACACGTGAAAACTTGGGAAGTGTATTGAACCAAAGAGTAAAGAAGCCTTGAGTCCAGTTGTTTTCTTCGAGAATACGTAAGGTAAGAGCAGGATTATAATAGATACAATTTACAACGACCTCAATACAATGAACTTTAAATTCAGTTGTCTTCATAGATCCTGTAAAGATATATTGGAAGGCCAAGTTGAGGAAAGGTGCAACACACATATCAACATGCCCACGACAGTTAAGTAACACTGATTCCATCAATTTACAGGCACAGATACGATCATTTTCTCCAACTCGATCACTCTTCATTACAGTATCAATGATATCGAACATCATGTGCTGAACGTGCTCGTTACTGACAAAGACATCCTTACCATAGGAAATATAGTTGTCAAGTGGAGGCAACATTTCTTCCATATAATCAATACCTGAATCCTTAAAGGCGGCATAAATGAGCTCAAAGACACTCCACATTGTGGGAGTTACTCGTTTAGCAGAGAAGGTACAGGAATCAATAATTTCAAAGATCTCATCATAGAGATCCAATATTCTGTTTTCCAGGGTATAGGTGATAACAGGCAAAAGAGCATTTTCTAATTGTTGAAGAATTTCAGGCGTGCTTTCAAGACTAAGAATTAAAGTACCAATTGTCTTCAAAACGCCCATAGCAGCCATCGTCTTGTCACTTAATTCATCAATATCACCTGTAAATTCATCATCATCTGCGTTTGCTAATGTATTACTCTGATTCAATTCTTCCATGATACGTAAGAAAGTATCACGTAATTGAGTACAAAGCTGAACAGCAAAGGGTGTCAATTGCTCAGCAAAGACTTCTACAAACTCTTCCATCACGTTTGCTAATGTATCGATATCGATTTCATTTGTTAAATTCAATAATTCTTGCATGATAAAAGGCAAGTTGGGTGCCATTGCATTACGAACACTTTCATGGCGAATCATAGGTTGAAGAGCAAGACAAGCTTGGACTTTAACAGCTAATTCTGTATCGCGAATACAATCAATAACACTTTGATACAAGGTAGCTAAGTTTTGCTCGTTATTAAAATCTAAATCGCTAAAATGTCTAGTCAAGTCACAAGCACGAGCTCTTAAAAAGGGATATTTGCTCTTAAATTCTGGAAAGACATGAGTGACAAAGAAAGGTTCCATCATATTAGCAACAGGAGACTTTTTTTGAAGGACCTGATAGGCTAAACCACCAATCATACACATTGCACCATCCTTTTCACGTGGATTTTTTGATCTTCAGGTGCTTCTAAATATTTGCTAAGGACACTATTAACAAAATTAAGGATCCCCATGAAGGTATACTTTTTACGGTCACGAGCCAAGTCAATCAAAAAGTTCATAGCATTTGTTTGAGGTGAATGGAAATCCTCAAGAGGATCGACTTTCTTATGTACAAATTCAACAGGATCCTCATCCCAAAGTTCTTGATCCTCATCGGAAAAGCAGAGTTGAGGAAAAATGAAATGAGCTACCAATGTCTCCACATGAGGCTTCAGTAACTGCCATGTTGTCTTATTCTTGACACAATCAGCAAAGAAGGAAGATGTCAAGGCTAAACACTTACTAGGTATCCATATTTCCTTTTTGATCCAAAGTTCAATTTGACCAAGATAGGCTTGCAAAATATTGGGTGCAAAATTAGCTGAAAATTGTTTTGCAAAGGCGCTATACTCAGGTGTTCCACGAGGCATAGTGGCAGGATTACCGTATTTGGAGAAGAGACGGTTAAGACAGTGATAGGCCCACTTTTTCGTTTTCCACCATGGATATCTGTCACGTTCATCTGCATCCGCAGGTAATACTTCATTAGGAATTTTTTTCTCAATAAGCTGCAAGAAAAGGGTACCCCAGGGAACTAAGGAATTTGGGTCTTGAAGACTTTTAGGAAGTTCAGCTTGAATACCAGCATGATAAATTTTGAGTGCCAGCTTAAGGATCTCAGCTGCTTCAATACTGTCATTGTTAATAAGACCAGAGGCAATAGTCTGAATGACAGGAAAAGTTAATTTAACTAATTGTCTAAATGGCTCACGTTTGGATCCTGTTCTCCACCTATTAAAAAAAATGATTATGTAACATAAGTATTTAGCTCTTATGCAAATACAGTTATTTGTATAAATATTTACTGGTAAACTCGAACAACTTCACGTAAAGCTAACAAACCAACATAAATCAATCGGACATCAGTTGAAGTCAAAAGTCTTTCAAGTTCGCTAATAAAATTAGGCCAATTATCCGGGAAATCGTTTGTTAAAATAGTATTTAAGGTGGATGTAAGTTGTACTCTATAAAAACAATTGTTAGTACGTATTAAGACAATATTCCTTCCATTATTCGCTTTTTTCTCTTTAGTGTATTGTCCAGACTGATGTGCTCTTCCCTTTCATTCTCTTTTTTTCATAAAAATAAAAATGAAAATAAAAAACTTACTGAACTTGGTTTGGAGCAGTTACTAAAGCTTGAAGAATAGTCTGCTTTACCATGTTTCGGTCTTCATTATTAATAGGAACAGCTGATTCACGTTCACCATCCCAAGCTTTGTTTAAGCGGTTTTTGAAATAGATGGCAGCTATACAAAAAAAAAAAAAAAAAAAAAAAAAAAAAAAAAGAATTAAGTATTTTCACTATTGTCTTTTTAAGAATCGATTATTTTACCTGCTTGACGAGCACCTAATTCAAGTTCTTCTGAGGCAAGGATTTGTAATACAATAGGTAAGAATCCATTATTCGCTTCAATCTAATAAAATATTGATTAATAAAAAAAAAATATAAGGAGAAATAAATATTATCAGTGTCATTTCTCTTACATTTCTAATGTTCAATTCAGCTTGCTTATGAACATTGGGATCAGGATGATATGTAGCAACAAATAACTGGTAAACTGAATTCTGATCCATTTCCTTTTTTTTATTTTTAAATTTTAAAAAAAAGGTGAATTAAGGTACCCAAAAAAAAATAACAATAATAAAAAAAGTATCAAAATAAGAAAAACATACATGTAAATAAAAACTTTTTTTTTTAAGTTGCGGGTGACTGTCAAATAATTACTATTCTATTTTTTTTTATTGTTTTTTTTCATGTATCTATTAATCTTCATCATCAACAATGATTACTGTTGTAGTAATTAATAAAAAAAAAGGTGTAAACCAATATCATTAGATCCAAGTTATAATTTACTATTTTGATATAATATATGTTTTTTACATTTTATTAAGGTTTTGAATAACACTTTTTCAATTTCAAGATTAAATGAACAATAGAATCTCTTTTACTGTTTTTGAAAACAATAAAAACAATAACAATTATTTATTGAGCTTCATGGAATATCGAATTAATTTTTAGTTTAAATGGTTATTTTATTTTTATTTCTAATATGAACAATACATAAACTTTATATCTTAGTACAACCAACAAACTTAATTACAAAAAACAGGGAAACTGACAAACTCAGCGATACGCAGGGTCCGGAGAGTCACGTGACTTTTCGAAATTCAGGAGGAATATATATTAATTGCAAAAAAAATTGACAAGATAGCCTCTGTAGCTCAGTGGTAGAGCGTTTGTCTTGTAAACAAAAGGTCTGTTGTTCAATCCAGCACCGAGGCAATATATTTTTTAGTTTTTTTTCTCGAGTTGCTTGCATCGGATCACATATTTTCTGATTTATTAACTTTGGCTTGTCGATTAAGGCTGCTTATAGCTTGTATTATGTTATTATTACAAAATAAATTAAGATTATATGATCTACCTGCTACTGAAATAAAAATTAAATAAGATCTATCGATATACTATTATTTTTGTGATAATTTATTATGCTAGTTGACAGCATCTGTATCCTTTTTATTTTATCATAAATTAAATAGTATGATTAGGACGTTCCTTGTAAAGATTTAGTAGTATGATGAAGCAAGAGTAGAAGAAAAAAAAAATAAAATAAAATAATTTTTTTTTTCTGATCAAATAAAATGTATTAGTTCTGAGTGGTAAAATATGAAATGTGTATTAAGGAGGCTTCATTATAACAATAGTAAAAGAAAAAAGATTAATTGTTAATATATTTGCTGGTAAAACAAATGATTGAGAATACTTAATTTTTATTTGTTATTAAAGATATGAATATATAAAGTAGAATACATAATATCATATTTTTTGTTTTTTGATGTAAAGAGCAAAGAAGAAACAAATGATCTGTAAATATCACTGCTTTATATTAAAGAATGCTTATAATGTATATATAATAAGAAGGAGAGAAAATAATATGTATATACTCGATTTATACATATATAACTTGTATGTGTATGTGTGTGTGTGTTTTTTCTTTTTTTTTTCTTTTTTTTTTTTTAATAAAGCTGATGAGAGAGTAAAATATGACTTGTTGTTGATTGTTGCTGTTGTTGCTGTACTGAATGAAGAAAATAATTATTTTCAGATACATTATATTGTATAGGCGATGAAGTAGCTGAAGTTGAAGAAGAAGACGGCGATAATGAAGGTGATGTATGACTATTGACTACAGGCGCCTCATACAGCATATCAAATGTTGTAGTTATTAATGGGTTAAACTTTATATCAAAATTATCGAGGTGTTGTTGTGAATCAGGATTAAACGTTTCTTTAACGAATTGTGACGTTTGTTGTTGATTATTAAATGTAGCAGTATTTGGCCATTCAAAATCATATTGCTGTGTTTCTACTGGTTGAGCTACTACAGAAGCTGCTGCTGCCGCCATCATCATCATTTCTTCAGAAGAAGATGAAGCTCGTTCTTCAATAAATAAAGGACTTTGTTGTGTACCATTTCTCCGAGATATACAAAATGGACAATGTCTAACAAATCGAGCAATCAATTCTTTTGGAATCCAAGAATATCTTCTACGAACCTACAAAAAAAAATAAAAATAAAAAAGAGTGGAGAAATAAGATAAAATGAAAGCAAATAATAATAATAACATATACACATTTATATCATCCTTACCAATGCAGATGTTTTATCTCTACCTCCATGATGCGCTTCGGTATGTGCTCTTACCAAAATACTATAAATTTGTTCACGCATAGCCACCGGCTTACCATCATGACAGATAACTTGTCTCGTATTTAACTGGAACATTTTTTTTACCCAAAATCTAAATTGAGCAGTTGAGACAGCCGTATTACGAGGATCTCTAAGAACTTGTAAAATTATAGAATAACGAGCTTGATTTATCAATGCTTTGTCTCGCTTCTTGGAAGATAAATTCTGAAGGTAATCTTGAACAATAGAGTCAAATTCTTTATAGGTAGGAAATTGATCTTGTTGCAAAGGTATAGATTGTCCAAGTTGCTGATTGATAGTGATATAATTTTCATTCATTGAATCCAGTATCATGTTACAAAACTCATCCTGCTGTTGATTTAAAGACATCATTCAAGTATAGTATATATGTATATGAATATGTAACAATAGTGATAAAGACAAAACAATTATATATATATTATAAACGAAAGAAAACAGAAAGTAATAAATATTTATACAAAACTTTTGATGATTTTAAATAAAAATAAATGCACGTATATGTGTATTTGTAACTATTTATATGTATACATGTCTATATGTTTATAAGAGACTCGGATATAAATATTTATATGTTTTATAGTTAAAGAAAATTAAGCTAAATTAAGGAGTAAAGAGATGGCTAAAAAAGCTCTTTCCTTTATATAATTAGGAGTGAAAGAAGTATATAATAAAGAAAAAGATTATATACAAAAGTACTTTCCTTTTAACGTTGTTTACTGTTAACATAACAGTATGACAATAAAAGAAAAGGGGAGGAGGGGTAAGGGGAAATGGCTGCCAAAAAAAAAAGGGAAAAGGAGAGTAGGGGAAGAATTAGATCTACTGACTCTTTAAGACAGATAAGGTTAATTATAGCGGCACACTCAAAGGCATCGTATATAGACCCTCTTTTTTTTTTTTTTTTTTTTTTTTTTTGTTTTTTATTGAAAATAATAACTGTTATCTATGCTCTTCCCCTTAACCTTACCTTATACACAAAAACATATAAAATACTCTTCCCCCCTTTTCTTATTACTTTACTCATATCTTATAATAGTTTAATTTTAGCATATTGTTCTTCTAATTTTATATATATGATGATGGCTTGTCCTTAAAATAAACCGATAATAATTACCGAAACTTGATTCACATGATATTATATTTCTGCTATATAATCATACGCCAGTTATAATTCCAATGACTTATTCTTCTTATAATCCAGACTTTTTTTTTTGTTTATCTAAAGTGAATGATCCAATTTCTATATGCAATAGAGATCTTTAAGGATTCTTTTTTACATGTAAAAAATAGGTATATTTTTAGAATAAGATGCATATTAATTGTTACATCGTTGTCAAATATAGCAAAATAGAGAGATAAAAGTTTAATATAAATATGGAATACAACATACTGTTTGTATAAAATATCCAAAGTTACTTTCTTTCTTTCTTTCTTTTATATAATTTACATACTTAATATTCTAGTATTCGTTTAAATAAAATTCATATTTAAAAAAAAGAAAGCCATTTAATGTAATGAAACTTTAGGAAAACATAATGCAACAAATATACACCTTTGCTACAATTACTTATTTTTTCTTTTACATATAAAAGCAACAGTAAATATTTTTCTTATTGCTTCTATACTTTTTCTTTCTTTTCTTTTCTTTTTTCTTTTTTTTTTTTGGGCACTCGATACATTTCCAATAATCTAAAATACATGAAAAAAAAAGAGATCTTTTTTTTTTCGGATCTCTAAAACAAAAGCGATATGACAAATAAGACATTTTTTCTTTTTTTCACAAACAAAAAGAAAAAAAAAAACATCCTTTACATTTTCTTTGTTTTCTTGTACTCATCTACATTTCAACAATGTGTGGCATTTCAGCACTTATTTTAGCAGATCCTAATGGAGCTGCTTGTCCTGATTTATTTGAAAGCTTAGGTCTACTTCAACATAGAGGCCAGGTACATAAGATTTTATTTTATTCTCGCTTTCTTCAAATGACGTTTATATATGTATGTATATCTATATATCTGTATATACAAATAGGATGCTGCGGGTATTGTAACTTGTGCTGCAAAAGGCCGATTTTATCAATGTAAAGGAAATGGCATGGTTAGAGACGTTTTTAATGAACAACAACTTTCCAATCTTATTGGTAGCCTTGGTATTGGACATGGTATGAAATAGATTATAAAAGTATTACTCGTATTTAATATGGATATACTAAAATACATTAATATCTGTCTTTTTTTTTTATATGTAAAAATATACATATATAGTTCGTTACCCCACAGCAGGTTCATCTTCTATGTCCGAAGCTCAACCTTTTTATGTCAATTCACCTTATGGCATTACTTTTGCTCATGTAAATATATTTATTTAAATGTTTATATTTGTAGTGTGTTTTTTTTCATTAGCAAGACTAACTCTTTGATATACTTGTTTCATTATTATTTAGAACGGTAATTTGACTAATGCAAGAGAATTGAGAGATTTCATGGACAAAGTAGCTCACCGACATATCAACACCGATTCTGATTCCGAATTATTATTAAACATCTTGGCCAACAACTTACAGAAGACTGGAAAATTTAGGTAAAAGTGACTGTCAAAAATGAGTATGACCCACCCAATAGATAAACTTACATCTCATCTAAAAAAAAAAAAAAAGAGTAAACGAAGAAGATATCTTTACAGCCATCAAGGACTTGTATAGTCAATGTAGAGGAGCTTATGCTTGTGTAGCCATGATTGCCGGATTTGGTATCATTGGCTTTAGAGATCCTCATGGTATACGTCCCCTCATCATGGGGCGTCGTCAGACACCTTCAGGATATGATTATATGTTTGCTTCTGAAAGTGTTGTTTTAGAATCTCTCGGGTTTACAGATTTCCAAGATGTACTACCAGGCGAGGCTATTATTATTACGAGAGAAGCCATTTCAAGACGTCGTTTAGTGATCAAGGAAGATATTGCACCATGTATCTTTGAATATGTTTATTTTGCTCGTCAAGACAGTATCATTGATGGTATTTCGGTTTACAATGCTCGTTTAGCAATGGGTGAAGCCTTGGCTGATCAAGTGAAAAGGGTACTTGGTGATCAAATAGATATTGACGTAGTCATCCCTGTACCTGATACAAGTCGTGCTGCTGCTATTCAATGCTCCCGCAAACTTAACATTGTTTATCGTGAAGGCTTTAACAAGAATCGATATGTCGGCAGAACATTCATTATGCCTGGTCAACAAATAAGACGTAAAAATGTGCGTCGTAAATTGAATGCAATGGCATTAGAATTCCAAGGAAAAAATGTGTTATTAGTAGATGGTAAAGTATTCCTGTATACAAGAGTAATAATAATAAAACAATTTTTTTTTAACTCATTCATATATCTATATAGATTCTATTGTTAGAGGAACTACTTCAAAGGAAATCATTCAAATGGCAAGAGAGGCAGGTGCTAAAAAAGTCTATTTCGCCTCTTGTGCACCACCCATCCGATACCCCAACGTCTATGGTATTGATATGCCTACAAGACATGAATTAGTAGCCTATGGACGCAATGAAGAAGACATAGCCAGAGATATTGGAGCAGATAAAGTTATCTTTGAAGATTTGGACGCTTTGATTGATTCCGTACGTCGCTTTAATACCAACATTAAAACATTCGATACATCTGTCTTTAATGGCAAATATGTCACTGGTGATGTAGATGAGTCCTACTTTAATTATATAGAAAGCTTGCGTAGCGATAAGGTCAAGGAAGCAACTACTGATAATGAAAGCATTGGTTTACATAATAGTTTTAAGAAATAATACATTAGAGAATATTGTTTATTATATAATATTGTTATACAAAAGAATCATGCGTCATATATATATATAAAAGTATACTTTATAAATAATTCATCATGCTTAATATTAAATAGAACTTTTCTCATTCAAAAAAAAAAAAAAATATTAAATTAGTTAGACAGAAAGACATTAGCAATAGAAAGACAAGATAAAAACTTTGATAGAATACTCAAACATGACCGAACAAACATGAATTAAATTCCTAGGGAAATAGGAATAGCTAAAAGTTATTCCTCTTCATAATAATAATAAAAGGAAAATATAAAGAGAGAAACACAAAAGACTTTGCCACTGTTAGGGCTTATCGAAATTATTACCATAATAAAAAAAACAAGCAAATAAATACATATAAATAGATATTGGTTTTTGCCTATGTTTAGATTATATATAAATTCGAAGCCGTTTTATTAGCAGCAATTGCGATATTATCCAAAACGAGGAATATGAAAATAAAAAAAAAAAGAGGAAATTGATGGGATAACGATTTATCTATGGAGAAAATAATTTTTTATACTTGAATTACATAAGGAACAAACACTTATAATGAAGCCTGATTCAAAGACAATTAAGCAAATATTGAGTTTTGAAGAAGATAGTCATTCTCTTTGATTTATTACTCACAATTATAGCAATTCCCAGAAGATTCTTTAAATAAAATAATATATCTTCTCTAAAAATATTCATAAAATAAAAATATCTTACAATGAATAATTTATTTATTTTTTTTTTTTTTTTTTTTTTTTTTTTTTTTTTTTTTTTTTGCCAAGAATAAGAAGCTCGTACTAATGTTTAAGAATTTCAATTTACACTTAAGGTAACTCAAGTCTAAATTAATCAGCAATGTCCTACAATATTTAATTTACGTAGTTCAAGTAGTCTAGAATGAATTGTTACACATACTTTTTTTTTTTTTTTTTGGATCGACATAGTCTGTTACATTGTGTACGACTATACCAAATGACAATCCCCCCAAAAAAAAAAACTAATTTTTGTAATAAAATATATTTAATTTATAGCTTAAAAAAAAAAAAGAAGAATCATAATAAGTAGGATTTACACTGCTAATCGTGCTCATGAAAAAAAAAAGGGGGGGGGATTTCGTGCAGGGATTACTAGGGCATTCTAATAATGTTTTTCTAGACATGTTAAGAAAAAAACTTAATTCGGCATTCTGTTAATACAATTTTTTTTTTATACTCATGGAATGTATTTACAACAGATATAGAAAACTTTTATTTAAACACCTAACCTAAATTCAACAATGTTACCGTGGGTATAAATCCATTATCAATAGGACTATAGAGATATGGCTTATCAATATCACTATCCCAAGCAATAGTGTCTTCCATCAATTTCTTGTAGTAAATCAAGTATTCCAAGGACAGCATCATGCGGGTGCATGTACTTGACAGCGTTGGCAACATGCATTTTTGGATAAATTTAAATGTGTATGATAATGACGATCCTGCAGATGCTGATGCTGTTGATGGTTGTGGTGGATGATACTGGTGAATATAATATTCAACAATCAAGCCATAAACCATGACTCCAAAGGTCATAAACTTCCTTAGTGATTTCGCCTTCATCACTCTTCTATGAAGCATTCTTTTGGTTATCTCACCAAGCCGTACAATTTCGTTATCGATGTCAGCAGCTGCTGTATGAAATGGTTTGATTTCTACAGCTCCAATTTCCAAACCATTAATTTCAACAAATTTGGCATCTGATGTTTGACAGTGCTGGATACTCATATTTGAACAATCATAGAAATCGAATGGTAAATCCCTAAAGAAAAAGTATCAATTCCTGCTACCACTGATTTTTCTTTATATAGTTTACCAATATATTTGGAATCTGTCATTGACATGGAAAACAGAATTAACAAAAGGCACAACGTATTTTATCTTGTAATCATTTTCCCTATTATCTTGATCCTCTACAGGCTTGTACGAATGAAAATTTAATTGCTGGAGTTTATAATCTTTGAGTATATTAGAATGGCTAAAGAGTTTTTATTAATTCCAAATACTATCAAGCAAAGCAAATGAATTTACCAAGATAATAAAAGAATTGTTATATTGTCGAATTCAGGTTTCAAGGGATTCAACAGAAAATTGTCATTTTTGTATTGCACTTCCTATAAAACAATTAGTCTTGTTACCTTTTACTTTGGATACCACTTACTCGAAAAAATCGATCAGCAAGACTGCGGATGTCGTCATCAAGGGCATCAAGTATATTTTCGCGGTTTTCACAAGTATCAACAAATTCAATACCACTGTACATTCTATGAAATAAAACTATTAGTTGTGCAAACAGCTTATGTCATATCAGCAACTATTTCTTACAGTCTATCAATCACTGATTCACTTTTCGACATATACCGAATCTCATCAAGGTTTTCCAACAATAATGGTTCTATCTCATCCAAGCTAATAACGTACGCAATATAAGGACTGTCAATTGAGGAAACTGAATTTTGATAGGTGTCTCCAGATGTGTTTGTGAGAAGTGATATATCTAAAACCCGTTAAAAGCCGTATGATTTCAATCCTAACCCATAACATACCTTGATTTTCCCCAATGTTAGCAAGAGACTTCTGTTTCAATCTCTTTCCATTGCTTCTGTCATTCTCATCCTTATTATCTAAATTCTTCTGATCAACTGATCCCCCGTTTTCACTATCTTCTTCCTCAATAGTTGTCGTTACTTTCCTTTTACCTTTGTCTCTCTCCAAATCGGCGTTTATCTTGTAATAGCTACAATCTGCTGCATTATACATCAACATTTGACCTTTATGCGTGAGATTGGTTTTGACATCTTGGATCTCTTCCTCTCTTCTCTTCTCTTGATCTTAATTGCCTTTGCATACTCGAGGGTAAACATGTTACTGATTTGTGTATTTTCCAAAAATAATTTGATCTTTGTACAATATCTCGCCATACTCAACGCTTGTCCAACAATGATACAATCTTCTTTGATCATTATTATTTTTGTGGAGACTTCTTTATCAGAATCTTTTACTTTTTTAATGACCAATTTACTGATATCGTCGAGTGCAATAATAATAATGTCGTATAAAATTCTAGAATCATCAGGGCAAATTTGGTTTTGTAAATAATCATCGATCAAACGTTTCGCATCACTGAATTCTTTAAAAGGTGCAATCAAGACACCATCAGGGATGTTCAAAGCATCTCTGATTGCTGAAGGAATAGTTGAGGCACCCTTTAGACCGTCTAGTTTTGGTCGTCTTGCCATTTTGCGTGTTGCCTGCATTTAATATCACTGCAAATAACTCCTACTTTCACCAAAGTTTCACCATGGTGAAAGCATATTGAACATGGTAAATGCAACCATGGCAAAACTAGTACTTTATCTCCGGTGTTAAAGTTGACATTATGGTCTTTTAACGGCTCACCCTTTTTAACCCATGTCCATTGCTTTCCATCTGAACCCAAACGGTTAATTTTTTGTTTCGTCACTAAAGACGACCTTTTTTTCCCAATCCTCCACCGTCCAATTTATATAAGCTTTGTCCCGTTTCAGACGATTTCGTCTACGCTCATTCGTCAATGGCAATAAAGATTTTTTAAGCTTCGAACCAAAGTTGGATAATTTTAAGAATTTGCGAATGGTTTGCGCAAAATATCATATCCTTGACCATGTAAGTTCCCGGAAGCGTCTACTGCAGTGGTGATAAAATGACCAATATAAAAAGATCGCGCAAACAATCCCCCAAGTAAAGGGCTAATCTTCTTTGATCTACCTTCTTTTACGTTAATCTCAATTTGATTTTCTTTGACAATTCTGCTAATTGTCCTAGTTGACACGCCCATTGCCTTAGAAATATCTTTATAAGGCTCCTTAGCATTAAATTTTGCTAAAATATCCATCTTTTTATCGTAAGGAATCGGACTCATTTTATTGTATGTAATGATCTGTGTTAATGGGAATGATGCACAAATGTTGTTCAGATTAGTTACGAATGATATTAAATGATTTAAAAATAGATAAAGAAAAAAAAATATTATGCAGCGAAATAGCTAAATCGTATACAATGACATGATCGCTGTCAAAATAAACATTCATGCATGTAAATGAGACTAAAAAGCTATAAAAATAGTCAACTTTCCATTAAAAAAATACTTTTATTAATATATCTTTATTCATTTATGTTGTGCATTAAGGAAAAAAGAATTAAGCCCTAACATCGTAACCGACAGTAACTCTCAGTAACGCCGATTTGACTTGGCTAAAAAGTCAATTATTCACTAATCGTTTTCCATTTAGTGCCATTTATTTTTCGGAGATCGCCATTTATTTTTTTCAGAGCGGACAAAATTTACCAGCCGCACTGTAGTAAAATATCATAGCCCTCCCCCCCCACGTGTGCCATTATTATCATTATCCTTTCTTTTTCTTCTTCTCCTGTTATTTACGCCCCGGTATCAAACGTCACAAAGCCAAAAAAAGCAGCAGCACATTAAATATTAATTTAGTGTATTATTATTAAAAAGATCAATATTTCTCTTTTCTCTCTTTCTCTCTCTCTCTCTTTTTTTTTATTATTATTATTGAGTCATTTTCTCTTATTAATTATTATTATGATATTTTCTCCTAATAGTGTGCCTATATCTCCTCCTGTCACTCCAAAGATAACATTGGAAAAGGAGCGATCTATGTCACCTGTGGCATCTATTATTCAATTACCACCACCATCTAATAGCAGTAGTAGTAATAATAATAATGCTTTTTTTACTCCTACTTCTCCTCCTCATTATGATCTAATAAAAAGAAGACCACGTAAAGCTAGTCGTGTATATCGATTCATTTCAACTGCAAGTGAAGATGTTATCCATCAATCTTCTTTAGTTATCAACAGAGGTAAAAATCGATCCAAATCAAGACCTTATCGTTCTCTTCCTGCTTGCACTCAAGGTACTTTTATGATGGATGTCGGAGTTATTTGCAGAATAATAAAAGGACGGAAGAACAGAAAGAATTCAAAAGTGACACAGAACAAATCATTACTACCAACGTTTGACACGGTTTCTATTCTTAATACTGAACGCCATGTAAGGAAAGCCAAGACTGATGCAGCCGCAGCTTATGATAGTGTTGATATCACTGTAAGTGATGAAGAAGCTCTTGAACCTGAATGGGTTCCTAATATGAATGTGTTTAATCATTCATTACCTACTGTAGTATGGAAAGGTATACACGTACATATATCATTTATAAATTTACTATACTAACAATAAATATACACATATAAATAAATATATATTCTTAGGTACACCATTGCTAATTAAACATTTACCTTATTATGAACTATTACATCCTGGTGAAGTCTATATCGCATCTACTTTACGCATCACACCAGAACAATATTTAAAATGTAGAAGGTCACTTATCTTGGCAGCTAAAGAATTTAATAAAAGGCATCTTCAATTTAGAAAGTCAGATGCGCAAAAATGTGCACGAATTGATGTTAATAAGATTAGTATGCTTTGGAGCGTGTTTAATAAATTAGGTTGGTTCAACCCTCATTAACAAAGATTATCACGCCATATACATAATTGTATATTTTACCATTATTTTATCCTCATTTATATATATTACTTCCTCATGTCATTTATAAAGCATTCTATTATATTATATATCTATTCTCTCTCTCTCTCTTTAAATCATATTGTAAAATATCCTTTAAACTAAATAAATAAATATTCCCTTTCACATTTATAGTTTATTTTACACTTTTAAAGAAGAATTGATTCCAATAAATTGATTGCTTTAGTCAAGTAATCAAGCTACAAATCATACTTTTCTTTCCTATTAGTATTTTATTATCAATTAGAGAGACTTTATATGATTCAATCCATAAGCGATGATATTTAGGTTTTGCTTCATGTATACATACATACACCTTAGTGTTACTATTACTCTGTTTTTATTTCTTCTTTCTTTGCATGGAATAGTTCATGTCCTTTTGCAACTATGTTACATAAAAAAAAGTAAATACATATGTTAATCTCTCTCCGCCCTCCCCCCTTTTTTTTTCCATTCACTAAACTAAATAGTTACTTGTTTTATAAAGTAAAGAACAAAACCAACCGCAGAATATGAAGAAAACGCCTCTTTGAGCATTATTCTTAAATAAACCTAAGAGAGGATAAGGCCAATATCCATTATGCTCATAACATACATTAACCCAAACATAATAAAGAAAAGTGAAAAAGTAAATGGAAAAGATATGAATAGGGGATCTTTTAAATCCTCTGTTAAATCCCATAAAGTCGATCCAGCACACAATAGTAGGAAAAAGATGTAGACTCAAATCTAACTTTAAAGGTAAATCAAATATAGTATCTTTGGGTACCAGCATTTCTTTATCATACAGCATAATAGGCCAATATAAAATGCTAATTAACCCTTCTACCTAGAAATAATAATGATATTAATATGCGCGTATGTTATATATATATATGTATATGTATGTATATATTTACAGGTGTGGCAATAGCAGTCAAGGATTCATAAATCACTATAATAATATAAAATACATAAATATCTTATCGCGTCTTTTTTTTTTTCTCTACCCATATTTTTCTTCTTTTTTTTTACCTTGAAGTTTTCCTGTTAATAAATTAATAATGCGAGCAAAAGAGGATAAAGTGGCTACCAAAAGACCGACAATAGTTAAAAACTACACAAGATAAATATCATTATATGTTATTATTGCTAGGTTATAACTTACTTGAAAATGACCACTATAGCCCACCATAGGTACACCGATTTTTACACCATATAATCCATACAGGTTTACACATAGACCTGCAGTAACAATAAACAAATTCAATCCTTTATGCGTCATGCTGTACAAGACGGGAAAGAAAGAAAGAAAGACAGAAAGAAAGAAAGAAAAAAAAGGGTAATATTATAAATATAAAACATCATTTCCATCATTATCGGCGGTCTAATTCGGTAATAAACCGTTCAACTCAGTAATATATCCATAATAATACGTATGTTAATGATAATACAGTATTTTTGGACTAGCTTGTTGGTTTCTAACGAGATAATACAGAGGGGCCATCTTGACCAGTTAGTATTTCATTAGAGATTTGATGAATATATGTATACATATATGTATATATTTTTTGGCATTATTGCAACCGTATTGTCACAGTATCTCAAGGTAGCTTTGGCTAGCTAAGATACCATGACAGCTTATTATTATAGATTTAAAATTTCTTTCAAAGCATAAATGGTAAGTCTGCTTCGTATAAAAAGTAGCTATGTTAAATTGGCTGTTCACTTTTTTTTTTTTTTTTTTTTTTTTTTTTTTTTTTGAATTAACTAGGGCAAATCAGCTTTTACAGTTACATCATCATTTTACGTATGCAGTAGCATATCTTGTTCTTATTATTACAAATTTGGCAAGTTTAAAATGACAAATTAATTTTAATGCAACTTTCTTTTTTTTTTTTTTTTTTTTTTTTTTTTTTTTTTTCTTTTTCTTTTTTTCTCTTTCCTTCATTTCCATAATGTATACTAAAATAGAAGATATTCCTTCTATTGTTCACTCATTACGTAAAACCTTTCAACAAGGTATAGGATTAAAAAACAAATAAACAAACAAACATACATGTAATTATATGATTGCGTAGGCCTTACAAAAGACAAAGATTACAGAAGACAACAATTGATTCATTTTCAAAGATTTTTACGTGAAAGAGAAAATGATATAATTCATGTCTTAAAAAAGGACCTTCATAAACATGAACTTGAGACGATTATTGGTGAAATAGCGCCTGTTTCTGCTGAAATTGATTATATGCTTAACGTAACATATCATGGTTTTATTATATAAAAGGTCTTTTCTCACACATATGTATATGTATTTATTGACGTATAGAATCTTAACAAATTAACAAAGACTACATCAGTTAAACCTCACTTTATAGTAAACTCATTGGATAAATGTACAATAAGAAAGGAACCAAAGGGTGTTGTTTTAATTATAGGTTCCTGGAACTACCCTGTAATTTTTTTTTTCATACGTCTTTATTGTTTACGCTATTAATTTTTTTTTAATAGATTCATTTACTTTTACTTCCACTTGTGGGTGCAATTGCAGCTGGTAATTGTGTACTCTTGAAGGTATTAGGCATATTACACATTCGCATTCATATACAAAAGTTAATTTATAAGAAAAAAAAATAGCCCTCAGAAGTAGCAAGTCATACTTCAGAGTTTATAGCTAATGTTCTTCCTGAATATCTTGATCCACATTCTTATTCAGTTGTACAAGGAGGTGTTGAAGAAACAACAGCACTTTTATGTAATAAGAAAAAAAAAACAAATCAAAACAATATTTATACACATATATATATAAATATATAAATGTTGTTATAACGTTTATATACATATAGCTGAACAATTTGATCATATATTTTATACGGGTAATGGAGCAGTTGGCAAGATTATTATGGCAGCAGCATCAAAGCATTTAACACCCGTTACACTTGAACTTGGTGGAAAATCGTAAGTCGATTTCTAATGTAAATTCCCCTTTTCACAAATTATATAAATAGGCCTGTTATTATTGCTCCAGATGCAAACCTTCAAATTGCTGCAAATCGTATTATTTGGGGAAAACTTTTTAATGGTGGACAAGTAAATATATTCTTTATATATATGTATAGCCATTATTTATTTCATTTTATTTTAGATCTGCGTTGCTCCAGACTATGTCCTCATTCCAAAAAATAATGTAAATGAATTTGTCGACATCTGCAGAAAGGTCATTTATGAGCGATTCGAAGAAGATCCTCAAAAATCAGACTCTCTCTGTCGAATGGTGAATGAACGTCGATTTGATGCACTCAAAAGCTTGATTGATTCTGTCAATGATCCAAAAAAGATAGTAATAGGAGGTCAGACGGATAAAAGTGATTTATATATTGCTCCTACTGTCATTAGTCCTGTTGAACCAGCTGGAAATCCATTAATGGATCAAGAAATCTTTGGTCCTATTCTTCCTATTGTTCCTGTTGAAGATATAGACGAAGCTATTCGAATTGTGAACTCAAAGTAAGTTTTTTTTTTTTTTTTTTTTTTTTTTTTTTTTTTTTTTAAATTACACTTTGAAATTACACTTTTGTTAATAATATTTTATTAATTATCAGAGATACTCCATTGGCTTTATATATTTTTACAGATGATAAAGTAACAAGAGAAAAAAGTAAAATAGAATATAACTTTGAAACAAAAAAAAAAATCTCCCCTTACAATTCTTTCTCTTTAATATAGTCCTTGATCAAACTCAATCTGGCGGTGTTGTAGTAAATGATGTTTTAATGCATGTTCAGGAACTAGCTTTACCTTTTGGTGGTGTTGGGCCAAGCGGTATGGGTTCTTATCATGGAATTAAATCATTTGAAACATTTACTCATGAACGTACAACGATGATTAAATCATCTGGACTTGAGGGTATCTTGATGAGTCGTTATCCTCCTTATTCAGATAATAAGACCATTTTCTTTACAATGCTTACAATGGGTTTGCCTGAAGGATGGATCAATAAGGTGAAGGCTATCTTTACTACTTTTAAATCTTCTTATCATATCTTTTTTAAGAATGAAGGCAAAAAGAAGAATGAAAGTAAGCTTTAAGGAGAGTATAATAATCTTATTATGGAGCAAAATAAATAAAAACGTATATGAAGAATATATTCTTCACCAACATAAAAAAAATATATATATATTTGTATACACAAATATGTACATAATGTAAAAACACTTTATTAACTTTATTCATTAGTTTCTGATGTATTGCTTTTTTCTTTTTGCTATAATAAATAGGTATTAGTACATGTCCCTTCTCTTAAAAATAAATAAATAAAAATAATAATAAACAAATTTACCTTTGCTTGCCAAGCTTGTGCCATTTGTAAGAATTTAAGTGAACGATTTTGAACTTCATCATCAGGAAAGATATAGTCAAAGTATTCTTCCCAAATAACATTATCTTCAGTTGAATCAGCAGCTCTTCTTCTCTTCTTAACAACTTTAGGCATTTTCTTAGTAACCACTTCCTTTGTTTCATCTGTGCCGTAGTTCTCTTCAAAGTCTTTCCATGCTTCAAGTAAAAGAACACGCTATTATAATACAAGTTAATCATAGTTACTTTGTTAATAAATAATTCATACCTCATCTTTAAGCTCCTTCTCCTTCATCTTGTTATAAGATTCTTCAAAGATCTTACGAGCACGTCTAATACCTTCCGCATTTCCATCTTCATACGGTATAGAGAGTTCAAATTGTGCAAAACTAATATAGACTTTAACATGTTCAGTACGTTCCAATAAGCGATAATAAAGGTCTCTTGTCTTTTCATATTCTTCTTCTCCAATTTCGAAATCAATATAGGCCTTCCATAATAATTCAGGCATATTAAGATGTTCTTGAGAAACGGCCAACTCGAAAATAGCACGACATCTTTCAACCTCATCCAACACATTCTTTTCCATCTCGGCAAATTGAATCCAAGCTGAACAGTTGGATGAATCGTATTCAATCCATTTTGTATAAATCGTACGACAACGGTCAAATTCTCTTAATTGAAATTCTAAATCAATATAACCCTTGAAAAGCTTATTTTTAGGACATTGGCCAATCGCTCTTCCCAGTAACTTTCTTGCCTTTGTGATATCCATCTGTCTAATCTCAAATTGAGCGTAAAGTAACCAAATCTTTGCAAAGGTAAATTTTTTATGTGGTATCAGTTGAATGCATTGTTCATAAATCTCTCGTGTTCGTTCAATATCCTTATTTTCCAGTTCCTCATAAAGGGCATAATTAATCCAGAGATAAATGTATCGTCTCCAAAATCGCTTTTCTTCAGCTGGTGGAACTTGCGCAATAGCACGTTCATAAACTTCACGAACTCGAGCTGGTTCACCTGCTGATTCTTCTAATTTTGCATAATCAAACCAAATATCATAGTTTTTGGGATTTTCGTCAATCTCTTGTTCATATTGTACACGTCTTTTTCCAATCACAACTTCTTCAATGCCTGCCTTATGGCCATACTGCTTTTCGAAATTGGTGTATTGATTATAAAGCGATTGTGATTTTGATTTAGGAAGACGATCTAAACCATATTTAAAGATAACGCGAGCTCTTTCATACTAAAACAATAATAGTAAAAAAAAAAAATCTAGTAAATACTATATTGTGTACATACTGGTATAAAAAGATTTTTTTTTTTTTTTACCTCTCTAGCTTTAATTTCAAATTTCGCAAAGGCAACAAGTAATTTTTGGTCTAATTTCTCATCGCCCATGAATTCAAGAGCTGCAGTGTAGATCTCTCTGCATTTATTTAAATTATTATGTTCTTCTTCAAATCGAGCCCATTTGATCCAATTAGCAGGTTCTGGATGAATACTCACAAATCGTTCATAGATTGCACGAGCTCTTTGCTTCTCATCATATCTTAATTCCATCTTTATATAAGCCATCCAGGCATTTTCTCCAGGTTCCCATTTCATCCATCTTTCAAATACATTTCTAGCCTTAGGTACCTCGCCTAATGTTTCCTCCATATACGTATACTTGTACCAAAACTGGTCAACACGAGGCAATAGAGTTGTGGCTCTATCCAATAAATTTCTAGCATGGTTTACGTTTCTATTCTTCAATTCCATATCAACATAACGTAACCAAATAGCATTATTACGCCATTCAACATCGAGTGCACGTTCAAAAACAGAACGAGCACGTTGGAATTCCATTTGACTCTCTTCCCAGTTGGCATACTTGATCCAATTACTAATGTTCAAACGGTTTTTACGAATGTTATCTTCAAATTCTTTTCGTTTACGTTGACGAAACTCGCCTAGTTCTTCAAGATCAGCAATCTTTTGTTGAGGGATACTGTGAGTAGGTTCTAAACGACGATCATGAGCTTCACGAAGGATTTGTTCGGCTGTGATTTGAATAGGCGCTGCGCTCTTGTTCTTGACCTAATAATAATAGTAAAAGGTTTAAATGAAATGAAGAAGACAGTAATTTTTATTTTTATTTGCTCACCTTTGGTGGTCGTGGATTTTTACCAAATCCAGTTGTTGTTTGTTTAGGATCCATTATATGCTAATGATCTTGTATATATACAAAACACAAAACAAGAAGAAAAAAAAAACAAAAAAAACAAAGATAAATATTATAAATATAGAAAGTGAAAAAGAAATTAATGTTAGGAATTGCTTGTGAGCGGGCTTTGAAGTAGCAAGGATATAATAACATTTAGATCTCAAGCCACTTCTTTATTCTCTTTTCTTTTTTTTTACGTCATTTGGGTAAGCATTAATCAATTTTGATTTCTATATTCTTTTATGTTACTGGTTGTTACTTTTTATTTTCTTTTTTTTTTTTTTTTTTTTTTTTTTTCATTATTGAATGATGTTCCTATAATCATTGCAATTAATAAAAAAGAATTAATTCAGCTAGATCAAAAATAACAAAATGAACTTTATCAACATAGTTTTTATATACAAATATTTTATTTCAAATAAACTATTCTCCAATGCACATAAACATTAATTAATAATACTATGCCACAGATCAATTTTTATTTTATTTTTTTCTTATTTACATATTTTTATAAGTATTAAAATAATGAATATTAAGCATATACAATAAATTAGGGTGATGCGGTAACAGTGACATATATATTCTCAGTAACTGTAACTGTTTGTACGCAACCGGCAGGACAAGTTCTTGTAGGTTTAGTATGATGTTTAGAAGCATTTTGAGTTGTTCTACAAGTAGCATTTGTGTCTGTGTTATTAGGTTGATGGTGGCATTTTTTAGAACAATTTTTATTTGATGATATACATGAGGAAGTATCAACTGAAGATGAATGTTGGTGATGATGGTGGCGATGATGGTGGTGTTGGCTAGAAGCTTCAGTTGTAGTGGCACTATCAGTTGTAGCAGTAGGGTGATGATGATGGTGGTGATTACAAGCTTCAGTTGTAGTGGTAGGGTGATGATGATGGTGGTGATTACAAGCTTCAGTTGTAGCAGTAGGGTGATGATGATGGTGGTGATTACAAGCTTCAGTTGTAGCAGTAGGGTGATGATGATGGTGGTGATTACAAGCTTCAGTTGTAGCAGTAGGGTGATGATGATGGTGGTGATTACAAGCTTCAGTTGTAGCAGTAGGGTGATGATGATGGTGGTGATTACAAGCTTCAGTTGTAGTGGTAGACTGATGGTGGTGGTGGTGAGTGGAAGCTTCAGTTGTAATTGCACTATCAGTAGTAGCAGTAGTTGTAGACTGATGATGGTGGTGGTGAGTGGAAACTTCAGTTGTAATTGCACTATCAGTAGTAGCAGTAGTTGTAGATTGATGATGGTGGTGGTGAGTGGAAGCTTCAGTAGTAGCAGTGGTAGTAGACTGATGATGGTGATGATGAGTAGAAGCTTCAGTGGTAGCAGTAGTTGTAGATTGATGATGGTGATGATGAGTGGAAGCTTCAGTGGTAACAGCACTATCAGTAGTAGCAGTAGTTGTAGATTGATGATGGTGGTGGTGAGTGGAAGCTTCAGTAGTAGCAGTTGTAGTAGACTGATGATGGTGGTGGTGAGTGGAAACTTCAGTTGTAATTGCACTATCAGTAGTAGCAGTAGTTGTAGATTGATGATGGTGGTGGTGAGTAGAAGCTTCAGTGGTAACAGCACTATCAGTAGTAGCAGTAGTTGTAGATTGATGATGGTGATGATGAGTAGAAGCTTCAGTAGTAGCAGTTGTAGTAGACTGATGATGGTGATGATGAGTAGAAGCTTCAGTGGTAGCAGTAGTTGTAGATTGATGATGGTGATGATGAGTGGAAGCTTCAGTGGTAACAGCACTATCAGTAGTAGCAGTAGTTGTAGATTGATGATGGTGATGATGAGTAGAAGCTTCAGTAGTAGCAGTGGTAGTAGACTGATGATGGTGGTGGTGAGTAGAAGCTTCAGTTGTAATTGCACTATCAGTGGTAGCAGTGGTAGTTACAATTGTGGTAGTAGTTGTTTTTGGTTTTTCCTTTTGTTTGGAATTATCGTTAGAAATGGGTAAGCATCCTCTAAAATTTTGGCAGCTGCCTCCTGCAGCTTGATAATTGTGAATTTCAATACCACTGCCGCCCCAAGTATAATGTGCGCCGATAACAGTACCAGAAAATGCGCCAGTTGAACCATCAACAATGGAAGCTATTATTGAATAATTTAGTAATTGTTGTTTACTTTTTTTACTTATTTATTTTTTTAAGAATTACCTTCAGGAGCTAATGTAAAACCACCAAAATTACTGCCGGTATTACGTTTTAAAGTAAAATGTCCAGAGCTATATCTACCATTAGAATCAGCTGGATAGAAGTTGAAAATAGTTTGACATGGGTCCATTCCTTGAGTAGGAAGATTACCAATAAGGGTAAAGGTTGAGTCAGCATCAACAGGAATCTATATATTAAAAGAGTAAGTAATAGATACATATATGTAATATAATGCATAACGTACATTAAGAACAAGAGTACCAGATCTTGGCCATGACATTCCTTGAGGTCCATTCCAGTTACCAATACCTTTAAGAATGGCATTGGGGTCAGACATTTTCCCAGGATAAAGATTACAGTTACCACCATTACATGAGTTGAATGTGATAACATTAAAACCGTTAGTAGCGCTTCCAATTGAATTAAGTCTTCCATTAGAATCCAAATATAAATTAGGACTCATATTTGCCAAAATTTTTGATGCACTGATAGCATTTGAACGAGCTTGATCAAAATCATATAGACCAGTACCATAATTAATACTACAAGAACCCATAGTTTCTTGAAGACCTGTAGTACCTTCAGGGACAATCATATTACCACGAACACGAACCTCATTGGCATCAACAGAGCCACCAACAACAAGACCGTAGGAATTGATATCGTTTTTGTTAGAACAATCGACATTTCCATTAGCATTCACCATATAGGCGTTAGCTTTGAATTTTCCTTGTACAGCTAAAGGTCCAAGAATATCTTGTCCACCATAAGTTTCGAAATCACCAAATATGACAGCAGAAAAGTGTGTCAACTATATATACATATATGAATATTTTCAAGTTTATTTTTAATATAAACTCCTTTAAGTATAAAATATATTATGTTTACCATTAAAGAAGGATTATTATCTTTAGAACAAACATAATTTTCTCTTCGTTTAGTGAATAACGACTTCAAACTTTGGTTAGTTGATCTTAGTTGTTGTGTACCATAATTAGGTATTCTATAAGCAAATATACTAGTAACTAAGTACGTTACTACTAAAAGTATACTATATTTATAGACCATATGAAAACAAAAAGTCAAATAGACTATAAAGTTTTTTTTTCTTGGATCCATTTTCTTTATATATATATATACTGTCATGAGCTGACTTGTAATGTCATGGTTTTTGATTAAACATATGGATCATAAAGTTATCCAAGGAATTCTGTCTTGATCCCCTTGAAACACTTGTGATCTACTTTATCAAATAATATCAAGTAATATCAAAGCATCTAACACTTCATTATCTATAACATATCTTACTTGGTCGTAACTAACATTTTTCTGATTCACATCTTATCTCAGACCTCTTTAACCATCCTTATAAATACCCTATCAATTTAAATTCATAAATAAAAATGATTGACTTTGGAACTATTGTTCGCTCTCATTGACTTTCTTTTGTCTTTATGTTGATATTTTACAAGAAATATTACATTATACACTTGTTGCTATTTTAGTTGTTGAGCCATAGTCTCCAGTTGTTTCATTTTTTATTATATGTATCTTTGTTTTTAAAGTCTTAGAGAATTACACTCAGCAGAATTATTTATTAATTTAAAACAATATCAGGGTTAACCTTATTTTTTTTTTTTTTTTTTTTTTTTAATTGAAGTTAACTAGTACTATTTTTATTTTTAATAAGCTGGGCTATTGCTACAATTATTTTGCAATCCATATTATAGCTCATATATTAAAAAAGAGTAGAATTGTTGTTATATATACATTCTCTTATTCTTCTTTTTTTTATTTTTTATTTTATCATTAAAAGAATCAAGATTATTATAATATTTACTTAAAAAACCGAATATACATTATTCTGACACTTGGCCAATAATATGATGTTAAGCATTGACAACAATGATCTATTTACTGAGTTTTTAGTTTTGATTTTTTTGCTTATTAACTTTTTTCATACTCGTCTTCTAAAACCTTTAAAATAACAATTGTATAGAATAAGTAAGATACATAATTGCAATAGTTAGAAACACTAAATAGACGCAAAACTTATATTAAACACAATTTCAAAAAAACTACACAACACAGTCGTTTTACATTATATTTTTGGAATAGCTTGTTAATCATTGTATGGTAAAACATTGAACCCTTTTTTTTTCCTTGTGTAGGAAAAATAGAATTCAAAGTTGTTATCCAAGAGAATCAAGAAAGGTCGAAATAGAGACAATAGTTTTATGTTTAAATTAGAAAAGCTGATAGAAAGCTTGTTGTATTATTTCATTCCGTTCAATGATAAATTAATTAATTGAATACATATACTCCTTTTTATTAAAAACGATCTTGTTTTTTAAATTAATACTTGAATATGAGAGAGTAATCAAAACTCAAAAAAAAAAAAATAATAATAATAATAGTAATTGAAGCTATTTGACATCATATTATTACCTTTTTTGGTTTCATTAATTTTTTTAATACTATTGTTGTCGGAGTTTATATTACATAATAGTCCTTGCAAAATATTGATGATTTTTTTTGGGTGAAAAGTAACTGAGCTATTACTGAGCCAAAATTTTATTATTGTAGTAGGTAATAAAGCATTGAATCATTGTATCGTTATTTGTTCTTTTTTTTTAGATATATAATGTATCTTAATAGAACATTTCTTTATTTAGCTGTAAAAATAAATAGATAGAAGCTATTAAAGTTGTTTCGACCTTCATATGTTAGGGTGTGTATATAAGGGTGTGTATATGTATTTAATATGCACACTATATGAACATAATGTGTAGTATGATGATGTATTTCATAATGAAACATGCTTTTGCTACATCATGTTATGGATATTCTTTTAAGTAAGACTTCTTTTTTTTATTATCTTTGTGAATCATCTCTTTCAATCTTGTGTATCGATATTACTAAATTATACGTCAAGAAGCATCCATAATGTTTAAATGGGTTTGTCGATATAGATCATGGAGATATTAACAATAGTGTGTAGCTTGATGCATGATACTACTAACAAATTATCCATGATTAGTTTCAACTCTTCCGTTCATCAACTAAATATAAACACTTTCATACTGTCTAGTATTGTGTACAGATATGAATATCTCTTTATGTTTAACTAAATATAGTATATTATTATCCTATTGTGTGGCTTTATGCAGTTTATTTACAAAACTGATTCCGCATTGTCCAATAAAATAGAGTATACAAAGCATATCAAGATAAAAAAAAAATGTTGGCCCAATCTATATTTATTAGGTTTAAGATATTCTCGTTTAATTTAACATATTATGCATCATTCTATAAAAATATGAGAGCTGAAGATGAAATGTTGTAATAAGTTTTTAATGCTCCATGTAACTATAAGCTGTGAAATTATGAAATATAGCTAGAAGGTTACTTCTTCACTACTACAAGTCCTTCTTTTCAAGTAGATGTAAATGATTTTCATCTACTATTTTCATCACTCCCAAATTTAGCAACATCGGAGGGCAAGAGATCAAGAATATTCATAGTGCTTATTTTATCCGTCGAAACAGTCTCCCTTTTTGAATATCTCTATTGCTTTTTTAAATAATACCCTCACACCTATCATACATGTTCGGTAACTAGCTAACTGTTAAAGAACTGAGGCTCTACTTTCTTTCGTCATTTAAATTACGTATGATACATATTTTGAGTTCTTCTTCTTTTATAAACCTTTACATCATATCAAAACTACGTTTTAGAACAATATAATATGCCATACAAGTGAAACCTCAAGAGGAGTCTACTATTAGATAAGTGACAATATGAACGTGCTTATTTCTCCACTCCCCTTTTTTTATTGTGTACCTTTATTAATATCGGCTTAGACTTCAATTGTAAATACAGTATAAACGTCCTTTCTTTTTTTTTAATGCAACTTTATCATCAAAAGATTATAAACTAATTAAAAAATGAGGTCGATTCAATATAAGAAATAGAAGCTTCAACCCTAAAAAAAAAAGATTATACTTAAAAAAATATCCGTGATATGAAAAAACTAAATATGCTACGATTATTGTCATTAATAAGACTGAACTATGCACTATTACTAATGTATATGTAAGCATATCAAAAAATATTGCTCATTGCTGTATTATGATCCAGATTGCATAATAGTTTATTATTAATAATCAAAAAAGGATAATTTTGTTGGAACTGTTACTAAAAAAAAATCTTACCGTAAAATATGATTGGATGATTATAACTTCATTATGATTGTGAATGAATTCATTCAACGAAGCTGTCATTCTCGCGCCACTTTTCTTCCCTTTTTTGGATGTGGAACAGAGATTTGCATATTATTTTCAATACGCTTGTTAAAGTTATTTAATAAAAATCTTTATTTTTATTTTTATTTTTATTTTTATTTTTATTTTTATTTTTATTTTTATTTTTATTTTTAAACCTTTTAATGTATACATGTTTCAAAACAAACATGATTTTAATAGTTATATTAAAAAAAAAAAAAAAAAAACTAGTAGTTGACTTAACAATCTTGTTTGACTATAAAACATATGGAATTTGCATTAGCATTCATTATGATACAATAGTAAATAATGGCTGCTAATCGTTTAAGAATACTTGTATATACATAAATATTGATATGTATGTATTTAACTATCTGTTTAGTCAATTATATAATACATTAGGTGCAATATAAAAGGTCATCTTTCATATATATATACACAATGCTAAAGAAGTCGCGTTTCAAAATACTTTTTTTTTGTTGTCATTTACAATTAAGATAGAATAGAGAGCTATAAAACAATCGGCAATTACTGTAGAAGAAAGAAAGTTTTCTTTTCTTTTCTGAGGAGATAATACGAACTTATAAGTGATGTACGTTATATCAACAAAGTTCTATTAACTATAATATAATAAATAGTTTTAATATAGCTTATTGTCATTATTAATAACAATTATTCTATCCCTTATAATTAATCATCATAGTTGGATAATATAGTCATATCAGCATTAGTGAATCGCTTATTATGTACGTATCTTTATTAAATTTCTTTCGTTTTATTAATGTTCTAATGATAAGATTTGTAAACAAGGACATTGTGATAATTAGCTTCATCTAAGAAGCACCTATTAAACTCTCACTTACTGCAGTAGTTGTAAATTTGAATAAATATTTTGTACTCTTCTTTTCCATTTTAAATGCTCTAGTAATATTATAATTGTTGCCTTCAAGTTTCACCAAGTCTTTAACAAATGACTCTAGGTCAAAGAAGATCATTAACTACTTTATTTTATTATTATTATATTATGAATCGGGAGGGGGGGTTTATGATACTTCTTAAGTACTATGGTATTTATTAAAACGACCTTTGTTCAAGAGAAATAAAATTGAATATTTAAAATGTACGTATCAATAGTCATGTATGATGGAATGAAGATCTTTCGTTGAGGGAAAATAGTTAAAATACCTATCTTGATAGGCTTTTCAAAAGCATGCAAGTTTGTAGTGATCTTTGAGATATTATTTGATAGAATTAGCTTTACACATATAGCATGATGATCCTTTTGAAGATTGATAGTCAGAGGAGTATGAGTTGAAGATATTTTGAATCATATTAATGTAGGAAGAAGCCCTTTAGCAGGGTGTCCACATTTCTGGATGATATGGCCATTTTTACTCTAATGTATTAACTTGGTAATAGTTTCTACTTCAGTTGATATATCATGATTAGCTGAATTGTTTTTCTTCTTCAATTCATTTTTCCTAGGTAGCAGGCTTTACTTTTTTCTTCAAAATTACGCTAAAGAAGAAAAAAAGAAAGATACGTAATTTATTTCTGAGATAAGACGCAACACCATTTAAGTACTCAGTATTGATTTTCTACTACCTCCTAACTAGCTATTCCTTGAGCCTACTTCAGCTCTAATGGTTTATGAGAGCAATATTATTGTAAGTAATAGTAGTAATAACTATCTTGATGCTTGCTAATAAGATCCCTATATCCTGTTTACCTAGTTGTAAGCCTTCGTTTAGTTGCGCTATAGCTTTTAAGTAGTGACAAGAATACTTTTCTATAAAAAAATCAATATTTGCAAAATTCTTTAGAAGAAAATAGGGATCATTGACTGATTTTTGGATAAAAAAAAATGTAAAAAGTATACGTTACATTAACATGAATATTAACTACGAGATTATTAAGTAGTGGAACGTATCTTACTTTCTATCCAATATCAGCAACTGAAATTTTAACTGTAATAAACTTTAGAGGTGGTTCCATAAAGAGAAGATAAGAAAAAGCAGATTGGGATATTTTTATTTTGTTTTTTTTTTTCAATTATCTCACTTTAGATTAAAATACTGTACATGCTATGATCACGCATATATTTTAATATCTTTCCTTGGTATATCCGTTGGTCAGTTATGTATACAAACTTTCATGAACTTAATTACCTTTTCCACCATAAAAACCCACCTTCACTATCATCACGATCTGATCAACAATTCCTTCATTACCTCCCCTTTCCTCTCTCTCTCTCTCTCTCTCTCTCTCTCTCTCTCTTTCTTCCTCTCTCTCTCTTTCTTCCTCTCTCTCACTCACTCACTCAATAATAGTGTCATAGCTACACTTTGCTCTTCTTTAACTTTTATTTCTTACCGTTGCTCCTAAAAGGATGATTTTTTTTAGTACCTTTTATCATTGATAATTTAGCTTGGGCAATTTTGATATAGTTAATATCTTGTTTGTTTAAAAGTATAAAAATTCTGCAATGAGATATAATTGGGCAGTATTCGTGACCATCTTTCTACCATATTTGGATATGCCTTAAACCACCACCCCTATTCATTTTTTTTTTTTGGAGTTCTCCACATAATATACATTTATACATTTATAAACATCATGAGATCTCGTATACTTCGTGATATAAAAGCACGTCAGGCAGTTGCCAACAACGAAATCACTCGTCAAGCTTTTAAATATATTACTCGCAACGAAACATTACCTGCTCGTATACGTCACCAAGCCCAACTTCAGCTTAATTCAATGCCTAAAAATTCCTCACCTACTCATATTCATAATCGTTGTGTTGCTACTGGTCATGGAAGTGGTATTTTACGCGAATTTAGACTTTGTCGATTTCAATTTCGTTTAAAGGCTTTAAATGGAGACCTTCCCGGAGTTAAAAAAGCATCTTGGTAGAGATGATTCTTTGTAAATTATTATTATTCAATGTATACATATAAAGCACTACAGAAAAAAAAAAGAAAATAAAAAAAATAAAAAATAAATAAATAATAAATAACATCTCTTGTTATATACAAACTATGGATTGGGAAAAAAATTAATTATTATTAAATGAAGACGTTGTAATGGAGAACAAAAAATATATCAAGTCAATTATTCTTATACAAAAATGAAAAAAAAAAAAAAGAGTGGATGGAAGGCATCTGTATTTCCTCCCCCCTATTCTTTAACGAAACTCATTTAATGTTCTATCAGAGGATATGCTTTCATTTTTAGTTCTTACGTGAAATACTGCCAATTACGATCAATATAAAAAATAAGAGATAAACTTGATCTTTAGTTTTTTTTTTCCTGACAGCTAATCTTTTGACACTTATATTATCATATACGAGGTAATAAAAGATATAATCTATTGTTATGTTGTTTCAAGGTAGATGGTCAGTCTTTGTCCTTGACACTAACTACTAATTTTGTTCATTAACCTATTAACTCCTTTTTTTTTTGTTGAAAGTATCTTTCCATGGCTTCTAAATAATGTTTCTATGTCTAGAAATTTTAATGATTTGTTTGTCCTTAATTAAGCAGAGAATATGAATAGTCATTCATATATTGAATTACTCAAGAATATATAATAGCTTAAAAATATATAAAGAGTTTTAGTTGAGTGGATAATAATTCCCCTCCGCTTCTAACTGCTGATAGTAATAATGATCAATTAGTTTTTTTTTTTCCATCCCCTCTAACAACAAATTTCCCATTTGCCTTCTCAACTTGCCGACACTCAGCGTGAGATCTAAAATCCGAAAAATTTACTTGCTAAACACCATTTAGCTTCCTCCAATCCCGCATATCCGTACTCCTGCACAGCCTACACCTATTTCAACTGAGAATTCCTTTATTCTTCCTCTCCTTGGTATAGCTTTACCAAAACCATTCGCTTTAAGAGTTTCCTCTTTCACGATGATAGGTACAAGTACCAAGCTCATATAAAGCAGAATCGACTACTCGCCTCTACTTGACCAAAGCTTTATATTTATCTACTTTCCCAATTAAGATCCGCCTTCCTACAGGCATGATTCGTAGTAACAATCTCAAAAAAATAAAAAAAAGCAGGTATCAACGGCACCCGTATATTATATACATATACATATTACCCCTTCCACTGCCATCATAATCTCTTTGTCAATGCATTTTAACTATGTAACTTGATTTTTTTTTTTGGCCCCTTCCTTCCCTCGCTCTACTGCTCTCCCACTTTGTCCAAAACGCAGTTGAAAAGATTCTTCTTTGAAAAAAAAAAATAGAGACATCTCGTCCCAATTACGAAGAGAATTTCCATAAAATCCATATTTTTTTTTTTTTACTTGATAAAGGTAATTCTATTCTTTCCCCCCCCCCACACTCTCTCTTCCTTTGAGCAGACAGAATCATTTTTTTTTCTCTACTCTTATTTAATATTACTCTTTTTTTTTTTTTTTTTTTTTTTTTTTTTTTTTGAATTGGCCTGGGGGGGGGAAAGAAAGAGTTAATGCAGTAAAATTTGTCATTATGTACTCATTCAAGTCATTTTATTTTATTCTATTTAACTGTATAACCCATGAGTCAAGACATATGATTATAGGATGCTTACAATGAGGATGATAATGTATATAAATATGTATATATAATTAGTATCCCTCTGTTTGTTAATAGTTATAATAATAATAATAATAAAAAACTTATTAACTCGTTTATTATTAAAACTAGTAGTGAATACTATACTTGTATTTTTTTACAATCACGAGAGGAGAGAGTCCAGAATATCTGCTTAAATTTAATTCTAGAATAAATACAACACCTTTCCCCCCCCCAAAAAAAAAAAAAAAAAAAATAAAAAGAAAAATCCGTTATCATTAACCTATTTCTTTCTATTTAAAAAATAAATAAATAAAAATATAATATGAAAACTCATCATATAAAATCAATTTCAACCTATTTATCCTTTTAAAGATATCCATTCATTACTACATGATAAGCTTCTTTTTCTTAATAGAATTATTTTTTTTCTTTCAAAAGAGAAATGATAGAATAATAATAATAATAATAACCCCCAATTTTAAATATTCACAATCGTACAAAAGAAAACAGCAACAGCAACAACAACAAAAAAAAAAATAAAAAAAAACACAAAAACTACAACTTTATATCAAATAACAGGGTGAATTGAATATTATTGAGGAACTGTACAAAATATAAATAGGCAATTAAAAAAAAAAAGGTAAATTAATGATTAGGATAACTAACTGTAAGTGCTTGTTGTGGTCGTAAAGTAGAAGAATCCTTATTATTATTGAAGGTATTCTTATTATTATTATTGTTATTATTATTCTCGTTGCTGTTGTGAAGATCACATTGTTGTTGTTCATCTGTTGGAGAAGATGGAGAAGATAAGAGAACACTAGAGACAGGGCTTGGAGGTAAAGGGTTTTGAACTAACGGGAAAGAAAAAGTGGGGTGTTGCTGCAGATTTGAATTTGTATTATTATTGTGATGATATATAGAAGGCATGATCATTTGTGGTTGTGGTTCATCCCAGTGTTGCTGTTGGTGTTGTAGTGGTTCATAAGAGGATGCAGTAGGAGATGTTATAAACACACTAGGTTGACCATTATTAGGAGCAAGTTCATAATCATTTACTATGTATATAAAAGGGTAGATTAGGATCAGTAACACACATACATATGTATATTCATATACACTTTTTTTTTTTAAAAAAGAAAATCAAGAGAACTCACATGAGGTGGCTATAGGAAGACCTTGTCGTTCAGCTAATCTTCGAATGATAATCTGTTGTTGAAGTTGAATCTTTTTAAGCTCTTCAAAGCCCTGTAAGAGATTTCCAAAATTTTCTTGAAGGACACGAAACTGTTGTAGTAAATCAGCTTGCGAAAGTTGTACCATAGCAAAGGAGGCATGAATATCACCTGTCTCACGACGTAAGAGCTCAGAGTCCATCGCCTTTCGTTTGATATCTTCCAAGATATCAGGTCGACCTCGTTGGAATTTAGGATGAGAGAATTCCCAGATTTCATTCTCATTATTGCCTCTTTGACCGCGTGGGGATTTATTAATCTTATGGAAACCATACATGTTCAATTGTCGAACAAAACTTGAGAAATTAGAATGTTTAAAATGTTCAGGAAGGATTTCTTGAGAGAACCGGGTAGCGTTACAGACGAGGAAGGATGTACCACTTGGATTCCATGAAATCAAATGTTGATTACATCTATCACTGACCATACTATTTATTTATTTATTTAATTTCAAAGAAAAAAAAAGAAGCATCATCAAAAGGAAATAATATATTAGAAACAACAATTAAAAATAGATTTGTTCCTGAATTTTTTTTTTTTTGTCTATCTCTGGTACCTAAAAAGTTTACTAATAAATGTACTAACACCTCGTTTTGTAGAACGTCTATGCGAATCTTCTATTTCATGAGGTTCCCAATTTCTATCATTCGAAGAATTATTTGATGAACTATTAGAAGAGAGACTATTTCGATGATTATTGTAAGGCATATAAGAGTTTGGTTGAGGTACAGTTATATGCAATGAATCTAATCCAGACATCTATTCTACGTTTATTTAATATATAGTATTTCTCTATATAAATGGAAAGAAAAAAAAATGAAGATAGAATTCTTAAGAATATAAAATAATTATAATAAAAAAAAAGAATAAAAAAGAATAAAGATAAATGTTGACCTTTTTATTATTTTTTTTTTAAGAGAAAAGTAAAGTTTATATAAAAAGCTTTAAAATGATGTTTCATATTAATGCAGAGGTTAAAAAAAAAAAAAGGGAACAAGTCATTATTGGATGAGTTTCTTGTCTCATTTTTTTTTCTATTCTATTTTCTTCAAAGTTTTAACAAAGATCAAGCTTTTGACCTACTTTGGTTCAATGATATTATTTAATGATTTTATAATTTCTCTTGAGAATGCGTAATATAAATGTATTTATTTTATTCTTTTACTTTTATTGAGTTTTTTTTTCTTTTTCATTTCTTTTTTAAAAAGGTGTTTTATTTATTTTAATAAAGATCATAATCATATAAACACACATATTTTTTTTTTTTTTTTTTTTTTTGACAGAAAAAAATAAATGGAAAATTTCATGTGGGCCAAAATTGCTTTTTTCTATTTTAATGCAAAAGAAATAATGAATTTTAACTTTAAAACTCAAAAAAAAAAACCTTAATTTTTTTTTTCTATAATGTGAAGAAAAAAAGCATCCCCCGGGAATAGAATCAATTACAAAACAGGTGAAAATTAAGAATTTACATCCTTTTAATAGGACCCCTTTTTATTTCATTATACAAAAAGGAAACTCCAACGAAAAAACAGGTACGACCTGTCTCTTAAAAAAAAAAAAGAAAAAAAATAAAAAGAAAAAATTAGCAATTATTATTTTATTTTTTTTAAAGAAAAGAAGTATATAGAAAAAATGGATAATTCCTTTGTTGTGGATATATATGATAAGCTTCTTTAAACTAAAAAGCAAATTTAATATAATGTATACATGTATAGTTTTTTTTTCCATTATTATCTGCACATATTATAATTCCCCCCAAGTTTATATTTTTTGATGGAAAATTGAGCTTATCTTGAATGAGTCAGGGGGGTGGGGTGAGCGAAAGAATAGATAGCACTGCTGATTTCATATAGCTCTAATTTTTTTTTTTTTTTAAAAAAACAAAGCTATTTTATTTTATGATCCCCGATATTATAGCGCATAATTATTTGTCGTCGGGTAGACATAAGATGATAATTATAATTATGATAAGGTATCATGATTTCCTTATTTGAATATGTCCCAGCTGTTGAAAAGAAAAAAAAAAAAAAAAAAGAGAGAGAGAGTAAAAATTTCTTTAAAGCATATAAAAAATTATTCTTTATGTATATTACAAAGAAGAAAAAAAAAAGGGGAACTAAATTTTTTCTTTAGTTTTTATTCTCTTTTATATATGTAGTATTTGAATGAAAAAGAATCTTTTGAAACAGAAAGAAGTTGTTTTAGAAAAAAAAATAAAATAAAATAAAAAAAAGAGTATTCTTCTTACAGAGAAAGACAGACAAAATATATATTTCTCCTCTTTTTTTTTTAGTATTGCAATTATAAAGAATTTGTTTCTTTAAAGAACAAACTAATATTAGCTCATCTTCTACATTTTCTTCTTTAACAAATGAATTATAAATTATTCTCTGATCTCTTTTCATGATATAATATGATTAGTTTACAATAAATCCTTTATGCATCATATGCTACTACTACTAATATAGATAAATAAATATGAAACCCTCTTTCTTCTTTTCTTTTTTTTTTTAAAGAAAAAGATCCATGTGTATTCATTTATTACAGATAAAATATAAACTCTTGTCATCATTCTCCGTTTGATTTAATTCTAATACTTGGTCTAGAGCTTCTTCTGTTATAATCGCTTTTAATAACTCTCTTTCTTCTTGCATTAAAACAGGTCGTTTCTTCATTTCCCTACAAAGATGAGGCGTACATTTAACCCTCTTTTTCCATGAAATATAACGTGATTTAGGCTGCTGTTGAATCATTCGTTCAAATTGCTGGCGCGAATCAGTATCGATCAATCCCTCTATCACCTGCATCACTAAACGTCGGACAATATCCGCTAACATGGGTTCAAGCTTATTCATCAAGGTGATGAGATGAACTAAGGTTAAGATAGATAGGGCTCGATCCGATTTCATTTCCGCATCTACCAAAAGAGGGTAATAGCAAATGGGTTCAAGTACATCAAGAAGTTGTGTTACGGTTTTTTTAAGTTCTATGTAGGAATTCGCTTGTCCTTTTTTACTCATCTTTCCCCAATGTACAAGTCCCTAGAGGAAGAAAGAAAAAGAGAATCAATAGTAACACAATTCTTTCTTCCTTTATCATCATCATCATCTTCTTCTTTACCTGAAGTGTTTTTATCATGCCTGAAATATAATATTTTTCTTGTTCAAATTGCCGATTGGAAACATGATTATTTTCCTCCAACAGTTGTATGATATAATATATTTTAAAATAAATTTTTGTTCCTGTATAGAAACAAGTAAATATATAAATATGCATATGCATATACATATTCATATTCATCCATATTTAAAAAGGAAAAAAAAAAAGGTAAATACCTCTTTCTGTTAAACTTTGTATGAAATAGGAATACTCGGTAGGTGCATTTTTTTGTATAATGTCGTGAAAGTTAGTAGAGTCATAAAGGCGATCTAAAAAATAAACTACTAGATTTGAATATTCTATTAAACAACTGGATGAGTAAGTTGGATGCAACACGCGTGTGAAGCAAGAGATACTATTTTCGGTCTTTTTTGGCCAATTCCATAATAATACTAAATTATAAGTCCATTGTGAAGAATGCTATATATATATATATATATATGCATATCATCAGACTTCTTTCAAGTAAAATTGTTATATATATATATACACTTACCTCAAATAGTTTATCTGTAAATAATGGGGATAATTTACATGCTTCAAATAAATCACACCAAGCGTCGTCAGATCCATCAAGCTTATCATCAGCATTCAGAATACCATCCAAAGCTCCTGTAAGATTAAAAATAGATTTGGGTACATTTAATGTTTTATCTTGTAAAAGAGGATACCATAGTAATTGAGACTTCCAATCTATAAAAGGGGGTGTGTGTTAGAGATAAAATGATAATCATGAATATTTTCACTTTACCATATTTAACTCTGAATGTCTCGAAGAAAGTGGACAAGGAGAAGAGTAACTGTTTAGCTTGCTGTAATAGATGAATCAATTTTTGAATAAACTTAAAAATCAATTCCCAGTCTTTCAGTTCAATTAAACCTTCTTGTTCTCGATATGTAAAAAGTTCAGTTAATAAATAGATCCATGTTTCAGGTTCACAATGTAAAAGAGCAGGGAGGTCATGTTGATCTAGGACGGTAATCTCATCATGATGACTTTCATAAAATGCGTCTAAAAGATAAAATGATAACCTTAATAGAGGAGTAGAATTCTTATCGGAATGAATGTCTTTCTTTAAGCAAGTAATAAACAAAGTTAAGTTTTCCATAACAAACTCAGAAAGGACTTGTTTTAAGTTTAAAAGTGACGTTTCTTGATCCACGAAAGAATTGGGTAAAAGCAAAGTGGGTATCGTTTGATTTTCCTATGATACATATATATAAAGAGATATTAGACACATATGCATATACATATACATATTTATGTTTATATTTATATTACAGAGTCACAACAGGCTTTCATAAATTGAATTATATTATTTCTGTAAAGTTCAATTTCATGTGCTTGTAATTCAGACAACGTAGTTTGAATGACATATAAAAGTAAAGAAGTTCCTGATGATGACACCTTGAGTCTACAAAGATGGCCTAAACTTTTTAAAACAGGAACAATAGCTACATACTGATTTTTATTTTTCATACAGCTACTAAATAAGACCTGAACTACTTTGTAGGGCCAAATAACAGATAGCTTAAATTACATTAGTATTTTTTTTTTTTTTTTTTTTTTTTTTTTTTTTTTGGAATAAATGTAAATATGATTTACCATGGCTAATTTTTTCACAGTAGTATCTAATACTTCAGTATCATGATCATCAATCGTAGTGATCTGGTTACTAAACTTTACTATATCCAATTCAATTGAAACATTCCAAATAGTTGTTATCCCAAAAATGGGTAATTGGACATTATCATTGGTACCTCTACATTTAATATATGTATTAAAGAAAAAAAGAAAAAAAAATATGTATATAAATAGTACATTTTTTTTTTTTAAAAAAAAAAAAGAGCTTCCTTTAAGCTAATAATTACCTTTGATAAAAAATAGAATCTCGAATTTGTAAAATATCTTCAACTGTGTCCAGAGAGTCAATACTTTTTCTTAATAATTCACAGAGATTCTAATTCCAAAAAAAATAAAATAAAATAAATAAAGAAATTAGAATTCATGATGACACCGCTGATTGAATGAATACCTTTAATTGTGATTCCTCGAATTGTGATACATGTTTCAGAATGTGATGATATAAAATAGTTATCATGTTTTCATGCGCAATAAGTGAAGCCATTATTTCCGCGCAATCAGAAACTTGTATATCACTTTTTTTTTTAACGTTGACTTTATTTGTTAATAAGAAAGTTCTCTGTCTGTCTAATTAATTACCTGATCCAAAGATCCATAAACTGAACCATGACTTTCAAGACTGATAACCAAAAACTTGATTGATGTTTAATCATAAAGCAGCACCATTCTTTACAAGCCCATAGTCTATTATTTTTAGCTTGATTTGATATCCATTTTTCTAATCGATCTAAATCAAAGGGTGAACTGGATAAAGGAGATATTAAACAACGTGATTGAATATGTGAACAGATAAGCATAAATGTCTCTTCATGACAAGTGAACGTATTCTCTTTTTGGATCATTTGCATCCACTCATATTTTAAACTATGTTGATGTATCCTAAATACAGAATGTCATGTCATGTTATTTTTATCTTTTTTTTTTTTTTCTTTTTTTTTTTTTTTTTTTTTTTTTTTTTTTTTTTTTTTTTTTTTTTTTTTTTTTTTTCTGCATGTTTTACCTCATATCTTGACAGGTCTTGACTGTCAACTTTAATTCCTCATCTTGTATTTCAGTCAAGTCTTTTTCCAAAATGAGTTTATTTTCAGTCAAATTATTTATAAATTTGAGAAGCTCTCTTGATTCAGAAAACAAATGAAGCTTTCGTTTCTGTATAGTGAATAGGAGTTTTTGTAAACATATCACTAACAATTTTATACAGTGATCTCTTTGCTTATTTTCTAAAATACAGTCATGAAATACTTGCAATACATGATGGACATGATTTAGTACTGTTTTTTTAAAAAAAAAAAGAAAAAAGAGAAAGAAATTATTCGTTATATACACACACATATATATAAAGAAGAAGAAGAAAAAAAAATGATATTTACAAAAGTCATCTACAAAAAAGAAAATTAATTTTTTTTTTCCCTTTCGTATATAAAGATTGGTTTACCTAAATTATCAATTTCAATTTGATGACTTAACCAACTTGTGTGTTCATCAAAGTTAGAAGGTAATTTTTGTATCAGTTTGATATATATTTGATGGAATTCTCGGAGAGGTTTTCTTGTCATTTTATATGTAGTAAAAATGAATTCAAGGGAATCCTACATCATTATATGATTCATATAAATGTATATCAAAAAAAAAGAAAATGTGTATTTTGTTACTTTTATAGGTAATTTCCATAGTTCATAAAGGGTATATTGATGTAATTTAAAGCGTTGAGATATATGATAAAGTAACCGATGATCAACGCCTACTTTGAAGCGTGGAGCATCGAAATCTGTTTCATAGTCTTTAAAAAATAAATAATATTAATCAATGTTTTCTTTCTTTTTTTTATTTTTATTTTTTTAGGTACTTTGATTTTTTAACAGAGCGTCAAATACAGTTTGATGCAGAACTTTTAATGCTATAGTTGAATATCCATAAAATTTTAAAGTTAAATCAAAACTTTCTAAAAGAGAACAAGGAGGCCTTGAATAGAGTATGAATAAATATTATTTCTCTCTTTCTTTATTAATGTATATCTTTTACTCATCGTGATCATCTTTTGTTAATTCTTTTAAATTAAATATGTGGGTATGGATTGTATTATGTCGTGATTCTTGTTCTAACCAACCATTCAGATCGGCCTATCTTGATTATATTAAAAACAATTGGAAGAAACAGAAGAAAAATTAAATTAATATTGATAATTACTTTGAATCTATTTTCCATGGCGAAGATTGACATGAGATCGTTTAAAAAAAAACTATATAAACTAGTGTTCCTTTCTATTTTAAAAAAAATGATGCTTTATTTTTATGTCGTGACAGCTAAAAAAAAAATATAAAAATAAAAGTAGTAATTATGCCTTTTTTTTTTTTTTTCTTTCTTTCTTTTCACCATTATTATTGTAGTAGTAGTAGTTTAAAATCAGCAAAGATGGACGATTCTATAGAATCACAAATCATGACTTATGTTGAAAGGAATCTTTCCAACATTCCCTTTAAAACATTACGTTATGGTGAAACGGAGCTTGATCCCTCAGAAAAGTTGAGTCAGATGCGACACATTCTACACAATGATCCGGGGCTTTTTTTAAGTAAATGGGGGCGTCATCTCTCACAAAATACATTAAGACTATTTGATTCACTTCGACATGACTATGAAGTCAGATTTTATCTTGATACACTTTTATATCAGTCTGCAGCACCCGTAACAATAAATGTAGGAAAACGATCTGCTTTACAACAAGTGATACAAAATAGACGTTATGAATTTCTAAAACGTACATTAAGGCATTCGGATTATTTTTCGGATGAAGCAATCCAGTTAAGGGAGCCTATCTTGTATAATCACTATGTGGGGAAATATATACCTTCACGAGAAAAGAGGAAACCATTTGCAAATGATGTAACGCTTGTGGATCGTATCTTGAGTAATATGGATCGCAACTATGTAGATGAGCAAGTGCGCCAACAAAAGATAAAAGACGAGGAGCAATTTCAAGAGGAAGAAGAAAGTGACGACGACGAAGAGGAAGAGTCGATGAAAGATGAAAAGGGTAAAGAAAAAGATATAAATATGATAAATGAAGAAGAAGAAAGTGACGAAGAAGAAAAAGACAATGAATTTCGAGAAAGGAAAAGACAAGAATTGATTCGACTATTAGAAGAACAATTTTTAGCAGGAAAAGATAATGTACGGTCTTTATTAAATTTTACATTAAAAAGAGGGTTTTTTTTTTTGCTGATATTTATATATATTTGCAGGATTTCAATTATAGTGAAGTTGATTATAATGAAGATTACGATAATCTTCAACAGCAAGAACAAGATATTCACGATAAATACTTTGATGAAGATTAAAAATATACCCTTATGACAGATGATAGATAGATATATACATATAATAAAACTAATGACCACGTCTAAATTCAAAGTGTAATATCTATATTAAGACTGTTTTTATTGGTAGGAAAGAATCCATTTGAGGAATTAATTCTAGTACTAATTATTGCAAGAAGTAAACTTTTTTTCATTGACATTGAACCAGCTTCATAGTTTTGAATAACTTTATTTTAATTAAATCGGTGATGAATTAGCCTTATACTATAAAACACTATAGCAGTATTTAAATTATTCTAAATGATTACTGTATCTGTAATTCTAAAAAAGAAAAAAAAAAAAAGGATGCATGGTTTGATCTAAATTAAATATTATTCATGATTGGACTTCTTTTATTATTTGATCAATTAAGTTTTTCTTTTTTTTTTTTCCTTTCAAGAATTGATTATTCTCAATAGTTTTTTCTTAAAAAAAAAAAAGATAAAAATATTGCCATAAGTTATATAAACATCTTTTATAATGTTGCTGCTAGCATTTATATGCATTTTCATTATTATTGCGGAGAAGAAGGGTTATAGCAGCATTTTTTTTTTTTTTTGTCATGATTTTTTGGTCAAATTCTTTTCTTTTTTTTTTTTTTTTCTTTTTTAATACATAATACATATTTATTAATCTTATAGTATGCCAGCATTTCCAATACTGTCGTTTTCAAGGAAACCGATTCTATTAATTATCTTTATTATTGTATTTGTGTTTCTATACCACATTGCAAGTCATCCCAAAGTGTCAAAGTCAATGCAATCAGTTGCATATTATAATAATTATGATGAAAGAGCTTGCCTTCCACAAAGATTACTTGAAAAATCTCCTCCTACAAAGAAAGCTAAAGCTGCTATGGTTATTCTTGTTAGAAACAGGTAATACATATATGATAAATATTTAAATATACCAACACTCTCTAAATCAAAAAAAAAAAAAAGAGAACAGCAAGCTATTGCAGAAACCTTAGCTAATTTCCAGGACAAATTCAATAAAAATTTCAATTATCCTTACGTCTTTTTAAATGAACAACCTTTTACAGAAGATTTTAAACGTGCCATGAAAGAAGCAGCGCCTCAAGCAGAAATGAAATTTGGACTGGTGCCTGAAAAACATTGGAGTTATCCTGCTTGGGTTGATCCTAACTTGGCTGCTGAAGCAAGAATAAAGATGGATCAAAAAGGAGTATTATATGGTGGATTAGAAAGTTATCATCACATGTGTCGATATCAATCTGGATTCTTTTTTGATCATCCTTTGTTAGACGAGTAAAAAAAAAAAAAAAAATAATGTCGATCGATGAATAATGAAATTAATCTAGTTTTTATTTTTTAGATATGAATGGTATTGGCGTGTAGAACCAGGCGTAAAATATTTTTGTGACATTACTTATGATCCTTTTCTTTATATGGAAAAACATAAAAAAAAATATGGATTTGTTGTGACATTATTAGAATTGAGAGATACGATTCCTAGTCTTTGGAAAACAGTAGAAGAATATGCCAAATCAAGAAGAATTGACATTTCAAATAACAGTAATCTGCTATTTCCTTATTTTCGAAATTCAGAGACAGGTGATTTTAACTTGTGTCATTTTTGGTCTAATTTCGAAATTGCCTCTTTAAATTTCTGGAGAAGTCCAGAGTATCGTGATTTCTTTCATTATTTAGATCAAACAGGCAATTTCTTTTATGAAAGATGGGGAGATGCACCTGTTCATTCATTAGCAGCAGGATTATTTTTAAAAACAGATGAGATTCATTATTTTCAAGACTTTGGTTATCAACATGATCTTTATAGACACTGTCCTACAAAAGAAAGTGGTTTACGTTGTCGTTGTGAATGTCCTGAAGGAACAAATGAAAAGAGTATTGATCATGATACATATTATGATACATGTCTACCTGTTTGGTTACAGCATGTTAAAAAGGAAGAAGAAAGGAAAAAGGCAAATTGGAGCGTTTGGTCATAATCAAGTTGTATTTATGTATATGGTATATATAATATATATAATATTTTATGTGTGTCATCAAGACGCCTACGCCTATTTTTTTTTTTTTTCCCCTTTAATCCAAAGATAATGTTCGCTCAGCCAAATGTCTAGGCATTGAAGCTCTTCGGTGATTAGAATTGACTAATAATGACAATAAAAAATAATAAAAAAGTTAATATAATAAATATAACATGTGAACAATATTAATAACTTTACGATGTGGTTTTAATCCTTTGCCAAAGTTTCGGTAGCATATAAAAGCGTTTATCACTGTCAATACCACTAAGGCCAAAGAGACGCTTGCTAATTATAAAGAGTAATAATTAAAAAATAAAACTAAAATATATTCAAATTTAACTTACCAAAAAAAGTCAAGACTTCTTTAACATAAAGGTATTTTTGTCTTTGAGAAGGATCATAGATACGACAGATTTTGAATATAAAATAAGCAATGCCAGCAAACATACCCAAAAAGAATAGACTGATTAGCCATTTTGATTCATGTCTTATCTATAAATAAACTTTAGTTATAACAAGCCGTCAAGGGAGTGAGTGAGTGAGTGAGTGAGTGATAGCCAACTTACTGAATAAACGACTAAGAGTAAGAATAAACAAGTCAAAGGTATAGCGACAATCGTCAATGCAAATTCATAATCTGATGATTTTAATACCAACACAAGATACTGTATCGAATACCCCAAAAAGAAAAAGAAATCGATTTTTAATATAGTCAAAATAATTTGATACCAACGATACATGTCTAAAAATAAAACAAGTCAAATCTAGTTTATTTAACTAACTAAGAATGAGATAAAGGCTACTTACTTCTTATTTCAGGGTCTGCTCCAATCTTTTTATAAATCTTCCAACTATTAAAGACATGGTGAATTTATAAACTAATATTAAATTCCTTTCTTCTTTTACCCAAATTCTTGATATAATCTAAGGCCGATATAACAATATATTAACTCGCATACACCCGTAATGACAGCAATGACAATTAATAGTCGATCAATAAGAAAGGTTAAAGAACTAGCTAACTGTTCTAGTCCAAGATTGGTTGAATTAAGTGCATCTGCTATTTGTTTAAATTGAAATAGAGCATATATAAAGCAGCATAAATTGAATAATAAAAATGATATCACTTGAATTGTATTTTGTGCACGTACCTAAAAATAATAATTAAATATATATACTACATGTGTATCTATTTATCTAAAATAACTTTACTGCATCCCAAGCTAGTAAGACTTGAAATACTTGTGAAAAGATAAAGATCATCAAATAAACTGGTATACCTAATCCAAGATTCTTTTTTGAAAACCTATTATATAAATGTAAATAGATGAGAGGAGGTCTTTTTGATTATTTATATTACGCTGTATGATAGAATTTAGCAAAGATGACAGCTTCTAATGCTATAACAATAATAGCTTCAAATATCGATAATAAAACTAAATAAACTGAATTTGTTGAATTTGACCAGAACTAGATACAATACATATAAAGAAATCAATCCATGTACGCATCATTACATCTTTTTTTTTTCATAATTTACATTAAATCTAAGTTCAGTTTTCTGATTTGGTTCAACCATTTTATGTGATGATTGTTCTTCGAAACTTGTAGAATCGACAAAACTTTCACTAGACATCTTTTTATCCCCTAATGTTGTTGTCATGGAAATTATATAACATATATATGTATATATAAAAGGTATATGTTTATAAATAAATATATGTGTATTTAAAGAGTAATAATAATAATAAGAATAGTAATAGTAGTAGTAATAATAGAAATAATAATAGAAATAATAATAATAATAGTAATAATAATAAAAGGAAAAGAAAGAGTTTTATTTTACAAGTTGTGCAATCAAGCAATTTAATTGGGCGAAAATCTTTAAAGACTTTAAATTCGGTTTAATACTTGTCCCGAAATAGATACAGTATACACTGCTATTAAATAAACAAAATAGAACAGTAACCACATACTAAAGTCTATCATAAATTATTTCATCTAAACTGAACATGATTTCATATATAGACTTATAAATATATTTGTATTTAGTGAATAAACTAAAAGGTGAAATTAACATTCAGATAAAAAATTAAATTGGGTTACTCTAGAAGTTTAAAATAATAAAATTGATCCCACTAGACAATGGAAAGGACCACATAATAAAAAGAGAAAAAAAAAGGGGGGAATATAGCTTCCATGTTATTAGATATTTTGCCCTGAATATAGATTTCATTCTGCATTTTAAAAGACCTTATTTTTCTCTTTTCTATCTCCTGAATCAATATATAAATATACATATATGATTTAAGGTACAATAATTGCCCTAACTAGTGAACTACACATCACTACTCAATTATACATCTTTATCTAATTAAAAAAGTAGAAGAGAGGGTCTGATTACATATATACATATGACCTTTATATGTATATATGTATATATATATATAGCACTCTTCATAGTAGAATTTAAGTGAGCAAAGTTACACGACTATATGCCTTAAAACAATAAGTTTAAACCGGAAACCGGAATGCACACGTCTTTCTTTCTTTATCTTTTTTTTTCTGTCTGTCTCTTTCACTCTCTCTTTCACTCTCTCTCTTTCTCTTTCTCTTTCTCTCTCTTTCTCTTTCTTTTTATTATCTTGCAGTAAATAAAAAATAATGGAATTACGTGCTGTATCTTCATGTATGAAACAACAGCTTACGAAAACTATTCAATTGTTAATCGATACGAATCAATACAAGGAGTTTTGTCAATTATCCTTTGATCCTCAGTTAATTCATACTCTTTTCACTAGTCGTTATTCATTAAGTTTATCTTTCCCTAATAAACTAATAGTCAAGTTTGGTCATCAGCTTGATGATCTTAATGCATTGGAACTAGCACTCTTACAGAACCCAGATGGACAAATAGGTTGCCATATCTTTCAAATCCTCACTCCTCATCCTCAACTGAAATCCTTTCTTGAGCATCGGTTCCATCGGGGGATTTATTCTGTTCTTGATATTGCCACCTTTTGGGGTCATTCTGAACTCATCAGGGATATAAAGGCTATCTTATGTACGAATCCACCGTCATTTTTACTTAAAAAGGCCAATGAAGTAGCTATGTTCTTGAATAATTCACACAGGGATGATGATGATGATGGTTATTATTCATCCTTAACAACCCACCAGCTGATCAATAACAACACATCACCAAGTTATCGCAGTTTGTCCTCCTTTTCTTCAACTTCGTCTGGCCTATCACTTCCTCATCTCCGTACCTGGACCCCATCACAACAAAAGAAGGTTCATTTTGAACCCTCTGTAGTCATCTTGGATGCTTGTTCTCGTGGCGATAAAGAGGAATTAATGATGACCAGCACTTCGAAATTGATAGATTTAGATACAATCAGAGATGGTCAGAACAACAGGTCTCTATTACATATCGCCTTATTGAATGGACATGAAGATTTAGTCAAATATTTAATAGTAGATCGAAAAATGGATATTAATAGTCGAGATAATGATGGTATGTGTGTGTGTGTGTGTGTGTGTGTCTAAGAGAAAAAAGTAAATAATTTACATGAATATAAATATGTATTTGTATATCTATACATAGGCTGGACTTGCCTTCATTATGCAGCAGCGTTAGAATTATGGAATTCTGTAAAATTTCTAGTATCAAAAACTGAATGTGACGTTAATGCATTAACAAGGCATGGATTAAGAGTAGAAGAATGTGCAACTTCAGAAAAGACTAAAAGGAAAAGTAAATTGGTTATTCAGAAAGTATTACAACGACGATAGTAAAAAAAAAAAAAGGAAAAAGAAAAAAAAATGTATAAGTGTATATTATTTATTTATTTATTTGTTTCTCTTTATTGTATATAATATCCTTCCCCCTTCCTTTTTTTTTTCTCAAATATGAAACACTATATACAAGTTTCTTCCTCTCTTACTTTGCCTCCTTTCCCCTTTCCACCCTTTTTATTTTATGTCTGTGCAATTTTTTTTTTAATATAATCTCCCTATACGTAAGCTTATATTCATTTATATATGCACACATGTTCTTGATCATTTTTTTTTTAATTACAGAAAGAAATGGGTATGAATACGACTTGAATCATGTACATTCATTTCATATAGTTTATATTGGTTAAGTTCTTGTTTAATTTGACCAACAAGGTAAGGATTAAGACGAGTACAGATGGCTTCAGGATTTGATCCACGATCATAGTCAGTAGCTGCATATGTCTCATAAACATCAACCCAAGAATTAAACCTCACTGTATTCCTTTGTTGATCAAATAAAGTGATGTTTGAATGATTTGACTGACGATGCTGCTTCATTTTAGCTATAATAGTAGACTGTCTTAGAGGATAAACTAAAGTTGATGTACTATTGTTTTTATGAAAATCGACAGAGGGATTATGATACCATCGTGATGTAAAGTCAGCATGATGAAAGACGGGTAAAGTAGTATTCGATTGCATGTGAGATCGTTTACTGAAGAAGACTTGTTTTATCTTTGATTTCCAGTTGGATAATGTTGAGGATGTATTTTTATTATGAAGTCGTGTGGCATGAACGGGTTTGTCATGGTAAAAAGAAGACATGATAAAAGGGTCAAAGAAATCATCCAAAGTGTGTTTATCATCAAATGAATGCTCTATTTCTTCTAGTAACCATGCTTGATGTGGATCTGGAATGTCCTTTATAGTAGAGGCACTTTCAATATCATCATCTACTTTTGTTTTATAAAAGTCCTAATTGACTCATGTTAGTTTACTTGAATCTTTTTTCATATCATTCATAGTATTACATGATCAAATGACGTTAAATCTGTACTATTGATATTAGAAGTCATGTAAAAAAATAGAATAAAATAAAAATAACAATAATAGTAACCAGATACAAACAAAAAAACAAAAAAAAAAGGTAAAAGAATACAAGATTTTATAACAAGGACTTGATCATATCTATCTTACCCCTTTTATACATAACAAAGCACTTTCCCCTCTTTCCCTTCCTCCCCCTTCTACAAATACAGAATGACTAACAAATTTACTATTTTTTTTTAAGTTCTTGTTCAATTACTTTCTCGACTCTCTCTTTTGCTTTGGTAAGCACTTTTCTTTCTTTCTTTATCTATTGCAAATAAGAGACTATAAAGTAAAACTCTTGTTGATTTGATATAAAATACTTTTTCTTTTCTTTTTTTTTCCCTTTAGTTTACAATTAGAGTTTAACTTATGTATATATTCATTTTTTAAAAAAAAGAAAGAAAAGGGAATAGAGACTGAAAGGTTGATTACAGTAATTGAGATACATCTTTCCTGTCTTACTGCAAGCGGTAGTTTGTGAATAATAACACAAACTATTTATCTTTTCATATTTATAATGTCCCCTAGAAAAGTATTCATAAAAATATACACATATATTTATATCTATTTTTCAGGTATAATGATAATAACCCTACAAATCTATTGTTCTCGTATAAACAAGATTTAAGAATGGTATCTACTTTAGTTAATAAAAGGCAATTTTGTCTATACCCTTTCAAGTATTACTAATGAAAGGCTATTTCGTATTTTATGCTGGACAACAATGCTAATGTTTATTATCCTATATAAACTCAGCGTCTATTGTTCTTCGTTTCGTATTGACGGAAGTGTACCCCGACAAAAAAAAATATAATAAAGAATAATAAAAATTCGTTTCAGAAGAGAATACCTGCAGTAATAAGGAAAAAAAAAAATCAGTTTATGATATAGTAAGAAATAATACTCGTTGCTACTAGTATTTCGAGCTTGTTACGTATTTTATAGCCATTTTAAAATTAATAAAGAGATTATTATTATTGTGTTTGTTAGATTATGACGCTGCCAAAAATATACTGCATGTTTTACACAAAAGCATCTGTTTTGGCCGCGGATTTATTTTTTGTTGTTACCTCTTCACCAAGGCATCGGCTATATAATAAAGTCTTGATACTTGCCAAAACCAAAAGATCGCTAATACACTATCATTTTTACAGCGCCACGCTACAAGATATTATTTACTCTTCAACTCGACCAAAAAAAAAAAAAAAATAAGGTACTTTATAACAATCATTTTTTTTTCTTTCTTTTTCTGAGTTTCTCCGGTAGCCATTTTATATTAGTATAAAGTCAAGGATTTCCAAGCACTTTATGGGCAACTATGTTCCATCTATTCTGGTTGTCTTTCATCTGTTTTACTGTCTTCCTTTTCTTATCATTCCTTCTTCTTTACATTATTCTCCTTGTTTTTTTTTTGTTTAGATAAAGTAATAAAAATTCAATCCAGTCAAATAAAAAGTAGCAAATAAGTAATATAATCAAAAGCAAGTAAATCACGTTCTTTTAATATTAAATATGTATCTTTCATTTTTATACAATGAAAAAAAAAAAAAAATGAAACTAAATCACCGAATTTATATTGTTTGTCTTACTTATTTGGTTTATCATTGTTCCTAGTCGCAAACTACCACCTTCGTTTTTTTTTTTTTTTTTTGGGTGGTATAAAAAAAATTCTGTTGTTTGTACCTACTATTTATTATTAATTCTTTTTCCCTTTTTTTTTTCTTCTTCTTTTATTTACTTACAATAATAATCATGTCTACTACTAAACTCTATACTTACGAAGAAGTTGCTAAGCACAACAATAGATCTGATCTTTGGATAATTATCGAAGGAAAAGTTTATGACATTACAAAATTCCAAGATGAGGTATATAGAGAGATGACAGAGAAAAAAAAAATTTTTTTTGACATTTTCTTTTTTTTTTATTATAGCATCCTGGTGGTGAGGAAGTTTTACTTGATGAAGGTGCAAAAGATGGTACTGGTGCTTTTGAAGATGTTGGTCATTCAGATGATGCTCGTGAACTTTTAAAGAAATATTATGTTGGTGATGTTGATCCTAACGTAAGTTTATTGGTTTAAGTTTCGTATTTGTGGTTTTTTTTTTATTCATATCATACCCTTTTTTTTTTTTAAAAAAAAAAATAGTCCAAGCCTATTAAGGTGGAAAGACCTGTTGAAGTAATTCCTGAGAGTCCAAAGGGAAAGTAAGTATTATTTGTAAATGTTTTGGGTGTGTATATAGCTTACTCATTTTGTATGTATGTGTGTGTGTGTGTATACATAATAGTCCTTTCCGTATCTTGATTCCTTTTGTCTTAATTGCTGCTTATGTTTATTATAACTTTATTTTATAATACCTATGATTACGTAATAAAAATACATGTTACTATAGTATAGATGTAAAGAAAAAAAGGAAAAGGAAAAAAAAAAGTATATATGAATGTACATGAAACAATAAAGTGGATGCATATATTTGGGTTTTTTTTTTTTAATAATACGATTAAACATTTTTTTATTATTTTTATAAATTAAAATTTATAAAGCGACCTATGGGCACATAATATGTTTGTTATATTGGATTGCCCAGGTCAGTTCAAATGATGTGAAAAAAAGTATCTAAAAACCCTCTTACGGGACAAGAGGTAAAAAGGTAAAGGAAAGGAAGAAGAGAAGGTGAGAAAGAAAGGGGAAATATTGCTAACAAGTTTAAAGGGACAACCTAGTTGAGTAATTTCCTGCCTGGATCAAGAAGTGGAGGAGACACTCTGCTTACACTTTTTGGACGAAAGGAAAAATAAAATCAGACGAAAAAAAAAATGAGTTCAGACACTTTGATGGTAAATTTTCAGACTAAGGATTATAGCTATCATGTGGGCTACCGATGGAGTCCATCCAAATGTGTCGTTGTTGCGCCTCCCAATGATGATCACCAATATAACCTATATAACACACCTCTACCTCGTGAACCCTCTTTTGCATACTTAGGCATTCCTATAAAAGCTGGCGGTTCTATTGATACTGCTGCTCTTATTAAACAAAACACGGCTAAAGCGCGATCTTCAATGAACCAGATAGCTGTTCTCGGTGTCAACTCAAAAGGTTTCAGCCGTCTCCTTTCAGTTCGTTTTTATGTTCAGATGATCAGATCACAACTGGAATACGGCCTTGCCATCGCTGCTCTCAACGGTTCTCACTTTAAGCAACTAGAAGCCTGCCAAAATGAATGTCTTCGTTGCATATTTGGCGCCTCCCTGCGATCCTCTACTAAAGTGATGCTTCACATGATCCATCAACCGTCGATGATGAACCGATCCATAATACTTCAAACAAAATACCTAGTACGATCCATGAATTTACCTGATGATACTCTGCTCTCCAAATTACTACCCCACTTGGAGACGTCTGCAAGTCACTTACAATGGTGCAAACTGACCAAGAACTTTTTATGGAGAGAATGCGCCCGCAATTTGGATAACCTTACCAAAAGTAAGTTTAAGAGAATACAGCACGACTTTCTACAACAATATCATGAAACACTTTGTACTGGCCCAAATACTAAGCTGCTTGCCGTCTGTCGTCCAACGTTGACTCTAGATCCTCTCCTTTGGTTGCCGATGTCCAAAACCCAGCGCAGTTAGGTTATACGTTGGCGTCTCGGATGGCTACCTGGTGGTATATCTCGTCCCTGTATATATCACCCTTTCGAACATTTTACTCGTCACCATGCCATCATTTGTCTCCACATGCATCATCAGCTGTTATTACCGACGTCGATTGAAGATCCTCTCTCCTTCTTACTGAATCTTTTGCCTACTAAAAAACCATCAACCGCACACCTTGCTGCTCCTTGGACGATTCGATGGCCAACGATTTGTACAATACTACATGAGATGGATCATATCTTCCATGGAAAACTCCCTCCTAACCCTCTTACTGATACTGGTGTTTCTCTCGTGAATTGGTTGCTCAACTAACAGTATTTATACTCCTGCACAATCGCTGAATTTTTCCTTTTTTTTTACTATCAACTTTTAGACTTTTTTCATTTTCCCTCTTGTCTCTTAAGAGGTTTTTTCTTTCTTATATATACTACTCGAACTAGCTTGGGCAAAATCGCAGATGAAAAATGCACTGTACCCACCTGGCCATAAAAAAAAAAAAAAAAAAAAATTAAAAAAAAAATAATAAAATAAAATTCATATTTTAATCGTAAGCTTGAGTTGTATTTTACTCTTCATTTCTCGCTATACACACTACTGTATTTTTAACATGGTATAAACTGTAATTTCTAGTAGAATATGCATACTGAAAAACAGTTGTATGAAGAGTATTTTTTTATTACTTGATAAAGACTTCTTCAAGATAGCTATCTTTTTACAAGGATCAACGTAAACTTGATGATAATAGCCCCATACTATGATCCTGAAAAGGCTCAGGAGATCCTTCAAGTGTTATCATTTGCTTTATCCTATATTCAATTCTTTACAGATATCTTGAGCCGACTAACCTTACCATCAACATAATGGTAGACTGATAAATATTTAGATTATTTTAAGCTGGCCTCTTTGTGTAGCTATCTGTACTAATCAATTCTAGCCCGACTACAAATGTCTAGCAAGGTGGCTGGCTAATCCTTTACCTTCTCTACTCAAATCATTTTCGTAATAAACGTAATTAGAAAGCCATTTACTCGTACAAAGCATTTCCTCTACTTCTGCATGTGTTATTCATATGTGATATATTCTTTGAAGCTTGATTACCCTTACCATGGCACCTCTTAGTACTGGCTTGATTCAGTGGTTTTACAGTAATTAATCTAGTATCTGATCATACAGTTTCCCTTCTTTATCTTTTTCCTATTTTAACTATCAAAAGATTTTTTTTTTTTATCTGACCTGGACAATAACAATATTATGTGTTGAAATCTTTTTTTTCAATAAAAAATATTTAATCGTAATTAAAAAAAAAAAAAAAAATAATAGAATAGATTTTTTTTTCTTTTGCTTTTGTTTTTGTATGCGTTAAATAATGTCTACCGATGAACCACCAGCTATTCTTTTACGTTGGTGTAAAGATCGATCTGGCATTCGGCTTAAACCCAACTATTTCAAAGCTTGGTACGATGCCAGTACAATAAAATCAACAAGCACAACAGAGGCCCTCTATAATGATCTCATTAATGACTTTCTTCATAAAGATATATCAGAGACTTCAGAATCCGTGATTGAAGATAATTTTGGGCAATCAGTCGTCGATATCTTTCCAGCTACTCACTTACGCTCGGATGGTGTTGTTTTGCAGATCCAAGACACAATCGACATTAGTAATTCTGCTTATTCACTTTTGAACAATTTAAACAACCTGGTGCCAGTACGACATACCTATGTTGAGCGCAGCGCCAATGAAGAAGTCGAGTTTTCTAGAGGTATGTTACGTTGGACGTTAACGGATGGAACAAAGCAAATTCAAGCAATGGAGATGGAAACTATACATGAATTAGATCTGAAAACACCTTTTGGTTGCAAAGTAAATTATTGATAAAAAAAAAAGCTTTCATTTCTAATCTAATCTAATCTAATACAATACATGTATACATACATACACATGTATATTTCTAGTTGCTTATTAAGAATTGTCAAGTAAGAAGAGGCATGTTATTACTAAACAAAAATAACGTAAAAGTTTTGGGAGGCAATGTCCCAGAATTATATGGAGGCAATATGATAAATGAATTAGAAAGACGATTGAAGGCCAAACTTGGATTACTTGTTGAAGAAGATAATCCACCTACAAAATCAAATCATTTGATGATAGAAAATCGCTCACAACCAACTATCACACGAACTATTCAAAGCCCTGATCTTGTGGATGAAATTGAAGATTTTGATGACGATGATATTGATTATAGCATGCTTGAAGCCTTTGAAAATAGGATGGACGTTGATAAAGTGGTTGAATCAATAGAGAATCATGCATTAGCGATACCCTCTGATGATCCTATATTGGACAATGATGATTTTATGGACCCACCTATATCACCACGTAGAACTGCTCAAGAGGTTTCAATGCAATCTCTTTCCCCATCTAAGCGCATGAGAACTGAATCAGAAATAATGGCCTCACAAGAGGAAAGTCAAGAGCTGTCATGGGTAGATGCAAGTGTATGGGATAGTATGAATGAATTAGAAAAATGTCAAGCTATTATGGAAGTGGACAAAGATGGTAAAGCACATTGTTCTTTTGAAGTTCTTCAAAAGACTTTGAAATCAATGGAACAACCTAATTATGCAGGTCATGTAGCTGATACAGTCATTGTCAAAGTGAAATGTATAAAGCTAGCTACATTACGTATGTCAACTATTCATGGATTTTATTTAGAAGTAGAAATAGGAGATCCTGAAGATAAAGTGAAAGGAACTGTTAAAGTAGTTTTTAACAATGAGGTAGAAGTGGGACAAAAGATTATATATATTTTTTTATACTTATTAAATAATGGATGTCTTTAGATTTTAACAAGATTACTTGGAGTTAAGCAAAAAGATGTAATTGAATTAAACAAGACAGGTGGTAAGAAGGCAGTAGCAAAACAGGTAAAATAAAGTTCATATTTACATGTTAAAGATAAAAAAAAATTAACTCTTTAATATCCAGATTTTTAAACCATTTGAAACAAAAGTAAAGTCAACATTGGCAAAGTTAGAAATTGATTTAACAGTGCTTGAAAGTGAAGCCTCTAAAGAAGGATCAGATTCCAAGTCATTAATGCCACTTGTCATCGGATATGAACCATGTACATAAGCTCCTATACCCACTCCCTCTTCCTCTCACTCACTCACTCACTCACTCACTCACTCACTCACTCACTCACTCTCACTCTCTCTCTTTCTCTTGCTATATTTATGTAAATAAATAAAATCATTTTATTATCTCTTTTACATCAAGCCTAATAATATGGAGTTATTTACTGTATTTTTGCATATATTTATGAAAGAAATAGCTTTATTGACTTTATTTTTCAATAACAATTGGTAACCCATTATTATACATATTTTGTTGTTGTTGAACAAATCTCTGTTGCTGCTCTACAAAGAATGTTGCTGTCTTTGATTTAGGCTTTACCAAGATTTGTTGTGCACTGTTGACATAGATAGTAGATGCAAAGATGTCTGGTGATACAGAAGAGACACGTATATTAGGTAACAATAAGTTACCCGTCTTTAAAGGAATTAGCTTTATAGGGAAATCCATGATTTGACCGGGTTTAGATAAAAACCGAAGTCTTCTTTTACCACTCAGTAACCAATTATCATAATCTACATCAATGTCATAATAGTAATAGGACTCACTGGGTGATGGATCCCAATATGTAAGTTGTTTGATACGTAATGTACAGGAACAAGCTTCAGATACAAGTAAATCTTTTTCAACAGAAAGAATAAGCTCAGCTGTATGTATGATCTTTTTTGTAGGAACTTCAAGTGGGAATGTGATGGAATAAATTGGTGGATGATGGTATTTTTGTTTAATTTGTTGCATTGTAATAGCCACATTTTGCTAAATAAGGCCAAAACGAATAAGTTTTTTTTTTTTTTACAAGATGAAAGGAAAAGAAAAAAATAATTATGCATAAATATTACCTCGAAAAAGTCTTCTATCAAGTCTAATAATTGTACTTTTGTCTTGAGGTCTCTATTTAATAAAAAGGATTCACATAATTCAACATCAAAGTTATCCAAGTGAACTACATCTGTTAATCCATAACTTGAATAATCTACAGAGTCTAAAAATGCCTCCTTTATCTTTTGAAATACATAAGGTGTATGTTGATCCAAATCAAATGCTTTCAATTTCTCCTTCAACATGATCTGTAAACTATTTTCAACCTCTATTCGCAAAGAAAGAAATATACAAGTAGATTGTTAAAATTTGACAATTAAGTTTCATTTAACAATAAGATAGTTTTTACCATTCTTTAGAGTTCGATATTTAACACTGAAATATATTTTAGAATTGACGTCTTTTATGTCATCTTCATCTTCCCTTTTCAAAAGTTTATAAATGAATGTTACTGTTTGTCGAGGAAATAGTGTCTAAAAATATATAAATATATTAATTTGTTAAAAGAATAAGAAGAAAACAAAAAGACTGCTTATATTCGATTTACCAAATCGCATTGTTTCATTTCTGATTGACTTTCGACTACATAAAAAGTAGATGGTTTTGCAAACGCTCCAAGAATACGCACAGGTAAATCACCATTACAAGCAAGCTCTACTTTTAAAAATATACTAATAACCAAATTAATATACTTAAATATATTTATGCATATATATATATATATATATATATATACATATACTTACCAATTTTCTCTAAATATAGTGGATTCAGTTACAAGTAAAGGCATGGTGACTCTTACATAGTCTGAAGAGATAAATTTACATTCCTTATCCTCTTTTGATTCATATGTGACAGTTGACTTTATCTAATTTGAACCAGAACTTATCAATTTATGCATTATAAAATACAATATTATATAAATATATATGGTTTACCCTATAATCAAATTCTGTATACGGGCCATCATATTTGACAAAAACTTCTAATTGGTCAAGAGGATAAAGTTCAGGCAAAGTAATTTCCCCAGTTGTTTCTGACATCTTCAATTCAATCTCTTTTTGCTCTTCTTCATTATGTCGCAAAATACCCTTTACTTGATTTGTACGAATGATTTCCATACCTTCTGTTTGGGGCTCTAGTAATAGAACACCTTGTTTGACATGACATGTTCGACTATCTATTTGAACTGATATTTTCTGTCTTTCTCCTAAACATACATCACAAGGTTGTTGTAGAGACAAATAAAGTTGATTTATATCATGATTTAATCGCATTACACGTTTCTTTTGTCCAGGACGAAGGAAGTTGTGACTAAATACAAGCTTTCCTATTTCCATTTCACACATTTCTACAACATAATTACCAGATGTTGATACCTTTAAAATGTCAGTATTTAATAAATAATTGTAATTTCTTTTTTTTTCTTTTTCTTTTTACCTTGCTTGTTAATAAAAAGGTATTTTTTCCGGGTAATAAATCTTGATTAGCAGTTGTAAACCAAATTTGTTCAGGATCACTGCCTACTAATCTTAATGAAATAGTATCATAATATATTTTCTATTATATCAAATTTAGCAAGGTCCTTTGGTCATTTTTCTTTCTTTCTTTCTTTCTTTTTTACCTTAGGCAAGCGGTTATAGATACACACTTCCACACTTGTACTAGGAACTGATATTCCATCAATAATTGAAATAACAGAGATTTCAAAAATTGGCTCAAAGGGTCTTTTAATAATTTTATCCAACTTGATTACATTAGTCAACATCTCATTCGTATAATGTTCAGCTGTTTCTGAATCTTGACTATTTTTCAATAGAGCCAAAACTGATTCCACATACTGATCAATGCGTCCTAAACGTCGTTGAGCATCCGCACACTTAATCAGCAAACTGTTTTCAATTGCATTCCAACCATCTTCTCCATACCGCCAAATCATAGATTCAAAAATTCGAACACACTCTTCATCTTTCCCACGTACATACTTTAAAGCCGCAATGTCACCATGTACAGAAAGAGCAGCTCGGGCACGATTGCTTTGATCATAGCATTTGATGACGCGGGTGCTTAGTCCCATATAGGCTTTATCAAAGGCCTCAAGCGAGGCCATCGCTTCTAATAACTTGGGGTTGGTGATAGCTATTTTGTCGTTATTCTCTGAGTTATCCTCTGTCATATAAATTGAAAATGGCTCTGTGTTTGGCAAATGACCCCATTTAACTCCTAACTTATCAAGCTGACGTCGTGCAGTCAACAATAGATCTGCTTTGACTGCATGATATGCCTTGTCGTCTTCCCCTAATGGTTCACATTCGTTCACAACATTCATACAAGCCGAGAATACCCAAGACTCTAAAAAATGCTCCGGCAAGGCATTTTCACGAATGGATGGTATAAAGGATGTAATAAACAGTTGAGCACGTGCTAACATCTCTACTACCCTTTGTAACTTAATCAACATACGGCATTGCCTTGCAAATAGATAGCTCCTAAAATCAAAGACCGAGATAATGTTCTTGTTGATTAGATCGCGGTAGTTTTTGCGCTTAAAGTCGAGGATATTACCACTATCGTCATAAGCATCTGTACCGCCAAAGTGACCAAACCAAGCTAATGCCTTATCACGCAAGACTTGAAAAAAGGAGGCTTCGAGTTCATCATATTGGATGAGAGCATCTTCATAGAGAGTCATGATTTCATAAGCTTGTGCAAGCCCTTCCTTAAGAATGAAAAAGGTACAGTAATTCCAACCAGGCATATGCCGCTGCATGTCTAAACGTCTTGTGTCTTCTTGTATTTGAAGGACTTGCATGTCGAAGCTGGATAAAATACATTCTTTCATTTTCTCAATAAACGACGACCAAAGCTCGGACTGCGGGCCTTCTGGATCCTTTTTACGAATATAAGCACATCTAAAAAAAAAGAGAGAGAGAGAGAGAGAAAGCGTGAGGATAAGAACAACTCTATTTTAATAGGATAATACTACATTGCTTTATCAATTGTTTACCTATCTTGTTTAGGTGGATTAAAATCTGTTTTGATTTTATCATAGATAGAGGATTTTAAACCTAAATAATTATTTGAACGTTTCGCTTCTGTATCTGCTACATAAACAATTAACCACTCTTGATTCTTTTTCGTTTGCATCATTTCAACCCATTGACGAATATTCTTTCTAATTTTTGATTTATAGACTTCATTATCCTAATGTAAAAGTTTATACATCAAAATGTGATTTTTTTTTTTATCTCAAAAAAAAAAAAAATACGCTTCTTACATCGCAAGTTACAAAATATAAATTTAAATAAACAGTTTGTGTAGCTGTTAGAGATGGTGGTGTAGGATCGATTGTGAACCGTTTCAAATCGACTTCTAATAAAGGAATAATGCATTCAGCACGTTGACTGGACGGTTGCCATTTTAGATGGCGAAGTGGAAGTCGAGAACTCAAGTCATCTGCAATTAACGGCCAAACTTCATATTCATCACAATCTAATGAAATCAAAAAAAAAAAAAAAAAAAAAGCCTTAATATTCAAATATCTTTCAATATAAAAATGAAACCTCTTTATTACATGTTACAGTTAATTTTTGTCCACTCATTCAATCAAAACTATTGATGAAAAAGGTACAAAAGAATAGTTTTGCAAATAAAATGCTACTTTATTCTGTTTGCTGACTGCCTTTTAATTTTTATCCCTCCCCCTCTTTTTTTTTTTAAACACATAAAATGTCTTCTTTATTATTATTATTATATATTATGCCAAGAATCTTCACTATCTGAATTATCTTGAGTATCTTGAATTTTATCTTTACGGGAATCATGAAGATGAGAAGAAGATATAATACTGACAGTTGAATTTATATTATCATTTATCATTACCTATATTAATGACAATATAAGCTTCTTGATGAATTAAAATCCATCTAGTTTTACTTACATTCTTATGATGTATGATCTGCTGATTTAGTGTCTTCCATACTGAAGTTCTATCCTCGATATGCTTTATTTTTACATTCCTATATAGACATTAATTATAATCTTGTATCATACATTGATAATATATTTTTATATATATACGTACTCTAATTCTTCTTGATGAAATTTTTCTACTAACTGATCAAATAATTCACTGTTTATTTTTTCCAGTAGTTCAAGTGCATTATACACAAGTCCATAGATGGCTTGATTCCAGTGATCTGTCTTTTGATATAATGATGGGAAGATGATAGGCATAATAACTTTACTATAATCATGTATCACTTGTATCACATCTTCATAGGTATAGAAATAGAGTGCCCGTTCTGCTACTTGAAAATGACAACTATCAACACAATTTGCCAGCTTTGTGAAAAAGGGAATCATGACTTCTAACAAGGCATCTTCATTCACAGTCATGATAATTTCCTCGAGTTCTGTCAAAAATAATACTTCCTTGGAGCTATTTAATTTAGGCCAATAGCGCAAGAGCCCTCTAATTACGCCTGAAGCTAACTGAGGTTCCTTCTCAAGAAACTGTACAACACAATAGGTTAGTTGGGGACCATAACTGGCCAATGAAGGTGATGTATGTAATGGTATCAAGACTTTTAAAAGAAATGTTTTGTGTTCTTCTTTAAGTGGTAAAGCAAATCCATTAATAATACTGCCCAAAATCTCCAAAAGTTCAGAGATACCATTAAAGCGAAAAGTTTCATAAATGAACTGGAAAAAGATATGATTTATGGAACGTCGAATAAATGCACGTAATCCGAGGATTTTGCCATAGATACGATGAAGAATTGTTTTAAGAAAGTCACGTTCACGGGGATCTTCACTGTCAAATAATTCGAGCAACTAATAACATTCTATTTTAGTTCACAATTGCTTTTTTTATTATTATTTTGTATCAAGTACTTACCTGAAGAATAAACTTTTCATTGATGAATTTTTTAGCAATATGAGGATTGAATTTAGGTGATTCAAGAAATCTTAAAAATAGTTCATAAACAAGTTGTAGATGTGGCCATGTTGTTTCTAAAGCAGAATCATCACTTTCTGGATCATAGTTTTCTTGGAAAGTATTTGACATTTGTAGTGGTGGTGGTGATATTGTACGAAAAGCATTTACAGTAAACTATGTTTATACAAAAAAATTACAAAAGTGATTTTAGTTCATGTACAGTTTTTTTTTTTAATATATTACTATTACCATTTGAATAAAATGAGGATAGATTGCATCTGAAATAGCCTCTTTGGAAGTAGATATATATTCCAACATTTCCTGTAATTCTTGCCGTTTTATTTCTTTATTTCTCAATTCTGAAGTAGAGTCATTAAAATCAAAAATGATTTGACATTGTTGTAATTTTAATATAAATAATTCTTGACGTTTTGAAGGTGGGACCTCTTGAAATATATTATATTAGTGGGTTCTTAATTGTATAAATAAGGTATGTGTGTATGTATGTATGTATGTGTGTGTATGAGTGTGTGTGTGTTTTTATTTTTCATTACCAGTGAAACGAAGATTCTTTTCCAAGTGATGCTGTTGCAAAGTGGGCAGATTAATCCTTGAAGAACGTTGACGACGCGGTGTACGAAGGGGTATTTCATCTTTAGGTGTATCATTTAATATCTTGTTTGTCACTTTTGCTGATCGGTTCGTAACATCGTCTGATTTTATTTGTTCTGGCTGAGATTTACTAAATGACAGACGTATTGAAGAAGAACGGGTCTTATTATTATTATTATTATTAACATCGTGTGATTTCGCTAATTTCTCTTTATTGTGTGATTTATTTCTAGAAAGCTTTAGATATACAAATATAAAAGAATGTCAACTATATACTATAAATGTAAATAACACAAAACTTTACAACTCCCTTAAGTCCTTTTATCATCCTGGATAATAATAGAAGGCCAAAGCTGAAAATTTCCCGGTTTTTATATGGATAAAAAATAAAAAAATAAATAAAATAAATAAAATAAAATAAAATAAATAAAAAATAAAAAAAATAAGCAATAATTACAAATACGCATTCTATATACTAGTTGTAGGCTTGTAGATAAATTAGATTATCTATTTGTGTGTGTAAGCTTTTTCTTTTTTTTTTTTTTTTCCTATAATACTGTCCAAACACTGGTTGTTTTCATGACAAGTTTTTAACTTAAAATAATAGTACAATTTTCTTTTTTCTTATTCTTCTTTTTCTTTCTTTCTTTAGATTTAGTATTTGTTTATGGTTTTGAGATAGACTACAAACTACTCATTTTAAAAGAAAGTAATTAAAAAATTATCTAATTTTGAATGTTCTTTTTCTTGATATCTCGAAAAAAAGAAAGGTCTAAACAAAATAAACTAAGCTGGATAAGGTATCGAACACATTCATTAACCAAATTTCGTAATATATTCGTTTGCTAGAGCATTTATAGAATATTATCATGATGTTCTAAAATAAAATGTATATCAAAAGAACAAATATCATTTTTTTTTTGTAAGTTTTTTATAAGCTTCACTATGTTGAATATAGTTTTCCTTATTTAGAAGGAAGATTCAAACTTTTACATAATGTACATTTTATTGTTAAAATTAGCTTATCAAATGAATCTTTTTATTAGTATTCTCTTTTTTTTTTATTTTATTCTTGGACAAGCAATCGTAGTGAAACTGTTAATATTTTAACTAACCTCACTAAACTTCCTCACAAGCCTTTCATCGATGCCTGTCAGTTATTGCTTAATAAATTAGCCATCACTCTACAGTGTTGAAGTCAAAGTTAAATTTGCTCCAAGGACCATCATTTTAGAACGTCTAAAGTATAGAGCTCTAAAAGTTTGCAAGAAGGTGGATAGGCAAGGCAGCTAACTGCAATATTTATCCAGCGAAATGCACTTTTACAGATGCGCAATAGGGTAGATTAAAACTTAGTAGAGGGTTCAGCAACGTTCATGTTGACTGTGTTGAAAGTCAACAGAGTGGGTATGCTGATGTTTTGCCAACTAAGAATAAGATATAATAATAATAAAAAAAAAAAAAAAAAATAGAATGCTTGATCCAGCTACAGCAATCATCAGGTGTTATTTGTTTTGCCGATTCAGTGATTCTGGAACTAAAATTATCTGTAGAAGAAAGGCAGTCTCTTTTTACGCCAGCTTTCAGCTTTGACCAAAGTAGTTCAATCAGATTTAGGAAGGGAAAGTATGGTGGTAAATAGACGGGTACATATCCCCTAGAAACAATGAGTTCAGATACTTCAGACACTTGATGAATAGATGGATTGTCCATGATAATATATCTTTTAACCATATTGTGATTATCTAGTGTATCCATAACACCAGAGATGAACTGTAGAAAATGCTCACTGCGAGTTCCAACTCTTGCATTTACATCAATAACCTCAGCAGTTTTACCACCATTTTTTTTCTCTTTTTGTTTGAGCCATCCCTTTATAAACACGTTTTGATTTCCTCAAGGTCAAATCAATGATGCCTTTCTCACAGATTGCTCCAATAATTGTTATTGTGATTCCTCTATTAGCAGGAAGAATCTGTTTTGCAGGTGTACCTATTTTAGACCTGCCAAATTTTCGTCTAATATGCATGTTGAATCAGGCTTCATCAATAAAGACATAGTTTTTTAGACCAATCCATATTTTCATCTTTAGTCCACTCTAAAACTGTTTTTCTTCGCTTTTCCAAAGTTCCTGAGACGTTCTAGAAGAAATCACTGACTCTAACTTTTTCAATGTAAGTGAAGCATGTTTAACTAGGTGATTGTGCAAAGAAGAGAGACTAATAGATTCAATGTTGTTGAAAGTAAAAAGTAGCGTACCTCTTGCCTGCCGAAGAACAGCAGTAGCATTTTTTACATAGAATTCACATAAAAAGTCTGTATGATGACTATTTAGCTTTTTGCTATAGCCATAATGCAATTTTTTTCCCAGGGAGTCTCTTCTGCTCATCGTCTTTGTATTGCTTCACATAATTTTGAGCTGTTCTAACAACAATACCTACTGTGAAACCAGCCTGTATCGTCGACATTTCTTGCTCTATAACAAGATCAAGAAGCTCTTTGATCTTGGATCTGAGTTGGAGTATAGAATCGGTAAGGTCTCCTGGTTCCTGAAGCAGCTTTAAATGAAATTTTTTTTTTCTCTGAATTGCGTTTAGGTAAAGCAGTGGGGAGTATGTCTTCGTCAGTTATTTTTTTATCATTATAATTTGCCTGGTACATATCTAAATCCATAAATCTCTTAATCTCTGGTTCGTCATTCTTCTTCTGGATTTGATCGTCAACACCAGGTTGCCAAGAATGCCACACAATCGAGGCAATTTCATACAAATCTAATTGTGTGGACTCTTCAACATCCATGTGATCGGGAACAGAGATCTCATCATTAACATTAAAACAATGCATAAATTCAGATGGTATATCCATTACAGACATGCTAAGTTTAAGTGAAAAGAGAAGGAAAAAAAAAAAGCATGAAGTGGCTTTTTATATTTTATAATTAGGTACAGTACTTTCATTCTTAATTTACCGATTTTTTTGAAAACTCTGCCTATGTTTTTGTGTGAGGTTAGATTACCCAGATGTTTGAAGCTAATTTGACCAGCTTTCTGAAAATAAATTGGTCAACAAAAATAATCAGTCGGTCACTTTTTGGTTATATTACATTTGATCATTTAGCAGCTAAATAGGAACATTATTTAGACAGCTCTCAAACTCAAAAAAGTGACCATATTCAAAAAAAGTGGCAAAAGCAAATCCACTTTAGCTGTCGACCAATAGAAATTATGTGCAACCAATGCAAGATGGAGGCAGTGACGTGGACAGAAACGGAAGGATGATAACTTTGCGTCCATCTCCTATCCATTTTTATTAGGATATCGTTATATACACTATACTTTTCACTACAAATAAAATTAGAATGACGTCAACGCAATATTTAAGCGCTACGCTTTCAACTTTTTTTTTCTGGCTTCGCATTTTTCAAGCTTTTTAATTATAATATCAATAAGATTTATTAAATTGAAGGTGTTGGATCCTTTGACTTGCTAGATCTTTAAATGGTATATTAACTCCTCCCTTACACATACCTGAAGGTAAAACATCTCTTATTACTCATGCTTATTTTTATAATGTACACTAACCTGATGCGTTGTGAATTTCTGTTTATGAACAGTGGTCTGAAATTATGAACTGCCAGAAAGCGTAACAAATTCGCAGCAACTTTAAGATGTTGGATTCTTTTGCTGTTCAAGAGGTGTTGGATCCTCTTGTTTGTTTCAATCATGTTGAATGCTTGCTCTTTTCAATTGCGAAACATCAATAGCGTTTAATAGATCAAAGGTGTTGGATCCTTTGACCTTTGAGGTTTTCAAATGTTATTCTGTCAATCATACTTGATTGAAGGTGAGATACTTATTACTTTTATTTATTTAAAGTACACTAATTCAATACAATGCAAAAATTGTTTTAGGATGGTGAACTTAGATAATAAATTGTGAATCGCTAGTAACAATTTCTTAACACTGGGATGTTGGATTCTTATTGTTCAAGAGGTACTGGATCCTCTTTGTTTAACTCTGAGGTGTTGGCTTCACTATGTTAAATTCTGAGGTGTTGGATCCTCTTTGTTTAACTCTCAGGTGTTGGCTTCACTATGTTTAACTCTCAGGTGTTGGCTTCACTATGTTAAATTCTGAGGTGTTGGATCCTCTTTGTAGTATCCTTTTTTAGCCAACTTTTGCTTTTATTTTAATATTTAGGTGTATACTATAATGTTTGAAGTAAGCGTACACATATCTAATTTCATACTACAATGCTTAAAGATAAGGCTAACTTTTTTTTTTCTAGGCTATTATATGTCTTTATGATGTATCTGTTTGTTTCTAATCTAATTTGAAATCGTATCTTAGGCTTTCTAAATTAGATTTCTTTATGAAATATAAAGGTAAATGCCATTCATATAATGCCTAATCTCGGTAATTATTAGACTAACACCTTTTAATTTTACTATCAATAAAAGATAGACACATTTTATTGAATTTATCTTTTAAAATAAATGACTATATACAATGTAAAAGGCAAATATAAGCATATATACTATTTACTTTATAATTACAATACTAACTTCTTTTAATCTAGGTAAATGAAAACTATTCTATACTTTACAGGATAACGCTTATAGATAAGATAGCCTTTTTTTTAAAATGGTAAGCAAATATATTTAACTATTATATCTTTTTATTTATTAATTATTTTTCTTTTTTTTATAGGCATTGCTCTTATTACGAAAGAAGCTGTATAGGATGTTTTGGCACATCTAATATACGCGTTATTCTGGTTTATTCTGTATTTATCTATTTATTTATTTATCTATTCTTATTTTTTTTGTAATATTCATTTTTATAACCATCTATTTTTTATATTTTTATACCTATTTTTATATACATTTTTTATAATCGTTTTTATATATGTAAATATTATACGTATTTTTATTTGTACTTCTTTAACCCAAAAAGGAAATAATAAAGGCTAATATAATAAAAAGAAAGGATATAATCGTTTTCAATAATAATATAAGCTCCATTAATAACTGTATTTTAAAGAAGTGTATAATGTGTCATATTAAAAGAATTAAAGAAGCGTTTAATTTAAATTTCAAAAGGCCAATGAAAAGAAATAAACCAATGAAGGTCTGTTTTACAGTCAAAGAAACTAGGTTAGGCCAATGAGAAAAAATTTGGTCGTTTCAAAATTGGATTGGGACACCAATGCAAAAATGGGACACCAATATGAAAGTGGGACATCAACATGAAAGTGGGATATATTGAGACACGCTTAGTTTTTGGACGAATGTATAAACAAGAAGCTATAATCTTGTTCCATTTAACAAGAAAGGCCTCTAATAGACTACCAGACTACTATGATGATCATCCAGATTAGGATATAATTCACCTAACTTGAATGGTCCCGGAACGAACAATCCTCATGGAGAATATCCCAGATTCGAATTACTTAGGACAATAAGGAGCATTTCTGTAAGTTTGATGGAGTGAGTGAACTATCGTTTTTGAAATAATAAAGCCAAGTAAAGTGATTAGGATACGTAGAATGTAGGGTTTTTATTATTCGTAAGAAAGAAAGACCTAGAGCCACCAGGTCTTGGTTACAATCATTATTTATACTCTGTAATATTGGGCTCCGTATGTAGTCCAGGTACCAGTGGATCAGAAAACCGACAATTTCATACGATTATATTCATACAAGTAACAAATAACGATAAATGTATATAAAGGAGATCATCTTGGATCAATAAAGTTCTTCAGTCAGTTTACATTGAATAAACACTCACACAAGCATCTAGATTAGCCCACTGTTTTTGTTTTTTCTTATATCTTTTTTATCTACCGATTTTACAAAATGACATCCCCTTTCTCCTATTTTAGTCATTTATGCTGATACCCATCAATTATTGGTCGAGAGTCGGCGACTCTGATTGTGTAACTAATTTTTCTTTATTATTTCGAATAAGATATAAAATAAATATATATAGATATATATATTTATATATATATATATATATATTTTTGTAATATGCGGATTATCAATAAAGGATCATAATTTCGGTAAAATAAATCTAAAGTAAAATAAGAAAAGAGAGAAAAGGGGAGAGAGGGACAATAAGAGTCGCCTCCTACTCCCAACAATGAAAGTGAATGTTTCATTTCACTCACACGAATAAATCATCAATGAATAATACATATATATCACAACTTACAATAAATTCATTAATTGTATTACAAATTTTCCGCCATGAAGGAAATGAAAATTAAAGATATAAATATAGAGCCTTTGAACTCTTAATTCATTCTTCATTCTAGGTTTTTTTTTTTTTTTTTTTTTTTTTTTTTTTTTTTTTTTTTTTTTTTTTTGTTAGTTCAGTTCAAGTGTATAGAAATGCTTCCAAAAAGAAAACCTGGTAAAGTATTTAAATTTGACGTATAGCTATATATCATATGTCTTACAATATACTTTTAGATCCTTCTGGGAGCAAAAATTTTGGAGATCCTAGACCAAGAAAAAAGAAAGGAAAAGAAAAAGGTATACTGGATGTATATATATAACTGAAATACACAAATAATACTAATCGTAGCATCATATTTTAGCCAAGGATGTTACTTCAAATATTCCTGCCGACTTTTTTGAGAATGAAGAATGTGAAGATTTCCAAGCTCCAACTGGCTTTCATCCGCCTCCCCCCCCCACTATAACTAGGGAACAACGCGACATCGAAAAAGTGACAAAATTATCTTCACAAATGCGACGTGTCACTGAGTCCGGTGAATCTAGTTCTTCTACCTCCATACGCCCATCCCGTCACATTATTCGCTCTACTGTCATTACTACTTTTGAAAAAGATGATGATTTTCAAGAACCTATTGCTCTTCAACCTCGTACTGCTCGCACAGAACACTCAGCTACTGCTCCTGTACAGGCTTCTACTCTATCTTCAGATATGTCAATGAAAATTAAATTACACTTTTGAAGTTTTACTAAACACTCTTTAATATAATACAGGAATAACACAAGAGTTCGAGAAAGTTGTTAGTCTCATTCCAAGTACACCTAGTGAATCCTCTAGTACTCCGGTGCATCTGTCTGAGAAAGTTAAAATGAAACAAGCGCGTTCCGAAGCCAAGAGGAAGGCTCGACAAGAATCTTCCACCTCTGAATCTAAGAGAAAGCCTAGTGTTGAAACGGCAGAGACTGAAGCCGTTGGTCCAAGTCCAAGAGCTAGAAGAACAAAGTTTGTCATCAAAACCAAATTGAAAGCTATGCTGAGGGCTGAAAACTTCAATCAAGACCAAAGAACATTATTTGTTACGGAGGTCCGTCGCGTTGTTCGTCATCTCAGCAATGTTACTTATGCAGCTTCATTATTTCTGAACTGGTTCTGTCTGAAACTTTCGAGGAACGGCGAGGCTATACCAAAACTGACTCACAAAAAACTATACAACTTTGCTGCTTTGTTTGTTGGTCAAGGAAAGAATGCCGATACCGAGATCGCTGAAGCTTTCTTATAATTTAGTAATGAAATGGGAGAAAATTTTAATAGGCAACAACAGTTCCCCCAACATTCAGTATAGCACACTAATCTCAATAGTCATGCGTAGCTTTGATACACTTATAGAGAATCATGTTGGAGCCAACTTCAAGCCAAAAACGTCGCGCTATCTCTTTACGAAGCTTTGTGACACAACTGAATTTCCAGACCTCCCTTTCTGAAATGGTGTCAAACGCGATCTAGCTGAGCGGGTATATAATGCTATCTGTACTAATCAAGAAGTAATTTACCCTGCTAATCTGGATGTTGCTGACACTCACAAAACCTCAATCAACAATCTTATTGATGAATGCCACCAAAGATTACATGGCTTGAACCTAACTGAAGCAGATTACTATGCTAAACCTCACTTGTATTTGCCGTAGTTATATCATGTTTTAGAAAGAATGGAGCAACAAGTCATCATTCGTGAGCCAACGTTGACACACGCCGTCTGATTTCTAATACACCATCAACAAGGACGTGTAACTGGGACCAGTTCAATAAAGCTTTGCGTTATATATTTCGGAACTTTGAGGCAATTAAAGGCTATTACACAACTGGGTTGAAAAAGCTCAAATATCACGGCTATAGAAACAAGCAAAAAGCATTGACCGAAATGTGTAAACGGTCGTTTACAGGTAGCTGAAAATACCAAGAAGGCAATCCTGATATACAGCAAGCAAATCAGCAAAAGATGGAAACCGTTAGCCCCTAGAGACAATGCCGGTGAAGCTGAAAGGCCTACTGTAGTGGCGTTTGGTTCTGCTCTGTTCGGTGAGCTTCGTGGGAATTTACCTTCTCTAACAAAGGTATTCAGAAAAGCCTTGATAAATTATGTCAAATCAATCAGACGCAACCAGCCAAATTCAAGAAAGTACGTCGTTATGATTGATGAGTATTTCACAAGTCAAATATGTCTCAGATGTCATACAAGAAGTACTTCCAACCAACGTGATAACTCCAATATGATGATCCATCCAGTTCTCAACTGTCAATCTTGTAATACTCTATGGAACAGAGATTACATGGCGAGTTTCAACATGCGCTCTATCTTTGCTCACAAGCTGAACGACACAAAAAAAACATGTTTTAGTCTAAAGACTAAAAAAAAGGTCGTTCAGTTAGGCATATATGTATACTAATTAAATTAGGGGTAAGGAATGGTGGTAGCCCCTTTCTCCTTTTTTTTTCTCCTTTTTTTTGTTATTTTATTTTATTTTATTTTATTTTATTTTATTTTATTTTATTTTATTTTATTTTATTTTATTTTATTTTTACAACAACCACCTATGACTGCTCTTTGGAAATCGTTGAAAGGAAAACTCGTTTGCTATAGTATGTGCCTATTAATATAAAAGTAATTTAGTATAGCTCTAACCAGATAGTTACAATAGATTATTGGAGCTCAACAAATTTTTCGGAATGGAGTCTAATAAACTTCTACCGAAGTTTAGTAACCATTGACCCGACCAAGCCAAGAAGAGAAGCAATTCAGCTTCTCAAAGTACTTGGTGCCGCCTTTGTTGATTCAAAGGAGTATAAAGTAATAGTTGGACTCCATGCTGCGCTTCGCAATCAAAACGATGCCCTCGATTATTTCTGGCACACCTCGTATCCAGAATTGCAAAAAAATGCTATTGATCACATTACTAATGTCGATAAGGTGGAGGCTGTTTTGGAAGAAGAGGCTGTGGAGAGATCACAAAGCAAGAAACGCATGAATACCCAACTAGAGACAAAAGGCAACAAAAGGAGACAGAAGGATAAAGCCACTGATAAAGCTACTGATAAAGTCACTGGTGATGCCACTGATGTTGAAAGCGATGGTATCATGATACCAAATTCCACTGTAAGCTTGGGTACCATAATCAAAAGGGAAGCCTTAAAACTACATCAGTTGTACTTGCAAAACCCTAAGCAGCTTACCGACCGCCAACGAAAAATCATGACTGCTGGATTTTCATCCATTCTTGATCTTTCTGACCAGTCATATTCATCTCAGCGAAAACTTTTTGATAATGATCAGTGGAAATATATTAACGACTACTTTGACAAGAAGCTCAAAATGAAGGAATACCCTTTGGATGCAATTGTCACAAATATCCTCATTATCATTAAGAACACGTTAGATCTATCGAACGATTTTAACGCTGTTAAAAGCTATATCGGAAAAATGAAAATCAAGCATGCAAGTGATATTGGCCTTACGAGGGTGTTTAGTATAATAAAGCACATACTCAGAACAATGAGTGATTATAAAAAGATGCTTAGTAATACCAGTAATATCAACTATCGTGAAAATGATTACTTTCGAATCTTATGGTCTCCTTTGCTGGAGTTATTGTTCCCTCCCTCAGAAAATGTCCGTATTGTCTCAGCTGAATCTGAATACCCACTCTCGATCAAGGAGAAGAAGGTCCTCTATCCCAAGACAAAGTATATTCATGGCTTTAAAATTGATATCAGATTGGTCGTTGATATTAATACAGAAGAACTGGATCTTGCTATTGGTGAATGTGCCAAACGTAACAGTGACTCAAAGTCAATTCAAGATGAAGACAAACTATTACGAGAGGCAAAGGATACATTAGACGGAATTATTCAAAATACCCATGGTTATGATTGCCGCTTAATGACTTATTTTATTCAAATTACTGGTACCCATTGCTCTCTCTCAACTATGGAGCTTGCTAAAAATGGCCTTTATGTCTCTAAGTACCGATACAGCTTTAACTTTCCATCCACTGTATCCGATCTCTCCAAGCTCCCCATTACGTTAGGCCACTTACTACAAATGAAAAAGGAGATCAATATTGCTGCTGATAAAATTCTCCAAGCTCGTACAGCATCAATTGGTGGAGAAGAGTCGTTTAACCGTCCTTCAGTTTCCAAGAAGAATAAAAAGCTTGCATGGATGAGAGATACATGGTACACTCCACCGAGAGACAAAACTTCAAGGATTCCTGTCCATATGTTTACTCCGCCTCCACCTCCTTCATTCAAAGAGCCCAGTGATGAATCCAGCGATGAAGAAGCAGCTGCTGTTGGTTTACCTGACAAGTTTGGTTGGGTAAAGTATGCTGAAAATGATTATTTTAATGTGTTTAGCAAAGAGAGTTCAACTGAGAACCCTTACGAGTGATGAGTGTCTGTGATATTTCTTTTAAGATATCAAAAAAAAAAAAAAAAAAAAAAAAAAAAAAAAAAAAATATTAGAAAATAAAAATATTAAGTCAAAAAAAAGTCAACGAGACCGAACAGTAGTTCTAAAGTTAATCACTATATTTATGAATTTAAATTAAGGAGTATTTATAAGAATTGTTAAAGAGGTCTGAGGATAAGATGTGAACCAGAAGAATGTTATAGATAATGAAGTGTTAGTGATTTTAATATTATTTGATGAAGTGGATCAAGAGAGTTTCAGGGGAATCTAGATAGAATTCCTTGATCCGCATGTTTAATCAAGAAAAATGACATTATAAGCCAGTTCATGACAATATGTATAAATGCAGATTATTATTATTATTTTTTTTTTTTAAAAAAAAAAGAAAGGTTCATATAGTCATTACTGAAAAGTATATTTGTATAAATAGGTAATGAACTATTTATTATGTTTGCTTACTTTTTCTTAGAGAGCATAGTTGAAGTCATAGCAAAAATATCACACTCACTTAAATTCTTTGGCACATCAAAGTTACATTATTATTAGGTATATCAAATACATATTCTTTAAAGTACTCTTGTTGTAGTGTTCTCTTTCTCTCTTTCTTTTATGTACACTGTATTTCAGTAATGATATTAAATTCGTTTAACAATTAAATATGTAGATTCTTTTTTTATGATCCTAATGATAATAATATACTCATATTTCTTTTCAGTAGAAACCTAGTGTAAAGTAGTGTTCGTTATCATAATAAAGAAAGAAAGAAAGAAAAAGAAGATTAATAAGGGACATTAGAATATCATTTACCTTCGTTTGCTGATGACTGTCGTCGAGTAATAGGTTGTTCGAGAAAAGAATCAAAAGTTGTTTCTACATTAGATATAACTTGTTTAAAATATCTACCTCATTTTGAAGTAGTTTCACTAGAACCAAAGAAACGGCTCATTATTAAATCATTTAAAAGCTTTATATGAATGGGATTTCAAAAAAAAAAAAAAAAAAAAAAAAAAAAAAAAAAGGAAATATGTATACATGAAAGAAATTTAAGTTTCAAGCTGAATTTAGAAGCCTCTTTTTCTAATAAGTATTTAATATCTTTAATGTATTGTACTCATCTTAGTTAATTTAAAAAAAAATAATAATTTGATTGTAAAGGAAGAATAATAATCATGATAGTTTCTCTGATAAGATATTAGTCAATAGTTTACATAATGACTACTACATAACATCTTATATTTCCTGTATTTTTTATGTCAATTACTTTATAACTTCTCTACTTGTTTTTATACTTCTTAAAGTCAATTTAGAGCAAAAAGATATTTTATTATACAAACAATAGTTAAAGAAGGCACAAGATTATTAAAAGACGCGTAAAAAAAAGAGATATTTATTTATTGTATTTTATTTTCATTTTTATTTCATATAAAAAAAGTGAATCCCCAATTCGTCAACAGTAAAAATAATAATAATTACTGCAGTCCAAAGGTGGCCGCGTGGAGGCTAGGATTCGCTGCACCTTCTTTGTTCTTGTATTTTTTATTTTTACTAGGAGGTTAGAAAAACCATAGCGATCACAATATGTAACGCCCTCTGAATCAACAAGATACCCTACAATGTCCTCCTAATTCAAGGAGGGCAAGATAGGGTGTCTTCCTCATCAAGAGCCCGGTACATAAGTGGTAACCATGAGAAAAAGAATTTCCTCCTAGGGCAGGGAAGAAGAATAAAATAGTATTATTTAATGACTTACCTACAGAAGAAATAGTAATAATAAAGAAGAAAAAGAAGAAGAAATAACTTTGAATATCTACTTTTTTATAAGAATAAGGAGGTCGTTGTTGTAAATTACAGTCACAATCATATGAAATCGATAAGAATATGTGTTACCCCACATTTAATACATGCATACACACTCACACACTCACAAAGTTACATTATCTTAGTTTATCCACAGCTTGACTTGTAAAGTTGTTTTCATAAGTTGATATTCACAAGAACATTAATAGAAGAAGATATACGACTTGTATTAATTATTTTTCTACTCAAGAGTAAATATACTTTATAATTACTTTTCATTTACTGATACTTTACATACCATATTTTTTTTTTATCACTGGCTTTATGCTTCATGACTCATCAAAACATGGCTATACGTTATTGTGTTATATAGATGGTATTTTATTCCTTTTTAGGCTTTATTTACATCAAACAGGCTTCTTTATTGGACATTGTTTACGATAAATGTTTATTTAATCCACAAAAAACTGATACATATAAAATAATCATAATAATAATAAAAACAAAAATATGCTATAAGCATTACAAGTAACAAATTATACTTACCTTGAACACATATTTTATTCATAACCTGGCCATTGATTAAAGGATTCTTTAGAAAAAAAGAGTCCCAAGACTACAAAGACTATCATATAGAACAGAACAGAAGAAAAATAATATAAAAATTGTACCAAGAAAAATAATACGGTAAAACGACAATGGCTATTTATTTGATTTTTGCAAAATAAGTGATAATAATGGAAGTATAATTTCGATAAGTGAATACTAGTATAATAAAGCATTATACATAAACATTGTCTCTGAATAATTCTGCATGCAGTATGCATATTTCTCCCTAAACTGTCGCTGTTACTAAAAAAAAATATGCCCAATCTTTATTTCTGGGGTAAGCAATGCGTTAATATAAATTCACAATGAATATTCCAGCTATAGCAATAATACCAATTATTTATATGCTACTATTATTACTAGCATCCTCTGAGATGTTATTACCTAACAATATTTAATATTATCAATGTGTATATAATATGTATGACTTGTATAAATAATTATGTAATTGAATATAACAGCCATAAACCTATTGAATTCTTATTATCACATAATGCAATGAATATTATTATTATTTTAATGCTCAAATACTCTTATAATGACCACTATTAAAACTGAATGTTGTATAATGAATATTATGCTGTGGCGTGTAATGCACTCTTTACTATTTAATAAATGATTTTCTATTTCTATTAACTTAGTTTTTAATACAACTTCAATCATAACACACTTAATCGTTCTTCACATGTTTTACTGTAATATCTGTAGCATATCTTTTACAAATCAAAACACTCTTAATACTCATAATAGAGATCATCATTCTTCATCATTGAGGATTGTTCTTCCTAATGGTATGTTAATCTATAGGCTTTATTGAAAATGAATCTAACATTATTACAGATGAAACGAGAACCATTTATAGACAGAGTAATTCAAAATTTTTATGTTTTTGTAATAAACAATTTGAAACAACCAATGGTTTCCATCATCACTATCGAAGAAATAATTGTGAAGACACAAGTAGTGTACAAGCGAGCATTCATGAAAATCCAGAGGATACGGAAAATCTAGCTAACATGAGTGAGACATCATTAAGCCAAGTAAAGGTATAGACTTGATGAACGATATGTTGATCTTCAATTCAGTAATCTTTTTTTTCTATTTTCAGAACATAGAAGTTCCTGATAACCCTTTGGATACAGTTAGTTTTGCTTCCGGAGTTTCAGAGAGGATTAAGCTATTAACGACTAGATCCTTTGATGTCTTCGATAACTGTTTTAAAAAAATGAAAGAAGATAAGAAATGGAAATTACGCTCAGAAAGAGTAGTTGAAGATATTCTTTATTCCTATGGATCTGATTTAGAACGAGAGAAGTAAAGTAATTCATTAAATTTAGCACAAGGTTTTTACTCATTAAAATCTTTTACTTGAGTAGTGCTATACATTCGTTCATTATTGATATATCTGACTTAAAAGTAAAAAAGCCTTTTTACTGATGACGAATGGGCAGAAATTACAAGTGAAGGCAATAAAAAAGATGTTGCTTTATCAGAAGAAATACGTTCATTATTGGAAGGCATGAACAAGGTAGTAGAGCATCAACATTTTTATCTTTATAAATCAGGGTAACCTTTTTTTTTAGCCTACAGTAAATGAAATAAGAAAGGAAATTTTCAAGTATGCTGATATTCGATACAATAATTATTCAAAAGACAAGAGTTTTCATATTGATAAAATATGTTATGCTATTGAGACCTTGTAAGTAAATATGTATGCATTTCAAAGGACTCTTTTACTGATAAAAAATAAATACATATAAGACTGCACAAGTATCAGAAAAATCTCAACCCTCTTCTGGTACGATAGGATGAATCATGGTATAATAGCCATATATGGGCCCCATTTATCGATAGCTTCTATGATATTGATAGCATTAATTGCGTAAGGTATGTTCAAAATTACATAAATCACCGACTTATATCTATTTTGTTGTTTTATTGATTGATCATTTTTATAGGAATGGCCCGGCAAGTACCTACAGTCGCAAAAGGAAGCGAGCAACGCAAGATGAGTTTGATAGAGAGGAAACAGGATCAAAACTGGATATGTCGATTTGTCTCGTATCTGATGGAAGTAAAATATTAGAGTTTGGTGCGTGCGAGGCAGCTTCATTCTATGGTGGGCCTACTGATAGAAAATACTTCCATGAATCGAAGATTAAGCTTCCAAAAATGCTGAAAGATATGTTACTTAACTTGTGCGAGTATAGTGATTGGGACATAGAAAAGATGAAGTATATCGAAGTAGTAGGTTGCGTCCAAAGTGGTAAGTACCCAAAAAAAAAAAAAAAAAAAAAAAAAATAGTAGAAAGTAAGTGTATATAGTTAGTTTCTATTCTATACTCGTAATCTCTTTATTACAGAATTCTTAATATTATTCATAATGTTGAATAAATTTGTACATAATCAATCTGTAAATATACAAGTAAGAAGCAGCTAATTTTTTTATGTGGAGATTTTATTTGATAATACTCCCTACTCTTACTCGTTGTCATAATTTCCTTTTTTTTAAAAAAAAAAAAAAATACATAAAATGCAAAAAAAGTCATTATGGGGATCATATACATCATTGCCACCAAAGACAAGAATGTATATCGGTATAGGTATTCTAACTCACACATAACATTTATATAAAGCAAGTAAAAAATATTAACCTTTTTTTTTCTAGGTGGTATGATATTTGCAACTGCAGGCATGTATGTAGCTGATTATTTAGAAGAAAAAAAGCCAGCAAATGAATTAGAAAAACAAGAACTTGAATTAATGTCTCCTATTGTTGTCGTAGATCATCAAAAAAATATTAAATAAAACTTAATGTATACATGGGTGCCCTTTTATTATATATAATTTTTCTTTTTCATTTCTTTTTCTTTTTTTTTTCCGTTTCTTTACATTTCGTTGGAATAACCAATCACCTTTGTGAATTGTTCAAATTTAATATTTTCTCTAATCACAACTGTCTTGGCTTCATTACCCTTATTGATGGGAATTTGAATTAAATCACCAGCTAAAGTTTGCCAGCCTTGGCTTTCACAGAATTTCTTAAACGCGTCACCGGATAAGCCGAGATTAGCTGCTAACAATGAAGCATTAATCGTTTGATAAGACATAGCCATAACACGTGAAATCACTTGACGAATGTCATCTTCAAAACTGGGCACAACAGCAATCCAGGGCTTGAGATCAGATTGCCAAAATTTAACATAACGTGCTTGTTCTAATAATTGTTGTAATTCAGTTAACTTTTCGATTGATTCGAGATGCTATACAATGCATTAGAAAATAATCCATTTTGTATATATTTGATGAACTTACAGCATGTTCAGCCAAGAGGTAAAGACAAAGATTGAAATCAGGAGCAGGAATTGCAGTTAAAGCTTTTACAAGGATCTTTACAATGATAGGTTCTTTAGCCAAAGAAGGATTGAATTGATAACTAACGTATATAAAAAAGAAAAGAAAAGAGAAAGAGGGAGAGGGAGAGGAAATGTTAATTATTTTGTTTTCATCTTTACATGTACTATATTTATATATATATATATATATATATATACAGTTTGAGAATAGCCAGATTAGCTTCTAAATCATATTCCCCAGATTCACATTGCTTTGTTAAATATTCTTCAAGAACAGTAATGTTTTCAGGGTTGTAACGTTCGACGCCATTGATCATAGCGGCAATGTTCTCGGGGCGTTGCTGTGAAGTAGCCATAATGTATATAATAAAATAGGTTATAAAAATTATATTTTATAAATTTTAGTAGGTTGACAGAAAAAAAAAAATTACAAAAAAAAAAAAGTGACTGTTGTATCTTCATTAATTTAGGAAAAAAACTTGTGAGAGGTACAAAGTCTAAGCATTTCGTTTATTTTGTATAAAGAGATATGAATGTTCTTGATAAATATGGTATAAAAGGCTTTCACCTAGTAAGGAATATTGTCCAATATGTATATTGTTTATATATTTAAAGATTAAATCAAAAGCAAGAATTAACATTGTGTCTATTTTCTTTATTTATTTTGCTATAACATCAACTATTAAAGAAAGCTGCTTAAAAACTAAAAGTACTTTTATAAATCAAGGTCTCATAAGACATGAGAATTGAAGATAATACAGTTATATAAATAAATAAATAATATTTTGAAAAAATCACTTGTGTCTATACGTTCTTTATTAGACAGTATGAAAAAAAAAATGAAGCTGAATTGAGAATGACTGTTATAAATATGTAAATGAGTAGAATGTATACCTAATATTGAATTATGCTGCTTGCCATCTCTTCTAATGGTAGTGTATAAAAACCCTTTTTTTCTTTTCTTTTTTTTTTTTTTTTTTTTTTTGAACACGCAAGTTACACGTATAAAGTCCATATTACTGTTATCATCACCACTACATCATGCTGTTTACAGGATTAAAATTGGGTTTAAAATTATTTATTTAAATTTTGTATTTAAAATATGGGTATTCTTTTAAATGTATTAATATGCATAGAATTTCCTCACAATCAATAAGAGCAGTAATTAAACCCTATTGCCATCATCACTTTTCCATTAGACCGTATTCTATACTAAAAATAAAACCTCAACCTGTTCGATCCCCACTTATTTTAATCCCAACTACTACTATTACTAATGCCTCATTACTTACACTTACATTACCCTTTCGTTTTACACCAGCTACGAAGAAAGCTACTCGAATAGGTTCTGAACTATCACCTGCTACACCTTCAGAGATTGAACTTTATGAAATAAATCATCGACATCAGCCGTCTAAATACTTAGTCATTCGCATGTGTCAAAGATTATTAACTTTTTTGGATGACTGGATTTTGGAACCTTTATTAACGTTGCGAAGGTTAGCACATATAATTATTTTGTTTACTCCAGTCATTGCTACAACGCCTATAATATTCTTGGGCGCAAAAGCGAATGGAACTGAAGAGCGATCAGGAACACTTTGGTGGTACGATTTTTTAGCAAAACAAATGGAAAGAGCAGGCCCCACATTTATTAAGGTATACATATATGTATTGAATTCTCTGTTTAAAAGAGCAAGGGGATCTGACATTCTATTATTCAGTTAGCACAATGGATTGCTTCACGTACAGATCTTTTCCCGTTATCATTATGCTATCGTCTATCCAAGTTACACTCACATGTAGACCCTCATTCTTTCAAATATACACAAAAGGTGATTGAGGAAGCGTTTGGTAGGCAGTTAGATCAAGTATTTTTGAAACTTGAGCCAAAGCCATTAGGTGTTGGAGCTATTGCTCAAGTTTATAAGGCTACACTAAGATCCAATATTTTACCGGATTATGAGAGTCGGGAAGTAGCCATTAAGGTGCTTCATCCTAAAGCACGACATATCGTACAGCGTGACCTAACTATTATGGAATATGGAGCCAAATTAATTACTCTGATACCTACCATGCAATGGCTTTCCTTGCCTGATGAAGTTCGTGTGTTTGGTGAGATGATGATGGAACAATTAGACCTTCGAGGAGAAGCTCATAATCTATGTCGCTTTAACGACTATTTTCAAAATGATCGTAATGTGAAAGTGCCCAAGCCTTATCGGCAATTTTCTACACGTGATATGCTGATTGAAGAATATGAGAGATCAATTCCATTGGATCTGTTTTTAAAGCAAGCAAGCTATGCAAGACAACATGAATTGGAGCCTGTATTTGCAAAAAAATTGGCTGATATAGGGCTTAATGCCTTCTTGGTAATAATTGAATAATGATGATGATATTATGACCAAGGATTAACCTTTCCTCCTCCTTTATTTGTATAGCATATGCTGATTTTTTTTAATTTTGTACATGCAGATTTACATCCAGGTAATATCATGGTTGAATTTTATAAGCCTTCCGTTTATCATCCACTACGATCGAGTTGGTCCAAATGGATGGGTCATGAATTAAAAGATGAAGGTGAAACAGCTGTTAATCGTATTCTTCGTGTCCAACACGATCCAGTGGCCATTCAACAAGAACTTGAACAACTTGAACAGGAAGGATATGCTCCTCGCCTTGTCTTTATCGATACAGGACTTGTCAATGAGCTAAATGAAGTGAATCGTCGCAACTTTCTAGATTTGTTTCAAGCTATAGCTCATTTTGATGGCTATAGAGCAGGGGAACTTATGGTTGAGCGTTGTCGATCCCCCGAGGTTGTGATTCAACCAGATGTATTTGCCTTACGTATGCAAAATCTTATTTTAGGGCTTAAACAAAGTACATTTCATTTAGGAACAGTCAAAATTGGCAATTTGTTACACGAAACGATGAATATGGTGCGTTCACATCATGTTAAGATGGAAGGAGACTTTATCAATGTTGTAGTTAGCATTATGTTACTTGAAGGAATTGGAAGACAATTGAATCCAGATTTGGATTTATTAAAGAATGCATTGCCTGTTTTAAGAGATTACAGTTTGAAGGAAGGAAGAAAGGTAGCAATGGAAGACCCTAAGGCGCCTTGGTTAAAAGTATGGATTTTCCTTGAACTTAGAGCTTATCTTGGTCGTAATAGTCGTGATGAAGAATGGTTAAAATTATGGTAAAGCAAATGAAGGTAAAAAATATGTATGTAAACTATAGAATATTCATTTTTCTTTTTCTTTCTCTTTTTAGTGATATACTCTGTCCTAACATGTAGTCTGTGTAATTTGAACATTTTATTAATATACCTTTAAGATTATCTTGTACTTGAAAGCACATAATAATTGTTCAAGTAGAACTGCCATTTTTTTCTTTTCTTTAATATAATTTATATCCTTTATTTATTTGATTAAATTACTGATTTATATTACGTAATCAATATAAGTAATATCAAGTTTATTCCATTCAATATGCTAGTGATTGTATTCTATTCTTGAAATTCTCTATGTATGTAAATAATGTGTAATAAAGATTGAATACAACTCATAAAATAAAAACGTTCGAGTTTATAAATATGAATGCTGACCCTATATTAGATTGATAAACGTAGCTGGAACGATAACAATCAAAAGAAAATGTACCACCACCACCACCAATACTACTACTACTACTATTACAAATGTTTATACATATATAAAGTATCAAAAAATATAAAAGAATATATAAGCATAATAGGCTGTTTCTGCAACTACACATTCATTGAAATATGGATATTACATTATAAACAACACTCGGTATACGTATAAACAATAGTTTTTATTTAAACTTTAAAAAACTCAAAATTTGGGCACAAGGTATTGATAATTATATTAAAATGGCCTGGGCGAGATCATCAATGATAATGGACACTAAAAAAAAAATCACCTTCTAAGAACAAGAATACAAAAGAAAAAGAAAGTTAAAAATGAACATAGTGTAGCTATGATTATTATTATTGAGGAGAAGGAGGGGAGAAATCAATTAAGGAATTGTTGACCAGGTTGTGATGGTGGTAAGGATAGATTTTTGTGGTGAAAAAGGTATTCAAATTCGTGAAGGATAGTAAACCAAGGAAGGATACAAAAATATGTACGCAATTGTTTTGTAGGAAGCTGATTCAAGAGAAATGAGAGAGGATCATTCAAATCATCGTATATAATTTGTGAATTCTTTTTGTCCTCTTGTTTCTTCTTATCTCTTTTTTTCTTTCCTTTTCTTTCTTATATTCAATCTTTTGGCTTTTATGTACTTTTTTTTTTTCCTCTATTAAGAAAGATGTTGGTCATCTCTTTATTCGACCTTTGTCTGCTTTGATAATTATTGAAACGAAAGGGTGCAAACCTTTCATTGTAGAACCTGAAGGTTTAGGGCACATGTTTGAGAGTATATACTATATAATTATTCCATTTTTTTCAATGTCTACGGTTTTTACTAAAAGGGAAATCTGTCTCGATGCTTTTTATTTAAGTTTTTCTACATGACAAGTCCTCCTCTTGGAACCTGTATAACAATGGTCACTCTTTAATGCTACATCTTTTTTATTTCTTGTTGATCTTCTTCATGGTGTACTGTTGCTGTAAATATATGATTCTCTGCCTGGGTCAACAGCACAAGGCTAAAAATACTTTTAGTAATTCTTCATTGCAAAAATCTTCCAACACTAATTGTACTTCTTCTTTTGCATTCTTGGCATTTCTAGCAAACCCGAATCAAACACCAAAGCTGTCGCTTTTAACGGTACAAGTGAACTTGTTTTTTTTTAAATATCAAAAAATGAATAAAAAAGGTTGGTGTTTCCCTCATAAGCACCGCCACTCTTGCTTTTTGTCATAGCTCACAAGTGCTTTAGCATATATATGGACAAATACGTCAATGAAAAGAAGGTGTCAGTATCAGCGAAAAGTTTCTAGGCTTTTCCTTTTTTTTGGGGGGTCATTACAACTTTCACCCAGTTTTTTCTATTTCAACATTCATGAAAAAAAAAAAAGGACCTTAAAGCCGCAGAATATGATTTTTGTAAGATTGTGCTTGTTTGCAAAGGAAGCTCCACACTCCTGCAGCAAGACACTAACGTCACTAAAAAAAATGTGATATGTAGGCATCGTCATATTAGTATGAAAATCAAGATAGTATGCCAATTTGTTTTTTTTTTTAAGAAAGCAAAGACCAACAATTCTTATTACATTTAATTCAAACATTACTTTAGGTATTATTTACAGGCAAAAGATTTGGCTCGTCTGTAAAACGAAGATAATTTAAACACTAGTCATATTTATCCAATAAAAAATGCAGAAACGTCAAAAAAAAAAAATTCAGAATGTCTAACTTTCTTTCTATGACAACTAAAATTAAAATCTTAATCGTTTAATTTTTTTTTTTTTGACAATAGTCTTAATCTCAAGTTAAAATAACAGTAATGTAATTCACAACTCAGTTACCATTTTTGCCTTATATGGATATCGGTTCTTAAAAAAAAGAACCCCATTCGTTTAGAGACAAGGTTTAACTGACAGTGCTAAAAGAAATTGTCATTCGAGTATTTTATTAGTTACTAATTTTTCCAAATGAACACCCTTTGCCTTTCATTTTTCCTTCTTGATTCCAAAGAGTGGGCTCTTTTCCCCCTTTTTTTTTTCTCAGTTACTTTGATTTGGTCCGGACAAACCAGATATATTTTAGATGATATCTTGTGTTCATCATTGGGATTTCAAATTTATCTATAAAACATTATTTCTAAATGCATGTTTGAGAAAGCTAATATACGCTAATATTTGCAACAAAAAAAAAAAAAAAAAAAAAAATCAGACAATTTCAAATTCCAATTCTAATTTGACAGAAAATACCACGAAGCAATTAAGAAGCATAAATCATTAACAGAAGATAAAAGAATATGTAATTGGTTACAGTTATGAACAATAAGTATTATTAAAGATGGTGACATGATAATAACTTGGTTCTAGTCCTGTACATTCACTAGTGCTTGATATTGGTGATAAAGTTCTCGGTAAAGAGTTTTATGAACTAAAAGTTACAAAAAAAAAAGAAATTCTGCGATTTGCTTATGCCCTTGAAAGGCTATATGAGTTCTCTTAGAATATCTGCAGACGCTATTTCGTTAAAAGAGTTAATAATTCAAGAATTAGAATTCCCCTACTTGTGATTGGTTTCGAAGTGTCTTTTTGGATTATTTAAAATGATTCAAATGGGACTATTTTCCTCTCATTGATCAACTTGCAGGAGATGTGATACAATGCATCAACTGAGTCTATTTGCGGAATTAATCACACAATAACTGCTGATTTACTAGAAGATGCAGATAGCATTTGCAATGAACTGTTGTCCATATTAAAAATTGTATATAAAGCTAGATTAACGATGGAGAACACAAACAAATCATCCAAACAAAAATCGATAGACGTCGACGTTGACCTTGAAGAATACAATACAATACAATACAATTTTTTTTTTAGCGTCAGTAATAAAGAAGAAGATGGAGCAGCCCTTTAGCTAAAGAATAATTTTGTGTCTGTAGTTTTATATTACTTGTTGTATTTATATACTTACAATATGCTGTATTATTACAATCCTTGTTTAATAAATACTTTTGTATATTTTGTCAATTTATTTATGTATCTTCTTTTTGAAAATATATAGCTCTATCACTTGTATTGTTTCTCTACATTTGTTCCAAAACTTTTAAAATTTTTTGATAGCATTCAGATGCTATATCAATGGTAAAAAAAAAAATCATGGCTATCGTATTTCAACTTGAAATTTAGACTATCTAATTCTTTAATTTTTTTAATTTTTTAATTTTTTTAATTCTTTTTTTTTTTTTTTTTTTTTTTTTTTTTTTTTTTTTTACTATAAGGTTTGATCTATGATACTTCATAATACAACACTTGATAAAACTATATAATATTTTAGCACTCATAAATTGTTGTAGAATTGAAGCTAAAAATAGTAGGTATTTTAGGAAAGGCTTGAAACAGAGTTTGAATATAGCAATTTATAATTTGACATTTGGAATAGGTGCAAAAGCCATAAAGGTTACTAAAAGTGAACATCATTACAAGTGTCTGTAATTCTGGACAATAAAGCACCTTTTGCCGTTAAGTGATAACTCTTCATCTTCTCTCTAAATTATAGAGATCAGAACAGCTTAGTGGAGTTCAACATAGATGAATAAGGAGGCCAGATACATTACTCTATCGACCTCTATTTTAAATGTTTCGTATCATAGGTTTTGATTTATGAACACTAGCGTTGTTTATCACAGGATAACTACACCTCAAAAGATTCATCTTGATCCATTCAATTCAAGAGACTTATTGACAAACTTAACAAAGTGAGTGGCTACAATGACTGTTGTCTTTCTTTTCTTCTGGTAAAGACTTTTAGTCATTTTATCTATGAACTTTTTCTGTTTATTTGTTCATATATGTGACGTAAGTTCCTCCATTTGCAGTTTTGGGGGCCCCAGCGTTTGGTTGCTTAACTTCAGATTTATGAATCAAGTAACTCTGTGGGGTTGTTACTGCTCTAAACAACATGATGTCAGGGTCTAGAATCTCTGCTAAGGTATTTTCCGTCGGATCAAAACCTTTTTTTTTTTCAAAAGTATGAACAAAAAAAAAATGTATACTAGACAATTGCTTTTGCTGAAACAGCAATTTATTTTAGCACTAACTGACGTATTGATATATAGATAAATATTATTTATTTATCACACGCGGTGTTCCCATTATAGACTCTTGAACAGAGTTAGCATCTTACAAATAGTGTAATAGTGAGAATATCTATCTATTAAAATATAAATTCCTATTGCCAAATCTTTTTGAGTCAATACTTTTTATTAGAAAGAAAAAACTCGAGTTTTTATTGTCCAATTCAAGATACATTACAGAAACAGTCTACAAATGTATGAATCGACATTTGTAGCTATGAGAGATAGGGAAGTATTCTATTCTGTTGCTAAAATTAACAATATAAAGAGTTGGTATAAAATATCGATGTCTTTGAGATTGATCTGATAAAGTGGGAATAAAAGTTTGAGTAACATGTTTGTCTCCCCCTTTTTTTTTTTAGAAACAAATACAAAAGTTACTTGACATGGGTTCTCTCAAAAAAAAAAAAAAAAAAAAAAAAAAAAAAACATAATCACATGATACTTCAATTTTAGGTAAGAGAATCAGGAAATTAAAACTGAATTTTGCTTTTATAAAGTTAATACTTCGCTACCACAAATATTTGAATATAAAAGAAAGCAGTAGTTCAATAATGGAGCGAATGCCTTTTTTGATTTCATATCATATTTTTTTTATGAAAAAAAAAAAACGTGAAAATGAACAATAGGAATTTTTATTAGCTGTTGAAACATATGAAAAAAAAAAATGAAATCACAGTAAATTAAAAGTTTTACTTCAATTGTTCTTGCTTTGTTATTTTTTATTACCGCTTAGTGATATTTCAAAGTCCACATTGTGGTGAATTTATTTGATATTTTTGAATTTAATCGGAAAATGCAAAATAAAAAAGCTTGGTAAATAAAGAAATTTACTAAATTCAGTAATTAATGATATATTACATTTATATACAAATATAAAAAAAAAAAAAAAAAAAGAAAAAAAAATTTTTTTAATATATTCATATCAATTCTTCTTCTCTACCCTCTATCTCTATCTCTCTCTCTCTTTTTTTTTTCTTTTTTTTTTTTTTCTTTTTTCTTTTTCCTTTTAATTATTATATTATATAGATACCATTATGACCATACCCTTTACTAATCCCTCTCTAACATCCCTTAATAATAAAGATACCCAACAGAATGATTTATGGAATATAATTGAAAAACAACGTGTTATCATTCATGAATTACAAAAAGCTCTTAATAATATAACGCGAGAAAGAGATGATTTATTGGTGAAAATAACGACTTTTGAAAATAATAATAATAATAATATGACAGACCAGAAGTCGAGTACAACAAGTAGCAGTAGTAGTACAGATAGTAATAAATCAAATGGTGGAACAACACCTACTCTTCCTCCAAGATCACCTTATAGGTCAAATAACTTATCATCGCAAGAAGATACCACTAATAAATTAAAAGTATTACAAATAAAAATAATATCAACAAATGTAACCTCATTTGTGATATCTATCCTTAATTCAGCTGGACAAGAACTTTGGCATATTGAAAAGCTATATATTGATTTTATTAATTTAATAGATGATAAAGTAATGTCTTTTTATTTTATTGTATTTTATTGTATTTTATTCATTTTTTTCTTTCTTTTATATATATGTATATATAGCTATTATCAATTCCTTTAGAGCAACGTCAATTATTTTTGGAAGCTTATTTCAAGACTCTCATTCAATCAAAACCTCAACATGAGTTGGGCTTTTTATATTCTTTTATTACTCCTTTACCTCATTCTCATAAAGGTTATTTATTTAAAAGAGAAAAGCAAGGCTGGAAACAATATTACTTTATTCTATTACCTGAATCATCTGAATTAAAATATTTTGATGCAAGTATCGAAAGAAAGTTAGATAGATAGATAAATAAATTTTAATATGTTTATTTATTTCTAATAGAGACATGATGGCCAGATTTATTTGGGAACTTTATCCTTAACCTCTGAGACACAAATTAGTAAAAAGCAATCACTTGATACTACCACAAATGATTTTATCAAAAAATCGTTACAGTATGCTTTCACTATCTTGACACCCCACCATTCTATTGTTCTTAGTACGAAATCAGATTCGGAACAAGAGAAATGGATGAAATCTCTTTCAGATATCGTTAAACCACCTTTAATGCCTTATAGATCCCATTCTAATCCTTCTTTCCGTCAGAGCGTAGACGAACAAGCTATCTTTAAATACTATGAAACGTCTGATGAATATGAAAATAAAAAGAAAAAGAAAGAAAAACGTCGTAAAACATTTTGGTTTAGTAAACCTGTTGCTAACAAGCATGTATTCAAAGTCTTTGGTATTACATTGGAGGAAGCTATACGTGAATGTTCCTTAATGCAATTACCTGCTATCGTTTATCGTTGCTTGGCTTATTTGGATGCTCAAGGGGCTGCCTATGAAGAAGGAATTTATCGATTAAGTGGAAGTTCAGTGCAAGTAGATCAACTGCGACAAACGTTTTGTGAACAAGGTGATGTGGATTTACTGAAATATGATTCTGATCTGGATGTACATGTAGTAGCTGGCCTATTAAAGTTATGGTTGAGAGAGCTTCCAACAAATATCTTGACAAATGAATTATTAGATCAATTCTTGGCTGCTGTGGGTATGTATTTCATATCATTTGAACTTTTTATAGATTAGATAAATTAAACTAATGCTTTTATCTTATTTAGATATTAAGAGTAAATCAAGCCGTATTAAACAATTAAAATATTTGGTGGCAATGCTTCCTAAATCTAATTATGTCTTGTTGAATTCACTACTTTCTCATTTACTGGGCATTGCACAGCGTGCTGACCATAATAAGATGACAGTGAGAAATATGGGAATTGTCTTTGCTCCAACGTTGTCTATACCATCTACTATTTTTACTTTATTTATGAATGAATTCAAGGTCATTTTTTGTAATGACCATCATCAAAAGGAATCAAGGGCAAGTCATATTAGTCTACCTGACTCAACAACTTTAGCAGATCGAGTCAAATTTGAATATTTATTAAAAATTGAAAACGAAAAGACAAAAAAATAATAGTAATAGTAATATAGTAATAATAATACTAATAATAAAATATGTACATGTACATGAATATTAATAAATGAAAAGAGAAGGAGATAGATAGATAGATAGATATTTGATAATGCCATTCATTCATTCATTCATTCATTATTTTGTTATAAACGAGCTTTCATCATTTCTTTTTGCTCTTTCTTAACCCAATCTTTTACTTGACGTCGAAGTATTTTACCACTAGGACTCTTTGGAATAGCTTCTACAAATTGAATGCCTCCACGTAATTTTTTATGAGTAGATACGCTTTTAGCTACATATTCCTCAATCAGCTGAGCTGTTCTAGCATTTGCTTCAATACTAGGTTGAAGAACGATATAGGCACGAGGAAGTTCGGTTGCCTGAGCCTCATCATAATAGCCCACAACACAACAATCAGCTACTAAATCTATGCTCATCAGAATGGCTTCTAATTCAGCGGGGGCCACTTGATATCCCTTATATTTGATTAATTCCTTAATTCGGTCCAAGATAAAAAATTCACCTGACTTGGAATCAAATTTTCCTACATCACCTGTACGCATCCAACCATCCTCTGTGAATGTCTCTGCATTTGCCTTTGGATTATTAAAGTAACCTTTCATAATACTAGGACCTCTAAATAAAAATTCTCCCTCTTGATCATCCCCTAGTTCCTCTCCTTTTTCATTCATGATTTTACATTCAATGTTAGCAGACAAAATACCAATTGAGCCTGCTACTCCTCCACTATTGATTCTTTGCGAAATGATGCCAGATGTAGTTTCCGTCATACCATAACTTAAAACACGAATATGTATATATATATATATATTTTTTAAAAAAAAAAAAAAAAAAATTAATCTCATATTTGATTCTTCTCCTCAAATGATGCCTACCCTTGTACAAGTTGTGCAGGAATACGTTTTGAAAGTAATCTAATATGCTCTTTACTTAGTGGTGCAGCACCACACCCCAAAAGACGAACCGAATTCAAAGCATAATTAGAAACAATAGGATGTTTAGCAAGCAAAACAGCTATAAAAGAAGAAGAAGAAGAAGAAGAAGAAAAGAATTCAAGATTTGAGTATAGATATATATTATTAATGAATGAATGAATTTTCTTACCAACAGGAGGTACAATGGATACAAGTGTAATTTTGTATTTTTGAATTAACTTGCACATCAATTCTAGATCAAACCTGGACATAATAACAACCGGTAATGCTTTATAATATGCGTTTAACACCAAGACTGTTAAGCCATAGATATGATAAAAGGGTAAGAATCCTAAAACGACATCATCATCAAAGTGTTCTTCTTCAGGGTCACCATAGACTGTCTGAAGAATTTGAGCAATGAAATTCTTATGAGTTAACATCACGCCTTTGGCGAGACCTGTGGTACCGCTTGAGTAATTAATAAAGGCTGTATCGTTGTAACCGTCTATACCTGTTAAAGGTAAGGTAATAGGTGTACTGCCACTTATAGAATAGAATGGACGGCAACCGTCTACTTCAGTATCACCAAATAAGAAAATACGATGACGAGGGATACCGACTTTGTCAGCTACTTTAAGAAAAATAGGTAATAAAACTGGTACAGTGACAAGAGCAACTGCCTGACTGTTTGTAATTTGATGTTCGAATTCAGCTATAAATATATATGTATATGTATATATTTAAATATAAACTCTTCAAATAAATATGTATACATTACCTTCTGTATATGCAGGATTACCCGGAGAAATAGTACACTTGGCACCTAATAATGAGAGATAAAGAATAACATGATCATATTGATTGGGAGCAAAGACAGCAACAATATCTCCCTTCTTTAATCCTACGTTTTGATTCCAGCCTGTAGCAAGATAAGTAGCTTTATCTCGAATTTGATTCCAGCTAAGTGAACGGCCTGTTTCTCCATCAATAGTAACAGGCTTATCAAGATCCTTGGATTGAGTAAATTCATTAGGTTGAAAGAGAAATGACACGAGATCAATATTAGGAATAGGAATAGAGGAGAGCGTAGATTTATAAATAACCATTAGTAATAAATTAATAAAACAGATAAAAATAAAAATAAATAAATAAAATAAAAATAATAAAAAATAATAAAAATAAAAAAATAAAATGTTCTAAAATAATAGAATTTATTTACATAATTTTGTTTATCTTGAATATATAGTGGGAAAATATGTTAGTAATCGTTATGAAGCAAAAGGAATGTAGGGTAGTAGATTATACAATAGTTTTGTTACTAGTGTGTAAGAGAAAAAAAAAATAATAATTAAATGACCGCAAAATATATGTGGGGAAAGGAATTCTTACGTTGGCAAAAATCAGTCAAATAATATGATTTATACTCTCTCAATATACTATTAACTTTATTATTATCTTTAATTATCTATATTTTTCCCTCCCAAGAGAAAAAAAAAAGATCATATGCTTAGAAAGATAGTTATTGAGAAAGAAAAGTGGAAAAAAAATATTTAATTCAAAAAAGGAAAAATAAAGCATGGCTCCGAAAGCATCTATCACATTAGGAGATAAAGTAAAGCTAACTGAGATTGATTTAGGTACGACGAACAATAGTGCTTTTATTTATATACATAAAAAAAAAAAAAAAAAAAAAAAAAAAAAAAAAAAAAAAAAAAAAGAGAGAGAGAGAGAGAGACCAAGGGACATATAGTTTATAAAATTACTAAATTACCCTAGTTATTTCAAAAGTAATAATAAAAAGAATAACTAAAAATCTATTTAGGACAAAAGATAAAAAAAAAAAAGCAAAGGGCAAAAGTAAAGGATCAACCACATTAAGGAAAATAAATAAATAAAGTGCTAAGGAGGGAGCTTAGAAAACCAGTCTATCAGAAGTGATCCTGGATCTGGATTAGAAAGAGGCAAAGGCATCGTGTTGTAAGCTAGACAATATATTGAGTGAATTTTACTAAACAATTGGTCAGAGTGAAAAGGATAACATGATGGAGACACTGACAAAGACATCGACTTTGAACAGATTGTACCATAAGCAACCAAATGATATGGCTAGTTATTAATGTATTACGACATGCAGACAAATACTCAAAATAAAGAGTAGAACACGTCTTTCATTCAAGTAGTTCAAAAGATAAGTGGAACGAATATTCTTAAATAGACGTGTGTCAAGGTGTTCAATAATAGGGATGCATTGTTTCCACAGCAAAGTTTTATAACTGCCGAAGGTGAGGCATCATTGGACAGGGTGCAGGATTGAAGAACGAATTGAGCTTGTATTATATTAATATGTACATGTATATGAGACAGTTTAATGAGATACAACATAATCTTCGTGGAAGATGTAGAATAACCACCAAATATAGGGCGGAGGCAGCTATTTTAACAGTCTTTAAGGAATTTGATAATTTTGGAATTAAATGTGTTGATGGCCAAGCCATATTCCAGCTATGAGTAGACGATTTGTGCATAGAAACGAGAAGCAGACGAACAATTGTAAAGTATTTTTGACTGAAATTAAGACTAGTTGAAAAAAAAAGTAAATCAAAAAATAAACAACAAGTTTAAGGAGAAGCAAAAATAGATTTAGACGAAATAAAATTAGTTTTTGATAACAAGCAGGAGAATGATCGTGTTCAGTGATTACTTGTGAAATTCTAACAATGTTTTTAGATGAATTTACATCACTCTGCTGTATTATTCTACAACTTTGATAAGTGAGAAGCGCTTCATTACATGAATGGCTCGACTAAATTAAAAGAAGAAAAAATGTCAGATGTAGTGATTGTGATATATCTATTAAGATATTAGAAAATAAATAAATAGAAATGTATAAAAATGATGAGGAAGAGTAGTAAAGTCGATGAGACCGAGCAATAGTTATACTTTTAAATAACAAGTGTTTATATAAGAATATCTGAGATAAAAGGGGAATTAGGAGAATACTAGTTACGATTGAATAACATTTAGTATGGTTAATGAAGTGTACAATGTATTTAATAAATTTGTAGATCATGAAAAAAGTATATTTAAATAAGTTGAAATCGTTTTCTTTATTATTATTTGCCCAGTTACTTCAAATATAACATTCATAAAAGGTAATTAATTCTAGTTACCTTGTTTTGATGATCGTCAAATTATTATAAAAATACATTTGATATTATAACATGACAGAAAGAGATGATTGATTAAGTTTGTTATTAAAAGATATACTAATTTCCAAAAAAAAAATCAATCAGTTTGTTATACATGTATATATAAAGAAATAAGTCATATATTGAACTGTCTTGTACATAAAAAAAAATAACTTAGTATATTTACAAACAATGATATTATATGGGAACTTTCCAAGAGTAAGATTATTGTATACTCTCAATAATAAACTCGTACTATGAATAGCATAAACTTCGTTCTGGTCTGGTATACAATGATATTCATCTTTGAGGATTGGTTTAAAACATAACTAGTTATATTACTTAGAATATAAAAAGATATTTCGAATCAATTTATAAATTAGTAATAAGACTTTATTAATTCTTTTTTTTTTTAGTATAGCATAAAAGAAGGAAATGATAATTTACCATATACAAAGTATAGAGAAAAGAAATATTTTACCGTAGATTCAATAATAAACATAAATAAGAGAAATATTGGGGCCAAAGAAGATAATGAATAAGATAACAACCAGAAACAAAAATAGATAAGTGGGCATTCATGAAAAATCAGAAATTGCAATAAAAAAAAGGACATTAAGAAACTTCTAATGTGTTATTTAGATGATATCCAGTCAGATATTCCTAATAGGAATTCAACTACTTACGTCTAATGTTCATTAAAGAAAAAGATATATAAATAAACCCATATCATTAAATAGCAACTAAATCCTACGTTATTAGCACTGTATCAAAGAAGATCTGAAGCAATTACTCTTACTAAAATAAGATCGAACAATAGTCAAGTATTCTAAATTGTTAAAGATATCTGTGATTAAGTATAAGTCGCAAAAAGTGTTATTTACAGCCACATGTTATCGTTTGTTTGTATATGATGAACTAAATATTATTCGTAGTTAATAACTACTCTTATCATCAATAAACATGAACTCGCTATTCTATGGTTCCATCAGCCATCGGAGGCACTATACAGACGGGGCGATTCATAGGGCTATTCATAGCCGGGCTTAAAACAGACTCCCCCATATTGCCTCCGTGTTCGAATATTTAACGTGGCGAACAAGGCGGGCTCCACGGCTACGGCTGATTGGCTGATTTGAAAAAAAAAGAAAAGAAAAGAGAAAAAAAAAAGAGGGGAAATTAAATATGCGTGCCTTTTTATATCTTTTCATTATGAAGTTACACGAGTGACTACTACTTGCATCTTTAATATTATAAATGAAAAAAAAAAAAAAAAAAAAAAAAAAAAAAAAAAAAAAAACTGTTATCATCAGTAGTGTTGTATGCATCAATGTCCATGTCCATGTTTACCAGCTGCACTGTATTATAAATAAAAAAAAGCTTTCGTTAAGTGCTACTGATATTTTGTATTCTGAGAATTAAAGCAGCAATAAAACTGATATGTATCTGCTCATATTAACAATTTTCTGAATTCAAACTCTTCCCTCTTTCGCTTAGTAAAGGAGAATATAAGGAGAAAAAAAGGGGAGTTTGAGGGTACATACTATTTAAAATATTGGCATAAGAGTGAAGAGGAGCCATTGTTGAGGGAGGATTGTGCTAGCAGCAGTAAAGACAGATCTTTTGAATGAAATAAATAAATTCATTGGGGGGGGATGGTACAAATGAAAAGTCAATAAAACATACAAAGACAGCAGAGAACGTGTAGTGTTCAACTGTTTCTTAGCATTTAAGGATAATAATGTATGTATAAAGAGGATATCAGAGATAGAGTACTATTTTATCAACAACAATTGTATGAGAAAGTCGCTAAAGACAGTAGTGAGTTAGATGATCAATAAGTAGATATTATCTGAGGTATTAACAATATATTATACGTACTATTGCGTCTCTTCAAAGAAAAAGAGTAATCTAAATGATATATACTTATTGAATTTCCTTCCTATAAACATATATAATCTACTAGTGGATGAATGAAGCTCTTTATATGAGTTATGCTCTTTAATAAATTAGCCTCATAATAACGACAAAGTTCTCTTTTTTTTTAATAATCTTATTTATCGTTTATCTATACATGATTACTATAGTTGTCTCGATATGAGTTTTATTTTTGTTCAAGGAAAGATTCTATAAATAGTTTACAACTAAAATTAAGAGAGGAAGGTATATTAACGGAAAAGATAAGCAGCAATGGCTGTAACTAATCCACCAGCCAAGGCACTTTCTAATGAATATAGAGCAAGCTTCTTTTTACTCAATGTCACAGAATCCTGTTGTATTAGCGGTGCTATTATTTGTTCATGATCATGATCCTCTAGCACTATGTCAACTATTGGTTCTGATAACACAGGTAAATCTTCTACATAATTATCTTCTTTTAATCGCTCCTGATCTATCACAGGCTGTTGCTTTTCTTTTAGTGCATCTATTGTTTCTTTATCAAATAAAGGATGACCCATCAAGTTATTTAATACTTCCATCACAGCTCCTTGTTTTTCCAAAACCATTCCTTCCTTTTTTTCCAATTCATTCACTAATGCCTTTATTTGTGCCTCTGATTCACTCATCTTCAATACTAATAGTTCCTCAAATCGATCTGTTAAACGCCTTCGCTTTCGAGGTTCTAGCATTGTCTGGACTACCAAGAATAAGACAACGTTAATGACCATCAAAGCCCATGTACCATAAGTACTAACACTTCTAATCTTATCACTCCACAATTGTTCTTCATGATATCGTTCCATAATAGAACGTGCCAAGGCCATATACTCACGATCCATCTGACGTTCTGCCTGTTGATAGATTTCACGACTTTGCTGTTCATGATGTGCATGCTCATGTTCGAGACGATAGAGTTGAGTAAATCGTGTCACATCTTGATCTTGCCAAGCATGTTTACGTTGAAGAAGTTCATTGATTTCTCGTTGTGTCGATGATCGTGTTTCGATAGCTGCTTCATAGTTACGTTTTGCTACTTGAACCTGGTCACGAGTAGTTTCAAAAAGTCGAGCTTTTTTTTTTTTCCGAAGGTATATAAATATATATAAAAAAAGAAGAAGAAAAAGGTATTTTAGTATAAAAGATAAATGTGAATAAAATAAAAAAAAGGGGTGTTTTTTTTTTATTTTGTACCTTGGTTATTCACTTTTTGTTTGACAGCATCGATTTGATCATATCCTGTAAGTTCGTTGAGAACTTTACTAGCACGTTGAATGGCTTCTTTGGGATCCTCAATATCTTTTAATTGCTTGATTTTAGCAGATGAGGTTGAAAGTTTATGAATATAAGGCTGAATTCGTGGTTTCAGCCAATGGTCTATAAAATATTTTGTTGATGTAAACCAAGATGGTTTAGAATGGGGAATGAGTGATGAAGATTTATTAGTGGTGGGGGCTGTTGATAAAAATCGTATAAAATGACAAGCTGTTGTTCTTTTTAGAAGTAAAGGTGTGATATGAGTTATTCGCTGAGATTGACGAAAGGACATTGGTCTAAAGAAAAAAAAATGGAAAGGGAAAAGGGGAAAGGGAAGGAGGGGTGATAAAGGGAGGGTATTTTTTTTTTCAAAAGGTTCCACCAATTAGAACTCCAAAATATTAATTTTATCTAATTTCTTAAAAAGTCAGGCTTGACTCTGTTACAATTTTACATTATACAGTGAGAACGGTAAATATTATCACATTGCAAAAAATTAAAAAAAAAAATCATTTTGCCCAAAGTGAATGGCACTAGGCTGAAAATAATTGTCCTTAAATAAAATTTAGCTGTCTATTCATGTCAATAAAATTTGTCTTTTTGATTGAGGGGTCGACTTTTTTTTTTTTTTTTTTTTTTTTTCAAAACCGTATCTTCTTACTTTAGAACTTTAAAGTGTCACATTGTTGAAGAATATTATCTTGTCAATATAAACAAGTTATACAGAAGAAAAAAAGAAAAAACTAGTAGTTGCAGTATTTTTGAAATAAGTATGTAGTATAGCTCATTTTGAATTTTAAAGTAGCTAAACTTCTTTTTGTCTTTGCAGTCATCTCCCCCCCCCCTCCCCTGAGTATATATGACATGAGGATACTAAAGCTTATTAATGTTAATAAAAATGAGTTCTTGGCAAGAATTATATTCCAGCAAAATATACTATTAAATTAATATTTCCAAGTAGTAATCTAGAGTTCAAGCTGATACATATTATTTATATATTTATATGTATATGTTAGAAATCTAGCTCTGATGCCTCTGGACAAAAATATACAATCAGAGTATTATACGACTGGATCAATATGTATTTATATATGTTTTTATTCCTTCAATAGGTGATCGTATGTTAAACAAACTAGTTAATAACTCTGCAATAGAGAAAAAGTAGTCCTGTATATATTAATTAACAAGAAAGAAACTACATCCTAATATTATGTCAGCGTTCATTCAGATTCTTCGATTATAGATTATTATACTTTTACAGCAAATAAAACTCCTTTCTTGATGCTTAGTATTCAACAATTTACTCTATCTCATTATATATATATATATCCAAATACTCAACATATTATCATAGTAATAGGGCTAATAGCTTGAAGCATATATTTGGCTAAGATCACTTTAAATTTGCATTCAATAATAGCACTAAAGTAAAGAATTCCTTTATTAGTTATTTATATAAATAAAAGCATTATTGTTATTTTTATCCATTGTATTTATGAAGCCTGTCCAACTATAGATAGTCTTTTGAATTATAGGAATATTTTATTGTTGCAAGAATGTTATTTTCATCTGGGCCCAGCGAAGAATTAGAAGTGCTCATACATTTTGCCTGAGAGATCAATAGTATAAAATACATGAAATAAAAATAAAGCCAATAAAACAACAGGGAGTGATGAAAATGATAACTCCGTCTTTTTTTTTTTCTTTTTTAAACAATTTTTTATATTTCGAAATTATTCCTGTTTATTTTGCACATAAAGATGGTAAAAATAATTTTATAGATTCCTTTTTTTTTTTAACATTGTACTAAACAACCTGTTTTAGTCTGTTACTTTACATACTGATCTTGGTGATCTCAAGATTGAAATATTTTGTGAATCTGTTCCTAAAACAGCTGAAGTAAGAAAGAAACAATTTCATCTCAATCATGACATTGTAGACTGACTCTAAATTAGAACTTTTTAGCTTTATGTGCAAGTGGATATTATGACAATAATTTATTTCATAGAAATATTCCAGGATTCATGATACAAGTAAATTAAAATACGCACTTGTTATCCTTAATCTAACTCATCTATTTTTTTTTTTAATAATAATAGACGGGTGATCCAACAGGCACAGGAAAAGGAGGTAACTCTATTTGGGGCAAAAAATTCAATGATGAAATCCGATCCACTTTAAAGGTAACATTATTTAATAATTAATCAATGAGTTTTGTCGTTATTAATCTCATGTAATTTTAGCATAATGCTCGTGGGATTGTCTCTATGGCTAATTCAGGACCAAATACAAATGGCTCACAATTTTTCATTATATATGGAAAACACCCTCACTTAGATACGAAATATACAGTTTTTGGCAAGTAAAGTATAATGTATATTTTGTAGAGATTATTATATGTATATAAAAAAAAAGGCAACTAAATTATTGTATATGATAGAGTGATTGATGGAGCAGATTCAACTTTAGATGCTTTGGAGAAGCTTCCAACTGACGAAAAGAATAGACCACTTCAAGACATTCGTATCAAATCAGTGACTATTCATGCTAATCCTATTGCAGATAAGCAATTGTAAATAAAATTCTAAAAAGTTGACCATTGCCAGTCAGCAGGAACCGATGGAATAGGATCAAATGTAACTAAAATATATAAATACATGTATATGTATATTTTAAATATATATGCACAATATGGTATATATATGTATATATATAACTTATACCTTGTCCTTTATTGCTTGTTTTAGTAATATTTAATCCATTTGACTTTTGCGGCCCCACGATATCTAATTTTTATTAAAAAAAAAAAAAAAAAAAAAAAAAAAAAAAAAAAAGTTATAAATAATCATACAATCTATCTTTCATTAAACAATTTACCATCTCGACCAAGCTCAGTGATTCCTTCCATTGCTTGCGGCTGTTGTGTCATTATCCCTTTCAATCGACTTTGTCCACTCTTTTTATGCTTTACACCCTCATCTTTAATTGTCTTTGCTGAATTTAATCGCCATTCCCTGTAATCTTTAGCACATCCATCACATCCTCGTGCTAACTGACCTCGTACATGAAACTGAGCATTTCCGTCTAATCTAAAATAGTTAGAACAGTGTTGAGCGCAAAAAATGTCTCCACATTTACGACAATGGTGACGTCGTTCAAAAAGACCAAAAGTGGTTGAACAGCCCAAGTAATCACAATGATTGGCGATAGCATCTGGCTATATATACATAACGTAAGATTGATTTGTATATTAATTTAAAAATTATTTACCTTCCAATGGTTTCGGGTGGGTGGACCAAGATTGATAGACTGATTGAGTAAAGAGGTTGAAATGGCTGGTGAAGTTTCTATAAGTGTCTGTCGTGATGTAGGTTGTGCAAGAGTTAAATGAGAAGGTCTTTTCTTGCGAGTTAAAGAGTAAATGTCCATACTTTTTTTTTAAAAAAAAAAAAAGAAAACTGGGTATAATTATAGGCTCGAAACAAAAACAACAAAAAAAAATATATATATGTGTATATGTGTATAAGATAGGCATTTTGGGCTTTTTTTTTTTATGTTTCTAATCTATAAGATTCAGCGCAGCAGTAAGAATCAAATTTGAGTTTCAGCGTTTTTTTTTTTTTTTTTTTTTTCAGATTTGACTTGAGACAAAACCACAACAGCATTTATTCTTCTCACTTCTTTATAAGTGGATACATGTGTGTATATATACACCAAGTTAATTTATAGTAAAAAATAATACCATGCATTTATTTATATCTAATTTAATAACACGTTATTTTATTAGTAAAAAAAAAAAAGGTATACATGTGTATATATGTATACGTATATATACAGATACATACATGCATACATACATGCATACATACATACATTCATACATACATACATTCATACATTCATATATTCATACATTCATATATATATATATATATATATATATATATATACGTATATATATACATGTATATAAATGTATGTATAATATAAATTATACACATACACATACACATACACATATATGTATGTATCTAGATGTGTATAAATATTGTTCTTTTTGTTTTTTCATAAACGTTTAGTATGCTTATGCTCTAAAAGCTTAATTCTTTTCCTCTTATTATTATTATATGAATTATTTGCAATTTCGGCTAAGGTTGTCATATCAGTTATATCCGTAATGATCGGATTATTTTGTTGAATATACCTTTCTAATGCTGCACTATATTCTGGCAGCAAAGACTTCTTGTATCTCTTCATCAACATTTCATCGCTTAAATCCATCTTAGCCAACTTGCAGGCATCGATGAATTTTTTATTATACTTGGAAATATTTTCTTGATACACCATTTTAGCGGAAAATAATTTCTCTGCAAAGTTGGCCACGCGCTGTTCACGTTTTGTCAACAGGCTTTTTTGGTCAACTTTGAAGTTGGTATTGGTACGAATAGGAATAGGAGCAGGAGTAGAAGCAGAAGTAGAAGTAGAAGCAGGAGAGGAAGAAGTAGGCAAAGAAGGAGAAGTCATGGCGACAAGCGTATGGGTAGGCTCAGGAAATGTATTCATATATAATTCCTTTGCCTTATCCCATGATAATCTTTTCGCCACGATATTTTCTTGGATCCATTGTTGACGGTTTTGAGGCGCGGCATAAACCAACATATTCCTCCAAACCGTCTCAAATGTATATCCTTTATAAAGTTTTGCATAATGGTTAACTGTATTTTCAAAAGTTTGTAAAAATTGCGCTGCTGATAATGTGATTATTTGGCGGGTCCTATAGTGACGTCGCAACTCTTCAAACTCATGGATACGGGCACCTAATTGCGTCTTATCCTCGTTCAACAATTTAATTTGTTGTTCAAGGCTTTTAACCATTGGTTCCTCAAAACGCTGCTTCTTGATCTCGCTCCTTTCCCTCTCAAGCTCATTTTTTTCCCTCCGAAATTCATCTCTTTCTCTTTCAAAAACAAATATTTGGCCTTCAAGCATTTGCCGCAGATCTTCATTCTCTTGTATCTTCTTTTTCAAAACTAATTTGAGGCAAGTTGTGTCAGCGTTATTGTTCATAAGTGAGGTTTCAGTGGGATCCATACGTTTAATGGCATGCGAAAAGTCAACATCGCCCACATTAATCAGTGCAAGTATATCATTTTTTATTTTTTTGAATTCTTGATTACGTTTAGTGTTTGCAGAAGGATTGAGTTTATTGAGAGACTCTTCAAGACTGATGAGGGCATTAAGAGCTGCTGATGTGGATGATTGTGCAGCAGCTACTAAGGCAAATCGGTTTTCTTTGTTTTGGATGTAGGGGTAAGATGAATTAATCATCTGAGCGGATGCAACAATGCGTTCATAAAGAATAACAATGTTTTGAAGACAAGTATTGATGCTACTAGTTACGCGTTCACGTTCCATGGTTTCTTTAAGTTCATTAATAGCGGAGAAGTACTCTCCTGTAGTTTGAACCAAACTGCAGCCTGTACGGCATGCATCATAGTAAATAGGATCTTCTTTTATAAGTGATGATGGAGTTCCTGTTAAATTAGGGTCCATAATTTTTATGTGTAAATAAATGTATGGAAAGAAAAAGAAAAAAAAAAAGAGAGAGAGAGAGAAAGAGTGAGGAAAAAAAATAATCTTTTTTTTTTTCTCCTTAATTTGTGACTTATATGCAGTGTAACAGCGTGCCCAACTAGTCTAAAAAACACTACTACTAATTTTTAACAAATAACTTGATCATCATGTATTGTTGCTCATTCAATAATAATCAAATCATAAAGTTTCTTCAAGTCTTTTGTATATAATTAATATTATTAAATGACTTTTCTCATCTCTAAATGTATTAATCTATTTTATTGTATTACATAAAGTTACTTCATGTTTTCTTTTTCAAACCCAATAGGCGCTTGAGTCGTTTCTAGCTTATTTTCTTCCTTTGCAAATGCTAATACTTTATATATTCTTCCCATTTCATTTGGATCTACTAATCTCTCTGCACCATCTAATATTGTTTTTCTTGTTCTACTATCTTTTGCTTTTCTAAATAGACTCTCTACTCTATTTGCAATTCCCAAAGATTGTAAGAAATCCTTTTGTGTAATAGGACCATAGGCAATAAGATCTATAAGAAAAAATAAATAAATTCAATATCTATGTGTATACGTAAGTAAATGATTTAGATTACCTGAGCCTGTTCGAATAGCTTCTTTTAAAAACGAAAAGTCAACATCAGCACTAAGATCAGCATTTCCTGGATCACTCCAGGGATAAACAATTTTATGATTTTTAATAGCCTATAATGATAACCTTACTTTAATTCCTTTTCCTTCCCCCTTTTTATTGTTTGTTTATAGACTTACTCTTAACGTATCACCTTGAACATAGTCTTGTCCATAATCAATAACTAATCCAGTTCCACCATTACGATTCAAATATTTAGCAACTTTATCCATGACGCCCCAGCTATCAGGAGATATCTCAACTCGTTCTCCTTCCTTAAAATTAGCATATCGGTCATTCTCTAATAGTTTAACTATTCCTGTAGGCTTTGGCGATTTAATAGGTTTAAAATTATATTTACTAAAAATAAAAAAAAAAACGCACATACACACACACAATTAGAGGAGAGCGTATTTGATTAGTGTTTAATACCTTTCACTGGTGTCGTCTATATCAACAAGGATTTCTCTCCATTCTGATTCAGTTTTCTACAACATTAAATAAGTTAGACCAGGATAAATACAGTATAGCTTTATATCTTACCTCAAATAGGTGAACTGGAAGTGCGTCAAAAAATTCATGAGCCATCACAAATGACCATTGATCTATTAACAAAGTGAGGGATCTGTACTCTTAAACTGGCGCTATAATAGACCTACCTGGTACAACTTCGATACCATCATGCCATGATATCTTCAACCCATCCTTTGTAATTGTCTCAACTGGTGCTTTATCTTTTGTGCCTTTAATCCTCACTACATCTTCATCCTTAGATCCTTTCACTAATCTTTCTCTTTGAATTTTTCGAAGTTCAGGACTTGCTTCAATTAAGTGAATATCTGTCAGAGTTTCATAAAAATAATTGAACTGAGACAATGTCTAGATATATGAAATGTGTTGATTTGAGCATCTATATGCTTGATAATGATTATTATTTTTATTTTTACTCTTAACATATCACTCATCAACGTGCCTCTACCAGGTCCAAATTCAATAATTTGTGTTTTTGAAGGTCGTCCTAGTCTCATCCATTCTGATAAATACCAAACTGCACAAAGCTACAATAAATAAATTATTTTCTTTTTCTCTCGGAAAAAAAAAAGAAAAAGAATAACAGCTGTTCGTTACCTCACCAAATATTTGACTAATTTCTGGAGAAGTTATAAAGTCACCTTTTTTTCCAAAGACATCACCCTTCATGTAATAGCCACTCAAAGGATTTACAAGGACTTGCCTCATGAAATGTGAAACTGATAATGGGCCTGTCAACTAAAGTATGTCATTTAGATCTCCCTCTCTTTCTCTCTCTCTCTTTCTCTTTTTTTTTTTAATTGTAAATCAATTGCTTACCTTGATGGAATCAAGGAGATGTTTCCCTAATGGGGTCAATGGCTCTTTTTGACAACTCGAACTATAAAGACGAATGCATGACTTATTTATGGAAAAAGACAAGATACGAAACATTTATAATTAAAAAAAAAATGCGGGGGAAGGGGGTTGAAGAGAAAGAAAGATTACTATTATAGTATTTACTAACTACTGGATTTTTTTTTTTTTTTATTTCAACATGCGGATTTTTAAAAACTGTTGTTATTACGATTAAACATTTTTTTTTATTTTTATTATTTTTATAAATTAAAATTTATAAAGCAACCTATGGGCACATAATATCTTTATTATATTGGATTGCCCAGGTCAGTTCAAATTATGTGAAAAAAAAAGTATCTAAAAACCCTCTTACGGGACAAGAGGTAAAAAGGTAAAGGAAAGGAAGAAGAAGAAAAGGTGTGAAAGAAAGGGGAAATATTGCTAACATGTTTAAAGGGACAACCTAGTTGAGTAATTTTCTGCCTGGATCAAGAAGTGGAGGGGGTAGTTTATCGTGCATTAAGTAATCCATTTCCTGTAGAATGGTACACATAACTGGCCAGCGATAGAACCAAGCAGAAACATCCTGAGAATTTCGGTACTTATGCTGAGGGAGATGATTTAAAAGAAAGGAAAGGGGATCTGCAATTGATCGTGGCAAGAATAAACGGGTGTGCATGTGCAAGCATTTAGTGGCGTGTGACCGACTAAAGTGTACATAAGGATGCTATGGGTAGGCTTTAGGTATTCCCCTCGGGCAGCCAACCAAGATGCCACTATGTGTCATGAGTAACCAAAGTATCGGATCAATAATCAGATTAGGGCGGCAAGAGGAAAGCAAAACAGAATGTGTCTCGTCACGTAGTTGTTGAAAACTCTCTTCAAGAAATTCTTGACGATGTTTTCGAAAGGAGCGTTGGTCTAATGGAATGGAATTGGCGGCGCAGAGTCTCCAGCATGGTGTTTGAATGAGTTTATACCATTGAGTGTTGAAGATAGAGGCTTGAAGCTCGGGAAGTAATTTAGCGAGCAAAGTATCATCCGGTAAAACAATAGCACGGAAAACGAATTGGGCCTGCAGAATGGACATCCTAACCTTCATTGATGGTTGGTTTATCATATGAAGCATCACCTTTACTGATGATCGACTAGAGCCACCAAATATCCGTCTTATGCATGTGTTTTGACAAGATTCCAGTTGTTGGATATCCTTTGCACTGAGTAGACTAATAGCTAGACCATATTCGAGCTGTGGTCGGACTATCTGCGTGTAGAAGCGTGAAGTAGAAATACGGGCTTTCTTCCGCTTTCTAACACTATTACTAAACTTGGAAAGACATTTACAACACTATATACACATTCAAAACTCTCAACACCTTGAAAAACATCGCAATAACTAGGTAAATACCGCCTGATCGACATAAATATAATAAGACTCCTAGTCGAGTTTTATCTGAAGAAGAACTGGTAGCCCTTGCAAAAGGCTTCTGTGATATTTCTTTTTAAAATATCAAATAAAAAATATTAGAAAATAAAAAATAATATTAAGACAAAAAGAGTCAACGAGACCGAACAATAGTTCTAAAGTCAATTATTTTATTTATGAATTTAAATTGATGGGGGTATTTATAAGAATTGTTAAAGAGGTCTGAGGATAAGATGTGAATCAGAAAAGTGTTAGTTACGACCGAATAAGGTATGTTGTTGACAATGAAGTGTTAGTGATTTTAATATTATTAGATGGAGCGGATCAAGAGAGATTCAGGAGATTTTAGATAAGCATTTCCTAAATAAATTTATGATCCGCATGCTTAATCATGAAACATGACATTATAAGTCAGCTCATGACACAGGGATATATCACATTACAACTGAAATGCTTACACCAGTAACTGATATAATATCACCGCGTCTGCTCTTACTGTTCAAACTTTGTTGGTGTTGGTCATATACACCTCTCTCATGGTGAGTAGTCCAAGTCATTCCAATCCACAAAAAAGGACCTGCTTCTGATCCTGGTAATTTCAGACCCATTAGCCTGACATCTATTTTCTGCAAACTCTTTGAGGAAAGTATATATCATGCCTTGCAGGCATCGAGTCCTTCACTAGATATTGCTCAAGGGGAAGGGGGTTTAGAAAATGCGGAAGTTCCTTAATTTAAATCAAGTCTTATGTTTAACTGAAATCTGCAAAATACTGCATCAATATCATCACTTTATTCCTACTTTGGCTTTTCTAGATATAAAATCAGCCTATGATACCGTTGATCGTTGTTTTATTTGGAATCAATTATAACCTTTTGTCTTTCGCCCTATGTTGGCCAGTCTTAAGAACCTCTTTGATGATGTACACGTTGAAGTACTACTCAACAACTCTACATCAACTAGATTTAAACCAACCACTGGGGTACTCCAAGGATCAATTCTATCTTCCTTTTTATATTCAATCTATATCAATGGTTTACCAAATCTTCTACGCTCACCATCGCCTGAATTAAATGAACTCACAGATGTCATCCAATTAGCTCCATCAATTACCTCTCTTCTCTATGTTGACAATGTTGGATTGATTGCTAAACCAGAAAAAATGACTCAATTGCTGCAAGTTTGTGAAGGACATAGCTACAGTCTAGGTTACTGTTGGAATCTAACGAAATGTGTTGTTATTGCTCCGTCAAGAGACAAACAGATCTATCAACTTTATGAAACTAATCTACCCAAAAGAAGCTTCGTTCTCATATCTTGGTATCGCTATCAAACCAGGTGGAAACATTAATACTGCTGCCCTTATTTAACCTAATGTCAATAAAGCCAAACAATCAATGACCCAAATCTCTGCAATTGATGTCGGCTCTAAAGGATTTACCAAATTACTCTCAATGCGTTTCTATGTACAAATGGTACACGTTCACAAATGGATATATGGATTAGCGATCTGTGATGTGAATCAATCTCATATAAAGCAACTTGGATCGGATCAAAATGAATGTGTACATAAATTGTATGGTGGATCTCGAACATCTTCGACTAAAGTGATGTTACATATGAACAACCAACTTTCAATGAAAGACAGATCAATAATACTACAAGCCAAATACATAATTAGAGCACTACAACTAACCTAATGATACTTTAATACAAAAACTACTGCCTCATTTACAAACATCTGCAAGCCGCTCACAATGGTATAAATATAGTCTCTAATCCTTTTTGGCAAAAAAAAAAAAAAAAAAAAAAAAAAAAAAAAAAAAAAAAAGTGAACCTGTGCCGGATACATTGGATCGTCATGTTTTTAAATCGCTAAAACAATAATTTCTACAAGAAAGTTATGACGCTCTCTGTAACGGTCCAAATGCTCAAACAATCTCTACTTGTCATCGAACCTTGATGATTGTTCCTATTTTATGGCTCCCAATGACACGTATGGAACGTAGTCAGGTACTCTGCTGTTGTCTTGGTTGGCTCCCTGGTGGAAAACCTCGTCCCTGTCTTTTCCATCTTGCAGTTAATCTTCCTCGTGCCCATGCTACCGAATGTCTGCACATACACAGTCATCTACAAATGCCCAGATCCATAAAAGACCCTCTTTCTTTCTTACTAAATTTATTACCCCTAAAAAAACCAAAAAATGTGCCATCTATCTCTTCCTGGTCCATACGTTGGCCAGAAATTTGCCTGATCCTACATGAATTGGATCATACTATATTTTCCATGGCGAAGATCCTCTTCTCCCTCCAACTAATATCGGTGCTAGTTTGGTGAAATGGTTGCAATGATAAAAATGCTAGTGTTTCTGTCTTGTTTCTGAATTTTTTTTCCTTTTTATCTATCTTTCTTTTGTTTTACTTTCCTCATTATTTTTTTCTTTATTCTTCAATACTTTTTTTTCATTTTCCCTCTTGACTCTTAGGAGGTTTTTTTTTTTTACTCTCAACTTCGTGAACTGGTTCGGGCAATGCAATTATTTAAACTATTGTGCTCATTATGACCACTTTTTTTCTTCTTTAATACATTTATCATTTAATCATAGCTAGCCTTTGTGCAAATAATAATTAAACTAGCATAAATGTAATATGTTATAATACATTGACATTTACAAGGGTTTTTTTTTTTCAAGTAAAATAAAGTCTAGTTAAGAAATTATGTTAAATACAGCATTGTTAAGATAAAATAACAAATGGATATAATTTCAAATCTTCTAGAGTTTGTTGATAGTGTGATTTCTTTAGTATTTACGATAATAGTTACATGTATGGTATATATATATATATTTCTATATACAGAATATTAATTTAATTTTCTTCTCATACTTTATGATGTATGGTCATAAGCAGCAACAACTTTTGGAAAAAGTCCAGAAAAAATGTTCCAAAAGACTTCTTGTTTTGCTAATTGAAAGAGCTCTAATGTAATTACGGGTGGAGGTTGGTCCTTTAAGGACTCAATGATACAAAAATCATAATCTACTTTCTTGGATGTAGTTGATATTAAGTCGTACACTTCAGTTGTATAATCAACTGGCTTTTGTAAGAATAAATAGGATATATTATTGTTAGACGTTGAAGCATGATTGTTTACTAAAGTCCTTGATAGAAGAGGAAATAATAACTTATCAATCTTCCCTCTTGCCTCATGTGAAATATTAACTTGTAATGGTGCTTGATCTGTAATGAAGGTCTTATAGAAATCGATCACTTCAGGAACTAATTCTATTGGTATAATCTCTCTTTCTTCTTCTTGAAGTTGTTGTGCTAGATGCAAATATCTATCATAGAACAATATGTTCTCTACACTAAAATCTTTAATTGCCCATGTTTGTAAAACTTTTAACATGAGTGGGTTTCTCAAGGCTGATTCTAAGGAGTCGGTCGTTAATTCCAACATCATTAGTTCCTCTTGATCTCCCACAGAGGACGAGTCTATGATAGAGATGGATTGTCTCCTTATCGGTAGTGATAGCTCTGTCATAGTTAATTTCCTAAAGACGGGTACCACCACTGTCATAATATGATACGTTGTTGTCACGATAACCAACCAATTTGAGGGTCCAAAGATCCCCCTCATCGATGCTGCTGGATTTGACCCTGTAGGAGGCTTAAATAAAGTCTGCCAAATGACAAAAATGATAAAACAAGGTATACCCATACCCATCGTCACCCAAATCTCCCGTCGAATACCATGCGCATCTGCGTCCCCCTTTAAACGCCAAAAGATAAATGGTATGACTACGACAAAGAATACAACAACTGCGTATAAAATGATATGATTACCAAGTGAATAGTCGCATCTGTCTTCATGTTCAACTCTAATACCTAACGTTTCAGCTAGTGTGACGATAACACCAATGAAGCAGAGAGGGACAGCAAGGAAACAGATATGATAGCGAGTACCTATATTGACTATACCCTTTTGTCGCATGAACCAAGTATAATCAGATTTTGTATGTTGCTTAAATTGTTGTTGAAATTTATTTATATTAAAAAGAAGATGTAAACGGAGCGTACGCCAGACGATAGCATAGGTCCATATAAAGAACCCCATAAGTGGTCCCCATAAGTAGATGTCACAAGCAAAGGATGTAATGAAGGCTTGATATAAATAAACAAAAGTGGAGAAGATAAGATGTCCTATGGCTCCTAAAGCAATACCGAAGGATCCTCGCTTTTTTAAGGAATAACTTTGCCATTGTCTTGAGATATTCTCAGCTGATTTCTCTGCTGTTGTATTCGCTGTTAGTTGAGTTAAAGGAATTGGCTCATTGGCTCTTGATGCACAATAAAAGAAATAAGAGGTTGTAATGATCACAAATAAAAAATTGAAAATGATAAGTGCAAAATAGATACGCAGAGAAATGATTTTTCGAACAATACCGTTACAATTGATATCTATTTTAGCTTTTTCATCATAAATCGTAGTAGTATTGCTGCAATTAGGTAATGGAGTAAAGGGTTGAAGAGCGAATATTACTATATTCGACATTTCATAACTTTATTGTTGATTTGATAATAATAATGATAATAATCCAGGGAAAATAAAAAAATAAAAATAAAAATAAAAGATCATCTTAGCGATAAATTTTTTTTAACCGATAGTGGTATTGGTTTCATGTGAATATAATATGAAACCAAAACTAATTGGTTTTTTCTTTTTTTTTTTTTTTATTAGAATGTGTACCAATGTTATTATAACAATAAGGAGGCCTTTCGCTGTTTAATAGTTTCAATAGTCAAAGGGATTTCTGATTTAGTAGAGGGAATAGGTACGTCTACAGACCAGAAGAGATCTAAAACTTCTACAGGAATAATTACAATTGAGGTATCTATGACAGTTGGAAATCCAACATCATTATGTACTTTTATAGCACTACTATTATTACTACTGCTGCTTGTATCATCAAGTAGTAAGGCTAACAATTGATCATAGATTTCAACCTCTGGTCTATTTTCAAGTCTTTTTTCATATTCTAATTGTTCAATCCTTTCGGCTTCAATTAACCTTTTTTCGGTCTCTTTTCTTCGTGTTTGACGTTGTTTAAGCTGGTAATCATCCCAACTGGATTTTAGTAAATTATTTTGATTGAATCGAAGTTCAGATAGTTTTTTATATTCAATATTAAGAAGGTCCAATAAACTATATCAATAATAATATAAAGTATATGAATTTATAAACTGTAATGATCTTGTTATTATTATTATCATTACTGCTTGTTATCCTAATACAGACTATATTAACAGCTTGTTTGTTTGTTTGTTTGCTAGCTTATAGTATACCTTTCTAGTAACGTCATCAGTATTCTATTGTTATTATTATTTATAAATACAGAGATAGTATATTCTATTCGTTGATATACCAATTTATTTTTAAGTTTCTTAATCTTGTCTTGTATTTTTCTTTGTTCATCATCTTGTAAATTAGGTTGAATTAACATGGAGAAAAATAAAGTAAAAAAAAAAAAAAAAAAAAAAAAAAAAAAAAAAGGGAATAAAAGGCAATAATCCAGGTTTTAATTGGACATAGTAACTATGCTCCTCTTTATTATTATAAAAATCACAACTGTTCCACAAAGAATATTATAATGATAAAGAGGTAATACCCTATCCACCTAAACTTAGTCAATAAATATATACATATTTAGATTTATAAATAACAGTGCTAAAGACTAAAATAAGAAAATGTTTATTATTGTGCTTTTTTCAATTGGTTTGCGTATCTTAATTTTTGCTTTAATCATATTTCATTTATACCTCAATCTCCTATTCTCTGGATAAGGTTCGATTTTCTTTTTCCTTTTATTTTTTAATATTATTATTCTCGGCCATGGCTTCTTTTATTTTAAAGGAGGTCATCCTATCATATATAGTGTTAGTGTATGCTTACTTAGCTATAGTAGCAGAAGTTGTATTGTATATAGAGAAGTGGAGTTGGATAATGGATGGGGGAGCATGTTACAGAGTGGTTATACCCAAGAGTGTCAGCTCATCCAAAAAAATAGCCTACTCAACTTTTTATAACCAAGAAGGTATAGTTTGGGCACTTATACTTGTTTACACATTCCCAACTCCACTTCTCTATGTACAATACAACTTCTAGCTACTATAGCTAAGCAAGCACACATTATCTATGATAGGATGACCCCCTAAAGGAACAAGCTGTTTGTGCTTTTTTTTTTTATGAAGAATTCAATGACGAAAATGTAGCAAAACTCTAATAAACCATAAAAAACTTAAAGGAGTTTGATATATGTTATGAAAATGTTCCTCTTAAACCAATGATTCTACCACTAGTCATAATTAATTCAAATCCTTGTATCTATAACAAATATGCTCAAAAAGCTGCATTAGCAAGCGAATTAGAAAACGAAGAAACTATCAAAAGTATGTTAATACGAATGGTATAAACATTATTATTGCCTAATGGTTATACTAACCATTTTATTGTTTTAAATAGTGTTATTATTATTATTATTAGCATTAGATAGCCGGTTAATAATGTTTTTAAATGATGTATTTGTACCCAATACACCTACAAATGAATCGGCTTATATGTATATATATATAAAAACACGTAACTATAATGAATATATTATCAAGAGCAAGAATATTGAATAATAGATCAGCATTATTCTTTTCAAAATGGTGTTTCTCAAAGAAGATGTTATTTACAACTGCGTACTGTCAAAGAAAAATCTTAAAAATATGTAATCAGAAAGTGAGATATAGGAACTTATGGGTGTTAAAGGATGAATATTTAAGTAAGAAGTGATTGCTTATTCTTATATTCAAGTACACAGCGTCTTTAGATTTATAGATCATGAAGAAGTATATATGAATAAGGTGGAAGCGCTTTCTTTAAAAATATTTGTTCAAGTACTTTAAATATGGAATTGCATAAAGGTAGTTAACTCTGATTACCTTATTTTGAATATCGTCGAATTATTATAAAGATTTATTTGATATCAGATCGTGACAAACGTGTTAGTATACTATAAGCTCAATTCGTTCTTCAATCCTGCACCCTGTCCAATGATGCCTCACCTTCGGCAGTTATAAAACTTTGCTGTGGAAACAATGCATCCCTATTATTGAACACCTTGACACACGTCTATTTAAGAATATTCGTTCCACTTATCTTTTGAACTACTTGAATGAAAGACGTTCTGCTCTTTATTTCGAGTATTTGTCTGCATGTCGTAATACATTAATAACTAGCCATATCATTTGGTTGCTTATGGTACAATCTGTTCAAAGTCGATGTCTTTGTCAGTGTCTCCATCATGTTATCCTTTTCACTCTGACCAATTGTTTAGTAAAATTCACTCAATATATTGTCTAGCTTACAACACGATGCCTTTGCCTCTTTCTAATCCAGATCCAGGATCACTTCTGATAGACTGGTTTTCTAAGCTCCCTTCTTAGCACTTTATTTATTTATTTTTCTTATTGTGGTTGATCCTTTACTTTTGCCCTTTGCTTTTTTTTTTTTTTATCTTTTGTCCTAAATAGATTTTTAGTTATTCTTTTTATAAGCTACATGTCCCTTGGTCTCTCTTTTTTTTTTTTTTATAGATAAAATTATTCTTAATAATAAAATTTCTCCCTTGAGCCTATTAAAGATTTTTAATTTATTCACTTTTTTAAAGAACTTCCCCAAGCAATTTTAATATATAATTATTGGTGTGCTTATTGAGTTTTAATTTTTTTTTTTTAATGATAATAATAATAAATCTGCTTTTTTTTTTATTAACTTCAGCTATCATCTTTCATGGCAAAAAGAACAAGAAAAGGCTATCTTTGGGCATTCGATCAACAAGATAAATGGGATGATATTGCGGCTGAAAAAATATCTCAATTACAAGATATTTCAAATACCTATTTAGATTGGTTTAATAATCATTCTACTATAAAGTAATAAATATATTGAAGGAAATTACAAGCATTTCACTTTAACCATTTTTTTTTTAGAGATTTACTATCTTGGAAAAGGCCGCGTATAGATTCAAAAAAGAAAGCATCAGTTAAAGAGATGAAAGAAAATACTGTTTCAAGCAATGTTGAGAATAAACAAGTAATGATGGAAAATGAAGTAGAAGAGCAATCTATAAAAGACGTTAAAAATGATATTGATAATGATGTAAAAGACACTGTTGATAATGACAATAATACTATTAATGATAGAAATCCTGTGAATGATATAATTGTCAATGAAAAGGATGAGCTTGAGAATACTTTACCAGAACAACATGATGAAAATACACAAGATGATGTAAAATCAAATGAAAGTGTCATTTCTGTTGGAATACATTCAGAAGACATCATGACCGACCTTAATTTACAACCATCGAAAGAATTTGATGAACATGATGATGAAGTTCAACTTGTTGTCTCTAAAACAAATAGTAAAAGTTTTTCTAATAATTTATCACCTAACAGTAATGCACAACTCAATAATCGTTTGAGTAAAATGGGACGACCGTCATTAGAAGCAAGTAAATCACCAAGTGCATTATCAAAAGAAGATTCACCGTCAAATATGAATGTAGTTACCACCGCTCGACTTACAAATATACCCAATAATAAAATAGAAGTGAGTGATCCCGTACCTGAATCACAAAAACCTGAAACGGTTACCAAGGATGATAACGTAGTTGAACAACAAAAAGAAGAAGAAAATACTTCTGAAGATAAAGAAAATACCTTTAAAGTACCAGAATGGGCAACAAGTCCAGAACTACAAAAGCATCTAGAGAAGCAATCTAGGATGGATCCTGATAAAATTTTTGGTCGTATGCCACCAATACAAATTGAAGGTAAATAAGGAAAACATGAATATAGTAGACATTTGCTTATTTTTATTTTTCTGCTTTTGACAGAGATTTTTCCTTTTCTTTCTGAAGCAAAGAATTATATGAAAAAGCTACGACAAGAAGGATCTATGGCATTACACCGTTAAATGTTGTATTTAAAAACTTATTTCAGATGGTAATAATAGATGTATGTATATTATGTGCTTAAATAAAAACAGTGGAGAATAGAGGAAGAATGCTTTAAATTCTATAATTTATTACGAATGTAGATTAGATTTAGTTGATTCAATTGTCCATTATTGTTGTTACTTGAATCATATATACAATAATAAATCTTAGTATCACTTTGGTTACTATTATGAATAGATTGTTTCATTATATTATCCAATCGCCTTACACATATAATACTGAGAAGATATATTCAATATGAATATCACAATTGAAGGGAAAAAATCGATTGAATATTATAAATATGTTCTCTTCCTCTTAGCATAAGCCCTGATTAAATTACTTTGTAGTCTTTAAAGTGTTTATCTGTTTTATTTTTCTTTCAAAAAAAAAAAAAAAAAAAAAAAAAAAAAAAAAAAGACAAACTGAATCTCTTTACACTCTGCCGACATCAAAATTGTAATATTTGTTACAGTGAAAGTCAATGAAACCGAACGATAGTTCCAAAAGTGAATATTTTATATATATATATATGATTTTATAAGGTAAGATATGAATCAGAAAAGAAGTGTGAATTGCGACTAAATGATAAATGTTAATGATAGCAGTTGTTAGATCGGTGAAAGAAGAAAGAAAGAAAGAAAGAAAGGAAAAATCTGTGATAGAATCTGTTGTATTGCTTTTATCTTTTCAAATTAAAATCTAACAATTAAAAGCTTTCTCAAAATAACCAGCATATTTTCTTCGCTGCCTTGATCCTATATTAGGGATGTTTGATACAAAGGAAATAATAGTAACCGATCTAAATCTGACATTCAAGGTATAACCTAGATTCAGCTAAACTAAACACCAGTGTACAATGTTATTCCATACAGCTTGTTTCTTAGGTGCCATGCCTTGACACAATTAGTTTAATCTTCTTCTTTTACTAGAATTTACTACAACGTTCTAAGATTAGTTTGATAAAGTAATAAGCAATAGTTATTGGTAACCTGATATTGACGATAATATTATTGCTATACATAGCTATTCTAATTAGATATGCTTAATTGTATTGTATCATTTGTTTGTACCAAGTTTTGAATATTATATTATTTAAGCTTATCAATTGCAATATGAATAACAAATGATATCATTAACGCAAAAGACACATATAAAGCTATCTTTATATTGAGTAAGCTTTCTATAGATTTTATTTTTCTACATGATGTATCATAAGCTAGTTTTAAAAAGTATTAAATATAAACCATATATTTCTATAATAAACTCTCTTTTTCTAATATAAATGTATGCTCTAAATAAAGATCATATCAAGCTTATATGTAACTTCAACCAAGTATATAGAATATTATTTCTATTCAACAACAAGGATATCTTGTTATAAAATAAATCTCATATCGCTTTTCAATTCCTTTTCTATTCTAATCTTTAGCTAATTGACGCCCTTATCCAACACTATTCAATACAATAATTTACAAGGGCAAATTTAATGTCAAGATTTTAGCTCGAGAAAAAGGCTTTTATTTTGATTTTAGAAAAAAAAATGAAATGCCATTAAAATTAAAAAACAGACAGAAGATGGAGCAATCCTATTGGTTAAATCACGTGACTTTTAATTTACACTTATAGCTTATATATAAACTATAAAACTCAACAAACAACTGGAGAGATGGCCGAGTTGGTCTAAGGCGTCACGTTAAGGTCGTGATCTCTTCGGAGGCGTGGGTTCAAATCCCACTCTCTTCACATTTTTTTATTTTTGTTTTTATTTTTGCTCTCTTCATTTTACCTTTTCCAGCTGATAAAGGACTTTAAGATACTATCATGACATGATAAGACAGCCCCAAATACAACATTTTTTTTTGACATGACATAACTAATATAAAATATATAAAACCAATTCTGATCACCACCTCTCCTATTTATTTAATATCAAAATAGAAACATTATATAATCAAACGAAGTTGTAAGCATTTACGCAAACTATCAAGAATTAATTGAAGCTACAGTGTTCTCAAGATAAAGAGCATGACAATATTAAAATAACACGGATATATTATTATAAATAATGTAGAATATCCGATAAAAAGGGGGGTTTTGTCTGCACATGTTTTAGTTTTGTCTTTAATTCATTACCTGATTTCCTTTGTGAGATAATGCAGGACCTTTTTGTTATGTACGTAAACTAAATAGAAGGAGTAGCAGCCAATCAACAATGATATATTGTTTTATTATTGTATCATATTTAGAGTAGACATTGGTCTTTCGATCTTTTTTTTTTTTTTATAAAAGAATAATGGGGATAAATATGTATCTATATTTTATTAAATTCACATTTAAACATAACAATTGTTTTAATAATAGTGTCAGATCTTTGACATTTTTTATGGCTATTACAAATCAACCCTTAATAATGTAACTACAATAAAATGAATCATAAATATCAAGTGATTATGAGAAACAAATGTAGCTTTTTTCTCTCTCTTTCTCGATTTATTTTACATTTAAGATCAAATATTCCAACTTCATCTTGGTACTATTTATTGACTAGATACATAGGTGTTTTAAATAACCTTACTACGATATGTGTTGATTTGTGTTGTATTGTAGTGAACTCTTTTGTATATTTGATGCTATTTCAATGGTATTAGAATTTCTTTCGGTAAGAAAAAAAAAAATGAGCTTAGCATAAGACCTCCTCATTCATTATATAATTGTTTATATCACTCTATTTGTAATCAATTGAAAATGGCTAAGAGAAAAAAAAACATGACAAAAGATGTCAGTACTGAAAAAGCATAAGGTATACATTATATAAAAGTTAGTAGACCGTTGTTGCCTACTATCTCTGATAATTACTCTATTTTTTTTTAACTACAGCTAAAGTTGTCCATCATACTATTTTGATAACAAGTTATTTTACCATACAAAAAAAAAAAAAAATGAGAAAGAGAGATGAATTTATTTGATTTGAAACAACTAATAGTAAACACTATCCAGCGTTCCTCAATGAAAACAATCATGTAATCCACCAAGTTCTTACAATCTACAACTTTATAAACGATGAATTCACTAGTTCAATTAACAAGATAATGTCATAGATTTAAAACACACACACACACACACACTTTCTTTAGCTGAATATACTGCATGTTATTATTCATATTCATTCTAACTGTACAAGTCACATCTTGATTAAACACACATCAACTTGTAAATAATTGTGTATGCTACTGCATTTTAAAATTAAATGTCGTTACTTGCTTTTCTTTAAAAGGAAATTTTGATGAGATGATACTGATTTAGCCATCCTGTTTTTTTTTTTTAAATAAGTACACAGATTATACCATCTATTTCTTTTCTTTTTTCTTGATTATATACATATTTATATACCATATATTAAAAAAAAAATGTCACAATCAGAAAAGAAGTCCAAAGACCCAGTGCTCTCACTTATATCAGGTACGATTGCGGGTGCAGTAGAAGGGGTAGCCACTTATCCAACAGAATACGTAAAGACGCGCCTACAGCTTCAAGCAGGTGGCCAACTTCAACCTGGAGAATTAAAATTCCGAGGGCCTATTGACTGTTTAGTGAGAACGATTCGCACACAGGGTGTAAGTACGATCTATACAGGTGTCTCAGCATTAGCCATTGGCAATGCAGCTAAAGCAGGAGTACGATTCCTAACTTACGATCAAATTGCAAATGTCTTGCGAGATAAAGATGGTAAGCTTTCAGGTATACGAAGTATGCTAGCTGGTCTAGGAGCAGGCATGACAGAGGCGGCTTTAGTCGTAACCCCCTCTGAAACAATTAAAACCAAATTAATTCATGATCGAAATAATGCTACACATAAATATCAAGGATTAATACATGGTACACGAACGATTATAGCTGAGGAAGGCCTTGGTGGTATCTATCGTGGGCTAGGCCCTGTGATGGCAAGACAAGGAGCGAATAGTGCTGTTCGATTTAGTTGTTATTCATACTTTAAATCAATGCTTCAGAACTGGCGAGAGAAGGATGATGAACCTTTACCATCCACACACACATTTGTAGCTGGAGCCTTGGCTGGTATTGTTACTGTCTATTCAACTATGCCCTTAGATGTTGTCAAGACACGAATGCAAGGCTTAGATGCTAAAACATTATATAAAAATTCAGTAGATTGTTTGATAAAGGTTGTAAAGCAGAATGGTGTATTCTCATTATGGAAAGGAACAACACCTAGACTAGTTAGACTTATTGTAAGATTTATTTATTATTTATCATTTTATGTATATATACATATACACATACACATACACATACACATAGTCTAATATGATCTTTTATTATCATAGTTCTCTGGTGGCATCGTTTTTACTGTATATGAAAAAGTATACCAAGCATTAGAATTTGTAAAGAATTAATTTTTATTTTTATATATATGCTATATTTTGATCCAATAAGATAATAATAAAAAATGCATTAATTTACAAGTATTTTTTTTTTTCTTCATTTATAAAACTGCGGCATTATTTCTCTCTTTATAATGGAGACCATAGATGTTAGAGAGAAGCTTGCACGATTAATAAAAGAAATTACAGAAACAGGTGAATGGGTATTAGATTTACAAAAGCTAAAGGTGAATAATAATGATAATAATAAAAAGACAAGTAAACATAATTAAATGTTGCAATAATATATAAAAGATCATAAAATCATTTTGTAAAAAATCAAATGTCCATGTTGAAGTCACATTTGAATGCATCATGTCACAATTAAAAAAAAAGCATGCACAGGTATGCTTATATATATATATATATATATACATATATACATACATACATACATACATACAATGTAATAAATGGAAGCTAGTAACATTTTTTGCTTATATAAGATTCGATATTCTTGTTTACAATTGATTGAGCAATTATTCGAACGTTCGAAACATTTTCGAGAACTCTTGACAGAAGATTTTCCAGTCTTTACACAGTTAACAATTGGCTTTCATGATAAAAAGCTTCCTCCACCAGCACAAGTAGCTATGAAATTAAAAGAATATGCAATTGCACTTATTAAATCTTGGCTAACACATTATGGTGAAAGATATCGTCAAATTGACATTGCATATGAATTTTTGTTGAATAATGGTATTTTGAATACAGAAGGTGAATCATTAGCTAATATTCATACAAGCAATCGAAATAAATCAAATACTGAGGTAGCATAGCATAGCATAGCATAGCATAGATTATAAATCGTAATTATTATTTATATTTATGGTGTAGGCAAGGAGAAAAGAAAGTCAATTAAATCGATTTGAGCTATTAAAGGCTGATGTGGACAATCATCTAGAAATCATTCAAGATAATTTGACAAGAATGGAAGGATGCTTTGAGATTTTAATACCAAAGAATGATCTTATAATGGACGATGGGACTGCTATAGATTTTGATGCGTTATTAAAGGGAGAAAGAATAATAGAAAACGAAGCAGAAAATCCTGATACATACAAAGATGTAAAGTATATGCATTAAAGTCATAAAAAGATATTAACTTGTATCTACAGAGTATTTTATCTCATGGATTAGGCTCAAATAGATATAAGATTACAATCGACATGTCCGAGGATTCCTTATTAGAAGACATAAAGGAAACATATGAAAACAAGATTATTTTTGATGAATTGAGAGAGGCATATAGCATTTTAATGACAAAGCACATGAATCAACTAAATACATGGTTAAATACACTTATCAGAATGGATGCCATGCCAGTAAAAAAAAAAAAAAAATCAGTGTAGTGTAATGTAATGTAAAATAGACTTATTCTTTATTTTAATAGAATAAAATTGAAAAAGAAAAGATAGTAAAAGAATTAGTTAGCCTAAAGGCACAAGCTACAGAAGATATAGAAAAGGCAAAATTATTAAAAATCGAAATAATTCCACAAGAAGAAAGAAAAAAGCTTGATATGACAGATATTAAAGAAGAAGAAGACGAAGACGATGAATTTGAGGATGAGTTATTTGAAGAAATAGACTTGCATCAGACGAAATCTAAAAGAGATGAAAATACACTTAATAGTTCAAAATTACCTCCATTACAACGCATTTTCCCTTTATCTTATGAGCCAAGCATGATGGAAGATGTCACTTATAGTGGTCCACCCATGATACAAAATAATGATATAGAGTAAATAATTGAAGTGGCAAGAAAGAGATAAAACTTGTTTCTTTTTTTTAAAAAAAAAGACTCAATATTTTTATTGATATACATAGGACAAAAGAACTAAGAGATAAAGGAAAGCAAAAATCAAATCCAGAAAGAGAAGGTTACTTAAACACATGAAAATCATTTTATTAAACTAAAAATATTTTGTTTTTATATGTGTATGTAAATAGAATTATTAAAGCGTGCACCAGTAGTTGAGGTAATAGCATTATTTTTAACTATTCTTATTCATCTTCTCTTTGGCAAATGATAACTTTTATTTTATTTTTAGTGGGGAGATGACTTATATTATTGGGACAAAAGAAATGTTCAATTTAATACAAGTGGCATAGGTAAGTAAAATTTTATTTTTAGACTTTACATATTCATTTATTATTGTAACTATTAGAACGAAATCATCGATTTATGGGTGTTGGGGAAGGAGCAAATGAGATTCCTGATCAATTACTCGATCAACTTCGTAAACGACCCATTTATTATAAATCAGAGGAAATAAAAGAGCTACAGGTAGGTATATAACTACAACTGTATACATATCTTTTGTACTTGTACTTATATGCATGTCTATATATTAAGGCATGTAAACACCCATTACGCAATGGTGGTCTTTGTCCTAGAAAAGATCTTGTTACTTGTCCATTCCATGGACGTATTGTACCCCGAGACGATATGGGTAGACCAGTTAATAAAGAAGACACATTATCTGATAGTCAGTCTCCAACTTCTAGTACAGTTGAAGATGAAACAGTATATAGACAGCACTCTAAGAAGCCTGATCCTGAAATCATGAATAATCTATGGGAACTCTTACAGGATCAATCCGGGAATATAAAAAGAAAGAAAGGCTGCAGACCAATAAAGAAAAAATCTGCACTTATTAATGTAAAAAAGAAACCAAATACAAGTTATAGTCGCTTGGAACGTCAAATAAGTTCAACCAAGAACAAAAAAATGGTAGAGGAGGCAATAGAATATGAACGAGAAATGAAGGCGCGTAACAAAGAAGCTAATAAGTGGCGTTGACTTATTTTAATAAACTAAGCATATATATAAAAAAAAGAGCAAACAATACTTTCTTTAAACATATTCTTCTTGTTAATTCTTCCTATTTACTATAACAGTGAAACTATTTTTATGGTTAAATGAAATAATGTAACAATAGAAATTCTTTATATTACGTAATAAAAATCAACAAAATATATGACGACATTAAATCCAATACTTGTGTATATAAATATTTTATTTATTAATTTTAAAGGGAATATATTAACTAATATATTAAGCTGCTGTCGTAATTCCAACAGATTGTCTTCTGAATTTAAGATTAGGAAGTATGGGCTCAAATAATTCTGGTAAAATTTGAGGTAAATCATAAATATCTTCTATTTGATAATCACCATGATTTGATTTGGATGCATCATCAGCAAGATGAATAGTAGTCCATCCCATTTTCTATATATATATTTAGAATTATTAGTTTCAATATTTCATTCACAATAATAATAATATGATGAATTTACTTGTGCAGCATCAATGTTATTTGCAGAGTCATCTATAAAGTAGCACTGTTTAGGATCCACGGCACCCGCATCTTTCATAGCTCTAAGGAAAGCAGCAGGTTCTAAATTTCAAAAGTATAAGGATCTGATATTCTTACATTTGTGATAATGTGCTTACCTGGTTTACAGTTAAAATCAGGTAACAAATAATTGGTATAAATTAATCCTTTTTATGGCAGAGTGTTAGTTATCCTGTTTATGTATATATATACACGTATTTCCTTTTACCATCGAATTCATTTTCAACGCCTAATAGCTTTAAGCATCTAACGGCATGCTGTAGATAAGTGTTAATATTACAAATATTACTTTTGCTGTTGCTTATATTATACTTACGGGTCTATAAGCATTAGTGAATACCCACTTCTTACAGTTAAGTTTTTGAAGCATTTTTATCAATTCTTCATCTTTTGTAATTAAACCGTCTAAAGGTAACGATTGATCAACTTTTATATCTAAATATGTGTATAAAACTATATTAGTCTACTATCTAATACACCTTTTGATAACCAAAACAAAAAAAAAAAAGAGCCTTTACCATAATCAAGTGGATCGACGCTATATTCTTTTTGAAGACCTCTTAAGGATAACCCATATTGTTGTTGGTATCTTTTTTGCAAAGGGACAACTAACACAAAGACAGTTAGCAAATTTTGTTTGAATTTTAAATAAATCAAAAACTCACCTTGGTCAACAGGAATTCCGACTTCATGTACAAAATAGTCTTGAATTCTATGTATTACAAAGAAGTCAGTTACTGTGGTAGTTACGGGTAACCGTATAATTAGTTACTTTAGTCTCATTAGTGAAAGAATATGTAGATCTTTATTCTATCAATGTGTATATAAACAAGATGCATTAGAATCCAATATTATTTCTTAATAATTGTTATTTACATAAAGACAGTTATCTAAGTCAAAGAAGAAGATAGGCTTCAATGTCATTCTAATTGTAAAATATTAGTTAAAAAAAAAATTATTAAAAACAAAAAGCCCTTTTTTCCTTATTTTTCCTTTTTTATCCCTCCTTTTTTTTTTCTTTTAAAATTTTAGCTCCGCATAAGCTAAAACTTTCTTCCCTGAATAAAACATAGTAATATTGTTTGAGATTCGAGTTTAATTATTGAACCTTTTTAAACCAATCAACTTATAATATGAAAGACAATATTATTTTAGCTCTAATTATTTCATATTATTAACTATGACATCCATTTAAAAAAAGAAAAATTGTTGAACCAGAGAAGCAGAGAGGCTTGTAGATAGTTACTACTGTTATTGTGAAATTAAGTGGTTGAGTCCTTATAGACGCAAACACATGATTGACCAGCGGTATTATTGAGTAGAAGAAGTCTTTTTTTTTTTTTTTTTTTTTTTTTTTTTTTTTTTGTTAGATTCGAATTAAAAAGGAACCAACTGATGATTGCAAGCGCAAACGACAGTGTAATTGGAGAAGTTTAATAGAATCATTTTTTTTTATTTAAAAAGATATTTTCGTCTATAAAATTGGTAAACCACATATCGTGTTTTCACGTCGTTTTCTTTGATTATTTCACTCAAGTTGTCTACAGGAAACAATTTAAAGATTGTTTGGGCAAAAGCAACGATTATTTTCTTTTTTTTTTTTTTTTTTGTAAACTTGTTATGCATTGAGCATCCAAGTCACTTTTAGTAGAATTATATCGACACTAGAGTTGATTATTTGAATAAAACAATAAACTTCTTTCCCTCTCCCGTTTTACGTCTTTACTCTGAAGAAGATTAAAGTTAGATAATGTTATGTCAAAAAAAATTTATACTACTGTGATATCAATATACTTGTTATTTACTTAGTTTGATGATGATCGCTTTATTAAAATAAAATAATTATGAAATAATGGTAATAAAAGAGTATTGACTACTCACTTTTCCTAATTATATATTATCTTTAAAGAAAATAAAAGGAAATGAGTGAGAAGCAATACTTATAGAGAGAGGGAAGGTTGATTAAAGACGTAGCAAAAGTTTTGAATGAAAACATCAGTCTTTTTTCGAGATAGACTGTGCTTCTAATAAAATCAAGAAAATGGTAGTAACAACGAGGCTGCAAATATTTCTAGCTTTTCCCTTACTTTTCTAAGATCAATCCAATAATAAAACAGTTTTCAGTAGCTAATGTAAGACGTAGCTATTCTAGTAAAAAAGAAGAAACGAAGGACAACAAGAGTGAATGAGGCTTATAATAATATCTCATAAATAAAATGAACTTATACAAGACATACGTGTTAGATTGTAAGATATGATTTTTTTTTATTTATTTATTTAAAAAAGGAGATGAAAAATGATGTTTTGGCCAAACCAAGTCTTCTGTCTTTGGTAGTGGGAACCACGAACCATGAACCCAGCTAGAATATCTGTCTTCTTGTTGAGACAGACCAGAAGAGGTAATGGAAAGTTCATCATCGCTTTCATCGTGGTGACCTTGGCTGATACTGCCAGCAATCCATCGATTTTTTCTTAATTTCATTGTTGTTCTCCATAATAATATAATTATTACAGTTGGACATAGCCATATTTCTTATATCCGACAACCGTTCAAGCAATGTACGAGCTTTACAAATATCTCCTCCACAGGTTGCCAATCGCAGGGAACCTAAGTGGCTTGCAACATTTAAACCGTTTTCAACAAGTCTTAATTGCTTTATTTAGCCCTCTACACCAAATATCTGGATGCATTGCCCTTTTATTTTATTTTATTTTATTTTTTAATACTGAATATTCTTCAAAACGCTTCAACTAACTGTATCCTATATAAACATAAAATGTGTTCTATTTGTGATTATAACAACTAATTGAAATGAAGGATAGAAGAGGTCTTCTGGTATCTCGCTTTCTGTTCTGTAATAATTTAGTTAGAAGGTATAGTATCTATTTGCCTGACTACACATTTTTCAAGAAAATGACTAGTCTATTTTAAGACTTCAAAAATTTAAATAATCACTTTTTGTTTAACAATTATTATTAGGCACGCTTACTAACTGGATACAGAATACAAGTAGATTTTAATACTTCTGTTTATATATCTATTGAAATGAATAAACAATGCTGTGTACTTGATTATTTCCATAAATCAAAAATCATTGACTTTTGGCATGAGGAAAACTTGTACTGAGCAAAATACAAGGAAAAAAAAAACTTAACAAGGCTGATACAAATAGTTTCCTTCTGTACTGCTTACCTATTAAAGTAACAATTGTCGAGGTATCTGATTCAACTCCAAATTGTCATGTCTTCACAAGTTTCGACTAATCAAGGTGTCAGTTTCGAATTTCATGTACAGTGCCAGATATACAATGCCTTTTTTTCTCTTCTTTTACTTTCGTTTATGCTCTACCATAAACACAGTGCTGTTATCTGATAATATAAGAAATATGTACCATACTGCTTTTATTTTAGATCTTTTAATTGATGCCTTAACAATTCTTAATAGTCAGCAATACAAAACAGGAAATTAAAATCTTTACGCTTTTTTTTATTTTTTATTTTTTATTATTTTTTATTCACTGCTATTACAGTTTCATGATTGATATTGCAATCAAACATTGATATTTTATAACAAAGAGTTTATTTTATATCTATTAAGTTCTTGATTTTGGCGTAGTAGCTCATCATCCATTCTACATTCAATCTCAGATCATCTCAAATTTTTTTTTCCAATGGTTAAAACGCTGTATAAGGGAACTCCTACCCCTTCCATAGAAAACCCTACCCCAAAAGTCAATGACGTGTGACTCAAATTTAAGAGTATTTTTTATCTTCCCCAGATATCGTCCATATTTTCAGGTTTTTCCCCGCTTTTTTTTCTTCCAAGATACATTATGTTTAGATTAGTTGCTTCAAAGACACCTTTAGCAAATGTAAATTTACCATTTAATTTCCATTTAGTACAGACATTTATGAACTAATATGAATTACTTGAATAGATTGCACTTCGTAATGCTGCTGTCAAATCAATTCGTGCACCTGTAGCTACCCAATTCTATCGTTTTTACAGTACCCCTGCCGGTAATGTAATAAACTTTACTTTTAATTGCATTATTAATTTTTTTTTCCTACTAGATACTGAATACGATGTTGTCGTTATTGGTGGTGGCCCTGGAGGTTACCCTGCTGCTATAAAAGCTGCACAAGAAGGCCTTAAAGTAATGATTACTCGAACATTGAAAAAAAAAAGGATAAAAAAGATATATATTTATATTATTTTTTTATTTCTCACTCATGCTTTGTTGTTAGGTTGCCTGTATTGAAAAGCGTGGTGCTCTTGGTGGCACATGTCTTAATGTTGGTTGTATTCCTTCAAAAGCCATGTTAAATAACTCACATATTTATCATCAAACACAACACGATCTCAAAAACCGTGGTATCGAAGTTAGTGATGTCAAACTTAACTTGGATCAAATGCATAAGGCTCGTGTTAAGGCCATTACGGGTTTAACAAAGGGTGTTGAATTTCTTTTCAAAAATATGGTGTTGATTATATTAAAGGCACTGGTTCCTTCAAAACAAATACAGAAATCAATGTTGTAGGTCTTGATGGTACCTCGAATTCGACTATTAAGGGCAAAAATATCATTATTGCTACCGGTTCAGAAGTGACTCCTATTCCCGGTATTGAGATTGATGAAAAGAAGATCGTTTCTTCTACAGGTGCTCTTGAATTAGAAAAGGTTCCTAAGAAGATGGTTGTGATTGGTGCTGGTGTCATTGGCCTTGAATTAGGTTCTGTTTGGTCTCGTTTGGGTGCCGATGTTACCGTTGTTGAATATTTGGATGCCATTGGTGCTGGTATGGATCCTGAACTTGCAAAGAATTTCCACAAGATTTTACAGAAACAAGGTCTTAAGTTTAAATTGTCTACAAAGGTAAATGGTGCTAAAGTAGAAGGTGATATTGTCAAGGTTGATGTGGAAGCTGCTAAAGGTGGTAAAGCTGAAACTGTAAGTAGTAGAAGAGGAATGAATGGCTAAACAAAGCAAACTAATTTTTATTTTATTTTCATTCTTAGCTTGAAGCTGATGCTGTTTTAGTCTCAATTGGTCGTCGACCTTATACTACTGGACTTGGTTTGGAAAATGTAGGCGTCGAACTTGATAATCGTGGTCGTGTTGTGATTGATTCTGAATTCAAGACCAATGTACCTAATATTCGTTGTATTGGTGATGTTACCTTTGGACCTATGTTAGCTCACAAAGCAGAAGATGAAGGTTTTGCAGTCTCTGAAATGATCAGTACCGGTCATGGCCATGTCAATTATGATGCTATTCCTTCTGTTATTTACACACATCCTGAGGTTGCTTGGGTTGGTAAGAATGAGACACAATTGAAGGAAGAAGGTGTCAAGTACAGAACGGGTTCTTTCCCTTTTTCAGCTAATTCTCGTGCACGTACTAATGATGATGCAGATGGTTTAGTTAAAGTTATTGTAGATGCTGATACAGATCGCATTTTGGGTGTTCATATTATTGGTCCTAATGCTGGTGAGATGATTGCTGAAGGTGTACTCGCTGTTGAATATGGCGCTTCTGCTGAAGATGTGGGACGTACTTGTCATGCTCATCCTGTAAGTTATATTTTTTTTTTGATGTTACAAATGAAATATGATATGCTGATTTTTTTTTTCTCCACAGACTCTTTCCGAAGCTTTCCGTGAAGCTTGTTTATTTGCCTCTTTTGGTAAAGCTATTAACTTTTAAAAGCCCAAATATAAGATCATCTTTCCCTTTAAAATCTTCATTTTCTTTAATATTAAAGTACTCTAATACTATGTAAAACACCTCTTTGAAAAAAAAAAAAAATTAGACTTTTTTTTTTACAGTTTCTATGTCTGGTTTTTTGGAAGTGGGGAGTGTAAATTTTTAAGATAGTCTGACATTTTTTTTTTTTTTTTGGCGTTTCTTTTCTTTTCTTTTTTTTTTTTTTTTTTTTTTTTTTTTTTTTTTTTTTTTTCCTTTTTTTACGCGAATTTTGCTTTTTAAGATAGACATGAGCCTTACTGAAACCACTGAAGAATTGCCTGATGTTGGTAATTTGGTTTATTATTTGATCTTTTTTGTTTTTTTTGTTTTGTTTATTAAATTACATAATAATATTCCATAATAGGAAAACCTGAACAACAAACATTTGTTAATTTCTTTAGATCGTTAGATCCTGTAAATTATTTCATACATATCTGTCCTTCAATTAAACTAACGATTTCTATTTGTTAGACAGATGAAGGCACAATTCGATTATTTGAACGTGAAGCGAATGAATCACCTTATTATACTTTTCATGGTGATGATGCAAAATATATAGCCGAGAATGTATATAAAACAACTTCTGTTATTCTATATTGGTCTGGTAATAAATATATATATATATATGGATATAGATAGATCTATATACAGAAGGATCATGACTTAGATTATATTAGGTGATAGCTCAACAGGTCTACCAACAACAAAATTAACCAATAAAGCAGCAAAAGCGTTTTTAAGAGATGCTTTACTTAACAAGCAACTAAAGATTGAAATCTGGAAACAGAATAGATTAGAGTGGCGATTGATTCATAAGGCCTCACCAGGTAATTTGCAATCAGTTGAAGACTTTTTATTCTCAAGTGCGCAATTGACTTCTGCACCTGTTGTGATTGCTGTTAAATATAGTATCTCTGGTGAAAACAAGGTAATTGCTTGTTTGTTTAAGGATTATCTTTATTTACACTTACTTTGTAGACAGTGGGTGTTGCCTATGCAGACACGACTACGAATCAATTAGGCGTAAGTCAATTTATTGATAATGATCTTTATTCTAATTTAGAGGTAATGAAATACAGATGAGTAGATAAATAGATAGAGAGAGATAGATCTATCAATGTATTCTAAACCTTTGCTTTACATTGTTAGTCTTTAATTATTCAATTGGGTGTAAAAGAATGCTTGCTATTATCTACTGGAAAAGAAACAAAAGATTATGAAGCAATAAAGATCAAAAGTCTTCTTGATCGCTGCAATGTTGTTACAACTGAAAGAAAAAAAAGTGATTTTGACCCCAAAAACATTAACCAAGATTTAAATCGATTATTGGGTGATGAAGTCTCAGTTAAAGCACTACGTAAGTATTTGCAAAACGATAGAAATTTCTTTATTTTACTAACTAACTTATTTAGCTGAATTTGAGTTGAAAGATGCCATGTCCTCTTGTGCTTGTGTTCTTAAATATTTGCAATTGTTGGAAAATGAAAATAACTTTGGAAAATATACGTTAAGACATCATGATCTATCACAATACATGAGGTTAGATGGGCCTGCTTTACAAGCCCTCAATCTTTTACCAACAGCCCAAGATGGACCTAATAAATCAACTAGTCTTTATGGTTTATTGAATAAATGTAACACAGCTCAAGGAAGTCGATTATTTGCTCAATGGCTAAAGCAGCCTCTTTTAAATATAAACGAAATAACTAAAAGACAAGATATCGTTCAAGTATTTTTTGATGATACAGAGTTACGACAATCTCTTCAAGAAGATCATTTAAAACATGTACCTGATTTACATCGACTATCTAAAAGATTACAAAACAGAACTAGTAATTTACAAGACGTTATTCGTATCTATCAAATGGTGATTCGTTTACCGGCTCTTTTACAGTGCTTGGAAGCTAGACCATGTCCTGATCCTAAAATGGCTACCTTAATTGAAGAAACATATACATCAAAGATTAAAGAATATGCAAGTCATTTACAAAAATTGGAAGAATTAGTAGTAACATCCATTGATTTAGAGGCATTAGAAAATCATGAATATATTATCAAGGCAGAATTCAATGAAGATCTACTTGGTATAATATCTAAACCTTATTCATATTGTGTATTAATTGTTTCTTTCTTTTATTTCATGTATAGCATTACAAGCTGAAATGCAATCGATCAGTAATCAAATGAATAACGAATATGTAAGAGTATGTGACAAGCTAAATTTAGAAATGGATAAAAAATTGAGATTAGAGAAACACAGTTTATACGGTCATTGTTTCCGTATTATTGGTCGTAGTGAATCATCTAGATTACGTAATAAAGCTGAATATATAGAATTGGCAACTCAAAAGGCAGGCACATTTTTCACAACAGCTAAGCTTAAAGGTTTAAGTGATAGACATAAAGATTTATCATTTCAATATGATGATAAGCAAAGACAATTTGTTAAAGAAATTATAGATATTGTTGGTAAAGTACAAGAGATGAATTGGGGGGTTAAATTATACTTACATATTATAATAAATTCTAGCAACATATTGTCCTGTATTGGAATCTCTTAGTGCAGTCCTTGCTCATATGGATGTATTGATTAGTTTTGCCCATGTATCAGTTATGGCACCTATACCTTACATCAGGCCTACCATGTATCCATGTGGTAAATATACATACTATAAATATATATATATGTGTATGTATAATGAAAATACTAACATTCAATTTACAGGGCAAGGTAACGTAATATTAGAAGAAGCACGTCATCCTTGTTTAGAAGTTCAGGATTATGTAGCATTTATTCCTAATAATGTTGAAATGTTAAGAAGTAAAGTAATATAGTAGATACATGTATGAATAGATTATTATATTTACTTTTATTATGTAGATTCATCTGAATTTCAAGTCGTTACTGGACCTAATATGGGTGGTAAATCAACTTATATTCGTCAAGTAGGAGTGATTGCATTAATGGCTCAAATTGGATGTTTTGTTCCCTGTACAAGTGCAAGCTTATGTATATTTGACTCTATCATGGCACGTGTAGGTGCAGGTGATAGTCAACTGAAAGGTGTATCTACTTTTATGGCAGAAATGCTGGAGACGAGTACTATTTTGAAAGCAGCTTCACGTAATTCATTAGTTATCATTGATGAATTAGGTAGAGGCACGAGCACATACGATGGTCTTGGTTTAGCTTGGGCTATTTCAGAGTAAAGTATATAGATAGAAATCCTTATCATGTTATTAACAACTTTCTATTAGATACATTGCAACAAAGATACGCGCCTTTTGCTTATTTGCAACTCATTTTCATGAATTGACAACATTGAATGAAACTGTTCCTCATGTCAAAAATCTTCATGTTACTGTTCATATAGGTGATGATCATGAAGTCACTTTATTATATAAAGTGAATGAAGGTGTAGGAGATCGCAGTTTCGGTATTCATGTAGCAGAATTAGCGAATTTCCCACCATCAGTTATAAATCTTGCCAAGCGTAAAGCGAATGAATTAGACGAAGAAGCTGATTTCTTTAATAGTAGGTTTAATAAGCAAAACAAGATTGAGCCACAACAAGTAAAGGTGATTATAATAGCACAAGTTGTAAATAGACATATGCTAATATATATATATATATATATATAGGATGGTAATGAACTTATAAAAAACATGACAAAAGAATTGGCAATTGCAAATCAAAATGAAGACAAAGATACATTAGAAGAAAAGATTCAGTCCATTAAAGAAAAATATTCAGATGCTATAGAACAAAATTTATATTTAAAACAAATCTTAGAAACAGATAATCCATCTAATTGTGATGACAAGATGGAAGAATAAATTAAAATTGCATAACTCAGAACAATATATGTGTCTGTCTATTTTTATTTTATTTTTTATTATATTTTATTTTATTTCATTTCATTTTATTTCATTTTATTTATTTATTTTTGTGATTTCAATGACAAAAAATACCATGATGAATTCAATAGGAATATTATTTAGCTTTATTGGCATGGTAGGCCTTATACTATCTATTATAACACTAGTGCCACTAAACGGATATAATTTGTATACAACATTTAATGCATCAACTAAATTACTTTTATTTGAAATTCAAAGAAATGATGACTGGCAACACTTAATTTTATCTCGAGATGCAAAACTTTATTTTATCTTTTTATTTGGATCGTTCATGTCAAGTATATTGGCCATAATGACTACTTTTATTGCTTTATTTAGCAATATCAAATCAAACAAAAAACAACAGCAGCAAAAATCATGGTTTTTACGGTTTATAAGCGTTACACTCTTAATACAAATTGTATTTTCGTTATATGGTAATAAAAGAAAAAGGAAAGGAATGAATGAAAGATATGCGCTTTTATACAAATCTGTTTATATCCTGTTATAGGCGTGCATCTTATCTATAGAGTGAAAAGCAAAACAGAAATAATACCTTTGGAAATTCAACAGGACACCATGTTATCTTGTGCAATTCTATGTTTAAATTACCTATCTTTGATTTTATTTGCTGTTATCCTACTATTTGCTTCCTTCTGTATTTTGTTATCCTCCTATTATCATCAAAGGGATAAGCAGCAAATGAGCAGCAGTACCATAGAAGATGAAAGAAGACCCTTATTAATAGCTGTTTAATATCTTCCCCTTGTTGTGTTTGTACCTGATTGCGGTGTTTAAAGATATCGTGTACCCTTTAAAGAAATATTTTCTTTCAAAAAAAAAAAAAAAAAATAAAATAAAATAAAATAAAATAAAAATAAACTGGGCAAAATAAAGTTAAAAAAAAAAAGGATCAAATCGTGCAAAGTCAAGGGGAAGGGGTTCTAAAACGTCAAAGTACTCTTTATAACTTTTTTTTTGTCTGTTTGTTAACTGGAGATGGATAGATAAAGTGGTAAAAATCTTGATAAAAGTCGATGATTATATTTAAATATGTTACTCTTACTTGAAACTTGAAAAAAAAAAAAAAAAACCACTTAAAAAGGCTAAAGTGCAGAAATTAGAGTCGTAACTAATTATGCCTCCCAAAAAGGTGATAGTAAGAACGTTGTTATTTGTAGGAAATACAAATCAAAAGACTAAGGATATTTTTTTTTTAACATTCTCAACATTGTTTAAAGCAAATACCTGCACGAATAATATATGTATCTGTCCATGAAAATCATGATTTTTATTATTATTATTATTATTATCTTTAACCAAATATTTTTTTTTCTCCCTTTTTTTTTGGTTTTTTTTTTTTTACACCCTCTGATTTTAAGAATGGATCAAGCTTTAAAAAGGTTTCAGTTTTGTCAATTTGCATGTTAAATGTATTCTATTTATTAGATTTCTTTCTTTTTGTTACATGGCTAACACAATTCTATCAATAAAGTATAAAGCGAATATCCTATTTCGATGAATACGCAGACACGCCAAATACATTAACAATTTACATTCAAGAGGTAATGGCTAAAATATGTATATATTAATTAAGCTATAAGCATTTACATTTTGAAAAGATGTTAGATGCTGCTTATGGTTGTTATATTTGGCCTTCAGCATTAGTCATGGGTGAATTTGTTTGGTATAATCGTCATCAATTTACAAATAAAACTCTACTCGAAGTAAAGTAGATGCACATCATATTTATTTATGAAGGAAATACTAATTATGCAGTTGCATGTAGGTGGGCGCAGGCACATCAATACCTTCTCTTGTACTTTCCAAATCAACGAATGCAAAACTAATCATAAGTGATATGCCAAATATTCTACCTGTTATTGAAGGCTGTTTACAACTTAATTGTTTAAAAGACGATATTGGTAGGATATGGGTTCGAGCACTTGAATGGGGAAAATTCAATACAGACACAAGCATTGATAGATTACTACAGACTGTTGAAAGTAAATGGCCGAAAACGAAAATAGATTTTATATTTGGTAGTGATACATTTTATGAGCCATCACGTAAGTTTATTAAACAAACAAACAAATTTATAGGCTAATTTTGTCTATAGACTTTGAAGATTTGCTTATGTCGGTTTCTTTTATTATGCATCATCATAATCCTAACTGTAAATTTTTCACAACTTATCAAGAAAGAAGTCCAAAAAGAAGTATACAGTATTTATTAGATAAATGGAACTTAAAGTGTAGAATGATTTCAAAAGACTCATTCTTTCAAGATGTAAAATACGTTGATCCAGAAGACGAGTCATCGGAAGTCAAAGTGAATGCTGGAACACTATATAGTATATTTTTATTGGAAATAACAAAGCAATGACTGTTTTTTCTCTATATAATTGTGGCTTACTTTTAATACATATTATATAATATACATTTTTTTTTTTTTTTATTTATTTATTTAAATAAAAAGCTAAATTTAAAGCAAACTTTATTTCCTCTTATATATACACATTTATATAATGTCTAGTTTACGTAACTCAGTACAGCGAAGAAATCACAAAGAACGTGGTCAGTTAGCAGGTCGTGAACGATTTGGTCTTTTAGAAAAAAAGAAAGACTATATTTTACGTGCAAAAGATTATCATACAAAACAAAATAGATTAAAGGCTTTAAGAGAAAAGGCTTTGTTCAGAAATCCTGATGAATTCTATTTCAAGATGATTAACACCCAAACCAAGGGTGGTGTACACATTCAAAAGCGTAATGAAGAATTACCACCTGAGATGATTCAGTTGATGAAGTCACAAGATAAACAATATATTAAATATCAAAGAGATCTTAGTAAAAGAGTAAAGTATTATGCTCACTACTGTTCTCCAACTGAATTAAAACTAATCTGTACTTTTTTTTTTTTTCTTAAATACAAATAGAAATTAGAAAAATTACAAGCATCACTTCAATTCTTAGATGATGGAAAATCATTCAAAGACGAAGAAGAAACAAAAGTAAAACAAAAGAAAAAGTCAAATCATATTGTTTTTGTTGATTCTGAAAAAGAAGCTCGTCAATTTAATCCTGTTAAACATCTTGATACCTTACCAGAGCTTGTGAACCGTAAATTCAATCGACCTCGCATTCAGACTTTACGTGAATCGACTATTATTACTCCTGAATCAGGAAAGGATCTTAAGGAACTCAAGAAAGAAAGAGAACGTCTTTACAAAGAATTAGCTTCTCGTATGAAACGTGAAGAAGAATTAAGTAGGGCTGAAAGAGAATTAGACATTCAAAAGGCTTTACGAGGAAAAGGCAAAAGAAAGGTGGTCGGTAAAGATGAGCATGGATTACCAGTGTATAAATGGAGAGCAGAACGTAAAAAATAAAATCTATGTTTTTTTTTATTATATATTTTCAAACATGCCTATTTTAATGGACTGATCAAATGAACTACATGTAAATAAACCTTTTTTATCTTTATGCCAATCTAAAGAAATAATTGGATGCTTTGATAAATTAAGTACATCTATGGGTTTTGTAAATGGTTCTTGAAGATTAAAAGTTGAAAGATTTCCATCTCCTCCAGCTACGGTAAAATAAGTTGGTTGTTGTGGTACATGTCGAATAGACCATAGTGTTGTATTTTCTTTTGTAATTGACTTTTTTTTTTTTGAAGAAAAATTAATATTTTCAAAGATGGTTTATTTATTAAACACTTACTGGTATTTCTGTTATTTTGCCTGTTTCTATTTCAATGATATATGCACCTGATATTGTACTAACTAAAAGCTGTTCTTTATTAAATTCAATACAACAAACTCCATCTTTTACATGTGTTTCCCATAAATATTTTGATCCATTCACATCAAACAATTTAATATCACCATCCTCATATCCGACCGCAATTACTTTTTGTCCTCTTAATTGACCAAAGGTAACAGCCCAAATGTCCTTTGTCTTGTTAGATTTAATAGTTAAAACTGATTTTTCTGGCTGTCGAATATCCCAAACTTTCACTAAGCCTATGTAAATATATATATGCATACATTATGTTATTTTATACATGTATAGTGTTTTTTTTTAAAAAAAAAAAAAAAAAAAAAAAAAAGTTTACCATCGCGGCTGCCAGTAATGAGTTCTTGTGACTCTTTAGGTTGATTAAATCCATCGATCGAGTTTATGATGCTCTCATGAGCTTTAAAAGTTACAAGTGGAATGTCAAAACGTTGAGTATCCCTATATAATCAAAATTTGAATATACCCATCATTTTACATCAAGGTCATTCAATTACCAAACTTGTAATTGACCATCAAAATCACCAGTTGCTAGATGTCTATTTTGCCCTGTTATCGTTCCACAACGTAATGCAGAGGTTGTCTCTGTCTTTATTATTATTATTATTATTTAGAATATGTATTAAAGGATAAGCTTCTTCTTTTTATACCTCAGTTTTTAATTCGACATGTTTGCCTGAAAGTCCATAAACCCCCAATTTGCCTGTTCCCTGATTTGTCACACCAAGGACACATAATCTGGATGAAAGCGGGATCCATTTTACATCGTAAGGTGTGAAAGATAAATCTTTGCTTATTAAACAATGCGATCTTATACTCATGGATGATCAATCGTTTATATTATAAATGGATATCAATAATAATAATAAATAAAAATGAAAATTAAAATGAAAATTAAAAAAATCAAAAAAAAAAAAAAAAAAAAAAAAAACGACATTATTCTTCAAAGTCAGTAAGAAAAAAAAATGTATTTCTAAAAGTTTATATATGATAAAAAAAAATGATTATAAATGTATATGTAAATTAAAAGTTAGATGCAAGTTATTTAGCAAATACAAGTTCAAACTTCATGCCATTAACATCTTGTTCTTCTTCAGTAATAAGTTGCTCAGAAGGCTTCATATTTTTAGCGTCTTGTAAAGGCTTCTTGATAACTTTGACCATAGCAGCTTCTTGATTCTTCATGATCTTCTCTAATTTATCAGCACCATCTGCAAGACGATAATACATATTAATATCATCTGTAGGTAATAAGTTTGCCTTCTTTCTCAAACGTTGGACACGATTAATGACTTCACGAGCAATACCCTCTTCTTCTAATTCAGGATACAACTTAACATCCATCAAAATCAAAGAGTCCTTGTCAGTATTTGCTTCATAACTAGCATCCTCAGAGGTAGCATCAAAGTAACGAATGACGTTAAGATCTTCATCAGTAACCTTGATACCAGCAACAACAATCTCTTTGGTCTTTACGAATTCCTTAATTTCATCACTGGTCAATTCGGGAAGTCCCTTCTTAACCTTCATGGCATCCTTCTTAAGCTTTTGACCAAGAACCTTCCAATCAGCTTCAGCTTTATATTTGACACCATACTTGCCTTCATCGTTGGTAATGATCAAATGTCGGATATTCAATTCTTCAATGATATAGTTTTCAAGAGCCTTGACATCAGCAAGGTATTGAGGATCACTGTGGATGACAACCAACTCCTTAAGAGGAGTCTTGAGAGAAATATTTTTACGCTCACGAATTGTACGACCCAATTCGATAACAGTTTGCATGCGACCCACAGCACGTTCAATTTCAGGATCAAAGTATTCCTCACGGACTGTAGGGAAGTCCAAAAAGTGAATAGAACGATCATCAACAACATTAGGATTCTTAGGAGCAAAGTTCTTGAGGTTTTGATACATATTTTCGACTAAATAAGGTGTGAAAGGAGCCATAGTACTACACAAAGTAAACAAGACTTCGTAAAGGGTATTCATAGCCATCTTAGCATCCTCTAAGCCGTTTTCACCCTTTAATCTCTTACGATTGAAACGAACATACCAGTTGGTCAACATGTCAATCATGCTCAACAAACGAGGAACGACAGTATAAAGACGATAGGCAGCCATTTCTTCACGAATAAACTTGATAAGAGATTGACAAGTGGCCAAGATCCAACGGTCCATCACATTTTCAGACTTCTTGATATTATGATCATACATGAAATCAAAATCAAAGTCCTTCTTCAAGACAGCAGTTTGAGTCAAGAAAAATTTGTAAGCATTATACCATGGTAAAAAGACTTTAGAAATAACTTCTTTAACACCTTCTTCCTTAAATTTCAATGTCTCAGCACGGACAACAGGTGAGTTAATGAGATAAAGTCTCAAGGCATCAGAACCAAACTTGTCAATAACAATACCAGGCTCAGGGTAGTTCTTGAGACGTTTACTCATCTTCTTACCATCGGCGGCTAAAACAAGACCACTAACGATGACATTCTTAGCAGGAGGCTTATTGAAGAGATGAGTAGATAAGACCAACAAGGTATAGAACCAACCACGAGTTTGATCAATACCTTCAGAGATAAAGTCAGCAGGGAAGGAATTCTTGACCTTATCCTCGTTTTCGAAAGGATAATGTTGTTGAGCATAGGGCATAGAACCAGATTCAAACCAACAATCAAAGACTTCTTCAATACGGCGAAGGACACCTTTACCCTTCTTGGAAGGAATTGTAATGTTATCAATGCTTTCACGATGAAGATCAGTGATAGGGGAAACACCACTAAGTTCTTCTAATTCAGCAATAGAGCCAATACATACCATTTCTTCAAAATCTTCACTAACCCAGATAGGAATAGGAGTACCCCAATAACGGTTACGAGAAATGTTCCAATCACGAGCATTAGCAATCCAATTGGCGAAACGTTTTTCTTGAACAAAAGAAGGGACCCTATATATGTATATGTATATAGAAAAAAAAAAGATTTTTTTTAAGTAAAGATGATATTAAACTACATAATTGATTACTCCAGAATTGTGTATTCACTTACCAATGCATTTGTTCATTACAAGCTAAAATTTTATCAATAATGGGAGTAACACGAACAAACCAAGCAGGAACAGCCTTATAAATTAAGGGAGTATCTGATCTCCAACAGAAGGGATAACTGTGCTTGAATTGAGATTGAGAAACCATACGACCCTTAGCCTTAATATCCTTTTGGATAACCTTATCAGCATCTTTAACATACATTCCCTTATAATCAGGGACTTCGCTAGTAAAGCAGCCAGTATCATCAACAGGACAGGGCAAGTGGCCATCAGCACTGATGACCTTATGTTCTAAACAAACACGGTAATCGTCTTCACCAAAAGCGGGAGCATTGTGGACAATACCAGTACCAGAATCATCAGTAACATAAGTGTCAACCATCACCTTGAAGGCCTTACCCTTGAATTCCTCAGCAAAGAAATCATACATAGGAACGTATTCCCAACCTAACATATCAGAACCCTTAAACTTCTCAAGGACAGTAAACTTAGCCTTCTTGGGATCCTTATATAAGATATTAAGACGTTTCTCCATTAAAATATATTTATTGTTGGATGCTTCATCGTGAATTTTCACATATTCAAAATCAGGATGAACACAAACACCCATATTGGAGGGCAAGGTCCAGGGAGTTGTAGTCCAAATTAAAAGTTGAGTAGATTCGTCATTAACCAAGGGGAAACCAACAACGACTAAAAAACAAAAGTTATTTAATATACATCGATTTATACATACAAATATATATATTTCAAAATACTTACTAGCAGGATCATTAACATCCTTATAGTTTTGAGAAGATTCAAAGTTGGATAAAGGTGTAGTACAACCAGTAGAGTAAGGCATAACCTATTAACATAGATATAAATGTATATAAATACATATTAGAAATCAAAATAATGCAAAATAATCAATAATACTGTACTCTTTGACCACGATAAACTTGACCCTTATCAAACAATTGCTTAAAAACCCACCAAACAGTTTCCATAAAAGTTGGATTCAAAGTCTTATAATCATTATCAAAATCAATCCAACGAGCCATACGCTCAACAGTCTTGCGCCATTCACTAGAATATCTCATAACAATGGATCTACATTCAGCGTTGTATTTATCAATACCCATCTTTAAGACATCATCCTTAGATTTGATACCCAATTTCTTATCAATTTCATATTCAACAGGAAGACCATGAGTATCCCAGCCAAAGCGACGTTCAACATTATGGCCTGTATTATGGGCGTAACGTGTGACGATATCTTTAATTGTGCCGGCTAACAAATGGCCATAATGAGGAAGACCTGTAGCAAATGGAGGACCATCGTAGAAAGCAAAGATAGGTTTATCTTTGTTTAACTTTAAGGAAGTTTGGAAAGCATCAATTTCCTTCCAAAATTCGAGAATTTTCTCTTCCTCCTTGGGAAAGCTATGGAAAAAAAAAAAAGTTTAGATTGACATCATTTCGGCGAAGTTAAAAAAAAAATACTTTACTTGAATTGACCAGTCACTAATTAAAATCGATATATAACATTATTAAATAAAAAGTCTTGCATATATACAAAAAGAAAAAAAAATAATACTTACAGTCAGCCAAAGACATTGTAATAATTTAGAGAAAAATAAAGAAAAGAAGTGCAAAGAAGTCTTGGTTTTGAGCTTCCGATATATGAAAAAAATATTTTAAGGGATGTTTTTTTGTGTTTGAATATCCGAACAAGCCACAGTCATAGTTTGTCAATTCCCAATTCAATGTTATGATTGGTTAATATGAAGCTCTCAGATTGAAAATTATTTACTTCGTATTATATAATAAAACTGGATTCCACAGTTAAAGAATTAAATAAGACTACCATTTTGTATGATGTTTAAGTCATTATTGGTAACTTAAAATATTCTATTTTGATTGTCTATTTACATTTTGATATGTTTCCTTAACGGCTATCATACTTGATATTACTCCCTATATCTAGCCTAGCCTTTTTAATTTTATATAATTAGTGTGCAACATATTCATGTCATTTTTTTTATGTAGACATTTTATGCACTATATGCTGATTTAATAGAAATCACTATTTATCAAACTTGGAATATTTGAAAAGTGCTTTTGAACCTTTTCAGCCATTTATTATTAATAATGACAATATAAATAAAAATATGTATATATTAACTATGCGCTTCTTGTATAATTAATTCTTACTTTGGCTTTATATAAAGTGACACCTTGAAGCTTTTCACAGGTTAATAGTACTCAAAATAAATTATATTTTAATTTTTTTTTTTGAAATACTTATTGTGAGTTCATACTGAGGAAGTAGATTAATAGAATAAATTAATTTATAATATTCGGGGTAAAACAACTATATAGCTTCAATCCTTTTAATTATATTTACGGTCAAATAAAAATAAAGGATTTTCGATATTACTAGAATGATGATAGATAAAGTAGCCTATAAAAAAACACAAATGTTAATTAAAATGAAGGAAGATATTAACTAGAAGTAAAACATGTATTTGATATGTGTAATTGGATTATATATTGTTCAGTAATCGACTCAATATATGCAATAGTCATGATGATTAAATATTTGTTCCCTTAGTTAATTACAAATTCATCTTGAATTGTTATATCATATCGTAATATATCCTTATATCAAATTTAACTTGTAAGTATTAACATTTATTTAGATTTGATTTGGCAGCTGCATTATAAATACATGAATAGTGGTACCTGAGATTCAGCTCTTTAATATTATATAAACTTATCAATTGCAATATGAATAACAAATGATATCATTAACACAAAAGACACATATAAAGCTATCTTTATATTGAGTAAGCTTTCTATAGATTTTATTTTTCTACATGATGTATCATAAGCTAGTTTTAAAAAGTATTAAATATAAACCATATATTTCTATGATAAACTCTCTTTTCTAATATAAATGTATGCTCTAAATAAAGATCATACCAAGCTTATATGTAACTTCAACCAAGTATATAGAATATTGTTTCTGTTCAACAACAAGGATATCTTGTTATAAAATAAATCTCATATCGCTTTTCAATTCCTTTTTTATTCCGTCCTTTAACTAGCTGACGACCTTAGACAACACTATTCAATACGATAATTTACAAGGGCAAATTTAATGTCGAGATTATATGTGATATTTCTTTTAAAATATCAAATAAAAAATATTATAAAATACAAATAATACAAAGACAAAAGAAATCAACACGGCCGAATAATAGTTCTAAAGTCAATTATTTTATTTATGAATTTAAATGGTTGGGGTATTTATAAGAATTGTTAAAGGGGCCTAACATAAGATGCGAATCAGGAAAGAGTTAGTTAATGACCGAATAAGATATGTTACAGTTAATAAAGTGTTAGAGGTTTTAATATTATTTGATGGAGTGGATCAATAAAGTTTCAGGAGAATTTAAATAGAATTCCCTGAATAAATTTATGATCTGCATGTTTAATCAAGAAACATGACGTTATAAATCAGCTCATGACACTTATTATTACATAATACAATGTCTATAATTATTTTTTAATATTAGAATACTCTGACAATGACTATTATTTAAACTGAATGTAGAATGAATATTATGCTGTAACGTACAGTACACTAGTTTTATTTGAATAACCTTTTTATAAATAGATAAATGATGGTTTATTTCTATTAACTTAGTTGTAAAGACGACTAAAATTATAACAATGACAATAAAATATTCTTCGTAATCGGCGTTTGAGCTACACGTGTGCAAATAGCAAGACTTCAATCATCGAAACCCCTTTGCTTTCTCACATTTTATATTCTTGACTTCACGACGAGCATTTTTATCTCACAGAAATAAGCCATGTCTACAGATAGTCCATACAAAGATGGTAAAAAAAAAAAAAAAAAAAAAAAAAAAAAAAAAAAAAAGTTAGTGATAATTGTCTGATTTAGAAATTGTGTCCTGCTTGTTGAATTTGAAAGAAACACAACAGCCCATAACTTGGGAGAATTTCCTCAAGCCCATGCAAAATACTACAGTTGATACATATAAAGATAGGGACATGGCTGATTTTAAAGGTGACTGGAAGGCTTGTTTTATGAGCGTTGTAAAAATGTTAGATATGGATGTTAAACAAAGCAGAGATAGCTGGTTTCTCGTAGAAGAGGGTATTCAAACATCAACAAAAACAAGCAGTGATAATCCAACTGGTGCTCTTGAGGAGACTCAAAGCGTTTTGACAGGAATTAGTGCTTCAAAGTCAAAATCGAGCTCAAGACAGTCAAGCACAGACAAAAATTACATATTGACAGCTAAAGAGAAGAAGTGCAGAATGATGTATGAATTATTGAACGTTTCAAGAATGTGAACTTTATCAACAGAAAAGATAGTTGAAAAGTAAATGACATTATTCGCTTCTGTTGATAAGGTAAAGATAAAAAAGAAGATAGAATAAATCTTTGAAAGCTTTGTATAAAACTTTTATTATAAATTGAATAAAATAAAATTAAACTGAATTAAAATTGAATTTCTCAAAATAAGTGCAAAAAGGATTCTTATTTGTATCTTGTGGAGAACAGGGTTACTTCGCGACAGGAACAGAATGAAAGAAGAAAGTTTCCCATAAAATGGTTAAAGTTATTTTGTTTGAGCACTCTAGTCTTTGCCCAAATTGAGAATTAATCTCAGTTAACTCACTCTAATAAATATTAAATTATTTGTGCACGATCTAGACGATTATTTTTCTTAAAACCAAATAATGAGATCTCATTTGTTCATACTTGTGAATGATATAGGGAAGATGCTTTTTGATATAGATTTCTTGTATTATATTCATTCCTCAATGTACTACTTGAATGAATTTCATTATATTGTATAGTGTATAGATAGTATATGATTATATTTTTAACTTAGTATATTAGATAATAATGTGGATATACAACTAATAGGTACAATTTACAATGCATATACTTTTGTCATTAATAACTCTTTACACTATTGTTTGGCTTATCATTATTTTGTAACGTTAATATTTATTATAATATTATTTTCTCGTCACAAGAATGTCTTATAAGTTGAAATCAAATAATGTTGTATGCATAAAGTGTACAACTAATAACTATAAATATCATTCGAGTCCTTCATGACTCTGATCTGTATATTATAAGATATTATGTAATACATCATTATACACACAACAATTTCTATTAACTTAGTTGTAAAGACGACTACATTCATAACATCAAAAAAAAATCGGGTAGATGACAATTATTTTTTCTTAATAGACAAAACCTACAAACCTGAATGTAACTCAAGAAAAAGACTTTTAGTTTTGATTTTAGAAAAAAAAAATTAGAATACCATTATAATTGAAAAACAGACAGAAAGATACGCGATCTTATTGGTGAAGTCACGTGATTTTTTAGTAAAAATACATGATATATATAAATACTCTACAAAAATAAATGTAAAAGGAGCTATGGCCCAATGGATAAGGCGTCTGACTACGAATCAGGAGATTCCAGGTTCGACCCCTGGTAGCTTCGAAATTTCATTTTTTATTTTTGTATTCTTATTATTACATTCTGTCGTATTTAACGTCTGATGTATATGAATATTTTATAATGAGTACGTAGATGGTTTCTTTTGTTTCATATTAGTTTCTATGATTTATATAATTATTCTTTTTATGTCGTATAAGATTATGACTACTATTTCTTAGTTGCGTGACAACAGTTATACTAAAAATCTTACGTTAAAGTATTACTTAATATTAATGGAGCAATACATATGGATATTTAATAGAGTGAATGAAAGATGACATTTTTATTTTATAACAGTAGCTATTATACTTATAATAGTTGTTGCAGAGCAACATATAAAAGAAGACATTAAATTCATATATTCAACAAAGATGTTCCTCTTTATTTTATTTATATATAAACAAGTGTTATAACCTCACTATTGTTAGTACGTTATTTTAATAAGGATATGATATTTTGATCAGACATTATTTATACTACTTCTTAGTTTTTTTTTATGCAGTATTGTGTCTAATCCGGAAGTAGCAGCAATATTTAATGTATGTAGATATATATACTATATAGTATGAATTAATGTAATTGATAATTTCAAATAATAATACTATTTCTATTTATTGAGGAGAAAAGATGTCTTTTATAATATATTTATAGTAGCGTTTATTTAAACCTTATGTAACATGTAAATCAAAGTACAATAACTGCCTAAATCTATTTGGACAATCTACATTTATGTAATCTGTATTGTCGTGACTCATCAAACATCGAATCCAATATATAGACAAGATCATACAATAAGTATTTGTAAGTATAATAAATTAGCTAAACAATAAAAGCACGACGTAATCAGCTTACTGTCAGATATAAACCCTTATTAAAGAATGCTTATTCTCATTATTAAAAATGCCTCGATATGAATGATCTATTTTATAAAGGAAATCAGCATATATTACTAATTTTTTTATAGAAAAAAAAAAAAAAGAAAAAGAAAAGAAGCTCCCTTTTATTGCATTAAGTGATAACATATTAACTTAAGAAAGTGGTTATTCTAAGAAACATAAAGTGAATTGAAAAAATAGAAAAAAAAGTTATTAGTAAAATAGCTATCTTTTATATTTGTAACTCTTGTTGACAAAAGCTTTTAAATTTAGTTTTATATTTGCTATCATAGTGTCCAAGTCTATAAAAACTATAGAAGGGCTAATGTACCAAAAAAAAAAAAGCTGAAATTAATAGTTTTAACTTTAAATAACCAAAGCCTAATAACTGCACTATTTTCTTTAACCAAACATCCCCATAATAATGAACATGATTTTCTTTTTAAAAGACTTTAAATGCCAAGAGTTTGAATAATCTGAAGATAGTTCCTGTTTTGCCTAGAACAATAATAACCTTTTCATTATGTTTTATTAATCAATATGATTTTTTGAAATAAAATATTTTAATATAAAAAAGAGAAGGTTACACTATGGGCTGTTAAAAAAAAAAGAAAAAGAAAAAGAAATATAAATATCTACAATTGCAGCGTTATTTCTTCTTTTTTCTAGTTTCTTATTTATTTTTGACTGAAACAAAAAAATCAAAACAGAAAAATTAAATTTATATTATTTTTAATATGTCTTCATCACCTGTTCCAACTATTTCCATTACATCCCCAGATTTAAAAAATAAGGATTACGATAGCATAATGTCAAGCAGCAGTACATTAACTACTACACCTGATTCTCCTACTGTGTTTGATGTTGTCAAAGATATTGAAAGTAATCTTGTCATAGACTCACAAGAGAGTTTTATTATTGATAATGAAGAAGAGGATTGTCAAATCGCTGCTCCTAATCCACAAAAAACAATTCAAACATTTTATGATCAGAAATGTATTCTGATTACAGGTGCTACCGGATTCATTGGTAAAGCTGTATTGTGGAAATTAATTCAGTCCCTGACAGATTCTGTTGATAAAATATTTCTTTTGTTAAGGTGTAAAAGACAACAAAATACACCATATGATCGTTTACAAGAAGATATATTATCCAATAAGGTAACATACATAGAGACTGTCTATATATGCATGCATGTATATACATATACATATATTAATCTTATTATTATTATTATTATCACTATAAAAGGCTTTTGTTAGTCTGCGTAGATCAATGGGATTTACTAGATTTGATCGTTTTATTGAAGGGAAAGTATATCCCATATTCGGTGATTTAGCCGAAACCCAATTGGGGTTGTCTGACCCTGATTTTCATATAATTTCAAGTCAAACTAATATTATTTTTCATTGTGCTGGAAGTAACACACTTAACTTACAAAATCTTGTCAAAATCAATTCTTTTGGAACATTACAGCTTTTAGATTTAGCAAAGAAATGTCTATCTCTATCTGCATTTGTCTCTTTATCACATTTATTCCAACATGATGAACAAAAAATTGAAGAAAATTCTTTATATCCTTTATGTAATAGTGGACAGAAATTAACGGCTAAAGAGATATTAAATCAAATTTTATCAACTAATGAAGATGATGAAAACAATTTCCATACGTTAATACCATCATTTTATAATAACGATTATTTTTTCTCAAAAGCATTGGCTGAGCATATTTTGGTTGAAGAAGTTTCAAGATCCTTAAAGGAAGAGGATTCATTATTTCCTATTGCTATGTTAAGGCTAAGCCCTGTAGGCCCAAGTGTACATGAACCATTAATAGGTTGGGTAAATATATTTTATACTCATCTTCTATTATAGATCATCAACTTACTCTTATATTAATATTATTATTAGGCGGACGGTGTGAATGGCATGAATGGTGCAATTTTACTAACTGGTAAAGGACAAGCTAAAAATATTATTCAGCCACATGTCGGAAGTACTTTCATTGATGTTGTACCTGTTGATTATGTTGCTCGTTTGATAATTGGCTGTGCCGCTACATTCGACTCAACTATAATAAAGGAAAAAAAATTCGAAATACCCAAGGAGGTTCATATGACAACCATTAGCAAAACATCGTCATTGAGTTTGGAAGAACAAAATACAAATCGATTACCATCTTTACCTTCAGAACATAAAAGTATGTTTCATAAGAGAACATCAAGTAATAGTAGTCAAAGGATGTCATCTATTCGAAATAGTAATATATTCTGTTATCGTCCATCTTCAATACCCTCCTCTTATTTATCATTTTCAGAGACACTACCAAAAATTTATCATATATCAACTACAAATTTGCGCCCAATTACATGGCGTATGGGATATGAAGCCATGCGTCAATACTGGAATACATCAACTTTTGCAAACTTACCCACTTCAACTATCTATTTTAACAATAATCATTCTGCCAATGGAACTACACCACCTGCATCTTCTCGACTTTCGCGTGCACGTACAGTAATGAACTCATTGCGTGACTATTATATGAGCCAAAATACTTCACAATTTAATGACACCATCAATCCCTCTCAGCGGTCATCATTTATAAATGAAGATCGTAGTTCTTTTATAAGTAGTAGTAGTAGTAGTAGTATTAGTAGTAGTGGTGGTAATAATAGTAATAGTGTTAGTAGTAGCAGCAGCTATAAACGTATTTCCCAGCAACGGTCAAGTCGTGCCTTAGAGATGGCAGTGAAAACTGCCTATGTGATGAGAGATAGCATTATCTGTTCTCGACATTCAATTCCTATTGTTATTTCTTTAAACACAATGAAATTAATTGATGCTATTCGCAATATGCATGATGATGCTTTTGACCCTAGTACTATCTTACCTGAAGATACTAATAGTAAATTCTGGGTCAATTATTTTATGAATGCAAGTTATGGTATACATCATTACGTGTGTCAAGATCCTAATACATCATTGATTCGACTTCCGACCCCAATTGATGGCTGGAGTTGTAGTATTGAGCGACCTATTGAGGGCTTGGACGAAGATGATAGTGACTATTACGAACACGTTCTGACTCGGCAAGTTAAGAGCGTTCTTTTTTCAAAGGACCAAGTCAAACAACGCACAACACGTATGATATCTCATATTAAATCTATATTAACAATGCAAGCTAATAATAAGGAAAAGGATGATGCTTGGCTGACAGATCTTGATGATGCTTTAGATGATTGGTGTCAAGATACATCGAATAGCATTGAAAGACGTAGTATGGTTGCACTTGGTAAATGGCGTCGTAGCAAAGGTAGTAATGACGAATCTGTAAAAATTATTGTTTTAAACGATAAGCGTGTCAATCAAGCCATTACTCAAATCACACGAAATGCAGGTGTCGCAAAGCAAACGGCTGTGAATGAGGCTATGAAAATTTTGATGAGGATGAGTGAGCGTACGCAACTGTCATTTGTTTGGTTTACAGGAACTCTTTTAAATCAATTATTTACGGATCTCTTTGAACATGTTCGTATCTCAGATGAAAGTCTTCGCATCATTCGACAAGCCACAATAGGTAAACGTGTTGTTTATGTTCCTGTTGCAAAATCCATTTTAGATTTATTATTGGTCTGGTATATTGCAATTCGGTATCGCCTACCTGTTCCTGCACTTGTTTGTGATGAGTCTGTTATGACGCAACAACAACTAGGTTCCTTATCTGATCTCTATCGCTTAGCAGGAGGCTACTATGTAAAACGCGATAAAACGAAACGATCTCCACTCAATTCGGCTGTTACAGCAGCTTATACACAGGTTCTATTAAGGGAGCATGGTGCACTTTCCTTTTGTCTTGAGAGATCGAGATCAAGGACAGGTAAATTTCAAGAGCCTTATCCTGATGGATTTGTTGAAATGATTATTGAGTCCACTTTACAGACGAACCAGTCTCGATGTTCATCTTCATCATCCACATCTCGTCTAACAGCACAATCTTCAGATCTTTCTGATAATAATAGTATGACGGATGAACCACCTACTAATCGATCTCAGCAATCTAATAAAAAGGTGTATAATAAGGATGTTGTGTTTATACCTATCAATATCACATATGAACATGTACCCGAGTTATCTTGTCTGATAGATGAAGTCTTGGATCAACAGCAGCCTATAAACCGACAGAGACCCCCTATGACTTCCAGTAATTCTTCACCGTCTTTAATGACAGGTCGTCGTTTGCCGATGATGCGACCCAGCGAGACTATGGATCGACGTAAAACTTTACTTGAAAATGACACATTTACAACGAAAAAAGGAGGACGTGTCACACTTGGTGTTGGATCTCTCATTAGTGTGCAAGAAGTAGCAGATGAATTTTATCAAAAAGATGTAACAAATAGCGGGTAAAGATTTAATATAACAAGCATATATGTATATATTTATATTTTAATTTTAGTGGTAGTGTACGTGATAGTGAAGAAACGATATATGATGAAGTAGATATGTTAATGACAGAGGTTACCCGCCGTATTCATGTTTCACAATGTAAAGCTTTAGTCGTATCTCCTATATCAATTATCGCTTCCATTATATTATATGGACGTGCAACACATGGTGTATGTGTAGGCAAAATAAAGGAATTGATGGTATGGATGAGACATGAAATGATTCAGCATGGATATGCTATTGATTGGCAAGGTATACATACATTATAGAATATTAGAGCACAACAGAATTTACATATATATACATAGAGGGAGAAGATTTAGACTCATTGATTTTAACATCGTTTAAATTATTGGATGAGCCAAAAAACTTAATCTTGGATGGCAGAGAATTCAATGATGATACAAATATTCGTGTCAATGATCATGCAGACAATGTGATGACCCTTTCTTATTATGCAAATCAAATTATCGATATTTTTCTTTTGGATTCCTTTTTTGCAATTGTTTATTTGTCATTCTTAGAAGAGTCTGTTTTAGAAGATGAATTTATGGATCGATTCCGTTTCTTGTTACAATTACTGGAAAAGGAATTTGTCTTACATTGGGATTTAGACGAGGTAATAATAAAACTAATATGTATAAATACATATATAAAACTCACATTACATATTAGAAATTCAAGCATGTAATCCATACTTATGTCTCAAAGCATATCATTCGTATTCATGAAAATCGACTACAACTTTTAGTCAATTTGGAAAATGATCCTATACGTTATGAACAAATGATGTTCTTGGCTTCTCTTGTCTATCCAACAGTAGATGCCTATTGGATTACATCGTGTTCATTATCAGCATTAGAGGCCGTTCCCATGCTACCACGCTGTATTATTCCTCTCTTATCACAATGGATCGCAACTCATCTTATCACTGGTCGAAGAACGATTTATCGTGAAGTATTGTCAACAGAATCGAGCAAGACAGCCGTCAATGTCTTTATGTCGATGGGTTTCTTGACCGAAATCAAATTAAAGGAAAAGCTATCTCCAGATGCACAAATTTTATTGCATGAATTAGGAATACCTACTTCTGAAATTTTGATTGAGCTTGCAGGACAAAATAGTGATGGTGGTAAGACGCCTGTGTCACCTATTGATCCTGAAGGCATGATGGTAAAAAGATGAACAAAAAAAAAAAAAAGGTAATAGAAAATTTGTTATTGATTGCTCTTTTTTTTTTCATATAGAAAGCGATGATGGCACAAATAGAAATGAATCGAGCTAATTCAAATATGGCAGATCTTTGTCAACAAATTGATTCTTATCGTCTAGGTGCAGCCTCACAACGTGAAAGCTTTCAAAATGCTCAAGTCTTTCAAAAATGTTTAATGCAAATTAAAGGAATCATTCTAAAAAATAATAGTTTTACAAAAAGGAGACAGGTTATTTTAGAAGCTGATGAAGAACATTTGACTCAGTTGGTGTATTCATTATTGATTAGTAGTGTTCCAGTAGGAGACCGAGCAGCACAAGCACGTGCTTTAAGACGTATATCTGAAGCATATAATTTAATGAAATGAAAAAAAAAATGTATATATTTATACCTTACTACTTTATGTAAAGATTTTTTTTTTAATAAATTAATATTATCATGTAATAATTGATTTAGTAGCCTCAGTGTGATGTGTAACAATTTGAAATCCAGATACATGTGACTTTTATAGTATTTGACAGGTGGTGTAACCTCTGTTTTTTTTAATATCCTTTTTAATATCTTTTTTAATTATCTTTTTTTTTTTTCCAATATCTTCATTATTATTATTATACATGTATAAATATGCCATTTGGAAAAGGGGCTACATTTTGTAGAGAATGGGCAAGAATCTCTCTTTGGGCCTTCTTTTCAGATGTCAAAGTAGAAGGCTATGAAAATATCATAAATCATGACCAGCCATACATATTGTAAGTAGTAGTATCGTACGATATAAGTAAAAATATACTTTATTATACTAATCTTTTTTTGTTTGTTTTATAAAAAAAAAAGTGCATGTACGCATCACAATATGTTACTAGATCCAGCTGTGATATGTTATGCAACATCTAAGGAATATCTGCATTATTGGGCAAAGAGTTCAATCTTTATTAATAATAAATATGCATTACAGTTCTTAAATAGTGTGGGATGTGTTCCAGTTTATCGAGGCTCCGGAGATCATAAAGCATTATATACAGCCACTTTTAAAGTATTTGAGCTAAATGAATCCATTGTTGTCTTTCCCGAAGGTACAAGTCATACTTTACCTCATTTGGGTCCATTAAAGCATGGTATAAGTTTTGTAAGTACAATAAATAAGGCTTATATATATATATATAGGAATGATAATACACCAAGTAAGTTTCTTCATATTAATACCATTATTATCATATACAATAAGGCTGCATTAGAATATGCTCAGTTGTTACGAGATACAGCACCAAAGGCTAATAATGATGGTCACTATTCTATTAAACCTGCTGCTATTTTGCCCGTAGGCATTGTCTACACTGATAAATCAAAATATCGCAGTGTAGCTATTGTTAGGTATTATATATATATAAATGTATAAATGCATATAGATAGATAGATGGATACAAGTCACTCATATTATCCCATTATCTCTTATTATTATTATTATTATTATAGATTCGGTAAACCAATTCAAGTGGACCCTTATCTTCACGATTTCGATAAAGATCCTAAAGCAACTGCTAAAAGAGTAACAAAAGAACTTGAAGATGCCCTTGTGGCTTTAACTATTAATGCTCCCGATCAAATAGTTCGAACTAGTGCTATCACTGCAAGAGACATTTTGTTCCCTAAGGAATATGGAAACATGCCTGATTTCATTCAAGTTACACAAAGGTAATCAATAGGAATATCAGGTAATAACATAAATTTTTTTTAACCTTTTTTTTTTCTTTTTTTTTAATTAGCTTAATCAATATACTATCAAACGAGGATAAAAGATACTTGGCTGAAAATCTGTATGCTTATCAATATGAATTAAATGATCTTTTATTACGTGATAGTGACTTGATTGATTATTGTAATCACTGCTCTAATATGAATCAAAAGATTTGCAAGAATCTTATTTATAAATCCTCAAGCTTATTTATGAAGCTTCCCTTCTTTTTACCTGTCTTTATGGGCCATTTCCCACTTTATTTGATTAGTCAATATTATAGTAAACAAGAAATATATGAGGAATCTAAAGCACAAGGCAAGATCCTTTATGCAACCGCCTTGGTACCCTTCATGTTGATTACACTCTTTCTTTGGGTCTGGTATTATCTTTATCGATTCCGCTTAATCGGGTTTGTATTTACTGGCATGACAATTATTGTTTTCTTTTGGCTTCATGTTACAACTATTGATTCTAGTTATGAAGCATTTAAACAATGGAGAGGCACTTTCCAATTATTTGATGCATTTATATTACAAAGAGGATTTGGCAACAGACAAAAACGCATATTAGATATAATTAAGTTAAGGAAAGCAATTCAAAATGAATTATACAATTTATTTTTGGATAATAGTCAAGGCATGGATGACAACAATGATGTTGATTATCAACATGTTGTAAATGCCATTCGTGATCGTCATTTAAAGAAGCAAAAAAAATAAATAAAATTAGTTTCTCTTTTTTGAGTATACACTATTTCCTGAAATTAATGGGACACTTCAAAAAAAAAAAAAAAATTAGTGCACTCAAAAAAATAAAAATGAGCCAAGAATAAATAAAAATTTCAGGCAATGGCCAATTAAAAAATAGGTTAAAAAAAATCAAGCACTATAAAAATTTAAAATTAGGACATTTCAAGACTTTTTTTTTTCAGGTTTCAAATCAATTAATATGAGTCAGTTTATATTCGAAGACGGTAAAGGCAAGATGTTCAATGAAGATAGCAATGAAGTTGCTGTGCTTCAAATGGAAGTTGATGACCCCAATTTTCCACTTGGCGATGTTACTAATTACAGTGAATATCAGTATCTTAAACCTCCTGAGAAACCAAAAGGCGAACAAAATGAATCAAGTAGTAATAAAGCAGAAAGCGTCCACACTTCTGAGAATGATACATCAATACTCAGAACACATCGTCGTTATAAAAAAGAAGACATGGATTACTTTTTTTTTTCTAGTAAATGAAAAGGGAATGTCCGTTCGCGGCGCAGCCAAACAGATGAAGATTCCTTCAAGTACTGCTTCCAACTGGCATAAAAAAAGGTACTGAAGCGTTGGACGACTTCGTTGAGTTGAGAAAGGCCGGAAGTGGAAGACCTGTAGGCAGACCTCCAAAGCTAACCGACGACCATCGAAATTATTTGGTAAAGCTTGTAGATGAGAACGATACAGGATTGACTCTTGACCAAATGATGGAAAGCTTGACGACCGAATTTATGGGTTTGCAGATTTCTAAGTCTGCTTTTCATGAGTTTGCCAAAACAAAATGCAGAATCAGTTTTAAGAGAGCACACTTTCAACCTGAGGAAAGAAATAGCCCTGAGAAGATCGAGCAAAGATACAATTGGGTCAAGCACTTGGAGAATACTGACATGGATTTTGAAAGTAATTGTGTATTCATTGATGAGGCAGGCTTTCATATAAACATGAAGAGATATTTCGCATGGTCACGAGTGGGGACTTGCGCAACTGTAAAGATCCCAAAGACAAAATCGAAAATGACGACAATCCTTGGAGCCGTTTCCGCTATTAGGGTTGTTAACATAAAAGTTAGGATCCCCAAAGTTGTTCAATCAAGAAAGAGAAAGCTGGAAAGCAATAAAGAAGACAAAGGAATTATGGTTAGTGCAAAAAGAACAGTTGGTACAGTAACTGGCCATTAGTTCAACTTTATTGCGAGTACGCTAGATATTATGGATAAAGATGAAGAATTCAAAGGCTATTATCTGATCATGGATAATGCACCTATACACAAACACGAAGATATAGAACTTTTCGTTGAGAGTCGTGGCTATGGCTGTGTTTATTTACCACCGTATTCCCCTGAATTGAATCCTATTGAACAATTTTGGTCAGTCTGCAAAAGCAAGCTTAAAAGAGAAGCGCTCTTAAATAAAAAAAACTTTAACTTCGCGTATAAAGGACGCATGCAACAATGTTCTTATTAGTGTTCTTAAAGGTTTCTATAGATATTCAGCCAAGAAATTTGACGATTGCTTACAGCGCAAAACCCATATAGATAGACCACCCATTTGGGACATTCGGGCCACTTTAATTTTGAACCAATAAAAAATTGTCTTTTGCCTTATTTTTTAATTGGCCATTGCCTGATTTTTTTTTTTTTGAAGTGTTAGGAAATAGTGTATATGATCAACTTTAGCGCCAAATTTAATTACTTGGCATGGAGCTTGTATCATTTATTTTTCAAATACCGCCAATCATTTTTGCCTTTCCATCGACAGCAGGTTTAAAATCCGCTCTTAAAATAGGGTGATTTAAGTAAATCAGGAATTTTAATTACGTCACCATATTATATATATTAAAACCTTTTGTTTATTTATTTATTAATCTCTTCATATTTTTAATACCAAAAAAAAAAAAAAAAATATACATGTAAAAGTTACCTTACATCACCATGTAAATCTGCTCTGCTTTGTTTTCTACCATCTGAGCCACTTATGGTGTCCACAAAGTACCAGTAGTATTGAGTTAATGCACACTGTTCTAAGCAAACATTGTCGTTTGTTAGGGGTTAGGCGATCTGAACGTGTGCTGATGTTTGTGTATATGATCTTTTCTTGTTATACTGGCATTTTAGTAAGTAATTATTTTATTAGATCTTATTTTGAATAGTGGAACTAATTAAAAAGAGACAAATGTGTAAGAACATGTATATTTTAAGTGCTTTATGCTGCTCTTGTAAATCTACTCTGCTTTGTTTTCTACCATCTGAGCCACTTATGGTGTCCACAAAGTACCAGTAGTATTGAGTTAATGCACATTGTTCTAAGCAATCGTTGTCGTTTGTTAGGGGTTAGGCGATCTGAACGTGTGCTGGCATAAAGCTTTTGACCTTTTTGAGAATAGAAAAATGGCACTACCTTGCATCACCATGTAAATCTGCTCTGCTTTGTTTTCTACCATCTGAGCCACTTATGGTGTCCACAAAGTACCAGTAGTATTGAGTTAATGCACACTGTTCTAAGCAAACATTGTCGTTTGTTAGGGGTTAGGCGATCTGAACGTGTGCTGATGTTTGTGTATATGATCTTTTCTTGTTATACTGGCATTTTAGTAAGTAATTATTTTATTAGATCTTATTTTGAATAGTGGAACTAATTAAAAAGAGACAAATGTGTAAGAACATGTATATTTTAAGTGCTTTATGCTGCTCTTGTAAATCTACTCTGCTTTGTTTTCTACCATCTGAGCCACTTATGGTGTCCACAAAGTACCAGTAGTATTGAGTTAATGCACATTGTTCTAAGCAATCGTTGTCGTTTGTTAGGGGTTAGGCGATCTGAACATGTGTTGACATAAAGCCTTTTCTTTTCTTTTTTTCACAAGTGGAAACAAATAAAATTCTTTTATATAAATATCTGTTTTGTTTAATCTTTAAAAAAAGAATGCTTATCTGGAAGCAACGCATTTTATGATGAATCCCGAACTTTAGATCGTCTATAAATTGTTTGTTTGTAAAATACTTGTTCTATATGTGATTTAAAATAAATCCTTTCTCATAATAATAATAATAATAATAATAAAGACGATGATGAAGAAATAGGTCAGTGGTCTCTGGTTAATTTCATTTCATTGATCTCAATACTTTTATATTTCTATCTTTGCCTTTATAATTTATTGAACCATTGGAACTTTTTTTTTTTTTTTAGAAAAAATAGCATTTACATCCTTCATCCATCCTTTTTTTCATTCAATTTCATATGCATTCTTTACTTCCTGATATCAGCAACACGGATAACAACACGGACAGCAACAGCGTTTCTGTGAGCATCCAAACCTTCAATTTCAGCAAGGTTATTCATGCCATCAGCAGTACATTCCTGAGAGGTAATATGCTTAAGGAAACCATTGGTGTTGACATCAGAGTACATACGAGCATAACCACGGGTAGGTAAAGTATGGCTAGTACCTGAAGCATAATCACCGAAACTTTTAGGGGAGTAAGGACCAACAAAGGCACTAACAGCGTTATCAACCAATGGGATGACCTTGGCGGCATTTTCAAGATGGATGATAAGATGCTCAGGGGCATAAGTATTAGAGAAGGCCATAGCCTCATCGACAGTCTTAACAGATAAAGAGTAAGGGTGGGCAATACTCTAACGGATGACATCAACACGAGGCAAAGTCGTTGTTTGCTTGTGTACTCTTCCATACATTTTATATTTTATATTGTAGAAATTGTTGTAATGATATCTTAAGAATGCTTTTTATTATAATACGTGATCAATATTTTTATAGATTTAGCTATTGTTATTGTTATTATCATTATTATCAATGTTACATAGTATACTACCCCCCTTTTTTTTTTAAAAAAAAAGCAGCTCTTTAATTATTGTAAAAAATAACCAGCTGTTTCTTCAACAGGAACTTCAATTAGTCCCATTGATTCTTTTTCTAACAAAGTGAAAACCTTTTCTTGCTCTTCAATATCACTCTAAAAAAAAGGAGGGGGCTATTAGCGATAGAGGCAATGTTGTTTCATGTTCTAAAATACATACATAGAGAAGAGCAAAAAGATTAAAAACCTTTGTATACTTAATAGCTTCAGAAAATGTGAGAGGGACGGAAGCAGAGCAGCACTCAATCACTTGCCACTGTGATGGTGATTTTATCATATAACGAATCAAAGTCATTTTGTTTTCAATAATCTGGCATGTATATAAGCGTACTTTTTTTAAAGTGTTGAATGATGCTTGTTTGTAGTTAGAAATAAAAGACTTAAGGTTGTCAGATGCTGTTTTGATATTCTTGAGTGTGTCATTAAGTGCATGAGACGATCCATTAGTGTTATTATAGCTAACATGAAAAGCATATTAATAAATACTATTGAAAGTAATCATAGTAATAATTTGATCATACGCAGAGGACTCAATAATAAGGTAGTTAAGCTCTTTAACGGTTAATTTTCCAATGCCATCGAGTAGTTTGAGATTCCCTTTTTGTTTGATAAAGTTATTTGTGGCAAGCCAGATATAATCCGAATCTTTTGCCTTTTTTTCGCACCTAATATTCACAATGCAAATTAATATATATACATATGTACATATTTACTATAAATAGATAATACTTACCAAGTGTATTCGAGTTTTTGGGTGGTGTTTCCAAATGCTTTGAATATCGGTATAAAAATCTCACAATACGCTGTCCTTTCATCGTTATCATTATACCTTGTAGTTCGCATGCAATTCAACAGAAAGTCAATCATAGTAAATTTAATAAAGTTTAGAAACGGATGATTGGGGAGGGTTCCTAACAATTTAAACATATCTTGTTCAGGGCAATCCATGATTTTCCTAACCCAACTCATAATATCAGAGTCAAGATCTTTAAGGTTTTGAAGGGTAGCTTGTCGTTTCATTAATACTTTATATTCAGATTTGGTTTCAGGGGATGCTTCTGATGAAGAAGAGCCTATACAAATATCAAAATAACCTTTGATAGCAGCCAAGTCTTCTTTTTGTATAATGGGTTTATTGGGGGAAAACATGTTGTCGCAGGGCATCTGAAACCTGTATATATTTTTCTCTTTAACAACGGTAAGGCCACTTGTCTAAAATAAATAGGTTAGTGAGATGAAACAATTACATATGCCAATATAGATACATACTCTTTCAAGTACGGGATCAAAAAATTCGTCAATACAGTCCGGTGCACTTTCATTACCGGTATCCAATATAATAGTTGAAGATGAGGTTTCTGGGTTTGACGCGTTATCTTCATGCTCCTTTTGATATATATATATATATATGCTTGTGAGAAATATGCGTTGAATTGAAAACTTTAAGTTATATAAATACCTGGTTATGCCTTTGTTTTTTCTGTACTTGTTCATTGTCATCATCGCTGTCTTCTTCACCAATCTCTCGTATTCTTCTTGTTATAACAACATTGCTTGTAATTCTTGTTTCAGCATTCAAAGATTCCTTGCTTTTCTCTTCTCTCCAAATCTGTTCTTTTGATTGATAATAAGCTAGGAATATACGTTTCACCATTTTGTTCTTTAGATAAGTTTGTAAGCGTTGACAGTGGCTACTTATTGTTTTTCCTAATAGATCTCCTTTGTACATAGTTTCCAGATAATTCAATATTGATATATACAACTCCTCGCCTTCTATTAAAATAACTGGTGCTGTATTGAAATATGGATCAAACAAATCAGGCATTTTAGCCCAATCTTTCATTCTTTCAGTAAATAGATAACATGGCAATTCTAAAGCTTTTCTTAAGCTAGGAGATAGCTTATATTCCTTGTAAGCGCCATGCGGTTTAGGTAAATTGGGGGGTGTTTTATGTGATCTCTTAGACATTTTTGAAAATTAACCACCAAATTTAATTACAAAAAGAATTGAGCTTGTATCATTTATTTTCCAAATGCTGCTAATCATTTCTATAAAAGTGACAATTATTTTTGTGAAAACGCCAATTTACATAGGTTTGACTGTAGTGTCGTACGACATAAGTAAAAATATACTTTCTTATACTAATCTTTTTTTTAATTAGCTTAATCAATATACTATCAAACGAAGATAAAAGATATTTGGCTGAAAATCTGTATGCTTATCAGTATGAATTAAATGATCTTTTATTACGTGATAGTGACTTGATTGATTATTGTAATCACTGCTCTAATATGAATCAAAAGATTTGCAAGAATCTTATTTATAAATCCTCAAGCTTATTTATGAAGCTTCCCTTCTTTTTACCTGTCTTTATGGGCCATTTCCCACTTTATTTGATTAGTCAATATTATAGTAAACAAGAAATATATGAGGAATCTAAAGCACAAGGCAAGATCCTTTATGCAACCGCCTTGGTACCCTTCATGTTGATTACACTCTTTCTTTGGGTCTGGTATTATCCTTATCGATTCCGCTTAATCGGGTTTGTATTTACTGGCATGACAATTATTGTTTTCTTTTGGCTTCATGTTACAACTATTGATTCTAGTTATGAAGCATTTAAACAATGGAGAGGCACTTTCCAATTATTTGATGCATTTATATTACAAAGAGGATTTGGCAACAGACAAAAACGCATATTAGATATAATTAAGTTAAGGAAAGCAATTCAAAATGAATTATACAATTTATTTTTGGATAATAGTCAAGGCATGGATGACAACAATGATGTTGATTATCAACATGTTGTAAATGCCATTCGTGATCGTCATTTAAAGAAGCAAAAAAAAAATAAAATAAAATTAGTTTCTCTTTTTTGAGTATAAATAAATGTATATAAAAAAACAGATGAGTTTTAATTTTGTTAGTGACTTTTTTTTAAGCCAAATAGAGTAAACTAAAAAAAAAAAAAAAATGATTATCAAAGAAGCAGAAACAGTGAATCGATTAAACCTTCCCTTTTTTACTAAGCTCTCGACACAGTAATATGACTGTAAGTTGGAAATAGGAAGAGTTCATCTCTGAATCAAAATAAATAAGCACAAAATAAAAAAAAATCGACAGATATGATGGATGGATGGATGGATGGATATGTAACATGGATTTTTTTTTCTTGCTGGAATTTACGACATATTATATACATTTTTTTTTTTTCAACCAATGTAAATTATAAATGATTAGAATCGAACAATGATAATGTTTTTAGAAATATAAAATATAAATGAACACCATTTCACTACTAGCTATTAAAAAAAACAGCACTCATGATTACACACTGATTTAGTATAAAAAGAAAACAAGCACATGGGTCATGTCAACTTCATTATGAATCTTACATGAATCTTGATTATATAAAAATAATGTCCAACAAATTCATTTAATCTATAAAAAACACTGAAACACAGCAGCCTTTTTTTTTTTTCTAAAATTGATGCTTATATTTGATTCAGAGCTGGACTTTTTTAATTTTAGTATTTAAAAACAGTGTAACTAATGAGTTTGTTATAGTTGGCCGTCGATCTTCTTAACCCCTCTGTTGAACACGAGAAGCGTTCTCACAAGCTCAAGAGACTTGTGCAATCTCCCAACTCCTACTTCATGGATGTCAAGTGCCCTGGTAAATAATGATTAATCTGTATTGAATATGCATAAATTTTTTTCTTTTTACTAATAATTCTTTGACATTAGGTTGTTTGAACATCAGCACTGTTTTCAGCCACGCTCAAACTGTTGTCTTGTGCTCTTCTTGCGGTACTGTCTTGTGCCAACCCACTGGTGGTCGTGCTCGTTTGACTGAAGGTTGTTCTTTCCGTAGAAAGGCTAACTAAATACAGTAAAAAAAAAGTTGTATCCTTTTTTTTTAATAAACGAAAACAAAAAAAAAAAAGAAGAAAATAGTGTTTTTTCTTTTCTAATGAACTTTTGATTGTTTTTTTTTTTATTTTGTAAAATCATAATAAAATATAATTGCATCTACTAATTCATTTGGATTATTTCTTAATCGACCCGCTTTTGGAACACGGCCAATTTCTTGAAAACCTAGTTTTCTCCAGATAGCAATGGAAGCAATATTATTTGCGAAAACTAAATTAAAGACAGAAGCTTTGTAACCAAGAGCAGGAACCAATACTTTAAAGGCTTCACCCATAACAACGCCAGCACCTTTTCCTCGATAATTCTTCATAACAACAAATCCACCGTTACAAATCTATTGATGATATATATATGTATAAAAGGTGATTAGTTTGTGATTTTGTGTATAATTGTCTGTTTGCTTGTTTTTACTTTACATGAGAACTTCTACCAGGATAATTAGGCTTGATATAGAACATACCAACAATTTTATCGTCCCAATTATAAGTAGTTACTTTGGGATCAATTAAACCATCTTTAGACATAACAAAGGCGTCATAGCTATTAAATAAAATAAGTTTCAATTCTTACCATTTTGTTATCTATAGTTAATAAATAATGTTACCCTAAAAAGTAATCTTTGAATTGTTGTTCGTCTAATGGATTTTCTTGAGGATAAGTTGAGCTTTATTGATTTAACACAAAAAAGGGTTAGTTTATTATTATTATTATTATTATTATTATTATTTTTTTTTTTTTGACAGAAATTATTACCCTGCTTCAATTTCTTGATTAAACTGGGCATGAAGGAAATCAACAAGCGACTTATTATTAGTATCTACTTGTTGAATAACACATTCTGTACCATCTCGGAGTGTTTTATGAATGGGTAAAATGGTACATAGATCAACTGCTATTTCAGGCTTAGGGATTTTACCATATGCGCTGGACATGTTGCTAGGTAGATTAACCCAAAAAAAAAGAAAAAAGGGGGGAGAGGGGAAGGAAAGGGCAATGAACATATGCTCATTTTTTATATATATTTTATACTGAAACTGATTATTATCGGCGTCAAAAAAGATTTTTTTTTTTCTTTCACAAATACTACAACTACTACTGAAGCACAGTAACAGCTTATGAAGAAGAAGGAAACAAAATTAGAATATATGGCTTTAGAAAAGAGAAAAAATAAAAATAAAAAATAAAACTTAAATTAAGAAAATACTCTTCGAAAGGTTTGTTGTTTTTTTTTAGAAAGAGATTGTTGTTGAAGGTTATTCTGGCCAAACATTGGTAAATAAAAAGGAAAAACTTTAACCCTTTTTTCTTTTTTTTGATCCATTAAAACATGAGCAGTAAAAATCGGAGAGCTAGAACTTTGTTGTAAAATGGGGTTATACAAAATGTACGTGCTGCTTACATCCTTCATTTAATTCTCTGACAGCAGATTGTTTACGTAATATATGATTTAAAGAAGAATATCCACTTTTTATATACAAATATATACGAATACATATATAAAACATATAAATAAATGAATTCTTACATTTGTTTATAAAGTGCATTAAAAACAATATAATATTTACAAATTGACTGTATTTAAGTTAGATGATTAAATTTATAGCTATTAATATACATATAAATAGCAAATTTAATCGAATACATAATGTGCATTTATAGGAGACATATAATAGACAAAATACGAATTTTACTCTATTTCATTTTATTTTTCTTATTCTTTTTCTTTATTGTATAATATTTACTCTTCTAGCATAATCAAATGGCTACTAAAGGTATAATATACATATATATTGTATAAAAACTATATTTACCTATCTATCTATATAAATATATGTATATAAATATTTAAAAAAAAATAGATCTATTGAACCAAATTCGTGATTTACAATGTGCTATTGACAGTTTTGTAGTTGAAAGTAGGACAAATACACATACATACATACATACAAAAAAAGGCCTTTATACAGATTTTTATTTTATTTTCTCTCTTTTTTTTTTTTTTAAAAAAAAATTAGATACCGTTAGTCTACCACAAACATCTTCTACAGAGACAACAGTATTCGAGGATGAAAAATGGGAAGAATCTAGTCAAGAAATACCTTATGAATCTGATAGAAATTCATTTAAAGAAGATAGAGCAAAAGAAGGGAAAACATTAATTGAACCAATCCTGAAGATGCCAAAACCTATTTCTATTTGTAAACTAAACTTATCCGATGACTTTTCTTCATTAGTAAATCAGTTTAAGACCTTAAAAGTAGTGCCTGATCCAATCAAAAAAGAAGAAGAGGTAAAACAGAATAATAGAACGGATGAAAAGACAGAGGTGAAGATACAAGAAAAAGAAATGATAATAGTATCAGATCAACCATCTCAGTTACCTATCACTACTATTAAAAGAAAATTACCTACAAAATTAGCAAGAAATCGTGCTTCTTCCGTCTCTAGCAAACGTTCTCAAAAGTCAACAAAGAGTGTCAAGAGCCTGAATAAAAAGAAACAACAATTAAGTCCATTATATCAACAACCACAAGAGAAATATATACCTCGTAATTATAATGAAATGATGCGTATTCCAGATATATATGAAAGACTTTCATTCTATGAAACTACACTCGATTTATGTCTAAGAGAGGTTTCACCCATTGCAAAATGGATTCATGAAAATAAAGCTAAAGGGAAACCAGAAGCTTTGTTGGAAGATTATGTTATACCTCCAGTTAGAATAACACGAGCAAGATTAAAATCATCCAGTAGTAGCCATTTCAAGGCAAACGAGAATACAAGTACATTTGGTAGTATGGGTTCACTTTTAAGTCATTCTATTTCAACATTTTTAAAGAAAAAGGCACAGGCGTCAGGAACAAGTTCCTCCTATTTTAGTAAATTTAATAACAAATCTGCTATGATCGTGCCTTGTCCTAGTTATTCTGAAAAGACAAATACAACAAGTCATAGTCTCTTTGGTCGTTCAATGAGTCGATTCAATAATGTGTCATCCACTCGACTACCTGCTTACAACTATCAACAACCTCCCTTTCCAAAGAAATATAATTTTGAAAATAACTCAACAACCAAGAAGATAACACAACCACCTACACGATTAATGAATCCTCTTAATATAAATAATCGTATCACTTCATTAACTAAGCCGCCACTTAAGCCTTCTCATTCTCATTTTCATCCTCCTCCTCTTCCTCATCCTCCTCCTCCTCTATTAACCCCCTTATCGACACATCATAAACCACTTATATCTCCAATACCTAAATCAAGTACAAGCACACCTAGTAGTAGACTCTTTTTTGGTCGTAGTGGTAGTATGTTTAATCTTACAAGTCAACATCGTGAATCAAATAATACAGCACTTGAATATATGACAAGCATTTTACCCCAAGTAGATATAAGCATATTACAAGATGCTTTAAATGAGGCTAAAGGGGATACAATGACAGCCATTTCCATTGCAGTTAGTCAGAAAAAACATAACTTAACAATAGAGGAAAATAATAATTATCCTCTAACTAGAGCTTCATCAAGACAATTTCGTATAAAATAAGTAATGAATTACATAATTTAATCTAATTTATTTAATAATAATAATAATAATAATAATAATAAAAGAAAGTATAATGACTTTATAGCAGTATCAAGAGTACATATTTACTAAAGGAAGCTTAATTTGAGATTTTCTTTTGTAAGAAAGTAAATGAATAGAAAAGTTCATTGTGATACGAGTCTTTATGAATGTGATAAAATATATGCATTATTAAAGAATAAGTTCCAAGATGACACCTATTAATTTTTTTTTTTGTTATGTGAAATTAGTCTTATTAAAAGTGAAGTTTACCACATCAAGCATTCTATACACTTGACGACGATGTAACTTAATTTATTTGTGTGACTGTCTTTCTCCATTATATATCATAAAAGGGGAATGTTGTGTAAAAGAGAGGGCGGCGACTAAAATGTTTTTACTGATTTGCATTGTACTTTCAGACCAATTCGAGTTTTCTTTTTCTCCTGCATTTTAGAAGAAAACCAAAAAGTGATTTTGAGATTTGATAGTAAAGTAGATAAAGAAAGAAAAAAAAAATACTTTGCATACTTTTTCTTTTTTATAACATGACTTACACTGTACCGAGGTATAAATGTGTAATGATACCAGATGCAGATAGAAATGCTTTAATAGAACGTGTTCTCTTGAAAATACTGCTTTTCTATAGTCGGGATACCAAGAGGCGCCTATTTGAAAGAGAAAAAAAAAACCTCGAGATAAAGATATCGAAAACATTCTGGGTAACCATGATATTGCGAGCTTTTTACTTTAATAAACTATGTACTTTGGTTTTGATTAATTGGTCATCATGTTTTCAATGTGTTTCTTTGCTTGTATCCTTGGTACACTTGACTAATCAACTACTTGACTACTAAGCATATTTAAACTTTACTATTTGCTTAACTTGACATTGGGTACAAAGCGGTTCTTATAATTTCAACAGATGGTACCTGTTCCCTTATTCCCTCATGGTATCTAAAAAAAAAAAAAAACTAGACTATAATTGATAGCATGAAATAGAATAGATCTTTGATTTAGTACTGGAATACTATATTTATTGTCAAGGAACTGTAAGAATACAAAGTTTACAAAAAACTAATCCAATATAGATTACTACCTTTGTTTTATCGATTGTTGACTTTCTTCAACCAGTGATTTACTCTTTCAAATATTGGACAATAAAGTTTTGATTCCAAATTACTACATTTTATTTATTCTGTACGTGTATCTTTCAGCTTTTTCAAAGGACATTAAAGGAGGCTAAAGAGACTCTCTGGAGGTTGTTTGCTTACAAAGTTACTTTATTAGCTGGGAACAACACCTTTAGTAAGTGTAGTGATAAAAACAAGAAATCAATAAAGGCGTTATATTAAACATAATAAAGCTTTCTCTTAATATATATATATATGTGTGTGTGTGTGTGTGTATGTGTGTGTGCGTGTATTTTAGGGGAAGGGGAAAGACTCATCGGTAGTTATCCATTTGTATTTGCGTTTCATACTAGTTGTAAGCTGAGAAAAAGAAAAGAAAAATTAAAACTAAAATGTAGCGTTTTGATCAAGTCGAATAACTCACATATGAAAGTTGTTATTGTTGTAGGCATTCACTTTGACCAATTGAATTTCGTATTTTGTTGCATGTAAATTTTCTGCAATTTCGTATTTCAGCTTGATGTAAATACTGCATTTCTTTTTTATTATTACCATTATTATTATTCACATACAAATGACTTCAGAACGACCCACTTTTTACTTATTATTTGTTGTTTTTTCAATATTAATGGTAATATACCTATTCGTTCCCTAATTTCAATCATCTAACTTCTTTTTTTTTTAAGAGTGCATTTCAATATGGATACCATAATGGTGAATTAAATACACCACAATCAGTCATTACAAAATGTACAGATTCATCTACCACCATTCAGACACATTGGAGCTCATTTCTACCTGCTTGTATTCCAATGACAGATGCTCGTTATGCCATTGTTGTTTCAAGCTTAACAGCGGGTGGACTTTTTGGAGCACTTGCTGCTCCTCATTTTAATGACCGATATGGTCGTCGTCTGACTTTATTCTACACTAATTTATTACTTGCTTTAGGATCCATACTCACATCCTGCGCTACCTCTCCTTCAATCATGACCTTGGGTCGATTTTTATCAGGTATCGGTAGTGGTGTCGTTACCGTTGTTGTCCCTGCCTATATCGCTGAATGTGTTCCTCAGTCAAGTAGGGGGCTCTTTGGCGCCATGAATCAATTGGCGATCGTAATTGGTATCATGATGGCCCAAGTTGTGGGCCTCTTTTGGTCCAACCTCAAACAATGGCGTTGGATTTTAGCGATAGGATTTATCTTGGCTGTGATCCAGGCTATGCTGTTACCATTTTGTGTTGAATCACCCAAATATTTAGCTTCATTACCTGGAGGATTAAATCAAGCCAAAAAGTCTTTGTTGAGGTTAAGACAGTCATCTATAGATGAAATAGAGGAAGAGATTCAAGTATGGAAACGAGGAGAAAGTGATGAGATATTTTCAACATCATCAACCCATATTACAGTCTGGCAGTTTGTTACTTTACCTCATTACCAAAGACCTCTCATGATTATTCTTTTATTACAACTTGCTCAACAATTATCAGGTATTAACGCCGTCATCTTTTATTCGACGTCCGTCATGTCAACCGTCTTTCCTGAATCCTCTGGACGTATTACGGTCTATATCTCCGTTGTCAACTTGATCATGACCACTCTATCCGCTTTCTTGATGGATCGAGTCGGTCGACGTACGTTATTTTTAATGTCGTCTGGACTCATGGCTCTTATGGCTCTTTTGTTGGGCTGGTCTATGATGAATAGCCCTCAGATGTCCTTTATCTCTGCATTAGCTATCCTCGGTTTTGTTGCCGCCTTTGCTATTGGTCTAGGCCCTATTCCTTTTTTGATGATACCCGAATTAGTAGAAGCAAAAGCAGTCAGTAGTGCATGTTCAGTAGGCTTAGCTGTCAATATGGTTTCGAACTTTATCATCTCTGCTGGATTCCCAAGTTTAAGGTTGGTAATGGGTCAAGGTCAAGTATTTTATTTATTTGCTGGCTTTTTAACCCTCTTTGTCATAATCGCATTCCGAATCTTGCCAGAAACAAAGGGAAGAAGTGCAGAGGATGTGATTCGATCAGGATATGAACGCATTCGTGCAACGGCTGATTGAAAAAAAGAAACACACTCACACACACACACACACACACAAAAAGGGGAGGGGAAATAAGAAAGAGTATTAGAAGTGGAAGAATTTTCTTCTCTCATTTACTTTTTATATATGTAAATATTACCAATATGATTAAATTCTATTTTATTTCTGTGTAATATGTATACATATATAAATACATATTTTCAATTTTTTCAATTTTTTTTGGTGGTGAGCATGTAGCAACGAAATGTGTTGTATTGCCCAAGCCAGTTATGAAGTGGTTGCAAAAATAAAAAAAACCTCCCAAGAGACTAAAGGGGAAAAAAGAAAAAAGGACAAAAGAATTGAAAGCTATAAAAAAAAAAAAAATAAAAATGAAAAAAAAGAGGTCATAATTAATAGAGAGACTCATACTATTACTTTGGTAATCAATTCAACAGTTTGCAACCAGGATCAACGGTAGGGGGTGGAAAATCATCATGTAAAATGATACAAAGGATAGGCCAGAGAATAAACCAGCTAAGACAATCAGAGTTACGATGGGATTTACGCCGTGGAAGCATATTTAAGAAGAAACAATACTGGATTATCAATTTTGAGAGGGAAATACAAGCGTTTATGGATGTGTAAGCATTCAAAAGCATGATGACGACTCCAGTTTTGATTTGAGTGAAAGAGACATTCCTTTGGTTTATCATCAGGTATCTAACTACGGAGACATCGAAGGACATGATTCCGTTCAGAAGTAGTCATAGATGGCCAGAGAATAGGATCAAGATCACGAGATAGGCGACAAAAGGGCGGTAGGATGGAATCGATGTTAGCATATAGAGCTTGAAGTTGATCAGTTAGAATTTTTACTACAGAAAATATAGAATTTCTTTTTATTCAGAGTTGAGAGTATAGGAGCACAGGGATATATTATCAATATGTTTAAAACTTTTGGTTTTTTATTTTATGTCTCTTTAGAATACAGCGTCCTTGCTGGACATTTTTGATCTAGACAGATAAAGGAAGAAATAAGCATATGAAAACCCTGTACGCGTAAGCGGGAAAATGTTAAGAGGTATATGTTGAAGGAAATAATAAGAAAAGTGTGTTGTATAGTGTTTGTATATAGAGAGTGGGGGTCATAAGATAATAGTATTATTCTGCTTCTGAGAGAGAAGGAATGATCCGCTTGATAAAGAACTGACAAGGAGAAACGTCATAATACTGTTGTAAATCGCTTTCGAGATGATGATAGGCATCGCGTTCTGCAAGGATTTTGCACACAATTGGCCATAAATTCGTTAGAACTAGATGACTCGAACATATTTTTCATTTTCCAGTAGAACTGGTGAAAGTTTAGGAATTGCTTCTAACTTGTCGCCAATATCTGGTTTAATTTCAAGGGAGCCTTCTAGCTAGAGATCATAAATGGATCCTTCAGGTGCAAGTGACATGCTCCACAAATACATAGTTCTGTCAGTAGCATGGAGAAAAAAAATTTGATTTTCCTGAATGTAGCAAGTGACCCATATTGGTATTCATCCGCACTTGTCTTTAACATGGCCAAAGCGCCAAACAAGCCTTTATGATGATCAATTTTGGATTTTCGCTGATCAGTGGATACAAAATGATGTGAGGTCTCGAGGAAAAGGATATCTCTAATCTTTTGAAGCCATACATTCGAATGACTCCATCTGCCTTGTACATGTTTCTATTATCGACCATCATGTTTAAAGATTTCAATTGTATTGACATAGATTCTAGACACACTTCACCATCGCAAAAATCTGTCTTGGTAGAATTAAGCTCTTTTGAAACAGCTCTTGCTACTGCTTTCAAGAAAGGATACAAAAAGAGGCCGTTAAACGTAGATTCGCCCTCATAGATATCTTGGTGAGCGGTATGAAAAATGTACATGGTTTGAAACAGGTTTTCAATAAATAAGAGAGCATTTTCATCTTCATTGTTTGCTTCTGGTACTGCCCTAATGGCTTTTCTGTAGCTATCCAAATCGTCTTGCTTGATTACATTAGCAATATATGGCATGCATGCCTCAGGAATGACATATTCTACATCTTTATGCTCATTTATATGTTGGTTATAAAGATCCTTGTCCAAGAAAGGTTTTGAAGAAACGATTTTTTCACCACGAATGATACGATGGTATTCAGGACTATAAAGATGGAAACTTTCTTTATTTTCAAGGAATTTATCCCATTTCTCCAATATAGAATTATTTTCTTTAATGCCTTCTTCAACTTCAAATATATTAGGCTTCTTATTATTGTTTCTTTCTTCCAAGTCACTGTTAAACTTGCGTTTTACACCCATATTACTACTACTGCTTTCATCTGTGCCGTATCTATCTCCAAGTTGAATACTTCTAATATTGCTGTTGTTGCCGCTGATAATGAAGGTATTTTTATTATTAATAAATCTGGTCCTCTTAGGCAAGGCTGCTTCTGCTTTCATTGTTGATTTACCAGGCTATGTAAGAAAGCATTTAGCTATATTTTTTTAACAAACTATAATAAAGAAACCACTTACTGTTTTTTCATTCTTTAATACGACAACATAATCTTTTACTTTTGCTCGTGTTGAACTTTAGTTTAGTATGTTGTCTTTATACATAACATAAAGATATAATAAAACATAAATGTCGAACATTCATTACACAATAATGCTGTATAAGCAATATCATTATGTATTCATTAAATGTAATGTAAAACCTTCAAATGAACCCCTTACCGAACTAGCGATATGCCAAAGATAATACCAGATCATGATCTGTATCATAACTGTTGATAGAATCATAAAATGATCAATATTTAACACAAAACCAATGAAATAGCATCTATATAAATATCATCTATAGCCACCAAGAAAAGCATAAATAGCCAGATAGTTTGTACAAGAAGGATAGCTAGTTTATTCTCACTTGTGCCTGTGTCTCACGATTTATTTCGTCTTCTTATATTCTTAAACTATACAACATAGTATCCAGTCAAGATCTGTAAGGTAGTCATCTACAATAGAGGTGTATTTTTTAAATTTGTTAAGGTCGTTGTGAGTTTAATTAAAGTAATGGCTAAATGACCATAGTTCTGCTGCAGATTGGTGAGAATAATTTCTTGATCCTTCTGAAGTCTCGATGTGTTTATAGTTTTTAAATTTAGAAGATAGCATTATTTATTATTTAGAAACAAGTGAATTAAAGGAACAAAAAATAGTTGATACGTTTTAAACACTAAATATACCTTTTCCCAAAATGATGTCGTACTTTTCAAGAAAAAGATGACGCATTTTTTAAGAAAAAGAGTGTCGCACACTTGAGAAAAAGAGTGTTGCACACTCGAGAAAAAGAGTGTCACACATTTGAGAAAAACTATGTTGCACTTTTGGGAAAAGGTGTATAGACATTACTCTTACAAATATTCACACTCTGCATAAAAAAGAGCTGTAAAGGTGCTCCCCCCTCCTTTACAAAAATTTTCAAAAGTCAATATTTCCAAACAGGGCAATAAAAGATCTCTGTGACATTTGTTTTTAGTAAAAGTTGTTTATATATACTGCATAAATAATATCATTTCATCTGATATTCGTTAAATAACAGCTAAAAAAAACAGTATTCTATAAACATCTCTATAACTTGCTTATTTTTTAGTGAAATCCTATGTAGTTAGTACCAATTGATGAAGAATTAAAAACTACATATATTTCTTATCTAGACTATTTCATGAAAATGCAGCTATACCCAAGTAATCTAAAGAAAATTAAACTTGAATTTAATTTTTACTGTTTTTTTTTCTTTTTTTTTTTTGGAAGATTCAATAGAACGAAATGGGACATAGACACAACAAAAGGTTAAAGAAAGTTTTGGCGTAAAAATTTCATTGATGGGTACTCACAAATATTGTGTCAAGAAACTACGCTTTACTTTAAAATGTTCAAAACCATTAATTGAAAAAAAGAAACGACGAGGACATGTAAGAGAAATGAAATAGATTTGTGGAGAAATTGGCCGAATATAACATTAGTTATGCTTTCAATTGTATTCTTATTTATGAAGCAGCAGGACTTAATTCTTCTCAAATCAGAAAATATGGGCGGTCAAAAAAAAAAAAGGAACTGCGGCCATTATTGTAACTGATAAGATGAAGGAACTATTTTAGTCACCCTGCCTTATCAAGGAATTGAACAAATTCACGCAAAAACTGCTCCTGAAGGGTTACAAACGCAACAATATTCCTTGATTTTCTGTAGCAACTGATAGAGAAAGTAAAGGATGAAAAAGTACCTCAATATATTGTGTTGGGTAACGCTCGAATTCACCATGCAAAACTTGTGCAGACATGATTAGACGAAAAATTCAGGAACTCAGAAATCAAATATCAGGTTTGTTTCTTGCTGTTGTACTCCCCTTTTTTTTTTTTTTTTTTTTTTTTTTTTTTTTTTTTGAATCTAGTAAAGCTTTTGTTGAGAAGCAGTCATTGATAAAAAAAAAAAAAAAAAAAAAAAAAGAGAGAAATTTAATTAACATCATTTTTTACTCATTGCCCCTTCGAGATTAAGTTATTTTAAAAATAGAAATAACAACTCCGTTGGAATTGCTCTATAACGCTGTATTTTTAGCTCTTTTTTCCTTTCATTACAAACAAACACAGCTGGAACGAGTAGATCTTTTATTTGGCCTCCCTATCTTTATACTGTAGAATTTTGTAAGGTATAAGGGTAATCAGTTGTGAACAATCTCTGTGGGCTTGGCGAATATCCTATTTTGTGACGCAACTAATCCAATGAAGGCAGAGTTGGCTTATTGGAAAAAAAAAACATCCCTGTGTTGTTTTTTTTTAAAGTAAGTTGTTCATCGAGGTTGTTTTGCTTTAATATTTGTTGAGTTCATCAATTTGGTTATTATTATTTTTTCACGATAAGATTTGAAATATAGCCCTATATATATAATCACTAATTTTATTATTAAACCTGCTGGAGAATTGAATATTTTGTTTATTCTTCATGTATTGGACTATCCCATTTAAACCAGTTAAACTTACTCTTATATAATCTGATAACGAGACTATCAGAAGATCAGTTATTTAGAATGTTCTTTAGTCGTTTCACTACGTATTTATGGTCATAGACTCTTTTATTACCTATCTCAAGAATTTAAACGCTTTTCTCTTACTAAACCATTTATTTCATGATAATACCTCATTGATCTTGCTGCTTCTCTAGTAAGATAACTATCCTCGTAGTAGTTCCCTACTGTTTCCAATGCTGAATCTTTAATATCTAGTATCCTATGAATAAAATATTAAAAGCACAGAGTAGAAGAATATATGTTGATTGTACACACTTATAAAGTATTAAATTTAATATTGAAAAGTATTTCTAATATTTTAAATCTATTGATATATTTATATAAAATATAATAATGTAAAAAAAGATTTACATACACAGATGCTTATGACTAAAAATATTAGCATGTATAATATACTTTACAGCTTGCCGATTAGCAAAAGTTTCTTCTAGATAGGTACTTCAGCTAATATGCTAATATCCCATAGATTCATATGAAAAATTAGAACTAGTAATATCCAGTTGATATCAACATCCTCCCCGCTTAGCATCATGACTTGTTGCATAATTATCATGGATGATAGAAACATGTACAAGGCAGATGGAGTCATTCGAATGTATGGCTTCAAAAGATTAGAGATATCCTTTTCCTCGAGACCTCACATCATTTTGTATCCACTGATCAGCGAAAATCCAAAATTGATCATCATAAAGGCTTGTTTGGCGCTTTGGCCATGTTAAAGACAAGTGCGGATGAATACCAATATGGGTCACTTGCTACATTCAGGAAAATCAAATTTTTTTTTCTCCATGCTACTGACAGAACTATGTATTTGTGGAGCATGTCACTTGCACCTGAAGGATCCATTTATGATCTCTAGCTAGAAGGCTCCCTTGAAATTAAACCAGATATTGGCGACAAGTTAGAAGCAATTCCTAGACTTTCACCAGTACTACTGGAAAATGAAAGAGCTGTTGAAGGAAACTTCTAGATTGATAATGGAGTTGAAAAAGGAACACGATTCCACTTTAATGAAAAATATGTTCAAGTCATCTAGTTGTCTTAGCTCACTCTCCTTAATAGTAAATCCTTCAATACTTCATTTAACAGAAGAAGAAGATAAAATAGGCATGGCTCATCTTGGACCTTTGTTCTTTCCAAAACAATAAACTATTGTAACTTTTTTTTTATTACTACAATTAGTTTTATGATATGTATATTAATGGTCGAACACCTCCACTGTTCAACCATATTTTCTATTGGTTTCAGAATTTTCTACCCAATTAAAAGTTTATCCAAAAAGTTCTATTTTCAAACGCAAATGACTGTAGCTTACAAAGCAATAAATATATAAATAAATAAGCAAAAATACACGGATGATCCTTTTGCATCCTCTGGGTATTATTATTAATATTAATTTGCTTCATGGTCTCGCCCTTTTCTCTCTCCCTCTCTCCCTCTCTCCCTCTCTCCCTCTCTCCCTCTCTTTCTCTCTTCTCTTCCTCTCTTTCTCTCTTCCTCTCTCTTTCTTTTTTTTTTTTATTTTTTATAATGACTTTAAATTCAACCAAAATAATTATAGAAAGCCTTTACAGATTATAAATAATGTATACTGTTTTAAGAAATTCCATAATTTTTTTTTTTTTTTTGGAATACACAATAACCTATAATAAGATCAATCCCGTTAAAGTAATAGTAGTAGTAGTAGTAAAGAGCGGGGAGAAGTTCGGCTTTAAGACACCAAAAAAAAAAAAACCTATATAAAAAGGCATTTTTTTTTTTTTTTTTTTTTTTTTTTGTCTTTATAAATAAATAAATAAAAAATATCAATTGCTTTCTACTTTGCTTTCTTTTATACATACATACATACACACACACACACACACACACACACACATAAAAAAACATGACATTAAGGTTAAATGATTTAGTTACAGGCACTGTGGTGACGATGGACGAATGGGTACAAAATGAAATATATCGTTTACAGAACAATATAAAACCAAGACATTTTCAAAGTTATAGTGATCTAGCAGACATGTTACAGGATGAACCTTGTCGGTTTCAATATCAACTTCCAACGCCTGTTTGGTTATGTCAATTATTTATTAAGCTCATGCGTTATACAAATAAGATGGTAGCACCAAGGTTATTATTAACCGAATTTGAACAACTACGACTTGATGTAAATTTAGGGAAAGGGGTCAATTTAAAAGAATTTAGGGAAAGACTATCAAGTATTTTATTTGGTCAAATTCAATTAACTGAAGACCTGGTGAATACATGGAAGATTATGTGTGAATGGGTGACTCAGCCTTCTCTACATAATCATCAACTCGCTTTAAGATGGCTTGATTTAAGTTTAAGTGCATATCTTATTGCTACTTATTATCGAATATTAATTCAATAAAGAATCCCTTCTTCTTTTCTTTCTTGTCCAGAAAAGTAATATCGATATTTTTGATATGGAAATACTCTTGCTCTTTCAATCGTCTCAGTAGGAAATATCCACTCAAGATATTTCCATATCAAATAATCTAAAGCCATTACCATACAAAATATTTTTCCTGCATAAACTCCACATCCATAGTATCGTCTTAATCTTTCTATTAAAGGTGAATTTGATGTTTGATACACTGATCCATATACCTTTTCCGTTCTTTCTGCTACATTTGACCAATTATACATTTCCTTTAATTCATCATTAAACTTGCTTGGGTCTATTTTACCGGACCGAAATGTATGGATTGCCTTTGACACAGCTATAACAAGATCTGTGATAATAATATGAGTTTTACATGTATATATATGTATGTATATAAATATGTATATCATGTACCATCTTCTTCTGGACTTGCATAGTGAATCATATGACTTGGTAGAACTTCAGGTACACCACCCACTTTGGTACTCACCACAAACAAACTAATCATCATCATCATTAAAAAACATCTCTCTCTTTATACACGTGTTGTATATTATATTTACCCAGCACATGCAGCTTCAACAATCGCAATACAAAATGCTTCAGTTAAACTCGTATTTAAAAAAATATTTCCTTGTATCAATACATCTCGTACTTCATGATGCTTTATAGGACCCAATAACTCAACTCGATCATGTAATAAATGCTTTTCTCTCATCTGCTCTAAATCTATTCTCTTAGGTCCATCTCCACCAATAATAAATCGAACCTGTTTATACATTTCACAAATACGTGGGATGATAGCAATCAAGAGATCAACACCTTTTCGATAGACAAGTCGACTAATAACAACAATTGTAATCCAGTTAGGGTCGGGTCTTGTTGAGTCAGGTTGAAACTGAGATGCAACTACAGCATTGGGTATAACAGAAACGTGTCTTGGTGATAATGCTGCTCTTAATACAGTATTTTCCTTACTGGACCCACCCCCACAATGTTAATAAAATTATTTTACATTTATCAATCTATCTATTACCTTGTATGAGATACACAAATGACATGGTCAACGTCACTTAGAGTAAATTTTAATAATTTGTTTGTCAAAATGGAAGAGGCATCGGCAAATCCAAATAGAGAATGATCAGTAAAGACAGCTTTAAGACCCATTGTTTTACTATGCAAGATGGCTTCATGACAAAGGGAAGAAAATGCGCCATGACCATGAATGATTTGTATAGATTCACGAATGACAATATGACGAAAAAGAGGGAAAAAGCCATAAATGGTTGGTAATGTAGCCTCTGAATAAATAACTTGAGTTGGAATGTAATACACTTTGAGTCCATTGGTTAAATAACGAACACCCTTTCTATTTCCATAGGCATGTGTAATAATAATGACCTATCTTGTTTTGTAAGTATTTCAATTAAATTTATCTTTTTCCTATTTACTTTGTGTCCTCTTTGAATTAAGCGTTGAGATAATTCATATAAATGGCTTTCAACTCCACCCATATTTGGGTAAAAGAAGTCAGATACCATACTTTATTTTATTTTATTTTTTACATTAGATTGAAGGTTGTTAATTAACAATTTTGGTCTTACCAGATGTTATATAACATACTGCATATTTCGTTTTTTTTTTTTTTTAAAAAAAAAAAGAAAAATAAGATGAGTTACAAAAATCAGATGTTATTTCCAGTAAATATGTTTAAAATTGAATTATTATTATTATTATATGTGTTTATATATACATTTTTTTTTGACCAAATGAGCACATAGCATTTTTCATTTGCTGTATTGCCTCTAGTCAGTTATAATAGTATATAAGTAAGAAAAACCCCTCTTATGAGACAAAAGGGAAAAGTATAAAAGTATATGTGTAATAGATAAAATAAATATACTAAGTTAAAGAGGAACAAAGTAAATGGGAAAAAGATCAGTAAGATAAATTTCAGAGACAGTACAAGTATATTAGCACTTTTTAGGTGAATAACCATTTCAGCAGTAGTGCACCGGATTCTGAGGGAGGATCTAGATGTAGCTTTCTTCATGAAAGAGATAATCCAATTCATGTACAGTGATACAAATAGATGGCCAACGGACTGCCCAAGGAGCCGCATCCTGTGAGTGTTTTAGCTTTTTTAGGTAGGTAGTTGGTTTAGCAGGAAGGAGAGTGAGGTCTGCGACCGTTCTTAGATTTAGAGTTGATGGTGCAAATGTAAGTAGACACTTGAACGAATGAGTACCATTAAAAAAAGAGTGAGTACCTCAAAAAAAGAGTGAGTACCTCAAAAAAAGAGTGAGTACTCCAAAAAAAGAGTGAGTACTCCAAAAAAAGATCGATTATTTAGCTTTATTATCGTAATGAACTTAAAGACGTTAGTGTCCTTAATCATCCAAGTGAATATCCTATATTTTTTAAGTTCCAGTAATGTAATCTGAAAGTAACTCTTTTGTAGAAAAAAAAATGTAAGTGATGAAAATTGATTAACTTGTTAATTATAATATAATTTATTAAAAGAGGATAAATATAAGTTGAAATAGGGTATAAACATAATCTTTTGTACATTTGGTAAATAAATAAAGTACAAGTATAGCAAATACATGAATAGTTATAATAATGAACGTTTTTCTAAAGAAGTTCTACATTGAAACTTATTCAAAATTTTGTCATCATGTAAAAGCTGATGTCTAGTAAATCGTTAAAATAAATAAATTAATGTCCTCACTTTCCAAGTACTAAACATATTATTTACCCTGACAATCACCATGTGAATTTTTGATTTTAATTTTATTTTTCTTTTTTTCATAATCTCTATCTTCTATTACAGTATCTGCATTGGTGTCTATACTGCAGAAGACGTACTTGCATAAATCTTTAGTTTTTAATTTATATGCTTGAAGAGAAAGAGACTTTTGTTTTGCAGTTTTCGATTCAGTCGTGTTAGATTTGCGGACATAATCAATAGTAACATATTGTAATTGTGCCGTTCTAACAAGGTATCTAAACTGGCTGATATTGCTAATGTCTTTCCACTTGAAGTCTCTCAAGCTAGCCTCCACCACATTGTACGTTCTACCTCTTATTCTGCTGTCTTTATCTTTTTTTGTTTAGTGCCTCCCCAAGACCCATCTTTACCTATAAGGTCATTTAATTTGTTTTGACTAAAATTCCAATTATCACCAAAGTATTGTTTAACTAGCTTAAATATTCCATTCTCTGTTAAGAATTCTTCATGGGTTATTTGAGCAATTGGCTCTGGCGGGATGATCAAATGAAGCAACTCTTAAATTGCTCTCTTTGAACATGGTACTGTAATTTCATAAGAGCTTAAGCTGTTTGAAACTGATATCTTCTGATCTTGTTCTTTTCGTATCGAATCAGAATGATATTCACTGTATTTCCAAGGCTCCATCCTGACTTTTTTCTTGGAAATAGCAAAAGCGTTGTAAGCATATAATAAAATATAAATAAAAATAAAAGAATAAAAAGAGAAATAAAAGAAAACAGATAGAAGAAGTACGTTGAGAGTTGTCAATAAGTTTTATTAAGATAAAGATAAAAAGAAAAAAAAAAAAAAAAAAGATTAATTACGTAGGAGTATTTATATATTTTGTGGTTAAGGATGATGAGTCATAATATAATAAATTCTATTTGATGACGTAACCATGGAAGAGAATGATTACTAAGAGTTATTATAGATATACATTCATGTCTTTGTATATGTTTATTTTTATAACTAATATGTGTACTCTGAGTGGAATCAATTATCACGCTTATTTGTATTGTTCTTAGTTTACCCCAGTTTAACTTATAAATCTATATTTAGCAGAACAATAATAGAAGAAGACATACCTTTAGATGTAGAACTTTCTTATTATTTTTTTTTATGCAAGAGTAAATATACTTAATATGCGTGTAGATAGAATTATTTTAGAAGTGCACTATATGTTCTATTATGACTATTTATCTTATTGAATTAAGTTACAAATCCTACAACCATGACACTCATTCACTCATTTTAGATGATCTTCAAGATGCTACTCAATTTGTTCCAGTAATCACCTCCTTATTTTACGCCAATGATGCAGTGTTAATAGAATAGCCTCAGCTACTGCAACGCCATCATTACTTCGAATTTGTGAAGACCATAGCTACCGCCCAGGCTACCGATGGAGTCCGTTAAAATGAGTTGTTGTTAAACCGCTCTCTGATGAACAGTCATACTACCTCTATGATACGCCCCTACCGAGTGAAGCATCATTTAGTTATCTTGGAATTCCAATCAAACCTGGTGGACTTATTGACACTGCTCCCCTCATCAATCTCAACACTAAAAAAAGCTAGATCATCTATGAATCAAATTTCCTCTCTTGGAGTCAATCACGAAGGAGTTTAACCGCTTACTCTCAGTACGTTTCTACAGCCAAATGATACGATCACAAATGGAATATGGTCTTGCTATCTGCGCCTTAAATAATAGTCACTTTACAAAACTTGAAGCCTGTCAAAATGAATGTATTCGACGTATTTTTGGTGGTTCTGCTAGATCCTCAACCAAAGTTATGCTGCACCTAGTACAACAACCTTTCAATGACAACCCGGAGCTACTATCCTGCAAGCCAAATACCTTATTTGATCAATGCAACTACTCGACGATACATTACTGAACAAACTTCAAACCTCATCTTCAAAATGTCCAACAGCCATTCTCAATGGTATAAACTAAACTAACAGTCAACCCACTCTGGAGAGAATGTGCCCCTATCTTGGACGAACTTGATAAAAAGGCTTTCAAACGGCTCCGTCTGCGTTTTCAAAAAACTCAATATGAAAACCTCTGTCAGGGTTTAAATTCCAAGCTGATTCATGCATGTCGTCCTAATATTATCATCGATCCAATTCTTTGGCTGCCCATGACGAATACAGAAAGAAGTCAAGTCCTCCACTGGCACCTCGGTTGGCTACCTGGTGGTATACCTCGTCCATGTCTCTATCATACCCTTCTCAAACGCTCAGTCGTACTCATTCTATCGAGTATCTACTTACATTTGCACCATCAACTCTAAATCTAAGAACGGTCGCAGACCTCACTCTCCTTCCTGCTAAACCAACTACCTACCTAAAAAAGCTAAAACACTCACAGGATGCGGCTCCTTGGGCAGTCCGTTGGCCATCTATTTGTATCACTGTACATGAATTGGATTATCTCTTTCATGAAGAAAGCTACATCTAGATCCTCCCTCAGAATCCGGTGCACTACTGCTGAAATGGTTATTCACCTAAAAAGTGCTAATATACTTGTACTGTCTCTGAAATTTATCTTACTGATCTTTTTCCCATTTACTTTGTTCCTCTTTAACTTAGTATATTTATTTTATCTATTACACATATACTTTTATACTTTTCCCTTTTGTCTCATAAGAGGGGTTTTTCTTACTTATATACTATTATAACTGACTAGAGGCAATACAGCAAATGAAAAATGCTATGTGCTCATTTGGTCCAAAAAAAAAAAAATAAAATAAAATAAATAAATATGTATTATAATAATAATAATAATTCGATTTTTAAACATAATGTCAAATTATATGTGACTGCTTATGTGTTTCATTGTACATCTTGGAAGGATAGGAGGAACTATCCGTTTATACACTTTTTTTTCTTTTTCTTTTTCTTTTTTTCCCCCTCCCCTTTTCTTTGCTTCTATTGTATATACAAATAGATAAATATTTATATATAATATTTCTTTTTCGGTATGAACAAGGTGGTACAACAAAATAAAGCAAAAGGTAAAATAAAAAGAAAGAGAAACAAGCAAGTTAATACATTTTTTTTTTTTTTAATAAATTATGTGCATGTTTTATAATAGACGAACTTTCCTCACCAGCACCAACATCTTCTCTCGGTTTAAAAAGAACATATTCAGAAATATCAATTATAAATGAAGTTCCTGAGGATGAAATAAGTACTTATGAGTTACCGCAAGGCTATGACTTTAAAATAAATGCTGTAAAAAGAAAAAAAAAAAGAAAAAATAAATATATATATTTTTATATATATATTTATATACAGACTTATATAGTATGTAACTTTGTATCTATACATATAATAGCCGCCAACAGATAGGCCCGTTCGAATTTATTGCGATGGTATTTATGATATGTTTCATTTTGGACATGCAAAAGCACTTGAACAAGCCAAAAAAGCATTTCCCAATGTTTATCTTTTAGTTGGTGGTAAAAAAAAAAAAAAAATGGAGTACTATATAAATGATTAACGAATTTTTTTTTTTATCTGTATAGTATGTAATGATGAAGAAACACATAAAAGAAAGGGTAGAACAGTGATGACAGATAAAGAACGATATGAATCTGTTAGACATTGTAAATGGGTAGATGAAGTCATTGAGGGAGCACCATGGATTGTGACACAGGAGTTCCTTGACAAATATCAAATTGATTATGTTGCGCATGATGCAGAACCTTATCAATCAACCGAATCTGGCGACGTCTATGCATTTGTTAAGTCACAAGGTCAATTTTATCCCACAAGACGTACAGATGGTATCTCTACATCAGATCTAATTACACGTATTGTACGTGATTATGATAAATTCTTGAGAAGAAACCTTGAAAGAGGTGTTTCAGCAAAGGAGTTGAATATTTCATTTTTGAAGGAACAACAAATAAAGACGAAAAAGAACCTTGAAAAAGTAAAGAACACAGTATTGGATCATTTAGATTTTTGGGAATCACAAAGTCATCATTTCATTACTGACTTTTCAAGTTTATTTGGTGTACAAGATGTAGTTGTAAGTCATATTAATCAATATGTGGGCCCTTTTTTTTTTTTTTTTTTTTTTTTTTTTTTTTTTTTTTTACTATTATTTATTTATTTATTTATTATATGCATGTATGTATAGGGTAACTTTTTAGCAAAGAGAAAATTAATTCATAGTGGTGCTAGTACGCCTACTACAGGTGTAAGTACGCTTACAAATAAACCACCTATTGATAAAGATCAATTAAAAGCATCCTTAGACTCTATATCTGCATAATATAAAAATAAATAAAATAACTTGCCTTTTTTTTTTTTTTTTTTTTTTTTTTTTTTTTTTTTTAATTTAAATGTTTTATTTTTCGTTGTATTTCTTCATCAAGATAGGATTCTGATCGCCATAATGCCATACTTCCTGCTAAATGCTGTTGAGTTGCGAATCCTTCACCACTTACAATATCTCTTATGCAGTCCTATTCGTATCTATTTATTAGATTTTATAACTTTATTCCATCTCATTACCATTTTACCTTAACCATGTACTCTTGATCATACATTTCTAAACATTTTTTTAATAAAACAACTTGTTCGGGTATATGATGATTATTACTTTCTTGTTCATTATTGACTGCTATTTCCTCTATTTCCAATTTATGAAGCATTTGACAATATTCATCGAACATACAATCTAGTATTTGCCTTACTAATTGAAATTAAAGCAAATGGAAAAAAGTAATACTCGAATTTTTAGTATATATTCATGATAGACGAGAGGCAATAAAGAAAAAAAAGAAAAAAAAAAGGAGGAGGAGAAATGGGTATTTTAAATCAAATCTATCTTACAATTGTTTGTAATCGGTTCCAATTCAATCGATGGTTTGCCCAACACTTGTCGAGATAAACATTGTTCTCCTATTTCATTTTGTTTTGCCCAATCATCTAAACTATTTAACTATGAGTAATAGACTAACAATGCCTTTCGCCTGATATCTGTATTATTTACTCTTTTTTTTTTACCATTTTTTGAATTTGTTAAATGAAATTGACTCCATGATAAAATATGATTTTAGTTGAGTATGATAAAACAATTAAATAAATAAATAAAAAAAAAAAAAAAAAAAAAATAAATAAATAAATAAATGAATAAATAAGAAAAATAAGTAAATAATAATAAAAAAAAGGGTCGAGAACCTTTTTCATTTTATATGTTACACGCTTAAATCAATCATAGTCGTCCACATCCCCAGAACTTTCTTACCAACAACAAAATGCTATTTCCAATAAAATGCGTAAACACTATTGAACAGAGACATAAAAAGGATCCATCATCAGCCGTCACGATATTCTATCCTATCTATTATCTTCTAAAGCACTCATCATGCTTCTAGCATGTTTATCATCACCTTTTTTTTTTTTTTAAGACTGTTTGATTAGCACTTTTAGAGACCTAAGCCTCTGACAACAGCTTTATTATATAAAATAGGACATTTGCAATGAATAACAAGTCATGGCTGTGTATATATAAAAAAGACTACGAATATTATATGCAAGGAAAGAAAGAAAAAAAAATGGGTAGACCCCATTTATTTATTTATTTATTTAAATTAAGCTAACCATAATCTATGAATAAATTCAGTTAAACCAATATCATAATAATTAAATATGCCACAGCTAATCATAACCAAGGTAGATGTACTATGTAAAGTCATGGCCATCATTTTATACATGAAAGGACTTGCTCTTTTCGGATTAAAGTAATCTAATTTATAAAAACAAAAATAAATAAATAAATAAAAATATCTATGATAACAACTATGTCTATTGTTTACCTGTAATACAAGAATCAAAGCCTATTAAAAAAAAAAAAGGTAACTATTTTTTTGCTTAGATTTGTGTATATTCATTCCTTCTATTACCCATGTGGATATGAAATGGCAAGACAATACCGAGAAATACATCAGATACTGTAGAAGGGCCAAACATAAAAGTACTAGTCACTAATGGTATCATCGTAATAGCTACCCCTCTTTCCAAGTTCCAATGAACTGAACCATGTTTTCTATCTGGTATTTTATTTATGACTGTATTCTTACTAGCAGCTAAAAAAAAAAAAAAAAAAAAAAAAAAAAATGAAATCTGAATAAGTCTTGTTTGCTTTTAATTACTCATACTTGTCTATTGGTTTCTTTTTACTTGAGTTAGTATACTTTTTATTAAACAAGGAGAATGAAGATTTTGTTAATACGAGCCTTGAACATGTTAAGGTTAATGGCTTGGAAGAAATAAGAAATGACATGTGTTACTAATAGATGATGAATAGTTTTTTTTTTCTTAAAAAAAAAAAAGAAAGAAACACGAATGTTATGTAATTCTGTCAAATCTTCTAATTATACATTGAAAAAAAAAAAAAAAGGGTTCAGTTCGCTCAACGAAATTCCCGACTTCAATTCTCCCATTTTTTTTTTAACCTTGCATCTTGTAAAGATATAGGAAGCGAAAAAGTGAGTTATTATTATAATAAACAAGTATAGAAAAAAAAAAAGGCAGTTATTCTATTGCAACATAAAGGACTTTTATAGTTTAGAGATTTTGTCAGGAAATCACAAAATATAAAGTCCATTATTTACTCAATACTTGAATAACGGTTGATATGTTGTCTTTTTTTTTTTTTTTTTTTTTTTATGCAACTCACAAGTCAAGTTTTCACATGCGAATACATGTATTTATGTACATCTATACATATTTCATGAGTTACACATTCAATTACATAATAAGTATAGCTTATTTTTTTTTTACTTAATAAGCAATTTTTTTATTATTATTGATAAATTTCAAGATGAGAAAGATCAACAGGAATGGCTATAAAGATTTAGTTAATGAAATAATAATACATGAAGAAAATACGAATAAACTTACAGCAACCAGTTTCAGCTCCAGTTGGGTATCGTTTAAGTTTCTTTTCGAACGCAGGTGGAGGTGGAAATTCTTTTTGTGAATGAAATGTCCAACGACCAGCTTCAGTTTGTGGAGGCTCAGGAATTTCAATATCAATTCGTTGAAAGGAAGGCTGAACTGGTATAGTTGATAGTCTATTTAATGGTGATTGCATTGTTGTAGGTGGAGGTGGTGCTGGTATTGCTCTTCTTTCCATATTCATAGGTGGTATTCTTGGTGACGAATACGACATTTTTTGTTAAATAAATAAATAAATAAATAAATAAATAAACAAATAAAAAAAAAAAGGAAAAGAAAAAGAAAACCAACAAAGGCTATATTAGCGGAGAATAAAATTAATTAATTTCTGTTAATTTTCTCTTTCCCCCACCGCTTTTTTAAATGATATCCTTTGTATAAATAAGTGTGATTTATATATATGATAAAGACGTACCTAAAGCATACAGTGTAATATTTTTTCTTGTTTAATGTAAAGAAAAAAAAGTAGTTATATGCAGCTGTTGTATCAAGTAATTTGATTCTATATGAAGCATTTTGATAGGAAAGAATCAACAATTCATGATAATCAATAAAAAAAACGAATGGGGACATCACGTGATAGATGGGGTTCTGTATGTGTGTCGGGCTATTATTTTACAAGAAAAAAAAAAAAAAAAAAAAAAAAAAAAAAAAAAAAAAAAAAAAAAACTTTCTGCAAAAAAAAAGAGAGAGAGAGAGATCACTTTATTCATTTCTCTTCATTTATTACAACTATAATCAGCAAAGAGACTAATTAAACACACTTTTTACGAAATAAACATAGTCTCTTAACTTCAACTCTCTTTCACTCCCTTCCTCCCCCTTTTTTTTTTTCTTTTCTTTTCAATGCTGATCTATTTGTTATATCTATTTTATTTTGCAATAGTTGTGGCAGTAGCATTATCTTTATTATTATATACCTATCAATGTGAATTATTATATGCAGCAGGATTCCCTGCTGGTTCAAGGACAATTGTAAGGTTAAAAAGAAAGAAACAAACAAATAAAAAAAAAAGATTTAATTTATATATTATATTACAGGTTGCAAGACCCTCACAATATGGTTTACCTGATAAAGAAGTGATACTATTAACAGAAGATGGATATCGAATTCGAGCTTATGTTATGATTCAACGTGGCGAAGAAGTAGCAATACAGTCACCTACCGTAGTTTGTTTTCATGTAAGTCAGAAGAAGATAATAATAATATGTGTACCAATTTTTTGTTTTTTTTCATTCTATAATATAATCAGGCACATACAGGAAATATGGTAAAATAAAGAGATGAATTACAAATATATATGTATGTATATATAATTATAATAATTGGTAGGGTCATAGATTACCTATAGCACAAGTATTTTATAAGAAACTAGGATATAATGTAGTCATGTTATCTTATAGAGGGTAAAGAGATATATATTTATTTATACATTTGTCTAAAGTAGATTTCCTCTTTATTTACTTTATATTTATAGTTATGGTCTTAGTGAAGGGAAGCCAACTGAAAAAGGGCTTAAAATTGATGCACAGGCAAGTTTTTTTTTTTTGAATTTTAATTTATAGCGATCTATAGTGTTTAACGTAAACAAACAAAAAAAGTAGACTGTGCTAGAATATATCAAACAACACCCAATACTTAAACATACCAAATTAATAGCCTTTGGACAATCATTAGGAGGTTCAGTTGCTATTAGTCTTGTATCAAGAAATGAAGATAAATTTGATGCATTAATTATTGAAAATACATTTCTAAGTGTGGTAAGAGACTTTAAATTATTCATGTAACATAAACTAAAAATGATTATATCAAAAGCCATTATTAGTGCCACATATCTTGCCTGCATTAAGACATTTAGTATATTTAGTACATCAAACATGGAGATCTTACAAGACAATTAAATATGTTCATCATATTCCAATATTATTTTTATCGAGTTTAAAAGATGAATTAGTTCCACCAGGACACATGGCAAAATTATATAGCATTTCACAGACAAGTGGAGTTAAAGTTTGGAGAGATTTTGAAAATGGAACACATAATGATACATGTATGCAGGTAAAGGGAAAGGAAGAAAATAGAAAAAAAAAAAGGGAAAGAATAGGCAATTTCATTATTTATTTATTTATTTTTCTTTGTAGAATGGGTTTTTTGAAGCAATTGCTGAATTTGTACGAGATTATGTATGGGAATTAGATTAAATAACTATACAAGCAAATTATATCCTACCCTTCAGCTCTTTACTCTGAATTTTATATCGTTCATCTTTTCTAAAGGATATTATTCGCTTTTGTTTAAGAAATAAAACTTGTACAGATAAATGAGATTTTATACTTTTTTTTCTTCTAAAATAAAGGGAAATGGACTTCACTACTAAATGATTTTTTTTTTTGGGGGGGAGAGTTTCTTTTATGACCGCCAACAGCAATCATGGGAATAAGCAATTATGTGACAGGTTTTGCCACACAAGAAAAAAAAAATTAGTAATTGAAGATCACAAAGTATTTTCTTCATTTACAAGATACAGCTTTTAAAAAAAAAAAAAAAAAAGTAAAAAATAAAAATAAAATAACTATGGGTAAAAAATGTTGCAGACAGGAAGATTATAAATAAATGATCCATAACGGCAGTTAATGATAATAAAGGAATCCAACGAAAAGGTTTTTTTTTTTTTTTGCTTTGCTTCTTTGTTTTTTTGCTTTTTTGCTTTTTTAACTCTTTTTTTTTTTGAGATACACACATAACAAAGAATCGAACCATTGAAGAGACGATATACCGGAATCAATTGGAAGATCAGTATAAATCTTAGTTTTTGTGTGCACTTTATCAGTGTGTAGTAATAAAGAATTGCACCAAAACATTGGCTAAATTTTAATGACATGTCTACTAAAATTTGATACTTAGTGGGCGGTGTTTATAATTTCTTTGCTAAAAAGAAAATCGTGCGTTTATTTTGTTGTTGTTGTTTTTTTATCATGTTTAAAAGTAGAAGCTTATGTAAAAAAAAAAAAAAAATAAAATAAAAAATAAAAAAAAATAAATGAATAAATAAGAGAAACAGAGAAAAAAATAAGTATTAAACTGAAATAAATCATCTTTTGTAGTATTGAATTCAGCTCGCTTACTTCGTCAGCGTGCCTCTGTTTCTGTATAGTACGTATGAAACAACTTTTTTTTTTTATGTGGGGTAATAATTTTTTTTTTTGACATGACATGTAATAGTTTGAAGAACCAACGCCTCTATAGTACTTATAACGCAAAGTCGAAATGGAAGAATACAGTTTCTATTACTACTGCAATAGGTTTAGGTGCTATTGCTATTAGTTTATTGAACATTCAAGAGGTTCTTATTTTTTTTTCTAATGAATGAACATCACTATTAAAGATGGTTTTAAATGTTTACAATCCTTTAATTTAGGTATATTGTGATGCCGCTACTGATGATAAGCAACGTGTAAAGTGAACGAACAAAAATTCATTTTAATCCAACTAATTGTTAATTGAATTTATTATTATTTAGAAAACAGAAGGCCCAGTTACAGATAATGATCCCATGCGACTTCGTATGGAAGCATTCGTAAAAGGACTTCAAAGCAAAATTGTAAATGATATAGAAAAACTAGACGGGAAACAGTTTACAAAGACAGTTTGGGAGCGACCTGAAGGAGGTGAGGGCATCACTTGCGTTCTGCAAGATGGTAATGTGTTCGAAAAGGCAGGTGTCGGAGTGTCAATTGTGTATGGCGAATTACCCAAGGCAGCCGTTGAACAAATGCGTCATGACCGAGGTAAAGATATGAATGCAGATGGGCCTGTTCCCTTCTTTGCTGCTGGCATCTCCCTTGTCATTCATCCTCATAATCCAAATGCGCCCACCGTTCATCTTAATTATCGATATTTTGAAATTGAAAATCCAGATGGTACACCTAAAATTTGGTGGTTCGGTGGTGGTTCAGATTTAACGCCTGCTTATTTATATGAAGAAGACGCTGTTTATTTCCATCAAGTACTTAAAGATGGATGTGATAAATTTGATAAGAAATATTATAGTCAGTTCAAACAATGGTGCGATAAATATTTCTATCTTAAACATCGTGGTGAAGCACGAGGTATAGGGGGTATTTTCTTTGATGATTTAGATGATAGACCTGTTGAAGAACTCTTTAGTTTTATAAAAGAAATGGGTAATCGATTCTCTCTTTCTTATATTCCTATTGTGAAGAAAAGAATGAATATGAAATTTACACCTGAAATGAAGGAATGGCAGCAGATCCGTCGAGGACGTTATGTTGAATTTAACTTGGTTTGGGATAGAGGTACTAAATTTGGCCTTCAAACCCCAGGTGCACGTATTGAGGCCATTCTTATGTCTTTACCTCTTACTTCAAGATGGGAGTATATGAAAGAAACAAAGGAAGGTTCAAGAGAACAAAAATTAGAAGAAGTATTAAAGAACCCAAGAGATTGGATTCCACTTGAATAATATATTATAATAAAACAATACACACTCTTTTTTTTTTATTATTGTTATTATTTATTTATTTATTTTTCCCTTATTTATTTATTTTTTTTTACCATAACCACCTCCACCAGGGGTCTGGATAAGGATACGATCTCCACGACCAAAAGTAGCAGAATTTTTTCCTGTTAAATTTAAAGTTCGAATCATGCCCCCTTGTTCATGTCGAATCCAAATGTTAAGACCCCTTTCGCCGTCTTCTCCTCCTGCAAGACCATAAGGTTTAAATACACGACGTTCAGATAAAATAGAGACTTGAATACCATCTTCTAAGAATTCAATTTCACGAATCACTCCATCCCCTCCTCTATAAAGACCTTCACCGCCTGAATGAGGACGTATGGCAAATCGATGTAGTATAACAGGATAACGACGTTCCAAGATTTCAGGATCTGTTATACGTGTATTGGTCATATGTGTGTGCACACCACTTTGCCCATTCCAAGTCGCGCCCGCACCACTACCACCTGCAATCGTTTCATAGTATCCCCAACCCGTTGTTGTCTTGCCCGTTGTCTCATCTTTACCCCCCTTTCCAAAAGTAAGATTGTTACAACATCCCTGACTGGCTGCACATGCTTCAAATGCCTTTAGTACAACATCCACAAGTCTCTGGCTTGTCAATACATTACCACCAACGACAGCACATCGTTCGGAGGGGCTTAGAATGGAATTAGTTGGAATCTTGATCGTAATCGGCTCAAGACAGCCAGAGTTCAAGGGAATACTTTGATTGACTAAACATCTTATACAATAGATAATCGCAGAATGGCATACACTTTCAGGCGCATTCGTGTTTCCGTATACCTCTGGTCCAGTTCCTTCAAAATCAAATACAGCAGTACCTTTGTCTGGATCAATCGTAACTCTCAAGTGAATGGGTGTACCATCATCCATATAATCTACTGCAACAAGATCTTGATTAGAGTGATCCTTAGCGACTTGTTTTAAAAGATCTTTAACTGCATTAGATGCATTACGACGAATATGCATCATATAGGCCTGAACTACATCAAGTCCATATTCTTTAATTAGTGCTTTAACCAAGTTGATTCCTTTTTGATTAGCAGCAATCTGTGCTTTAAGATCTATACATATTGACAAAAAAAAAAAAAAAAGAAAGAAAGAAAGAAAGAAAGAAAGAAAGAAAGAGAGAGAGAGAGAGAGAGAGAGAGAGGGTAAGAAAAACAACAATAACAAAAGCAAAAGAAAAAAAAATAACTACCTGAGATATTATCTCTAAAAGCGCGCGAACCCGAACATCCAGGATAAGAAGCTGGAATAGTACATAAATGCTCTTCAAGTCCCTTTTGATCAAATTGCCCCTTTGAAACAATTTTAAATGATTTAATAGCAGCTCCCTCCTGGTAAAGTTCTTTTGAATGAGGAGGCATTGAACCCGGTGATATACCACCAATATCAGCATGATGTCCTCTAGATGCTACAAAAAATACTATCTCCCCTTTATCAAACACAGGTGTAATAATGGTAATATCTAAATTTTGGAATAGTAGTCATCTTAATTATTGGTGGATGCAGACGCTATCTTGTTGTATTATATTAACAATAAGTACACCTACCAGGTAAATGTGATCCTCCAGCTTGCGGGTGATTTGTCATGATAACATCACCTTCATAAAGTTTACCTTTATAAAAATTTTGCTGATAAATAACAGCATGACTTAATGAACCCAAATGTACAGGAATATGAGGCGCATTGGCTACTAAGCCGCCATCAGCGCCAAACAATGCACATGAAAAGTCTAAAAGGCAATAATTAATTCTCCTACAAAACATATAATATATACATATATATATAGCTTACCGAGTCGTTCTTTAATGTTGGTAGAAATAGCAGTTTTTTGAAGTGTACGACCCATTTGCTCTGCAATACTCATAAAACGATGAGAAAAGATAGACAATTGAATGGGCTCCATCTCTGTCGTTACAACTTTCTTTTCACCGCGTCCAACTGTTATAGTGATATGGTTTCCAGTAATTAAAGCTGTACATGCTGGTTCTATCACCACAGTAGCTGTAACATCAATAATGATAGCAGGACCAGGTACAGAAAAGCCAGGGGCTAATTTGTTTAAACGATAGACGGGGACATGGTTATCGCGTCCTGTTTCTTCAAAATAAACAGATACATATTGATCTACAAGATCTGTTGCTTTCTTAATGTCCAGAATTTTATTTGAGGCCCTGAGCTCCTCTATTTCACGATCTGGTGTAAGATCATTGGATTGTATCGTCTTACCAATACCTCGCACTCGAATATCATCTACAATGATATCACGATCCTTGAGACTAAAACCAAATTCTTGTCTATAAAGCGCGTAAAAGGCCCTTTCAAATTCCCAATTATCAGGAGAGGGCTGCAAAGTCATTAAGGCGCAGTCAGTACCGTCGAAACGAAGATTAAGATAGACCTCAGTTAGGATGTCTTGATCACGAAATCCTTGCCTTTTCAGTTCAGCTCGACAAGCCTCTTTAAGGTGAGCTACTCGAGTTTGGATACCGGAGAGATGGTCTGAGTTCAACCTTTCAGCTGAAGGTTCTTGCACCTCATGTACAACATCTGCTAAAGCCAAACCAAAGGCAGATAAAATAGAACTATGACGATACAAGACGATTTTGTTGATACCTAAATTACGAGCAATACCACATGCATGCTGGCCACCTGCACCACCAAACACAGCTAATGTATGATTACTTGTATCATGTCCCTTGGCCTCTGTTAAGGCACGAATAGGGCGACACATGGTCTCATTAGCCACTTTAATAAACCCATACACAATGTCATCAAGTGATTTTTTTTCATTTGGTGTTGAGGCATTTATTTCATTTGCAAGTTCTTGAAATTTCTTTTCAACAATTTCTTTGTCTAAGGACTCGTTTTCATTTGGACCAAAAATCTTGGGAAAATAATCAGGCAAAAGTCGGCCTAAGAATAAGTTTGCATCAGAGACAGCTAAAGGTCCTCCCTTTCTATAGCATGCGGGACCAGGATGAGCACCTGCACTCTAATGAGAGGGAAAATAAAATAAAATAAAATAGGGTTATTCATTTCATATGTAACATGAGGCCGTTTTTTTTTTTTTTTTTTTTTTACCTCAGGACCAACAACAAACATGCCATTTTTAAAAAAGAGCATTGAACCACCTCCAGCAGCTACAGTATTGATATCTAACTGAGGAGCTTGAATGGTTACACCTGCTGTGGTTGTTTCAAAGACATGTTCATAATGACCATCAAAGCGTGATACATCTGTACTTGTACCACCCATATCAAATCCAATAATGGGTACTCTATTTTGTTGATTAAATGTCGTTAACGCATAACCTACTACACCACCTGCTGGGCCCGACAAGATAGCTCTAAAGCCTGAAAAATGATTGACAGGTACTAATCCACCATCACTCTGCATGAATTGTAACTGGGTTGTTCCATTTTTGAACCCATCATCAAAGCCATCCACGAATCCTTTAATATATTTTTGAATACAAGGTGTTAGATAAGCATCTGCTGTAGCAGAGGTCCCTCGAGGCACTATTTTCACCATTGGCATAACTTGACTCGATAGTGAAACATGAGAGAATCCGATCGTTTTAGCTAAATCACCTATCCTTTGTTCATGATCTGGAAATATATATGAATGTAAAAGACAAACCGAAATACTTTGATATCCTTCATTGTACAACTTTTGTAACTGAGATTTAATAGTAGCAAGATCTTAACAGATATTTATTTAAGCTAAAATAATGATAAACTCCTTTTATACATATCCTTACCTGGGTATTTTACAACTTTTATCCATTCACCGGAAATACCTTTTTTAATATTTTTATTATCCTTAATTGACTCAGGATCAATTTGTTCCGAAGAAGCAGCTGAATTCAATAAAACAACACTAAAAAAAAGGTGTGTGTGTGTGTGTGTGTGTGTGTGTGTGAAATACATACTGTCACTATCTTATGCATTATATAGTGTTCTTTCTTTCTTTTTTACCGTTCATCAATTTCAATGACTTTCTGGTAAAGTACATCTGGTTTATTTATTGATAAATCAAAGATCTTGGGTCTAGCTTGATTACCTAATGTTACAAGTTAAGTGTGAGAATTTAAAAAAAAAAAAAAAAAAAATAAAATAAAATAAAATAAAATAAAAAAAAATACAAATTCCCTACCAATTGTTAAGAGATCTTGAAATCCTTTTGTAATTAATAATGCACTCTTTTCTCCTTTTCTTTCTAATAATGCATTTGTTGCAACTGTAGTCCCCATACGTACACTTTCTAAAAAATATATATAAATGTATTTATTTTCCCTGCCCTCTTCACCATTAAATTCATATAAATATGTATATATAAAATACCAATTTGTGTTGTTGGTACAGGCTCAGAACGAGGATATTTTTTGCCAGTTGCAAGTTCTAAAATCCTCCTGATACCTTCAGTAGGAGCATCATTATAATTGGATGGATCCTCAGAAAGTAACTTTACAACATATTCACGATAATTTTCATCTCCTGGTTTTCCAATAAACCCAATAAAATCAGTAAAAGTCCCTCCTCTATCAATACATATAGTCAATGGTTTTGATTCTGTTTTAGTCATTGTTAAATCTAAGAATTCCTTTTTTTTGAAATAAATATATATATATATGTATATATATATATATATATATACGCGTATATTATAGAAATAAAATAAAACTAAAACAAGTAAAAGAAAGATTATCTTGAGAAAAAGACATTTTTATGAATCATGTAAAAAAGTATATATTATTTATTATAAGCGCCGATTAATTTACTTGACTTGTAGGTAACCAAAATGCCTAAATTAGTAAAAAAAAAAAAATTAATACTTCTTTATATAACATGAATGGCTTCATATACACATTTGTATTTATATAAATATTACCAATTCATTAGCACCTGTTACGCCCACTGCATTTAAAGGATTATATCCAACAATTGTTATTTCACGCTTATGTGGTGTTGGGAATGCTGTAAATGGTTTATTTTCCATAATCTCGGTATTATTTATATCCCAAATTCTCAAGATCGCATCTTTTCCACCAGCCATTACAAAGGAAGCATCAGGCGTAATACATACTTCTTCACCACAAGACCCTTCCTTTGGTCCTGAGTGTCCTACTAGTTTTTGTATTAAAGCACCTGTAAATGCATCTAGAATATAAATGATATCTGATAATGTAGTAATTATTAACTTTTTGCCATCCGGTGTAAATTTTAAACTTGTCCATTCTGGTAAACGACCAAGACGCTGATTATCTTGTATATGCCAGGTATCAAATGGACCTTTGGTATATTCTCTACAGTCATAAACATGAATTGTGCTTGAATTAGTGCCTACTGCAAATACTAATCCTTGAGGGTCTATTGCTGCAAGTGTTTTACTTTCCCCGTGTAAAACGCCCTAGTAAATAAATAAATAAATATAAATAGATATATATATATATATATGCAGGTATGTATTATTGCCTTTATAGTATATACCTGACAAGTAGATGATCGAAGATCCCATAAACGTACTGTTTCATCTAAAGAAGAAGTTAAGACAGTATCATTAATGGGTGACATTGATATTGAAGTCACTCTTAATAATAGATCAGTAGTTTAATTTATACACATATAAAACTTTATAATGTACCTCTTTTTATGTCCACGAAAATAGCGAATATATTTATTATCGTGAATGGATAGATATCTTAATGTATCTAACAAAAATTAATCATAACAATAATAATTTTAGATTTAAACATTCAATTTCAAAAATTATAGATTTTACCATCTTCTTTAGTAGATGCATAAATAACATTATTTTTATGATGCGTAAAGCGAGCTAAAGTCACACCATATTTCTTTGAATAAAGTGTTGATCGAACACTGTGATAGTAATGAGAATATGCAACAAGAGGCAAAATCTAGCAAATTACTGTGACTTACATGCCTTCTCTACAATTATAAACGTTTAAACTATCATCTTCTCCTGAGGTAATACAATATTCTCCGGTATCATTAAACGATATAGAAGTCAAAATATTTGTACTTTCTGGAAATATTTTTGCAACTCTACTAGAAGATAATACTTCTTTTGACAATTCAATCTTTCTATTTGCCATCTAGATAAAAATATTAAAATAAAATAAAATAAAAAAAATCACGAAAAATTATTATTGTTACTGAAGGGCCTTTCTTCTACGAATGTGACCGTAGAATTTGTTGATTTCTGAACTTTAAAAAAAAAAAAAAAAAAAAAAAAAAAAAAAAAAAAAAAACCTTCCTATTCCTCTCTCGTACTTTATTCTGGAGATAAAAAGATGGTGAAAATCTTCTTTCTCGAGTAAGAAAGAAAGAATAAAGATTATTCATGAGAATGGGATATCTTTTATTACTCTTAAATGCAGCAGATTATGTACAAGGATGATTTTATTTCATTTTATTTTATTTTATTTTTTTTGCATCATCAATAACGAATTTCCTTCTATTGCGTAAAAGATGATTAAACTAGATTGTACTTTAATAGCCTTAGTTTCAATACAAGGTCAATTTCACTATTCGTGTACAGAGTGAGTATCTTTTATATTTAATAAATTTAAATTTGAGAATACATATTATTTTCCGTTAAAAAGAAATTAAAGTGAATATCCGCGACCAAAAAAATAAATGTCACCTTCCAAAAAAATGAATAGCAACCACGTATTTTTTTTTTTTTTTTTGTGTGTGTTTTAAATAAAATAATTGCTTCTTCTCTTTCCCATATCTTTCAAAGTTATATATTATGCTGGTATTAACATAAATGTATAATATATGGATGAACAATCAACCTTCACTCGTTCACGAGCAGAGGAAATACTGAGGGAACTGGAAAAATAACGTGCTCAAGAGAGAAAACTGAAAGCAAATGGAATAGATTTTCTCTTGGTATTTATAAAGCAAAAAAAAAAAAAAAAAAAAAAAAAAAAAAAAAAAAAAAATTGTGAATAAAATGTTTTTTTTTGTTCTTTATTATTTGTATCAATAAACTATAATATTTTGTCATTAATAGCTATACTGGAACATAAAGAGACTAATCAGCAAAAGGATGTGAATCCCAATAAGTTTCAGTATTAACATTGAACCATTGTCCACCTTTTTTAACGAATCCAAACTCGTCCGGTTGGTCATATGATTTGTCTGTATGCTTGCTTTCAGCGTCGTTATCATCGGAATCAAACACTTCATCACTATCGAAGGTTTCAGATACTGGAATTCTTGAAATCGAATAGTCCCCCCCCGGGAGGTGTGAACCAAGTAGGTTCGGGTGGCAAGTTTTGGTTCCTACTTGGAGATTGGTTGAGCGTGGGACGTTTTAATTTATTTTCTACTTCAACTGACAGTTTTTCAATAGAGGTTTTAAAGGCAAGCAAAGGTCTAATAAACTTATTGTTCGTTTCATTCAGAAGTGAGTAGCTGGTAGGGAAGGATATGTCAAATTGTGGAACATTAACAAAATAATGATATGGAGTAGGATGGATGGTTGAAAAGCTGCATTTGGTGCCTTTGATTTGAATCATCCATACATTACCAACAATATTTTCATCGTGAAAGATATGCGCTAGGTTTCTTTGGATTTCCTTGCCTTCGCGAATGAGCTTAGAAACGTCAGATCCTAATGTCGTATCCCTTGCATCATGATGACAGGCTTCTCCACACATTAAGTCAAATTCCTCGTCTTTATAATCTATAAGTATTCTGATATCTACTTTAAAGCCAACAACATTATTAGAGTCCTCGTAAAAGTTTAGTTAATATTAGAATCCACAATTGGTAAGCATAGTCGCGTTCTGATGTCCTGTTTGAATTATGTTCATTAAACATGAATTGTTTCGATTCTATCTGAAATAAAACTTCGTTTAAGAAATTGAGCGTTCTTTCCTGTTTTATACTGGTTGACGCAACTTTTAATTTACAGATAAAATGTTGAGCTATACGACCATCGTTGTTATTTTTACATAAACTGGATATTAAATTCCATTGCTGATATATTTCAGTTGGGATGGGTGGCAGATTGAATTTGTGCTTTTTTGTGTATTTTGAATATATCTTTTTCCAAAGGGCCTCATCAAAAAGCGATTGTTGACTTCCATCGGCTTCATCGGAATTGATATCTAAAATGCTTGATAATCCACATGCCATTGTTTTGAGCTCTGATAAACTCAGAATTTTACCGCTCTGATATTTTGAGTGTAAGATGGCAGCAGCATTATATATGATATCATGAATATTGATTCCTTTAAAGTTTTTAGCAGAATTTAAAGACATAGGTATATTGGTAACTGTAGCAGAAGGGGTGCCAATAGCAACAGAAGTTTCAGAAGAGGAAGCAGTAGTACTAGAAACCAAGGAGTCATCAACATTATGTGGTTTAGAAGTAGAATATTCAAGTGAGCTATCGATTTCATTGATTTCTCTTTCCATTTTGTGAAACTTTTTTTTTTTTTTGTCGAGTAATGCTTCTGCAACTGAGTTGAGTAGAGTTTGTTTGTTCAGCTTTCTCTTTAAATGTTTTTTCCTCTTTTTATCTAAATGATCTTCAAAACTCTCTATGTATTTCTTATGAACATCAGCAGATTGCAAATACAGATGCACTTGGTTTGCATAGGTCTTTACATACGGGTAGCGAGTTAAGTGTTTTCAATGTGAAACGTGTAATGAGTCATGAGTAATTGTGTGTTTATGATGTCAACCGTGAATAAAAGTAATCTACATTTACCAAGCCGATTAACATGATAATATTCGCTTTTTTTTTCTATATAGCATATGATTATTGGACTATGATAATACTGATAACTTAATACAACGAGATTGCAGCTTGTAGAGAAAAAAAAAAGGTAACAATGCATATTAGTTTGTGTTATAATAATGAAATACAAATGTAATTTTTTTTTTATTTACAAGTTCACTTCTCCAAGTAGGACGCTTTCTCTTCAACAACGTCACATTCCCAAGTTCATCAACTTCATCATCTTCATCATCAGACATGTACTCCTCCTTTAAGAGGAGTTGACATGTCTCGTAAGGCAATCGTAATCTTTGGGTGATTGCCTCACCATGTACAGCAAACGCTGCTCTTCTTCTTTCGATTTTCTAGAATACATATTAAAAAGAAAAAAATATAACAAAGTAAGTTAAAATTATTTGGTGATCATTATGTATATATAATAACTAATTGGTATATTTACTCTGTTTTTTCTCGTGGCTATTCTTCTTTTATGAGCAAGCGCTTGCTGTACCTCTTGGCTTTGATTTCGAACCTTCTGCTGATGCTTCAGGTTCTCGTAGTGATTTCTTATACGCCTCTTGAGTTCCCTCAATTTTTCAGCGCTAATACTGTTATTACGCGTGATGTCCTTTTCTTTTGTAATAACAGTATTTAAAATATGATCATAAATGATCTTATTGAAACCAGTCTTCAATGACAAATTAAAATCATATTGAAGATAGTTATCTTCAACGTATTGATCGTATGTTCTTCTAATCAAGCTCTATATTGTTTATTTACAAGTATAGTATTTATATAAATATATATTTTTTAAAGGTTAATATACACATTAGCAGTTTTTTGTGTTACTTACCGAAGTCTCTCTTGATCTACCAATTAGACCTTTGCCAGTGCTGCCTGAATCTTTAGAAGCTACGACAGCAGCAAGCTGAGCTTGGACTGAGGCAAACTGTTGTTGAAGCTGTCTAATGTTATCTTTTAATTCAGCAACTTCAGTGTTGCTGGTAGCACTTCTTCTAACAGGAGTGTTGGCAACTTCACTGCTGTTAGAAGAACCGGCTGTCATAACGACAGGAGGAGTGTTAAGACGAGCGTTAGGACGAGCATTGTTGTTAGGTTGTTGCATGTTGAGTTGGTACTTCTTAATAAAAAATATATATAAATATATAAAGAAATAAAGAAATAAAAAAAATAAAAATAAAAATAAAAAAGAATTGCTTTTTTAAATCAATAGCAATTATAAGTATAGTACAATAAACTGATATTGAAACTGCTTGGTTGATTTAATTCCAGTTTTATTTTCCTCTTGAAATGACACTCGATATCACCACCAATTCGTGTCTCAGTTAGCTTTTGATGAAAAAATTTTTATTCTTTTTCTTTTTTTTTTCTTTCCTTTTCTTTTATCTTTTCTCAATTATTTTCTTTACAACATTATTGCTAATGACTGATAGCCATTAGGTAAGTATATCTTTTTAATTGTCATTCATTAATATAATATTATTTGATAAAAGACAATAAGCCTATACTGACACATTATTTTTATTTTCAAAAAAAAAAAAAAAAAAAGTTGATATCGATCAATTCATTTAACTCTCCGACTGATTAATATTAATAGGAAACGTTGTAATAATATACAAGTTGTTATAATAGATAAGGTAAGCTATTCTTTTTTGTATAAATCTTGTTTCAATTTATATCTTATGCTGTTATATGTTTACTATTTAGTAAGTGCCACTCTTTTTACTTTTATTCCTTCTTTGTGCCTAAGGATAAACAATATGTTCAAATACTTTTTGGTATATATTATTTTTCTATCTTATTATTAATTCTAACTTTTATTAATTTGTATAAATAGTACTACTTTCTCTAGTTAATTCTGGCATACATTGGTAGTTACTAATTGCTTTTCTTTTAGGTCCTTTAAAAGGTAAACACTTTAGAGTAAAGTATATTTTCTTCTATAGGATAACAATAACTAATATATATAGTTAAAGATTCTTGTAACTACTGTACATGTTATTACAAAAGGTTCTGCCGGTTAATACAAATGTTTGTGCTAATAAAGACGTATCAAAGGTAAGTATTTCTTCTATTGTATACAATACTTTATTTCGACTATACAAAGAAATGCAATGAATACAATATTATAAATATACATATTCTATATTATTATTATATTATTATATAATTGTATTATTATATTATTTTATTATTATTATTATTATCGTATATTCTATTTATTTTTTTTTTATAAATAAAAATCGCGTTTTTTTTGTAAACAAATATATATAAATAAGATTCTATATATGGCATGTAAAGGCCTACAAAATAAATAATATATAATATTTTAAACCAATAAAGCAAAAGGATATTTAATATAAAAGCCACAAAAAGATGTGTATATGGTCCAATTAAATGTAAACATAAAATTGAGAATCATTCATAATAAGGCCAATAGTAAAGGATGCTGTCGTTAAAGAAGTAGCAAATGAAAAGGGTTATGTAATTCTAAAATGAAGGTCAGTTCGTATTTTTTTCAGAGCTTTCACCGATGTAATAAGGTACCTTTAAACATCTGTTTCAAGCCGTGATTCAAGGATACCCTTTAAACGTCTGTTTTAAGGGATCCTTGAATCAGCCATTGAAACATCTGTTTCAAGGATGTTTTCAAGGATAATACACACCAAATTGCTTCCAGTGCGCGTTGAAAATGATAACCAGTACATATGAAAGAATTAATTTACTGATAATAGAAAACACCTTCGTTCAGTCTATAACTAAAATACAACATGTTTGTAAAGAAGTAAATAGAATAAAGAAGATCCTCGGTATTCACAATCGCTTACATAAATCAGTTTCTAGCTTGAATAATTAACACGCTCTTATTTAAAATTCTTTATCCGTCTCTCACCAATATTTTTTTTCAAAGGGTATATTCTTTATAATAATCACACTATGACAAGTCCCAAAGTATGACACCACTGTCCTATTTTACTCTATCTTTTTCCCTATTCATTTTGTTTTAATTTACGTAAATAAACCACAACATTGGCTATATAGCAACAGCTAATGGGTTGATTAACAGATAAGCCCTCAAAAGCGGCAGAAAGAATATGTATAGCATCTCTCACAATGCAAGTACGCTCTTTTCTATATAGTCATTAATGAATTGAGAATGTTCTTTCGTAATCTTAACATTATTTTTTTTCCCTTTATTTAACTTTAAAGGCCAAGTTATAACCTGGAAATATTGTTCCTTTATTGGCTTTACATTTATTGAATCTGTAAGTTATGGTATATCCAGTTTCAGTCTCTTAACAGCTTGAAGAAGCTTTACATTTGTGTTATTCTCTCACAAGATTCACTTATATTAATGGTCCAACCACTAATAGCGACTACATGCTACTACGATGGCAGATCTGGAATCTGTTTACCTCTTATTTTAATATCAAAATACCATTAATATCAGTAAATCTTGTTTGTGATAGCGTTTTGCATCAAAGAAATGAACTGAGCGGCTCGTGATGGCTAGTTCTTGATCGATGTTCAGACCATATTTGGATGGGGTGCTTTGCTCAAATCAAGTTCGTTCATATCTTAATTTAACATCTCAACCTCTTCTACCTCCAACGATATAGAGGTATGAGAAAAGTCCCTAAACTGTATAATATTTTGATAGATGTTTCTCCTGTGCTATCTTTGGTTGATCTTCGGTATTTTCGCCCTCAATCATGACCTAAATAAATTTATTAGAGAGTGAGTACTGATAGAAGGTAATTATGTTCATTTATAATTTGTGAGGTGAAGTAAAAAAAAAAAAAAAAAAAAAAAAAAAAAAAAAAAAAAAAAAAAAAAAAAAGATCTGGTTCTTCTAGCTTTTGCTCCATTACCAAATACAACTCAGCGGATATGCGAGCCCTGACTGAATGTTTTGATTTTGATCTGGATAACACCGATAAAGATGCACGACTCTTCTGCCTTCGGTGTTTTCGTGCATATATGGAAAATTTACCTACCCCCCTAATTATGAAATTAAACAATGGGAATGATTCTGGTCAGTATTGCTTTTCCCCCTAAGGCGAGATATTACTCTTAAATAGAATTTTTAATAAACCGCCTTTCATGAAATGGTTGCATCGATTCAATCCTGTCAAATTTCCTACGGAACTCTGTGCCATATGCAAAGCATACCCCGAAGATGTTCAACATATGCCTTTACCTGCACACGAAAACAAATCAACTGGAAGTGCATAATCACCGAATTTGTATGGCCAACAACCACACCAGAAGATATCGGCACCACCATAACAACATTCAACTTTACCATGGTATTTTATTGCCGCAGCAAACACATAAAACCTGAAAAAAATAATCTTCATCGTACTCGCACACATAGGGCACGCCCATTACGACTTCACATTTCAACAACAGGCATTTCAACCCATAATCATTATTAACAAACAAACTCAAAAACGTCATTTTACAAGAAATCGCCAGAGCAACAGTCAACTCCGATTAATAATATTGAACAGCACAACACGAAGTGCAAATTTAACACCTAACCTTGGGAAAGTCATAAAACAAACGACAAAGTATAAATCTTATATTTTTATTTAAATCCCTTTTATTTTTCCATCCCGAATAGTATAGTTTTTACCCGATCAATTGTAGACTTTACCGTCAAAATTCTTCTGCTTCATTTTTATTTTCCCTAATACGTATTATGGTAACCGCCTCTAACTTTGATATTCAAAAGTCATGCGCTAGCCTTCAGTACAATTTTTTTTTTAAAAAAAAAAGAAGATTTTGACATATTATCAATTAAAAGATTGTGATTGGCCAGAAGAAAAGGTTGCTTTCTATTTTTGGTAGCTAAAAAACTAAGTTAAAAACTCGTGACAGCTAGCCAGCCAACCTAACTAACTAACTAACTAACATGAGCCAATTATTTCTTTGTAAGTACAGAATACAGTTAGTATAAAGATTCCGTAACATAAGAAACAAATAAAAGCTGTGTCTATTAATTTAGTTATACTTATTGATGATTTCGTAGAAAAAAAAAGAAAAAAAAACAGTATTTATATTATATTAAGCATTAAATAGAGTCATGATTGTTTTGGACTTCAAATAAGTTATGTTTAACTGTAAAGAACTATTAGTTTTTTTTTTCCTTTTTTTTTGGGTAAACTAAGGTCAAAGTAACCTAAAAATTTTCCGTATGTACCAGGTCAGAATCAACTATAGAGAATACTGATGATAGTAACGAGAACAGTGTACAAGATATTTCAGATTCAATATCAAAAGGTACAACAACTGTGCACTTATCAAATTCATGAATATTATGCTTGATATTATGGATCTTAATGGAGATCTAAAAAAAAAAAAAAAAAAAAAAAAAAAAAAAAAAAGGAGGGGCTATTTGGTGTACTATGCATAAGTGAAAACTAATGATGAGGAAAATCGAAAGTTATGACTATAAATTGATGTTCTGCCTCCATATTCGCTTGATTAAACTTAAATAAACCGTTTTGGGCAATCTCACAAAGGAAAATTGAATTGCCACAAGCTGTTAACTGAAGATAGAATTGTTGAGGTATGTAACGCCATACCTACTGAAATTTTATATATCTTTGCCAGTCATTCTTAAACGACAACTCCATTCTAATTTGCTTTAAAGTTATAAAATAAATATAATTTTTAGGCTAATTTTGATTTGACTTATCGTGTCATTTCTCTTACTTCAAAAGGACAAAACTTCTAGACATGAACAGACAATCATTCTCGGTTTAGTGCCATTCATTTTTTGGAAGGTGACATTTTTTTTTTTCTTTTGGTTGCGGACATTCAAGTTTCTCAAAGTGACAAAATTTACCGCTCTCACTGTATCTGAATTTCAAGTAAAAAAATAAAATAAAAAAAAAAAGAGACCATAAACAAAAACAAAAACTCCTTTTTTTCTTCTTCTTTTCTTTATTCCTTTATTATTATTATTATTTGAAATAAATAAATAAATAATAATAATACTAAAAAAAGAAATTATTTATACACTATGGCTTTAAAACGTATTAACAAAGTAAATAAATATACATATACATAAAGTCTTTATACATACATGTATAAACTTAAAAAATAGCGAAAGAATGATTAGACAATTTAAGACTAACTAGATGATGAATTAGGAACTTAAAGATCTCGAACGTGACCCACCTTCTTCTTGTTCAGCAGGTCCTATTGGAGATGACTTATTTCACTGGCAGGCAACTATTATGGGTCCAGTAAGTCATAAAATAGGATAGAAAAAGAAGTGTATTATTTAATAAATTCATAGGAGGATAGTCCTTATCAAGGTGGTGTATTTTTTTTATCTATTCACTTTCCTACTGACTACCCTTTTAAACCTCCAAAGGTAAATATCATGCCTCTCCTTTTTTTTCTTCTTCTTTTTGTTTAATATTAACTTGTTTATATGTACATTATAGATTAATTTTACCACTAAAATCTATCATCCTAATATTAATAGTAATGGCTCTATCTGTCTTGACATCTTAAAAGACCAGTGGTCTCCTGCTTTAACTATTTCTAAGGGTAATAGTTGTTACACGTAATTTTGTTTTATCTTATAAACTCAGATTACCTAATGAATTTTACATATCTTAGTTCTTTTATCTGTTTGTTCCTTACTCACTGATCCTAATCCTGATGGTAAGTCACTATTATTATTATTGTTAATTATTAATAATTTATTTTATTAAATTTACTAAATCGTATTATTGTGTAGATCCACTTGTCCCCGAACTTGCTCATATTTATAAAACAGACCGCTCTCGTTACGAGGCTACAGCAAGAGATTGGACAAGAAAATATGCTAGTAAGTCACTTTAAAATAAACAAGTAGGTAAAAAGTCTAATCTGATTTATTCTAGTGTAAAATGAATTGATTCATCTTCTTTCTTCCTTCCCAACCACTACCACCCCACATCCCACCTTCTCATTCTTCCCTTTTAACTCCTTTTGCTATTAAATTTATAATGCATATTAAAATATACATATATAATATGTATCATTTATTTATCCTGTCCTTTATATATATTTATATGTATATGTACGACATGAATAAGAAAAAAACACGTCATTTTTTTTTATACTCTTGGTTTAAAACTATTCGCATTTCTCTTAAAAAACTCTTGAATTGTTTGACATGAAGTCTTGGTTAACATACTTGTATGAGATACATAAATGCTACCTGATGTGTGTTGTACCCAATTAAAGTAATCAAGGAAGAGTTGAATTTGGTTATCTATGTTATCCATAGATTAGATTAAATTATACACATCTATATATTTTCGTTGTTAAGGATGAATTTACCTGAAGGATATGCATAAGCCTTTGTTTTGTACGCTTTATCATCAAAAGTATCGTGATAGATTTGATATCGTTCATGTTTTAATCGAGCATCAAATAAAACATCCTTACCAAGTCCAGTCAAGTAATAGCTGATATCCATAGGACGTGAATAGAGATATTTAAATTGATGGTATCCAGTACTTTCTGCAAGTTTTTCCACCAATTGTTTCCCATTCATGGATTCTGGACCAGTGAGTATATAGACTTGACCATCATGCTTATCTTCAAGATAAGGTTTACACAAATGACTTTCATTATCTAACACTAGTATCTCAATGACTTTGCATACATCTTCAATATCAATAGGGCATATTTCCTTGTCCTCAGCCATGGGTAAGATGATGGCACGATGCTTTTCTGCATAATTAGACCATAAATGGAAATATTGTTGCACAAAATCAAGTCTTACATTTTAATAGAAAAAAAAATGAGAGAAAGAGGGAAAAAGAGAGAGAGAGTGTGTGTGTGTGTGTGTGAGAGGGGAATTAGTCCAACACTAACCATAATATATATATATAATCTTACCTTAAGATTGTATATTGACATGAGCTATTCATGACAATTTGCTCAATTTCACTAAATTCTTGTAGGGATAGATAGCGTTGAGAACTCGCAGTACAGCCTATATGAGAAATACAAATGATACTGGATACACCAGAATGAGCAGCTAAATTACAAATCATGGCAGCATGTTTAACTCTATCAGGGTCACTACCAATGGCAAGAATGATGTGATCGACTCCTCTCAATGCATGTGAAATAAGATTTGGATGACTATAGTCTACTTGACAAACATCAACGCCTGCATTTAAGAACCCATAGCAGCCTTGTTTGTTCTCACAGAGAATTCGTAATTGTTCTTGTCGTAATGATTTATGTTGAGCCAAGTGAGATGTAATTGTATATCCTATATACTGGTCAGCACTTGTTATAAGAATCATTATATAAATAAAATAAAAATAAAAAAAAAAGGCTTCAAATGAGGAGAAAAAAAAAAGAAATGTTAAATCAAAATAATTGACAATTTAAACAATTTTTTTTTTTTAAAAAAAAACTTTAAATCTTACATAAAGTAAATCAAAATTTGAATTAACTATGACACTTTGCATGCAATATAAAAAAATGAAAAATCAATTATAAAACACTGTTATGCATAAAAACTTTATATAAAAAAAAAAGAGTTTAAAACGCTTAATACATATGAAAGGAGATATCCTATTTAGTGGGTTATTAATAAGATTAAGCATCTTCTTAAATGTTGAGAAATCTGAAATGATGTTATCCACTTTCGATATCCATGGTCTATAATAAAGATCAGTCATAAATTCAAGGGTTACAATCAAGATCTATACATGTTAGTAACAAAAATAATAATGATGATGATTTTATTGGGTATGTAGCTAATGCATAGCAACTAATTTTTAATACATTTATATATACGTGTATGTATATATCAAACTAATCCTAAAATTTGTTGTCTAACTATGAAAATTAATCATCCTATTAGGGAATATACGCAATGCTGTTTGACTCACTAGAATTCATCTGAAACTTATCATAGTTGAAAAACATACATATATATACACACACACACACATTATTATCATAATAATGCTGATGATGTTGTAAAGGGAAAAAAAAAATGGTCCGCCGGACTGTTAACTGTTGCTATGATAATATGATTCTTTTCTATACTACTAATTTTGGATCAAGAAAAAAAATTTTTTTTTTTTTTTTTTTTTCATTATTTTAAACTTATTTCAGTTTTAAGTAATAAATATGCTCGAAATTGCAGTTTTACCCGGAAAAGGTAGAGGATATAGAGCTACTGAGGATATTACAGCAGGGACAACAATACATGTTTCAGAGCCCTTGACGACAACCGTATCACAAGAGTGGATACCTGAAACTTGTTTTTGGTGCTTTAACTTTAGTTATCCAAAGAAACAAAAATTTAAAGCAGTGTCAACAAGAGAAGAGCAATTAGAACTTTCAAATCAATGGTTGTCATCAAAGGAGGATGGTTACACATCAAAAGGGTCGGTTACACATGCTGTACAGCAGCTTGCTTCAACATTAGTTTTCAAAGACATTTTATTCTGCTCAGAAACGTGTCGAGAGGAATTCAAGCGATCTGGATTATCGACTCCCTTCGAATGGTATATGACAATGGCTGCCAATTATAGACTAGATAATGAATTTAAGAGAAATAAATTAAAAGAAACAAATCTAATACAAAATCAACTAAAAGATGAAGAAATAATGATAATAGAAAGCTTGGATATTCATGATGATAAAGCGCTATCAGACTGGCTAGATGAAGCATGGTCTTGTATAGTAGATAATGATTTTGAGCTTTATAGAGAAATAGATGATACAGATAGAGCAATGTGTCGACTCATTGCTTCATGCATAATACGTAAAGACGCAGAGTTGTATCCTTGCAATGATAATCTACCGCCACTACCCAGATTCAAAGACTTGCTTGCAATTCAAAATAATGAACTATCCCATTTTAGAAGTTGTTTTATTAATCCAAAAAATGAATTATACCCATCTCATGATAATCAAAAATCAATATCATCATCATTATTATTACCTTGCATTCAACATATTATAAAACTTGGACCCAAGGAAAGACGAGAACTATTACTTTCAGTCTTGCCTTTAGAAGTTTTAGATGTCATGGCACTTTATTCCTTCTTTGCTCGTGCCTTCAAGGACACACATGTCACAAAAAAGAATTCAATAAAAATACCAACATTAGCTAATCTAGATCATCGGTTATTTCGATCCATCTATTTTCGAGAACGAGCCAACAGCTTTGGATTATGGGAAATGAGTCATGATCATACTGATGTCACTGATGATTTGGAATTATTGGGTTGGGGCATCTATCCTTCTGCAGTTTATTTTAATCATTCATGTGATGCTAACGTCATAAAAATTAGAGATGGAAGAAAAATGAAATTCATTGCAAAACGAATGATTAAAAAAGGTGAAGAAGCATGCATTTCATATGGTAATGTTGAAGAAGATGTGGAAAATCGTCGGTCGAGATTATTGAAACATTACCACTTTTTATGTCAGTGTACAAGATGTATTCAAGAAGATGAACAAAACAACAACAATAAAAGATCGAATTGTTAAACAAAAAAATAAATAAATAAATAAATAAATGAAATAAAAATACAACTCTGGTTTCTTTTTTAATATCCTAAATAATCTTTGCGAAGTTTTAATGCATTTTTTCGAAGTTCTTTCCATTGCTCAGATAAACGACCTGTAAGTGGATGATTCGAGTGCCATTGTTCAAATTGTTTAGGATCCATGATCCCTTCTGCCCATGCACCTAGCCTTTCATTATATTCAAATTCTCGAGCTACGCCCATAATGAAGTCGATACGGCTATCGTCATCGTCATGAGTCCTATTATCATTGGCAGGGAGCATAGGAATTTTTCCACTCCAATATCTCGCCATCACAATGCTTTGACGTTGCATTAAGGGGAAAGGAACAATTCGAATAGGTAATCCTAAAAAGCATAGAGTAGGATTCTTTTGATAAAACATAAAATGATCTAAATGATGCACTGTTTGCCCTGTCTTGATCAAGTTACCTTCTTGAAAGGGTAAAAATGGGAAACTATATAAATAACCAGTTCCAAATATAATAATATCTACATCCTTTAAGCTCTCCTGTGTTGATAGTTCAATCCATGAAGATACTTTTGTATGAACAATACGTTCTATCAAGCCTACTTGATGCACAGTATGAGGTGGATACTGTTCAACTGCTTGACGAGCAAGCTCAGTTTCGGTTCGAATAGATTGATATATCCTTTTTGCCACCTGGGATGTCTCACGTACGATATCAATAGCAGAAGACCCACCTCCTACAACTAGTATTGTCTATATAAAATATAATAAATATAGAATATGTATATACATATATATATATATATGCATGTATGTTATTCATTATTACCTTATCTTTGAAATCTTCTGGACGTCGATAATCTCTAGAATGAAGTAACTGGATTCGTTTGTTTTCATACAATTCTGTTAGTCCTGGGATATTTGGTATATAAGGTACAGTATAATGGCCCGTTGCCACGACAACTGCATCAAACTCTTCAACAGTAGTACAAACTCCGTCCTTCTTATCACCACAACTTTCTGATGAGACTTTCCAATGATCATTTTCAAATTCAACACGCTTTACAAGAGTTGAGAATCGTATCCAAGATACCAAGTTTTCTTTTATGGATAATTGGTTTAAATAATCCAATACCAAATTATGTGAAGGGAAGAAAGGTGTACCCGGAGGGAAAGGAACATCTTGAAAGGACATGACAGAATGAGGCAAGTTGGTATGAAGATTAGCATAAATGGGAGAATAAATTTGTTTTTTCGTACTCAAAGTTGTATCTACTTTTAAAGCATTTGTTGAAGGAAAAGGGGGTGGTTCATTTATTTCTGATGAATAATGCCTTATTTTTTTTTTAGATAGATGCCATAAGTTGACATATGTACACATACACAAATAGAAATATTTGTTTATTCTTACCAAGTACCACCAACATAGTCATTCCTTTCAAAGATGGTAATTGTACTGAATGTTCCTTCATCACGTAAGGCTCTAGCGGCCGCAAGACCTCCTGGTCCTCCACCTATAATAGCAACACGTTTAATTGATTTTTGAATCATTGATGGCATTTTTTTTTATTATTGATATAAAGGGGGAAGAGAATAAAAAGTGTGTATATTTCCCCCCCCTAAACAAGTTGTGTAAAGATTTAAAGTTATTATTCTAAATGGAAAATATAATATTGGATTTTGGGACTAAATTTGCAAATATTAATTATTATTAGCTTTGCTATACAACTTTGTGCACATGATACAATTGAAAACGTTTGATTTACTTTTTGCTTTTTTTTTGTATCTCTTGCATTATTATCACTAATCACTTCTGATTTTGAATTTTTTTTTTTTAATACTATATGTCTGTAAACAGTTACCACGCACATGAAGAGCTTGAGGTTGATTGTTATTTCAAAAAAAAAAAAAAAAAAAAAAAAATCCATTTTTTGATTGGTCTTTCCCTCAGTATTATGAATGGAAAAAAAAAAAAGATTAAATTCCTTTAATGAGTATTTTAACAAGGTACAGAAAGAATACAACAACAATTTGGAAATTATTAAGAATAGTAGCTTGGTCCATCGTGACGTGAAATCCCAGATACAATTATTTAAAAAATCTTCAAAAGTAAATACAAAATCTATGTTATGTATATAATTGCAAAAGTGCTAATGTTTTGAATAGGGGAAAGCTAAAGACAAGCATGTTCACAAAATTGTGAACAACATAACGTACAAGGACCATGCTTCACATTACGAGAATTGCACGATCAATAACATCATGAAAGTACCTCAGGGCGAATGCTCACGCTCGATTGTTGCTGAAGATGAAAGTGTTAGAAAAAGAACATTTGAGTTCAATGAAGCGGTCACAACAGACTTCAGAATGAACTCTTTGTATCATTATCTGTACACTATTTCCGGAAATTGTTCGCTCATAAAAAAAAACAATGGACCAATTTATATCTGAAGATGGTAAAGGAAACCTTCGCAATGAAGAAGGCAAACGAGTTGCAGTTCTTGAGATGGAAGTTGATGAATTAGAATATCCTCTTGAGGATGTTACTATTTACGGCATGTACTTGGACTTGAAGCCACCTGAAAAACTTGCCAAGATTGAACAAGTGGTTACGAAGGACGAAGAAAAAAAAAAAAGATAACAATGAAAATAAAAGAACATACTGAACTTATAAGCCTGAGGTCAAAAACTACTTTCTTTACCTTATTTATGAGAAAAGGATGAGTGTACGTGCTGCTGCTGAGGAAATAAAAGTGCCTCAAAGTACGGCACAAACTTGGAAAAAGAAAACCGAGCTTGCTGGGAATGAAGAAATGAATCTGAGACAAACTGGAAGTGGTAGAAAAGCTGGTAGACCTCCTGTTCTTACCAGAGGAACATAAACAGTTTTTGATCAATTCCATTGACGAAAAGCCATCTTCTGTATTGAAAGAAATCATAGAAGATCTTACTAGTCAATTTGCCGGCTTTGAATCAAAAGCCAGTTTGATGTTTCACTTATTTCGTTCACTAAAAATGAATGAAGTTCAAAATCTTTTTGTGAACTATTTTTTAATTTTTTTACGAACGAATAATTTCCAGAAATAGTGTATAAACTGGTAAGCTCACTCTATCTTTCCTTTAAATAAAGACTTTTAAAATAGAGTTGTTTTTTTTTAGCACAAAAATGAAGAAATCGATTTGAATACAATCTCAACTCTGCTGACGGCTACAACCATTAGCCAAAAAATCTACAATAAATGCATCAAATTGCTTAAGACCTACAAAGACTTAAATCCACTAGAGAAGTCAAAACGTCAGTAAATACAATATACATACAAATATAGCCATTAAAGTTTGCTAAATGATTGTTGTCATGAATCATAGTGTTCTTTTATCGAGTTGTATAAACACTATATCAGTTAGCGGTCGGAAGTCGATCGAAGCAATTATCGGTCTAAATCAATTAGAATGTACACTTAGTTCTAAGCCAGTACTGCCCTTCTCAGAATTCGTGAACCCTCGATGGACCCAGTTAAAAGGAGAAATACAAGAGGTGAGCAATCTAACTTGAGGCAATTTGATTATTTCAACTTTCATTAATGATATGTGTTTTCTCTACATAGGCATATAGAGTTGGCAGTAAGAAAGGTCTTCGAAAGTTTATAGTCAGAGAGCGTTGCAGAATATATGAAGATTATCTTGAAGATTTAGAAAAGTTTAACTTGATGATTATGGATGTATATGATCTGATGTAAAATCCTTAATATCATATCATATCATATCACTTTGGCTAAATACTTTTTTTTCTTGATGTAACATATAATTTATAATATATGTAGACTTGATACAGTAAACTTCAAGGACTGGTACGGAGAACATTTACATGAGGAAGACTTTGGATGCTATTGGAAGTCTATTTTTGATATTATATTTCGAGGAACCCATATCTCGCTAATAAGGTAAATCGAAAAATTATTACAAAATTATTTCGAATTGCTTACATGACTACACAGAGGAGAGGCGTGCTGTTTAGCGACGAAGTATGAACACCAAATCAATGAATTCAAATACGGAGTTGTGTCGAGTGGTATTTATGGTAGAAAAATAGATTTGATTTTTAAGGACTCTATACTTGACGACAAAAATATAAAGAAGAATATCGAATTGAGCTCTGTAGAAATCAAGCCTTCCATTGTGTCAGAAGATGTTGAAGCAATTCAGCTGAACAAAAATATTAGAGTAAACAAGAGCATCTTGCATAATATCGCCGCACATATGGGAGAGCATAATGATGATTGTTATGATTGTAGTCGTCCTTACAACTAAGTTAATAGAAATAAATTATCATTTATTAAATAGTAAAGAGTGCATTGTACATCACACCATAATGTTCATTATACAACATTCAGTTTTAATAGCGGTCATTGTTAGAATATTCGAGCGCTAAAAAATAACTATATACATTGTATTATGTAATAATAAGAATTCAATAGGATTATCACATAATTATCTATATAAGCTATACATATTATATATACATCTGTAATGTTGAATATTGTTATGTAATAATATCTTAGAGGATGCTGATAATAATAATAGTAGCATATAAATAATTGGTATTATTGTTATAGCTGGAATATTCACCGTGAATTAATATTAACGTGTTGCTTACCCCAGAAATAATGATTGGGTATATTTTTTAGTAACAGCGACAGTTAAAGGAAATATGTATTATTGCATGCAGGATTATTTGGAGACAATATTTACACAGACAATATTTACACATAATGCTTTATTATAGCAAATCACACTCCTATTAATATCACATATTTTGCAAAAAAAAAAAAAAAAAAAAAAAAAAAAAAAAAAAAAAATATAAATAGCCCTTCTCATTTTTCTATATTATTTTTTTTCGTTTGTACAATGTTTGTATTATTATTTCTTTCTTTTAATAAACTATACAGAGTTTTCACAGACTTGTCTTTTCTGTTTTCTCTTTCCTTATCGTTTGCAGTCAAAACATAGATATTATAGGTAAAATAGACACACTCATTCAAGTTTTAACCTTGTTGCAACTAATATATATTAAATCTGAAGGTCTTTCTGCTTTTATCTACTCTGTTTATCAATATGAAGATATTATAGTTGCAGTGAAGGTTGAGGAAGACAACCTGTTCTTACCAGGGGACGTCGATGATTTAGAGGATTTTGTCTTCGGCAATACTTTAGATCAACTATTAAACTTCAAGGTAAATTCATACATCCAATCCATTATTTCATAGCAAGTCGCTTAGCTTTTATTATTATTATTATTAGGAGTTCGTAGTCAATCTCTACGATAATGTAAATAAGGCCTCTAAAAAATACAAAAAGTGGAGGCTTTCAAGCAGAACAAGTGGTTTTATCAATCTTCGTTTACAGTCGCCTCCCAGAAGAGCGTATGCTTTCCCTGAAAGCACGTTCTATACACCTAAAAGAAAATAAAATGTGTATTTTTTTTTTTTCTATTCTTTTATTACATGTATTTGCTTGTTAAATTGTTTTTATATTATTTTATGAAATAAATGGTCTTAATTATATATTGGAAGGTATATTAAACAGTTTATTTCTTTTTGGTAATAAAAATGACTTGAAGCATCTTCTTCTAACCATGCCGGACTGCTTAAAACTTCTGATAGCGTTTCCCTGCAGATACTATAAAAAAAATCAATATGTTAGCTGATATATTTTACTTTTTTTTAGTCGCTTTTCCATTAGTTTTGAGAACGTAAGCCAGTTTAATTAATTCTTAATGGGAGTATCAGCCCGTTAACTGCCCTGAGTGAGAAACAATAAAGTTAAAAGTCTTTGTCACCACTCGCTGATGGAATTTGTCGCAGCTTGGAATAGCTGCCAAAGGTCAACAGGACTGATCTGAACAGCCACTGACTTGTCTTTTATAATACCACAACAAGTCATTAGCCTTTTCACCTTGCGGTAAAGTTTATGTCTCCCTAGATGCAAGAATTATAATCATAATAGTCAGGTTTATCGATTACGTATTTGAATTTATTAAATTAAGTGACATCGAATTGACTGTTTGGGTTTCCGATTTGTAATTATGCTCAGTGCAATAGTCACCCAGTATTTCCTATTTGAACTAATTACTAAAAATAGTAATTATATTAAGCTGTTATTAGAGATGAACATTATCTTTATCCTTTTTTTTTTCTTTCTTTCTTTCTTTCTTTTTATTTATAAATTAAATTATGTTATTAAAATGCATTATTCTCGGAAGAAGGTCTAATATTAGATAATTCAATAGACGCTTGTCGATTTTGAAGAGAGTAGTTATTGAATCTTTCCACTTCTGTATCTGTTGACGATGATAATGGCTGACTAAAAATTTCAGGTTGCATAATTATAAAATTTTTCGAGTCACTGATAATAAATGTAGACCAATGTATATAAAGAATGATGATAAAGAGGATGGTAGCAGCAGAGAACTTGATATCCGCTTTATGCAATTTTGAACAATTGAACACAAGATCAGGATTCATGATGATAAATTGATCAGTGAGGGTAGTATTCATAAGACTCTCTTGCTGTAATGTTTGATTCATCATAGTATTCATTGATTTGTGTTTACACCAAGTTAAAAAATCATCTTTCTTTACGACAAAGGTAATAAAGTTGGCAATGATATCAATTAAAATAATGACAATAAAGCAGGCAACTAATTTTGCATATCGACGGTATTGACTAACTGACCGTTTAATCTGAATAACAATAATACAATTAATAGGCTTGTAATAACCTTAGTTGTTTGTTCATTCACTGTAAATTTACCCAATACACTATATAGCCATAAAAACATAATAAAGCTAGTAATATGTGAAGTATACCAAATACAATCAATGTACGGGTATCAATATATGAATAAAAGGCTAATAGATATATGTAAATAGATATACATGTAAACTATCAAGTATTACTTTACGACTTTTCTTCATAAAGGATAAAGCAGCAAAATACACAGAAATGCCCTAAAATAGAACACAGCATTAGTTTCATACTTGATTCATATTTATATATGTATTTTATGAGATATTCTTTTTTTTTCTTTTTACCTACAATCCAAATAGTTAACACTAAGGGTATTCCATACTTTGATGGTATTACAGCACAACATACGACTGGGTTACTATTAAAGTTATACATCATTATTCCAAAATTATTATTATTCATTATATATGAACACAATATAAAAGAAGAAGAAGAAATAGAGTTCATAAATGTTAATAAATAAATATATTATTCTGCAATAGAGGAACTGCTAATATTCTCAACTAAAAGTTTTCTTTTTTTTTTTTTTTTTTTGTTCATTGTTCAGTCATATTGTAACTTCATGCTTTTTTTTTCATTTATAAAGAAATGTATAATATCTATTAGAAGACAATTAACAAATAAACAAAAATAAAGTAAATTATTGAATATCCTTCTAATGTTTTCATGGCAATAAGTTATTTAAACTCAAAAGAATAAAGAGTCTTTTTTCTTCTTCTTTTTCTTTTTCTATTAACGTAAACTTTGAGAGATGCTTTGAGTTAAAGCTAACTGAGTTGAAGAAGAATTATCAGTAATATTTAGTTCTTTTACAGCATTCAGAACATCTTCTCCAAGGCGGTTACGCATCATAGTCATCACTTCATGCTAAATAATGATAATAAAAAGAGAAATTAGAGTGAGTTGTCTTTTCATATATCTTTATAAAAATAGGTTACATTCATTTTCATCCATGAGTGCTCTAATGCATCTGTGACCGTGATTCTTAAAGCAGGATTAACTGTTAAATGTTCCTGGATAAGATCCTTGGCTAAAATATATATACAGAAATAAATATAAAGATTCATCAATAATATTAGTTGATGTTTATATGCAATACCATCGTCTGTGATCAAATCCCATTGTGGGGTATTAAAGTTAAAGTCACCATTAAGAATTTTGTCTTTTTCTAAATACAAATATGTATTTTTTTAGCTTTCATTTTAAACAAATATATATAGTGTCTATTTTACCTGAAAAAGGAGGATATCCACCAAGGCATACAAAGAGAATTACGCCAAGACTCCATGAATCACATTGTTTATCATAAGCACGATCTTCTGATGAAACAAGTACCTCAGGAGCAACTAGAAATAATAAAAGTTAATATGTATATGATATTCTATTTATTAAAGTATATAAAAAATTACCATAGTTAGCAGTGCCACATTGACTGTCAAAATATTGGTTTCTTTGTTCAGTTTTAGCTAAACCAAAGTCAGTAATTTTTACATGTAGTGTCTTTTGGTCAACAATAAGAACTAATATATAAAAGATAGGACTTTAATATCGATTTATTTATTTTTTTAAAAAAAAAAAAAAAAAAAAAAAAAAAAAAAAAAAAAAGGCTTTCTCCTTACTGTTTTCTGGCTTCAAATCACGATGAGCAATATTATTTTCATGAAGATACTAAATCGATTTAAAGATATAAATCATCCTAATTTATTCTTTTTTTTTAATTATTTACTTACTTTTGTAGCTATAAGTAATTGCCAGAAAATAAAGCGTGTTTCATTTTCTTCAAGTTGAATTTTATTTCTTATATAATGAAATAGTTCTCCACCAGGTACACTATTTTTATTCATTAGATTATTAAAGGGAAAATAGGCTTTACTTACTATTCTAAAACCAAGAAAATTCTTTGAACTTCATTAAAGATCTTATTAATCCTCACAACAAATGGCTATCATAAAAAAAAAATGCGCAGTCAAAATATTAAATGTCAAAATAGATATATTGTGCTACATACATGCTTTTCAATCGCCATCATAATTCCAACTTCTTGAATCAATGATTGTGTCAGCTTGGGTTTATTTGCAAATCTACTTTTATTAATAACCTTTACAGCGACTACATGATTAGTTTGTCTATGTACGGCATGGTAAACACCAGCAAAATTGCCACGTCCTAATAATCTACCAATTTTATATTCATGTTCACATGTCTAAAAGAGTTTTAGTAAAAAAAAAAAAAAAGGGGGGGAAAGAAGATCAAATGAAATATAAAATTACATTAGCTTCATATTGTGATGGAAACAAAATACGGAAAACTAGTCATTATAAATAAAGTCTTTTTAGTATTGATTTACTATTAATAAAAAGAGGTTTTTTTTTTATACAAATTTATATATTTACACTTTTGTCGGAGATCATCTTCAGCATAAGCATTGCGCTTATACAATTGAATTTCATCGCCATTTCTTAATAAAACACGCTTCTTCACACCTACAAGTTCACCATTTACAAAAGTACCATTGAAACTAAATAATAAAAGTTAATTCTTGAAATGATTTTGTTTTTTGTTTTTTTAACCTTAAATCTTCAAGAAAAATTCGAATTCCTTTGGCTCTTCCATTGGCACCAGTTTCCTTTTTTTTTTTTGAATTAGTCTTAATAATATATATTTTATGCTCAACAAATGTTTTACCATATAAATTAAGCAGTGTCTTTTGCTAATTTCAATCTGATCAAACCTTTATATGTGTATATATTAGAAATATAAAAAAGGGTTTTGTTTTTTAATATTCTTATTACCTAATATCACTATCAGATCGTCTACCTAACAAATAGCCAGGACGACCTTGTGTATGTTCTCTTCGTTCTAAATACTTAGATTTATACTTGGGATTTAAAGACTGCAAAAATGCCCAGGCTGTTTTATGGGCACTCCAGTTAGGTTCTTCCAGTTTAAAAGAAATGGATGATTGCTTTGATGATTGTGGTTCAGATTTAGAAGAAACATGATCGATAGCAGCAGTAATATCTTCATCATTGTTATTACTATTTGTTTTTACTGTTTTCCGTAAACTTGTTGTTGAACTTTCTTCCGAATCATCGGTATGACCAATTTTTGACAGTTTGCGAGTTAATTCGTTACTGTCAGGATCATCAGAACCATCACTTCTCTCATGACGTTTCAACATGTTTTGCTTTTCATTTTCAGGTGAATAAAAAACAGTACCATTATTTGAATTGCTAGTCGAGCAGTTACTATCACCAAACATAGAAGTTTGTGATGAATCTGGTAATTGAACAGCTGAAATGTTGGACATTTATTCAATAATAAAAAAAAAATAGATAAAAAAGGGGAAGATAAAAAAAAATAATTTTGGGATGAATCTAAAGAAAAAAGCACATAATACAACATACACAACAATCTTGTTGATAGTCACACACTCCGTCTCCTTATTTTTTATTTTTATTTTTATTTTATTTATTTTATTTTTATTTTACTTTATTTATTTTATTTTATTTATTTTTATTTATTTTTCCCTTTCATAGTAGTAAGGAGAATTATAAGGTAGAACGTTCAGTTCAAATGATGACAGATGTAATTTTATTTCTTGAAAGACAATAGAGTTGCACAAGGCATGCATGTTGGAAATCCTATAGAATTACAACACTAGAAGGGATTGTTGTTGTCAAACATCATATTCTCTGACTTTTTATTCTTTACAGTCACTTCCTTGATATCTTGTATAAAATCATTATCTTTTATAATGTACACTGATTAAAGGGAATCATTTGATGGCAGTACTCTTCCTTCTTATTCATTCCTCTCACATGTATACTTGAATCTATTTTTATGATATAAAATAAAGTAGTGTATGTCATTCTTTATAAAATGATTTGTAATCAAACATTGGTTTGATTGGATAAGCTTTTTTTTTTTTTTTGCATAATTTCATTTTTGCAAATTTCTATTTTATTCTATTTTATTATTTATTTTATTTTATTTTTTGTAGAATAAAATGTCTTATGGAAGTGTCCCCTATACAAATCCTCCTCCAAATTATGATGAAGAATCAAATCGGCCTTTACTAGGCTCTTATAATAATGATGATGACATGTTTAAAGAAGTGGTTGCAAATAGTTCAAAAGAAGTTCGTCTTCGTAATGTCCTAGAAATTAGCAATTAAACATTTAAAAGCAAAGACATTAATTATCGTTTGTATATAGAATTTGTAAGAAAAGTATATTCTATTTTAGCAATGCAATTGTTAGCAACTACTATTTTGTCTACTTTTTATTTATTTAACCATTCTGCTAAATTATGGGTTCAGTCAAAGTAAAGTTTATAATTTATAAAAAAAAAGCGTAGTAGTATTATAGTTATTTATTTTATTTATTAGCCAGTGGATGCTTATTGTGTCAATGATTGGTACATTGGGTCTATTATTTGCTTTGTTTTGGAAGGCAAGATCCTATCCTTTAAATTATGGTTTACTGTCTCTGTTTACTCTACTTGAAGCACATGCTATAGGAACGATAGGTAAAGTAATATAAAGGAAGTGAAGTAGTTCTTTTTTTTTTTTTGTAACAAGGGGTTCCCGAAGCTTACAATACTTGTTTTTCTTTTTTTGCATAATAGTCACATTCTATAATCAAAAAATTGTATTGCAAGCTTTGATAATTACTTTGGGTGTTTTTATCGGCCTTACTATATTCACACTTCAATCAAAATGGGATTTTACTGGATTAGGGCCATTGTAAGTAAAATAATTGTAGATCGAAGAAGATATCAGTATAAATAATACTTCTTTTACAAGTTTGTATGCAGGTATTTGGATCTTAGTTATTGCTGGTCTTGTACAAATGTTCCTTCCTTTCTCTAAAGGTATTCAACTTGCATTTGCTATTGGTGGTGTAATTATCTTTAGTGGTTATATTCTGTTTGATACTTATTTGATCTTCAACAAATACTCTGCGGAGGATTACATTATTGCATCTGTCAGTCTTTATTTAGATGTTATTAATCTTTTCCTTCGAATCTTGGAAATTTTGGATTTAATGAGCCGCGATAACTAATATTGTACAAATAAACAAGCAAAAAAGGAACATGTGTTATTATTGCTCTATATAAAACTATAAAAATAAAAAGAGAAGTTTCTATTAATGAAATTTTTTTTTTTCATTGAATATTTTCTATCAATTTGTATTATGTTGGATATATACTTAATAGTTATATCTTGAAAAGAATGCTTAATATATAACTAGCGTGGTTTTATTTTATTAGTTAGAAATACATCGACAAAAAAAAATCAAGCTGAAACTGCTTGTCTTTCATATTAATGTGTAATAGTTTTTGTTCGCCTTTATTATTATTATTGCTATTGTTATCAATGAAATAAAAAGATACCCGAGTATAATTCCTTATTACCTTATTAGTTTAAGAAAACAGTATTTATTAAAGTCTTGCTCCTGTAGGAAATTTCTTTAAGGCTTGTCTAACACCTAAATCCGCCAGAATCTCTTCAGAACCACCAAGAATAGAAGAAAACTAGAATAATATTTTATTTTGTTTTAAGAAAAGAAAAGGAAATTGACATAGAGAAGGAAAAAAGAAATTTTACTATGATTATTATTATTTACCTTGTATGTTCTTTGTAAAGTTTCAATAGTTCTACCCATACCAGTCTTGGTAATCGCACGACCACCAAAGATTTGACAAGCATCATCAGAAATATCATGCAAGACTCGAGTAATATGATATTTACACAAAGCGATTGGACCAGCCAGTTTATCTGATTGTTCATTATAGTCCATATTATTCATTTGATAAGTCAAGTTTTCAACCCAGTTATGAACGCTCTCTAGATTAGCAATCATCTTGGCTAACTTATGACGAATTACAGGTTGATCGATTAAGCGTTTACCAAAGACCTGACGTTGATTAGCCCATTTAAGGCATTCTTCAATCACAAGGCGAGCAGCCATTGAAGCGCCTGTCAACATGACCCAACGCTCATGATTAAAGTTGGATAATACCACTAATAATCCTTTATTCTCTTTACCCAGCAGATTCTCTACAGGTACCTTGACATTTTCAAATGTCACATAGGCTGTACCCGCACTGGGTGAATAGGAGGTCTTGATCAACTTGGTCTCAACGCCTTCACTTCGTTCAATAAGTAACATCGAGATTCCTTTCCCAGTTTGAACTGCTACAGAAAAGTAATCTGCCCAACAACCGCCTGTAATCCACTTTTTAACACCATTCACTATAAAATATTTACCATCCGCTGTTCGTGTGGCGGTTGTCCTGATACGGGCAACATCAGATCCTGTATAAGGTTCAGTAATAGCAAGGCAGATACGTTTTTTACCTGCAAAAACATCAGGAATAATCTGCATAGATCGTTGTATATAATAAATTAGCTTCTCTCACTCTTTTTTTTTTTTTTTTTTTTCAATACATGCCTTTTGTTTAAGTTGAGGAGAACCAAAATTCAAAACTGTGGGTACAGAAATGACCATACCACCTACAACACCGTCATCAAAACCACGAACTTTCCAACGAGCAAACTCTTCATGAAGAATCATCTATTATAATATTTTAAAAAAAAAAAAACAGATGAATAAAATAGAGGAAAGAGGTTGTTGTGGAATCGATTGAATAATATACTTCATGAAAATAATCAAAGTCCTCTCCTTTCAGATCACCGGGAAGAACTAAACCATGAAGCCAAGGGCCAGGACCAATGTTGGCAGCTAAAAGATGATGTTCACCTAATTTTTGCATAAATTCATCAGAGGGCTTGGTACCAGCATCTTCAAATTCTCTAGCTTCAACAGCTAAAGAATCAGTAATTTTACGAACTGCAATACGAAACTTTTTATGAGATTCACTATGTGTATACACAAATATAAAAAAAAAGAAAAGAAAAAAAAAAGGAGAGTAAGAGAGAGATGTAAGTATTTACTACTACTACTACTATTATCATTATTATTTTCATACGTATAAAAAGGTGATTTGAAACCCATCCAGGCACTTGACTCGGCATAAGGGACCTTGGATAAATCACCAGGCTGGTAAAAATCAATTTGAGGTTTTTCATTTACAATGGTACCAATCTTGTAACGTTGATATTTGACAAGTACTTCTTGACGATGAAGTCCATAAAATGCATCTGTAGCATCTTTACCAGCAAATTCTAAAATGGGATAAGCACCGCCAGGGTGTAAATCAATGAAACGACTCATATCATAGACGCTGGTATCGATGATGATCCATAAATCATCTTCAGAAGCATGACGCTTTACTTCTTCTCGTGTGAATGTTTTGAGGCTCATTTATGAATACTTTATTACAGAGTGGGGAGGGGTGATAATTAGAATAAGAAGAAGAATGGGAAAATAGATATATAAAAATATAAATATTTGTATCAATAAAAAAAAAAAACAAAGCAATAATGCACAAATGGTGATGTGGGATTTAGGATTATTAATTTTATTATAATATTTTCTACTTTAAATTTGGACAAATCAAAATTAAAATTCAGATGACTTGCTTACCTTTCTTGAATAAAACGTAAAAGGAAAACTGATGAGAGATTTATATTCGGGTTTAAAAATAAAAAGCCACTGACGCAGTTCATCAAACTAATAGTATTACATCTGTCTATTTGATACATAATTTTTTTTCCAAGAGTTTAATGCTGCTATTTGTCATTTTAGGTTATCAACTGTTGATGAGTGAAGATGTTTTGTATGTATACACTCAGATTGAAATACGATTAAACTTTTTTTTTAAAAAAAATTTATAAAGCGACCTATGAGCACATAATATCTTTGTTATATTGGATTGCCCAGGTCAGTTCAGATTATGCGAAAAAAAAAAAGTATATAAAAACTCTCTTATGGGAAAAGAGGTTAAAAAGGTAAAGGGAAGGAAAAAGAGAAGATGAGAAAAAAGGAGGAATATTGCTAACAAGTTTAAAGGGACAACCAGTTGAGAAATTTCCTGCCTGGGTCAAGAAGTGGAGGGGGGGAGTAGTTTGTCGTGTATTATGTAATCCATTTCTTGTAGAATGGTGCACATAACTGGCCAACGATAGAGCCAGTCAGAAACATCCTGAGAATTTCGGTACTTATGCTGAGGGAGATGATTTAAAAGAAAGGAAAGGGGATCTGCAATTAATCGTGGCAAGAATAAACGGGTGTGCATGTGCAAACATTTAGTGGTGTGTGACCGACTAAAGTGTACATGAGGATGATATGGGCAGGCTTTAGGTATTCCTCCGGGTAACCAACCAAGACGCCATCGAATAGTTCGACTACGCTCATTATATGTCATGAGTAACCAGAGTATCGGATCAATAACCAGATTGGGGCGGTAAGTGGAAAGCAAAACAGAATATGTCCCGTCAAGTAGTTGTTGAAAACTCTTTTCAAGAAATTCTTGACGATATTTCCGAAAGGAGCGTTGGTCTAACGGAATTGAATTGGCGACACAGAGTCTCCAGCATGGTGTTTAAATGAGTTTATACCATTGAGTGTTGAAGGTGAAGAATTGAAGCTCGGGAAGTAATTTAGCGAGCAAAGTATCATCCGGTAAATCAATAGCACGGAAAACGAATTGGGCCTGCAGAATGGACACCCTAACCTTTATTGATGGTTGGCTTACCATATAAAGCATCACCTTTACTGATGATCGACTAGAGCCACCAAATATCTGTCTTATACATGTGTTTTGACAAGATTCCAGTTGTTGGATCTCCTTTGTACTGAGTAGACTAATAGCTAGACCATATTCGAGTGGTGGTCGGACTATCTGCGTGTAGAAGTAAGTAGCGAGTAAACGATCAAATCCCTTGGGGTTAACCTCAATAGATGCCATTTGGTTCATTGTTTGTAGGGCTTTGTTAGTATTATTTTATACTAGTTGAGCTATATCTAAGAATCCTCTTATCTTGATGGGGATACCTAGATAAGAAAAACATTTTTGGGTTGGAATGGGGTCACCATATAAAGTGCACGGTTGCTGATTATCAGAAGGATCAAGGATTACACATTTACTAGGATTCCAGCGGTAGTCTAATAAATTACTGTTTTCTTCACATAATGATAATAAAGAGCGCAACTTTTCAGGTGCCGTGATGAGGACAACATCGTCAGTATACAACAAGCAATTAATCGATTGTACAAATTGAAGTGGTTGATCACGTATATTTGTTGGAATTGGTGATATACGTAGAATGTTAGGGAGAATGTTTATGTATATTGAGTACAAAAATGGAGAAAGAATTGAGCCTTGAAGAACACCAGTTCTCGGGGAAAACCTATATGAGGTAACATTATTTAAAAGTACTTCGAGATGGACATCGTCAAAAAGATTTTTCAGGATATTTAGTAGTGGAGCATGGGCATAATCAGATAAATAGTGCCAGATGTAGGCACGGTCTACCGTATCATAAGCCGATTTGATATCAAGGAAAGCAAGCACTGGTTTGAAATGTTGTGTTTTGCAAAGTAAGTTACAAATTTCAGTTAGACAAAGGACCTGATCAAGTGTACTTTGAGCCTCATGAAATCCCCCTTGGGCAACGTCTAACGGTGGACTATAAGTCATGAGATAAGGATACAGGCATCGTTCAAATAGCTTTCGAAAAACTGATGTTAGGCCGATAGGTCGATAATTTCCTGGTTTGGTAGGTGCACCTTTCTTATGTATTGGGACAATCTGAGCTACTCGCCAAGATAGAGGAGTATAGGACCATCGCCATCATAGTTCAAAGAGAGACAGAAGGGTTGGAGCAAATTTATTCGTTATTGGAGAGAGCATTTCTTGTCTTATGTGATCAACTCCAGGTGCTTTTTTTTAGGGTAGATTTTTTAAGGCATCTTTGATGTTTTCGAGTGTTATAGGGCAGTCAGATACTGTAAGTGTATATGCATTAATATGTCGAGGTGTAGAATCCACTAGCTCCATATAGGATGATTGTTCAGGTAGAAGATGTCCAGAGTAGATTTGTTGGAGGTGAGCAGCCATAGTATTAGCCGAGTGTTGTGGTCCATCCGTTGTGGAAAAGGTCGGTTTAAAAGTCCTATTTTTTCCGAATACGATTGAATTTTGCAATAGCTTTTGTATATTCGCCCTGTGCCATTTTGTCACAAAACTGTCGCCACGTTTCGCGCTGTCTTTGAATTATGAGCCTCCTTAATCGTGCCTTTGATTCTTGGTGAAGTAGCCAGTATTTTAAACAGTTCAAGCCGTTTGCTTTACTCCATTTTCTATAATAATGTTCTTTTAGGTGAAAAACAGAGGTCATCTCTGGAGTCCAAAAATTCTTTAGGTATGTATCATATATAGTCTGTTGTTTGCGTCCACAAACTGTATCAGGGGATGCGTAAACTGAATTACATATTTGTGAATTGAACTGTTCGATGTATTTGCATGCAGAGTCTTTTTCGTTAAGATCATTTGAAGGTCTTTGTGAAAGATATGAATGTAGGGTATTGGCGAACTCTGCTTGGTATTGATCAGCTGTGTCCCTGTTTTTGAGCTCACCAAGAGACCATTGGAGACGTATTCAGATTGTTACAGGTAGACAAATGTTATTTATTCCAAATCATTTGAAAACTAATTTTTTTGTCTGAATTTCCTTTTTGAATCTGTCCAAAAAAGATAAACTAATTATTTAAAAACTTATTTTGATTCATCCAGAAAAAAACTAATTTCGTCCAAATTTAAAGTGTAAAAACTATAGCAAGCAAATTCGGAATTTTATATAGAAAAAAACTTTTTTAAGTAAGAAGCTGTTATATATTCTCTAAGGCGGGAAGCTATAAAAGCCAAATCTGTAATACGATTAAATTCTGAGTTTTATTATTATTATTATTATTTTTTTTTTTTTTTTTAAATTTTTTGGCAATGAGCATGTAGCGACGAAATAAATGCGCAATATTGCCCGAGCCAGTTATAGAGGGGAAATAAGAATAAAAACCTTCCTAAAGGACAAGAAGGGAAAAAGGAAAACGAGAAGGAAAAAGAAAAGAGCAGTATTTTGGAATTAAGAGAAAATATAAGGGGGAAAAAGCGAAAAAGTGAGAAGAAACAATTTAAAAAATCAAATAAGACCAAAGTAACCAGGAAGACACACACTATTACTTGGATAACCAATTCAACAGCTTGAGACCAGGGTCGATAGGATCAGGAGGAAATTCATCATGGAAGTAGTAATCAAGTTCATGTAGAATTGTACAAAGAATAGGCCATAAAGTATACCAGCTCGTACAATCAGAAGGACGACGAGGTTTATGTAGTGGAAGCAAGTTGAGGAGGAACGAGATGGGATCTTCGACTGAAGTAGGCATGTAGAGACGATGATGTACATGTAAGCACTCAATAGCATGTTGCCGGCTCCAATTATGAGACGGATGAAAGATACATTCTTTAGGTTTACCACCCGGTAGCCAGTCAAGTCGCCAACGAAGCACTCGGCTACGTTCTGAGGTAGTCATTGGTAAGTAAAGGATGGGATCCACAAATCTGTAATACAGTCTTATTACTTATTTAGTTTGAAAAAAAATAAAATGAAAAAAAAAAAACCCTTCTGATATTTCTTTGCTGGAATTATATCTTCTTCGTACTTTTAAATGTTAAAAGTGTCCTGTTTTTTTATTTTTATTCTTTATTTCCTCGTTTATTTATACCAAATTCATCAATGGATCGGCAATTTCTTTTTTTTTCCCATAATAAAAGTCAAAAAATTAACTCTAACCCTTCCCTCTCATTTTAAAGGGTAAATATTTATATTTGATGGATGGGAACCATGAATGAGAAAAGATTTGATAATATTGGTTAAATTATTCTTCCATTTATTAAGCAGAGTTTATACTATTTTGTGTAGCATTATTTTATATTATATACTTACAATTACTCTAGATCTAGAATATGTTATAAAAATCACATTTAACAATAGTTGTTATTTATCTCTTCAGAAAGGAAAGTACTTTTATTTTATCATGAAAACTTGATATTTTTTAAATAAACTTATCTAAGTCATACACTCAATAAAAGAGGTCCGACGAAATATTACATAATTTTACTAGTTTAATTTCCTAGCTCCGTTTTTTTTTTTTTCATGAGGTGTAAAAACGGAGTTAATTACCCCACATTTATCAAAACAATAAACAGTATTATTTGATTATTAGTAGCAGTAGAACATAGTAATAAATAAAAATTAATATATGTATATATATTTATATATATATGTCTTTAATAATGATGATGAATGAGTCACATATTATAATTTGAATAGTGTCTATATGAATGTATAATAATAATAATTAAAGAAAAAAAAATGAGGGAGTTTCTCCTTTCTTTTAAGTGAGATGTTTTGTTGTTGTTGGTGTTGGTGTTGGTATTGTTTTTTTTTATCTTTATGATAGATAGGTTCTTAATTTTGTTCAATTTTTCCAACATCCTTTTTCTTTTCTTCATCAGCATAATTATGATAAGAATGCTCTGAAGTAACAGATTTTATATCTTCTTGAACACCATCTACAGCAAATAGAGTTTCAACTTGTTCTAATGAAAGTCCTTTAGTTTCGGGGAACCAGAGATAGACCATAGGGAAAAATATAAGATTCATAAAGGCGAAGAGAATATAAGTCCAAAATGTAATGTATTCAAACATAACGGGTGTAATCATGGCTACGATAAAGTTACCAAGCCAGTTGGCTGCCGTAGATAAAGAATTTCCTTTTGCTCTTAAAGCAGTAGAGAAGATTTCTGCAGGATAAAGCCATGACATACTTAACCAACTAGCACCAAATACAAAATTATAAAGCATAGTAAATGCAACAGCACCATTAGCAGCCGCAGTTGTATGTCTATCTGTATTCGCTTTTTGACATCCAGCAATGCATACAAGAGTAATTGTTTGTGCTAAAAGTCCCCATAACATAATTTTTCTTCTTCCAATTCTTTCAACAAGGTAAACAGGGACCATGGCTCCAATAAAATAGATGACAGAATCTACAGCTGCCATTAACATGGCCATTGTATAATTCATACCTGCTTGAAGCATTACATCTGTAAGATAATAAGTAGTTACCTAGTATTTTTTTTAAAATTTATATATATATATATGCACAAGATACGATGAGCATTTAATATCAATTATTAAAAAATTGAATATAGACTTACGTTGATACCACCAAGCTGTTGAATAATTTGACTAAGCATACCAATTAATACTCTTTTACGATTATTAAACTTTCCCTTTTGAAAAAGATCTTTATAGGAGGATATATTTTCACGACGTTCTAGTTCAACACTATCTTTAATTTCTTGATATTCAGAGATACAACGTGGATGATGAATATCACCATCTGTCCAAAGTCGAGCTAGAATATCTTTTGCTTCTTCATCTCTTCCATGAGCTACAAGCCATCTTGGGGTTTCTGGCAAGACAAAGGTACCGGCAATAAGAATGATTGCGAAAAAATTTTGAAAGGCCAATGGGAATCTCCAAGAAAATTCACCACCTACGAAATGAAGACCAAATTCTAACCAGTATGCAGTGCCAATACCGAGAACAAGTAAAGCACACTCAAAACAGACATGAGCACCACGAGATTTGGGTGGAGATATTTCAGATTGATAGACAGGGACAGTCGCAGTATTCATTCCATTACCGACTCCAGATATAACACGTGAGACAATAGTCATAGTCAGGTTTTGTGTTGCTGTCTGAATAATGGCACCAATAATAAGAATAAGTGAACCTACTCGAATTGTATTCCTTCGACCGATCTTATCACTCACTTTTCCCGTAGCTAATGCACCAAACATACATCCAATCTCATAAATAGCGACCATTGCACCCACAACTGCAGAGCTTGGATCCCCCATTAGTTTTAAAAAGTGTTTATTTGGAACAATGCCTGACATAACGCCCTAATTTTAATGATTTAAATTTTATAATTTATTATTTGATTCAAATAATTCATATTGAGACTTAACATATATATATATTTACCTGATCGTAACCAAAGAGTAAAAAACCTGTAGCCGCTAATGATGTTGATGCCGCGAATAATGCTTTCCCTTTTAATTTAAGCATTTTGTTTTCAAGGAAATAATGATAGATTCAAATTAAACAAACAAAAAAAAAAAGAAACATTAAAACTGACCTTTTCATTATTCGCTTTTTATACCATGTTATTTTTTTTTTTTTTTTTTTTTTAGATAAAATACATGATCCCGTACCCCACATTATTCTATTTTTGCTGGAATTTAAATCGATTTTCCCGCCTTTTACATTTTGCAAGATAAGGTTTGTTAAATCTTAAATTCTTGAGCAACTTAGCTCCAAAAAGGATTCAAAAAAGAAATGAAATACAGCAAGGTTAAGGGACGCTGGAGTAAATGGGTAAAAAAAGGGTTAAAAACAGCATAAGTTTGTACTGACTATTGTGAACTCAGCATAGATTTGTTTACTCTTCTCCCCTCCCCTATTTTGTTTTAAAAACTAGATTATAGAAGTTATCGCCTTTTTTTTTACTATGTATTTTAATAAAAGCTTGACAATCTATTTACTGTATTTCTGTGGGGAGAGAGAAGAAGGTGTTGCTATATGAAAATAGGGTCATTTAAAAAAAAAAAAAAAAAAAAAAAAAAAAAAAAAAAAAAAACTTAAAGTAAACGTTTAACAAGAAAAAAAATCATAACAACGTCAATCAAATTAGAAAAAGGAACTGTTAAATATATAACAAATGATATCATTTATTGTATTGCTTATTGACTTCCTTTTATAACACTTATTTTTCTTTTTTATTAAGCATGATTGATGAAAATAGAGGAAAGCCCTTCTGTTTACCAAAGATAGACCATGACTAATTTATTAATCATCTTATATTAATTGTTATTGCTACAAACAATACCCTTCAGAAAAAAAGACTTTTATGATAAATCCAATATATTACGTAACTTTGTGATACTATAAAAAATATTAAATTTACATCCTTATTTCTCACGCTTCTTTCATAAGCAATGTATTGCTATTTTGAAGTTAAACTAAATATTACGATCATACCACTTAAATAGTTTATTTCAATAAAAATAATGAAGACATCTTTTTACCTTTCGTCTACAAAGTAATAATTTTGATTGTATAAATATTATACATACTTTAGAATCAATATACGACGGTATAAATAATGATACGGAATATGTTTATGTAAGGATAAAAAAAAAAGGTTTTATAAAGTTAACTTTGTCAAAAAATAAAAATCTTCATGAAATGAAGAAAAAAGAATGTGAAGAGAGTGGGATTTGAACCCACGCCTCCGAAGAGATCACGACCTTAACGTGACGCCTTAGACCAACTCGGCCATCTCTCCAGTTGTTTTTTGTCAATTTAAATAGTAAGTATAAACCCGATTCAACTCTCTGTGGTTAACCGGTAAGTCAAAATAAAATAAAATTTAAAGAAGATGTTTATTTAAAAGACAAGATCAAAGATAATGTTTATTTCATTCACATCAAAATCGTATTTATACTAAATAAAATATTGTAAAATATTATCTAAGTATGAACGTGTTCCAATAAGATTTGAACAAATATTAAAAGCCTTAAAGAAGTCTTTACGTGTTAACATGTTTCACTTTGGACCCTGTTTTTACGTAACCTTTTGTTATTGGTAATGGGCTTGAATTTCATTTTCCGCTTGGCTTCTTTCCTTAGACGAACATCTACTTCTAATGGTACATCTTCATAAGTATTATCAGACTCGACATTTTTGCACTTCTGTATATTTTATATAAGTTATTCGTAAAAATTTTAGCCAATCAGATCGTCGGAAAGTCCTAAAGACGCCCATTATTTCGCCATCTACTCCGGCACGGAACTTTTATTTTTTTTTTTTCTAAATTTGCCTTTGAATAAATAATTTATCTTAACATTTTTTCAGGAATTTGCAAGTAGTATGTAATCTAAATGCAAGTAAAAAAAAAAAAAAGTAAGGTTACGTGACAGTTCGATTCGGATTCTATACTGCCCTTGTTGCTTCCTTTTTTGTAGTAAGTCCTTTTTAAAAAATGCTGCATTTTGTATTATTCCATTTCTTAAACTTGACGAGCCAACAACATGCTAACTGATATACGCCTTTTTATCTTATATTATTTTTTAGCTAAAAAAAAATGTTTGTATACATAACAGCATCAATTAGCTTCAAATAGTAAATAAAATATTTCATTATTTATACTACAAAATAGAGATAGTTTCTAAATGGTTAACATTTATATAAATAAATGTCTCATAGCAAACTATGACAAACATATCAGCTTATAATATGAATAGCTGTATCGATTAAGATAGTAGTAGCAACATATTAAAGTATTATGGATATAATGTTATTCGATATGCCACAAGTCGTTATTTATGGTTGCATAAAAAAAATATGTATATTAAGTTTGCAGTGTGTTTTTTTTCTTTATCAAATAAATTCTACAGTTATTTTACTAAAAATTTTTTTCAACCTATTCGTTTATAAATTTTATTTTAATATTAGTGAGAGACTATTATTATTATTTTTAACTTCTCCTTAAAGGTTATTATTTTTGTCATTCCCTTTCGAGTATATGACTTGAAAAAAAAAAAAAAGAGATAAGGAAAATAATAGCGTTATATGATACTTGTTTGTTTACAAAGTAAGTTGATGAGCACCACGCATTATAGAGTTGTTTAGAAAAGAAAAAAGTTGTTTTTAAAGTTTAAGGGGTAAAAGTTACAAGTATTTTTATTTTGTCAATAATAATCTCTTTTAATTTCTTTTTTTTTTCTTTCATTTTATTGAGGAAAAAAAAAATCATGTTTCTTCAAATTTTAATATTTGAACATAGTACGCTTATAGCACCAATAGTTCTTTTATTTTTTATTTATGTTATGTACGCTTTCATCGTTATCAAGCAGTAAATAGTATTATCAAAAAATATCCTGATCCTAATATTATACTTGAAAATCATGATATTGCAATGGAAATTTATAGCAACATATTTCGCAAAGAATTTCCATGTAAAAAAAAAGAAAACTCTCCTCAATATATACTAAACATAAATATAATTTATATTAGTATTTGCTAGATGTTCGCTTGAATTTGCTCTTTTTAAGCCGTTTTCTATGCCATCCGTCAGTAAACTCCTTGTTTCCACAAGAGAATTTTTGGATAGATGTCCTCGTCGAGCTGAAGACACAGAGTTAATTTTATCAGAAATGATTGATCCTTATCCTCGTATTCAAAATGAACTACGTCGTAATCCACATATCACAGAAAGAGAAGTCATTAAACAATATGAAAGAAGAGAAGCGGCTATTGATAGATTGAATGAAATTCATGGCAAATATCCTATTTCAGATGAAGATTATCTTTATACATTAGTTTTATTTGTAGTAGAGCCTATACGTTGGATTAATAGTTGGGAATGGCGTAAACTAGATATTCGAGAAATCAATGTAAAGCAAACTATTAGTATATTATATATAAATCTAAAGCTTTCTCTCTCTCTCTTTCCACTTTTTTTTTCTTTAGGCAATCTTTAAAGTTTGGCATGAAATTGGGACAAAGATGAAAATAAAAAACATACCAGATACGCTAGATGAATGGTACAAAGTCCAAAGGGAATATGTTGTAAAATTAGTTAGTTATCATCCAAACAATTGGCGTTGTGCAGTCCCGACTATTCAACTTTTAGGAAGCAGACTTCCTAGCTTTATGTTGCCTCTTCTGTACAAGATTTTGCCATGTTTATTAGAGGAAAGTGAATGTAAAGCATTTGGTATTCAGTCTGCCTCAATTTTTATGCGATTTATATTTAATATATCCATATCTTTACGAGCTATTTTTATACGTTATTTGTGTCTTCCAAGAGATATATACGACTTGAGAACACCTTTTCATGCAAATGAAAAAGGGAGATATGTTCCTCATTATTTTATATACAAGCCACATATTTACTCTAATGGTTATCGTGTTGAAGAACTTGGTCCTGAAAAGTTTATGCCAAAATGTCCTGTCTTGCATGTCTCCTAAAGAAAAAAAAAAAGAAGAAAAGGAAGAAGACGATAGTTATAATATAAGCAATAATAGTAAACTTTAATAAAATTTTCGTTATAACTATACAACACAAAAGTAAATACATATACATGCTATTATCATTAAATAAAAATTAAACTTATAAGGAAGGGGGGGATATCAAATATTAAATTAATTTGCACGACCTAATCTCTCTGAGGCTCTTGAATGTAATTGTAAAATAGTATGATTAGATGATAAGGGTGCACCACCTAAAGCACCGCCTGCGCCTCCAATTCCACCAGCCCCACTCACGCCTGATAAATGACTTATATTCTCAAATGAATCTGTAGAAGAATTATTTGAATTTGTTTGAAGAAAGTTATGAAGATGACTTTGATCTGATGAATCCAAGTTTTGATTAGGATAATAAAAAGTAGGACTTTGTGGCATAATAGGACTATTAGGTTTTTTGAAAGATGCATCATCATCTTTAGTGATTTTTTTAGCTCGTCGAATAGCTACAACCAGTGCATTTAACCATGCATCTAAATTGGTTTCCGTAGGAGCACAAAGAATGTAGCTTCTCTTAGGAATAATGATTTTAAAACAATTTTGTTTACTCTTACTGACAGGATCAATCTCTAATGAATCAATAATGTGATGCAAAGGGATGATTCTATGTGGTGCATATTCTTTATCATCTTCATAATATGCTAAAGTATCAGTTCGTAGCACAAACCACCGTTTTCTCCAGCCCTAAATAGTAAGTAAGTATATATAAATATATGTTCATACACTAATTATCATTATTTATATTACCTTATTACGCCCTAATTTTAAAAGATAGCCTTCAATAAGGACTTTGCTTCTATTTTCTTCTGATTGTATCTTGGCTCTATCTGCACTGTATTCTTCATCATCTTCTGAACTAATAACGCCTTCAATAGCATGTAGTTGAGCATTCTGATCTGAAGAAGGTGACAGAGGATATGAATGACCTAAAACATATTCAGATAATGATTTTGATGAAGTCATTTGATCATTTGTTTGACTCTTTTCCCCCGGAATATGAAGCGGTTTCATAGGATTTGTATCATGTTGTAAGGAAGTAGAAAGATTATCATAGGGTCCATTGTTACCCATAGTAGTAGGAGTAGTAAAATGATTTGTGTTATATGATGTGATAATATCGCTAGCAAATTCTTGATCACGATCTATTAAGCTAATATCATCATCTGCATCATAAAGCCTTAGTTCTTGTTTAGCTTGATTTAATAAAATAATCCATTCTTCCATTTCATTTTGATCATTAGCCTGTAAATAATACATTCTTTTAGCAGTAACAAAGGCGAAAACGTATTTGTATTTATGTTTAGAAGTCACTTGGACTACTTTGTGTATTTCATGTAAATCAATAATTCTTAATAATTTATATTCCTATAGACATTATTTTAACATGTATTCCTACTATAAGAATCTAGTTTTTATTTACCTTTTTATCTTTATACATTGCCAATTTAGTAGATCTCAGCACAAACCAACGTTTTTTCCATGTCTTTTTTTTTTTTTTTTTTTTAAGAAAAAAAAGTTTAAATAATTATATTATAACTGTGGATAATAATAATACATTACTCTTCTTTTTTCTCCCTTTTTCAATAAATAACCTGATTTTAACACTTTTTCTGTTTGAAGTAATTGTAATGCTTCTACAGACATGGGTTCAGTAATGGGTTCATCGTCATCATTATCATTATCATTATCATCATCAGAAGCATATTTTATATTATTATCTTCTTCATCTTCACTCAATATCACACGATTTAGTCTTCCACTTAACATATCGCTATCTTGAGTTGGTCTTGACTATAATAAGAGAAAAGAAAGAACTTTAGCTTTATTATTATTATTATTATTATTATTATCATTATTTATTGTTGTTATTTTTGGTTTGTTTTAAAAAAAATCCAAACAAACAAGAAAGAAAGGAAGAAAAAAAAAGCTTATTTACGTTTGTATGATTTAATACTGATATTGGTTCACTGTCTTTTAGTAATTGGCTTGAATTTGTTAACATGCTTTATTTATAAGAAGACAAAAGAAGAGAGTTTAATTTAATTTATTTATTTTTTTTTAATTCCTTAATAAATAATAGACACTATTAGTAGTCACACAACAACAACATTTTTATGTACTTCAAAAAAAAAAAAAAAGTATATATGTCATGCATAAAAGTTATAAATATAATAAAGTTAAAGATCATGTAAACTTTGAATCGTAGCATATGAATTTACTTTATTACAGTAGCAAAATAAAATAAAAAGATCTTCATGCGTTACACTACAAATAAAGCTTCATGTTTGGATAAATATTATTCTATTTTATCCACCAATTATCTACACTTTTTATCATCCACACTCTTACCATTCATTCAACAAAAGTAGGATGAATGTGACTAGCTAATTTACAGAAAAAATAAATAAAACAAATGTACCAAAGAAGCACAAATATAGGAATGAAATCTTTTCAAATTAAATCTGTTGTCATAATCTACAAAAAAAGTATAATAAAAGACTGATGTCAACTAATCAAAGAATAAAAGTATCCCAAATTGAAAACTCTTTCTGTTCTTCTGAATGTCCCCCTCTTTGTTTTCAATTAAAGGATCTATTGTCAACCAAAAATTGCAGTTGATAAAAGCCCCACCCATATTTCTAAGATCTGATCTGTTTATGTAAGAGATTTAGTTGTTGTTAGTTGTATTTATTATGGCTAATATTCACTATAATTTTTGGTAGATGTAGTTTTTGTTTCTAAAGTATAATCTTCTATGATGTAGATGATAATATATTTACCTACATTTTGAATAGAAATACTATCATACAAACTTGTACCCCTTTTTTTTTAATACTGAAAAAAAACACTGTTCATATCTGTCTAATCACATATAAAAGAAGATATAATGACAACATTATCTTCTAAGATATAACACCAAGACATCTTACAAGAATCCAATTGGAATTGAGGCAATAATCCTTTACCACCTCTAAAACACGCTTACATCATGGACTATTTGTGCATAAATAATATGCTTTCCTTTCTTCAAAATAACTAATACGACAATAATAGCAATTATTATAAACGTTTATTACTCACGAATGCAAAGCAAGTTCAATTAAATTCCCCTTACTTTTTTTTTATTTTTATTTTTTATAATTCGTCCAATTGCCGAATATTTTAACTTCAATAAAACCAGCCTTTCGATCTTTAGAATTCATGATACTCCTTTAGCTCATAAAGCCTAATCCAGCAATCTTGGAAGGAAATCATATAATTGAAGAAATTCTTAATTGACAAATTCTTCCTCGTTAAAAATAAAAAGACATTAAATATTGCGAGTTTATTATTATTATTTTTTCAAGTTTATGTGCCATCCATACATTTGTAATGATTTTCTAGCAAATCTTTATTAAAGCCTTGCAAATGAGTACTAATAGGATAAAAAAACTCTCATATTTTCCTCCCCATCTCACACTTGAACCAAGGCTTTTCAATTTGTGTGTGTTTTGTTTTAATTCAATTTGATTTTTTGTAATTACTAAATTATTATTATTATTATTTTCAAAAAAAAAAAAAGAGCGGGTTTATGCATAATAAAAAGAAAAAAGTAATGATAACGAGCGTGTGAGCATGTATCATCATGTGACAACTTCTATTATGATAAATATACAGAAAACGTGGGTTAGCATTATGGCAACTCTTTTATTTTATTTTATTTTCATTTTTATTTTTTTTTTTTATTTTTTTAAAATGACAATTTACGGTCATCGACATAGTCATCACGCTGATAACAGCTTAAGACCTTCATTAGATAATGCACCACGAGTACCTAAGAATATCACTCAGTCTCGTGTCAATAACTTTTTAGCTAGTGGCGGCCAGTTTTATGGTATGGGCATTCAAACTAAATTTTGGCTTGCAAGACAAGGTGGCCCCCCTTATGTAAATCTCAAAGTGTATAGTGTACCCGATTTAAAGGTATAGATACGAATAAGAACAAAACAATACCACATCTTACTTATTCTTAATACTTTCTTTATTATTTCTACATATAATAGCGCATACCGTTTAAAGTAAAGTAAATGAAATACATACCACTAAAGATGAGCTGCATTAATTTTGTTGATTTATAGGAAGCAGTTACACAAAAGTTTCAAGATTTCAATATAGGAGTAGATCATAGTTTTGGACCTAGTTGGTCAACCCATTGGTTTCATATTTCTATACTAATTCCTAAAGAAATGGACAGTAAAGAAGTCATACTTCAGTGGGATATGGGGTGTGAAGGCTTAGTATGGAGCACAGATGGAGTCCCTTTACAAGGTCTTACAGGAGGAAGTAAGTTAATATAGTAATAGATATCTATTTCACTAATATAATAAACATTAAACTATGTAAGCTGATCAAGCACGTCACGAGTTTATTATTTCAAAGTATGCTAAATCAGAAGAAAAATACGAATTTTATATTGAAGCTGCATGCAATGGTATGTTTGGTGTTGGTGCAAACGATGCAATGGTTGCTGATCCAGATCGCTATTTTAATCTTACAACTGCTGATCTTGTTGTGCCTAACAAAGCTATTCAAGCTCTTTACCATGACTTGATGTAAAAAGATACATGTTAATAACAAGATAATAATAATTAATTTCTGATTCAATTATATATATATATATATATATATATTAGCGTAATTCGTGGTATTGCTTATGATACAGATCAGAATTCCTCTCGTTCCCGACAAGCTTTATGGACTTTAAATGAAGTGATTAATAATTATATTGGAGATGATGAGAAGGCAATTGAAGACTGTTTACAGTTAACTCATACATTCCTTTGTGCTCAAAATGGAACTGGAACTAGTCAACATCAAATCACAGCTGTTGGTAATTGTCATATTGATACGGCATGGCTTTGGCCTTATGATGAAACAAAACGAAAGATTGCAAGATCATGGTCAAGCCAGCTTATGCTAATGGACTCTTATCCTCATTATGTTTTTACTGGTTCTCAAGTACAACAATATGAATGGCTTAAAGAGCTTTACCCAGTTCTTTTCGAGAGGATCCAAAAGGCCGAAAAAACTGGTCAATGGGAAATTATTGGTGGAGTAAAGTATTCTAATTATAAATACATCAGTACATACGCTAATAGACATTATTTACATATTATAGAGCTGGGTTGAACATGGTACATAAGCCTTATTGCATTATATATACATGTATTTCATTTATTTATTTTATATAATAACTTTTTTTTTTTTTTTTTTTTTTTTTTTTTTTTTTTTTTTTTTATAAATAATAGATACAAATATGCCTGTAAGTAACAATATGTATAATTATTACTAGTTTCGTTGTTATAATCTTATATTATATTGAACCTATTTTTAGTCGGGGGAATCCTTATGTCGACAAATGCTTTTAGGGTAAGTTATCATTATAGGATATTACTATCGGAAGTTTGTTCATAAAACAAAAAAAAAAAAAAACTCCTACTTTTTTAAATATATAATAAAGGCAGCAGTTTTATGAGAAAAACTTTGGAAAAAGAACTAGAGTGTTTTGGCTACCTGATTCATTTGGTAATATAATAGATAAAAATATATATATATATATATGACAAATTCATAGTTTTTTTTTTTTTTTTTTTTGTCAATAGGATATTCGGCACAACTTCCTCAAATACTTAAATCTTCTGGATGCGATTATTTCTTTACTCAAAAGCTTTCATGGAATAATATAAATAAGTTTCCTTTATCAACATTTTGGTGGACAGGGATTGATGATTCTCGTATTTTAGCTCACTTGACACCTGCAGAAACGTAATATAAAGAATGAAAACAAAAAAGAAAAGCAAAATGAAATTAATATAATTTTTATCTTAATAAGGTATACTGCTTCTGTAACTCCTAGTGAGCTTTATAAATGGTATTTTATACATACATACATAGATAGATATATATATATGATGCAGAACATATAACTCCTTTTTTTTTTATAATTAGTTCTCGAAATCATCATGATCTTGAATACTCAAATGAAAGTTTACTTGTTTATGGGTAATAATATTGATCTTTTAAACTTTGTATATAGACTAAAATATATATATATATATTTATTTATTTATATAAATACTTATTTATAGACATGGTGATGGTGGCGGAGGCCCTACTCCAGAAATGTTAGAAAGATTAAAAAGGATGCATAATGTGGTAAATTATATATGATGAATGTAAATATGTCAATAGTTTAAATAAATTCAAAACTTGTATAAAGGATGGTTTACCTATCGTCAAACCTGGGAGTGCTACTGAATTCTTTATTAGTCTTGAGAAAAATTCTAATCGATTACAGTCCTATAAAGGGGAGTTGGTAAGTTTTATTGCACCTTTGAAATATATGTAAAATAAAAGTAAACATGAAAGATATACATTATTAGTATTTGGAATTCCATCGTGGCACTTATACCTCACAAGCACTTGTTAAAAAAGGTAACCGTAAAAGTGAAGTCATCATTAGAGATGTAGAAATACTTGCTACAATAGCAAAAGTTTTATCCAATAAAATAAATAGTGACTACAGGTAAGAGTAATAGAATAGAATAACTTTGATACTTTTTGTAAAGTATATATGAATCTGGACTTATTTGCACTATATAGTTACCCTGTTAAGCAAATCACTCATTTATGGAAACTTATATGTCTTAATCAGTTTCATGATTGTTTACCAGGTTCTGCTATTAACTTGGCTTATGTAGATGTTCACAAGGTATAATACAGGAAAAAAAAAAGAGGAAATATATGCTATTCTCTTAATTTAACATTTATTTTATTAACCAAGTTCCATCGTGAAGTAATTTCAAGCTGCTCATTACTCCGCTATGCATCTCAGTCTTTCATTATTGATGAAAGCACAAAAGAATGTTTCTCTAGCACAAAAGAGAATAGTCAAGATCATCAAAGTATCATTGCTTTTAACACGCTTCCTTGGTCTCGTACTGAAGTCATTATTTCCCCCGAGAAAAATACAAAATGGATGAATCAACAATGGAAAGAAAACTATGAGTACCTTATAGGTAAAGAAAATAATATATATTTAATTATTTTATCATAAATAACCTCTTCCTCTCCTCCCCCCTTTTTTTTGTGGTGAAAAAATATAGTTAAAAATGTCCCAGGTCTTGGAGCTTCTAATTATGTCGCTTCAGCTGAAAATTTTCATATAGTTCCTCCAGAAAAGGCAGCTCAAGGTATTCTTTTTTTTTTTTTTTTTTTTTTTTTTTTATAAAAAGAACTGGGGTATGTTACTAATATATTTAAATATATGTGAATCTGATATATAGCCTACAAGACCGAACATAATCACTTTGTATTAGAGAATATGAACCTTAAAGCAACTTTCAATCCTAATGGACAGCTTATTGAACTCATTGATAAAAATTCAACAAGGTAATATATATGCATACATTAGAAAAGAAAAAAAAAAGATCGATACGATTAAAATATATATGAATATAGAGGCAACCTTATTTCCAAAGATTCTAGAGGAAATATCTTACAGCTTTATGAGGATGTGGTAAGAAATGTGTGATGTATATCCAAATGTATACTTAATTAATTTGTATTATCTTTAGCCTACTTACTGGGATGCATGGGATAGTGAGTGATTTACTTTAATAGCTAGAAAGTTTATTTTCTTACAAAAAAAAAAAAAAAATAGTTGAAATCTATCATCTTCAAAAATATGTTGAGTTAGAAAGCCAAAATACATTAAAGGCAAGTAGTCATGCTAGATAGACATATAAATGTATATAAAATATACTTGGCTTATAAATCAATTTATACAGATTATTTCAGATGGTCCTCTTAAGGCAGAACTTTATTTTAATCATAAAATATCAGATATTAGTCACATAGAACAAACAATCAGTCTTACATGCGTAAGTGAACGACTTGAGTTTGAAAGCTTTGTTGATTGGCATGAAAGCCATCAGTGCTTGGTAATAAAAAAAAATACATAATTTTGAAGAAAAATTGAAAATTAACATATTTATTTTACTCATATAGAAAGTTGAATTTAATTGGGATATTGTTACTGATTATGTAATCCTAAAAAAAAAAAGAAAGAAAAAAAGTATTGATTTGATATTTAAATAGGCTACATATGATATTCAATATGGCGTTGTTAGAAGACCCACACATTACAATACCACGATCGAATCTGCAAAATTTGAGGTAAATGAAAATATTTAATTTATTTTTTAACACCATTTAATATGATAATGAAAAAAAAAAGGTTTGTGGACATAAGTTTGCTGATTTATCAGAGTCTAACTATGGTATTGCTTTGATAAATGATTGTAAATACGGTTATTCAACTCATGGAAATACACAACGCCTTTCATTATTGCGTTCACCCAAGGGTCCTGATGAGACTGCAGATATGGGTAATTTTGCAAAGATTTATTTATTTTTTCTTACAAATAACCTATTTTTTTTTTTTGCCAAATAGGTCAACATAAATTCAAATATGCTATATATCCTCACCAAGGATGCTACGCGTCTTCTAGAGTCATGCAATCAGCATTAGAATTTAACGTACCTCTGTCAATCCGGTGAGTACGATACGCTGACGTTCTAATAATCATAAAATAACATATATATATATATATATAATTTATTAGTCTTGCAAAAGGACATACACTTCAAAGGGGTACACTTGTTCCATCTCTGTTTACTATTGAACCTAATAATCAAATAATTATTGACACTATCAAGTTTTCAGAAGATGATAATGGTGAGGGTAAACAGATTATTTTACGTATCTATGAGGCTTATGGTGGCAAAAGTAGTGCTGTTTTGAAAAGGTAAAATAATGACATTTCTTTTTTTTTTCTTTCCTCTTAAATATACACCTTACTAACTTCTTCGTTTTATATCAGTTACCTGGATATTAAACGTATTCAAATTTCAAATGTATTGGAAGATAACCTTGGTCAAGTATTAAAAAAAGAAAATAATGGTTATAATATAACACTTAAAGCTTTTCAAATCATGACACTCAAAGTGGATTTGAATTAAATTTTTTAAATCGAAATGAATGAATATTATACATATACATTAATAAAAAAAAAAAAAGAACACATACACACACACACATACAGGGTATTCTTTATATTTAGAGCAAAATAAACTTGATCTTTCATTTAAAGACTAAAAGTAGGTATACTTTCAGTATAAAAATTTGACTCCTAAATTAATAAAAGATGAGTATTTAACAAAGTTAAACTTTGGGTGTTACTATACTTGATACTGATATTCTGGTTCAGTAAGCATACTCATAATAGATATATGATGAATAAGTATTTGCATTATATCTAGCAAGTTCAGTTGAGAATCTACAACAGTGGAAGGTGATATAATGACTAAAAGATCCACAGCCAATTTATACGAAGCTTTATGTTGTTGTTTTAACTAATACATGTAAATATTTATATATATAGTTATAACAGAAGATCTATTTTGTAATATTTAATTTTGTTACCATCATAGTTTCTTTCTCATATATAGCCCGTTGCTTAAATAATTCATTATATTTGCTTTGGTACTTTCTCAGTTTACCATCTATCAACTTATTCATTTCTGTAACTTCATCTAAATTGGATTGATATCGCTTACGTCTTTGAATTTCATGACCTAAGCGATCCTTAATAACTTCCATTTCACCTTGAAGTCGAGATATTTGTGAGACTGATTTTGATTTTACCTCATTTAATTTTGCCTCCCAGTGAGCTTGAATTTGCATAGAATCTTTGGACATGGATGCCTTTAGGTCTTTTATTCTTTCCTTCCATTCTTTATTAAGCTCACTCAATGCATCCTCTTTTTCAAATATCAAAGTTCGACGCATTTCATCAATAAGAGTTGTGTGTTGAATTTGCCACACTTCTCTTTCTGTTTCATGCTGCTCTCGTATCTCATGCATCATTTCAGTATGTTCAGATTGAAGGTTCTGAAGTTGTGCTTGATTGGTCATTTCAGATCGTTGTGCTTCCAACATAAACTTCTCAGTTAACTCCCTGATATATGCATCATGACTTGATAATGTATGTTCTAGACGCTTCTTATGTGCTTGTAGTTCTTTTTGCATCAATACTAATTCTTTCTCTAATCCCTTAATATGCTCAATATACTCCTTTTCTTCTTTTTCTGTAAACTCCTTTATAAGTAACTCATCTATTTGAAACTTTTCTTCTTGAATATTTTTTGAATATGTATGAAGATCAGTCACCTCTATTTCGTTTTTAGACTTTTTTCATGATATGTTACTACATTATATTTATCATTCTATAAGTATACAATACCTCCTTTATAGAATTTTCAATATTTGACAATGTATCCCTCTCTTCTGTTGCAGTACTCTTTTTTTTGTCAGTATTATTATTATTATTACTATTATTTGTTAGTAATAATCGTTGAAGTTCTTTCTGTTTAACAGATTCTGATTTGAAAGACTTTTCATCGTCATCATCTGTATCCTGTATTTCCCGAGAACGATTCTGCTGTAACAAGTTTTCTTTTTCATCAAATAATTCCGCATACTCTTTATCTTTGGCACTCAATCTTTCTTGAAGGCTAATTAACCTTCTCTGATATTTTTTGTTTTCCGCTTCCAAATCCAATTCATGTTGTTTTTTCAAATTTTGTATTTCCTTTTGCTGACCATGTCTTTCTTCATCTAATTTATATTGTAGTTCGACCAACTATAATAAATAGATATCAATAACTATATATAATATGTATATATGTATATATGTATATATAACAAGGAAAATTCATACTTCAGCCATAAGCTGTTCCTCAACTTCTTTTAATTTCTTTTCCATATAGCTTTCTTTCAATTTTACTTCTCGAAGTAACTAAGTATTTATAATAATTATTGTTAAATTGAAAAAGCAAACATTTTTTTTAAGAGATATACTTTTTTTTTTTTTTTTTTTTTTTTTTTTTTTTTTTTTTTTTTTTTTACACTAGAGGTATTTCTTTCATGTGTTTCTTGGTATTTTTTTAATTCTTTTTCTAAGCGATTAGCCTTTTCATTGCTTTTGTTTAATTCAATTAAAAGCTAATACATGCTTAGTTTCCTTTTCACTTTTTTTTTTGAAATATTATTTTATTACATTGGCTCTTTCTACTTCCCAATCTTGAATAGGAGAAGTGGGTCCTAATGTCTCTTGTCTCTTTGGTCCTTTAAGCTGAGAAGATAATGGTTCCATACTTTTATTATTTGGAACAAAAAAAAAAAAAAAAAAAAGAAAAAAAGGGAAATGTAGGAGGGCTTTTTATTTTACAAAAGAAAAAAAAAGATAAGGTGTGTCACGTTGTACATTAAATAGACTATCAATATTCCTCTTCCTCCATTGCATCTTCCTCTTGTTGTTCCTCTTGTTGTTCCTCTTCTTCTACATAATCATCATCTCTAGGTAATGTTGTAACAACACAGTTAATCATATCCTCTAAATCTTCTTCACTAAAACGTTCCTCACATTCTTCAATAATCTTTTTTTTTTTTTTTTTTTTTTGTTTTGACAAAAGGGGCAATTTTTAGTAAATCCAAGCATAAATCCTCTTCTTTAATCTTTTTCTTTTTTTTAGAGCTTACCAAGTATATTTCAACTGTACTTTTTGGTCGAAGGTTTAAGATTTGTAATTTTTCTGCTTTTGTCAAGTCATATTTAGATAATGCTTGTAAAAAATTCGATATCTGATCCGGTGTCTGTGTATTTACTGGTGATTGCCTTAAATATTCTGTTAACTTTTTTTTAGATATTATTAGTAAAAAAAAAAAAAAAAAAAAAAAAAATCAAGATCTTATTTACTTCATATTGAATTGTTCGTAAATGTTCAGGATATTCTATCGTAGGATCTAATTTTTGATCTCGCATTTGTGCTTCTTGACATTCTTCTAAAAGTCTTAATACTTCGTAATTAGTTATTAATGCTGATCTTACTGATTTGATTTGCATGTTAGATTATAATAAAAAATTAGGAAAAAAAAAAGGGAAAAGAAATAAAATAAAAAGAGAGAAAAAAAAAAGCAGTCAACCAAAATCAAGGACATTAACAGATATTTGTCATAAGTTAAAAATAAACAGTTATTTTATTTTATTTATTATTTATTTATTATTTAATTTTTTTTCTTTACTTTTTTTTTTTTTTTTTTTTTTTTTTTTTTTTTTTATTATTATTCTTCTTTAATTTTATATAACATGGGGCTTCGTGACTCTTTAGATACTTTTGTTCATGGTGGTGTACAAAGACCTGAATCATATGAAAGAAAAAAGAATTATCAATTTAGAGAAGAATTAGGTAAAACAAACAAAGAAAATAAATGATTTCAGTATGGCTAATAATACCATCAAATAGGAAGTGGATCATATGGTTATGTTAAAAAGGCTATTCGTATTCAAGATAATAAACAAGTAGCTATTAAAATCATCCCAAAGTCAAAAGTGAAAGGTCATTTTGATATGGTTTACTCCGAAATGAAAGTCCTGGAAAGTCTTTCACATCCTAATATTATTGGATTTTATGACTGGTTTGAATCTCGGTAAACAAAAAAATTACATATTTATATACATACATACACATGTATATATCTATATATATACTATGCCTTTTTTTACGTGTTGTGCTAATAATATGCATTATTTACAGAGAAAAGTTCTACTTGGTATTTGAATTGTAAAAAGATAATATATAGGTTAATATATGAACAGGAACAATATTGATCTATATTATTGTAGAGCTACTGGAGGTGAATTATTCGAAAGGTTATTTGAAAGAGGCAAATTTACAGAGAAAGATGCTATTCCAATCATGAGATCAGTATTGAAAGGAATTGAATACCTTCATCAACATAAAATTGTACACAGAGGTAGTAAAATAAAAATAATAATAGTATATTCTATTACTAACTGTTATTGTAATAAGATATGAAGCCTGAAAACTTATTATTTAAAACACCAGAGTCTACATCAGATTTAGTCATTTGTGATTTTGGGTATAGATATATCGTAGTAGTAATCACACCTTTCCCCTCTCCTTTATTATTATTATTAACAAACTATTGTATAGTATCGCTAAAGTCATTAATGATAATGAAATAGGATTGAAGACTATTTGTGGATCTCCTGGTTATGTTGGTAAATCGTATATTCTGATATATAACACACATATTCTGATATATTTATTGAATATTTTATTAGCTCCTGAAGTACTTTTGAAAAAGCCATATAGCTATCCAGTAGATATTTGGGGAGTCGGGTAAAGGGCAATATTCTATTTATCATGAAATACAACAAAAAAAAAAAAAATTAAACGTAAAGTTTATTTAGAGTAATTACATATACAGTCCTTTGTGGTTATCAGCCTTTTCAAGGTGACGATAACATTGAAATGATGGATGATATTATTCATGGTCGATATGAATTTCATGAAAGATATTGGAGAAATGTATCCCCTACTGGTAATAGCACACACATATATATATACATATACATATCTGTATATATATATATATTTATGTATGGTATATTCATCTATTCAAAACTGATTTTTTTTTTTTTTTTACTTTACCATGCGACTAGCTCGTGCATTTATTAGAAAATGTCTTTCATTAGACCCAAATGACAGACCAACTGCAACTGAAGCTTTAAATGATATATGGATGACGGGTGATGAAGCTAAGGACATCGATATCTTAAATACTGTACGTGAAAACTTTAATGCGCGTCGAACTTTTAAGAGCGCAGTTAGAGCTATTAGTGCAGTAAATCATATCAGAAATAATTCCTTATTAAAGATGGATAAAGAACAAAAAGAATCGGCTGCAACTACATTAGCCATCCCTACTGTAACAAACACTTTGGATATTAACACAAACGATATTTCTCGAGCAAAAACAACGCAATAACTATAAATAATATAATTTTGATATTCTAGCGAGAAAAAAAGAAAAATAATCCTTTTTTTTTCCCTTAAAAAGCAATTTAGATGAATATGCATTAATTAAAATAAATCAAAATAAATTAAAAGTTTTCATTTTTTTTGTTAAAAAAATACAAGCCTAAAAATCAATATTCTTAGACTGTGGAAAGGATACTAAAAATTAGGGTAAACTTCTTATGCTCCCCGCATCCACGGAAATCTTTAGTAAAAGGCGAAAGATTTATCCGATATGAACACAGAAAAGAAGTACGAAAGTTTTTAAAAAAAGTTGAAGAAATTGCCTCTTATTTATACTTTTTTTTTTTTTTTTTTTCTAGTTGTACTGCGTGCACAAAAAATACAGTCACATAAATTTTTATGAATAATCGCCGCCGTTTTAAATTCGTTAAAATGCTAAAATATAGTATCACACTAATCGACTTCCCTTAAGAGAATTTTATTTGCTACATCATAATCCCGAATAATAACTGGAAAAAAAATACGAATATTCCCGAGCATATAATATATATTTTTTAAAGCAAGTGACCAAAACCATAGCTTAGCTTATGGCAAAATATGTGCCAAGAGGTATTAAATGTATTCTAAGGCAATCTAAGAAAAGAGAACAGCCAAAGGAACAAGATGATGAAAAAAGTTATAAGCTTGAGAGTTGCGTGAAGAGAAAAATGAATTGATTTATAAAGGTTGAATTCTATCAGAATATGACTTCTACTCGTATCTAGTCTAACAAAAAAAAAAAAAAAAGGGGTATGCTCATCAATGTTTCAGAGTCTACTATTATTCATGGCAAAAACATAAACTTTCTTTGATATACTTCAAATCCTAGAATTACTACAATTCACAAAAAGGATACTTCTTTACACATAATATTGACTGTCCCTATATAATAAAGATAAACCATCAAAGAAAGAAAGAAAAATAGTAGTCTTCAGTTGAAGAAAGATTAGGCTTTGGAAGTATTGTTCTGAATAGACAATTGAATTTAAATAGATTGAATTGTCTTGCATAAATAATAAATTGCTTGATTCGGTTAATAATGGGTTTTCCTCTTCAGGTAAGATGATAAAGACATATTTTATACTTTCAACTGAACATTGATACACGGCTTATATCTTGTCATCATGAAATAAACCATTTACAGTTATTCATCCGCAGGTGACTTGTATACGTCAAGCAGTAATTTATTATACATGCATATTAGGTAACTAATCCTATTCCTAATTCTCTAAAGTTCTAATATATATGTTAGTTGCAGCTTCATAAAGTACATTTTTTTAAACATTGTTCAACAAGTGCTAACAAAGTTATTTAACATGTTTATTTTATTTATATGAATAGTGTTGTTATTTTATTTTAATAAAACTATATTTTTATCTCTGTAACGTAAATAATTAACAAGCAACAGAATTGGGATTTCTTCATTACATGTGTACATTTTTGGCAATATATTTTGTTTAAATACAAGATAAAAAATAATAATAATAATAATGGACACAGTATATTAAGGACAGAATATAACATCATATTCATTTGTCTTGCAAGCATAAACACTATTTGCATCATCAAAGGCATAACTGTATGTAAATGGACACATATTTTTCACTTGTCTTGCATAATAATTTGATGTACAAGTAGCAGATGTATTATATCTACCTGTACAGCAATATGTATCTGTTCCATATCTTGAGCAAGCACTCTCGCAGGCGACAAACTTTCCAAGTTTATCAAATGTTTGTAAATCAGACGGACAATTTGGTAAATGGAGACATTCTGACTTTCTACAATGTTTATTATCTAATTTGACAAGACGATCGAGCCCATAAACGATTCTCGGTCGAATACTAAGTGGGAAGTTATAGCCATCAACAAATGATACATCATAATAATCGATATCACTAGAGTCAGTATTTGTAGTCGTAATAGATGAAAATCTGAACTCTGCTAATGATGCTGGATTAGTTGCACCCGCTAGTTCACATTTATGTGTATCACAATTCTCTCTTGCCCACAGTCGACCTGCCCAAGTTGGTTCGACAAAGAGTGGATATGTCTTATTTGCATTTAATTCAATAGTACGCCCTTCTGGCTCTAAATTCATTTGATATCCAATTTGAAGTGTATGTTGACAATGATTAAAAATATTAATTTTTTTCATTTCTTTAGTAGTACTAAAACGTACTGCATTCGCAAACAAAACAAACATGTAAAGAATCAGTAACATGCTACTATTCATTTGAAAAAAGAAAAAGGAAAAGAAAAAAAAAGAAAAAGAAAAAGGAAAAGAAACAAGGACAGTACGTCAAGTACGTGCTTTCTCCATCACACATTTATTTTCTCCTTTCAATAAATCAAGTTCCCTAAAGTTATGCATATAATAAATATATACATGCATGCATGCAAAATAATTTCCCTTTTAATTTAAACATAAAAATGTCAATTATTAATCTTCTTTCATCTCTGCCGTGATCACTTCTTTGACTTTCCTTAATACGTCAATTTCTGCTTGCACATGATCTTCAGTTTTTTCAGCTCCAATTACAAAATTAGACGTTGTTGAAGTCTTTTTATCTTCTCCTTTTTCTTCCATCTCTGCATCTTCATTTAATTTTTCGCGCATTTCTTTATAAACTTCTTTTTTAACTGTATAAATATGTCGAATAAATGTAGGTCGTTTAATATACATCAATCTTGTCGCTTGTAATGTAGCACCACTAGCATAATTGAATCTTTCTTGAGAAGGCTCAAGAGAATCATCTAATTCAGTAATAGATTTGTCTATGACATCAACACTTGAAGGATATTTGGGTCGATTTCTATTAAAGGTTATAAAGATGAGAATAATAATAATAATTAAGAAGGAAAGGAGGAGATGTCTTTCAGTTGGATACTTTACAACATAAACTTTGATAAACTTGTATTTTCTTTACTAGTATTAAATAATTTGGATACTTCATGACTTCCATGAGAGAAGCGAAACTTATTGGGTGGTGTTTCTAATCTACGCTTTTTATTACTCCAGTTCTTTTCCATTTCTTTTATATCAACTGGTTTCTTTTCAAATGGTGGACATCCTGATGTCTTCCAAAAGATCTAATTACATTCAATTGACTTAGTTTTTTGAATGCATGCTGTTTTAATAAACTAAATGTGTATTTACCCAATGACGTTCATGATCCAAGATAGATAAAATGATATCTGTGTATGAATTGCCATGAGGCTTTATAGATCTTAATAGCTTAACAAACATTTCTTTAGTATCTTGAATCCATTTAATTTGATCTTCAGATAAAGTAAATGTAGGTTGGACAAGTGATTGCTTTGTCGTCCCAACTAATGCTAACATTTCTTTCGTTTTCTCTCTTTCTTCTTCAGAGAAACTAAGAAGATATTGGAAAAGAATCAAATACTGAACGATGACACTACGTCTAAACTTTATATCTTCTAACTATAGCATATAGTGTGTTAAACTCTTTTATATATGTATTTGTTAATTTTGATTTTAAAGCAGATTATATACCTCTAAACCTAATAGTTTTCTACTGCTTAATAGTCGAGGGAATTTATAATCACGATTAATAAGAGCTAACATTTCTTCTGCATCATCTGCATTGTCTCCACTAATATCAGATATATTTCTTTCGTATTCAACTCGATCTCTCTTTATTGCTACACCTTCATTCTTTTTTCGTGATCCACTTATCTCTGCTTCTTTGTCAGCTATTAACTTGAACCGTTCAACAATCTTATTTGTACCATTTTGTAATTTATTGAAATTATCATCTACAAATATTGTAGGTGGGTTCGCAAAATAATGTCGAGTAGACCAAAATAGTTTATAAAATTCTTTTTGATCATCTAATATCACTCTAATTAAAAAAAAAAGACAAACTACTTTAAAATAATAACATAAATTATAATACCTGACATTGTTGGATCAGCATCCACTTCTTCAGGAGTATCGTAGTGGACCATGTCTGTATTAAAATCACCTCTTAGATTAACACCAGATCTTTCACCAAGTGGGAATGAATTAGCTAAAAACATCAAGATTCGACCACAAAAGACTGTACTTGTTTCTTTTGATAATCGGCGAAGTAATTCATTACACATTCTTAGAAGAATAAGGCCTTTCCCTTTACCAGGAACCATATCCTAACAACAAATGAAGGGAGATAATTAATATTTAAAATTTACATCAAATGAATAGATAGACACGTTACAACTGTGATTTTATCTTTTCGATGTTCAATATAATTAAATATTTTTTCACATCCAATAGTCGTATGGACCTCGCATAATTCTTCGAGTAAAGTTAAAGGAACAACGTTATCAATCAAATCGACGTCTATAAAGGAGAAACAAAGTAATTGCATTTAATGGGGGAAAAAAAATCGTATGTCAGCATTATTAGCATTTTTTTTTTTTTTTTACCATTTCCTGAGCAATATAAAACAATGTCAAGACAATCGAATATTTGTTGGTATCTTTCTTCATTCTCTTCGAGTCTCTGTTCAAAAGAAAAGATGTTTAAATTAAATAGAGTTACAAAATACAACCATTATTACATACAACAATAAAAAAAAGTGTTCTGCGAAATACAAGTTCTGTTGCATTTCTACGCCAATCTTGTTTACTGCCTTCTGGAATAGAAACATTTAATCTATTTTCTTTTCCTCCTAAAGGCATAATGTACTGATGTACTAAATCTTGAATATTTTGAAAAGGAACTTCCTTTGTTTCATTTGATTTTCTATAATCTGCTGCTAATTCAACACATTGAATAATAGCCTTTTCAATTTCTTTACGATAAGTTAAGAATTGGGACATTTAATTTTGTTTTCCTAATAAAAAAAAAAAAATAAATAAATAAATGAATGAATGAAATAAAATAGCATTCAATTGCTGATTTTAACCAAGTTCGTGACGGCATTTTTTCTTTAAAAAAAAAAAGAAAAGAAAAAAAAGAAAATAATCAGTGAGAAAAGGAGCAAAGCCTTTATTCCTTTATACAATGAAAGAAGCCGTACTTCACTATCAACAGTTACTTGAAGTAAAATTATTAAACAGCTTCTAAATTATTCGAATGAAATATGTTAACTTTCCTATTTTTTATAGGATTTTTCTTATAAAAATCTTTCAGAGATTAAACCTGAAACTTATGTAGATGTATATGCAATTGTTGTGGATACAAAACCCTTTAAAAGGATTTCAAACGGAAGACAGGGTATAAGCAAAAGACTCGTTTTTTTTCTTTCTCTCTCTCTCTCGCTCTCTCATATTATTATTGAATAGAGGGATAAATTACAATAATAATTTATTCGTTAATTGATTGTATTGTTTAGATTATATTTTTAGCATTACTTTAATTGATCCTAGTTTAAATGGCGAAAGTATAACGGCTAATTTCTTTAAATCAAAGACTGAATCACTACCTCAAGTCAGAGTTGGAAGTATTCTCGTTTTAAAGAATATAAAAGTGAATGAATTCAATAATAGAATTCAATTGGCTAGCAGTAACAGAACACTGTATACAGCTTTTGATCCCGTATCATTAGAGGAAAAGCCTTCTGTTGACGTATTTTATAAAATAGAAGATCATGAAAAGATAATTATAAGGGCGTTACATTCTTGGAATCAACAATACATGTCGTTGATTAAAGAAAAGCGGGTACAGATGGCTACCATTATCAAACGACCTATTTTGCAAACTGATCAATTAATCCATAACCCCGCTATGTATTTCGATTATATTGGCATGGTTGTAGCATATAATCGCCCAGATTCTAGATCTGTAGTCGATTTAGTTTTAACTGATTATACCATTAATCCCAAGCCCTATTTTAATGATGAATATAACGTAAAGGGTATTTCATATGAATTCTTATTACAATGCACTTTATGGGATAATCATGCAGATAATTGCCCTGAATTGAACTTTGGCGACTATGTGTTTATTGAGAATTGCACTCGAAATGCTAGAAGCCAATCTTTAGAGATTAGTGTAAAAGGCAATAGAAGCAAAAAGCATCAATTAACAGTGTTAGAGGAGAAAGATCCTTCTTTGAAAAATTTACTTGAGAGAAGGTTAAAGTTTGATGGTACATCAGAAACAGTTATAAAAAGAGATATAACCAAATCTATATCTTCTATTCGAACAAGTAAGATAAACTTGAGTTTTATTGTTTTTTTCTCTTTTTAATTTTTTTTTTCTTTACTTTCTTTGTAAAAGGCTTAACTTGCTCAAGGACTATTAATACAGTTAAAGATATTTTAGAAAAGGAGGTGAGAAAAAAGGGAATGTTTCTAAATGAAAAACCTTTTGATTTATTAACATCGATGTAGAAAGCGGGAATATACTTATTACGAGCTTTTATTCTTAACTATCAGCCAAAAGACATAAAGGACTGGATCCGAGGTTGGTGTTCTACATGTCAAAAAACGTAAGACAGAAAAGTAAAATAGATACGAGTTATTGAAATGTATGTACAAATATTATAATCTTAGTTATAACGATCCATCAAAACCATGTATAAATTGTAAGAAAGAGGTAGAAATCATCTATCAATTTGCCTTTCTTATGGAAGATGAAACAGGAATGAAAATAATCGTATATGGATTTGAAAAAGATGCTGTAACTTTACAAATAATGTTTACTTGAGTACATAAACTTAGCTTTAATATATGAATAATGTAGGATTTACTGTTTTCTAAAGTTCCAGCGAGAGAGTAAGTTATATTCATATAGAAGGATGAGGTAAACTCAAGTTTTGACCCCTCCCCCTTTTTTTTTTCTACAATTTATATTAGAGCATATCTGGATGCATCAAAGTTCGAGGAATTAAAAAGAATTGTTGGAGCAATATGCAATGAAGAAAATATTTATTTTGATATGAATATTATATCTTATGATATTCCAAAGTTAGGTCGTTGTTATAGATTTTGCGAAACCGAGTTCATAACTGAAGATAAGAATGAAGAAAGATAAAATGATAATAAAATCCTCTTTCTTTTTTTTTGCCAGTATTAAAGCCTCGTGTCCATGAATATATATTTGTTATCTACAAAACTATGTTCAAACTTGTGCTTGAAGGAATGGTACCTTCCCTAGTTACAGTTTCGATTATAATTTTATGCCTGCGTGCCTTATTAATACATTCAAGACCTGATATACGATATTCATTACAAAAAGCAGTACCTAAAAATATGCGATTTTTCCCATCTATTTCATAAGATATAATATAGTAATCAACATCTTTCCAATCGTTAGTAGATTCAGTCAATTTATTCCAGCAAATAGTACCAAAAAAGCGATAAGTTTCTTCTTGTAGAATAACGCCTTTAGTGCTCATATTATCGGCAGTTATAGGTTTTTTTTTTCACAATTTGTATCGCTGTATCTTTCCATTTAAGGTCAATCAGCTGTAAAGTTTGCGTTTTTTCTCTTTCTGAACTTTTACTGTTGCTGTTGCTGTTGCTGTTGCTGTTGCTGTTGCTCAATAAAGATGAATTACATATGTTTGTAAAGGCTGGTATAATACTCAGATACCCTAAGCAAGCAATCGTATGAAGTTTTATACCAACTAAACTTGCTGTATTTATAACAACACATAATTCGATACGATTTAAAAGCAGACTATAACCAGATTCTTCTGCCACTGCTGGTATTTGGGTTGTTGTCATTGTCCATGCACCCCCGTGTATAGAATTTTCTACAATAGGTAGAGTAAAGCATTGACTATCACAGGCGTCACTTGCTGATGAAATTGTAATTCGAGATCCGTCTTCTATATCGAAATTATTTTCGGGTAACCATGATTTGCAAAAATCACTAACAGAAGAAAAACTATCTTTAGGATTTTGCAACGTGAATTGGTAAAGCATGATGAGTTTTACGTCTTCGGCTAAAAGCGTCCGATAAATATATTTTAATATGCAACCTTGACTGACACTTATGTTCATTTGATAGAGAGGGATTACTACATCCATCTCCATATCATGAGATTCACGATGGGTTAGTCTTTGTCCCTTAACTACAAGACAAGTGCCACCTAAAAATGCGCCAAAAGTATCCTGAAGAGTACATGATATATCAATATTTCTATCGAATGGACACATTATTAGGTTTTGATAATCCAAATTAGGCAGAATAGATTGATGAGATAAGTGAGACCAAGGTTGACGAAGTAATATCTAAATAATGATAATATTTATTTTTTAATTTTATTTTATTTTCAAGATACTTGTATATGTATATATTTGATTTTTTCTACTTACTTTTCCTCTATGGGCAAAATGTTTACCAAATCCTCTATCAAAATTAGTAACGAACCAATAAGTGCCTGGTACAGAGCGAGTTGGAATAACATCAGAAATCCCCTTTTTTTGATCATAAATGAGTTCGTCTTCACTTTAAAAAAAAAAAAAAATAAATAAATTATATAAATATATCACAGAAAAGTAGTGGTTATAATAAAAATCAAGACTGAAAGAATACACACACACACATACTTAAATTATATTTACCTATCATCATCTTCCGTATTTACATTGTTCTTTAAATTTTTAAGAGGTAAAGGTGGATAATCAGAGTATTTTCCACCACACCAAAATAATCGATCTATTCTCTCAAATTCTTTTTTCTCAAAAGTTTCATAAATCCATGCAGTGCCAAATAAAGCCGATGAAACATGAGTTGAACTTGCGATTTCGATATCTTTGTATGATTTAAAATTACTTCCACCCTGTATATATTTTCCCCAAATGTTTATACCAAAATAGATATCAAAACTTGATTTATTATAATATCGCTCTGCGGTTAATCTTTGAGCTATTGTAGGATATAACTTTTTCCGCCAATAATTCAAAATAATACCATCTGTGCTTTTAAAGAAAAGCTCATTTTTATCTGTTAATTGATTCTGCCAATTTATTTTGCTTGTATAAGTCATACTGTCATACCAAATGACTTTTGAACCTGGTAGTTCTTGATGCATTGTTTCAGTTAAATAACCCAGGAATCTACTCGAACAAAAGAAGAAGAAGAAATACATATAGGCATACATATATTGTATTAATAATAATAATAATAATAATATTTAATTTGTTTATTTTTGTATACTTTGCAAATTCTTGAGCTTTGTATTGTGAACTTGTTGGGAAAGGAAAAAATTCACACTCAATATAAATCAACCAACCATCAAAATTATAATATTTGGCAATATATACTTTTATTACTATTGTTTAAATGTACATTTATAATATATATATTATAATATAAACTTACCTAATTTATCCGCGAAAAAGGGACTCCAGAGTCTTAAATTGTCATTATCATCATTATTTCTTAGATGACATGGGCCTTGAAGAAGTATCTCTATCTCATGCATATGATTATTCCCTTTAATGAAGAAAGTTCCTAAGCATTGAACTCCATTTCGATGACAGTTGTTGGTCCAATTGACAGGAGGTATTGAGACACGTTTACGAGAGAAGCTACAGGTAAAAAGTCAGATAAATAAATCAAGACTAATTATACTGATAATTTATTTACGCGAATGTTAAAATAAAACACACAAAACACACACACACATACACACATATACACATATACACATATACACATATACACAATATTTTTATATATATATGTATATATATACTCACTAAATGAATATATCTGCTAAATGCCAATACTGGAAATAATAAGTGGAATCATAGGCATTGCCTTGAATATATTTATCTTCTGTATAACCTCCTGCCATATCATGAATTAATATTAATTTTGATCTAGAGTTATCCTTTTCACGATATTGTAAAGGTATATTGGATATATTGAATGTATTATTAGAGGGCATCCAATTGTATAATTCATCTATTGAATGAAGACAAAAGGACTTTGGTGATAATGGGTCAAATTGAAGTTTGCATGAAGGCATTTTATTTGCGCATCCAATATTTGTATATATATAAAAAAGAAAGGATAAGAAAGAAGTTAACTTGAACATATATCATAAAATAATTTTAAGTGAATATATCGATCTTATATGTATTTGATATATTCGTATAATGATCATGATAAATATATACCTCTAGTACATATATCATGATTCATATACATTTAACCAGATAGTACTTTAACGTCTTAAAAAGCGCGTGATTATATCAAATTTGCCCAGATTGGATCAATATGTCGAGGATAAGAACGGTATAATCCACTTTGAGATCGAGAGGGGAAAAATAAGTGTGAAAGAAGAGAAGGAAAGAATGAATGTGAGAAGAAGAAGGAAATTAGCTTCAAAGTCTTTATTCAAGATTGACTAGAAATGGGGGGGTCAGTTTGTAAGGATAAAGGTAGTCAATTCCATGTAAAATAATACATATGTTAAGACATTGTATACGCTAAGTATTAACCAAATGTACGGAATAAGAGGTATCTTACCAAAGAAAACAAAAAAGAAGTATGAGCTAAAAGGAACAACAGGAGCAGGCAATTGTTTCTAGCAGTTGTAATCTATAATGTATATGCAGGCACTCTTTTAGGTATTATTTGGTAGAAAGTCGGAAAAATATGATTAAAAGATAATCAGGGAATTGAGTCGATTAAGAATTTTAGGTTAATAGAAAGGAGAATAGAATTTGCCGTAGATCAATTTTCCGTAGAAAATTTTTTATTGGTAATATTTGTTTTTTTTTCGCACTTTGTTATTTTTATTCTCGCATACAAAAAAAAAAAAAAAAAAAAACCTAAAGTATTGATCAAATCATTGTCATTCGTGTATTGTCTGACTCTATGCTTGGAACCCATTCTCTGGCTGCCTATAGATCCTATTGAACGTAGTCGCCTTCTACGACGGCTACCTAGAAAGTTTTATTCATATTGATAGTACAAACTTACCAAAGCCTCATACACGCTCTAATCTCTACTCCTCTACAACTATTGTTGATCTTATTTCGTACATCCTTAATATGCTATCTAAATGACCTCTCAATTCACTTTCTAAGCTATTATACTGGAGAACTAATTGAATCCTTCTCCAGCAAACTTTTAGATTTGATAATATAATATAGTATACTTTCTAATATTACTTATGGATCCTCCTTCCTCTTTCATTCATTGGGTTTAAAAACATTAGGCCTATATTCCCTTTTTCCTCTTAAACCCTTCATAAGAATTTTTTTCTCTCTGAATTTGTAAACTGATTCGAACGAATTTTGATATGTAAAATACTCGTGCTTAATTTAAAAAATAAAAAAATAAAAATAAAAAAAATCTTCTGTGCTTATTGAATCTCCGTTTGCTAACAAAGATAAAAAAAAAACTTCTATTTTTGATCTATTGTTCGGGTGGAGGGTATTAAAAAAAAATTTATTCATGATTTTTTAGATAGTTTCCTTAGAAGAAGAACCGCAACCTTCGTCCAACTCTTTTTCTTCTTTCCTAGTTAATCTGGATAATGCTGCAGCAGCTAATATTTGTCTTCTAGTTTTAGGTGTATTTACACTATTTAATTCGCTATTATTACTGCTACTACCAAGTCTATATGTGCCTGCTTCATATGTAACATTGTTTTCTATGAATGCTTCATCATCTACTGGATTTTTATATATATCATCACTTAAAGTATGTGCACCATGTGCTGTCCAATCTAGTCTAACCACATCTTTGTTTAACTGTCTATTTAAAGCATGAAAATTATCATCATGTTCAATCCAAACCTATCATAGCATTTTAAGATTAGCAGGCTTATTATTATAGATAACAGTGGAATACTTACGTTGTGTGTTAATTCATGTAATAATACTTTTCTTATTGAATCATAATGTCTAAATCCTGATAAATCATCTGTTCGTAGTCGGATTGCAATTAGTTGACCTTTATTTCGATTATATCCCAATATAGAAGTCTCAAAAGGTGTTAGCTCAATTAATTCTCCTACAGACCATTTCCTTTCTACCATGATAGCTTTCACCTATATGTTATCATAAATAATCCATGTCTTATGAATATCATAGTTAATTAATTACTATGGTTACTTTACGCCTCTATCATCTCGTAATTTTTCTAATAATTTTCTTGCTTTCTCAGGATTAGGAAACTCTTCAATAACTGTAAGCTTATGAAATGTATAATTTGAATTATTAAAGCCCAGTCTCGTTACTCTAGTAGTCTGTCTTTGTTGATGTTTTTTTAATTGGATAGTGGGAGCTATACGTTTTTGTTCATTCAGTTTTTTATCTTTATTGATGACTTGTTCAATTTCGGTGGGTAGACTTCCCATTAGCATTAATTTACTTCCTTCCTGTATAGAAAGCTCTTTTAAAGTAATTTGATCATCCTTCAAGATTCGACCTTTCCATAACAATTTTTGACTAGTTCTAGGTAATGATGTTTTCTCTTCGAGATGTTTTTTTATTCCGTCGACAGTTGATTCTAGACTCCAGTCATTAAGATTAATGATTTCTGACTTGAAACTAACTTTAAAGCTAATCGTATTTGACATTTTAATAGAAAAAGAAGAAAAATAAGAGTTAAAAGGAAAAAAAAAAAAAAAAAAAGAAAGGGTGGAGAAGGATAATAATTAAAATATGTGTATTTTGTACCTTAATAAATATGAAGTTTTAATATTAATAATAATGCGTAGTTTTTCTTTTCGTTTCTTTACTTTTTAAGGAATTAAAATGATATTTTTCGGAATAATTGATGTTTTCACAGTTTTTGGTAATCATAACCTTTCTTCTTCTCCCATTATTGTTATACAAACAAGATGCCAAGATTTGACATTGTCTGCCCTCTTTTATTATGTAAACAATTTTTTTTTTTTTTTTTTTTTTTTTTTTTTTTTTTTTTTTGCTTGTTTGTTTGTTTTCACTTTGGTTTCAAAAGTTTAATTTATAATTTTTACTTTAAATGCAGCAAGAGAAAAAAAATTTTCTATTAATTGAAACAAAAAAAAAAAAAAAAAGGGCTTAAAGATATGAGTAAAATACACTGCTGTCAATATTCTGAAACAATTGCTATTTATTTGTTACTTATTTTGATTATATTTTTTTTTTTTTATTGCTAGATTTTTTTTGTTTTCTTTTTTTTTTTTTTTTTTTTCTTCTTGATAGACGTCAATATGAAAACAGACGAAAGTATGGAAGAAAAGAAAAGTAAAAGGAAAAGTTTCCCGGAGATAATACAAAATTTCACACCTGCATGGTTTAGTGTGAATATGGGAACAGGTATTTTGTCAATCCTGTTAAAAAGTTTCCCTTATCAATTCCATGGTTTACATACAATTGCTGTTGTCCTTTTTGTATACAATGTTGTACTATTTTGTATATTTATTTTAATGACATTGGCAAGATATATATTTTATCCTCATCTTTTAAAACGTATGTTAAAACATTCGTCACAGAGTCTATTTGTTGGTACACTGCCGATGGGTTTAACGACGATCGTTAATTTTACTATCCTTGTCCTTATTGATGATTATCCTTGGGGAAGAAATTTGGCCTTTGTGTTGTGGTGTATTGATTTTGCTCTATCTATCTGTAGTGCATTTATTGTACCCTTCTTTATTGTCGTACATCATGATCATCAATTAAAGACCTTGAATGGTACTCTCTTGCTCCCCGTTATTCCTACTGTAGTCAATTCTGCCTCTGGAGGCTTACTTGCACAACACCTTGATGAAACTCGTGGTCTTGTAGTGTTGATGATGTCCTACATGGAAATGGGTATGGGAATCCTTTTAGCATTAATCATCATTGTGATTTATTTCTGCCGTATCACGATACATAGTTTACCACCAAGGGAAGCCATCATTAGTACTTTTTTACCTTTAGGCCCCTTAGGACAAGGTTGTTATGGTATGATTCAATTAGGACTCGCTGGTAAGAAAATATTTGCAGATCATTATGTGGAGGGACTTGGAACGGTGGCATTTGGCGTAGGTTTCATTCTCTCCTTCTTTTTATGGGGTTTGGCTGTCTGGTTCTTTATCATGGCCATCGTCTCTGTTACTTATACATCAAGACAAAGGATCCCATTCAATATGGGTTGGTGGGCTTTAACTTTCCCTTTAGGTGTCTTTACAACGGGTACCTTAAGTATCGGTACCATCTTGGATTCTCGATTCTTCTTAGTCCTTGCCTCCATCTTAACATGTGCTCTCGTACTTATCTGGCTTACCGTTACTTTTAAAACCATAGAAGGTGTAATCACAGGTGCGGCATTTAATGCTCCTCCACCTGTGACAAATTCAAAATAATAGAAATAATAATAATATCACGACAACGACAACTACTGCTACTACTGCTACTACCATTACTACCTCTACCACTACTATTACTATTACTACTACTACTATTACTACTACTACTACTACTACTATTACTACTACTACTACTACTACTACTAGCCTTTGTATATTCATGTATAAAACATATATAGAATCATAATAAATCTCAGCTGTAATATATTACATACACATATTTACTTTTTTTGTTATCAATTTATTAAGCTATACAAAGAAGGGCTAAATTTATTTGAACATATTTGGTAATAATAATAATAATGGTAGTAAATAGCATGATTTTTAAATTAAAGATAGTTATAGTAATAAAAGTATAAAGTAAGTATGAATATAAAGAATAAGGAATACATAACAAAAAAAATAAAGATAAAATAATAATACTAGTAGTAAAGTTGCTTAATTATCTTGTAACTCTTTCAACCTGACTCGATCTTCTTCACCAAATGTACCTCTACTTGCCGTCTTTTTATCACTTGTTTTATTGTTTGTTAAATGAAGTTTTGACCAGTATTCAATTGCATCAAGTAACTGAATAATCTTTGCTTCATTTTCATTCAATACATCTTTTTTTTTTTTTTTAAGAAGAAGAAGAAGAAAAGGAGGTTTAAAATGGATGGTCTTTTCTTAATAATGATGATAATTAAACTTACCTCGAATAGTACACACTCCATCTAATTCAACACCTTCCAAGGTCATAAATTTGAATGCAGCAATAATAAGATCCATTTTCTTATCATTAGCTGATCTCCCTGGCATGGCCATGTGTCTTTCAATTTCTTTTTGAGTTAATTGCTCTAGAAAATCTAAAAGTATATCGCCTGTACTTAATTCTGATAAATGATGAATCTTTTTATTATTCCTTTGAATATATTTATTGATCCACTGAATATATCGTTTACTGTGATCGGACAGGTCATCTTCTTTCTTTTGCAAAAGGTGTCTATTGGATTCTATGATAGTCATATGTTCTGGATCAATCAAGTCTTCATCTTCTTCATTAGGGTAACAATATGTGGTATTATTAGTTGGTTTTGGAGTCTTTATAAACTTATTTTTGTAGCTTAAAGAGCTTTGACTGCTACTACTTCCTTCAGCTAGAGATCGTCTTCGACTATTCCCATGGATACTATTAAACCCTGAATCTTTAAGTCGACTGTTGTAAACACTACTTTCAATTGAATAATTGTCTGATGACGTATGATCGGATGAAAGCAAAGTAGTAATAGACTTGGGTTGCTGAGGATAATGTAATAGGTTACTATTTGTACTTAGGATAGATGAAGTTCGAGCACCATCTGCTGTTTTCATCATCATCATCTTCATTTCCTCCTCCTCTCTCTGTTCATTTTCTTTATCTAAGGATAATAAAGAAAAATGATGATTAAACAATCTCTGTTGATCATGATTGTCTTTAGTGACTGCACTAAATTGCTGGAAAACATTATTTTGTTCCTGAAAAAGAGTTGAAGGTGGACGTGGACGCATTTTTCGGGCCATTTCTAATGATACAGTTGAAATTGTATTTGAAGACATGACAGGTGCTATTAGAAGAGATAAATTGATTAGACAAAAATAAAATAAAATAAAATAAAATAAAATAAACATACATGTATAGTTTCTTGTAATAGTCGCCTTCATTAATGCTTTCATCCATGCTTTCATTGATTTCTCAGAGTCAGTATAAAAATAAAATGTGCGTTCCTTTTCATGATATGCCATAAAGCAATATTTTCCAGCATGAATATTTTCATCTGATTCAATTCTATATCCTTTCAAATTAATGATGCCTCTGATATGAGGAGACTATTTAAATATGTATATGTATATGTATGTGTATATGTATATGTATATGCATATGAATATGAATATATTAATTTATAATAATTATATAGGTACTATTCTTACTTTACCTTTGGATTCTTAAAATAGTATAGATTATATGCTTTAAGAACAAACCATCGCTTATTCCAGTTTTTATATTTATCTCCTTGCTTATAAAGCCATCCTTCCATATCCGGTATATCAGAATATGAAGCTACTTCTTCGGATTGTCTTGTAGCTGGGGAATGAATAGATAAGACATTTTGTAATTGATTCATAGTAGATGGCGATTGTATGAAATTGTATCGATTTGCTTGCTAATTTTTTTTTAAAAAAAAAAAAAAAAAAAAAATTATTACTCATAAAGAACGGTAATAAAGCTTCTTTAATTACCTCTATATTATTTATTGTGTTACGTTTCCTTTCAACAGATGAAGAAGAATTATTTTGTAAAGTTGATGTTCTATTCGCATGTATATCAGATGAGCTGTTACGTTGTTGAATATAAGAAGAATGTCTATTCTTTAACTGTGAATTTCGAATGATTGTACTATAATTAGATACAAGATCATCCTCAAGGAATTCTTGTTGTTGCTTATAGACGATATCTGACTGTGAATTGTTGATGGCCATAGTACTACGCTATTTATAAATGAGAAATAATTTAAGTTATTTATGAATAAAGTTTTCAAGGAATACTTTACTCGTTTATTATTATTCCTTGTGTTTGCTTCTTGCCGTAAAGCATTAATAGCATTATGAATCTTGAACCTTTTACCAAATGTCGCTATTTGAAGTTCTTTTAAAGAGTCTAGAGTCAACTCTAATAAAATATCCCCGCTAATTTCTTGATCTAATAATAAAGAAAGAAAGAATATAAATATCAGGAAAAAAAAAGGAGGGGGAAAGGGAGAGAAGAGTTATGAATAAAATGTTATCTAACTTTTAAAGTTCTCTGCAAGTTCCTTGTCAAATCCGATATGAATTAGCCATATTGCAACTTCTTCTGAACTCCAGTCTTCAATTGGTTTATTACTTAGCAAAGGATTCTCTAAAGATTTACTAATGATTGAATGGACGTTTTTAGAGGACATGGAAACTGCTGAAATCAAAGAGGAATGCTGTGTTGAATTCTTTTGCTGTATAGGTGGTTTCATTTTAGAAATGGTGCTTTCGAGTGAATCGATTTTATTTTCTAATGCAATAGGCGAAGTTATTATTGGAAGTTGATTTGTTGTATATGTGATTGGGAAAAGACCGATTTCACCTCTTTCATTTTTTCCCTTTATATGTATAAATATATATAAAATATATATATATATATATGAATAAAGAAGAATGGATAAGTTATTTTTTTTTTTTTGTTATTCTAATTTCAATAATAATAATAATAATAATAAAAAGGAACTGTCATTTCACCTGCCACCAACCATCATTAAAACCTTCATCTCTTTCGAGCACGATTACTTTCTCTCCAACATTGATCGAGATCTCATCTGGATTTTCAGCTTCAAACTTATGTATTGTATAAACAACTTCAATTCCAGACATTTAAGTAAATAAAGAAAAGCTGTATTAAAAAGACACAGTTGGAATATATAAAGAGTACAGTGAAAAAGCAGTCAGACTACTTCAAATGCCGCACTTGTTTGCAATAATAAATTTTAATTTACTAGACCAAATAATTGATAGGTAGCACTAGTCAGTTGCTAAAAGAGAGAGAAAAAGCTATTTAAAGTCAGAAAGAACTTGAATGAAGCTATTATATAATCATGTAGAACCATTATACTCACAATAGCCTTTGGGCTTTTTTTTTTATGGAAACAAGTCGATCATACTTAGAATCAAAGACAATTTACAATAAATTAGAGTCGCTTGTGTGTACAGGATTGGGTTATAAGTAAGATAATGATGATCAAAGTAAAGCCAATTGCTGTTTAAATAAATGAATAAAACGGGTTTCATTGTTTAAAAGGTCAAAAGAAGGCTTACTGTCAGATAGTGAAAGGTAAGTAATAAATAGGCTATATTGATTATATATTAGTAGTCTATGGACCATTGCGCCTTTTTTCTATAGATATCGTTTTATATAAATAGCGTTATGAAATGGGCTATGCTATAATAAAGATTATAAATTCCTCCTAGTTAAAAATGGTACTATTACTACCCAAGTGTTCTTATGTCGTAAGCAATAAAAATAAATGGTCAGCTACATAGCAGCACAAATTGCTTATGAATCAAGGAATAATAAGATGAAAATAGACTTTTTTTTTTATTCAATACACTTAAAGATAACGTCATGAAGGACTCGTAAGATAATATGTACAAAGCTTAATCATTTACCAATTATTAGTCTGTTTTCTAAACGAATTCAAGACTATCTATTTTATTTGCAACAATGTTATTATAGTCCATATCTAATAATACGTAAAGATATTGGAATCATAGTTGAAGATAGCATCTGTCTATTGTTATTGGTAAGAAGTAGATAGTCAGTTTTAGCTAATTATTGCTGGATCTTGTAGTAAATAAATTGTCATGTAGTGTGTTTACTGTCAATGTTGGAAATAGATTCAATGTATTTAATACACTATTGACAGGCTTAAACCTCTTTGAATGTGTAATGATTGTAATAAAGACTTTCCTCAATAAAGCTGCTAATATCCCGAGTCGCGGTATAGTTAGGGAACTTGATTATATGAATGCTGTTAAAATGATAATGAATATCCTGAAAGAATTTGAACTACATGAGTCACATTATTGAGCACGATAGGAAATGTTAAAAAAAAAAAAATCAAGATATTTATATAGTCATTTTACACTGGTAAATAAGGTTTAATATAATAAGTTGATGGGTTCTGTTCTCCTCTTTTACATAGTACAAATCAAGTCTATTTTGACACCATGTTAGAGCTTTAATACTTTGTCACAATTTTTATTTATTTATTTTCAATCCACATCAGAAAAACGATTCATTGGCTATTAGCAAGTCGTGACTGTAGCTCTGTCTCTCTCTCTCTGTCTCTCTCTCTCTTTTTTTTTTTCCTTTTTTTTTTCCTTCTAAAATTCACTTCAATTTAGACAAAAAATTCAAATAATCAAAATGGATTATCAATATACAGATGAAATGGAATTCGAATATACAGAACCTCTCTCTTTTCCTTCATTAAATGAAAAATTACAGACAGTATATACATTACCACCTTCAGGCACCTTTCATATTCCCCAGTCTCTTTTTGGAAATAATTATACAAAACTGAGTTCGACAACTAATACAGTATGTAATTTACTTAATGAAGTGACGTTGAATGATAAAGAAACTGAACGAATACAAGAACAAGAAGACAAACAAACAAAAGTATGAAATGACGATAAACAATACAATATATGCCTATACAAACTGATTAATTATAATTGATAGATGTCAAAAAGTTTACAACTATTACCAAAAGATAATTCATTAAAAGTAAATGATAGTAAAGATCGATTAGAAATAAAGCAGTCTGTTGATCAGTTTGAAATACCAAATGCAATAGCATCCTTACCCACACCAACCGATGAAAAGTTAAAAAGTCCAGTAGCAACTTCTCCTTCACAAGTATTTATATATAATGCAGCACCTTCTACCGATGAACATATCAATCATAGCCATAGCGTAATCTATTATATTAATGGACTATTTAAACTATTTTATACGTCTATTTTATTTATGGGAGCACTTTATATTATTATTCACCTTATTAGAAATATACACTATGATATAAAAGATAAGATAGCTACTTATGAATCAGGTAAGAAAAAGAAGAGGAATTCAATTATAGATTAAATTCAATATTGAATGAAGAAATTTGTTATAGATTTATTTGGTGATCAGTTATATTGTCAACAACAATATGAATTAAATCGATGTTCACCTAATACTCGATTACCAGCTATTCAAGATTTATGTAGAGAATGGGAACGTTGTATGATGCGACCGTTAGCAGTAAGTAAATCGAAAGTATTGGCGGAAACTTTAGCAGAAATGGTAAATGGATTTTTGAATACTTTAACCTTAAAGACAATGGTAAGAAGAAGATAAAAATAGTAGATTAAAATGATTTGCTTATTTTTTTCTTATTTTAAAAAAAAAAAAATAGATATATAGTATTGTCTTTGGATTTGGAATTATTTGGTCTCTTACCAATGGTGGTTTAATAAGCAAAAGAAACTAAGCATTATTGTAACATGGATAGGAAAAAAAGTAAACTTTAAATTTTAGTAGTCATGCAATTTTTTTTTTTCTGTTAATTTCTTTTATTTATTTACAAATGATGCTATAATATACAATTGGTATTTTTTTTTTTGGATTATAATTGAATATTTTCCATAATTTTATAAGGTAAATTTGAAGTTAAAGTTGTATTCTCAGTAATTAATAATAAGTTGATTTCATTATGATTCTGTTCTGATTGAGTAGCATAAATTAAAATTTCTACAAATAATGGAAATTGTTGAAAAAAGTCTTCCATGTCTTCAGTAATAATAGGTTGGCCATTCTCTAATTGATGATAGCTATAAACATGGCCTGTCCTAACCTTGATAAGAATATTAGATAATCCCTTCAAGAGTCTTTTTCTTGATTTAAACATATTGATAATGTCTTCGGATATTAATTCAATATTATCTTCTAATATAGGTAAATGATCATTTATCATAAAACTACTACTTTCATCCTCTATCGTCGTCATCATCATCGTATTACTATTCAAATTTACTGTCTTATTAGGATGACTGTATAATTTATTTGCTAACCATTCTTCAAAGATACGAGAAATAGGTGTAGTTGCCTTAGTATTACTTGTACCTAATGTAGGTAACTGTATAATATTATATGAGCATCATCATTGTCTCTCTCTCTCTCTCTCTCTCTCACACACACACACACTCTCTATCTCTCACTCTCTATCTCTCTCTTTCTCCTTCAATCCTTATTATTACCGAAATAAATCGAACACCTCCATCCATAAAATATGTATTTTGACATTGAGATATACGAAGGTTTGTTGGATCCTGCATTTGATCTTGAAATAATTCAATATGAGTCGTTGAATGAGAAGGGTATAAAATAAGGCTTGATAAATCATCAATAGCTGTTGCTAATGTTTCTTCATCATCTTCACTATCATAATATTGTTTCATGATAGTAGTTGTTGTATTCTCTTTTGTAATAAACTTATTATTGGTATCTTTAAAATAAAAAAGCAAGTTTAGATTCTATATTATGACATATAAAAGTATGTATTACCAAAAGGATATGTTGTTTCAAATAACATGTTAACTACTTATATATTTATTTACAAAAAGAAGGAAAAAGAAGAAAAAATAAAAAGGGATATCCCTTTATATGTATCTATTTTGCTGCTGGATATAAAATATAATAATCCTTCTATATTAAGTAATCTTCTTCTTTTAAGAGTGTTCATGTGAGAGACTATATCGATATTTTGCATTCTCTTTTATAAATAAAAGTCACGAGAAAATAATATATTCTCAAGTAAGGTAAAGGATCCTTTACTATTATCTTTCTTTAAAAACAAAAAAATAAAATAAAATAAAATCTTCCAATGATGAATTTTAATAAGCCGGATGTTACCCTATCTTATTAATATCTTCTTTATCTAGTGCAACCTTAGATGCTATTTGCTGGTCATGTGTAATGGAAATTATTCGCACACGTTTTATTTTATTTTTTTATTTTGAATTAAGACGATGATGGACCAAGTAAAATTTAAATTCAAATAAGATGCTTACCTTTTTTGGACGGAATTCAGATAGAAAAAAAAAATCAGCTTTCAGAAGAATAGAGTTATAGTGTTTAGACATCTTACCTGTAAATAACTAATCTAAAGCCTTCTAGAAGACAACCGTGTTTGCTACAGCGATTGTGAGCTATATGTTTAATTTTTTTGCTGTAAGCTTTTGGCCTGCTATTGGCTTTCCAGAAGGATGGAGAGATTTTCACCATTGGTATTTTTTTTTTTTGGCGGCATTGATGTCTCGTTGACAAAGTATACTGCATTTTGTAAACGAGACAAGTACACTTTAATCTTTGATATACATTTTTGGTTGAAGAGTGCAGGTGATACATTGACTATAAACCTTTTATGTGTTAAATTCATCGATTGGTATGATCAGAAGATCCCCAGTAACTTTTCCTTTTTCTTTTTTCATGCATCGACCACAATATAATCTCTTCAGTTTAACTGTATCCTTTTGAAACATATTGTTACCAAAAAACAACCAGAGGAACTTCCTACTTGTCTTCATTTGTAAACTTACCTGTTCATCCTATAAAGTACTTAAAAAATTAGAAATGAATACATAGGTCTACAATTCTCAACTTACTTTCGATGCTAATGCTGTCTACGCTTGCTTTTTTCGTTTCTTTTTTTTGGGGGGCTTTTAATATTCTTCTTTTTTCATTTTTTTTTCTTTCTCTTCTTCTTGCTTCTTCGATTTCTATTATATTTTGGATGTACCATGCAATAACATGTCTACCATGATTTTAAGAATTTGTTGTCTGCCTTAATATAGACTACGTTTGTTGATGGCAGTGTGATATTCATAAAAAGAGAAAGCAATACGTCGAGATTAGACATCTTGTAATTGGTATACTGAAGATATGGGGCACCTCTTGACTTTTTTTTTTTTTTTGCAGAAGATATTACAGATTTAATCGCTGTATGCCTTTTTTTTTCTTTTTCAGTCTTTTGATATGAATTGTTGAACAAGTTAAATGGTGGTAGTATTCATCTGTAGTGCAACGTCTTATTTGATGCTAGTCCTTGTCAATTCCAATAGCAGCGATTTAAAACTGTGTTCTGCCCAGTATCAATGAAAGCTAGGCCTGAACACTCGTATAACCACTTCTATGGAAAAGTCTTCAATACATGAAATCATGATTTACTATTGAATTCTACTCTTTTTTATCAAATGTAAAAATCTAGAAAGCATCCTGTCAAACTTGACACTATTGCCAAATAAAACATCATTTGCTCCCTGTTGATATCAGTTCATCAATACTATTTTATGGTCGAGACTATACAAAGATCGATTATATACACTATGAGAAGTTTATTATGTTAATGTACTATCAGCAATGAACGGGATCGTGAACAATTAATTGGTATATCATTTTAATTTCCCCCCCACACACACACACGCACATACTTATTCTAAATATATGAATTATTTTGATTATATTGATTATATTCAACGTTTTTTCTTTCCCCCCCTCTACACGTATAATAATGCATAGAGTAACTATTTTGAGAAGGGAACAAACTTTTTTTTTTTGAATTATGAAAAGGCTAAGAAGTGAGTGATGAAAGTAGTGGTAATATTTGTATACTAAGAAACTTGCAAGAACTCATTTGAAAAAATTAATAATTAATAAGAATCGTTTGCATTGATTATAATAAATCAGAGGGGAAGTATAATCCTAGAAATTATTATAAATGCAAGTTATAGGTTTTCTTCTACTGCAGACACAAGGTAATTGTTAAAACAAGATATATATGCACTTGTAGTTGGTTCTCTAAACTCTCTTTGTATACAGTTGGAACAAGCAAAAAGACGAGTAATAGAACTATTAATTTCCCATTGTAAGATATATAGAACAGATATAACCACTCCTCTGCAAAATTTTCTTTATCTCCCTTTTAATATAATGCCAAAAGTTAAAGTAATTTACAAATACCTTGGTGATAATTATGAGGCCTTTACAAGAAAGGTACTATACGATAATTGTATCAGGAAGAATTATCCCATACATGAAACCAAAAATAATAATAATAATAATAATAGCACCATGTATCCATATTAGGCATATTGTCATTAAAGCAAAGTTCTTTGTAAATTATTACGTTTTGCTAGATACAAGCAGAATTCTACCTCATGATATCTTAAAAAAAAATGTAATCTTTATCTTTTGCTCAGTTTGAAAGCTTGTCAACACATCTAATTCCAAGGATGGAGATGTATTGACCTGTAAAGTATGTCACAAAGTGTGGCAAAGAGATGCAAATGCAGCTCGCAATATGATGATGATGATCTCAGAAGTTATCTGGTCAGTAGAAGGAATATGGCTAATTTTAAAACCAAAGAAGAAGAGTAATATAATTGCCACAGCAAGCACGATTGCCTTCTAGAAGGCTTTAGATTAGTTATTTACAGGTAAGATGTCTAAACACTATAACTCTATTCTTCTGAAAGCTGATTTTTTTTTTCTATCTGAATTCCGTCCAAAAAAGGTAGGCATCTTATTTGAATCATTTAGAATAGAACTTCTTTCCTACTCCTCTCCCATCTTTAAGATCCAATACAAATTTTAATAGAAAAAAAAAAGCGTCCTTAACTTAAAATCTCTTAGTAATATTTTAAACTTATAGATAGAATAATGATAAATGATAGGTTTACCCTTAATCCTGATTATAAACCAAAAAAAAAAAAGTTTATAGAAAGTTTATTCCAATTTAATAGTTATCAAGATTTAATTATTTAAGCAAGTTAAACATAATTCTTATTTCATTTTATGATAATGGATATTTAATTTATAGATTTTTTTTTTTTAGAGTTCATAATTTAACCTGTTTTTTATCTAAGAAACAAAGCTCACTCAAGACTTTATGTACATGATAAAGTTTTGCAACCTGTTGCACTACTTATTATTATAAAAAAAAATAAAATAAAATAAAGGAAGGGAAGTCATTTAATACAAATCGAATGAATATTAGGAAACTATTTATAATTTTTTTTATCATAGTAAAAGATCCTTATTTCTAATACTACTATAGTGTATTTATATTAAAATATAAACGGGTTATCAATGCTTTTAATATTTAATTTTGTTTGTAAAATATGCTCATTATTACCTTGAAGAATCCATTTATTTGTATATAAGAATGTTTATTCTTCTACTGTATTCTATATCATAAATAATCAGCTTTTATGATGGTTATAAAAGGAAAATCAACTAATTAATGTTATATATGTATATCTTAGATTAACGAAAGAATCTATTTTGTGTTTTAATCCTCTGCACACTGAAATAATGAGATAAATGAGTTTATTAAAGTAATAGATACATATACATACATACATACATATATGTATATACTAATTTTGTTTTGTTAGAGGGAAAGTAATGTAGCCATCAACTGAATATTAATAATTCAATTACAAAGAAAACTTGATAAAATAAATAAAAGAGAAGAGGCTGATCTTGTAGACAGAATTAATGTTTAAAACATGTGTTGGCTCTGATAGAGATAAAGGTGAACTATCTCTGTTCTTTATCATTATGAAATAAGAAAAGAAAGAAGACGTGTTGCTCTTCTTATTTTACATTATACTTGTATTATTATATCTGAACTATTTTGCTATACCAAGACACATTACTAAAAAATACAATCATCTATTTATCAAACGCTCTTGTACCAAAAAAAAAGCTTCTTCGAGGAGAAAAAGCAAAAGTAAAGCCCAACGGGGGGGTCGAACCCCCAACCTTGAGATTAAGAGTCTCACGCTCTACCGATTGAGCTAGCTAGGCTTTGTTGATTTTTGGATTCAGCTGCTAAATAATAGAGTAAATGAATACCGGAGTTTAAAATTGACCAATCATATTGGTCACTGTAATTCAAATAAAAATAATAACTACAAGGAAAAAGGTGAAGTTTATAAAAACAAGCTTGTTGTGATTGTAGTAGCCTTTATAATTAAGTTAATAGAAATAAACCATCATTTATTACATAATAAAGAGGTTATTCAAATTAAACTAATATATCGCGCTTCACAGCATAATATTCATTCTACTCTCAGTTTTGATAATAGTCATTGTTTGAGTATTCGAGCATTAAAAATAATTATATACATTATATTATGTAATAATAATAATTCAATAGGATTATGACTGTTATATTCAATTACATAATTATTTATAAGTCATACATATTATATATAGATAGCTATAAAGATAAATATTGTTATGTAATAATATCTTATAGGATAATAATAATAGTAGCATATAAATAATTGGTATTGTTATAGCTGACATATTCACTGTGAATTAATATTGACGCGTCGCTTACCCCAGAAATAATAATTTAATATTTTTAGTAACAGCGACAGCTCAGGCAGAAAAGAATAAAAATAGATTTTATTGTAGGCAGAATTATTCGGAGAAAATATTTATGACTAATGCTTTATTATAGCAATATTTGCTTATCCAAATCATAGTTCTATTAATATCACTTACCTTGCAAAAACATATAAATAACCCTTTACTTTTTCACATAATTTTTCCTTGTACAATTTTTGTATTATTTTTCTTAATAAAAAAACTACGCGAAGTTTTCACAGACTTGTCTTTTGTTTTTTCTCTTTCTTTAACTTTTTGCTGTCAAAACAAAGCTCTTTAACCTTTATTATAAAATTTGAGAAGATGGCGGTATATTTCTTAATATCTGCAGCTGTTATAATCGTAATTAACTATTCTATCAAACTGGAACCAATTTTCAAAATAATTAAAAGCAAGGTACCATTTTCCTACACAATGTGATGATTGTCAAAATGCAATTCTAAATTTTTAGCAGTCGCGAAATGTGTTGTGTATATAATGATGTATTACATAATATCTTATAATGTACAAATCAGAGTCATGAAGAACCGAATGATATTATAGTTATTAGTTATACACTTTATGCATACAATATTATTTGATTTCAGTTTATAAGATATTCTTGTGATGAGAAAAATAATGTTATAATAAATACTAACTCTACGAAATAATGATTGTGATGGAATGTAAATAAAAATAAAAGACAAAATAAAAAGAGAGAAAGGGAACAAAAGGAAGTATAGTTTGAGACTGTTTTTATTCAATAAAATAAAGAAAGTTAAAAGAAAGCTAAAGAAAGAAGTTAAAGATTATTTTGTGTCTAAACAACTGCTTGTATTTATATTAATGAATCCTGAATCAAAGAAATAAAAATAACCGTCAAATAACATGAGTCATGAAACAGTGTTAGTATTCGGATATACGTCTTGTTGATTCAAGAGACTGATCTATGGATTATCTATTGGGTGTTATAATGATCTGATTAAGTTTTAAATAAAAAATTTATTGTTTAATCTGAGTATATGTTCCTGATATCTTTTATGTTTTATTTTATTGGATCAAAGACGACCTAGATCCTTTATCAAGGTTATAAAAATAAATATTTAGAAATGATACGATGTCTTATAATTGATACATCTAGACAATTGGATGTCAATAAGTTTTATATTATTTACAAGATGTTATATACAGAGTTTTATTTCATATTCAGGCTTATATTTTATCCTGTATTATGTAATTCATCTATTACAATATTACTTATGATTATATCCAGAGCTTGTTCTATAACATAGAGAAGTGGGGTTAGGCAATAGATGGGGGAGTATGTTACAGAGTGGCTATACCCAACAATGTTAGCTCATCCAAATAAGTAGCCTACGCGACTTTTTATAACCAAGCTGATGTAGTTTAAATGCTCACACTTGTTTACATATTCTCCCATCCATTGCCTAACCCCACTTCTCTACACAACTTCTACTCTAGCTAGCTAAGCAAACACATCCTAAAATGTGATAGGATGACGTCCCTAGACGACTGACTAACAATGGGTTCCAAAGTCAGTTATTTTATTTATTATAATCTTTAATTGATGCTTATTTATATTATAAGAATATCAAAGATTATCAGAGAAGAGGTATTAGAAAAGTACTTGTTTATATTTAATATTGTTAATAAAATGTACAACGTCCTTAAATTTATGAAATATAATGAATAAATAATAATAATAATAATAGTAATAGTAATATATATATATATATATGTAAGTCGAAATACCCTTCGTTGATATTATTATTTGTTCAGGTATTATTAATCTAAAGATAATAATTAACTCTGCTGATGATTGCTTTCGCTTTGATTATTTATTCATTTCATTTAACGTCAGATCACGATATAATAATTTATACTTTTCTATAAGCCTTAGATATCCCCTGTATTTTTCATATAAATATACCCATTATAAAATCAATTATTTTTAGTCCTATTATTGTTCAGTCTCGTTGATGGCTTTATTCATGTTTTATAATTTTATATTTAAACTATCACATAGACATTCAAATAGTATGTATAATAAAACTATTTAAAATTAGTGAAAAAAAAAAAGGGAGAGGGGGCAACTCTAGAGATAATATAATTTATAATACATAATGGAATTTAATAATAATAAAAAAAAGAACAGTTTATTTTTATTAATGTGTTTCTGACATTGGTATTCTTTCATAATCTTCATATATGATTCCTTCTGTTAATTTTATGATAATTAGTATAAATAATGCTAAAGAGATTAGCATATATTGTACACCCATATTGAATAATATTATTATAGACATTATTACAGTAAAGAATATTACAATAAATAATTTATGCTTTTTCTTTTCGGGTCTTTGCTTGATAATAAATGTAATACAGATAAACAAGAATATAGAAACGCCTTCACCGGTGATACTGAAATTGACTAATGGCGTGTATAATGTTGGACTTTCTATACGATAATGCATAAGTGTCATTAAGGAAGAACATATGTAGGCCGTTAGATATGAAAAATCGACATAACCATTGTTAAACAGTTTCTTCATAAAAACAATTCCACAAATAGTTACAGGAAAGTTAAAGAAAAATGTTATTTCCATTGTTGAGAAAATATATTTTTGATACAAATATTTTGGTTCGAAATAGTCAACTGGTCTATAGATGTTATCCATGTAATGGAAGTTATGAATAATAACATGTAAAATATAAAATATCATTATAATAGCTGAACTATGGTTGCTTTTCCCAATAAATCTAAACTTTATCGTTTTTTTGTCATTGTTAAACGTCAAATAATTTTTCGTCGTAAGAATAATATTCAAAAGCATTAATAAAAATGTGACAAAAATAAAGAATAGCCGAAGAAAACTATGTTGATCATCAAAGCCTTCATCGATTAAAATAGGCTTTCCTAGTGTAGATACTCCTTATTTAATCATGATTGTCTTTCTTTTTTTTTATTGAGTATTTTTTTTAAACAAAAGATATATTTTTTTAAAGAAAAAAAAAAAAAAAAATAGCAATAAAAAATTTATAAATATTTATATAAAAGTTGTTGATGATTGGTCATCATTTTGCATTTGAGTTTATTATTTTATTCCCCCCTAAGTTTGTACTACAAATTTATAATAGAGAAACTATCAATAATTATCAATATGGTCCTTTAAAGGATAGTAAAAAAAAAACTGCTCATAGATATAATCTTTAATAATAAACTATTATAAAATAATTTATATATCATACATATATAAATTGTATTATTCATTCTTCTATTGTATCTTTAAATAAATAAACAAATAATAATAATAATAATAATATAAAAAAAAAAACGGCCAGTGAGGGTGCATGACATGTGAAAATAAATAATAAGAAAAGCACAATCTTTTGCTGGGATATGAGTGTTGTATCTAGATATTCTATAATTGAACTAAGCAGGTTATATACTAGTAAAGCAGTTTGTTCCTCTAAATATCTACTTTTACTTTAATTAGAAAATATTTGATATTATTGCAAGAGCCTAAAAAGAATAATCTGTCACGACTCAAGATTTATATAATTCGCTATCTGATACAATTCTTATTTTGTTAACATTTATTATTGAGATATCATATAGAGTACTATCTTTGATAGATCATACGTCTTAACGTTGGTTATTAATTTAAATCAAAACACGTACCAACTATAAAATAAGGTAGCATGGTGAGAAGCTTATTATTTGTGCGATCTTAGATTTGGAATATTTGATTAGGGAGTTGGAATCTTTACTTGTTCAATCTAGTGAATAAAATTACTTTTTATGTTAAGAATAACTATTGCTGTAGTGTATTCAATACAACAGAAGACACAACTCTATGCAGCAGCAGCAGTTCTTCTTGTTTATATATAAAATAGTATGTGTTCTATATCATCACTAATAAACAATATTATTCCTCTAGTAAATTAACAATTTAATAGATAATTTTATTACTTTATCATTTTAAATTGATATGGTTCTTTTTTTTTCCAGGATATTTATTCTTAGCTTTATATATATCTATTATGGGTATGCTTTAGCTGTAGTCGTGTAAATCAATTTATACTAGCTCTTTGTATTGCATGTTTATTTTAATAAAGTAGCAATCATCTTCAGTATAAATACAATATACACATTTATTCATCTTGTAGTTCCCATTGAAGTATAAGGACCTTTTATTTATCAGCTTCTGCATCTAATTCATCTTTTACAAGTCTTCCTTGATTTTCTTCATCATTCCTTCCTAAAGTCCAAATTTGAGCAAAACAATTAAAAGTGATTGATTTTGGATCTTTCATTTCGTAGAATTCGCCATCACACATGATACACATTATGTTTTTTTTCTCATACTTGTGTCTTGATTTATCTTTAACAAAAGCCTTTGTTTTAGACCAAGCTGAAGATGATTCTTCTAATTTATCAGTCTTTTTGAGATGGTATTCAGGTTGATGAAAATTAATTTCAAATGGACTATCAAATTGACCTATCCTCGACACGTGATGTCGAATATTGGCCAATTTTTTTAAATAACTAGACATATTCTCTATACTCATTATCTCTAATCGGCAGTCATTAGCCCGTTGTGGTTTCCAATTTCTTGGATCTGTTGGACCAGAGCGATTTGATACGGCTTCTAAACCTGATTGCGCCTCTCCCCAAAGATCTACTTCTCTACCCCTAAAAATGATTAAGTTTAGATACATATTACATATATACATGCATGCATATACATATATATATATCGTATGTTTACCAAATATGAGGAATATTTTGAATTACTAAATCAATAGGATCATTCATCATATGTGGTATGTTATTATTATTTGATATTTTTGAAGATTCTTTTTGTTTTTCTTCTGGATTCGGCCATTCAAGGGTTTTTTGACCATTTTGACTGATATTTTGGATATAATGACTAAGATGAGGAAATCGTCTCCAAAATACCCATTTAGAACTTTCATGAGCATACACTAGTTTATTAGCAAAACGATTACCAGCACGATGTGCTTCAAACCCACTACCTACAAAGCCTTGGACACCAATTGACATATAATTAGACATCTTTCGAACCAAGACAGTTTCTTCTTTTTCTAAAGGTAATTCATCTTCATGCTTTAAATGGCCATTTTTCACTTCTGCAACATCATGACCATCATTCCTTTCTTTAGGGCCTGCCTCACGCACATAACCCGAGGGATAAGAAGTCAATTTAATTTCCCATACATCTAAACGAGCCACTTCTGATTTCTCAAGACGATCACAAATAAGTTCTTCCAAATTTTGTAATTTAGAACCAAGAATATTCTTATCTGGAATTGTACGTCCCCAACCAAGGACTTGACTAAAATCATTACCAGTTCCAAAAGGAATACCTAAATAGGATGATGATTTAATACTTTCTGTTCTTCGTTTCCTTTTTATTATAACTTACAAGAGAAAAATACAAGACCAAGATCAATTTTATGAGCTACTAATAATTCAAAGACACTCATGACAGTACCATCACCGCCAGCACTCCAAACATGAATTTGTCTTGTTTGAACACCTTTCGATAAAGTTGGATTTTCGTCATTATTTATATCCACCTCATTTTGCTCAATAGGTGGTATTTGATTAAATTTTAATTTACATTCAACTAATTGAATATTTTTGATGCCATTATTACGATCCTCATCGTTTAGAATATCATGAATCTCTACTTGTACTTGAGGGAAACGACGAAGACGAAAATGTTGAATCGGTAAAGCAACAAGATCAGCGCCCTTTTTATCACCTGAAACTGGATTAACGAAAATAAATAAATAAATACTAGGCCTGCCCTCTGAAGATGTATTATCTAATTCAACTGAATTGTTTATTCTGCTGTGTTGAATACTAGGTCTTTTTGATATATTAGAATTGTTTGTTTGTTTAATCCAATTTGTCGGCTCTGTGGAGGATGTATTATTCGATATAAAATCTTGCCCTTGTTTATTTAATGAATTATTCATTTTATGCATTTTATATGTGTGTATTTATCCCATACCTGTTACACCATTTATATTTTCTTCGTTTTGATGATCTTTTAGTGTTCTAGATTTGGATATAAATGAAGGGTTATCTAGTTTAGGAATTGGTGATTCTAACATTAGACTGCTATCTTAAATAATAATTATAGTGAAAGAGGATAATAATAATAATAAAAGATCAATAAAAAGAAAGTAAAAAAAAAAAAAAAAAAAAGGACCAAATTAGTAAATTAAATGATGTCATGCTGATTTGATTCCGATTTTTATTTATTTATTCAATAATTCATTCCAACGTCATATTATAGAAAAAGTTATCTGGTATTATCTTTACCAGAAGTAAGTGAGACGATTGATTTACGACGCTCTTCACTATGAGATTCTGATTCAGCTTTTGTAACAATTACTGTACAGGGACAATTATGCACAATGTAGTCACTAACACTGCCCAACAATGTTCTATTACATTATTTTAGAAAAAGAAAGAAAATAATAGTAAACGTAGATAGTCCTTTTTTTTTACCTTTTAATTGCACCCATCTTTCTGGCGCCCATAAGAACAACATCAGCTTTGATTTCTTTTGCTTTTCTTAAAATCTCTACCTTTGGGTCACCCACCATGGATATCGCTTTACAAGCAATCTTTTATTTTTGGTTTGTTAATAAAAATTATTTAATTCATAAACTTGCCATTATTTTTTTTTTTTTACCTTTTTTCGATTAAGGTTCTCAGCAAAGGTACGTAATAAATGATGACTTTCTCTTCTCCTCTCTTCACTTATATCATCCACAAATCCAGTCGTATTAATATAAGGAGCAACGGGTATATCAATTTGACGAACATGAACAAGTATTACCTTAAAATAAGATGTTTATGTTAATTTGTATACATGAAAGTCTTTATACCCTCTCCCTTCTCCTTTTGTTTACCAAGTCCTTTGATGGGACAATAAAGTTGTCTAATGCCCATTGAAATGTAACATTAGAAGATTCAGGATCTAAACATATAAGAACTACACGATTCAATTCGGGTCCATTGTCATCATTATGAACAATTGTATCCACTTTTTTAAGAGAAGGTAACTCTCCAGTATTTGAACTACTTGACATTATTTTAGAGCAAAAAAAAAAAAAAAAAGGGAATAAATTATTATTAAAACTTAATTGTGTAGTGTGTATATATTTATTTATGTAAATAAAATTAAAAACAAAACAAAAAAAAAAATGGGTTGATTAATTTTGCATGAATTTAACCCTAGTAGTTTAGTTTATACTTTTATTTTATGCATGCATAAATTAGCTTAATCTCTATGTAACCCACTACACTTTTTTTTTTTGTTAAACTTATTATTTATGCGTTGAACAACCAATGGTAATTTTTTCATGCTTTATACCTATTTAGGAAATACTAAATAGGCCTCCTTCTATTTCCAGAAATGAATGGAGCACCACACAAAAAAAAAATATTCAGTACATTCAAAAAAAAATAAAATAAAATAAAAATGAGCCAAGAGGAAAGTATTTCGCCATGGAGATACTATCTTTGAAAACCCCACTCGTAACTCCAATTTTTACAGTGATATACAAGCCATGATATATGTTTACGGACAGCTTGTGAAGTACCTTTGTATTCAAAATAACCGAGTCATCCCTTACACGTATGTAAAAGATAAATGCATGATGACAGAATTGCTATTTGTCCCCAACTTGGAAATGCTGAATTTTGATCCTAAAATGTATGTAGAAAATGGTTGTTTATCATGAGAATATGCATCGATTATCTACTTTAACAAACATAGCGTACATCTTTACCTTACTTGAAAATATCCTGATTTTAAATTTTTCTCTAGTGCCTGATTTTTTTTTTTCCTTTAATTGACCAGTGTTTGAGATTTTTATTTTCTCTTGGCTTATTTTTTTTTTTTTGAATGTACTGAATATTTTTTTTTGTGTGGTGTCCCATTCATTTTCAGAAATAGTATATCATCGGAGTGCATAATAATATGTCAACGTAAAATTTTTAAATTATTATTACTATTTTTTTTTCCTTCATTTTCCCTTTTTTTCGGTATAGATCATGCCATTGTCATGTTTTAGAACTAGTCTGCAACGATCCTTTATTATCAATAAATACTATAATCATCACTTTTCATATTTTCATACAAAATCCACTGAATGGACAAGATCATGTCTTCAAAAAATGAAAAAAACAGATCTAATCCGATTAGCAAAAGAAAATCAGTTACCTTTATCTGGAACAAAGAATGACATTGTAGTTCGATTATTAAAACATCAAACTTCAAACAGGATGGTAGACCAGAAAACAATGCCTTCTATTCTTCATTCTAGTATTATCCAAGAAACAACAAAGGAAGAAGAAAAGGATCCTAGCACTAATCTAATGGATCAAGCCTATGTGGATGCATTTGAATTAAAACTTGCTAATCGTCGTGGAAAAAACGATACAAGTTTCAGGATAGAAAATACCTCAAGGCCACCACCTCATCCGTTAATGAACCAAATAATAGAGGAAAAAAAGAGATTAGTTGTAAAGGAAGAACCAATAGAAGAAAAAAAGAAATTAGCTGTAAAGGAAGAACCAATAGAAGAAAAAAAGAAATTAGTTGTAAAGGAAGAACCAATAGAACAAAAAAGTAAAATACATAATTTAACAGAAGAAGAAGGAAAAGAAATAGAAAACGAAGGCATTAATGTAGAATGGGTGAAAGCATTTGATTTAAAAGTTAAATCAAGACAGCGACATAATTTAACAGCAATAGATACTTTATCACCTTCTCCATCAAACTCTTCCATCTCTCACAAGCCAACAAAGATGAATAATCCTAATAAAAAGAATACATGGATCAGTGTTGCTATTGGCTCAGGTATGCTGATTTGGTATTTTAGTGGTGAAGATGGATTTAGTCAAATTGGTCATTTCCTATCAAGTTTATAAAATTTATTTATTATTGTAATGATGACAAGTTAATAAATTCTTGAATATCTCTTAATATTAATTGTTTTTCGTTATTTTTATAAAATAGATTTGGCATAAGACCTACATGTAAATAGATAGAAGGTTATTATTACGTAAATAAAGGGTGTGTGTATATGTATGTATGTATGTGTATATATTACATAATATAGGATCAGAATGACCCATACGCTTATATAATCTCATTCTGACATCTACTTCTTGTCGACGTTCAAAAGGAAATACTTGACCAAGGGTATTAAAGATATTAGCCGTTTGATCCATACCAACTGTTAGATCCTTTTGTCCGTGTACAAATAATATTCTAGGCCATAAATCTAAAAGCTCTTCTGAATTAGAAAATAAGGTTGAATTCGTTTCAATCAGATGAAGAGGCGAGTTTGCAACGTATCCTTCCTCTGTCATTCCCATTACTCTTGCCATAGCTGATATTGTTTCTACACCTCTTGATGTTTCATGAATATAATGTGATGCAACATCATAAACGCCAGAAAATCTATATATAAACAATAAGTTGATTTCTAGTAAATAGTAAACAAAAAAAAAAAAAAAAAGACTCGATATTTACAATATTAAGCCTTCAACAAGTGGTAAGAAATCATTTGATTTATCTTTACTAAATAACATATGATGTTTGTAAAGATGATCTATCTTTTTTTCCATAATTGGATCATGCTTTTCACTTGTATTAGGTGGAGTTATAGCTTCTTGATTTGAATGAATATCTTGATCATATTTAACTTGCTCAATTACATCTGATAAGACAACTTGTGCTGCTAATTGAGCACCTGCACTATGTCCCTATAGAATAATGTGAATGGCTCGTTTTTTTTTTCCTCCCCTCCCCTTCCCTCTTATGGCTTAATATATACCATAAGATAGATTTGCTCCGGATCACCATTAAATTCTAATGCATGCTTATAACTCCATTTAATAGCTTCACGTATATCTTTGTAGATTTCATTAATCTTAACTTCTGGATATTTACGATAATCAGGTACAATAACAACATAACCTAATTCACGTAAAGTATTTGCCAAGGTAGAATAAATCATTTTATTACCAGAGCCCCATCCACCACCATAAATAAAGATTACAATAGGAGATAATAACCTCTTCTTTTCTTCTTGTCGTCCTTTTGTTTTCTTTTCTGGATGATAAATATCTAATTTACAATTTCCATAATATGGAATATTTAAACTTTCCAAAAAAAAAAAAAAGTTAAGTATTTTGTTGTATTTGTGTGTCATATTTAAAACTCACCTCACAATTTGTTTAAAACGTTGTGATGAACCTATTTCCCAAAACCGCCAATACAGATAAGAGATGACTAAAGGTGTACACTTTATCCAACCCCGATAGAAATCAAATGCTGCCAGATTAATTTTCATGATTCGGCTTGGATTTAAAGGTAATTTTAAACTGGTTATATCAGTTTGTGCGTGCATATAATATGTGAACCATGCATTCAGGTACAGGATAACTATTTAATCTATATTAGTATCATTTTCTCTCTCTGTCTCTCTCTCTTTTTTTTTTTTTTTTTTTTTTTTTTTTTTCCACCTGTAATAAAGATTAAAAAGGGCAAACTTATAAAGATACATAATACTAGTAATGGTAAACAAAATAGTGATGCCGAAACATATAATGTATTTGTTTGAATCCAAGACATTTTGATTCAATTGTTAACAAGCACAAAAAAAAGGAACAATATACAGATATTTTTTTTAAAAAAAAATATAAAATAGGATGGTGTGTATATGTGTGTTGTAGAGAGGGAGAAGAAAGAAGAAATAGATGTACATAAAAAAAAAAGGCGGCAACTGAATCATTTAAAGCTTAAATGCGTGCGCTTTTCTTTTCAACCCGCCCCCTGGCAGATATTGCATATATACGATACAATTATTAAAAAAAAAAAATACATGTTAAAACACATTATTCCAAAATCAAAGTTTTGTATTAAATCAAAACCAATTCAGTATTACTATTCAACTTTAATAAAAGAAAATGTGAAACAAGGTTTCCATATACATCCAAAGCTCAATTATGACTATTTAGCTGCTAATGCAACTGCCATTCAGCAAAACATGAAAAATAGAGACTATGGCAGAATTGACATGAACCAATTTGTTGATTTAAACAATGAAAGAATAAAATTAAAAAAAGATTTGAAACTACTTGTTGCTGAACAAGATAAGGTCAATGCCAACATGCATAAAGCAATCAAATCATCACAATCAGTTGCTCAAGAATGGATTAAAAAAGGGAAACAATTAAAACTAGAAATTAAGCCCATTCAAGAAAAAATTTCACAAATAGAGAATCAATTACTAACTCAGGGACTTCAAATTCCTAATGAGACGCATCCCGATTCTCCTATTGGTTCAGAAGAAAATGCACGCATCATGAAAATAATCGGTTCACCAAGAAATGAAGATCAGTATCGATTGAAAGATCATCTTGATATTGCAGCTGAATTAAATATTTTAGATTTAAAACAGGCAGCTTTAGGAAGTGGGACAAGCTTTTATTATTTACAAGGAATGGGCGCATTTCTGGAGTTAGCTTTGATTCAATATGCAATGCATAAGGCCAATGCAAAAGGCTTCTTTGGAGTTTTAACACCGGATATAATTCGAACCCAAGTAGCTTATGGCTGTGGATTTCAACCTCGAAGCGATGAACATTCTCAAATCTATCATATCTATACCAAATCTCAAGAAGATCCTAGCATGTGCTTAGCTGGTACAGCTGAGATCCCCTTGGCAGCTAAAGTTGCAACAAGGCTTTTCTCTGAACAAGAATTACCGATCCGATTAGCTGGTTTTGGACATGCATTTAGAACTGAAGCAGGTGGACTAGGAACGGATCCAAAGGGTTTATATAGAGTTCATCAATTCTCAAAGGTTGAGTTATTTGCTGTGACTACACCTGATCAAAGTGAAGCCATGATGAATGAAATTCGAGATTTACAGGAAGACATGTTTACTGAATTAGGATTATGCTTTAGGTAATAAATAGACTTTAATCACACACACATATATATATATGTACGCTTACATTCATAGATATTTCATATAAAGAATTTTGGATATGCCTACAGAAGAATTAGGTGCTAGTGCGTATCGTAAATATGATATGGAAGCTTGGATGCCGGGAAGAAGGAAATGGGGAGAGGTAAAATGTATAGGCAATGTATATAATATATTAATATAAAACATATAGATTTCTTCTACATCAAATTGTACAGATTATCAAGCTCGTAGATTATCAATTCGTTATTGTCTTAAAGATCATAAACTAAATCCAGGAAATGCTTTTTTTTGTCATACATTAAATGGTACAGCAATCGCCGTACCTCGAATCATCATTGCTATTCTTGAAACTTTCCAACAACAAGATGGCTCAGTACGAATCCCTTCAGTACTAAGAAAATGGATGCCAGGAGAACCAGAGTACATGACACCATCAAAATCTTTTTAAGAAAAAAGAAAAAAAAAAAAAGATGATATTCTTTTATATAAAGTTTTTGTTTCTATACCTTTTATTAATTATGTAATAATTTTATAAATAATATCTTTAAAATATAGTTTCTCTTATTGAGTACTTTATTATTATATATGTATATAAAGACACTTATAAGAATACTTGAGATGCATCAACTAATCAATGATGCTGATACAGGCTTTTAAACTTATAAAGATGACACTATCTACTTTTGATATCAATTAACAGAAACTAAAATGGCGTATTTCCTCATCTCAACTATGATCATTAAAAAAAAAAGTGCGAACAAGGTAAAAAGACTAGTAAACTGAAGCTGAAAAAAAAAGGTGTGCGTGACATAGATTTGATCAATAGCATATCCTCTGAGAGGCTCAAGGAATGAAATAGAAATTTTGCTTGTAACTGGTACACCACTACTTTTTTTTTTAAATTTTTTGGCAATGAGCATGGAGCGACGAAATAAACGCGCAATATTGCCCGATCCAGTTATAGAGGGGAAATAAGAATAAAAACCTTCCTAAAGGACAAGAAGGGAAAAAAGAAAACGAAAAGGAAAAAGAAAAGAGCAGTATTTTGGAATTAAGAGAAAATATAAGGAAAAAAGTGAGAAGAAACAACTTAAATACAAACCAGACCAAAGGGACCGGGAAGACACACACTATTACTTGGACAACCAATTCAGTATCTTGAGACCAGGATCGACAGGATCAGGAGGAAATTCATCATGAAAGTAATAATCAAGTTCATGTAGAATTGTGTAAAGAATAGGACATAAAGTATACCAGCTCGTACAATCAGAAGGACGATAAGGTTTATGTAGTGGAAGCGATAAAAAGGTACAAATGCGTACAATATTGTAATTTTGGTTCAAAAGGCCGTGTGTCGGCATACTCAACATGGATAGTGGGATTAGATACATGCCTTGGTAAAAAAAAAACTGTGCCTAGTTTAGTATCTTAAGGGTCTGGATACTTTTAATTTCGTCTGAATTCATTCTTACAGTTGTCTGAACACTTTTTCACATTTGTCTGAAAACCTTTTTGAACCTGTCTGAAAATATTTTTCAGTTGTCCGAATTTAATCGTAGTTTATGATGTGCTCAAGTGGGGTTTAAAATAAAATAAACTACGAGCTAGCATGACGTGCCAAAAAAAAATTATTATCATTTTTTTTCTTTTCTATACTAGATGTTTAAAAAACCTTTAGCCAATTTAAAATCATTCAGCCCTTTAAGATCTTCTGATCGTCGACGTTTTCAAAATGAGGCATACAATGCTTACCCTTCTCTAAAAGAGATCTGTACCAGTGATGAAGAAGGCGCGCCTCATCATTTAATGCCTGATGATCTTCAAGCAGCCAAATTTGTTTCTCATGTAGGTACACCTGGTATTGTCTACAAATCTGAGAAACAAGCTTTATGGATCTCGATAGAAAAACTACCCCCTATTCCAACTGGTAAATTCATATTTAATATATTTATATATCTATAATGGTTAACAACAACAACAACAATAAAAAAAAATAGTCTATACTATGTGGCAGTATCCTAATATGCTACCAAAACTTTATACATGGTCACCTGTGATTCATAAACTAATGGAGGGAGCAGGTAAAATTTTTATATGAAATAAATAAATAAATTGTGTATATTATATTAATTCTTAACTACGATTCATCTCCATCTACTTTTTTTTTTTTTTTTTTTTTGCCCTAGATCTAATGATTCCTGGCTTAGTTCTTGGTTCAGAAGGCGCTTTACCTACTTTAAATACAGGCGACCTAGTTGCTATTACTATTAAAGGCTATTCGTAAGTGAATTTATAAATATAGATGTATAAGCTTAAATTTATTTATACCATTCATTCATATCTATGTATTACTATTATTATTTCAAGTACTCCACTTGCTATTGGCACTATGGCATTACCAACATCAGATATCAAAATTAGATCAGGAATGAAAGGAAAGGCAGTCCATATTATTCATGTTTATCAAGATTATTTATGGGCTATGGGTGATAAGTCAGATCCACTTGAATTTGAACATATTTCAAACTATGATGAAGAAGAAGATGATGATGATGATGAAGAAGAAGATGATGATGATGATGAAGAAGAAGAAAAAGTGGAAACAAAAGCGAAAGTAAAAGCAATTCATGATGAAAGTAATGTCGAAAAAGTAACTCAAGAGCAACAAACTACAGGAACCACACATTTAACTACAAAAGGTAAAAGAAAATAATACAATATATACTTCTTTTCACTTATTTAAATCAAAAAGAAATTGATGAATGGCTTAAAAAGTCATTATATCAAGCCTTGATATATAAAATTAAAGCAGAGAATATTTCAACTATTTTGCCTATATCTGCTTCATCTTTCTATTCAGCCTATATTATGCCTTGTAGACCGGCGGATATAGGAACTGAAGTGGACATTAAGAAATCCAGTTGGAAGAAATTACAAAAATTCTTAAAAACAATGGAAAAATCAGGATTATTAAAAACAAAAGAACAACGAGGTGAAACGATGATAATCTCAGTTAACTATTCACATCCAAATCTACAAGAAGTGAATAAATATAAAACAATGGAAATACCTACCACTACTGTTAACAATAGTAAAAAGGAATCAACAACACAGCAAAGACAACAAAAAGATGAAATACAACAAGCTGATATACAAGAATTATTTAAACCATTAGGAGATCATATAATTCAATTCTTTAAAGAAGCAAAACATGAAAAGGATAAAATGTATACAATTCCTGAAATTCGAAATGTTTTATCCGATTATATAAAGTTACATCAATTAGCAGATCCCAAGAATCAAAAGTAAGTTTTTAATATATTAACAAAGGAAAAAAAAACACTATTTCTAAATTATTCATTAAGGATGATTATGATTGATCCTATTTTATGTGATGCAATTTTAGCTAAAGATGAATATAACACAATACAAAAATTAGGTCGTGATCAAATACTTCATAGGTAATTTATCAATGAGTATACAAAAAAAAAGGGTGTATTTAAATCATCTATATGCATGTATAGAATTTGTCAAAAAATGCAACCATTTCATTTAATGACTTTACCTGGAAAGGAACCTGTTTTACGTAAAGGATATCCTAAGCCAATTGAGATCACACAAGAGATAAGACAAGGAAGAAAGACGATCACGAAAATAACTGGAGTAGAAGGCTTTGGATTAGATATTGAAGAATTAGCAAAGGAATTAACTCGCTTGTGTGCAAGTAGTGCTACATGTAAGCATGCATTATTATTCTTATTTACAATGATTGATTTTATTTTATTTTATTTTAAAAGATAATCCTATTCAGGGCGTTAGTCCAAAAAATCCATTATTTGAAATCATGGTTCAAGGTCCTCAAATCAAGAATGTTACTGAATTAATGATTAGTAAAGGTGTACCTAGGAGATTTATTGATACATTTGATAAAACGTCCAAAAAAGGAAGGAGATAACTACTATTTTAAAAATTCTTCTCTTTGTAAAACTTCTTTATCTAATTTAATTAAAATTGTTGTTCTTTGAGGGAATCCATTTGCAGGTACTGTATGTGCTGTTACTCGTGCAGGCTAAAAATAATGTACATAAATATGAATACAGTATTAACAGTTAATAATAAAACTTACAAATTGACAACCATCCAGTACAGCTTCAACAATACCAGCTACAAATGCATTACAATTAAGCTGTGAGAGTTCTTTTGGAACAGATATATATTTTGTAAGAATAGGTTCATTATCTGAAATCATATCTATTATTTATAAATATTAGTTTTTTTTTTTTTTTTTTTTTTTTTTTGTCAATGTATATATGTACATTCATCTTCATTCTCTGTACTTCTTTCAAGTGAATCAGCTTGTTTTCCAAATAATGCTTTCCAAACTGTGGTATGAATAAAATAAAGTACATTGATCACCTTAATTTCTCTTTTTGCTACCTTTTCTCTCCAAGCAAGTAGTTCAAGAACACGAATACCAACACGATATCCAAACTCATTTAATCTAATAAATACATTAATTCCTACTCAATCAATCGTTTCAAATTATTCATTACTTTTTCTCTAAATCTTGAATCCCATTAACTCTCTTCTGAGCATACTGTAGCATTTCTGAAAAAAGAAAGGTTTGTGCACTTAAACTAACCTTTTTATTTATTTATTTAATTGACATGAGATGGCTTTTTATTAGCAAGACTTTTAATTATTATTATGGTTACCTCTGCTCCTTTACTTTTATTCAAATTTTTTTCAAGGATACTTTTAGCACGAGTCATACGTTGCTCACTATAAATGGAAGATTGCATAGAAGGCCGAGGTGGAAGTTCACTCATGATTGTATATTTTGTTCGTTTATTATACAAGAAAATAATAATAAAAGAGAGAGAAAGAGTTTTTTTTTTCTTGTTCCTCAGTAATTCCAACAAACCTTAATTTTGATTGGCAGCTGTGAAAGACTTCATCATAATTCTCAAGTACAATGAGTACACATCAAATTATAAATAATAGGTAGTTGAATTTTACTTTTAGTTTCCTTTATTAACCATAGCAATAAAAAGATAAAAAATAAATAAATATCAAGTTACAAAGCTCCTTAACGTATTAAATGAATAAGAATAGTAGATAGAATTAAACATAAAATAAACACTTGTGTTTACCATTAATATCAATAATAATAATAATAATATAGAAGAAAAGGGATCAGCTGTAGAACATTTAAATTCTAATATTGAAAGTACCTTTGTCGCTCTCAAGGACTGTTCTAGCTTAAAAGAGACTTCTTTTGCATTCAAGACAGAATTGACAGCAGATTATCAGGGATCTCATATTGTTTATGCATCAGATGAATTTTATGGAGCCGCAGATAATCTTATCAAAACTTCTTTAAATAATATTGCTATTCAAAAAAGAAGAAGAGAGAATGATAATACTAATGAAGAAGGTATAGGGTAAGCTTTTTTTTTTTTTAATTATAACAAGTGTAGACTTTAATTCCATTTTTGTTAGATGATAATCAGCAGAATGGTTGGCTTGTTAAACGTCATGAAGAAAATGCCATGTAATTTTTTTTTTATGGCATTGCCTTTTATAATATCAGAAAGATTCATCAATATACATAAATAGTGCTGTTATAAAATTAGGAGTCCCTGGAAGAATAATTGGAATTGACATTGATACTACTGGTTATATTCAATGTGCTCCAATCAAAGCAAATGTAAAAGGATATTTAATGCAAGATAATAAGTCTGAAGAGGTACGTATAAGAATCACATATATTTACAAGATAGGAATGAAACTTATCTGTGAGTTAGATAGTAGAGATACTTACCGATGTCACAATTTTGCCTAATGCCCATAACTTTTTTCAAGTTTTAACTTTTTCAAATAGAATTTATAGTCATATACAATTAATGGTTGTACCTAGTGGTGGTGTTGTAAAACATAAATATAGAACCCATTTTGATCAGTAACCTCATGTTGTTCTTTTTTATAGTCTAGATTTCGTTGTTATGGTGAAGTAGTTCTTCAAAACGTTTTATATGATGAAACTGTTAATCTAGCATCAACAAGACTTGGGGCTCAAGTTATATATAGACCATCTGATATTATTGGAGAAGACATACCTTGTATCATTATTGACCGAAAAGATTCAAGGTAAATGACTATATAAAAGCAAGACAAAAAAAAAACAGACTTGTTACTGGGATAATAATTCATTCTTTTCAAGATATGATGGTTGGATAACTCCAAGAAAACACAAAACACAAGAAGATTATACGATTATAAAGCTGGCTAGACTAGGCTTTGTCGAACAAATACTTGTTGATACATCACATTTCTTTGGAAATGCACCAAAGAAGATTATTATAGAAGGATGTTCCATAGATGTGGATAAAGAGGTATGTATTATAAACTGTCTTCAAAAAAAAAAAAAAAAAGAAAATAGATTTTTTTTTCTAACATGAAAAAAAAAAGTTTGAACAAAGAAACTTATTAGAAAATACAAGTTGGACAAGTTTAATAGATACAGAATTAATGCATTTTGAACTTCTTCCTAATATGCTTCATACTTTTACCTGCTGTTTCAATAAATCCATTACACATGTTCGCTTTCGTCCTATACCAGGTAAATTACAAGTCAAAATAAATTTATTTTTTTTCACATATAAATATACTTATGAACATACTAGATGGAGGCATACAGCAAATTACTATCAAAGGAAAGTTTTGTAAGGATATCCATACTACAGTATCTCGCGTTTGAAAATACAAAAAATAATCTTGAAGCCCAATAAATTTTTTTGTTGGTTAGTAGAACTTATGATTGAATAGTAAAATACATGTATGAGCAGTAAAATGTTCTTATCATCAATACAAATATACATTTCACCGAAAAAAAAAAAATCGGAATAAAAGGTTACGATTAAACATTTTTTTTTATTATTTTTATAAATTAAAATTCATAAAGCGACCTATGGGCACATAGTATATTTATTATATTGAATTGCCCAGGTCAGTTCAAATTATGTGAAAAAATAGTATCTAAAAACCCTCTTATGGGACAAGAGGTAAAAAGGTAAAGGAAAGAAAGAAGAAAATAAGGTGAGAAAGAAAGGGGGGAAATATTGCTAACAAGTTTAAAGGGACAACCCGTTGAGTCATTTCCTGTCTGGATCAAGAAGTGGAGGGGGTAGTTTATCGTGCATTAAGTAATCTATTTCCTGTAGAATGGTACACATAACTGGCCAGCGATAGAACCAGGCAGAAACATCCTGAGAATTTCGGTACTTATGCTGAGGGAGATGATTTAAAAGAAAGGACAGAGGATCTGCTATTGATCGTGGCAGAATAAAAGGTTACTGAAATTCGGACTACAATCTGGGAAACTAGGTTGGGCCATTAAAAAAATAATTGGGTCATTCAAAAATGACATACAGATGCGAAAATGGGACAGAGAAGAATAATTTTTGAATGACCCAATTATTTTTTTATTGGCCCAACCTAGTTTCCCAGACTGTAATATTCAAATTTTCTGATTTGTTTTTTTTTCCTGGACTGATCACAGCATAAAACAAAGAATATGTATCGAAATAAGAGCTAGTAATCAGCCCAATTAAACCGGGAAACCAACTCATGAGATTTTACAGTAGTTCAGAGGTAAAAAAAAAAAAAAAAAAAAATATCGTCTTTGGTGAACAAATTTTCTATTTGGTGCGTCTTTTGTGTTTTGTATTATAATATTATGAATCATTAAAGTAGTATCCTTAAGAATTGCTAACTCCTCATCACTAACTAATCTTGAACGTTCAAAGATATATCCTCTAAGTAGCGAACACGTTAGACACGTTTACAGTTATCTTGTCTTTATTAGCTGATTCTTCAATAACAACAACTTTATTTTCATTTTCTTCGACTTGCACATTATTATAAAAGACTTCTTAAAAAGTTTGCTGCATTAAAAAACACACTTAAGCACTGTTTTTGATTTTTGAAATTATTTCTAATTATAACCTTTTTTACCTTTATATGGAGCAAAATTCACATATAAACAATTAAGAAGATACATGTGCTTACAAGCTCTCATTTTTATTATTATTATAATATTAAAGATGCGAATAATAGTCACTCGTGTAACATTTCATTATAAAATGATATAAAAGGCACGAATGTTTAATTTCCTTCTTTTTTTTCTTTTTTTTCCCTTTTTTTTCAGAAATGTGGGGAGCCTGTTTTATGCCGGGCTATGAATAGCACTGAAAATCGCCCCGTCTGTATAGTGCCTCCCATGGCTGATGGAAGGTAACACAGACTCATAGAATAGTGAATTAATGTTTATTGATAATAAGAGTAGTTTAAAAAAAATTGACTACAAACAATATTGTTTCATCATATACAAAAGTGTTAGACATCTGGAACTTGTTTCGTAAAATAGCCCTTTTTGTTGCAATAAACATTCAAGAGGTTAAAACAATATATGCATTATGAATGATAATAAAAGTGTGATATTACTTGTAAAATATCAAATAAAAATAATAAAAAGACAAAAAAAAAAAAAAAAAAAAAAAAAAAAAAAAAAAAAAAAAAAAAAAACGTCAACGAAACCGAACAATAATTCTAAAGTCAATTATTTTATTTATGACTTTAAATTGATGGGGTATTTATAAGAATTGTTAAAGAGGTCTGAGATAAGATGTAAATCAGAAAAGTGTTAGTTACAACTGAATAAGGCACGTTATAGATAATGAAATGTTAGAATCTTTAATATTGTTTGATAAAGTGGATCAAGAGAGCTTCAGGGGAATCTAGATAGAATTCCTTGAATAATTTTCTGATCTGCATGTTTAATCAAGAAACATGACATTATAAGTCAGCTCATAACAAGCATTTATCAAAAGACTAAGTATCTACCCCAAATTTAATTTAATATAGAAGGAAGAAGAAGAAGAAGAAAAATGAAGGAAAAAGGAAGGGAGGTAGGTAGATATAAAGAAAGAGAGAGTGAAAATAAAATCAGACAAGATAGAATAAGATTGCGAAGGACAGGTAAAAATAGAGGAATAGAGTTTACTATATTATATTATATTATGTTATTGGAATATAGTAATGAATCAATATCAATCAAAGCATAATAATACTAGTTAAAATTAGCTACAAATAGCTACAATTAGCTACAAATAGCTACAATTAGCTACAATTAGCTACAATTAGCTACAAATAGCTACAATTAGCTACAATTAGCTACAATTAGCTACAATTAGCTAAAACTGGCTTATATACTTATTTTTAATTCTATTATATGTATTTTATGCATTTTCAGTAAAAATATTAATTATATAGTTACTTTTATACGGTATATATCTATTAATTTATTATTATATAGCTACTATCACCTAGACAACTTTAACTTTTTTTTTTCTGACATTAATTTTAATGCCTAAAATGGTATATAATTAGCTGAAGGCCAACGGTAGTCATAGACAACACATATATATTATACTATGCTATTACATCATCCTCATTTTATGATTTAATAAGGGGAAAATCATATAAATCATATAAGTTATATAAGTTATATAAGCCATATAAATCATATAAATCATATAAATTATGCAAGTCACATAAATCATATAAATCATATATAATAGAACTTGAACATTTGCTAAGATTTAGATTGAATCAGATCAGATTAGATCATTTATTGACAACTCATTTCAAGTAATGGAGTGTAATTATGACTCAAACATCTAGATTTTTTATTTTTATTGTCATTTTCTCTTTTATTATATATAATATTATATTGGTTCCTTATTGTTCCTGAATTATTTTAGTACCCTCTAGATTATATAATTTAATTTGCTTGTATCAGCACTGTCAAGACAAGATTGAAATACCGCACATATAATTTAAAAAAGAAGTCAATCAATCCATACATACACATGTGTATTATTTATTCTCTCATAATATCAATAATGTAAGGAGTGTTTGTATACGTCATCTTTTCTTATCTTTATTTGTTGTTTATCTCTACTTTTTTTTTCTCTTTTGTTTTTTTTCCATAACCCCAGTTATTTAAAGGGTATTTCTTTTAGCTTTATATCTTTCAACTATACATGTAAAAGATGGTATATACAGATATAATACATAAAATGAAACGATAGAGGTATTATATAAAATAAAATAAAAGGGAACAGAGTGAAATAAAAGATAAAATGTACTTACGCGTATTTATTTCAAATATATATAGACATATGTATAGACATATATATATAGACATATATATTATAGATTAGTCTTCTGGCTTCTTCTTTTATATTGATGCTAATGCTAAAGGTTTATTACGTCTTCTATTTCATGGTAATCCTATATTAACTGTTTTAAAACACACTATATACTATCTACTCACCATTAAATTGTTATTACTACTACTAGAATAGAGCAATACTATCCTTGTTATATCTTCCTGATGCTTATCTCTTCTTATATATACTTTACTCTAATCAAGTATTTAGTATATATATGTATATATTTACTTATTTATCTATCCATGTGTACAAATAGACATAGCTCTCAAAAAATCCTAGCGCTTATCTTATGGCATACAATATTAGGTCCGTTCCTTTCCAACTACAAATGGTATGCAAGCTTTTTGTAATTTTAGAGATTGCCTAGGGGTAGCATCCACCTTCTTAACTACTGCTTGAATCATGTTTTCCACCAAAGATGATATGGGGCATCCCCCCAGACGAACGTAACGGAAAGAAAAAATTCAGTGAAAAAAAAAAAAAAAAAAAATAGTAGGTATATTGGTGCAGTAAAATAAAGTAAGTAACTATCAAAAAATACAATTTCCTCAATTCTCTGGGGGGGGATAAAAGGAGTTGAGCACGAAAGCTCTGTCGATTAGGATAAAAGCATATTATATATATATATTATATATACGGCTTATATATATATATATGTATGCCGCAAACCGCTAACAAACTCTGAATTACAAGAAGTCCACTGTGTATCATTTAGTAAAAAGGCCTTTACATCACTCATACTTTAGACAATCAATACGGTTTTTTCTTTCCTTTTTGTCAGGTTTGTTTATATTATATATATATTCTATTAAAGTATATGAATGACGAGGAAAGAAAAAAATTTAAAAAAAAAATTAAAAGAAAAAAAATACTACTAAAAACAATACTATTACTACTGCTACTACTACTACTATCATTGCTGTCTCTATCATTGCTGCTTCTATTTAAGTTTATGATCCACATGTTTAATAAAGAAACAAGACGTTATAAGTCAGCTCATGACAGAACCAACAGAATACAATGACAACATAAAGCCTGATATAACGTACTACTCTTATGGTAACACTAAGGATCTTGCGCCTGTCATAGTGGAGATTCAGAAAAAGATGTCACATGGGTTTATTGCACAATTAATGCGATATTCATTGAATGTATCTGATTAAACAAGCACCCTCCCAATTGTTTTACTCATCAATATTGATGAGTTCTCAAGTAAATGCTTTCGCAAGGAAAATTTTGTCAAACGCAACAATGAACTGTACTATATCCTTTACAGTTCACTTTGGGCAAAACAAGTTCATATCTGCAATGCTGATTCGATCACATCGTTTATACAAGTACCGATGCCAAAAATGATTGCACTAGTCCACTTTATAACACAGCAAGAAAAGCATATTATCGCTTTGGATGAATACATGGATCCAATGCTTCAGGGCATTTAGACAATAGCTTACCAAATCTTTACCAATAAATCGAACAGCAGAGTGATTCAAGATACTGAGATCAAATCCTTTTGCGATATAACTATATCTCAATACAAAAAAATTATTCGTAATAACAGTTTGAACGACAAAACCTCTCAGAAACGCATTGCAAAATATGCAGAGGATGGTATTGACTTTGCAAAAAACTTTAAACAACACTGTACAAGGGGAGAGTACATCTGTGTCACACCAATTCAAATCACCAAACCGAAGGATTTTATATTTGTGAAGGAGTTCATAGAACAAAACCAAAGCAAAATGAAATGAATATCGTGTTATAATATTGGGATCAAGGTAGGTCTATTCGATAGGTTTGCATCCTATTCAACATTAAAAATGGCCTTTCATCGCCACATACTTTGAGTTGATCTCTCATTGTGCAACCAATAGCTTCCCTTACTGTTAAACTTTTTATACTAAATTTGTTTCTGATGCATTGTACCTTCACCTATTAAAAAACATAACGGCTTTAGTGAAAAATGATTGGCCCGTTACTTTCATTACTTTCGTCACTTTTGTGGTATTTGTGCATACTTCTTACTAGTAAATCGAATTAGACTACACCTGAAATACAAATGCCTGCTAATATCATATCTATTTTATGTATTTTATTGGTACTGAACTTAAATAATCGAGAACGATTTTTTTTATATAAACCAAAATCATTTTGATTGATGAATCTTGCCTCACTTTTAATAAAGGATTAAAGAAGACTCATTTCACTTAACAGCCTATTTTAAATTTATCAATTCATCAAAGTCAAAATCTCACAACTTTCGTTAATTTCGCTACTTTTATAGTTCGCTTTTGCAGCCACCAAAGTTCGCTTTGGCTTTACTCAATTTTCGTGTTTGCTTTCAAAGATTTATGTAAAGTGGCTCTCTATTGAGGCGTTTTTGGAAGTTATTGATAGAGTGTCGGACAATATTATGAAGAGCCTTTCTGCTAATACTTTTGCTGGCTTCAGTAATTTTAGTTTTTAAGTCCTTGGTGTCCTGAAGCTGACTTTGCTTGACAATTCCTTTGATAATCGACCAAAAGTTTTCAATTGGGTTGAACTCAGGTGAATAAAGAGAGAGATATACCACTCTATGGCCTCTCATTTCGATCATTGTCGTTATATCTTGCAGGGTATGGATAGGTGCGTTATCCATAACAATGTAGAAGTCTTTCATTTCTGGGAAGTTGTCCATTTCATTTAATGTCTTGGCTAATATAAACCTCATGTGCTGTCTATTAACAGTCCATTTATGCATCTTTTTGTTTGTAGGGAATTTTCTCTTTCTGCCTTCAGCAATCTTAATCTTCTTGGGCTTTAAAGGTTCTCTAGTCTCAAGAGCAATAACATTGTTTGCTGTTATAGCTTCCAGAACGGTATATATAATAGCATGAGTAGTTGGTGTTTCAACAAGTGCTGATGTACCCCTCATTGAACGAGCAAAAAGGCTTCCCATGTTGATATTGAAATCAGCTTCGTCTATAAATTCATTTTTTTCAAGATAATTCATATCTAAATTAACAGCCCATTTATCTGTCCGTTTGTAGCGGGTTTCTATATCCTCAGGGCTATTTCTTGCCAAAGTCTGAAGAATGACCCTTTTCATGGTCAAGTTGCACATCACACCTCGTTGTCTGAGGATAATTGTCAAAGAGTTCCATGAGATGCTGCTTTTGTTCCTACTGAAGTTGAAAAGGCTCTCTGTTGACCTTATTCGTTTGCTTCTCATAAATATCCCAGTTAGGATCTTTGAGTTTTTTTCTTTTAGTCCAAATTTGAGCCGTTCGTAGTTCTATATGTGCTTTAAGTGCGAAGGGGGCATCTTTTCAAAGCTTGATTCTATTGAAGTAATAGAGCACTGACTTCTGATTGTCAGAATGCATGTTGTATTTTCTATTATTCGCTGCTATTTGTGATAGTTCTTCAGCTACTTCCTCCATCTGCACATAAAGTTCTTCTACGTCCTTTGTAGGAAAGCAGCTTTGAAAAGCTCAGTACTATGATGTGACAGAGTCAATAAAGGGTTAAGATTATAAGGATCAACTTCTGTGACCTCATTTGCCTGCTTATCTATAAAATTTTGCCTTATCCGTTTTCGTAAAAAAAGATGCTACTCATTTGGTCGCTGTGAAAATAAAAGCTAAAGAAAACTCGAAAATGGAGTCTTTACCAAAACAAACTTTGGGGGGGGATGGAGTGGAGGCACTGTACCCACAAGGAAATCCAAAATAATGAATAATAATAAAAGGAAATATTTGTAATTCAAAACTTTATTTATTGTTATCAAAAAAAAAAAAAAAAAAAATTATATATGCATACAAGAAAGGATACAAAATGTTTTTTTTTATATTATGTTTATTTGACGTTTTTCTAATTATTTCTATTATATTATTCCCATTTTTATTTTCTTGCTAATTTATGGTATAATTTAAGAGGAAGCAACTTTAACAGCACCGTTGTAAGATTCCATGACACGAGCATAAGAGGGTAAACGCTTAGCAAACAAAGCTGCAATACCTTCGAGATCAATACGCCAGTCACGAGCTAATTCAAGAACAACACTGAAATAGTTCAAGAGTTGAACACCACCTTGTTGCATTCTTAACCAAGAAGCATCACGAACAGCTTCACTGAAAGTACCAGATGCATCAGTAACCACAAATACCTCATAACCAGCCTTTTTAGCAGAAAGGGAGACAAAGGAAACACAAACATCGGTAACAATACCAGAAATAATCAATTGCTTCTTACCGGTCTTTTTGACAGCCTTAACGAAATCCTCATTATCCCAGGCATTAATTTGACCAGGACGAGCGATTATAGGAGTATTAGGGAAAAGGCTTTTGAGTTCAGGAAGCAAAGGTCCATTAGGTCCATCCTCACGAGATGTAGTGAGAACAATAGGAAGATCAAAGTATTTAGCAGCTTCAGCAAGACCCATTACGTTATTAAGAAAAACATCAGGAGCATAATCTTGAACCACGTTGAAGAGACCAGTTTGATGATCAACAAACAAAATAGCACTATTATTCAAATCAAGACGTTTGTATAAATCGGCAGTAACAGATGAGACAAGGGCGGCAACGCCAACAACAGTAGCAGTAAATGAGAAACGCATATTAATAGTTTAAAGAGACTTGATTTAGTAAATTACTTCTTAAAAAGAAAGATGATATTATAATAATAATAAAAAAAAAACTTAAAATCTGCAATGTTTATATAGTTTTTTTTTTTTTTTTTTTTTTTTTTTTTTTTTTTTTTTTTTTTTTTTGATTCATGTATTTTTTTTTCTTTTTGACGGCAGTCATCATATGGTTTGTTTTAGTCAATTTGTAACCAGCAGATTAAATTAAATTTTACAAATCATTACTAATAGATTATTTAGCAGAAAGCTTATTATTCTTTTTATGTATTACTCTATACTAAGCCCCAGTTTCTTTCATTCTTCTAGGTAACAAACGCTGATCAGTATATCATTTCAAACGTCATCTCTTCTTAATTGTACTATTCTAAATAGTAGAAAAAATAAAAAAAAATATAAAATTCAATCAATAGAATAGAAGCTATCAATCAAGGAACAAGCTTTATATTTCTACTATTATAGGAATTTATTATTATATTTTGACTAATATTTTTTTGTTTGTTTACTTGAAAAGAAATCATATAAAATCATCAAGATAATATTTAATCCAATTTTGAAAATTATTATTATGGACCTTTTTTTTTTTTTTTTTTTTTTTTTTTTTTTTTTTTTTTTTTTGTACATATTAAACTTTTACAGGCATTGCTTGATTACAAAAATCCCGAGATTCACTTTGTCAAATGATAAATGAACTCTTATCTGATTAATAAATAATTAATCATTTAACAGTAATACTAAGGAGAAATTGATAATACATATATAATAGCTGACAAATTATTTTGTTGTGACACTAACTGAAATTACATTTACACAGCCATAAAAAAAAGGAAAATAAGTTACACATTTCAATGACATAAGAACTAGTTAACACATACTTGAATTATAGTAATTAATGCTTCAACAGATTTTATCAAATACATTCATTCTTAAATTATTCAAATAAAATGATAATATTATATCTATTACATAACTAAGATGAATGACTTCTGCTATAAAATACTTCCTTATTTAATAAACAATATACAATACAAAAAAAAAAAAAAAAATAGTATTAAAACCAAAATGGTATTTTACCCCACATACATTTTTTTCCAGATCAGTGATTACAAATGTTTATCAATCATGTCTTAACTTTTAAATCAATACAAAAATGGTTGCTTATTTAATATTAGATCAGATAACAGTTATTCTAATCCATTATTTGAATTATTACTACTAGAATATACGAATTATATTCCATAAACTTATTTATAAGATAGATGGCACTTAACATGTTAACTAAAGAAATCTTTATATATAAACTATAACAAATTTTATTTATCTTATTTATTATATTTCTTTACAGCTATTATTGAAAGATAGTGTATCTTTTCAATAAAAATAGAATCATCTCTAACATGGATTATTCACTTTATTGTATCTTTTTTTCTTTTAATCACAAAATGTCGAATCAAAATAAATATTCTTTAATATATAATAAATATGAAGGAAGTTTCTAATTGTTGTCTTCTTAAGCTTTTATTACATAACTGCTACTGCTATTATAGTAGAAGAATGCCAAAAGTAAAGAATTGCCAAAAAAAAAGGGATGACAGTCACAGAGACTGCGATATTGTTTTTTTCGCCTAGTGTCTGCAATTGAGGTTACTATTTATTTATTTTTTTTTATTTTATTTTTTTTTACGCGTGATAACTAATTCTGTTTGGACATTCCCCTTACGACATATACATTACTATTTTTGAATAAATAATTATGTCTCCTATCTTCACCATACCAACATGGACTGAAGAAAATCGTTATTTACATGATGCTATTTGTCAAGCACGAGCTTCTGAAGCGTCTGCTAATTCCTTACAACAGCTACTCCAATTAAATAAGGACAAGTTTTTAAATCTATTAGATAATGAGCCTAGGAACCCTTCAGATAGAAATATACTTAATTCAAGTAAGTGGAAATTGAACACCTATTATATTTTCTTTTAAAATTTAACTGATTATTATCTATTATTTTTTTCTTCTTCACAACCTACAGATAAAGCCTATATTAATCGAACTTCACATAATGTTACCAAGGAATTTGTTACAAAAGCTTTATTTATATCAGATCAACTAGACATTAACGAGCATGTTGCAGCTACACTCTTAATGCGTGGGACTGCAGAGTTTTCTCGTGTTAGTAGTAATTCTATTGACACTGCTGTCCTTCTTTATCATGGAGAACGCGGATATTTATTAGCCTGTCTTGATGTTATTTTAAAATCAGCAAAGGATTCATCAATTAGTGAAGAAATTAGAACTGTATGCAGCCAATTCATTGCTGAATTATTAAGAGAACAACTTACTCTCAGCAACGGTACAACTGGTACATTTGTTTCAAAACTTCTAATTACTTTGGAAAATCTCAGTAAAACAATCGATGCCATTATTAAAACAGGTAGCATTAGTGGTCAAATGCCTGAAGCAGGAAGTGGAAAACTAGGAGAAGACATTTCAGAATTACGCATTGAACGATTAGGTGATGAGCGTGTATACATTGTTCAGATTTTATATCACATTATTTCTTTGTTTAATATTGAAGCCAATGATAAGATTTCTATGCTCAAATTACTTGAAGAAGCAGAATTGTCCGACACAGCCACAGCCTATATGATCATTGCTTTACTATCTGCATTATCTAATAGTAACCAGCCTGAAGAATCAATACTTAGTCCTTTAACTTTAAAATTTATCGATGACTTCCATCAACATATTATGACACATGGCTCTAAAGTACCTGTAATTAAAGCTGTAATTATTCTTCAATGGATTTTATATTTATCTGATCCTGTTCGTATCAATCAAGTTATTGGTACAGAGCATACTGGTAGAAGTGAGGCTGATATTCAGAAATTGCTTGATTTTTGTATTACAACGGATGTGTTTAGATTCATGAATGAATACCTGTTGTATTTCCAGCAACCCAATGCAATGATTGATACTGACAGGCAAACAATAAAACAACCTAATGGAAATAATGATAGCTCTTCAAAGACAATTAATTTATCTGATTATCACAACTTTAATGCAGATATTCGTAATGAATTCCAACCATTTGTTATTTATGAATTAGAAAGAATGAGTGTTTCAATTATTTCTATTCTATCCAATACTTTACAAAAACTTAAATATAAGGAAGAGGATTCAAAAACGATTGTAGAACAATCAGCCACAGTGGACAACACTTTAGCAAATGGTTTAAACGAAGTAAAACAGTGTCATGATCTAGAATACTTTCTCTCATTCTTAGCAAGTATATTTCGTAATCGTGTTAATGAGGGTCTTATCTTCTGGAATCGTGAGCAAGGAGGTTTGCATCACTTTGTTCGTTGGTTGCTTGATATAAAAGTTCCAGAAACTGTAAATGCTGCTTTCGATTTCTTTAGCTCCATTGCAGTTGGTGATGTTTGTGCTCTTAACGTATTTCACTTCTTCAAGTTGGGTATGGATCTTGATCTTGCGTCGAGTCATATGTTTTCCTGGGGAAGGACACTTTCTGTACTCCAACATTATACACTTATTTTCAAAAATAATTCAGAATCTGAACAACGAATTCCTGCGGTTGAAACAGAATTAATTTTAAAGTTTCTTGGAATTTTAAAACAATGCGTTCAATACTGTGTGGAGGCTCGTAAATTCTTCTGGGAAAACGAAACTATTCGTCTACAGACAATCTTATTTGATCTTCTCAACTGTCCAACATCCACAACCCTTCGCGCTGCTATCTTTGATATTTTATCTGCATTTTGTTCTGATTGGGGAGGAGGTATTGAAGGCGTTGGAAGAAGAATTTCTTACCAAATGTGGAAAATCATGGAAAACAGTGACATGTTAGTCTCAAAACGTAAAGTACTTCCAGATAAGTCACAATCTATTACTCAACCTGCTGGTATATTGCAAGAATTGGAATTTGAAAAGAGCAGTCGAGTCTATACTGAGACCTTATCTGTTATTCGTTTAATTGGTTCCGCTATACACACTCAAAGTAAACGTGAGGCCTTATTGCTAGGCTTCCGTGACCCAGAATCAAGCATTCCTCTGGACCTTGGCAAGGGCACCAAAAATCCTGGTGCCATTCCTTTTATTTCACTTGTCATTGATGAAATATTTGTTAATCTTGGAACTTACAAGTATAATTTTGCTGAAGCCCGTTGGGAATTAACCGATGCTTGCTTAATGGTGATGGAAAACAGTGTGGAATCATTAAATATTAAGCAATTTGAAAGTTTAGAATATAGACAAACTTTGGATAAAGAATTAAAGCCTACTTCAAACAATTCATCTATTGCGTCTACTTTACTTGGGATTTTAACTCATCCTGGATTTCAAGTCATCATTCGTATTCTTTCTGGCGGACGGATTATTGATGAAATTTTCAATACAATTGAAGAGTGTGCAAAGAAGGAAACAAAGGATGTTGATAGCATGCCTTATCATAAGAAGTGTCTTCTTCGATCTTTACGTTTATTGCTTCGTATATTAAAGATTCAAAATACTTTTTGCAATATTCTTATACCTTATATCGTTGGATTCTCTAAGAAAAAGACCTCATCTGAATTCCAACTTGGAGAATACGTTTTTGATCCATTGCCATCTGTAGTCCCTCTTGGTCAACTTATCTTGTTCCATTCTAATATCTTGAAACGAATTGCTCTATTAGTAAACTATGAAGATCAAGAAGAGGTCTGCTTCCTTAGTACTAAAATCCTTAGTATGCTTTGTAGTGTATCTAAAGATAGCCACTTTATTGATAATCAAGCCTTAAGTCGTTCTGCGTCTTCTACATCATTTTTCGAGTTAGGAGCAAACATGACTAAAGCCCTGAGTTCTTATGATGAAGCACAAGCTATTATTTTTGGTATAAGCGAGCGTTTAAGCATCAATATTCCTGAAGTCACAACATGTGATGATTATGAATATGATATCAATACGATTCCATTTTGGCTTGCAGAGGAAACATTAGGAAACACATATAATTACTCAAATAACCTTAAGCCTCGTATTAATTTATCGGTGCGCATTGCTATATTAGATATGTTGCTAAAAAATATTCAACAATCATTTTCACCAACACTCACCGAATTTTTATTGAGTTATGATCTGTCGAACAAGAATCCACTTAATAAGATTCAGGATACTGAAGCGAATCAAGCCTCTATGGTTTGCTTCCATGCTATTTTAAATATGCTTAGACAAGGGATTCACAAAAATTTGAATGAAGGTGATGCTATGGTAGAAGATATGGTAGATTCTGCTGAACCATTAATTGATACTCATCCTATTCTGGCCGAAAAGTGTTACGAACTCATTTATAGATTATGCGCAAAGAAATCTCTATCCATATCTACTATGCGTTATTTACGTAATCGGGAAAATTTCTTTTATAAACAATTTGATACCATGGCGTCTCGAATTGAACATAATATTCAAACAGATTACACCTCTTTCCCAGGTGTTATGATTTGTGCTGATGGTGCTCAATATAAAACAGATTTCTTCAAATTAAGATCAAAACTCCATCAAAGGGCTTGGTTACTAAAATCCATTGCATTAGAATTACATACGACAGTTGCAATGAGACAGAAGAGCGAGACTAATAAATTATTAGAGTTACTATATGGACGTAAAGATACAATGTCTGAAGACGCTATGGATGTAACTGAGTCATCATCATCATCTAATCTATTTGCAAATACGAGTACGCACTTGTATGAACAGCCTTTGGTAAAAATGCTTGAATTAGTGAGTTCATTAGAATTTACTTGGGTAGATGGTCTCTTGGAGCGAATTAAGACATCCGATCTAAAGTATTTTAGTGACTTGAGCTTTGGACTTTTTGAAATCGAAAATGAACATGGTTGCCAAGTGTATGATGTACGCAAAATTTACAAGGTCTTAAAGGAAAGACGTGATCAATGTCAACCCAATAGTCCAGACTTGGCTAGCATTGAGCTCGAGATGGAATCCATTTTACTTTATATTGTTGCACAAAATCATAGCAGAGAAATAGCATATGCTAAACTTCATTGTTTAAAGGCATGGAAACAAGTAATACAAATCACACTTATTGAATGCTTTGATCTGATTTTACCGAAAAATCGTGAAGTGATTATCTACGAATTATTAACGATGCTATTACCAAAAGTCACACATACTACCGGATACGACAGTGACATGCTAAAGAATATGAGCGAAATTATCGTGACACTGGTAAATCAATTGCGCAAGAATACACCGGTTCAATCGATTTCACAACTTCCCATAGAAAAGTTTCAAACTATCTTTAATGGAATTACAAATTGTATCTTTCAAAAGGAGACAACTGTTACTGTTCGAGGGGATATGTATTCAGCTATAACTAGCTTCCTATTGTATATCCGAAAGCATGAACGAGACGAGTCTTTCAAGCAATTTGAACAGTTCATTATCAACTTGATTACTTTAGATAATGCTAAACTTTTAAATATTATTTGCAGTGATGCTGTTGATGGACTGGATATATGGAAAACTACAGCTTATATTGCACTTGATGCCTTGAATACTATGGCGCTTCATGCAGGCAATGATATTGTACAATCATTTATAATCGAAAAGAACTTTTTACAATATACTATTGACATGATTAGAAGTGATGATGCAGCTTTATCTAATTTACTTGAACAAACAGATGGTATATATATATGTGTATATGTAATTATAACAGAATTAGAAATACTAACATTATTATTAATTTTATTGCTTATAGCTCCTTTATTACCTTTATATATTTTTGAAGCTAGAATGTCTATACTTCTTCGACTTGCAATGAATCCCAAGGGAGCCGAGCTTTTGTATAATCATCGTATCTTTGAAATATTTGGACAATGCCAATTTACAAAGGCTCAACAACATGATCCAACGCTAATTGATATGGACATAGATGCTTGTTCTGAATTGTCTGAGCGTTATCAACAATTGATTATGCCAACATTAAAATTAATTGTTGCTATACTTTGCTCTTATGACGGAAAGAACGATCAAGTGTTATTGAAGGTATATATACACATCTATATATATATAAAAGAGAGAGAAAATTGTGAAGAATATTATGTTTTATTAACTTTTATTATTATTAGACAGAGAGCTGGGCAAGAAGACAACAATCTACTCTGGTTAATATAATTCGATATAAGCATCGTAGAATTACATTGAATTTATTAGAACAATTAAAATTAGTGACAACTATTTTATATTACATGAGCTGTCGTAAAGGTTATTCCGAGGATTTCGTAAGTTTTATTTTGTATCCAAAATAAATAGTTCTTTAAATTGAATGTGATTTTTTGTTTTATTAGATTAAAAGAGGTATTAATCAATTACACAGTTCCATGATACAGCTCGAAATTCCTGATAATTTGGCAAGCACTATTATACCAAGTACAAATCAAGAAAGAATATGGAATAAAACACCTGATAATGGTAAAGAAAGAATAATTTAATCTTCTATTATTGTTCTAATATCCAAAAAAAAAAAAAAAAAAAAAATGCTTAGGTAACGGATACTCATCACTCTTAGAAGCAAAAGCAGCTAAAATTATTACATCGATAAAGTATAATTTGGATGTATACAAATCACGCAAATAATACAATATATATATATATATATATAAAAGGAAATAATAATATTGTAATATGTTAAAAAATAAATTCATTTTACTAAATCAGCAAGCAATTCTATATTGAATAGAGGGAATGTAACTATTATTCAAAAGGCAAAGTGTGTGATGCTATTTAGTGTGTTGTTGTTATCTTATTTATAATACATCGTTTCTTAACATAGAATGATTTCTTCCAAGTCCAAATTATTGATAAAGTAGTCTATTTACATACATGTAATAACCCTATTAAAATAGAATTTATACATGTTTTAGTTGTTTAATACTGTCTTAGTTATTCCCTCTTTCTTTTTTTTTTTACTGTCCCTATCTTAGTTTGACTTTCACCCTCCCTCTTTCCCTTTTTTTTTTGTTTTTGTTTTTCAACTATATTATGCAACTGAAATCACTTAAAAAAAATAGTCTTTTACTTTGTTGAAATCAAAAGATAAACTAATAGTCTTTTTTAATGATGATAACTTAAAATTAAAATTTAAGCTGAGGCAGTCTTTTGCTTAGAAGCAGACTTTTGCATAGAAGAAGTACGACGGCGTTCCAACTTTTCTTGCTTTTGTTCCTTGACACGCTTAGCAAGCAATTGCTTGTATTCAGCTTCAGCTTCACGAGAAGCTTCGGCTCTTCTACGCTTGAGGGCTTGTCTATGTCTCTTACGTTGAAGAGTAAGAGGAGTAACAAGACGTTGGATCTTAGGAGCCTTGGTATAGGGCTTCTTACCCTCAGCCTTGGGTTGAACCTCACGACGAATGACATACTTACGGACATCATCAGCCTTGGACAAGTTCTATTATAGTTTCCCCGCCAAAAAAAATTAAAAGAATTAATATATACAGTTCTTCATAACTCCTTTCTCTAAAAAAAAGGGTTTTATCATAGAATATTCAACTTACAAAGAACTTTCTGATCTTAGAAGCACGCTTAGGACCAAGACGCTTAGGAACAGTGGTATCAGTCAAACCGGGAATATCTTGTTCACCTTGCTTAACAACAACAAGAGACAAGACAGAAAGATCAGAACCGACAATACAACCACGGACAGACTTTCTCTTACGTTCACCAGTACGACGAGGACGGTAACAAGAGTGACCCTTAGACATCAAGAGACGAACACGGTGGGGCAAAAGAACACCTTGCTTCATAGGGAAACCTTGCTTATCGTTACCACCAGTAATGCGGAAAACATAACCCTTAAATTCATCTCCAAGAGAATCACCAGAAACTTCTTGGGCCATACGCTTATCATAGAAACCACGACTAAATTATAAAAAAAAAAGTTCGGATTTAATTCCTAAGTTCAAGCTAATAAATAGCATCAATAATGACAAAATAATGTGTAGTTCTTATTTTTTTTTGACATGTGTTGATTTTGATTGCAAATTAAATAATCTGAACTAATAATCTGGACTATTATTGCCGTTTCTTTTCCTCTTCTCCCCCCCTTTTTTTAATAAATTTATTTTGTCATGATTGATGCTATTTTACTTCGAATGTTGTTAATTCAACTTACAGACGACGTTCATCTTCGATTTCAATCAATTTTTGGCAGCCGGTGGCTGGGTTGGCAATGTTCAACTATATGTATATATAAAATAAAAACGGGTCAGTATCATCGCCTTTCATCCATAGATAGGATGTAATATTGTGTTTGATTGTCGATTATTACGGACCTTCATACCGCAGATAGAGAGGGGGATCTATAGCTTTGGATGCTTCTCTTGTTGTAAGTAATTCCAATGTTTGAATGAAGATAAACTAAAAGTAAACTGTCCGGCCTTCGAACTAAAAGAAGTCGTCACGAACCGGACAAATTTATCCTTTTTTTTTTTTTTTTTTTTTTTCATTATACTGTCTGAAGATTTTTTTTTTGTTTTTTTTTTGTCAGTGAAATTTGAATTTTATTCATTTTCAACTTGTATATAGTTAAAATAAGAGGTAATTCGAAAGATCATTTATTTTCATGAAAAAAATAAAATAAAAAATAAGAAAACTAATGTAAAAAACAATAATTATATAATTTTTTAAAAATAGAATAATAAAAATGACTGAAGAAACACGCCCCACTGTTGAAGAAAAAGAAATTGAAAGTCCTAGTGAACAACAAAACGATGAGTCTCTTAAAACTGTCTTTCATGACCCCAAGAACTATAATGTAAAGCACCCTCTTCAGAATACCTGGACTTTATGGTTTGATAATCCTGGCAAAAAGGCAAATGCTGCTTCATGGTCTCAAAACTTAAAAGAAATTGTTGATGTTAATACAGTTGAAGATTTCTGGGGGTATTATGAATTAATCATTTCACTTTTTAGATTATAGAGACACTAAATCTTTCTCCCTCCCTCTTTATATGTAATATAGTGTTCATAATAATATTGTTAAAGTCAATCATCTTGAAATTAGTTCAAATTATCATGTTTTTAAAAAAGGAATTCGACCTGAATGGGAAGATCCTGCTAATGCTAATGGTGGTAAATTCAGTATTCAATTTCCTAGAAATAGAACTGGTGAGGCTATTAATGATTACTGGCTTAATTTGGTAAGTGTATAAGTAGAATTATAATAATTAATTAAAGAAACTTCTATATTCAATCTATATTTACACATTATAAAACTAGATCCTTACCATGTTAGGAGAACAATTTAAATATGAAGACGAAATATGTGGTGCTGTCGTGTCTGTGCGTAGAGTATTCTATAGAGTTGCTTTATGGATCAAAAGTTCCGAGAAAAACGAAACGACAGAAACAATTGGGTATTTGATTTATTCTAGTTATTACTTGAAGCTTTACATTTTTTGACACACCTTTTTTTTTTTTTTTTTTTAGTCGTCAATTGAAAGAATTCCTTAACCTTAATAGTAGTTTAGTTGTTGAATTCACCCCACACGGTGACTCAGCTGCTAAATCAGGTGAAAATAAATTTACCATCTAAAACATTATATAACAAAGTTAGAAGGTGAAATTTAAGGCACGTTCTTTAAAGAAAAAAAACTTACATGTCATAATAATAATAAATTAATCTATGTAAGTGTATCACCAAAAACTAACGCGTATTTTATATTTGATGTACACATAAAAAAAGAAGTAACGTTTTTTTTCCCGGATTTATTTTTACTTTCTTTCTCTTTTCTCTTTTATTTTATTTTATTTCCTTTCTTTATTTTTTTTAAACAAATATTTTATAACAAAAAAAAAATGATCGAAGAACCTCCACCATTACCTTTTCCTTCTTTACAGAGCTTAAAAACTATTGCAATTGATATATTAAAATTACAAAGAAGCTTAACTACACCTGAAGTTGAATTTCGATTTTTTGAACCTGAAGAAAAAAAATTATATAAAACTGAACAGAAAAAACCAAATAATAAGGCATGTGAAGTATGTAAAAAGAAAAAGATCCGATGTGATATTAATGCTTTTCCCAACGAGAAATGTACAAGAACGAACTGTCAATGTTTACATCATCATCATCAAGAAGAAGAAATAAAACAAGAGGAAGAGGAACAAGTAAATCAATTGCTAATAGAGACCTATTACTCTTCTTCCTCTACACAGCATCTTAAATTAAATAAATCCATACCATCTACTACCGTATTTCGTAAACCGGGTTTATTAAGCTCTTGTCATTATACAGGGGAAACTTCCTTTTGTGGTTATCTTCCTGTTGTAGATCAGCCGCCGGTGATTAAACAAGAATCTGATTTCCCGGATTTTCAGCCAGTCCCAAAAAGGCCCATTCTTTCTATTGAAGATCAATATTATTTAATTGATGTTTATTATGAAAATATGAACCCATTTTATCCACTTATTAATAAACAAGATCTTTTAAAACAACTTGAATGCATTACAAAGAAAGAAGATAGTTACCTTTCTCCCTTATTTTTCTACGCTCTTTTTGCACGTGCCAGTCATTTGGAGACGAATCGAAAGGTGGTAACATCAGATAATAAACAAACCTTATTAGAACTTGGGACAGACTGTATGAACTATGTTTCAGCTCTTGTAGATTGCTACACAGATAAACCGCGTGTGAGTACAGTATTGGCCTTGATTATTATGATAAATCATCTAGAGCAAGCCAAACTATATCAGCATCTTACAAAATGTTGGTTATGGGCAGGGAAAGCTTTCAAGATGGCTCTCGATTTAGGTATACATCGTGCTTCTATTTGTGATGAAAAATCTTCTTTTGGACAATTATGTATCCGTACATTTTGGCTTGCTTATATAACTGACTGTACGATAAGTATGACTTATGGACGTCCATCATCTACAGAAGAAAAGGTGTTGTAAGTATATATATATGTATATGTTTACAGAGAGAGAGAGAGAGAGAGAGAGAGAGAGAGAGAGAGAGAGAGAGCTTAAATAGTAGCATATATTTAATTTATTTATTTTTTTTTAAAAAAAATTACTTTTCTATAGAGATGTTACATATCCTACAACGTTACCAAATGACGAAGATGTGGTTGTACAATGGATTAATGAATTAAATTGTTTAATATCTCTGAGTAAAGTAACTGCTCGAGTAGTCAAATTTAACTATTGTCCTCCTCCTCCTTATATCATACAAGGGCCTGTAAAGGTACGAAAATAAATAAATAAGTAAAGAAAGATAATAGATATTCTTAAATATTGACAGGTGTAAATTTTAGAGACATAATGCATTTCTAGTCAGTGTTGATTCATGGCTAATTGATATTATTCATCCACAAAAGGAGCCTGAATCACCAATGTCTAATTTGATTAATTTTATTACAGAAGAGACTCATATTTCAAGACGGATGGAATTCCAAAAGAAACTGTTTTTATATATAAATCTGATTTTACTTCATAGACCTTATGTCGATGATACATTATCAATCCGTAACACCAGTAGTAGACCTTCTTATGAGATATGCTCTTATGCTGCCATAATTATTACAGATACAGCTAGTAAACTGGATTACAAAGAGTTAATGTATCATTCCAAGTCACCTCTAATTGCTTATTCTCTCATTATGGCTCTTCGTATTCACATATTAAATGCATCTACTTCTAACTCTGAAAAATATAATGCAAACAAAAATTTCCAACTTTGCTTTACTATCCTTAGTAAGTTACCTCAAACACAAGATACAGATTCTATGCTTTATGATACATTATGTGATCTTCAAAATCAATATAACAATCGTTTCTTATCTATTCTTGAAATTGAAGACGATAAACAGACAACTGCTGCTCATGCTATCTTTAATTCTAATATATTAGAAAAGAGAAAAGATATAGGCCAACATGAAGAACCAAATATGTCTGTCACTATTACTACTAATTCAGGACCATCAATAGTAATCAAAGAACATCAAGTCGATAATATAGGTCGAAAGAAAAAGAAAGCCAAGACAGCAGGTCCAGTCAATTGTTATCAACATCAATCAACTTTAAATGAGAGTCAACAACTAAAACAAAAGAACAAATATAAACAGTCAAAGCCAATTGAAATATGTTTACATCCAGATCAGCAGCTACAGAGAAAGGCCTCTTCTTCCTTTCAAATCCCTTTTGATCAAAAATGTAATGAATCATTCATAACGACTGGACATAATAAAGAATATGATGAAGAATTTATAAAGAATCAAATCTTTCAACTCTTTGAAGAGCAACCAGCTCATTTTCAACATAATCATACTATGCCTGTAATCGATAATAATAATAATAGTCACATCAACGTACACTTTACATCCACTAATCCACTTGCTAGTGTCTCAACAGAATCAGCATCACCCATATTAGAATACCCTTTTATGTTGCAACAGCAGCAAGATATTCATCCCAATAATAGCTCATTAATAGCTCAAAATAATGTCACTACTGTAGCATTACAACAAAATCAAGATACGATTTTAGATGAAAATAACATTGATTTGACTTTAGAACAAATACAATTAAATGCAGTCTCGTTTTTTCAAAGTATTAATCATATCTTTATGGATCATTATCAGCCACAACAACCATTCCTAGTAAATCAGTCATCAATCAATGTATCTGATAATACGTTTGCTACATATCGTGTAGAAGCACAACAAGAGAATAGGACCGGTATTACAATTACCAGATCATCAGATAACGGTACTTATTCTTCAGAAACTGTCAATACAATATATCCCTCTTCTTCTACCTTTAATACCTCCTAGTTTTGTCAAAATTACTCTGTAAAGCTTATAATTATGTATTCCTATAGAAATAGATATATTCATTACACATAGGTTCTCCCCTCCCCCCCACTATCTTTATGTTAATTACTAAAATATGTATGTATATTTATAAATTACCTAGTACAATAGCATATATCACATTAAAAAAAAGAAGAAGAATATACAAATATATATAAACAATCATAGATAAAGAGTTTCTCCTTTCTAAACAAATAACGACTCTAATATACTATTATAGAACTATATAGTCTTAATTTGAATACCTTTTTCTGTACTAGTCCCTTTATTTTACCCCTTGATTTTATTTTATTTTTTAATTTCATTATACTTTATAAAAGTGAAGCTTTTTTTTTTAACATGGATATAAATACAAAATGCCCCTATCTTTTCAGGAACAACAGTGTTCCTACTATTAGTCTTTTTTTTTTTTTTTTTTTTTTTTTTTTTTTTTTTATCAAAATACCTTGAGCTGGTTATATTCTCCTTATCCTTGCTTTTTTTTCTTTGTTTTTCTCTCTCTCTCTCTCTCTCTCTTCTTTATACACATATATTTTTTTATTTTTTTCTATTATAGTATTTCAGATATATCACATACAAGATGTCTAAAATAGCAACTATTTTAAGAGAGTAAGAAAGAACTGAAATTTTGATAGACTATTTTACTTTACTTAATTTATATGGATTTAGATACAAGATAGTTATGGTGGGTGAAGGAGGTAATCTATTTTATACAGTTATTGAGAAAAAAAAAAAAAAAAAAAAAAAAAAAACTATTGTCAATAATTATGCATTTTGTTGTAAAAAAAAAAAGGTGTTGGCAAGTCAGCAGTCACTATCCAGTTTATTCAATCCCATTTTGTGGATGAATATGATCCTACCATTGAGGGTAAATACTTTTTTTCTATTAAATTCCCTTCTTTTTTTTTCCTAATATAAGCAAAGTTAGATTCATATCGTAAACAATGCGTAGTTGATGGTGAATGTGCTTTGTTAGATATATTGGACACTGCAGGACAAGAAGAATATAGGTAAATATTTTTTTTTCTCTTTCTTATTTCTCCTTCTTATTTCTCCTTCTCCTTCTCTCTCTCTCTCTCTTGTTTTCCCACCCCCACCCTCCCCTCTCATCATAATGTGATATTTAATTATTGACAAAAAAAAAAAAGTGCTATGCGAGAACAATACATGAGAAATGGAGAGGGATTTGTTTTAGTTTACTCAATTACTTCAGTCCGTTCATTTGAACAAGTTCAAAAGCTTTATCAACAAATATCTCGAGTTAAAGATTTAGACTTATTTCCAGTTATTTTAATAGGAAATAAATGTGATATGGAAAGTCATCGACAGGTTCCAAGCTATGGTCTGTGTGTATGAATAATACATTATATATATATATGTGTGTATATAGTGTTCAATTAACAAAAAAAAAAAAAAAAAAAAATTAGTTGGTAGATCTTTAGCTGAACATTATGGCTGTCAATTCTTAGAAACTTCTGCTAAACAAAGAATAAATATAGATGAAGCATTCTATGGAATAGTACGTGAAATAAGAAGACTTAATTTGGAATCACAAAATGCTCAAGATGAATTCAATAACAAAAATGGATTAGCTTGCTGTAATGAATGTATACTAATGTGAAATAATCTAATTTATTGCAAGCTATTATATTATATTATATATATATATACACACATACATACATACATACATATATTTATTCAAATATATCAAGTGTTGTAAATGGTTTATCTTTTGCTTTCTCCTTCGCTGTTCTAGCTTTATCAGCTTCTAACTTTTCTTCCATCTCAACCTAATACAATAATAATTAATATATCCCCCCCTCTATTTAATAAATAATTTTCTTCTTCACTTTACCATTCTACGATCTATTACATTCTTTGCTTTCTTACGCTTGAGTCTCTTTAATGCAGAGTTTCTACCTCTCATTCTCTTCCTTTCTTTCACTGTTGTGTTTGATGTATCTCCTTCTGCTTTCTCGTCTTCTTCTAATTGACGTCTCTTCAAGACTTCTGCCTTTGTTACTTTATTCACTTTACCAATTTGAGTAGGATCTAATACGATCATATCAGGTTGAAGTTTATCCAGTAATGTATGCACTTCAGTTTCTTGTCTTTGTCTCTTGGTCTGGAAGGGATTCGCTTCAAGTGCATCAAAGTTAGCTTCACCAGCACCAGGAACAATGATGCTTGAGATCCCCTTTTGATGACCTATGCCCAACACATCCTCATAAGGTACAAATTTAAGATCTTGAACCACAGATCCAGCTTCCAAATAGGACATGTAAGGTGACTGTTGTTTTGTCGTAAATGCATCCTTCCAGATTTGAACATGTGTATGGAATCCAACACCTAATAAGCCTGTATCTGAAATATCTAAGGAAGCTACTGTACGTGGTGTATAATATTCTTGAAGACATCCATAGTTACGGATATCCCATATCTTTAATTGTCCATCAAGACCTGATGTCGCCATATAATGTCCTCCTCTATCTACTGCAATTGCTCTCACTGGTCCTCGATGACATTGCATCTTCACTAGCGGTGATGGCATCGAAGGTGACCATAATGTCACTGTACCATTTTGATGTCCAAGATGAATAACAGCATTATAACGATTTTGTGTCATTGTATTACAAGGTCCAAGTTTTGTACGTTTCTCGGCAACGAGTTCACCTGTGGATGTATCTTGATATTTAAGATAACCATTGCTACCAATTGTTGCAAGTAAATAATGATAAGGTAAAAATTCGAGTCTATCAACATAACTGTGGCTCTTAAGACGATGTATTTCGAGGCCGGATTTATCATAAATATAAACATATTTCTTCTGTGCAACTGCTAATAATGTCTCATTATGAAGCCATCTATTTATGCATAGTTATATATGAATAAGTCAGGAAAAAAAAATAATAATAAAGGAGTCATTTATTCTTTTTTTTTTATAAAACTTACTTGACATCACGTACTGTTTCATTAACATGAGTTTCGAAATGAAGTCCACCCGTTTGCCAATCAAAAGCTGCAATATGTCCTTTATGGCCACCAATTAACAAATGACGACCATTACGGGTATAGTCAATTGCATAAGGTCCAAATTGCGGTAGATCTAATGTAAAGATCTAATACGAGAAAAGGATAATGTAAATAGATGTTTTTTTTGTTTTTCTTTGAAATAAATTAAAAAAAAATACCTTGCTTGCTGTATTAACATCAAGACTAGGAATCAATTGGTCTTGTCTGAATTTAAAGGTCTTTTCAAGTCCTTCAGCTTCTAAATAACCAGTCTCTTCTTGTAATAATAATTCAGCTCTAGCAGCCGCACGAGCTGCATCTCGACTGTTCCTTTCTTGTTGTGAAAGCTTTGCTTTTAACTTTTTATCTTTAATCTTCTATTAAATAAATAAATAATAAAACATGAGGTCAGCTTTTTTCTTCTTCTTCTTTTTTCTTTCTTGAATATCTTACCTGTGTCTCAGAACTAGCAGGTTCTATACGCAAATACTTTTCTTCATTCTTTACAGGTTCTTCGATTTCTTCTATTTCTTTATTCTTTGGTATATTTTTTTTAGAATTTTGCTTTTTATTCCCCTTCTTCTTGGCCATAGTGTTTATTTTAATAAATATATGAATATATATAAAGAACAAAGGAAAGAGGGAAAAAAAAAATATGTATACACATATATACCTTAAAAAATAGAAAGTAGTGTTGTAAAATAAAACACAGTCATACAGACATTATAAGCCACCTGCTAAAATCATACCAAGCAAAAAAAAAAAAAAAGGTCCAAAAATTGAAAGATGATATACAGTATGTAGACTTTATTAGAGCCATACAAACTTATTTATACAGCTAAATATAGATACAAAAAGAAACAAAAAAGATAATATAATGCACATATATATCAGCATTATATAAATATATATGAATAAAAGCGTATGATGAAGAAGGAGATACGAGAGTGAGTGAGGGAGTGAGGGAGGGAGGGGGGAGGGAAAAACAGTTATCCATTATAAAAATTGATCTTGTTCATCTATCGGCGTATTTGTTCCACTAGAAGTTGACCTTGACCTAAGTTGATTTTTTTTACCAACGAGCATATTCTTTAATGCGCGAAGAGCGAATACTGTTAAACCGATACCAGCCCAGTCTTCATCATGCAAATCTCGAAGGTCACCTACAGTCATAATATCTTGATTTTGAAGTTTACGAACCCATTCTAAAGCTTTATCTTTATTACGATTTGTAGCTGCTGCTGTTTCCAAGACAAAAGTTTCAATACTAGTATCATTTGGATATTCTTTTTTTTTATATATATAAATATGTAAATAAAGATATATAGATATACAGATATATAGATATTTATATATATCTATATTAATCATTTGTTTAAACGTGGATTGAATAATATCATAACAAATACCTGTTGATTCCATAAAAGGACTCTCATCTATGATTGAATTATTAGTAAAAGTAGGACTGGTGAAAGTATTTAATTCAGTCTGATTTTCAGTAGCTTCAGTCTCTACAAAGGATAGTTTAAAATTTTCTATTGCAACAAGGGTATCTTTGTATCTTTCTTCAGTAATTTGAGTTCTCTGTTCAATATTTTCACACTTCTTTTCCATCTCTACTATTTTACTTCTTGCTGCTGTTAATTCTCTTTTTGCGCGTTCTAGTTCGGAACGAATATCATTCTCTCTTCTCCAAATCATTTGGTCATCATCTTCAATCATTCTGTCATCTAAAGAAGTATTTTGTTGTTGCTTATTAAGATCTCGAAGTAAACGGTTAATATCACCTGTAATTAACTGCTGATAACGTTCAGGTAAAACTTGTTCTTCAATCATTTCTGCTACAACATCCTCTGCTGTATCCGTCTCTACATTAAACTCAAATTTAACAGAAAGTTTATCCATACCCTTAAACACGACTTGTAATGTGAGTTGCTTCATCGTGATATCACTTGCTAACAAGACCACTTCGGGTTCTACGGCTAAAAATGAATGTTCTAATATCTCTTGAGCTGACATACGTTCATGTTCAGAGGAAAGACAATTGTTGATGAGAGCTAATACTTCTGGGTCTTGAACTCTTGATAAACATTCAGGACGAATTGTCTGAGTTACTTTCTTGAATACTTGAGCAGCATTTGTACATTCATTATAAGGGTATTCACCTGTTACCATCTCTAGGAGACACATACCAAACGCATAGATGTCTACCTTTTCACTATATCCTTTTTCTTCATACATTTCAGGTGCCATAAATTCAGGTGTTCCTATTACAGTGTACTTTTTATCTATCTTCATTTCAGCTGTACCCATATCACCAATTTTAATTTCACCATGAGCTCCATTAATAAAGATATTATCACATTTAATATCACGATGAATGATAGTAGGATTATGTCCATGTAAATAAACTAAACCTTTCAAAATTTGTCGACACCATCTCTTTACAATTTTCATATTAGGTAAAGGAGAAAGTTTTCTAATATATTCACGAAGAGTACCCGAAGTCATGAGTTCAGTAATAAATACAAATTCCGAATCATTATACCAAGCATCATGAAAAGCAATAATGTTAGGATGTCTTACAGATTTTAAAATTTCAATTTCATGGCCTAATGCTTTTACTTCCTGACGAGTAATCTATCAAATAATAAATTGGTGGGGGGTTTTTTTTTTATGTATTTTTTTTTCTCTTATTTTTTAATACATATACAAATATATACATATAAATATGACTTCTATTCAAACATACCTGTAATACATTCCAGGCAACCTCATAACCTTCTTCTCTATCAATAGCCTTGTAAACTACCTTGAAAGCACCCTTACCCAAAAAAGTATTTAATTTAGCAAACCTTCCATTACTAGATACCTCAATAACTTTTTCAATGTTTGCTTCAGAACGATCCTCATCCATAACTGAATTTGGATTCATCCAAACACCACCAAAGGGTTCCATATGAGGTTGTTTTTCATACTCAGGAAATTGAGCAGCAAGTTGACGAACGAGAGATGTATTATGTTCAATATCATGCTCATAAGGTGGACTGTAAACGCCCAAATTGATAAATGGTTCGCTTTTTGCTTTAACTGTATAGTTACCAGAATCTATTGATGACATATTCTATTTTTATTATTTTCCGAGTTAAAAATATATATAAATATGTGTATAATAATAGTAAAGGAGAGAGAGAAAAAAAAGAGTATTTATAAAAGAGAGAAAGGGGAGGCTATTATTATTATTACAACAGCAACAAAAAGAGATATTAAACTAATGTAGTCTTTTTTTGCTTGTTAACAAAAAAAAAAAAAAAAAAAAAATCTTCTTTTCTTTAAAACAGTTACCAAACCAACATTACGTTAGATTGATTCAATTACAAAAAAATAAATAAATAAATTACTTGTATTCTTAATAATAAAAATGAATAAAGAGACAAAATAAGGTTACTCTCTTTATATAAGTATAAACAAAAAAAAAAGAAACGAGGAAAAAAAAAGGAGAGGGGAGGGAGAGGAAGGAAGTGGCTATTTTTCTTTTCTCTTCCTTTCCCTTTTTTTTTAATAAAAAAAAACTTGCTTACCAGCCTCTGAAATTTAATTATTAAATTGAAATTTTTTTTTTTTTTTTTTTTTTTTTTTTTTTTTTTTTTTTTTTTTTTTTTTTTTTATTTCGCACAAATATTATTTTTCCTTTCTTTTCCTTTTAATTTATTATTATTAAACCAAGTCATGAATCCGAACTCTCAATTTCATCAATATTTACAGCAAACATCCTTAGCAGGCGGTGCTAATCCCTTAACAAATTCGCTTCAGCCAGGTCCTAACAATAATATGAACGCGTTATCTCAACATTTTCCTACTATTAATCGTTCTACTGGGGGCAATAATGCTGATCCTTTTGTTTATGCTCAAATGATGAATAATAGTGTTGGTTCACAAGCTATTCCAATGTCTGCTAATTTTATCATGCAACAACAACAACAACAACAACAACAACAACAACAACAACAACAGCAACAGCAGCAACAACAACAACAACAACAACAACAGCAGCAGCAGGAGCATCAAGCGGCTCAAAAATTACAGCAATTAGATGAAGAAAAGATTTATGGACTTGTTTTAGACTTACTTAATCCTTCCTCCAGAGAACAAGCTTTATTAGACTTGAGTAAAAAGAGAGAACAATATGATGATTTGGCTTTAATTTTATGGTATTCTTATGGTAAGTAAAACCATGGAATTATATATGTGTATAAGATGACGTTATTTAATTATATGTGTAGGTGTTATTCCTGTGTTACTTCAAGAAATTATAACAGTATATCCTTTGTTAACTCCACCTACTTTAAGTGGTGGTGCTTCTAATAGAGTATGTAATGCTCTTGCTCTTCTTCAATGCGTCGCTAATCATAATGAAACGAGAAGTTTATTTCTTCAAGGTAAAATAAAATATATGATTGATGTATGTAAATGAAGATATTAAACATACATGTATACAAATACATATGTGTATATTTGTATATATATATTTTTTTTTGTTATAGCTCATATCCCTCTTTATCTTTACCCCTTTTTAAATACAACAAGTAAGACACGACCTTTTGAGTATTTAAGATTGACAAGTTTAGGTGTTATAGGCGCGTTAGTAAAGGTAATCATAAAATAAGTATTTAATTCTATATATACTAAATATGTGTAAATTAAAAAAAAAAAAAAAAAAAAAAAAAAAAAAACAGAACGATAATCCCGAAGTGATTAGCTTTCTTTTATCAACTGAAATTATTCCATTGTGTCTCCGTATAATGGAAACTGGTAGTGAGCTTTCAAAAACAGTTGCTATTTTTGTGGTTCAAAAGATTCTTTTAGATGATACCGGCCTAGTAAGTTGTTAATATAATAATATATGTATAAAGTTGATATTTATTTGTCTATTTATTTAGTATTATATCTGTCAAACATATGAACGATTTTATGCTGTAGCTACTGTATTACATAATATGATTACTCAACTTGTTGAAAATCAAGCTATGCGTTTACTTAAACATGTTATTCGTTGTTATTTAAGATTATCTGAAAATCCAAGGTAAAGTAAAAAATAGAGAGAGAGAAAGAGAGAAAGAAGCTTGAATGAGATATTAATATACACATATTCATATACTTTTTTTTTCTTTAGAGCACGTGAAGCTTTACGTCAATGTCTTCCAGAACCTCTTCGAGATTCTACATTCCATCAAGCTTTAAAAGATGATATTGCAACTAAGCGTTGTCTTGGACAGTTACTACTTAACCTTTCCGATGGTATTAACTAGACAAGGAAAAAAAAAGTATTAACATATTATACACATATACTCTCACACTTATATATATTATAATCACTTATATATGCATATAAAATTTACTTAATGCTAATACTATTTTATCCAACATTCCATATAAACCCCCACACTCACTCATATTTACATATATTTAATCATTATATTATTTAGGCTGGCTGTATCCTATTTATTTTATATGTATATAAAATGTAGACTGTACATTTCTCTTTTTTATTTTATTTCATCTTATTATTCCCTCTTTTATTTTATTTTCCTTACCATATATGTATAAAAATGGCCTACGTAAATAATTTTAATAAAATAAATTCTTATTATATATACGCATATAAATAAAAAGACTACTGTTATGTTATGGCGCTGACATGGCTACTATGACAAGCTCAAACGCGGGGGGGTTTTCTTTTCTTTTTCTAATAACACCAAGAGGACATGCACCTGTTGAGCATTATAACTAATATACGCTTTTTGCCGGAATAGGCTTGAATAATATGATATACACCGAGTATAATAGTGGTATAAGTAATTGCTACTTTAAGTACTATAAAGAAATATTTTAGTATATTATTATTCTATCTTCTATTTTGGCCTTAAAAAGCTATTCCGTTCAAAGAAGGCTTGAAGCTGGTCCAGCAATAAAAGCTATTAAAAATAAAATAAAATCAAATGAATTCCTCAATCATAAATATCATAAACGAATAGTAAGAATTGGATCATAATTATTTATATAGTCATTCGTTTTATTCTTCTTCTTTTTCTTTTTCTTTCTTTAACACACACACACACACACACAAAACTTATCAATTACAGAATAGGGAATTCATTCATAATCTTTGTCTTATGGAGCAGCAATATATGACTTCCAATAGAAAGGTACACCCAATCACGTTTGTTAGTGATTATAGACAGTTTCTATATGTTGGCTCTAATATTAAAGGATATCTAAGGTATAGTAGGAACTAGAAAGTAACATAGTATAGTTTGCACACTATTATATACATGTGTATATATATATTACTAACGAATATTATTTATCAAAAACCCGTGTTTTCTGTTTTCAGAGGATTTCATATCCTTTCAAGATCTTAAACAACGGTAAATAGTATTTTCGTCTGTAGCAGTCCTAATTGTATTTATGTCAAAAACAAAAAAGTGACTATAAAGGAAGAGATTTGTTATCTTCTTTAACAATTGTAATTTCTGGACTACTAGCTAACCAGTCTTATTCGAAACAACTATCAATAATATTACTACCCAGTAGAAGAAATAACTTTATATTCTATTCATAAATACTTATACCTCAACATATATACTAATAAATAGCCCTCTTTCTCCACTTTTACTTTTCTTGCTATTTTGGGTATTTTTTTTTTAATGATATTTACCCTCTCAGTAATATGATATTTAATTTAAATATCTTACTGCACGGCAATATACTTTATTTGTTAGGAACAAAAGAATATTATTGTTAATACAAACTTATAAATGTTACACATACTCGGCTAATTTTCCCAGGGTGAATATAACGAGAAATGACAATAATAACAATTTTTGTAAATCGTAGTCATCATTATTCGCTTCAAAACTGAACTAAATATTTCTCTTTTAATAGTGTCCTTTTTTTTTTTTATTCGCTGTTTTTGTTTCAATGTCGCCATCATTCACCAATATAATCGCTTATTTTAAGAATTATTATAAATCAAGCAAAATTTGACAATATGTTTCTCCCTGTCACAAAAAAAAACTTTTTTTTTTTTTTTTTTTTTTTTTTTTTTTTTTTTGGTTTTAAAATAAAAGCTTCCCCTTTTTTTTGTTTTCTTTTTTTTTTATTATTTAGTTTTTTTTTATTAAATAATATGTCTTCTGGATTTGGTACTCGTGCTGTTCACGCTGCTCAACGCCCTGACCCTACTACAGGTGCTGTTATTCCCGCTCTTTCTCTTTCAACTACATATAAGCAATCTGCTGCCGGTGTTCATACTGTAAGTTTGACACACTCTTTTTTTTTTTTCTAAAAAAATTTTTTTTTCTTGATTCGTATTAATGATTATCATTATTTTATAGGGTTTCGAATACTCAAGATCCGGTAATCCTAACCGTAACAATTTTGAAGAAGCTGTAGCTGCTCTTGAAGGCGGTAAATATGGTCTTGCCTTTGCTTCTGGTTCTTCTACTACAGCCACCATTGTTAACTCTCTTCAACAAGGATCACATTTAATTTCTGTAAATGATGTGTATGGTGGTACTTATCGTTATTTCACCAAGGTTGCTGCTCATATTGGTATTGAAACTACCTTTGTTAACTTGAGTGACCCTGCTAATATTGAATCTTACTTCAAACCTAACACTAAATTGGTTTGGATTGAGACACCTACTAATCCTACTCTTCGTGTCATTGATATTAAGGCCATCGCTGAACGTACTCATGCTCACGGTGCCATCTTGGTCGTCGATAATACTTTCATGTCTCCTTATTTCCAAAACCCTCTTTCATTAGGTGCTGATATCGTTGTTCATTCTGTTACAAAGTATATTAATGGTCACTCTGACGTCGTGATGGGTGTTGCTGTTACCTCTAATGAAGAATGGTATAATAAGCTTGCCTTTATGCAAAACTCTCTTGGTGCCGTTCCCTCTGCCTTTGATTGTTATATGGCCCGTCGTGGTTTAATGACATTGGAAGTGCGTATGCAAAGACATGCCGCAAATGCCCAAGCAATTGCTGAATATTTGCAAACCAATAAACATGTTGAAGAGGTCATCTATCCTGGTCTCCCTAGTCATCCTAATCATGAATTGGCCAAGAAGCAACAAAGAGGCTTTGGTGGTATGATCTCCTTCCGTCTTAAAGGTAGCTTGGATAATGTAAACAAATTTTTGGGTAAACTCGAGTATATCACTTTGGCTGAATCTTTGGGTGGTGTCGAATCCCTTATTGAAGTACCTGCTATCATGACTCACGGCTCTGTTAGTCCCGAAGATCGTGCTATCTTGGGTATTACTGATACCTTAGTTCGTGTCTCTGTTGGTATTGAGAACCAAGAAGATTTGATTGCTGATCTTAAGCAAGCCTTGGATGCCGCTTATTAAATTATTATTTTATTTTATTTTATTTTTGTTTTAATGCATTCAGACTTGGGGGAAAGTTTTTTTTTTATTTTCTTAGAGTTTTTAATTCATTTACTTATTCCCTTTTCTATCATTATAAATTCTCTAATCATCTCATAACCTTCATTATATCTTAAATAAATAATACACACACACACACACACACACACACATATCTTTTTTGTTTAGAATTAAAGGTTTCAAAAATAAAACCCGAAAATTAATCTAAATATGAATACAGAATGTAACTTTATTATCTCTATTTACAAAAAGAATCTCTTACGACTTGTTTCCATTTCAGGTTTAAATATCCATTCATATTCACCATCACGCTTATAAATACCCTTTTGTAACCAACGAAGCTTTAAGGTGAATTTGGGACCTAATTCCTGTAAACCCACTTTCTCGGTATCCTTAAACACATAACGATGTCGTCGAACGAAAATAAAATCTCGCTGGTTATGAAATGTAATCACTTGTCTACCTTGAAATTCAGGAACTTGAGGTAAAAGTGCCTGAAACATACGTCCCACTGTATGACCTAATCTAGTATTAAAATTATTTAAAATCAATTCTGGATTATGAGCAGTAACTCGTCCATGGTTCTGTATATGTATAAAAAAAAAAAAAAAATAGATATTAGTGCAAATGTTGATGTACATGAATAATTATATTTGAATTACCGAAATTGATTTGGCAGGTGTAATGCTTGTAAGTTTGAAATAAGCTGAAGGTCCATCAGGTAAATGTATTAAAGTAATACCATCTATAATAATAATAATAATAAATAGGTTAAGTTATTTGCTTTAAATTATTATTATTATTCATCTTTATTTTTATATTTTAACTTACTAGGCACTTTGCGATCTTCATTCACAATCAAAAGATCTGTGAATTCTTTATCTTTAGCAATTTTGATTACTTGTCTTAATTCATGTTTAGGTCCACGCTTGGCAAATTGAGCATCAGGAAACATAGATACTAATTCTGCACAGAAATCATAACAATTAGTTGAAGCCTTCTTACTAGTAGTTACTAATACTTTAGGTGTCTTTCCAGTAAAGTAACTAGCAAATTCATCAGAGGCCTCATCTTCTACAACTTCATCATCTTCGTCGGCCATAGTTTCATCTGCTTCTCTTGTATTATCTATTGTTTTTGGCACATTTTCCTCTAAACGTTTCTATTTTTTTTTTTTAAAAAAAAAAAAAAAGCTTTAATTTTATCATTTAATGGCATTACGAATTGGACAAAAAGACTTTTACTTTTTTTAATTCAGGATTTTTTTCTTCTAGCTTGGCCTGTTGTTTTCTCTTGGCTGCTTTAGCTTTTTGTTTCTCTAGTCTTTGTTTTTGATAAAGTCTTTCTCTTTTATGCTTATTTTTTAATTCAGAGGGACGTAAAGGCAGATCTCCCATTTTTTATTATTGGGTACAATAAAGTATATATCTGTATAAAAAAAAAAAAAAAAAAAAAAAATATTTTGTATGTTTAGAGAATATCAAGTCCAGTCACGTAGCGGTCACGTAGTGCATTTTAATTAACAAACAAAAAAAAAAAAAAAAAAAAAAAAAAAAAAAAAAAAAAAAAAAAAAAAAAAAAACTCGAACAACACTATGAGTGCAGTCGAAACAATACTACATATTGAATGTACTAACTAATTTCTTAGAAAAAAAAAGCAGATCATAGTAAGATACCATTTCTCCTCAGTAAACGTCTAACACTAACTAAGATGCAAGCTATAATAAAATGAAGCAGCAATAAAAGACTATTAATGATAGAATTCCGTATTCATATCTAGAAATAATTTTACGTGATCAATAGTATACAAGAAAGTAATATACAAGTACCAAATAGAATAAAAAAAAAAAAGAGCATGACTAAAGTTATTATTTTCATGCTAATAAAGTTTGTTGGTAAACTTGAATAATAATCGATATTGCTATTAAGTAAACATTTTATAGAAAAGAAAAAGGCTAGTTTTACAGGAAAAAAGAAGATCAGAGCTAAATTAAACAACCAGCCTATGATTAGTTAGATTATCAAAGAAGTTGTTATTGATATAGAATCAACATTTAAATTTATATTCACACAAAATTTAAGAATATATGACTATCGCTGTACATTTACTTAAGTTGTATGCCATTTTCTATTAGACCTTAAAAGAATAAAGGTAACTAGCTGTAATTATGGTGTGGTATAAAGCTATCCCTTACACCTCAGTATTCATATCAAATATGTCTTTCTATTATTTTATTCTATAGTCTTAAATTATGACACAATCATCCTCATAATTATAACATGAATATGATTAAGAGAGTAGCAGCAGACTTTTTAGGAACTATAGGCACATGTATACACAGAAATATATACACATATATAGGAGAGATAGAAAAGGAGGAAGGGAACAGAATAAATTAAATGAAAATAAAGGGAGGTATTATAGAAATACTATTGTGATGGAATGCAATAAATGTCAAAATAAATTAAAGTGCATAATATAATGTCTTGTATATAATATATAATATAATATCTATAATATACATAATACTCATAATATACATATATGTATATTTATACACATATACATGTATATATACATAAGATAATATATTTATTCATTTTACTTTTTCATTTCATATAGCATTGTTCTATATCCTTTTCTTTCTTTCTTTTTTTTTAAAAAAGAAAAAATATGCTTTCTGACAATCAACATGATATAAAGAACAAGCACAAACATTTGTCTTTCCTTAGTAACCCTAATGATCCTTCTGTTGAAGACGGATATGAAGCTCTAATTCAAGAGTGGAAAACTCAATTGGTTAATCAACAACTGACTGCACCTCCAAGTTATGATTATGTCAGATTAACATGGATGAGGCTGATGGACCATTATCTGGACCAACATTGGCTCGATTCTAAACAAATGCTTCAATGTGCTCAAGTATGGAGCACCCGTGATTCTATTCATATTTCAGAAGCTGTCTATACAATGAACATACTTGGCTTAAAATTCATGAAAAGATCACTTGATGCACGTAAAGAATTACTTCAAGCCTTAGGTGACCCCATATTCATGTCTACCTTAGGCGTTCTTCCGATTAAGAATATAAATCTGGATACAAGCTTGGCTTCAACGTGCTTTTATGCTGAAGAAGAAGAAGAAGATGAAGGTCCTGAGGTACATGCACCACTTTTCATGAATCATGAGAGTCAAAAGAATGATGATTTCAATTTGGAAAGGTATAGCAGTATGAATCATATAAATGACATACCTATTGAAAAAATGGACGAAGGTATTGTTCATCAGGTTCAGGAAGAAAATGATAATGAAGCCATTGATTTATATGCATATGATGATAGTCATGTAAAAGAAGAAGAAGAAGATGAAGACGAAATAGGTAATATGAGGCAGGCCTATGACTCATCTTTCATGAATCACTTTGGCTTAACCTTTTCTCGTTCTACGCCTAATATATCAACCAAGATAAATGAAGATGGCTCATCTTCTCAATATAACAAACTTTTCCGTAAATATGAAAGCTGCCATCAACAACTATATAAACTTTCTTCATGGAAAGACATTGAATTAAACGTAGGAGAAAATAATGTATTAGATAATCAAAGCATTTGCAGTAGCATCCATCCTAATTATGAGTCCTGTTCACCTATGATTAGTAACTGTACTGAATGGAAGAGCTGGTTTACAAATCAACAAGAAGGTGAATTTTACAATCCAGAAGAACAACGCTATCCACTAGAGCCATCATCAATTAAATCTAACCCTATTCTGCTATTAAAAGAAGAATTTGCTAATGAAAAAGTAGAAACAGATGAATCGTTCTCAAATTTATACTTTTCTAGTAATAGTCAAAAAGCTTCATGTGCAAATACAGAAATAAGCCCGACTTCCTTCATGGTAAGAAGTGAATCAAATATCTCTACTTTTAGACCTATCAGTAATAACCTGGCTCCTCGTTGTCATCAACTCATGCCAACTCCAATTCCAAACAGTATGATAAAACGATCATCTTCCTATTTTGATACCTCCAAAGATAATCGACCTATATTATCAGATTCTAATGAATGTATTCACACTATCTGTAGCAGAAGAGCTACTATTACTAAGAGTAAATCCTTTCCATCAAAAATCACTTCTACATCAGTTTCCATTAAAAAGCCTTATTCTGATGCTTCTATTCCTCAAAAAGAACGCAATTTTACGATACGATCTATTGTCAATAAAAAAGTATCTTTTTCCAGGCTATTCAGTAGTAAAAAAAGCTCTTCTTCATCGTTAAATACAACAGCTCATTAACAAGATAATTACTTTGTATTGGTTAAGCTATAAATAAATATAAATGTGTATATATGGCTTGCAACATCTATAAAGATCAAAAAAAAAAGGCTATGTTGAAATTTACGTCAAATAGGCGTTCTATAAAGGGCTTCTTGAAACATATTTTCATGACATCATTTTCTTATGCAAAAATGATATAAATTATATATTGCTATAAGCTATTGAATGAGGTATTGATTTATATATAGCGTAGTAGCGACTAGTTTTCTTTTTTTTTTTTTTTCTTTTTTCTTGTTAACTTGAGTTTTTATTTCCTTACAGTGAAGATGCCAAAGCACACAAATAGGCTTATTAAAGAAAAAAGCCCTTATTTATTAGTAAGAATTTGAAAAAAAAAAACATTTTTATTATGCATTTCCTTTTCTTTTACTCATCATTTTACTTATAGCAACATGGTAAAATATTTTTACAATTACTATTAATCAAAACAAAAACTTTACTAATTATTCTGAAAACTTATTATTTAAAAACAAAGCACATAATCCTGTAACTATTTTTAAAGCAATACATGAAATATGAAAACCCTATTGACAATCAAGTACTTATTATTCTATTAAATTAGGTTGATTGGTATCCTTGGGGTGAGGAAGCTTTCGCTAAGGCAAAGAATGAAAATAAGCCCGTTTTTCTAAGTGTGGGATACAGCACTTGTCAGTAAAGTATTATTATAAGCAAAAAAAAATACATTCACTACATGAATTTGACATGATTACATTTAAAATTTAGTTGGTGTCATGTAATGGAACATGAATCTTTTGAAAATGAAGAAATAGCAAAAATTATGAATAAATATTTTGTAAACATAAAAGGTAAATTAATAATCAAAAAAAAAAAAAAAAAAAAAAAAAATAGATGAAGAGGCTTAATAAATTTCTGTAGTTGATAGGTTTGATCAGCATTAATTATTATGTAATTTTTTAAGAAAATAACGATATTTTACCTTAGAGAAGAAAATCCGGGTGTAGACAAGCTGTATATGACATATATTCAACTTACCTCAGGTCATGGTGGTTGGCCTATGTCTATCTTTTTGACACCTGATTTAGATCCTTTCTTTGGTGCTTCTTATTTCCCTCCTGAAGATCAATACGGTTCACCAGGTTTCAAAACTTTATTAAACCGTATTGGACAGCTTTGGGAGACAAACCCCGAAAAGGTAAAAGCAAGTGGTAAAAGCATGATTCAACAATTAAAGTCTTATATACAAGTACGTTGCTATTTTTATTATCTTTATTCATATATGTATATATATATTAAATTCTTCTTTTTATTTAGGCTAAACCTGCTGATGCAAGTGACGCATTAGATCCAACTGAAATTGCTGAAGAGACTTTCCAACATTTTGAAGATTCATTTGATTCTGTGTACGGAGGTTTTGGAAAAGCACCCAAGTTCCCTACACCAGTACAGATTCAATTTTTATTCAATTACTATATGTATAATCGCCAAAATGAAGATAACTCGGCTAACGCTCAAAAGGCACTAGACATGGCTTTATTTACTCTTAAAAAAATAGCCGCTGGTGGTATTCATGGTAAGATATATATAGTTGTAGTAACTTGTAGAAATAATTTAAACTTTTGCTTGTTTTAGATCATGTTGGTAATGGGTTTCACCGATATAGTACTGATAAGAAATGGCACGTTCCTCATTTCGAAAAAATGCTTTATGATCAAGCTCAACTATTATCATTATATTCTTTTGCATATCAAATTACAGAGAATCCTGTCTTTGCTGATATCACAAGAGATATTATTCTTTATGTATCAAGAGATTTACATCATACTAGTGGTGGCTTTTACTCTGCAGAGGATGCTGATTCATTACCACATAATAATGCTACTAAAAAGTTAGAAGGCGCCTTTTGTGTATGGGAACTATCTGAACTGAAAGAGATACTAGGTACATCAGATTCACATGTTTTTGCTATTCATTATGGTTGTTCGGAAAAAGGCAATGTAAATCCTGCTCAGGATCCTCACAAGGAATTAGTTCATAAGGTTTGTTGTAAAACTAATATATATTTGTATACGTATTTATATCGAATATCTATTTAGAATGTTTTGTATAACAAGAATTCAATTGAAGAAACAGCAAAGATGGTAGACATGTCACCCACTGAAGTACAATCTATTCTACATACTGCAAGATCAAAGCTATGGAATTATCGAGCTACCGTTCGTCCTAAACCTCATCGTGATGAAAAGGTTAGTCAGACTTAAAGAAAATAACACAGGGCTGTCTTTCATGTGTTCATTTTAAATAACTAAATTAGATTATAACCTCTTGGAATGGACTTATGATTACAGGCTTAGTCCATGCTTATGAAGCTTTGCAAAATGAAAGTATTATAAAACTAGCTACCGAGACTGCAGAGTTTATTTATAGAGAACTTTACAACCCATCTACTCACACTTTATTAAGAAGTTTCTGTGATGGGCCTTCAAATATTGAGGGCTTTGTTGATGATTATTGTTTCTTGATCCAAGCATTATTGGATTTATATGAGGCTACCTTTGATGAACGTTGGATTGAATGGGCTTTTGAACTTCAGGAAAAACAGAATGAATTATTTTATGATAATGAAGAAGGTGGCTATTTTAATGTTACTGTTAATGATAAATCTATCTTGATCAGAATGAAAGAAGGTACAAAAATATAATATAGAATTATTAAGAAAACGCCAACAAACTATTTTTTTTTTTTTTTATAGAGCAAGATGGTGCCGAACCATCCGCGTATGTATTGTTTTTTTCTTCCCATAGATATGTTATATATAACTCAATACTTTATTTTATATAGAAATTCTATTGCTTTAAAAAACTTGATCCGGCTTTCATCTTTATTAGGAATCTCCAGCTACCACACTAAAGCTCAAGATACAGTCCAATCCTTTAGGTTAACTTTAAGTCAGTATCCTTTTGCTCTACCAGCATTAGTAGATGCCTTTACATTATTATCAAAGGGTCTTAAAGAAGTAAGTTTTTTTAAAAATACATACATTTATTACAAACTTTACCAAGTTTTTTTTTTTTTCCTTAGATTGTATTAGCCGGCAAATCTACAGATCCTGAACTGAAAACGTTTACAAAAATTATCTCTCGTCTATTTTTGCCTAACAAACTAGTCATCTTGACTAAACCAAATGGTTTTATTTCCACAAAAAACTCAATTGTCAAGGAAATAGCAGAAAATAACGTTAATAAGCCTGCTGTTTACATCTGTGAAAACTTTACTTGTGGACTACCAATTTATGATGCCGAACAACTTGAACAAGCATTGAATGGATATAAATAAATTTGGCAGCAAACACATAATAAAATCAAACAATAAAATAAAATGTAAATCTTGATTCATTATCATCTTAATATATATGTATATATATAAAATGCAAATTACATTTGTTGAAGGTTGTATTTATGATTTAGTTTTCATTTATTGAGAACAACAAAAAAAAAAACTTATTGAGCGCTCAAGATGTCAGAGTCACCAGCATCAGTGATGGAGAGGACACTGGTACGGAAGAGCTTACCACAAGCAGTACCAAGATCGATGTTGTTACCGTTGTAGTGGTGGACACCAGTCTTGGACAACATGGCATAGTATTCGATCTCAGACTTGCGAAGAGGAGGGCAGTTACCAGCAATGATGACCAACTTGGCTATTAAGGAAAAAAAAAAAAAGATGAATTAGTTTCACAATCTCGTAATATTCAATTTGTATTCAAATAAAATAGCATTATATTAAAACCTTTTAGGGTTCTAATACATATATATAAATGCATAATATTATATATGGTAAAGATTCTACTTACCCTTTCCTTGACGGATGGTCTTCAAAGTAGTCTTGTAACCAAGAGTGTACTTGCCAGACTTCATGACAAGTTGGAGACGAGAGTTAATAGACTCAGCGTTCTTCTTAGACTTAACAGTAGGAGCCATTTTTCTAGTTGAACAAAACAAAGAAAAAAAAAGAGAGATCGAATAGGTCAATTAAGCTGTTGATGTTAAAGTGGCATGGTTACTTACAGAGATCGAAATGTATACGAAAGAGAGAGAGCTCTAAGTAATAGTCTGAAAAATAACTGAAAAAAAAAAAATTTCAACAGCTAAGCCACATGCTTCTCTATTTCTTGAAATTCACGGTCTTTAAAAATGTCAATTTTAAATTTGACATTTGCCCCTGTCTTTGTTTTTCATTTTTTATTTTCATATATACTACATACTTATAAAAGAAATAGAGAAATTATTTTAGCTTTTCACGATGAATAGATTGAATGTTATTCGTACAGTGCCTCAAGTCTTGTTAAGACGTTATACAACAGCAATAAAACCAGATATAAAGCTACTCAAAGAACTTCGTAAGGAAACCGAAGTTTCTATGTCCAAAGCAAAAGAAGCTCTTATCAAAACTAATAATGATTATGCAAAAGCGCTAGTCTGGTTATCAGAGGATGCACAAATTTCTGGTGCAAAGAAAGCCCAGAAAGTTTCAGGAAGAACTGCTGGCGAAGGATTGATTACGACAGCTTCTGTTGAAGTGCCTGTATCAAATGGTTTTAAGAGTAAAAGTACTATTATTGAAGTAAATATAGAGTCTTGAATATGTTATATAATATGGCACATGTAGATCAAGAAAGTATATTGATTCATCTTTTATATATATACATAGTTAAACTGCGAAACTGATTTTGTGTCTCGAAATGATGTTTTTAAAAACCTTGCATCCAGAATTGCGGCCACTTCTTTATTAATGCATGAAAGCTCTCTCAGCAACAAAGCTTGTTCAATTGAAAATATCCCGATTGATGATCTCCTTAATGCACCCTTAATGCCACACCCAAGTGAAACAGAATTAAATTCAGCTCATATCGGAAAGACAATAAAGGAATCCATTGTGGAGACGATTGGTAAACTTGGTGAAAATATAACTTTACGTCGTGCGGCTGTTGTTTCAGAAGGTGTGTCAGCATCCTATATTCATGGTGGTGATGCAAATAGCGGTAAAATAGGTGGTATTGCTGTGCTTCAGCCTAAGAAAGTGACTAATTTAACAGAATTAAATGAAGCCAACATTGATACATTATTAAAAACTGCACGCCAAGTTGCACGTCAAGTTGTTGGCTTCAATCCTACTTATTTAAATTCTAAAGATATTCCCGACAGTGTACTTCAGGCACAAACAAATCTTGAAGAATTTGAAGAAACACATGTCTTAAACAAACAGAAATATCTCCTAAATCCTGAACTAACTATCTCTGAATATGTGAATCAGGCAGCTGATGGTGCTGAAGTTATTGATTTTATTCGTTGGGAGGTTGGAGAAGGTATTGAAAAGAAAGAGAATAATTTTGCGGATGAAGTTTTGAACGCTGCTCGTGGAAATTAAAAAGGTTTTCTTATATACCATATAACAATATTTAATTACTTTCCCTTGTCAAGGAAAAAAAAAACTCTATTTCTTTGTATTATAAACAATTTTCTTTGTAGTAATTTGCTTAGAAAATAGTCTTTATTTACTATATAAAAAAAAGAAAGGAGGAGGAGGAAGGGTTAATTATGGAACTGATACAATTTGTTAACACTAAATATTATACTTTTGAATTTATTATTCTATTGAAAACCCAAATCATTTAAAGAAATAATAACTAATAATGAGTAAAGAGCTTTATTGATTTGATAATATTTGAAATGAATAGTCTGAGTAGGATCAACACATGGTTCTAAACATATTTTTAATACCATTTAGGCTTCCTTCTAGACTAGACAAACAGGAAATAGAGTTAAAAAAGAAAATTTTGAAAGTATGATTTCCTCTTCCAATTACAGAGACAGCTTTAACTATACAGAGACATGCTAATAATGATATGTTGAAAGGAAGCAGTAAATAAGGTTTTTTCGATATATTATCTTTCTACATCAATAAAAAGATACATTTAGACTTGGTTGTCCTTTAATTGTAATATGCTTACTATACAATGATTAAAAAGAAGTAAAAATACAGTACGAGTGCAAAAAGATTTATTATGGCACTGGGTAAAACTATTCCATCTGCAAACCTAATATTTTTTATATACATATATAATACGAAAACATATAAATAACCTATTGTGTATACACATTTTGTTGTTTATATTGTTTAATCTTAACAAATTATACAAAGCTTTATAAAGAAAAAGATCTATTAAACATTTTTACTCACTTCTATTAAATAATAGTTATGGCAAGTATTAATGATTATTATTTTTTCTTACTATAACAAAGCTATTTGTTGAACAAATAATGAATCAAATTAAAAATTTGTAAAATAGATAATATACTCATCTTATATAAATGCTATTACAACTCTTAATCATTTCTTGAAGATAAAAGGTCTTTATCGTCATCTTCATCGTCAAAGGTCTTTACTATTTTATGATGACAGTTCTTCTTTAAAGAAGTTGCATATTTACCAATAGATCTAGCCCAATAGATCTATATTTATGATATAATAATTTTTTTTTTAAAAAAAAAAAAAGAAGACCACGCATAATCATACCTATCATCAATCTCTTATTACCTGTATAAAGTTGAACATAAAAACACATATGCCAGATATTATAATTATACGCTTAACAAGCTCAACACATTCTGACTTATCAGATCCAGGTGCTATCGGTTGCTTACCAGGTATTCGAATTTGAGTATAAAATTCATCAGCAGTAATGTTGTTTTTAATATTCTGTATATCTTGACAGTCATTCACATAAGTATCCTGCTTTACTTTAAAATAGACCCAGCATGCTACTGTGACTGTAAAGAGTAATAAAACAAGAAACCAATTCATTACATGATATATACGCACCATTCTTCTATGTTGCTATTTATGCATTATAGATATTATCATGCGGTTATTATGTATATTATAGTTCAACTTACAATAATGATAGAAATGATTCCTAAAAATGATATTATAATATATATAATGAATACAGAAGCAAATGAATAGAATACAGTGTTGAATGCTTCTAAGGTAAGTGGTGTATCAACGTTCTGTTCCATTGTAGACCATTTTTCCAAATCTATTTTATAATATTATTTATGATATATAATAGTCCTTTATGTATAAATATGTATATACCTTTAGCATATATAAATATCAATATTGTATTCGCCAAGTATATGCTCTATTAAATGTATTTAAGCAAGTTATTCTAACAAGGAATATATAAACTTACCAATATTAAACTTGATATTATAAGAACACCCATTCTAATAGATATACAGCAACATACAGTGTTTCCACTGCCAATCCGAGGACTGTATAATGATAGTTTGCTTTTATTTTTTTTAATAATATTGGGCTCCAGTTTAATTATAATATGGAAAAAGCTTTAACGATAAATAGATACTATATTTTATTTTATTTCTTCCCCCCCCCCTGAAAATTAATTAAAGGTTTAAAAAAAGCTTTATTTTTTTCTTCCTCTTAACAAAAAGTATTATACATATTTAAAGTCAGATTACCTGAATTTGAATTTGTACATATCGTAGTTTTGCACGTTGAAGAAAAGGTGTATAGATCGAAAAGCATAAGTTTACACCATTATCGGTGCTGTTCACTTGTCTAGCGTTGTTCACGTTGTCATATAAAACCTCCACCAAGAAAAGAAATACAAGCTGCTAAAAAAAAGAGAGAGAGAGAGAAAGTGTTAAAAATGAGATTTTTTATTAAAAATAGAAATGATAATATCAAAGGACAGAATGTTACTTGGAGTCCAGCAGTAATATAATGAATATTACTATTATTCATGGATAGTATATGCAGGACTATCATTTTATTAAGACGATATCTCAATTTCTAAATGAGGCTTTGATAGGAAATAAAAGTGCTTATATTTACCTTTCTACTTTTCATTCTTCAATCTAACAAAATATTTCTAGTATAACGTACGCTATGAAAAGTTTACTTGGAAAATTCGAAATTTCACCAAGAAGACTACCATTTTCAACTGTAAACAATAGGTCCATTATTCCATATCTGACTATTCTTTGGTTGTTACCTCCGTAGAAAGACGAGTATACAAGTATTTTTGTGTTTTATTATTATTATTATTACGCCTACTGTATAGACAAAAATGGAAAATAACTTTAAAGTATAATTTCATATACTTTTGATTTATGCGTTGAACTAACAACTAAAAGTAAAAATTATATAAATATATATAAAAAGCAAAGTCAATAAGATAATAATGGATAGTATAAATTTAATAATAAACTGTTCAATTTAAAATGTGTCATGAAATTATATATGTCTATTTAATTAAAATAATATGGAAATGATTATACTTGAAATACAAATAAACTTTGATATAAAGTGAATGACACTCTTTATGCAAAGTTAATAATCTTATTTTTTTTTTATATAGAATAATAATATGATATAATGACAAGAAGACATAATTTAAAATTTTAAGATATAAATTAACATTATTCGTAGAGGAACAAAGACAAGAAGAAAGAGCCTTCAAATGATTAGAATTAGAGTTAAGAGAATTCTCAAAAGTAAAGTCAAAGAATATGACTGTGTAGTTGATACAATGCATGAAGACAAGCGATTTCACTTTCTATGTTTGTGACTAATAAAACCACTTTGCATCATTAAATTAATCAATGAAGCGTAGAATCTTCTAGTAACTAATTCTATTTGATATTTCTTTGGTTTCATCATTTTATTATAATGAATAACTTTATTCCACATATTTAAACCTAAAGAGGACGATTACTATTAATTAGTTATTCAATCTTACATCATAAATTATCCCAAAAGTTAAAATATTATATTAAATGGAAAAAGAAAAAATATATATATTACGTATTTATAGAATTTTTATTTTTATCAGGAAACACTATTAACTATAATATAGAAATATATATTATAATTATACCTTACTCATATCTAATAATATAATCTATACATGTATGTTTCATGACTTACTTGAAGTAGAAGTCGAGAATTATATTAAACATTTAGACCCTTAAAAATCTAAATATAGTAAAAAAAGGACGTTTTCTTTACGTACTCTAAGGCACACATAACCCAGAATTCTTTTATAGAATTTTCTTACTTCTATCATGTTTTATTGTGCCTTGCAACCTATTTTATATAAAAGAGTGGGAGGGGGAGGGGACGAGGGATAGAGAGAGCGCAGAAAAAAATATATAAATATATATCTTATTAAAAGATAATATAAACTGCACGATTATAGATATAAAATGACGCGTCAATGCTTTATATTATGTAAGTTAACTTTAATTGTGATAGAATATTAAAGATATAATATACTTATATATATATTTTTTTTTAAAAAAAATAGTAGGAAGCTATGATCGTAAAATATGTCTGGAAAACACTACACATCCATGTCCACGTTGTAAAAAGCTAGATACAGTTCAATTAACACGTTTTGAAAATGAATTAATTATATGTAACAAGAGAATTGGATTACCAAATAACATGAGTGTTCGATATGCTTGTAAATCGTGTAATTGGAAAAATGACAGTTTACCAGATAACAGTAATACTTCTTTACCTATTTATGATAAAATGCCTATATTCATGGACTCCAATTCCAATCAAATAAATCCACTTTCTGTTACAACTTCAGCAAAAGTATTCTCGTAAATCAATTATAATGATACAAGGCAATACTCTTTTATTGTTTTTATTTATTTATTTATTTATACATATGCATCTACTATTATCATATACATTTATAGTTATAAAGATATGTGACTATTTTAATCTACTATTACACTCTATTTGTACATACTCCCTCTCCTTCTTAATAATTTATAGATATCTTTCTATCTATAACTTATAAAAAAAAAAGAATTTACAAGCTCATTTAATGAATATAAGAACAATAAAAATAATTAAAAAAAAAATCCATTTTATTAGTCTGAACTACAGTGTTGAATAGACTATTTGTCTTTATTATTTCTCATTCTATGTTTAAATCTTGCAACTGCTTGTTCATCAGTTGCTTTCAAATGTTGATCTAGTCGTAAATACACCAATTAAAATTACTTATCCTTCAATTTATTTTTAAAGCCAAGTGTCTTGAATAAGAAAAAAACATCTCTGTAATTCGCAAGTATATACATATGCTATCTAGACGTGAAGAACTACTCTACTTTAACAAAACCAACCTGTTTTTTTTATTGCTTTAAAAAAATAAACCATTTTATACCATGTGTTAAAGGAAGCATATATTGAAGTTTGTTGTTGATATCACTTATTGTTACTAATTGATCCAACTAAATTTATATGCTTATATAATCTCTTCTTTGAAGATACCCTGCTATATATTTAAAATTCCTTTTCGACTTAGGGCATAATAAGCGTATCATATATTATATCCACAAAATAAGCACTTTATATATATAAACGAAGAATACTGAACAGCTATGGCCAAAGAAAAAAAAATACATTACACAAGTAAAAATACCAAGAAATATTTAGAAATGTCTAGTATTTGAAAAACACAAGTATATAAGAGAAATTGGAAAAATCACTCTAGCAAACTAACTTGATAATACTAAAATAAGAGTGAACAAGAAGATAAAATGACGTCGTTAAATGAAGCCTTCATATTCTTCTTAATATATTTTCTGTATAACAAAGCTTTTCATTTACTTTTTTTTCGAGAAAAAAAAATGATATTTCTAGAAAGTTAGTCTCAAACCAAATAAAGAAAATAGTATTAATCCAATCCAAATTTCCTTTTTTTTTTATTATTAAAAAAAAAAAAAAAAAAAAAAAAAAAAGTTCAGGAATAAAGAAAAATCTTAATAGGGCAGGAACAATGGTAGCTTTTTTTTTTTTTTTTTTTTTTTTTTTTTTTTTTTTTTGAAGACACATAAAAATAACTTACGGTGTTATTACTGTTTATTTAAGACTTGAAAGTATACGGTATATATAGACAGTTCATGTTATAAAGAGGCCTTTATTTCTATGCGTATTAGATTCTATAGTCTGAGATGTTCGAATACTATGGCAATATGAAAATAAAAATAGCGTAAAAACAAATGCATAATATTTTATATATTAATTCACTCACTAATCATGTCTACTCTACTATCATAATTAATCTTTTGCAACCTCCATTTTATGAAAGGATTTAAACGTGTAAAGGTAGTAAGTTATATCCTTAAATATTTTTGAATTATCAAAGTATTAATATTCATTTTGTCTTATATTCCTTTTATGGGGTTTTAAAAGCTAATTTCATTGTTTCTCAACTTGAATTAGCATAATGAATACCCTATTTTATTTTATTATTTTTGGTGGTGGTGGTGGCTTACCTTTTTTCTAGGGAAATTATACCCATAACAGTCACAAAGTTTTTTTTTTCTGAACTTGTCAAAAAAATCTGAAAGACAATTTTTTTTATTTGTTTTAATATTCATATAATAATACATAATGGCTAAAGAACAAAAGAAGGAAAAGAAAGAAAAGAAGGTCAAGATCGAATCTACTGAAAATGAAGAAGAAGTTCCTCGTTATTTATCCCCCATTGCTCAGCCTTTAGCTGAAAAGAAGCTCACCAAGAAGATTTATAAGACCGTTAAGAAAGGTATAATTATCAATAAAAAATAACGAATTACATTGTTAAATAATCTTTAATTTTTAAATTTGCTAAATAAATAGCCAGTAAAGCTAAGCACGTTCGTCGTGGTGTTAAAGAAGTTGGTAAAGCTCTTCGTAAAGGAGAAAAGGGTCTTGTTGTAATTGCTGGTGACATTTCTCCTGTTGATGTCATTTCACACATGCCTGTTCTCTGTGAAGATCACAATGTTCCCTATATCTTTGTTCCTTCTAAAGAGCAATTAGGTGAGGCTAGTGCTACTAAGCGTCCCACTTCTGTCACAATGATCGTTTATGGCGGTAAAAATAAGGATGTTAAGTCTGCCGCTGATTATAAGGAATTATATGATGAATGTTTTGCTCAAGCTAAAAACTTGGTAAGTAAAATAAATGACATTTAAAAAAATATTGTTTTTACTAATTTTTCTTTCTAAAAAAAAATAGAATGAAAAGCTTGTTTATTAATTTTATATATGATTTTTTTTATCTTTCTTATTCACATATTGTATTAAATCCTTTTACCTTTTTTTTTTGAATTCCAGAGTTATGTATCCAGTATAGAACGGAAAAATAGCCAATAAACTAAGGAATAATTAATGAAACAAAATAAAAAGAAGATATCAGCAACTAGCAGCGATATGCATACTGATGAAACAAAGTTTATAATCAGAAAAAGATAATTTTGGTCAAACATAAATGCATTATGTAACAGCATTCCTGAAAAGTAATATGGCAGGATTAAGAAAATTAATGCTTTACTTTTTTTTTTTTGTTTTGTTTTTTATTAATGTTATCTTGTGCTTAAAGATGGAGTCTCATATTTTTTTTAAAGAAAAAAAAAGAATAGCATCGCATCGCATGTTTATATGTTAGAATAGACTTTTTTTTTCATTCTATTAATTGTATTACAAGATCCTTAAAGTTTTCTTTTATTCTACTAAAATTGCCTCTAATAAGTTTGACCTATATCATGAAGGGGAAAATGATAGGCCTATTAAATGAAGGCTGTTATATTACATTTTGTACTATAAACTTCATATTTTAAGAAAAACAATCGAGGAAAACAGACTGATGTGTGAAAAAAACAGGATGTAATAATAATACACTTATTTAAGTCTCTAAGCTGTTGTAAGGATATAAACTAAAAGTTATTTGTTCTATATTAGAGTATGCATGTGTGTGTATGTGGGGTGAAACTAGTAAAACAAGATGCTCAACGAGACAAAATATCAATAAACATGTTAATAGAATATGTCTGGACATCCTCTTGTTTATGTATAAAATTATTCATAGCTTTTCTGTATATTTTATTTAGTTTAATTATGGATTCTGCTAATTAAGTCTTTTTTTTTTAAAAAAAAAGGATACTACTACCTTGTCTGGTATGCATTCGGCAATTTTAAAAAAGTAGTTTTTGTATTATACCTACTGGATTTTATTAGCTGTTATAAATAAAAAATATATATATAAATATATGTATATGTATATTGATATAGCCTTAAGTCGGTATATAATTTTTTCACTTGAGTTATATAAAAGTATATATTATTTAGTCCTATAAAAAATATGCCAATTAGTAACAGCAGTTCACTTTTATTCGACAAATTTGTTTATCAATAAGCTTTTATTCTTTATTAATATTGGGTTTCACGATTTAACACAGTAAAAAGTGTGATTGTAAAAATAAAGGGAAAGGAGTATAAACATTTGTATTACAAGCTTTTCTTACTTTACTTATGTTTATAAGCTCAGTTAATATGAATAATATTTTATAACTGTCAGGGACAAATACCATATCGTTTTTTAAATATACATTTATCAACAATTATGATAATATTGTCACAAGGTCTACTTATCATGATAAGAAAGGCAAATTTTATTTTATTTCGTTTAATATGTATTTTTTTTCTTTTCTTTCTTTTTCTTTTTTAGATAGCATGCATTTCTTCCTTTTCTTTTTCATTTAATAAATAATGTATGAAACTGAAGGTTCATCTATTGCAAGCAGTGGTTCTTCATATGAAGAACAAAATTATATGGAACCTTTTATCAATCGGTGCTCAATATGTTTTGATTCACAGCTTGATTTATGTTTAGAATATTGCAGAGATCAATACTGTATAGAATGCTTTCAAAAGTAAAGACAAAAAAATAAAATAAATAAATGGATTGCTAACTTGTGTTAAAAAGATATGTAATTGAAGTTGTAAAGTCATCATGGGGCTTAAGTGTAACTCCTATCAGATGTCCTGTTTGTAATGCATTAATACCTAAACATGAATGGAGTAAATATGTACCTCGAAAAATTATAGAAATGTATGATAAATTCAATAAACCCTACCGTAGTTATACTAGAGCATGTTCACATTGTGAAACTGACATAATACCATGCATGTATAATCATAACACGACATTGATACAACAACCTAGGTAAATATATACACGTATACTTGGATTTTTTTTTTTTTTTGTGATATATCATTACTTATCAGACATTCTTTTTTTTTTTTTTTCTTTAGTCGTTTGTTCTGTGATTTAATGGAAACAATGTTAAATAATTGTCCTAAAGCTGAAAAGCATAAAAATCATCCAGAGCATATATCAATTAAAAGATGGATACCAATTTATAAAAGACAAGATTGTTCAGATAATAAATTACTTGTGCTTTATAAACACATCATGAAAGATGTGTTGGAATTTGAAAAAAATCATAATAGTCGTAGTAATCAAAACTATGCTTACAACATATCTCTTCAATTTATTAATTTCTGTGTAAAGCCTGAAATTTGGAAACAAATTCAATTTGCTCATATTAAATTCTTTCCAGATATGATTTGGTAAATGATGCAACTTCTTTTATAATGACTTGCTTGTTTGTTTGGTTTTTTAAAAAAAAAAGAAAAAAAAATCGATTTATTATATAGCTCCCATTGTAAAGTACGTATTTGTCTACATTGTGGATATGATTCACATATTGGATTCAGCTGTGAAGAAAATATGAAAGAGATGCTATCAAATAAACATATTCAAAAAGATATCAAAGAAACGGTTCGATGGGAATTAAACAATAGGTATAAAAATCCAGACATGTTTGAATATATCATATTCTTATTTAATTATATGTATTTTTAGTCGACGATGTCCAAATTGCTCAATTATGATAAATAGGGATGAAGGGTGTAATAAAGTCGATTGTTCATATTGTGGATTTTGCTTTTGTTGGACATGTCGTTTATCTTGGACAGAGGTATATATATTTATAGTACCATGTCTACATATGCTTATTTCACATTGTTATATTTATTTATTTAGGGATGTGGCTTTTATAGATGCTTAAATGAGAAAGAAGAAGAAGAAGAAAATAATGATGATATACCATCTTTTAAATATGAAGCATTAAAAGAAGAAAAAGTAAAACAATTATATAACTATTTATAGTATACTCATACTTCCTATAATAAAAAGACTGAAATAGGTGTTCCAAATATAAAAAATATCGAGGCAAGACTTATCAATAATAATCAATATGATCGTATGGAGATGGATTAATTTGCTACTGCTTATAAAGATTTGCTCATATATAAAATAAATAATTTATTTATTGCTCTTTTATGCAGTTTGTCTTGAAAAAAAAAAAGAAAAAAAAAGTAAATACGCTTATTAATAAACACCTTCGATTAACCAACCATCATTATTGCTTTATAGTACAATAAATGTCAGTTATGAAATAAAACAAATCATAACAATATTAGACTTAATAATGGTAAAAAATTGCTTAAAATAGGCATAGAGAGGACAAAAATATAAAAAGAGGAAAAACTCTATGTTTATTTCTATTTTCTTTTTCTGTTTATATCGCTATTTTGGGTCATGTAGGTAATCAATTCTTGTTTTCCATTTAATAACAGCTGGTCGTTTAAACACCTTATTTTAATGATTGAAGCTTTTCAATATGCTTCTGATCTTACTTGGAGAAGAATGATACGCCTAATATTACTAATCTTCAACTGAAAGAGAAAAGGTAAAAGTGCGTCGTATTTTGTGTTTTGTACTGGATTTTCTCAATAAGAATACAATGAACAGCAAAATTATCGGGAAAATAAAAAATGCATCCATTTATCACTATCAACCTCCTATTGAATTTGTAGGAACAGAGGAAGGAAAAGAAAAAGAGTAAAGGTGAATGAAAAAAAAAGAATTAACAAAGTTTATTATCGAATATATTAAATACTTTCTATAGAGACGGATTTAATGATGCAAAGAGAATATATGATCATCAATCATTTTGTATCGAAATCATGCAGCTCCACACTACATATGAAAAACTCGTTTATGCGCTTACTCATTTTCTGCAATCAGGACAGCTCATTTCACTTGTATTAGATTTTGTAAATAGATTAACTGAGGATTTAGAAATTGTAGGAGGTTTCAAAAGTGGAATAAAAAGATTTATAAAAGTATTGAATCGAGCAGCCCTTAGAACATTCAATTCACCTTGTATCATGCGTCATTTATTTCATAGTTCATTTCAATTAGGTGATTATGAAGAAGCACAGCATGCCCTTCATACTTATCTTTATTTGGTAGGATTTGAAACAAAGGCTTTAATAGATATGAAATCTACAACAAATGCAATAGCTTCAGAAGCATTTGGGTACTTGACACCTGTCCCTAATACTGATGAAAAAGAAGAATTGGCATTAGAAAAGGGTGCATACGCAAAACATGAACCTTCATGGCACCTATTAGCATTACTATGCTCTTGTCCGGTGAAAGATGATTTAACACAATCACTTAAGATTATTGAAATTGCTTTAGCAGAAGCTTCTCCTGCATCAGCTTATAAGCAGGATTGGGTTGATTATACCGATGAGATTGTACAATACCTTTTGCTACATATGACACAAATCTTATTTATTGATCATATTAATGGCCCTGAAGCAGCTATGTCATCTCAGGAAGCTCTTTTTTCAAATTTTTAGTAAAATTATTGTTCCTGAGTTAATTCCAGAATCAACAAGTTCCAATATGTTACATGAAGCAATTTCAAACGGAAATAATCGATATAGTATGGTATTATCAGGATCTTTGGGTAACATGAGCATGAATGAAATAAACAGTAAATAGTAATGGAATTGCTTCAAACCATTCTGATGTAAAGTATGGACGGGATCGTAGTGCAAGTAACGCGAGCAATAATTCAGCTGCAAAAATAGGACAGCATCCTACTGGCAACCGTGTATGATCATTTTTCTTCTTTTACTGGTCGTAAACTCCATTTGGCAGAGATATTTAGTTCAAATCGTTTGGATAGATCAGACATTAATAGTATTAATTCACTTCCGGATTTAAATTACACAAATAATCATGCAAGTAAATTAGGCATTGGGTAGATAAAAATTATTGTATGATAAGCTTTAGCTAAACTTTAATTTGATATAGGTAATACAAGCGGGATAGAAAAAAGGGTTCCCTAACTTTTATTCTTAGTACGGCCCCTTCCGTAATAAGTAACCATACACTATTGCAGTCTACAACTGCCTTTACTCAACCTACACTTCATGCAAGGCTACAGCACCAAAGCTCCTGTAAGATGTTATGCGACATATGGACAATTTTTTTCTTCATTCATTGTACATAGCCATCTTTGACAAAAAAAAAAAAAGTAAAACGGACCTTTCATTTACCGAATGGTAGTTGCATAAAAAACCAATTTTTTTTTCTTCTGGTAAAATATAATTATTTCATGTAAAGAAGCCTTATATTTCACTGAAAGCCAAATTTTGTTTTCCAGATAACTGTATATACCATCATATCATTTTTATTTATATGTCTTTCATGTCTACAAAATTTAAAGTTATAACTTAAAAACATAAAAAGAAAGACCAGAAGCTTATTATTGTCCTTGTTTGAAGAAACAGTCTTCTTCTACTCTGACAATAATAATAATACTACAGTATTATTTCTTATCAATTATTATTAAAAAAAAACTGTTAATGATGAAAGTGTCAATTAATAAGTTTTATATTATACATATTCAGAATAAAGAAATGAATATCTCAAACTATGGCAATATAATACGTAGAATTGCTACTATATTCAACAAGTATACAAGTGTGCGCTGGTCTTGTGATTTGTATTGTGTAACTTGGGGTCTGGGTTCAAGGACGCATCCTACAGTGGTTCGTTTGATCTTTTGTACATTGGACTTTAACAACGCACAAAATAACTCCTCCAGTTTAAAATACAAGTTTTTTTTTTTTTTTTTTTTTTTTTTAAATATTATTTTTACAGTAAAACAAATGGATGATTTAAATAAATGTTTAAGATGCACTTTTATTAATAATAGAATCACTATTATATGTATACGTATTAAAGAATAGTATTAAAAGAAGATTGCCAAATAAACCTTTATATACATGTTAATTATACATAACAATTATTCAGAAATACTCTGAATTTTATGAAATGCTTTATATACTTCTTCTTATCAGAATGTAGAACAGAAAACTTACGATGGACAAGAGTAGTTCAAAGAGTTATTCGACTATGTATTAGAGACTGCTAAAAATGATATAAAGCTCAACTAAAATAGTTGAACAATGATCTATACTAATAATAGCATGTGCCTTGTTATAATCATTGATTTGAATGTATATGATTCAATTACACGACTACCGTTTTACACTCTCATATGTTGATTATGAATTGATATGTAAATACAGTTATCCAACTAATACATTTTTTTAAAGAAAAAAAAATTTGCTATGAGTTATGGCTGTCCACAGATACACTTCTTTTCCCTTGTATTCGCCTAATAAGCTTAGTTTAATTAAGCCTCCTCTCCCCTCCCCCTCCCCCTCTTTTTTTTTTCTTGATTGTTATAGAAAAGAAATGAATTAGTATTCTTTCCAGTTATTCAATATGAAATCATCTATTGTTTATTTTTATTCAGTATCTAATTATATAATGATTTTACCACAATAAAGAGTATATTTAAACCTTATATACTACTTAGTAGTAAGAACAGCCTTTTGATGACAGTCGCTCGACTTATTATTTAATATCAAATCGTGACAGCAAGGCGCTTGTTCATAAAGTCTTTGTTTTTGAACTCTATGTGTATCTCATTTGCAACACTATTAAATCATACTTGTATGTTTTTGAATCTTTTCTATTTGTATCACTCATAATTAATTATTATTTTATATTTACAAGTCTAGATTTCACAATTCTTCAAACCATACTAATGTTACAATAAGAGAAAGTTTGCTCATTTAATCAATTCATACATGCTCTGAACTAATATATATATATATTTGTACATGTATATGTATATGTATATTCATATATTCATATATATAAATATATATTTATATATATTGCCTTTTATTTACATTTAGTGTACAGAGTAGTACTATATTTTCTTTATAGAGTCGATCTAAGGTAGTTCTCCTTCTTCTATATCTATTTTTCTTTTTAATCTTTCTTTTGAAGCATTCTCTTGACCATTATTGTCATTGTCTACAATTGACGTTGGATTATTTGCAACTGGGGCTATATTCTTTTTTTCTTTCTCTACAGTAATAATATGTACTGGATTAAAAAACTCTGGATTATTGTGTTGTTTACGCTTTAATAAGGGATCATCAAACCCAAATTTAAACCAACGGACATAAGTACTATCAACTCGCCTTCTTTTTCTTGCATTGAATAAAGTTAAACTAATGGGTGCATCATTATCATGCGATGGATCACCTACATAATCTTCAAGCCATTCCCATGGTTTGCTTTGATCTAAACATGTTTCCATATGCTGTTGTTGTTGTTGACTATCATTTGCATGTGAGAAACCCAAAATAGATGAAGCTAATCGAGTATTAGATAAATAGATATTATGAGTTAAGAACGGCATGATTCTTTTAACACGGCTATTGAACATGGAAGGTACAGATGTAAGTTCACTATGCATAGAACCTAATAAATGTAAGCTTGCTTTCTTTAATTCTTTAGGAACCTCTGTGTAGATTTTTTTAAAAAAAAAAAAAAAAGTAAATAAATAGCAGAATGATAATTAATATTTGTTAACACTCACCATCAATCAATAGGGATACAAAATCTAATGTAAATTCAAAGAATCGTTCCTGACTTCCATTTCCGTGTATAATAGGATTCTTATTATAAATAAATAAATAAGTTTTTTTTTATATATATTTTCCATGATTAGATACAACACTTACTCCTAATAATAAAACTAAAACCTTAATCCATTCTAAAATGTCACATTCATCTTCTTTAGGATGCTCCCATATTAACGATGCAAATGGTACAATAAGTCTCAAACGGATTAATAAACTATTTAAACTAATTAATATATACTTAATTTATATTATTTATGTTGTTTTACCTTATTCGAATATCCTGTAAGAATATCTTTTTACTATTATTGAATCCCGTATTTAAATTATCAGGTAATCCTTCATTAATCAGCAATGCAACAGCCATATCCTATATATATAAATATATATACACATAAATGCATATATTAAAATTAGATTTATAAATTACATTTTACTTATTCTGTTACAATATATATAGTATACACAGGTGTTTACTTACAGTATTATTTTTAACTAATTGAAGAGCATTTGCAGCATCTGAATAACATACATTGGCACTTTCCATTACTTTGTATACTAATAAGCCACTCTTGAAGCGTGCTATTTGTCCAAACACAGTTTTAACAAGCTCAATTTTCTTTTCATTTGTCCAAACATTTTCAGCTAACATGTGCTGCATAATATTCAAAAAAGCTTGATTACGATAAGTATATTTGTTGGAATCAAAGTACGATTCAACTTTTTTCGTCTGCGTAAGTAATACATTATCTGGAAAACTCTTCATAGCTTCACCTTCAAGGAGTCGACTTCCATGATTTAGTAATTCTAAAAGTACTGGTTCACGTAATTCATGTATCAAGTTTCTGAAAAAATAAAATCGACGTTGCGCTGAAATTGGATCTGATTCTTTGTCATCTGCTAATATTGCATCATAAAAGAAATATACAAATGATTGTAAATCTTTATTTGGTGATAGAGTCGATTCATTAGATATCATGTCTAGTGACATGTCGTCGCCAAGAATATGCGGATTATTAGGGTTTTGTGATTGCCCATCAGATAAAGAAATATTATCTAAAAGTAAATTAATCTGTACTCGACATTGTGCATCGTTCCACTGGCTAACATTCAAAAATATTCTATGGAGCTTATCCACAAAATCAGGTGTTGTCTCATGCACAATACTTCCTTGGCGTTCATTTACCAAATCATTCCCATTTATTAATTCTTCAACAATATTCAACATCTTCTTTTTTAATCGTTTTTCTATCGTCGCTTCTGCTTCACGTGCTGCAAATCTCTGATAAACACCGTTAAGATCTCGAAGACATGCTTGTCGGAACCACGTAATCTGAAGGAGATCAGCACGAAGCATAACAAGATCTTGCAATAAACAAGAGCTTAATGGTAAATTAGTTGCTATCATCACAAGTCGCTCCATCAAGCCAAACATAGGTTCAATATGGCTTAAACTGCTTGCTAATTGTGATTCCTGTTGAACTTGTAAGCAGAAAAATTCTTCAATTCTTAGTTGCCATAGTATAGGTGCAATTCCAGATTCAGTATGGGTATTATTATTTGTTTGAATAATTAAAAGTCGAATAACTGATATTAAATTACGACAAAATACAATCAATTTACTTTCTTCTGTTCCATAATGCTGTTGGCCTTCACGTCCCACCTTTTCAAACCAGGGTAAAGCAAATTCTTTCATCAATGTACTTAAATTAATTACATTATAAGCAACAAGAATAGCTATAAACAGTGGAACCCAAGAGTATTCTTGATTCATGTCCTGAAGAACTATTTCGTTGTTACAAAGCCAGTATATCACTGCCTCATCTGCTTGGCCTGTCAGGATAGTATAGTCTGCTGTATTTTTTATAACAGTAGCAAAATATCGTACAATTCGGTGAAAATCGTATAAAACTGTTGAAAGAGGAGACTGCGGATGATGAGCTTTAGCATGCTCAGGTATATTTTTTTCTTTCGTTATTTCATGAATAATTTCTCCTACATTTTTCAAGATTGTACTAATCCATCTAATAGCATTTTGGGATGGTATACTTAAGGATTCGGAAATAATTTGAACATTTGATAGTGTTGGCTGTCTAACAAGTTGTAAAAGCTCATCTTTAATAGAAATATGACTATTATAACGTCCCCTAATTTTTGATTTAATTTGTAAATCCTGTTGTAATTGAGCTCTTACAATATCATTAATTTGATAGCCCTCTTGAACAAGTTGAACCATATACATCATAATACAGCGTTCTCTACATCCTCGACTTGAGAGGCTTAAATGCTATTATAGTCTATTAAAATCATTATTACTTTTCCAAATATTAATATTCATACCTTTGCCCAAATTGCATCAACAATTCGTTTTCCATTGTTTGTAAGTTTCCAATATGTAGAATACTTTCTAAAACAATCAATGATGTAAGGATATAAACTCGAGTCATTTGTTTTCTCCAAAACCCATAACGTAACTTCTATAATGCTAAGATAATCTTTTGCAAATTCCATAATACGAATAATAGTTATGAATTGTCTTATATTTAACAAACAAGACCCAGGAGATGTCATTACCCTCCAGTTATCTTCACCAATTCTATATAAACCCGTATGAGTTGTACAATTTATATATATATACATATAATAATTCCTACTTACTGTATACTTTTAACAACAAATTGCTTTACTTCATTTAATAGCCAATCACTTGTAAAATTTAAAATTGAATAGCGTGTTGTAGAGTTCATAGTTTGCAGAAATTCTTCTTTGAATCCTTCATTAAATGCTAACTCGTAAGATTTTATGCTGTCAGTAGGAGCTGATTGTGTCATCTCTTTAGCATCTGCTCCAAATAGACTATCCGAATCATTATGATCAAGACCTGCTACAGCTAATCTTGCTAAATATTTGAGCTTATTGAAATTTTCTATTTCTATTTTATTATCATCAGCATGTTGTGTACCATAAATGGCAACACGCCTCTGGTTAATGAGATAAGCAGGAGCTGGATTTAATAGTGGGAAGGAAGCCAAGTAGTGGAGACATTGTTGAGTTTGAGGATTATATCTACGTTTTAATTCTAAATCACCCCTCGCAATTAATCGAAGTAGATATTTCTGGTAAGAAAATAAACGTAAACGAATCAAAACTCCAAACAGATAAATGACAGACGTATTTCCATCTTTTAAAAGTTGCTCTAATAATAATGTTTTACTAAATATGAATTGAATAAGTATAATTAGTAGATATACCTTCTTCCATTATTTCATCTGCCATTTCATCATAACTGACATTATTATTATTATTATTACACTTAGTTGCAGCTTCATTATCCAAAAATTGAATTAAGGCATTTTGTAATAAAGTTTGATTATCCTGACTCTTATCTTTTTCTCTCCATGTAAACAATATGGATGCTACTAAATATGCCTTCCAGTCACCGTATCTTGACTCACTAGTTGCCCAATGACACATTATATGAACTAACTTTGTAAATACCTGAGGTCGAAGATGTGCCTCACTAAAAATTGATTTACAAGCAGAATTTGCAGAATGTCCATGAATATCTTCCCAGGTGTCATTATCAAAAAGTAAACCTGTCACTGTATCAACATTTTTCCCTATATTATCTAAAATACGAACAATTTTTTCTTCATAAACAGTTTCATGCATACTAAAAGCAGCAGCAGGTGATATAGAGTTATCTGTATCATATGTGTGCGAGGATGCTGTGTTAATAAATTCTAAAGCATGATGATCAGTCTTTGTTTCATTTGATTCTAAAGTACCACAGAATACTTCATTTCTAGCTTTGATCATTGTCCAGTATTCCTTTAACACACAATTTACATCAGGTAATGTTTTTGATGATTTTTGTCTATACTCATCACCAAATATTTTATCAAATAAAGGATGATATTGATAATATAACTTTGGTATGACAAACATGTCAGGCGTTGAAAGAAAAAGGATCTGCCAAAAAGAAAACAGGTTTTTAACTTGAATTACATATTCAACGAAACAAACCAACAAACCTGTAGTAAATGCTCCATATCTTTCTGAAGTCCATAGTAAGTCTCCAATCTTATCATTTCTGATTGATTTTGACTTATGAACTGCACAAGCTAATATAAACATATACATATATACATTAATATATGTTATGCTAATGTTTTTTTTTCATAGTTATACTTACAGCACTATATGACTTTATCAAGGTTTCAATTAATAATTTAGTTAATGTTCTATTTCGTTTATATTCGTCTATATAATCTTGAATAATTCCAGTTAAAACGATCCACATTATCTCAAATGAATTACTTCCAGCTAATGTATCTAAAGTCCACTTTAAAAAGGTACGCTGATCTAATAATCCTTCGAAATATTGCCAACGGGCTAATTTAACACTATACGACCATCTTTTTTCAAATCGAGCTTTATTTTCTGATGTAGTCCAGGGCTTAGATGTATTATCATGATTATAACCTTTGTATCCTCTTCCTTGTGTCCCAACAGTTGAATGTGGACTGGAGACAGAATTATTATTGTTATTATTTGATAGAGGTGTTAATTCACTTAGCTGTTTTTTTAGATGACTTGTTACAATAAAAGTCCATTGAATTGACTGTGAGCCCATTGAGTTAGTTGCATTACTGGCGTTACGTTGTGACTAATATAATAATAATAGTATATATTTTGTTAAACAAACAGTTCTTTTTATTTTATTATTTTAATTTCTTACCATTTCAGAAAGACCAACAATTTTTATAAACCATGTTGCTCTTAGGAACGGAACCTGTTTAGCTGCTAAGGTTTCTAAAAGTTTTTCACCCTTAAAACCATGAGGAACATTGCGAGCTAATTTTCTTAACGGAACAATTCCATTTGCTAAATCTTGCATCCACTGCTCTCTTTTAGAATCGATTAACGTTGTTCTAACAGGCGGTTTAAAAGATGATGGACTAAATTAAATAGAGATAAATACATACAAAATAAAGCCAGTATTTTTTTTTTTTTTTTTTGATTTATATTACGTTGTAATAGATCCAGCTGAATTTTGCCTTTGTAAAACGTCAACCATAAAACTACCAAGTTCATTTAATAAGCGTTGATCATCTTGTAATTTTCCATAAACAATGTCATGAGCACATGTATGCTCATTCTATATTTTATAAAAATACTCAGTTTATATATTCTATGAAAATATATGTATATGCATATATGTAAATATATATAATCAAACATACCGAAACTACAGGTTTATCGATAAAACCATGACGAACATTTGATTCTGTTAGGTTATCTTCTTCTTGTCCAGGACGTTGAGGAAACATATCTGGGTAACCAAGAGAAGGCATAGCCTTACTTAATGGTAATTGGCGAGGAGGAGGTTGTAAGGTATATTTTTTTAATGGTTGAAGTTGATTATACTTTGGAACATTTGAGAAATGATAACCAGGTGAAGATGAAGCTGAATAAGGAGATGCCATGGAAGGAGAATTAGCATGTTGAATTGGTTGATTATAATGCGAAATATTATTCTGTTGTATAAAAGGTATATTTAAATTATTATTTCCTCCAATATTTGTATATGGTTGATTCGAGGAAGTATAACGCGTATATTGTTCTATAACATAAGTACAGAAAAAAGTTAAAGGAAATTATTTCAGGATTTAAATCATTAATGAAATTTACGTTGAGGTCTACCCGTCATTGTTAAATAGCTGTATAATTTATTCTACTAATATAGGATATAAAGTAAATAAATGTATATTTTATATACACATTAAAAAAAAAAGTATCTAAAATGTAATTTATTATTAAGATAAAGAAGAGAAATGAAAAAAAAAAAAAAAAAAAAAAAAAAAAAAAGAAAAAAGAATGAAAAATATCGGAAATATTTAATAGATATTTATATATTTATGAAGCCGAAATATCAACACTTTCATTATCCCCGCCATTAATAATTACTTCTTCATCCTTATCTTCTAATGCTGACACTGGCGTTTCTACTGTTTCTACTTCTGCTGCTGCTGCTGCTGCTGCTAACTTTGCTTTCCTTGCAGCCCTGAAATGAACCATTTTACGATGCTTAGTTAATTGACCTGTGGTTACAAAACTCTTGTGACATCCATCAATGCCACAGACTAATTTCTTAGTACCGTGCATATTTGTTTCATGAGTCTGAAGCTGATCATATGATGTAAATGCTTTTGAACAGCCAGGTTGAGTACAAAGAAAAGGTCGAAAATCTTTTTCGCCTGCAGTTGATGAAAATAATTGATCTATTTCTGAAACAGTGATTGGTTCTGTTGTTTGTTCATTGATTTTCATTTCTTCCTCTATTTAATAAAATTTATGTTTAATCTTTTTGTCTGAATTGTCGTCTTTTGTTTTTTATTATCATTACCTGACTGCCAAGATGGAATTTTAACTTCTGCACCGTCTAAAGTATAAAATATAAGCGGCTTTATTGCCCATTTTCTAACTTTAATGTCTTTATACTTCATCAAGTCTTTTAATGTAAGTGTTGAATTGTTATAATTGCTCTGTATTCCTACTCCAGTACGTCTATTCATATGACTATTAGGAGCTAGGAAATAATAGACATTAATATTATTTATCAATATATAGTACGCATCAGAATTTACTTTCATCAACCGTTTCTTCCTCTACTGTATTAGGCCTAAAAGGAAATGGTCATGTTAATTCTGAAATTGAATACACACTAAAAAAAAAGCTATTATTTTGATTTGAAGTGTTTTATAATGATTTACGTGTCTGGTACTGGTGTTCCCTCCGTTTTGATCTTTCGATTGCGACTATTGTTTGGCTTAGATTTTTTACGAGGACTATCCACTGAAGATGTGTCATCTTCCTTTATGTTTATATTTTTGTTAGAAGCTGGTGAAGGAGGTTGAGATATTTCAGCTGATTTTGGTCCAGATAATTTTAGTGTTATTTTTAAAGGTGATGAAGTCATTTGAAATAATACTCAATTATGAAGAAAAAAAAAAAAAAAAAAAAAAGAAGTCAATTTTATATTCTCTTCAACGCGGTTCTCTTTTTTGACGAGCCAATCAAATCAATAACATTTTTTTTTTAAAAAAAAAAAAGAAATATGAATTATTTATTATTTCTTTATATAAAATAGAAAGAAAAAAAAAGATTGTATAGAGTTATTATAAATACATATTATAGTTTTTAATGATTTCTGATAATCGAATCAGTTGCTGCTCTTTTCCGATATTTTCAAATACTTTCAATTTACGTTTAAGTTCTGCTTTGCTCAAAGTTTTAGAATATTCGCTACCACATCTATCACATTGACGCATCAAATTTTCTACTTTAATAGTACGACATCGAGTGCATCGCAAATCTTGTAGATCACTCGCAGTAAACCAATTTTGAATTTGCTTAATCATTCTATCTTCAATAATACGTTTATCATATTCTGAATGACATCCCTTACATCGCCATGCTTGAACCTGTCCTTGAATTGGCATCAATTCTTTATCTCTACAGAAATCCAAATCTGTTGTATAGTTACAATAGGCACAAATAACTTCGGTCAATTTGAAATATTCACAGGGGTTGTAGAATTGTGCGATACTACTAAAATCACTAAAACCACCTACGAGTTCTAATGCACTTCTCTTCAAGACACGAACCTCATCTTCAACACGAACGTCTAAACTTAAAACAGCACACACAAATTTAACATATTCCAAAGCTACATTATTCATGGTAAGGTGTGATCCTGCTAATTTTGGAAATACCATATCTGGATCAGGATGAGCAAGTTGTTCCTCTTGTCGACGGACTAAGGCTGGCACTAGGCGAAGCATCTTTCTTGCAATCTTATGTTTAATATAGAGCTGTAAGTTTTCTACTCGAGGATCTGGTACGGTCTTCTCTACCTCTTGTATTTGACTATTGATGCCACGAGGGAATTGACACTTGAAGTTGTACAGTTTGTATACATAGGCAGATGTGTGTTTGCTGAATAAGCTACGAGCCGCTTCAGGCAAGTAATCTTCAATGTTCCATTTTTTGGTTACAACAGGAGGCCCCTGATCGATATCTTCTGATGCAATCACACCCGCATAATTTTTCTCATCCATCCATAATAATACGTTCCAATAAATAGTAGACTTTAATTCTAATAGTTCAAATACTTGCTTACGTTGAATATTTCGATACAGATAATCAAAATAAGGTAATGCACTTTCTAATGTTTCCTTGGTGGTCGTTAGAACGATCTTATGAAAGTTTGCAAAGATAATGGTAACCCCCGAACGTTTAAACTCAGCAACTAATTGCATAAATACTTTCTTCATCATACTATGAACTAGACCATATAAAGAAGGATCATACATAAAGGAGTCTGTACTAAGAAGCCATCTATGAAGTGTATCAATCATATGTTCAGCCATTCGATTTGTTTTATCTTCGACAGACTGTTGATACCATTGCTGTACGACACCTCGAAGCATAGAAAATGTTTTACTAGAGATCATGCCTTCCCCAAATGCTGCAGTCGTGTTCACCGTGCCATTTGCAAAATCATCCAAGTTGTAGCCTGTACTGTCAAATCCAGATAATCCGCCTGTTGTACCCTCTAGTTCGTTAATAACATGAGCTTCAATTAATGTATTAAGACAGAGCCCAACGATGTCGATTTCAACACAGATATTTTCATATGCACCAGAATAACTTAACTCGGTATTGATAATTTCACTTGTCATCGCTAGACTCTCATCCTCTTCTCGACCCCCAAGATCAGGCATAGGACTAGCAGACCACCAAATGACCATATCATTCTGTATCAGTTTCTTTGCAAACATAACATCCGACATGAATAAATATGGATCATCTGGTATATTACAGAATGGAATATTCGCATATCGAGCCTGCGATATCTTTTCATCAATCCAAGTTCCCAACTCCATATAGTGTTTCAACATTCGATTAATGATAGGTTGGACCCAATTAAGAGCGTCAAATCGATTATCTTGTTGTAATGAAGGAATTCTGACAAAAGGTAAGGAAGTCAACATACGAGCGTGTTGAATTAAATGAGAAGATGAGCGAGGAGAGTTGATGGCCAAGATCACTTTACCACGTTTTGTATCAAGGTAATTTGAAAGCGCCTTGTTGATCGCTCGAAGTGCCTCCTGTTCAGTTGAATAATGAGTTGTTTCAAATTCAGCATTTTCCCTTATTTCAACGGTATCACTGGGTGGCTGATTCTCAATAAAGATCCTTTGATACATTTCTTTATAAAGACGTACAATATTCGGTATCTGTTGACTTTTCTTTGATAATCCTACAATAAACACCTGTGCCACTGGAATAGAGGCACCTATAAGGGTAAAGAAGTGACGATTGTCGGAATGTGCATGGAAGAGATAGATGTATTGAAACATCTTTGGATCACTCATATAACTATGTATCATCTCTGGACGTTCTATTAGATCATACAAATGAAATTGATCTTCAATCTTTCGACCCACAATCCCTTTAGCTCTGTCAAATTGACAGGTGGCACCTAGTTGTAAAATAGCACGAATCAATAGAGGAACTTGTGCCTCATATACACCTTCCGTTGAGGGATGATTAAATATGTTCGTAAATGTCTTGATTTCATTTTGATAAGTTGCTTCTGGCATTGACATTTGATAGAGATGATAGACAGGATGAGATCTAGGTAAGGTACGTAAACATTTGGTGATAAAGCAATTGGGATTAGATGCCTGTATTGACACCGGATCATCTTCCTTAGAATTCAAATAAAAGGTACGAGGGATAGTTAGACGGATATTAAACATTTGATTTTGCACCATAATCCACATACGATATTCGCCAGGGATGTCTGTTTCTACGATCTGAATTACCTCCCAAACACTAGTAATAAGTGAACCAGTTTGTTTACGAAAGAAATTCCTTGTATTCATATTGTTGTTGTTGTTGCTGTTGTTGTTGTTGTTATTAGATAATGAAGACAAGAAATAAGGATCATTTGCCATCTTTCGATTATGTTCACGTCTTAAGCGTTGTCTCTTCCATTTACGCTTTTGGAATTCAAGCCAGGCAGGATAATCATTGTGCCAATTGGGTATATTCTCTGGAAGGTCTTCAGGAGGTAAAGGTGCATCTAAATCAATTACTACTTCTGCAACAGAACTACGTTTTCTTTTCTTGGTGATTGCAATCTTTGGTAATTGACCATTCGTATTCGCACCTGGCACATCAAAATCTTCAATGTCATCAATATCCATTCTTTCAGGAAGTAATGGCTTATCTGATCGACTAAACATATCTGTGATACGATGTTGTTTAAACTTATCATCTTTAGCAGCGACACGCTTAGAAAGCCAATCAGGATGTTTTACTCGTGGTACTGGATTTTGAACCTTTTGCATAGCGGCTGGAATGGTAATCAGCTTTTGAATGACGGAACCAAATCTCTCGAGATAATAATCCCAATCAAGGATACTACGAATATCAAAATCCTGTAAACTATTATCACGCAACCATTTTCGCAAAAAGTGCTTTTTAACACTAGATTCTGCTTGAAAGATTGCAACCGGGATAGCACGTTCAGAGATCGGAAGATCGTAGGGACGTGCAGATATAATGAATTTACAGGCTAAGCCTTTATCTTTGATCATTTGATCACCTAAAAATTCAGCAAGACGTCTTGCCGTACTAATAGCGGTTGACTTCTGACTACCGTATTCTTCTAACGTCTTTGACATGCTACGATTCTCAGAAATCAAATCAAATAACTCTTCATCTGCCAAGTCGATAGCTTTACTGTAAAGCACATCTAGCCAGCGATCTGCAATTTTCGCTACAGCAGCATAACATTCTTCAAGTGTATTACCCTCCAGGAAGACATTGAAAATTTCCGACTGAAAAATTTTAATAAGCTTTAATTCACCACGACGTTTGACCTCAAACCCTTTCAATTCTGCCAGGGAACCATCTTTATTGAAAACGGCATAACGTTTTTTAAGAAGCTTATCCTCTGCCGTAGAGGATGGCAAAATCATGGCACGATAAGGACCGTCAATTTCAAAGAAAATACTATTCTCTTTACTAACAGAGTATTCAAATGTCTCTGGATTTACAAGTCTCTGATACTGGTCATTTGTAAAGCGATCATGAACTAAATGATTTAACATGGTACATGGATAATCGATTCTGAATTTTTTCCCATTAGAAAGTGTAAAGGTAAAAGTCTCTGGGAAAGTCCTTGGCAAGATACACCAAATACCATCTGTATCTAGCTCAAGGGGACGACCTATTCGTTCTACTAGACGACGAGCCATTTGAATAATATTTGAACCCGTGAGGCAGACGATACCGGCCATTTCAAGTGAATGCCAACGCGCACCTTTTCTCATGACATAACCATAAAATGAATTCAAAATAACTTTGTGAGCCAATTGAAGGGAATCATAAAGTACAATCATATTTTTGGCTTCAGCAATTTTCGTAGCTGAACCATCCTTGATGGCACTGTCCAGGTTTCCCTTCCAAACTTTATGAAGCCCCTTGTATTCATAACGACGATCACGGAAGGCACGTACAGTATCAATATAGAAAGGATTTTCACGCTGGCAAACGATAGACTCGCGTTCAACCGATCGCACCTCCTTCACTTTCTTATAAACTCTTTTACAATATTCAGTAAGACGAGATCGAAGTAAACTAGATCTTTCGTTTTCGGTTAATTCATTCCAGTTACGAGGTCGTTCATGAGGACGCTTGGAGGGGAATGTTTCTTGACTAAGTTGGTTTTCAATCATACGATATTCATCCCGCTTTGCTGGAAAATATTCTCCACGCCAAATCCATTTCATTCGACGATCACAAGATTTACCATTGACATTAAAAGCACAGCTAGCACACATAGATTCATCTACCATAGCGTCAGGTTGGAGTCGATTTGTTAAGATAATATTTGGATACATAGCAGCAACATCCAAGTGATAAATGAGAGGTGGCTCTTGTCGTAAAGGTTGATCACGAAGATCTTCTAATTTCTTTTGGATTTCAGCTTTTACTTGATCATAATTTATTACATCTTCTAAATTTTTCTTTTGCTCTACTTGAATAGTGAATTTGAGTGCATCATCCAACTGATCAATCAACTAAACGAAACAGAATATATAAAAGGAAGGAAGAAAAAAAAATAGAGAGAGAGAGAGAGAGAAATGGTCAATATGAATATTTGTAAGTCTAATTTATATCTATACTTTACTTCTTGTGCAGCAGTAGGGTCAATTTTAAAATCACTGTTGATATCACTTCTAAATACACCTGCTTCTAGAGCTTCGACATGACCACCAACATACGTTTCACTTTCTAATAAATGTCCATTATAAAATTTAGTAACTTCATCCACATGTTTATTTGGCATAATCACATTGACTCTATATGCCTCAACCTATTTAACATGATATTATATATATATATATATATATGTATATGTTTATATAATTTTAATGGATAAATATATCAAATATATATATATATGTTCCTTACCATAAGTAATAATTCACAAAGTGTACCCGTACCCTTTCTGAGGACTTCATCAGGTATAAGAGGAATAATGTTACATAATGAGAAAATGAAGGGATGTACATATTTCATATAGAGATAATAAGTGGCAACAGCATCTGAAACTGAATATTGAGCTAATGTTTGAGGTTGTTCACTTGCAAAAGGTGTCATATCCTCTGGATCTAATTCCATAGGATTATAACCTAGTTTTGCTGTAGTTACTGCCTTTAAACCTTGACTACCTTGTGGTAAATAAGAATCACGCTTAACCCATCGAAAGGCATCCATATGACTTGCATGTTTACATTTATATTCATCCTCTTCATCCTTATATACACCAATCTCTTTATACATATCAATTCCATTTGCCTTTGCTCTTCCTTCCACAAACGGCCAATCGAAGAAGTCACCGTTATAGGTTACAAATATAGTAGGTTTGGCTTCTCGAATATGTTCGAAAAATCTTCTTATGACAGCTTCTTCATTTTCTTCGTTAAAAATCGTGAAAGGTCCTTCAAATTCAGGCTTTGGCGTATAATCAAAATCTTCAATATCTTGACTCACAATATCTCGATTTGTAATCAAATAACCCTATTGAGTCAAATATAAATATATCATGAAAGGAAAAAAAAATCAGGTTTTTTTTTTAATGTTACTAACTCTGCCATCAATCATATATGAAATCATCATAATTGAATCAATTGTAACATCAGGAAACTTTAGTGGTAATTTTGTTGTTTCAATATCAAAAGCTAATACTACTGGTTCTGGACGATGAACTAATTGTGATTGTCTAGTTAAAGTGACTGTACCATCTTGTTGCGCTTTTGCAATATACCATAGACCAACACGAATATCTTTTTTCAGATGAAAAAAAAAACATACACTTAGCTTATTTGTTGAAGGAAGAAAAACATGCGAAATAAAGTTGTAATTGCTTTTATATTTACCAAGATCAATTGCTACACGAACATAATATGGAATATCATATTCACGAATATCTAGTATATTTTCTAATGTTTCTTCAGGATGTCTACGTGAGGATAAAGCTGCTGAATGTGTCTGATTCTCATATCTAATATTATTTGCAGCACTATATAAATAAATATATATAATAGATTTGTTAGTATATTTCAGCAAAAAAAAAAAAAAAAAAAAAAAAAAAAAAAAAAAAGGTGGGGAGAGGGGCAAGGTAATAAATCAAATATGTATACTAACTTTAACACTTCTGCATAAGCATCTACTTTTTTTGCTTTTTCTTGATTCTTTTTTGCAATAGGTAATAATATCTTACGCACAGAAAATAGATCGGATTGATTTCGAAAACAAAGTTGAATATATGTACGGGTATTACCAATTAAATGGTTAGGCTAAGGAAAGAAAAATATATATATATATATGTACATATACATATGTATATATAATAAACTCTTTAACATCACATAATCTAGATGACTGCAACATATAAATATTTATATATATGTATCCATATTTGTATTACTTGTTTTAAATCTTCCTTTTTAACTCTTTTCATCTTTTCAATGGTATCTTCAAAACGTCTATGTAAATAATCTTCAACTTCATCCTCTGTACCGGGCTAAAATCAAATCAAATCAAATCAATATTATATTTATGAAAAATGGAAACAAATAAAATATATTTCTATATTGTTACCTTACAACCAATAAAGAAGTATGGACTAAATATGAGTGTTGTTTTAAAAGTCTCTCCATTATCATTAATGAAATAATAGTCTACACCTGATCTACCATTAGGCCAGTCTGAGTCCCTGATAAGTGTCTAACATGATATTAGCTATAAATCGAAACCATTTCAAAAATGTATAAACAGGAATAAAAAAAAAATAAAAAAAAAAAAAAAAAAGGGGGGGAGGGAAGGGAGGGAAAGTTTATTGGCTTACTTCGTGCATATTTAATAACCAGCCTAATCTTTCAGGGCCTTCTTGATATCTATCAAAACCAAATGTGGCTTCCATTGCATCAAGATTATAAACATCTTCAAATCGTTGATCAACATTAGATGCTTCATTGAAATTACTTGAAGGAAGTCCAAATTGTTGAAAGGATGTTGTAGACTGAACTGTCCCTTTATTAACACCATTCCCTCCTTTTCCTTTACGGAAAGAGGATGACACACCAAACTCAGGTCTATTAGACATTTTTTTTTTAATTCAATATTTCCCTATGAGTGTGTATAAATATATATGTATATAAATATATATATGTATATAGTTGTGTGTGTGTGTGTTATTATTTGGTTAAAAAAAAATAAAATAAAATAAAATAAAATTAATTAAAATAGAAAGGACTAACAAATGATACCGCGTTGGCTGTCAATATTTGTTAAAAAAAAATCAGGTGTTTTAAAATTTCGTGTTTTAACGCGAGCGGGTCGTGAAGAATTAAGGTAGTGGCTTGACTGTGACTAGTTTTCACTATACACAATTCTCAAAATATTTTAATTGCCAGAAAAAAAAAAAAAAAAAGAAAACAAAAAAAAAGGAGGAGGAGAGCATTATTTTATTTATTTATCTTTATAGATTTAAATATAAAATGTCGGAAATTGGAGAAAAGAGATCTGCTGAACATCAGCCTAGTGTAAACAAAAAATCAAAGATTGGTAAAATTTTATTATTCATTGTAAACTACCCCATTACTAACCTATATATATATGAACCCATGTAGAGTCTCGTAATGAACAAAAAAATATTCGTTATGAGCGTAAGTCTCATGATAAAAATTTTGAAATGATCACTCAAGCCAAGAAGGTCTGGGAACAAGTTCGTCGTGGTGATATTAGTCGAGATGAACAAAAGAATTTGATGGAAAAGATGATGAAGATTATTGGTGGCAAAGTTCAAGATGTAATAATGATAAACAACTATTGAATGTTATACATAAGTATAGAATTAATATTAATGTATTATGTTATATTAGGTCATTTTTAAACATGATGCCTCACGTATTATTCAAACTTGTCTTAAGAAGGGTAATGCAGAACAAAGAAATCAAATTGTTGAAGAACTTCAAGGTAAATACGTTGAATTATCCAAATCCATGTATGGTAAATTCATTGTGATGAAGGCTATTGAATACTGGTAAGCTCTCTTTGTACATATATTATAGAAAATTATAGTAAAAAAAAAAATAAAAATAAAAACAAAACTAATGCAATTATAAACAGCCACAAACAGAGAGACAATATTTTGGCTGAATTCAGAAATAATGTTCGTAAATTAATTCGACATAAAGAAGCTGCTACAGTTATTGAAACATTTTATTCACAATACGCTAATGCTGCGCAAAGAAATGAATTGCTTGCAGAGTTTTATGGTCCTGAAATGACATTATTCAATCACAATGGAGGAGCAAAGACATTAGATGATTTATTGAAAGCCTTCCCTGAAAAGAAGGACTCTATCTTGAGATATATGGCAGAGATGCTTCAGGGATGTTTTGATAAAGGCACTATTGTTAACAGCATTGTTCATAAAGCTTTATATCAATATTTAACATTAACTGATGATAAAGGACGAGAAGCTATGTTGGGACATCTTAAAGAATTACTTCAAGAAATTATTCATACTCGTGAAGGTGCATGGTCAGCCATGATTTGTCTTTCAATCGCTTCACCTAAGGATCGTAAGGTGATTATTAAAGCATTTAAACCCTACTTGGTCAAGATTGCTTCAGATGAATATGGTTACTTGGTTTTACTTCGCTTACTTGATGTGACAGATGATACTGTTTTAGTCTCTAAAGCTGTTCTTGGTGAATTAAGTAAACATGCCAAAGAATTATTTGCGGATAAATATGGTCGTCGTTTCTTCTTATATATCTTAGCTGGACGTAATACACGTTATTTGTCACCTGAAACTGTTCAGCTTTTAAAGGAAGGTGATAAAATTAGAATCAGTAAAAAGGATCCTGAAGTTAGAGCTCAAGAAATATTAAAGGCCACTTCATCTCAGCTTATTAAATTAGTTACTGATGATGCACCTGTTCTAATGAGAGAGAAACTATCATCACAAGTAGTTCAAGAAATCATGCTTCATGCTGTCGGTGATAAATCATCTGCTATGAATAGTATTCTAGCATTAGCAGGAGAAAATATTGAAAAAGAGAATCATATAATTGAAGATCGTTTTGCAAACCGTATTATTAAAGCTATGGTTAAAGCAGATACAGCAGAAGCAGAAAATGATAAAGCGATTGAACCTCTTCATTTTGCCCCTAAATTACTTGAGGTCATTCAACCTCACCTTGCTCATTTTGCCACTAACCATGGTAGTTATGTTGTACTCTCCCTTGCTGAAGAGCCCTCTACAAAGAAGGAAGTTCAAAAAGCACTTAAATCTCACAAGAAAGAAATTGAAGAAGCTGCAAAAACAAATTCCGGATCTAAATTATTATTAGAAGCTATTTCAAGCAAATAAACAAATTAACACATACTTTTTCTCTCAGTTTCCTTCATCTCCTCTTTCTCTCTCTCTCTCTCTCTCTCCCCTCCCCTCCCCTCTTCCACTTTAAATGAAATGATAAAGCAATACCAGCCATTCATTTATTAGTCTTTATAACACTTGAAGAAGAAAAATAAAAAATAAAAAATTATTTGATATATTATTAGATGAAAGATATTAGGCATATATAAAAAAAAAAAAAAAAGAAGGGGAGGGTATTCTTATATTGATCAGGTCTTATTATAAATGAAAACATGACTAAATGATTTATAGAAATGGCTATGTATTACGTTGTCTATTTTTGTGTGTATATCTTGAATATATAGAAAAAACATCACTCAATGAAAGTACAGTAAATAGAGACATTTTTTTTTTTTTTAGTATGAATAATGATAATAATAATTAGGTAAATATTATTTATAATAGACGCGAAAAGAAGAAGAAGAAAAAAAAAGAGAGAGAGAGAGAAAAAGGAGCCATTATGTAAACAAAATGGAGAATAGGAGTGTTGCATCTAGTATATTAAGAAGGAAATTGTATATAAATACGTGAAAAAAGTTATAATATAAATGAATGATGTATGTAGTTAATTAATAAGGGATTATAAATATATATAAAAAAAAAGGGGGGAGGTTTACAAGATACGATCCGCAGGTCGATAAACATCTGTCCAACCAAAACTTCTTTGAACTGCTTCTTCCCATTGACGGTATTTACGTTCACGTCCTATCAATAAAATGATTATAAATAAATACATGTATTATTGTCACTCCTCTTCTTTTTTATTTACCTTCATCATCCCATTTTGCATAAAACACATCTTCACGGTCAGCAGACACTTTCTTAATATCTTCTATATCTTTCCAAATACCAGCAGCAAAGCCAGCAGCATAAGCAGCACCCAGGGCACTTGTATCACGCATGCCAGGACGAATGACAGGTATACCCAATACATCAGCTTGGATTTGCATACATTGATCTGAATTTGACATACCACCATCTGCTTTTAACATTTTTAAGGGGACATCACCATCTGCTTTCATAGCTTCCAAGATAGCTCTTGTTGAGAAACAAACAGCTTCAAGTGTCGCTCTTGCAAGATGATATTTATTTGTATATTGAGTTAAACCTACAAGAGTACCACGTGCATCATCTCTCCAATAGGGAGAAAAGAGACCAGAAAAGGCAGTAACGAAGAAGACACCACCTGTTGTTTTCACCTTTGAAGCCAAGGTATTAATATCATCTGAAGTTTTGATTAGCTCTAAATTATCTCTTAGCCATTTAACAGCGGCACCCGCTACACTAATAGAGCCTTCAAGTGCATAAGATACAGGAGCATTAGGACCAAATTGATAACCCACCGTTGACAATAACCCACTCTTTGATAAAACAGGAGATTCACCGACATTCATTAACAGGAAAGCACCTGTACCATATGTGTTTTTCGCTTCTCCTACTTCAAAACATTTTTGTCCTACTAAGGCAGCCTGTTGATCACCTAAACAACCCATGATAGGTACACCTTCTAAGGGACCCCATTGCATATTACCATAATTCTCTGCTGAAGAAACAATGGTGGGTAACATATGAGATGGTACACCGAAAAAATTCAAAAGACGTTCATCCCATTGACGTGATTTTAAATTCATAAACATTGTACGACTTGCATTTGTTACATCTGTAATATGTTTTCCTCCTTGAATGCCACCTGTCAAATTCTAGTAAAATCTACATAAGCATATAAAACAAGGAGAATGCAATATAATATAATAAGAAATAAAAAATTACCCATATTAACCATGTATCAACAGTACCAAACATAGCACGTTTATTTTCCACTGCATATTTCACTTTAGGAATTCTATCCATTAACCATCTCACTTTAACAGCTGAAAAGTAATTATGAAGTGGTAACCCACAAATTTCTTGTACATTTAAATCTCCTTGTTTCTCTGCAAGTTCTTTTACAAGATTATTTGTTCGAGTATCTCCCCAGGCAATCGCATTATATAATGGTTCGCCCGTTTTACGATCCCAAATTAAAGTGGTTTCTCTTTGATTACAAATGCCGACAGCTAAAAATATAAATTTATGAATACAACTGTATAAATTTTTTATTTTTATTTTTTTCATCCCATACTATTTTAAAATACATGTGCGTGTGTGTGTGTATGTATGCATGTATGTATTATTATTTTTTTTTTTTTACCTACCTTTTAAATCACTTGTATTATGACCCATCATACCAAACTTTCTAACTGCCTCATCAGCACAACGAATAACAGAATCCAATAAATCATAAGGGTCGTGTTCAATCCAACTTTATATATTCATATAAATGTAAATAAATAAATTCCTTTCATTTTTTTTTTGTTCTTGTTATTGAATATGTCTTACCCTGGGCGTGGATATAATTGCTCAAATTCGAGTTGATATGAGGTGACATGATTTCCTGCTTGATCAAAAATCAAAAAACGTGTAGAAGTTGTTCCTTGGTCAATAGCTCCAATATATTTTGGCATTTGGTCGTTTTTATTATTATTATTATTATTATTATTATTTCTGTTTCTTCTTTTTCGTTTTGTCTATTACTGTGGTTGCTGGAAAAAAAAATATATTTTATTTGTAGTAGTGTAAGAAATTTAAAAAAAAAAAAAAAAAAAAAAAAGAAAAAAAATTAAAAATTAAAAATTAAAAAACAAATAAACAAATATAAACAAATAAAAAAAACAAATAAACAAAAAAAAACTAAAAAACTAAAAAACAAGAAAAAAATACTGATAAAGCACGGAAATGTCTTTTTTTTTTTTTTTTTTTTGCCCGGGATTTGCCTTACGATAAGCCAGTCACAGCTGATTTGAATGATTTGGTATGTTGAACAACAACAGTTTATCTTTTAATTGTGAGAAAGCTTAAAAAAAAAAAAAAAAAAAAAAAAAAAAAAAGAAAAACTGTCACTGGATCATCATATAATAAAGACTTGTCTGAACAATTAAAATTAAAAATAATAGTTGGAAACTCTTTTCCCTCTTCTCTTTTATATATACTAGACTCTAGGAGATATTTAGATTATTAAATCATATACGTGATAATAAAATAAGGAGGTGGCTTATTAAACAGGATTATCTATAACACTATTAATAGCGGGTATCACTGATAATACTTTTATGATCGATAGTAAAAGACTGAATCTGAAACCTACCTTCTATATCTTACCACGCGTATTATACCATCTATTATTATCAATTTTGAGATACTACACACACACATCATGTAGATGTATATCTTGTATACTCATCCAACTTGATGTTACTGTCTGTATACATGTGTTACGGGTATAACTCTCTCAACTACATTTGCCTCTCTCTCTCTCTCCCTTTTATTCTTTTCTTTTCTTTTTTAAATTAATTAATTAATAATTTATTACGTAATGTAATCTACACTATTTGTTTATTTTCTTTTTTTTTTTTGTTGTCAGCTGTTGTCATTTTTATATGCATTTACAAACGAGACTTTATTCTTTTGGCTTCAATGCTTTTCAACAAACAGGAAGCAAATCAGTTATTACAAAATCACCTACATGTCATACGAATATAAGGAAATTATTATTTGCTAGTTGGGAAACAACCATTGTTATTGATGGTAAATGAGTTGAGTATTCAATGATTGTATTTCTTTTAATTTTTTTTTCCTTCCGATTATTATGGTATAGATGAAGGAGAATTAATAATCTGGGGCTTCCAACCCTGTTGGTTTGAAAAGTTTAAAAAGTTATGTAAAGATAAAGAAATTCAAAGTATATTTGGTGATCCTAATGAATTACTTGGTATTATTGATCAAGAACAAAAGTTATCATATGTAACAGCAGATAAAACAAGATGGAATGATTGTGAAAGTCAAGTTAGACAAGCTGTTTATTGTACTAGACTACACTCTATTTTTATATTGAAGGAAACGAGTGATGAGGTATATCAATATGATGTTAGAAATGAAAAGAGTCAATTACTCGATACTTTACCACCTGTCAAGTCTCTTGCTGCTTCAAATAGTCATGTTCTATTTCTTACTTATTCGTTAGATGCGCCTGTTTATGGCTTAGGTTCTAATCGCTTATCACAATTAGGTATGGATTATCAACAGCAAGAGATACAGCAACCGATGATGATTGATTATTTTTGCGGTCTTGGTGAAGCCTCTTATGTCTCTTGTGGCCCCTTTCATTCAGCTGTTATTATCAATGGTGATGTATATACCTTTGGTTGGTCAAAAGATGGAAGATTAGGTTCAGGACATACTCAAGGTGATGATGATATTGTTTCTTTAGTAGAGTTTTTAGATGTCAATGATCAACCTATTGATGTACATGCGATGAAAGTTGTATGTGGCTCAACACATACTCTTGTTTTAGATAAGAATGGCACTGTGTGGTCTTGTGGAAGTGACCAATATAGTCAATTAGGTCGTGAATTAAAAGATACAGAAAAGGGAGTTAAAAGTGATTTTTATTTTCGTGCATGTACATTATTTGATTCTAAAACAGAACATGCCATTGACTGTTCTGCAGGACGTTGGACATCATTTATTATGACAGTGAAATTGAGATAAAAATAATAGTATAACTTGTGGTTGACATATATTATTAGTATTAGTATTAGTATTAGTATTATTTATCCTCCATTAAATTGAACATTCTATCCATTAGTTTATCATGATCAGGATTGGGTTTGACTTGATCATCATCATCAATTCTCCTCTTCACTTTTCCTTTAGTTAAAAACATTTCTTTCGTTGATAAAGGATGACTATGATTTCCTTTTTGATCGAATAAGGATGAGAAAGAATGAGATGCATCGTCGATAGGGGGCTCTGTTGTTAGAGTCACTCTAGGTTTCGAATCTTCATCTATACAAGCACTCTCAACATAAAATGTCCGAACACGTCTATCCCCCTTTTGACTTAACATCCAAGAATGACGCTTTGGTAAGAAAGCGACTACACCCCCTACACCTACAGCATAACCACCCTTTTCAGAATTTAATATACGACCTTGAACAGAATAAGATGTCTTTGAGGTATATTCAGAAAAGGTAGGACCTATAGGACTTTCAGCGGGATTTTCTTTAAATGTGATATTTAAATAATCATAGACTTGTTCAGGTACAAGTTCTTTCTTTTTTAATAATTGTTGAAATTCAGGAGCATGTTTAGCACATTGTTGAAGGAAACATTTAAAATTGGCAGGGGTCATGTTTGTAATATTAAATTGCTCTCTATCCAAACGAGGAACAGGTTTCTTTGAATCAGGGAAATTTTCTTTCCAGCGTTTAATAAATAACACTTGATCATTACCCGACTTCCAAGGTGTTTGATGTTCTGCGGTGTCTAAAGCATCAATAGTAACATAACGAGTACGGATCACTGCAGGTAAATTTCGTTTTAAACCCCAATCACCCGTTTGTTTATTTTTTAAAGGAGTTGTATACACTTGACTAATCGTACGATCATATGTTGCAAGCCGTGAATTGCGAAATAAATTAGCAAATGATGTTGACATTATTTATTTATTTATTTTTTAAAATGAGTAAAGTTGATTTTCTCCCTCCTCCTCCTCCTCTTCTTCTTCCTCCCCCCTCCCCTAACTGGTCATTGTCGGAGTAGAATCTAAAAGAGTGACTTAGTATTACATAATGATAGGCCTTCCTTACTCCCTCCTCCTTTTCCCCCACTCAAAAAAAAAAAAAAAAAAAAAAAAAAAAAAAAAAGAAAAGAAAACTCATATACTTTAGATAAAGAGAAAGATAATACCGCTTTTTATGGTATCATTGTTGTCAACAGACACTGACAACAATAATAATATGATACATATATATATATATGTTGATCAAACATATCTCTCCTCATCTTATTTAATTTCTGTGCACAAATATTAAAATAAGCATTCTAGAAATAATCCCTTACTCCCTATTCTAGATAAGTGTCTTTTTAGTTTAAAGTTGTCAGATATAGATTTAAGGAGAAGAATAAAAATAAAAACAGTTAAGCTTGATTGGCTAGAATAATAAAAATAAAATTAAGGGGTTAAATTATAATTTTTTGATTCATATAATAATATAAAGAGCTTATATCCCTCTTCTTCTTTTCTCTGTTTTTTTTCTTTCTTTCTTTCTTTCTTTCTTTATCTATATCTTTATCGTATTCTTTAATATCCATCATGCCATTGTTAACCTCACTCTTATTTAATAATCATCATAAACAACAAACATTATGTTGTTCTTGTGGATGTCATATGAATGAACAAGAAACATCATCCATTATACGTTGGTTCCCACTTATCCGACGTAGATCATCCTCTATTACAACAACAACAACAACAACGACATCATCATCATTATCGTCGTCGTCATCATCCTCTTTATCAAATACATTCTATGACTACAAAGATAGAGGAGGAGGTGAAGAGGGAATGGAAGATAAGCAAGTAAATGAATTTCAACATTTATACCGCTTAGCTGTAGACGAGGTATTTATTTGATTGTTTGTTTGTTAGATATTTGGTTTTTTAATCATTTATTTTATTTAATTTAATTTATTCAGATGGCTTATGCTATTGAATCACAAGGATCAATTTATTATAGTGGAGACTTAATATCGGCTACAGACGCAGTTAATAATTGTTTAGATCGTTTTCAGCGATTAATGCAAATATTAAACTCAGATAAATCGCATAAACTTCAACAAGAATGGACCGACATTTTATTTGAGTTAAGATCCAAATTAGATTCTTTACCTTCTTCTTCCTAATAGCTTGCTTGCTTATAATTTATTGTATATAACAAACAAATAAAGTAAATTCTTATGCTTTGCTAAAGAGAAAAATAAAAATTGGAATAATACATTTATATCAGATTCTATGAATTTATCAATCATGAGTATGATTTAAAAATAAAATAAAAATTGTATTGTTGATGATCATCAAGATATTTGTTATATATTAATCGGAGTATAAATTCATATACCTTATTTTTGTGGGTTTTTTTTTTTTTTTCCAGAACACGTTTAAAGAGAGTCTACAAGAAGTAGAGTAGACTAAATCTTTCAGTTACACACGTTTATTTAATAAAAATATATATATATTTTTATAATAATGATTCCAGTATTTTATATTTTATACTAAATATTGAAACTAGGACATTATCTCTCTTTGGGATCGTCAATATTTATTTTAACCTTTAATGTATTCCATATATACATATTCAAATCATTTATTTTATTTTATTTTATTTTCTTCTGATGGAAACTTTACAGTCAGGACTGACCAATCACGAAAGATAAAGGATGATCATTCAGGTCTAAACTTCTTTTGCACGTTATGTACCAAGTATGGAGAAGAAGAAGAGGCCTAATAGTTAACTCATGAATGATAATAGTCTAGACTATTTTATTTTAATTTTCACAAAGCAATACTCGATTTACAAGTGTAAAACTTAATCCTAGATGCTGTCTTTATGTGGTTTTATTTTGAAGAAGATGAGTCTCTAATACAAGTGATAATAAACATCTTATTTTACAAAGGCATTTTAAAAAGTATACAAAAATAAATATATTCAAAATAAAAAAATAAAATAAACATCTTCTTGCTTGATTTTATTGTCAAAAACTAACTTTTGTTTCAATCCTATTTTTTTTTTTTTGGCAGTAATAGAGTTAAAAGTAAGTATAGTGCATTGGTTCCTGACTGATGTAATATGACCCAATCATATTATTTCAAATAAAGAGCTTTCTTCATATCCTTTTGTTACTTTGTACTATGATTCTTTTAAAATGCTTCTGAACTTACTATTTATATTAACATGTCAGTATTATAGGTTTGTTTAATCTATCTATATTCAAAAAAAAAAAAAAAAAAGGTTTCATAAAGGACAGTATGATGGCTTTTACTTTTAGATGATCAAGTGAGAATATCTGCTGTTGCGTATTGAGTAATAAAAGTTATTAGGAAACAGTGATTTTTGTATGTATCAAGAAAAGGATGACTGTGTGTTAAGACAGGTTGTTTGTATACTATCGATTTACATTTATAAGCGAACTAGGTCTTATTATGAAATAAAGTTACAGCACTGTCTTCATTTTACTGTCTGAGATCGTCTGACAAAAAAAAAAAAAAAAAAAAAAAAAAAAAAAAAAAAAAAAAAAAAAAAAAAAAAAAAAAAATATTTATACATGTATAAAAATATCTTATTTGCATTAGAGTTAATATTTTTTTTCTTCTTGTTTTATTTCTATAAAAAAAAAAAGAAATGTCAACTCTAAATTTACTTTTAACTCAATTAGAAAGTATGACATTTGACTCAACTTATTACTCAATTTAACTTTTATATTTCTTTAGAAAACCCTATTAACTGGGTATTATTAGCAGTAAAGTTCATTCCGGTTACAGAAAAAAAAAAAGCATACACCACATGTCATCATAATCACAAACACAACTTGTTAACTTTATTCTTAATTTATTTTATTTCTTCGCCATGTTTAGTTTTTAATTTATATATTAAGATTCTTTACAATCTCAAACAATTCATCTCGTATTCCTGCAAAGCATCCTGAAGTACTTGTTTATAAAAATTATACTCCTTTAGAACTTTTACCTTATAATGGTGAAAATGGTTCACGTATCTTGATGGGTGTCAATGGCTCTGTTTATGATGTAACTCAAGGACGTAATTTTTATGGTCCAGGTAAATTAGGAATAATTCCTCCTTTTTATTATTATTATGTCGTTGGATAGCTTATTTTATCTATTAGGAAGTCCTTATGCGAATTTTGCTGGTCATGACGCGTCACGTGGTTTAGCAAAGAATTCATTTGATAAAGAAATGATGGTGGATCCTCATGGTCCTATTGATAAACTTGAAGATTTAGAAGCAGATGAATGGCAATCTTTAAGAGAATGGGTAATAGATTATAAATAAGTATATTTATTATGTTTTTTTGTTTATTTATTTTGATTATTTATTTTTTTTTGTTTGTAGGAAAATCTTTTTACTAGTAAATATGTATTGGTTGGTAAATTAGTAGAAAATGACACTGAATAATAATAAAAGAGTCTATTTTTGGAATAATAGAATGACAGTCTTCTTCTAAATTGATCCCTCTTTTACTTGTAATTTAAACCAATCTACTGTTTCTTGTAGACCCTGTTTAACAGAAAATCTTGGCTCCCAACCTAAATATGTCTTTGCCCGATTAATATCTGGTTTTCGTTTTTTAGGATCATCTAAAGCAGCAGGCAAAACTTTAATATCAACACTCTCGGGTGATAAAGGGGGAGTTAAAACCATTTCTCGTATCATATTTGCAAAATCACGAATAGTATATTCTTCAGGATTTCCTAAATTAACAGGTTCACTGTAATTCTTATTCATTAAAAGAATAAGTCCATCCACTAAATCATGGATGTATTGAAATGATCTTGTTTGTTCTCCATCACCATAAAGTGTTAAAGAGTCTCCTTTTATAGCTTGCATAATAAAATTACTCACAACTCTACCATCCGCGGGAGACATCCTTGGTCCTTTTATATATATTTATGTAGACACTAAATATTAATTCATCTGTTTCCCGATATCATGTAGTAACTTACCAAATGTACTTTTTATTTTTAAGAAAAAGAAAGAAGGATGTTAGTTTATATATAGAATATATAAATATCTTTATAACTTACTTGAAAATACGTGCAACTCTCACGTCAACATCATTTTGTCTCATGTAGGCATATGTTAATGTTTCTGCAATGCGTTTACCTTCATCATAACAAGCTCGAGGACCAATTGGATTGACATGACCCCAATAAGTTTCTTTTTGTGGATGTTCTTCAGGATCACCGTATACCTCTTTCAATAATATATTTAACAAACAAACAAACGAACGAAAAAAAAAAAAAAAAAAAAAAAAAAAAAAAAAAGTATTTACCTGAAGTTGAAGTAAGTAAGAAACGAGCCTTTGTACGTTTAGCAAGACCCAACATGTTGATGGTGCCCATTACACTTGTTTTCACTGTTTTAGTAGGATTATACTGATAATGAGGAGGTGAAGCAGGACAAGCCAAGTGATATATCTGTGATACTTCAATCATAAAGGGGTCAACGACATCGTGTCTTACTAATTCAAAATGAGGATGACCTATCCAATGTTGTACATTACGTTTTGTGCCTGTAAAGAAGTTGTCTAACACGATAACCTCATGACCCATCCACATGAGTCGATCGACTAAATGAGAACCTACAAAACCAGCTCCACCTGTCACCAAGATACGTTTACGTTCAGATGGTTTCAATTGTTTCACGGGAGGGAATGCAGTAATAGATTTATAAACAACAAGTCCTGTTTCTTCATCCACTTGACGATCATTTAACTCCTTTGGTAAATATAAATTACGTAAAGTGGATAATTCAGCATCTGAACCAACATGGGTGTGTCCAACAGAGGTTACATATTCTTTTGAATTACTTTCTAATGCAGACATATTATTTAAATATGAATATGTATAGATGTATAAAGAAAACGGAGGAGGAATTAAAAAAGAAAAAAAAATTACAGTGATATTTTTTATTTTATTTTTCTTCCAAGTAAGAAAATGATACTATTATTATTTCATGTTATAAGTTATTATTTATTATTTCGTTTAATTTTATTACATAATCATCTCCTTATTTACTCTTTTCTGAAATTGCTTTTTTAGCTCTATCTTCCAAGTCACTGTTGGCTAATGTCTTACTAGCATTGACAATTTGAACAATGTTGATAAATTGTTTACCAAAACAGATTATACCCGTCACAATTAAAGCACTCCACCAAAATACTATGCATTTGTTTTTTGATTTTTTTTTTGTAAGTTATTTTTATCTCGTGATAAACTCTACTTACCATTTATAGGACCATTAAATCGAAGAACATAAAGTAAGACAAAAAAGAGTTCATTACCAGCACACATGAGGAATAAAACAATCTAATAAATTATTTTTTTTTTTGCTTTAACAAACCCATTTCTCTCTTTCAATGAGGAAGAAGAATAAAAATTAAACTTACATTATTAGTGTAATAAATTCGAAGATACCAGCTTTGTTTTTCACTAATTTTCTTGTGACTAGAGGATCCTGAGACCATTGAACTATTATTATGTAAGTACATATAACCTTATTCCTTCCACACATACATATTTATTTATTTATTTATTTTTTTACCTATACATGTGCATATAATGTGAACTGAAATCAAGAGAAATAAGGAATTGGAAGAGAATTGTCCATTGAGGATATTTAAGAGAAAGGAAACATAAAAGACAAGTAGTTGTACATCTAGTAGAATTTTGTCAGATAATTTTTTTTTTGTTTTTTTTTACAAACAACAGAGTCTATCGTTTCCTTTCTTTTTTTTTATTACCTATCTGTCACCATATCTAATACAGCACCAAATCTACTACCTAAAAGCATATATAACAGATATAACTATCTTTTATCATAAACTAATTTATTTCAACTTACATTGACTGAAATATCTTGCCGCATTACCATCGACTGCATCTAATAAACAAGAAATACAATATAAAGTTACGCATACTTTAGGGTGCCAGGGCATATAATATAAAGATAATGAAGCCAAAATAATTCGTGTATAGCCTATTATAAAATAAAGGGGATCTTATTAAAAGAAGTTTTTTTTTTTTTTTCTACTTATTCTTTTTACCGATTAAATTGGGTATGAACAAAAAGACATTTTCATTTGTACGAGAAGGTTGTATATCCTTAATAGAAGAAGACATATTTTATCTTTTATTAAAAAAGAAAAACAAGCGAAAGGAAAAAAAAAAAAAGAAAAGAAGAAAAATAGAAAAGAATATCAATTTATCCGTGTTCTTCATAAATTATTTTTTTTTTTTTTTTTTTTTTTTTGGTTACAGCTGTTGCTGCTGGAAAAGTTTATTAATTAAAAAATGTGTTGTGTATTGAATAAAACTAGTCTGTCAATTTTTAATCCAATCATGTTTCAGAGACATTGAGTGGTGGTGATAAAGCGATTTTTTTTTTTTTTTTTTTGCTATATCTTAATTTTAAATGACGGAATGTCTTAAATAATACTACCTTTAAAACAAAAAATAAAATAAAATTTGCATAATGACAATGATAGTAATCAATGATTAATAAGGATCAGTTGGAGGGGGAGGAGAAGTTCGTTATAAGCCAAGTAATCAAGTTTATAAAGTAATGATTCACAATGAATGAGCCGTCTACTCAACTCCAGTGTCATTGAAGAGAAAGTAGAACGGGATAGGCAGATCTTTAGTACTAAATAGTATTTGTAATTAATACTCTACATACATAGAGGCAGTAAGTGAGAAAAATCTTTTTTTTTTTTTCATGGGGAAGATGACGAGGATAGTAAAAAGAAAGCTGTAACGTGTCTATTTATTAATAGTAACTGTTGTGATATAAGAAGTGATAATGTATAGCATAAAGATATTTTTGGGAATTAGGCCCATGTTCATCCTATGTTAATAAAAGTGATGATTTGGTAGTCTAATATCTTCTTTTTTTTTTATTTCTTGAGAATGAAGACGATATGACAAAAAGGAAAAAAAGAGAACTTAAACGGTCAATTCTAATGTGAATAATTAGAAGATTACTTGCAGTTTTCAGCAAAGAATAATGTTTGTCAAACGACTTGATTAAAGGGATATATCGACCTTGAATAATAGCCATAATAATTCTTACATTGATTAAATAAAACATAATTCTTAGTCAAGATACTATAGTGATTCTCACAGATTTTAATATGCATTAAATAAAGAATACAGATAGCAAATACACATTCATGTTGTATCTAAGCGATTTTTGGGAATAAAACCAAGTTGTTCATAGTTTATCAAAAACCACATTGATAAATACCAATTTCCTGTTTATTCACTTATTGTAGAGAAAGCCTTACCGATATTTATTTATCCTAACACTATGTAATGAAGTCCTCTTAATTTAATTGCATTTTTTTTTTTTTGATATATTAACCAACATTTGTGTGAATTTACACCGAAGGATTTATGTAATTTACAGTAGCATTGTTCTTTGAGATTATATGCTTCTTTCATATCATTTATCTATTTGTTCTTTAGTGTCATATCACAACGTTTATATATTTGCTTGTATATATATATATATATAACGTAAGAATATTTAGCTTTGATACCTTCAATATACTAAAATATGAATTATTAATTATGTGAGGTATAACCATATTCCCTATGCCTATGTATATTCATATTTCTGTATATATGTACTGTCAATCAGCATTGAGGATTATAATGGAGTATATTCGATATAAGCTGTGTTGATTCAAGGAGGTTCTAAACAAAACAGAATCAAAAGCATAGATTGCTGTTATTGTTTATTTTATTTTATTTTTTCACGCAAAGAACTTTGTCATTTGTATAAAATAAGAGATCCTACTTTCGTAAAGCATGCTGGTTATAAAGGAAATGATGACAGTACTTTATATCAGTAATAAGCTTCCCCTTTTTCTATTTAATATATAAACAGTCATTAAAGTGTTACCTTACAGGTAAATAAATAGAGTTATTCTTTATTAAAAGTACAATTATTTACAAAGTAACAGATACTCCCCTTAACTAACAGCAGATTGTTTCTGATCATATATTTAAGCATCAATTGTAATATCCAATCTGCTTATCAGTGAATGGAAGATGAATAACTAAGTGTCACACTTTGACTGCATTCAACTGCCATCATCTCACTATTTCACATACAACACAAGATTAATAATTGAAGCAATTCAATATCTAGGTTTAAGCTACTAAAATATACCGTTGTTCAAAATCTTTGTTAACAAGCTCCTTTGTATATTAAATCACGATTATTTAATTGTGTATTTGTCACAATAATCGATACTAGTAATATTATAAAGATCTCTAGTTATTCATTACCTAGTAAAGGGTATTTTCAATATATAACTGCTATTGAACTAACTCCAAAGATCAATAATAAATTACTTACTTCTTCTTGTTGATTATTTTTATATAAAAAAAAAAAAAAAGTAACTTAAAAAAAAACAAGTAATATCTCTCTCTTTTTTTTTGGTATTTATAAATCACTCTACTTTTGTTTCGCTAAAAAAAAACAACAACACAACAGAGTAGTTAACTATTAAAAAATACGAATATGTATATGTATAATACATTGTTATAAACGGAAATAAACTATTTGCATGTATTATACACTCTAAATCTTCAGTATTGACTGTATTGATTTATTTACTGTTTATCAGATTGTATTTTATTTTTAATCCCATATCTCCCCGCAAGAAAAAAAAAACTCTATTTATAATATCCATTTTCTTATTATTATCATAAATGTATAATTAAGTTAATAAGGCTTACACAATATTTTATTTTACATTTTTTTTTAATTCGTGGTATTTATTACCCATGTGAAAGAAGACCAATAGCTGTATCTCGGCCTCATACGGGCCTAAATTGTACGAGGAGCTAATAATCGTCTTCGGAGAGTTAATTCATAAATTAATAAAAACTCCACTTTTTTCTTTATTTATCCTATTGTTCATCTTCCCCTCTCCTTTTTTTTTTTTTTTTTTTTTTGTTTTACTTATTATATTCAAATATCGATTTTCGTTCTGTATAATAATAATAAAAAAAAATGACTAAAGCAACACACAACTTTTTGGATACATTAGATATTATATTATTAGGTACCATTGGTCTTGGTACCATTGCTTGGTTTACTAGACATCAGATTGCAGAAAAATTATTCAGGTCAAATAAGCAAGAACCCGGAAATCAATCTAGCAACGATGTCAAAACTAATTCAACAAAGAAAGAGCGTAACTTTGTTAAAGTAATGCAACAACAGGTAAAGTATTCTCTTATTGACTCTACTACTTTCTTCCTTACTTTCTTGAAAAATATATATTTATATATGTATGTATATAAAGTTTATTTATTTATATATACATATATTTTTCTTTTTTCATAGGGACGAAGAGTTATCTTTTTTTATGGTTCTCAAACAGGTACAGCTGAAGATTACGCATCTCGTCTTGCAAAGGAATGTTCACAAAAGTATGGTATTAGTTCAATGACGGCTGATATTGAACAATATGATCTAAGTTATCTTGATACTGTTCCTGAGGATTGTCTTGTTTTCTTTATTATGGCTACTTATGGTGAAGGTGAACCCACTGACAATGCAGTTGATTTTTGGGATTTAATTTCTGATGAGCAACCTCAGTTTTCTGAAAATGAAGATGAAAGCACTCCTTTAAAAAATTTGCGATATGTTGCGTTTGGTTTGGGTAACAAAACATATGAGCATTATAATGCTGTTATTAAAAAAGTGGACACACGCTTAAATGAAATGGGTGCAAAGAGAATTGGTGAATGTGGTGAAGGTGATGATGATGGTTCATTAGAGGAAGATTTTTTAGCTTGGCAAGAGAATATGTGGCCTGCATTCTGTGATGCATTAGATATTGATGAAACAAATACTCAATCAGGTCCTAGACAGGCTACATTTACTGTTGAAGAGTTATCAAACTTTGATGAAGCAAAGATTTATCTTGGTGAATTAAGTGAATGGCTTAAAGAGGGAGCGTAAGTTATCTTGTTGTATCATTTTATTAGGAGATTTATATATATATATATGTATATAAAAGAGGTGCTAATCTATTCTATATAGTCGAGTTATCTATGATGCTAAGCGTCCTTATAATGCCCCAGTTACTTCAAAGGATTTATTTAATAGTACTGATCGACATTGTCTACATATGGAAATTGATATTTCAAATACTAACTTGACTTATCAAACGGGTGATCATATTGCTATTTGGCCCACAAATAATGAGGTTGAAGTAGAAAGGTTAGCTAAGGTGCTTGGTTTATCAGATAAATTAGACACAGCTGTTTATATTGAGGCTATGGATCCAGCTGCATCTAAACGATACCCATTCCCTGTTCCTACAACTTATCGTGCTATCTTTCGTCATTATTTGGATATCTGTGCCGCTGTTCCCCGACAGACATTAATGTCGCTCATTGAATTTGCTCCTACTGATCAAATAAAAGAAACTTTACGCAAGTTAGCAACTGATAAGGATGAATATCGTATTCGTATAGGAGATGTGACTCGTAACTTGGGAGAAGTCTTGGAAATGTTAGCTGAGTCAGTATCATTGGATTCAAACGGTACTTTCTCAGGTGTACCCTTTGACTTAATTGTCGAAAGTATCTCCCGACTTCAACCTCGTTATTACTCTATTTCATCCTCATCTAAGGAATCTCCCAAGAAGATTTCAATTACGGCTGTTACACTTAAATATACACCTGAATCTACATCTTCTCGTACAGTCTATGGCGTTAATACGAATTATCTTTGGCGTCTTCATGAAGCTATGAATGAACTTGAAACAGATACAGATGATGTGCCTTTATATCACTTGTCAGGTCCTCGTCATTGTTTATTCGATTCCGAAACCAACATGGCTCGTATCCCTGTTCATCTTCGTCGTTCACAGTTTAAGCTTCCTAGAAACCCTACTGTACCCATCATCATGGTGGGTCCTGGTACTGGTGTAGCCCCCTTCCGTGGATTTGTTAGAGAACGAGCATTACAAAAGAAGGAAGGTAAGCCGGTGGGCCCTACTGTTCTTTTCTTTGGTTGTCGTCATTCTGCACAAGATTTCTTATATGCAGATGAATGGCCCGAATTATTTGAAACTCTAGGTGGACAATCGCGTATTATCACAGCCTTTTCTCGTGAAACTTCACAGAAGATATATGTTCAGCATCGATTAATGGAGAATGGACAAGAAATGTGGGATTTGTTACAAAAAGGAGCTTATATTTATGTTTGTGGTGATGCAAAGAATATGGCTCGCGATGTTCATCAAACTTTTGTCCATTTTGCTCAACAGTTTGGTGAGTTCGATGAAGACAAAGCTCAAGACTATGTCAAGAACTTGAGAAACACAGGTCGTTATCAAGAAGATGTTTGGAGCTAAATATTATAGTGTTTTTTTTTGTTATTACTCCCATTATTTATTACCTAATAGAATTATTATTATTATACACCTTTTGCCAAAGCGATGTCGCATGAATATATATAAATGTATGTATATTTAGTATTGTATATATTTTAGTGTTGCATCTAGGAAAAAAAAAAAAAAAAGCAGTGTCGTACTTTTCAAAAATTATAAAGTTGTCTAGGTGATAGTAGCTATATAATAATAAATTAATAGATATATACCGTATAAAAGTAATTATGTAATTGATATTTTTACTAAAAAGGCATAAAATGCATATAATAGAATTAATAATAAGCATATAAGCCAGTTTTAGCTAATTTTAACCAGTATTATTATGCTTTGATTGATATTAATTCATTAGTATATTCCAATAATATCTCAAATACATATTTAGCATACATATAAATATGCTATGCTATTTTATTACAAAAGACTACTGTTATTTATCAGAAAAAAAAAATTACACACATATATGAGTAATAGCAGTAGCAGCAGTATTAATAGTAATTTAGTCTAATAATAACTGTTCATTTATTCATTCTACTATATAAATATATGCTCTAAGATAACATAATATAATATAACGTATCATATCATAACATATTATAATATAACATAATACAATACAATACAATATAGTAAACTCTATTCCTCTATTTTTACCTGTACTTTGCAATCTTATTCTATTTTACCTTATTTTATTTTCATTCTCTCTTTCTCTCTCTTTCTCTATCTCTATCTATCTTCCTTCCTTTTTCCTTCATTTTTTTCTTCCTCTTCTATATTACATTTGGGGTGGATACTTAGTCTTTTGACAAGTGCTTGTCATAAGCTGATTTGTAATGTCATGTTTCTTGATTAAACATGTGGATCATAAATTTATTCAGGGAATTCTATCTAAATTCTCCTGAAATTTTCTTGATCCACTCCATCAAATAATATTAAAACTTCTAACATTTCATTATCTTTAACATATCTTATTCAGTCGTAACTAGCACTTTTTTGACTCACATCTTATCTCAGACTTCTTCAACAATTCTTATAAATACCCCCATCAATTTAAATTCATAAATAAAATCATTGACTTTAGAACTATTATTCAGCCTTATTGACTTCTTTTGTCTTTTTATTATTTTTATTTTATAATATTTTATTTTATATATATTTTACAAGTAATATCACACTTTTATTATAAATGAAAACATCATTCATAATTCATATATCGTTTTAACCTCTTGAATATTTATTGTAACAAGAAGGGCTATTTTACCGAACAATCTTCAGATGTCTAACACTTTTGTATATGACGAACTAATATTGTTCGTAGTTATTAGTTTTTTTTTTTTCAAACTATTCTTATTATCAATAAACATTCTATGAGTCTGTGTTACCTTCCATCAGCCATGGGAGGTACTATACAGACGGGGCGATTTACAGTGCTATTCATAGCCCAGCCTAAAACAGGCTCCCCACATTTCTGAAAAAAAAAAAAAAAAAAAAAAAAAAAAAAAAAAAGGAAAAAAAAAAGGAAAAAAAGAAAAAAAAGAGGGAAATTGAACATGCGTGCCTTTTATATCGTTTTGTAATGAAATGTTACACGAGTGACTACTACTTGCATCTTCAATATTATAACTGAATAATACACGTAAACATATTCTAATATTTTATTTTATATTTTTTATTAGATGGATTTTTGGCTTTGCTTTGAAATAGGTGAATGATATGATTTTGACGAAAACGTAAATGAAACAATAAGATTTATTAAGAATAAAGAAGACCTTCTTAAATTTAAATATTTAAATGTTCACAGCGCTTATTTGATGACCAAAAAAAAAAAAAAAAAAAAAAAAAAAAAAAAAAAAAAAAAAAAAAAATTAAAAAACAAGAAATCAAAGAGTTGCGATTTGCAAGAAAAAAAATTAATTGTAGAATGAAATGCTATATTTCAATACTTTATTCTTTCCGATGCTAATATGAGCAACAAGAAAAGAGAATTCTGAGTAACTATAAAACTAAGAATGAGGATTATTCATTAAAACATGTAAAGGTTTGCCTTATAATAATAAACTTAAGCTGTGCAGTTATCATCTAGTCATAAACCTGATTCGACTAAGTTCGTTTGAATGTCTCCCCATATATACTGCCACCTTCAGCTATTTCTCCATATTAAAGACTCGTACATATTAAAAAAGTTTTCTAGTGTGAATACAAAGGTCTCTAAAGTTGTCCCTTTATAGATTTTTCCATTGACTTACTGTATATGTTATAATTCATAAAAAAAATATAATGTTTACTTCGTAGTGCATTCACTTATTCTTTAATTACCCCTGAAGCCCAATTGTTGAAATAGTTATTCTCATAGTAACGTTAATATATTTATACCCTTTTGCAGTTTGTTCATACATTTACTTTTTTTTTTCTTTTCTTTTCTTTTCTTTTCCTTTTTACTTATTGATCGACTAGAACAATACAGCATATTCTAGTATTATGTATTCAAGCAGTTGCTATTCATCCTTATTTTTTTATGAATGAAAGGTTTATATGTGTTATAAAAATCACGCATAGTAAATACAAAATATTCAATATAATAAAAAAAAATATGTGCCTTATACAATCATTCAACATTCAATTTGAAGTTTTTTTTTTATTTTCTTTTCTTTTCTTTTCTTTTATCAAAAACTAACTTTTAAAATCTTGGTTAGATTCTTCTAAAGAAAATAGACATATAATGTTACTCATCTGATTATTAGAAATAATACCATCGTTGATGTATCCTCAACAATAAAGATAAAGGCATAATAATAATATAGAAAAGATCATAGATACTGACTGCTCAATTAGATAGTTAAAAGCTATTTAGTATTTGATAAAAAAAGTATTTAAATACTTTCAAATATGCATTACTTGATTACTGTGATAGTAAGTAAAAATAATTCAAATTAAGGCTTAGCTCTTCATACATAAAGTTTCAAAAGAAATGCATGAATCTTTTAACCTTGTTTGTTAATTATGTGATGGAACGTAATATTTAAAAGAGAAAGAAAAGAGAAAGAAAAACAAGAGAGAAAGGGAACAAAAGGAAGTATAGTTTGAGACTGTTTTATTCAATTAAAAATAAAAAATAAGAATTGAAAGTTAAAGATTGTTTGATGTCTAAACAACTGCTTGTATTTATATTATTGAATCCTGAATCAAAGAAATAAAAATAACCGTCAAAGAACATAAGCCATGAAACAGTGTTAGTATTCGGATATACATCTTGTTGATTCAAGAGACTGATCTATGGATTATCTATTGGGTGTTATAATGATCTGATTAAGTTTTAAATAAAAAATTTTATTGTTTAATCTGAGTATATGTTCCTGATATCTTTTATGTTTTATTTTATTAGATCAAAGACGACCTGAGTCCTTTGTCAAGGTTATAAAAATAAATATTTAGAAATGATACGATATCTTATGATTGATACATCTAGACAATTGGATGTCAATAAGTTTTATATTATTTACAAGATGTTGTATACAGAGTTTTATTTTATATTCAGGCTTATATTTTATCCTGTATTATGTAATTCATCTACTACAATATTACTTATGCTTATATCCAGAGCTTGTTTTATAACAGAATGAATACTGTTATGATTGTAGTCGTTCTTATTGTTGTATATATGATGATGTATAACAAAATATAGTATAGATATTCAATCATTATCAAAGAGGGATGATGTTATCATATATTAGTGGTGCACTTCATGTACACGATACTAATCTACTTTAGTATATGAGACACACTTGTGTTAGAATGAAACTATAAAATTACAGAGATGTTATGTAATAGATGTCTTAAACATGAAAGAAGAATAGTTGCTGATCAATATATAAAATACTTAATATTGAAAATTAATTACCTATAAGAAGCACTATCTTCAGTATGGTTATGCACAATTATAAACAATCTCTAAAGAGTTATATAGAATAGAAACTTGAGGAGTTGATTAGAAGATGATAGAGATATGTGTTTCAATAAAGAAACAATATTGTATCAATTCGAGATCATTCTGAAGTTCTAAAAAAAAAAAAAAAATTATTTAGTTTAATTTGAGATACCATTGGTAACTAATTATTTGAATCAGATTAGCATTTGAAACATAACTGACAGCTGAGATTAATTGATCAGTCAGGTTCTTCATTATCAAGGTTAAACAAGATTCATAATTATCTATTGGATATGTCTATGGTTTTATAATATTAAATCAAGAAGTTTTACCCGTTTCCAGAAGATATAAATAAGGATCCATTTTGTATAATTTTAAAGAGACAGCTTTTTTGAAATAAAAGAATTAAACAAAGTTTTCACAGACTTTTATCGTTTCTTATATTTTTTCTTTTATATTATTTTCTTCTTAATCAACACTTATAACTAAGTTAGTAGAAATAAACCATCATTTATTACATAATAAAGAGGTTATTCACATAAAACTAGTATATTGAACTTCACAGCATAATATTCATTCTACACTCAGTCTTAATAATAGTCATTGTTAGAATGTTCGAGCAATAATAATAATTATATACATAATTCAAACAGGATTATGACTGGTGTATTCAATTACATAATTGTTCTTGAGTGATACATATCAGATATACATTGATAATATTGAATATTGTTAAATAATGAAATCTCATACAATGATAATGATAGTAGCTCATAAATAATTGGTATTGTTGCAGCTAGACATATTCACTGAGAATTAATATTGATGTGTCGCAGTCCAATAATAATGATTCGTTATGTTTCTAGGAACAGCGACAACTCAGGGAGAAAAAAGGAATAAAGATATATCTTATTGATCGCAGAATTATTCGGAGACAATGTTTTATGTAAAACACTTTATTATAGTAAAACTTACTTATCTGAATCATATTTCCATTGATAACACTTACCTTGTAAAAACATATAAATAACCCTCAATCTTTCCATGTAATTTTCGTTGTACAATTTTTGTATTATCTTTAATAAACTATACGAAGTTTTCACAGACTTGTCTTCTGTCTATTCTTCTTCCATTATCTTTGCTAATCAAAACAAATACTATGCTGTGAAGTACAATATACTAGTTTTATTTGAATAACCTCTTTATTATGTAATAAATGATGGTTTATTTCTATTAACTTAGTTATAAAGACAAATACAATCATAACACTTGATAAAAAAACATAAAAGGAACTGATTATTTCGAAAGATACTTGAACTGTTATACATTAACATTTTTAAAAAAAAAAGTTATAAAAAGTCAGAGGGAACGATAAAGATGATGTCATTCGTTGTGTGACTGCTTTTTATGTTTATATTACTTATGTATTAAAAAGTAGCTCACAAAACAGCAAGAAGCTCGTTTAGCTCAGTTGGTTAGAGCGTGGTGCTAATAACGCCAAGGTCACAGGTTCGACCCCTGTAATGAGCATTTTTTGTTTTTTCCACATTATCGTGGTGCGTTTAGTTGGTTTTCTGTATAATATTATTTTATTTTTTTTTCTAAATAATGATTTTATTTATATGTTCTATGTTGTTATGCTATAAGTATTATCTCATGTATATATTCAACCTGAGGATATAAATCGTAACGTTTTCCCTATAACGAGAAAAATTACTTAATAATAATATTAAATATTATTTTTATAAATATTAATATTAAACTGATGAATATACACACATATTAATCTTTTTCGATTTGAATAGCAGGTATTAGAAGGAAATAGTGAATAACTTGATCTTAATAACATAAAGTAAGTTATTACTGTAATGTTACTAACAATTAATATATCTTTCTTTATGAAATAAATATGCATATAAATTTATATAGTTTGTTTAATAATGTAACTTTCTTCAAACTAACATATTATCTCTCCTTTATTAGATATATAAATAAATCACTATTACAGATTTATACATGTAATAGACATAGTTATCTTATTTCTTCTTTTTTTTTAAACTTGGTAAGTCTTATTCATCTTCATCACTTAAAATACGATTACGTTTATGTCTTCTAACAACAATTTCTTCATCATCATCTTCCTCTTCTTCACTTCCGTAATCATACTCCTCTTCTTCGTCCTCATCACTATAATTAGATCGTTTATATCTATCCATGCCAGTTCGTTTTACTTGTGATAATCGATTTTCTCTTAATCTTTCTTCTTCTTCATCGTATTCATCATCATCAACAACAAAATCATCTTCATAGCGGTCTTGTGCCAAATGACTTGAGCTATAATTTGATGAATAATCAACTGTATCAAAATCTCCAAAATCATTATGACGGCGTGTGCCAACATCATTATAACGTAAATCAGCTTTCCTGCGTTGTTGTTCTAATTTCCTTTGTGCTTTCAAACGCTCATTTTCTTGAGCCTCAAGTTCATGTTTCATGCGTTCTGGATCTTTTTCAGTAAAAAATATTTTTGTTTTGTTTTTCTTTATTTGTTTATCAGCAATTTGTGCCGTTAGATAACGATGTGTATCACTCATAAGACCACTAGGTCTAAACGCCATATAATCTGTTAATTCAGTTTGACTTTCAAGCGCACCAGCAGAAGATTGATGTGCAAGCAAATATATATGTTCGTGAGATCCAACAGGCTTGCTACTAATATCAAAGCATTCATCACCCAACATAAGTGACATTCTACCATCCTCCCATTCAACAAAATGTGCATTCGATTGCATAGTCTATAAAAAATAAAATGGTAAAAGTAAATATATTATATGCATACACAAAGAGACTTTGTTAGGTTTGAAATACCTCTATACCATCTTCTTTTACTCTTCTCCAACGGATAGTACTCTCAACTTGCTCACGAATAGACTCTTGTTCTTGTGCTTCACTTAATCCTTCACCAGTTTGAACTTTGAATTCTTCAGCAACAAATGGATTATTTTCAATATCTAAATAATGTGGTAACTTTACTAAATAATACTAAGAATAGTATGCATTAGAATAATCATTCATTTTTTTTTTTTCAATTTTAATTTACAATACCTTATTATCATCGCTATAAGGTAAAGACAATTGTGGCAATTCAACTGAAACTTCTACGCGTTTTTCCTTATAAGATGATCTATAATCATTGTCTCTATATCCTTCATTATCATCTTCATACTCATTTAAACTTTGTTTATCCAAGTTATCTTGTTCATCTTCTGAAGATTCAAATTGTGAGCTAAAAGTAACAATAAATGGAATAAATCATATATCATTTCTTTCAATTAATCAAGTAGATCTTCAACAATTGCTTTGCTTTTAATCCTTGTTTATACCTTCTTTGTTTTAGTGTTTGTTTTTTCTCTATCTTTTCTTCTGATTCCTCATCACTACTACCAAATAATTTGTCAAAATCATTTGTTTTTGCTGCAGTTGATGACAGTACCGGTGATGATTTCAAAGTATTGGCGGCAGAAGTAGTTTGCTGTTCTTCTGAAAACTGAGAACGTCCATCATCTATATCAGATGCTTCATCATCAGAACCAAAAAGATCACCAAAACCGTGATCAGAAGTATTCTTATCATCATCTTCGTATGGCATTTGTATCGTATTTTATTTATTTTAGTTAAAAAAAGATTAACAGCTGAATTTTTGTCATATTTGGTTTTCATAGAAATTGGAAAAGAAAGATTATATGATTGGTTAATAATTTCTAAACAAATTCTGCAAAAAAAAAAAAAAAAAAAAAACACACACACACAAGAGGATTATCTTTTATTTTACAGCCTTTTATAAATAAATAATAAATCAAGAATAACATGTCTAAATCACTTCTATAGTATATATATATAATGAAGACTTTACCTCATACGAGTAGATAATTTTTTCCCAATAGTACCTCTACAGTGTTCACTCCCACAGTAGCAAGGCTGTTGACTTTCAACAGAGCCATTAAATGTTGAAAAATTATAGTCATAAAATAATTCAGAATTTGCTTTAATATCCTTAGATGCAAATATTCCAAAATGAGATTCTCCTCTTAGAGACCTTTAAATAAATAAAAGAAGTAGTGGGTTAGGGTAATTGAATACACATAAATTAAAGAAGAAACCATCATTACCATTTTTCAATATGACAGTTTGGATCACAGCTATGGTTAATAAACCTCGCCTCTGTTCCTTTTGTACAAGCATCAATTACTTCTCCGTTACTGTAATCCAAAAAATAGAAATTGTTTGCATTTGCATAGACAGTAGACATCCTCTCTTCACATAATTCTTGTGAAATAACTTCACCTCGATATTCAATTATTAATTCACCCTTTTTAATATCAATTAACGTACGAAGACCCCAGCCACGACTTTCAGTCCGAAAAACTTGTAATCCTTTTATTTTTTCTTTACGCTGAAATCGCCGATTTGAGCACTGCTCTCCACAAGGGCAATACTTGGGCTCACATTCATAAAATAGCATTCGATTAATACAATCCTCACCACAGCCCATTTGATTAGGATGAGAAGGTGGTGTACATTGACATATAGCTGCTTCATGATGTCCTATTTGCGGCTTCCGTTCAACAAAAATATTAGATCGTATACGAGTAAAAAAAGGTGGCTTATTTTCTACAATCCCTCTGATTAATCCTAATTTTCGTTCCTGAAGAATATCCGCAGGTAATTTAAAATCAACTTGTTTTGAAATAATAAATTCTCCTTGATGTATAGGTAATGGAAATAAAAATCGAGATATTACAGAAACATTCTTTCTTGTTCTTGTTTTATCATAATAAAGTCCATGTCGAATATATTCCTTTTTATTGTGAATTAAAACATGATCATGCCCTTTTTTCGATGCATATGATTTTTTGGCTTGTTTTAAGCCACAAGCATTGCATAACCTATTACAAATCATGTTATACATAAAAAGATAAAGTAGTCCTATCGATTCTAATATCATCTCCTTACGTCTTTGGCCCTAAAGGTCCCTTACGCCATAAAGGGGTTTGAGTAGTGTGGCAATCAGAACAACATATTCCAGGTTGTATAATACTTGTTGTGGTTCTATTTTCTTTATCATCATCATTTATTTTCTTTTCAGCTAATATTAAATTCTTTCTGTTTTCTTTGTTGCTTAGTCCTAACTTTGGCTTGTTTATGATGTTTGATGTTTTTTGCTTTTTTATCTTTCTCAACTGTTTTGTCTGCCTAGTTCTTTTAAGAGAGGACGGATTATAGTAAGGGGGAGGAAAGACATCTGAGCTATATCCAGTTTCTGGTCGGCCTTGAGTTTTCCATCGAAGATGACAAGCATTACATAACCTATGATGAAGTAATGAAAATAGAGGAGAAAGGGGGTAAGGCAAAACCAAATTAAATCAAATGTACGTATGATAATTACGTTAATGGTCCAGCTGGTCCTCGTCTCCATCTTGGAGTCTCAATTGTACCGCATCTTTGGCACCATTTAATTCCTTTTTCTATACTGATGACTGATTTATTATTCTCGATGAAAGAGGCTGATGACATAAAAGACTGTGAAGGAGAATATACAGTTTGTTCATTTAACATTAAAAACGCGTCTTCTGAATCTTTTTCATTAGAGAATGAATTCGATTTCAAGGGTATCGGCGTAAGAGGTTCCTCACTAGTATATTCCTCCTGTTCACTTATAAATTCAGGTGTACAGGATTGCTGTAAAGGTATAATTTCTTGTTCTTCTTGCGATGATATGCTTAGCATATTGAATAAATAAATAAATACAATATATGATTATATGTATACGGGTAAAAAAAAGGGAAAAAATAATAAGAGAAAGATGGTATTATATACACATATATATATATTATATGAATATATAATTTAACAGTTGCTGAAATTGTCTATTCTTTACTAGAGATTTAATTCTATGTTTTAATCGATTTTATATATTATGAAGTTTGAACAACCTTATTTATAAGAAAAAAAAAAAAAAAAAAGACGTTTAAAGCGCTCAATAAATTTATTATATGATTTCCGCTCATCAGATCAAAAAAAAAAAGGGAAACAGTTTAATTAAAAAGTATTTTGAACAACAAGGGTAAAATAATTAGAGGAAGGAACTAAGGCTTTTTTCCCTTTTTTAGGAATACCGATGATATATACTACTTATCACCATGATTACGTTCAAATATGTTTTCAAAGAAACTTCTCAAATAAGAACATGATATTGAACACATCATAATTGCCCTGACTAGATTATCAAATTACTATAGTTACCATACTTTCACTTGAAAATTGGACTACCATTTTCTATGGCAATAGTGTATTAAACTGTTTTCTTTAAAAAAAAAAAAAAAAAAAAAAACAAGTTACTGTTTCTATAAATTTGCTGGTCTTCCGTAATTATTCCATATATATTACACTGAAATAGTCATCATGTTTTAGCAGCTATAATATTATCTTTATTCCAATTTGTTCTGCAGTTATTACAAACAAAAAGTAGAATACACTATAAAAATATCTCTATTATCTTTAAAGTCACTTGCACATACAGCACAAACATATACTTTATATAGTATATAACTATAAGCGAAAAAATTATATAAGCTTAAGTATAGAATATATAACATAGTACACAAGCGTTTTTAGACTAAAAAAAAAACGCAAAAAAGTGTGTATTTCATTTTATTTTTAATGAGAAGTAATACAACTATTTTTTTTTTAAAAAAAAGGCTTGATAGAGATGCTATCCAAAGAATTATACAACTTTATTATCTGTAATCTTCAAGTTTTGATTGTATAATATATATATAATAGATATAATAATTAGGGATATTGAATATAATTTGCGTGCTATAGTATTAAGGTATTATGGTAGGTAGACATGGTCCAAAAAAAAAAAAAAAAGCAAAATTCTTTCAACTGTATTTTATAATGCTATGAATGGAGAAAATAGTATAAAGATGAAAGGCTACCAACATATTAAAGGTATTACAGAGAATTATTTTAAGCTGCTACAATTAATAAAGTCAAAACTTGTATATTATAGAAAACGGAATATGGATACCATTAAGAATATGACGTTCATCAATAAATCATTATGAAAGATTAAAAGAAAATCAGAACAGATCATAGAGAGCGCGAGTTTACTCTTTAAAGAATAAACATTATTACATGCAAGATATCTAATAGTATTTTTAATATTAATCCTATACTAATGTCCTTTTTTAGTGTATCTGCTATACTATCTATCAAGTAATTGGATGCTTCTTATTTTACTATTGAAAGTTATCTTAATTATCATCACGGCCTAGGGAAACATTTTTTGGTTAATCCTTTTCTCTTCTAGTAATAGTATTATCATATTATCCTTTTTTTCTTTAGCTGTACAAACTTACTAGGATAATTTTCATACAATTAGCATCTTCTTCTGCTTACTGCTGAGCCTCTAATATTAATATAATTTTTATATGCGGCCAATAGCGTGAAGACAAGTAACGGAGCTTTGAATTCATACTATTATTTCATTCTCTTCTCCTTCCTCCTTCCTCCTTTTTTTTTTTTTTTTTTTTTTTTTTTTTTTTTTTTTAAATTTAGTTTAATGAAGATAAAATTTATAAGCACTTTATTAGCAGTTTATGCTAATCTTATCTTAATTCAAGCTTTCTATGGTCCAAAAGATAATGTTGTTGAATTAACGCCACAAAACTTTCGTAATGCTATTCTTGATTCAGATGTAAGAGAACAATTCTTTCCTTTCTCTTCTTTTGTCTTGATTGCAAACTAACAACAATTTGTAATAGCAACTGGTTGCAGTTGAATTTTATGCGCCTTGGTGTGGACATTGTCAACGCTTAGCTCCTGAATGGAAAAAAGCTGCTACTAATCTTAAAGGACTTGTTTCAGTTGGTGCTGTCAATTGTGATGTAGAAACAAATAAAGGACTTTGTGCCACATATGAAATCAAAGGCTTTCCAACTATTAAAGTGTTTAGTCCTGAGCTTAAAAGAGATAAACGTACAGGTCAACTTACGAAAGTTCCTACAGGTAACAAAAGCTTTCAATCAAGTTTTATGTATATATAATAATTGTTATTATTATGATATAGATTATCAAGGACCAAGAGATGCTAAATCAATTGTGGATTTCTTATTATCATATCAACCTTCTAATGTTTTATTTGTCAAGTGGAATGAAAAGGATGTAAAGTCAAAAAAGAGTATAAGTTTGGACAGTTTCTTACAAACAAAGGTAAAGAGTAAAGATATCCATGTATATGTAAAAAAAAAAAAAAAAAAAAAAAAAAAAAAAAAAAAAAAAAAAAAAAAAAAACTTACTGATTTATAATTAGAATGAAAGTCTTTCAAAAGTTCTCTTATTCACAAACAAGCCTACTACCACACCTTTATATAAAGCATTATCTGTAGATTTCAAGGATCGTTTATTAGTTGGAGAAGTTAAACATTCCGAAAAAAACATTATCAAAGAGTTCAATATTCAATCATTCCCTACTCTTGTTGTTATTTCACCTGAGCATGGTATTCTCAAATATGAAGGCAAATTAAATCATGAAAGCATTAAAGCATTCTTAAACAAACATGCATTACCCAAAAATCAAAAGAAACCTGAGCCAGTTTCCTCCAAGTCTTCACCTAAACAACAAAAAGAACCAAAGAAAGGTAAATTGTATATTTTTTACTTTATTACAACGTAATATTAATAATCTTCTCTAAAGTTATGTCTTTGGTTAATGATGAGTTATTAAATAAACATTGTTTAAATGCAAGCAGAAACACTGTCTGTGTAATTGCAATGACAGACGAAGACAATAGAGAAAGTGTTTTAGAAACTTTGAATTATCTAAAAGATAGAGTAAAATCTGAGGCCTTTAGTTATGAATTTGGATGGATTCATGCCGATCAATCAAAGGATATCATAAATACTTTGCAAATGACTGAGGACTATCCTTCTATCTTTATCTTATACCCTCACAAGCATCTTTATAGAAATTATATAGGTTCTTGGAGTGAGAATAACCTTGAAAAATGGTTAAACCAAGTAGGCTCAGGTCGTATCCAAGCCTGGCCATATAAAGGCTCTTTAAAGTTGAGCAAAAAGCTAGAAAAGAAAGATGAGCCTAATCATGATGAATTATAAACAACATAAAAAATAAATAAATAAATAAATAATAAAGCATGCACTTCATTCATATAACTGGACTTTTTCTCCTTTCATTTCGCAGAATGTTTATTTATTCATAACACTAAGACAATAAGGTTGAATTACAAGCATATTACGAAATGAGTTATTATAAGCATAATTAACGAGATACGCCCATTCTGTATACAAATGGCAATGTTCTACATGTATTTGTTATCTTATAAATCATATCCTAAATGAAGAAGATATGTTAAAGTCGTCGTATCTCTAGCACAACGTTAAATATAATTCTTCTTGTAAAAGTTATTAGTAAACAATATTCATCCTTCCTTAACAGTTTTAATATATCGCAATTTGACTCATTGTAACAAGCTATACTAAGTCAACACGGTTAAGTTCATAGTAACAAGTATAAATAATGACTATAAGGCTTATATATTCAAATTTTTGCACTTATTTCTGTCTTTATCATATTTAACTATTATACGTGAAGATTCATTACCGTAAGTAAAATATGACTATCCTTAACTACAACAAAGTAGCTATTCTACCATAAATCTACAAACATAAGGTTAAGTCAGAAGTGTGTGCAAGTTTGCTTATTTGTTCTTCCAAGGGTGCTTACATAACAGATAAAGGAGAACTTTTCAATACACAGAATGATACTTAATCATTATAAAACATATTTTATTCCATTATTAGTCTTGCATTCAGCTTTCCTCTTGTCTTTATTTTTATTTTATTTTTTCAAAAAACGATCTTAATTCTAATTTGTCAGTATCAGAAATGACGTTTTATTGGATCAAAAAATTATTTTCATTTTAGGATTTTGTAGAATACGCAAACACCAAAAAGTGTATTTCTTCTATTAGCTTATTTTTTTCCTTCATTTATTATTGTTATATTTCTTTCAACTATTTTTGAAAAAAATAAATAAATAAATATAAAATGGTAACATATTAACTAAATGAAAAGACCGAGTTCTTCTTACCTGTTTATATAGAATGAGGAGCAAAAGAATTTATCACAAGAACAAACGGAGCAAACAGAGACCGTTAAGCAATCACCTAATCTTCAATCTACTCCTATAAAAAACGAAACAGCTAAATCAATGACAGAAGATGAACATTCTGCTAATGATTCTGTTATTGATGATTGTAAGTTTCTTTTTCTCTTTCACATTTTCAAGCATAAATAAATATAACCTTAATTCGCGTAGTCGAAAAAATTGCTAATAGGGAATTACACCCTATTGAACAAGAAATTATTGAAACAAAATGTTTTCATTGGAATATAGAGAACTGGAATAATTTGGAACATCGTTGTACTGGTCCTATTATGAAGACTGGTGGATTCGATTGGTAAATCATTCACTAATTAAACGTTAATTATCTAACGTCAATTACTTATTTCAGGAACATTCTTTTGTTTCCCAAGGGAAATAATCAATCAGAATTCGCTTCTATTTATTTGGAATTAGCTAATGTTAGAAATAGTGAAACAGATGAATACGCTTGTGCTCAATTCGTTATTTGTCTTTCTAAACCTTCAGATCCCACCAAGTTTATTGTACATAGTGCACAACATCGTTTTACACGTGACGAATCAGATTGGGGATTCACTCGCTTTATTTCTCTTGAAGATTTCTATAACAATCCAAACACTATTTTGGAAAATGATTCAGTTCGAATTACGACAATTATTCGTGTTGTCAAAGATTCCACAGGAATTCTTTGGCATAATTTTGTCAAGTAAGTGAACTTTTTCCTTTATTCCCTACTTCCCCCACTTTTTTTTTTTTAGTAGAAGGTATCAATATTGATACTTATATATCTCTTAGTTATGATTCTAAAAAGATTACTGGTTATGTTGGACTACAAAATCAAGGTGCCACTTGTTATATGAATTCTCTCTTTCAATCACTTTATTTTACAAATTCATTCAAAAAAGCAGTATATCAAATTCCTACTGAAAATGATGAGCCTACTAAGAGCATTGCATTAGCTCTTCAAAGAGTTTTCTATAATTTACAATTTTCAAATAATGTTGTTGGTACAACAGAATTGACAAAATCATTTGGCTGGGATTCATTAGAAGCTTTTAGACAACATGATGTCCAAGAATTCAATCGTGTCTTACAAGATAATCTTGAAATTAAAATGAAAAACACCCCTGCTGACGGCGCCATTAAGAACTTATTTGTCGGTAAAATGAAGAGTTACATTAAATGCATAAATGTTAAATATGAATCTTCCCGATCTGAAGACTATTATGGTATAGACTTCCTTTGTTATAATTTTTTTTTTTTTTTTTTTTTTTTTTAAAAAAAAACTAAACTAAATGAATTTTAATACAATAGATATCCAATTAAACGTCAAGGGCTGTAAAAACTTGGAAGAATCCTTCAAAGATTATATTACTGAAGAAACATTAGAGGGCGATAATAAATATATGGCAGAAGGTTATGGTCTACAAGATGCTAAGAAGGGTGTTATTTTTGAGAGCTTTCCTCCAGTATTACACTTACAATTAAAGCGGTTTGAATATGATATGATGAGAGATATGATGGTTAAGGTAATAAACTCTTTTATATATAAGCGTAGAAAAAATAATACTTGACGAATTTTAGATTAATGATCGTCATGAATTTCCCACTGAAATCGATCTTGAACCTTACCTTAGTGAAAATGCTGATAAATCAAAAGGACATAAATATATTCTTCATGGGTAAATTTGGCTAATAACTATATACATATAGATAGATATATATATTTTGCTATAAATTCGCATAATTAACTTGAAAACATTTAATTTGTATAGTGTTTTAGTACACAGCGGTGATTTGACTGGAGGCCATTACTTTGCATTCGTTAAACCTGGAAAAGAAAACAAATGGTATTATCTTTATACATATCTTTTTGTATATTTATATTTATTCTGTTTATAGGTTTAAATTTGATGATGATCGAGTTATTCCTGCTACTTTAAAAGAAGTATTAGAGGAAAACTATGGTGGTGAACAATTGGGATTACCAAATGCTAACATGAGACCCAATGGTCGTCCTATGAATCGCTTTACTAATGCTTACATGCTAGTTTATATTCGTGAATGTATGCTAGATGAAGTTTTGGCTCCTGTTACTGAAGAAGATATTCCAAAACATTTATCCGAACGTATTAAAGCTGAAGCTCGTATTCGAGAGTTAAAACGTAAAGAAAAAGAAGAGCAGCATTTATATATGAAAGTGCTTATTGCTGATGATGATACATTCCGAGCTAATTCAGGGTTTGATTTTGCAAATTTTGACGAGAGAGACGCTTCTGAAAATCATATTCACGTTCTAAAGACAAGAAAAGATCAGACTTTTGGTCAATTTAGAAACGAAGTTGCCAAGAGAATCAATCTATCACCTTCTTCTTTCAGATTCTGGTTGATGGTAAATCGTCAAAATCGCACCGTTCGTATTGATGTTCCTATTCCAGAGGAAGAAGATAATACGAGTAAGTTTGAAATGATGATTGCCTTTTTATTTTATAAATATTAACTTTCCATACTTAGTTTTGGACGATATTCGTTCAAGATATGCAATCAATCAATTAGATTTGAGATTATATTTAGAGAGAGCCAATATATTCGATGAATCTAATAATACTGTTTTCCCTTCTCCACCAGAATCCGCACAGTTTATTTTAATCTTTATCAAATTATTTAACCCTGAATGTCAAAGAATCCAGTACGTATTTAAAAAAGGGAACTCCCCTCCCTTAAAAAAAACCCCCCTCAGTGATTTAATAACTTATATCTAATTTTAAATAGTGGTATTGGTCATGTATATGCACAAAAGGAAGCTAAGGTGGGCACGATTATTAGTACATTAAAACAGATGGCTGCAATTGATGAAAATGAAGAAATTCTTTTGTTTGAGGAAATTAAAGCGAGTATGATTGAACCTGTTGATTTCAATGCTACTTTTACTCAAGCAGAACTCCAAGATGGTGATATTCTTTGTATACAAAAGAAGCTAACACCTGAAGAAGAACATAAAATTTCAGAAAACAATGGAAAAACTACAGTTCCTGAATTTTTTGGCTATGAACTTGGAAAAACACAGATTTATTTTGGACCTCTTACAGCTGATGCCAATTCCCCTGAAATGAGAATAAGTTTACATAAAGAAATGGGATATGAAGAAATTGCTACTCATGTTGCTAGGGAATTAAATGTTGATGCTGATAAGATTCGTCTTATTAATCCTTATCAGGGCAGCAAAGTAAATCAAAAACGATTTGGAGGATTGAAATTAGGCAAAATTTTGCAAAATATTCATGCCTTTGGTGCTGGAAATGTGAATACAAACAGAATAAGATTTTTATATGAAAAATTAAACGTGAGTTTGGATGAAATAGAATCTAAATGTTCTGTATCAGTAACTGTATGCGCTCCTACTCTGAAAGAATTACAAGTGATTGAGGTTTTAGTACCTAAGGATAGTGATCTCAACTATTTGAAGAAAGCTCTAATAGCTGAAGGTGCAAGACTTGATGGAGTTGAATTGGATTATATTCGTATCTTTGAAGAGATGGATGGTAAATTTAGTAAAGAATATGATGATAAATTGTGGAAAGAAATGATCGCAGCATGTTCAGCAGTAAAAGTGTATGCAGAAAAAATTCCAGAGGAGGAATTTAACATGGATGCTAGAGATGGTTTTGTCGGCGTTTTCCATTTCCAACGTATACCAAGTCGTACTCATTCTGTACCATTTAAATTTGTTATTAAGCATGTAGGTTTATTTTATATATTAATTTGTATAGATGAGTATGCTTATAAAATAATATGTGCATATATTTATAGAATGAACCATTGGTTGAGACAAAGAAGCGTCTTCAAGCTAGAACAGGGTTAGATGATAATGAATGGAGCAAGGTTAAGATTAATATAGTTTCTGAAGATGATGAAAATGTGACATTAGTTGATGATAACCAAGAGACACTATTTCCTTCACATCCATATAAAATTGGTGACGTGATCGGATTGGATCATATCGATAAAACTTCAAAAATCGATAAAACTGGCGCAATTTTTATCAGAGGCTAATTTTTCTCCTTATTTTATTTATATAATAAAGTTGATATTATTATTATTATTATTATTCTACAAAAGAGAAAAGGAAGAAGATGAGAGGGAGTGAAATTGATGTTTACCAAAAATGAGTCCTCCTTTTTTTTTTTTTTTTTTTTTTAATTTTTAATTACTACATTACAGACAAGTTACTATTCCCCTTTATAAAGTCGTTCCTTAAAGATTGAAAACAGTTTTCTTTAGTAAAACTTGCTCTTTTCCCTTTTTTTTTTCTATTATTTATGTTTTTTTTTTGAACGATATTGAGTTAACAGAAAGATATGCAGATGAGATATGGAGTCTTGAAGCCAATAAGCGAGAGTTGTTACAAAAGAATCATCATTTGACACAAACGTTATTAGAAACAAATCTACAAAAGGCCAATCTAGTACAGAGGGAGGTTCAGTTAAGACAAGAGCTTGAGGAATTAAGAAGAGGGCAATATAGCTGGGAAGCTAAATTGAAGAGAGCACAGCAGCAACATGAACTAGAGGTGAGCTATTTGAAGCACCTATTACATACAGCTTGTATAGACAAAGAAGATTTATTTCAAAAATTACAAGAACTATTGATTCAATTATTATCAACAACAACAACAACAACAGCTGTTACTACTCTACCAGAAGAAGTAACAACGCAACCAAGAGCTACGCTCGTCCATAGTAATCCTGATTCTATTCCTATTCATGAAATGCAACAACAGGAACCTTTTATCAAACCGAGCCCACCATTTGAAGAATGCATACATGCTAGAAAAGAGACGATTATACATCAGCGAAAAGGGATTCAAACGACTAGGGAACAATTTGCTGACAATGATGATTCGACTTATCATGATCGCTCTTCTTCTTCTTTTCCTCCTCCTATAAAATCCCTTACCATCTCCGATCATGATGATACTCCTGGCTCGGTTCATGGTAATGATAAACAACAAATGGCACCATTAAGGAGTAGTAAAGGTAAGCTATTATTATCAGAACGACCTGAACTAGGAGATGATGAGGTTATAATAACAAGACCTCAAGCCTATTTGCAAAACCAATATACAGCAGTAGTTGATCCTATACAACAGGGCAATTTTTGTCTAAAAGAAGATGAAGACAATCGCAAGACTTTAGATGAGTATGAAGCTTTCAAACTCTCTATATTGCCCAAGTCAACTTTAAATCATCATGAGAAGGATGTTGATAGAGATCAAATAGATGGATCCCAAAGCAACCTCATTAAAAGGGATCTAAAAGAAGCAACAGAGGAACTCCCTTTAAATGGATCAAAAACAAAGCTGCTCAATCCTAGGGGGGGAATGCACTTTCAACATGTATTATCTAAAGAAAAAGAAAAAGAAGCAGATAATAAAAAGGAAGAAGAAGTGACTGTAACAGCCCTGCAAAAATATGACGGATACTTGATAAAGGAGCCTGAGAATTATATTTATCAATCAAGAATAATTGATTCAAATATATATAAACCACAAGAAGAAGACTTTACTTTAGATTCTTCGCTTTACTTTAAAGAACATAAGCTTAAAGAAGACACTAGCTCCTTACTAGACAAAAATAATAATGATTATCTATTTATTGACCCATTACAGTTCACGATGATTGGGCATTGGATGTGGAAGTATACACGAAAAGCGATAGGGAATGGCTTTTCGAGAAATAAGCATAGACGTTACTTTTGGATTTATCCTTATACGCGAACACTCTATTGGAGTGCAAATAAGCCCACCAGAACTAATCATAACCCATACAATACCAAGTGTGGTAAGTCTATATATATATATACTACTTTCATAGAAATATACAACATCATTAATACGCAAAAAAAAAAAAAAAAAAAAAAAAAGTATTTATCAAGTCCTTTACGGTAGCCAAAGGTTCAGATAATAAGTTAAATCCGCCAAACATATTTATAAAAACATTCTCAAAAGATATACAAATTCAATGCATTGACTTACCTACTCATTCTATTTGGATAAGAGTAAAGTATAATTATTACATTAGAATTGACTAATATTAATTAGCCTTTACTTACCCACTATAGGCATTAAAATACTTTTTAAATGATAGTACTTCCAATACAGAACAAACTGATTCAGAAAATGAATTTGTCATTTCAGATAAAGGGAATCACCAATTTAATATCAGAGCAGAGTGACATGCATTTATACCATTTCTCTGATTTATAGCACATCTGTCGAATAATAAACCTACCTTTAAAATAATAATAAAAGAAATATGAATGAACTGAATACTTGAAGCTTTCTAAGGGTTTATTCCTTGTAAAAAAAAATCGTACTAAACGTTATTCTTTGACTATACTACTTGGTTAACCCTATTCCATGCCCTGGTGTTTTTGAACTAATTCATGACTTTGTTATCGAATAAATTACCATTATTTTATTCTTTTTAAAGGAAAAGAACATGATACTGATTATATTGCAAGATATAGAAATGTATCTTCAATCTATTCTGTTACTTTTTATTTTATCATCACAGACCAATTATTCCAGTTAAATATCATGCTGTTCTTGACAAATAATGATCATGCTTCTACTCGCTTTTCTAGTAGATCTTTATTCTATATAACATTGCTAGTTCCTAGAGTAGTCAAAGAATCCTTGGCCATGTCAGATTATCTACCAATTATAAAACCAAAAAAAAAAAAAAAAACTGTCAAAAAATTATTCTTAGATTCAATTTTCTCTCTTTCTCTCTCTTTTTTTCTTTTTTTTTTTTTTACAGATACATATATCTAATCGTTACATATAACGTGTTGAATAATGTCAGAAGGAGATGCAGAACTTAACATTGCATTTATTCATCCTGATTTAGGCATTGGTAAACTAAATGAAAGAAGCCACATACATGTAACAAATGAAAGTAATGTTGTTATTTATATCCTGTAGGGGGTGCAGAAAGATTAGTTGTAGATGCTGCAGTAGGCATTCAATCAAAAGGACATAAAGTTGTAATGTATACTAGTCATCATGATCCAAACCATTGCTTTGAAGAAACAAGAGATGGTACACTTGAAGTACGTACTCATGGTGATTATTTACCACGCAGTTTATTTGGTAGATTTTATATCATATTTGCTATTCTTAGACAATTTGCTTTAGTTTTATGGATATTAAGACATGAAAAGGACACCTATGATGTTATCTTTGTTGATCAGTTAAGTGCTTGTGTACCATTTTTAAAGTGGTTTTCTTCTGCAAATGTAAATATATCTATTTCACTATCCATATAAAGGGGAAAAAAATTATTAATTGCTTATACATAACAAACAGATTTTATTCTATTGCCATTTTCCAGATAAACTTTTAACTAAAAGAGGATCAAAACTCAAAGAATTGTATAGAATGCCTATTGATAAACTTGAAGAATGGTCTACAGGCATGGCAGATACAATTGCCGTAAATAGTCAATTCACAGCTGGTATGTTTAGACGATCTTTTCCAGCTATTTTGAAAAAACCAAAAGTATTATATCCACCTATCAATTTTGCTGCATATGACAAGGCAGTAGATTTATCAGATCCATTTGTTCAATTAATTGAAACGTAAATATAACAAGTATAAATATTTGTGTGTGTGTAGATGTGTGTGTATATATATATGTGTGTATGTGTATGTATATGTGTATGTGTATGTATATGTATATGTATACGTATATGTATATGCATGTATGTATATATGTATGTATTATTGACCATGTAATCATTAGACATAAAAAGACAATCGTATCTATTAATCGCTTCGAAAGGAAAAAGAACATAGAGTTAGCATTAAGAGCTTTTGCTTTATTAAGAAATTTTATCTCAGAAGAAGAATTTGTTAATTACCGACTTGTACTTGCTGGTGGTTATGATAAACGTGTATCAGAGAATGTAGAGTATTTAAAGGAATTAGATACATTAGCAACTCAACAATTTGGACTTGAAACATTTACAATTCTTCCAAATACAAACGAAAAGGCGCCTAATACAACTCAAGTTTTATTTTTATGTTCATTTAATGACGCTCAACGTACTTATTTGCTTGCTAATTCAACATTATTATTATATACGCCTTCTAATGAACATTTCGGTATTACACCTGTTGAAAGTATGTATGCCTCTTTACCTGTTATTGCAGCCAATAGTGGAGGACCTCTTGAGACAGTCAAGGATAAAGAAACTGGACTCATTTTACCACCAGAACCTGAAATTTGGGCCAAAGGAATTTATGATCTTATTTCAGATACCTTTGATAGAACAAAGATGGGTAAAAGAGGACGTGAACATGTTAAATCAAAATTTTCTTTAGAAGCCTTTGCAGATCAATTAGAAGATACATTAGAAGAAGTAGCAAGTGGAGGTAGACCCACTCGATATAAATATGATAATGTTGAGTATACAATGCGTATTTTTATAGCTATTGGGATTTTTATTATTTGGTATAAATATTTATAGAATAAAATTTGTAACTATTTCCTAACAGATTTATCACGTTGATGATAAAAATAAGGCTCTATTTCACCTTGTAGTTCTTTAATTCTTTCCCCTTGAGCTTCTAATTCTTTATGAAGACGATCTCTTTCATTTAATAACTAGAAGAAGAAAAAAAGAGTGAATTGATTGATAAAAGTAGTTTTATGAGTTATCATTTACCTGCTTTTCCCATAATCTAAAACGTTGTTCTTCAGCCTTTACTTGTTCTGTAAATCTCATGCGTAACATTTCTTCTTCTTCTTTAAATTTTGCATTTTCATTTACTTGAGTACGAGCTTCACCAAATTTACGAGTTTCCATTTGAGCTTGACGATAATTTTCATAATGATTATCTTCAGTAGTTGTAATTAAATCCAACATATGAGTTCTAATCAATAAACTTCTTAATTTCTTGAAATCACAATGAGAATCATTTTCTACTTCAGCAATACCCCAAGAGTATTCTCTTCCTTTTACTTTCCTACCATCCTCTGTAATGACATCTTGAGTAGAGCCGATAACAGCAAAAGGTAAAGATGCCATCATTATCTTGTTTCTTTTAGTTGTTTCTTCATCATCACTTTCAAGAGGACAAGTATAGACTTGAATATTTTGAGCAGCAATTACTTCACGTATCTAAGGAAAATGAAATGTGTATGAATATTATGGTAAAAGATACGAATTATCTTCCCCTCATACTACCCCTCTTTTTTTTTAATACATTGTATTTTCATTATTAGTATTACATTTTGTTTAAACTTTTCTAAATTGATAGGTGTAAGTGTATCAGCTTTAGCAATGACAGGAATCAAATTGACTCGAGAACCTAAACGTTTCATGACTTCAATATCCAAAGGAGTTAGACTAACAAAAAATAATAAATAAATAATTCAGGAGTCTAGTGGATCATTATTTTACGTGTGTCCAGTTGGTTTAATAAAATATAAGCAAGCATGAACACGCATATCAACGACACCCTTTCTACAAGGTTGTTGCTCCTGACGCATATATTTTTCATGTTGGTCGTCAATGAAATCCACAATAGGAATCCAACTATGCTTATTATTAACATAATCACCAAAGCCCGGTGTATCAATAATAGTTAATTTAACTTTAAACATTTTTTCTTCCAGCTCTAAATAATAAATTCAAAAAAAAAAAAAAAAAAAAAAAGTTATTCATTGACAACATTTTATAGATACTTGCTTTTTTTTTATTATACCTGCTTTTGTTATTTGAATTTGAACAGTCTTTGAAGGAGGCTTCATATGTCTCTTGGCTAAATTTTTATGTTCCTTGATGGTTGTGGTAAATAATGTATTGACAAATGTTGTCTTACCAACACCCGATTCACCTATTAAAAGAATAATGAGGTCAAAGAAAAAAAAAAAAAAAAAAAGACAGCCAGTTACCACAAACCATGATTGTAAAATTAGCACCATTTTTAGCAACAATTTTATGTCTTTGATTTGGTAAATTTGCAATACCAGTTTTAGGTAAAGAAGAATTACTTATTATAAGATCATTCATGATATCTGTCATAATTTTATTTTCGAAAGAAAGAAGAAGAAGGAAAAGAAGAAGAGGAAGAAGAAAAAAAAAGTAATCTATAAATAAATAAATAATAATAATAAAAAAGGAGATAAGCTGCATATGATTTTTAGTTAAAAAGTAAATTGTTGATTGATAACAGCATGATAATTTTCAGAATTACGCATTAAAATATCCAAAACAGAACCAAGAAGACGTGTAAATGCTTTCTTTCCAAGTGTAGCGCATTTAAGTTTACCATTAGCAATTACAGTTGCAGCTCTAGGTGCATCATTTAATAAGGCTAATTCTATATACATACAAAAGAAGAAGAAAATATTTATATACAGATTAATTCAAAGCTGTGTGTGTGTGTGTGTGTGGGTGTATATATATATATATATATATATATACATATACACATATACACATATATACATATACATATACATATACATCTATACACATATACATCTATACACATATACATCTATACACATATATATCTATACACATATACATCTATCCATATATACATTTATACATTTATACATGTACGCTTATTATTTTACCTCCAAAATAGGAACCTCTTTCAAGTTGATTTACTTGCTTTAGTACACCATTTATAGTTTTATATACATTGGCTTGACCTGATTCAATAATATAAAATTGATCTCCTATATCACCCTGTTTAATAACTTCTTGTCCATCTTCAAAATAAATGGATTCAAGTGCATCTGCAATTTTATGTTTTTCATAAGATTCTAATGATTTTAACAAGATAACCTCTGATAAAAACTTTTCATACATGCGTCTTTTACGTGATGTATTCTCCATTAAAATTGTACGAAACGTAACACGATCTAATGCCCAAAGAACACAATCTGAAGTTGTAATGATAGTAGCAGCACGTGGTGCATTATACATTAAAGCTAATTCACCAAAACTTCCATTTGTTTCATAATTGGTTACTTTCATACCGTTAATAAAACAGTCCAAGGTACCTGACTCAACTATATAAAAGTAGTCTCCTACTCCCCCCTGTTCGATTATAGTTGTTCCTTTTACAATATGCTTTTCTGTCATAGCATTGATAATATCCAAATATTGATCTTCATCCAAGTTACGAAATAAAAAATTATGTCCAATACTTGTTTTAATACGTATAGCTTGTTCAGCTGTTTTAGGAATAACTACTTTAACAAATTCTTTATTCGTACTAGGTGCCATTGATTCTGCACTAACAGATGTACGTCGACCACGATTATAGTTAGTAGGTGGTAATGAAGGTAAAAGTTCAGTTGAAAATTTATCAAGTTCTTCTTCGTCGTCGTCATCATCATTATCTTCCCCTACCTTTTCTTCTTCACTTAAACTAGTTAAATGAGTATCAGTCCATAAGATATCTCCAAATTTATCTTGTTCTATAAAGCCAGCATCTTCATATAAAGGATGTACTTCACTAGCTTTTCAATATATAAGGGGGAAAAAAAATGAATAACAATTAAAAATTATAAAGAAAATTTACTACTATTACAAGTTTGGATATTATTTTTTCTACGTGCTGCTCGTTGTTCCTCCAATTTACGAAAGAAAAAGTTGGAACAAAACTGAAGTACATCCTTTGGCTGTTCTTTACAATATTCATGATGCAATTCAGTTAAAAGTTGTGTATATTCATCAGTTTGTGGTATGAATTCGAAAGAATGATCATCATTTAACATTGCTAATAATGAAGAGAGAAAGGGAAGGAAGAAAGAAAGAAAGAAAGAAAGAAAGGTGAGTTCTATTTCTTCTTCCGTGCAACAACTGTAATACACCTTTTTTTTTTTTTTTTTTTTGATCCAATTAAAATTTTAAATTAATATGACACAAAAGTGGTGTAAATCAACAATTTCTTATTTTAGTACATCATCAGTTAAAATTTATGATCATCATCAGGCGAATAAGCCTTTTTTTTTAATAGAATTTTTTTTTTTTTTTTTTTTTTTTTTTTACAGTACACACGGTGCCAAATTGCGCCCTTAAAAAAATTTATTATGCATTTACAAATCTCAAACTGCGTGATTTTAATCGGACGAATTGCGTATTTTTGCTTTTCAAATTGTGCTCGTCTGGCTGGATCAAATACAACAGTGAAGAAGCGGTACATACTCTCTGAGCCTCGCTTTATTTCCAGTTTATAGTATTTCTACTTCAAATTCAGAAGATGTTCGTATTTTTTTGGACAAAAATTTAAAATTAATTTTCAGATAGTTTGTTTACAGATGCAAAAAAATGGAACAAAGGAGAAATTAAATGGAGACAGAACGTTAGATGAAATTCAGAAAAAAAAAAAAATAAAAAAATAGTAATAAAACAGTTTACCTTTTGATTCCAATTTTTTTTAAACCTGAAGATAGCGTAAAAGCACTTTTGGATATGATTAAATGTTTTTTCGTCTTCTTCTTTCTTAACTGCAGCTTTTTTAAAAATTCCTTTCAAGTTTTGGGAATCGATTTTTATAAAACGCCACCTCAACCCAGGCTGGGGGAAAATAAACTGAATAGTCTTGTCGTTTTGGCTTTTTCCTTCTTTTCGGACGCTTGAGCAATATTATATGCTTCATATTCGCCTAGTATATACCTAAATATCGGAAGAATTTTGAAAGGCGATTCATTAAGAGTAGCTTTAGTGACAGGAACCGCTGGTATTCTAGTTTTCACTTCTAGGATTAGAGGATTCAGGTAATTTTGGAGACTGGAAGCCGCCTCAGGCTTAAACAAGCTCGGTGTATTCACTGGTATGCTCGACGTTTCAGCTTGTAAGAATACTTCATCATACACGTAGTTATACACCAATTTTTTAATATTGGCAACTTTTAAATCCTAATAGTTCCGATGAATAAAGATATTTCAGATATAGAGTATATATATGTATATATAAAAAAGGCTTATTATTGCTATTGCTTACCGAATATTCTTTGATGACGAAGAATACAAAATAATTGCATATAATGTTTTCAAAGTTTTCAATGTAATAATTGTTCCAATTAACTGCAACTGTTTCACATGCAGTAGCCAGTGATTGTCCGTAATTTTTTAGCTTGTTTTCATCAACAAACAACTGCACATTGGGTATATTTGCTAAATCTGAAAAAGCGTCTGCAAGCCAAGATACATGATTGTATTTTGCCAGTATGTCATGGACTTTTTCTGGGCTGCTTCGAACGGCCATTGTAACTCTGTACCAAAAGTTTTGGTCGAAAATATCACTTGTGACATTTTTAGGGTATTTTAAAATGAAATAGTTGACGAACAACTGCGACTTGAAAAGTGTCTCCCTAACCAAGGACAATATATATTTTTTTTTTTTAATCTTGAGTAAAGCATTTTCTTTGTCCGTATCATCTTGACAGAATTCATTAAATGGTATAGAGAGAGTATATCGGGTATGGTAATTTCCTAGTTTCATTTGCATAACTTTTTTCAAGGTATAATTGTAGTCTCTGCATTTCTTGCTTCTTGCAGGTCTGTGGCCAATTTCATTACAGGAAGCACATTTTAATACTTCAGTTGAAGTGGGAGGAGGCGTTGTAGTCAATGTTTTTCGATGCCTTTTAGACTCAGCTTTATCTTTCTTTATATCCGCATCATCTTTTCTTTTAATACCTTCATTAAATTTATTTTTCAAGTTAATAAGAGTACACCATATACTATCAATCATAAAGACTTGTTTATCTTTCCTGGGCAACTTTGGGGTTTTGCTGCTCTCTGCAATGTTGCTACCTTGAATGCTTTCTAGTTTTGCAAGCTTTTTTGCTGCAATGAGTATTTCGGCTTCAGGATATATGGGTGTACGTGTCATTAATAAAAGAAAGATAAAAAAAAATAAAAGACAAACAGAAAAAGAGAGAGGAAGAAATAGTATAGCAAAAATTCAGTACATAATTATCGATCTGGCATCCAATACAATAGGATTAAGATATAATATATCGAAGATCACATCACAAAATTATCACTAAAGATGTCTTGCTTATTAGTTATATAATCCAAGCGCAGACTATCTACTTATTTGTGTTCCTCTTAGACTGACAGATATGAACATGTCAGTTTAAAGAGACAAAGAGATCTCGTGTCCTTTTTTTTTTGCTCCCAAGGTTTGATATAGGTATAATCAAAAAATAAGTTTTGAGTCCCACTCTTACATTGTGTAGTGCTATAATGGTACGAATGCTCGAGAAGCTGACTGTTTTTTTAAGAATCCACCCCTAAATCGAAAAAAAAAATCCTTAAATTTGCTCAGCGAAGTCGTAAATTGGTTTCCCATTGTACAATTAAATCAACACCAAAAGATGGACTTTTCTTATAATGCGCTAGCTAAACCTTCTTAAGGTTATTCGCAAGTAGAATCCATGTAAGAGGTAAAAAAAAAAAAGAAAAAAAAAAATAGCCTACGATTGCATTTTAGTTCGTCTAACATTTTGTCTCAATTTAATTTCTCGAGTTCCTTTGTCTCATTTCATCCAAAAAAGGTAAACTAAATATCTGGAAACTAATTTTGATTTGTCCAGAAAAAGAACTAACTTCTTCCTAATCTAAAGTGTAATCCCTATTTCCTCAAATCTTTCAAACTAAGCTAATTCATTTTTTTTTTCTGATAAATTTAAGATTTGATAAAGATAAATGATAAAAGAGAATATTTTTACAGACCGAATATAGACAGTAAAATTATTCAAGTCCCCAAAGCTCTTTATTATAGATGGAAGAAGCAGTCAAAAGTAAAAAAAAAAAAAAAAAAAAAAATTTTTAAAGTAGAGAACATGTCATACACGCTATAAATAATTTTCAAATCTCCCTAATTCATTATTCAGATATATTTTAGCACATGCAAAAAAATATATTACTTTACAAGGGCAGTTTCGTTATTGTCTATTCTAGACTGACGGTATTCTTTATGTCTATATGCATTCAACATTCTTTGTAATGTATTATCTCTAAAGTATTGTTCAGAGTCAGTAACAAGTACGCGTAATGATGATCGTGTGCGAAACACTGCTAAATAGAGTGTCCGTTGATATGAGCAATAGGCTGGCTTTTGAACAATACTCCTTATAGTCAGTCATATCTGAAGCTTTTGTCGTATTATGAGCCTTTAGATTAACAAATTCTCCCCAATGTAAAAGCATGTTATAATACTACCTTAAATTTTTACCTCATGTTGTTCTTTTTTTTTTTTTTTGGCTAGGAAAGAAATGTGCTTTTATTAAGCAACTAGGTATACACGATCCTGATACAACACAACCAGATGAGTGCGATTTGAAAACCAAAATCGCACAATTGAAGATTTATACATGCTCAGCGATTTTTTTAGGGTCCAATTTGGCACTGTATATAAATTCTCCTCCTATAAACACACCATAATGAACCATTTATTAAAAATTGACAACATTTCAAAAAAAACAGAAATATTTATTTTTTTTTTTAAAAAAAAGTTTATTTATTTAATTAAGATAAGGATATCAGAAATCATTATAATAAACACTATAGATTAAAAAAAAAATAAAAGGTTAATATTCTATTACGAGAAAAAAAATGATATAAATTTTTTTTCTTTCTCTATTCAATTTTCAGATTAAAAGTTTCTTTCACCGAGAATCTCAAACTGAGCTGGGTTTAGTAGCAATATGTTTTGTTCATCATTCAAAATTGAATAGTAAAAGAAGAAAGATTTAATAAAAAGTACTTACATTATTCAAATATCCCTTGGAGTCGTATTTTACAAAAGTATAGAAGAAAAACAGAATTAGTATCCTTGTCTTTGGCGTAAATTTATATTTTTTGACACCACAAAAATTTTTTACTGCTTTTTTTTTAAGTCCTATGACTGCTTTTACTTTTATTGTTTGACACAACAACAACCGATTAAAATAGTGGTGGCTTTGACAATTCAGATAATAATAAGGTTATTGGGTTGTCAACAACAATAATAAATAAATAGGATAGCATTATCTTTTTAGCATATTTTATGTATTGGAAAAAAAAAACTTTTATTTTATTTTATTTTTATTTTTATTTTTTTTTTTAAAAAATCACCATTGCTTTATATAAATTAACTCATAATGTTACATTATTAAAAAATAATAATTCTTTTTCCTCTAAATTCTTTACTAGTATAAAGAATGTTTAGTACTATTCTCTTATTACACTGTGTATTGTAATAGTCGAATGTATTTTGAATCTATATAGTTTTTACATGACTGTACCTGAATAGGTCATTATTTTGGAAATAGATGTGCATGTAATTAATAACTTGAAAAAATTATTGCAATTATCAATTGCTTTGATTTTTTGTAGTTTTCCCTCTCCCTCTCTCTCTTTTTTTTTTTTTAAATAAATAAACGTAGATAAATTTCTGTAAAACTACCTATTATTGAAGAAAATAAATTCTATAATACTCGATTGTAAAAAAAAAACAATCCTTCTATTGTTGAAGTAAAAAAATAGAACCTGAAAATTAATCAATGGGTGAACTTTTTTTTTTCTTTCCTTCCTACATGATAATGCTCATTAATACAAAAAGAAAAGAGTCCAGTGAGAAACTAATATGATGCCTATACATATGTTTATTCCTTAAAAATAGATATATGTATATATAGAAAAAAAGCTACAAGTACATCATTTAAGCCTTGTTAGCAGACTTTTGGAATCTGAATCTGGGAGGGGGAAGACGGTTGCGACGATCGACAGCAGAACGAACACGAACAACTCTGGCGTGAATGGCGCAAGAGACACAGTAGTGAAGCTTAACGTACAACTTGGGAATGGTGTATTCCTCGTAGACTGAGGCTTCTTGAAGATCGCGGACAGCAGCAGCTTCAACCATGTTACGAATAGTGAAACGCTTGATAGCCTTATCCTTGGGGCAACAACGGTAACAGTTGATGCAACGAACAAATTTGGTATGGCCACGACCGTGCTTGTTACGTCCGTTATTTCTTCTTTTACAGGTCTATTTATTTATATATGTATATATATTTTTTTTGGGAGGAAAGGATATATACAAATGTATATATATTTTAGTCAAACAATAATAATAATGAAAAAGATTCAATCAATATGCTCATAAATAGGTGTTGTCCAAGAAATAAATGAAAAATAAACGATGACTTTTGGCGATCTTATATACAAAGATTCTTTCATTATATAAAGGTTGACAAAAAAAAATATTTTCTGTGTTCGAAATTGAAATGTCCATAATCTAATTTCTTCCTTTTGCATTGCAAGTTGTGAATCTCATTAACTTATGCTATCCTCTCTCATCCATAAAAAAAAATGATGTCTTGTAATAGTTGTAAATTTTCCATCCATCCATCCATCCATCATTATTGATCATTTATTTCCAAGACTTTTTCCTCCCTTTTTTATATGCATATCTGTATCTATATGTATATAGATAATAATTTAAATATAGTCATGAACTTACCATACTATATAATCGAGAGAGAGAATCCCCTATTAGGGATTGACTTTAGGATATTAAGCACTTCGAGCTGAGATTAAAATATTTATCTGTTTTTTTTTTTTTTTTTTTTTTTTTTTTTTTTTTTATCCATTATTAGTGTTATAAAGGAATCACAAATGAATTATGTTATCATTTAATGTAATTCTGAGTGTAGTGCTTAATATAATAACTTAAAAACAAAAACAAATATTATTACTTTTTTTTGTTGATATTTTTTATATCCTGGATAAAAGGAATGAAGATAACTTCTTATTGACTACCATCATAGTGTTTCACTTGTCTAAGCTTGGTTTTTCAAAACCAGAGAGAGGAAAGCCTTATTATGACAAAGAACAAGGTCAATTGAATTACTTGGGGAAAAAAAAAATCTTATTGCATCGAATGCAAATTTCTTTTGTTTATTTTTAATTATTTATTTATGAAAAGAAAAGAACTCTAAAGGGAATAATGTAACTTGTTTTGGTTTTCTTTTTTTTTTTTTTTTTTTTTTTTTTTTTTTTTTTTTTTCTATAAAGATTGATCTTTCTTGGCAGTTGCAATGGCTAATAATTCATTATATTCGCCTGAACGCAAACACATTTGTTGAAAGATACCACCTTCTCTAGTCATTAAATTATAAGGTGTATCAAACTCTTTCACTTCTCCATGGTCCAAGACTAAGATACGATCATAATCAGCCACAGTACGAATACGATGAGCGATACAGAGTAAAGCAGAGTTTGTAAACTCGGTTCGAATTGTTTGCTGAATTTTATGATCTGTATCAAAATCAACGGATGAAGTCGCTTCATCTAAAATGATTAAAGCCGATTTTTTAACCAGTGCACGAGCTAAAGCAATTAATTGTCTTTGACCTTGAGACCAGTTGGATCCATTTTCTGTTACGACTGAATCGAGTGTGATTGCATTCTCTGTTGTAGTGTCTTGGTCATCAATTAAGTGAGAACGTTTCAAAGCCGCCCAAAGTTCGAGATCATCATGTTGATGGAAAGGGTCAAGGTTACTACGAAGTGTTCCTGAAAATAAAACAGGGTCTTGAGGAATGATGGTTAATCGAGAACGAAGTACGTTTAAGCCAATCTTGTGTATATCTACACCATCAATCTTGATCGTCCCACTCGTGGGTTCCATAAAACGGAAAATAGAAAGTGCTAACGTGGACTTACCAGAACCAGTACGTCCAACGATGCCAATCTTTTCACGAGGTTGAACTTGAAAGGATACATTACGAAGTACAGGGGGGTTTTCAGGCGCATATTGCATCACCAAATCTTGAACTTCAACAGAACCGTACTCTGGCCAACTAGAGCGAGGCTCTGTTTCAGGTATCTCTGCAGCTGGTTCCTCTTCAACATCAAGATATTCATGTACACGTTCAATAGCGTTCATGTTCATTTCATTCAATGCATAATTACGCACAACCCATAAAACATGATGTGTAAACATCAATGAATAACTCAAGGAAAGACCTGCTAACCCAGGATCAACCCAGTCACGAGCAAGTACGAGGACAAACCCAGTACAGAAACCGACAAAGGCTCCCAGGACATCAACACGGCAATGCAACCAACGATTCGTAGCCCACATCCATAAAAAGGGGCGATTGTTACTATCGATTTTGTTGTGATTCTCATTTATAAACCTAAATTGAGATCCAAAGGCTCGAATCGTGGCAACACCATTCACGGTTTCATTAAACTGAACATAGATTGGACTACGACTCACAGAATTTAATCGTTTTAGATCGCGAGAGGTACGAAGATAGTAGTTACCAATCGAGACAAACAGAGCGGCAATCACAACACCAGGTACAAGGAAAGTTGGTGTCACACTTGAAATCAAGAGGATCACACATAACGTAGCAACAATTGAATAGATCAAGAAAGAAAGAGAAGGCGCGATCTCTTGATCTACAGTGGCTAAATCAGAAGAAAATCGATTCACAATGCGACCTAAAGGTGTTGTATCATAAAAACGAACTTTGGCTCTCAAGATGCGAGACAATAATTCATGATGGATACGACTGGAAGCATTTAAAGAGCCTCTAAAGAGAATGTAAGTACGTAATGAAGTCATACATAACGCAATGACACCCACAAGGAAATAGATGCCCAAGTAGTAGACGACATCAATCGCATCTTCAGCAGGTTTTATCATCCTATTCATCGTAGTATGGAAAATGGGTGCAGTAGTATATACATTCATCAAGTTATTTTGTCCCATTGTATTTGAAGCAGAGAATAATAATAGACCAAGGTGATCGTCATGGAGGGCATCCTTCTCTGGTCCTTCAGATTCATGACCATATGCAGCCGACCACACTTTAATCCAATAATCTTGACCTAAAACACAAGCTTGTGCAACACAAAACAAAATTAACACAATCGCCCAGAAGAGATAACCTCCAGAGGCATTAATATAGGTCTTGTATACAGACCAAGATACGCCGCCTTCAGCACGCTCCTCCTCTTGGGTTAACTTCCCGCCATGACCATTTATCATATCAGTCGTACTATGGATCGTTTTAGGAACAACCGGGATAGGCCCCTCCACAGCCGTTTCTTCAGTCATAGCCATCTTGGCTTCTTCTGCCTTTGAAAGTTCTTCACCAAGTACACCTGATTTTAAGAGTGACTTGGGTGATCCTGCATCTAGAACTTGACCCTCCTTCAAGACCACCACATAATCAGCACCAGAGATACAGAGTCCAACATGATGAGTGACCAAGATCACTGTACGATGCTTCATTAAATCACCTGTCAAACAATGTTCATATAAATGCTTAGCAGTATGTGCATCTACTGCACTAAGACAATCATCCAAGATAACCGTACTAGCCTGAGAATAGACAGCACGCGCAATAGCTACACGTTGCTTTTGTCCACCACTCAGCGTGATACCCTTTTCGCCGACTTCAGTAGCGTCACCATATTCCAAAATTTCCAAATCACGAGTTAACGCCGTCATGTACAACACATTCTCATACCGTTCTTTATCAAAGGGTAAACCAAACAAGATGTTATCTCGAATACTACAATTTTGCAACCATGCAGTCTGTGCAACATAGGCAATCCCAGAGACGGCGCCACCGAGTGGACTCCTTTGATTAGGGATAACGCGTGGTAAGATAGCCTGACCAGAAAGACAAAAGGTTTCACCTAACAGACTTGCAATTAAAGACGTTTTACCAGACCCAGTGGGACCACAGACGATAGAAAGTTTACCTACTGGGAAGTTCAAGTTTAAGTTTTTAATAGCAGCTTTAGCATGATCCCCATCACGAGGACGTTCCCAACTAAAGGAGGCATTGTTGATAAAGCCAATAACAACGCCGCTTTGAGAGGCCTCTGCGTTTCTTTGTGTAGGGAGCTCAACTTCATCTTCAGCTAAAAACTTTTCTACACGTTTAATAGAAACGTTGGATTGAATTAAAAAGGACATCAAGAGAGGAAATTCATCAAGGGCAGCACGGAAGGTATTAAAGAGAGCTAAAGCAGTAAAAGCGACAGAGGCAGTCAATGGGTTATCTTGAGTGTAAACGTAAAAGGTTGTCACCATGATTAAGATAGGAATAAAAAACCAAGCATTCACCATCCACATAAACGTCATTAAACGAGAACGAATAGCACTTAATTCATTCTCTCTAGCTTCAATAATACGTTTCTTGAATTCACTTTCCCAAGCAAAAAATTTAACGATACGAATAGCAGACAAAAGTTCATTCATCAATTTTAGACGTTTATCAGTAGCCGACATGACAGAGGTGTGAAGCCTTTCAAAACGAGAGCCAATATAATAAGTGATAGGCTGACAACTTATCATGACCAAAACACCCCATAATGCAGCATTGCCAAGAAGCTTATATAACCCCCAAATACTGAAAATAATTTGAAGAGGATAGCAATAGATATAAAAAATATAAGCAATACATTCAGCTACCTTTTGAGCATCCACAGATAGTAAATTATTCACATTACCCATCGTTTCCTTTCTAGTCTCTTCCTCCAGACTAGAGGCAACATCAGGAGAGCCACTATCATCACGACGACGAAGTGATTTTGAGAAAACTTCACCAATAATAATAGATTGAACACGAATACCTAAAGTACGACCGATATAAAGACCTTGCTGAAGTAACAAAGATTGAGCAGAATTAGTGACAAACAAACCAAGAACATACAAGAAAGCAGTTGTGACAGGTTCATCCTTTGGACTTTCAATATATCTAACAATTTTGTTCAAGTAAAAAGGAGGACCAAAGACAAGTACAGTCCAGCCTAAACAATAGAGAGTTTGAAAGAATAATGGCCAACGGAATGTCTTAACGAGTGTAGCCTTTATATTAGAAGAAGATTTATTGTTATTATAATCCAAAAGTGTATATTTAGCTCTATTGTCAGTAGGTAATTCAATTAAATCTGCATCATCCAAAGTACGATTATATCCTTCCTTCATCATCACATTCACCCAACTAAACATAAATTTTGAATAAAGGGAAGCCCAATTTTCACCAGACATAATACGACCCTTATAACAAAAGGAAAATTTTACATTCATATCCACTATTGTTTTTTTTTAACACTTTGTTGTATAAATGCTTACCTCTTTAGTAACCACTGGCTTTGAAGGAGCGAGTCGAGTTTCATTAATGATAATCAAGAGTAATAAAAGATCAATAAAACCTGTCAGGAGAGATAATGGATATCCTGTACCCGCATTTTGACCCAAGAGATAATATGATCTTTCATCAATAAGAGTGACAAAAAAGTCTATCAAATATAGCCAATTAAGATGGTTGCAAATCTTATTAGATAATTCATTGAAGCTGACAGATAAATAAATATTGACAATCGACAAAACAAGTGAATAAGTCTAGTATTATATATATATTATTATTATTAGACTCTAAGTAGATGCATATACATATATGAATATGCATATACATCACTATTTTTTTTTTTTTTTTTTTTACATACCCAAAATCCTATACGTATTATGTAAGCAAACAATAGATTAAATTTGTGACCTTCGTTTGGAGAAAATTTATATTGATGAACATTAATTTCATAAACAGCAAATAAAAACAAACTCAATTGTACAATAGCCAAAGCCAATCTTGACCAATTAAAAATTGTCCAACGAGAAGTCTTAATCTTAATGTCTGTGTTTTCAGAAATCGAATATTCGTCGCACACATTATCACCTAAAGCGCCGTAATTACTATGATTTGAGCTTGTTGTAATAGGCAATTTATTAAGAAGAGGGGCATAGCCCATGGAATAGGATTTATAATATTTTACACTAGCGATAGTCAAGACGATAAATGACCAAGCTAGAATTACAATGAGAAACATTCCATCAATGATTCTAATGGATGCGATTAGTTTTATTATTTTTTAAAAAAACTGTTTTAAAGAGCCAACTTACATTTCCCTAAAGCAGGGAACAAAATCATCGTTTATCCACAGTTGCTATTACCCAAAAAAAGAATTGAGATCGATTTATTCAAAGATAAGATGTACATATATAAAAAAGACTTACGGATAAACTACAATGAAGATATTTCATAATATCAAACAAAAAATGAAATAAAATAAAAAAAAAGCAGAAAAATAAATAAAAAGTACACTAGATTTGTACTTTATTATCGCCGACACTGCTGTTGCTGCTGCTGCTGTTCAAGTAATCAAAGACAGATTTTCTACATGTTACTTTTTATGTCCATTTTTACCCTTTTTGGCCAGAAGGAAGTCTTTTATTTATTTGTTGAGAACAATAGTAATAATGTTTAATAATAGTCTTTTTTTTTTTTTTTTTTTTTTTTTTTTTTTTTTTTTGTATATCATATTACACTTCTTGTACATGTATAAAGTTGTACCAAGGAGGAAGTACTATTTTTTTTCTTTTCACCATAAAGAATGAATTGCATTTTTTGGACCGCCTATTTTAGAGGAATATTTACAATGATAGCAAATATCAACAAATCTTTGACAGCAATCATCTTGACCATTCATTCTACTCAATAAAATTTCAACACATCTGACTGCTTCAGTAACATCTTGATCTTCAGCTTTTCCAATAAAAGTTGAAGTTATGTAATGAGTAGCTAAATGAATTAAACTATTTGTATTATAAACATCTATTCCTACACTGTCTTTAGCTAATTCAGCAAGATATAAAATAGCTTGCATATTAAAAACTAAATAATGGAGAGGTTTCGCACGGTTTGATTCCAATGGTTGATTACCGGTCTTGAGATCAACTTGTTCAGGCAATGCTTCATTAAAGAATTTTAAAATAAGATTGGGTACGCGAGGAGATACTGGATTTAAAAAATATTCTATTGAAGTCAATTGTACCATGTACCATGTATAAATGTTATTTTTAGCATTTGCGGCTTTCAAAGCAAGTGGACTTGATGTAAGCCAAGAGAGATACGAATTAAACCAATGAATTATATCTTGTTTTAATAGATAATAACCATTAAATGTTTCCAAAAGAGGTAAGATATTGACAATACGAGCAAGTCTATATATTATATTATCAAGTCATTATCCTGTGTGTATGTGTATATGTATGTATGTATGTATGTGTGTGTGTGTGTGTGTGTGTGTGTGTGTGTGTGTGTGTGTATGTGTGTATATATTGGAATTATAATTTACTACTATCACTTTACGTTCTAGAGCTTATGACGCCTTCTTTTCTCCCTATTTTAGGTGTATTTTGTGGACCTCTGATGAGTTGAACATAATTAAGATTTGGGTTCATACGAGTTTTTTCATTTATAAAGAATGTATCTAATAAAGATACAGCATGGATAGCATAATTTTCATTGTTAAAAAAATAATAACCCATTGATAAAAATGTTACATTTTCCGCAAGAAGTTCTAATTGTGATTGATCCTCTACGGCTCCTATGTCTTGATAAACAAAGAATAAGAATAAGCGCAATACAATAAAAAAAAATACAATTTACCTGGATTTCTTTTACCATCTTTCCTGATATATTTACTATTTGGATCATTTGGATTCTCCTAGTTTTATACATAAATAATAATAATAAGAATGAAGAATCAAGAATCATACTTACGGGCCACCAATAACTAATTTAAATAGAGTTAATATTACACTAATGTCGTTTTCAAATATGCATGTACATTACGGTGCATAACTAAGAAAATCACGGATATCACCAGATGGGGCAATATGAGGTTCCTTTTTTCCAAATGTAACACTAAATGGCCCACTCTTTAAAGCATTATTTGCGAGTCTTTTGAGACAACTATACGCCTCCTTTGTTGTATCATCAGGTCCTTTTTGTTTTTGTAATTGTAACTTTTTAAGTGAAATATATTCTATTTCTGGCTTTCTTGGGCCCATATTATTGATAATAAAAAAATAAAATAAAATAAAATAAATAAAAAATAGAGAAAATTCATTTTTTTTTTTTTTTTTTTTTTTTTTTTTTTTTTTTTTGAGTCAATTCTTGTTAAAATTAGGTTTTATTTTTTTGTAATAATGAAATAAAATAACATCATTCTTCTATTTTATAAATAGAAGACAAAGAGAATTAAACTCTAACTTAACTCAAATAGTTAGTTGGAAGCCTATTTATTTACTTTGTGTTTATTAAATGACTTTTATAAAGTACGTTTTAGTGGAAAAATGTACTCCTATTTTTATATGTTTGACAGTAATTGATAAACTTCTTCTGTTTTATTTTATTGTCGAAATATGTAATACTAGTCAATCTTTAGTTATAGTAAACTAAAGCCGTCAGAACGACAAGGGCTTCCTTTTTATTCTATTCTATTTTATTTTATTCTATTTTATTTTATCTTCCTTTCTATATAAACTAACAAAGAAATGAATAAATCAAAAAGAAAGACATAATGAAATTTGAATGATTTGCGTAACCATCAGCTCCTTTCCTTTCTTTCTCTCCCCCTTGATTTCTTCTGGTTAATTTTCATTGTTATTCATAAATATAAGTAGGCAACTTCTTTACTTTCTTTACTCCTTTTCACTTATGAATACTTGAATATGACAGTGCTTTTATTCGTAAATGAATTTCAAACAATTCGGTCAAAATCAAGGAAATCTCATTTAAATAATAGTTCAAGCAAGCTAAGATCAAGAAAGGCACCTAGACCTCGCAATTCGTTTATTTTATATAGACAAGAAAAACAAAAAAGTGTTACAATTTCAACCATGAAGTTACACAGTAAGGATCTTTCGAAGATATTTGCGGAAATGTGGAAAAATGAGAAAGAGGAAGTACGGATGAAGTATGAAAGGATGGCTGAGGAAGAAAAATTAATGCATGGTATGCTCTATCCAAAGTACAAGTATAGGCCCAAGCAAAGAAAGAAGTCTTTGCTGCTTTCAGACAAGTGTCCAGAGCTGGAAAAGAAAGAAAAGAACGAACTTCTTCATGAAGAAAACTTACCTATAAAAGACAATCCTAACACTTGGACTCACCAAAATGAAGAGCAGAAAAATATATACAATGGAAACCATTTTGAATTATCAGTAGAACTTTTTGACTATATAGATGCCATACCGCCATCAACACCACCTTCGAATATGGTGGACGAATTTCAGTTATTCCCCAACGGCTCGAAACTAGATTACCTTTCATTTAAAGATTATGAACTTTACACTCTTGTGTCCTTACTAACCTAACTTAATAAAACCCTTTTCTTTTCCTTTTTTTTTTTTTTTTTTTTTTTTTTTTTTTTTATGTATGTATATATATTATATAAGCTAAATGCAAGTTTAATTATACAAAGAGTCTTTTCGATATGTTCTCTTTAAGATTTTTTTTTTATCTAAGGCTTGATTACTTTAAATGGTTTTGTTAAAAAGGGATTGCAGTACACTTGAAGATATTTTTTTTTTCTTTTTCCTCTGACTAAAAAATAGAATAAATTATTATCTTTATTTTTTTTTTCTCCTTTCTTTTGACACTTGACGCAAACATTACAAAAATATTAATGCCTCCTAAGAAAGGGAAATCTCGTCAACATTGGAATAAAGTCGACTGGGATTCAGCATTGTAAATAAGTTACAATTAATCTTTGTTATGTTATTAATTAAACTTTTTCCTCTTCTCTCTTTCTCTCTCTTCCTTTCTTTAAATATATACATATATATATATCAGCTCAACAAGTCCTACAGTTGTTAATGCTACTCTTAATTCTTTCACAAACGAATTTGAAGTCACTCAACCAAAGCCAACTAGATCTAACTTTGATTTTAGTAGTCCTGATCACTCACAGACCTGGATTTATAATGATCAACAAGGTTGGAATACAGCACCAACAAATGCTTTGAATGAATGGTCAACTGAAACGTTCGATGAGAATGTGAATCAAGATGTTCATCCTGGAAGATTTAGTACAAAGGATACTTCAACTGCTACTTTCCGCTTAAATATGGAAATTGAGGATGATCCTGTCTTTACAAAAGTCGTCGATTATACTTCCTTTCGTACACAAACTATTATTCCAGAATATGACGACATTCTTATAGCTGATGAGTTAAAAGATCCTGAAGAATGGGAAAATCGTCACTATAGAGATCCTTTACCTGGAATACCTATCAATCATGTTAAATCTCCTTATGATAGTACGGATCAGTATTTATATACTCATTTTGAGCTGATGCGTCAAGATTTTCTTATTCCTCTTCAAAAGGCAGTAAAAGCTTATAAAGAAACATTGAACAGTATAAAGAGTGATGATGTTGGTGAAGCAATGGAAATCTTATCTTTTCAAAAGCCATTCCGTTTATATGAACATGTACTAATAATGAATAACTTGGCCTATATATATATATATATATATATATATATAGAGTATGTGTGTATATGAGAGAGCTAACATTCTTATTTACGTAAGGTACATTTAAACGCTATTGTTTTTGGGAATCGACATCCTTTGTATAGAATCAGCTTTCGATTACCTTATTATGTACGCGTGGATTGGACTCAGTCAAAACGTTTGATGCCAGGTTCATTGGTTTTGTTATCAAAAGATAACTTTGAAAAGGATTTAAAAATCGCTACTATCATTGAAAGAGGTGATAAGCCTATGCGTGGTCCAAATAGATTTGAATACATGGTAGATTTGTATTTAGAGAGAGATAATGAATTTGAGCCATTAGGATTTGGTGACCCTAGTCTATCTAATGATGATACTTATGTCATGCTTGAAGCAACTGATGGCTATTTTGAAGCTTATCGTCATGTCCTTAATGTATTCCAAAAGATCGATCCAGATAATTTACCCTTTTCACACTATTTGGTAAAGCTATCTAATAATGTTCTAGTTCCTCATTATGCAGCAAGAAAGAGAATATATGATATCAATCCTCAACCCAACAGTAGAAATAAAGAACGTTGGACAGTAGACATCATGGAGGATTGGCCTATTTATAAAATGGGAATGGATAAAACTCAACTAGATGCATTGAAAACGATTTTATCCAATAATTTATCAATTGTTCAAGGTTAAATATTTACAATTTGAATTATATTTATATATAAAAGAGGAAAGAGAGAATGTTATCTAATTTTATATCTTAGGTCCTCCTGGTACTGGTAAAACCTTTGTTGGTACGTATGCTATGCGTGTCCTTTTAAATAATTTTAGTCAATCTTTGGGTCCTATCATATGTATCTGTCAAACAAATCATGGTAAATATTTATATATTCTCTCTCTCTCTCTCTTTCTTTCTATTTGATTTAATATGCCTCATTTAATACTATAGCATTGGACCAATTCTTGGAACATATCCTTGATCATTGTGATTCAATTGTTCGCGTTGGAGGTCGATCTAAATCAGAGAGATTAAAGGAACGTACGTTATATGAACTTAAAAAGGTACATGAGCGACCTCGAGGTATCGGTCGTTTATATCGTAATCGAGACAACATTGCAAAGGACATAAGAGAAACAATCATTGAATTATATGAAGAACCCTGTGTGACAATCGAGTTTATCAGCTCTATCAAAGCTTTAAGGCCTCGACAAATTGAAAGTTTAAAGAGAATGAGTGAACGAGAAAAGGATAGAATTATTCCTTCTAATTTATTAGGAAGCTTTGATATAGATGATAATGATTCTGACGACGATTGGGAGATTAGTTCTGATATACCCACTACATCAGCGAGAAATAATAAAAAACCTACTGTTACTTCAAAGGACAAGAAAGTTAAAAAATCAGCTTATAACGATTGGGCAGGTGGAAATCCAAACCTAGATAATGAATTGAAAAAGAAATCCCCTAACCCCGTTGAAATTTGGTTAAGAGAGGCCATTGATTATGTGGATGATAATGGAGAAATGTCTACCGTTAGCGATGAAATAAAGCAGAATTTTTTAGAACAAGAAAAGGGATTAGTATTTACAGACATTATAGATGAAAGAGAATTGATTGAAAAAGATGAATTAGAGGACGTCATAGGAGGCTTCCGTGGAGATGATATTGACATGAAGGAGAATAAAAACCCATTTATTCAGATTGGCAGATCCTATAAAAGACAAACTGAACCTGAATTGGGTGAACGTCCAGAAAGGAAGATTGTTAACTATAAAAAAATGAAAACAACTCATGTCCTTCACACTCAACAGTTTAATTTCTTTGAGGATAGTATTGATGAATTAACCTTGGAAGAGGAAAATACCAAGTATTCTCTGGAAAGATGGATGAAAGAAGACGATCTCAGTATGTGGCCTTTACCAGTTCGCTTAAAAGCCCATAAAAAATGGATTGATCAACGGAACGCCATCTTGGAAGACAAATTGAATTCAATGATGAAACAATATCATCATATTTCTACAGAAATTCGTAAAGTAATGGCGAATTTCGAAGCTAAAATTTGTAGGGAAAATCGAGTTGTGGGCATGACTAGTACTGCAGCTGTAAGTATCAATTGAAATTTATTTTATACATGAAATACTAATTATATACATTTATGTAAAGGCAAAATATCATGACTTATTAGAAGAAATACGCCCAAGAGTTATGGTTGTTGAAGAAGCAGCAGAAATGTTGGAGTCACATATTATTTCTGCCTTAACAGATTCATTAGAACATCTGATTTTGATTGGGTGAGTTAGATAAAGAAAAAAAAAAAAAGAAATATTATATTCTAAAATTAAATCATTAGTGATCACCAACAGTTGAGACCTTCAACTGCTGTGCATGAATTATCAGACAATCATGCCTTGGGAGTTTCTCTTTTTGAGCGTCTAGTCATTAATCAATTTCCTTTTACAAGACTTTCGCATCAACGACGTATGCGACCTGAAATTCGTTCACTTATTGATCCTATTTATAAAAATCCTCCTCTAAATGATCATCCTAACGTATTAACCTTCCCACCTATCCGTGGTATGGAACAATCTGTATTCTTTTTAGCTCATGAAGAAGAAGAGACTTGCATGAGAGATTCTGCTTCAAAGATGAATGAACATGAAGCCAAATTGACTGCTAAATTATCTACGTATTTATTACTTCAAGGTTATAGTACAGATGAAATAACAATTATTACCATGTATTCTGGACAAAAACAAATGATTAAAAAGGCGCTCCGGGATGAAAGACGACCCGACATTGATCCAGAGCTTATTAATATAAGCAGTGTAGATGGTTATCAAGGCGAGGAAAACAAGATTATTATCTTATCACTTGTTCGTAGTAACTCAATTGGACAGATTGGTTTCTTAAAAGTTGCAAATCGTGTCTGTGTTGCCCTATCAAGAGCTCAACATGTAAGTTGCAAGTATTATATATAGATAGATATGATATATAATATCCATACTTTTATATTTGTATTTAGGGTATGTATATTCTAGGTAATGCAAGGCTATTGTGTGAAAAAAGTGATCTCTGGAATGAAATTGTTGGAAATCTTGAAGATAGAAATGAGAATATGATTGGCACTAAGCTCACATTAAGATGCTCTAAACATAACGAAAAGACAGAAATAAAATGGCCTGTTGATTTTACAGAAGTATCAGAAGGAGGTTGTAGAAAAATGTGTAATGAAATACTACCATGTGGACATAAAGTATGTATTATATATGCATATATATATGTATATATGTGTGTGTGTGTTTGTGTTTGTGTTTGTATTTTACTAACTCTTGTAAAGTGTACCTTAAAATGTCATCCTTATGACCATAGCGATTATAGATGTAAACAAATTTGTGAAAAAATACTTGACTGTAAACATAGCTGTATGCGTCGTTGTTCTGAGCCATGTAGCCCATGTATTAAAAGAATAAGTGTTCGCCTCCCATGTGGACATACTATTGACTGGGAATGTGGAGAAATTCGTCGTCTTGTCTTGGCACCACAAGGCCAGACTTGCCCTGTGTGTAAAGCACCTTTATCGACAAAATAAAAAAAAAATAAATAAAATAAAATCAAATAAGCTTGCATACATATGATATAAATTTGCACTACTCAAAAGGGAAATAAAATAAACTATTTATTTGATTGGCAGTATCGATATTTTCATTATACTTGCATAAGAAAATATGTAAGTGATACAAATCAAGTTCACCAAAAAAGTCATATTATAAATATGCATCTCTCATATGAGTAGACACATGCATTCATCTATTCAACATAAGTTAATAGTAGAAATACATATTTTTTTTTTAAAAAAAAAGTGTATTTTTGCAGTATAAAATAATAGTATGTTCGTAGCTGCATTCATTTTTTTTTTCCTGTCCAAACATATTACAGATTTTGAAGTTTATAATGTTGTTTTAGTCTTTATAAAGATACCATTTTACACTTCTACATATCTCTGGAGCTTTTTAAGAGAAAGTAGTTAAAGTCACTGCAATGACTTTAACTGTATAATCATCTATTTTCTATTGAAATAAACATGCAAATATATATTCTTGTCAAATTAATTTCAATTTATATAAGCTTTGTTTTCTATAATAATAATAATAAACTACTTCCAGCCGAATCATAGACTTCTTCATCGTACTATTCTGCTTGGGTTCTAGTGTAACGTTTTTAGTAGCTTCTGAGGATAGTATGCCCATAAGAATATAAATGTAATCTAATAATTTTTTCTTTTTTTTTTCTTTTCTGTAATAATTTCATCAAATTCACTTTTATTTAATTTATCCAGTTAATAAAGTTCTCTGTATTTAGTAACAAAAAGGAAATTGTATTACATTCATTGACATACACATACACAGAAAGTGTCAATTCTGTGCAATATTATAAATTTTGTTCAAGTAAGGACAATGCTAGATTTTCCCGTGATCATTGTCTTTTATAATACTGCTTTATTCTTATGACGGGAAAAGAGAACATTAGAATATATTAGGATTCAGTCTAATAGCGCATACTGTCTGATTCATCTACAAGCTTATTCCTGTTATATTTTCTATTTTAGCAAAGAGAAAGTAGTATTCATTATAGCCGAACAGAAGACTTTATTTGTTACTGTCCTAGTATCCACAGTAATTGTCCTTTTTTTTTCTTGGATTTTGAACTATCTCAACAATTGCAATAATTGACAATCCCTTTGGTGTTGTTTCTCTTGACAATCAAATATGTATATATATGTATTTATATATATATATATATATATTTACTTACAATATATAGAAATCATGTTGAAGAAAGTTTGTTTTCGATATAACATTATTATTCCATATTTCTTTTCTCCTGTCTAATGCTCAGGGGGGTTGGGTTTTTTTTTATGCTAAACACAAAAACCAAAAAAAAAGGCCCCCCCCAATTTTCCTTATACATATCTATTCTTTAGTCTCGACGGGATTTTAAATAATTTTTTTTTTTTTTTTTTTTTTTTGAAAAACAGCTTAGCTTTCTCTACAAGAGAAAAAAAAAAACAAGGTATTTCTTTCTTTTTTTTTTTTGGAATCTAGTCTTGTCTTCTTTTCTTATTTGTTATTATAAATGCAAACAGTGAATGGTGTTCCTGTTTTTATTACAAATCCACATTTAGAATACTTTGGTTTAGACGAAGAACCCACATGGTTTAGTGCTCAAGGTGGTGTTTACAAATGTGTTAATCGTGTTTCAAAAGAAAATGTGGCTATCAAAAAATATTTAGTAGAAGAGAACATACATGAAGATATGTTTGTCATGCCTAAAGAACTCGTAGAGAATGAAATATATTCAATGACTAAATGTGTACATCCAAACATTTTAAAATTACTTGCAGTTCATTTGTATGAAGAATTTGTTTATTTGATTATGCCACTTTGTACCGGAGGTTCATTGCAGCAATATACATTCGAGCATCAAGTTACAATCGGTCAACTTGTCTACATTATTAAATCGGTAACCATGTTTAATATAATAACCTTTTCTAATACAACTCATCATTGTGTAATTAGATCGCTTCAGGGCTTGCAAAAATTCATTCATATGGTTACATACATAGAGACATTAAATGTGACAATATTTTCTTAAATCAAGAGGACAATAGTATTGTTATAGGTAAGACTTGATTATCTAATAAATACCTTTTTGTACCACATATCCTTTTCTTTTATTGTAATAAAATAAAAAATTATTTTATTTAGGTGATTTTGGTGTGGTTTCTATTTCATCTGTGGCAGATTCAAGTGTAGAAGAAGCTGGAGTTGTCTTATTTTGGTCACCTGAACTAGTACAGCAAAAAATTGTAAACTATAAAATTGATATATGGGCACTTGGAATTGTTATATTAGAGATTTTGAATGGTGGAAGTGCGCCTTATGAAGATGAAGGATTAGATGAAGAGGAGGTAAGTTATATATATATATTCATGTAATAAACACTTTTCTTACTCAATTATATCAAGATTAAGCAAAGAATTTTGGATAATGGCAGGCCAGAATATCCATCAAATATACCAGCTTCTCTTGCTGACTTACTAGATCATTGTCTAGATCCAGATCCACACACAAGATTAACAGCTAATTATGTGTTAGAGGTATTTTTTGAATCATTGTGGATTTTGTCTAGCTTCATATTTATAGACTCTAATTATTTACCCTATTATTATATAGCATCCTTTTTTACAAGAGTATGAACCTGAATTATTATTTCCTGCAGCTCAATTCAATTATGATGTATCTTCACAACCTGAGTCAGACCTACAAAGCATAATGCATGATGATACTACATTGAATTATAAATTTGACTCGAGTATAGAAATGAGAAATAGGTCATCTTCCCCTACTATAAACACGAAAACTACTACCTACAGCAATAAAATGCATGCTGTGCAGTCTCCATTCTCCTCCAGAAATATCAAATGCCGTCTTCCTCTTCCATCATTTACTATGGATAAAAGCTTAGTAGCAGCTACACCAGTAAGGGAGAAGATTATAAATGTAATATGTAGGCGTCAGTCTATGACGGATGCTAGTCGTAATCAAGGCTCAAGGATTCCCGTATTATCTACTTTACATCCACTATTAGAAGAGCTTATTGTAGAGTATAAAAAGGAAAAAATAGAGACCAGTCGATTATCAATGCAAAGAAAAGCCAACCCAATAAATGCAAGAAAAATAAATCAAGGAGAAAAAACAAGATTATCAACAAATAACAATAATAATAGCAACGAGAATATGAAATCAAAAAATATGACCAAACCTAAAGGTCAATTAAAATTACCTTCTACTAATATGATTACAAATGTCGAAAAAATACCAATCAAATATGCTGATATAAAAACAAATATACCAAAGCCCAAAATCGTTACGAATATATCTTTAAAGAACACCATGTATCAAAAACGACTCCCGATCAGCAATAATGAAAGCCGTACAGCTAGATTATCAATGGGATTAAGTGCCAATGGTGCTAGAAAACTTTTTAAAAGTAAAGCAGAACAAGAATCTAACAGCTCATCATTAGAACACCGAGCAGAAAAAATGATACGCGCCAATATGATAAAGGAATCAGTAAGTTCAATTCATCTTAGTAAAAAACGCCCCGTCTCTTTTACTTCTTTTTCAGCCTCAAACAAACATTATTCGGATTTAAGAGTATCATCTATTCGAACTATACCCCACTATACATCTTCATCTCTTAAAATGATAGTCGAAGATAGTAAATCAAAAAGACAATCGGTACCAGCATCATCTAAAATATCAAACAAGAATCAAAAGCACTCTAACAAGAAGCCTAGTAATAATAGTAAAGATAGTGACCATTCTCTTAAAAATAATAATATAAAAGCGCTTCGCGTTCATTAACAAACAAAAAAAAAATGTATATATTTATTGGTTTTTTTTTTTTATTTTTGCGCATTCTTTACAATTATTCATGTATATACTGAAGCTGTTATATGTATGTAGTTTAGACTGAGTAATATGAGTTTATTTTGACGATTACCGTAAGGTATGATAGATTAGCAAAAGTAAAGTATAGTATACATACATGTATATATACTATGGATTTTTTTTTTTTTTTTTTTTTTTTTTTTTTTTTTTGTATTCTATAGAATATTACAATCTTTTCAGATCTCCAGTCTTCGATACTATTACTTATTAAATAATTGAGCCGGTTAGATCGATTAAGAAAGAAGAAGAAAAAAAAATAATAATAAAGCCTATGAGAGCTTGACATATACATATAAATATATAATTTAGAATCAAGCTTCAAATTCAAAGCCCCTTTTTTTTTTCTCTTTCTTTTAATCTAATCTATTTACTAGGAATGGATTATTAGCAGCATCTTTATTAAAAATATACGTATTTATATATATTTTTGTGGTAAACTATACATGTAGTAATATTCGTTTGTTTGTTTGTTTTTTTCTTCAAAAGTAGATTATATAATGTGATACAGTTTCGTTTAATTATTTTCTAGAACCACTTGGAGAGTATAAACTAAATGTAACACATTAAATGCCGCTGCTTTACACGATTTTGAGTCCACTACAAACTCAAAATGAATTGACGATGTGATGAAGTATCAAAGACTGTAGTTGTCTAAACAAACAAACAACGAAAAGAAGAAGAAGAAAATAATGTTTTCCATTTATTAACCCTTAGAAATAAACATAAGCACACGGGTTGGAATAATTCAACCATTTTTGTTCTTTGTAACTAAACAGTCTTACAAAAGTGCTTTTGCCAATCTATCACGCCTCACGACAATCGTCAAATGAACCCCATATTGTTCAGTTCCAAACATAAAAGAATGAACATACAAAAGTAAAAATTATAAATATGGACACAAAAATAGAGAAATATGGGGAGGGGGTATGTAAAGGAAAAAAAAAAAAAGAAGCCTAATGCGTGAATTCATTGTATACATATTGTATATGATATAGAATATTCAAGTATAGAGCATATTCATGTATCGTTTATTATATACATATGCAAAATTACTTAATCAAGCTCATCCAATACATCTAATGATATATTACTTTTCAATATACCATGCCAACACATAAAAGGTTTTGTTGCAAGTTCTTTCATACTATAAGATGTTTCTCGAGGATACCAATCTTCAGGAAATCTTTCATGTAATAAAAATGATTGTAAATGAGGAACCGTGATATGACCATCGCGGCCAATAATATCCATCAATAAAGAACATTCTGTACTCATTGCAAACTAAAGCAAAAAGAAGGAGAAAAAAAAAAAGGCTAAATGATATAATACATGCATATTATAGCGTAATTTGTAAGGATGATAGATTACCTGTGTGAAGAACTTTAAATGCATAAACTTATTATCCCTAAAGGTTTCTTTCCATCTTAATTTTCTTAAATCGTTTTCGTCCTTACGAGTAAAGATATCTTTGGGTGTAGTGTCCTTATTGGCGTATTCAGTATATTTAACTATCCTATATACAAATTTTGGATCTGGATATGAGGTATTATATGGTTTCCGAGTTAAATCATGTCTTGTAAGTGAAGCATCATGCTCAATGAGACCTGGAATTGTTAAGCGATCCAGGTCGAGAGTAGACAAAGGACCAAACTGCGATAGAAATGATGCATTAGGGTCAACTTCCTTATATGTTGAGTAAACATATTTCAAAAAGAAGTCTGTGACGATGGGTGGAGCTCCCATTAACATCAAGGCATCAAAGAAATCATTAAGTTTGATATTACGGCCATCTCGGGAGATAAAACCATGATTAGCAAGTGTATTTACCATAGGACAAGGGGATCTGGCGTATGACTCCTCTCGTTTATAAGGATGCTTTTCAAGTAGTTCTTTCCATTCTTCTGGTGTTTTCAATGCTCGACGGCCTTTAATCTCAACAACAATGACATAGAAGACAACGAAACAGGCAATTACACCTAAAATGGTAGAAAGTATAACTCCTTTGATTTTATTTTGCTGCAAAATAAAAATTGGAGACTTTATCTTTTCAGATTTCGGCATTATTATAAATAATAATAATAATAATAATAAAAAAAAAAGAAAACGAAAAAAAAGAAAACGAAAAAAAAAAAAAAAAAAAAAATGCATCAAAACGAAATTTCTTTTATAGATGATTTGACTTTTAATTTGTCACACGTCTCTTTTAGTATTTGTTTATATTGGGTAGCTTACAAATAACACCAAAAAGGATCATTTATTTTGATAAATATTTTATTTTATATACATTATAACATGTTTCTTTCTATAAAATGTATTGACGTAATAATAATCTAGTCTATCAAGTCTATTATTCTTGCTTTCTCCATCCGCATTCAACATTAGGATCTTTAATCATATCAACTAAAGGGAAATAATGGTTGACCATTTTTACAGAAAGCATGATTGGAACATTATCAAAACTAACACAACGGACACGAACATATGTATTGTCTTCAATATCTTTAACTGCTTTAATTAAGTCGTCTAATGTTACTACTTGTTTTGAATTGATATGCGTAATCCACATGGTTGGCACAAGACCATACATGTAAGCAGGTGAACCTTTTGAACGAGCAGATATATAAATTCGAGAGGGTAATGTTTTACTTTGTTGAAGGACAGCCTTGTGTGGTTCTAAAAATATGTACAAAAATTAACAAAAAAAAAAAAAAAAAAAAAAAAAAAAAAACTGCTTGTACCTTGTAATGTCGCACCAGCCCAAAAAACAACACGACTTGTACCATCACCCGAAACAGGACTTGTCTTCACTCTAACAATCATTTCTTTCTTTGCACGTAGAATAGTCATTTCCATTTCTTCTGCTTCATATTGCATATCCATTTCATACATCCTTGTAATCACTTTGCCATTCACAGAGAGAATCAAGTCTAATTCTTTTAGAACCTTTGAACTCTCGCAACTAGCTTCAGTACGTTTGACCATGAAAAGCTGATGTTTTGAAGAATTAGCTTCTTCTACTTTATTAATCCATTTATCAGATAGACCCATAGCAGCTGCTTGTGCCATTTGAACAGGAATTAATTCTGCATTTATACTTCTAAGAATAACGTTTTTTTCTCCTTTCTTTAAACATTCTAACACACTACGAACAGCAGAAATATGAATACCAAGATGATATTCATTATCATGACCATTCATATTACGTTCACCTAAGAAATTCAACCATAAACCCTGAACTAATCCATCTGCATCAGCTAATAAACCAGCTGAACACTGAAGTGCTAAAGGTGTATCTAGTGTAATAGCATCAAAATTTACACTACGGAAGCGTGGTGTCTTTATCAAAACGAAAACTAAAATTAGATTTTGGATATGGTTAAATAAAGAATAAAGCTTACCCCATTATGTGGAATTGTGACGCATGTAATATCAGTTACAACAGTATTTAAGCAAACAGGGCGTTGATTGTGATTATGTGCAACTAATGTCACTCTATGGCCTTGTAATAATGTTTTATCACTGAAAGGTGCACTCATAACATCTGTTTCACCTAAAAGCTTAGGATCATATTGAACAACTGCAAAATTGTGTGTAGGGTGTAGAAACTATAGAAGAAAGTTAGGATTAATTTACTATTTTTTTTTTTTTTTTTTTTTTTTTTTTTTTTTACCAAAACTTTAGCGGGAATAACGAGTGAATCAGCTACATTTAATGTTAAATCACCCATTGAAAAAGGAACTACACTACGACTAACAATAACAAGGCCTTTTTCCTTATCAACAATAACACCAGCACCTTGTTTGCGACTACGAGGAAAACCATCAAGACGGCATGGCATAGAAAAGTTAACTTTAACTAAACAACGAATCAAGTCTTTAACAGGGCCAAAACTATCATCTAATTGTATAAAATGTTTTGTCGATGGTTTAATTGGCTTTGGTGGTATTGGCTCTCCTAAATCAATAAAATCCCATAAACCAGTTTTATCATTGCGTACTGCCTTTCTGAAGCTTGACCAATGTCTTTCCACTTGGACAACTGCAACAAGAATTGTATGTGTATCAGCAATAGAGTAGTACACAACTGGTACACGTGTACGATCTGGAATTGCTTTCATTACTGAAATAAATGTTTCGAGATTAGGCGTTTCTTTGTCGTCTACAGATTTAATAATCCAGCCATTATCTGGCCCATCTAAACGAAACACTATGACAATTAAAATTAATTTAAAGATATTAATCTACTTGGATATTTTTTTTCTCTAGCTTACTTCCTGATGGGGCAGCAACATATACACCTTTACAAGGTACACAATAGGCACGAGCTAACTGATATGAAACTTCGTTCAGCTTTGATCCACCAATTTCAACATAGCAATTAGGAGTACTGTATAAATATGTTGTTAACTAAATACACCTCTCACTCACTCACTCTTACTCTCACTCTCTCTCTCTTTCTTTCTTTTGAACTTACATAGCGTGCAAATCTCCAACCATAACCTTTAATTCCATAGGTGTACCACCTCGTTCAATAGTAATTATGATTTCTTTTCCTACATTAGAATCAAGCATTTCTTCAAATGGCACAAACTTGGTAATATATTCCCCGTTGATTGTCAAAAGAATGTCCCCTTCTTCTAATTTTTTATGAGCAGGGCCTTCAGGTAACACTGTTTCTACAACAAGAAGGCCAATTTCATCAGGAAAAGCCTTTCTCAACTTTTCTTCAGTTTCAGATCTAAGCCCTAATCTACGTGCTTCATCAAAAGGTCGATAGCTATTTTTTTTTTAAAAAAAAAATAGAATAAGCAATTTTTTTTTATGAAAATAATAAGCATCCTTACATAAATTGGGTTTGAATGTCACCTCTAGGTACAGATTCACCTTTTTGAACAAAAGATAATGCACGCTTGACTCTATCTAAAGGTAAAAAGAAATCAGTAGCAGCCTTTGTATGTCCACCTGCTTGAAGAGCAACAGCATTGCCATCGATATCAATGACTGGTGAACCTGAACTTCCTCCACTAGTACTTGAAGCTGCTTGTCTAATTGTAAATACACATGTTAGTAAAAGCACTTGTTACAATTGACTTTGATATTCACAAGTAAAAAGTGTTGAAATCATTATATGTTAAATCTCCATATTCAGGTGTATTACGATCTAAACGAGAGATAGAGCCAGCTAAAATACTAAGTTTCTCACCAGCATCATTACTAATATTTTGTTAGTACCTAATAAAACGAGAATAGTATATGTATATATTTACCCAACGACACGAATATCAAGACCGACTTTTGCCAATTCAGGTCGAAGTTCAACTTGCGTCAGTGGCATGTACTTGATCTTTTTAGGATCAAATCTATGAAATAGAAATAAAGAATGTTAGTATTAGTTATTCTAATCATTAGTTCAAATTGTTTACTTTAAGAAACCAAAATCATGAACAGGATCACGATAGATTGGATAAACATCAACTTCTTCATGATCATGACAAATGGCTTCACCAACAAAAGGGCCTGCACAAACAACATGACGATTTGTTAAAATAATACCATTCTTGGCGTCTACAATAAAGCCTGAAGCCTCTGATGTTTCTGGGCCTGTTAATGATCCAAAAAAAAAAAAAAAAAATAGTAATTATTAGACTATTGTTATATTATTCTATGACTGTTGTCATTTTATATATATGAACCTTCAGTATCAAAAGCAGCCACTTGACTAAAACGAATAGAAACAATTGCTTTAACAACATTATTAATTGTTCCCTGCCATTTTGAAGGTTTAAATTCAGAAGTAAAAGGGAGAGCATCAGTCATGTGTTCGTCATCGGATAGCAAGTTCTCCTCATTTAGATCGGTAGAATCAATTTTTCTGCGTTTAACTGGATAACTTGTAGTTGTTGAAGCAGGTGAATCACCACCTTCCAAGTTAAAATCCTTTGGAAGCAAAGGAACTGCTGTTTTTGCTGGTGATAAGGGTGTATTACTCATTGTATTTATATATTTATAAAAAAAAAAAAAAAAAAAAAAAAAAAAAAAAAAAAAAAAAAAAAAAAAAAAAACGGTTAAAGAATGTTCGGTAAAAAAAAAAAAAAAAAAAGAACTGATGATTGCTTAATCTTTTTTTTTTTTTTTCAAGTCCGCGAAAATTTTTTCTTATTTTTTAAAAAAAAAAATAAAAAATAAAATAAAATAAATAAATAGTATTTGGAGTCTATTCAATAGAAGGAAACAAAGTTGTAAAGAGATGCTGAAAAATGAGAATAATAAAAAGAAAATTAAATTTATTTCGCTTTAGGGTTAGACATAATTCAATTCTTTCAGATAATTTGGCATTAATTTTGAGATTGATAGTAAAGAGTAAATTAGATACAACTTACACAGTGCTAAGATACCAACTATTATACAGAGATACTTTAACGAGTTGTGTTCTCTTGAAAAAGCCTGTTTTCTATAGTTGGAATAAAAGAATGTTCATTTGAATAAGCTCCAAAATAAATAGGTTGAAAACGTTCTAGGCAACTATGATAGTGTAATCCATTATTATACACTTCAATAAACTATGTATTTTCTGACTTTGATTCATTGGTCATCCTGTTTTCGATGTTTCTTTGCTTACATTCTTGACGTACTTGGTTAGTTAATTGGTAGGCTACTAAATATACTTCAAAATTTATCATTTGATTCACTTGACATTTGGTAGGTGCTAAGTGATTCCTATTACTTCAACAGATGATAACTGTTCCCTCATGATATCAAAAACTCATACTATGATTAATAGCTTACAATAGAGTAGGCTTTTGATCTAGTAGTGGCATATCCTGTCCTCTATCAAGAAACTACTAGAATACAAAGTTAGTAAATGTAGATCTAATGTAGATTGCTTTTGCTATGTATTATATCAATCTTTTTTTTTCCAACATTTTCTAAGGATAAGGATAGAATTATAGACAAGACTAGAGGGTTCTATATGGATTTTTGGCTTGCAAGCTGCACGTTGTATATTCTTTTACTCTCTTTGTTTCTTTTCAAATTCTAAGAGAACTCTTTTCTCTCATAGTAATTAATATTATTTAAGCATATTTTTTCTTATGCTTGATTAGAAACAATTGACATCTTATATTTTCGGCCAACATGACTGGAAATCTTTTACTTACTGTATTTCCTCATTTTCATATTAAATAAGACATTATTATTTCTCTATTTTTTAATAAAAATGTATCAATTTTTATGTCACAATTAGATGGAATCCATTCACCATATATGATACAGCCATCGTAGATTCATTTTACCCATAATTTTGAAAATTAAAGGAGCTTTTCTTATTATAATATTTTATCAGCAAGGCTTCAGAAAAAATATATAATTTGTTACCAATTATGAATAATAAATTATCTAATGACAGCATACTGAGTGAACAATCCTTAGTAGACATAATATAATAAATAAAGCTACAAGAAACTCCCTATGATATTTTATCCACTAAATTTTGAACTATGTTGTCTTGTTATTGAATAGTAACAAATTAAAGCTTTGGTTATTTTTTGTGTTAAAAGTCATGACATATAGTATTTATTTTTAATTTTACACACTCCTTGATATGTAAAAGTATACTTTTCTGCATAACACAATAATATGCCTCTATTTAGCTTTTTCATTAAAGAAAGACTCAACTACATTTTTAAGTGACTTTCCTTCTCCATTTCTTTTTTTTTTTTTTTTTTTTTTTTTTTTTTTTTTTTTTTTAAAAAAAAATGAAAGACAAAAATATTTTTTTTTTCTTCTTTACTTTTATTTTTTCTTGCAGATTAATATTTTTATCTGCAAAACATATACATATATGAAAAGAAGTAATGAAAAAGAACTTAACATTCTTAACAAAAAGTCAAAATATGAGTTAGCTTTAAACTCGCCTGGCTCTGATTCAACAAATCAAGTTAATGATACCGTAATTTTATCATCAGATGATGACGATGACATGCTTTATAATTCGCCGATAGTCGCGGTAACAGAACAAATAAAAGAGACATCCAAACAGAACAGTGTCCTTCAGGAATCGAATAGTCAAACTGGCAGCGATTTGAGAAAAGATATAAAAAATAAGGAAAAAAATTCAACTAATGGATTGACGGATAATAGTAGTAAGAGAATTATATCTTCACACTTTAATGACAACAATTATGAAAAAATATCAAAATCTAGCAGTGATAAGGCAAATTCAAATGATATGCCTATAACAATGGATGTACAAAAGTTGGATGCACAATACGATTTAGAAACAGAAACAAGTACTATTAAGAATAGTGAGAAGGAGGCAGAATTAGAAGAGAGCAGTAGCGATGATACTATCCATGAGCTGAGTGATCTACAGAAAAAATCTGATAATGCTTCACATAGAGTAAATTTATCTAAAAGTGAAAAGAATTTGGCACAGAATACTATGAATCATAATAATGAAGAGGTTAAACAGAGTCCAATATTGAAAATTCCAAAATCACGTGACGTGAATTATGTTAATTCATCAGTAGTAATTGCTGTGAAGAAGCATCCTGTACGCGCAAGTCGTAACAAAGTCATTACATATAATGATATTGCTAATTCAATAGACCTAGATTTACTCTCTTATGGTTCTGAATTGAATATGAATGCAGCCTCATCAAACAGACACGCAAAAAATAGTCGAAAAACCACGTCATCTACTGGATCTTCAATAAATACACCATCTACAAACAAGAATGTAGCTATAAATTATAGAAATACTCCCCTTAAACAACTAAACAGACGTAGATTTCTTCGAACAGGATTTGTTTATGATACTGCAATGTCATATCATGCTACTCCGGATCCAATGGAAATTCACCCTGAAGACCCACGTAGAATTTTTAAGATATTTAACATTCTAGAAAGAAATGGTTTGTTAAATGAATGTAAGCGTATTAAAAGTCGAAGGGCAACAAAAAATGAGATCTTACTCGTACATAACATCATTCACTATAGAAAATTAAGAGAGACATCAGGTAAGCCCATTAAAATAAACTCAAACACGATTAGTTCGGAGTTCAAATACTTTTTCTTTTTTTTTTTTGACATTCTACCTCGCAGATCTAAATAAAAGTCGTGCAGATTTTATAGCTATGGAAAATGACTATGATTCTATTTATTTAAACAGTAACTCATTTGAAAGCGCATTATATGCTGTAGGAAGCTTAATTGAGCTTGTTAGTGCAGTTATTAGAAATCAAATAAGAAATGCACTTGCTATCATTAGACCACCTGGACATCATGCTGAATCTGATGTCCCGATGGGATTTTGCTTATTTAATAACGTTGCTATTGCTACTAAAGCTTGTATGAAACAATTAAATGTTAAAAAAATCTTAATTGTTGACTGGTAAGACTTATATGGGTTTTTTTTTTCTTATTCTGGAGAGTGCAAAGAAAATTTATTAATACATTGAATTTGATGGTTCTTTTTAGGGATATTCATTTTGGTAACGGAACTCAAAGTATATTTTCAGAAGACCCTAATGTTCTCTATATTTCATTGCATCGATATGAGGATGGTTCATTTTATCCTAGTGATAGAAAAGGCTCAGCTGAATACACAGGCCATGGAAAAGGTATAGGAAAAACAGTAAACATACCATGGCCATGTGCTGGTATGACGGATGCTGATTATATTTATGCCTTCCGTGAAATTGTTATACCTATTGCTATGGAATTTAGCCCAGATATTGTAATTGGTAACCATTTTTTAATGAACAAAAAAAAAAAAAAATGAAAATTTATAGATTATATATGATAGTTTCTGCTGGTTTTGACGCTGCTTGTAACGACCCTATTGGTAAATGTAATGTAACTCCAACAGGATACGGCCATATGACACATATGCTTAAGGCAATTGCAAATGGCAAGTTGGTTATTGCCTTAGAAGGTGGCTATGATCTTAACTCTATTGCAGTTTCAGTTTTAGCCTGTATGAATGTATTACTAGGTGATGCACCTGATCCTGTCCAAACAGACTTATATCCAAAGAAAGAATGTTTAAAGACTATAGAACTTGTAAAAAGCGTTCAAAAGAAATATTGGAAATGTATTTCATAGTTTTATACTAATTATATTTCCCCCCGTGTGTATCATATTATAATCAATTGCTAATATAATTGTACTTGATAAATGATCTTTAACTTAACTTGGAAGAAATCACTCGTATAAATTAAGTCTATAGTATCAAAAGTTATTTATATAAGCATAAATACCATCTGTCATTAACAGAGACTATTTTTATTATTATTAAAATGAAGCTGTTTTATAAAATATGTTAATTATGCCTTTTTGAAAAAACTCAATAAATTAGATTGTGCTGTTGATTTCTTAGGAGTAGGTGTATCCTTTTTAGCTGCATTTTTTGAACTATTAGTGACAGGCTTTGATGGTTTATTGAGTGTGGTAGGAGTTGAATCGGTCTCGTTTTCATCAGCAGATTCCCATTCCCATACTTCTTCAGTAACTAATGAATAACAGTCATTATGAAGTGAAGTTAGTCATGATATTTTTAAATTAATTGACTTTTATTTACCAAGAAATCCACGGGCATTTCGAGTCGTCTTTTTCTTAAGGACTTTTTTTCTTGTCTTTGAAGATGATGATGTAGTGTTTGAAACGGTTTGTATATTTTCATTGCTTGCTCTTGTCTGTTCTTTATTATTTTCCACATCTTCCATAACAATATCATCATCATTTTCTTCTGTTTTCATATCTTCAATAGGTAAAGGCTTACTCATATGTTCATCTTCATCATCTGAGAAAATATCTGAAGCTTTAATTGATGTTTTCGCCATACGTTTTTCTATATCATCTTATATATTTTAGAAAAAGATAAATAAACTTAATGTATGATAGCTACTAAATTCAATACAATTATCTTTATTACCATTCTCGTCTTTGGTTTTAGGCTCATCAGCTATCTTTTTACTACTTGCTGTGGTCTTTTCGATCTGTTCTGCACTAGATTTGTTGGCCTTTGGAGTAGAGATAGCTTGTTTCTTTGTGGTTGCTGGCCCAAATGACAAAGTGCCCTTTCTTTTCACTGCATTAGTAGTAGTAGTGGATTTGGGAGTTGTCGTCGTCATAATAGGCTTAGTATTTATTGTGTTTGTGGTTACATTGCTTTTAATAACAGGCTGGTCTTTCTTTTCGGATAAACGATTTGATGCAATATTCTTTAAACGAGCATTCGTATTTTTTAGAATGCCACATTTAACACGATCTTCAATTGCTAATCTAGGTGCTTCCTTACAAGCTGTATACAAAATAGAAAAATCATCTGGATTAAAGGACGTCAGACTGTAAACATGAAGTCCCGTAATTTCTTTGTATTTTTTCTTAGTTTCTATTGTATCATTTGCGAATCAATAAAGGAGGATTATTATTATTTTTTTTTCCTTCGTTACCTTCAAGATCTGAATCTTTTACAAGCTGGATGGTGAAATGATTATTCTGTAAAACTCTTCCTGTAATACAATAAACAGCATGAACATTTACTTGCTTCTTTGAAAAATCATATAAAACCCTAAAATGACGTTTATTTACATGTTTTTTTTTAACAATAATAAAAACAACGAAAAAAAAAAAGAAACTTTACTGTTTTGCTGTATTAACATGAATTCCTAAAGATCTGGCCAAGGATTTATATGTAACCTTAATTGATTACTAAAGTTATAAGATATTAACTTTAAAAAAATACTAAATAAAAAAAAACGTACTGGTTTATTTTCTTGAATAACAGTTATATTCAAGTAATCGTCATAGTCGCTCATGCTTATTGAAAGATTACAAAAAAAAAAAATAATAAATGAACGTGAAATTAATAATTTCATTTTTTTTTATTTTTATTTTTATTATACGCGTTTGTGACGCGATTATTATTAAAAAAATGCATTGTGGTAGTAGAGATGAAATTTACGACTACTACTTACTACTGATCTTATTCTATATGATTATGAATTAAATTTTAGATTTATTCTTCTCAATGTTTAGATTATAGCTTTCGACTGTAGTTTGTTCTCTTTGTAATTCCTCGTCAGTCCAAGGGATTAAATCAAATGCTTTCTCTAAGTCTGTCTCTTCAGACAATCTTTGTATTTTAGGCATCTCAAGTTTAGTGGTTCCATTCTTTTGCTCTTTATCTATTGACCGAAGACATGCAAATAAATTATCAGGCTTTGGCTTTTCTTGTGTTGATATTTCATCTCCTTCAACAACTACAAATGATTCTTGTCGTCGACGCATGTTCCATTGAAGACAAGTTTGGACAGAAGTAAACCAGTCATTACTAGAATCACATGCACAAAAGGTTTTAACTGGATATGGTGATACTGTAATCTTGACATGATCTCCCTCTAATAATGATATAATAAATACGTCTATATATCTTCCTTTCCCCCCCTTTATTATATCTCTTTATACTTACGTTTTAATTCAGTTCTATTTCTTCCATCAAAACTACAATATGCAGTATGCCTTGAACCAAATGGTACGACAATTCGAATTGTAATTTTACTAGGTAAAAGCATGGGTCTAAAACTAAGGGTATGAGGACAAACAGGCGTAACCAAGGTACATTGCATATCAGGATGTGTAAGTGATCCATGAGCTGAAAGCTAATAGTTTATACATATATATATATATATATATAGAGAGAGAGAGTATATAGTATATGAATAACAGAAGAGCAAAGAAATAATAATAATATAAATACATATACACATATATATATATATCTGATTTAGATATTTACTGAGTATGCGGTTGAGCCTGTAGCTGTTGCAATGCATAGCCCATCAGCTTGAACAGTTGTTAAATGTCTATCATCTGCAAAAAGCTCAAGCATCGATATATTAGAACTTGGACCACGATCCACAACTATTTCATTCAATACATGGAAAGTTTGACTTGGAACAGTCGTATAACACATCACCTTTTCATTTAATGAACGAATTTGATCTGGATTGCGTTTTGATGCTTGTTCAAAGGCTTTTCTCATCCAAGCTGTTTCCATTAGCTCCCATTTGTTCTGCACATCTGTTAAATGATGTTCACTATTCGATTTTTTATCAATTGGTATAGTACGAGTCCAGATAGTATTGTTAGTCGAATTCCGCCTTGCCTTTGTAAAACAGTAAGGATCTTGTCTGTATCGATATACTGTACAACTAAGTCGCATACGGATAATACTTTTTAATTGCCCTGTAAATAAATTATTAAGTTCTTGTTTATATGCAGTAAATGCAAATGGCGCTAAAAATCCAAGTGAGCCTAGATGAAAGGGCATAATAGGAGGAACTTTGGTTTGAAATAAGTTGGATGTAAAAAGAATTGTACCGTCACCACCAAGCTATATAATAATAAGGTATACTCAGTATCATCAAATCTTGCTTAATGGTCTCCAATTATACTTTACAGTAATAATAAGATGAAATAGATCAGGGTGTTTGTAGCAAAGCTTGGGATTCCAAAACTTTAGATTTGTTTCCCAAACTGGATTTTCTTTAATGAGTTTTTCAAGCCCAAATCTTTTGGAATCCTTTAGATGCGAATCAACATAACTATCAAAAAAAAAGGGGGGAGGGGTCTTAGAAATATTACAAATCGTTTAAAGTTGATTATAACTAAATTAAGCTAATTACACTATAAAAGGATTCTTTTTTCCAAAACGTGGAGTAAATATTAACCATTCAGCAAGTTGCCGAGTAATATATACCAATCTATCATCTTTTGCCTTTGTGATGACTAGGACAGTATTTTTTTCTGGATCCCAAGTGTTATCTGAATATTTTTGAGAAATTGCTATAGTCGTCATGTAATGAATTAAAAAAAATATATATATATTTATATTTCTACTTTTTTTTTTTTCTTCTAGTTACCTGATTTCTTATTAGGAGAATCATATTTATCTGAATAATCTAACTCTCTTTTTGTACCACCTAAACTCATATTTGAGAATCAAAATGTACACTAAATAATAATAAAATATGTAAACATAATAAAGAAATATGAATGTCACATAAACAAAAAAAAAAAAAAAAAAAAAAAAAAAGAAAAAAAAAGCTTTGTTTGACTGCTTTTTAAAGCAAATAATGAAAGTATAAAGTTTTTGGAAAACTCATCATCGATATCACTTACTGCTACTGTTATTTTCAAATGATATTCGAAAAGTAGAAAGGTTCCTCTTACTGCTACATGATGTTGATTATATAAATTTTTAAGTTTATTATTAGTATTAGTATTTTTTTTTTAATCATCTTCAGGGAGGTATAATGTTTCGTCTTGTATATTATCTAGAACGATATTATTACGTAAAGAAGAAGCTGTTTGACTTTGTGCATTCAAGTCCCTGTTAGAATTATTATTATAATATAAATTATATCGACTATTACTTTGTTTAACACGTTCAGGGATTTGAGTTGGAGCGATGATAGTAATAGCTGTATGTTTCTTCTTGGGCTGGATAGTAAAAGTATTATTTTCATTACTAGTAGCTATTGTTTTTTCTTCTAGAATATTTTCATTGATTTTCATATTTGCTATCACAGACTCATCCATGTGTGGTGAGTTTTTACGATTGGCAAGCATTTGAATCGCTGGAAAGTGAAGGATTTGATTTCCATGATCACTTGTACGCGTAAGGGTTCGTGTTGCATATGTGCCAATATAAAAGAGAGGGATCGTGATGCCATGTACGATCACAGACGCTAGTACCATAAAATAAATAATGGGCTTTAATACAGAACGTGCATGTGAGTTAGGTCCATCCTCCGGAATAGCTTCAATAGCAACAGTATAATAGAAAATAGCTCCAACCCCAATAGGGCCAAACCATCCCGAAAAGATAGCTTCACGCCAAGTACGAATGGCAGGTATAAACTTGTATAAAGCAATAACGATTGGAAGACGTCGAAGTATTAATACAAGAATAGCCAATACAATTAATCTCCATACAGTTATTTCTAAAGCGGGATTAGAAAATGTACTCCAAGGCTTTAATGAATATATTATAAATAAATGTATTAATACACATATGATTAATATTAAATCTATTATCATCTATTGCAATTAAATATATACCATCGTTAGACCGATATAAACAAATATGCTAAGATTAAGCAAGATATCAACGACCTAAATGTTATTAACAGTTAGTCTCTCTTTTCTTTTTTTCTTTTTGCAATAAAAAGTGCTCTAATCACTTTGCTTCCATACCTCCATTAAATAAGCCTTTTCAGTTTCAATACGAAACCAGTCATCCCATGTAAATGAATTACCTGCGATAAAACAGGCTAAAATATCATCACTGCCAATTAAACCAACAATTCCAATAAGAAATAACTATTTTTTTTTTTTTTTTACTATTAGTATCATACATACATATATATATATATATATATAAGGTATACTAACAGCTAAAGCAATAGCAAATACTAAAAAAGATTCTTTATCAATACATTTCCTAAATAAATAAATAAATGAGTAACAGTCAGTTCGAATAAGTTTCTTGAAGATAGATAAAAAAATAAAATAAAATAAAAGAGATAGTACTTTTGTTCTGCATATTTTAAAAGTTTCCTGGCAATATATCCTGCTACAAATCCAATAATAATAGATAAAAGAATATTATAAGCCATAGTCCAATACGCCCATTTGCCAATTGCTGAGCCAACATTCATTTGAAGTAAATAAATAGCTAAAAATAAAAATGGATAACCAAGGCCATCATTTGCACCACTTTTTTTTTCCAGTCAACATAAATTTCTTCTATGAATATTCATATAATGTATATGTATAGAATACCTTTCACACACAATTATGTTACGAAGATGACTGGGTACATGCTTTTCTGCAAATTTACCTTGTACAATAGAATTTGCTAAAACCTTTCAATGTAAAGAAATTTTAGTATGATATATATAAAATAAACATCAATATATATATATATATATATATGTATGTATGTACAGGATCTGTAGGCGTAAAACATGCAGCTATCATTAAGGCTTCGAGCTATTATATATATATATATATATATATAAAATTAGACCCATACTTAATAAAATAACACGATATGATAATCATACAAAGTTAAGACCAGGAATGAAAGCCCAAACTAAGAGTCCACTAACTAACCACATATAAATCATGACTGGGCCGAGCATGATAAGAATAGATGTGAGCTGTTTTTTTAAATATGCCTTCGGTAAAGCCACACCTACAGCCATCACTTGAATAGCAATCACAAAACGGCAAAATTCGTGTGTAATAACATCTTCATCTCCCCATTTACGAATATCGATAAATTTGGCGCAAATTGGGCCAAATAAGATACCACATACAATTGCAATAGCTAAAATAATAATAAAAAAACAATAACAGTAAATATATTTCTTTAAACTTTCAGGAAAGAAAATAAAAAAAAAAAAGTATTTCTTACATGCTTCAGATAGATAAAGTTTTTCTTTGATGACTAGTGAGCAAAGTCCATATAACAGAATAAATCCTCCTAAAACTGCAGCTACGATTGATACAGTTTCAAGCATTAACTTGTTATGAAATGAAAATAGAAAACAGTGATAGTTTATTTTAAATTAGTTACAATTGATGAAGCCTTAGAGATAATAACTTTAGTAACAAAAATAAAAATTAGCTGAGAGGAGAAGGCCTATCGATCAATTTATCTGGCTTAATAGAAGGATCTAAATCAAAAAAATAAAATAAAATAAAAATAAGCTTAAGCTTTGATTTATTAAGCAGATCAATGCTTACGTTTAAGCCTAAATCAGTTTTATATATTTGTATATACTACAATACTTTTTTTTTGATTTTTTTTAAATTAAAAAAATAAAAATAAAAAGGATTTCGTAGTTATATATTTATATATATATAAGGGCCAATTCTATTTATACTGTATTTATAATGTATTTTTTTTTTAAAGCATTAATAAATGTGTCAGAAAATCCCCCAATTAAGTTTAACAGGATAGCGTTATCTTACCTATCTCACTATGCGCTAATTTTGCGAACTCCGCGTCTAAGTATGAAAAGCAAAGTTAAAAAAAAAAAAAAAATAACCAACAGGATATATTTTAGTAAATGAAAAAAAAAAAAAAAAAAAAGCCAAAGTCGTTTAATTGCTTTTGATCGCTTGCTGGTTTTTAATAATTTTTATTCCTCGTTATTATGTCAATTCTTCCTAAATGAATAATTTATAATTTTAATTGTGGTATAATAGTCTTGACTTTTTCGTTATTTTAAACACTAATCATTTTTGATTGACAGCAGTCTTTATACAAATAAAAGAAGAAAAGACATATCTTTAATTGTTTATATTATAATGACGACACAGTAAGTCGAAAGAGATTGTTAACAAAGAGATTATAACTATGATCGATAGTCTCTGTAATAGGGTTCATAATTCCTTCTATTGTTATATTCATATCTACTGTCTCTTGAATACCATCCTGGTGGAGGTGAGGGTGAATAAAAACGTCGGTCATGATAATATCTAGGAGGTCTAGTATCATCATATCGATTCGAATGGTAATATCGGCCAGAAGAAAGGGGGTGATGACTCGAAATAGGTGGTGACAAGGGTCTAAGTATAAATTTTTATGAACATTACACTGCTGTTATTGCTACGACTCATATATATTATATATATGTATATGTGTGTATATATATGCATGCATGTATGTATGTATGTATATATAGTCACTATTCTGATGGTGCTATTAATTTACCTGTACTCGTAAGGATATGGGTGATAATAGCTTGGAGGAGGTAAAGGTGAAGATCGTCGTGACCGTAGTCCTGGTCGATCAAACTCTGATGGACGAGAGTATGGCTCTAATCTACGTGAAGAAGAAGGTCTAGATAGTGTAGAATTACCGGTTATCTTCTTTTTTTCTTTGCTGCTATCAGTAGAATAACGTGTCCTGGTTTTGTGTTCATTTTTGATTGCAATTTTATAAGCTTGATCTTTAACTACACTGGTTTCACGTTTGATCTTTTTTACTGATTCATGATCATACTCTTTGTCATCTCTAGTCCTTTTATCTGTATTCCCTTTCATTTCTTTATTGCTGTTTTCTACATAATTGCTCTTTTGTTTTTGCATCTCTTTTTTTACAGAATCTGGTAGTTCCCAGACACTTTTTCGTGTATATTTATCATAATAATATTTCTGTCCATTCTCAGTTATTTGCATTACCCACGGTTCTGGTAAACTTGAATCTGTGGCTTTGGTTGATTTGTTTTTGTCCTGGTTAATTTCTGCAGTATTCATATCGTCTTTAGCTGTCTCATTATTATTGCTATTACTTTGTTTGGATATACTAACATTGTCATCATCGGAATCATTTGTCCAATCTGCTTGCATTATTCGTTCAACTTCTTCTTCCTTTTCATTCATAAATAGAGGTCTAGCTTGTTTGCTAGTATGTGAATGGGCTGTAATAACTTGACTAGGATATCCTAATGCTATTTCCTCTTTCGTATCTGTATATACAAGACCTATAATTGGATCATGTTATTTTTTTTTTTCGTTAAAAGGTTCCGCTGGTACTTTTGGTTTTATGAGTACCCTCTGTGCTTCTAATCAAGTCATTGTTGATTTCAATACATGTTTGATCTACTTTATGTTGCTCAAGATATGTGTATTCTTTTCCTTGCCCTTCTGATGAAGTATGACTACTTGAGGAAATAATTTCCATTTTATGATTTATTAATTGTTCTTTTTCTTTTGCATGTCTTTTATATTGAGTTTTATAATGAGATTCACTGGCTGAAGAATAATGCTGTCGTCCCATCTATAAAAATCGTTTTTCCCTCAAAGTGGATAAATAAAAAATAAAATAAAAATAAAATGACGATAGCATTTTTTTTTTTTTCTTTTTTAATTTCAAAAGTTTATTTTATTGGCTGAATATTCTACATAAACATGTGTGTGTATACATTTTTTTTTTATATTTTTATATATTTATATACATATCTGCATTTATAGACTCCAGTTTGTTTGTCAATATTTTAAGATAAAGAGATTAACATAACACTAGAAATGAGCAAAAACATGCAATCTCGAGATGAATCATCTTTACAGTCTACTCATTTAGTCTGTATAAATTCAGATTATATAAATACAGAAAATAATAATGTGAATTTACCCCAAGGGGAAAAGAACACCTCTTTTCATCAACATAATCAACAACAAATAACTAATACTAGGTCCAAAACAGTCGAACATATAATAGAAGCCTCTCAAACACTATTATTCACTGCTTCAACACTACAACGTACTGTAGGAAAATGTCTTGGATTTATAGGCAATGAGAATCTTAATACAGCATTTCTACCTATTACATACAAGTTAAAGTCAAACAATGAAAAGTTGACAGCGATTTTAGATGTGATTGAAAAAAGATATACTCCAGAATTAAACAATGAACTTGTACATGTTACATTAAAATGCATCATGATGCTGAAGGAACTGTGTGGAGCATTAAGGACACGATTGTCTATATTAATTCAAGGTTTAGATTCGAAATATTCCCGAAATCTGTTAGTGATTCTTTATAGTGCAACAGTAGATATTAAAGAATCTTGGGAAATAATAAGCCCTCATTTAACTGTTGATCCCATGACTACCTTAACATCATTTGCCCAAAACAAACCAGCCACGACCATTAATGTTAAAACCCATAATGAGTTGGTTGGGTCTAATAATTCACCTCTTAGTCCACCCTTATTTTCTCCAAATACAAATGGTGACAATAGTCAATTATATACACACTTGAGACATGCTGTTACAAGCTCATTACACGTATTGAATATGCTTAAGCAGTCTATAGAAAAAACGCTACAAGCAAATGATAATAATATTTCGTCAAATTTAGAAAAGAAATTAAATGAACTGTTACGACAAACACAGTATGCTACTGAATTATCACATCGATTAGATAAAGATGTTGAAGCAAATATGGAAAATAATAAGGATAATATATTATTTATTTCGACCAGAAAAGAGTTTAGTAGACGTATTTGGGAAGATACGAGTATTTATTTGAAGGTTTTATTCTCTCTATATATATATGATGATAGATTTATTTTTGGTTTTTAATATATATATATATATATTTTTTTTTTAGGTTATTGTAAGCGTCATGACCTTTATTAGATCTATTTCAACTGAGGAAGAATTTACTTGGCCAAAGCCTATTAAGCAGGGATGTCTTTATGTCACTCGAATGACAGCTGAAGTAGCAAAACTATGGAATAATGTCAGTACTTTTGCAAAAGATGGCTTCATATTAGAGAAGCAAGAAAGAAGTTCAAGTATTTCCGAGCAATCACCCAACTAATGATAACTTATATACCCATCATAGATGCATATTTATCATCATTTTTCTTTAATTGAAAAAAAGAAAAAAAAAAATAGCGATAATTAAAAGTCTATTTTTTTTTTATATAAACATGTTTATTTTTTTCTAATTTCTTTTTTATTTTTATTTTTTATTTATTTATTTATTTTTTTCGGAAGCAAGAAAATGAAATTATAATGTCATTAACATTCATTCGAACTTTTCATCATAAACGAATACCAAATTATGATGGTTATTGGACCCAAATTCTTAATCGAGCTATAAATTCTTCCAAAAATGAAGAAAAAACTACAAGGGAGCCAATATCTATACCATTCACTGTAATCGAATCAGCACCAGCACCAATTACGTCTGCTGTAAAAAGGAAACCAGCCTTTGTTTATTTGAAAGGAAAGCCTATAGAACTTCCTGAAAAGCCAAATGCTCCTGATAATTGTTGTATGAGGTAGTAATAGTCTATAAAATCATTTTGTGAGTGCAGGACTCTAATTACTTTTTTTTTAAAAAAATAAATAGTGGTTGTGCCCACTGGTAAATATGTAATCTTTATAATAATAGCTTTATTTTTTTTCTAAAAAAAAAACAATTAAAGTGTATGGGATATATATCAAGAAGATATGGATGAATATATACAAAAGAAAAAAGGATTGAGAAACAAATTTATAGAAGCAGGAGAGACATTACCTAAAGAACTAGAATCGACAAATAATATAGACGTTATGGATGAAATGGATCCAACTATGAAAGCTTTCTTAGAAATGGAAAGAAAACTAAAGAATAAAAATTTTTAGATATATAAAAGTTATATATATAAATGTATGTATTTATAGAGAGTAAGAGGTAGAAGAGAAGGAATAAATTATATATATATGTATATATACACCTTTTGCCAATATGATGTCGCATAAATAAAGTATTGTACTTTTTTTTTTTCAAATAAATATTGCAGTCAGTATTTTCACACATTATCGGTTTAACCATGGTAGTGAAGTTGACCAAGAAAGTGGGTTTGAGACTAGTAACTGACTATGATTATTAAGGGAAAATGACTGAATTTCGCTTTGAAGACTAGAAATGGACTGAAAGTGAACTGAAATGGGCCAAAGACTTGTAATGAACTAACATTTACATTGTGTGATATTTCATAAAATATCAAATTTATAATTTTTTTTTTCTGACATTAATTTTAATGCCTAAAATGGTATATAATTAGCTGAAGGCCAACGGTAGTCATAGACAACACATATATATATTATATTATGCTATTACATCATCCTCATTTTATGATTTAATAAGGGGAAAATCATATAAATCATATAAGTTATATAAGTTATATAAGTTATATAAGCCATATAAATCATATAAATCATATAAATCATATAAATCATATAAATCATATAAATCATATAAATCATATAAATTATGCAAGTCACATAAATCATATAAATCATATATAATAGAACTTGAACATTTGCTAAGATTTAGATTGAATCAGATCAGATTAGATCATTTATTGACAACTCATTTCAAGTAATGGAGTGTAATTATGACTCAAACATCTAGATTTTTTATTTTTATTGTCATTTTCTCTTTTATTATATATAATATTATATTGGTTCCTTATTGTTCCTGAATTATTTTAGTACCCTCTAGATTATATAATTTAATTTGCTTGTATCAGCACTGTCAAGACAAGATTGAAATACCGCACATATAATTTAAAAAAGAAGTCAATCAATCCATACATACACATGTGTATTATTTATTCTCTCATAATATCAATAATGTAAGGAGTGTTTGTATACGTCATCTTTTCTTATCTTTATTTGTTGTTTATCTCTACTTTTTTTTTCTCTTTTGTTTTTTTTCCATAACCCCAGTTATTTAAAGGGTATTTCTTTTAGCTTTATATCTTTCAACTATACATGTAAAAGATGGTATATACAGATATAATACATAAAATGAAACGATAGAGGTATTATATAAAATAAAATAAAATAAAACAAAAGGGAACAGAGTGAAATAAAAGATAAAATGTACTTACGCCTATTTATTTCAAATATGTATAGACATATATATAGACATATATATATAGACATATATATATAGACATATATACTATAGATTAGTCTTCTGGCTTCTTCTTTTATATTGATGCTAATGCTAAAGGTTTATTATGTCTTCTATTTCATGGTAATCCTATATTAACTGTTTTAAAACACACTATATACTATCTACTCACCATTAAATTGTTATTACTACTACTAGAATACAGCAATATTATCCTTGTTATATCTTCCTGATGCTTATCTCTTCTTATATATACGTTACTCTAATCAAGTATTTAATATATATATACATATATATATTTATCCATGTGTACAAATAGACATAGCTCTCAAAAAATCCTAGCGCTTATCTTGTGGCATACAATATTAGATCCGTTCCTTTCCAACTACAAATGGTATGCAAGCTTTTTGTAATTTTAGAGATTGCCTAGGGGTAGCATCCACCTTCTTAACTACTGCTTGAATCATGTTTTCCACCAAAGATGATATGGGGCATCCCCCCAGACGAACGTAACGGAAAAAAAAATTCAGTGAAAAAAAAAAAAAAAAAAAAAAAAATTAGTAGGTATATTGGTGCAGTGGAGTAGAATAAAGTAAGTAACTATCAAAAAATACAATTTCCTCAATTCTCTGGGGGGGATAAAAGGAGTTGAGCACGAAAGCTCTGTCGATTAGGATAAAAGCATATCATATATATATATATATGTATGCCGCAAGCCGCTAACAAACTCTGAATTACAAGAAGTCCACTGTGTATCATTTAGCAAAAAGGCCTTTACATCACTCATACTTTAGACAACAGGTTTTTTCTTTTTTATCAGGTTCGTTTATATTTTATATCTTTATATCTTTTACTAAAGTCTATAAATGATGAGGGAAAAAAAATGAAATACTACTGCTGCTGCTACTTCTATTGAACTGCTACTACTATTGAATTGCTACTTCCATTGGTTTGCTACTTCTATTAAACTACTGCTTCTATTAAACTACTGCTTCTATTGAAACTACTACTTCTATTGAACTACTACTTCTATTAAACTACTACTTCTATTAAACTACTACTTCTATTAAACTACTACTTCTATAATATTTTGTTCAAAATAAATTAAGCTTATAAAAATCGTTCTTGAATTATCTTTATCAATATACTCATACATAATAATATAATCATAATAAAGACTTCTTACATACTGTCTTTCCTTTCACTTAATATAATTAAATTCATCAATCTTCTTAGTTCAAATAGTAAATTTAAAGTAAAGATGAGTTACGAAAAGATCAATATTAGTTTAAATTTATTAAACTACTTTTAAGCACTTTTCAAAAGACTAAGTATCCGCCCCAAATTTAATTTAATATAGAAGGAAGGAAGAAGGAAGAGGAGAAAAAATAAAGGAAAAAGGAAGGGAGGTAGATTGAGAGAGAGAAAATGGAATAAGATTTTGTGCCAATTTTTAGTCTTTTTTGTACTAACTATTTCTCGATTTATAAGCCAAGCCAAATTTATTTTCTAACTATGATCCATTTTTTTTAGGAAATAGTGTATGGTAATTTAGCAACCGCAACCGCAACCGTAACCGTAGCTTCAGTCACAATTATATAACTTGGCAATTATAGTAACATGAGTGTGATACGTCTGCAAATTTAGGGACTAGTTATTGGCTGGAAGTTAATAAAGATTTTATGGGTTATCTTTATTGAAGTTATAATTGTGATCTATATAGTTTTTACTATTTAATCATAAAATTGCTAGAAGGTTCCTGAAGTGTGCTTATAACGAAGTTTCTAACAAAATGAAAGTTCTAGTATGTTTACAAGACATAAGGTGGATACCAATCTTTTCTTTTACCATCTTGTATCTTAATTTTTTTAGGAGGCAGAGGTACTCTCATAGTAATACTAATAACACTGTGATATTTCTTGTAAAATATCAAATAATATAAGAATAATATAAAGATAAAATAGTCAACGTGACCGAATAATAGTTCATTTTATTTATGAATTAAATTGATGGGGGTATTTATAAGAATTGTTAAAGAGGCTTTAGATAAGATGTGAATCAGAAAAGTGTTAGTTACGACCGAATAAGATATGTTGTAGATAATGAAGTGTTAGAAGTTTTAAAATTATTTGATAAAGTGGATCAAGAGAGTTTCAGAAGAATCTAGGTAGAACTCCTTGAATAAATTTATGATACATATATTTAATCAAGAAACATGACGTTATAAATCAGCTCATGACAATTACATTGAAAAGCGTATAATATGGACCCGATAACAGTGAAAACCACACACAAAAAGGACCCGATGTCATAGTTGTAAGGTTCGTAACTTAATTCAATAAGATAGATAGTCATAATAAAACATATAGTGCGCTTCTGTCTCTACACATATTAAGTATATTTACCCTTGTATAGAAAAAATAACTAATAAAAGTCTTACATCTAAAAAAATATATCTCTTCTATTATTGTTATTGTGAATATAAATTTATGAAAATAACTTTACAAGTCAAGCTGTGGATAAGCTAAGGAATAATGCAAAAATGCGTAATAATTGATTTCACTCAAAGTGCATGTATTAGGTTATAAAAACAAATATATACATACAAAAGACATGGATATATGACTATAATGATTCTTGATGTTATAATCATTCTCTGTCTATCATTATATTATCAAATACAATTTGTTATATTTTTATCTTATTATTATTCACAATAGATATAAATGCTCTCACATTATTCACCTTCATTTTAAAATTTAACTTATCGCCTAACCTTTATCTCAATAAAACTATTATTAACAAGTCTCAACGTACTTTTTGTCTTTTTTATTTTATTTTATTTTTATTTTATTATTCTATTCTATTTTAATTACCTGTAAACTACAACAAGTAACCAATCTCTATTTGGCATCTAAGGTACGTACAACCTCAATTCAGCCAAATTAAACGTCAGCGTACAAGGTTATTGGATACAATTTGTTTCTTCAGGTACCATGCCTTAACATAATTAGTTTAATCTTCTTCTTTTGATAGAATTTACTGCAACATTCTAAAAGATTAGGGTGAAAACATAATAAGCAATAGTTGTTAATAATCTAATGTTGACGATACTGTTAAAAAAAAAAAAAAAAAAAAAAAAAAAAAAAAAAAAAAACTAGTTAGATTCTTGAAATAATAATAATAATAATACTCTTCTTTCACAGTAAGAAAGAATCAGGACGCATGTTTTATAAATTTTGGTTTTTAAAATAATAAGCCTCAAATCAAAGAAAAAAAAAACAATTTAAATTTTAAGGCGCAATTGTGCACCATAATGATTAAGTGACGTTTTGTTGCACAGAAATAAATATCATCGTCTTTTATACTTTCTTTTTTGTTTTCGTCTTTTTTTTTTCTATTATACTACTATAATGCATTTTATAGGAGAAGCGTGTTATAGAAGAGTATGTTTATCACTCTATATATATATACGACAATATGCAAAATAATAATAATAATTAAACAATGTAATCATTAAATGCGTATCTGCTTTATATTCTACATTATATAGCCCTTGGAACCTAGAATTTTGGCATATAGTCGAGGGAGTACTGCAATCACTATGGGTTTATTATTTTTAGCTTTCTGCGAGTATCTAATAAGTCAAGTATGTTAATTATCATATATATATATATATACGCATATGTAGTTATTATTCCAAGCTAAAATATGTTAGATATATAATGATAGCCCTTTAATACAAATATCTTCTGAACAAATAAAAACGGATATAGAGACTCCAGATATTGAAATATGTGTACAAAATTCTACGATACGTATCGTTAAATGTAGTGCGATGTATTACAACTGGACAGTTATGGATATTCCAGATTGCTGGGAAAATTTTTTTTATCCTGGTTTGAATAATGGAGATCAAACCAAATGCTACTTATTTACAACTAACAATGAATTCCGTATGGCTCCTGGCCTTAGTCCTGACCATAGAAATGGTTTGCGAAGGTTAGATTTTTATTGGAATATTGATAATATTTCTAATATAAGTTATGCAACCATTACTGTGCCAGCTATTGCTGTTCAACTTTACGATCATCGTTTTTCTACCTGGGCACCGGAGACTATCGGTGATACGGCTGTAGAGGTAGACTAGAATTTACCAAAGTTGAAAGTGCTTATAAACTTATATTATTATCAATATTAATATAAACTAGAAAGAGAAGCTTGCTAGTATTCAACTGGGATCATCAAGGGCAACATCTTTTCTAAACCATTCGTCGAGTATTTTTTATTATGTTGAAAAGTATCGAGCAATAAAGCACCGTGATGCTGCTTCTATTTTGGGCTTAGTAAGTTTATTATGAAATTAATAAATATGAATATATGAATGACTTTTATATGATAGAAACGAAATTATGTAGATATCTTTACCCTTGTCAATTTTCAGCATAATTGGCCGCTTCAAGCTAATCTTTCTTCTACTTTTGATAGAGATGTAAGTGTATATATTATTATTATTAAATCAAAAGTCCATTCAAATAGGTGAGTAGAATATATATTAACTTACTCTTTTTTTTTTCTTTTTCTATTAGCTGTATCATGGAGTCTTTTCTGTACAGCTAGCACGGAGTACAATTGAAATTAAGGTAATAACGATTATATATACAAATATATATTTTTCTAAAAAAAATAGCTTTCAAATATAGACAGAAATTAGACAACATACTGTACTTGCTGCTATAGCCTTAGCTGGTGGTTGTTATGGTGTATTTACAACCATTTATATCTTATTATTCGGTATGACAAGATTAACACCATGGGGTCTTGTGCACCATATACCTGCTCTGATTAGTAATAAAAATCAACAACACATGGATACAACCGATGAAGAATCAAACATAGATAAAAGTAATCAAGATACACAACAAGCCTCACATGTTAAGAAGAATAAGCGTACTATAACTATACCATGGTTTTTCCGTAGACATATTAATGAAAATAAAACATTTACATTTCATAAACATGGCGACGCTTTCATCAAGAAAATGATGATTCAACAGCGAGGAACAGAAGAAAGGCATTCTTTAGATAATCTAAAAAAGGATGGATCCAAATATTCACCAGAAATATCACTGTTACACGCAAAGAAAGATTCTGATATCTTATCTGATGCGAGCAGTAGAAGTGATAAAATAGAAGAATGCAGACCATCAAAATTCAATAAAGTAACATCATCCGTTAGTACTTCTTTCAATACGAATCAGGATCCAGCTGAAATTATTAACCAATTATATATACAAAAAGATAAATCAAGCAGGCTTGAAGCAATATCAAATGAATTATCAAACCGTGTTGAAGAACTAGAGATAATATTAAAAGAATACTTTATTAACACGACTTATTTGGATCAAATAAGAAGACGTACATCTATACTTCCTGTTAACAATGAAGAAAATAACAATTCATCATGATAAATTCTATATATAAACAAATAAATATATATATATATATATATATATATACACATATACATATACATATACATAAATACCTATTTGTTATAGTTGTCAGTACTAAAAATGTAGTGACTATCTCATAATATCTTCATATTATATCTAATAATAAAAATGATCAAGATCAACAAACTCTATGTGGGTAATATTGAAGCTATTAGTTATTTCCTTGATCTAATTAATTATAACTTCGCAGACTACTGAGTTATCTAGCTTCCTGTACTTTATGTGTAGAGGGCACAATAATTCTTCTATGTATTTTCCAGCAAAAGATATTATAACAGTACTTTTTTTTTTATTGGCACTAATATTTTCGAGTTGCATAATGATAGTTAATTGTTCTTATTTATGATTTATTTAGAGCTGCTTTTTATCTTTTTAGTTAACTCCTGTAGCTCTCATATAAATCAATCATTATTACTAAACTAACACTACTGCAGTACTTTATTGGTAAAGTAATGCTAACTATAATAATTCTATCGAACAAATCTTTGGTCATTAGTATGTCTTTTTCACTTTATTTGTAGTTAATTCTCCTTAAATTATGTCTCAAAACCTAATAGTAGAATAGTACTAGTACTAAAAAAAAAAAAAAAAAGAATTGTCTTTATCATTAAAGACCCTATCGATCAATATCTACTATTGCTCCTTTATAAGATATAAGTGTACGTATTAATACCATATCTTGAAATAAATAGACTCCATGAGTTTGACATCTATGTAAATATTGTAAATTCAATTATCACTGTAATTTGAAATCTATACACCGTCCATTATTCTTCTATTATTGCTTCTAAATCATTATTAAATAATGTTTAAACTTATTAATGTCAACTCGAGTAAAAATACCCTTGAAATAAAAGCTTTTTTTTTTTTTTTTTTTTTTTTTAAATACGCTCATCAAATTTCTTTTATAATAAGAATACACATGTATTGCTTTTAACCAATAGGGAACGTTAAGCAGCTCAAGTATCAAGAAATTAAAAATATTTTATACACGTTCCCTTCCATCCTGAGTTATTTTGCTACAGAAAAAAAAAAAACTATGATATAATTAGGTAAATTACTATCTGTCAAAATTGAAACAATTACTTTTATTTACTTTAATAATGAAGCTTACTACTTTATTATCGATGATGTAAAAACACTTTAAAGAAAAAAAAATAAATGAAATAACAGAGTCTTTATTTAAGTCGTTTTGTTTATCAAAATAGTAGCATTAATTCTTATTTCATCATTATTATAATATTAGAAGCCTTTTTTTGTTTTTTTTTGAAACCTGATCGAATTTAATTCCCTGATTTTCAAAAACAGTAACATGCAAAATGAAGTGAATATTTTACATTTAATTTTTTTTTTCTATATTTTCTTTTTATTTCCCTTTATTATAATATAATGACAACTTCAAAGTACGAGGAATCAGTTAAAGAACTTTCATCTCAAGACATTTCAAAAAAACTAAAAGCTTTACGTTTTATTAAAAACTCAGTTATCGGTAATAAAACAAAAAAAGAGTTATATATTAAGCTTGGTGTTATTCAAAGGTAAATTTGCAATTAGAAAAAAAAAGAAAGAAAAAAAGGAAAAGAGAAAGAAATCATGGACTGTCATTGAATGTATCATAATATAGACTTGTAGAATATTTATCTTTACCATACGATGATACTTCTTATACTTTAAAAATTCAAGCTGCTACCATTCTTGGTAGCATTGCTTATGGTAAATTTATAATTTTCTAGGAAATGGCATATAATTTATGCATTTTCCTAATGTCATTTGTTTAGGCAAAGATGAAAATGTTTCTGCTATTGCTGCTTCAGGTGCTGTTATACCTTTACTCAATACTCTTGAATTACCCGGAAATAAACCTATTTTAGAAGCTGTGCAAGAAAGACGAAAATTACTTGAGGCATCTACTAGAGCTTTAAAGGCTATTTTTGCTTCTTCTCGAAATATAAACTATGCAGTTTTTACGGTAATATTTATTTTAAAAGTACTGCATTTCATTTTATTTATTTATTTATTAATACGATATACTAGGATAAACATGTTCATGATCTTGTATTAATATTGGATACTACTTCAAATTATCTAATTCATGAGCCTAAAGGGAATGTGTCCTCTGAAGGATTATCTTTTGCAATGATTGCTGAGTTTACAGCTGCTATTATCGCAAAATTCTGTGATACCCAATTGCAACAAATACAATTAGAGCAGGCTGGTGCTATTCAGCCTCTGGTGAATTTATTAAATTCAGGATGCATTAAAGCTCAGGAGGCTGCTCTAGATGCAGTTGCCACTTTATGTCGTGAAAACAAGGAACTAGGAGAGCAAATCATTAGGTTGAAGCGTAAGTAGAATTCTATATTTATTTATTGTACATAAAGAATAACACTTGTAATATATATATATTTATATCACAAATGGTTTAATAGCAATAAACTCAAATCAGTTGACAACTAACACTATGCTTGATTTTGTAAAGAGTAGATCTCCTAATATTCGATTAATAGCTGCTACATGGTATTGCTCCATTTTATTTTATTTTATTTTTTTAAGATGAAGTATTTATTTAACATTTATTATAGTTTAACCAACCTTTATCGAACTGGTGTACTTTCAGAATCTTTCAATGAAATTACCTTAGTCGTTCTACCTGCTCTTGTAAAATTACTACAGGATCCAACTGATGATGTTCAAGAAAGAGCACCACTTGTTTTGGCTGATTTAATAAAGGACAGCGAAGAAATGCAAAAAGCTGCATATGATGCAGATGCTATATCTCGTTTAGCAGAATTATTAGCCAGTGTTTCATCAACTGATACTGAAGAAGAAGATAATTCTCAATTAGGTGTGCCTGGTACAGGTAGCATAGCAAAAAGAAAAGAGAAAATTAAAGAGGTAAATATAGTTTCAACCAAGTTAATAATAATAAAACTGATACATGTTTTATATAATAGAATTCACTAATCGCTATTGCAGCAGCCACATTATTGAAAGAAGAATGCCGTACACAGGCCATTGAAGCAAAAACATTACCACATATTATATCAGGCTTGTATAGTAAGTACTATAACGTTCGGTTAGCAGCCTGCCAAGCCGTTAAGTCCTTATCAAGAAGCGTTAGTCATTTACGAACAAGTTTAGTTGATGCGGGTGTAGCTGAACCATTAATTAAAGTAAGCATTGAAAAAAAAACTGCAAAAAAAGAAGAGAATAATAACCAAAAAATATATAACAAATCTTAGTTATTATATGATGAATCTATTGTTGTTCAAGCTGCTGCTTGTGGTGCGTTATGTAATTTGGTACTTGAATTTTCACCCATGAAAAAGAGTGTGATTGAAGCAGGCGCAATTAATCGTTTCGTTGAATTTTCCAGATCCAAGGATATTAATCTGCAGCTTAATGGTGTATGGGCATTGAATAATTTATTGTTTAGAGCAGACTTGCAATCAAAGAAATCTGTAATGGAGGCCCTTACATTTGATGCTCTTATTGAACTTCTACATGAGCCTGTACCCGCAATTCAGGAACAAGCTTTAGAAATTGTTCGCAATTTGGTATTTGGAAAGCAAGAAGATACTGATTGGGTTATTGAAGGTATAGGAAAGGATGATCTTTTAGACGTATTAGAAGCTAAATTACAACCAACATCGAGTATGGGAGTTGAAGAGGAAGAGGAAGCAATAACATCAGTAAGTAATGAAGATTTTATTCAATTTTTATACGTATATAACACTATTTATCATATTGTAGACGTTAGTGCCTGCACTTTATATTGTTGTGAACATGTCAAGTAATGCTGAGGCTCCTAAAATAGCTCTTATGAGTCGAACAAATATTGTAAATAGTATTATTCATCATTTGGTAAAGTACCTTAGAGGACAATTTTTATCACTTTCTTTTTCTTACTTTTTATTTTTTAAAGGGACACGAAGATTCTTCAGTTAGAGTAGCTGCTGCATGGTGTTTTATTAACTGGACTTGGGCAAATGCTGATGAAGATCAAAGTGGTAAAAAAGAAAAAAAAAAAAAAAAAAAAAAAAAAAAAAAAAAAAAAGAGAGAGAGAGAGAAAAGGAAATACTTATTTTTTTTTCCTAGATCTTTTCGCTCGTTGTAATCGTTTACGAGAGTTAGGAGTTGAAGAAAAACTGAAAGCAATGGAAAACGATCCAAACAGAGATGTTCGAGATAGAGCAAGCAGTGCATTAGAACAACTTCATGAAGTGCTTACTGATACACTTACTTAATTCTATAGAGCGTTTCTTTATATGTGCATACATTTTGTCTCTATCTTTATATTTGTATTTAGATATTAATGTATATATAAAAGACAAGTAAATCAATATGCTGATTTTTTATAATCTTAAAATCAAAATAAGAGGGGGGGGCAGCAGCATATGATTGTTAGAATAAGAGTAGTATAGCAATAATATATGGTATCAAAAATAAAATTTCTTGCTTTTCTTTATATATATATATGACGCATTTTTTAAAAAAAAATACAAAGAAAAAAACTTCCAGGTGCGAGTAAAGGACATATATCTGTATTTACATGATTACCTTTCACTCTTCTTATGCTAATTAAGCCACACAAATACCATTGTCAGCTTTGGCATTTAGGATAAGGGCGACAATTAAACCATAAAGACCAAGAACTTCTGCAAAAATTAAAATCAAAACCATTGTAACAAATAAACGACTTTCTCTAACATAACCACGAACACACTATTCTGCATATTAGTTTAAATTCTGAAATAATTCAAAGCTCATAACTTACATAATCACCAACAATACCAATAGCATATCCAGCAGCTAAACCGCCCATACCAACTGATAATCCAGCTGCCAAAGCAATAAAACCACTAATAAAAGAAAAAAAAAAGTTAAACTTCCTGCTAATATATAAATACATATATGCAAATGTATATTTACTAACTTACGAGTATAAAGAATAGCCAGTAGTTGGTGATACTATGCAGATATACGTTATTAACAAGCATCAAGACAATACCTAACTTATCAACTTACATTGACCGGCTAAAAGAACTGCAACTACTAGACCATATACAGCAATAATACCACTCATAACGACAGGAATTAAAGACTATACAAATCACAAAAGAAAAAAAAAAAAGATGAAGTTATTTCATAAATTATAGTTCTGGACAATTTTTACCTTCATTACTAGTTCAGGTTTAAAAGAACCAATACCAGCAATACCAATGCCGGCTTTTGAAGTACCATATGCTGCTCCAATAGCTATTATAACGGGAAAAAAAAAAGGAAGTAGGAGTGAGTTTGTTTCAAAATTATCGATTATTGACATTTTTGCGATAGTTTTCTTAGATTATATAATTGATAAGAAACTGGATACTTACTACTGAAAGCCATCTATGTACAGCAAAAAAAAAAAAAAAAAAAAAAAAAAAAAAAGGAGGTTAATTTACATGTTTCATCACATTTTAACGTGACATTATATTAACTTTAGTAATTTACAGCACAAAAGACTCCAGCAAATCCAAAGAAAGGAGCATAACTTGGACAGTAAACTTCTGAATCAGCCATTATATTTTAAATAAATTTACTTGTAAATGAAAAAGTAGTTAAAAAGAAAGTATTCCAAAAAGAAAGACCACAATAAAAAAAAAAAAAAAAAAAATTGGCGTCATCATCATCCTAAATATTAAATTGCCGACTAAAAGCACTATTGATCCTTTTATGCCGCTACTGATAATTTGACCAAAGCAAATCAATATTTAAATGTTATATGTAGAAGTCATTGACAACACTTAATAATCAAGTGGTAAAAAAAAAAAAAAGAAAAAAAAAGCCACAAGATGTCTATATATATATATACGCACTACAATTTATCAAGTAAAATCTTACAACACATACTATTCTATATTGAATCTATTTCTTTTTCTTTTCGTTTTTTTTACATATTAAAATGATTAATAGTTTACCCAAAGAAATATTATTCAAAATATTTGACTACCTTTCTGAAGAAGAAATGAGAGCTAATAAAAGTGCCTTCAAATTAGTAAATAAATCTTGGTGCAATGCTATTAAAGCTATTTACGGCCACACTATTTCAGTTCGAGTTAGAGAAGAGAAGTTACCTGATTTATATCGAGATCTTTTACTTTGCTCACATTTAGCTGAGAAGATAGAACATCTGCAAGTAATGGAATTTTGGAAAGAAGTTGATTTAATTTTACCACATATTGAACTTCAACATATCTTATTATTGTGTCCAAATTTATCAGAGTTGTCAATTGATATCTTGGATGGTTTACCTGCCTATCTGGAGGCTATAAGACAAATTACTTATTATTTAAATCATATTCAGAAATTTTACATATGCAACTTACAAGCATGTTCAAGAAGCAGGAACATGTTTTACTTTCATATATGTTTAGAACTTAGAAATAGCTTGACTTATTTTGAAATTTCGAATGGTACAACCTATAGGGTTTTAGAAGATCACTATGGAGGTATTTCTAATTTTCTTCAGCAGTTTCCCAATTTACACCATTTAAAAATCAAGTTATCACCTTATATGAAAATGAATCGTTGGAGCATTAATTTGGCAAGTTTATTCGATAGTTGTAAGGCTCTGCGAAATACAGAATTTGTATTAGCAGGATTCCTTTCTCAAAATTTGGTGGTACCTGTTAAAGAATTGAAAAAGATTAATTGTGAGCCGACTTACAATTCACTTAAACATCTTCAAATACAACTAAGCACAATTCATGGTCAAACATTAAGGTACATCATGACCAAGTTCAAAGGACTGAAGATGCTATCACTAGATATTAGCTGTGGTGTTATATTCAGCAAACCAAGCGAAAAGACGCGCGAAGCAATTGAAACTTTTTTTAATCAATTCAATGAATTTATAGAAATGATCGATTCTGTTCATGTGTATTTTAAATGTTATGGTCAACGTGTAAGTTACATATTTATACTAAATAGCTGTATTTTAACAATTGTTCGTTTTTTGTTATATAAAGTACATAAAAGATAAGGTACCAAGAAGACTAAAAGGAATTGTATATAAAAAATAAAAAGGCCATTAAAAGATGTTGTAGAAAAAAAAAAAAAAGAAAAAAGAAAAAATAGAATATTAACCAGGCTCTATTCATAAATTATATTTGCTGCATAACACTTAATTTACCCTTTTCTTATTTATGCACATAAGAAATTAAAGATAAAATATTCAAATCTTGTTATCAACAAATAAACAAAAACGATTTATGTACGCTTAAAAAAAAAAAAAAAAAGACGAGAAGATTTTACTCGCGGTTACCACGACCTATAATCAAAGAAATAAAATAAAAATAAACATTAACTTTTCATGAAATAATACCAATTTGTCAGTATAACTTACCAAGGCCACCACGGAATTCAGGCTTAAAATCACCGCTGGCACCTTCCTTGCGTCTGTAGTTATCACGATCACCACGAGGACCACGGTTTTCACGATCACCACCAACTAAACCATAAAATGAGTCTATATATCCCTAATATATAAATACAAAAAAAAATCAATACTTACAGTTACGACGAGGAGCAGCAGGACGAACAGTCTTCTTCAAGGTAGCAGGAACAATTTCTTGAGGCAAGTGAAGATCTAGTAAAAAAAAAAAAAAAAAAAAAAAAGGGTGGAATGTTAACAGGGTTTATATGCTCATTTAAGTTTTCTTCTTTTTTTTTCCACTAAATGCTTACATTCACGGAGATAATCAATACCCTCATCAGTAAGGGTATAGTAGAACCATTGCCAAGAGAATTGAGTCTTGACGAAACCCTTGGAAGTCAAGGATTGCATAGCTTTAATGACTTCAAGGTTAGGAACATCAATATCGGGATGCTTGGCAAGGTTGAAGTCCTTAGGGGCAACGAGAGCACCATCTACATGACAGATTAGATCTCATGGCTCTTTTTGCATTCTACAAAAAATATTTACCCTTGAAAATAGCCGAAAAAATGGCTTTTCTGTTCTCCTTGGAAATAAGCATGTTGGATTCTACGTATCAAAGAAAAAGTTTAATTAAGGCAAAATAACTACATCCATCCATGTGGAAAAAAAAAACAAAAAACAAAAACAAAGACGCATTCATCAGATTTCCATTAACAGTCAAATTCATTAAATTTCTGTCTCAATTAAAGATCATTGTTAAAACCATCAATCTCTAAACATGTTATTCCAAGATATGTCTATTATCATTTATTTTGCAATTTGTAATTCGATGATTATGAATTGTTTGTCTCTAATATAGTAGTTTTTTGTTGGATGGATGGATGGATGGATGGATGCGTAAATAAACTAAAAAAAAGTATGATTTATGGCTCTTTTTGTTGATATTTTTTTTGATGATGCTCTTTCTTTTTATTTTTCTAAATGGATGGATGTAAAGGTATCAGATAGAACTTACCTATGCGGGGAAAGAAGAAATTATAGACCTTAGGTCTCCCTCGTTTTGACTTGATATGACTCTTTGGTCCTCCTCTCTCTCACTCCAACTCCCCCCCCCTTTTTTTTCCTTATATGTTCAAACGCCGCTAAAGAGTTCACCCAAAAAAGGAAGTTCTTTTAATATACACCATTTTTAAAATTCACACATAAAACAACAATCAAATGAAACAAGTTTTAAGCAGTAGAATACATTATAGGGCAAAATACAACTTTATGCACAATAGATGCATTAAGCATTTATTTCAGCTGTAAAGTAAACATTGTCTGTGCACTAAAAATGTGACCGTCGTATTATTCTACTACTAGTAAACCATGTTGTGTAATAGATTCTATTTGCAGTGGCAATAAATCTTTTTTTTTTCCTGTTTCCTTTCTCCACTTTTTTTTTTTTATAAATGAAAGTACAAAAATTGACTAGAAATATAGTTCAGAATTTTTTTAAAGAAAAGCAAATAGATTCTCAAGAATGGCATTGCTGCAATTTAGAATTCAAATCAATACAAGGTATAGGACGTCATGTTCATACACATCATCAAGTTGACATTCATAAAAGAGAACAAGAAGAACTGCATAAACTAGAAGAAATGAATTTATATAAACAAAATGTGCAAAAATTAAAGCAAAGACGAGCTAAAAAGGTAATAGTAATATATATATATACATATACAAAGTTATGCATATATTAATATTTTGATAATAATATTAGGGATCTTCAGATCCTATTCGTATTAACTGTCAATGCCAACAAACAAATAGATCAAAGGTCATTCTTTTTTATAAATACGTAGATATCCCTGATCCTCTTCAGTTTGCTCTGGATCATCAACGTTATTGCACAACACTTACCGGCAAAGTTCGTATTGCCTCAGAAGGTCTGAATGTGACCTTGGCTGGACTAAATGAAGATATTGATGCTTACATTAACTGGTTAATATATACAGAACCTTTTGCTGATTGTCTCAATAGTCTTGAATCATCTCAACTTGCACGCTATCAGTTCTTTAAGCCTTCAGCTGGCTGTCGTCATGTCTTTTCTGATCTTTCAATCAGACTCGTAGATGAAATCTGTCCTTTAGGACAAAATAACATTCAATTAAATAATTTAAAAGACACTAGCCAGCAACATGGTAAACTTAGTCCTGAAGATTTTCATCACAAATTGCTCCTCTCTTCCTCCAACGATATTTTGTTAATCGATACAAGAAATTATTATGAAAGTAAAATTGGACATTTTGAGGGTGCTATTCAACCATCTATTCGTAAATTTAGCCAATTCCCAGAATTCGTTGAAAGAAATATAGAGTCAATGAAGGGTAAGACAATTATGACATATTGTACGGGTGGTGTACGTTGTGAGAAAGCAACAGCTTTTATGCGTCAAAAGTTACCCAATGAGCAAATTTACATGTTGGATGGCGGCATTCATAATTATCTAGAATGGTGGGAAAAAAAGGAACAGAAAGAAGAGGACAACAATAAAAAATCGCTTTGGTTAGGAAAAAATTATGTCTTTGATGCTCGGCAATCGCTTCATCATGGTTCATCAACTCTAATTATAAGTACATGTCAAAAATGCAATAAAACACCATGGGATAAATATGAGAAATGTGCTTCTGTTGGATGTCATTTATTAGTACTTTGTTGTGATGATTGTTATAATAGTCATTGTGAAGGGAAAATATACTGTTGCTCGGCTTGTAAAAATGGTCTATCAAGGCATGATTTGTGTATTTGTGAAAAGGAGCGTCGAAAAAAGGAATTAACAGAGATGATTTAATTTATACTTGTTTTAATTTATTTATATAGAACAAAAAGAGAGAGAAAAAAAAAATACAACAAAAAAAAAATATATATAAAATATTCATATACACATATATAATTCCGAATAAGAAAGATATGTTCTAGACTTACAACGGTGAAAGGGAGGGAGGAGCAGGGAGGAGGGGAAATATAACAATAATAATAAAGTGATATGTATTATTATATGGCAGGCACAGTGTTCCAGTTAGTATACTTGGAAGTGGGATCACACCATAGTTCATCCTCTTCACTATCAGGATCATCCATCCACCTTGTACTTGATTTTAATGAAAGAAGTTCCTTACGAGGAGGTGGCACGGGCTCGGTTTCAGACTTTTCTTTTTGTAATGGAATAATACGTGGTAGTTCATTTGCTTGACCCATTGTAGATGATCTAGGACGATATCTAGGAACAACAGGTGTTGTTATTGCCTTTGTCAAGTTACTTTCTTCTTCATTTACAGGGACAGGGGGTAAAGGTTCATTCGGTGGAGGAGCAAGAGGCATAGACCAGTTTGTTGTAGCATTTGTGTCTTTGATAAGATTAAAGTGGTTTGTAGTGGCATTACTAAATCGGTTATTACCATTATGAATTAAATCCGTGTGTTCATCTGTAAGCGATTCAGCAGCACTAATCAAGGAGACAGGCCTCACTTGTTGTGACTTGGCAGACGAGTAAGAAAAGTGTTTGATTTCAGCAATTTGTTCTTCTTCTTCATAGGAATCAAAACTAATAGTACTACTATTAGATGAAGCAGAGCACTCACTGGGGCTTTGAGAAACACTACTGAGATGACTTTCAGAATCAAGTAATTGATGATAATGACTACGTTGTTGATAAATAGATTTTTGTTCATCTTCAGAGGTATAGCGCATCAAAATAGAATCAGCATCGTCATCATCATTATCATCATCATTGTCTGAGGCAGTGTTTATAAAGTCACGAATTTGGGAAATATGTAAATGAGTTTCAGAACTCTTTTCATCATGATAAAAGGCTTTTGTAGTAGAGAGAGGAATAGCAGAGTTTGTATCGTGATTGAGAGAGACTTGCTTTTGTTGACCAATTGTTTCACGACTTGTATCACGACTACTCATGAGTTCCGTTAAGAGGGTATCTTTTTCGAGAATACTTTGTGTAAGTTTCATCATTTGAGCTTCCATAGATATCTTTTGATTTCTAAGTTCAGTTTGCAAGTCCAAGATTGTTTTATCTTTTTGTTCGAGAGCCTCCTTTAAGGAATTCACTTGATCTATTATAGGCTCTTTAGCTACCTTACTTTCAGAATTAGACACTAATTTTTCTTTCAGGTTTTTGATTTCAGCTTCATGCTCAAATTGCTTTCTAATTAAAAGAGCCTTTATTTCGTGATCCATCTTATCCTTGTAACGATCAAATTCGTCTTGAATCTCTGTGGATACAGTCATTATCAATTTCATCTGACCTTGACTCAATTCTAACTCGGCACATAAGGCATTAATGGTGTCCTCCATAACGCTCTTTCCTTTCTTGAGGGCAATCAACTCTTGACGCAAGCTATCCATCTCTGTTTGAGTCTCCTTCAAGTAACTAGCTTCGTCGGTTAAACGGGTTAAATGACTTAAGCTCTCTTCATACTCATTTAATAATTTATCTTGTTTAATGAGAAGATCAGCAAGTTGACGACTACGTTCGGTTTCCTTTTCTCTATCTTCCTCGAGGGTAGCTATACTTTTACGGTTTTTTTCGTCTTGAAATTCTAGTTGATGCCTGTAGAATTCAATATCCTCCTTGGCACGATTTAGACGAGCATTATTTTGAGCAAATTTAGTCTTGAGGGTTTCACATTCGAACCAAAGAGAGGCAGCTTCATCACGAGAAACAGTATCTTCAGATTGACGTTCAAGAACTTCTTTTTGATTTTCTAATTGACGCTTATAAAACTCAATTTCTTCTTGAGCTTTCTTAACACGAGACATTGCTTGAGCATGTCGAGTCTTGTAAGTTTCGCATTCAAACCAGAGAGCAGCTGCTTCTTGATGAGGAACGGTATCTTTAAGAAGCTCTTGTTGCTGTTTAAGCTGACGTTTATAGAACTCAATCTCTTCTTGAGCCTTCTTAAGACGAGCAGTTGCTTGAGCATACTGTGTCTTTAGAGTCTCATATTGAAACCAAAGAGCAGCCGCTTCTTGATGAGGAACGGTAGTTTTGTCTTGAATAGTGCTTGTAGCAATATCTGTCACTTTTGTGACATAACAAGGTAAAGTAGATGGAGTTGTAGGGGCAGTTTGAGTTATTGTCGCTGTTGTTGTTGCTGTTGCTGTTTCTGCTGCTGTTGCTGCTTCTGCTGTTGTTGCTGTTTCTGCTGTTGTTGCTGTTTCTGCTGTTGTTGCTGTTTCTGCTGCTGCTGCTGCTGTTGTTGTTGTTGTTGTTGTTGTTGTTGTTGTTGTTGTAGATGGCTTAACAACAGGTATAGTTAATTTGGTATCATTCTGTTCTACTGTATTTTTCATGTCTAACTGGGATGGGAAAACTAAAGAAGACTTTTCTTCTTGTTGTTGTAGTTTTTTAGCCCCGGTAGGAGATAGTTTATGAGATTCAAGTGCAGCTGAGACATCATCGACCATCTTTTTTGTAATTGTTGAAGAGGTACGAATGCGAGTTCCGAAAGTATCATTTGAGTTAGGTGACCTTGGAGGAGTATGTTGAGATGAAGAAATTTGACGAGTACCTATAACAATAATATATAAGTATTAAATATTTATTATAAGGAGGTTCCTTCCATTTTTTTTAGATAAAATGAAACAGTGAGGAAACGAGAAGGTTTTTAATTTTTTAATTTTTTTTTTTTACCTCCTGAATTATTACTGTCTTTTTGAATGAATTTATTAGACCAAACAGAGGAAACAGCTCCTATGTTTTTTAATCTAGCTAATTCTTTATCCACTTTTTTTGATGTTTTTAAGGTATTGTTATTATTGACATTATTAAAGAGAGATGAGCGTTGCTTTAGCCATAAAGGAGAATCATTTCTTACACCTTCTTTATTTGTTGAGGTTGTTTCTAACATTTTAGCGTTACTATTAATAGATATTTAAAGGAATGTATAGATATGATGTACTAGTGAAATTATATATATTTATTGAAATAAATTTATATATATGAGAATATAGGTAAATTTATTATATATTTATATGTACGTGTATGTATATAATCAAGTTTAATATATGAAGAAAGAAAAAAAAAATAAAAAAATAAATAAAAAAAGAAAGTAATTAAATATGAAGATCAAATTAAAAATATAATTTTATTAGAGAAACTAATGAGCGGAGAAAGCGGATTTTCTCAAAGTTCAGCGGAGCCAATGATTTCGGCAAAAGGAAATATAGCACATGTCGTTCCAGGAACATACACACGAAACTTAATATGTACAATGCGTACTACATTAACATCAGTCTATATATAAAAAAAAGGATTTTTATAAGATAATGTACTATGCGTCACATGTATACTGCCTGGGATATACAAGTTTCTATTATACTAATTAAGCGTATAAGTATGTATTTATAGCAATACTTAATTTGTATTCTTTTTTTTTTCTTTTTTTATAAATTTTTTTTTATGACAAAAAAAAAAATTACAATTAAACAACTAGAATCATATTATTAAATCCTACCATCTATCTTGATGATAAATAATGAATAAAAAACACGAGCCATTATTAATTATTATAAGCACAATGAAAGCTAATATGACACAGTTCGCTATTTTAATTGCAAAATAATAGAATAATCATTTTTTTCTAATAATAATATATTATGTCTCGTCGGTATAAAAACAAGGTAAGGAAACCGAATGTTTGAATAAATTATTTTATTATTTGGAGCCTGGTATATCTTTTCCCGTCTATTGCTTTTTTACCCTGTTCAGGAAAATATAAAGAATAAATAGAAACATTTTTTTTCTATCTCAATCTTCTTTTTTTTTTTTATGATGCTAAACAACAGCCATAATGATGTCTCAAGAAAAAAAAAAAAAAAAAAAAAAAAAAAAAAAAACTAAAGTGTCGTACTTTTTGAAAAAACAAAAACAAAAAAAAAACAAAAAAAAAACGGCGTCATATGTTTTTAAGAAAAGAGTGTTACACAATCAGAAAAATAGTATCGCATTTAAAAAAAAAATAATAAAAAAAAACTATAGTGTTATGCTAAGAAAAAATATGTTACATGTTACTCATATAGTCAACGCCCAACTTCACCCATTATTTTCTTGTTTAAATTCTCTAGGGCTTTTTTTTCTACAGGCTTCAATTAAACTTTTTTAATAGGAAGAATCCATAAGTCGAAATGCTCGGGCAAAAGATTATTGTGCAGATGATCAATTGATTATTATTGCTAATCTAAGGAACAAAAGGAAAAAAAAACAATATATAAAAATATGTGGTAAAGAAAACTAAAAAAAAAAAAAAAAAAAAAAAAATAAGGAGAGACAAGAGAGAGCAGTGGATTATTAGATACAACTTCATTACTATAGTCGACCTTGCAACATGCGTGAAAAGATTTAGTAGTGGAGGATCCGAAATCAGAGCCTGTAATCCATCAACCGTTCATTAAAGAGAAGAGGATGAAGAAAGAAGGAGAGAAGGAGGAGATTTGACGAGCTAAAGCTAACCAGGAGCAGAATCTGTAGAGTAATCCCCTTCAAGATTATAGATCTAGTCAAAGTGCCAAAGGATACAACACGTATCGACCCGAAAGGAAGGACAGGCTGCCGAGGCAGAAGAAGGAAGGGAACAGAGAGCATGATCAATACGATTATCTCTAAAATCGAGTAGTATAGAGTTGAAACGCTCAAGTCATTGAAGTTACTGCATGAAGCCAAAATTTTAATGAAACAGATTCAGCCAGCTAACAGAATCAAGTAGTTAAAACTTTGCTTTTTCATCCCACCAAATAAATATAACACGCAATCATACCATCTATAGGCTCTTCTGTGAAGAATATAGCAAAGAAAATACAAGAAGACAACCAAAAAAAGAATGAGGAGCATGGCTTGTTTGATATGTGCTATGAAACTGATTCTAGGTGGTTCGTTCTGGTGCATTTAAATGTGATTCGTAATGATCCCTTAACTTTTAAACGTTATTTAATTGAATATCCAGCTCTGGATTCTACGAAAACAGAAGAAGTAAAATCTGAACCTGGAAAGCACTGAAAGATTACATACTATTCGTTATATTTCGGCTAATATATTAAATACAGTTTTAGAATTACGTTATAACATTTCTAAATGAGTTTTACATGAATGTATGAGTTACAAGCCTGAGATAGCATTTACAACTTAGTGCTCTAAGATAAAAATCAACTTTATGAGTGTGGTATTTACCAGGAAAAGGAAGAGAGAGTCGAATAAGCGTTACATAAAACTTCATATAATGAAAAATGAATATAGAGGTAACATATTATTGATGTTATCGAAAAAGAAAGAAATACCATTATTTATTCTCTATTTTAGAGTGTATTATAGAAGCTATCACTACCTATATTCCACACTATTAAAACTACATAAACTCTATAAAAAAAACAAGGATGCACCATCATTGGATACGCTAGGAAATCTATTAGCCACGAAGATGAAGAAATAGAAAAAGGGTTTTGAATAACATTGTAAAGTGTTTAAAAGAAAGATCTTTATGTGACATGATCTTTGTGTCTTGGTCTTGCTCGGTTTCCGATACCTTTGCTTCAAGAAATGTAAATGACAATACTGATTTGTTAAATGAATTAATAAGTGTGGATGGAAATGCTCAATGTAAGACCTAATATATTTACAAATATGTGAATATTTATTAACAACAAGACTAGGGCTAATCTTTTTCCTTAGCTATGATTCCTTATATCAATTCATCTGAAGAAGGCATTTGCCTTGTAGTCATATATTTTGCAGGATTGTCTACGAACACAGGCGATTTGTAAAGTTGTATCAAGTAAATTAAATTAAATACAAACAAACCAGCTTCAATTACATTTCTAACATATTCTTGCCAGTATCCAATGAAGGATAATAATAATTAACACATGACTTTATGACCACAAATTCCATAAATCCAAGAGAGTGGCCACTTTGAATGACTCGTCAATTCTATCCTCTTTTAATTGCAGACCAATTCCAGTTCAAAGGTTCAAAAAAGTCCAAGTATTTAGCTATTAACTATTTTTATCATCCAGGCTTATATAGCGAGTGTTTATGTGATAAACAAGTTTTATTTATAAGACATCCTTCTCTAAAATTGGTAAAAGGACATAATTAAAAAAAGATTAAGATCATTCACACAATCATGGTAATCAAAACGGTAAAAAAGTTACTTGGCTTATTCAGCTAAACTATCAAATGGTATTAACTTTGCCATTAAATGCTTCTTCATTTAAAGTTTTGCAAAGTTTAAAAATTAAAGGTTGAGAATGCATTTCAGCGAAAGTGAATAGAACGGACTGCCTAGAATTAGTTTCATAGCACATATCAAACAAGCCATGCTCCTCATTCTTTTTTTGGTTGTCTTCTTGTATTTTCTTTGCTATATTCTTCACAGAAGAGCCTATAGATGGTATGATTGCGTGTTATATTTATTTGGTGGGATGAAAAAGCAAAGTTTTAACTACTTGATTCTGTTAGCTGGCTGAATCTGTTTCATTAAAATTTTGGCTTCATGCAGTAACTTCAATGACTTGAGCGTTTCAACTCTATACTACTCGATTTTAGAGATAATCGTATTGATCATGCTCTCTGTTCCCTTCCTTCTTCTGCCTCGGCAGCCTGTCCTTCCTTTCGGGTCGATACGTGTTGTATCCTTTGGCACTTTGACTAGATCTATAATCTTGAAGGGGATTACTCTACAGATTCTGCTCCTGGTTAGCTTTAGCTCGTCAAATCTCCTCCTTCTCTCCTTCTTTCTTCATCCTCTTCTCTTTAATGAACGGTTGATGGATTACAGGCTCTGATTTCGGATCCTCCACTACTAAATCTTTTCACGCATGTTGCAAGGTCGACTATAGTAATGAAGTTGTATCTAGTAATTTTGTCTCTCTTCTTTTTTTTTTAAAAAAAAAATGCAATACAGTTTTCCTGATTATGTAACACTCTTTTCTAAAAAAAAAACACATATGGCGCTGTTTTTTTTTCTTGAGACATCATTATGGCAAAAGATGTGCTTTTTAAGAATGACAATTTTAGCTTTTTTGTTTCAAAAAATTATATTTTTAGGGCAGTAGTTGTCTTTTTAAATAAACAACAAGGAAATTTCTAAAAATTTCCTGTTTAAGTATTCTGTTTTTTTTTCTCATTAAATTAAAATTAAAAAACAGTTTATTAACAACACGGCAGTAACTTTTCTGTTGTCCTATAAATTAAATCTAAGATTCGGCTAAAACCATGATATCCACATACTGTCTTTTAAGGTTTTATCTTTATTCATATTTGGCAACAATATCATTATAAGAGATTGAATATGTAAATTTGAGACGGCAATTTTTTTTTAAAAAGGAAATATGTATGAGAATGGTTTCCATAGATACGGTAATTATATAATGTACATGCATATATTTGTTACACTAAATCACTCCTTTTGTTTAGTTGTGTTTTATATTTGAAATATGTCTCCATGGTAATTTAAAAAGGGACAACACATTATTGTAATCGTCATCATAACTTTATCACAAGCTGACTTATAATACCATATTTTCTAATCAAACATGCTGATCGTAAAATTATACAAAAAATTCTATTAAAATTCTCATAGTTCACTTCATCAAATAATATTAGAACATCTAACACTTCATTATTTACATGTTTTATTCGGTCATAACTAATAACATTTTACTAATTCACACCTTATCTCTGGCTTCTTTAACAATTCTTATAAATACTCATCAATTTAAATTCATTAATAAAATATTCGACTTTAGACCTATTGTTCGGTTTCATTGATTTCTTTTGTCTTTTATTATAATACTTTTTATTTGATATTCTATAGAAATCTTACAGACTTTTTTTTTTTTTGTACATATTAAAATACACCATTATTAGCTCAGTAATTATTATTATGTAAGCATATATTTTACTGTATTAGGCAACTTAATTATAATTGACATGTATTATACTAAATCCCATTTATTACATAATATAAAATGCTGACTGTTTTTTTTTATTTCTCAGCAACTGTCTTTTTTTTTAATTAATTTGCATAATTTAATTATTTGATTTCTTTTTATATACACATTTATAAAGATGGCCTATAAACAAAATAGCTAAATACCTACATACATTTTATTTTAACAAAAGAAAAGAGATATTCATACAATCAACTGCTTTTACTTTAATTATACAATTTTATTCACTTTTTTGTTTGATGAGAAAAGGGAAATATGAATAAAGAAAAAAAAATATTTTAAGCTCTGGAAGCTTCCTTAAAGTAATCAGCGAGACGACCTTTTTGAGGGACGAACTTAACATAACAACCATCAGGTCTAAGCTTACCAGCAGCACGAGCTTCAACATATTCTTCACGAGAGAGAGGAGTGAAGCCCCACTTCTTGGAGACAATAATCTTTTGTTGACCAGGGAACTTGTACTTGCAACGTCTCAAAGCTTCAATGACAACAGCCTTGTTAGAATCCTTGGTACGAACAGAGAAGATGATTTGACCAATGTTGACACGAGCAACGAGACCGTTAGGCTTACCGAAAGCACCACGCATACCAGTTTGCAATCTATCAGCACCAGCACAAGACAACATCTTATTGATACGAGTTACATGGTAAGGGTGAACACGAATACGCATATGGAAAGAATCTTTACCAGCAGTCTTGGCAATGTATTTGTTAGCACAGATACGGCCGGCTTCAAGAGCTTCAGCAGAAAGTTGTTCATATTCATTAGAAACCAAATGAACACAAAGAGGGAAATCATCAACAGATGCCTTCTTACGACCTAAATCATAAATTCTGAGTTTGGCATCAGGAACACCACGACAGTATCTAGACTTGGGATAAGGCTTATTTTTACAATATCTGTAACAACGAGCAGGACGACGACCCATTTTTTCTGTATATTAAAAAAAAAATAAGAAAACAATTAAAAAAAAAATACAAAAAAAAAAAAGACAAATGCCATTCTTCTTATTTTATTTTTTTTTTTCCTTTTTACTACGGCAGCTGCTTTTATTAGTCATCAATCAACACAAATTGCAGGTCACTTTTAGATGACTAAATGTAGTAAAGTTAACAAATTCATAAACTTTAATGCTCATTCAACTAAAGCTTTTTATTTATTCGAATGAATGGTAATGCCCAAATTGAATTGTATTAACATTGAAAATTGTAAAAATTACTACATTTTGAAAATCAGATGCCGTAATGTAGTAAGAAAAAAAAAATATCCATCCATTTAATTGATACTATGTATTCTTTTCCATCCATTTATTTCTATTCACTATATATCCTTTTATTTAAAATTAAAAATAAATATCTTACCTATATCAAAAGTACAGGCAGTAAAGGAAGGAATCAATCGAATTGATGCTTTTTGTCTACCTTTGTCATTCTACTATCATTTCTCTCCCCCACTTTCTTTTCTTTCCCTCCTCCTGTCATTCCCGCCACTGCCGCAACAACTAAGCTATTTTCACTTGAGATTAAGACAAATTCAATTTTTTTTAAACCAATTAAATTTAATTTTGGACAACTTTATCATTTAAGCAATTTAGACAGACTTTATCTTTGATAGATAATACTTTATTTTGGCTGTTGCTTTAGTCTCATTTTTTTTTTCGCTACTATTGTAATAATGCACTTTTATGTCTTTCCTACAGTTTGAAGTCTGTACTTCTATTTTTTTTTAACTAGTTTCCAGTACTCTCATTTATAAAGGAATATATTTGCAATGTCTTTTTTTCCTTCAATTTAATCGTTGCTATTATTATAAAATATCAAATTTAACTCGATCATTCACATGTGATTAGCCTTTGTGTGTATATGTATATGTTTATTTGCTCCCAAAACATAATACCGAAATTTAGATAGTATGAAGCCTTTTTGACCAAAGAGGAATTAAAAAAAAAATGTTGATTTAATAGCAAAAGAAATCAATATGGATACAAATAGAATTATTTCTTTTATCACAACATGATATAACTAACTTATCTGCTTGAAAACATTCTTCTTCTTCTGGTAGATGATACTACAAATCCCGTAGAAAACAGGAGATGTGATTTTTTTTTTTTTTTTTTTTTTTTTTTTTACTAGTATGAGTAAGCTTTGATAACTTATGAGTATGGCAATGAAGAGTTGAATATTATGACATTTACCGAAGAAGGTGCGTCAAATGATTATAGAGAAAATAAAGAATTAATTTTATCTCATATAATTTATTTATGTACTACACATGAATACTTTTTTTTTATTTTTTCTTTGATCTAAGTTGTGTACGGATTGTTAACTTTAAACCTTGTTTTGCTAAATGACGTGATAATTGACTTGATTCTATGACAAAGTATTAATCTATTATGTTTTGTTTGTATCCTATATTCTAGATCACCTTTCATTCCTGGGTATCCTTTTGCTGTATAAACAGTAAATGGCTCCGAAAAGACTTCACGGATCACTTTATTTCTGTATATGCAAATGTATGTGTGTATGTGTGTTTATGTGTGTATATGCGTGTTCATTATTAAAGTTAGTAATATATGACAATGTGATATACCTTATTAAATGAATCAAACTAAACTTTAAGCAATATTGACCTGTAGTACGAACTGACAGATCAGGAAAAGCAAAATAGTAAGCCTTTTCATTATCTAAATCTTTTAAAAGGGAAGGTGAACTAACAAGTGAACCAATTAAAACTTTAAAGGGCGTATCTGATACTAGACTTCTCAAGACATCATATTGTATTTTCATATTTGTTGACCAAAGTGTAACATGAAGTATATAAAATGGACATTCAATACTAATATGAGCACATATGAGTAGAGTTTGATATATTCAAATTATTTAAATATCTATACTAACTCTTCTTTATCTACGACTGTTAACTTTACAATAGGAGCAGGATCTATAGGCCTTCTATCTTTATCATCACCAACACCAGACATACGACATTGATATGGTTGTTCAACAACTTGTAATATATATTTTCTATTATATAATAATATAGATATAGATATGTATTCATGTATAGTATCTATTTATTTTTGGTATGTATCACTTTACCTTGTATCATTATCATTAACACCATTTATATTATTACGTAATGATCTTTGTTTATTATTTACTTGTATAAGGGGCTTATTTTGAATGTCAATGTTAGGTTCTAGAAAAGTTAGTTTCATTTGATTATTGATGCTATTATCAATTTCTTCTATTTCATCATCAATGTTTACTTCTTCTGCTATAAATTCTTCTTCAGTGTCATAATTTATTAAACTATTAAATAAACGAACATCGTCTTCATCTAACTGATAATTATTCTCAAATATTAAACCGGGCGATGTATTGTAGTTATCAGTCATGTTGTTTTCTAAATGCATGTATCATTTATTAAGAGAAAAAAGAAGAAGAAAAAAAAAGAATTGTATGTGTATTCATACATCATTTTATACTTTTTTTTTCCTAATCGAAGCTGAGTTACATTGTTCAATTAAAGAGGTATACTAGTAATTAAGGCAATTCAGCTATATATACCTTTTATTTTAAAGGTAATATCAATAGTCGGCTCTCCATATAGAAAAGGTCTCCAACATCATCATTTAGTTTATTTATATACATTTACATTTTATGATAGTTATGATAATAATTTAGTTGTAAGACTATGTACTATAAAGCCGATATTCGATCATGTTCTAGGTTATTCTATACAAAAAAGAAATAAAAAGAATAATTTACGACGCACAAACCATTTAAAATCGAATTTTATTTTTAGTAGCGTTATACAAACAACTGTCTTTCTCTAATAATACTTAATAAAGTGAAAAGACATGTATGTTTAAATAATAATTTTAGTAATAAATATATACATAAATATATACATAAATATATACATAAATATCTATATATCTATATACAATAATTAAATTAGAGTATGCTTATTTTAAAGTAAAGATCCATAAGCAAATCTTCTACGTGAACTTGTATCGATGTTAAAATCTAATATTGCATTCTCCAAACCTATTGTATAAAATTTTAGTTTAACTGTTAAGAACAAAAAATACAATCATTAAAAAAAAAAATCAGCCTTTTTATTTTACCAACAAACATCTTTTGACTATTACTCGAAAAACATAAACCGGTAATGGGTGTATCATGGCCTGGAGACCCTACTCGAATAGTCTGTTGACTATCAAATGTACGTGCATCAATCACATGCACATGTGATACGTGCTCTGTAAAAGCCAGTAAATCAATTGCACCTGTCTGTGTAAATTTGACACATCTTGCGGCTCCCTTTGTAATAGATGGATGAAGTCCCGAAAATTTTGCTAAAGGTTGAGTACTTCGAATATCCCAAACATGAACTGATCCATCTTGACTTGATACAGCAAATTTATCAGAGCTATGATTCCACGCCACTGAAAAATTGGCATCCCGAGATACTTTATGTAATTGGTTATATTTATGCATGATGGTAAAAAGTCTATTTCACTACTTTTTTTTTTCTTACCTGCCATAGTAGACATTAACTCAAAATGTCCAGCATTAGTTATATTAAATAATTGAACACGATTATCATCTCCCACTGTAATCATCTTTCTATCATCAGGGCTAATAGAAGCTAAAATAATAAAAGTTATAATTCGTTAGTAAAAAAAAAAAAAAAAAAAAAAAAAAAGAATAAAAAAAAATTTTTTTTTTCTCACATATAATTTACATCATAATATACTTTACTATGATTCACAGCCGTTCTAAAATCTAATGTATCAACCAATTCTAATTCTGGCACAGTAAATATTCGAATAGAAGCATCATTATTTGATACAAACAATCGAATTTGTCCATTTAAACGAGAAAAACATAACCCATTATTAATCGTACCTCCTGGTGCTGTTGTGATGCGTCTATTACGTAATATTATCAGTTTATCATCCTTTTTTTTTCTTCGATTCTTATTGCTTCTATTATTAATGTATATATATATATATATATGTATATATTTACACTTGATAATCACTACTAGTACATTTAAGTGTTAAATCTCCTCGTTGACCTCCTGCTGCCCAATATCCATAACTAGAATAATAACATCAAGGTCTCTGTAAATATCACATATTAAATGCTTCAAATTTGTTAATGGAAAAAAAAATTTATATAAATATATTACTTTGCAGCCATACATGTGGGTGAATACCCAATATCTTTCAAAAAATAGCTTCTTTGTCCCGTTTTATAATTATACTATTTTATATTTTCAAAATTCCAAAAAATCATATTTCATATAAATAAGATCCACTTACTCTGAATATATCTTGTCCAGTAGGAAAAATTAATTGATTTTTATGATGTTCATCATCTGTTAATATCAAGTCTCTTAATTGCCTATATTCAAACATATTTAAAACGCTCTATTCAAAAGGACCTTCTTTTTGTTTTTATTTTATTTTATTTTTTACCAGTGATGAATGGTTACTTTTTGATCGTGAACAATAGGTTTTGGTTTAACAAACATAGGTGCATCACTTATATTATTAAAGTCAATATTTACTGCCATATCCTGCTGCTTTATTTGTTTGTTTAACTTACTTTGATACACAATTTGTATCAATAATTGTCATTGTTGTTTAGTAATAACAGAAAAAAAAACAAGAAGAACAAGAATAAAATTATATGAAATTGCATAATATTTGCTTTTTTTTTATTATAGTGACTTGGAAAAAGCAAGACAATTCTATTTTAGCTTCTTTTTTTCTTGTATGTGACGTCAATGTATAGTATAGATACGACATTGTTACTCGTCAAAACAGTTAAAACACATATAATGAATCCTAGAGCGACAATAATAGATTATTATAAACGAATGAAAAGAAAAAATAAGCGTGCTAAACAGAAGACGTATTTATGGCCCAAGTATTCGAATTATTGTAGTAGTAGTGGATAAGATAACGTTGTGTTTAAGACTTTTAAGTCTATTAAATTCATGCTTTGCTATATGCCTTTTGACTATTCATCTTGAGATGAGTTAAATTTTGATTAAAATGCCTGGATTAATTCGATTTAAGCTTGCCACGAGGGTTATAAGCAAGCTGTTTACTTTATAAAATATTAATTCACATCTAACTTTAACAAAAAAATATATTATTTTTAGCTTAATATCTTGATTAGCTTCAATACTTTAATTTTTTTTCCATCTCAATTAATAAGGTGTTAGAGTAGACTTCTTCTTTTCTTAAGGAATAATAATAGTACAGAATATGTTAATAGTCGCTACCTATCCTCCTTTTTTTTTTTTGATAGACGATATCACTTTGTTCTTCAGCGTATTTTTAATTAAAGATTTGCATAAAGTTGGTTTCAGCATTATCAATCTTTGTTTACTGATTGGTTAGCACTACGTCAATAATAGGGGGGAGAGAGAGTTTTATCTTTTCTTATTTTTAACTGTTTGTGTCCTTATGGATGTATACTTGTAGCTGGTAAAATGCTGAATATCTAATAATCAAATCGTTATCCAGGTATCATCATGGCCTGAGATACTTGGGAAAAAAGAAAAAATCAAGAGGGTGTTTAGCATAGTTATTTTTAAACCCTTCTAAAGAACTTTTCTCGGACTATGGTGTTAGTTTTTTTTTTTTTTTAACGAATCAAAATTTAAATTCAGACAATTTGCTTACCTTTTTTTGGATGAAGTAAATACAAAATTTAGACAGAAAGAAGTTTAGTTTTCAGACAGATTGAAGCTTATGCTTGGGCATCTTACCTGTAAAAACCTTAAACCCTGAGGGTGCCTGTGTTTGCTACAGTGATTTTGTTTCTTGTTTGAGGTTTAAAGATCGGTGGTCTTCCTTTTCCTGACCAGATTGATTCAGAAATAGTCATCATATTCCGGACAGCGTTGACATCTCTCTGCCAAAGTTTGTGGCAGCTTTGGCAAGTCAATACACCATTCCCCTTGAAATTGGACGTGCTGACAGTTTTCAAACTAAGAGAAAGACAGAGGCTGCAAGTTTTGGAGGTATTGAATTCATCAATTGTTACAACAATTAACTGACCTTTAGACTCACGTCTTTTCAATGTTTGATATAATTTACCGACAATGCCACATCTCAAACCTTTCAGCTTCACAAGGTCTTTGCCAAACATTCCAGCTCCAAAGACAACCAGTAGTACCTTCTTTTTGTTTTCATCGAACGAAGCTGCTCTTCATTTTTTAATTCTATTAAATGTGTTTAAGCAAATAGTACAGACTAAAATGAAATGTTTTCTTACTTTGCCCTTTCAAGTTTACTTACTGTCTTGTCTTTTCTTCTTTGCTTTATTCTTCTTTTCGCCTTCTTTTTCTTTTTATCTCTTTTTGAACGATTATATTTGGCGGTACCATGTGTCAACATATTTGCCATTTGTTCAAAAGCCCTCTGTACACCTTGGTATAAAGAAAAGCGATCTCTGGCATTATCTACACTGTAAAAGCTGAGCAAAGCATCAAGATTCTCAAACATATATTTTACATGATTTTGGTATGTGGTAAATCGAGAAGTCTTTGGTGAGGGGATATTGCTTTCAATTAAACTGATGCAGGAGAGTGCTTTCTTGTCATTCAATTGCTTTATATATCTTGTGGAACCAGTCATATGGTAGTATTCTTTTATGGTACACCTTCTTATATGCTTGTCAGATTCTAACCCAATGGCTGCAGTGAACACGGATTTTCGCCCAGGATCAATGGAGATAGGCACAAATGTGTCTTTCATTTCATACATGTTGAAATCAGAGAGTGTTAAATCAAAGGTTTGAAGGGAAGGATCATGACCAGTTTGACGTTTCTTGTAAAATATAGAATCTATTGAGAAACCATCACTTCGAACCAAGTTTCCGAAAAGCACAGGATTACTTCCGTTTGGTGTCAATTGATCAATACTAGTCAAAGAAAGTGTAGGCATTATTTTGTAACAATTGTAAACTTACTTTCTGTACCGAAGCTTATCAAACCTAAAAGCCTGAAAAAACATTCCCAGCTGGCCTTGATATCTGCAAGGCAATATAAGTTTGGCAAAAACATGCCAGAGCATTAATATTGATTCTTACAAAGCGCCAATTCAGAGATGCTTTGGATAGTAAAGACAATAAATTTTGGAAGCGGAAGCCTCCTGACATCGAATGGTAAATGCTTGTCATGCTCTTCTTCAAAATCAACGTTGAGTAGTAGCAAAAACCTAGCAAAGTGACTAGGATCCTCAGAAAGTGTCTTTAAAGTTGCCCTTTCTTCCTAGTTGCTGCTTTCAGTACTCGCAAAAGCTATGTACAATTCAACATTTTCCCTTTTATCCCAAAAGGGGTTTTCTTTCCTTTTTTTTTTTCCATAGCGATCTGACTAGGGCAAAACAGCATATAAATGCTATGTGCTCATTGGTCATTTTTTAATTTTTTAAATAAAATTTTTCTTTAATCGTATTGTGTTTCTAACTCTATGCTGATGATGTCGTCCTTATTGCCTCCCCTGAGAAACTCACTTCTTTAATGCACCAATGCAAAATTCATAGTTACTACTTAGGTTATCGGTGGAAGCCATTAAAATGTGTCATAGTCGCTCCTACCAATGATCCTCAACCATATCAATTATATGGTACTGCTATTCCCAAAGAATCCTCCTTTTTTTTATCTTGGTGTTCCTATAAAACCTGGTGGTCTACTTGACTATGCTGCTTTAATCCAACATAATATCAATAAAGCCTCTCTCACTATGAATCAACTTGTTGCTATTGGTCTCAACTCCAAAGGTTTTTCGCCTCTGCTTGCATGTCGTTTTCATAGTCAAATTGTTTGTTCTCAATTAGATTATGGTCTTGCAATCAGTTCTCTCTTTGCTAAACTTACCAAAGAACTGGATACCTTTCAAAATTCATGCATTCGACGTATCTTTGGTGGCCACTCACGGTCTCCGACGAAAGTCATGCTTCATCCTGTCAACCTTCCATCCATGAAGATCCGTACTGCAGTCCTCCAAGCGCAATACCTCTTTCGAACTTCCCAATTACCAGCAGATACTCTTCTTACCCATCTTTTGCCTCATGTTCAGTCCTCAAATAGTTATTCCCATCGGTATAAATTGGCTCAAATTACATTGTGGAAACACCTATGCTCACCAATCATCTCAACGTTCGACCGAAAACAATCCTACACTCTTCGTGCTAAGTTTCTAGATAATCAATTTCAAACCCTTCGTCAAGACACTAACTTCATCCTATGGTTTTCCTCACGTCCCACTCTTGAATTGGATCCTATCCTTTACTTACCAATGACTACTTCAGAACGTAGCCGAGTGCTCCGATGGAGACTTGGCTGGGTTACCTGGTGGTAAACCTAAAGAATGTATCTTTCATCCGTCTCATAATTGGAGCCGGCGACATGCTATTGAGTGCTTACATGTACATTATCGTCTCTACATGCCTACTTCAGTCGAAGATCCCATCTCGTCCCTCCTCAACTTGCTTCCGCTACATAAACCTCGTCGTCCTTCTGATAGTACGAGCTGGTATACTTTATGGCCTATTCTTTGTACAATTCTACATGAACTTGATTATTGCTTCCATGATGAATTTCCTCCTGATCCTCTCAATCCTGGTCTCAAGCTGCTGAATTGGTTGTCCAAGTAATAGTGTGTGTCTTCCTGGTCCCTTTGGTCTGGTTTATATTTAAATTGTTTCTTCTCACTTTTTCACTTTTTCCTCCTTATATTTTCTCTTAATTCCAAAATACTGCTCTTTTCTTTTTCCTTCTCGTTTTCTTGTCCTTTAGGAACGTTTTTATTCTTATTTCCCCTTTATAACTGGCTCGGGCAATATTGCGCTACATGCTCATTGCCAAAAAATTTAAAAAATAATAATAATAACAATAAAGCTCCGAATTTAATCCTAAAAATTAAATTGCATAAAGCATTTTTTTTTTTTAATAGCTTTTTTGACTTTAAGCTTAACACCAATAAATTACAGGAATACTATGCTATCATTGAAGCCGTCATGAAGGAAAAAAAAAAAAAAGCGATATTACTCATCTTATTTGGATAATATTTATTATAACTTGAAGCTTTTTGCTTCCATATTTAAATCAGTATTGCTTAAAATAATTAGTAATTGTTTATGTCACCTCCATTAACCTTTCAGCATGCTTGATACATTTGTATACAAGTACTCAGTATGCTATGATAGATGGATAATATTAAAGTCAAAGGGCATATTGTTAAATGCATGCATGCATACATACATACATACATGTATATATATCCATAACAAATAATGGTTATTGTTACCCTAAAATTACTTTCAACATTTATTTTAAACTAGGATGTAATTTCAGGAGCAGGTTTCCTCAAATTATTATTCTAATATCCCTACTGCAACTAATCAGTGAATAAGGCTATTATCAAATAAAAATATGCTTGAAGCTTAAGAAAGTTATCAGAATTCAAGAAATTTAGACGTAATCTAATTGCCTTAAAAACAATGTCATTATCTACTGAGAAATAAGATTATATGTTATATTAGTAGTATATATGAATACATTGCATCATACAGCCACCAATACTGCTTCAAAACAACTCTATAATATTTACTCATTTTAATCTAAATAAACCTTCTTTTGTAGTAAAAAAGAAAATAAAACAAAGTATAATATCTTTAAAATAATTTTTGGTATTCTTTAATTAATAATATGTACAAGGAAAAAAAAAATAAGATGCAAGAAAAACGATTTTATTTAATAAGCCTGTTTTTTTCTTTAGTTCTTGGCGGCAGCAGCAGCAGCTCTACGACGGTCACGTTCTTCAGTAATAGAGAGCTTAACACCCTTACCCTTAGGAAGAGAGATCATAGGCTTGTTCTCTTGACCAATAACGAAGACGTTAGAAATACGAGTAGCAAAGACACGATCAAGAGCATCCTTAATGTGAACAATTTCGAAACCACCAATGTGACGTTCACGATGAACAATTTGACCAACACGACCAATGTTACGACCACCAGTAATCATGACAAGATTACCAACTTCAAACTTGACGAAATCCAAGATCTTATTCTTCTCAAGGTCAAAACGAACAGTATCGTTAGCCTTGATAAGAGGATCAGGATAACGAATAGTACGACCATCATGAGTAGTGATATAAGGAATACCCTTGGCACCGACGAGGACCTTCTTGACCTTACATAACTTGTATTTGGCCTCCTCATCAGTGATACGATGAACAGCAAAGCGACCTTTAACGTCATAGACGAGACGGAAGTTCTCTCCAGTCTTTTCAATTGTAATAACATCTGTTATTTATAAACAAAATCAAAGACAATTACAAGGAAGAGAATAAATGCATCCGGGATTCGTCAAAGCTTAAGCTGTGAGACATCACAATCATAATACGCCCCAATTTAAAACACTTCCCTAACCCCAATCTCTCTATCCCCTCCCTCCCTCTTTATTTTTATATATAAAAACAAACACTTACCCATGAAACCAGCGGGGAAAGTAGAATCAGTACGAACACGTCCATCAACCTTAACTAAACGTTGCATCAAAATGGCTTGAGCCTCACGACCGTTGAGAGCATACTTCAAACGGTTACGAATGAAAACAATCAAAGGAAGACATTCACGGGTCTTGTGAGGACCAGAGCTAGGCTTAGGGGCGTATGAACCTATATAAATAGAAAATTAATATCTACAGGGAATAATATAATGAAGAGAGATATCAAAATTTGAATCATTTTTTTTCTTCTGCATGTCAGTAACATGAATAAAACTCGTCATAATTTGAATCGGATTGTTGAGCTTGACTATTTGTTTATTTTTTTATCATCACACCACAGATAGTAAAAAAAAACACTTGATATCTCCCTTAATATTATCATACATACCCAAAAGTTTATCAAGCATCCAATGCTTGGGGGCAGCTAAACGCTTCATATGCTTCTTAGGACCACGAGCCTAATTTCATAAATAGTTTAGATGGATGGATGGATGGATGGATTATATCTTCTAGCTTACCATTTTGATTAATAAAGATAAAAATAAAAAGAAAGAGAAAGATTCTTTTAAATTAGGCACGCCCCTATTTTTTACTTGTGACCGAAATTAATTTTTTTTATGATATGTGACTGGCTTTTATTAATAAAAAGAATACATGTACAAACATACATTTATTACATAATATATATGTTATAATTGAAAGTATACATTATTTTAAAATGATGTATATTATCTCGAGAACACTAGAAGCCTTCCATCAAAGGACAGCTTTATTATGATGTTTTATATTATTTTTATTTACAGAAAATAATTATTTTTATTACAGAATTTATAATTAAAAATTGTTTCAATTTATCAAGCGTTTTATACTCATCATTATTACAAGGATATGATAACTATTATTATTATTATTGACAGCAATTGTTAACAACAATTATAAAGGATCCTATTTTTACTTAATAGAGGCTTACTAAAAGTCAACGGCTTTTGACCAGCTCCCATTCTATATAAAATAAAATAAAAAATCGGCTGAATATTTTAGAGCATCAACACTATTCTAACCTTTAGTTTTTTTTTTTTAATTTGTCAATTAAATTCACGTTTTCCTCTATATAAATCGGCGGTTTTGATTCGATTAAATGCCGGATTAATCTATCTTGAATCGATATTTTAATTTTCTAATTTCTCGGCTTAAAATTTACAACAGTGAAAACAGTGTCAAAAGGACGATTAAGTCATCATAGTTAAAGCCCGATAACAGAGTAAAAAACGAACTATTTTTCTCTAAAGAATGGACAAGGGAAAATATATGACCAAAGTGGGAAGCGATGCTATAGTTTTGGAATATGTATATCAATATGCTAACAATATATATACATATATAGTTGGTATCGCTATATTCCTTTTGGTTCTTTTATGCACCGAATATTCTCACTTCTATTATTTCTAATCTCTACTAGACCGGCATTGTTTCTGTTTAAAGTCAATAAAGAAAAATAACATATTTTTGTTTCATTATTATACTATAGATATGAAGACTTAATCGTCTTTTTGGCACTATATTCACTGTGACGACAAAATCTTTCTAAATCATTAAAAAAAAAAAATGCTATTACGAGCATCAATAAATGTTTCACTTTGTAAAAGCTTATCCCTTTTGAGTCTGCTTTTAACAACAGACCAAAATTACTCAATTGAATTCAATTCAGCTGAATAAGGAGGAAGATAAAGACAGTCATATTCATGACTAACAATCAGTTTTTTTTTCTGCACTAGCTACTGTATAAGTAGGTGCATTATTCATTACTATATAATAACAGTTAAATTTTTTATGCTGATCTAAAACATCTAAAATGCTTGTCATAAGATTGAAATAGTGACCAGTAGTCATTTTACCTATCTTTTTTTTTGAAGGTGTTAATAGTCGCCTCACTCTTGTATTTACTACACTGAAAAAGAGTGTAACAAACCAAAATTGTTGTAGTTCTGACTCCAGTTTTTAATTGCTGAACTATCACAGCTTTTTCTTTTCTTTTTTATACCAGGCCATAATCCTCTTCATACTTTTATGAAAAACAGACTCATCAATAAATCTGTAGTTGCTTTCATAATCTAAACCAGTTTTATCCCAATTTACAACTCAATCAAATCTTTTCTGCCTCGGGAGTTTCATTCTTTAGTTACAGTGCACTTTTCTTTTATGAAATTATGCACTATACTTTTTGAAACCTTTAAGCCTGCAAATTGTATTATAAGCCTTTCTAATGCTTAATCTACAGTAGCAGAAGGAAAAGCCTTTAAACTTTTCGATTAAGTATTCCTTGTGTTCTTCATTTAAAATAGGCTTTCTACCTCTAACCCTTTTTTGTTTAGGAAATTCTCTATTTGATATTTTCTTTTGGTCCCTCTCAAGCCAGCCACATGCAGTTTGTCAGACAATACCTAATTGTGCACAGGTTTTTCCTGCAGTCAATCCTTTTTCATAAACACCAAAAAAAAATGCTCATTTGTTATATCATCCTACTTGTTACAATATCTTCTTTTTTACAACTGTGCTTGAAGGCAACTCTGAATTACTTACTTCTAATTTCACCAATAATGATGTCTTTTTTAAAAAGCTTCAAGTCTAAATAGTCATAATAATAAGTTACATTCTCTAATGGGGAAGGGATCACTGTTTACTCTCATTGCAATTGGTTCGTTTTCTGAGGCATATACAATACTTCCTTGTCTGTCTTCGTAACACATTTATAAGCTCATTGTTAGAGTCTTCAAATCTAAAAACTATGCAAATTATTGATAAAAGACTGAGCAATAAATAAATATTTATAAATGAATATTTTTTTTTTTTTTATTTGTGCGGAATTCAAATGTTTTTATGTATAGTTTTTTTTTTAGCAAAGCGTGCAAAAAATTTCTGGAAAAAAGTATATATTTCAGATTTTATATTTCAGTTAAATAGCATATTTTTTTTTTCTGTTTTTTTTCTCTTACTTGTTTATGAATAAAACCTTTCTTAACAATTTGGATCAGCAACGACCAAGATCGAATAGTGTTATTAAACCAATGTCGAGTCAACAGCAAAATAATTCTCAACAATTAAAACAAAATTTTAAGCGCTCTATGAGTGTCTCCGAGGGTCTACATGTCAGATTACCTACACTTCACCATTCAGAAACTGATTCATTACCTTCTTCTCCTTTAACACATCAATATACAAATAATATTTATCCATCAGAATCTAATTGGGCAAATAAATATGAAGATTTCGATATTGGAAAACCAATTGGTAAAAAAAAAAGACCAACTTTCCGAGGCTTGATTCCATTCTCTAATCATCACGCTTTATTTTTTATTTTTTATTTTTTTTAAAAAAAATATAGGTTATGGATCATCAGCAGTTGTATATGAAGCAATATATAAGCCATTAAAAAAAAGAGTAGCCGTTAAAATGATAGATTTAGATATGTTTGAACGTAATCAAATTGACGAACTTAGGGTAATTATATCATTTTACAAAAAAAAAAAAAAAAAAAAAATAGAAAAAAATTTAATTTTTTTTTCTACAGAGAGAAACAGCTTTAATGGCTTTATCTAAACATCCAAATGTATTAAGAGTATATGGATCATTTGTGAATGGGTCTAAACTCTATATTGTCACACCTTATTTATCCGCAGGATCTTGTTTAGATATCATGAAAACTTCTTTTCCCGATGGTTTTGATGAAATTTCAATAGCTACTATTTTACGTCAAGCCTTAGAAGGTCTTGTCTATCTTCATAAAAATGGTCATATTCATCGTGACGTAAAAGCGGGAAATTTATTAATGGATCAGTACGGTACTGTTCTTTTGGCTGATTTTGGTGTCTCTAGTTCATTAAATGAAAATGGTGCTGTCAGAAAGACATTTGTTGGTACACCTTGTTGGATGGCCCCGGAAGTTATGGAACAAGCTGGTTATGATTTTAAAGCGGATATTTGGAGTTTTGGTATTACTGCACTTGAATTAGCTACTGGTCATGCTCCTTTTGCTAAATATCCTCCTATGAAAGTCTTGATGATGACTCTTCAATGTGCGCCTCCTACACTAGACAGAGAAAATTGTAAACATAAATTCTCAAGAGTATTCAAGGAAATGATTGATACTTGCCTTCAAAAAGAACCTACTAAACGACCTTCAGCAGAGAAACTTTTATTGCATCCATTCTTTAAACAGGCTAAAAAGAAAGATTATCTTATTAAATCTATATTGGCCAACGTAATACCTTTAGATCAAAGACCAAACAAAAAAATACCAAAGAAATATGTGGAAGTATCAGATAGTGATGAACAATGGGATTTTGATCCTCCTGCTGATGATGAGTCTCAAAAGCCTAAAAAGCCGCCTATCTCTGCACTCAATACTGCACCTTCCGTTACGATACCTGAAAAAAGTGAGACGCCTGTAGTTCCCTCTTTGGAACGTACCAAATCGGTCGTTCAATTTGAGGAATGTCCGAAACCTGTACTAGTAGATCGAACAAAATCAGTTCACTCACCCTCTAGTGAGCACATGGCAGATCAACCATTGTCTAAAAAACATATTTCATTTGGTGATGCTGTGATTCGAGATCCAACTATCAATCGTACAATAATGTCTCCTGTTGTAGAAACTCCCTCTACAATAACTACTGATCCTTCAATTACCTCAGTACAAGTTACTCCCGTATCAACTCCTACTCATTCTCATCAATCACCCAATTTGCCAAATCATCCCGCATCAGCAGCAGCAGCAGCAGCAACAACAACAACAACAACAACATCTAAAAAATCTCGATTTGTTATCGAGGATAATACACCTGTCTCTCATATGTCACCCCAATCTGAATTATCTATATCTCCTCCTAATTCATCTCCTACAGAGCCAATGAGTGTAGGTTTAGGCATCTCATCTACTATTCCTTCAACAACTACCAATATCAATAGCAATAATAATACACTTCAAGAAGGTGAATTTAAAAAAGGACGTTTTAGTGTTAATCAAACACCAACTCGTTCTTTGACACCTGCCATTGACGACTTAACATACCCTGCCACACCATCAGAAAAAATCCATCATGTCCATCATCCCTCTCTTGATCTCAAGACAATTCCTATGATGCGTAATGCGAGTCAAGATAGTTTTCAAGAACGTAAATCACGTTTTGAAGTCAAACATACAGCTACACCTATCGAACCAACGCCCTTACAAAGTTTTCCTTTAACGCGTGAGAGTTCAAATGCATCTGCACTTTCAAGAGACAGTTCAGTGAATAATAAGATTAGTCGATTCTCTATTGAAGGTCCCAATAGTGATTCATCCACTACAATGAATGGAGCAGTAGTACCACCCGAATGTCGTAAAAAAGGACGTTTTGAATTAACAGGAGGATCTAATAATAATAATAATAATAATACATCATCAGCAGCAGCAGAGAATACAAAGAATGAAACACAAGGTCATGCAGAATCTCCTCAGTCAACAGTTGGGCCATCACCTGTTGTATCGCCTTGTAATTCAGTTTCAAGAGGTCAGGCACAGCGTGTGGTTGATAATTCACTTCCTCAAATGATTTATACACATATGGAGTCTCTTTTAAAGCAAACAGAGGTACAGAAAACGATGCTACATGAATTACTTTCCACTATGCCTACTTGGATCTATCAGCAACAATCAAGTAGTACTAATAACATAAATAATAGTAATAATACAACGAGTAATGGTAATCGAAGTCGTACAGTATCAGATAGTAAAAAACCATCTTTTCTTCATAATGAAGAGCTTTACCAAAGGTAAAATATATATGTATATACAGATATGAATTATATCACCCCTCTCCCCCTCTCTCTTTTTTTTTTAACTATGTTATATGGTTATTAACGATACTATGTTATTGTTATTATTATTATCATTAGAGCACAGGTTAATACTGCATCATCAAACAATAGTTTAGTGATAGATATAAATACAACTATGGAACATTTACAGCAATTATTAGTAAGCACGTTAAAACAAAATGATAAATTGACTCGTGATAAAGACAAATTGATTGCTGAAAATGATACACTAAAAAGAGAAGTGGAACGATTACGAAAGAATCAACAGGGTATTTTATTAAAAAAGCCTACTGTGATAGAGCAACAACAACAACAACAACAACAGCAAGCTGAAAAGACAACACCTACAGTTGCGCCGGAAGCAACCTCAGCGAATATAAATCAACAAGAAAAGGCTTTGTGATAACATATACATAAATGTATTATTTTGTTTTGCTGAATTGTATAAATCGATATATATATATATATAAATATTTATATATATTTATATGAATATATAAAATGTATACATGTGTATTTATATGTTGGCGTATTATTATTTTTTTTTTGTAAGTCTCAGGATAGATTATAAAAGTAATATGATATATGTATATGTATATAGTGAAGTGCTTTATGATACATAATAGTTTATATAAATAAACAAAAAAAAAAAAAAAAGTATATATGTATACATACATACATACATACATACATACACATATATAAGATTTGTATAGTATAATAAGGGTATTGTGTAAATGTTACTTATTCTTTTTTTAAACGCTTTTTGTCATCATGAGATTGACACGGACGCTTTTGACTAATTGTCTTCTCAACTGCACCTAATCGATATGCATAGTCTACTTTACCATTTATGATTGAAATAGACTTGTCATCATCTTTCACTCTCCTCCATGAATAATAGGTTGTTTTAAATAGTTCATTATATTCAGAGGGCTTATACCATAAAGGCAGTAAGAAATCCTCTTCATCATAACCTTCTACTTGTACTTTTAATAATAGACATGCCAAGTCATTTGAATCTGAATACGCAATAATCTTCATTTTCACTTCTGATCCAAGTCTAGCGACTTTGATTTGATTATTTGAAAGCACATGTTGAGATAAATAAACACAATCCCCAAAATATTCCGGTTCTTCACCTCCACAAACATTCCAAACTGTTTCCCGCCACTTATCCTCTAATTGTCGATTAAAGATAGGTTGATATACATCACGTAAATAATGGGTTGTTTCCTTGGATAATTTAATGACAGTAGCAGCTGGTAAAGGTGTTAATCGTAAGGGCCTTTCAGATGAAGAATGACCTAAAGGATCTTCCTCCTCAATCACATCAGCTTCATCAGACCATTTCATTCTCTGCTCTATTTTCCCGATTTTAATACCTTCCTGCCTATGCTCTAAAAGAGCTTTGTTATGTGTTTCCATAATATGACCAATCACTCTCTTTTCCCACGAAGGATTATATTTAGGCCTTACTCCAGGCACATAGACTACTCGACCTTTATTAATCAATCCCTCATATCTGAGTGTGTTCAAATATTGTTTAAATCGATTGACATGGTAAGTACGATCATCCCACATTGTCACTTGACGCACTGAAGGTACATTATGAATCAAGTTTAGTATAAAGCATGTCTTGAAATGCATGGTAGATTTAAACACAGAACTTGTTAAATTGTACGTGAGTTGTTGCTGTCCATTCTTCACTTCCCAATGATTGTCAGAGACCTGTTCTGGATCAGGTCGAAGACCAATCAAATCAAACTGAAGTCCCTTTGAATTTAACATGGTAGGAATCAAGAGATGAAAGGGGTGATAGCGACGACCTGTTAAAACAACTGTCATTGTGTTGGGATCATTAATGCACCTTTTAGCCTCCTTGACAATAGGCTCATTCCAAAAGCCCTTCCATGCCTTTGGCTCAAGTTCTTCAATTGGGCCTAGATCTAAACTACGAATGTCTCGCCACCAACCTGGACCATATACACTTTCTGCTGTGGCGAGTTTAATGAGATCAGGATGCCAAATTGTTGGGCTTAAAAGAGGAGAAAAGAATAATGTGGAATCAAAATCAAAGATGGCTAGTTTTTTAGGATGTGCCTGTGTATTTTGTTGATTTGAATAAAAATAGGATTTTTTATACTGTCTTTGAAGTAGAGCCTTAAAAATAATAATAATAATAAACAAAAAAAAAGAAACTTAAGTTTTTTTTTTTTTTTTTCTTAAAAAAAAAAAGCATACATAATAAAATAGAATTTTATATAGCTTACAATTTCATCTGGTGTAATATCCTTATAACGGGTTACCATAGACAATGGCATTCTGTATTTATTTTTTATTAGATACCAAAAAAAAAAAAAAGAAAAGAAAAAGTAGAAAGCTTAGTATTTTATGCCTTAAAAAAGAAAATTACGGGGTTTTAATTGATTTATGAGACGATTTGTAATGAACAATTTCATTATTATTATTATTGATAAGTTTAACTTTTATTATTCAAGTACATCGTCTCCTAAATATACTGTGTTACTCTTGTCATTTTCAAAAAAAAAAGAAAAGGCGTATAAATGCTTAAAACCTATTTAAAGAGATTAAATATATATGCATAGAGAGAGAGAGAAAGAAAGAAAGAAAGAAAAGCCCAAAAAAATATTATTAGCATTCAGCGAGCAGTCATGGAAGAATCCGGATAGAGCGGGGAAGGAAGGATCGTATCATGAAATAAATAAAGAATCGTATACATAATGAACTATTCAGCAGATCAAAGGGAGATAAATGAATATAGAGGCAACTTGAGTGTGTATTATTATTATTTATTTATTATTTTTTTTTTCAAATTTCCTACAAGTGAGCTGGGAAGGGAGAGTCTTCAATAGTAAATAATAACTTTAGGTGGAGAAGCGTCTATTTGATAGAGTGTAAGCGAATGATGCCAACGTACGGATAGAAATGGAATAAAGACAGTTTGTTAATAGACAACTGTCTAAAGTGCCTACTAAGGATATGACCACGTTCAAGGTGAAACATGAATACGTAAAGAATATGATTCTATATCAGGGATAAGTAACGGACCACGAGCAGTCTAGAAGATCGGGCTTTCATAAAGATATAGGAAACTATTCTAAACATACTAATGACCAAATTGTTCGTTAGTACATCAATTAACACTGTTAGTTTTTAATGCATACCTTTATCATGGTAAGCTTGTAAACAAGACAACTACAATCTACACACCAGTTTGTCTTCAAGTAAGACCTAGCAAAGAACGGAGCTTGAATTGATGGAGGCATTGACTGTTATACGGGATTGTTGGAAAAGGTGAAGTTTCATTTTTAATTAAAGAATTGGAATATAGTACTCTTTTCTTTTTGTGAAGCTGCAACTTTTTATAAGGTTCAAATTTTAAAGGGGTGGTATCAAAATCATATTAGAACGTAATAAAACAGACGATTTTACTTATGTCTATTATTACAACTACACACTATATAAAATTCGAGTACTTTTACTCATAAAACGTGACGATGAATTATCACCAAGTTGAATGATTTATGTTTACTAGAGAGTTAAAATATCAAATAAGAAAGAAAGACAGCTATGTTGCATGTAAATAGACCTGGTCACAATGCCCTCTTCAGCATACACACACAGTCATAAAATATTTTATCAAAATTGCATAATTATAGTAGATAATGCATCCTACACACAACAGTTGTATTTAACAGGAGTACAAGGAATATAATAAATATCTTCAAAACCAAATAATTGCTTCAGACAAATACATTCTATACATTATTATACCTTGCTTAATTGATATAATAATTTCAGCAATACACTATCCACTAGCTGGTTAATGATAGATGCTGTATCGCCGTTAGCAATCCATAACCTAAAGCCCTTCTCCCTCTCTCAATCCATAAACAACGAACTAACTTACAACTCGACTAACTTGTCTTCTATTTCGTTTCTTGTTATATTTGACTATATAAGACGATCTTTAAAATAATTTTATTTTAGACGTCATGATATTCATGAATAGTAAAACGAGATCGAATGCCATTCTTATTAATTAAAAGATAATCTTTTAAATCATTTTTTAATATGACTTCTTTACTTGGAAATTTGCGATCTCCTATTTCTCTTGCAGGCTGTATAACTTTCAAATTAGTTTTGTATAAATAAGGAACTAAGAATGGAATAGGTTGATTTGTGACAAGAATAAGCTATTAAATAAAGCGTTAGTCGTAGTCTTATATTATACAATTCCTATATTTACATTGACATAATTGAAATTATCTTTATGAGGATAAGGAATAGATGGTGATACCATAATCTAATAATAGGTTCTGTTAATACTTATTTTGCTTGAAGGAAAAGAATTGATAAAACTTTACTTGTTGTACTTTGCTCAAGTCACAATTTGTATCCACTTCAACTCTATTAATGGCTTTAGGCTTTTTATTGTCAAAATTGGAAATAATACCACAATTTTTAATCTATATAAAAAAAAAAAAAGCATCTTAGATGTCAAGTAATTACTATTATTATTTTACATACTTTAAGTGGTAAAACACTCGATCCAACATCACGAATACGTTTCTGTTAATTGTTTATTTAGCTTGATTGATTACATTCACAAGTAAATACTATAGTTACCACTTCTTTATCTGATTGCTCCTGGATCCATTCTTTAGCTACAACATCGATTTCCTCTACTGCTTCTACAGGAGGTTCTTCTATCAAAGGATTGTTATTATTATTGGTAATTGACATTGTAAAAGGGAAGATTCAATTAAAAAAAAAAAAAAAAAATTGTTTTGAACGGATGTTGAAAATAAAACAAGTAAAAATAAGAGAAAGTATTCGTACACTTTAGGAAATAATTTCATACACCTTTGGAAAAAAAATTGTACATTTTAGAAAGTCTGAAAGCATTAGTTTGCCTGAATATTCCATCATTACTCTCTCTCTTTTTTTTTAATAAATATTTACCATAAAGATAAAGAGTAAAAAGACTACATTTATTTTCACTTGTATGCTAAAAGACTACAGTTAAATGGGTATCAGGCTTTCTTTCTACAAAGATATTATTTACCTTTATCCATCAAACAACGTAAATTAATAAAAAGACCTACTACTAGCTCAATAAGTAAACAATGTTAGTGTAAAGAATGTAGACATCAAGGATCAAATAAGTTTAAAAGTTATACTTACTTGGTAGATTGCGTAATAAAAGAGAAAAAAAAAAAAGCAAATATCAAAAATCCTTTTCAAAAACGTAAATGTGAAATATATTGAATATGATCAATAGTGGTTCAATACTAAGAGTGACTTGTTCTATTAAGGCTATTATATCGCTATAATTTTCTATAACTAATTACAATACTATTTTTCTTTGAAAGATATATAAAATAAATACAATTATGAATTATGCTATATAATATGGGGCTATTTTGATTTTTGTTATTACTGGTTATATTTTTAAGGTTATTCAACGGTTGCATTTTACAAAAGCTAATTACAACAAACAATGGATTCATAAATGATATAATGGACTACCCTGAAGATCCTAGTGAAAAATTGAAAAGAAAGGGCAAGTTAGTTAGAAATAGCCCTGTTCTTACAGAAACATTATTTCCAAGTTATTTAGATAAAGAAGACTTTCCTGGTTGGGCTTTTAGTACATAGTTTCTTTAGCCTTTTTTTGTTTATATTTATATATACATATTTATACACTTGAAGCATTAAATAAAAACACTGATAGTATACTGTAAAAATATTTATAATTGTATTTAGTAGAATTTATTAATAAAGTATTATATATATTTCGTATAAATATCTATAATCCAATAGTTCTTCTAGGTAATGGAATATCTAAAATACAATTGTCAATATAATCTGCTACAGCAACACAAGTGTATATTTGTTGAACTGGTAATATTGATAATGAGCTAATAGTTTCAAAATTATTTTTCCAAACTTCAATGTTGTGTGCTGAAAAAGATTCAAACTCTTTTTCTGAAGCTTCATACCATTCAACAAACGCGAAAACATGTTGTTTTGCATCTTGATCACAAAACAATTCTATTCCAGGGAATTTTAATTCATGCTAAAAAAAAATACAAAATCCTTCCTATACGAAACACACCATCTTTAGCTGGACTCATTGCTTGTACATACGATCCACGTTTATTTCGGCAATCTATTGAAGTAAATTGTTGACCTAAAATATTGATTTGATCGAATTTTGTAATTAGATCTGTTACAATAACACTAGTGGATATATTGCCAGCAGAGGAGGAAGAAAGAGCAGAAACATGTATCACCTGAAATTTTTGGCCATAACATGTCTTATAGAACTGATGAAGGCAATTGTAATGTTGTCTGTCCATAATCATCGATTTTTTCAACTTTAAAGGAAAGCAAGTAGGAGGCCAAGGTTCACAACCAGTCAAATTGGCACTTTCACTAGCGATATTTAGAAGGAAACTTGCTATATCAAAAGTTGCAATAGGAGAATCTTGATGATATTGTTGCTGCTCATGATTATTATACACAATATCCATTGCATCTTGGTTTTCATTATCAAAATTAAAATCATGACCATTTGGAAGCAAAAGCATCAGTACATTCATCATCATAGGATTTAGCTTGATTTCTTTAGGCAACAGGTTGAAATAATCAGACATGTGAACTTGCTGAAGGTATTTCTTCATATATGTGAATTCAAGCCCTTCTTTAAAGTTTGTTGCTATTCCTTTGATATCTCCATTAGCTCTCTCAAAGCTGTACAACCAGGTTGAATACATGGGGCCAAAGTCACGAATGGTTTGACACAAATGTAAATGCATGTGCATGTTGGGAGTTATAAAATTGGCGCCATACAATTTAACATTGGACTTCACAAATTCTACGAGTAGGTCATGGGCATCATTGATTTCATTCAAAGTAATAGAAGGAGAGGAGAGTATTTGATTTGCACCAACAAAACGTAACCAATTAGTCATATGTTCCCCTATTATTCTTCCCTTTAAAAGCAACGACGAGTACACCAACATCCACGAACGGAATTCATCACCTTTCAAGTTAGAAAAATTGGCAGAGATTTTAGCATTTAATGTAGAGAATTGTGAAGGAACGATGAGCTTTTTGCCTGTTGCGCCATTTCGGTAAGATCTTTACTGGTTAAAAAGGTGTTTGTAGAATTTGAATCCTTTTTGGTAGATTTCCAGTAATTGACCATTTTTTTTGCTGTCCCAAGATAGAGATTGCGCAAACCATCGACAGTAGTACAACGAATAAGATCTAGGTAACGTAATCTATGGAGTTCGCTCCAACTTACACCATGATTATTTTCTATTGTTTTACGTTCTGCAGCCGTTTTAGCGTCCCTCCATTTCAATGCCTGTACATAATTTGATTCCTTGTTCCTAGGTGTCCAAGATTCACAATTAGCATTGTCAAAGCATCGTAAATTTGACTGTCCTTCTTGTTCTGGAAACTTATCAGCACACTTATGACATGGAACATACGAACTGAATGCAGTAAATCCACAAGTCTTTTTCAAAGCAGGCATGTCGCAATTAATAGTACTCAAGGCACAACGAATAGTTCTTCCTTCAAGAGCATTAAAAGTGGGTATAACGATATCATCATAAATTTCCGACAATTCATCTACCATTGGACGTAGGAAATGGTTTATATTTGATAAAGCAGGTTCAGATGGACCGGGCATTAAACCGACGAGAATCATGTTGTACTTCTTGAATCGTTCGTTCCTAGAAAGGTTGTTTATAATGAAGTAATAGCCCCAACATGATAATTCATGGTCTTTGTTGGAGTAAACCAGTCTACATTCAAGCTCAACATAAGGGAACCGTCTTTTTGAATGAATGGTGCATTTCTCCATCTTTTTTGAATTGTTGAAAGTATTCACCATCAAAAAAATCAAACATCATTCCTTTAATAGTGCTTCTCTTTCGCCATTCATTTATTTTTTCTTAAACTTTGAATGCATAATGAATTTTTCTAAGTTGCCTTGATTGAATTATAAGCATAACGCTTAATAGGTTTAATTGAGTTATTGGAATCTTTTGCTATTAAAGGAGCGTAGCATCTTATTTTCAAAGTATTATATAGTTTGAACACCATATTAGAACAATAGGACACCAATCCATTCATAACATCTTCATAATCATAAATGCAGTTACATTCTGGGCATACGACATATTTTTTAAGTCCTAATCATATTATGAATATTAAATAAACAGAGTATTTAATAAGTTTAATGTATTAACAATTACCTTTAGTAGCCAAATCGGCATTAATTCCAGCTTTTACAGTGCTAAGCTTAGAAGGAAGGACATGACTAGATTGAAATAAAGAAAAAATAGCATTCAGGAGCTTTAACAAAATTCAGTAGACGAAATAGACAAACCAGCAATGTTTTGGAAGAGGCTAATGAAAATTATAATAAATGCAGGCAAGACACCGATTATGTTGATAGTAAAAAGCTGATTATGGGTGTCTGCGGATGGTTCGTTAGATTCTTTTGTATTGAAGAAAAAAAAAAAAAAGAATTGAATTTAGCCAATTAAATAAATTAAACTATACTTTTAACAAAAGGAAATGTATGGTTAATTCTGGGTTCGTATTCTGATATAAAAACTTCTATTTTGTTTAATTTTGGGAACCTTTATCAATGCATTTATCAAACGTTGACTATATTATATCCACTTGGAAGAAAGATACGGCATTCCCAGCTTTGTTGTTTGCAAAGCATAGTAAACTAGAAAACTGGACATCCCGTTTATCGGCATTCCATTTCGCCATATCATCAATTGCTGATTTGGATCTAAGGAAAAGTAAAGTAGACAAATCATGTATTACGTATGTTATGATTGCAGTTGTCTTTATAACTAAGTTAATAGAAATGAACCATCATTTATTTAAATAATAAAAAGGTTATCCATATAAAACTAGTATATTGTACTTTACAGCATAATGTTCATTCTACAATCAATTTCAACAATAATAGTCATTGTTAAAGTATTCGAGCGCTAAAAAATAATATTATCTAAGAATAAGGATTCAATAGAATCATGATCTTTATATTCAATTACATAATTGTTTAGAAGTCATACATATTATACATGCATCTATGATATTAAATATCGTTATTTAATAAAGTAGTTTTCTTTCAGCTGATGGCTGTAGTAATAAATAAATAACGTTAAATTTGTATGGCTAAAATCCATGTACTTTACATTTTAAAAAGAAATAATTAAACCTGCATGAAATGTTATTTATTCTGATGTTGAATTTTCTACATCCAATAAAATTTCGCTTATAATTTTAACCAATAGACATACTTGAATTTCTTATTGTATTATTTACTGCCCATAATACCCCTCCCCCCCCTCCTCTCTGACTTTATTTACCCTTTTTTTTTCACTAACAAACAATGTCAGAATCTACTGTAAAAACAACATCCACTGTATCCGGTGAACTTCCAGTTGGAAAAGATGGTAAACCACTTAAGCCTTGCTGCGCTTGTCCTGAAACGAAAAAAGCTCGTGATGAATGTATTTTTAGAAAAGGGGAGGAAAACTGTCAAGAATTAATTCAAGCACATTTGACTTGTATGCGTAATTTAGGCTTCAAAATATAGATAATTTTATTTTATCTTTGTATTATAGAAAAGTAATAAATAAAATTCATTGTTATGATTCAAGTAATTCTGAACTCTTAATTGTAGACTCAGCCTCGTTTTGTATATTTACACCCATTAATTTAAGAAGTGCAATGTCCATCTGTCTTTCTGTCTCATCTAAACCATTATCACCCATATATTCCACTATGTTATTTTCTGTTTCATAAATCTTAACTTTATATAATTGAGCTGAATTGGATCTCCAATTTTCATTTCTTAAAAAATGATATTGGAAATTCCACCAAATAAAAACTGCCAGATTTTCAGTTGTACTAAAAGTTATGTTAATTACATATTCATGAGTATTGACTAGTTCCTTTTTCTTACCTTGGTTTTGTCTTGAAGAATTCTACATCTAGATCCTAGATTAATTGAGTTAATTACTTTTATTTGTTTTTTGTTTTTTGTTTTGTTTTTGTTTTTAATTTACCAGATTTCGATGATCAAGTGGATCCATAACAGCTAGTTTTATGCATTCCTTAAGGTCAACAAGATTCATAACCATACCCGTTAAGGGGTTTATCTCTCCCTTTAATGTTATTTCAACTGTTTTATATAGCATGTTAATGTATCCATATACACTAGTGATACTTTTTTTTTTTTTTACATGTCCGTACCTTTATAATTATGTCCATGAAAATTAGGATGATTGCATTTCCCATATAACAACTGATTTTCTTCAGATGATAATTGAGGAGAATGCAATCTATGTGCAGCAGAAAAAGTTTCTGATCGTGTTATGTATGCTATAGGTGGCATAATTTAAACTGGCGAAAAAAAAAAAAAAAAAAATACTCAAAGATAAAGAAAAAGTTACCGTTTTATTTTATCGTGTGAATTATTTTATTATAAACTCAGTCTTCTCCATAGATCTACTTTCTCAATTAATATTGATTCGTAACCATTCCAGAAATGATCAGCTCCTTCAATGCAAACTCCTTTATTATCACACCAATCTATAAAGGTATTTAATCTTGTGAACTGATCTTGATCGCCATAGATACATAAGACATTATCATCTGCTCTTGGTTTCCTTTTAAAGAATGTAAATTTAATGGTAGCTAGAGCCCAAATGACACCCAACGGCATACTAATCAGTAAATAAGCAATAGGTACGCTCCTTACAGCAACACTGCAATCTATTGTATTTGCAATCATTCCTCCAAATGAATAACCCTAAGAAAAAAAAAATAAGTTTATGAAAACAGCATTTTATGATGTTATATAGTTTATTTTACACATAGAATCAACTGATTAACTAAAGGATAATTATTATCGTCCAATCGTAACAAGTAATTCATAACTGATATATAGTCCTCTCTTTCTGGCATGCCTGTCCAACTTGTTCTTCCTTTAGAATTGCCACAGCCTCGAAAATTCATACATGCTGTGACATATCCTTTTGAATGAAAATACTTTTGCAATTCGATTACAACATTATTATTCATACTACCACCTTTAGCCTATAAGACCACTGATGCTGAATTTATTTGTATATAATAAATTACCTAATGGGCCATAAGGATGTGCAATAATGATACCAGGTGCTTCAGGTTGTGTTTGTCTCGTTAAAGATGAACTTAGCTGTATTTCTATTAGTGTCTTATCACTTGACTCAATAAATGTAGTTTGTGAGGGCATTTCTTTTTACAAATGCTAATGAATAAAACTATTAGTTAATAGTAATAATAATAATAAAAAAACAAGGAACTGAAATTTAATACTTGTAGTGACTGTAATACAAACCAAATCAATGTTTTTTTTTATTTCTTTGCTCCACTCAAAAATTATTAGAGCATAAAATATCGAAATCAAAAACGCAAATATTTGACATGAAAAAAAAAATAGTTAGCATTAGCATGGCCCTAAAATATAAGTAATAATAATAAAAGTTAGTTGAAATAACCTGCTCCAGAACGTTAGTAGTTTTCAAAAAAAAAAAAAATATGATAGACAGGGTAATAGAGAGGAGAATTTAGTGTCCTGATCATAGTAGATATAATATAAGTTATCATAAATTCTGTTATTCGTGACTGGGCTTAACATTATTAAAGTAATAAAGTATTAGTTAAATATGTTAAATAGATAAAATTGGTAACTCGAGTATAATTTATAGATAAAATAAAATCTTTGTGTAACTATCATTCTAGAAATACGTGCTTTTATTATTATTATGAATATTTTCAGAAAATCGTATTTGCAAAGTACCATGAATAATTGAAGTTCCCCACCCCCCCTTCAATAAGTTTTTACCCAAAAAAAAAAAAAAAAAAAAACTTCTATCGCAATGTCAGTTTCTCGATAGATTTCATGTTAGCCCTTCAAATACTCCCTATTATATGAAATCTTTCTCCTAGCATCTCCTTCCTCTTTTATTTTTTGCCTTTACTTGGACCAATTAGCGCAAATCAGCAAGTCTACATGTTTATAGGTTCATTTACATGAATAAATTATCTTTATCATTTCTTTATTATAATAGCTTATAATAATTATGCCAAATCAAAAGAAAAAAAAAAGGGGGGGAAATGCAAATGGTCTAAACTTCTTGGCCTGATGGTTTATAAATGCTGAATTCCCTGCAGTATTTGATGTAACTCCTCAAATATTCAATATATTTCAGTAATAACGGACCTTATCAACGCGCAATTATACTTCATCTTTCTCTCTCTCTCTCTTAATAATCCTTTCTCCCTGATATTATGTGTTCTGGCTATTTTATTGTATTTTATAATTATCCTATCTCTTACTACTAATTTTTTCTTCTCCAGTAAAATTTATAAAAGATTGTACTACAGGAGTACTACATTTAAGTCATTTGTGTTATATAGTTGCTTAGAATTGTTGGGGGGGGAGAAGAAGGAGGGAAAATAGCTATATTTGAATGTTACTATTGTATAAGTGTTATTTTGAAAAGAAAAAAAAAAAAGTTATTTGCACACAGTTTGATTGGATCCCGATCCATCGGGAAAGATTTCTGAATAAGGAATCAATTTCTTGCATCAGTCTACTGCATACCATAAATCGATGAGTTTTCTTATTTATTTATGCTTACCCCTAATACTATTATTGTCAGTCCCTCCTCTTTCCCCCCCCCAATTTTACTAAAATTGACAAATATAGCAATTCATAACAATCCATATTTGAGAGAACCATATATGGTATTTACTGGTTCATCAAATACGTCCCTGTTTTATTTTATTTTATTTTTTTAATCAGATGAAGATATTTGCAATAAATCAATTTATTGTAAACATATTCACTTTATACACATATATAATAATAATACAAATACAAATTATATCTCAAATAGAGCTGTTTTACTTTTTTTTTTTTTTTTTTTTTTTTTTGCATATCTTATATTGAAATTAAATACGGATTCATGGGCAATGACTATAGAGCAGTAACTAACCAGACTAATATGTATACAATGCCTCCTATGATATTTTGTACGTTGAAATATTCATGAACCAGTTGTAAAAAAAAAAAGGTAATCAATACTATTACTATTATTTTTATGTCGATTATGACTATTATAATTATTCGAGCCATAAAGTTGGAGAACGATTATTTTTGTTCTGTATGTGAGAATTTATTGTCTAATTATAGTTGCAACTTTATCTCAAGTTGTATGTAAAAAGGCTCTTGAATGTACTTAAAAGGTAGATGATAGTAAAGAGGTACAATTGCGTTGTCTACCAATTGATGACTAATATCTACTATATCTGCATCTGCATAAAAATTTAAATTGTTTTTTTTTCTTCTTCTTCTTCATTTTTAATTACTTTCTTTGATCTAAAGATTAAAAGGGCTAGTTAATTACTATTACTGGAGGGAATCACCTAATGTAAAGATCCCTTTACTGAACACGAATAGAGTAAAAAAATATTTACATGTAAGGTAGTCGGTAAGCTTTTTTTTTCTACTCTATTATTGCATTTTTTAAAGTTACCAGTATTGAGTATCCCGTATCAAATATATAGGACGCAAAAAAGATAAAATACGGCCATCAATCCAAATACAAAATAAGATACTCTCCTCCTCTCCTATACAAAATTCTATATAGTGATGATATATCATATTGCACTAGTTGCTTTTTCATAAACACTGATCATATCCAGTTCTATGTTAGATTTATCAAGATCCTTACTGTTCATGTATGTATACATACATACATACATACATACATACATACATACAAATATATATGCATATATTTATATGAATACATTATATTTGTTATAATGAGTACAGGTATTTAAATTATAATAATGACCGTGGTAAAGGATCTATTCTGATTTGAGTAGAGCTCAATTTTTAAAAGTGCTAAGAAGAGTTGAGACTCTCTGTTGGCAGGAATATCCTTTATAGTATCTACGTTATCATACTCCATTACAAATATCTTGAAGGTTATTCATAGCTGTCAACTTTGTCTTGTGAAAGAAAGATATCCACTATAAAGGAAGTAAAAGATGAGGTAATTGATATCTGATAAGGAGATTACTTTTTTATTATTTTATTTAAAATAGAAAAATTCTCGGTTTGGAGAATATTAATTAATAATGCTTCCTCACAAATAGGTAATCTAATATTGTATGACTGATATGGTTTTGCTGATATATTTTACAAACAACTCTAGCATAAATAATGTTAGAGACGATATCTTTTTTTTTTTTTTTTTTTTTTTTTTTTTTTTGGAGATTCGATATTTAATCTTCTTGTGCACATGGACACTAGGATTAATTAGATAATTATACTCCCCCTTTCTATTTATTTATTTTATTTTATTTTTTTGAGTGATAAGAAGTAAATAAATTTAGAATTAGAAGGATCCAGGATGATGTCGTTTTGCATACTAGAAAGAAGGACTCCTAATATGTTTTGATGTTCAAGAATAAGAGACATATAATCATTCTAGAACTCCTTTACCTCTATCACAAGCTACATTAGGTCCTCTTTTTGTAAGTTATACTTTTTTATAACCAATTCTTCTTGATCACTTGACACAGTTTCGAATCCTCTATCATGAATATATATCAATGGATTTTGTTGAAAATCTTACAAGATGAAAAGCACTCTGAACTAGCAAGGATAGAATCAGTCCATGGATTATTCCCAGTATGGTTTTTAATATCATTAGAATTTATTTTATTTTTATTTTTTTTAGAAAAAGGAGAAAAAAAAAGAAGAAGAAGATATACTTTAATCCGATGTTAGTCTATAATAATTATAATGGGTAAGTGATATTACATCATTTAAAAAAATCAATTTACATACATCCATTGCTTTAAATTAAGATAAAAGTAAAGAATACATAAATATGTAGGCTAATTAACAAGTGAAGTTAATATTTAAAAGAATAACTAACATACATACATACATATAATGCTCTTAGAGTATGATTTATGCATTTTATATGAGCTTCCTTTAATGACTTATCTATTAAAAGCTGATGAGGTAGTGCCCTAAATCAATATTAATTCATGTAGGATATAAAAGATAGAATACAGAAGCAATTGAATATGTCACAGAAATTTTATTCTATGTAAACTTATTGAAATAGGCTATACTATAACCTGCTCCAATATATATAGGTGAAAATAGAGAAGCAAAAAATACCATATTTGGCCCTCTCAAATATTGATTGATATGAATTACTATATTTGTCAATCTTAGCAAAATGGGGGGAGGGGGGAAGAGAAAGGTTAACAATAACAGCTTTAAGGGCGAAAATAAGAAAGCCCTTTTTTTTTCTTTTTTTGTTAAAGTTTATTCTCCATTTTGATTCTTCTTTCTTTCTTTCTTTCTTCCTTTTTTTTTTTTCTTTTTTTTTTATTGATTTTATTACACTATTATTTATTTATTTATTTATATATTTTTTTAACTTGAAAAAAAAAAAAGGTACCAAATATTCCTTAATTAAAATAGATTATTTATTAAAGACCTTCAGAGAAATATATTTGAAAAATTTACTTTCTTTAAGGTTAATATATGGTTATATTGTATCAGCAATGCATATTTTAACAAAGAATTTTGTGTATATATTTATATATATTTTTCGAACCTCATAGAATAAATTGGAGAATGCAACAACAAAAACAATCTTCTGCTTCCAATTATTTAAATATGATGAATACAAATAACAGCAAGTCTGATGAAAATAATATTAGAATCTCTTCTTATTTAATGTATAATAATGAATTTATGTCCATTTTACAACAACAACAACAGCAGCAGCAGCAGCAACAAAGTAATGTATTTTATGATAACGTAAATTCTGATTGCAGCCAACAACAAGCAGAAAGAAGTTGGTCGAAAAAGGTATTACACGAAATATCAGGATTAATCTATGTACTTTCACCTACCGGAAAAGTGATTTATTGTTCAGAGTCATGTATAGAACAAACTGGATACCAGCCTTATGAACTTACTGGGAAATTATTGATTGATTTCCTTCATGTAGATGATGTTAGTATGTTTTTAAACCAGTTTCAAAATGCCTTTAAATCTATGTCGCGAATAAAAGTGCATTATCGAATGCGGTGTAGAAATAATACATATCTCTTATTAGAATTAATAGGGCAACCAAAGCAGGATAGATTAGATCAGTTACCACACTCATTCTTAGCCATTGCTCAACCTTATATTTCCAGAAGTGATGGCTTACTTGGTTCATTCCTTGAGATCAAAAAAGAAAATGAATGGCTAAAAGAAAAATTGAATTATATTTTATCATTGCGTGGTTCTTCTTCTTCTTCTCCTACTTCTTCAGCAGAGCAACTGGGGCAACTCGTCTTAACCCAACAACAGCAACAATTGCAATATTATTACTCTCAGCCTTTTATGATTCCTCCCTTGTTTGATGATAATAACATATTACTTACAGTAAATAATGTAAATTTAAATTCTTCTCAAACATTACGAAAGCAATCATCCATTCATGCTAGCTCAGCTATTACTACTATGTTTCAAACTAATAATAATAATAATGATAATGATAATAATAATAATAATAAAAATACGATTGAGGCAATAGCAGAATTAGAAGATAGCAAATGCCAATGGAATAATGATAATAACCTATATACCCCATCAATGACGGCTTCTGTTTCAGGCCTGAATGAAGACATAATCATTAAAAGTACTCAAAAGCAAGATAAACAAAGCATTGAGAATAGAGAGATTATTTTACCTTATACTGCAAACCCATCTTCATCTTCAAATGAGAAGGCGCTTGAACAGAAAGGCAACTGGAAAAGAAGAGTAACTATATCTGCATACTTACACTGTGATAGTAAAAAAAAAAAAAAAAAAAAAATCTGACTTTATTATTTATAACAGAAAAGTAAATATCAATTTGAATATATTTGTACTGATTGTGGAACAACTGCTTCTCCTGAATGGAGAAAAGGTCCTTGTGGGCCCAAAACGTAGGTATCAAATCATTTTATTTTATTTATTTTAAGTTCTATTAATCTTACTTGGTTGTTTTTAAATAGCCTATGTAACGCATGTGGATTACGATGGTCAAAGAAAAATAAAAAAAAAATATAAAAATTATCAGAAACTAAAGAGAATTTCTACGAATTATTAAAAAAGAAAAAAAAAAAAAAAGGTAGAATACACATAGACTAAAACCAGGAAACAAGGCCTTTAGATTTTCCTATTATTATATGTATACACACATATACCCTTTAATTTAATATTCCTTAATCTGAGCTAAACATAAATGTTTTCTCTCTCTCTTTCTCTCTCTCTTTTTTTTTTCTTTTTCCTTCCTTATCATAATATATACCCTTTATGCCTTTTATAACGACTGTTCCATATCATGTACCCTAAATGTATTTCAATTATTATTATGCGCATTGAAAAAAAAAAAAGAGAAAGAAAATGTAATGAGTATATACATAAATATTGTATTATACAAATGGATAAACTCTGATACATAACTTGTACTACCTGTCTATATTAAACCTTTTTTTTTCTTCTTCTTCTTCTTCTTGACCATCCATTCAAAAGTCTCTAAACTGGAATGGTATCGAGAAGTGGTGATATAGGAAGATAAGCCTATCATGTAATCTACTCTACATGTATACATATAGAGTGGAGTTTGTCAAGTAAAATTGCAATTATATCACATTTAGGGCATTTAAAAAAAAGTAAAAAGTTACAGAGAGGGCAATAAAATTGAGATAGAATAGAAATCAAGCAAAACCATTTATCAATTTGCAGCATATTCAGTGTATGAAAAATACCAAGAAATTGTTTAAGCTACTTTTACTCAAGTAAACGCAACATTGCTACTAAAGGATGTGTCTTATTTCGGCCTATCTTTATTTTATTTTATTTTTTATAAATAAAGTGTAAGATGATGGTTAACTAAGAGCTACTACAAATCATTTTTATTTTTTTCTTATCACAATATGCAAAAAATTATCAGCAAACGAAAGGTTTTCATATGCCCAGTGTACGGGAGTGTCTAAGGGTAATTCAATACCATGTATTATAATTTCAATATTTGGATCTAATTCATTCTCAATAAATAAGTCTGGAATTAATCTTTTAAGAATATCGCCTATTGTAGGTATTATTTCTTTCTCTATGTATACATTTATATATATTAAAATCTTGAATATGACACTAGTTTATTCTTATTTAGAATCATTTGACTTATACTAACCTGTATCAGAATGAAATGGAACAAGTTCTTGAATTATAGGACAGTTTTCAGGTAAATAAATCCTTAATGGTATATGTTGAAGTTGATTCGAATATTCTATTAATTGTTTATTGACTGCTCTAAAATCTTCAAATCGATCTGTATATTTATGTATTAGAGATATAAGTACTGAAGCCTCTTTTTTTTTTTTTTTTTTTTTTTTTTTTTTTTTTTTTTGAGTTACCTACTATCAAAGACTGCCATAATTGTGTCGAGTCATACTTTGAAAGATTCATGACCTTTTTCGTACTTCCATAGCGAAGAAAGTCTGCCTAATGTATTTCATTATTAGTTTCAATAGGATTTTTTTTTTTTTTTTTTTTTACCTCTTTCACCATAGACATAAACATGTCATGCATTGTTTCCAAAGTTGGCTTTAATAAAATATCATTAGTAGGTAGATCTTTGAAATGTAGAGTAATTGGCCATGGTAATAATGTTGATTTCGAATGCAAGTCAAATAACAATCCAATAGGATAATGCCTAATCATATACTTATTAAATGTTCAGTTATTTAAATAAAAAAGCGTTTGCTTTTGCTATTTATATCTTGTCCTGTTACCATTTTAAAGGCTTATTGTTATATTCATACCAAATTGATTGAAATGCTTCTTCAGAAACTTGCATTCCTAATTCGGAGAATAAATGGTGCAAATGTTTTGTAATCAAAGGAAAGTATGAACAACGAGATGCTTCAAGCTATCATCATTATTTTTTTTTTTCGAAATAAAATTAGGCTATAGCTTGTTCAACATTAGGAAAAAAAAAACATACATACATAAATAGGATCCCAAATTTTGTCTTTTCCATAAACATCTATTTCTGTTGGATCAAGTGTAATCTTGATTGGAATCTTTCCATTCCATATAGACTTTGAAATATCTATATCAAATAACGACATGAATAATATTCTGTATTAAAGAAAGACGAATATATTTTTATATGGCTCTATTTTATTAAGAAGAAGAATAATGCATGTGTACAAAAAGAAGATAATAATTTAACCCATATTTACAAACTCAGCAGAAATTATTATTATTATTATACTTCTACTTTTTTTAATAAGGATACACCACAAGCATCTCGTTCTTTATGATTCAATATAACCGGCCTAGGTGTAGAAGAAGATGGATCGTAATCACAGCGTAATTCTGATTTACCAGCACGAATACTGCAGATAGCGTTAGTACGACAAGAAAGGTCACATTTTGGTGTAAGAGGAGATGATTTATATCTATTGAGCCAATATAAATCAAACTTTTCATCATCCAACTCCATTTCTTCAGTCACTTTATGCCACCAAGAAGGAGATAATGCCTTAAAGGTATTACTTGATGATCCATAAAGCTGCTTAGCAGAATATTCTTTATGCCAATTCTATACAAAAGAGGGAGTTTTTTTTTATGATTAGAGGATGAATAAACTTATCATTTATATAATAAACTTATTACAGGCACTAATTCCCATTCAGTTGATTTATTCAGATCTGCTATATAAGTATGAGTATCGATCACTTCAAATGTTCCAGTATCTACTGTATAAGTTCGAAAACCTGGATTCAGATCAGGATATGGCGTAACAGAGGGCGCTATATAAGCTATGGAAATAGCATCTTTTGCTTTCTGAGACGCATTCTTATAAAATATTTGAAATTCATCTCTTAAAATATGTATATATGTAAGCAAAGGATTATATATGTTGATAGATTAATATTGTAGTTCTTTATACCTATGTGTATGTCCAAAGAATTGACCTGCAATCACGTGAGGAGCATATCTTTCTATAATTTGATAATAATAATTTGCATAATCATGAAAGCAAGAAGAATCTCCAGGAGATGTATGTCCACTAATCCATACTCTTTCCTTGTTATCTTCTGATTCTTGCAATTGACTAATGAACCATTTTAATAGCCCATTAGGGTCCCTTTTAGTAGGTTGCTCATATAACCACCAATTTAGGTTATAACAAAAGTTAGTGTTCATACTAATCAATTTTAGTCCAGGCACAGGATAAGCAACATAACTACCGCTGTGTTTATGAACACGTGAAAGGTATTTAGATGGAATCCAACCTTTCCAATTACTCACTAAAGTATCATATAGCCAAGTCATAGTTAAATCCTCATGTCTTTTCCCTGCTGGTAAATTCGAATCCTTTAAAGGGAATAAATTGGTAGGGGCTGATTCATGATTTCCAATAGATGGATAAAGCTTTGTATCGATCAAGAAGGATGAGTCAAAATGTGAATGAAGTAGAGCGTAAGAAGTGTCTTGAATAAATTTGGTCTTTTCAATGGGTAACGTTTCCCAAACCTCATGTGGGGGTATATCTCCTGTTAAAATGGCAAAGGATATATTAGGTGCAACGATAGGTATATATTCTAGCATGGTTTCAATTAACGGTAAGGGTGAGTCACAACCAAAGGCTCCCCAAGGTGATGCCTTGTTAGCAATATTATCAAAGTCTGTATATTGTCGTCTACAGCAGATTGGTTTACTGCATTTTGTTTCTGTTCCTTCCTATTTTTTTTTTTTTTTTTTTTTTTTTTTTTTACATAGAAATATCAATATTTATATACATATAAAAAAAATAGATACAATGTATCATGAATAATTACTTCATATTGTGGATCAATATGCCAATCGCTTAAATGAAGAACCGTTATCGTCTTATTTGATGATTTATAGTGAACATGATTCGTTGGTTTAGGTTTCGGAAAACGTACTTTCCACTGCTTGACATCTATGTTATAATAACAAGCATTTGAATAAATATATTATATAAAGTTAATAATGATATATATATTTGTATATATATACCAGGATATGGGCAAGAATTGAAAACTGAAGCACATAACAAATGTCCATCTCGTCCAGATATATCCATTGTCTAAATGATTTGAAAAATAAATAAATAAATAAAGTTATTCATATAAATATACTATTTCTTCTTTACCTTTAAGACTCTGCGAATGATTGGACCTTGTTCCCGAACTATGCCCTCACACTATTACATAATGCATATATGGTTAAAAAAATAATAATAAGAGAATAGGAAAATAAAAGCATTCTTACAACTTCATTATCTACTAGTTTTGATTTTCGGCAAATATTTTTCATTGCAGCTAATTGAATAGGCTCAGGAAAGAAACATAGCCTTTTAGCCATGCTCAATAAATTAATACATGAATCACAATTCCTTCGGGCGTCATCGGGATCATTTGGATTGAGAAATAGATCAATCTGATTGCATAGCTTATTTTCTAATTCTGTGACAGAATTAAAGGTAAAAAAAGCTTGGCTGATACTGCTTGCTTCAAGAGAAGTGATATAAATCAAAAGTAATACAAAAAAATAATGCATAACTTATTCAAGAAGAAGAAACAAATTGAAATAGAAACTGTAAAATAAAGTCGTTTTTGAAATTCTTTTTCCGATTTTTTAGTGAGTTTTTTTTTTTTTTTTTTTATAAAGATCTTTAAAGCATAATAAGGTTATTATTTTACATGACAATCAAGTGATCTATTTATTTATAAACCATGCTATGGTTATTGCTTTTGTTATAGATCATAGTAAGAAGACGAATAATCCTCTGCTATCTAATATTATTTGCTGTAAAAAGATGCCCTTTTTTCTTTTTGGCTATACATTATTAAACGATCTTTGAAGTTTCGAATTTTCTAACTGATATCATCCTCATGTTTAGTTAACTTAGTACTTTTGATTTATAAGTGTTTTTTTTTTCAAAGTCGACCTTTAAGGAGGAAAGGAATAATGAATGATTCAAACAGGTATTAGAATAGACAAATAGCAGTATCATGAAGGCTTTTTAACATGATAAGCAATTCATTATTTCTATTTAACAACTCAAAGAGAGAGAAAAAAAAAGGAAAGAAATTTTGCTTACTTAACACTCACTTCTCTTCTCTAATAATAAGGGTCTAAAGAAGGGTGGGAGTCCAGTTACATCTTTATACGTTCTTTCTTGATTTAGTAAAATCAAGCTTGTATAAACTCTAACGTAACAATTAAATGCTATTTTTTTTTCTAGACCCTAATGTCAACGGTAGCATAATTAGGCGCATTGTACTTATTGTTGTATAAGAGCTTAAGTGTGTGTCTTGAATTTTATAAAAGTAATTCATATGATATAATTGTTCATAAAATCTTGGTGACTTTGTTCATTAAAAGAAACTATATATCTTTTTCCTTTTTTTTTAATCTAACTCACAGATTCTTGAGTATATTGTTATATATATATATATAAACTTGAATATACTAGAGGTAAAGTTAATAATATACTCTGTAATATACTCTGTAATATACTCTGTAATATACTCTGTAATATACTTGTAGTGCTTGTAGAATTTCGATAAACAAAGAAGAGATTACATTGTTAAGGAAAGCAATTGAGTTTGAAGAAGCCTTCAAGAAAAGAGCACTGAACTTGTCTATCAGATAATTAAGCTGCTGTCTATTTTCATCAAGATAAACCTATTATTATTGCTAATTCGAAAGAATCATATTTTCGGGTATAGCAAATTAGAAACAATTAGGCAAATTGTTTAGCTAGGAACTTAAAGAAGAGGTTTTTAGAGACAATTTTAAGTAGCTGAACAGCTGCATTTTTTAAAAGTTTTATTTAACAAATTCAAGACATCAAGCTTATGCCCTGAATGCAAAGTTTACAAATTTTAAAAATAAAAAAGAAAGCTACAGATTGCTCAATTCTATTTTTAATTGTCTATAGATATTTTTTTTTTTTTTTTTTTTTTTTTTTTTTTTTTTTTTTAATAACAGCCTAATTTTGCTACCGCTATATTGTTACTGCTGGCAGTAATAGCTTATTCCCTCCTTGTACCTTATTATTAGAAAATTATGACAAACGTCTTAAGGGCATCTTCCTCTTTCGTCATTAAAAAAGCTTTTCACCAAAACTTTTTTAGATCTATATCAACAGTTAATAAACCTAACTATGCAATTGCTTTTGACATTGATGGTGTCTTAATTAAAGTATAGATGGAGTCATCCAATTTTATATATACAATAGACACATACTAATCATGAAAACTTTTAGGGAAAACGTCCTATTCCCGAAGCAACTCGGTATAGTTTTTTTTTTTCATTGTATAAATTATACTAGATGATATAATGTATTTCATAGTGCTTTAAAGTTGTTGAACGGTAATAACGCTTCAAATAGGTATGGAGATATTATATAGTGGGAAAAAAAAAGAAAGAATAAACCTTAAATTAGCAGTAATCTATAGAACCATACCATTTGTACTTTTAACAAATGGAGGAGGAATGACTGAAGAAGAGAAGGCAAGACAAATCAGTGAACTTGTTGGTGTTAAGGTAAAGTATTAACAATTTAGCAAGTCTTGTTTTTTTATTTTTTATTTTATTTTTTTTTTTTCATTTACTCATCATGTATTTATAAAGATTAATCCCAAACAAGTTATACTTTCTCATTCCCCAATGAAAAGTTTAGCAGATAAATATAAAGATAAGAGAGTTTTAATTATTGGCGGCCAAAGGAGAGATTGTTATGATGTAGCTAAAGAGTAATAAGATAGTATATATATATATATGAATAAAGAGATAACATTATTCTTCTTTTTTTTAGGTACGGTTTTAAAGAAGCTGTAGTGCCCAATGATATTATGCACTGGAATGGTTCATCTTGGCCATATTCAAGAGCTACCTCTGATTTGTCTATGTTAACGGATGTAAGAGTCACATGTAAACCAAAATTTAGTGATTATTTCTTTTTTCTAAATACTCTACGTAGTCTGCTATTGATTTTTCAAAAACACCTGTCCATGCTGTTATGGTATTTCATGATACCTTTGATTGTAAATAAGATAATAGGTGCTTATGACATCAACTAACATGTAATCTATACACATATAAATAAATATAAAAGGGGGAAGAGATCTTCAACTTATGTTAGATGTACTTTGCTCAAAAGATGGTATTCTTGGAACAAGAAAAGAAGACTATTCAGTACAAGATGTTCCCCTTTATTGGTCTAATGTAAGTATATAGTTTTATCCTATCTTTCTTCTTGTTACTCATCACTTTTTTTTTCCTTTTCTTTTAAGAATGATCTCGTAAGATATTTGAAATGAATCTCAATTCTCCATTCATTCTTAATATAAATGCAACTAATATTATATTATAGATCTGGAGTACAGACTTTCCTGCACCTAGATTAGGTCAAGGAGCTTCCAAGGTTGCCTTAGAAGCTTTATATAAAAAGTTGACAGGTCACGAATTAAAATCAACTTCGTTTGGTAAACCTCACGCGACAACTTACCGTTATGCTGAACAAATTCTTGATTCCTTGGCTACTCATCCTTCACAACTACAACAGAAACGTAATGTGTATGCTATAGGTGATAATCCTGCTGCAGATATTAAGGGCGCTAATAATTATGGTTGGACAAGCGTTTTAGTTCGTACAGGTGTTTTTTCTGGTAAAGAAAATTCTAAAGAATTCCCTGCTAAAATGGTATGTGAAAATGTAGAAGAAGCTGTAGAAAACATTATTGCTTTAGAAGAAGAGAAAAGAAAAATAATGTAGATTAAAATAAAAGCTTCTATTAATTATTTAAATATTTCGTCACCTAGTGTAATAAAAAAAAATGGTTAAATTTCCCGAAAACAGTGTTTGTTCGTCTTCCTCTTGTCAGCCTGGGTACACCCCTATATTCAATCTCTACTTGAAAAAAAAAAGCGTGGGGTAAGATAAAACTATTGGAGATTCGAGAGGGGGGCTGTTACTAACTGTGAGCTTCAATAAGCCTATTTTCTCTCTCTCTCTCTCTCTCTCTCACTCTTTCTCTCTACAATTCCTTAAATAAGCTTGTTGATTTCTTCACTGTGCGTGTGTGTGTTTTATTTTTATTTTTACAATTTAAATACATGAAAGAAACGAAGAAGAGATGTCTATTCAGTTGAAAGAGTCTTTGCAATCGTTACGACGAATAGGCGTAATCAAACCCTTACGAATTCGTCAACTTGAGAGAAGCAGCTCATATCCAATTCATTCATTTATTCGAGGAAAACCACACTACTTTCCGTTTTGTACACCATCATTTCATGAAATGTCTTTTATTTTACCATCAACTTTTCTTCGTGTATATACAACTTCTACCGCATTACCATCTTCACCTTCTATAGACGATCATTCTATTTTGACAGATCAAACTACAAAAGTAAACAAAGATAAACAGGATACATCAAAGTCACAGGACGATCCACAACAACAACAACAAGTAGATCCAGAACCGAAAGAAATGTCAACTATTAAGCATTTTGAACAATTGATAACAACGATTATCAAACAAACCCATGACACACCGGATGCTTCTATTCATTGGAACGAAATTGTTCACACATTTGAAAAATCAAAAACAATGAATCTACAACCTTCGCCTACAATGTACTTATCCACCATGACAGCATATAGTCATTTAGATAATTTGGAGAAGGTAATCCTAACATTCAAGGAATACAAGCAACATTACCGGTTAAAGTCAAATGCTTATACACTTTATATGTCAGCGGTATTGAATTGCAGCATATCAGCAACCGCATTTCGAATACTCCGAGATATTAAAAGTAATCCGACCATCAATTCAAAAGAGAAATCACAATGTCTTGCTCAGTTTGTTCCTGTTTATTGTTCATCGAATAAGAAAAGTCATTTACAAATGGCCATCAGGGCCGCAGAAGAATTAACCCGAATCGTGCCATCTTTAGATGATTGGGATAGTGAAGCTATTCCGCTAATCACACAGTCACTATGGGATAGTTATTCTAAACTGTTAAAGTTGCCGCATGCACCAATTACTCCTATAACAGCTGAGACATTTATATCGACGTATATTGAAAAGTCATCCTTTATCATTGCCAAGACAAAGTACCAAAGCAGCAAAGATGTCCTCTCATCTCAGCTATTTACTTTATTTAACTTATTATGCAATCAGCCTCATTTCGTGCCTACTACAAGGACATGTAATCTTATCTTGACACTGATTGATTCCAATTATGGTGAAGTAAAATCAATATTGGCAAGTATGCAAAGGTTAAATGTGAAACCTGATTCAGAGACCATTTCAATCCTTTTACGTTTATTTGGATCCAATTTGTCTACTCATCAAATAAAGAAACTCTATCAAACGTTAAGGCAACAAGATTCAGTTGACAATAAAGTCAATCCAAGTGTATATAAAACATTTATTCAGGTATTTACTCAAGATTCGGCCAATTTGACTCAAGCGCAGAGGGTAGTTTCGGATATGAAAGAAAGTGGCGTTGAGTTAGATGAAGGGTCCTTTGTATCTATGGCTCATGGGTTTGTTAAAGAGGATGATATTGCAAAAGGCTGGAACTGGTTACGGAAATCAAATTGCGACGTTTTAGATGCTTATGCGATCCTAATGGAGGGATGGTTAGAAGGAGGGCAATGGAATGAATGTATCATTCATTATAAAATGTTACAGAATCAATTTGGATCAGATAGAGTTGAAAGGAATCGTCGTTTAGTCAAGTCATTATTAATGGCCTATTTCTCTGATAATAATTTCATAGCATCTGATGCATTGCTTACGTCAGGACTAAAGATCAAGTTCACCCCTAACACCATCATACGAATCGTAAACAACTTGATAAATTTCAAAACCAAAAATGGGCACCCTTTAGTCCCAGGATCACAAATAGTGAAATCGTTAAAGATGATGGAATGCAATCTTCATGTCCATCTAGATGCGGAGGGCATCAGTCGTGTAATTATTGGATTAGGGGATCGAGGTGATTGTGAAGATAGCTACAGACTCTATCGATGGGTACGAGAGGGAGGACACGAATCCTGTCGCAAACGGTGTAGCATGAGTTCTATTTATCGAGCCATGATACATAGTGCAACGAAAAACAACGATATTCGTAAATTAGAAAGAGCCTGGGTAGATATGCAGTATCGTAAGCAATACTTGGGTGCATGTCATAAGGGGAAACAACCTCCAACCCTATCCTCTTACAATTCACTTTTAAATGGATATGCATCACGACTTCCATATCCTGATATAACAAGGATAAAGAGAGCATTCCAACGCATGCTTAAGATGGATATAAGTCCTAATTTGGTGACCTATAATATTTTGATAAAGGCATTTGTAAACAGTAATAATATGGATGCCGCTGTCCAGATATTCAAGGACATGTCCAATAAGCCGGGAATACAACCTGATATTTGGACTGTAAATACGCTCTTGAAAGGCTGGATCAATCAAAAAGATTGGGAACAGGTAGAAAATTTTGTTAAGGAATTGAAGAAGATGGATAAAATCAAGTTGGATATTGTATCGTTTAATTTATTTGTACAGAGCTTTTTACAACTTGATTCCTCATCTATATCTTATGCTCATTTACTGAAAAATCAGAATAAATGGCCAGAGCTAGAGAGATTTAAGAGTACCGAGAATTATGCGTTGACAAGTGATATGATTTGGGAAATATTTGAAAAGGCAACTGGTTATCCATGTTCTTTAATTCAGTCTTCAGCATACAAGAAGAAGGAACTATCACTTCACTCAGAATCAAACTCATCCCTCTGTTGTCAACTATTAGATTTAGTCACTGAGAACATCAGATATTCAGATGAAAAATACGCGTTTGTCGAGTTATTTTCTGAATCCACTAAAGCAGATCAAATCACATATAAACTCTTTATGAAAGCCTTTTTAAATGCGAATGATTATAAATCAGCTTCAAAAATATATCAGTGGATGGATTTTCGGCAGATTATAACGTAATGTATATCTATTTTTTGTATACCAATAGATACCTCTTTTTTTTTTTTTTTTTGTTTGTTTGTTTTCGCTCTCTCTCTCTGTGTATAATAATAAATAGAATACTCTTTATCATCAAGTTGTACAGAGTAAACCTTTTTTTTTAAAAAAAATAATGTAATATATCCATTATCAAAAAGTGTTGATGAAGAAGGTAAACATACACAGGTATATAAAAAGTTAATCACTTTTGTACTATAAAGTATATACATATATGACAAAAAAAAAACCAAATTGGATACATCAAAGACTCTCATTATTTTCTGGTATACATGATATTTTATTTTAACTATGTTATGTATTATTATAAGATATTCATATACATATATAAAAAGGGGGAGAAGAGGAAAAAGATAATTATTTATGTAATAGATATATGGAAATATATTATGCGTATGTTTGTTTGTTTGTCTTTTTTTCTTAAAAAAAAAGGTGGAAAAAAAAGTAAAAGATGATTATATCCTATTATAAATTAAATATAAAGCTATTTTTTTTTTTGGATTTGTTTTTTATCGTATATATGAATATACATTTTTTTAAGCATTTTGAGCAGCTGGATCATTTCTGGTAGCATCTGGAATGTACTCAAATTGTTGCACTTGATAGCCATTTTCATCATGTTCAACATGAGCAGGAAGTTGTTTATGAGCCATTGCAAATCGACCCACAGGATCTCGATTGAATTGAGAGTGACGAATACTATAAGCAAAGTAAATGACCCAACCAATTGCCATCCAGACAAATAAACGCCAGATGGTAGTGACCTCAGCTACAGCAATCAACGCTACTGAGACGGCCATACCTAGAGTTGGGAAAACCAGGGAGAGGTATTTACCACCAGGGATCTTGAAACGTCTTTCGACCTCAGGACGAGTGAATCTCATGACGATGACACCGGCATGAACGACAAAGAAGGCCAAGAGGGTACCCACGGATGTCATGTTTCCTAATAAATCAACAGGGAGGATAGCAGAAAGAACGGCGGTGATGAACCCTACCGTCAGCGTTGTCACCCAGGGGGTCTTAAACTTGGGATGAACCTTGGCAAATACAGAAGGTAGGAGACCATCTTGAGCCATTGAGTAAAGCACACGGGATTGAGCAAGTAAGTTGATCAACAAGACGGATGTTAAACCACAGATGGCACCGAGGGCAACAAGGATATTAAGCCATCGGAAATCTTTTCCTGTACGATCCATAACAGCCTTCACAGCCACTAAAACAGGTGTAGGCACATTAAGTTCGGTATATTTAGCTGCTCCTGTCATGATAGTACAGAATGCAATGTAAAGAATAGTACTGACAGATAAACTACCAATAATACCAATTGGAAGATCACGTTGAGGATTTTTAGCTTCAAGAGCGGCAGTAGTAACAGCATCAAAACCGATATAACTATATATATGTGTGTGTGTGCGTGTGGAAAAGTTAGTTTAGTCCAAATAGATCTATTATTAAATTACCTAAAGAAAACAGTAGTAGCAGCAGCAACAATGCCTGGGCCACCGAAAAAATGCCAATCACCCGATGTATTGGGAGGAATATAAGGATCATAATTAGGTTTGTACATAAAACCACAAAGAGCAAAGATAAACAAAAGAATAACAACGAGCTTAATTGTTACAACAACTGTATTAAATATAGCAGATTGACGAATACTATAGGACTCTATAAATTAGCATATTTACTTTCTACAATATATATATATATATATATATATATATTCATATACATACCCCATACATAAAATAATAGTGACAAGCATAATAATAACAAAGCCGGGAACATTAAAGTAATGACCTTCAGTACGATAAATAGAAGCAGGGTTTTCTGTCCATCCAAGTGTAGGCTTTGTCCAATTTTCACCAAAAATAATTTTACCATTAGAAGCTATTTCAAAAAATTCTACAAAGTAACCTGACCAGCCTACACCTACTGTGGCAGCGCCTACCATGTATTCAAGAATCAAATCCCAACCAATAATCCAAGCAACAAATTCACCCATTGTAGCATAAGCATATGTATAAGCAGAGCCAGCAACAGGGATCATAGAAGCCATTTCAGAATAACTCAGTGCAGCAAAAGCTTTTAAGAAAGAAAGAAAGAAAAAAAAATATAAATATATAAATATGTATTCATAAACGATAAACACACACACACACACACACAAAAGATTTTAAACTTACCAGCAGCTACAGCAGCAATCAAAAAAGAAATAGTAACGGCAGGTCCTGCATTTTTAGCAGCGGCTAAACCTGAAAGTACAAAAATACCAGTACCAATAATAGCGCCAATACCCACAAAGACAAGTTGAAAAGCTGATAAAACACGTCGTAATTCAGAATTTTCAGCATCCCCCCATAGTAATTCAACAGGTTTAATCTGACCAAGACGACGAAACCAATATTTTGAACTTGATTCATTCTCCTGTCGTAAATAGGAAGATGGATCCACTTTAGTATAACGTTCAGCTACAGACCGAAAAAATTGCCCATCTTTTTGATGTCCTTCTGAAGATATATTAGAAGTGCTAGTAATAGTATGAATGCCTTTTGTTGTAAAATCTTCTGTTTTTTCGTCCGACATTATTTAGTTAAAACAAATAAGAAAAAAAAAAGAAAAAAAAAGAGAGATAGAGGCAAAAAGAAAAGAGAAAAGAAAAAACAAAAACAAAAAACAAAAAACAAAAGAAAAAAAACTGATTATATAGACTAGCCGCTCTTTTATATATTTTAGATAATTTTGATATAAAATGTAAACACCACCAGTTATCAATTAACTCTCACATATCTTTAAGCATTAAGAAAAAAAAACGGGTATGACTTTGTGAAACTTTTCGTTGAAATACACTCTTCATAATATCATATAAAAATGGGTAATACACTTTACGCAGATATTTACCATTTAAGGTAATTGAAGAATTTATTTCATGATCATGCGCATACTAGAAGAAAGAAAAAAAAAGAGGTAATGTCCTACAATTCATCTCGTAAGACATGAAACCATTCTTTTTTTTTTTGTGGGGGACCTATTTCATTGGATTATGTCTCCTGTATTTTATCCAATTAAAACTAAAATAATCTATGTCATATGCTGTAAGCATTATGTGTCAATCAAATATGAACAACATTACCACTATTATTAGTGTACAAAATAAACGGCTATTTGTATTATTGCTCACATTATATAATTATAAGCTATTTATATATTATTAGGGTTTATATAATAATAAAGAAATTCAAACTACTAAAATTACCAAAGATCATTTTTGTCAATCTTTTATTTAACAATAAAAAAAACACGTATGATGATTCTTGCATATGTCTTTAAATTACTTTATAGAAGAATCTAGTAGTTATATCCATTGTAGTAGTATAAAGAAAGATAAAACATTATATACTGTGTAAATTTAATGTAAAATTACTCTTCCTTATATCTACTATGAAGTCTATATTATTTGAACATTCACTTTGAAAGAAATGTCTTCCTTACTATATAATGCATAATATGGTGTACCTTATTTAATGTAAACAAGTCAGAAAAAAAAATCATTCGTCATTTATAGCCATAATATTTATACTTGTAGTACGTTCTAATGCATGAAAATGATAAAAGGAAAGACAAGAAGAGACAATAAAGAAGCTTGAAATATGTATTATGTTGTACTACTATTTTCACATATTTTCTCATAAGAAAAAGAAAGCCTTAAAAGTTGTGTATCAAACGCCAATTATCTCTTATTGTGAGAAATGATAATGGTTTGTTTTTTTTTGTGAACAAAATATTCAATAGTAGCCAAAGAGATTGTTGCACAACATATGCATCATTTATGCTGTTATTATTTGTATATCCATGTTCTCCATTATCACATTGCTCATCTTTTTATTCATATTACTTGATAATAAAACTACTACTTTTCTATGATATAAAAAACCTTTCTTTTTTTTTTTTCCTTGAATATTTTGATCTATGGTGGCTTATCACTATTAGATTAATTTTTTTTTTAAAAACTTAAACCTAATTAAGGATAGAGAATAATATAGTAGTAGCATGTGATAGATAAAGTTTTCTATCAATTTCCAAATATGGATAATTCACGTCCCACATATGTTTATTATAACCAAGTTATAGCCATGTAATTATATCAAAGTAGTAGTAGTAGTAGTAGTAGACTATTTATTAACACTATTCTTACTTACAGATCAGTTTTTTTTTTTTTTTTTTTTTTTTTTTTTTTTTTTTTTTTTTTTTTTTTTTTTTTTAATAAATATATTGTCTAAGGTCAATAATGTTCAAAAAGAATGATTATTTTAGTCTGTTTGTATCTATAACAACTTTATTGTGTCTTACAGTAATACAATATAAGTAATATCTTGGTATCATTGGGGGGAAGCACTTGGTATAAAATAATACAGAATTTAAGCTATTTATTATAAATATTATAAAATAATAGTAGTTATACAGTATTGACACCATCTTGATTATTACTACTATTTCTAATAACAGTTTATGAAAAGTGACATAACTATGCTGAGTTATGTTAATTTATGAGATAGATTAGAATGAATTATTAATATTAAATAATAGACTTTTATTATATGTTGTAAAGTATACTTTAAAATAAGTACAGGTTTTTTTTTTCAAAAGAAAGTATATGAATATAATTACAATATTTGGAGTTTAAGAGGGAGGAAAATAGAAAAAAAAAAGTCTATTTAAAGATCACTATTAATTTTAACATCATTCAGGGCAGCTTCTCTATCAATAACAAGAGCCAATCTACGAACAGCTTCAGCCATATCTTCTTTAGTCACATTACTATAAGAGACACGGATATATTCATTTTTAGTTTTATGTGGCATAAATGCAATACCAGGAATAGCAAGGACATTTTCTTTTAAAGCCTTTGTCATGACCAAATCATAAGAATCAGTAATACCACCCAATAAACGAAGCCAAACAAACATGCCAGCATTAGGTACAATCCATTCAGCACGTCCCTTTAATTGACGGTTCAAACATTCAATAAATTGATCCCTCTTTTCACGATAGAAATCAGCAACACGGTTTACATGAAGGAAGAAGCCCTCGTGTCCCCATTTCTCTAAAAGAGTATATGTGATAGCCTGAGGTAGACCAGAGGGCTGAAGGTTAGTTACCATTGTATGCATATTGATACGTTCAATTAAAGGTTTAGGACCGGTAATCCAACCTAATCGAAGACCTGATGATAAAATTTTACTCATACTATCACAACGTAAGACGCGACCGTCTAGATCCATAGAGAAATAAGAGGGGGTTCGATTTTCAGTGAACTGTAAATAATAATAAGCATCATCTTCAAGGATGATGATATCATATTTAGAACAAATCTTATATACAGCTTGCTTTCGTTCCAAGGTAGCAGAGATACCAGTAGGGTTACCACCACTAGGGACTGTATAAAGACAGTGAGGTCTAGGCTGATCTTTCTTACCACTAGGATTACTCTCTGGCCAATTAGCAAGCATATTTTCCAAAGATTCAGGGATGATACCATATTCATCTGTAGCTACATCTGCAAGATCACAGTTTAAGGTTTCAAGAAAGGATAAAACACCTGTATAAGTAGGTGTTTCTACTAGGACTGAATCACCATCATTGATCATCATTTCAAGTGCCTTTATTTATAATATTATGAGACCTATTGTTAGATAATGATATATCTATAGATTATATTATATTACCTTTGTTAAAAGATCTTGAGAGCCAGAACCTATAGAAAGAGCAAAATCAACATGAGGTTTATGCTCTTTTCTTTGAAGTTCACATAACCATTCATTCAACAGAGGTTGACCATTCTAAACAGTATATATATATTTGTATATATATTTATATTAAATACTCATAAGGGGAAAAAGAATAAACAAAAAAAAAGGAAATACTTACAGACAAATCATAAGACAAGGCTCGATTAAATAAATTATTATCCATCTCAATCTTTTCACCTGTTTTCAATGTAATTGTTAAGCCAGCAAAAGGGAAAGTAGCGATATTAGGTTGTCCAGCACCAAGTGAAATCTATAAATCAAGTCATCAGTATAGAAGAATCTTGAATTATTTCTATGAAAAAATAGCTTACCATATCCTTCCTATTCAAATATGGCATTAATGCACGAACTAGTAGTAAATTGAATAAATATCCTTATAAACAAAATAAATAAATAAAAAAAATTAACATACTTGCAGAAGGGTTTCTGGCTTTACTACGTTCACTAATATGCTTTGAATAATCCATCGTTTTTTTTTTTCTTTAATTAGTACAAAGAAGAGAAGTTCAAAATAACAATTGACAGTTGATATTTATATCTATTATTTATTTTCAGTCTCAACTTAAAAATTGAATTTTATCGAATCATTTCAACTCGTAACTATAAAAATGACATGTATTAAGGTAAAGTGTGTATATTGTGCGTATAAAATGTTTCCTCTTTTTTTTTTCTTTTTTCTTTTCAAATAACGTTTCTATAAAAAATGAGTCATACATGATCAAGGCACAAAGAGAGAAAAAAAAAAAACAACAACAACAACAACTAAAAGAAGTGTGTGACTTTCTTTTAAAGATAATCTACTTTTTTTTTTTTTTGATAGACGGATAATTCAAATATGAATCTATTCATAAAAAAGGGAGGAGTTCTTTTTTTTTTCTTTAATAGTTACGAGTCTTTTTCTTTAATAGCATAAAAAACTGAATAATAGAGTCTAGATGTATCGATCTATATGACAATGATATACGCCCTGCTAATCTAGAATATGGATGTCTATTTAATAAAACCGAAATCAATTTCTTCCGTTTCCTCGGAGTAAAGCTGTTATTCAAATTAGGGTTTTTTTTTCTCACAATAATAATGTTTACTTTATAAATAAATAAATAAAGTCATTATGGGAAATAATATAACTGGAACAAGCATATTCCAATCCTCTTGTTACTTCTTCTATCTTCTTAAACGGTACTTTAATTCATATGTACAACAATAGTTAGTGGAGACTCACAATGATGTCTACCGTCTGATGATAAGCCAAGTTGACCCTACTTGACGTCACAGGGAGAAAGAAGAAAGAAGTAGTTTACAAAGCATATAAATAATTGCTAGTTGGATTAAGGTAGATCCTGTTAAGAGTATATCTTTATTGTTTATTTATCGTAAAAGTCACTCTATTACTGCCATCATACTCGATTTTGAATTCAATATTTGTTAAATATAATATTACGTCTATTTGTTTTCATTTATTAAGATATAAAGTGTATCTTTTATATATAAATATATATCATGCGTGTTTCGTAGTTTTATCAGTCATTCTTTACAAAAAAAAAAAAAAAAAAAAAAAAAAAAAAAAAAAAGAGCTACATTATAAATACTTTAGACATTTATTATTATTATTATTGCTACTATTTCTTTATTATTCGTTTCATTTAATAAAATTGAATGTTGAAATTAATAAAGCAAAGATTCATAAAAGTAACTTCAGATGAGAATACAAGATTATTATCAGAAGGTAGTTCTTCAGACCAGATTAAAGATGAAGATGTTCTTGACAAATATCACTTGGTTTATTGGGTATTTTTAACTTTTATATATTTATATAATATTGACATTCTCTAATATAAACATGTACAGATCTTTTTTATATATGGAGTTGCCATGTTGTTACCTTGGAATGGTATTAATGAATAAACATTTGATTGTGAAGAAAAGGAATGAAATAAAAAAAAAAAAAAAAACTCTTGTATATATCTAGTATTTATCACAGCTTCTGAATATTTCGCTAAAAGATTCTCGGGAACACCTTATGAAGAAACGTTTCAAAACTACTTTTCGACTAATTTCACGAATACAAATCTCTTAACATTTGTTTTCGTAATTTATATGCAGAATAAGGTAAATATATACATACAAATATATACTTGTATAAAGAAAAGAAAATGCAAACACATAAATGTATAAAGTCTTCATATAGTTTCGATTCATTTTTATCTATCTTTATCAATACAATTATATTTGGCATGTTGGCAATTACTGTCGAAACACATATTGAAGGAATTGGTTATTTTTGGTTTATTTTGATTTTAATCGTCATAACAGGCGTTACTACTAGCTTTTTCCAAAATGCTGTATTTAGTGAAGCAAGTCAATTACCACCAATGTATATGCAAGCAGTACTTAGGTAACACTATAAATATAAATATATAAATATGTATATGCATATATACGTATTTATGTCTGTATCTTTTTATTTATTTATTTATATAAATATGTTTATTTATATGGTATGTATGTATATTTATATGTATAGCGGTCAAGGCATGATCAAATGATTAGTTATTATATATATAGATATAGGTTTATGTAAAACGACTTGTTAACATGTTTAAATAACATAATAGGTATTGCAGGTGTTGTAGTAGCCATTTCATCTATTCTAAGCGCACTTGCAGGAAGTACAGATAGTATACCCAATGAATCCTCTATTAGTCGTTCAGCATTTTTATACTTTTTATCTGCTTTTATAATCACTCTGGCAGCGTTGATAGGACGTATATGGGTAGTCAGATTACCCTTTTATCGTAGTCAAATGAAGTCAAATGCATCCACTTTATTAGAGGAAATTGAAGAGGATCTTGATGAAGAGCCTTTAAGAGAAGAAGCACCTATTGGCATCATGTCAGTTATTCGTAAAACAAGTGGATTGATATTTACTGTGGGCTATATATTTATTATTACTCTTATGCTATTCCCTTCAATTACAGCTCTTATCAAGTCCATTCATAGACCTAATGATGCTATAGATTCGATACATAGAGGCACTAATAAAGGACGATTTTATAATGATGATATATTTGTTGCATTCCACTTTTTATTATTCAACGTTGGAGATTGGGTAGGTCGTATGATGCCAGTTTCCAAATACTTTATCATTAGTCAAACGAAATATCTTGTCATGTTATCTGCATCGCGTACAGTATTTATACCCCTCTTTTTATTGTGTAATGTAATCGTTTCAGAATCTCGAAAATTACCAGTACTTATTCAAAGTGATTTATTCTATTTTATCTTGGTTTGGTTATTTGCCATTACAAATGGATGGATCTGTAGTCTAGCTATGATGGCAGCACCACAATTAAAATCGATCAAGAAAGGTAAAGAAAAGGCAATGGTGGGCAGTTTAATGAGCTTTTCGCTCGTGCTTGGGTTGGCTATTGGAGGCTCATTAAGTTTTATTGCAAGATGGATGGTTTAATCATATTTTTTTCTTATATTGAAACGAACTGTCAAAAAATATATGTATAAATATTTATATATATCATGTATCTTTTACGTATTTATTATAAATATTTATTATTAATTCAAACAATCTATTTTCTCTATTATTATTTCTTTAAGAAAATGGGAATTGATCAAGAATTTTTTATTAATAAAATTCAATTATGGAGTCCTGAAACATCCTGTTTACTCTCTTCTTCTTCTGCTGATGACATTCTTTTAAAAGGATTAATAACAAATAATGGGAATTTATCAGCAGCAGCAACAGCTTTCTTATCATCTAATGACGATCCTATTCTTTATTTCAATGATGCTATACAACAACAAGTCCATTCTCATTTCCCTTTCGGATATCCAGTAGAGGCTGCTTGCCAAACTTCTACCCATTTTACTATTTCTTCTCATCATAGATTGCCCTTTATCATCAACTTCTTTCACTCACAAAAGTTCACATATCCTAATTACAAGAAGCTTTTTGTTCCCTTTTTCAACAACAAGAAAGAAATGATATCAGTCATAAAGAATACGTTTAAAACCTTTTTTGATCATCGTCGTATCTATCCTCGACCAAAGAAAAAATACGAAGCATGAAAAATTGCAATTACTTATTTATTTACTGCTGGAAAAAGAAAAAAAAAATTATGTGGAAAAAACTGAAAAAAAAAAATACGTTAATAAAATTTAATCCCAACAATAAGCACATTAATAAATTACAACATTTGGTGGGGAAGTTCTTTAAAAAACGTGGAGGAATTAAAAAAGAAAAGAAACATAATGAGCTCAACAGGATTGACTGACTGGAAAAAAAAATAGCTAAAAGATGGACTTTTAAAAAATAAATTTCAAGGATTTCCAAAAAAAATTCACAGGTTGTTGGAAAATATAATTTCATTGGTTATATTTTTTGTCTATTGACGACAATGTCAAATTTTCAAACCGTGCCTTGTATCAACAAGACAGCAATTGATAAGTAGTGTTAGGATGAGCCTGAAACGTGATAGGACGAATAATAATAGTTGATCTCGTTTATTTGTATTGCAATACAATTGGAAAGGACAAGTCCAAGATGAGTAAATAGTTTTTAATTATGCCGAAATTATGAGCTGCGAGATGATTGGTCCTTATCGGTTTAGGTCGGTAGTAAAACTTCACCATATTTTCTTTAGATATTTTAATCGATCCAATGTTTACACATTCGGTAGGCTTATTGATAGACCCTATATGATTATTTTTTTTTATCCAGTACTATGCTGAAAAGGATTTTAAGACTATTTACTTTTAAATAGCTGAAAGAAGAATCAACAATAAAAAAAAAAGTATAATTAAATGATTTTAATGATTGAGTATCAAGGAACATCTTTTTTTTCCTTCCACTAAGCATGATATTTTCGAGGCAGTAATGCAAGAGATAAATCGTTCATTGTATGAATACAAATTAAGTTGTGGATGGTAGTGATACATAGTAGGACCTTAATATGTCTAATTATGTTTAAGAGGTTTCTTTGTCTTTATGGTATATCAAAATATATTAACTCTGTAAAAGTATATAATTTATTGAAATACCATGACATTACAAAAATAGTGCCCTTTTTTGTTATCTAACAGAATATATACAGTAAGTACTTGATCAAAAATACCTATGTTTTATTATGCTCTTACCAATAGCAACTTGGATTCCTATTGTTGACTTTAGTTTAAACGTTTTGATAGCGTCTTTACAAAATAAACCTTGCAGTTAGATTAAAGTCATCAATTAATAATGTCTTCAGGAGGTTTTATTTCTCCAAAAGCGTTCAAATAAGAATATTTGTATCATTTATACACATTAGCCACACAATCTGGTCAATTGGTACTCTCATTCATTTGCTGGTTAGGTTTAATAGATGATGATGTCATTACCTATTAATGGTAGAACATACCGGTATAGAATTTTTGCAGGATTCTTTCTTGATAGAAGGCCGTGTATAAACTCCATAGATATAACTGCTCGACCAGCGAGTTTCAGATTTTCTATTTATACCGCAATCGTATAAGTGTGATATTTTTTTTTTACAGCATATTAGTGGGTGAATATAAAAAAAAATCAAGATACTTATAACGCTACAATAGAGTTAATTGTGATATTTGACGTATGAATCTAGTTATACATGTTTAGATAATAAGGTAAAAATTAAGAAATGGAGTCATCTTGAGACCCTTTATGAATATCAAAAAATGATAATGTGGTAATACAAAATAGAACTAAAGATAAATACGGCAGTAATTAGACCTCAACCGATAAGGACCAATCATCTCGCAGCTCATAATTTCGGCATAATTAAAAACTATTTACTCATCTTGGACTTGTCCTTTCCAATTGTATTGCAATACAAATAAACGAGATCAACTATTATTATTCGTCCTATCACGTTTCAGGCTCATCCTAACACTACTTATCAATTGCTGTCTTGTTGATACAAGGCACGGTTTGAAAATTTGACATTGTCGTCAATAGACAAAAAATAAAAATAAAAAAATAAAACCAATGAAATTATATTGAAAGTCCGCTTTTTTTTTTTTCCAGTTAATTCTTTGGACAAATTTAGAATCAATTCATTTCTTATAACTGTTATTGCCCTGCAATATTTGTAACTTGGCAGGTAACTGAATGGGGGAAAAAGCAATTTAAAACAATTTAATTTAAATTATTACTTTTTTTTTTCCAAGCAATTTTCATTATCTATTTTTCTTTATTTAATTTGATGATACGGTCCTTTTGATCATAGTTAATGATAAAAAGTTTAATATTCAATAATGAAAAAAATAGACGTTTGCATTGACATTTATAAAATCGATTTATTTGAACAATAACTTTCTTTCCCGCCATTTTTCTTCCCATTTAATTTAATTTCAAAAATAAAAAAGTCTCCTGATTCAGTTGTTAAACCTTTTTTTTTTTCTATAAAAGAATAAAATGGGAAAAAAAAAAAAAAAAGTAGAACGATTTTTTCATTATTTTTTTTTTTTTTTTTTTTAAATTAAATAAATACTTGTTTTTTTTGTTGAATGATTTTTTCTTCCACACTTAGTCGTTGTTGGTATCATTTTATAAAACAAACTTCAATGCCCCTCAAGAGACGTGATTCCTCCAGTTCTACTATTTCCTCTACAAGTTCAGAAAAATCAGTTCGATTTGAAAACATGGATACCGTATTCTTTACTCATAGTTCAGAAGAATATGATCGAAAAGCTGTGAAAGAATCAACTGACTTTCCTGTCACTTTGGGTCGTATGTTCTTGTCCGAATCAGAGCAGAACTTACAACAAGAGCGTATTTTACAACGAAATACTATCACCAATGGAAGAAGAAGTTTAGAAGGTTATGCTGTCCTTCTTCAAATTAGGTCTCGTTCTACAGCTAGAAGTGATGCTTCATGTCTATTCTAATGAATAAACATGTGTATACATATATACCCACCCCTTCATTTTGTTTTATTTTAACTTACACTTTCAATATCATCATTACATACATGACAGTATGTTATTTGTATTATATAATAGTAGTATTGTTTATATCTTGGTTTAATAATAAAAGTTTTTTTAGTAAATTTTCTTAAAAAAAAAATCCCTTTTACAATGACATTTATAATACACGCATTGTTGTTTATCTTCTATATTCTTTTATGCTTCCAAATTACATACATATTCTCTTTTTTATATTGTCCAAACAAGCTTTAGCATTTGAAGGTATCTGTTATTTATTTAATTGTCTTAAGGCTAATCACTTGGATTTATTTTATATATTTAAAAGCATTTGAATGAACTGGAACTATTCTGGGGTCGGACGAATGTTAACAATGCACAAATCGCGTTAAAGTTTATTTTTTTTATTTTTTATTTTTTTTTATCATTAATGTGACTGTTAACAATAGACAAAGCAACACGTAATTTATTGTGCAATATACACTTTCTCTCTTTTTTTTTTTTTTTTTTTTTTTTCTCTCTCTCTTTAAAAAAAAAAATCAACATTACAAGATGGCTACGTTAGAAGATAAATCTTTATGGGAATCCGAAAATAATGACAACGATATTGGACAAGATATTCTTCGTTTATCACCTGAAGAAATCACAAATAGAACTCGTTTACTTGAAAATGATATTAAAGTTATGAAATCAGAAATTGTCCGTCTTCAACACGAACAAGCTGCTATGAAAGAAAGAATTAAAGATAATAAAGAAAAAATTAAATTGAATAAGCAATTACCTTATCTTGTTGGTAATGTTGTTGAAGTAAGTTTGTCTCTTCATCTTTAGAAATTATATACATATACATATATATATATTGTATTGACATTCTATATAGTTGCTTGACGTTGAACCTGAGGAAGATGATGCAGAAGGTGGTAATGTCGATTTAGATAGTCAAATTAAAGGAAAATGTGCTGTCATTAAAACATCTACAAGACAGGTATAAAATGAGCAATAAATTATAATAATATGCTTCATACTTATATATTCGTTAATAGACTATCTTTTTACCGTTAATTGGTTTAGTGGATGCAAGTGAATTAAAGCCAGGGGATTTAATTGGTGTAAATAAGGATAGTTATTTAATTCTAGATAAACTTCCTGCTGAATATGATTCACGAGTAAAAGCTATGGAGGTAGATGAAAAACCAACAGAAGATTATAATGACATTGGTGGTCTTGACAAACAAATTGAAGAATTGGTTGAGGCTGTTGTATTACCTATGACACACGCTGATAGATTCAAAAATTTGGGAATTAAGCCTCCTAAGGGTGTTTTAATGTATGGTCCACCTGGTACAGGTAAAACACTTTTAGCTCGAGCATGTGCTGCTCAGACCAATTCTGCTTATCTTAAATTGGCCGGTCCTCAATTGGTTCAGATGTTTATTGGTGATGGTGCTAAATTAGTACGTGATGCTTTTGAGTTAGCCAAGGAAAAGGCACCAGCAATTATTTTTATTGATGAATTAGATGCTATTGGTACTAAACGTTTTGATTCAGATAAGTCAGGTGATCGTGAAGTTCAGCGTACTATGTTAGAATTATTGAATCAATTGGATGGTTTTTCTTCCGATGATCGCATTAAAGTAATTGCAGCTACCAACCGTATAGATATTTTAGATCCTGCATTATTACGTTCAGGTCGTTTAGATCGTAAGATTGAATTCCCTCTTCCTAATGAAGAGGCAAGAGCACGTATCCTTCAAATTCATTCTAGAAAGATGAACGTTAGTAAGGATGTTAACTTTGAAGAATTATCAAGATGTTGTGATGAATTCAATGGTGCTCAATGTAAAGCTGTTTGTGTAGAAAGTGGTATGTTGGCTCTTAGAAGAGGTGCAGTGGAAATTACACATGAAGATTTTATGGAAGCTATTCAAGAAGTGCAGGCAAAGAAGAAGATGACATTACAATATTATGCTTAGTTACATGTAAAATAAAAAACAAAAACAAAAAATATCGCTTTGTGTATATAAAAGAAAAAATCTTGATAATATATTTATCATCATTGAGTGTATATATTGACCGAGTATAAATAAAATAAGGAGGAAGGAGAAGTAGAAGGAATAAGTGCTTTTTTTTTTAAAAAATATACATACACATATAAATATATATATACATACACATATAAATATATATTTATATACATGCTTAAATACATGTATATTATTAACATCTTTTCTTTAATTGTATCAACTTGTGTCAACAATTAACATCAAAGTAAAAAGCGATCGATATATAATATATTAAAGAGGCTTCATTCGCAGATGTTAAATCTGTTTACAGAACGTTGACTAATATTGCTCCTAAGTGTAGATGGTCTTACTTCTTTTGATGTTTCAGTTACTCTCATTTTTCAGATAGTCAGTGCTATTAAACTCCACTTTCTTGACATGGCTCTCTCTTCTGGATCAAAAACTTTCGATCGGGTTAAGCTTAGGGAAAATACTGAGGGAGATAGATGCCTTCTTGTCATGAGCTGACTTATAATGTCATATTTCTTGATTAAACAAGCGGATCAAGGAATTCTATCTAGATTCCCCCTGAAAAACTCTCTTGATCCACTTTATCAAATAATATTAAAACTTCTAGCATTTCATTATCTGTAACATATCTTATTCGGTCGTGACCCACACTTTTTTGATTCGAATCTTATCTTAGACTTCTTTAACAATTCTTATAAATACTCCCATCATAAATAAAGTGATTGACCTTAGAACTATTGTTTGCTCTCGTTGACGTCTCTTTTGTCTTTTTATTATTTTTATTTGATATTTTACAAGAAATATCATACTTCTGTATTCTCTCTTTGAAATAGTTTATGCAATCTCATCAGCCCTATTAATTGGTGCATTGTTCAGAACGATGTGAAATTCCTTCGTCTCAGGAAATGGATCCATACAGTTCATTGACTTTTGTAGGAAGATTATGTAATGATTAGTGACGGTATCTTTAGACGCGTTTTTTTTTTCTTTTTTTTTTTTTTTTTTTTTTTGTTCATTTCAAAATTAAAGTAAATTAATAAATCAACACATTACATGAACTAATTGAAATGCGAAATTAAATAAATTCAATTCTATTTAAAAAAAAAAACTACTTTTTTTTTTATAACAAAAAGTCTTTATTTCATTTATATAATTACAATACATATTTTTATGATTTGAAATAACTGCCATGTAACTTTTATTATTTTAAACTGTAATTTACATTTTATAAGCTTGTAATTCAAGCTATACATATAAAACTTGTGGGGAATAAAGGAAAAAAGAGTTGAAATAGCAGATAAATAAAATTCACAGCCTATAGTCAAAATATCTGTAAACTTAAGATAATAAAAAATGGTAGTAGAGATGTACATTTTTTTTTATTGGATATATGTATAAGCTATTATAGCATCTAAAATGTAGTATATCGAAACAATAATATCCTCACTAAATTTTGATTATATCCTGTATTATAGGATGTACTTCATTGCACGTTCTTTGGTGCATTACGTATTTCTTTTTTTCACAAATCACGTGAAAGATTCTTATTTACTATAAAAACAAAACAAAGGAAAGCTAATGACGTTCATAGTAACAATAAGAAGAAATAAATGAATAGCTTACTATTGATTATATACTTCTTTAGCAGCGATAGAATATTTTTTCTCCATATTGTCTACCACCTCATATATTCTTTTCTGATTAGCTTACACGTGTAACTATTTTGTACATTGTTTTAAGTAATTTCTCTTTATCTCTCTCTCTCTCTCTCTCTTTTGTTTCATTTACTTTTTAATAAATTCTGATTTGTTTCACAAGTAACAGTAACAAGAAAGGTGATCCCAGGCTTCTAAATAAACTCGATTAATAGCTTGAACAAACAAACAAAAAGTGTTAATAAATCTCATTTGACTTATACTTGAAAGTTTTGATTCATAATGAAAATAAAAAAAAAAAAATCTCAGCGACCGCTTTAATAAAATTGACAGTTTTATTATCTTGATCTAGAATTACTAATGACTATGATTACTGTTCAACTATGTGAAACCTTGCTGAATGAGGGTATCACTGAGAAGAAATTATTTTCAAAAAAGGCAAAATTTTTTATAGAAAAGATTATTTGATTGGATAATACTAGGTTAAGAAAAAAATATATCTATCTAAGCATGGTCTAATCAACAAGTTGGCACTATTTTTATTTTTATTCTCTTTCTTTCCAAAATAAAAATAAACTAAAATAAATGAATGACAGCCCAAAGGCAAATAAACGGTAAAAGACCAATGATAAATATATATGAAACTGATAAAAAAAAAGAGAAAAGAGAAAAGAAATTAATCTTATTGTGATAATATAGATTTCCCGATCCGGTCGTCATACCTGCGGCAACAACTATAGTCATCCCTCCAACTCCACAAGAACCTCGTAGAAGGTTACAAGATATGTTTGTTGTAGGAGAGCCAAATCAGGAAGAAGATACAACTTTAAAAGACGAAAAAGATACGTTAAATAATACTGAAAAAGATAATAACTATATACCCAGAAAGAAAGTTAGAAATACTGTACAATTTCCAGCTGATTTAGAAAAACGATTTTATAATCATCAAGATCAAAATTTAGCCATCGATGAAGAAATTGGAACATCAACATCATCACCACAACCTACTCGAAATGAACGGTTACTTAATTACCTTCATGCTAAATTCCCAAGTCGAATTGTCAGACGAGTAGTGAAATGTACAATTGCCTATTTCTTATCGACTTTATTTAGTCTCATTCGACCCCTCACGGCGGCCATAGGTCCTGCATCCTTCTTGGCCACTACTGGTATGCTTTTTAGTCATCCAGGGCGTACGATGGGTGCTCAATTTGATGCAACTGTAACAGCTGTCTTGGGAGTTGTGATTGCTGTTCTTTGGTCCTTTGCAGGTTTGGCCTCCTCTGTTGCCTATAACTTACACCACTCGGACCATGAATTACATCCTAATGGGAATATAATTAATGCTTGTTTCTTATTCGTTGGCGTCTTTTGGTCACAGATACTGCGTCAAATCTATCCGAAATTCCATTTTTTTTCGTTACAGTTCATGATCATCCAGATCTTTACTATGACACGTGGCCTTCATTACGTCGTCATCCCCTTCAAGTTACCCTTAAATTATGGTATCCCCTTGCTTATAGGACATGCAATCTCACTTTTAGTCAACTTGCTTATTTGGCCAGAGACGGCTGTAGATGGTTTAGGTAGAGCCCTTAGAGAAACTATCACAAGTAGTCAAGATATGCTTCATTTAATCACAAAGCAATTTTTTCTTGATCCTAATTCTGATTCTGTACCTGAATCAGTCGTCAATGAAGCTGCTTCCAAGATGCGAGTGGGCATGACAAAGGTGAAAACAGCTTATCATGAAGCAAAATATGAAATTTCTTATGCCTATGTTCATCCTCAACAGTTGAGTCAGATTCAGAAATCCCTTGATCGACTGACGAAACATTTGAATATCCTTGGGAGTTGTTTAAAGATAGAGCGTGAATTATTTGAGAGTGCAATTGAAGTATTACAAGCAGAGATGAAGGATTATCCCGATATGACAGATGAAGATGATACATCATCCTATGTAAGCGGTAGGGCTTCATTCTCACAACGCCATAGTTATGATATGAGTGATAATGAGGAAACACATCGTTCTTCTTTGAGTCGTCCATCCTATAGCGAAGAAGACCTCAATTTACTGCGTAATGCATTACGTGCTACAAACGATTTTATGAATAATAATAATAATAATAGTAGTAGTAGTAATAATAATAATAGTAATAATAAACATACCAATTCATATTTAAGTGCTAATAACATTAGTGCATATTCCTCTCGAACTACCTCAAGAGCCAGCTCTCGTCCTGGTTCTACTCATAATTCTGATGATGATCGTGTTGAAGGGGAAGAAGAGGATTACACTGAACACAATCAGAAATCGGTCAGTTCCTTTAAATCATTTTTGAATTTACCAAGACTATCCATACCAAAGCCTAAGCCTCCTAAGAAATCAAAAAAGCAAACAGAGTATCATCATCGACATCTTCTCCTTACCTATTTAGAGGGTCTACGTGATCCCCTGATGGACCTCTCTCTGGATTGTTCGACTGTTTTGGAATGTATCTGTGATAGTATTGCAAATGAATTCGATATGGATCCTGATGATGACGATTCGATTCGACAAACCTGGAAATCCTTCTTGCAGCATACATTTCGAATAGGCAATCAAAGGGATATCCGTAATGAAGAAAGTATCAAACGATCTGTAAAGCGACATAAAGGGAATGAAAAATGTAACTGCTCTCAGAATATCCGTTTAGCTATTACTCATTTTGATAACTCGGAAAGAGATCGAATGCATGCATTGTATGAGATCAAGAAGGCGCAGTCTGGTCTTAATAACACATTAGACTTGGGAATGCGCCAGGAACTCTTTTTGGTCTTTTTCTTTATCTTTACAATGCGTGAAGTCGCGACTGAACTTCAGGAAATGGCGATTCAAATGGATGAATTACGTTTGAATTCACGAAAGGGCAGTTTAGTTGGAAAGAGAAGGAAGCATTTTTATTTTCCTATATTTAAACAAAAGAAATGGCAGAAATGGGCAAGAGGCAGTAATCATCAAAGTACGCGTGATAAGGGGGGTTATACTTCTGGTAAATATATATATATAAATATATATATATATATATATACACCTTTATTTACTGTATTTTTATTTATAGCTGTATTGACATCTCATATACCAAAAGATGAACCAACGAAAAATGAAGTAAAAGATGAATATAATCAACTTCAAAGAATTCAAACTAATAATAGTCTGAAGCGAACTTTAAGTCACCGTTCCTCTTTAGCTAAAAAGTTACCCCGTATAAATATATCAGAAAAGGCCATTGCAGAAGAAGCAGAGGACAATAACTCTTCTCCCATTTTAGTAAATTATCGTAGACAAAAATCACCATACCTTCGCAGAAAAGATGAATCATTATCGCCTCCATCACTATCATTAAATAAAAATAATGAACAAAATAAAAAAAGTAAAATACCGCAATATTATATAGAAACAGATGAAGACTCTGAATTAACAGCACAACAAAAGAGAGAAGAAAAGATCAAGACGCCAATCATGTTACATATTCGATATGGAATTTGGCTTCGTCTTCAATACCTTCGTCGATATGAATTTAAATTTGCACTAAAGATGGCTATTGCTGTGTTGCTATTATGTCTCCCAGCTTTTATACCAGAGTCATCAAGTTGGTATTATAATGTAAGAGGACAATGGGCTGCTTTAACGGTTATTGCTATTATGAATCCAACAAGGTAACTACATGTATAAAATTATGAAGAAGGAGAAAGAGAAAGAGAGAAAAAAAAATTAATCTCTGTTTATATAGTGGTGGTACTTTACAAGCCAGTATTTGGCGTATTGTAGGCACATTGGTAGGTGCATTTGTAGGCTGGGCAGCTTTGGAAGCAGGAGGAGGTAGTCCATATCTTTTGGGTCTTTTTGCTGTTTTACTTGGTAAATAATATTAACAATAATAATAAAAGCTTGCTATGTCTCATTTTTTTTTTTTTTTTTTTAGCTATTCCATTCTTTTATATTCATTTAGGAAGCACTTATAATAAAGTAGGTATTGTAACTTTGGTTACTTATATGGTTGTTGCGTTGAGTAGATACGCATTTCCTACTCCAGGAGAAACCTTTGCAGCTACTGTATGGTAAGTTGTTGTAGATAGAAATATAATTATAGCAAATCATTTAATTCATATATTTTATTTATACATTTATATACATAAATATATATACATATATATATGTATATAGGAAACGAACTGTTACATTAATTGTGGGTATATGCGTTGCTCTTCTTTTAAATTCGTAAGTTTGAAAGAAAAAGAAAAAAAAATAAAAGGAAAAAGAGGACGTTGCTGATTTAATCTATCTTTTTTTTTTTTTTAATTTTAGTTTGGTTTGGCCATTTGTTGCTCGAAATATGGTTCGTAAATCACTTGCAAGCTGTTTAATTCAATTGGAGGACTATTATACCTATGTTATAGGCACCTTCCTATATCATAATCCTTATACATTACCTAATGATGAAGAAATAACAAAAAGTATAAAATTGGAAAATAGAATCCAATCAGCCATTGATACATGCTCAGTTCTATTAGAGCTTACAGATCATGAACCCCGTTTTCGAGGTCCCTTTCCAAAATTGTTCTACAAGGAAATGATTGTATCTGTAAGAAATATCCTAGACCGCTTATTGAGTATTCGAACTGCCTTACTTCAAATGCCACTTGAAGTAAAACGTGATATTTGTGAAAAAGCATATCACGCAGATAGAAGAGATTTGGTAATGTATTTCTAATGGGATAATAGTAGCCTATCATATTAACCCTCTCCCTTCCTTTTTTTTTCCCCCTATAAAAGACTGCTTCGATTTTACTTAGTTTTCATTTATTGGCATCTTCTTTAAGATCCAAAACTCCTTTACCGATTTATATGCCTTCTGCACGAACGATTCGAATGAAACTACTTGAAAGTCGTCGTGCAAACCAGCAGAAGGTAAACTGGACTCGATTTCGTAATCTTACATGGTTTGCTATGGCCTGTTCCACGGGAGAAATAATTGATGAATTAGAGTATCTTTCTAAATTGGTTCGATACATTGTTGGTGAAAGTGATTATGCAGAGCTTGTAAAAAAAATAGATGATTTTGAAAATTATCCTTAAATTAAATTTTGTAAATTTTTATTAAAGTTTCTCTTTTTTATTATTATTATTATTATTATTATTATTTGTTTGAAGCTGTCTATATATTTATATTCTAATTAATTATAATGGCAGAAGTACAATTTGATGATCTGGATTCAGTACAAAATAATGAGGAAAGAGAAGAATTAGTAAAGTAAGATGATGTAGAATGCCATTTCGATAGAAAAAGTTCTTTATTTTTTCTTATTCCTTCCTTCTCTTAATAGACATGTACTTGAATTACAATCACAATTACGAGGTAATCATAAAAATTAAATGGGGTGGGAGGATAATTCTTTATTCTTTTTAATAAAATATCTTTAAAGAAATGTTATCGCGAGTAGACGCAGCAAGGAAAGAGTATCAATCACTTTCGACTGAGAACCAATTATTACAAAAATATATTAATAACTCACTTACATCCACCGCTGTCTTTGGTGCGACTAATGGGGCCGTTAACTCGAATAACATATCTCTAAAACAAACAAATAACAAGCCTGAATCACCTCGATAAATTTGCTATTTTTTTTTTCTTTTTCATCTCTGTAAATATCATTTTTCTCAGTTCAAATAATAAAATTAGCAGTCTCCTCTTTACTCTAATAAATGTTGATTTATTGTTAATTTTTCTTCTCCTTTTAATAGTATACATGTCAATAGATATGAATAAGGAGAATTATAACTATAGCTTATTTTAGTGACTTTATTAAATTACATGGTGAGGAGTTACATAAGATAGGAGAGGATGGTTTTACCCGCCATAAAAGCGACAAGCTCCTCTCCTTAAATTTTCACATAAAAATATTGGCTCTCACTTTCTCTCCTCCTCCTCCTCTTCCTCTTCTTCCTCCTTTTTATTGTGTATTTGTGTGTATACATGAATAGATTATACAAATGAAAATATCATTTTTTTTGTGTATAAATAAGCTTAAATAATACATACTGCCTTTTACTGTACACAATGTACACGATACATTTTTTATATGTTAATATTATCGTATAAATGTCAATAGTATATTCATTTTTTTTTAATTTAGAATTTGTCGATCTCTGCTTAGCACTGTGTTTTTTTTTCTTATATAAAACATAATGAGTACATATTAATAATGACAGATAAAACGGTATACATGCTTTTATTTGCCTCCTATATAAATATACATATATATACATATTCTTTCATTATATTTCTCCCTTTAATAACACACATGATTATAAATTTACAAATATGTACATATTATATTAACTATGGACTATAAAAAGCATATATGCATAGAAGTCATATGTATTTAGTATATGATAAAACCTTATATATAATTAACCATAGTCTCTTGACATGATATGTAATAATCAATCATTTCATATGATATGTGTGTATATATTAAAGAGAAACATGAGAGCAAAACTTAAAAATACTCTATTATATTGAAAATAATATATGCTTATTTGATGTTTATAATGAAGAAATACCATGCTATTATAGTTGTCGTTATAAAAGAAAAGACAATTTAACTGGGCTAATTTAAAATATATAACACACTATTATATCTTTTCTTTAACGAAAACATACATGCTTGTCAATGTTATTTTATATATAATCAAGCTATCACATTGATATATGAATACATACGCAGTAAATCAAAGCTTTAATTTATAGTCTGCGCGTAAAAATGCAGTAATAAATAAATCTTTATTATTATTATTATTATTATTATTATTATTATTATTTTGCCCTACTGTAAACTTCCATGCAAAAATAATTTAATTGTTCAATTGTGTTCCTATTTGTCTTTCTGTTTTTTTATGTTTTCTTGTCAAAGAACCTGTTTACCTCCTTTTTTTTTATCCTTCTCCTTCTCCGTCTCCCCTTTTGCCTTTTGTCTTTTTTTTTTTTTTTTTTTTTTTTTTTTTTTTTTTTTTTTTTTTTTTTGCCTCCCCTTTTCCCTCTTTTTTTTCATATAAATGGGATAATATCAATTTTGCTACTTTTGCCCTGCATTTGTTAAGTATTACTTATCTCCTATATCCTCTTTTTGTTAATACAATCTGATCTGTGCGTGTATCTTTTATGAAAAAACTTCTTGGATAATACATCAATTCCATAAATTGTTATTTAGCACATATTAAAAAGACAAATTAAGCATCAACATAAATATTTATTTATATTCCCTCCCTCCCCTGTCCTCTATTTTTCTTTTTCCCTCTTTGTTCTTTTTACAATAAAAACTTCAATCCTTTTCTAGTAGTAATAAACAATTAAACGCAGTATATAGATTAAGTCATTTGCCCAGAACTGTTTGGGTAACCTTTTTTTTTTTTTTTTTTTTATATTTTTATTCAAAAACAATAATAATAAAAGTAAAACCTAGCCCAAACAATAGATATTTTGTATATCGATTATTATTTAAACAGATACCTTTTCCCCTCCTCCTTCTTCTTTATTATACTTTATTACTTAATCTATTAATTCATTCTTTCTTTCATAATTACATACTTTCTTTACTTGTAAAGAAAAAAAAAATAATACATATTTTATATATTTCTTTCATTAAATAATGACTCAAACTGAACAAACTTCATTACAAATAAATCAAAATAATCATGTAGTATCTGTAAGTAAATAAGAAGAAGAAGAAAAAGGAGAAGAGGAGATAGAAGGACTCCTCATATAGATATTAATCTTATAATTATCTTTAGATGCAACCATTATTTGAAAGACTAATTAGTAGACAGTTTTCGGATAGTATATCTGCCATTGCTTATTGTCGTGAACTTTGTGCTGAATTTGGGTTTACTGTAAAACAAGAAGCTAGTGCAAATAGGGTACAATATAAATTAAACTACCTCCTCCTCCTCCTTCTCCTCCTCCTCCTTATACGTATTAAAATTAAATGATTATTATTATTTTTTTTTATCTACTGTTGTATTAGAATATTTATGTTTATTGTTCAAGAGAAGGCTTACCCGACTCTCAACGTAACCCAAAGCCAACACCTCAACGTAAACGACCTTCTAAAAGATGTGATTGTCGTTGGCGTGTTGTATTATCAGAGAATGAACAAGGTATATGGATCTTTCGTCGATCCATGAACCCGAATGCCTCTGACCATAACCACGAAATGATGTCACCTGATGAAATGGAAAAGCCATGGCCACCTGTTGTAACTGAGCTTATTAACAAATTAGCTGGAGAAATGGATGAGACCAACAAGATTCGAGAAAGAATCAAACAAGAATTTCCTTACATTATTTGGAATGAACGTCGTTTTTATAATCGTTTGACTGAAGCTAGAAAGCGTATTAAATACATGATTGCAGTTAAGAATGCTCGAACCCTTTTACCACTTTCTTCTCGTCTTTGCTCTATTGTAGCTCATAATAAAGCTTGGGTAGATACGGTGACGAATGACTTGCAACGAATGCTTGATCAGTACCTTCAACTGGCCAATATCCCAACAGATAGTGTTGACAGCTTATGTGATCTTCAATCGAATACAATTGAACCTGCTGAACATAGTGACAGTACGATAGATAAATATGAGCCCGTTTTGAATAGTACTCACCAACAAGATAAGGATGACATACCTAGTTCACCATCGAAAAAGCGAAAAGCGTCAGATCGCACTACTACAAATAATAATGACACAACTGCTGCTACCACTACTACTACTACTACTACCCAAAAAGGTTATACAAAAGCTATAAAGGGTCATGAATCACAAAAAGGAGTTCATAAAATTCATGTCCCTAGTTATACAATTCAAGTACCTATTCCTCCATCAAGATCAGCAAGCATTAAAAAACGTGTTAACAACAGTGGATCCTCCCCTATCTTATTAGAAAATCATCGCCACCCTATACATCAACAATCGGGTGCTAGTACATCTCTTTTTTCTTTTACTTCGCCTTCTTCATCCACTTCTTCTTCCTCATCCTCTGTTCCTCTTCAACAACAAAGATTTTCGATCGCTCCTCCTCCTCCTCAACATCATGTTTCTCAAAGAATGTCTTCACCTCAACCTGTTCATGATTTCGTTATCTCATCTTCTGGACACTATCATCATCCATCCCAACATCAAGATAACCCCAACACAGATTACAATACTCAGTCCTCAACTACTACTACTACTACTACTACTGCTAATAGTTCTTCTTTTGTACCTTATACTATCTCCCATCCATCCGCTTTCACAACAACATCCTCATCTGAATTACCCTATGATGACTCCTTTGAAGCTGGTCGTTCAGTCATTCAATCAGGGCAGCAGCAAGAAGATCCTCGTTTAATCACTCATCACAACTATTTTATCACTGTAAAGGAAGAATCCAGTAGTCGGGAAAAAGAGCATGAAGCCATATTGCGTCAAAACCATCATATACATCGTAATAGTACACATTTTAATACAGGGTATGCTTTGCCAATGATTCAATCTATGGAAGACAGTGCAATAAAAGAGGGAAATCATTGGAATTAAAATATTAAAAAAAAAAATCATCATTTTATGATATTTATGGCCTTCTAAAGGAAAAAAAAAAAAAGATCCTTATTAAAATAACAAAACTTCTTTGCTACTATGTATTTAATTTCTAATGACTATATGATTTATCACACATACACTGTTGTATTATAATATGCTCATTATTATTCCTTTTTTATTTTTATAGTTTTTTTTTTTTTTTTTTTTAATAAAAGAATGTCTCAAAGACATAATTCCGAATACTTCACTATGAATTCAAAAGCATCCGGACTCAAAGTGTCTGAATATTATTCAAAAAGGTTGTTTCCAAGATATACATTTGTAATACAAGAAACTAAAATAACGAGTCACTCTTCAAAGTGGACTCCGTAGACTCAAGTTATCTCCTCTTTAAAGAAGAAATCTTCAAAGTTTTTTTTTTTTTTAAAAAAATTTAGTTTGACAGGTCCATACCAACTTGTGGTTAAAAAAAAAAAGTATATTATGTATGTATAATTATCTTTTTCATTCATTCATTCTTTCTTTCTGTGTGTTTTTTTTTCCTTCACTTCATTATGCTATATTATTAAGTTGATGATCCTTTCTCTATTTCATTCTGTATAATGAAACGTAAAGTTGTATTTACGTTGAAATCATCTATAGTAAGCCATGTATTCATCAATTCCTTCAACATGGAAGTCTTTAAAATGAATAATTGTACGTTATCCAAAATCATGCAGACCTTTTTTATCATTAGAACAGCATGTTCATCACGAATGAGATTAGCAACATAACAAGCACCTAAGAGATCCAACATAGCTGCTATACTAAAGACAATAGGTAAAAAATGATTTGGTTGTTCTTGTGACTCTTGAAGTTGTTTTAAAAGTACAGGCTGTTGTCGTTTTGCAGCTAAAAGACGATATTCTGTCAATGACAAAAAGCTTTCCATATTTTCCCAAAGGGTCATACAGATTATATGCTGATGTTCTTCTTCGAACTGTAATTCGAGTGCACACATCAAGCGTGCAGCTGAAGCTGCTAAACAGCATGCTAAACCCTTTTGTGTTAATCGATGACGACGCTCACTTATACTATTATTATTATTGTTGTTGTTGTTATTGCTGCTGCTGCTGCTGCTGCTTTTATGATGCATGATTCGGTCCCAGCTTCGAACAAAGACAGCATGATAAAAGATGATATCAAGCACATATCGTAAGGGAGAGACAATAACGGGCTTATTATTATTAGCTACTAACTGTTCGTCAGTAATACCTTTAACAATACGCTCATGTAATCTCGATTCTATTTGCAAGATACTTTTAAGTCGTTTTGATTGATATTTATAACGTTCTATAGCAAACATTTCATTTGCCATATCATCATCCAGCCCAGGCTCCATAGTGGGTGGAAAACGAAAGGCAGAATAGGTATCATCTTCCTCTTCCAAAGTTCTCGAAAATAATAAATAATCATAATGTGACAATAAGAGAGGCATTGTTGTCGTAAATGGTATGGCGAGATCATAGACAGTTGAATCTAAAGTGGTTATATTCTGTAACGCCTCTACTTCTTTCTGCTGCTGTTGTGACAGTGAGACAAAAGGTGGAAAGGCATAAGGATCATAAACCTTAATACGCTGAATGAGTTTTTGTGAAAAATAAATTAAGAAAATCATGACGGCATGAGTTTGTACTTTAAGCAATGATATTGAGGCATCTAATTCAATTCGCCAATGTCGTTCAATAATGTGTTTTGCTATTTCTCTAATGTCTTTTGAAACTTGTGTTAAATTCCAAAGATCAGGTAAATCTAAATAATCTTTTAATGTATTTGTTAATACTTCATGAGGTAATTTATTGAGAAAATTTTGCTTCATAATCTAATGAATTTCAAAAATAAATAAAAAAATAAATAAAAAAATAAATAAAACAATAAATAAAACAATATCTGTTATGTATATAATAATAACTGCATAACAATAATAAACATATAAAATTCAGAAATTGGTGCGTCTAGTAAACCGAATACAACTACAGCACAGAAAAAAAAAAAAAAGACATTTTTATCAATATCATTTTTTTTTTATTTTATTATTATTTTAATTTAGAATATGACAGATAAAAAGCCAAATATTTACGAAGAGTCTACTCAGTATCAACATTGGCGGTTTAGTCCAGCACAATTATGGGAAATTAGAAACAAGAATACAGAAAATGCCATTAATCGTCTTAAAAAACATAATCAGTTGGAAACAGTAAAGTATATGTTATAAATCTATATATTTTGCATTTAGTTTATCAAGATTTTTAGACTATGGATAATTCAGATGCAAATAATATAAAAGAATATCTTACAGCTGCTGAAGAACTAAAATTGTGTCGTTTCTATGAAATGCAATTGCAAATTATGAGCAAACACTGTAAATTTAATGACATGGTGATGGCAACAGCTGTTATTTATATGAAACGTTTCTTTTTATATAATTCGACTATGGACTATCATCCAAAGGATATTTTGTAAGCTTTTATGCATTTTTTGATTTGTTTTATAAAGAAGAAAAAAAGAAGGAGGGGGCTCCTAACTGTATGTTTATTTTAGTTTAACATGTCTTTTTCTTGCTACGAAATCAGAAAGTGAACGCATTTCAATTGAAAATTTTGGTAAACAGCTAAGACTACCTTCAACAAAAAATGTTCTTGGATTAGAATTTATAGTATCTCAAGGACTTAAGTTTCAATATTATGTCCATCATCCATATAGACCTGCCTATGGATTCTTCTTAGATATGCAGGTAATATATTCATAAAGATATGATATATTAAAAAAAAACTGATTTTATATCCTATAGACAGGTCCTATAGACATTAAACTGTTAAAAGAAACATACAAGAAAGTAGAAAAGACGATTGCGGAAATACTTTTAACAGATTTACCATTAATTTATCAACCTTCTCAATTAGCAATAGCAGCATTTATATATGCAGGTAAAGAGAACGAATTTGATCAGCAAGTAAAACGATATATTACAGATAGATTTCGCGATGAAGCTTCAAGTTTATTGTCAATCATTGATAACATTCTGGCATTACTCAAGACAGCAACACTTGTAACACAAGAAGAAGCTAAAAAAATTGATTACAAGTTAAAGCTTTGTACAGCTAATAATCCTGAATCTGCCATGTAAGTTTATAATAAAGGGAAGAGGGAGGGGATGAATATTATATATATGTATGTATATATATATAATGTATTTTATAGGTTCAAGAGAAAATTAGCAGAAAGAGAAGAAGAAGAAAGAAAAAGTAAAAAAGCCAAGACTTCAAGTGATTCGCCTCCATCAAGCTCGTCCTCTTCTACTTCTTCGGATTCCTCAGCTTAATATTTTCTTTTCTTTTTTAGATCTGGTGCACAATTTTTACAGTACCATTTGCCTTTAGGCGGTGTCTTTAAGCCAACACATTCCAGATGAAACCATTCAATTTCACACTAAATAATGTTTATATTAGATATACAAAAATTCATAAAATAAAAAATTACCTCTGGATTATCACAAGCAAGCATTTCACCAAAAGATACTTGACTACAATAGCAATAAAGTGGTTCGTTGGGATCAATTGGTAAATCACTGAGGGATGCAGCTCTAAATAAATAAATGAAAAAAAAAACTGTTAAATACTGCATTAGGTTGTGAAAAAAAATACAAAAAAATTACGCTTTTGCATGTTGCATTGCATCTTCTGTTGATAAGCCATTTTCTTCATCTTGTTTTATATTTCTATTTGCTCGTGCTTTTCTTGTCCTTTTTCTATTTCCACTTGCTAAAGTAGAACAATTTGGCTTAATATGTGGATTCAGTACATAATAGAGTACTTACTTTGTTTTCTTTCTGTTATATTTTCTATGACTGCAGATAATACTTTACGATTTGAAATTTCACTTGATGTCGTTTTAGTAGTAGTCGTATTATTCATAGTCGCACGTCCTGGGCCTATTAGTTGTTCATCTTCAATTTTCTGTAAATCATTATCTAATCGTGTACAATGTCTATCAACCTTTTTTTTTTTTTTGTAAATAAATAAATAAAAGAGAATATGAATGTGCTTCATTTAATATCAATATTACTTTACTGTATCATAAGTAGATTTAGCTAATGCAAACTTCTCTTCTCCTTTTTTTATAGCTTCATTCAATAGTTGACCAATATGCTCTAATCGAGATCGCCTCTCTTCTAATGATAGTTTTTGTTTAATTTCTATTAAAGCTGCAGATTCTTTCTGAACTTGATTCATCAAATCTTCTGCATTTTCATCTAATTGTCGTATCAAAGTATAATTTCGTTGTAATTCAAGTGGCAAAGCTTCAATAGCTATAAAAATGACTTAATAATCAGTAATTTATAGATTGAACATATATTTCATGTTATAGATTACTATCAGAATATTCAGCTAAATAATTAGGTGTAATATCAGACTCTTTTTTCATGTAAAATTGATTAATCTAAAAGAAAAATAAAAAAATAAAATAAAAAAATAAAAATAAAGAGTATATCCAGACTTCAAACCCCGAAAACGCGTTTATAAAAGTTGTGTAAAAAGTTTTTTGGTTTCACATTGAAGTCATAACTATCGTCAATAGAACTTTATTATCAGATTTTTTTTTTCTTTTTTAGTAAAAAAAAAAAAAAAAAAAAAAAAAAAAAAAAAAAGAACAGAATTATTAAAGAATAAAAAAAAACATGAATAGATAAAGTAATAAATATTATACTTGTATAGTTTTTGATTCTTTGTCTATCTATACATCTTATTGTTGAATGATAGTTCTGTGATGTGATTATAGAAAATAGGGATCTGATAAATAATTCCGACATTTTTAGTTTATTCAATTTTATTTTTCGCATTTTTTTTTTTATTTCATTTTATTTTTTTTATTTCATTTCATTTTATTTTTTTTTTATTTCATTTATATTCCTTTTTCTTATTATGTCTTCATTTTTAAGGTCATTAGGTAGTTTTTTATCAGGAAGTGAAAGTACAATACCGACAATAGAAGAATTATCCAAACCAAAACCTAAAGAAGCTGAACATGGTGAAGTCTCCATCGATCAAATTCCACCTAATGAATTACTAGTCAATGAAGAAGGCTGTGAAGGTTGTTCTGGCGAAGAATGTGAACATCAACAATATCCTTCTTATTTAGATTTTGATACTCAATCACCATTGTTGGGTTCCATGGTGCCCTATGGTCGTCATTTTATGATCAGTACAGCACAATGCGATTGGCCGGCACATATTGAAGAAGACTACGGCACATTGGCTGCCAACTTACAAGCACTTTTAGTATCTAATCCAATGCCCTGGCGTACATTTGTTACAAATACTTCTCTAGTGCCAAAATATTCAAGCGTTATTCGTTGTGGATTAGATGTGATTATATTACCTGATAATATTATTGTTGGCGATGTTACACCTGATGATGCTCAACTCTTATATGATGTGTTTGTTAAGATGCCCTTGCCTACTTCAAATGAACCTATTCATATTGAGGCAGCATTTAGAAATTATAATTTGGGAAATTTGACTATTTATCCAAATCCTTACGATTCAATGATTTTGATCTGTTCACATAGAAAAAGAGATAAACGATGTGGTGTAACAGCGCCTATACTAAATCGTGAGTTTGATCATGTATTAAGAGAATTGGATATTCCTGATGGTGAAGGTGGTTGTGGAGTATTTATGGTTAGTCATGTAGGAGGTAAGATGAAATTGTAAGGGATTAGAACCATTTTGTTATTTATTTTGTTATATATACATATAAATATAGGTCATAAGTTTGCAGGAAATGTGATTTGCTACATAAATAAAGGCAGAACTGGAATATGGTATGGTCGTGTAAAGACTTGTCATTGTCGTGAAATTATAGAAGAAACAATCATAAATAAGAAAGTCATTAAAGAATTATATCGTGGTTCAATGTCTCATAGTTTTGGTGAACCTACACTTAGTAAATGTAATAGAATAAAATGGTAGATAGTTGTATATATATTTAAATAAAGCTTATTCGTATACAACAAGCAAGTTGGCATAGTTTAAATTCTGCTTCAAGCGATGTGCTGTGTATGTTGATCGTTATCTAGTTTACCCAATAGGTCTTTCTTATCCAACTTTCTCTGCATTTATAGTAAACTAGACGCGTACTGAATATCGAGTATCTAAAATAACAATCTGTACGAACATGCAAGTTTTGATAATTTTGAATGGTCACATAAGCCTTAAATAGGATACATAGATTTTTATTTTATTTTAATTTATTTCCTTCATCTGCTGTATGTTTGTTTAAGGGACCCATGTATAGTTTCAAAGAATACTAAATGGTAGCTATATAATACTTGTAGCAAATCAAAAGTAAGATGATAAAATAAATAAAGTAGCTCATTGGGAACATGTCCACCCTTATAATTGTATAAACAAGTATGTTTCATAAATTCGACAATCTTCGGGTTTAATTAACATACATAAATAGTATGAAAAAAAAAGATAGGCAAGCTTTATACCTTTTTCTTGATCTTCTGGCAAACAAAGTAATGTAACAGTATCCATGTGAAATGGTAATGCTTTGATATGTAGTATAAAATACAATTAATCAATATTTTTAATAGTTGAGTTTTCGATTAGTTTTTTCTATAAAGATACCTTCATTGTAGAATGATAAAAGGAGTTACTACAATGTTACACTATAGCATGATTAAACTGATAGACATGTGAGGTTAAGGGTTTCTATGACTTTGACTATACAATATACATTATCATGTGCAAGAATAAAGTTTTTTTTTTTTCGCTTTTTTACAGTGCAACAATTATTATGCTTAAAAACTTACCTTTAATAGAAGAGATAAAGATTTTGTATTATACAAAACAAGAATGGCAAACTGTACAAAATACATGATTTCTCGTTTTCTTATTACAAATAATACTGACAATGAAAATCAATGCATGGAAAAGTACATTAAACGCAATTGATGATATTATCTGTATAATGTCATTAAATTGTATGTATTTTATCTAGAAAAAGGAAGAAAAAAAAAAGGTATTATTATTTCAAGTGAAAATAAGAAGGATGCATCTTACTCTTTCCCTTCCCTAATAAAATATTATATACATATACAATAGAAGCGCTCTATAATAGATGTAGACATGTTATACTATCATGTTATAAATTATCATCACAAATAAAGGAAGCTTATTTTCCCTTTATGATTCTTTATATGCATATAGAAATAAGAATTGGTCTGGACTTCTTCACGTTTATATACATATATGTATTTCACATAAATTCTCTTAACTAGTCCTTGACTATTTCTTACTGTAAGGATCGGGTAACTTAGTATATAGAAGGGGAATACAATAATAAGAAAAACAGTCCAAAGACAGATAAAACTAAAGCACATGTCTCTCTTTTCTCATCATATATTCCTATTAGTAGTATATCATATCATTACAATATGAGCACTATCATATATCTGTATATACATATGTGATCATTCTATATTTCCCCTCCCCACACACACATTTTTTCCCTTTTTTTTTTTTTTTCTTTTCTTTTCTTTTCTTTCTCTTTACACAATATATACTTTCCTTAATACAATGTCAACTCAGAATAATCACAACTCAAATAACACATTACCTTCATTATTAAAGCAGCTTTTATTATGTATTCTATTACCTCAACAGAAAGCAAAGCCAAAGCAGCCCATAGTAGTTACTACTAGTAATAGTCATATAAACTCATCCTTTGAGAAAATGTATTTTTCATTTCCCGCATTAGAAGAGGTAATAGAAGAAACCAAGGACTCTAATAATAATATATTAGCATGTAATCAGCAGTCATCATCACTCATAAGTAGTAATAACAATGCTAATAATCATCGGCATATTATCAAGTTAACGAATACAAATGGCATTTTATGCTGAATACTATATATCATTGCCTTTATAGAAAATTATTATATTATTTAACATGTATAATATATATATGAAAATATATATAAAAAGAGTTAATAAACAAGTTTATAAACTGAGTAGCTATTCAACTATTTATGAGTACTATTTAAAGACACTATGTTAGACTGGTACTTTATTTCAATATGCTAACAATATTGCTTTATAAATTCTTTAATAGCTTTTGTGTAAGCAATATAGTTACACATTTATATACTTTTATTTCATACTAAAGCCATATAATTTAACTTGAAGACTTCTTGATGGATCCCTCGTACGACACAATATTAATGGTTTTTTTTATATAATGAGCAGATTCTCCTGCTACTAGCATTTATCAATTTGACATTGCTAAATTGTTACATATTTGTTTTTATAGCCAAATAATGTAAGTTCAACCGAATTATATTTTTTGCTGTCAATATATTGACTACCATGACTTGATAAAATCTAACACTAATACATATTGAATACTTGATGAAGATCCTTGATCATTCATTAGAGACAATATATATATATATATATATATTCTGCAATATTGCCCGCAATACATGATATTAAAGACTTAACTTGTCAAATATTCTTTGAAGCTTTTAGGGAGCACTTTACTGTTTGATATGTTTCTCTTCCTTCAACTTTTGAATCATTATTTTCAATCATATGAATTAACCAGAACACCATGCTGGAAACAAAATATTCATTTGTTAAATAATCCTGATAGGTTTCTTCTTATTTTTTAGAAAAGAAATAGTATTCACTTCAAACTTCTATCGTAACTCTCTATCAATCCCATTCTTTAGGCGCTTATGATAAAGCCTGTTAGAAGCAAACGCATCTATACTATTAATTAGGATGAATTCCCCTCGGGTAAATCTTAACATGATCATTATTACTTTAATTGTCTTGTCTTTTTTAAAACTAGAACACATTATATTCATCGTCTATATATGCTTAACAGATTTCAATTTCTTAAATTCTCAAAGATTCACTATCTTTTCCTGCTTATTTAAACTATGCTCCTAGAAGTCTCAAACATTATTAATATCAAGCTTTACCATGGATTTATTTGATGACCTTTTATGTAAGCTTTACTGTATGAAATGAACTATGGTGCCCATAATGGGATCCTTCATGTTACTTTACTATCCTTAATTGAGTATTTTTTTTTCTTTGGTTTCTCTATTCCTCTTGTGCTTTTTATTCTTTGTCATAAAAGGACATCTAATTTCCTTTCTTACTCTTATCTGATCGAGTATAATCTACTGTATTTAAGATATCATATGTTCAATCGGTCATTCAAAATTGTAATTCTTGTGTAATTAACAAAAACAAAAGAAAGAAAAAAAAAATCATTTTTATGTTTTTTTTATTTTTTTCTTTAATACTAAAGACAATTTAGTAATGTCAAAACCCATTGTTCTCATTACAGGCTGCTCTCAAGGTGGCATTGGTAAACTTCATTGTTATTATCTGTATAATATAAGCAACATGTTTTATTTTATTTTATTTTCATTTTTTTTTATGATATAAGGTTATGCACTTGCCAAAAAGTTTGCTCAAGAAGGAAATCATGTTATTGCTACAGCTCGACGTATTGAAGCTATGGAAGGATTAGAAGGTAATAAAAGAAAAAAAAAACCAAGTTAAAATATGTAAAGATAGAATGACTGTATATTCTTATAATACATCATATATAGCCTTTGGATGTGATAAAGAAGTTTTAGATGTGCTTGATAAAGACTCGATTGAAACTACCATTCAGGTATTTATTATTTTATCCCTTTTATATATGTGATTATTTACATACATAAATATTCCTAGAAAATCATTGATAATTTTGGACATATTGGTATATAAAAAAAAAAAATAGAAAAAACCTTCAATATTTGTTATATTTCAATTTCTTATTATTACGTTATGTATAGATATTTTGGTTAATAATGCAGGCGCACCGTAAGTTTATTGTATTATTAAATCTACAATTATAATTGTAAACTCTTTTTTTATTTATTTATTTTAGAGCGGTAGGAGCCTTAATGGATATTGATTTGGAGACTGCACACAGATGCATTAATACAAATGTATTTGGTGTATTGTTGGTAACAAGATCTGTTGCAAAACATATGGCAAAGAAAGGAAAGGGTAAAATTGTAAATATTGGATCTGTTGTAGGCTATGTTTCTACACCTTGGGCAGGTAAAATATCAATATGTTATATATGTCTATGATATTGATTTTTATATTGTATTAAGGGACCTATGCTCTGTCCAAAGCTGCTGTCCATTCTATGTCTGATACTTTACGATTGGAATTAAAGCCATTTGGTATTCAAGTGACTGTAGTTGCACCAGGTATTATAGATAGTAGTAGTATTTAAATGAATAGGGAATAATAATCTTAATTTTATTTAGGGGCTATTATTTCTAATATTGGAGATGCTGGAAAAAGATCTGTAACTGTTCCTGAAGGTATATATATTTATATACATTATTTAATATGTTGTAATATTTAACTCATTATGTAAAAATATAATAGATTCACTTTATAGTTCTGTAGCCAACTATATCATAGCTCGTGCCACCTTATCTCAGGGTAATATACAATACGATACAATACAAAATATATGATACGTATATATTTACTTATACATGTATAGGACCAAACTCTACGCCTACTGATGTATTTGCTTCACATGTTGTTAAGAAAATTCTTCGACCTATATCCCCTAGTTACATTACATTTGGAGCCACATCATGGCTATTTCTTCTCTTTTATTATCTTCCTTTTTTCATTAAGGATTTCTTGTTCTATAAACGTTTTGGTGTAGATCAAATCAAGAAGAAGCATGAATAATATATCCATTTATCAAATGGGAAATAAACAAATGAGACTCTATTCTATAAATATAATGTAATAGGACTTTACATTTGTATATAAAGAAGTATCAACCTACATTCATTTAATAATATACATCTATTTATTTATTTATTTATTTGTACCTGAAAAAAAAAAAGATGAAAGCAATCTGACGCAACATTCTGAAATGACAACAGTCTTTTACTGTGGTACTCGATATTTATCTCAAAGGGAAATTCCTGTTTATTATAAAGCACTGACGATATGTAAGTGAATAAAATAGAATTGTCTTGTTGTAAAGTTATACAAAAGTGCTTCAACATGATTGCTACAAAAACATTACACAAAATGTAACCCATGCAGCCTTTTCATTTTATGACGAGAAAAAAAAAAAAAAAAAAAAAAAAAAAAAAAAAAAAAAAAAAACTTTATAGAATGCAATAGATTAAGTAAAAAATAAAGTACTACTTTAAATAATAGATATTAACAATAACCCAAGTATTGCTGATAGATTGAGTATATAATAAGTCTGATCTTTTTATGATTTACCTTTATAAATAGTCTGATATTTATAAAAGTCATTTATTATATGCCTGAATGATCATGAATTTCTTGCATGTATAAAAGAATTCACATCTATTCTTCGTATTTACGTTAGAATAGTATAATATTTGTTATTGTGTTCACTTTGATTTGTTTTGTTTTGACTAACTTTTTTTTTTTCTTTTGTGGACAATTTATTATTTGACACTTTTTATGCTTAGAAAAAGTTAGTATGTCATTTTTTTTTTTTTGTTAAAACTAAAGCTACTCTCATTAAATGCAACAATGATATTTAATGCATATAAATATGTATAGTTCTTTTTTGTCTTGAGAATCTGTTGTTAGAGGGAAAAATAAATAAGTAAACGGAAAAGCTGATCCGAGATAAAGTAACACTAACGTTTTTTATTTTATTTTATTTTTTTTTTCGTGTTTTCATTGTACGGATAATGGACCGAAAAATAAATAAATAAATAAATAATAATAATACAAGTGTTTGAATTACACGCATTTTTTAATATAAGGCTTTTTAATGTAAACAGCAATACATGAATGTTTATACGTTGAATGTCTAAAGTAATCAACATGCATTATTAGAAATACAAGTATGGATGTCTATGTGACTTTTTTTTGTATACCTCAAAATTTGCCTTCTTTAAGTTAATGTTTTGTCTTTCTTAGTATGTATTTAATAGGTAGTACATGTTTACTTTTCATTTTATATAAATACCACACATTATTTCATATCCTTTATATATATAATATATAAAATAAAACTACCCCTTTATTATTATACCCTTTCAACCATATACTTTGATACTATTTTTTTTTCTATTATTCTTTCCTTTAATTATACACACAATGGGAAATAATATAAGCTCTAGTAAAAATGATAGTTCATTAAGAGGGCCTCAATACATTGAGAGTCATAAATCATCTATCAAAAATTTACGTATTTCTTCATCAACTAAAAATAATTCAGGAAACAAAATAAATATAAACAACAATAATACTAGTAAAGATAAGATTAACCCTATTGAAATGAAGGCTATCCCTATAGAACCAGTCACAGCTATCAATATTGGAAAACGATCTTCATCTGAAGGGACTTATTTAGAGAGTACAGCCAATTCAGATAGAAAACAAAAAGTATCTATAGAGATTGATCGAGATAAACTCACTTCACCGTCACCAGAACGTTATGAGGCTCATAATAGACGAATTAAATCATCTCAACAACAGACAAGTTATTATCGGCAAAGCAAACATTTTTTTCCTCCAGACCAACATGGCTCTACGTTTACTGCAACGAGTGGATTTAGTAGTCATTTTGGTGAACAGTTTCATTTTTCTGTCTTGGCCGACTCAGCTATCACTGATCTTACTAATGTATCTTCCTTTTCTTTTAATTCCTTTTTCGATAAATTGGGAGATGACAACATGAATAATTACATCATGGCAACCCCTGATTTGGATTTTATTGACAATACTGTGTTACCTCTTCGTTCAAACAACATCATACCTTCACTAGACTATCTCTCTACGGCGGATGAGATTCTTGAACTCTTGACAACTCGATCCGATTCTGTCTTTGATATCCTGACAAGTATGTATGGATCTGAACGTATGAAATCTGATGTTGAGTTACAAAGGGAAGCATCTCAAGCCGTAGAAACATGGAGTTTAAGACATGCTGATGACATGACAGCTAAAATGATGGCGGCTTGCTGTAAGTTATGTGGCTGGGGTACTACTAAAGATCCAAAGGAAGGTTTTATGGAATTACAGGCACTTGCTAAGAGAGATGTTTGGGAAGCTTACTACTATTTAGGCCATTGTTATCTTTTTGGTGTAGTAGGACAACAGATGAATGAAGGTTCATACCGATCTTCTTCTTATAGTCTTCAGCCTGTTGATCATGAACAAGCCATTTACTGGTATAGAAAACTGATAGAATCTCCAACTACTATCCAAAGTGAACGTATTCAACTTTATATTGCAGAAGCTAAACTAAGAATTGCTGCTATCCATTTTACAACAGGCAAAATGAATAAAGACAATTTACAAGAAAATATCGATTATCTCAAAGAAAGTGTGTCTGCTGGGAATAGGTAACGAAATGGTTAAAATCAGTTACTATTTAATTTTACTCTGGGCTAATCTAATTATTTATCATATGAATGTTTATTATTAGAAAATCTGAATTTTCATTTGGATTTTTAATTGAAACAGGTGTAATTGATGATAAAGTCAGTGCGAAGGAATATTATACTCAAAGTGCTAATAAAGGCTATACTCCGTCTCAGATTCAATTAGCATTAATTTTATTAAAAGAAAATTCTTCAGAAGCCATTTCTTGGTTAAAAAAAGCTTCTAGATTGGTAAGACAAAAAAAAAATACAAACATACATACATACAAGCATACATGAGCACAAACACTTGAGTACAACTTCCCCTCATCTTTTTGTTTTGTTTTTGTTTTTGTTTTTTGTTTTTGTTTTATTTATATTTACCTTTTTTTTTTTTTTTCTGTTGGTTACATTTTTAGGGGGATCCCAGGGCATTCTATTATCTTGGTGAATGTTATGAATTTGGTAACGGTGTACAAGCGGACCCAATTTTGGCTGTTCAATATTATCAAAATGCTGCAGACAGATATAGTCATCCTATGGCTGGATTTCGACTTGGTCTACACTACCTCCATGGTGGACTTAATTTGTTAAAAGATAATGCAAAGGCATTCTATTATCTTGAACGTGCCGCGAAATCAGGTTACCCTGATGCTCAATATCTTATTGGTATGATGTATCGCGATGGTAAAGTCCCCTCTACCACTCGGTCTTCACCAAGGATGTATTCTAATGGAGATACAATATCAACACGTCACAAGAAGGAAGCATTTCGATGGATCCGACGAGCTGCTTTACAAGATATGCATACCGCTATCACTCAGATGGCTAACTTTTACGAAGAAGGTGTTGGTTGTCCTGTGAATTATTCACTTGCTGAAGAATATTATGAAATTGCTGTTAGTAAACCTGGTAAACACCTTCCTAGTGCTCAACAAACGTATGCAAGGTTTTTACACAAAAATGGCCATTATCAAAGAGCACTTGACATGTATCTGTATGCATCCGGAATGAAACAATCTCTATTAAATACTTATCCTCCTTCCGATATCATCTCTCGTACAGCTAAACGTATGGTTGCTCTTTTTTATCTTGATGAAAAGGATACAACGACTCCCTTTAAACCAAAAGAAGCATTTGATATCTTGACTTCCTTGACTCATTTACCTGGAAGTGATGCAGACGCTGAATATTGGATTGCTGTATGCCATGAAGAAGGTGTGGGTGACATTATTCCTAAAAACCTCTCTCTAGCTTATAAACATTATGTTATTTCTGCTAATCTTGGTTCAAGTGATTCACAATTTCAGGTATACATATAAAGATATTATTTTAAGTATGCAGTTGACTAATTATTGCTATTATTATTTATTTATTTATTTATTTAAACTAGGTTGGTCATATGCTTTGTAAAGGTATTGGAGTAAAAGAAGACCGAATGGCAGCCTTTGAATGGCTACAAAAGTCTGCAGAAAAGAATAATCCTAAAGCTCTTTATTACATTGGAATCTATTACTATAATGGATATGACTCAATTAAATGCAACTATGATAAAGCATGCTATTACTTTAAACGTGCTGCTGAACTTGGACATACTGAATCCATGGTATCCTACGCACAAATTTGTCAAGAAAAACTAAAAAATAGTATTAGCAAATTATCAGCTTCAGAGATAGAAACTTTACGGTCTGATTCCCTTAAGTGGTACTCTCGAGCTGCAAAGGAAAATCATATTACTGGTTTACGTGAATTAGGTCGACTTTATGGTGCTAAAGGCGAATTTAAAACCTCAATGGAATTTTATGTTAAGGCCGCCAATCTCAATGATGCTTTATCTGCTTTATTCTTGGGCGGCTATTATGAAAATGGGCAGGGCGTTACTCAAGATAAACAAACTGCTCTTAAGTTTTATATGAAAGCAATTGAACTTGGTCAATCAACGTAATGAAAAATGAAAATATAATTTCTATTTTATTTTTAACTAATCTCTGTCTCTATTTTTTTTCTTTTCTTTATTTTTTTATGTAGAGCTTTGTTTGCTGTTGCTGAACTGTATGAAAAATTACAAGATTATGAAAAAGCTTATATTTATTATGAACGTGTTACTAAAGATACAAGAATACCTAAAACATATAAATCCAGAAAAACCTCTCTTTTAAAAATGGCTCTTTATAGCTTAAATTATGACCCAAATACTATCTTTTCAAAAAGCCGTTCCTCTCCTTTAGCGAAACAAAATAAGTTTGAATCTATTCCCTCCTTATTATCGAAATCAGAATCATTTAATATATTGATGAAACTTGCTACAGAAGACAACTTTCACGAAGCTTATAACTGGATTGGTAATACAACAATAATAAAAATAAATAAACACATTTACTAATTGATTTTATTAATTTTAGCTGAATGTTATAAAGATGGTAGAGGTGTGATACAAGATATATCTGAATCTCTTAAATGGCGTATGAAGGCTTGCCAAGGAGTAACTGACGCTCATTCTACTTTAAAACTTACATCTATATGTGAAAATGATACAAAAGGTGTGCAAACAATTCCTATATAATCAAATCAATTATACCAACATGATTTAGAAAAGAAATAACATTCTTCAGTCAATATAGACTAGAATGAGTTAAAAAAAAAAGAAAAAGAAAGTTCGCTCTTCCCTTTACCCTCCACTTATTTTATTTTCTTTGCATATCATTTATATCATTTTACTTTATCCTAAATTATTCTATATATATATATTATATTCATACATGCCTTCATTCATTTTACTTTGTTCTATGGCCCCTTCCACTGCCTCATTTATCTTTTTATATATTTATACATATATATTTGTATTTTTCATACCGCATATATTTTCTTATATCTATATACATGTATATACAGATATATTCATCTATATTTTTGCTTAAACAGTTCTATTATTTTTTATCATATACAATGTATGCTACAAACAAAACAATAAATAATTCATTTTATTCACCTAAAATGTTGTATCTATACTTGGATTTATCAGAACATTTTATTTCATTAAAATAATAAATCTAGTTTACTTAATTTTCACGCTCAATTACAAGTTTTTTGAAATCTTCCTTTCTTTTTTCCAGTACCTTCGTTCTAGTTAAAATCATTCAAATCATGCAACTTATTCACGAAAATCATTATCAGTATTCACATCAACTTGATCAACCATCTGAGTTCTTGATCTATTTTTATAACAGTAAATCAAAAACATAAACAAAAGCAAAAAAAAAAAAAAAAAAAAAAAAAAAAAAAAAAAAAAAAAAAAAATACTGCTACACGTTTAAGATTCGAATAGGGATAATATTGCTATATTTAGCATTTTATTTTATTTTATTTTATTTTATTTTATTTGCTCACGTATCTTCGGGTTTACTTTCTTTTCTTTTCTTTTTTTTTTTCTATATTTAGTTGAAATAGTTGATTTTTGTAAAGTAAATACTATGAGCAGAAGTGACATAAGGTGTATTATCGGTACCTGAATGACTGTATCTACTATTGCTTCCTAAAAATTTTCTAATTCAAAAGCGATGATTTATGTTTGATGTCCAACAAATAAGATGTAAGTAAAACCATCATAAAAATAGATGAAGCCACTTTGTTTAATAATAATATAAGTGTATCATACACTGCTGCTGTTATGTAGATCCTTACTATTATTATAAAAGGTATCAAGACAGACTTTAGTATCTTTAAACTTAATTTTTAGTATACCGCGGCTCATTATTATCTTTTTTTTTTTTTTTTTTTTTTTTTTTTTTTTTTTTTTTTTTTTTTTTGCTTTGCAGTAATGAAGTAAATCGATTTGATAATAACACACAACCGAAACTCGATCGATCATTATTCATTAACTCAGAATAAGTATATCCTTTTATATTATGTATAGTAAAAAACTAACTATACTGTTAAATAAAATCTAATACAGCTTACAAAAAAAAAAAAAAAAAAAAAAAAAAAAAGAATCCTAAACGTTGTAGTAATCATTTATTTTTTGTTACTATATTAATCCCACAGCTCAGTTTGGTGGTGATGATAAAATCGATTTTTTAAACTCCTACGAATACTGAATATAGCATTTGTGATTTGCTTGGTTTGGCATGGTATAGAAGAATAACATTAAGTAGTAACACAAAAATCTCGGGACAGGAGTTTGCACAGCTTTACCTGGCTCGTGTCCTGCATTGAAACACAAAGTTGAAGTATGTATCCCTTTCTTTTTCTTTTTTTTTTGTTGTTTACAACAGTCTATAAACATTCATTAGGACACTATCTGAAATGCTTTATTGTTTGGTTTGATACAAACTTTGTAATCCTTAACGCGTTGTTACACGATAGAAGTATGTTATCTATAATCTATTGATGCTAGTAAAATAGGTTATTTTTTTTTTTTTGGCTGCATGGTCACATAGAAGCGGAGGAAATACTACGGAAAACTTTACCATAATAGTACTCATTTGGCTTTGCGCTATTTTAATGATGAGGGTATCATAGTTAAAGATGATCCTAAAAAAAAAAAAAAAAAAAATAACTTTTCTATATACATATTCGAAAATAACAAAGCTTCATTGTGAAGAAGAAGTAGAATCTTTGATTTGTAATAATGTGTATTGTTTTAGGAGAGTATCTACAATTACAAAGTTGTTGTACAATACTGTATTATTAACAAGTTAAAACATACAGAATTATTAGCGTTTAAATAGAACACATATGAAAAGTACTCATTTTCTTTTAAATCTCTCAATAGCAATAAGCTTTAGTCTTCTTTGATAGATTTCCTAGAATTATAATGTCATTCTATTTAACCTAAAAATAATGCATAAAGTTTGTTCCATGTTTCGATGGCGTTATTTTTATTCTTTTATTTTTATTTTTATTTTTTATTTTTTATTTTTTATTTTTTTACGGCAATACATATTCGATATGGCTAAGCTTTTTTATTAATATGAAACAACAACTTTGTCTTCATATTAAAGTTCAATTCTTATCTATTCATATGCTATTTTACCGTGATATTTTCAACAATACCAAGGTAATATACAAAAAAATAAAGTACGCCATTACTTTTATTATCAATATAGTCTATTCTTTTTTATTTTCTTTTTACCTCCAGTTAAAGACATCCAAAGTTATATATAAATAACCTCTCATATTTATTTTATGAGAGCTTCTTCTAATTCTATGGACCCTTTTTTTTAGTTTGCTTATTTTCTATCTTTCTTAAGTTTCCATTTTTTTGGCTTTTTTCTGTTATCTTTTTTTTTCTTTTTAAATGAATGCAGTATCAATGAGGGGCCTGTTATCGAATAAAAATATATATTTAGCAGTTAATTCTATTTTACTTGTAAAGATGGATACATGATAACAATAGAGCCGAAAAAGCGTAGTATTTGATTCTATTATGATCGAAGAATACACGATTCATACTCTGTTTACTTGTACAGTAGATTAGATATACCGAAATATATAGAAAATCGTGAAACCATCAACTCCTAAGAGACTTCTCTAGACAGTCCAAGATCTACATCATTTTTTATATGAGGTTTATTACTTTTATTTCAATAAGGAGATATAATTTCGTTGTCTTTTTGAACCTAATATCGTTCTCCTACTTTTTATTTTATTTTATTTTTTTTAAAATAAAATAAAATTTCCTTTTTTAATTTTCCATGATTACATTCCTTGATCAGGCTGACATTAATTTACAACGACAGCAGTACCTAACCCCTCGTGTTTTTTTTTTTTTTTTTTTTTTTTTTTTTTGAAAGGGATCATTATTATGTAATGTTTATTTAAGAAAACACCAAGTAGAGGGCTTTATATTACAAATTATAATCATGAAACATATTATATAAGCTATAATATACTAAATTTATATTTATTATATATCAATTTATAGTCCTATATCATTTACGTCTTATATTAAGGTAAATGACACTACTATTTCTGTATTTTATGCAACTTGTTATTTCATCCTCGCCTCCCCCTTTTTTTCTTTTTTTTTTTTTAAAAAAAAGTGTTCTTTTTTTTTTCTGAAACATGCGCTATATAAATTGATACTAAAGGGAAAAGTGAGTGAAAGGTGAATAAAGGGACAGGAAGAGAGAGAAATAAATGTTAATAATTATATCAAAAAAAAAAAAAAAATAAAAAAATAAAAATCATATATTCATTTAAAGTATTATTATTAGTAACAGAATCCGATATTATATTAAATTTATTATAAACCATCATGTTAAAAAAAGAATGACAATCATTTAATATATGTATACAGACTATGAATGCATATAATCTACAATCAGATGTAACGATGATAAAGAAGATCATGTAGATTATTTTCTTCTTCTCCTCAAAACTGATGGTCAGTTTCTATATGCAGTTATTATATTTGACATATTTAGATGTGAATTGAAATTAAATGAGAAATTATTATAGATGTACCACCAAGTATTTATACATTATTACGAAGCTTGTAACAGGTAAACGCTGCTTACTATAACAAGGGAATTGAAAAACTAATTATAGAACCGAAATAAAACTAAAAGTACATACATTTACACATTAGCGTAAGCAATGCAATAGTACAGTGTATTTTTTTTTTTTTTTAGGAGGATGTTTCATTGCCTAAAAGTATAAAGTTTGTCAATCCGTTATATACGAAGGAATTTATCGGGGGTTAGGAGGAGAAGAAGAGGGAAAGGGAGATGATGACTACAATATACTAATGCTAAAAGAGAGACCAGGCGGAACCTCATCTAAAATATATTTAGCATCAAATAAGAGAAGCCAGTTTTACTTTTTATTACTCAGCAAAATCCATAATACCCTATTTCTATAGTTGTACAAACACGAAAAAATGACAAACAATGCTTCACAGAAAGAAAAAAAAAATTGGAAATTGGCAATTGATGCTTATAAAGTTGTATCAGCCCAACAAATGAAAATAAATGGTTATTTTCCAGGCTTACTTTTTCTTTTCCTTTTTTTCTTTCGGAATTCAAATAAAGTATTTTTTTTTTATAACAGCTTTTTTGAAATTTACGGCAACAATAAGAAAAAAGAAAGTGTTGTAAAATACCCATTTTTTTTTTTTTTTTTTTTTTTTTTTGTACTCAGTATGAAAATCAAGATTAAATAAAAAGGGACCTCTTTTTTTTCTGTTTAAACCTTTTTTTTTTATATATACATTTCTTTATTTAAAATAGTACCGAAAGAAATGAAGAACAGTATTCGTAGCTTATTTGGCTTAAAGAAGAAGTCTAAAAAGAGTAATTCAAATAAATCTACTGCATCTAATAAAACATATTCAACAAATTCATCTGTGTCTTCACTTTCTTCATACTCTTCAACCAATGATTCACTACCTCAAACACCTACAAGTCCCTCTATGCAAAATGCTCGTGGCATCTTTCGTACTCTTGAACCTGTTTGGTATTGCCGCTCTAATTTAATACCTAAAAATCAATCTGATAATAATAATAATGAATGGATTCAATTTGATGAACATAGTCAATTTATCCTTGAAGCATCTTTCCATTCAAATACTCAATGCGCACTCACTGACTCAATAGTTGGAACATGTACTGTTCTCTTTAAGCCTCTTCCTTCTAATAAGAATCTTAGTCAGCTTCAAAATAAAAGACATACCGTCATGGCCCTCCCTAAACATCAATATAATTCAGCACCCATACTCTCTAATAATAATAATCTTGGTGATAACGCCGGTCGCACATTAGAATTGAATAAACATATTCGTCGTACTATTTCACCTGTTTGGTGGTTTGAACAAGATCAAGCAGATGGTACAAAGGGTATGTGTAGGTTTGATTATAAAAACCAAGTTCGACTTGAAGCTCTCTCAGAGGGACGTACACGTATGGTATTGACAGATAACGCCTTTAATGTCCCCTTTACTGTTGCTCTAGAGCCTCCTAAACAACGTGAATTAAAGGAGGAAGTACGTGGATTCTTATATTTGGAACCTATCTCAACAGCGTTTCAACTTGCTTATGATGCTACCCAATCTAATCATAAAATGGAGAACTTTGAATTAGAAGATCCAGTATACGATAATGAAGAACAATGGATAAATAATTATAACCGTCGTTTCTCTATATAAAATCCAAAGGAAGAGAGAAAACTTTATTTTTTTTGTCTCTATTTTTGTCTCTATTTTTATTGCAAGTTACCCCTTTTCACCTGTATCCTTTTTTCTTCTTCTTTTTCATTTTAATTATTACAGCAGTTATCTAATTATACATATATAATCTCACTTCTATTTCCGCCTTAATTGTATATAATTAAATTTTATTATTTATCATTTTAATAGTAAAAAATAAATAAATAAATAAACTTGATTTCCTAAACATTATATCATTCGAAACAGTGTGGTGTAATATGCCTTATGTAAACTATAAATAACTTGCTAGTAACCGCATTTCTTACATTTCGTACAACTTAAAATTAAAAAACAACAATTATGGTAATACAATAGGTACATCATCCTTGGTTAAAAAAAATAAAAAAAATAAAAAAAATAAAAAAAAAGTACCTATTTTCGGATTATAATAAAATGAAATTTTTTAATATTTAATGAATTGCTTGGCTCGATTTTTTTTTTTTTTAAAAAAAAAAGGATAGATACACTGATAGAAAACTCTATAAAATAAAATTCTATTAGTCACTTTTGTACCTTTTTTTTCTTAAAAAAAAAAGTTATATTCTGAAGAATAAACGCAAAATATTAAAATAATATGAGGAAAGAAGTTTTCTTTTCTCTTAAAAAAACAGAAAACGGACTTTTCTAAAACATATTTATTTAGTGCCCGAATATTACTTGAAACAAAAAAGCAAAAAGGACTTTATCATTATTAATTATTTTCCAAGTAAAAATAGTCCAGTTATATAATATTCTATAATATATGCATTCTGTACATAATAAATTTCTATTTCTATTTCCATTTTTTATTTCTATTTCTATCTCTCTTTCTATCTCTATTTCTTTTCTTTTTTTTTTTTTTGTTCAATATCTTCGAAGTAAAATGTTCGGTAAAAGTTTAATTTTTTTTTTTTTTTTTTTTTTTTTTTTTTTTTTTGCATTAAGGTTTTGATACTGGCATATTTTCTATTTTTACATATTTGGTATTGATCTACATTACTTCAGAATGGAACACAATGTCAGCAAAGTAAACGATATACTTATTTACAGCTTCTTGTAGTATTTTTATTTATTTATTTATCTATTTTATAAATAATAGAAATAAATCATAACATAAATAATTTCAAAAATTACATGATCATTACAAGAAATTATATGTATTTCAAGGATTATAATATACTAGATTGTATATAATATTTTAATTTTGTTGGGTAATTATTGCTAGCTAGTTTTTTTTTTTTTTTTTTCAGACATATTATAGATGTACGCTTACAGATAATTATTTTATTATTAATGACCCAGCGAGCACGAGATATTATTTAATAATATATAAGGTTTACCCGGTTCGAAGTAATGAAAGGCTGAGAATAACGAAAATCCTCGTTGTTAGAAGTAAGTGAAATATAAAAAAAAAAAATAAAGAGGAGAATATCCGAAAACAGAGTAAATTAATTTTGTTAGTGGTGTGGGGAAGAAGAGAGCCCAATTTAAGTTCCTTAGACCAAGATTGGGTGTGTGTGTATATAAAGTATACAAATTTTCGAATAATTTCTTTTTAGATAAACATGGTCCAATTTAATAACTGATATAGCAAGCCAACAAAGCTAAAAAGTAAACCTGTACAACTAGTTGATCCTCCTATTACAAAGAACGAGCATCTTAAGGAATTATGCATGAGTATATGTTTTATAACATGGAGCATATGCCAGAAGACGTAAATATATATATATATATATACCTGAAAGAGATCAAAAGTGATGAAGAACTAGATATCTGCTATGAAGTAAGCCCTTCGAGGTCAGCGTGTGTCATAAAGACACGAGTCTTCAATCATCCTTTTACATTTAGACGCTACTTCGATACTGTAATCCTTATGTCTATTGAAATATAAATGAAAACACACACACACACACACACACCCCAACTAATCTAGGTACAACTTTCCAATAGTGTATTCCTAATATTTAAATTCAAGCTAGTGATTTCACAGCTTATTCAATTCCTAGATATTATTTTCCCTGTTAACAAATTATAAGACAATCTGAGCTATATTAAAGAAAGAAAGAAGAAACACAGTCTGTAAGGGTATTTATACGACTCTAATTTCTTACAGAAATGGATTTTGATGAGAAATTTGCTCTTGGGCTTCGCTCAATAGTGCGAAAATAAAAAGAGTAAACTTAATAAACATGCCAGTATATCATGATTTGACATCAAATAATTATATTGTCAATCATCAAAATGAGGTAATCAGAGATAATCGTCCTTTATTTGACCCTAAATTAAAAGCATCTGGCTAGGCAATTGATATCAAAGAAACATATTGAACTTATTTACATACTTCTTCATGATCTATGAATTCAAAGGCATTATACACCTTCATTCATAATACTAAATAGAATTTTGCCATAATAACAAAGTATTTTCTTTTTTCTAATCCCTCTTCTCAGATATTCTTATAATATAAATAACTATCATAATAAATAAAATAATCGATCTTTAGACCTATCGTTGCTTAGTCTCATTGTCTTTACTAATCTTTTTGTAAATTTCTAATACCTTAATAAAGATATTATTACACATCTTTCATTTATAAAAAAAAAAATGATATGGTTCCAAGACATCATTTGCCGAGACGGTAACATAATTGCACTTTAAAATGCGACTTTGCATTCTGTAAGAGGCGATTACACTATATAAAGTAAAGCTTGCATTTTTAGAGAATGCAAAGTCGCATTTTGAAAATACGGTTACGTTGCTTCTGGGAAAAACGGCAGGCTGCGTTTCAACTCGTGTTGAAGATATAGTCACCATCATAGATAAACCACTGACTGGCACGACCAGATTGCGGTATCATATTGATGTCATCCAATAAATACACGGGTCGGAAAGATAGTTCATATCCATTTGAACACATGCAACTATTCATTTGTATCTTTTATCCAGCCTAATTTGATCATTTTTTTTTTTTTTAAGTGACTGGGTGCCTTGTTACTCTCTTAGATTACCAACTGTTCGCTCTTTTAAATTGAATTCTTCAAAAGTTTTTGTTAGGCTTTCGATCGCTTTATTTACTATAACAATAGGGTTTTTATATATAAGCTTATAAAATGTAAATTCGAATCTTTCGTCTATTTTTCATACATATTTTACTTTAGGTCTTTTGATAATCCCTTGGCCTGTGGCTAGTATTCTTCTATCTTTGAACATATATTATTCCAATTTATAAATATATTTATCTTTTATCACATCATGGTCGTGCTTAAATCGAAAGGTTTACACTGAAGATGTTCTTAACTAGTGGATCCATTAGTAAATCATCTATCTATCTATCTATTTATTTATTTATTTATTTATTTATTTATTATTATTATTATTTAAACTGAGGTCATCATTTCATATTTTGAAATAGATATGCCAATTTATTAGAATAATGATTACTCATTACCTCCAGTCTTAGTCAAAGTCCAATCATACAGCTAATAATGACTTCCTTGTAAGATGAATGATTTATGCAATTGCTGTATACCGACAAAATAATAAAATACTGCCAGTTATCATCACATATGTCATCTCTTGAATAATATATGGAATGTTAAAAAAAAAAGTAACTCTCAACAGAAAGTACTTATTTTTTTATTACAATACCCTTGCCAGCCTTGGGCTTATGCTTGCTATTTTGTAGATCATAAATCTATTAAGGCAAGTATAGAAGGAGTATTACCTTTACATCATTTTGTTGTGTTACTCTACCTTTTTTTTTTAATGTTATATAGGATATTACTTTAAGCTTCTTCAGTACTTTTATTTTATATGCTTTATAACTTGCTTTGTATTTTTTTTCTATAAGCATATAATATATATTTTATTTTGACAAATATTTATATAAAGTGTTTATTACTAGTATATTTAACAGATAAATAACAGGATGGTATTACAATCATAAAAAAAAAATTAGTACATAAAAAGGTATTTAATGTACTTTATAAAGTCTTTTTTAATGTTAATTTGTTGATTTATATCGTTTGGATATGTTTATAATATCAATTTTTAATGAGCAAGTGGTTCTTCTTCTTTTAAGATACGCTCATAAGCAACAAGAACATCATCCATACGTTGCTTAATGCTTGGTCTATCAAGTCTCCTTTCCCATTCATTCCATTCTTCTTTTGTAAACTTGCTTAGCATTTCATTTTTTATGTTCGTTATCTTTCCATTAGGAGAAATATTTCTGACGGTCAAGAGCTCGTTTGTTACATAATTAGGTTTATTCTTATCTTTATTATTAAAGGGAGTTGGTGAGTTTGTCACGTCATGTACAAAGGCTGCTAAATTTTTAATGGAGCGTGAGACTGATTTATTTGAAAACAAAAGTTGAAAGACATGAGGTTGGTCGGTATAGATTTCTAAAGCGACATGAGTAGGTTTCCCATAAGCTGCGGTTTTTTCGTCTGCAATAGGTGATGTATCAGTTGCTTGTAAAGATGCGTAAATGGATTCATCTCTTAATCTCTCTGCAGAGCCACATTGCTATACATAATAAAGAAGAAAAAGTATACGGAAAAAAAAAGAGAGTTACTTTAGCATTTATATTTTGAAAAGATTTATAGTCTTCTCCAAAAATAAATTATATGCAACCATACCACTAAAATTCGAGGAAGACCTCTCAAGTGAGATCTATCAAAGATAGGACTAACTAGAGGAACCTTAAGTGCTTCATTAGCAGCATAAAATTGAATACGATAGATATCATCTCCATTGATACTTGGTACAGGTACACATTCCCCAAAAGGACCGATAGAGGTTCGATGGCCAAATGACTCATTATTTAACAATGGTTCTTTCAAGTTATTATTCAAGTCAATTGTAGCCTTTGCCTCAGCTTTTGCTTGTTTTAATATTTCCAAGTCCTCTTCTCTAGCTGGAAGTTGAGCATAGTCTAAAGCAGGTGAGGGAGCATGTTTAAATCCTGTAGGAGGAAGATAATCTGTCATAATATTTGATATTATAGAGGGTAAAGAATGTGTTAAGTCCAGCCTATTGTTATTTATAAGTAAATAAATAAATAAAAAAAAAGAATATTAAAATTTACGTAAAAAAAAAAAAGAAGTAAACTGACAAAATTCTTTTATACAATATATTACCATGGCGAAAGGGTCATACCCCCAGCAGGAGCAGGTAAACCAGAATCACGAATAGCAATAAGAAGTGCGAAGGTCAAGCCTCCACCTGCCGAATCACCAGATATAATAATTTTCTTAGGATCGATAGGATGTATATCATTATCTTTAGGAGGATCAATCATAAATAAATAAGTGGCTAATGCGTCCTCTAAAGCAGCTGGAAAAGGATGCTGAGGAGCTAATCTATAGTCAACTGCGCATGTTCTACATTTTGCATACTTTTTATTTTATTTTATTTTTTTTTTTTTAATAATAATAATTGTTAATAATTGTTAATAATTGTTTTCTGAGCTTCAAAAATTCAAATTTAAACTTTTTTTTTTTTTTTTATTTACCTTAATTATTCTACAAAGGAATTGTCTGTACATTCCATAACATCCAAGATAATAAGCACCACCATGTAAATAGAGTATAGTACTTTCTTTACTGGGATCTAATGGATTCCCCTTTTGTTGTAGCCATTCTCCTTTAATAGGCGGAGCATTTTCACGATCCTTCTGCCAGTTCCAACCAATTCGTTCTTCGTCTTTTTTAGTTAATAATTTAGCTATTAAATCACCAGCCCTTTTCCTATACTCATTAGGGACCACAAACTTTCTACGTTTAATGCTGGATGGAATAGGCAGTTTTTTAGAAGAACTTATCTTTTGAATGTCTTCAACGGTAATTTTATTTGAACGATTAAGGAAATCACGAATGACGGCAATAGTAATGTCAGTTGAAAGTGACCAAGATTTAGCAGGAGGACCTATTATATGTGCATATGTATTATGTATACACATATATTTGCATATATTTTTATAGTTTTAGAATACATGAAAAAAGAAAAAAAAATAATTCATGTGCTACCTTTAGCATAATGACGATACATAGTAGAGACAATAACTGGCACTGGAGGAATTAAATGAGCCCACAGCAACGTATTAGCTAACAGAGAGCCCTCATTACTAGCATATGTCACTGTTTTAGTCTCTGTTGATGTTTGTGTCTTACTTGAAGTTGTTGTAATTGATGTTACTGTTCTTTTACCTACTGTAAATACAAAGTTCTTTGCGTCGATAACATGTGTCCCAATTTGCTTTTCGGCAACATTTGCTATTTTTTTAAGTCTTTGAGGCACCAGCATGGTTTTTTTTTTATGTAATTAAAAGTAAAGAAAAAAAAATATACATAGAAAAGAAAGTAAAAGAATATCAAGTTTTTTTTTTTTTTTATTGTTATTATTATACAACTTTCAAGTATTCGGTTAAACTTATTCCGGAAAATAAAAAGGAGGATACGGATCAAATATCCTAGTAATAAAAAATAAAATAAAATAAAAAAAAGAACATCATTTGCTTATGTTTTAAATAAAGCTTTATTTTAGTGAAGAGCACTATTTTTTTTTTTTTTTTTTTTTGTTGGTCTTTATAAGTTTTAGTTTAATTTTTTTTTTTGAATTTTAAAAAAATAATGCAATTACTTTTTGAAGTTTTAATAAATCCAAATAAAGAAAACCATTTAATAGCTTATTATATATGACTAACAAAAAAAAAAAAAAAAAAAAAAAAAATTTTTTTCTCAATAAAACAGATTTTAAATTTCTATTTCCTTTTTTTGTTAATAAAAAATAAATAAATAAATAAAATAAAATAAAATAAAATGGCAGAGCGTTCTAACGCTGGTATTATTCAAGTTGGAGAAGAAAGATGGATTCCGGGATCTATTCGAGCTGATGGCACCTATCGTAAAGAACGTAAAGTGAGGCCCGGATTTGTTCCAGCTGAAGATGTTCAACGTTATTCAAATGCACGTCTAGAAGCTAGTAAAGCATCTACTTTACCTCCAGGTGCAAAATCAAAAAAGGAAGTTCCTGGTTCTAAAAAGAAAGAAGTAACGACTGTCAAGAAAGAGCAAACACCGCCTTCAACAGATCAGCCCAAGGAAAAGAAAATTAAAGCTTTAAACAAGAAATTAAGGCAAATTACAGAATTGGAACAAAAATTAATTAAAGGAGAAACCCTAAATGAAGAGCAACTTGAAAAAGTGAAAAAAGGAAAAGCAATAAGAGAGGAATTAGAAAAGTTAACTGCTTAGATAATTGTTTTATTTCATTTCCATCTCGTTTTTATTTTTATTTTGTTTGGTTTTGTTTTTTTTTTCATTTTCATTTCATTTCATTTTCTTTTATTTTTTCTCTTTTTTTTTTTGGAGCAATACATGTAATAAAAAAAAGCAAATAGTATGAATACACTTGTTACAGACTACATAATGTACTTGCATTATCAAATTTTGTTATGGAAAAAATATTCAATGTGGAATTATACATGACAAAAAGAAGAATACACAACAATATGGTTTCATTCAGAATAGCAACCTAAAGTATTTAAAGCAACAAAATTGATTATATATAACAGCCAATCATATCAAATCGGGGTCTTACTTCTTTAACATTGCAAACTTATTACTTTGTTATTTACTTTTCATATCTCTCTCTCTCTTTTTTTATTTTTTTTTTCTTAAAAAAAAAATATCATCCAGATTAATTGAACTTTTGAATTTAAATATTAGTCATGTCTTTGAACGTTTCAGATCCTGCCCTTGCTGAAGCCTATGAAGATGTCAGAGATGACAAGACCGAAACTAACTGGGCTTTCTTTGACTTTGCTAATGGTAAGCCAGACCGTCTTCAAGTGGCAGGCACAGGTAATGGTGGATTAGCTGAATTTATTGGTCAGTTAAAACCAGAAGTTGCTGGATGGGGTTATGTTCGTATGAATATGAGTAATGATGAGTAAGTAACAAAAAAAAAAAAAAAAAAAAAAAGGGGAGGAAAGATGTGAACACATCTGTCATTTTGTTGATTCTTATTTTATTAACCGAACACGCATTTCCATAAAGATATTCTCAACGTATTAAATTTGTTTTAATCCCTTGGTGTGGTGATAAAGTTGGTATTATGCGTAAAGCTAAACTATCTATTCAAATTGCAGATGTGAAGAATGTTCTTCGTAATTATCACATTGAGGTGCCTGCATCTCATATTCAAGATTTAAATGAAGATGAAATTATGACTAAACTTAGACGTGCTGGTGGTGCCAATTATGATAGACAATCAAGTAATTATTAGAAGACCTGTTTTATATATAGATATTTATACATATATATTTCCTTTTATGTACAAAGAAATAAATAAATCTAAAAAGTTTTTTTTTTTTTTTTTTTTTTTTTATAACAAAAAAAAAATGGCCTCTCCTCCAATTGAACTAATTCTTTATTTAGAACCATCAGCAGAATTCAAACAAGCAGTAGACTATTTTCTTGAGACATGTTCTAAAAAATATGGCCCAACAACAGCAAATAAATATGATTGTCATATTACTATGACAGGATTCTTTAATGTCGCTAATGAAGAACAACAAAACATCATAAAACAAATGGTTGATAATTTATTTTCAAATTTTAACGTTGCTTCCTCACCCAAAGTTAATCTCAATAAAAGTTTGCTTATCTATGACAGTACTACAAATGATCCTGCTCATCTTTTGCTTTCTGTAACAGTACCAGATGCATACCATAGTGTCTTGTCAAAACTTGCCAATGCTTGTAAACACATTGTCAAGTTACGTTTAAAAAAAATAAATCACATAAGTCTTGCTTATTGGGATGAGCCAGAGGCGACACTGAAAGAAAGACAAGTGTGGCAGCAAGTTACTACTGAACAACATATATTCGAATGTATTCAACATGATGCAGATGAGAATTTTCAACATGTTCCACATCCAACACAATGGGATGTTGTACTATATACACGTATATCAAAAGGCAGGTTAGTTGGACAGAAGCATAAATTTAAAGAGCTTGGTCGATGGACTGTTTATCGTTAAAAAATACTGCGATGATAATAATCTATAAGAAACAAAGCAGCCATTCTACTAGCTTGTTTATGTTGATGATCATCTTTAATTTGTAATAAATATTCTTCCAACTCAGCTGTCAAAATCACTATTTAAACATGTTATCAGCATTCTCTAAAATAATAATAATAAAAGACTTTTTTTACCATGATAATTTTCAGCTGTAATAAGTTGCATTAAAGTCGTCATGGCATTAATTTTTATTTTTGTTGAATTTGAGGAACTCAAACATTGAATAATGTTATTTCTATACATTGGCTGTGACATTATATATTCATGATGATGTGGATCTATTAAACGAGATGAGTGACATCTATTATTCTATTCTATATCTATTATAAATAATACCTAAACAAATATTTGCAAGACCACCCATTCCAAATTCTTGAATTAACGGATCATTATCAGTTAGTGCATCTGTAATAAAAAAAAAAAAAAAAAAAATCATAAGAATGGACGACTTTAACAGAATATATCTAAAATTTATTGGTTTACTTAGAAATAAATCGATTACTCTAAGACCCCAAAGCGTATCGTAATTAATAGGATCATAAGCAAAGTTAGCTAAATTGGCAAGCACTTGTTGCTTTGCTTCTATATTATACTAATTAGTTATTTTTATATAAATGCTTTCAAAAAAAAAAAAAAAAAAAAGTGAATATACCTTGACTTTTAGTCGTGTTATATTCTTGTACTAATTGACTTAAGAAGTAGGCTCTATCTGTACCTGTTCTTCCGTGTCTACGCTCAATGTATTCTTTACTTTGGAACATGATGTTTAAAGAGTAAAAGAAAAGAAAAAAAAAAATTCAACTAACGCTATTTTTTTTTTTTTTATACATTTATAAAGAAAAAAAAAATAAGGGGAAAAAAATACGGGGTCTTGTTGTTTATTTTACTTACTTTCTGGATTAATGTTATATCGAAATTTAATAGCAACACAATGTCAAGCAGTTAAAAGTGGTAGAAACTTACTTTTAAAAAACTATAGACGAACACCATCTTGTACATTGAGCATAACATGGGTACCATCGTTTAGATTATTACCACTCTGTAGACATTATTCTTTACAACTTCAAAAGATGAATCATGAAATATTCAATTTACTTAAGAGTGTAGATTCTAATCAATCTGATCCCAAAACAGCTCTGGAACAAGCTTTACAACTTGTCGATCAATTAAAACAAACAGGTGAGCCTGTTAATCGAAGAACATACGAACTTATTCTTGACGCTTATGCAAAAACAAACGATACAAGTCAAATATTTGAACTTTACAATCAAATGAAGGCACAAGGACTAATCCCAAGGCTTCAATTCTTTCATCAAGCCTTAGAGGTAAAGCATAAATAAGTTTAAATGTCAATTGTTGACTATCTATTTACAATTTTTTTTTTGTACTAGTTAGCAGCTACTCTACATGATCCAATATTACAAGGAAAAATATTACATTATCTGGAATTATCGAACCATAAAAAGTCAGCAAAAACATACCATTATATGCTTTTGTGCATGCGAGAGACATTTGAATTAGAAAGAGCATTGGATACCCTTGATATGATGAAAAAAGAGCGAATAAAGCCTATACTATCAAGTTATATTAACGTTGTGGATATGGCGATACAAGTACAACAATCTCATTTAGCTTTTCAGTTATTAGAAGATATTGAGCATTTAGATTTATTCAAGGATTATGATAGATCTATATATTTACATGCATTACGCTGTGCCGCTTATAATAGCAATGTAAGTAGAACCAAAAAAAAAAAAAAAAAAAAAAAAAAAAAAAAAGAAAGAAATGTATATTAATTTTTTTTCCCCTGGTTATCGGTGATAATAGTATGATATTGTGAAAATGTACTGGAAGAAAGTTGTGATAGATTATAATCTAAAGCCAGATGAAGGCTTATGCCTATATGTGTTAAATTTAGCGGGAGAGAATAGTAATCCTGTATTAGCAACTGATGTAATTCGATATATAGGCGAAAATGGATTTAGATATCGTGAATGTCATTTTACATCATTGATTGAAGCCTTTGCATCCACTAACGACTTCAAAAGTACTTTCAAAGTCTTAACAGTTATGCGAAAAGTGGGCATTAAACCAAATAAGAGAACCGTTAAACCAATAGCTTACAAAGTGGGGCAAGATAAAAACTCGATTTGTATAGCACAAGATGCTCTTGCACATATAGCAGCAGAATCTCAAGAAGTAGATGTTGTAGCTTTCAATTTGATTATTCATGCTTTAGCTCATAATGGGGAAAATGATGATGCCTTCAATTTTTATAATCGTGCAGAAGAATTTGGAGTGACGCCTAATGATGAGACACTAGATGCAGTTTTGGATGCCTGTATTCATGCGAAAGACGCCGAATTAGGAAAGCTAGTTTACCGTAAGTTTATTTCTTCAGGTAGGACTTTAGCAACAGTATCCAATCTAAGTAAAATGGTTACCTTAATGTGTACTCAGTCCGATTATGAAGATGCATTTACGTATCTGGAAAAAATGAAGAAGTTAAGAATGATTCCTTTACAAGGATGTTATTATAAGCTCGTTAAGACTCTTGCAAATGCTAATGATCCAAGATTATCCTTAGCTATAAGTGATATGACAGCTTACGGATATCCTATTTCTAATCATTTAAATACTTTTATTGAAAGAGAAGAAAATCAGGAACAATTTCAGATAAATTAATACATGTATATTAGAGTTAGTTATGTATGTAAATGTATAAAAATAGATTATAAAAATACTATTATATATTTATATGCCTTTTTTTTTGTTTTCTTTGCAAAATATAAGATTTAAATAATAATGAAAAATATTCGTACTATTATAAGAGATGGGGAGAATAAAGTAGAATGAAAGAAGAGGGGAAAGAGATAATTAAAAATAGATGTGTATACAAAGAATAAACAGATAGATAAACTTAAGTTAAAAAGCCAACGATGATGAGTAATTTTATACGTGTAGTATATAATAGTAATAAAAAAAAAAAAAAGAAAGAAAGAAAAATAAACATCTTTAAGCTTCAACCTTTTGAGGTTTGAACAAAATCATATTAGGTACAGGACGGTAAATATACTAAATAAAATATAATAAATCAGTATTATATAAATCAAGAGGTTATTACGAACAAATATCAACTTACATCACGGTAAAGTTCATCAATCTTCATACGAACTAAACATTTACCAGGTACCTTTTCAGATTCCATAAACATAGGCCACATAATATGGTCTTTAGGTATTAATTCAGACATACGTTTACGAACCATCTCCCAGCCAATGCCGTTATAATGAAGTCCCAAAACACGAATTAAACGTTGGAATTGACAATGGAACAATGTATGATATAAAAGTTTAAATACTTCATCAATCGTATGAGCTTCAACACAGCTATCAGGTAAAACATCAATCTCACAGCCTGTTGACTTCTTAAGAGTCTCATTGTGGACCTTGATACCACCAAAATCACGAATGACAAAGCCTTTAAGTTGGCCTGTCTTTCTGTCAAATCGAGCTAATGTATTTTGACCATGAGCTTCAAAGGCTACACCATTTTCAAGACATGGGGGTAAGAAAGCTCGAAGAGCCAAATCAATATATCTAGCAAAAAAAAAAAAAAAAAAAAAGAAATGATTAAAAAAAAAAAGTTTATAATACATATATATGTATATATTTATCATATGCTGTATTAGTTACCTCTCTAAGAAATTAATTCTCTTTTGTTCAGAATCTAATTCCCAAACATGAGTAAGAAGAGTTTCATTTGTATCAGGCTTTTGAATTTTTTCAACCAAGACACCACAGGGGACAAATAAATCATCCTTATACTTTGGATCATATTCAAAGGCTTCACGAATCACGCTACTACAATGCTTGGCAACATCTGGATCTTCATGACGATAAGAAATCGTCGCCATTTCACGTTCCACAGCAAGAACATTAGGATCATAGTTTAATTTGGGTACGACATGAGAAGAAAATCCAGGACCAAAGTAGGTCGTAAAAGGTGTTACTGTACGTAAAGCAGAAGAAATTTTAATGCCTAAACAGAGCTTGACACTTCGGCCGATTAAAATATCGGGTCGAGCAACGGATCGGAGTGAAGCCAAGGCTTCAACAGGGATACTATATGGCTCAGGGAAGATATAGGCATCAGGAAATCTTTGCTCAACGTTAGGGAGTTGAAGTTCATGGATGGCAATATAAACATAGTCCGAATCATATTTGTTACGCACAGTTTGTACATCCTCATTTGCTGCTTCAATAAGTGCATCCACGAGATCCTTTGATAACTCTTCGTAATCTCCACGTAGTGTCGCGCTTTCTCGGCGAACTCCGACAAGACGAATCTTGGGGTGTTCTAAATCGTAAGAGCCAGGTGTTAAAGGTTTCATAGGAGGAAAACTTTTACGAGCTTTATGCATCTTAATTAGTAGCGAAGAAAAAAAGAAAAATTAGTAATTATTAATTTACTACATATTATCATCATCTTATGTCAAAAAGAAAAAAGTTTTTTTTTTTTATTTTTTTTTCAATTCTGTATACTTACAGGATGTGTAGCATGACCTTCTACAACTGATTGTTCCCAAGCAACGGTAGATGAGTTCAAAGTAGGTAGACTTTTTGGGTGATCATAGGTATATTCTTTATATTTATATGAGACAAAAATTACATATTTTTTTTTTTCACTTTTTTTTTTTTTTTTTTTACTTTTTACGTGCTCCCTCCCCCTCCCTCCTCCTATTTTAATTTAACAACTTACTTTGAAATAAAATGGATGAAGCTAATTCTTGACCGATTTGTTCCTTTAATTTATTATTGACACCATAAATGGTAGCAAAGCGATCCCAAAGTTGAACAGCATCATAACCATCAACAATATTAAATTCTGTCTGTTCAGAAAGGACAGTTCTCAGTATCTGTTTTGTAAGCTGACTGCTTAATTTGTTTGAAATATCGTTTGTAATACTAATGGAGTATATATGAGGTAACATATCAAGGTTATCCACTAAATCAATACGAGAGCAACGGATGCCATTCCAATTAGCAGAATATTTATTATTCAAAATAGGAATGCCACGAAGAGGAACAACAGCCAAGATAGAATCTAGAGTTACCTTAGCAGGAACTTCGTTTTCTGTTTTGACAGGATGTAGCAATAAACAAAGACCGATTAAGTTATCTTCTGTCTTTACGACTGTATTAGGAACAAAATAAACGGGAACAAGAGATTCACTTGTCAAACAAGCTACTAAACGTGATGTTGTAGCAAAGGTTGCATAAAATGTATTTTTATCAAAATCACTAGAAGGAACAGGCATAGTTGCTAGTTATATGGGATAAAAAAAAAGTCAAAAAATAAAAAAATTGTTGAGTTTTCTTAAATTTATACAGTTAAAATAAGAAAAAAAAAATTAAATCGGAATCTAAATTGATAAAAACTACGTATACTTACGGTTATCAGATCTTAATTGAGAGTGTTTGGGTAATACAATCTTTTTCCTTTTTTTTTTTTAAAAAAAAATGATGCTTTACGGATTTCCTTATTTAAGTAAATAATAAATAGAAGCATTTTACAATCAAAAAAATGGTCTTGAATATAGAGAAAAGGACCAACAACTCTAATTCTAATAATATAATAAAACAACGGAGATATTATTATAACATTATTTATGATAGCGATTAATATTACTTGTTGTGAAAAGCATGACTGTATAAGCGGAATAACAATGTATACACGTATATACAAGAAAGATGATCTTTTTCTTTAAAACTAATTGTACTCATTATCGCGCATAGTAATTAATGGATAGCTATATTCATTTTTATTAGAATGAATACTTGTATAAAATCTAATTTTTATACTAGCTAATGCGTTGTTAAAGAGGAATAATATACTCAAAATGGAAAAAGGATATACCGATTTATAAAAGATGGAGTATATAATTAGATAAGATAAAAAGACAATATTGATTCTGTACTTTAAAAAAAATATACAAATAAACAGTAAACTAAATATTTACATATTATACATAAAATGATAATACAAGTGAATAGCTTATAGATTTTACGTTAATTAGTAATATATCTTCTGCTACTGTAAACCATTTAAGAAAAGAGCTATTTAAAATAAATAATAGCTCTCACCTTTTCATTAATTGAGTAAATAAATCTTTGTTATGAGTAGTTAAATGTGTGCTTTTTTTTTTTCTTTAAAAGGCTTAAAACCAAGCCTGATATATGGAATTCAAAACTATAATTTTTTTTTAGACTAGTTAAGGCTGTTATAGAAAAAAAAAAGTATCTTGTGACTTGTTTATACTAGCGCGAAATATGCCAAATATGTAGGTTTTTTTTTTCTTTGATTTATATAAATTGATTTAACATGTCAATAGAAGAACAAGATGACATCTTTAACTTTGATTTTGACGATGATGTGTTTATAACAAAAGAAGAAAAAGAAAAATTAAATATATCCAAAGTTAATTATGAAGCTAAATTAGAAACCGATGGAGTAATAACAAAAGATGTAGTTTTTTTTTAAGATCTATAATTATTAATTTATTTTATATAGTGGTTTCATAATCATAATAAAAGCATCGATGAAATCATGTTAGAACAACATGGGGCTAATCAATTAAGAAATGCGATTGAACATGATTATTTTTATAAAAGATATGATCGAGCTTTAACAAATGCACTTGGATATATTCGAGTTGCTCAAAACAATAAAGAATGCAAAGTATCGGGAACAAAAGAAATGACTGATATTGCAATGCATTGTGCAGCAAAGCTTGAGAAGTTAGATGTGTTAAAAGAATTATTGTGGAATAAATCAGTAAGAAAAAAGAAATGATTTTTTTTTAAAAAAAAAAAAGAATTGTATACATTAATATAATAATAGCATACACAAGATACAGGGTTATTCTTATTAAGAGCCAAGTTTTATCCATTAGTAGAAGCTTATGGAGAAGCAATAGATGCATGTATCGCCTATAATAAAGAAAGAAGTTCAGATTATCGGGTTTGGTCTCTGATGGCAGATACTTTTATGAAATCAGCAGCAACTAAGCCTTTATTAAAAAAGGACGAAGAGATGCGGTATCATTTAGCTAACTTATGTATGAGACGTGCTATTCATATCATGACAAATTTTCGATGGAAAAGAAATATTGACTGTGTAAATGCAAGATTTGTAAAGGATCTCGAAGGACTTCAATCACGTTTACAACAAACTATAGATCATGACGGTGATGTTGATAAATTTATAAGCTGGATGAATGACAACCATCAACAAATAAAAAAAGAACAACAAAGGGCAAAAGGATTAGATGAATTTGCCTGGGATGATATTGTTTGGATCCATAAAGATTGGGCTTTACGCGATTTTTCTGACAAAGTAGATGAAGACTATAAACCAGTTAAAGACTTATAAAAATTTTTTTGTTTTTTTTTTATTATATGTATAATATACATACATATATTTAATATATATTTATATTTTTATATATGTACAAATTAATAATATACATAATACATATATATACAAGAGGTATGTGTATGTATACGTGTATATATATTTATATATATAGCATGCACGCCTTCTTTAATTTTCTTTTTTTTTTATTCCAAATTGGTAAAGAGATGATTTTGTAGTTCAGATATAAATTGAGATTCATTATGTTGAAACGGCTGGCTAGTAGTTGATGCTGAAGATGGACGCTGTTGATAAAAGTTTAGATAATTACTCATACTGCTACTATTATTAGTACTAAGTTCATCTAAAGGATGTTTCATTTGTTGTGAAGAAGTAACAGAGGCACTAGTAGCAACAGAGCTGCTAGGCAACGATGAATACCCATAAGGCTGTCCTTCTATTGATGAGGTTGCTCGCATAGCGTAAGGAAGACCCATTGTCTGCAACAAATCGTTACTATTTTGATTATTTCTACTATTATTACTGTTGCTCTTACTATGTTCGGTTACATTATGAGTTGTTGAAGGAGAAGATGAATTGGTATTATTGTTATTACTTAAAGGATGAACTGGGTTTAATAGTTGTCCTAAATTAGGCGTAGCAAAACGTTCGCTTTGCTGCTGTTGTTGTTGTCGTTGTTGTTGTTGCCGAGAATTGGCAGAAAAAGGGGAATTATCAATGGGTAAAATAGGATCCATAGAACGATGAGGTGAAGTAGGATTAGTAGTAGTATTAGTGTCTGTTGTTGTATTAGTATTGTTATGTTCATAATTAAGTGAATCAAAAGGAGGTAAATTATTAATAGATGAAGTAGAGTAATGGCGTTGATGTTGAGAATAACGAGAAGGTGAGGTCATAGGTGTGTTTGGAGAAGGCACCAGATTAAGGGGTGAAGTCTGCACAGTTGGATGTAAACCGTTTGTTAGACTTAAATGACGAGATTGATTAAAATCATATCCATTATTATTGTTATTATTTCCATACATAATTGAATTCTGTTGAAATTGATTTGAAGAAGATGAGGCAATAGAGAAAGAAGCTCTATGTTGTTGCTGTTGTTGTTGTTGCTGTTGTGGAGGTAAATAAGGGTGATATGCTAAAAGTGAAGAAGATTGATCTTGACCACGAATAGATCCGATAGACATACGGTGAGGAGGACGTAGCATACGATGAGTGTAACTTGAAGCGGTAGAGGAGGATCCTTCGGTGGTTATTGTCTGTCCTGAAGAATCAAAAGTAGGCTCTACAAAAGGAGGTATTCTAAAATTTTCTTTTGCTAATAGCTCAGGAGATATTTCAAGACTAGCTAATTCAGGTACAGAGGACGGAGCCCTCAGTTTTTCCTGAAGTACATCATTTGGGTCATAATAAGAGATTAAATGCTGAGCAACACCATTCAATACAATAGACATTGTTTTTTTGATTAAACCATTCTCTTTAAATCGATATGAATCTGAAAGACTACCAATCAATTGACGTTCTCTATCTCGATTAATAGAACCATCAATACTAAAGCTTCTTCGTATTGTTGTATTATTTAATGGATTTCCAAAACTCATATCAGTATTGCTACTATGATTATAAGCCGATAATCTTTTTTTATTTTCTCCTGCACCTTTTTTATTATCAAGCTCTCGGTAAATTAGAAAATTACCTAGAATACGTGATGGGCTCCAAACGCGTCCATCCGTCCAACGCTTAATACCTAAATTTATCCAATATATAAGTCTATATTATTTTATGTATCATTTTTTTTTAAAAAAATGAAAAGAAAGGGGGGGGCTTTAACCTACCTGATTCTTTCTCGTCAAAAACAAAAACTGAGCCAGACCGAATCATTTTACGGTCTCTTTCTTGTAAACGTTTAGTAATTTTTGGTAATAAACCTCTACGACATCCTTCAAAGATAAGCAAGACATCTTGGGTTGTTTCAATATAACCATGAAAAGTTTCTGTGACTAACATAATAGATAATTACAATATATAAACAAGGTGTACTGTATTAAAAGATTAAAATTGAATGAAATGTTAGAATTGTAAATGCAATGTCAATAAAACTAAAAATAAAATAAATATTAAACCCATAAAAAAAAGGAGGAAAAAAACCCAATTTTTGTTGTTTTTTTTTGTGCTTTGCCAAAAAAAAAAAGAAAAAAAAAAGCGGGGACCATGTCACACTTTTTCTTCATAGACTGCGGAACATATATTTACCCTGTCTATTATTACTACTGTTATGCATGTTTATTTACCACACAAATATTATTGTATCTTAGTTTACTTAAAGAAATGATGACTATAGCATGTCGACATTATTTATTATAAAATTCCCTTTTTTAGGTTTTTCATTGAGACAAAAAAGTTAAACACCCACAAAAAAAAATAAGTTGACATTTTTTATGATTAGTAGTTCATTTTTCTTCCTTCCTTTACTTATGCATTTTGTGTTTGTAAAGCATTTCTTTTCTTGTTCCTGATCCTTTTATTAATCCTCTTCTTTTTGTTATTATTATTATTAGCTAATAAATAAAAAAAGAAGAAAAAAGTCCCCCAAGACTAAATATAAAAGCTATCGTGAATAACCTGGGGAAACGAAGAAGAATACAGAAGATTTATGCTAGATTTGTCCTGCAAGTGTTTCGCTGATAATATGAGTGGCAAATAGATTTCCAAATTTGTATCGAATTTTCCTTTAGAAAAAGATAAATTTAATCGAATTCAATTTTAAGTTCCGAATGAAAAGGAAGTAGCTGAAGTTACATTTTCAGCAAGTCTTTTACTTTGAAATTAGATCATTCCAATTTTTTTTAAACATGGACCAGGTTATTTATAAAGACAACTAATGAAACAAAATTAACCAATATATTTATGTACGAAATAAAACAAGATAAAGTAAGTCGCTTAACTTGGCGCGTTACTGATTGTAACTAGTGCCCTGATGACGTGTTGAAACAAATGGAATAAAGCAGGAATGATATGTGAATAATAATAATAATAATAATAAAAATAGGATGTAGTAGTGGAAGCAGTATTAGTAGTATTAGTAAAAAAAAAAACTTAGTTTACAAGAACATTGACATTTAGGAGGAGCATTATTTTTTTTATATAGTGTCAAACAATTTAGAATTAGGTTACATTGCTGAGTGGAAAATAAAGCATTGAAAGCTTGTTAAAAGATCTGCAACATGTCTAAACAAAGAATATGAAACATATCTGAAGAGAAATCTTCATAGCGAAAGCCCTATTATTATAGCGTTAAATAAAATAAAAATAAATTCTACCACGAATTTTATTGGATAATGTCTATTCAAGACGAGTTTGTGCAGTCTTGTGTGGTTTTTTTTTTTTTTTTTTTTTTTTTTTTTTTTTTTTTTTTTTTTTTTTTTTTTATACATATATATATTTATATTGTTTATTCAGTTGAGAATAGATAGTAATGATGTCTATAAATGATTGAAAGATATCTGGACTATATTAATAACTAAATGCCTTTTTTATATATTATATTAATAATAAACCTACTTTCTGCAAATGTATAAAACGTAACACTCTCGGTCAAAAGAAATAAGAAAAAATATAATATTGCTGCAGCACTGAAATGTAAAGCAAAGTTGATTATTATATCCTCTTATACAGCTGAAGAAAATAGGTTGGGCCAGCAAAAAAAAAAAAAAAGGGACAACCAATGTAAAAAAACAGGACCATCAAAGTTTTCTTGGAAGGTACACTACTTTGTTTTTTATGCTTTTTTTGTTCAGCGTTTATCGCTGCAGGTCTTCCCAAATCCATGTAAGATTGGACTAGATAATTTTTCGCTGACTTCAAAAGAAGATATTTCTTCCCATTATCATTTACCAAATCGTGCCTTTGGTAGAGCTTTTTAGCAGTTTTCTTTTAATTTATACTTTTGACTATAAAAGTTTTCATCACGTATTCAATTACTGGAAAAATAATGCTTGAGAATAAACAAGGAGATATTGTTGACGAAAATGGGAATGATGCAATAAATGTTAAGGACCTGTTCGTTATTAGCCAATAATCTATCGCCTTGTCCTCCTTCTATCGTTGATCGCATCCTTCTCCCTATTGCTTTTGATTGCCCCTTCTTGTTGCTATTATTTCAACACAAATAAATAGCTCGATGCTTTCTTTCTTTAATAAAAAAAGTAATTTAGTTTTGGTTTAATAATCTTAGCTTCACATCCCTAGACTTGCCTATTTACTTTCTTTTGATCTTTCGAGATTGTGCTTTATTTTGATTTTATATTTTATACAGCCTTTGTAAACCTTGGATAAGAACAAAATCCTACTCTTTTAAAGATCAAGGAGCACTATCCATTTAAGTATCAATTAAGAACAATATCCTACTCACTCGTAAATAAGGAACATTGTATCCTACTTTGAAGTATTTTAAGACAAGGAACGATATCAAATAAGTGATAATTGAGGAACAATATCTATCAATATTGATCAAGGGCACTATCCCAATTATCTATTTTTCTTTCTACTATAAATCCATTTTACTCTAAATTTCATCTACCCAAAGGCCATATCCTTACAACATGTAAAATACATAACTGTTATTGAAAAAAATAAGACTTTTTAATTGAAGAAAAGAGAAAATTTTTGCATGGGAATATGTTATTTGATTATGACTTGAAGAAAAAGAAAAGAGCGAGAGAAATTCATTGCTAGCTGGTTAGTCTTGAAACTGCAATTTCTGGTTTATAACGGCTTCTTTCCAACGCAATATTTGAGGTATCTGGCTAGTAAAGTTGACAAGTAGTCTTGGTGTTGTTGAGCAGCAGAACGACATACGGATTTTTCTAAAATAGCTTTCTTCAAAGGCAAACAATTCCTCGAAATAGATATTGTCATCTAAAAAAGCTCAAGTATATATAAGTAGGTATTAGTGTTGTATTGACTAGTAGTTGTTGTTTTTATTCAAACACCGTAAAAGCGGGCACAGAACATGGTCTTGGAGATATTGTCAGGCAAATCAGCAATAATGCTGATCATATTAGAGTATAGCTTGTTTATATCATATGCCTCTTTGTTTATGGTGGCATTAACCTTTGATCCTCCAGGAAACTCAACAAGAACTGGCGATGTTTTTTTATCATTTATTTTAAGGATGATACCATCCCACTTACTTCTGCCAGTCTTGCAATACTTGTTCTCAATCTAATCTAAAGCAACTGAATCATTGTTTGATATAAATAGCTGGTTTATGACGTAGATGATAGTATAGATACTGACAGTGCGCTCTCCAGTCACCTGCTTCAACGGGTTGTTTGGGCTATCGATTAAATCAAAGCTATAATGACAATAATAGTTAAAGTTTTTTATACATTTTTTTAGTCGAAAAAAAAAAGACTGTGCTTACAAATGACAAACTGTGATTTCGATAAAGCCAGTATCATGATTCAATACAAGATTAAATGACAGTTTGAAGCCAGCTTGGTAAAGTGCTACTCTAATATATACTGTAGCCAACTTTGATATTGGGATAGTATCAAGTAGCTCTTGAGCATACTGAGTTATCTCAATAGTTGGCAAAGTGGAGCGTCGAACAATTTCGTCGTACTTTTCTTGGTCAAAGTGTTCTTCAAGCATTGTTAGGGCTATAGGAGAGTTAAGATCGACGATCCCCCAAGCAGCCAACTCTTTGCATAATTCTATTAGTTTGAAGTTTCATAAAATGAGTTTCAATTTTGGACGCTTACCTGTCAGAAGACAAATCTGCTGAAGATCGTAAGATTTCATTAAGTAGTTGCCTTGAATCACCAAGCTGTATAGAATTATTAACCAGGTCAAAGATATTGTCGCTATTGCTGCTGCTATTGCTAGTGGTTGTTATAGAACAAACTCCGGATATAAGCATAAGTAATATTATAATAGATGAATTAAATAAGAAAGGATAAACTATAAGCCTGAATATGAAATAAAACTCTGTATATAACATCTTGTGTTATGTATATAATGATGTATTACATAATATCTGATAATATACGAATCAGAGTCATAAAGGACCGAATGATATTATAGTTGGTAGTTGTACACTTTATGCATACAATATTATTTGATTTCAGTTTATAAGACATTCTTGTGATGAGAAAAATAATATTATAATAAATACTAACTTTACGAAATAATGATAAACAAAGCATAATGTAAGAAGTTATTAATGATAAAGATATATGAATTATAGATTATATCTATTAGTTATATATACGCATTATTATTATAATATTGTCTAAAATACTAATTTATAAATATAATCATATACTATCTATGATAACTTTATTCTAATTGAATACACTATATAATATAATGAAATTCATTTAAGTAGTACATTGAGGAATGAATATAATATAAAGAAGCTGGTTAGAATATAAATCTATATATCAAAAGTGTCTTTTCTATATCATTCACAAGTATGAACAAACGAGATTTCATTATTTTGTTTCAAGGAAAATAACCGGCTAGATCAAGCACCAATAATTTAATATTTATTAGAGTTAACTGAGATTAATTCTCAGTCAGGGCAAAGACTAAAGCTCAAACACAATAGCTTTAATCATTCTATGGGAAAGTATTCTTCTTTCAAGATATCTTCATTCTGTTCCTGTCGTGAAGTAACCCGTTCTCCACGAGATATAAAATAAGGATCCATTTTGCACTCCTTTTTTTAGAGATACAATTAAATTTATTCTTATTCAATTTCTTCATTTTATAAAGTTTTCACAGATTTATTCTGTCTTATTCTTTTGTTATCTTTATCTTATCAACACCATCCAAAAGAATGTTTAATGTTAATGTGAAATGCGGCTTCATCAACAAAAACACAATTACTCATGAAGTCCATATGTCATGAGCTGATTTATAATGTCATGTTTCTTGCTTAAACATGCAGATCATAAATTTATTTAAGAAATTCTATCTAAAATCTCCTGAATCTCTCTTGATCCGCTCCATCTAATAATATTAAAATCACTAACACTTCATTGTCAACAACATACCTTATTCGGTCGTAACTAACACTTTTCTGATTCACATCTTATCCTCAGACCTCTTTAACAATTCTTATAAATACCCCCATCAATTTAAATTCATAAATAAAATGATTGACTTTAGAACTACTGTTCGGTCTCGTTGACTCTTTTTGTCTTAATATTATTTTTTATTTTCTAATATTTTTTATTTCATATTTTAAAAGAAATATTACGCCATATCTGTCTCTTGTTACTTTAAGACCCATTGATATCTCTCTTCAATTTTCGTCGGACTGTTTCCTTCTACTGAATAAAAGTAAACCCTCTTTAGCGTAATATTGTACTTTTGGGTCTCAAAGATGTGCAAAGCAGTTTTCAAAATTTTGAGATCAATAAACTGGGTTGTCAAGTTCTCCATCATCTCATCCAAAACTATGTCAGGCTTTTTGTCGATAAGCTCTGTCAAAAAATCTTTATGCTAATCATTCAACGGAGAAGGTCTTCCAACTGGTTTTTCACTTCCACTTTGTCCACCAAGAACCTCAGTGCCTTCGTTAGCCTCCTCTTTTTTAAGCCAATTTCGAGCAGTACTAGGTGGAATTTTCATCTACACCGCAGCACTGCGAACGCTACGACCTTTTTAATAGATCAAGAAAAAAAGTGCTTCCTTATCCTCACTCTTGTACGATCTATAGGTCCCACTTTTGGCTTCCTGTTCCGTTTTAGGTGTCTCAGAAACATCCTGCTTGCGGGCTATGATAGCCTTGGGAGCCTTTTCAGGAGGCTTCAAGTCTAGGTATAGTCCGTATTCCGTGATTTCATTCAGGGGAAAGGTCTCATTGTCAACTTCCATATCAAGAACAGCAACTTCATTTACACTGTCATCATACAACTTTCCGCTACCGTCTTCATGCAAAAATTCGTCCATTTTAATAAGGCTGGTTTATAAAAAATAAAGGAAAGAGGGAAAACTTATTTTGTGCCATTTTTTAGTCCTGACTTTGATACAATTTTTTTCAACTTTTGCGCCAATAATTTCGGAAAATAGTGTATTTTTCCCAATGTTGTAAAAAAAAAAAATGAGTCAGCTCCCTTTTACCCCTAACTAAATTAGTATAAAAAATGGCCTTTTTTTATGTCGTTCAGCTGGTGAACAAAGTGTACTTTTTTTTGTTGTTGATGTATCTCAATAATATTTATTCAATTTCAGTCTATTTTTTTAAAACCCGTAACACCAAAGTAAGTGACGTCTGCGGCGTTTACGCATGAAAGTTGCACTTTAACCATCACATTTTTTTTTTAAGGGGGAATGAATATTGATGACGAAGACACCAACGAATTAATATTTTTCTGTCTGTTTAAAGAACACATTTTTTATCTTTTCATCTGCTTCCATAAAAGCCTGTTAACTTGATCAAAGAGATCAAAGAAAAAATAAATTGGTGTAGATGCGCTCTATACATTTACATCTTTGCATTATTGAAGTTTACTTACAACTGTTTCAGACGACAGTCTTGGCTTTGGCTTGTAGGGATGCGGCATGCATCATACAAAAATAAGGTGATTCTTATTTTTGTCACTTATAGGCGACAGTGCTCTGGACCAGGACAAGTTGGGTATTTTATTTCCTACGACTCTCATGACATGAGCAGTGAGTAAACTTCAAATAAAGCTCCTGGCTATTCCCATTGAATGCGCTGCGTCTAACACTGATGTAACCCGACTGCATTTCTCTTACTTCCAATCTCTTTCGTTCTTGTTCTTGTACATACCTGACAATTCTTTCAGCATCTTTCTGACGAACACACAGTGATGAATTCGTATACAGAACCATTTTGCGTCAAACGACATTTATTTGAATATTTTACGAGGTGCAGGCAAAACATCTACAAACCACCCCGTAAAGCACCAGGCGTCGAGCACTTACGCATTGAGACTTTAAAACCTCTTCAATCAATATTATCACCCTTGCTATATCATTTATTCTGCTTATGCTGGCAATGGTCCTTTGTCCCTGCAAATTAGCGTCTAGCACAAGTCGTCCCAATTTACAAAAAAGGCTCCCCTCATGACCCAACTAATTATCGACCGATTAGTTTAGCATCTGTTTTCCGTAAGATCTTTGAGCACTGTTTAAAACATCTGCTACAAGATGAAGCTCCCCTCCTAGATATTGCCCAAGGAGGATTCCGTGAATGCTGAAGTTCTCTGTGTTATAGGACAAGCTCTGAATATAAGCATAAGTAATATTATAATAGATGAATTAAATAATATAGGATAAACTATAAGTCTGAACACATAATAAAAGACATCATATTATACTGTATATAACATCCTATAAATAAAATAAAACTTATTAGCATCCGATCATCTAAATATGTCAAATATATAAGACATCGTATCATTTCTAACTATTTATTTTTATAACCTTGATAAAGGATTCAGGTCGTCTTTGATCCAGTAAAATAAAAATATAAAAGATGCCAGGAACATACAATCAGATCATTATAATACCCAATAGATAATCCATAGATCAGTCCTTTGAATCAACACAATGTATATCTGAGTACTAACACTGCTTCGTGACTCATGTTCTTTGACAGCTATTTTTATTTCTTTGATTCAGGATTCATTAGTATAAATACAAGCAGTTGTGTAGACGCGAAATAATTCTTTATCTTTAATTCTCTTTTTGTTATCTTCTTTACATTGAATGAGCAGTTTCAAACTATACTTCTTTCTGTTTTCTTTTGTCTCTTTCTTTTATTTTTCTTTATATTATTACATACCATCACATTGGTATCGCTACTACTTGCGCCTATATTAGCCCTACCATCTAACTGATTTTACAACAAATCGTTAATATACAGGAAGACCAGTTATAATAAAGCATTAACTCACCTCTTGTGCCCGTCTCTCTATGCATTGGCATGTTATGCCATTGAAAGGTTGTCACAGTCACCGTCTGTCTTGCTGCGATAATAGCTGCTAAGTCTTCTGTTCTTCGGTGTGTTCAATATTCATGATAGTCTTTTGGAAAGCCTGGCCATTTCTGTCTTTTTTGCGATTTTAAAAAAGAAACTGAGAAAAATTACTAAACATACTTGAAACACCAATTTCTACCTTAAAGGTAGCCTTTACCTTCGAGACTAGACTAAACGAAGTAGCCTCTTACTTTGCTTTTGTGGTCCAAACGAGTCAACAAGTTGTTGTAGTAAAGGTTGGTTTTTGACTCGCTTCCGCCAAACTCATCTGCAAACGAGAAATAATCCAGAGGCTTGTCTTCATCTTGTAGGGCTTGGCGCAACCAACTCTTAAATATATAATTTGCAGGTAGTCCTGAGATTTTAACTTTAGCCGAATACTTGGGCATGACTTGTTCAAGTTTAAAAAAGAACAAAAGTTAGTAACTTGTCCAGTATTAAATGTAATCCAAATATACTAGAGCCTCCAACAAGGAATTGTTTTATATTATTTAAATAAATGAGAGAGGGTGAAATGTTAATAGCAGAGACAAAAGATGCTTTATTTAAATCAACCAGAGGAACAGACGGACTTACGTTTCAAATTCGTTGTATTTAAGTAAAGCCAGCCTCTCGAGGACGTCATTTTTTTTTTAAAAAAAAATTGCCTGCTTCATCTTACAAAAAAAAATTCTTCTTTCTCTCACACCACAAAAAAGGAGGAGGAGAGATAAAACAATGGTTAACGAGACTGGTAAATATCTATGCTTTCAACATAGCAGTGGGTTAAAACGGTTTGGTCCCCTTTGCAGGCTTTTTATAAGCTCACTTGCAGTTGCTTGTGAAACATGAGAAGTATGTCTACGCCTTTGATTCAAGATCGTAACTCCTTCAAGATCAGATAGTTTGTAATGTTGCTTTATTGGGTCTATACACTACGTCATAGTGTTCTGGTGATATTGATCTAATGCGACATGCTAGACTACCTTACAAGTATTAAAAGCCCTTCAAGGATGCCATCTCCTTCATGTGCTGATGGTTATGCCTTCTCTCTTTACCGTATTCTAGGATTCAGCTTCATCAGAACATAAACTACTTTTTTTTTAAATAAACATAACGCTTCCATATCTTTTAAGCAGTTAATTTATCAGTTCACATCTAAAGAAATATGGAGCATTACTACTACCTATCATTGCAGTTACAACCATTATTTGTTTTTTCTTGAACTGCATCAAGAGTACTCTTCACGTAACCATCTGGTCAATTTTGAGTAGATAACGCGTAACACATGTAATATATATCGGATTATTTTGTAGAAAAAGGTATATACTTACACAACTCAAGCTCTTGACGTATTTGTTTAAGTTGAATATTCAAAGAAAAAGTTCCTATCATAGTCTTGAAACATAGCGATAGTAGCTTCCTTCACTTTTTATCACTTGTTGATAACAAGGGTTTGATTAGAGAATCGAGTCTACCACAGGCACACTTTACACTTGGTGATCGAACAATTTCTGTATCTTTTTTTTTTTTTTTTTTTTTTTTTTTTTTTTTTTGCTGGCCCAACCTATTTTCTTCGGCTGTACCGTTATAAACAGTATATTAACATACATGAAAGTTTCCATATCTAAAACGCGAAAAAAACACCTAATAACAGCTCATTAGAATATAGACAAATAAGGTACATATTATTATAGGCCAAGTTATTATTTTAATTCTATAGATATTTCCGCCTAGTATAATTAATACAATGATAGTTATCTTGATTTACAAGCACAACAGTATAAATGACTGCTTAAACTAAATTATATTGAAAAAATCTAACTCGTATTACACCAAAAACAAATTTTAAGAAATTCTTTTAAAAATATTATCATTTGTTGGGGTCGGTAACAAAATTTATATTCTACATAGTTATCATTTATTTACTAGAATTTTTAACTAGATGGTTATTTATATTATAATCAAACGAAAGTCATATAGTGTAATATGTCATATTTTTTTTATTATTATTATGTAATGTAGACATTTTATATTATATATAAAAGGGGAGGAAGAAGAAAGAACGAAAGATATGGTATAATAAATATAAAATCACTTACTAATAGTCTATTACTTATCTAGCTTACATCATACCACCCATTCCGCCCATACCAGGCATACCACCCATACCGGGCATACCATTAGAACTAGTAGGAGCATCTGTAATCATACATTCAGTTGTAGTCAAAAGTGATGCAACACCAGAAGCATCAACAAGAGCAGTACGAACAACCTTGGTAGGATCAATGATACCACGTTCAATCATATCACAATATTCATTAGTAGAAGCATCATAACCCCAATTAACATTCTCAGGATTATCTTCCATAAGTTTACCACTAACAACGGATCCCTCACCTCCGGCATTATCTACAATCGTACGACAAGGATTCTGAATAGCTTGACGAATAATATTAATGCCCAATTGTTGATCAAAGTTAGCCCCCTTCAAGTTCGATAATGATTTTGCTGCTTTCAACAGAGCAACACCACCACCAGGGACAATACCTTCCTCAACAGCAGCACGAGTAGCACAAAGAGCATCATCGAATCTATCTTTCTTTTCACCTACTTCAACTTCAGAAGCGCCACCAACATGAATGACAGCTACACCACCAGAAAGTTTAGCAAGACGTTCTTGAAGCTTTTCCTTTTCATAATCAGATGTACTAGCATCAGAAATAGCTCCACGAATTTGCTCACAACGTTGATTGATACGTTCCTTTGCACCAGCTCCATTTAAAATAATAGTATCTTCTTTTGTGATAGTGACAGAGCCGGAGGTGCCAAACAAATCAGGAGTAGCTCTTTCCAATTTAAGGTCTACTTCATCAGAGAATACAGTAGATTCGGTTAAGATACCAATATCACCTAAGATAGACTTACGGTTATCACCAAAACCAGGTGCCTTAACAGCAGCAACTTGAATTTGACCACGTAACTTGTTCAAGATACAGGCAGCAAGAGCCTCACCGTCTACATCTTCAGCAATGATCAATAAGGGACGACGTTGAGTAGCGGCTGTTTCAAGAGCAGGTAAAATATCATTCAACATAGAAATCTTCTTTTCAGATAACAAAATTAAAGGTTTTTCAAATTCAACACGTTGTGTCTTTGTATCCGTGATAAAGTAAGGTGAAATGAAACCACGGTCAAAACGCATGCCTTCTGTCACTTCTAATTCATCCTCAATTGTCTTACCAGCCTTAACAGTAATCACACCTTCCTTACCAACACGTTCCATTGCTTGAGCAATCATGTCTCCTACATGTTTATCACCATTAGCAGAGATAGTAGCCACCTGAGCAATTTCCTGTGGAGTCGTAATGATCTTTGTGTTTTGCTTCAAAAAATCAACGACCGCATCTACAGCAACTTGGACACCACGACGCAGGTCCATAGGATTACAACCAGCTGCGACATTCTTAACACCTTCAGCAAAAATGGCGCGTGTAAGGACGGTAGCTGTAGTTGTACCATCACCAGCAAACTCATTTGTCTTATTTGCAACATCTTGTACAAGACGTGCTCCCAAGTTTTCAAACTTATCCTCGAGAACAATAGATTTAGCGACTGTAACACCGTCTTTAGTGATCTTTGGAGAACCATAAGGTTGTTCAATTAATACATTACGACCTTTAGGACCTAAAGTAACAGCAACGGATTTAGCCAAGATATCTACTCCACGTAAGAGACTAGCACGACCTTCGACACCAAATTTGATTTCTTTGTGTGTAGAATAAAGACGTTGAAGTATACCAGTAGAACGCGTTAATGAACGAGCTCTAGATGCGACCAAACGATTCATTATTATTGGGTTTTTTTTTTTAAAAAAAAAGGGGGGGAGGGAGGGGAAAAGAAAGAGGATGTCTAAAAATAAGAAAAAAGAAATTAAAAAAATCAATTCTAATTCTATTTAATTTTAAACCTTTTTTTTTTCTGGGGAAAAAAAAGAATGAATTCAGCAGGGTCTAGTAGAAAGTCCTAGAAAAAAAAAAAACTCATTATGGCTTGGTTTGAATTATTCCCATCTTGAAATATTAATAATATGAAATAAAGCCATTTTACTTCTTCTCTTGAAAACATATTTTATAAATATTACTTAACATTTAATAAATTATTAAAGATAATGTATCCAATATACGTTCTTATTATATAATAGAAGGTATTACTTACTTTATTCTCAAGTATATAAAATATGTCTATTTCTTTTTTTTTCCCACAATCAAAAATGGACGGACCAATAATTTCAATAAATTTACCCGTTATTGTGGTAACGGAATGATTATTTACCTTGTCTTCTCAAAATGATATTGTACTGAAAAAAAATTATGTTGACGTGTTTTTTTTTGAGAAAACATGTCATATTTGTTGAAAAAACGTTGTCGCATTTATGGAAATTTAAGTCTAGAATCTGTTGAGACACTCAAATATCAAAGAAGAAATGTGATTTGCTTTTATATTCTTTAAGGTCACCGAAAATGTATAGAAATGGGGAAGGGGGAGTATTTTTTTTAGAAGGTTGGCTTTCCTTAACTGCAGAAAGACGTGAGATCAGCATTCAATATATTCAAGATTACTGTAACTTGTTAGACTATGAACCTATTATATGGTCAACAAACTTCGTTAATCGAAGGAACTAGAATATATACGACGTACACAAATAATATAAATTTGACATTTGGTAATCAATATTCTTTTCGGATATTCAAATGAGAATAGCTGAATTGAAATCAAGAAGAGAAGCAGAAGGTGTATCTGCAGAAATAATATCAATTGAAATTCGTGAAACCATCACTCTCCCTGCTGCTAACTTTAAGCAGGCTTTATCCTAAAGAATAATAGTAACCAACAGGATTAGGGCCTAATCTTCTAATCCTATTTTTATTTGTACCCTAGATGTTCTTACATCTATATTACTGCCAAATCTAAGATCATATCAATTCCGGAATACAATATTTATTATGATGCGAAAGTAAATCCCATTGAACACTTTAAGGCCTCTTTTTTTTTTTTTTTTTTTTTTTTTTTTTTTTTTTTTTTTTAGTTTGTTCAATTATTTAACAATCTTGAAATATCTGTATTTAACTGTTGTTCACTTTGTTAATTATTGTCTCCCTGCTCTGTGACGATTGATTTAAAAAAAAAATTATGCCAAAATATTCTTGGTCGTTCCTGGATCACCACCTATTCTGATGATAAACTCATTTTATGAGAACTGTCATTAAAATAAACTCTTCTGCGTTTAAACAGCAATAGAAAGGCGCATTACATTTTAGAGGAATAATTTAGACAGATGTTGTGGAAGTTATCATAATAGATAAATAAATAAAAAGAACAAATAAACAAGGCAGGTACACATCACGATATAGTGTCCAAGTGAAGCAGATCCAATACATCAATAAAATAAATATGCAGTAGCATGTGGATGTTTTCGGCAGATATATTACTGTAGACCCTGAACGTCGTGACTTATTGAATTTTGTACATGAAAGTTCTTCTCTAGAAGAGCTCATCAGGTACAGGTACACTACGCTATTCCAAAAAAAAGTCACTGAAAAGAGTCAAGTATTGTCGAATATTAGAAGATCTGAAAACATAAGTTATCTTTGATGTGGAAAATACCTTACAAAACTCTCGGTTATTATTTTTAGAAAGATTTGGTGAGTTTTTAACAAAAAGTTCATTGACATCTGAAGTTATTTCAATTCACTATACTCAAATTACAACAAGTCATCGAACTTCACATCCTATACATTGTAAGATGAAACTTTTTCATTACTACATAAAGAAACAAAAGGAAGAGCAGTTGCTGGTTAAAATAGGAGACATATTTTTGAAGATAATGCTGTTTTCGTGACCGATACTTGGGCTGCTCCAAATGCTCGATATCATGAACCAACAAAAGGTATTGGTTTCTGGGATCCTCTCAAAAAGCATAATTTATTGGTGTATTTGATTAATGAATGTAGAACGAACAATTGTTGTCCAGAATGCCACAGCATGAGTTTGTAATCTTTCAAACGAGTTATAAACCGAAAACCTTTCAGACAACAAACAAATGTTTTAGTTATTAGGCATGGTTTATTAAGGGGGGGTTTTTTTGTCAATACACTATGGTTAATACCAGTGCTGTTCCTAACAGTGTACTTTATGTCTATCTTATCTGGAAAAATTAACTGCAGCAATAAACTCCTTTAAATTTCTTTTAGTTCTTCATAGTGGTATCGACTTATTTAAATCCCCTTTATTGAAAAGAAGTACGCCCTATGTGGAAGATATGCTAAAGTCATATCACTACTAGTTTCCGGAAGACGATATCCATGATTACCATAACCTCTTCTCTCTCTCTCTCTCTTTCTTTTTTTTACCTTGTGTCACTTACAAAGATTTTTAGTTTCTTTGTCACTGTTATTTTGTTGAGCAGATCTGGACAATCCAGTGGTATCATTTAGATACTATGTACTCACACGGATCAAAAAAATAAATAAATTATGTAACTTTTATTTTTAATAGTAATAAATGTCCCCCTCCTTTTTTTTTATTACAACTGTTAATTCTTAGAATTGGTAATTAAATAATAATGTTATCAATAATAATAGTATAAAAAGATATTGCAATAATGTAGATTTCATGTTCATTCTTTTTCTTTTTCTTCATCATCATAAATAACCGGTAAAAGTGTTGGAGAGCTACTCTGACTACTTTGAGTTATACTTTGACCATAATTGCTTTTAATATCTATATTGGAAGCACTTTGAAGGGGATTTGTTTGATTATTAAAAGTTGAAAATTCTGAATTATGTTGATGTATTGATGTTAATGAGGACTCCTCTGCGTTAGAGTTCATTATTATTGAATTAGTATAGTAGGTATTATCCTTATTGCTAGAAAAGTAAGGATTTTTTATTGCTGCGTTATTATACATCATCATAGACGATGGCGGCATCATAAAGGGTGCTTGGTATAAATAAGGGTGTGAAGGTGATACAGCTGTTGCCGCTGGTATCGCTGTATGAGTAGGAGGATAATTATTAGAGTGAGCAGAGATCTGTTGAGACATGATAGGTTCATGTTGAAGATGATAGCCTCCAAAAAAAGGGGTAGAATCTTTATTATTATAACATGCAGGTAATAAAGATGCCGTTTGACTGTTTAAGGTAGTGGATGCCGTAGATGAGTAGCAACTGTTACTGCTATCCTTAAATTGTGAAGCTGCTGAACGTGCATAATAATAAGCTCTAAAATCTTCTCTTGGGTCTCTGAATGAGGATGCCGAAGAATAGAGACGATTCGGATCATAAAAAGGTTGAGCACGGGGAAAGTTTATAGGTTGATTATCATCGTGGTATACAGAACTCATCTCACTCTCTTTCTCGTCTTTATCGTAATCCCCTTCATTATTATTATTATTATTATTATTATTATTATTATTATCATGATTATGCCAATCATTCAATCCTGTAGTTACAACTTGTTTATATTGTCTTATTCTTTCTTCTCTTTCTTGACGTGATTTTTGAAGCTGCTTACGTCGAGTCCAACACATTACATAAAACATATAAGATAGAATAGCAGTACCTAACATGCTCACAATAACAATACATGCGATCTTTCCACCAGAAAGTTTTGATGTATTTGAATTAGTAGTCACAATATTAGTGTTTGTAGCTGTAGGAGAAAAATAAAAGGCTGAGGATGTCATTGTTGGTACACCAAAAGTAAGTTGACCTTTAGCACTTGAAGGGAGAGGAGCGTAAATAGTAGGAAGTGGTATACCAGAATTATCTATAGTACTAGTCGTATCAGCATTTAAAGAAGTCGAACTAGGTAATGGAGAAAATATTTTTATCGTAAATGAACTATCCGCATTTTCAGATGATATAATTTTATCTGTTACAGTCGAAGAAATAGGGGTGAATATAGGAGGAAAAGAGTAAGTGTAAGATGTCGTGTGAGTAATTGATCTAGAAGTTGTTGTTTGTGAATAATTTTTTTTATCTGACATTTATAAGCTAAACAGCATTAAAGAAACAAAAACAAAACAAAGAACAAAAAAAAAAAAAAAAAAAATGAATAAGAATAGCAATACTAATATAGTTGATTCCTTTTTTTTTGTTTTTTTTCATTAACTTAATAAAAAAAAAGGTAAAACCTAAACAAACTCATATATTATGGAACTTTTTTTTGGACTCCTTGACGAATAAAGATTAAAATTCACTGATCCCGGAGTTTTAAATGAAAGATGAAAAGAAATATTTGAGCTACAAATCATGTGTATTTATTTCTTTTAAATAAGCAATTATTATTATTATTATTATAAATAAAAATATAGCTCTATATTTAACCCTTTTTTTTTCTTATCATCAGCCTTTTCTTCTTATTGGTATGACAAAGCTTATGCACGTTGTAAAAATAAAAACTACAAAAACGCGATAGAATGGTCTTTTTTTTGTAACACGCATATATCATTTTAATAAAAATGCCATGTGACATATTGTTGTAATTTGAATTACTCGTGTAGAATGTTATAATGAGAAATAGCCAGTAATTGTAAAAAAAAAAAAAAAAAAAAAAAAAACGCGAAATAAGAATTATTTACTCAACAATAATGGTTATTATATACTATAGCATAATATATTTATAATTTATATGATGCTAGTATGATGAAAACATATAAAAATATTTATATCTATTACATAATATACATATACTATTTTCTTTATTTTATATAATTCTTAGTTCATTTGGTTTTGTCTCTAATTCAATAACTTTTGTACAGTTCTTTACACCGTTCTTTAATCGAAGCCAACGACCTAATTTTAATTCTTGTCCAATACCAAGCACAAGTAAAGTACGTTTAGAAGGAAATGAAGTTTTGATTTGAATACTATTAATTACACCCTGCACAGGAATCTGCCCTATTTGACTAAAGCTCTTATTATCTGATGCTAATTTCCATATACGTACATAGCCATCCCATGAACCTGAAACAAATAAATCGGAGTATTTTAGACTAGCTAATGCTGTAATCCAGTAAGGTGTCTTAATATCTCCTTCTGATTCACTTGCGTATATATTCAATCCATGAGCAATTGACTGAGAGAAAACAGGCTTTTTACGATTAATGTCCCATAAAGAAATAACACTATACATATGTATATGTAAATAAACAAGAATACAAAGATTATTTAATAATTTACAATGATACTTTACCCACTGTCACCACCTGTAATGAACATACTTTCGTCAATTTGTGCTATACAGTCTAATGAACCTTCTACATATAAAGGTCGATTACTTCCATCTGAATTCTTTGTAGAGACACTGCCTCTATATATTAGTTGCGATTCTTCAGGAATTTTCCACCATCTCGCTGTTTTATCTCTACCACCCGTGGATACACAACGTTCACGACCAAGGGTATCAATATCTGTAATTTGATCTTGATGACCAAATAAAGTTTCAATATAAGCTCTTTCATCAATATTCCATAGTTTAATTGTTCTATCATGTGATGCAGAATATAACTGATTTGATCCTTTACGAAAAGCAAGACCCTAATACGAAAAAAAAAAAGAATTGAGTTTAATGATAACAAAATTTATGAAAAAGTGACTTACAGATACTGTATCTCTATGCTGAGTAAATTTGACAATATGCTTATTTTCTTTAACTGACCAGATATTAATAACCTTATCTTGTCCACCACTTGCAAGATATTGTCCGTCATAACTTATTGCAAGACATAAAATGGCTTGTGTATGTCCATCAAAGTTTTTAACCCCTTTTCTACCTCCTAAAAAGGTATGTAATTTTTTAAAAGTCTTTGCATCCCCTAATGGAAAAAAAAAAGGTGCAAGTATATGTTAATTTAAAGTACATCTCCTCAAAAAAAAACTTCATCTTTACATTTCACAATAGATCCATCTTTTGAGGCTGAATATAAAATGGCACCATCCTCAGATAATGCAACTGCTGTAACTGGAAGCTGATGACCACGCATTGTATTCATTTTTATATTTTCGACATCATCTAATTTAAACTATTTATTGAATGCATTAAGATCAGAGTATTAAATAGCGTATATGACAATAAAACCTACTGTATCTGCAATTCGTAGATGAAGTCTACCTTCATTCTCATCCTAAAAGAAAAATAAATATAGTTTAATATCTTATAACTATTCTTTGAATAATGAAGACAAATAATGTGCATACATCATCTTTTTTTAAACGTTCAGCAATCAGATCTCGATCCAAATCAGCAGCATCAAACGCAGTAATGTCATCTGTTTTACAAAATAATATGTGAGTTTAAGATTATATATAACATGTACTTGAATATAAATATGTATATATCATTTTTATGTACCCTCTAATGATTTTTCAATAGAACCTAAATAGGCTTTAGCAAGACGAACACGTTTTTCTGCAGCTGTTTCTTCAATTTCCTCTTCTGAGGATTCTACTTCGCTCTCAGCAGATAAATCAGTATCAAAATTATCTTCCTCATTGTCTTCAATATCACTATCTGGCTTGGTATTTTTGGGTTGAGGTTTGACGGAACCTTTTTTTGTAGCTTTGTTATTAGAACGCTTACGTTTGCGCGTACTGGCAAAAAAGGGATCCACAGCCATTATAAATATGTATAATTAAATAAAATAAATAACACTTGCAAATGCTATTTTTTTTTCCTTTTATTTTTTTTAATTTAGAAAAACAAGGCGGAAGCCACAGAATTAGCAGTCATTGCTTGCCTCTTTTTTTTTTCCTTCTTCTTCTCCTTGATTGCGGGCTTTTAAACTTTAAAAATATAATATAAATAAGAATGATCAATGATGCTGTTCTAACTAGCTCCAAAAAAGGAGAAGATAATAATAACCTCTTAGGAGTCAAGAGGAAGAAAAGAAAAGAAAAAAAAAAGAAAAAAGAGAGCAAGATAAAAGAAGAAATCAAGGATAGTATGAGTATACTAGTCTATTATGAGGACAAATAAAGAAAGTAGATCCAGTAATCATTTATAGCATTTGGAGTTGACTGTGGATATAAAGATACTTGATAGAGTATTCACAGGTAGAAGTATCATATAGATGATGAAGACACGGTACAGGAAGACTGCCGGGCAAAGCTAATCAGGATTCCAGGCTAAAGGTCATAACTATGCTTAATGTAGGTCATTGATAAACAAAGAGTATGTGGCAATAGACAGTGGTTCCTGAATGAATCTAAATGATTGGATCCTGACCAAGATAGTCTTCTATAGTAACACCTATCCAAGTAGCTTAGATTATAGGAGTTAGTCTGTCAAAAGAAGAGAATGAATGTTTATTATAAGCAAGCGTAAATGAATCCTGGAAACCAAAGAAATTTGAGAGATTATAAAGATCATATCCTTTGAATTACACAAGAGTTCTTTGGGAATCAATTGAAATGTAGATGTACTGCTCAGGCAACAAAACTCTTTTCATTCAAGTTATTACAAATATACATAGTGTTCTTGCTTAATAATAATATAGCAACATGATATAAACGCTTTCAAATAAAAAAAACCTCCATTTTTCAGGTTTCACAATAAATAATCAGTGAACACGATCGTCTTCCTACATTTTATCGATTTCAGTAGTTATATCATCATATCGTTGTCTCGAACACGAACACGGTTTTATTCCCTAACGAGAAAATTGATATTCTTGCATGTAAACTAGGTTTATGTTGCCTAATAGTGTATATAAAGAAATTTTCAAGTACTACTAATAATCTTATTTTTATCCAGAATATTATTATCAAGCTCTAGCAACACACAAACTATCTATCTATCTATTTATGTTAATAACTCTTTTTGGCTAATTATTTGTATCATCTTTCATAAACTTGATTACGTCTTTTATCATAAAAATCTATATCCACTGCTGTTACAATTAGGATAAAAATCTCCTTCTTTTCCTTTACTCACTACGCCTTTTTCTTTGCTGTTTTCTCCTTAATTCCTAGAGAGACCTTTCTTTATTTTATTGATGATCCAACTTGAGCAACTCTGATGTGTACAATATTCATGCGCAATTGAGGTTTTTAAAAATTATTATTATAATAAAGAAAGTCCGGACCGGACATCCTAATATACTCTAAAATTAAAATTTTAAAAAAAAAATCAGGATCCTAAAAAAAAAATCCGGGAAAACTTTCAAGTCAAGCAAGAGGTAAAGTAAGCAAATGCCAGTGAATCACAGACTTCCTCCTCTTTGGTACTTTATCAAAAATGGTATATACGATATTAAAAGTATCCATCCATCCATTCATAAATTAAAAAAAGATGTTTGATTAGGTCAAGAGAACTAAGAAGGTCGGAATCACCGGTAAATATGGTACCCGTTATGGTGCCTCTCTCAGAAAGACCGTAAAGAAGATGGAAATCACCCAACACTCTACCTACACATGTACCTTCTGCGGTAAGGATGCTGTTAAGCGTTCTGCTGTTGGTATCTGGAAATGTAAGGGTTGTAAGAAGATCATGGCTGGTGGTGCTTATACTGTTTCGTAAGTTATTCATGTGCACTTCTTAATTATAATTTATTCACTTTTTTTTTTCTTTTTAATACTATTTTTTTTATAGCACAACCGCTGCTGCTACCGTTCGTTCCACTGTTCGTCGTCTTCGTGAATTGGCTGAAATCTAAGTTATTTTTGACCCAGGATTTTCTTCATTTCTAAATCATTTACATCTAAATAAAATAATTTAGTAACTACCCTAAAAAAGATTAACTCATTTCCTATGTTTTGTATTGTGACTAGTCGAAAAGAATCAGAAACTCAACACAATTTAAGTAAGATTGAATGTATTAGGAACTACAGTGCTGCTTCTATCTCAAAGTCGCTTTTAAAAGTTTGACATGTCATTTTTATAAAATTTAATTGTTACATAAAAAAACAAAAATCACTTGCCGCAAATATGTATACCTATTTATTTGTATGCATATAGGCGGTCAAATATAGAGCCTATATAACATAAAAATTGAAAGGTGTAGGTGAACCAAGGATTTTGTTGATAAAAGAGTACTTCAATACTATAGCTATAAAAAAAAAAAAATGAAACTTCGATTGGCAATTTTCTATGAAGCAAGTTTTTATAAATAAAATTACAACACATCTATCTCTTATAGACTACTCTGCTAGTATTAGTTTAGTTTTGTTAAATAGACTTTTTACTTGAAATATTGATAAAGTTCAACAGCATCTTCTATTCAGTTAAAGTCACCTATCTTAGTTACAGCAGAACTATAGAATTTATACAAAATGGAGTATTCTACTTTTTTTGTAATCAAACGAATTCATATTTTTATTTATACGCATACTGAAATAGTCTTATTAATTCATCTTATCTTTACCTTTTTTTTTTTTTTCTTCTTTCTTCATCAACACTATAACTGCTTATGATACCTGTAATAGTAGCCTATTCATTTAGTCTGATCTAATATCCTTTGTGCAGAGGTAAATGATAAATATGGCGGATTTTTATACCGTTCGTACGATTTATGCATGCTGAATGCACTTTCTTCTGCATCTTCAAGTTTAGCTATTATTTTATAGATAAATACTGTGTTACTATATGTATATTGTATGTATAGAGAGTAGGATATTCAAAATGGATATATATCTATACAAAATGTAATGGGGCTAAGGCACGGTATATAGTTATTTATTTAAACACATCATATTAGCTTGTAAAAGAATTTGTTACAGGATTGAATTCAATGAAATTCATAATAGTTAGTCTTAATAAAATAAAGGGCTTCTACTAAAATATGAAAATAAACACAACAATGCACACAACAAGATGAGAATAATATATATAAATATCATTCTGTTATTACAGCTTGTTTTTAATCATAAATGACAAAGACAATAAAGAAAATGCACTAGCCTATCAATGTATTGAGAATAGGCTTCTATTATCAACTTATTAACACTTCAGTCAAATAAATCATCAAAACGACCTAATCAGTGTATTATCAGTTATACCTCCCCTATAAAGAGATTATTAACTATTAATCAGGTATTGACTATTCAACAGGATTGTTCAAATTACTTGAAAAATATCTCTGCATTTTATTATCAAATCAAAATATATCTCTTCAAATATTAGTGTTAAAGATACACTTCAACGAGTTGTTATAGAAGTATTAAAAATACGAATTAAAGCTTAGCCCTTAATACACTATATCATAAGATATATACATATAAAGTATTTGTTCTTATTAATTAAAAATGTTTACACAAAGCTTGATCAAGTTATATAAACTGCTCCTATAGTAATTGTTCCTGTATATCACAATCTGCATGTATTTGTACAACGAGCAATGATGAACTTCAATATTATTTAAAGAAAACGACATTCGCGTATGATTACCTAATAGATCTAAACGGAAGTATTATTAGATTATAACTTTGTGTAGCATTTATAGTATAATTTGTTATAGAAAAAATTGAAATACTAAACTACATACATATTTTAATATGCTTTGTTAATTTATTCATCAGTCTATTATACATAAAACCCTTTAAGAGCTCAGTTACTTCTTCTACTAGAAGATTACACCTTCATTGCCAATATGTCTTCAGCAAAGGTTCCTCGACTGAAGATTTCCTCTTCTACTACTTTATTTTTTTCTTTTCTTTTTACTATCAATCCTAAAGGAGCATTTTTAGCAGCCCTCTTTTTTTTTTCCATTGACAAACTGTACTAAGTAAATCGATTATATCCTCTACCTTGTGCCCATTTGGATCTCTTAAAGTTAATTTATTATAAATAAAAATATTACTTGGACATATTTTTGCTTTACATTAATCAGCTATTTATATTCGTGTTTGACAGGTGAAATAATCGTATATTTGCATTCAAAGTGTGTATTACAATATAAGGACATGGTACGTACAAATTTGTCAAAAATATTATTTATTTATTTATTCATCACAAACAACATGAATCGTTTATATGTATTTAGAGATACATATATTAAATTGAAAGTTCATTCCTCTCAAAGTACGAGTGCACATATATATGTAATTTTTTTTTTTTTTTTTTTTTTTTTTTTTTACATGTCATCTAATTGCTTATTAATTTCTTCTAATTGTTCAGCTAATTCCCTATTCTTTTCCTCAAGCTCTTCATTCTTCTTTTCTTCTGTAGCAAGTTGGTTTGTTAATTGTTCAACCTTCTTTTCAAGTTGCTCAACCTTCACATCAGCTTCACGGAAACTACCAAAAATAAAAAAATAAAAAAATAAAAAAAAATAAATAAAAATAAAAATAAATAAATAAAATAAATAAATAAATAAAAAAAGTATACATCTAAATAGAGCTGCTAATTGACAAAAAAAAAAAAAAAAATAAAAGAAAAAGAAAAAAAAAAAACTTACTTATTAGTAGTTTCCTTAAGTGACTTATCAGAGTCTTCTAATTCTTGTTCAAGGATGGCAATCTTACGCATAGCGTTTTCATATTCCTTCTTATAGTCATTTTCTTCAGCCTCATTACCCTTTAATTCTTTAATGGTATCATTAGCAACTTCTAATTCATCTTCAAGTTGCTTATTTTTATGATTCAAAGAAACAATTTCGCGTTCTTGTTGAGTATGTTCTAATGAAATTTCCTTAAGTTTGGCTTCTAATTCCTCGACCTTGGCATTGGCAGCATCAGCTTCAGCACGAATACTATTAATTTTCTACAGAAAAGACACGAAATAAGCTTTTTATTACATAGTTAGTGTAACATATTTCTGTGTACCTCGCGAATCTTATCCATATTGTAATGTGTTTCTTTTGTTTTTTTCTAAAAAAAAAAAAAAAAAAAAAAAAAAAAAAAAAGAAGATTAAAGAAAACTGGGTAATTTATAAATCTTATTATCTGAGAAATAATGACAGATGACGTATCACTTTTTTTTTTTTTTTTTTCATACATTTATAATATATTAGACTAAAATGAATGCATATATAAAACGTGTTATATATCAGTATTTAAAATTTGGTGATTATATTATTTTATACTTTATAATAAGATATTTTTTTTCTATTATATACTTTACAAAAAAAAAAAATAAAAAAGAAAAAAAAGAAAATAAAAATAAAAAAAAAACTAAGAAAATCTTACGTACAAAATAATATATTATTCGTTACCAAAGAATGGCTTCGTTTTATTATATGCATATATTGTAACCAGTATTAAAAAAAAAAGAAAATAAATAAACATACATACAAAGATATTTCAATTGCTGAGTAAATATGTTTAAATAGATACTATAATGTAATTATTGGAGTAAAAAATATACAGATGCATCTATGTATTCTATTCATTTAGTTATTTTGTTCAACATAATATTATTAACTTTCTGCATAAAGTTGAAGTAAGAGCTGCCACTCATTAGCTAATTTGGCAACTGTTTCTTTTTGTTTCCATGGCTTTATCTGGTGACTTTTGGCTGCTATCCAAGGCAAAGCTGGCTTAAATCCCATAGCAATCTGAACATGAATAATAGATGTAATCGATTCAGCATGGAGTATGTGTAATGTAGTGGATGCTGGATATTCATCCCCACCCACATCAAATATAGCTTGTCCTGGAACAGAATTTGTAGAGGAGGTCCGATTTTTATTCGGTTTAGCTGATGAGGGGGAGTAGGGGCTTGTTGGTGGAACACTACTTTCTGCATCTGAAGACTCATATACTATATTGCTATATGGCGAAGATAAATTAGGTATAGGTGCTGTATGTAATGAAGACGCATTTGTAGAACTACTAATACTTGCTTTACCGGGAATATGGAGACCTAATCCAGACGTTAATGATCCATTGGGTAATGATGTAGTATTGTTATTTTCTGCATCTATGTCTTGTATATTTAACTGAGGTATAATACCAAAAGAGGAAGAAGGCTGTCTTGGAGATGATAATGAGCTTCCTCCCCAACTCTTCCATCGATTAGGCGCATTACTCATATTATTAGTTTCTCGTGGTGAATTGTTCAGACTGCCACCTGTTTCGATGGTTCCACCAAAATTCATGCTAACATGAGGACTAGGGCTTGGGGTATAAAAGGATGACCTATTATTAACATTTCCTCCCATAGTCAATAATTTTTGTTGAATAAAATCTTTCAACATTACAAATAATGGGCATCTATAGCAAACGACAAATTCTAGAAATCGCCATGTAGTAAAATCATAAATATTACTAACTCCTAAAGGAGCTGTAAATGAAAAAGTAGTTCGACCTTCCGGTGACAGATGTTGGGCCCAAGTAGACATACTCGCTGATACTCCTCCATTACCATTACCAGTCCCTCCTGGTGATAATCCAGTCGTCACTGGAGTTGCTGGAATATTAGGTGAAGAACGACCTGATTTTGGTTTGAGGAACTTTAATGTTTGTCCAAATACGAGGGCACTTTTAATAAAAAATGCTACTTGAGCCCATGCCCCTTTTACTTTGTTAAATGAACTATGACCTCTTACTAAAATAATTTTCATAGCTACAAAACTAAGGGAAAATAAAAGGGCAACCGATTGAGGTGTTTGTTTGCTATCTTTAATATCTAGAAATTCATTAGCATCGATTGCATCCTGCGGCATGGTCTGTCCCATCGTTGATGTCAGATTAGAAAGAGAAAACCCAGAATTCTTGCTTTTCAATAGTGATGCTTGACTACAGGCACGTGAAATATAATTTAGAAGACGAGTCCAGTTACTTGTAGGATCTGGTCTAAACCGACCTGACATTGATATATTACTACTATAATTCCATTGTAAATTATATTGTAAACATATAGGTATAAGTATATGTGCAATTAATTCCGGTGTAGCTGTCAATTGTTCAATATTTCCTAGAACATCCTGTGTGGAATTCTCCATGATAGCAATAATCAAACGCGCTAATGAATTACAAAATTTGTTGTAACCCTTCATGTCACCATCCCAATTAGTACGAGTGGCGATATTTAAACCAAATATGACAAACTTCTCATTCATCACACTAGCAATGTCATGCATATTCATTGGTTTCCCTTGTCCCTGCTCAAGGACAACCGCTAATCCATCATACAGATCAGAAGCCTCTATCGTCTTCCATTGCGAACGATATTGAGAAAAAATCTGATTTAGTAGTTTTTTAAAAGATTTTGTATAATTACGAATATCAGCCATTGAATGTAGACAGTCAATTAGATAGCCTTTAATCCAATCCGTTTTAAAGATATACCCCTTCATGTTACCATAATCACGCATGACACTACGAATAATCATTGCCATCTTTTCATGGGATACTTCAGATAGTGTACCTCCATTTTTCAAGTACTCATGCACAAGTGATATAAATTCTATTCGCACAGTGAGTTTATCGTTTTGCTGCCATTGTTTACCATAAGCATGCTGTGCTGATTCAGTACGTGAATTATTGTTGCCAGGGATACGAGTATCATGATCTATACCAGTTGAAACACCTTGATACCCGCCACCATTTATAGGTTGTCCAGTATTGGCGGCAACTTTAGCATGTTTGCTAAATTTAGTAAATACATCGACTAGCGCACTGACACCTTCATCCATCAAATCTTTTACAATTGATAACTTATGAAATCGAGGAATCAAGTGACGGAAGATCTTGACAAATTGTTCAGCTCGAAGAGATCCAGGGTCATAGGCAATAATCGTCAAAAACAGCTTGATAAAATCTTGAAGCTCAAAGGATTTATTATTATAGTTATTAAGATCTAAAGAGGATATAGGTGTTGTTACGCTCCTAGCAAGAGGTTTAAAAATAGCTGTAGATAATGACATCGTCATTGGATCGCTTACAGCATCAATACGTTCTTGGATACTTCGTTCATGATCATCTAACTCAACTTGTAATTGCAATCCCAATACATCTGAGGTGGCCCCCAAGCGTGGAGGATTATGCATTGCCTGCATTAAGATAAACAAATTGTCAATCATCCAAGATCCTAATTCACTTGATTTGGTGTATGCATTCAATATTAAAGGTACTAGTGTACCAAGCATCTGAAAAACAAATGACTCTTCATGGACTGCATAAAATCTACACCAAGCAAAGATAATTGCAGATCTTACTTGAGGAAAGCATTCCACTTCACAAAATACCTTGAATAAAGCAGGCAAGAAAGCTGTATAGCCTCGATTAGAGATAAATAATCGCTTGAAACGTGTAACAACACGTGTATAAAGAATTAAAGCCTGTCCAATAATGCCAAAATCGCGAGTATGTTCAATGATGATTAAATTTATACCCTGAAGGATTCGTTCTAACTCATCACGGTCATTATAATTCTTATTAAGGCCATTAAGTAAGCAATCAACAAATCGTAGCCAAATTCGAGCACGTAAAGAAGAGAGAAGATCAATGTCCAAATGCTGCTGAGTAGGCTGTCTACTAGCTGTTTTAAGGATCTCGTCTTCTTCTGCCATACATTCCGGCATAAAACTGTCTTTTATCATATCCCCTTCGCCATCATAGATGTATGTGTTTCTGCCATATCGTCTACGGCGAGCAAGATTAGGGTAGCATGATTCCTCTGCTATCCATTTAGTAGTCACCTTGGCTTTCTTACCCGGATTAGGTGTGGACTCATAGTCTTGCAGCGTTTTCTTAACTGCATATACTTCTCTTGGATACCTTATTAAATAATTCGTTAAGAACTGGATATGACTGATACGTAACATAGCTACGGAAAAGATATCTTCTGGAATATCAAGGACAATAAAGGGAGTCTTTTCACTAGAAACATTGCGTGGAAATAGTTCAGCAGGCTGTTCATGAGTAAACCAAAATCGGCCTGTGCTGATCAAAAGATGTTCAATTTTGTTCTTTCTTAAATCACGAATAGATAAATCATTAGTAGATAACGTTAATTCAGCAAGAATAGGGTGCATCAGAGTCATCAAAGCTAGTCCTTCCCTTTTCTTATTTTCACGCACAAGCCATTTGCACATACCAGCCAAGTAATTAAACAAGATATGTGTAAATCCCGGTGGAAGCTTATGCTGCATACTAGTCATAAGTCTCACACGGGTTAACATATCTTTGTGTCGTTCCAAATTGAATTTACCCAAATCATTCAAAAAGGCGCGGAGAAAGAGAGCAGGAGCATCACGTAAAAAATACTCGAGTAATTCACGAAGAGCATTTGAAGCACCACCGTAATCATCGGTTAATAAATCAACCATACTCAAAAAGGCAATTGTTAATGCATGAATTGTTGTTGCTCGTTTACGACGAGTAATAATCTTGCTAATATTAATTTTTTTGCCATTGATTGAGACAGCAGGATTTATAGTGTCATCTTCGTTCATACGTTCTTCTTCTTCTTCCAAAAAAAGGGAAGGTAAGAGTGCAAGAGGTGTTAAAACTTTTTTAAGCGCTTCATGTTCTTCGCCATTGTCTTCATCATCCCAGCCAAGTTCTTGAATCTGTCGTTTCAATTCAATTGGAAAATTACTTGCATTCTTTAACTTGGCCATCCAACGAGGCTCATCTAGGGTAAATTGATTACTACCGAGATCAGTAGGTACAAAGGGCGTAGAGAAAGCACCACCATCACCACGAAAGGGTCTTCGTCGAGATGAAATAGGAATATATTCTTGACTAAGGACATTAAACCGAAAAGCAAACATGGATGCATGTTTTTGAATCACAGATAAACGACGTAAAGGATCACCGCTATATATAATAATAATATATGTTAGTATTCGTATTAGTATTAAAACCTTTAATTTATTTATTTATTTATATTTTTTTTTTCCTTCTAACCTATAAAAATCATATGTGCAAACTTCAATCATTGTCTTGGGTATTTTTTCACCACATTCCATTAATAAAAATACAGCAGGAATAAACGATTTTGGTTTCCGATCATCCATAAACTGCTCCCAAAGAGGCTGAACAAGTCGTCCAAACTCTTGTGAGGAGAGAGTTGTAAAGACAGCAGCCAGCAGAGAGAAGACAGATCCAAAGGCATCCTGATTAATTTTTTCCATATTCTCAAATCGATATTTGGCCAGTTTGAGTGCAGGGCCTTCATCCGTTGTCGCATCATCATGATTGGATTTTGGTGGATTTAAGTCCAGTGCCATAATAGCAGCATTACTAGTAGGATACATAGCTTGAATGACTTGATGTCGCTTATGATGAGGTACTTTGACTGATTGCGTATCAATAATATTATCTTGTAAAGTAATATTCGGCTTCCAAAGGGACTCCCTGCATGAATCATTTGTGTGATTTGTTTCAAATTCCACTAACTGAATGACATTTAAGTATACATTCTGTATTCTTTCAAACATGACTACTATGTCTGTAAAATCGTTTGTATGTAAGACAGGAAGTCTATTATTTGAGGAAGGATGATAGATAGGCGGAGATTCATTTGGACAAATGGACGGTGAATCACACTGAAAGGTATGCACACATGGTGAAGCTATAGGTTGAACAGCCCATTCGATTACACTTGTTAACCAACCAGGACGATGCGTAGTATTACAAAAAATCGGATATCCATAAAAATATTACACAAAATAACTCTCATCGGCATTGGCATTAGCGCAGTTTTTTCCTTGGCAGCTAAAAAGACTGCTAACCGTCTTTCTAGATCAATTAGAAACTTTTTTGCAATCTCATCTTCTTCCATATTACGGTAGGGATCCTTTTGCTTGGCTCGTAGCTCTTTTATTGCCCACATAAACTCTGTAGCAATTGTACATTGGCCTAAAGTAGTGGTCCCCCATTGTATTTCGGAGACGCCGTTATTTGCTTGACACTGTTGCGATGACAATACAGACTCATTTTGATGTTGCTTCCTTTTGGATTTACCTATATTACTTAGTAGTAAAACATTGATCATTTCTGCATCTTGCATCCAAAATTGTACTCCAGAAAGATAACGTCGAAGACATGTAATGAGCTTCATATACTCACTGACCTTCATCTCATCATCTGTCGCCACGCATGATACAACATGCTTATAAAATAATGTCTTGTACCGTTTAGAGAGCTCATGCAGCATATGACAGATGGCAGGTAATGCGGGCGGAAAAGTGTCAACAAGTCGCGCAAAAAGACTTGATAATGTCCTTTTGACAATCTCTTCTCCGATGGTAGGATCGATATGAAAGACAAGATTTTGATAGGTGCATGCAACACGTTCGCCTGTAGCATCCTGATGCATTGACTCTATACCACTTATGATAAATTCTTTATAGCCCGATTTCCAAAACTCTTCAATATAGCCTTTAAGTTTCAAAAGTATAGATTGTATTGTAGCATCGTGGTCAAAGTTCATATTTATACTACTTGGACCATCGTTAAGTGGTGATTGATTGGTATTATCGTAAGTAAAATCAGACACAGAGAGACGGGGGCTCAAACTTAGCGAAGAAAGATTGTCTAGAGAATATACAGGCTGTGGCGAGGAGGGCCTTAGTGGACGGTTCTCAAGGCTACATATTGATAAAAGTGCAAGAAGCATGACAATGACATTCGATGTTATCCTATTTTGAGTCTTATCTTTTTCTTTCTCTGTTAAATAATTTTGTAATTTAGCGGGTGATAGTTTATCTACAATTACTGGTAAGAGTAATGAGACAGTTGATGTCTGAATCTTGAGGTCTTCAATATTGGCTGCTAAAAACGTTTCACATGCTAGTTCTGTAAATAAAAAGATAATTTTAAAGTAAGCAGGATAGACTTCAAGCTCTGGCTCAATCCAGTAACGTTCGAGAAGATCTTGTAAGATAAGAATATCACGGGCTCTTTCAAAAAGTCGTGCGACTGTAGGCTCATGCAACCCCTGGTAGGGATCATTTTGACTACAAATACCTACCATCAAACATTTACAAAGGCCCTCTACAACACAGAATTTTGCAACCGAGACAGGTGTAGTTGAGATTGTGTCAATCTTATAATATGTTGACCATGCATCTCCTATGAGTGGTATAAGTCTTCCATTCGCTAATCTGTCAAGAATATCAATGATGCCAGACCGAATATGATTTTCATCCATATCTAGATCGTTAGTCACAGTTTCTTCAATTTCATGATTCATAGTTTTTTTTTGGATATTCAATTGAGTTAAAGCATTCGTGAGGGTATAAACGAGTGAATGGTAAGATTGGGGAGTGGATGGTAAAAATGTGGTATTGTGCTTGCAAGGGATAAGCATATTGTTTATTATATTTAATACACGTTTCTATATATAAAATCAATTATGAGATTTAAATATAATTTAGTAAATGAACATTATATTACCTTTAATGTTAAGTCTCCCGAAGCTAATAAACGGCAACAAAACATCAATCGTTCAAATTGTTCCTGAATTAAATAAAATTAGTAACCAAAAAAAAAAAAAAAAAAAGTTTGTTTATTTGTATAAACATTACTGTAGCATCTATTTGTACAAATTTTCTTTGGATATATTCAAAGATATCTAGGGCTTGTTCACAATCAATTGCTATATAATAATAAATCAGATCAGAAATACAATGCACTATGTAAGACTATAAGATATATTACTTAATAAAGGACATCTATCAAATGGAGCTGCTAATAATGCTAAGATTTCACGTGCTAAAGGTAGTCGAGTAGCTGCTTTATGTTTTTTAAGAGTATCCATAATGGTTGACATAATTGTTGATATTCTTGTTACATTTATACGCTTACTATCTTCATTAATAGGCGTATTAGTATCTATATCATTATTACTGGATCCAAAAGGTGCAGTTGAATGAAATAGATCAGCAATAGATTGTTTTTGAAACATTGCCTTTTTAGCAAAGGTAGTAGGTGAAATAATTGTATTATTATTCTCTGTTATTGTGGTGGAAGTAGTGGAAGTAGTTAGTAGAGAGGCAGATTCGGCAAAGCTTGCATACTGTGAACGTGTAAGAGACTGTATTAGGATTTTATCTAAATCACGTTCTAAACGATAAATATCTTGTTGCACTGCGGTAGAAGTAGCATAGATAGCACCGTTGTAATGACGGGCAGGCCGAAAGTTATGTGTGAAATTAGTCATACCAGCTGCCTGAGCTGCTGCAAGAGTAGTATTTGCCATTGTTGGTCTATTTTCACTACTATTAAGAATAAAGTTGTCCAATGTAGATGATCGAGAAAAAGGGTTAAGATTCTTTTTGTTATGTGTTTGATGATGAAGTTTAGGTGTATTAGAACGAGATGATGCAGGTGAAGAGTTAAGTGAGGAAACAGGTGAAGTAATAAAAACACTATTTTCATTTATTTCATTTATATTATTACGGACTTTTTCCCAACCTGATAATGCATAGTTCTTTTTTAATTGTTTTTCAATTAAAACGTTACGGAGATTATTATGCTGTTGCTCATGCTTTTGAGATGAAGCTTCATTGTTTTCTGACATGTGTTGAATGTTTAACTACAAATATATAAATATATACTATAAATATATAAATATAAATAGAGAAAGGAAATAGGATATTATTGTAACTAAAGAGGCGTATCAAGTAATAGCTTAAATGGTATATGTATAATCAACTTATTAAACTGACAAGATTCAAGGCAAAATGAATTTTTAATATTATCTATTTCTATTTGAAGCACTAAAAATTATATTTTTTTAGACCAATAAAAACTGTTAAAAAAATATTTAAACATTTTATTACTATTATTGTATTTGGAGTAGAGTAAAATTTTGTTCATAAATTAAATTAATATTGGCATATACACATGTATAATCGTAGTAAATGAGTAGTCGCGCTTAGACAAGTAGCTGATTTTGGTCAAAGAATGGTGAGTAAGCATTTACAGCTAGTATTAATAATATATTAAATAACGAATCTATAAATTTCTCTTTATTTTTATGAATATTTATATGTATTAATAAAAAAAAAAAATACATTCATTTCGGGTTAACCAATTTCTTTCAAGTCAATTCTTTATTAAAAATTCAATATTGTATAATTTAAATAATTAGTTACATTTATATTCCTCTGATGCGCCACTATATAACAACCTATTGTATTATAGGGGTAGCATCATATCTTCTTCTAAAAATGAAATGTCATAAATTAGTAGCCGCTAAGTAAGAATTATACAGTTTTTGTACTTCTGACATAATTAAAGGTTGCAATGTATATGTATTCAGATACATAGAATTTATTTATTTTTTTTTTGTATATATCTTACTGATTGAGATAAAAACGCAAATAATAGAATAAACTATAGAAAAGCAATACGATAAAAAGTTCTCCATACTATAAACATATACTATTTCATCTTAGAGAGAGGTTTTTTTTTTAACAATTGTATGCTCTCCCTCTTTTTTTTTTTAAGTTCTCACATATATAATATCAGTCTGGTTGTTTTTATATCGATAATCCCACAGTCAAGTTATTAAAGCTCTTTTATTTAGTTATCCCATATTATGTATTAAAATTATTCCATTATTACATTGCTTTTTTTTTTTTTTTTGTTCATACATTCATATTATAGGCTAGTATATAAATTAATAAGGGGTAAAACAAAAAATGTCAAGAAACTTCTAATATGTGCCGTCTAGTCAAATATCCCTAGCATGAATTCAAATACTTATGTTTATCCATTAAAGAAGAAGAATATACATAAATGAAAACAAATAATTGAATTGTGGTTAACTTCCGCGTTATTCGTACTGAATCAAAGAAGATCTGAAGCAATTGCTCTTACTAAAATAAGAACGAACAATAGTCAAGTATTCTAAATTATAAAGTATCTGTGATTAAGTGTGTTCAGAAAAAAAAATGTTATTCACGACTGAATAATATAGGTTATGTTATATATAATAAAATGTTAATATTTGTTAAAATAGGTTTATGAGAATTTCAGGGGGAAAAAAAAAACTTTTATGATCCGCTTATTTAATGAAGAAATATACCATTATAAATCAGCTCAAAAGATCTTTTTCTAATGATAAAGAACAAGGATACCATTTATATGTGAACCATCAACTTTAAGCATATTCGGTGGTTTTAATTACAATGACAATAAGCAGACACTAAATATCTATTGTTATAAATAAGAGTATTATTTATAGTGCATATATCGTTTTAACCTCTTGAACGTTCTATTGTAATAAGAAGGACTATTTTACGAAATAATCTTTAGAAGTCTAACACTTTTTTATATGCCGAACTAACATTGTTTGTGGTTAATGTTTTTTTTTCTTTTCAAACTACTCTTATTATCAATAAACATGAAATCACTATTCTATGATTCTGTACTACCTTCCATCAGCCATCGGAGGCACTATACAGACGGGGCTATTTACAGTGCTGTTCATAGCCCGGCTTAAAACAGGCTCCCCATATTGCCTCCGTGTTCGAATATTTAACGTGGTGAACAAGGCGGGCTCCACGGCTACGGCTGATTGGTTGATTTAAAAAAAAAAAAAAAAAAAAAAAAGGAAGAGAAAAAAAAGGGGAAATTAAATATATGTGCCTTTTTATATCTTTTCATAATGAAATGTTACACGAGTGACTACTATTCGTATATTTATTGTTATTGTAAATAAATATATACATATAAACAAAAAAAAACTCTATTCTAATATTCTTATTTTATTTTATGTTTTTTTTATTAGATAAATTTTCAAGTTTGCTTTGAAGAATGAAGAATTTCTTTTTTTAATCTTGGGGATTAAATAAAAGGTAATTAACTCTGTTTACCTTATTTTCATAATTGTCAAATTATTAGTTGATATCAGATCATGATATAGGCTATTAATTGACTGGCAGAAGTAGATAGCTGAGTACTTTGATTGATAATAGCAGGTATTTCAAACGTCTTAAAGATCTTGATGCAACTAGTACGTCATGCTGGGCTCCCTTCCGATAAATAGTAGTAATAGTGATGCATTTAGGACTACATATCTGTTTATGGATAGCCTCAAAAGTAGCGTCCAGCTTGTTCATTTGATTAGAAGGAGTAAGTACTGGTATAGGTCCAATTGGTAACATTGTTGCCAGGTTTACTAAAATGTTTAATTGCTAATAATATTCTTGAAGACATAAAATTATGATTTAGTATTTTTCAAATAAGATAAAAAATGAATAAAATTGTTGGAAAGCAGAAAAAGAGCCCTCTCTCGCCCCTCCCTATTTTTAATCGACTAACTATTTGATTCTGAGTAGCCTTAACTATAAAAGAGATAAGAAGTGAAGCTTTTCAACTTTTACGAAAAAAGAAAAAAAAAGTTCAGAGTGTTTAAACGCATAATCTGTTTTTTATTAAGCCATTCTTCACTGTTTCACACTTCTTTAGACAAGAATCCAAACTAGATCACTAGACTTAAAATACAGTCATCATTTCTGTTAAATTATACCTTAAGGATTTGTCCAATTGTTTGTTATATAAATGTTCAATTCTTCCAGCAAAAAAGATAGGCATTATAAAATCTGAATTTAAATTTTGATTTGTCTGAATTAAGAAAAAACGGGCATTCTGGGGAAACTGAAAAAAAAAATAAGAGAGGGGAGGGGGGGGAAGGTGGCTTCGCAGGGATAGGATTTAGACAGTGTCAAAAAAGAAGAAAAAAAGGGGGAGGGTCCAAGTTGTTTTATTTTACTTTATTTTATTGTTTTCTTTAAGAAAATAAAATATGCTGTTGACAGTAAGTTCACTTTATATAAATGATTGAATTGAATTTTTTTTCTTAATTATATAAATCAGTCAAAAATCATTAGAGCATCTTCTGGAAACAGTCAAGTTTCTTTAACAGCATTACGTTCATTAGTGTAAAATTTAAAACATGCGTTAAAGTTTACATGAAAACTAATTCTTTACATTAGTACAAAATCAAATGCTGCTTTGGCAACAACAGAGACTACAACAACAGAAGCAACAAAAAATATCCTTGATTTACCAGAGGCGGGTGAAACAATGAAAGAATTCAGTGAAATCTATGAAGGTAAAATGAAGAAAGTAGTTTGTTAATTCCCCAATGATACTAAGATATATTATAAGTTCCTAAGCGTATTCAACCTACACATAATATTCCTGTATGTAATGTACAAATGAGAGGCTATATTCCTCAGCAACTTGATTTCTTTGCAGATTTTGCACGCCGTGCAGCTTACCACATGGGTATGCCTTGTTCTGGAACTGTACCTTTACCTACACAAACTTCGCATTGGACAGTAATTCGATCCCCTTTTATTCATAAAAAATCACAAGAAAATTTTGAAAGAAAGACACATAAAAGATTAATTCAAATTAAAGACAGTCATCCAGAAGTAGTTGATAGATGGTTAAAATATCTTACAATGAATGCACCTTCTGGAATTGGTTTACGTGCAACAAAATTTGAGTTTGAATCACTGGGAAAAAAGTAGTTTATGCATAAAAGAGTGACGACACGTGGTTCTATTTAAAGTTTTTTTTTTTTTTTCTTGCTTTTTTTTTTTTTTTTTTTTTTTTTTGGCTTGAAGCATTATAAACAATAAACATACGAGTAATAATAAGCTTTTTTTTTCCCTTCTTCTTTGCTTTCTTTTTTCTGCTTTTTCTATATTTTCCTTTTTAGTTATGACACAGCATCTGTCCTATTCTATTGCATTTCCTCCACTTCAAGCTTTTTCTTCATGGACATTAAATACAAATAACCATCATCATCATCAGCCTTTAATGACAGGAAATAAGACAACAACAAACTCCTTTACATCCTTAACTCCACCAAAATATCCTCTTTATTTAAAATACACAAATTATGCAAATTTAGTAAGTCAACAATATCATCAGCAAAGGAAAAGATCATATCATGATTTACTTGAAGAAATTGATCTTCGTTTACCTCATTGTTGGAATAAATATGATAAATCAAAGTATATTGAAGTAGGTCTTAATGGTTATGACTTGCATTATGGTAATGACTTGTTTCGTGAAAAAATACATGCATATTTATAAATAAACATCTATTATTAGTGGGACCGAATAATAATAAAACTACTGAAACAGCTGGAATGATTCGTACAAATCTTCCAATAAGACCCCAATGTGGTATTTATTATTTTGAAATTCATATTGTTTCAATTGGGAAAGATGGTCTGTTCTCTATTGGATTCTGTACTATGGAAAATACATTAAATAAGCTACCAGGTATAAATAATGATTCATACTTGTATTTCGTTTATTAATTCTTCTTCTTCTTTAAGGCTTGGATAAAGGTTCGTTTGGTTATCATGGTCATACAGGTCTAATCTTTGAGCAATCAGGTCAAGGCAAGGAATATGGTCCTAAATATGCATCAGGTGATGTTATTGGGTGTGGTATTAATTTTGCTGATCAAACAGCGTTCTTTACTAAAAATGGAGTATTTCTGGGTACTGCCTTTAATACTCTATCCTCTTCCCATGTTTATTATCCTACCGTTGGTCTTAGTACTAAAGATGAAAGAATAACTGCTAATTTTGGTCAGGATTCTTTTCTATTTGATATTATTCAGTATACAAAGGTAGGCAAAAAAAAAATAACCTAGTTATTCCTCTTATTTATAAATTTCCCTACAATAACAGGATCAACAAAGCTTGACCTTTCAAAAGATAGTAAATCATCCTGAAAATGATATAATAAATATAAAAGAAGAAATAAATCAATTAGTCATGTCTTATTTAACACATCAGGGATATGCAGAAACAGCAGATTCATTAAAAAAGAATATAGACTTTGTATATAATACATCCAAGAATAATCTTATGAATAACAAAGATACAGAAATAAGAGGTCAAATACGAAGGCTGATTATGTCAGGCTCTATTGATTCAGCTATTGTGCAAATTCGATTATTTTATCCTCACTTGTTAGAGCAACATCCTGATATCTTGTTTCATCTCAAGACGCGTAAATTCCTTGATATCTTAATTGATGATTACCCTTCCTGTCCTCCGTTAGATTCACCAGATCATATTACTGCAAGTGAATCAGAGGAAGATGACTATTTAGTTCATTCTAGTACTAGAAATAACAAAATGAATCTGGAAAATAAAGTCCAACATCAAGTAGTCTATGAAGAAGAAATGACTAACAAAATGACAGCTCATCCATGGCCATTATTGTCACCACCAATTCATGTAGCAGCGTCGGGAAGACGCTTAAGTTGGGCTGCTATAGCTGCTACTCCTTCCTCTTTTCCACCTACACCTAGTATTACTGAAATACCAGAAGATGATTTCGTATATGGTCGCAGAAGAAGATTATCTTCTTTTACGAGTCATAGTAGTAGCAATGGCAGTAGACGTAACAGTCATAGCAGTAATCATAGTTTTGTATTTTGGGGTGGTGATGACTATTGTGAAGAAGACATGACTTCTAAAAAATCATTTGCCTCTATTCGTAAAGCAATACAATATGGACATGAGCTTCAAGAAGAGTATCAAACAAAACATTCAAAGTATTTGGATGAGTTAATGGAATTATTTGGTTTACTTTCATACTCTGATCCAAAAACAAGTCCATTAGCTCATCTTTTAGATATTTCTAAACGAGATCATGTTGCTTCTGAATTGAACAATGCTATTCAAGGTATACATACACATCTACATTTATATTTATAGTCATATTTATTTATTTATTTTTTAGCGTATCAAAATCAAGCAAAAATCTCCAATTTAGAATCAATATTTAAACAATACAATGCAACAAGTAAAGAACTTGCTTTAACAGGTCACGGAGAAGTTTCTTTAATTAATGAACAACTTTTAATATAAGCATATACGACGAAATTATTAAAGCATGAGGGTATATAGTACTTTTCTTCTTCTTCTACAAGTAATATGCATCAATCACTTTTATCTTGAACTATCATACCTTTTGGCCAAAGTCCGTCTTCTTGCCAACCAGTAACTAAAACAGGTATCTACATAAAAAAAAAAATGTATGAATAAATAAAATTCCATTTCTCTCTCTCTCTCTCTCTCTCTTTTTCAAATTCATATTTTGTAAATTTACAATGTATTTTACTGGAATGGGATTTCGAAATACTTGTCTTTTATGTACTAATTGTTTGTAGATGGCTATTCTTTGTGCTTCATTTTGTATAATAAGTTCATATTTTTTATTTTCTATATCATATTTTTCCATTTGATTAAGGTAATGTTGATTTGGTGTTGTCCATTCTTTTCTTCTTGCTTCCCATGCCTTGATTCCTTTTGAAGGATCTTCTAATTCAGTTGACATGTCAAAATGAATAAATAGAAAGGAGATACAAATAATAATAATAATAATAATGAAAAAAAAAAAAAATGGCAATAGTTAAGTGACTGTTACAAAAAGTTTCAATTTCTGTCAAAATAGAAATTCCAAGTATTTGATTAGATGAATAAGCATATACATTATTTTTTGATCCATGTGAGTAGAAGATGAAGAGAGAGAGAGAAGAGGTTATGGTAATCATGGATATCATCTTCCAGAAACTGGTAGTGGTATGACTTTAGCATATCTTCCACATAGGGCGTACATCTTTTCAATAAAGGGAATTTGAATAAGTCGACACCACTATGAAGAATTGTATTTCAGTAAACATGTCTTCTTCCTCCTGGTGTCAAACTGATGCATTAGTTGCCCCTCACAGTAGACCACCATACTCATGTTGTTGTTTCAGGTTTCTTCTTTTCTTTCACCTTTTTTCCTCTTGGCTTCTAAGAGGCTTTTATTATTATTATTATTATTATTATTATTATTATTATTATTATTATTATTTTTCCCTGAAATACAGCTTTATGCCCATTGGTCGTTTTTATTTTATTTTTCAAAAAAAAAAAAAAAAAAAATACAAATATTTATTTATTTAATTGTATGTGCAAGTGCTCTTTCATCTTGGGTACAGATGTTAGAATGTCAAATAATAAAGTAACTGAGCCATTACCTCCACCTCCTCCTATTTATATATTTAGAGAACATAAAAGTACTGTTAATCATCTTCATTTATTCAAAGATGATCAGTTGCTTGCTTCCTGGTAAAGAAAGATTTCTAATCGTAATAAGCTCTTTCTTATTTTATTTAAAAAAAAAAACAAGTGATGCTGATGGTTGGATTATAATCTGGAAAATGAGAACTAGAAGACCTTTACTGAAATGGAAAGGACATGAAGCGAGTTGTTTAAAAGTGACTACTAATTCTATGCATGACACCTTAATAAGGTAAATACGATAATACCAAAAAAAAAAGAGAGAGAGAGAGAGAAGGAGGGAGTTGCATGTATACAGCATATCCTAAATTTTTATGTTAAAGTCAGGGAAGAGATAACATGATACATATTTGGAAATTAACTGAAGTGGAAGCTACATTAACCTCATCAATTGTATATAATGGCTTAGGTTTCTGTAAATTTTCATACAATGAAAAAGAAGAGGGTAAAAAAAAAGTTGACGATCTTTAGTATAATAGCTAACTAGCTCTTCTTTAGAACCAACATTATTATGCTTTCCTTCTAAAGAAGATATAAAGATGGTAAAAATAAGTGAAGATAGATAAAGCGAATATATGCTAAATTTTATGTGTAATACAAAAGTTGGATATCTATGATTTAACTTCCCAAACCTTTGTGCTTCAAAATATCGGCAATACAGCTCGATTTGGCTCATGTATGGCAACTCAGTTATTTAGGACATTAAATAATGAATTATTTGTTCTTGCTGGATATGAAAGTGGGACAATAGCATTATGGGAAATTATAAAGGATAGATCAACGTCTAAATTAGTTTGGCATCGTCAGGAACATAAAGAACCAAGTAAGAAGGAATCATTTATGATTTCTAATTGAATACTTACATGTGTACACAAGTCTTTGATCTGTCAATAGATAGTAAAATATCGTTTGCTATATCTTCATCTGGTGATAATCAGATATGTAAATACTCTTTAGCAACTGGTGATATTATTAAAAAGATAGCCATCAAAAAATCTGGAATCGTAGCATTGAAAATACGTTCAACAGATAATAAAATATTTGCTTCAGGCGGATTTGATGGAAAGTAAGTTACAATTCTATATGCATTTCTATATCTGTTGGCAAAGGCCATTCATTTGCGATTATCATAGGATTCGTATATTTTCTATAAAGACAATGAAACCATTAGCAGTATTAACAACTCATAAAAATACTGTCTATGGCCTTGAATTTGGTAAAGAAGACAACTGGCTAATTGGGGGAAGTGAAGATCATCGTGTCAGTTTATGGAAAATTTTTTGAAAAAATAAATGTCACATGTAGATAGATAACGATAATAAACGTATTTGGTTTAGTTTTTTTTTTTTTTTACGAATTCTCGGGTTTATCTCTGATTTACAAAAATATGCTGCTTATTTGACTAGTTTAAACTCAGTTATCACCTATCTTTTATCTATTATAACAATACTGCTATCTGTAAAATGATGATCATATCAAATAATATGAAATGCTTTGTGTATACATAAATACGAAATCCCTATTATCGTTTATTTCTAATTTTTTTTTCTTTTTATTTCTTTCTTTTTTTTTTCTTTTGCTTTTAATAAAAAAAAATAATATATAATAGATAGAATGGTAGAGCCAGATTTCACATTACTGACTTACAATCCAGGAGATATTGCTTGGGTTTTGACATGTACTGCTTTAGTTTGGCTTATGATACCAGGTGTAGGTTATTTTTATTCAGGAATGGCTCGTCAAAAGAATGCTCTTTCACTTATTATGTGTTGTGTATTATCACTTGTGGTAGTGAGCGTACAATGGTTTATATGGGGTTATAGCTTGACATTCAGTAAGACAGCTACTAATGGCTTCATTGGTAATACTGAAAACGTATTTTTACGTGGTGTACTTGGCGAACCCTCTATTGGTTCTTCTAATATACCTGATCTTGTCTTTTGCGTTTTCCAATGTATGTTTGCTGCTTTAACTCCTGCACTAGCTATAGGTTCTGCAGGTAAAAAAAAAAAAAAAAAAAAGAGTCGTGTAACGGAAATAAAGAAGCTTATCTTATCATTTATTTTTAAATAGCTGAACGTGCTCGCCTTTTACCTATGATTATTTTTATTTTTATTTGGTCTACTCTTGTTTACGATGTAGTAGCTAGCTGGGCATGGAGCGTAAACGGCTGGAGTGCGAAATTAGGTGCCATTGATTATGCCGGAGGTGTAAGTTAAATAAATGATGTATATGCATTCAGTTTACTTATATAAATGTGTCATCATCTATATATAGACACCAGTTCATATTACAAGTGGTTTTGCTAGTTTAGCTTATGCATTAATCTTGGGACGTCGAGAAGGTCATGATACAAAAAAAGAAGAATTTAAACCCCATAATATGTCAAATGTCGTATTAGGCACAGCCTTACTTTGGTTTGGATGGTTTGGCTTTAATGGTGGTTCAGGCTTATCTGGTAACTTGCGTGCTGCTATGGCCTGCGTTGTGACCAATTTAGCTGCTTCGGTAGGTGCTATTACTTGGATGATCATTGATTATCGTATTGAACGCAAATTCTCTGCCTTGGGTTTCTGCTCAGGAGCTGTTGCAGGTTTGGTAGCAATCACACCTGGGTCAGGTTTTGTTGGTCCTGCACCAGCTGTAGCTATTGGTTTTTTGGGTGCTTGTTTCTGTAACTTGGCTGTTCATCTAAAACATTGGCTTCGCTACGATGATGTCGCTGACGTATTTGCTGTTCATGGTGTAGGTGGTTATATAGGCTCCCTTCTAACAGGTCTTTTCGCTGAATCATATATAGCTGCCTTGGATGGTTCAACAGAAATTGCTGGAGGTTGGATGAATCATCATTGGATTCAATTAGCTTATCAGTTAGCTGAAGCCACAGCAGGTGCTGCATGGTCCTTTGTCATCACCTATCTTATTTTATTTATCATGAATAACATTCCCGGTCTCTCCTTACGTGTTAATCGTGAAGCAGAATTACAAGGTTTAGACGTAGCTGAAATTGGTGAAATGGCATATTACCATGTAGATAAGATCATAGGTGTTAATCAAATCACTGATAAAGAAAAGACAGTGAAAAATGAGGTTAAAGCTTATAGCATTACACCTGAAACACGGGGATCTATGGGTTCTGAAAAAAAAAACTTTAAATGATGAAAGTCTTCATAATGTTTAAACATGTATTCCCTTTTTTTCTTTATTTATTTATTATTAGCATATCTATACATTGGTCTTTCACAGATTCTCATGTTCTTTATTATACAAATACAAAACCTTTGTGTAATTAACATGCTCTTCTTTACCAAAAATTATAAATACGTTGTAGTCATTCCTTTAACATGTCATAATTTTCCCTTTTTTTTTTTCATATACAAAATCATATTTCAAATTAAATAAATATAACCTTATGTTTATTCTATATATTATCCATTAAATTAATTATTAAGAAATTCTATTCGATCATAAATACGAATAACGAAAAAAAAATAATTATATCATAGCTTGCATAGGTAGCGGTAGTAATTTTGTATGCCATTGATACAAGTTTGCCCCAAACCAAAATCCTTATTCTTATTTGTTTTTCCTTGATGATCTGATGTAGTTAAAAACTGTAAAGTAATAGATACCGTATTTTCAAATGAAATTGAGACTAGTTAAATATATATATATATATGTATTAGAACAAACTATAACAATATTATAAATTTAAGAAGAAGCAAAAAGTAGATTTAGACAAAATAAGATGAGTTTTTCGACACGTTTACATGCAAGAATATCAATTTTCTCGTTAGGGAATAAAACCGTGTTCGTGTTCGAGACAACGATATAATGATATAACTACTGAATTCGATAAAATGTAGGAAGACGACCGTGTTCACTGATTATTTGTTGTGAAACCTGAAAAATGGAGGTTTTTTTTATTTGAAAGCGTTTATATCATGTTGCTATATTATTATTAAGCAAGAACACTATGTATATTTGTAATAACTTGAATGAAAAGAGTTTTGTTGCCTGAGCAGTACATCTACATTTCAATTGATTCCCAAAGAACTCTTGTGTAATTCAAAGGATATGATCTTTATAATCTCTCAAATTTCTTTGGTTTCCAGGATTCATTTACGCTTGCTTATAATAAACATTCATTCTCTTCTTTTGACAGACTAACTCCTATAATCTAAGCTACTTGGATAGGTGTTACTATAGAAGACTATCTTGGTCAGGATCCAATCATTTAGATTCATTCAGGAACCACTGTCTATTGCCACATACTCTTTGTTTATCAATGACCTACATTAAGCATAGTTATGACCTTTAGTCTGGAATCCTGATTAGCTTTGCCCGGCAGTCTTCCTGTACCGTGTCTTCATCATCTATATGATACTTTTACCTGTGAATACTCTATCAAGTATCTTTATATCCACAGTCAACTCCAAATGCTATAAATGATTACTGCATCTATTTTCTTTATTTGTCCTCATAATAGACTAGTATACTCATACTATCCTTAATTTCTTCTTTTCTCTTGCTCTCTTTTTTCTTTTTTTTTTTCTCTTTTCTTTTCTTCCTCTTGACTCCTAAGAGGTTATTATTATTATTATTATTTATTTATTTATTTACTTTTTATTTTGGAAATGAATTCTAAAATATTCCAATTTTCATTTGCTAATTTTTGTCCAATTGAAATCGTCCCCAAAATACCATCATTGGTAAACTTTTTATTTATTTATTTTTGAAACCATGAGGATAAAAAGTGTGTGCTTATGAATTTAGTACGTATATTTGTATTATAAAAAAAGAAAGCATGAATATCTCTAAAAAAAAAATACATATTTTTCCTATATCTTGGCCTTTTTTTTTTTTTTTTTTTTTTTTTTTTAAGAAAAAAGATGTAACTACATTATTACCATTTATTATTTTTGACTATAAATAAAACTAATTATTTTACCCCCCCACTTCATTAAATCATAAAGCTTGAAATTTATATAGATTAAATGAACAATTCTCATCCTAATTCACCTCGTACAAATATATCTTCTAGAGATAGAACACCTTCTTCTAATGGTGTAACAAACATACAACATTCACAACCTATTCGCACTACAGGAGAGAGACTTGCATCACTTGTAGGCGCATCATTAACCACTGTAGGCGATGATGTCTATGTTTTTGGTGGATTTGACCAATACACAGATGAAATTTTTAATAAACTTTACAAGTTGGATAACAAAAACTCTTATCAATGGAGGCAGATCATCTATACCAAGGGTGACCCTCCTGCAAAGCGTAATGACCATTCCGCAACTTTGTGGAATGGAGATAAAATTGTCATTTTTGGTGGTAACTCTGAAGAGGATAGTTATTTTAATGATGTTGCTGTATTGGATTTAAATACTATGACTTGGTGGCATCCAGAAGTTCATGGTTTTATACCACAAGGCCGTATTCGTCACTCAGCGACTATATATGAAAATAAACTCTATGTTGCAGGTGGAATTCAAGTTAATGTAACGACAGCGTTTGCAGATACGCTATTAATATTGAACCTAAATACATGGGAATGGGAACGTCCAATTCCATTTATAAAACGAGCACAGCATATGAGTTTTATCTATAATTCAAGACTTTATTTGTTTGGAGGATTAAGAGAGGATATGAGTCGATCAAATCATTTAGCTTTCATTGATCTGAATAAAACAGAGGATGTCACACAATTAGATATCAGTTCACCGTCTGCTCCTTCTTTGGCAGGACAACGATTCGCTCAAATATGTGGAGACCAATTGATTGTGTTGGTAACTTTGCCATTCAGAGAAGCTTTAGTTGAAGCACCAGTCACTGGACTTTGGTCTTTGGATTTACCTTCTATGCAATGGCATTGTCGTGAATTAGGACCGTGTTACGAAAGTTGTAGTTGGCATAGCTTTTCAATGACAGAGCACGATACGTCCTTTTATTTATTTGGGACAAATGAAGATGATCCTGATGAATTTTATGCAATGGTCTTAAAGGTTGAATTAGAAGAGTTGGGCATCGTCCCTGTACCTCCTCCTCAACTTGGCTCTGACTTGATTAGTTTATTACTAAATCAGCAACAAATGCAAAAACAGGGCACAGACTTTACAATATATTCTTCAACAGAACCTCAAGCAGGTGCTATTCATGTTCATCGTCTAGTTCTTTTGGCACGATGGCCACACTTTGTTCATTTAATAGAATCGGGTATGGCAGAATCGATCAGTAACACATTAACAATGTCAGAACCACTTTCAACTTTAGAAAGCTTTGTTCGATATCTTTATACTGATACATTAAATGATCCTAGTTTTACAACAGACGTTATTGCAGATTTAATGGTGATGGCCCATGTTTATTTATTACCTCGTTTATTAGCATTATGTGTACGTCATCTATTTAATAAGATGAATGTTGAAAGTGTAAGTAAAATATATCATGCAGCAAGTTTATCTGAGCAAAGAGGACTTCAACAAGCGTCTTTGAATTATATATTACACCATTTTGGTGCTATCTCGCATACACAGGGCTTTCGTCAGCTTCCACAACAAATTTTATTTCAAATATGGGATGACATATCCCCAAATGCTGCTATTGTAAACCAAAAGCCAGATCAAGCATTTTTACAACAACAGCAGCAGCAGCTACAGCAACAGCAACAACAGCTTCAATTACATAATAGTTTAAATAATAATGTTACTATAGAATTACGAGACGAAGAAGAAGAGGAGGAGGATGAGGAAATGTTTGCATAAAATGTGGATATTAAGTTTATCAAATAAAATAATATAAAATAAAATAAAAAATTATAGAATAGTTCGACCCGGATTTATATTTTATTCCAACCGGACTAAATTATTTTTTTTCCATCAAATCTCTCATGGTTATGTTCAAAAAAAAAAAAAAAAAAAAAAAAAAAAAGACTATAGAATTTGAGATAGAGTAGGTAACAGAGATCCCCCCCTCTTAACAATCATCCATAATCTCAAATGGTTAGTTGAACAAAACATTGCATCATTAGATACTAGATAGAGATAAAGCATATATGTGTTCAAGATGGATGTTATCACATTGATGGATTCGTCTTTCTTTATTATTCTTTATTTGAAGGCTGAAAAGAGAAATGGATCAAAGATGATAAATACGAAATAGAAATGAATGATGTTGAAGATTTTAAATTACTGAAAGAGTTTCGAATGGGTTAAAAGGCTTACATGAATTTAATCGTGGAATCAGAAAGAGAATCAACTTAACAGTTGTAGTCAAATTTGATGACCAAAAAAAAAATATACACATACACACACAATAAAACAATAGATCTAAATTGAATTAATTCTGCTGGAGCAGCTTATTCTATCCTGAACACATATGGCCTTTTTTCTCGACCTAGATCTAATGAATATATTATTATTATTATTTTAGTTTTCTTAATTATTAATCAACTCGATTACCATTGTAATAGGTTGCTGTCGTCAAAGCTCACGAACTCCGTAACAAGAACAAGGCCGAGCTCCTCAAGGTCCTCGAAGAACAAAAGCAACAACTTGCTAACCTTCGTGTTCAAAAGGTTGCTGGTGGTAGACAACAAGAAATGTAAGAATATAAACTCCAATGATGTATAGAAAGTAATTTGACTAACCCCCTTTTTTTTTCCTTCTCTTTCTTGTAATTAGTGGTGAAGCTCGTAAGAATGTTGCCCGTGTCTTGACCGTTATTAACCAAACCCAACGTGAACAACTCCGTCTTTTCTATCAAAAGAAGCGTTTTGTCCCTCTTGATCTTCGTGTCAAGAAGACCCGTGCCATGCGTAGAGCTTTGACTCCCTTCGAAAAGTCCAAGAAGACTCTTCGTCAACAAAAGAAGTTGACTCACTTCCCTCTTCGCAAGTATGCTGTTAAGGCTTAAATCTCTCTTTTTTTTTTTTGTTTAGACTAAATTGAAAAAAAGAAAAGAAAAATATATCTTATTTTTTCCTAAAAAAAAAACAACATGTGTACTTTATAAAAGAATTTGAACTTATGGTTTGTAGATAATGGAGAGAGACTAAATATCCCCATAAATTGATAGTATTTAAGGGTTTTATTTATATTATGTTTATGTGAGCAGTAATGGAGAAGTGTCCATGTTATAAAAAGAAACCTCCCTCCCATTATTATTATAAAATTGGTATAGGATGGGCATATATCTTGGTAGCATATTCATATATAATAAGCATGATTTATGATAAAGAACCTTATTCACTATGCTTATATTACATAATTCTTAATTTTTTATACACGTGTAAACTCAGAAGCTTAAATCAATAACCATAGTTTTAGTCTAGTCATACTTTATCTATTCATGACATTCATTTCTCAACAGTTGCAGCTATCAAATTTGAACAGACGGTATGACCTGTTAACTATACATAAACCTCTTTGTGAAGAAATAGAGGTTATTTACTAACATAAATTAAAAAAAAACGAATAGTTATAAAATTAAGCGAAGCTATACCCCTCCAAAGTTAATAATTGTTTTATATCAATCATCTTGTTTATATATTAGCATTTATGTAATCTTAAGCTGTTTAAGCTGTACTTGATATATATATGTATATACTGGAAGCATCTGTAATAAGCTAATGAATAAAATTTACATTTCAAAAAAAAAAAAAAAAAAAAAAAAAAAAAAAAAAAAAAAAAACTGCTAGTTACTATTACATAATTATCTGATCTGTGAAGCATAATATAAAATCAACATCTATGTTACAATTTTAGCAATATAATGTATCTATAGCATAAGAAATAAAAAAGCATGCATATCAAGTAAACCGTGCGTACCTTACTCTCTATCAATCAATCAAGTAAAATAAAAAAAAAAGGTTTCGAATATGTATATATAGTTTATCCTTGTAGTTATGTACTTAAAAATGAAATATGCATATGCTACAATCCTCATGAATGGAACAAGAGTATATGGTTATTATCAATGTTTGAATACTGTAACAATAACTATTATTAAAACTGAATGTAGAATGAATATGATGCTATGAAGTACAATACACTAGTCTTATTTGAATAACCTCTTTATTATTTAAATAAATGATGGTCAATTTCTATTAACTTAGTTATAAAGACAACTACAATCATAAAAGAGGGTGTTGAAGATATTAAGCTGCATGTTCAGCGGCTTATTTTACGCCATTTGATTTGACTTTCATTGGAACGAATTTCTGCTCTTAAAAGGTGTATGACTGTCTCATACTCATGAGTTTTACTATATAAGTCATCAGTATCAGCCTCCAGTAAGTTTACTTCTGGATTTGATACAGATGGGCTTGTAGTGATATAGTAGGAGATTGATGTTCTGTTCCAATTAATAGATTTCATTACCTTCACCTTTTTCTTTATCAAGCCTTTTGTTTCCATATTTTTGGAAGACTTTATAAGCGTCATATCTTATAGGAAAAAAAAAAAGATGTAGAAACCCACATCTAAAACAGTATACAGCAAAACCATTAAGACAAACACTTTGAGATTTCGTGATTTTAAATACTTGCCACTTATTTTTTTAAGAGTTTGTAATGTTCAAAGGGCTCATCCATATTGAGACTATGGGGCCATGGTTCAATGTTTTCAGCAGTATCAATAGGATTGATTTCTGTAAAGGTGATAGAAAGATTTCTATCCGTATAGTATTGTCTCAATGTCTTTTGAAAAGCCTTCTTTTTTTTTTTTAAAAAAAAAAAAAAGGGGGAGCTTCCTCAACAGTTGCAAACAAAGGTAAAGACGGGATTGTCACTGGTCATTACTTCAATTTTGTAGCTGCTCAATAAAATTGAGCAATTCAAAGGATATTATATTGTTATGAATAATGCTTCTATTTACACCCATTTAGATATCAAGACATATATTGAAAAAAAAAAGAGACTATGGCTATGTCTGTCTTCCACCATATTCCCCTGAGCTAAATCCAATCGAACAATTCTGGTCAGTATGCAAAAGTAAATTAAAAAGAGAAAAGCTTTTAAAAGAGTAGGCACTGACATCCAGAATTACGGAAGCATGCAATAACACATACTTGAGTGATATGCATGGTTTTTGTAGATACTCTGTTCTGTTTCAAAATTTCTAGATTGTTTGGAAGGAAAACCTTTGTAGCATCAATATATGAAAATGGCTGCACGAATTTAATTTTATAAAGTGCACAAAGTGTGCGAAAAGTTTCCGAAAAAGGTGTACCTTTTTTAAATCATATTATTTTTCTTCTCTTGTCAAAAACTGTAATATTTAATTAGAAAAAAAAAGAAAAAGAGAAGGTGTAGACTATATAGGCAAAATAGAAATATCGAAAAGATATTGGCATTGTGTATACTTAACAGCATATTTTTCTACTTTTGTTCTACAAAATTATCATCGATCAAGAACAAAATTTACCGACTTTTTGTCAAATATGTCAAATTTGGGAAAGGAAGAATATATTTGATTCGTATAAATTTTTTTTTTCCTTTTTAGTTAAACACAAACTTCTTTTTATTTGTTTCCTAGTTTTAAGACAAACATCAGCAATAATGATAATAAAAATGAAAGACCTCATAAATAGAAAATGCTAGAACAATACTTAAAACCTAGCTTCAAGAAAAATGTCTGGAAATTGCTCGAAAATATTAATTCAAACTACGACAATAAAGAGGATAATTAAATTTGTTTTGTATAAAAGGCACTTGAAGCTTTTTTCCTTTATTTTTTTTCAGTTCTTTTACTTTTCATTATTATCAAGTAGAGTGAAAATAAACATGAGCGCCGAAACTGAAACCTTCTCATTCCAAGCTGAGATCTCTCAATTGATGAGTTTAATCATCAATACTTTCTATTCTAATAAGGTAAAGAATAATTGGAATTATAATAAGAGAGGCAACCGACTATAAAGTTGCCAATATTTATATTTGATAGATTAAATTAACATTATATGTTATGTGTATACCTTTTTATTTATTTTATTTTTTTTTATAGGAAATTTTCTTGCGTGAATTGATCTCTAACTCTTCTGATGCTTTGGATAAGATTCGTTATCAATCCTTGACTGATCCTTCTGTTCTTGACTCTGAAAAGGAACTTTTCATTCGTATTACTCCCGATAAAGAACATAACATTCTTTCTATTCGTGATAGTGGTATTGGTATGACTAAGGCCGATTTGGTTAACAACTTGGGTACTATTGCCAAGTCTGGTACTAAGGCCTTCATGGAAGCCCTTTCCTCTGGTGCTGATATCTCTATGATTGGTCAATTCGGTGTTGGTTTCTATTCTGCTTACCTTGTTGCTGATAAAGTTCAAGTCATTACCAAGCATAACGATGATGAACAATACATTTGGGAATCTGCTGCTGGCGGTTCTTTCACTATTACTCGTGACACCGTCAATCCTTCTCTTGGTCGTGGTACTGAAATGCGTCTTTTCTTAAAGGAAGATCAACTTGAATACCTTGAAGAAAAGAGAATTAAGGATATTGTCAAGAAGCACTCTGAATTCATCTCCTATCCTATTCAACTTGTTGTTGAAAAGGAGGTTGAAAAGGAAGTTTCTGATGATGAAGAAGAAGTTGTTTCTGAAGAAGGTGCCAAGATTGAAGAAGTCACTGATGAAGACGACAAGAAGGATGAAAAGAAAAAGAAGACTATTAAGGAAAAGGTGACTGAGAATGAAGAACTTAATAAGACTAAGCCTCTTTGGACTCGTAACCCTGAAGATATTAAGCCCGAAGAATACGCTGAATTCTATAAGGCTCTTACCAACGATTGGGAAGATCATTTGGCTGTTAAGCACTTCTCTGTTGAAGGTCAACTCGAATTCCGTGCTATCCTCTTTGTTCCTAAGCGTGCTCCCTTCGACATGTTTGAAACTAAGAAGAAGAGAAATAACATTAAGCTCTACGTCCGTCGTGTCTTCATTATGGATGACTGTGAGGAATTGATTCCTGAATGGCTCGGATTCATTAAGGGTGTTGTTGATTCTGAAGATCTTCCTCTTAATATTTCTCGTGAAATGCTTCAACAAAATAAGATCTTGAAGGTCATTCGTAAGAACCTTGTTAAGAAGTGTCTCGAAATGTTCAACGAAATTGCTGAAGATAAAGAGCAATTCGATAAGTTCTATGAGGCCTTTAGCAAGAATCTCAAGCTCGGTATTCACGAAGATACCCAAAACCGTGCCAAGCTCGCTGAGTTGTTGCGTTACCACTCTACCAAGTCTGGTGATGAAATGACCTCCTTCAAGGACTATGTCACTCGTATGCCCGAGAAGCAAAAGAATATTTACTATATTACTGGTGAATCCCGCGCTGCTGTTGAGAACTCACCTTTCCTCGAAGGTTTCAAGAAGAGAGGTTATGAAGTTCTCTTGATGACTGATCCTATCGATGAATATGCCGTCACTCAATTGAAGGAATATGAAGATAAGAAATTAGTCTGCATCACTAAGGAAGGTGCTGATATTGAAGAAGATGAGGAAGAAAAGAAGGCTCGTGAAGAAGAGCAAAAGGAATTCGAAGATCTTTGTAAGTCTGTTAAGGAAATCCTTGGTGATAAGGTTGAAAAGGTTGTCCTTTCTCAAATCTTGACCGATTCTCCTTGTGTTTTGACTACTGGTCAATTTGGTTGGTCTGCTAACATGGAACGTATCATGAAGGCACAAGCTCTCCGTGACTCTACTATGTCTAGCTACATGGCTTCAAAGAAGACTTTAGAATTGAACCCTAAGCATCCTATTATTAAGGCTCTCAAGTCCAAGGCTGCTGCAGACTCTACTGATCGTACTGTTAAGGATCTTGTTACCTTATTATATGAAACTTCTCTCTTAACTTCAGGTTTCTCCTTGGATGATCCTAGCTCCTTCGCTACCCGTATCAACCGTATGGTTGCTCTTGGTCTTAGCATTGATGAAGATGAAATGGAAGTCTCAACTGAGACTCAAGAAACCCCTGCTGAAGAGACAACTGAAGCCTCTAAGATGGAAGAAGTTGATTAAATCATTATTTAACTTTGTAGCATAAACTCTTTCTCTTTTCCCCTTCTACCTTAAACAATGATACACACTATATATACTACTAACTTTTATTTTTATTCTTTCTCTATATATATCTAATTGCATTTAAAAATTATTTTAATTATTTTTAATAAATAGTACATATGTATTTCACAATAATACAAAAAAAAAAAAGACTTTATATTATTCATATTTGCTGAAAAATATTTAATTAATGCAATCAGGTATTATATATCTTTTGAGATAATTTATTTGCATATCTAATACATACAAGTGATATAACTCATTATAAAGTCGAATATACATTATATAGTCCTATTCATACTAGCTGTCGCATAAAGCATAGAGTAAATCATAGCTAAAAAAAAAAAGTATAAATAGCAATTTTGATTGCGTCACGATAGCTAGCGGACATAGAAGGGCCTGCCCCTTTCAATTATTTTTTTTTTCTTTTTAACCCCACACTACTTTTTTTTTCTACCTTATTTTTTTTAAAGAATAAAATGTCAATTGCACGCATCGCCCTTCGCTCAGTCTCCTTCAAGGTAATCAGGATTTTAATCTTTATGAGATACAGCACTTTATTATCGAGCAATAATAGAATTCATTTCTTTAAATAATTTCATTCATTTTAATTATTAAATTACTTAATTCATTTATATATTTTTCCCTTCAATCTATAGCCTGCCGTCTCTGCTATGGCTACTCGTAGTATTTCTATTAACGCTGTCATGCAAAAGGGTAATTAGAAATATAGTTTGAGCTTTTAACAAATCTTAACTCTTGTATTCCCTTTATATATGTATGTTGTAGATGTTGTTCAAGATTTATTCTTGAAGGAATTAAAGGGATATAAGCCTGCTCCCATTGTAAGTTTGAAAGATTGTACATGATTTATAAAGGTTGATGAAACTGATAGGTCAAACTATTAGGCCACTGATGTAGAAAGTGCTGCCAAGGAATTAAAGCTTCCTACCCCTCCTGCTGTAAGTAACATATATATATATATGTTTGTGTGTGTGTGTGTGTAAATTAAGGTAACATTAAAAGCTTAATATGTTTATTTAATTGATAGGTTCCTCAAGTTGATGCTGATTTATCTGAACAATTATCTGCTTATGATGCTGAACCCGAGGAAGTATCTCAATAAAGGGAAATAAGCGGAAAAAAGGAGATAATACATTTTATATATATTTATATTAAATCAAGACTTCTAAGAAAAAAGGCACCTTTAAAAAAATAAATAAAATAAAGTGCATGTGTGTATATGTGTTTGAACTTAGAAGAGTGTTGTTAATTTTATTGCCCCGGTTTATTATTATAATTATTTTTATTTTGTCATTTTTTTTTTATTTATTTATACATTTGTACATGTTTACAATAAAAAGCATAATACGGTTTGCCATATTAGCTCCTATTATAGTCATTTTGTTGACTATTGGCTGGTATCAACAAGCTATTGATCATGTTAACATTTTTGGAAATACATTGCTTACAGATTACTATACTGATTCTTATATTATTGCGGGTTATTTTATCAATTGGTAATAACATCAAAGTAATTACATGTTCTCTCGCATGTTAATTTTAATTCTATCAAATGAAGGGGAATTTATGATCGAAATTTCAATGTTGTAGATCTGGAAGTAGATAAATTATCGCACGTTTTATATGCATTTGCTAACGTCAATTTGGACGGTACAATTGTCCTTGGAGTAATATAAATATATATTTCTATAATATATATGTATACATATTTTTTTTTTCATTATCGTAAATTGCTTATATTTGTATCTCTAGGATTCATGGGCAGATACAGATATAAGATTCTCAAAAGGTACAAAAAAAAAAAAAAAATTTAATAATTCCTTTTGTTATTAGAAAATAAATACTATTGTTTTATTATTAGATAAAACTGTAGATGGTATTGTCGACTCTTGGAAAGAAAACGATAAAGATTTGCATGGTAATTTTAAGCAACTAGCATTACTAAAGCAACAAAATCGACATCTAAAAGTATCACTAAGCATTGGTGGCTACTCATGGAGTTCTAATTTCTCAGTAATAGCTTCTACTCCAGAGACACGAAGTCAGTTTGCAAATACAGCAGTAAACCATGTTAAAAATCTGGGTTTAGATGGTATTGATATTGATTGGGAATTTCCAAAAGATCAAAAAGATGCTGAAAACTATGTCTTATTACTTGAAGAAGTAAGAAAGTCATTAGATGATTATCAAAGGACTTTTGATCCTACAGATGAGTCATTCATACTGTCTGTTGCTATGCCCTGTGGGCCTGAAAATTATAGAATTTTGAAATTGGATAAAATGGCAAAATATGTAGATATTTTTTATTTAATGGCATATGATTTTGCTGGCAGTTGGGATAAAGTGACTGGTCATCAATCTAACCTTTATGGTGGTGCTCTTAATGTAAATCAAGCAGTAACTGATTTTGAGAAAGCGGGCATACCTTCAAAAAAGATTGTTATGGGTATCCCAATGTATGGTAGAGCATTTTCAAATACAAATAGTGAACCAGGATCAATTTACAAGGGAGTTCCTAATGGATCTTGGGAAAAGGGTTCGTTTGATTATAAGGATTTACCTAGACAAAATGCAAAGGAATTTATAGATAAAAGTAAAGGTGCTTCCTGGTCCTATAGTGAAACAAATCAAGAATTTGTTACTTATGATACTCCAGTGGTGGTGGAAGTAAAATGTGAATATATTAAAAATAGAAAATTAGGTGGAGTCATGTTTTGGGAATTAAGTGCAGATGTAAAAAGTATCAATAACAGTTCAAGAAGTCTTTTAAACACTGCTTATCTCAGCTTAGGTGATAAATTAAATACAGTAGAAAATCACATTTTATTTCCTCTTAGTGAATATAAAAATATACCTCATTTTTCTTGATCTAATCAACGTGTCATTTTTTATTACTAAAAAAAAAAAATGAAACAAGTTTATTATAATAACAGTCACTTTTTTTTTTTAATCTGTGTTAAAGCTTATTTATTCTATTTATTTATTTATTTATTTTTTTTTTTTTTTTTCATTTAACAAACAATAAATCAAGTTATTCTATACCTTTTATTTTTTTTTCTTGTGATTTACTTTGAGTTTTCTTCCTTTAAAGAGGAGATAATATATACAAAGTATGGATAGTAAAATAGAACAATCGTCTATACAGGATGCAGAAACAATACCATCCACTTCACAGACACAGTTTGAAGCGTATGCCCCAGTGGATCCTCCTAACTTGTGGAAACAATTCAAGTCACAAGTAGCAACTAAAGAAGGATGGTGGGGTGACTTTGATTGGAAATCAATGTGTCTTCCAACTATTCTCCAAAAACAAAAAACAAAGGCTCCATTCTGGGGTTTGAATAGTCGATTACCTTTAGGCTTAGCCCTTATTATGGGCTTTCAGCATTCACTTGCAATGGTAAAAAAAAAAAGAAAAAGAAAAAGAAAGAAATAAAAGAAAAGAAAAATATATGTGTATATCTATTTTGTTTCCTTTTTATTCTTAAAAAATTTTTTTTTTTTGACAGGTCAGTGGTGTTGTAACACCTATTCTTATTATGACTGGTTCTGGATCCACATCATTAAATTTAGAAATGGCTGATCAACAATATCTTTTATCTGCTGCTTTAATTACTTCAGCTCTTTTATCACTTATTCAAATTACTCGTTTTAAGATTTGGAGGACAGGTTACTATCTGGGTACTGGTCTACTCAGTGTAGTCGGTCCAAATTTCGCTAGTATTCCTGCTTCTGCTGCTGTTATTAAAAATATGTATTCAACCGGCTATTGTCCAACCAATGTATTATCGGATGGCACTATTCAATATTTACCTTGTCCTCGTGCTTGGGGTGCTATTCTTGGAACAGGTAAAAAAAACAAAAAACAAAAAACAAATATAAAGTTATAAACCTCTTTTTTTCTTTAAAAAAAAACGTATATGTATCTGAAAAAAAGCTATGGTATGCTCTTTCTTTGAAATTGGTATGAGTTTTTTGCCTCCTAAAACGATTCGTCGACTTTTCCCACCTATTGTTTCTGGTACAACCATTTTATTGATTGGTTGTTCTGTTATTAGTACTGCGCTTAAGGATTGGGCTGGTGGATCAGGTAATGATAAAGAATTGATGGTTAAAAAGATTAAAAAATCAAATTTTATTGATATTGATTTACATAAGGTGGTTGTGTCTCTAGACCAGCTACTGGTTACTATTCTATGTGTCCTAATATTGATGCACCTCATCCTCTTCCCTGGGGGAGTCCACAATTTTTAGGACTTGGTTTCCTTGTGTTTGTTACTATTATATTGATTGAAAATTTCGGCTCAGCATTCATGAAAAGTTCACAGGTAATAAAGGAGAAAATGAAATATGAGTATAGTAAAGACTTTACTTATTTAATATATATATATATATAGATTGTCATTGGTTTGATAGTAGGCTTGATTGTAGCAGCAGCTTGTGGATATGTTGATCATAGTACGATTGCTTCAGCACCAGCTATCACATTTCTTTGGGTTAAAACTTTCCCTATCACAGTGTATGGACCAGCAGTGATACCATTCTTGATTGTATTTTTAGATAATATGTTAGAGAGTATTGGTGATATTACTGCATCCTGTGATGTCTCCGGTGTTGAAGTTGAGGGTGAACCATTTCAACGTCGAATTCAAGGTGGTTTACTCGCTGATGGTGTTAATTCATTTTTGGCTGCCTGTATGACGATTTCACCTTTAGTTACCTTTGCTCAAAACAATGGTGTTATTGCCATGACACGTTGTGCAAATCGTATTGCCGGTTATTGCTGTTGCTTCTTTATTTTAATTTACGGCGTCTTTGGTAAGATTTCTTCTGTCTTTTTGGCTATCCCTTCGCCTGTTTTGGGTGGTATGAATGCCTTCCTTTTCGCATCAGTCACTGTCTCTGGTATTCGTATTCTAGCGTATCTTGAATGGACAAGACGTGAACGTTTCATCGTGACATGTTCTTTAGCACTTGGCATGGGTGTTACTTTGGTCCCCTCTTGGTTTACGCATGTCTTTAGCTACTCTGGTGATAATGCAGCCCTAAAAGGCCTTTTAAGTGCCGTTGAAACCATTGTAGATACAGGTTATTGTATTGGTTCTCTTATGGCTATCTTTTTAAACTTAGTTATTCCTGCTGAATGGGGACCTGAGACTGTAAAGGAATTGGAAGAAAAGAAAAAACGCGAGCGTGAGGCAATCCGTGATGGTTTTATTAATAACTCAATTAATGAAGAGCATGATCTTGATGAATTGAGTACTAGTAGAACTATTAATCCTTAACTCTTTGTAATATACTGAAGTGTTAATTATTATTATTACTATTATTATTATATATATATTTCAAACTTATACATATTATACAGATATATATTCATATTCATATTCATATTTAGACAATAAATTATTATTATTTTTTTCATCATAATGTTATTTATAGTATCTGTATAACAGCATCACCCATGTAAGTAATGAATTAAAAAAAAAAAAAAAAAAATTATATACGAATACACATATATTACGTAAAAATAATTTTCAGTATATCAAAGCTCCCAGAATGAGCATAAGCTAAAGCAAATATTTGTTTCTTTGTACAGAACATGTCATATACATAATTATGTTTATCTCACTAAAATGTGTGTTCAAAAGGAGCCATATCCCATTTCAATTTACCATTCTCTCTTTTTATATCTAAAGTTATTTGCTGTTTATATATTATACAATAAATAAATTGGAGATTTGTATTTGTTAGAGTAATTTTATAATAAAATACGATAAAGAAAATGACTTACATGGCGACCTTGTTCTCTAATATAGAGACGTATATTAACATAGTCAATACTTTTTGAATAAGCCACAAGCTGATCACGTATCTCTTGTAGGCTTCGATAGGATCTATCACATTCATTATCAAAATCGAGAGTGCAACCAAAATTATGATAGAACTTTAAATATTTTAATTTTTTGAATTTACGCATAAGGAAGCGTAGATGGTTGATGTGTATAATCCAAGCTCGTATTTCAAGATGTTCAAGAGAATCATAAGGCTCTGCACTTGCTTTATCTAATAAGACCTGGGATCTTTCAGAAAATAGTTCTAATCCTGAAAATCCAGATAATTCTATTCCTTTTAACATTTTATGCTCCTCAAATAAGGGCATGAATTCAAAAATAGAGACTTCTCCTGCTCCTACATAGATATCAAACTTTATCAATTGAAGATGTGATATGTCCTTTATTTCACTGTATTCAAGGTCTATGGGGGAACGATTAAAGATCAAAAGGACATTACCCTCCTTGATTTCTATTGAAGTCAATCTGTTTCGTAAGCAAATTGAGATATTATTAAAGATATGAATGAGTGTCCCTTTTGTAGGTGGGAGACAATCCGTTCCAAGTTGAATAAGAATTCTTTGAACGTTTTTCAAGTAGCCTGCTGCTATACATAAAGTCCATATACAACAAGATGTGATCTGAGCAGATCCAATATGAATAAATATTTTTTTGATATTTGGACATGCTTGTAAAATAGATATCAGTTGTTTATCTTGTTCTTCATAACCATAATTCGTTGGCTCAACAAGTTGTAAAATATGTAATTGACTTACATGTGTTCCTAATAAAGAAGATTTTTGAAGATCCTTATAAAACATGTCAAACTGATTATCATAAAGTGTAACTGTAATTCCTGGATAAAGTAGATTAACGCAGTGGTTCCAAGATTTGCAAACTAACTTTAAAGATTTAAGAAGATCTTTCAACTCATTTTCAGGAATATAACTGAATATTTTATTCAATATTTCGTTCGGTATACTATTGCTTTTCATTTCTTAAGGGGGAGGGGAAATGGAGAAGAAAGGTTAGAATAGTAAAATAAATTTCTATTGGTAATTTTGATTTATTTGCTTCTTTATATATTAACAAAGAAGCGTTAAATAGCTGCTTGAAAAAAAAATAAATGAAAATATGATTATAGTATATTGATATAAAGTCTAATATTTATTTATTTTTTGAACTTATTCGCATTTACAAAACTATAAAAAAAAAATTACGGTTAAAAGAAGATATGTATTCATAATCTCCATCTACTCATTAATAATATTTATGAATAAAGAGCACACTTTACTATAAAAAAAAAATAAAGAAAAAAAAGAGAGAGAGAGAGAATGGATATTACTTGCAAATAGTCAAAGAATTATTATTAGGAATTGGTGTTTTAAATAGTAGTATTAAGTCTTCTACATAAATTTTTACAATGTGCTTCTTTATTTTCCTGTATATGAAAAAGTAGTATTATTTTTTCAAATAGCTGTCATAGTGCCTATAATAAATAGATCACATGCTTAGCCTTTCTCATTATTAGCACAATGAACATAGAATCATTCATTTATTATAATATTACGTAATACATAGTATATACAAGCTTGTCACGTAAGTCTAATCATATTTATGTATATGTATATGCATATATAAGGCTAATATACAGGGGGATTCTCCTTTCCAAGTCTAGCATTACGTATTTGTTTCGTCCTTGCCTTTTTATTTTCATCATACAAAAATTTCCGATCTACATTACTTAGACTAGACTTATTAAAGCCAATTTCATCATCAGAATCATCAGAGTCAAATTGCTGATGTCTAGAGGAAAAGCCTGTTGAATAACGGAAAATTTCTTTCATCATTGGATTAACTTTAACGTGATATTGGAAACCTTGTCCAAGACATCTTCTAAAAGCATTTAACGGTATTATTTTCGCCCAACCACGGAAAGTAAGAATTCGACCATTGATCTTCAATTCTTCTACAGGTTTGATATTCTCCTCTACACTTTTAATAATATCTCTAAAAACTGATTTTTGTTCTGCTCTATCACTCTTGGCTCTATGACGATTACTATCAACAGAAAGCTCTCTTAAAGTGTAAATTAAGCCGTCCATATTATCATACTCTGGTTTCACTGTATTATAATCATCATCGTCTTCTTCCTCATCCTCCTATATAGGTAGCAATTTTTTTTTTTTTTTTTTTTTTGTATTTAGCCTTATATAATGAATGAATGAATGAATATACATAACTTACGTTAGAGGTTAAGAAAATATTCACTGTTTCAAACATTAATGCAATATTTTCACCTGATGCAATTCTATTGTCCTTATCAGATGATTCAAGCATAATTTCATGTACTGGCATAACTCTAATTAATATATGTATATGCATATTATGTGTTAGGTAAAAGTAAAAGATCTTTTAAGGCCATCGTTTACTTACTTTTCAAATTCTTCCCATAAAACATCAAAATTGACAAAACCCGAAGTAAATGAAGCAGCATATAATAAACCATAAGCTCGAGCAGCCTCACATAATAAACGATCCATGTCTTGAGATGATAATTCTTCAACATTGAATTCTGCACCATCTGTTTCTATGAGATCAAAGATATAATTTCTAACCAACTGTTTATCTATATCTGATGCTGCAATATAGGTAATTAATGCCAATGTTTGTAAGGACTATATAGAAATGAATGAATCTATAAATAAATGCATATTTGCATGTGAATAATGTGATAAGTTACACTAATTTTAATATCTATATCTTCACAATCTTTGATTTTATTCCGTAAGGAATTTAACATTTTTCTATATAAATCATCGCCCTCACTTTCTGATAAATGATCCAAATTAATGAAAGTCAAAGCAATCGCTTTTGCTGCAAGACATGCTTCTTTAACACTATTGTTTTTAACAAGTGATTTCTTCAATAAGGTTAAAATTTCCTCTAATCTATTTTCTATATGAGAAAATACACGATGACAAGCAAATGTGCTGACAATTATTTCTAATGATTCCTCTCGAGTACTTTATAATAATAATAATAACTTTTAGAGTAGGTATAATTTCATTATTATTTCTTAACAAATACCTTGTTCTGCTTTCAGAAAGATCATCAATGGCTTTATTCAACTTGTCAATCCAATTTACAATTTCGATTGATTCATCTTCAATGGGCTTAGAGCTTGATTTAGTATTTCTCTTTGGAGGCATTTTTTTTTTTTTTTTTTTTTTTTTTTTTTTTTTTTAAGAAAAAAAACAGAGAGAAAGAAAATGAAACTATATTTTTATTGTTAACCCTTTTTTTTTTCATTTTATATATGGAAATTTGGTAGTAAAATGACGTCGTGTTTTAGGTGCAAATAAAAAATGGATCGACCAACTCAAGGGTTTTCTTTTTTCATAATATGCATGTTTATTCCTAAAAAAAAATTGTTATACATAGCACAAACAATTGCATAAAATTTACACATGTCAATTAATGTATAGCTAGGTTACAATACCTTGACTACCGCAGTTACTACTACTACTAAAAAAAAAAAAAAAAAAAAAAAAAAAAAAAAAAAAAAAAGGTCACTACTTTAATCCTTGTATCAATCTTTTCTACAGAGAAGAAAACTACTATTATCTCTATTTAACAATTTGAGATTATCAATTTATTCTATTTATAATATTATGATAATCAATGAGCATCTAGTCTAAAATAAAGTTTGTTGACTATGAAGACATATAAATGACAGCTTTTCAAGAAGGCATAAGGATCAATGAATAATACTACATCTAATACATATAAATCTACTATTTCTATTTTTTTTTTAAAAAAAAAAAAAGAATGGGTGAATGAGAAAAGAACTCATTGCTCATAAAAATATTACAACTCATACTTCAAGTGTTATATTTGGTTTTATGAAATGAAAAGAATAGCAGTAAGTATGCATATCTGATTATTAACTACTGAATAAGTAATATTGAAAAAGGTATATCCTATGTACTCCATTAGTAAGAATCAATAATACTCCCTTCTCTCTAAATTGCTATTGATTTAAAGAAAACTCCAATTAAACTAAATAACACTCATGTTATTACATAAGCAAAAAAAAAAAAAAAAAAGAGACATATAAACGGAAGTAATAGTAAATCCTTTTATTAATGCACTTGAACCGATACAGTATCAACACTAGCAACTACTATTACAAAATATAAATTCTTAATTCACTCTAATATCTACAAATATATTTTCTTTACTTATTTATTATTATTCTTGGTTTGTATAATGCAGCATTGTTAAGGGATAAAAAAAAAGGGGGGAGAGAGGGGAAGGAGTCAAATGTCTTCATAAGGGGATATATATGTATGTGTGTATAAAGAAGGGGGGGACTCAAAGAGGGAATGAGATATAAAATGCATATGAATTATAAACAATGAAATAAATAAATATTTTATATGAAAGGAATAACGGGTGTAGATGCATGATGGTCATTATAAGCAGGTGGATCTATGTTTTCAATAAAATATTTCGACTTTTCTTGCATTGGTAAGAAAGAAGGTGATCTAACAGAGCTAGGTCGAATTGTTGAAAGTGTAGGTGAAGGTCCACGACTACTAAATTTAAAGCCATATACTTTGTTAAGTAAAGATTCATGACTGAATTGCTTTGTTGTGCCTATTCTTTTCTCTTTCTTTGGCGTCATAATAACGATAGGTGGAGGTAATGTTAAGTGATTCGTTTTTTGTTCATGACGATTTTGTCTAATTTTAGCAGGTTCAAACATATCATTGTTCATGTGTAAATTTGTCAAGCATTGACTAGAAATTTGTTCTTGAGCTGTAATCCGTTTTTCTAAATCTATTAATTCTCTTTTTTCAACATTCGATTTATTGATTAACGTGAATAGACCAATTAAAATAAAAGTGGAAATAACTATAACAATTATGATAAATAATATTTGATCTGTATTTAACATATTTATATAATAAAGAAAAGAGAAAGAGAAAGAGAAAGAAAGAAAAGGAGAAAAGGAATGAGGGAATATATATACGTCAATATATCAAAGAATGACTACATAAAAAATGCTCTTCTTCTTTTCCCTTACATTACAGTAAATGTATACTTGTACTTTGCGTAAAGGATGTTTAATTACTTCTTTTTGTTCATGGTGTATATACAGACAAGAGTAATGGATATATATACAAATAAAAAAGAAAAGTATATTATAAATAAGCGTGTTATATATGATTCATCTATTTTATTCTATTACAATTCATGATGTGGCAAAGGATTCAATTCTAAATATTCTGCAACAAACGTACAAAATAAAGTCGCCAAGTTTTCAACTACAGCACTATCAATACATTCTGCATTATCCTATTGAATTCAAACAAATAAATAAGTGTGTGTGCGTGTACGGGTACGTATATATATATTATGTTATGTTATATCATGTCATGTCATGTCATGTATTCCATTTACCAGTTTAGTATGCCAAACATAAGGGAAAGGATGCGTTATCAAATGTAATACATTCACTCCACGTATTAAAAATGGAACATGATCGTCTCCTATTGCTTCTCCTCTATATGTAAGGAATGAATTTGGATTAAAAAGTGATAGTAACTCTTCATTCGTTTTAGCTGATTTAGTATGAAAAAGAGATAAACTGATTAACCTTGATTCAAGCTTTATTAATTGATTATATAACCAACTTGTTGAGCGATAATAGTTTGGGAATTGTGTATTAGCTACGCCTAAAAGATCTAATAAAACCATGACTTCAATTTGATCCAACTTGTTTTTAAATACTTTTTTAGGATGTGATACAAGTGAAGATTCCCATACATTTGCTAGATGTCTTTTTTTTTTATCATATCATATCATCATTATATAAATGCTTGTCTTTATTATGTAATGTATTCTTTTATCATTTATTTTATTTTGATTTTTTTTTTCTTACCTTGCACCATAAATGGAATCTGTCGGACTCCAAGATTTAAATGCTTCTTCTCCATCAAAAAATATAAATTGTAATGTTTTATCAGATTGTCTATAGTTTGTTGATTTATCAGATAAAATTGGTTGTAATATTTCAGCCATGTTCATTAAAATACCGCAAGGAACAGCACTGTCTGTAGCTCCAATAAATTCAAAATCAGGTGAATGCATGGAATCATAATGTGCTGCTAAAACAAGCCGTGTGGATTTTTTTGGGTTCTGAGTAACGATAATATTAGCAAACGATACATTGCCAAAGGGTGTCGTATCTATAAATTCATCTAATTCTACGTGCCAACCCAATTTTTGAAAATGTTGAACAATATACTCTCGTACTTGTTGATTAGCAGTTGTACCCGAGACTCTTTCTACTAAAAGGGGTTTCATGAGTTCTCCATCAACCGAAAGTCGTTTAGGTTCTATTAATTTTGCTAAATGTCGTAATGACTCATTTGTTAGACTTTTATAACATTCAATAAAGAATGGGAATAAAAGAAATAATAAACCAAATTGATTTATTATTGTCTTGATTTTCATTTTTTTTTCTTTTAAAAAAAGAAAGAAATGTATTAAAAAAAAAAAAAAAAAAAAAAAAAAAAAAAAAAAGGGCGTTATTGTTTTATTGTTATTATTACAACGACGACTTGAACGTATAATTGAGGACTTTTAAAATAGTTTCAAAATATTTTATTTTATTATTATTTTTTCTTTTCCAATCAATGGAAAAAAAAAATAATACCTGTCAAAGGTTAAAATCAACAAAAAACATGAATAATTATAAAGGAAAAAAAAAGAAATTGCGTCAAACTAGAAGAAAAAGAGAAGATAATAAAGAGGTGATATTTTATAGGAGACGAGGGTATGTGTGTATGCGCGCGCGTATGTGTGTGTGTATGTATGTATGTATGTATGTTTTTTGTTTGTTTGTTTAATGATAAAGTTGTGTATGATTCGATAAATTGCCTTTTGAATGAAATCGACGCTGACATATGGAACACCTTAAAGAAGTTGATGTAGATTGTCGACGGTATCCAATTATATTAGATGTAAATAAGTTTTTTTCTGGAAAACAAGTTGAAATAGGTGATGTTACTTCTTCCTCCTCTGTGTTAGACCAAAGAATGGAAACTTGTTGCTTCTGTTGTTGTATAATTGCATTCATAATACGTCTTTCTTCATATTCTTCAAGTGGCCATTCAGAAGTCTTATTATCAGTAAAAATAGGCTTGTGTGTATACATATGCAATTTATTATTATTATTGTTATTATTATTATTATTATGTAAGACGCTTTTTTTTTCCTTTATATAATTAACAAGAAAGAAGAAGATAATAAAAAAAATTAAAAAAAAGGGTGTATTTATGTATGTTCTTCAGTCATGAAGATTTTTTCCATAAATTGTTCGTAACTCCTAAAAATAATGCAAGAGAAAAAAAAATTTTTTTTAAGCCTTTTTGGAATACTTTGACGTCATTTTTTCTCTATATTTATATTTGTATACAACTTACCAGTTAGCTACTTTATGTCTATTAGTTATTGTTCGAACATCATTTGCTCTTTGTGCATAAACACATTTATAAAATGAATATAAGTTTGTATGGACTGAAGCACGAAATGCATTAATGGCCGTTGCTCTGACAAGTGAACCCAGAATGGGCTGAGATATAACCATTTGGTCAAAAAGTGGTCCAAAATAGGGAATCTATAATTGAAATGGCGTTTTAATTTTTATAACTCAGAATCAAAAGAAAACAGTAAGAGAATCTATTACCTTGGAATCGCGATACACTTGTATTGAATACAAGTTGTCTGGTAATGGTGTTACAATAATTTGTGCATTACCAAAATCACCTCCAATTGTTCCGATACGATAATCCCTGTCATGTTCATTCCAAACAATATGTACATGATCATTACCAATATGTCGTTTCTAAAGCATATTCAAGTATTGATAAAGAAGACTCCCCCTTTTTTTTTTTTTCTTAAATAAATAAATAAATAAAACGTACCTTTTTCAATTGCTTAGAATCTTCACTGTCCGTGGGTATTTTAGTTACATCATGAAATATCATTTCAAGGCTTGAAGAGCAGTAGTAAGTTGCTTGTGTTCCATTAGTTAAATTTCTTTCTAGCCCTCCAAGATAACCAGTGTGTGTAGCAATATCAATTTCCCAACCTAAACTATTTACAAAATTATTATATCTCTCAGATCCTTGATTATTTTGTAGTATAGTTTGCTCATCTTCTTGTCCATGAGCGACATAAATTAATCCAATCTTTATAGTTTCACGTCTATGTATAATATATTAATTATTCAAATTTATCTACTTTGTCTTTTTTGGTTATTTTTCCCGTTAATTTAGTTTACCCGTGTTTTCTATCAAGTCCTCTTAAATCCCGATATAATGCTGGTGTCTTGTTAAGCATTTGAAATGAACCATTTTTAAGTTGATTATAATGAATGAAGCCCATGTGACTCATCAATAAACGGCTTTGTTGAAAGTGACTATACGCTTTCTCTGCTTCTTGAGGAAACGCAGGTAAAAAATCCTTTCCTAAACTGAAATTAGCTAATAGCTGAGTTTGCATAGATTCTCCACGTTTTAGAATTCCATTTTCCGCTTCCTTTTCTCGAAGATGATTCATTTTTGAATACCAAAGTTGACTGCATAAATAATAATATTAATTTTAAACATCATAAACTTAACTTTTTTTTTCTGCTCTTTTTTCCTTACACATTAGTTCTATGTTGTTCATTGTTTTGAGCTTCATTTTGAAGATAATCATTTAAGTGTGAGCCCAAATTCCCTGTCATCTCCATTTGAAGAAGTGTTGGTGTACTTGGTACGTTTAATGGCAAACCGGGATCTAAAAGACAGTCTGGATGTGACTCTCCAATTCTAATACAGAATATTATGTAAGCTATTTATTTTTTTTTCTACTCATTTATTAGGTTAAATACTATACTGTTTCAATAAAATGCCCATAGGATCCTTGTCATTTAATTTTAAAGTTTCTTCTTTTTGACCAATCTCAGTAGGTCTAAGAGAAAGAGAGAAAAATCATGTTATTACTTTGCACAAAAGTTTTTTTTTCTTTTCTTTTCTTACACTTCATTTATGGATTGAATATTTAAGCCCCGTCTCAAAACAAATTGCTCTTCAGCATTTCCTATGGAATTTTTCTTGAAAGCAGTAGTAGTTTCAGAAGAACCAAATTTGGGTTCTAATCTAGTATCCCAGACATACCGCCCTGTTAAATCACGAATAATGATACGAGCTTCAGCCTCTAATAGATGAGGGGACATCAGGGTCCAGATTTCCAAAATAAATGAAAAAAAAAATAAGTTTTTTTTTCTTTTCTTTTTTTTTAAAAAAAAAAACATTTTTACCTCTTTGATTTGATTTTGGTAATTCTACAAAAGCAATAATTGTAGTATCATTAAAAGAAAAGTATTGGTATTGATGATAATTTTCTTCTTCTTGAGAGACACCTGGTCCAAGAATTGTACTATGAATAGTAGCAGGACCATTTGGTGGTGCAAAACTATTAAAATGATGTAATAGATGAAGAAGAACAGCTTCAGCAGATTCCTATATTTAAAGAAAAATAAGGTTATTAAATATTATCCTCTCTCTCTATATATATAAATATATTTACCTTAACATAGCTTTGGTCATTTTCAATCAAATGTACACCTTGATTTATAAATTCAAAATGAATATTAGGTCTTTTTTCTGGAGTTAACTTGAATTTAAATAAGGTTTCTTTTTTTTAGTATTCAAGTATCTTGGTGGATGTGGTAAAAGTTTTTCATGATTACCATCCTAAAAAGAAAAATAAAAGATGAGTATAAAAAAAGAATGTTATAAATATACATAGTTTACCGAACTAAGATGGAGTGCTAATTCAATACTATCAAATACAAGCTGACAAAGATCAGTCTCTGTGAAAATGATTGGTTCAATAGACATGATCCATTCCAGTAAACAACTAAATAGTTTAGATATAATAAAACCTCTTCCATTCTTTGGATTCTTTTCATAATATTTCAAATGCATATTAAGTGAATCTAAAATTCTTGTCAAACTTTCATGCATAATAATCTAATATTATGAATTAAATATTTTTAATTCTTTATGCTTTCTTCTCCTTTTCCTCCTTCCCCTCCCCAAAAAAAAAGAGCCCACCCGTTTTTCTTTTGCTTAACTTACTCCTTCAGGATCTAATTTTTCTTTATATGTTTGTGCAATAGTATTCAAACAGTCAACAGCAGTATTTACAATCGAAATATGATTCCAGTATAAATGGTTTGTCAAGGAAACAATACATTCATATATAATATCATATTGAGGACTAAAATGAATATAAATAAAATTATGTTCTATAAATAAATAATAAGTGTACGTGAGAGAGAGAAAGAAACTTACTTTTCAGAAGCTAATAATTCATCTAGAATTAAGGCACAAAGAGCACCGAAAAGCATACAATAGGTGTCTATTTCTTCATCACTTTGGGGTGCTGAGATTGTACTTGCTTTAACTAAACGAATAAATATGTCCTTTAACCGTACTTTGACATCTGTAAATGAAAATGCCTTTCCTAGTTGGAGTCCATGTACCCATGACATATGTTGCTCATCTATTTGAATTGTTATATCTTTAAGATGATTGGATACTGACACTAATGAACCTAAAATTATAATACAACTTCTTTTGACATTATGAGGCACTTGAGATGAAACATCATCATTCAAAAGCTAGACAAAAATATTAGACTTATATAGGGAAGAGAAGTGAAAGCGGAGGGGGAAAAAAAAGCTAATATACTTACTTGATTTTCGATAGCTGTAATAAACGATGGAATTAAGATATGAATGCCTGGTAAAGAAAACCCAAAGATACGCTCTGAATTGATAATAATAGATTGAATAATGATATTATTATTGGATGCTAATCCTTTTAGAATAGATTTATAAAAGGCTGCATAGTAGCCTTCCGGAACCGTTTCTTCCGATCTTTGTAGCATAAGTCGACATAAACTTCCATAAGCAGTTGCTTTACCAACATCATATACACTATCAAAAAAAAAAAAAAAAAAAAAAATTAGGCAAAGATAAAAATAGTCATCAATTAATATAAACTTACGAAGATAGTTCTGTCGCTTCAAATAACCAAGGTGCTATTTCATACATTGATGGAATAGGTATATTACGATAAGGCTGTTGAGCTCTTACTAAACGTAGAGTATCCCAAATATCGACAACGCAGTTCATAGCAATAGCATAATTTTGAGATCCCTAAATTAAACCCTTATAAATTAAATATCTTTTCATTGGCTTCATAAGTGTATCTTTAAATTTACCTCGATCTGATTGATATTACCTATAATAAGTAACATGTTTTTCCAAATAGCTAAAACTTGTTGGCCATCACAAACTAAATTATTTAAAATAAGAAATTCGGAGCTCTTAAAACACCCTAAATTAGTTGGTAGCTTTTCTGTTACTGAAGCAGAATTCACCATCATTAAAATCGATTCTCCAGCTGGCCAAGCAGAAGAGGATGATGTACGATTAGACTACAAATACAAGCATAAATTAGTTAAAAAAAAAGGAAATATAAATATATACATATTTGTTAATTACATTACCTTTGTAGATATTTCATCTATAGAACTACTAGTACTGCCACTATGATCCACTAAATCAATCATTTTAGTATCTTCCTCTTTATTTGCTGTTTTGGATATGCTTGCTTGAGAATCCCCATGATGAACCAAGTTGAGCAACTTGGATCCAGAATCCTGCCATAAAGTATCCAATTGTTGAATGCTGATCGCTCGACGTCCTTTTTCATTAGATGAGCTTGTATTAGCTATGCTCGTATTACTTCGTTTACCTAAAGCGGCACTTGATGGCTGTTGTGCGGGCATCATACTTTTGATACCAAATTTAAGATTCTTGGTTGGTGTTGTTGTTGTTTCTTCTTCTTCTTCCTCTGGCTTTTCTTCATCTACAACCGAGCTCAAATTAGTGGATTTACGGTCTGATTTAAAAGTATATGCAAAATCAGTTAAAGAAGCACTACTTAAGTTACGTAACAATGTTGATACACTTCCTTCTGGTTCTGGTTGAGGATCTTGCTGTCTAGCCTCAATGAGTTGTCCATCACTACCACAGGCAGAAAGTGGACGCGACACAGAATTTGACGTATTCCGCTTGTTGCTCTGTCGTCCCTGTATGCTCAAATGACGAGATCGTATCTTGGATCCCTTGCTACGTGATGTTGTAGTAGTCGAAGACATGTTGGTAATCTGCATTGAATAACGATTAGTGACGGGCATAGCGGACGCTGGTAATTCCTCAATCAAGCGATACTTGGTGTCTGAATAAAGATCATATTCAACTTTATATAAACGTGATGATAAAAGTTGTGTTAATTTCTGCATGATCCTCACCCATTGATTGATAGATTGAATCCAACGCATCGAACTCACCATATGTACCTTAAGCTGATGCCAGAATTCCATATGTACAATTTTAGCTCTTACAAAAGCATGTAAGGTTGTTTCCCAAATAAAATCAGCAAGCTCTTCTGCATAAGCTTGAACAGGGATTCGACTGTATTTTTCAGGCTGACTCATAAATCCTTGCTGAATCTCTAATAGGCACTGTAACATAAGCTCCCAACTCTCCGATTCAATATCAATACCCCCCTTCGAGACAGCGATCGCACGATAGAGGTTAAGTGCATCTTTATAAAGTGACACTAACCCTTCCCAATCCATTGTCTGTTGTGTATATGCTACCATATTATCCCGACTCTCCTCAGGTCTCTTTTGATCAAAAATTAATTTAATCATTAAAAGATAACGTCGTAAAAAGATGTTAGCATCTGAATAATCAGGTGGCGGTAGTTGTTTTGCACTGGTTTCTTCAACAGGTGATGCACGTGTGTCAATATGTTGCGTAGATACAGATGCAATACTACTCGAACGTGTCACCGTACTGCCAGATCGTCTCAAAAATGACGGTCGTTCTTCTTCACTACCTAATGTCCACACACCCAATATGTGGATGGCACCTCGAATGATATCTCGATACTGAGGATTTGAAGAAGGTAAAACTAATGATTGACGAATAATTTCATGCAATATTTCACGAGTTTCATGTGATGACAAGACGATTGATTTAAGAATAGGTGTAGCAGGTGAAGAAGAGAGTATGCTAGTTGGAATATGATTCTGATGTTGCCAATGTGTATTAGTTAGATGACTATTGTTATCAAGACAATAGCCAATCAGAAATCTTAACATAGTACGAAGAATACTTGGCGGGCAAACAGGAAATCCAGTTACTGTCTCTGAGTTATTTGGTGTACCTTCAACTTGAAGTGCCCTTGAAACAAAAGGAACAAATTTTGTCATATAATAAGTTCGGAAGATTTTGAATAAAAATTTTGCACTAGCAGTAGCTGCATCAATACCAACACCAGTTGCAATACCATCATCATGTTCAATATGAACACCTGGAGGATAATCGTATTCATCAGGTGGTGGGGGTGATCCTGCTGCTACATAAGCTAATCGAACAAGATTTGAAATAAAGATATGAATTAGAATAATTGAGTCATTATATGTAGGCTGTACTGGGTTAGGGTAAAGAGGTGCTACTGCTGCTGTTGCTGTTGCTGTTGCTGCTGTGGTTGTTGTTGCTGCTGCTGCTGCTGCATCTCCTAAAATAAAGTGTTGATCAAGTTGAATAGGACTAGTCTTGATCTTTTCATCACGTTGTAAACCATGCTTGATCTGCTTATCAGAATGATTTTCTCGTAGCTTCTTGACGAATTGTAATCCTGTTGAATGAAATTTATTTGTATACACGTTGTTTACAGGCGTTGCTTCAATGTCTTGATTATTTGAAGGAGATGCTGACTGCATAGATGCTGGAGCTTGGGATGTATTTGCACTAGTTGCTGTAGTGGTTGAAGAAGAAGCAGAGTGACCCATATAGGGTTGAATTTCGTCTAATATAAATAAGTCAAGTGAAATAGCGTTTGCAAATAAATTTATACATTCAGGATATTCAACTACTTGATCATTTAACCATAATAATAACAATTGAAAACCTAGTGCACGAAGTCTAAGATGATTACCATGATCGAGTATATGCGTAAGAATGGCAGCAATATTTTGTCTTTGCCATCCATTTCTCATTAATTCTGGTATATATAAAAATATTTTTCGAAGTAATAATAAATTCTTCTGTAAACTGACAAGTTCTTTTGAATTCCATGACTGAGGTCTTTCTGATTTATCTATTAAGACAAGATGCATGAGCTTCTTTTTTTTTTTTTTTTCTTAAAAATGTGTAATGTATACATACGTTTAATTTTTTCTATTTGGTGCATGCAAGTTTCATAAACAACCTGAAATACTTGTTCTGCATGTTCTTGAAAAAACTTTGCTTGATCAAAAGTATTAGTGGCATCTAAATTGAAAAGATGAGATGAGCTTAATTTGGATGAAAAAATAAAATAAAATGAGTGCATGTCACTGTACCTATAAAACTCCATAGGCTTTGAGCTCTAGTTTTAATTTTTTGCCTTTCATCTAAAAAGTGTTTTGCTTTCTTCTTTAATTTTTCAGGTTTATCATTAGTATTATTGTTAAGAACAAATGTTGAAGTTGAAGATAAGATGCGTCCATCTAATTTCGTGTTCTTTTCCTCTGGTATTGAAGTATTATTGTTATGCATCGTTTGAGTATTTGAGTTTTTCTTCAAGAAGGAAGAGGAGGAGGAAGAAGGTAATGCCTTCCTCATTGTGTTTGAGTAAGTCTATATATTACAGTAATAATAATAATAATAATAAAGGGAAAAAAACAGTTATTAAATTTATAATATACATAATAAATTTTTAAGGGGGAGGAAATAAAGGAGTCAAAGACAGATTTTATTTTACCTTTTATTTTATTTTATAACAAGACTTATTTCTTTAAAGAAATAAAGACTCTAAAGAAACGAAGCTTTATTTGGTTCTTTATTTAATGCGTTTTATGAATTTGATTAATTACTTGAATTTCAAATAAATTTAAACGAAGTCGGTTTAAATTAAATAAAAAAAAAAAAAATAATATAAAATAAAATAAAAGAAAAAAATAAAAAAAAAAATAAAAAAAAAATAAAATAAAATAAAATAAAGGTATATTACTTTATATAAATATCGAGCTTCATATTATTATTCAAATATTTTACTCATATAGAAAAGTAAGTTAATAAAGAAAAAAAGACCTTATTGAAGTTGAAAGCAATTTGTCCAAGTTAAATAAGAATAATAAACAGCAAAAAAATTATCCAAGGCGTAACTAGACTGGCCATATTAGATCCTATAATAGTTGATATCCTTTGTGAAAAAAAAAACAAACCCTGTTACAAGCATTGAACAGCAATACAAAGAAATTTGTGTAATCAAGGCATCATTTAAAAATGTATGTAAAAAATAATAAAGATGGCGTATTACTTCTTAAAAGTAACCAACATCAAGTCTCTTTTATCAAAGTACCTTTTCTTAAAATCCCTGAAGAAAGTGAACTTGATTCTTATGATTCCTCAGTAATTGTTTTACAACATGTTCAGTGCACTAATTAGCTTCAAGAAAAAGATATCTAACTTTATCAAAGATGGCTTTGAAACTTTTAAAATTAAATGTTGACTTTACTGAAGTTCTGTTGAATTCTTTGAAAAGTATTGTATACACGTCTACTCTTGCAACTTTAGCAAGATAAAATGAAGTAGTAGCTACGAAAAAAAATTATATTTTGTATAATTACAAAAAGGGAACACTTTTAGTATTTTTTGGTTATTTTTCTCAGATCAAGAATCTATTTCTAAATTGGGAAAAGCTTAAAGAGACAGTTACAAGTGTCTTGAATTTGTGGAAAATTGTCAAAATACAAATCTCTATTCAAAGTTTCATTTGTGATTCAAGTAACTGTATATCATTTATGAGGAATTCACAAAGAATAGATTTATCATGGAGAGTAAATCATTGAAGATAGTTTTTTTTTTAAAAAAAAAAAAAAAAAAAAAAAAAAAAAAAAAAAAGTGTATGGGAAGTGGCAAGGGCTCCCTTTTGCACACTGTTTAAGCAAGAAAAAAAATTATCATTAAAGGTAATTGACTTTTAGTAACATCAATTCGGATGAGCCTTTCATGCCTGGTACAAAACTAGGATGTGATCTGGATACTGTTTATAATTTTATAATCACAGTTAAACAAGGAATTCAAGATGGAACTTTTACTCCTGTAAAATATACTGATCCAAGTAGCGCTCGTTTTTTTTTCTCGACTCTTCTTTCATACATGGTAAAAATAAAATCAATTTAAATAGATCCTTGAGCATTTTAGTAAATTTTCGACCAAAGTGATGTGGATCCTTGTTTACGTAAATGAAATCGAATCATTTCTCTTGATGAATAGCTTAAGTTGCTTCAATGGTTATTTGACAACCAAAGTTAGTGTACCATTCTTCTTTCTTATCACATTATTTTAATATTCCTTTTATATTTTCTCTTTCTCTCTCTTCATCTCTTTCTCTTTCTTTTTCACCTTGTATCTCACAAAGACTTTTAGCTTCATTTTCACTTTTCTTTTGTTTGGCTAATTTGAGCAATTCAGTATCATTTAGACACTACAGACTCATAAAGATTAAAAATTTGAATATGTAGTAAAGAAAAAAAAATGATTTAATGGAATAGATTTTATTAACTATACTCTAATTATTAACAGTTCAGTACCTGAAGCGTTATATCAATTTTTAGAACTTCTTTTTTTTTTCTTTTCAAAATTATAGAAAAAGGAAAAGAAATATAGTTCTTACTATATTGGTTGATAAATAATATATAAGTAAAAAGTATAATTTAGTGATTGGGCTATTTGTTTTTACTATACATACTTGCACCAGCATATCTGTAGGTGTTATTAATGCGAACAGTCTTTAACACCTACTTTCAGTCCGTCTTTTATTCTCAAATATTTCGTTCTCAGATGAAGGAATACAGCTCGTTCATCAGTCGTTTACGTTACAAGATTCTAAAGCAATTAAAATTATCAAAATCAAATCTTTAGTGGTTCATTCCAAGTTTCAATTAGAAGTGGTGATTCGTTTGGTCCAATAATTTACAATGCAAGAATGTGTTTCTATTCTACAAGCATGTTTCTTATTTTGCACCCTACAGATAGAATATTTCCTATACAGTCATCTCACACACTATTTTCAGCCCTTTGTTTTCAATAGTATAAACTTATCAAGGTATTTTTTCAGCAACTTTATGCTTTCAATATCTTTAGCTTTTATTTGCATTTGTTTAAACAAAGTTATTATTAATTTTTAATTAATAATTTTGACTAATATCGTTCTAGACCGCTTTGCTGTTTGTAGAAAAAAAAAAAAAAAAAAAAAAAAAAAAAAAAAAAAAAAAAAAAAAAAAAAAAAACTTATGCACTGATTATGTTCTCTATATCTTCTATTAAACGTAGTTGTTGTACTCTATGTTGATGCCTTGGTTAGTTGCTCGATGATGATCGTTATCCTTATCTCTAACATTCAGCACTATAAAATTTGACTTGATAGTAATAGCATTCATTTAAATATCTCTCATATATGTGCCGTCGTCACCTCCTGTTACTGCCATCCCTTTTCATTGAAGATCCGCTATTATTCATTATGAACAAGCTTCCCCGTAGTAAAAAACCTAAGCAACTTTTTTTATTGATTTATATGTTGGTCTGGCATCTGTTCCACTCTTTATATGTGTATTAAATTATCTATTTTCAAGACATACTCCTTTCTCTTCTAATTTTTATATTTTTTTATTCTTTTTTTTTTCTTCCTTAACACCTTCTAAACTAACTAAAACAATAAGGCACATTTTAGTTCTATATATCCTATTTATTTATTATTAGTTTCCTCTTTTTATTTTTAATTATATAAAGAGTGTGTTCATAAATTACAAATGTATCATAGGAATTACTAACTAAAAAGAAAAAAAATAATTAATTATTCAAGTATTACGAATTATTATTTATTCAAAGTAATGAAAAAAAAAATGAATTTACTTTTACTTTTAGGTACTGCATTACTTAGTTACGGTGGGGAGGGTAGGATTTTGTAAACGGAAGGGGGGTGGTAGGAGGTTTAACGAAGACAACACTTTAAATAACCGCTTGATTCATATCCATTGCTAATTACTATAGCAATAAATGTATGCCTTTATAGCTTTCTTGACACACTTTAACAAAACCTGATGAATTCAGGTTCAAGTTGTCAAGCAACAATGAACACGATAATACATTGCTACGCGTGATAGACAAAATAAATAATAATAATTTTTTTTATGACAGTCAAAGTTTTCTTTAATTTTATTGGACCACAAGACCTTTTTTATTCTATTTTTTATTTTTTTCTCTACAAGACTTTTTTTTTTTTTCTTTTTTCTTTAATTATAATTATTAGATTAAAAAAAAAACTAATGGAATCTCAACAATCAAGTACGGCAAAAATATGAACTGCTTTACTCAAATATTAATTAATTACTTTTTTATAACCTTTTTTTTTCTTTCTTTCTTTCTTTCTTTCTTCTTTAAATAGGCTCCTCTGGTGTAGATATTAAAAACAAGAACGGTAGTTTTACTGCTCCCACACCTCAAAATACACCAATCAATCCTGCTCCTATTACTTCAAATTATCGTCCTTCTATTCCCGCTATTTCTGAAGATGCAGAAACGATTAATACTAAGGGTATACATACATATATATATATATATATATATATATATATATATATAATAGGTTAATAAATAAGTGACTAATACATAGTATGATATTTAGGTTCATCATCTAATGATAACCCTCTCGCCGGTGCATTCACTGGTAATCCAGCTCTTATCAGCATGCTTCAGGGTAAATTAGGTACTTTGGTAGGCCGTCCTTCAGGTTATATCGATCAATTACCTGCATCTGTCAAACGTCGTTTGAATGGTCTCAAATACCTTCAATCAAAGCATGCTGAACTTGAAAATAAATTCCAAGAAGAGGTTTTGGCTTTAGAAAAGAAATATCTTGAACTCTATCAACCTTTATATGATAAACGTGCCAAGATGATCAATGGTACATATGAACCTACTGATGAAGAAGTTGCTTTGGGTAAAAAAGTAGATGAAGAGGAAGATGTGGAAGAAGAGGAAGAAGAAGATAAAAAGACAGCAAATGAAGAAGAAGATGATGATGTAAAGGGTGTTCCTGAATTCTGGTTAACTTTATTAAAGAATCATCCCCAAATTTTTGAAACAATTACTGAAGAAGATGAAGGAGCCTTGAAACATTTATTGGATGTTCGTATGTCTTATATGGATCAGCCTGGCTTCAAACTTGAATTTGAATTTTCTGAAAATGACTACTTTACTAATAAGGTTCTCACAAAGACTTACTACTATCAAGACCATGCTTATGGTGGTGACTTTGTTTATGATCACGCTGAGGGTTGTCAAGTGGATTGGAAGGAAGGTAAAGACTTAACCGTCACTGTTGAAACTAAAAAGCAACGTCATAAAGGCACCAATAAGACTCGTGTCGTCAAACGTACCGTTCCTTCTAATTCCTTCTTCCACTTCTTTAATCCTCCTACTATTCCTGATGAAGATGAAGAACTTGATGAAGAAGAAGCCGAAGGTTTAGATGCAAAACTTGAAGCCGATTATGAAATGGGTGAAGAATTTAAAGATAAGATTATTCCACATGCTGTTGATTACTTTACTGGCAAAGCACTTCAATACGAAGACTATGAAGACGAAGATGATTATGTAAGTTTTTTTTTTTTTTTTGTTATAAAAGCTTATTGTATACTAACTTGTATAATTAATTATAGAATGACTACTATGAAGATGAAGATGACGAAGAAGAAGATGATGATGAAGAAGATGATGATGACGATGATGATGATGATTCTACTGTAAGTTCCTCATTTATAACTTTTTTTATAAATAGTTTTATTTATTTATTTTTTGTTTCATTTTTTTTTAGCCTGCTAAATCAGAGAATGCTCCTGAATGCAAGCAATCTTAATTTCATCTATTTTTTATTGTAATATTTCTTTTATATATACACACATGCACATATATATTATATACATATATATATGTATATACATTCACAACATTACATAAATAAAAATTGAGTTTTTCTTTAAGAATATATTTATTTATTTTGTCGATAATTTCTTCTTCCCTATCGTCAAGTGAACAATAAAGACAAAAAGAGTTAATAAATGAATAAGCCAATAAATTTGATTATAAGCCTTAATTCCTCTTGCAAGCGTCAAGAGATCAAAGCCAACGATTGCATAATTAAAGCAAGTTGTGGCCGTCAACCAAGCAATTAATTTCCATGCATACAGACAAGTGGTATCTTGATCGATCCAGGGTTTCACAAAGGGAACATAGAACCGAGCACGAATGATACGTTCAGCAACCACAAATAAGAACTCCAGCAAGAAAGTTTGAAAATAATTAAAATGAAAGCCATGCCAGATAGCCAAGAAAAGCAATGCACCCAGTTGAGACAAGTCCTTATTACCCAAGAAACGAAGTCGTTTGAAAACATAATGTTTCACCCACAGGTTCGTATTGATGTTAAAGTTTGGAACTAAATGTTCAATTGAAGTAGATAATTCAAATTCAAGAGGCCTTGAGTTTGCTAATCCAGAGAAACTAGGTGCTGTATTCTCATCACCTTCTTGATAAGTAATACCAAAATAAGTGCAAGCCCCTAATAAAGAGAAAGCAATGAATATGTATATGTATATATTATTCTTTTTTTTTTACCTTCTGTTAATAACCATACACCTACATATTTGACAAATACCATCTTTCCACAAATCCAAAATTCAACAAGTTTTTTTAGAAATGATTGATTTGAAAATTCTGGTGTAAGGATATAAGAAGTAGGGTATATAGCACCTATTGTTTGAAGAAGAATGATATAGATAATACCAATCATTAAGCAACGATTGATATAGTTCTTTTGTGCCCTTTTAGTATGCATCAAAGCCTTCTTGTCGACTATCTTTTGTCGATTGTAGGGACCAGTAGATGATAAGAATCGATTATAAAGTGAAAAGGAAAATTGGGGTCCAATTAAAAAGGCAGAGGGAAAGAAACAATAGGCATAGACATCCTTTAACTTTGGTAACTTTTCTAAGGGTGAATCTGAGGGAAACGAATGAGGGCCACTTATTTTTTTCTCCGATGATTTCATAGTCGATGGTGTCGTCTTGTTATCCTTCATGATAGCACCGTCCATAAAGTCCATACTAAATCCCAAAAGACGTAAACATAAGACACATTGTGTCGTTGTCCAGCCAATATCATATCCATCAGAGGCGTAAAAATAATAGCCAATCATTAAATATAATAAATTAAATATCCAAACAAGCAACGCACTAACGCGTCGATTATGATAAAACCTGTCCGTTATGTAACATATATAATAACTAACAGCGATAGTAATTAAAGAATGAATTATCTCAAAGCTGTTAAAGAAAAAGGCAAGGGCAAGACCTGAGAGGAGAATGTATGTATTTCGTGCTTCTCGACTAGCATTAGGTTGTTGAATTACATATTTTTGATTGTATATATAGGCAATAGGATATGCTAACATGATAGTCATAAAGAGTCGAATATTAGGCTCTGACACACCAATTAACCATGATATGCCCTGTGTAATGAATCGCATTTTTTTTGTTTGTTAATTTATTTACTTTCTTCTTCTTCCTCTTATAAATGCCTTATTAAGGAAATTATACTAAAAAAAAAAAAAAAAAAAAAAAAAAAAAAAAAAATAGTTAAAGTTAAAGAAAAGAGCTTAAAATATATTCGTATATAAATGTATATATACATTGAAGAGAAACACGTATATTAAAAACTGCAAATATGATAGGCCAAGCAAATAATCTTAATTTAAAAAAAAAAAAAAAAAAAAAAAAAAAAAAAAAAAAAAAAAAGCCATGTGAAATTAAGACTTCTCTTTGATGAAATACAACGTTTTCAAGTAAGCTTCAAGAAAGAAAAAAAAATTTTTTTTTTTGTCGGCGGCGATAACAATAAGACATATAAATGCAGATCTTTTTATAAAAATAGAAAAATATCTTACTCTTATAAATATATATGCCTTAAAATAGCATTTATTTTTTTTATTTTAATATTTGCTTTATTTGTTAGGAATATTACATAGAAAAGAAGAATGTACAATAAATTAAAGTAATCTATTACTTGCGAAGCTTATGAATCTTTGCATCACAACCATTTTTAGGAATTGCTAAGCCAATACGATTATTGCTAGCATCGTAGATATGATAAAAATTATTAAGAAAGGCACCACCTAAGATCCAGGCCTTTTCGTCATCTGTGTTTCTATTAATTAAACTGTAGCATCTATCAGCATCACGTTTATCTTTTTTGATATAAAGTTTAGGAGGTAAAGAGATACGATAACCATTAAAGTCAAGTTTTAAAGTAGGATATTTTTCATCAAGATTATCGCAACATTTTAAAACGTATCTTTGATCGACTTCATCATATTCAGCATTAATAGCAGCGTTTAAAAGATCTGCTTGCTTTGAAGGAGCCGAGATATAATTAGAACCTGTAGTAAATGAAGCTAATGACTTGGGTGCCAGTTTAATATCTATCTTATCACCTAATTTAGCACATTTGATTTCTGTTTTCCAAAATGGAGAATCACCATAATCACAAGTAGGTAACTTAAAGTAAGCAATATCGCCCTTATAAACATTGTGGTCAACACCACCAAAGATAAATTCGCCTTCCTCTGATTCTTCATTATCTCTCTTTTGGTAGAATCCATTTCTGTTCGTTATATAAAAACTGAATTGTTGTGACGTCCTGCCATAAGCAGTTTGGAACCCATTCTGGGCAAATCCAGCACCATTGACAACTAAAAAAATAAAAATAAAATTAAGTTAATAAATGTAACTTATAAATTAAAGTCCTGGAATCTTTTTTTTTCTGTATTTTACATTGACGTTCTAAATATAAATAAATATATAAAAAAAAATGGGCTTAGTAAATTATACATATTCAAATTTAATTTTGTAAACTTTACTTGAAAGAGTTGAAGCTGAGTTATTGTAATAATTTGTAGAGCCATCAGCATTAAATCCACCTAGACCAAGAGATCCGACTATTTATTTAAAAAAAAACGTCATCATTTAGTAATAATAATTATTATTATTATTATTTTTAAAAAAAAAAATACGGAATTTACGATAGTTTTCACCACCAAGGCCTTTTACACTATAAGCGCTACCGAACATTTGATTACAAACTTGAAGTCCTGCAACAGACATGCATTCCTATTTGAAATTTTATATTAGGGGAGTTTTCCTTTTTTTTTTTGATTTATAATACTTTACAGTATATAATCTAGCATCAATACAAACTCCTTCATCATATTTGATTGAAACTTTTGGTCTATGAAGATTTACAGCTGTTGAAGATTCAGCAGGATTATAAAGGTGGGCTTGTTGACGACATTCTCGAGTACGACACTAAATGTATATAGAAAGGTTAATTCATTATATATAATAAAATAAAAAGAATTGAATATTACATCAACAGAAGGTATCCAAGTTAATGAATTGCTTGTGTCAAAAACAACTGGAAAATTTTGTGGAGGTGTACCTAATATTTTTATTTTATTTATTATTATCATCATTGAGCCGGAACTATATCCGATAATAAAATTTATTCTTTTTTTTTTTTTATTTCTTTTCTTTTCTACTAGACATACCGACTTTAATAGTTGCAATTGGCTATAAAGCAAAATATATACATTTGTTATTAAAATCATATAGTGTTATTATTATTTGAAATAATTTACCACTCCATCTTCTATTCTTATACGCTCTCTTCTTAAAGAGCATCTTTTTTCAAGTGTTGCTGCGAAAATATTTGGAATCAATAAGATTGACGATAATAATACAGTAAAACGCATATTTTTATTGTTATCAAGCAAATAAAAAAAAAAAGAAAAAGAAAGGAAGGGAAAAAAAAAAGGGAAAAGAATGATTTTTTTTTATGTTTTTGTTTTGGCTTAATATAAACGAATCGAAAAAAAAAAAGAAAGAGAAAGTTAAGGGGACGACCGTGTAACGTTGGTTACCCTTCTTATGACTAGACTAAACCAATGACCGGTACGGAACAAGAAACCATAGCAATAAGGGGAACCAAAAATAGATCAGCATTTCTATATTCATCATGTATATGTAACTATATTGTTTGTACTACAATGAATATTTATAATAATAATACATGTAAATGATATAAGATCTACTACTTTATGTCAGAAGGATTATAATAGAGTGTTAATTATGATAAAGATATTCATTAAGAGTATATAAAATTTATATTAAATAATGTCAATGAATTATTTAATAAGCCTTATTAAATATTGGTTTAGATAATAATATTAGCCACAATAATGAATAATAGATGTGAGGTAAATGTGTTACAATCAAACAGCCTTTTTATAAATCTAAATATACACATATATAAAGGGTTTATAAAAACCAAGCCAAATTTAAATTTAAGAAAAAAAAATCACAATTATAATGATCTTCAATTATCAAATTTAGAAATTATCATTATATTAAATTAAATAAGAGAAAGTAACAGCTGTCGCAATCAACATGAAAAGACTTTGTTCAAGATAATTTAGATTAGAAATCGACATTGAAGTAGAGGTACTTGTAGAATTAGAAGAAGGAACACTAGGCATAATTGAGACTACATTATTGCTTGGCTTTGCTGTTGCAGAAGGGGTAGAAGAAGGTGCAATAGAACTACTTGTAATGCTTTTTTTTTTTTTTTTTTTTTTTTTTAGGAAAAAAAAAAGGTAAATTTTCAGCCACATATTCACATGTTCATTCATTTATTATATTTCACTTACTTATTATAAGTTTGGGCAATTGAACAGAATGTGTCTTTTAATCCTTGTTGTGAAGCTCTACCAAGATTTTGAGGGCAATTATCAAAGCAAGTTAATTTAGCTGTATGCCACTATACAAACTATAAGTAAACAAATACTGTATGTTTATAATTATGGATTCAATGTGTTTTACCTTACAAAGACATGCATAATCTACATAATGGATGAATATTAAATTGTTTAGTTTGGTAATAATAATAAGCCTTAGCCAATTCTATTTTTACCTCTATCAATACAAGTCTTTAAATAATTATCCTCATTTGAAAGACAGGTGTCCAATCTATGAATCATTATTTATTTATTTATTTTATTTTATTTTTGGTATATTTTAATCTAGATCTGTATTTATATAAACTAGTCTACACATACACGTTTTGGGCTGCACAAGCAGCAGTTTGAGCAGCTACCATTTGAGAAAACGCAAATACAAGTGCGACAGCAACAAAGAAATATTTCATTTTGATTAAAAAAGAAAAAGAAAAAAGAAAAAAGAAAAAAGAAAAAAGAAAAAAGAAAAAAGAAAAAAGAAAAAAGAAAAATTAAACTTAATTATTCATTCTTTTTTATATAATTATACTATAGGAGAAAGATATAAAAAGGAGAAGTTTGAAAGGAGATACGCATAATAGCCATCTTTCATAGTATGTAAACCTGTTAATAAGAAGGGAGAAAGTATATTCAAGCATTGAAATTTTGCTATTTATTAAGAAATATAAGTGTATATATACACATAAATGGTAAATAAAAACCTCTTTAAAAGTTTACTTTATTTCTGTTTATCAGCTTTGCCCGATCAACAAGTTTTATGATAGTATCTTGTGACTCTTGAAACTTGATTCAATCTGGTAGTTCTTTTACTTTATTTTTATTGACATTTAATATGTGTCGATCTATATCTTAAAGTTATCTTTTGGTCACGGTCACTGCCTCTATTGGAAATTTAGCTGCCTTGTCGGTTAAAGAATATATAAATGTATATCCTTCTAATAGTTAGAAAAATACGGCTAGTAAATCTACATGCTACAAATTCTTCAAAAGAACTAGTAAATTCTATTGATTATATCATAAATTTAATTACAATATAATCCATAAAATTACTTTATTTATACTGACATCTTATTTACTCTAAAAGTATCCATAATTTTTAGGAAATTAAAAAGAACAGCCCTCAGCACACTATGTATGGCTTCATAAAAAAGGGGTAAAAAATAATAATAATAATCATAAAACTGCTTCAATATAAAATAATCTATTATTGTACATAATAAGTATATACATTTATGTATATAAGAAGACCATCACCGGCAATTAGTAATTCTAATTCGCCTACTGTAACCCTATGATATATGCACCTTATTAATTATATAACAAATGACTTTATTAGGTATTTTGTAATACGCCTTTTTTTTTTTTTTTTTTTTTTTTACAAGTACGATGATTTAAGTTCGGTAACTCTTGACTAAAACTATAATCTTTGAATATAATAATTTTGATAGCACCTTATTCTGCATGTAATTGAATTTATGCAATCATTTTTTTCCCTTTATAGACGAATAGGTAATAAAGTATTATATTTAGTAGACTTATTCAGACACTAATTCTGTAGTAGCGCTAGTAAAAGTTATCGTAATTAGGAAAACTTCAAGCAAAGATACTAGAGGTGATATTTAATTATATTAAAATAAGAGGGGAATAATAATAACAATGAGAGACCAAATGCTTGTATACAAATGAGAGAGAAGTAGCGTGACCGTAAATCATATCCAAGTTGACTCAGCGTGAAAAGTACGTTTTTTTTTTTCACTTCTTTCGCTTACTTAAACTTAACTTGTTCCTTTTAAGTTTTTTTGAAAGTTGAAGGCTATGTAAAATGTTCTCATCATCATCATCATCATCATCATCATCTGATAAAATGATTACATCACTGTTCAAACTGGCCTTTTCTATTATTAATTGTTGGGTATCATCACCACTGCTTACGAAAGAAGAAGAAGAAGAAGAAAGAGAAAAATGATGATTTTCCTTTTCATTTTTGCTCAAAGGTATATCATCGCCAGTCATTATCTCTATTACATTAGTTTGTTGCTTCGATTCTTCTGATTTCATTTTTATTATTTTCTTTTCAGCTATTACAAGCGACCTTAATCCATTATCCATTTCTTTAACGTTTATCTTTTGCTTTTTATTATTCTTCTTCACTTTGTTCGATAATAGCTTCTCGTCTACCGTCTTTAGATTACTTGTCTCGGTTAACACTGTTGTACTTTTCCTCTTTTTTGTCTTTTTGTTTGTTGGTTTGGTTTCATGTGTTTTTGAATTATCATCATTTGTAGTGGTGGGTTTTTTATTCAATACATGTGATGATGATGTTAGGGTGGAAATGACTGTTAGTGGTTGACTTGACGCGCTTTGTGATGAACTTTTGGTCTTTGAAAGTGATAAAGATAATTTGTTCTTTTTTGATCCGTTTTTTATTGAATCGAATTCAAGTCCAGCTTGTTCCTCTTCTTTCATTTTTTCTTCGGTCTCTGTTGGTGGATTTTCCTATTTGAATAATAATTAAAAATTAGTAAAAATAACGCTATTTATAAAACAACATATACAATAGACGTATTCTCTTCTAACATCACAGCTTCCTCTGTTGCATATTTTTTGGTATACTCTATAGCTTTTTGTTTAAAGGTTGGATAATCAAGTTGAAATTCTTTAGCAATGTCAGCATCAAGAGGATCATCAGGATTAGGATCAGCTAATAATTGACTCAAAAGAATTAATGTAGTTGACAAGTTCAGGGCAGGCTTCCAACCTCCCCTTTCGCCTTTTTTTAAAATGTCTGCACAGATTCTGCCTGCATCATCAATGTTAGGATGATAAATAGATGTTATAAACCGTATTTGTGGAGGATCGAATGGGTAATTTTGTGGTATTTGTATAGTGAGTTTAAATAATCCTTTTTCATAAGGTGAATCAGGTGGTCCTTTAATATCTAGTTATATAACGAGAAAAGTAATTAAATTTCTAGATTTAACAAAGACCAGAAAACATATATATAAATTTACAAGCTTCCAAATCTGTCAATTTGTCTTCTTTGGGATAACAGCTAATACCTGGCGGGGGATCTCTCTCTAAATTCACTACATGTATAATAAGTAAACAGTAGACATAGAGATTCTAATAAAAAAAAACTACTTGATAAAACATACTTAATTCCTTCTTCAATCTATTGTTTAGAATCTCACTATTCATTTTTGAAATAATTATAGAATGAAGACAAATAATAATAGTATGAATAATAAGATTTTTTTTTTTTTTTTTTTGAACTCTTTTTCAAATCGCGCTGCTTACTTTTTTATTCTGGCGTTTATTCGTGTTTTACGGTTAAAGAAGTTGCTGCTCCTCTCTCCATTAAACACACATAATTTATATTTTTGAAGTAGTGTTGATTGAAATACAATATGAGTAATAGATATAGTCAAAAATTATGCTGGTTCTTAAGAAAAAAAGAGGGGGCTATTTTATTTTATAACAAATTTAAACTGCATATTTGTTTATTTCAAATTTTCCTGAAAAACTACTATATGACAAAGAGTAATTATTGCTTCAATACAAGATAATCTAGAGTAAAACTGTATAAATAACTTATAAATGAAATACAAATAATACAGCAATCTTAGTTTAGAGAATGAAGAGATGCTATTAATTGGCACGAATAAAAAAAAAAAGAAAGAAAGAAAGAAAGAAAGAAAGAGAAAAGAGTGAGTGAGAGGAAGTTAGCGTGACCATATAAAAAATGCTACGAACACCTACTTGAAAGAGATGTTATTCTTTTATGCCTCAAGCATATTAATTTAAGTCGCAGTCTTTTAGGGGGGATTTATTACATAATTATTCTGGTAAAAATCTAAAATAGAAATGATTTTAAAGCATCTTCAGAATATGAATTCGTTGTGTGATATAACAGCATCGTTCATCTCCGTCTAAATCCACATCTTTTCTTTTATTATCACATGAAGGCGTAGTACTATTGACAGATACGATTAAAATTGAATTTTTATTTTTTTATTTTCTTTTATTTTCTTTTTTTTTCTTTTCTTTTCTTTTGACTAAATGAGCACATAGCATTTTTCATCTGCTGTATTGCCCTAGTCAGTTTTAATAATATGCAAGTAAGAACACCTCTCTTAAGAGACAAAAGGAAAAAGAATAAAAGTATATATGTAAAAGATAGGATAAATAGAATGAGTTAAAGGGAAACAAAGTAATTGGAAAAAAGATCAGTAAAATAAAATTCAGAGAGAGAGTACAAGGATATTAACACTTTTAATTGAGTAACCATTTCACTAGTAGTGCACCGGGTTCTGAGGGAGGATCTAGAGGTAGCTTTTTTTTTATGAAAGAGGTAATCCATTTCATATAGAGTGATACAAATAGATGGCCAACGGATTGTCTAAGGGGTCACATCCTGTGAGCGTTTTAGCTTTTTAGTTGGCTAGTTGGTTCAGCAGGAAGGAGAGTGGGTCTGTGACCGTTCTTGGCATTTTGGAGTCTACAGTGCTTATGTAAACATTCAATGGAATGAGTACGATTAAACGTTTGAGAAGGATGGTAGGGACATGGACAAGGTATACCAAACATTGCAGGTTGTACGAACGGTTGCAGTTTTTGCCATATGTGAGATTGATCTACTGTATCGTATGCCGATTTTATATCAAGAAAAATCAACGTCGATTTGAAGCGATGATATTGACGTAGAATATGATAGAGTTCTGTGAGGCATAAGACCTGGTCAAGGGAACTACAAACTGCACGAAAACCTCCTTGTGTTATATCTAATGGAGGGCTAGTGTAAATGAGTTCATGATATATGCGTTTTTTTTCAAACAACTTTCTAAAGGTAGATATTAGATTAATCGGTCGAAAGTTGGCTGGATCTATTGGACCTTTTTTTTTTTGTGGATAGGAACCACTCATGCCACTGGTCATGATAGTAGTGTACAAGACCTCCCCCAACATAATTGGAACTACTTGAATTGGATCACTATTTTCATGATAAATTTCCATTCCTTCCCGTTGATCCTGATTGCAAACTGTTAAATTGGTTATCCAAGTAATAGTATAAGTCTCTCTGTTTATTCTGGTCTCCTTTTTTTTTTCATTATATCTCTTTTCTTTTATTCTTTTATATATTTTAATTATTTTGTTCTTTCCTTTTTCTATTTCTTTTTTACTCATTTGTCTCTTGGGAGGTTTTTTACTCTTATAACCACTTCATAACAGGCTCAGGCAATACAGCACATTACGTTGCTACATGCTCACTGCCAAAAAAAAAATTACACAGAAATAAAATAGAGTTTAATTCATAATAAAATCTGACTAAGTGGCTTGTGACCGCTTTTACTAATTAAGCTTCTTAGGTAATAACTTGATGTGCTTATTTTTTTTTTTTTTTCAAAATCTTTTTTGTTTCTATTTTATCCTTTATATAAATATATAATGCCACCAAAGAAGAAGCAAACCAGTTCACTCGGTAGAGCAGTTATCAAATCTCGTTTTCAAGGACAGAGAGCTATTGGTATTGATGAAGGCAAACTTGTAAGTAAATTTAGCACATTGTTGATAGATCCCCTAATATTTTCGTAGCATACAACTGACTATAATGAACAACCTAAATGGGTTAAAATGCAAAGTATTACACAAGAAAATGACTTGGATGCATTCTTAAGTACTGCTGCTCTTGCTGGTACAGACTTTACAGCTGGTAAATTTCCCTTTTATTCTATTCTATTTTAATTTTAATTTTTCAAGGCACCTTTTATTTTATTTTTAATGTTATCGAGCCCTAACTGTGTTGTTGTTTTCTTTTTTCTTTTTTTCTTATAGAAAGATTAAATGTGAAAGTTATTCAAAACGATTATCATAATCCCTTTTTAAATTCAGAACAAGAAGAAAAAGAGCGCATCAAGAAGCAAGAAGCAAATGTGGATCGACTTGCGATTCCACGTAAACCCCATTGGGATAAAACGATGACAGCAGAACAAGTACAACGAAATGAGCGTGAGAGCTTTTTAGATTGGCGTCGAACGATGGCTGCCTTGGAAGATGAGGAAGGTTTATTATTAACACCCTTTGAAAAGAATCTCGAAGTGTGGCGTCAGTTGTGGAGAGTCATTGAAAGATCTCAATTAATTGTGCAAATTGTTGATGCTCGTAATCCTTTATTGTTTAGATCAGCAGATTTAGAAAAATATGTCAAGGAAGTAGACGAAAATAAAGCAAACTTATTATTAATTAATAAGGCTGATTTCTTGACTGAAAAACAAAGAAAGACCTGGGCTGATTACTTTGATGCAAATGGAATTAAATATACTTTCTTTTCAGCTGCTCTTGCTAATGAGAAAATGCGTGAAGAAGAAGAAAAGCGAAAACGTGAAGAATTAGAAGCCAGTTTGAAGGCACAAAAAGATGAAGAAAATGAAAGTGAAGAAGAAGGAGAAGGAGAGGAGAAAGAAGAAGGAGAGAAGAAAGAAGAGGAAAAGAAAGAAGAGGAAAAGAAAGAAGAGGAAAAGAAAGAAGATCTTGAAAAGTTAACAGAAAAGATATCAAAAACTACAATTGAGTCAAGTAATAATAAACCAGAAGATGATCGAACACGTATTCGCACAACTACAGATTTATTAGATTTATTAATTGAACAAACACCTGTTATTAAAAGTATGCTTATACATAAAAAAAAATGGATAAAAAAATTAACTAATGACATCATAACCTGTAGATAATAACGGCGAAGTTGAAAAGATCACAATTGGTTTGGTTGGTTATCCTAATGTTGGTAAATCAAGTACAATTAATGCTATTATTGGTGAAAAGCGTGTGTCTGTATCATCTACTCCTGGTAAAACAAAGCATTTCCAAACTATTTATTTAACACCCTCAATTGTTCTCTGTGATTGTCCTGGTTTGGTCTTCCCTACCTTTTCAACAACTAAGGCTGATCAAGTTTGTAATGGTGTTTTACCTATTGATCAACTTCGTGAACATTCAGGTCCCTGTGCATTGGTAGCTAAACGTATTCCCAAAGCTGTTCTTGAAGCTACTTACGGTATTCGTATTCGTACAGTTCCTATCGAAGATGGTGGAACTGGTATTCCCACAAGTTCAGAATTTTGCTCTACGTATGCTGTCGCTAGAGGCTATTTCCGTTCAAGTCAGGGTAATCCTGATGAAGCTCGTGCTGCTAGATATATTTTAAAGGATTATGTTAATGTAAGTAAAGTCATGTATTCAATTTTATAATTTTTGATATTTATAGATGTATAGGGTAAACTTCTTTTCTGTCACCCTCCACCTGGAGTAGATGCAGATGAATTCAATAAAGAGAATCATGAAGCAGCGCTTAAAATATTCAAAAAATTAGCTCCCTCAGTACGAGTACCAGCAAAGGCCTTAAATTATATTGCACCCTCTGATGGATCTAAATCCCAACCTGGATCTAAAACAGATGCAGTGGATAAAGCCTTTTTCGAAAAGCAATTATCACAACCTCAGGTGAGCGGAAAGAACTCTGCAGCAGCTTCACTCACTGGTGGTCGTGTTACTTTATTCCCTCATCAACGTATGCTTGCAGATGATGGTACACCTATGAATAGAAAAGCTCGCTTGGCTTTAATCCAAGCAAGTTTGGGACTTGATCCAGATGAAGTTAGATCAAAGAAGCATAAAAAGGGAAAGAAGCACGTTAAAGTTAGAAGTGGTGCTGGTTATGATTATATGTAAATGAAATATCCACTTTAGAAAAAAAAAATAATATACAACTTTAAAAAAGGAAGAACCGTTATAATTTGTATAAATTGTATAATTTTTAGCTTAATAGTATAAATATAAATGCATTTTTTTTTCTTTTTTTATACGTCATTTTAATTGGATAATAATGATTATTGATAATGGCCTCAAACATGCTGCTTATAAATTAATACGAAAAAAAAAAAAAAAAAAAAAAAAAAAAAAAACACCCCTTCCCCATTCAGGGTTATTATTATTTTTATTTATTAATCATTTTAGTCTCAAAATGAACTCTTTACGTATTCTTACTCGATCTACTACCAGACAATGTAAATATATTTATTTGTATAAATAGAAGCAATTAAACACGTATTCATTCTATTTTATTCATTTAGCTGTTCGTTCATTCCATGCTGCTCAACCCCGTATGTCAGGAAAGACAATTGAAGCGACTGCTGAAACATTCGGTTCACTTGTAGAAAAAGCTGATCATCCTGTCATTGTTGATTTTTATGCCGAGTAAGGAAGAAATGTATATGTATACATATATGAATTCAGCTTGTAGTAATTATTTTTTTTTTTTTTTTTTAGTTGGTGTGGTCCTTGTAAGATGTTGGCTCCTATATTAACAAAGACTGTGGCCGAAAATCCTAAAGTTACTCTAGTAAAAATCAATGTTGATGATCATCAAGCTATTGCTTCTAAATATCAAATCGCCTCTTTACCATCTGTCTTTGCCTTTAATAATGGCAAAGTAGTAGACTCTTTTATCGGCATGCGTTCCAAGCCAGCAGTTTCAGAGTTTGTGAAGAAACATGCTGAACTTGCTAAATAGCTATCATGTATTTTTTAAAAAAAAAGAAAATAATAATAGTATAAATAAGAATAAATTTTGTAAATAATGCAAGAATATTTGTATCATTATGGACTTTTGTGATTAAGAAAAAGTGAAATAATACAAAAGTTGATATAAATTGTAGACAGGCAATGACTCGACAAGAAATAAAATATAAAAAAAAAACGAATTCCGTAGTATAAGAAAGAGTAACTAATAAGTATATCATAATATATGTTTATAATAGTACCATTATTATCTTTAGTCATGATATACTTTCTAGTGATTAGATGTAATAATCGTTTTATTACACTTGTTGAAGGCCTCCATACAATATATCATTATCAACTCTTAGAGCATTATTTATTATTCTAATATTTTGCTTGGGTAGCTTTATTATAAATACCACACACATCCAAAAAAATAACACTAGAATTCTATTAAGCATATATAACCAAAAAGCAGTCAAAGAGGACTACTTAAACCATGGAGTAAAATTATCATGCTTTATCTTGATCTATATAATAGCTTTATCATCCTCTTATATTGCACAATGAAGCTATAAGCTTATAAAGTTGAATGGTGCACTAACTAAGTTTAGTTGTATAAAGATAAACGTCTTTTTTCTTTTCTTTAGCTATTCTAATAAAGCATAAAGTGAATCTGTGTATTTGAGATATATTTATACTAATAAGCTCATTATTTTTTAAATACTAGACTATATAGGATTAAAAAGAAGCCACAAATAAGCTTATAACACGATGATTCAATTAATGTATTTCCTTGTAATCAAATACAATCATTGACAATTAAATGTATAAATGTTAGGTATTTTATGGTCAAAACGTATCTTTTTTATTAATTATAGTTGTTGCTGTTTAAGTGAATGACTGTCTTCTACGTGACTGGTTCTATTAGATTTCACCACATCGTTTCTTTTTTTAAAACTCAATTTAAACTTCAGAAGCATAACTAATCATAAAATATGCTGCTATCATATTTTTTTTTTTTTTTTTCATTTGTGTTTGTTATTTCTGAAATGGACGCATCTGAACGACAGAAGTATACCCCCTCACACCTCCCGAGGGCGTACAAGCAACTGAAGAGACACTCCAGGCTGATCAGGCCCAGCCATTTCACGGCCGTGGAATAGCCGGTTGATGATCATAAAGAAAAAAAGAAAAAAAAAGGGAATTTTACAATTTTTTGATCCCCTTTTTATACCTTTTTTTTTTCCATTTTTTTAAGGAGTAAGCTCATTTTAGGGGTAGAAAATTTTATCCAATCAATTTGAATATACACCTTTTTTTATTTGTGAACATGTGCATCATATGTTTATGAAAAGCTTTTTAGCAACAACAAAAAAAAAAATTCTCAAGTACAAGAATAAAATAAATATTGAATGTGATTAAGGGATAATGTTAGTGCCTGCTTTAATGGTTTACTCATTCATAGTGGCACTTTGAATCGATGAGCCGCTTCAAAGGGACAATTCATTTACTAGTAACTCTCAATAAAGTACTTTTCTCTCTCTTTTTTTTTTAATAATGTATCTTTTCAGGAGAAAAATGAGTATAAATAATTTCGTATATTTGGTACAGATTCTTATGATATGTATATGTTTTAAATTCTATGATTTACTTTCCAAAATCTATCTTTATTAAATAAATTTTCTGTTCAAGTAGTAGTTTAACTTCTTTTATTATTAGTATTTAATATCAATTAAAAGTCAGGAACATGAACTAATGTAGGAGCAACGTTAACTTCATTGCAATCATCCTCAGGAACACCACTTTCATGCACAATAACTACAAAATCTGTTTCATGCTCAAGAGCAATCATAGGATGATGCCAAATACCTTCACGATAATTAATACCTTGCTTACTAGTAGCCATAAATGCCTTTAAAGTAGACATATCAGGTCTATCGTCAGACCCGTTAAGAGCAACAATAATAAGGTAGCCACGTATCCTGCCATCCGTCATAGGAATAAAAGCTTGACTAGAATAAGGATGTCTCTCCAATAACTTCACATTGAAAGGTAATTCAGTTGTAGTTGTAGGTCGACAACGGAAAATACAAAAATTCATTTTACCATGACCGTTAGGAAATTTATTAGTGACCAGACCTACATGATGATATTTTTCTGCAGTTCCTTGATTAACTCGTGTGATAAATTTTGCAGCAGCAGTATGAATGACATCACCATAAGGAGCATAGTTTTCAGATGTTAGAGGTTTAGCAAAAATATGTCGCTTGATAGCGATAGGTAATTTAGGAATTTTACCTCCTTTAATTACGCCATAAAGCCGTAAATGCTTTATTTCTCCATCTATGATGATATTGTTAATAATCTTATATGTATATGTGTATGTATTATATATTCAGTAAAGAACTACCAGGACTAATAGAAATTTTAGTATGCGTAAAAATCTTCTCAGTATGAATAGTGTTAAAATAAAAGACATTATTCGGTCCAATAATTGAAGGTTCAATTAATGTCATCCATTTTACATCTCCTCCAGGAACAATACTAGTAGTATTAGTAGCCTCTATTTTTATTTTTCTTGGATGATTTCCCTTAAAATGAGTTGTGTTGATTTCAGCTTGTAAGATATGTCCTATGATGCCCAGATGAAAGACAACAAAATTTGTATAACTCTCTACACAAGCATGAATTTTTTCTCCACTGTCATTATCTATATACTTGTCTGCTAGTTTTCTGGTTACATTGAAAAAAGAGGAAGATGAATCAGAGACAAGATAGCTATTATTAGCATAGACGACTCTTCCGCCATAACCAATAAAAAGCAAGTCAATAATTTCGCTATAAGATAGAATATATCAGTAATAATAATTTATAATAGGAAAATTATGTTGTATTCTTCTTGTCTTACTCTTTGTTTTTTGGAAGAACAGGTCTAACATCACCATAAATATAGAAACGAGAGATTTGTCCACGAGAATAATTATGCAAACGAAGATGAGTACAAATGGTAGTCGGTTTCTCTAAAGTAAAGATATTAAAATCATTAGGAGTAAGTTGGACTTTAGGAAGAACTTCAACCCATTGAATATCTTTTTCTAGTCCTGTATAATTTGGACAATAGCTACTTTCTACAGAAAAAGTAAATGCATAATCTTCCAAGAAATATCCAGTATCAATATTAAAACCATATATAATACTTGGAATCCCAAGCTTGATAATGCACCTATAATTATTAAAGTAAATATATATACATATATATATATATATATATCGTAATAGTCCTAGTAAGTTATATTTACCAGCCATGAGAGCCATCATATTGTTTTATTTCACACTTGTCCGTCCAAGAGCTAGAATCTTTTAATCCAATATATATATATCTATATATAATATACATATATATGTTATGGTATATTTACTATATGTACCAATAAGTCTGTCAGAAACATGAATAGATGGCTTAGGGTTAAGTATCATAGGAGCAGAAGTAAAAAACTGATCATTCATTTTAACAATAGTGGTTCCAAGATTAGAACTAGCCAAATCTATTGAGAAAGATAAAGTGTTATATTATACTAAATATTTATAATGAATAATACTTGCTAATGGAATCCTTTAAGTTTGATTTATGCAAGTCTTCCTGACTAAGCTTTGAAAATAAAGGTGCAATTGACATAATTATGTATACTTTATATATATATATTTAAGAGAGAGAGAGAGAATGATATCGTTAATCACTAATTCTTCAGATTTTCAAATGCTGCTTTAGATAAGTCACAATTCAACCAATCAATATGTATCTATACCCTTTGTTTAAATTATATCTTTTATATTTAAATAATAATATTCTATATTTTTTTATCTGATATTTTAATAATACAAGTAAGTTCGAATATGATACGTACCTGAGGGAAATATAAACAGTTAAATGTAGAGCTTTAAATAATAAAACAATATCACACAGCATAAAAAAAAACTCTATCCATGCTGAAAAATGATTTACTTAATTCGTCCTATATTTCCAAATTATTATACCTTTTGTTTTCTATAAATTTAAGTAGGCTTTTAGTCAAGTTTGAGAATTGTAGGAAGACTATTGTTACTATAAAAAGGGGGAGCTAATTTTGTTATAACTGTAGACTAAGACGTTCCTCTTGGCATGTTTAGCAAACAAAGAAATTTTGATGTGACACGAAAGATGAGTTTGAAATGCTAATCCTTCGCGTGTTTTTTTTTAAAAAAAAAAAAAAAAAAAAAAATCGTTCTTTTTAATTTATGTTTTGTATATACAAATAAATATACACATATCCATCTTAAATTTAATCTACATCAAATGAATACTTCGGAAAATAGTCGATTTCAGCAACAACAACGATATAATGAGCGAATAAGATCTAATCATAGTCGTTTATCTACATATTCTTTACAAACTGAAGAATCGTTCTCAACTGGTGCTATGCCTCGAAATCATTTGATCAAAACTTTAGCAAGGATCGTTGAAAGATTTGATATAATACCAGACAATGCAAAAAGTCAGGATGCTGAAAATCAAACAAGAGCATTACTAGATAAGTTTAATTATACCATTCTTAGGTAAATTTATTAAGGACAAGATTTATAAATTATGCTCTTTTTAATTTTTTTTTTTTTTTATAAAGTCAACCAGAACCGTCTATAGTTGAAAATGAAGATGATATAGTCAACATTATACACACTAAATGTATTATCCATAAGTAAAATTAACTCATTAAAAGAGAAATGTTGTTAAAAATTTTATATAAATACATACATATTAGTGCAGGAATCTTCCAATCCTCAGAATGCCTTCCGCTTTGGTCATTTATACAACAAATTAGTCTCCAGAGTATTACTTAATAACAACAATATGACTCAGACATTTCATTATTAAACTTTTTTTCTATTTTTTTTTAATAGCAACGATTACATAAAAGATGGCCTATACTTTATTTATTATTAATGCTAAGCAATATACCAACAAGAGACAATATGTCAATGAACCTATCAGTAAGTTAACTGGGGAAAAAAAAAATACAAAGATAAACAAACAAAAAAGGATGCTGAAATTATAACTGCTATATAATATAGCCAATGAATAGTCCTCGTACATCCATTAGAGGCTTGGAAAACCTTGACCAGGAAGCAAATGATATACAACCTCCCGCTTCTCGATCATACGAAATGCATTCAAATGAATCTCCTAGGAATATTCGTCGTCGACTTACTCGAGAACCTTCACCTCAATTAACTAGAAATTTAAATATTGATACTGTCCCACCCGCTGTGCAACTAGCAAGAGCAAAAGAAGCTCAAAGGAACGAACATCATACAATGGAAGGTATTTAAAGGAAAAAAAAAAAAACGTTGATATATTTAAAATCCAATTTTTACCTATTATTATTTTGTTAAATATGATAGCAACAATTTATGCGTCAGAATCAGATATTTTAAGAGACTTAATTTTCCTTTTTCAAGGAATAGATGGACAATATATACGGTATAATGCTGAATTAAACGATCATATTTTGATTCCTGGACTTGAAATATCCAAGTCAACAGAGGAGACAGTATTAAAATTAGCTGAGGTTGGATGGTTATATATTAAGATACGTGATTTTGTTAAACAAAATATGCATTCACCTACTATTGGGCTTGTGGGTCAATCATTATGTGCAGCATTACAACATGAGCTGACAGAGTATTACAAACTGATTGCTATTCTAGAAGCTCAGATTGAGAAACAGATAGCAAATAAACAATTACCTTTGACTGATCAAAGTTTAACCCTGAAAAGATTAGCAGTGTGGACAGAAGATTATAAGCAAAAGTTAAAATTAATGGGTATTTTAGTGGATGTGTGTGAAGGTTTGCGTCGATTTCCTTTTTTTTTTTTTTTGGCTTTCTTGATATGTTATATAAATATTGACTCATTTGATTATACATAGATAAGAAAGGTGGTGCTTTAATATCAGCTATTCACAATTATACAAAACATGGTGACCCATTTATTAAGACATACCTTATTGACATGTTGCAAATTATATCAAAACCATTTTATAAAATGCTAGAACGATGGGTGAATGAAGGCGAATTAGATGACCCTTATGGAGAATTTTTTGTTGCTTGTGATGCAACAGTATCAGAAGAAGAACTTTGGCAAGCTAAATATACATTACGTGAAAATATGTTACCTTCATTTTTATCCAAGGAATTGGCCCATAAAATATTTTCTATTGGAAAATCATTGAACTTCATTCGTTATAGTTGCCATGACGATATATTAACTGTCCTATCGAATGTGACTGACATGTGTAAGTAGTATACATAGAATGATAGAGACAAGACTCATAAATGAACTAACTAACTGTTTAATTGAATTAAAGCTTCTATACATCATACATTTCAATATGGCGAAACATATCAATTAGAAAAATCAATTGATTTAGCATATAAAAACACCAGTAAAGCATTATTAAACCTTCTCAAGACAAAATATAAATTGATGGATCATTTAAAAGCTCTTAAACAATACATGCTTCTTGGTCAGGGAGACTTTATAAGATATTTGATGGATATATTATGGTTAGTTAAAACAAGCAAAAAGAAAAGGGTATCTATTATTTACTTATTCTCTTTTTATTTAGGGATAACTTGAATAAACCAGCAAATACATTATTTCGACATAATTTAACTGGTATATTAGAAACAGCGATAAAGTCATCTGATGCTCAGTATGATGATCCTACAGTATTAAATAGATTAGATGTTCGATTATTAGAGGTGAAGAATCTAGTCTGAATAAAAATTAAAAAGACAATTATTTATTAATCATGTTCAATAGATTCAAAAAGATGATCTTGGCTGGGATGTATTTTCATTGGATTATCATGTTGACGCACCTATCAATACTATCTTTAGTTCGACTGCTATGCATCAATACCTTCAAATATTTAACTTTCTTTGGCGTTTAAGACGAGTTGAGTATACGTTATCTTCAGCTTGGCGTCAATGGGGGAAAGCAGGTAGACAATTTAAGGAGATAACTGAAATTAAAACAGACATACATTTTACACAACTTGCAATTCAACGCATGATTCATTTTGTATATCAATTGCAGCATTATGTGTTATTTGAGGTATCTTTTTATATTCTTCATACGAAAGATAAAATAACATGTGTGATTTCTTTTAGGTTTTAGAATGTTCTTGGGATAAGTTGGAGACATTTATTGGAAACAAGAGTATAGATCTGGATTCAATTATTGAAGCACATACCAATTATTTAAATGAGATTACAGAAAAAGGCTTTTTGAGTGGACTTAAACAAAAGGAACTAGCTGACCGATTAAATGGTATCTTTGACAGTGTGTTGGAATATAAAGTAGTCTTGGATTATCTTTACAACTATGCAACTTCAGAGTCATCAAAAATGTTTAGAAGTAATATAGCAAAAGATGCAGACATGATTAGTAAAATTAGACGTAAACATCAAGAAATGGAAGATGGCTTTACAGTACAAGTATTACAATTTATAGATTGTTTGAATTCATTTCATGACGAAGATTTAAGATCTTTATCAACTCGATTGGATTATAATGGATTTTATTCTGGATTTAATGAAACAGCAGCCTTTTTATCATAGGATTAAATGATTTTTTCTTTTCTTTTTTTTTTTTTCTTTTTTTTTTTCTTTCTTTTTTTTTTTTTTTCCTTTGCAAATTATTAATAAAGTACAACAAGATATTACTATGTCTAAAGACATAGTTATCATTATATAATTTGCAATAATTATTATTTAACAGATGGCGGTAAAGTCTCAGGAATACATTTAGGTACACCAGTCTGGAAATATTCATCTAGAAACATTTCCAGCTGCTTAATACTAGAAAGATTATCTTGATTATCAGTTATAGGGTACATGGAACAGATAGTTTCACGAATTAGACGGAAAAGTTTAGGAGTTTGATGAGGATAAGCTTCTAGTAATCGAATCGCACTAACTTCTAAACAACCAAGAACTAGGATAGGTGTCACTTCACGAGGTGGCATATTACAAATTCGAGCTAACCAAATCCAAGCATATTTAATTGGAAAAGGATTCTCTGGTTGACCTGGATCAGGTACAGTTTGACATAATGCGCTATAAAACATGATATAACATTTTTGATTTTCTGAATGCTCTAAGAATGTCTCTAGTATCTTTTTTTCTTTGTTGGAATAATTGTAACGTAATCTTGATCTTATTTCATCGGCTGAAAGAGTCTAATAATAAAATACAAAAAAAAAAAAAAAAAAAAAAAAAAAAAAAAAAAAAAATTAATATGCAAATGATGCTGTCTTTTTTTTTTTTTTCTTTCTTTCTTTACTTACGGGATCATCATCATGATATTTAGGGATAAGATATTGACAGCGTTTTAATAAACGACCCATAAGATAATCTAAAAATTCTGGAATAGCACTGCACATTAAACAAGCAAATCGAGCCAAGAAATAAGCTGCAAATGCTGTTGCATGTATTTCTTGTTTAACTTGGGCCAAAAATACTTTTGAAAGATGATTAAGTAAGAATTCAAATGCTTCATTTGATTGCTGTTTAATATTCAAAATATGATTTTTCAAAAATTCATACTAAAATAAAATGAAAATAAATATGTATTTTTATATAATATGTATAAAAAAAATTACCTTTTCGTAAACAATTTTATGATCTGATTGAAGCTGTGTTATAGTTCGATTTATGATCATTTTTGCATTAAAGCATTGCTTACGGAAAGTATCTTCTTTCATCATCGGCTTAATTTTTGTCTTGTAATACTCAATTTTTGCATAATATTTCTTATATTCCTCCATTCCCTCGATTGAAGTTGCAGCAGATTGTTGCTGTTTACAGTAAAAAAAATGTTTAATATATGTGTGTTTGCTTATTTTGAATAATAAAGGTATTTTTACCTGCTTTAATATCTCTTCCTTCTTCTTCTTTTCCTCTTTTTCTTTCTTTTCTTTTTCTTCCTTTTCTTTTTTCTCTTTTTCAGCCTTTGCTTTTGCTTCTGCTGCTGCTGTTTCTAATCTCTTTTTATCTGCTTTGATAGCATCGTCAATTAATTTTCTCTGCCTCATTAATTCCTCTTCAAAAGCTTTATCCTCATCTATATCACTGTCATCTCTATGAAATACTATATTAAAAATCATAGCAACATTTATTTTATTTTATTTTTTGTTGTTGCTGTAATACCTTGAAATGTTAATTTCAGACAATAAGCTTTTTAACTTTTGTATTTCTACTTCTCTTTCTTTGTATTGCTTTTGTAGTAATGCTTCCTTCTCTTTTTTTAAATCCTGTTGATGTTTCTGTAATTTTGCTTCAAATTGCTTATCATAAGATTTCTATTATAATAATTTCATAATGAAAAAAGGTTTTTTTTTTCTTTTTTTTGAGAAAAGAGAGATAAAAAAAAGGGCTTTATATTTACAGAACGTACTGGATTTTGAAAATATAAAGATTTTTTGTATTCGTCTAAAGGGTTATAAATGCAACCTAATTGTATTAAACTATGCACTTGTCTATCAGATATTTCACAAGTCTTGGGACTAGTACAAAATGCTTCGAGGTAAATACAGATGTCAAAATTTAGATAATCAAAAATCATACGTGTAATCATAACATTCAAAAGAATCCTCAAAATCTGATTCTGATTCTAAATCAGGAACTGTATATATAATGTTATTTGTGATGCGATGCGGCTTTATCATATTGAAGATCTTTTTTTAAAGAAAAAAAGAAAGAAAGAAAGAAAAAAAAAAAGAAAAAAGAATAGTTAACAATAAAGAGAAATGAATAATAAAAAAATTTATTATTCACTTTAAAATTTTGTCTTTATTGGAGTAAAAATTAATGGTTTAATTTTTTCGGCTTTGTCAGGGTTTATCTTAAGATTCTTTGCGTAAAAAAAAAAAAAAAAAAAAAAAAAAAAAAAAAAAAAAAAAAACCTTTTTGGTTTTTCTTTTTCATCCACTAGTAGCATTTTAAAAAAGAATAAGTAGTGACGTATGATATATTCAGTTTAAATCATACTTCTTTAGTATTGTCAACAAGAAGCGTTGTATTATTTCATTGTGAATATGTTGATAATGGCCGTGTTACCTAATTAATAATAAATCTTTTTTATTCATTAGTCAACAAATTTATGTATGTATTTTATAGTATATCTATTACTATTTGAACTGATATTAATGCAATGAATTAATTTTTATTCCTATTACTAATCATAATAAAAAAAAAAAAGGCAATAGATTTTGCTTTGCTAAGTTTTGTTATATCTTTGCGTGGATATAATCAAAGACAGAGCAAAGATACAGAATCAATATTAGAATTAGTCATAAAAATAAACTATTTATCTAATATTCAAATGATCAAAAATAAGCATGTAATATATAGGGGTAAAGTTGATTCCAAGTAAGCTAAAGAAAAGGGTTACTATTAGAATTAAAGAAGATATTCAAATTATGTCTAAAGCTTTTTCAAACAAAAAAATGAATTTGAATCAAGTGTGAAAATCAAACAACACTTAAAAAAATGATAGTAATTTACAACAAGTGAAAGAGGGCTACCCAAACAATAACCTGTTCATAGAGTTGTTTAGTAACAAAAGCTTCAATAAAGGCAAATTTGAAAGTGAATGGAACAAAATATTTCATTAAACTAAGGAACGAAAATAAAGATATACAGAATATCAAAGAAAAAGAAGTAGCAGTTACTCAAATAGAAAACTACTTTCATCTAGTATAGCCATAGAACAGATTGAACATATTTCTTATAAGGGACTGATTAAAGTATGTATTTTTGTCTATGACTACAATTAGTCTCAAAGACATTTCATCTGATATTTCTTAAATGATCGTGAATAATCTTGAATGAAAGAAAGAAAGAAAAAAAAAAATATTAACATCGTTAGTAACCGTAGCTGGGATTTTGATTTTTGCGCGCTATTAGAAACGGGTAACTGAAAGATATTCCTTCTGCTGTATACAACCTAATTAAACATATGTATGTCTATTAACTTCTATTCATATTATACCGTATATCCCTCATAAAAAGGACTGAGACTTAGTATTATATCAAATACTCATCCCACACACTCTTTTTTTTTTTTCGATAGCAAATGAACATTAACATGCTACAAATTATTCTATATTCATTATCAAAGTGTCACTTATAGTTATGCAAGTCGTTAGAATACAGCAATATTGGATGCCCTTATTGCATTATTTCTATTTTTTTTTTTTTTTGTTCTCTGAACGACACGAGAAATTTAGATATATACGACTTTAAAGGTAATGTAATTGTAATTAGTGATATTACTACACAGAACATACATAGAGCCTTTAGCTTCTTTTTAATTTGTTATATATAACCTTTATCTTTAATTTGGGCACAACAGATTATATGGTAGATGTATATATAATCTAGTTCCAAAATAGATTACATTATTAGTAATTTGAAGAAATATTCATATTTGTATTCAATTAGCCTTACAAGTCTTTACCAAATCCTATAAGCAATCTTTCTAAACAAGATACACCAGGGATCACATCAAAAATTTACAGTGTAAAATCATAGCAATCGATAAACAACTCAAATCTACTTTTATTGAAGAGAATAAAGTGAATACAATGAAAACAATAGACAATTCTCTATAGTTCAACAAAAAAAAAGTATGCTAATGCAAAATTTGTACTAATAGGAAATAAAACGAGGATGAAGAAGGTTATTCATAAATATATATGTATATTTTTTAAGAAAGGTAAGTAATATTAATAGAAATATAATCTTTACAAGCAGAAGCTAATGTAATGAAGGATTATATGAATTCACTATAACCGAATTCTTTTGCATTAATCAATAAGATGTCTTTATTATTCGTTCCTGAATCGTTGTGATTACTAAAAATATAAAAAAAAAATATGGATTGTTTTTAATGGGATAAGTAATATATTAGTAACAATTATAAAAATAATATATCACTATACTAAGTTATAGTCATGAAATATTATTAAATTATTATGATATATTCATAATCACTAATGTGTATATAATATGTATACTTTTCCCCAAAAATAAATGTGTAATTGAATAGTATCAGTTATATTACCATTACATAATAAAATGCATAACTAATATTATGTCAAAATATGGCCCAACAATGACTAATACCAATACTATATGTTGAGTGAATTTTATTCTGTAAAGCACAATATACTAATTATATTTAAAATGTTTGTTTATTATATAATAAATGATAGTTTAACCAGTAATAATTGTCATATTTATATTTTGTTTGCCAATTGGAAGAACCTGTATAGTAAAAATTTTGTTGAGCATTGCTATTATTACTTCACGTACATTAACATCGTTAATTCAACTCTTTTTATTACTTAATCAATGGAAATAAAGCATAATAATATGAAGAACAATGCTCAATATCGAAGAAAAAAGCTCATCATTCGAATAAAAAAATAATACTCATACTAAAAAAAAAAAGATGACATAATTAAAAATCACAGTCACAGATCACGTGACTTTATTGTAAAAGAACTCTTAACTAATATATAAAATTCAGGATCTGTTATGTTCTCGTTGCTGTTACTGTACAAAAGGTCGTAACAATATTGATATTACCAGATTGCGTTAACCGACTGTAAAAATTAAGAGGCAATGTAATATAATATTATGAGCGTTGAGAATGCACTAGTTCCTTATTGTTATAGATAATTTATACACCAATAAGAATGTATCACTTATAAATAATAAAAAGTTATGAATAAGCGAAAGAGAGTTGTTTATTTCATTTGACAAAGACGTATATTACATAATCAGGATATTACATAACATTATAGTGTGACGGGTTAATATTACATAATATAAAAAAAATATTGTGGCGAACTGACAAGACACCAGAAATAACCTATCAGATCAACAACAGCTTCTATGGCGCAATTGGCTAGCGCGTCTGACTGTTAATCAGGAGGTTGGTGGTTCGAGCCCACCTAGGAGCGCTTTCTTTTTTTTGATTTTTTTATATTTTTCATGATATAACATTTTTTGTAGTTTTGCTTCACAATATGTATATTATTTGCATATAAACCAACAGTCTATATTGTTAATTATAATTGTAGATATGATCTTTTTTTCATTATTATTATCCAGGCTTACAATGTCGTTCTTTCACAAAAATAAGCATAGTATATGTTTGAAGTAAAACAATATATGATCCTAATGAATAATAATAATGTATGTTGGAAAAGAAAAAGAAATACTAGTTTATTTTGTATTTGTTTAATATGGTATTTATACATATTATTTTATTTACTAAAACAATGTATAAGTATATTCCTTTATTCTTTGCCAGTGGTATCTCTTCAAAGTAGAAGACACACATATTATTACATAATTCGATGTAAAAAAAAAAAAAAAAGAAAAAAAAAAAAAAAAAGAAAAAAAAAAAGATAAGATATTTATGCTAATAAAATTTACATACACAATTTCATAAATATTGAAGTATTTGCTTGTTACAGTCGAAGAAACTGGGTTGGGCCAATGAGAAAACATTTGATCGTTTCAAAATTGGATTGGGATACCAATGCAAAAATGGGACACTGATACAAAAGTGGGACATAAACATGAAAGTGGGATATATTGAGACACGCTTAGTTTTTGGGCGAATGTATAAACAAGAAGCTATAATCTTGTTCCATTTAACAAGAAAGGTCACTAATAGACTATTAGACTACTATGATGATCATCCAGATTAGGATATGATTCACCTAACTTGAATGGTCCCGGAACGAACAATCCTCATGGAGAATATCCCAGATTCGAGTTACTTAGGACAATAAGGAGCATTTCTGGGGGTTTGATGGAGTGAGTGAACTATCGTTTTTGAAATAATAAAGCCAAGTAAAGTGATTAGGATACGTAGAATAAGAACTTTACTGGTGTTATTAGTACCGATGGTATTGTTTTGGAATTTATTTGCGAACGACCTTCCCATGCTGCTGAAGCCACTTTGACACCTGTTGATATTGCCGCTAAGATTGATTTAAATACTGCTACTGTATGGGGGTTGGATCCTGGATTGCGTGATGTTTTTGTTGCTTGCAACGGTGTTAGTACTGGTGCTGGCCAAAGTAGACAAAGACATAGAATACGTAAGACTTCCCCAAGCGAATATTATCAACTTTCTGGATTCAAATCTGCTGCCATAAAAAGAGCCAAACATGATCGAGCCAATGTTGACGCACACCGTCTGATTTCTAATACACCATCAACAAGGATGTGTAACTGGGACCAGTTCAATAAAGCTTTACGATATATATTTCAGAACTTTGAGGCAATTAAAGGCTATTACACAATCGGATTGAAAAAGCTCAAATATCACGGCTATAGAAACAAGCAAAAAGCATTGACCGAAATGTGTAAACGGTTGTTTACAGGTAGCAGAAAATATCAAGAAGGCAATCCTAATATACAACAAGCAAATCAGCAAAAGTGGAAAACGTTAGCCCCTAGAGACAATGCCGGTGAAGCTGAAAGGCCTACTGTAGTGGCATTTGGTTCTGCTCGGTTCGGTGGACTTTGTGGGAATGTGCCTTCTCCAACAAAGGTATTCAGAAAAGCCTTACTAAATTATGTCAAATCAACCGAACGCAACCAGCCAAATTCAAGAAAGTACATCGTTATGATTGATGAGTATTTCACAAGTCAAATATGTCCCAGATGTTATAAAAGAAATACTTCCAACCAACGCGATAACTCCAATATGATGATCCATCCAGTTCTCAACTGTCAAACTTGTAATACTCGATGGAACAGAGATCACATGGCGAGTCCCAACATACGCTCTATCTTTTTGTATATGGCTGCCAACAACAACAATCAACCTGAAGAGTTTCGGTGGGGTAAGCTATCTTGATATTAATATAGATTTCATTACTTAATATACTAACAACAATATTATTATTTGTGGAAAAATAGTCTTAACAATTGAATAACATCATGTCTTGTATAACAGCAAGACACCCCATATTTACAGGTAAGTTGACCTATTCATTCACCCAAAAATTAAAAGTATCTTAATATGTCCCATTTCCGTATCGCTGTCCCATTTTTGCATTGGTGTGCCAATCCAATTTTGAAACGATCAAATGTTTTCTCATTGGCCCAACCTAGTTTCTTTGCTTGTTAATAAAGCAATAATAAAATAAATATCAATAGTATTTATATAAACAGCTCTTTTCTCTTCAAAATCAACATAGTAATGTAATAAAAATAGTAAAATGCATGTAATAGTGTAAATTCCACTTGAATTATTACATTATTGTGTTATTTTTGAAAATACAAATAATGTCCTTTTTTTTTTTGATTGCCTATTAACAAAGTTTAATATATAGATTATTAATATAAAATAAGAACAGGCAGTGTGAGTCATGCAGTATAGAAATAAAGTGTAATTTTGTTTTATAATAACAAATGAGGTTAGTTTATTTCCTTTTTTTTTATACAAGTTTCTTCGCAGTAAAGAAGTTCTTAAAGTAATGCATTTGCCATACACAAACGATACCAAGAACAATAAGTTGAGCAATTGTCCACCAGACTACACGAGAGTTAGTAAGTTCAGATTGATCACGGAAATCCTTTTCACGTTCCTGTTAAACAAAATTACTTTAGTAGCCTGTTTTTTTTCCCTCTATTTTTCCCCTATTTCACTTACTCGTTGAGCATTTTGCTCAATTTGAATATCTTCAACACGTTCGTTTAATTCATGTACTCTTCTAACTAAGGCTATATAATTTATTAGCTATGCTTTTATTTCCTTAATCCTAAAAAATAAAATAAAATAAACAATAGATGACTTACTAGAAACACCTTCGGCACTGTGATCATGATGATCAGTTGGATCATCAAAATCCATATCGAGAGTAAGTCTCTAACAATTAAAAAAAAAAAAAAAATAAGACAAATAGTATTTAAATCTTACATGCTAAATAATTACGGTTTTTGTACTGTCGAACCAAGAATTAGAAACAACTGCCAAACAGATGGCATGATCCCCAGATTCCATTGAAGTGAAAGTAAAACGACCAGAGGACTTACTTTTAGTTTCAACAATCTTATGACCTTGTGGAAGTTCCTAATATTTTATATTCAAACGTTATATTCAATTTAAACTTTTTTTTTTTTTTTTTTTTTTTTTTTTTTTTTTTTCTTACTTCAACTGTAATTTCAATCTTCACATCAGGATTTTCAATCCACTGATTTTGAGCACTAGAAAACTGTTCTGACTTGTACACACCTATATAAATGCGTTAACTAATCTATTCTACACATTTGTCTTTCTTTCTCATTTACCGATAACCATGGTTTCCTTTGGTAAATCTTCAATAAAGCATTTTTTCTCGGATCCCTCCAAATAAAAGTATAATGCTTGTGTGCTAGTTAAATAGGTAACAAGTAATAAAAGTGCCGAGAAGCGTAATTGAACCATCTAGTTATATATGCCAAAATATACACGCGTGAAATAAAGAATAAAAAATAAAATGAAATAAAATAAAATAAAATAAAAATTAACAAAATCAGGGTCGGCCAATCAAAAGCGTAAATTCAACTACTTTTGTACTCAACGTTGAACTGCTTGATTTGTTAAAAAAAAAAAGAAAAAGAATATGATAGTTTATTATGCTTTAGTTGTCTATTTTATGCTGACCCATTAATCTATTTGTGACAGTTTAGAGTAAGACTAATTCCTAACAATGCTAAATAATAATAAAAAATGTTAGTGTAAGAGTGTATATTATTATTTTTTTGTTATATAGCTCACAAGAGATTATTTAGAACTTAATAATCTATATAAATATATGTGCTTTAAGCAATAATGGTACTACTTTTATTGCATAGTATTTGACTAACAAAGTTGGAATTAGCTCACTATTTAGATAATCACACAACAACAAAAAAAAAGTGCTTCTTAAGCGTAGCACTGGTAACAAAGTTTTTTTTTCTTCCTTGAAACCAAGATATGATAATGACTTAGATATTCATTTCATGTAGCTATTGAATAATAACGGAAAAAAAAAAAAAAAAAAAAAAAAAAAAAAAAAAAAAAAAAAAAAAAAAAACTCATTACATTATAAAGATCTTTGAGACTTTTATAACAAGACTTCACCATTTACTCATTATAAACTTTTAACAATAAGTCACAGAAAGCATTTACATGTAAAATTTATCTACTAAGCTTAATATAATGCCTTGTTCTTTCTTTCTTTTTCTTTTTTTTTACTAGTATTAACTTTAGATTATCAATTTTCACAAAAAGATATAATTAACTGTACAGCAAACAGATGACCAAATGGCATAAATGGTAAGGTATAAATAGATGAATATATAAGATAACTCACATTAAATTTGCATTTGGAGTATATTCGTGACGGCCTAGAAAAAATATATAATTGGCACGTAAAATCATTTTTTTTATTTTTTATTTTTTATTTTTTTTTTTTCCCTATCGTTGAAACCAGATTAATGAGTTCATTTGAGGGTATATCTACATGCATGCATGTATAAATATATATTATCGTTGTATATCGTTTTAATCAATTCTACTTTCAGAAAATTACATTTCGGGATCAGATCAAGAAGACGAATCAATCGATGTTCCTAATGTAATCCCTGGATTGAGAAAAAAAATAAACGCTGCAACAAAAGATAATGTAGACGAACTCATGAGAGAAATAATGGCGGGAATGAATCCAGGTATAATAGGAAGAAAAAAAAAAAGATCTCTGATTAATTGATTGATTCTAAATGCATAAGTTTAAGATAGAATTAAACACTCATCGACTTCAAAACTATTTTAAAAATCTCAAAAAAATATTTCCATTAATCGAACAATATGGACTACTAGAACCACAATTCAACGCTTTATTTGAAGCCATTTTGAGTAAAAACTTGCGTATGTTAGCATAAGCTCATTAAAACAACAATATTGCTAATACTAATTTTATAGCGAGTGCATCAGCAAAAATACTTATTCCTTATTTATTGCCAAGAAGTAAGATATCAGACGAATATATTATTCGTATCATTGGAAAATTATCACAGAAAGGAGTGGATATGAGTATGGTTGTAAGTTACCTTTTGTTTAATGTAGTAACAAAAAAAATATTAAAATGTATTATTATGATTAGGCTGAGTTGCTAAAATGGATTATTGCTGTATATGACATTATTGAAAGAAAAGATAGAATTCGTAAATTATACCCCGTTTTATTTCACTATTTACCTTATGTCTCAGTAAGGTAGATGATACACTATATTTATGATGAATTATATACGTGATTTGAAACTAAGTATATACATATATTTGTATTTTTTTTTAATGATAGATCCCATATTTGTCATTTACTTTATTACTTGACTAGAAAAGAACAAGTTACGCCATATAGAGTTAGAAGATTGTAATCATATATTTGTAAATGGGCTATAATTCAATTTTAATTCTTCTCTATAGGAATGAATTGATTGAATCAGAAAGAAATAATGCAGAGATGATAGGTTTATTATTATATTATCAAACATTTGATATTAGTATTATAGTGCCATATAATGTTCGACTCGTCAATGTATTTGTATTCAAAGTAAGAACATATGAATCAATTTATATAGATAGAAAGAAAATATGCATGTAGATTTTAATTTCATCTTGTAGAATCCCTGCCTTAATATCACCACTAATCTTGCAAATATTCGTGGATTATGGGCTAATGATGAAATGGAATTAACATTAGATGTGCATAAGTCAGACTTTCAATTACCAGCAAGGAAAAAACCTAGAGGTTCACGGTCAAAAAAATTAACAGAAGTAAGTTAGTGACAACAATTTATGAATCAGTGTTGATGTATCTTTTTTTTTCTTTTTTTTTTTATAGGAACCTTCACGTACATTAGATATAATCGATATTACTCGTATTGCAAATAATGCAGAAAATTTTGAAATAGCAGAGCAATTTTATGCAGTATTGGAAAATAGGAGACTACAACATATCTTTTTATGTGATCCAAATGGTAAACACACGTAGAAAAAGAAAAAGAAAAAAAAAGGGGTACTGATAATCAAAATAGATAATGTTATTGACCGCCTTAGTTATTGGATCACACAAAAAATTATGGATTTGATAAGATGGGGTAATAGTAAAGATAGTGAAAGACAAGAATTACATGAATTACTAAAGATGCTAGTTAAATTTACACGATTTGCAAAGGTATAACACTTCAGAGGACATGACTTGTTTAATACTCTCCATTCATTCTTTATACTATGTCTAGACTCAACTGGCTGCTATAGAATATATTTTATTTCAATATTTAAAAACATGGAATGGATTCGAATTTCAGGATGAAATCTTTGAATTAATAACATATATTAAACCTGGTGAATTTAGAGGTATATAACAAAAGTAGAATAAATTTTACACACTCCTAATATATATATATATATATAATTACAGAATTATATCAGCAAGTGTTAAAGCCTTTATATAAACTATATGCTGTATCTGATGTCAGATGGAAAACAAAATTAATACTTTGTTATACAGAATGGCTAAAGAATTGGGCATTATTGGATTGGAGTCGACATGTACAATTAAGTAAAGAAGGGGAAACAGATGTTGATTACATGTAAAGATCTGATTTAATGTAGAATAGATTCAATTAAACTAACATACCATTATGATAGAACAAATGTATTTAGTGGTTTAACATTTAACATTAATTACTTTGAAACAATACAAAAATTAGTAGAGCATGTTGATCGAATATGCGTTATGGGTTTATTAGCGGAAAATGATAATCCATTGATGCAACATGGCTGTTTAACATTTTTTGAACTTGTATCTACTATTTCGTTACAAGACGATATTCCAGATATTATTATTCCTGCTGCTGCTCTTGTTCATCGTAGTTTCTTTTCTACCTCTGCGATGGCAGTGAGTCGAATGTGTGGGATTATTCATCGATATAAGTTAGCTTTTGAAGAAAACGATAAAAAAACTGAGGACTGGATGTCAAAGCATAATCCTGCCTATCTTGATCATTTTAACAAGTACATGATGGACATCTGTAACGCTTTATGGAGAAATCTGGCTTTATCTAATTCATACCAAGATTCGCTAGCCTTTTCATTAAAAGAGTAAAAGGAGATTGATATTTATGCAACTGCAAGCTGACTCTTTTTTTTTTTATTATAGATTGAGCATTGAAAAATTGAAAGCAATTTGCAAAGAAAGAGACATTGATGCTAATCTAGTATTATCTATTACTCATTCTTCACCGTTAGTCGGATTTTCTAAACGATTCATGACAGTAAGTGAGTTTTATACTGTAATTATTTAAATTTATTCATATTCCAAAATTTCAATAGATGTTAGAAGATGAAGCAAAAATAATACATCAAAGGCCTATTACAGCAAAATATCTAAAGCAGCTTCAAAAGGTAAAAGGAAAAAGTAGAATAACAATTAATTTTAATTAAATCTCTTTGTAGCAAGGAGGTATTTCTGTTGACTTTTTTAATTATCGTGTTCAATATTTGGATTATTTAAACCAAAATGGATTTATTGGTATATATGATTTACTCTATGCCTGTATGACTTCCTTGATCAAACTTAAAGGAAACGAATCCATCACTTTGAGTGAAGCTTCTGCTATCAGTGTCTCAACTACAGATACGGCCTCTTTTTCTAATATATAAAAAATGAAAATGAAAATGAAAATGAAAATGAAAATAAAAATAAAAGTAAAAGTAAAAATAAAAATAAAAATAAAAATAAAAATAAAAATAAAAATAAAAATAAAAATAAAAATAAAAATAAAAATAAAAATAGAGTTATCTTTTTTTTTTTTAATATGTCAAATAGTACAAACAAGAAATGTAACCATTTTTATTGGTTACTTTATTTTGAAAAAAAGGAATCCATACTCGTGTAATAAAATAAATAAATTTTATTAATGAAATTTTATTTTCCTCTTCTTCTTTCCCTTTTTTCTTTTTTCCTCTTCTTCTTCTTGTTGTTTTTTCTTTTTCCTTATTCACTTACTTAATTAGAAGAATATATTATACAATCTTTTCTTTTTTATTATTGTTATTATTAAAAAGAATTAGAAAAAGGAATTAAATAATAGATATTTTCCCTTAAAACAACAACAAAAAAAAAAGGTAAATATAAAAGGAAAAGGTAATTTTATTTAATAATTTTTACTTAAATAACCCCGAATTTTTATTTTTTTATCTTTTTGTCTTTTTCTTTCGTCTTTTATATACATATTAAAAGATACATAAAACAATGAGAGAAATTATTCACGTTCAAGTTGGTAAGTTTATTCTTTTTTCTTTTATTTATTTTGAGGGGGACGAAAGATATTTACATATATAAAGGGGAGGGGTAAAGAAGAAGAAGAAGAAGGAAAAAAGTAGTAAAAGAAAAAAAAAAAGGGGAAATATATATAAAAAGAAGGGATGTAATAGAAAAAAGAAAAAAAAATAGTGTATAAAAGATAAGAATTTACACAGATTTATCCCCCCCCACACACACAAAAATAAATAAATAACATAGTCTTATACACTATTTTTTAGGTCAATGTGGTAACCAAATTGGTCAAAAGTTTTGGGAAACAATCTCACAAGAACACGGTCTTGACACAAATGGAGTCTATGCTGGAGATAATAATCTTCAATTAGAACGTATCAATGTCTTTTATAATGAAGGTTCTTCTGGTCAATATGTACCTCGATCTGTTCTTGTTGATCTCGAACCTGCTACGATGGATTCAGTACGTGCTAGTCCTTATGGTAAACTTTTCCGTCCTGATAACTTTATCTTTGGTCAAAACGGTGCAGGTAACTCTTGGGCTAGAGGTTATTATACAGAAGGTGCTGAGTTAGTTGAACAAGTTTTGGATGTTGTTCGTAAAGAAGCTGAACACACGGATTGTCTTCAAGGTTTCCAATTAGCTCATTCTTTGGGTGGTGGTACCGGTTCTGGTCTTGGTTCTCTTTTATTGTCTAAAATTCGTGAAGAATACCCTGATCGTATGCTTTGTACCTATTCTGTTGTTCCTTCTCCTAAGGTCTCTGATACGGTTGTTGAACCTTATAATGCTGTCTTATCCGTTCATCAACTTGTTGAAAACTGTGATGCTACTTTCTGTATTGATAATGAAGCCCTCTATGATATTTGTTTCCGTACTTTAAAGTTGACTAACCCTGATTATGGTCAATTAAATGAACTCGTCTCCACTGTCATGTCAGGTGTCTCTACCAGTTTACGTTTCCCTGGTCAATTGAACAGTGATTTACGTAAACTCTTTGTCAACATGGTCCCCTTCCCTCGTCTTCATTTCTTCATGGTCGGCTTTGCTCCTTTAACTGCCTTTGGTTCTCAACAATATCGTAACTTGAGTGTTCCCGAATTGACAGCTCAAATGTTTGACGCTCGTAACATGATGGCTGCCTCTGATCCTCGTCATGGTCGTTATTTAACCGTAGCTACCATCTTCCGTGGTCGTCTTTCGACAAAGGAAGTTGAAAACCAAATGTTGGCTGTTCAACAAAAGAATTCTTCTTATTTTGTTGAATGGATTCCTAATGGTGTTAAAACCTCTCTTTGTGATATTCCTCCTGTTGGCTTGAAGATGTCAGGTACCTTTATTGGTAACAGTACAGCTATTCAAGAATTATTTAAACGCGTCAATGATCAATTTACAGCCATGTTTAGAAGAAAGGCTTTCTTGCATTGGTATACAGGTGAAGGTATGGATGAAATGGAGTTTACAGAAGCTGAATCTAACATGAACGATTTGGTCTCTGAGTATCAACAATACCAAGAAGCTACAGCTGATGATGAACTTATGGAAGATGAAGACTATCTTGAAGAAGATCAAGTTCTTGAAGAAGAAGAAGAAGATTAAGATTCCTTTATTTTATTTTATTTTTTTTTTTATTCCCCTCCCCTCCTCGTCTCTCCCTCTCCCCCTCCCCCCTTTTTTTTTTCTCTCAATTATACACAAATAATCTTAATATCCCCACCCATCATCATAATTCAAGAAAGAAAGAAAAAAAAAATAAATAAAAATTATGCTTATTTTGATTGGTTAAAACAAAACTATAATACGTATAATTAGATATCATATTATTTTATAAACGTTTGTTCTTTTAATATGGATACCTTTAATTCTCAACATTCTTCTTCCTTATTGAATTATAATGAAGATTCAATAGAATCCAATCCTTTTGCAAATGCTTCTTCTCAATCACCTGAGATTGAAACATCATCAACAATAGAGACCCATTTACCCAATGATTTACAAGAAGACGATTCAGTAAAAGAAGAAACAAATCAAAATGAATTAACAAATGAGTTGGGAGAATTGAGTTTAAATACTCAACCCAATGTGATTACTAAAGACAATAGAGAAGAAGATACCCAAGTAAATATAAAGCCTTCTTCCTTTATATATGTTTATTATTCGGGAGGAAAACTAAAAAAAAAAAAAAAAAAAAAAAAAAAAAAAAAAAAAAAAAAAAAAAAATGTTATTATAGTCAGCATCTTTACAAGTACCCAAAAGTGGATCTCGACCTTATTTTAAGGTGACAATTGAAGATCCACAAAAAGTAGGTGATGCTATTAAAGCTTATATTATCTATAAAGTGAGAACAAAGGCAAGTCATAATGATAATAATAAAAAAAAAAAAAATGCATAAAGATATTTATTTATTTATTCTTCTTTTTATAGACCAATTCTCCTGCTTTTCGTTCTTCTGAATTTGTAGTGGCAAGACGCTTCAGTGACTTTTTATGGTTATATAATCAACTTACGTTAGGTAATCCTGGTGTGATTGTACCACCTGTTCCAGAAAAACATGCTTTCTTAGGTATACTATTTGTAATGAATTCAACTAGGGAAAAAAAAGAATTAATATAGTATTACATATAAGGACGATTTCAAAACGATTTTGTAGAATCAAGAAGAATAGCCTTGGAGCGCTGCCTACAAAAAATAGTAGCTCATCCAATGCTATATGGTGATCCTGATTTAAAAGTCTTTCTAGAAAGCGAGTCATTTAATGTGGAGGTAAGTAAAGTCGAAAATGATGGACCTCTGTGTATATATCACGAAATTTCACAATTTTTGATCATGGCTTCTTTAGAAACGACAACGGAGAGCAGAACCTGAGAATTCTAAAATGAGTTTTATGCGATCCTTTGGTGAAACGATAACACATGCAGCTACAAATCCATTTTCTAAATTTGTTGAAGTAGATGAATGGTTTGAATCAAAAAAGAACCAATTAGATGCATTAGAAGTACAATTAAAGGGCTTATTAAAGAGTGTAGAAGGCGTGATTAAGCAGAGAAAGGGTAAAAAAAAAAAGAATATGTTTAAAATAGATAAGAGGGACTCAAGATAGGATTAAAATAGAGTTGGGCGCGGCTACTTTGGATTTTGGAGAAAGTATGTTCCCACTTGCTTCAGCTGAATTAAATCGAAATTTATCCACTCATTTAATGGTCTTGGGTGAAATACAAAAGAAAATGAAAGATCTACATGAACAACAAGCCCAATATGATATTATCACTTTAGAGAATACAATTGATGAATATATTCGAATCATTGGTTCTATTAGAGTAAAGAAATTAGAGACATTTTTTTTTTTATAAATAGGAAGCATACTGTGTGTGTGTGTGTGTGTGTGTTTATATTTTCATAACTCTCTGTTTACAATAGATTGCCTTCAATGCAAGAATAAAAGCATTTCAAACTTATCAACAAGCAGACTCTGAATATCAAAAGAAATTAAGCTTATTTGAAAAACTCAAACAACAGAAAGCAGATAAACAACACGAATTAAATGAAATGAAAGCAAGAGTGGAGGAATTAAGAGACGAGTTTGATGATATTTCAAAATTAATCAAGAATGAACTTGATAGATTTGATAAAGAAAAAGTAGAAGATTTTCGTGATAGTGTAGAGCAATTCCTTAAAAGTATGATTGAACATCAAAAACAAATTATTGCTTTATGGGAGACTTATTTTGAGCAAACAGAAGGATTAAGTGATAATGATGGAGAAGAAGTAACTGCATCAACAATTTAATAATAAATATTTGCTTGTAAAATAATAATAATAATAGAAAAAAAAAAAAAATAAAGAGTTAAATATAAGCGGCCAATCATAGATAGCTTCATATTTTATTGTAATTTGTATTTTTTTTATTCTTTTCTTTTTTTTTTTTTATAATTTAATTTTGCATCATGGTCAATCTTTCATTATATTCTATAAAAGCTGTTATTTTACTTGATGCGGAGGGTAATCGCGTATTAGCTAAATACTATGATAATGAACACACTACTTTAAAACAACAAAAGCAGTTTGAAAAAGGTTTATTCGATAAAACAAAGCGTGCGCAAGGTAAAGAAACTTGGAGTTGAATCCATGAATGGATTGCTTACATATGTATACATCTATATAGGCGAAGTTATTTTATATGATAATCAAATTGTTTTGTATCGTTCAAATATTGATATTTTCTTTTATGTTGTCGGTTCAATGGAAGAGAATGAGTTGATTTTATTAAGCATGTTGAATGCTTTCTATGATGCAGTTTCTACTTTATTAAGGTATATTATAGTTATATATATAAAGAGAGAGAGAGAGTGAGAGAGAGGAAAGAAAGCTTATTTCTATCTATAGATATCAAGTTGAAAAACGTGCTGTAATGGATAATTTAGATTTAGTCATTCTTTGTCTTGATGAAACTGTAGATGGAGGGTAATTGAATATAAATAATATTTAAATAGATGAAGGAAAAAAAAAAAAGCTGTTCTAAACCCCCTCCCCCCCTTTTTTTTTCTTTTAATATACAATACAATAGAATTATATTAGAAACAGACTCAAACGCAATTGTTAGTCGAGTATCTAAACCTCGTATGGACATGGTCGATATTCCTTTTTCTGAACAAACTTTGCTACAGGCCTATCAAACTGCAAAAGACAAATTTGCTAATCAATTATTGAGATAGAAAAAGCACTTGCATACACACGTATATAATATTGTATTCTATTATATATGTAAACCTTATTATTATTAATAAACTCCCCCCCCTTTTTTTTTTCTTTTTATTACCGGAATTGTCCTTTGAACAATGATGTTTTAGTAAAAGCTTAATGATAATAATAAAAAGCAGGGAATGTTTTCTTTTCTTTGTTGACAGTTATACGAAAAAACAAAAAAAGAGAGAGAGAGGGAAGGGGAAAGGAAAACATACACTTCTTCTTCAAATTTTTACAGCAATGATAATAAAATGAATATGTCTGTATTTGTATATTTTGTCATTTATGTTTACAGCATATATTGTCATCGAAATAAACTACTCAGTCTCGGATTTAAATATAATAAAGATGAGAAAGGAGAAAGATTACATAATATATAATGGACAGCTCGGATATTGATATGCCCCAATTTTTTTTTTCTAGTTAAATAGAACAAAAAATATGCTGTGTATTATTCATTGTTATACAATAAAGACATTATTTTAAACAAATATAATCGATACCTTTTAAATCGAAACGACAACAAACAAATGTGTCGTTGAAAGCGGAAAACACTATTTTCTTTTCGGACAGGTACCCGCTTCATTTCACTCCTATTTTTTTATACTACATACTTTTAATAACCTCCTATTAGTATAGATTGAGGGGGAGGAGGAGGAGGAGAAAGAAGGTGTGTATATACATGTGTATATATAGATGTTATAATAAGGGGATATAAGAATGATTTATATGATCCGGAATAAAGTATAAATTTGGTACTTACAGTATATTGAGTTATACAATACATCATGTATGCATAGGTTATACACATATACATACACATAATAAATGTTTGAACGAAATCTTTACTTTTTACATCATGACCCAAAATAATACTATGTAGCAAGTAAAAATGCTATACATAAACCTTTTCTTTTTCTTTTGTGCCTTTTTTTTTTTTTTTTTTTTTTTTATTCCTCATTCAATCCCTTAAAAAGATAGAAAAAAAAAAAATAAAAAAAAAGACTCCTCTCTTTTCTTCACTTTCCCCTTTTCTTCTCCCCTTGAATCATTTATTTTCGTTATTTATATAAAAATTCATTAGTTTTTTTTTTCCTTCTCTTTTCTCCTCCCCCTCTCTTTTTCCTTCTATCTTCTCATAATCACTACTCAGTCTTCTTTTTAATTATCTTTTCGCTTAAAAAAAAATTATGTCTTATCTTGACATGGAACATATGGCTTATTCTTCTACTTCTTCTTCCATAAATAGTTCTCCTCCTTATTATTATTCAATGACCAATCATACTGATCGTTCACCCGAGTTGAATCATGTGAATTCTCCTACTAATTACAGTTTAAGTAGCCATGGTTCATCTAATAATAATAATAAATCTCTTTTAATGCTTGAGGATAATAGAAAATATTATTCTTTTATGCCTCCAATGTTTTATTATGGTCTCGAAAAGCCAGCAGAAAATGTCTTATTATCACCGATACCCGATCCGTTCTATGACGTTTATCCAGGAGATATGCCCCTTTCATTAACGCCACCTATTACTGAAATCAATTTACAACAGCAGCAGCAGCAACAACAACAACAAAGGATTACAGATTATTGTTGTTGTGAAGCAGTTCAAAATACGAATATACCTATTTCTACTGCTTGTATGGATCCTTTTTGTCATAGTTATAATAATATAGGATCTCCTCTACCTACTGCCATGATCATGTCAACAACAACAACAACAGCAGCAGCAGTAGCAGCAGCAGCAACAACAACAACAGCAACAACAATTTGCTATTCACCAGAGTGTCAATACCATTTAATAGCTTCACCTATGAACAATCAAAATTCTGTTTTATCACAGACATCGAAACGTATATTAACAAAGAAAGGTCAATGCAAATCATCAAGTCGACGTAGAAGTAGTAATAGTAGTAATAAAAGTAACAATAATAATAATAATAATGCATCAACTAATAATAACACGAATACACCCAGAAGATATAAATGTACTTTATGTATTAAACGATTTACTCGTCCAAGTTCTTTGGCTACACATATGCACAGTCATACAGGAGAGGTACTATAATATACAACTTTTTTTTTTATATGAATGTGTCTAGTTTATTAAATATATATGAATAGAAACCTTATAAATGCCTAGTTGAAGGCTGTGGAAGACGATTCTCTGTAGTCAGTAACTTGCGTCGTCACGCTAAAATTCATACGACATCATTATAGATACAATGCATCCCATTTTTCTTTTCTTTTTTTACTCCTTTTTATTATAGCAAAAAGAAAAAAACTCCCTAAAAAATATGTATTATCACATTTATTCACCAATCTCCTATATCTACCTCTTACTCACTCACTCACTCACCCACTCACTTATACATATTATCTACATAAGCCTAATTGTAATTAAGTTATGATGTTATTATTACCAAAAGAAGAGTACTTGTATCCTTCATTCTAATAATAAATCAGAGAAATAATAATAAAATAATTGTGTTCAGATCCCTTTTGTATTGTATACAATCATATACTTGCTTCACAGTGCATTTCTATTTGTTATTTATTAAGTCATCATTCTATAAAATCAGAAAAGTAAAGTTTTTTTTTTCTTCTTCTAAATCCTTGAATTACACAGGTCTCCTTTTTTGTTCTTAATTATTCTCTTCTTCTTCTTCTTGGTATAAACGTTGCAACAATAACAATGATACAAAAAAAAAAATCTTGCCACATGGCTTTAATATCTTTGTGCTTTTCTATGCTGTCCTTTTTCATGAACCCTTCTTGTAAACCTTAATACACTATTTTGTTTAATGCCCAATTGACTCACAACGGCATCATCTTCTAATAGTCTTTTATTTGAAAATAAAAGACAGTAAGAGTGCCAAATATATTTCCAACTTATTTTTCTTTTTCGTCCAGAGTGCTCATTTTTTTCTATACGTTCTACCTGTAGTTTAATTAACTTTTTTATATCTCGTACAGTTGAGGATTGTTGAACGATAATGCCTAATATAAAATTAATATATGTAACTATACACATGTATGTATTTATACATAGGGCACAATGTAATAATAATAATAATAATAAAAAGAGCTACAATGTACGGAATGAAGGTAATGGAGGCCTTTCAATGGTGACGCGATAAGCTTGACCCTTTTCTATTGCAATTAAAGCATCAAGTTCTTCTAGAGTTGGAAAAGTAGGTACATCACTCAAGATGTCATCATTTAATATTTCTTTTATCTTTTCTTCTAATTCGTTTACAAGTTCCAACTCTTTAGTTGCTGACATGAGTTTATTAAAAAAAAAAAGGAAATAATTTTTTTTTTTTTTTTTTTTTTTTTGACGGGTTCATTAAATATTTATACCCAAGAAGGACTTATTACCTCCTCCGATTTTTTCTCGGTATGAGTGACTAAAAAAAAAAAAAAAAAAAAAAAAAAAAAAAAAAAAAAAAAAAAAAAAAAAAAAAAAAAAAAAAAAAAAAAAAAAAGCATGTATTTTATTGATTCTATTACTGTTCTTTGAATGTAGTATTTATTTATTTTTTTTTCCAAGTGACACCCAGTCTTAAAAGACCAAAAGTGAACAAAAAAAGAGTGCTTGATACCATGATGCGTATAATAAACAGTGGTAATAAAGAAGAGCTTATTCACATCATATGATTTATTTCAATAACTTTGTAAAAACTGACTAAATCTATTAAAAAAAAGTTTAAAGTAGTCATAAATACAAAAAATAAGCAGATATTTGTTCACTACTTTATAGTGAATACAGTTTAAAGATCTGAAGCTTGAGAAAAAGAAAAATAGATTGTTGTACTAGACTAAATAAATATGGTCTTTTTTTTTTTTTCTTTTTTTCTTCTTCTTCTTCTTTCTTTCTTTCTTTCCTTCTTTCTTTCTCTATCGATTACTGTTATCATCATCGTTCTTGACCTTTTTTTTTTTTTTTTAATTCAACATTACCTTTGAATTGTCTTTACTCTTTAAAGTTCATCAAATACTTTAATAATCTCCGCAGCTTTCTATCTCTCTTTTATTTATTTATTTTTACTTTTTATTTATTTTTCTGTTTTATCTCTTCATCAGTAGTCTCTCAATTATACCAGAATGTCAAGTATTAATAATAATCGCATTATTCCCCTAACTTGTTCAGGCCATACAAGACCTGTTGTTGATCTTCATTTTTCACCTATAACAGAAGATGGAAAATGTTATTTAATATCTGCCTGCAAAGGTACACTAAATCAATATTTTATATAACAGAATAATAATAACAATAATATAAAAAAAAAAGAAACTGACAACGCCTTTATATATATATTATGTTAGACGGTAATCCTATGCTGCGTGACGGTATTACAGGTGATTGGATAGGCACGTTTCAAGGCCATAAAGGAGCTGTCTGGAGTGCACGTCTTTCAAGGGATGCTCAAAAGGCCGTCACTGGATCTGCCGACTTTACAGCCAAGGTCTGGAATACAGAAACGGGTGATGAAATTCATTCCTTTGAACATAAACATATTGTAAGGGCTGTTACTTTTAACGATGATGCTACAAAGATGGTGACAGGTGGTCAAGAACAAGTTCTCAGGATATTTGATCTTTATCGACCTGATTCACCTGCATTAGAGCTGATGGGACATGAAGGCACGATTCGTGCTATTGTTTGGGATGAAGCACGTCATGCTGTCATGAGTGCAGGTGAAGATGCAGTAGTGCGTATCTGGGATTTACGTACAATGCGTGAAGGTGGCATGATAAAGAGTGAGACAGCCATTCCAACCATGACAATGTCTGTGGATGGTGAATATATTTCATGGGCCGCTGGAAAGACGGCTAACTTTTGGAAATTGGGCAGGTAAAAAAGCAAAACTCTTTTCTTTTTTTTTTTTTTTTTTTTTTTTTTTTTTACAAGGAAGGATTTTCCAATTCATGTTTATATATACATATATGTGAATTTATAGTTCATTTGATGATGTAAAGACGATTCATACAAAAGAGAGTCTAACTTCTGTATCTATTCATCCAAATCATCAACAATTTGTAGCAGGTATTGAAGAAAAGTTATGGGTACATATATATGATTTCAATACAGGAGAAGTCGTAGGTAAGAAAGAAAATAAGATAGAATGCTATTTTCTATAACAAATTAAAAAAAGAAGGGAAAGAATAGATGTTTCCAAGGGACATCACGGTCCAGTTCATACAGTTAGTTATAGTCCTGATGGTAAAATTTATGCGAGTGGTTCAGGTAAATCAGACCTAAAAAATAAGGATTTTTATTTGTGTATTTATTTATTTATTTTATTGTATATATCTTGTAGAGGATGGAACTATTCGATTATGGCAAACTGATCCAACAAAATCATATGGATTATGGCAAAAGAATAAGCAACAACAGCAAGTTTAATTCCAACACATCTTAATGTGCATCTATAATATGAGTCTTTTCTTCTTTTTTTATTCATTGTATAGAATATGATATCCATATATATATGTATGTATATGTGTATGTGTATGTGTGTGTGTATGTGTATGTGTATGTATATATTTATATATATATATTATATAAGACTCTTATGTATACATGTATACTTTGTTTCCTTTTCTTTTTTTTTCTTTTTTTTTTTGCTGTAATTATCATTGTTCAGTAGTAATAAATAGAGCCTACTTGCTGAGGTTCTCTCTTTATACATTACACTTTTATTGTGCAGAATCAACAACTATAACAATTCAAACTAGAGAGCAAAATAGAATAAAGGGGGAAGGAGTTATTACTGTATATAACTTTGAGCTTTAAAAAGTCAATGATGTTTGTAAAGAGAATATATACAAGTAATGATAAAAGTAGTCTTGACTTTGTATATACTCATTATTATTGAAATATCTCTATTAGACTAAAATAATTTAGGATAAACTGCGAATGTTGATATGAAACCAACTAAATAATAGTCTTGCTTAACAAAAAAAAAAAAAAAAAAAAAAAAAAAAAAAAAAATATCCAAATCAATATATTGCCTATTTATCAATAAATAATGACTTTTGTCCTTGTCCCCTTTTATTCATTCAAATAATTGTTTATTCCTCCTCCTTTTATCATGTTGTGAGGTTGAAATTAAAGTTAATTAGTTCGAACTTTAACCGGCTGCTTGGGTAACTGAATATTACACTAAAGAGGTTAAAATATGTAATGTTAAATCAGCAGCAGCAGCAGCAGCAGCAGTAGTAGTAGTAGTAGTAGTAGTAGTAGTAGTCATAGCTTAAATAAAAATGTATCACATGTTATCTCTTATAAGAAAGAAGAAGAGCAAATAGTATTTTATACAAAACAGGTCAACTTTTTTTTTTTTTTTTTTTTTTTTTTTTTTTTTTTTTTTTTTTTTTGTTCTAAATAAAAACAACTCAAATAAACAAGCCTATTTTATCATTTATTCCCTTTTTTTAATCAGCAATTCTCCTAATAGATAATGTTGATTATTTTTAATATGTTTGTATATATTTTTGTATGTATATAATAGGAGAAGAATGTGTGACATTTTTCCAAGTAATAAAAGATTTTTATTATTATTATTATTATTATTATTATTATTGTTATAAATATTAGTATCATAAATTCTAATATGAATTAATAGTAAAGGTATACAACATAAAAGCTTATGGGTATTTTCTTTTCCTTTTTTTTTTTGTATATCTAAATATGTGTATATAATGAGAAATAAGGAGGGCAAATATAAAATATATAAATATAAATATATATAAAATCAAATTATATTTATATACAAATATGTATAAAAAAGGAGGAGAGAGAGAGAGAGAGAGAGAGAGAGAAAAGGAATAAGTTGTATAAGTGTATAAAATAGGGGAAGGGCATATTATATTTATTAATGAAAGAGAAGGGGATAAACGAACAATAAACAACATTCATAAACAACAGCAACAATAAAAAAAAAAGAAAGAGAAAGGTTCCTTTTATAATCGTATAAAATCTTGAAGTGCCTTTAATTGACGTTGATCTTCACTGGAAGGTACCTTCTCCCAAGCGATATCTTGTGCTATCGGTAAATATGGGTATTCTGCAGTAGTTGTTGTTGTTGTTGCTGCTGCTGCTGTTGTTGATGATGGATGGTGATACACATAATAATGATGAGGAGATGGTAATAAATCCGTCATGATAATATCATCGTCACATGTTCTAGGAGAGGAAGACAATGAAGGTGGCGAATGAGAAGGAAATTCAATATCCGATAAAGGTGAGGATGTCAGGGCCATTGAAGTCTCTTTCAAGTTATGTAATGCAGCTGAATGACCTCCACTTGTATCCAAAGGATTTAATTCAGGATAAAATCCTCTGGGGATTTTAATATGATTCAAAAATGGATCATGAAGAGGTCGCTTTAAACGACCTGCGAGAACATCGGCTTTGGTATAATATGAAATAAGATGTAATTTATGATTATTGGCTGTACAGATAGAAAAGGATTGTTTGATAAGACCATCCGCTTTATAAGAGCATGTCAGACTGGCCTTTGTGTTTTGTTGTAATGAATTAACAGAAGGTTTACGGGGTCTTCTTTTGGTATCTAGTTCACGATACGTTAAAAAACTGCCTAGAACTCGACTAGGAGACCATGTTCGTCCATCTGTCCATCGACGCATACCAGCTTCTCTTTCATCCCAAGCAAATATAGATCCTGAACGTATCTGCGATCTTTCTCTAGTTGATAATCGTCTTTGAACTCGAATAAGTTTATTTCTTCTACAAGCTTCAAATATAATCAAAGCATCTTGAGGTGTTTTAATATAACCAATAAATGTTTCCATTATTATATGTTTAAATTAAAAAAAAAAAAAAAAAAAAAAAAAGGAAAATAAAATAAAATAAAAAAAAGGGGAAAATATATGGATATAAAATAAAAAAAGGAAAATGAAAAAAAGAAAAAAAAAAAGAAAAAAACTGAATAATATTAAAAAAAATACGATCCTTTTTATATAAAATGCCAAAAAAACATAGAAGGATTTTTTTTAACCTTTTTTATTTTTTCATGATCAGCATATTATGTCATGAAAAGCGCGAAAATAATTTATTTTAATGTTTCATGCAGAATAGAAGGGGTAGAACAAAAAAAAAAGCTGCATTCTTTGGGGGGAGGAGAAGGAAACAAAAAGTAAAAAAAGGGGGAGGAAAAGCTAAAATCAATAATAAATGGGAGTTTATAAAATTTTAAACCTGGATCGGGAAATATCTCGATTGTGTTTAACTTGATGTCATTACACACATAGTTTGTGCAACCCTTATTTCTTTTCTTTTAAATGAAGAGAAAAAAAAAAAAAAGAGGTAGATCTTATAGGAAAGAAATAAGTTCTGGAATTTAACTTTATAGTAAAAAGGGAATTGTTATGTTCTTTTATCAATGATATATAAATAATCTTATTTATTTTACTCTTTTATATATTTCTATCATTTTCAATAACCCTTGATACATATTTCCCTCTTTCCCCTTGATAGAAACAAAAAAAAAATAAGAATATTAGATTATATTTTTGGCGGGAATAGTCCCTTAGAATTTGATTTGAAAGGAGACATAAAAAAAGGAGAGACAGTAGCTGCTTATTATTATACATGCGTGTTTTCAATTAAAATTGGTTTATTAAGCCTTAATAAACGATATATATACATATATATTATATGTTTAATCTCATTCTCTACGTGCATATAAACAAAAAAAAATAATAATAATGTATTCTATATATTTAATAATTTACATACTTTAAACAAATACTACATGTATAAACTCCCTTCCTTTTCCCTCCCACCACTATCAACTAATGTTATCTCCGAATTCTTCTTTTATTCAATATTACTATAACAACAATACCATGTATGAAGAGTATAATAATTGCTACTATGGCATCAATATGAGATCATTGTCTTGGTCAAAATATCAAATTGGTATTGTGTGTACCTGACTTAAATAAAATAAAAAAAAGCTTATTTTTTTTTTTTTTTTTTTACAAGTTAAATTGAAAAAAAGCGTTTAAAGTAATGACGTTGTTTGCAGTAGTGTACCTTAAATAATAAGCTATCATTCCAGCAAAAAAAAAAAAAAAAAAAAAAAAAAAAAAAAAGGAGTTAATCATGTATAAATAGAACAAAACACATAAATCACAGGAGTTGGTCGAGAAAATGAATTTACATATTTGTGTATGTTAGAAAGTTTAAAAAAAAATGGGAATGATTCTATAAAGTTCTATTCGGGAGAGGGGTGAGGGGAGGGTCATACAACAATAATAAGCAACAAAATTAATTTAAACAAATATGTAATTTCCATAATAATAATACCATTTTTTTTCCCCGCACAAATTTAGAAAAAACTAAGAAAATTAGACTATTTATTAAAGCCTAAAATAAACTGCCATTCAACATAGTATACAAAATTATTTTATTTAATAATGATTCACTTGAATATTATATCGTTAGTATACATTATATATTTGTTCTAAATTGTTCTACAATCATTCCTGTTTATTTATATAAATAAGCTATTGTTACCACAAAGAGTATATAAATATTTAATAGCATTCTTTCTTTTTGCATTTTATTTCTAGATTTTATTTTCCTATTATGTACATATTTAATTTCTCTCTCTCTTCCCTAGTTAATGAGAGATAGATAGATTTACGGCTTCGTCTATTGATATTTGGGGTATTTATAACAAGTTTTCCATTACTATTTCCAAATATATAAAATTCAAATAATTGGGGTTATTAAATGACTCCAATATATATAAAATTATCGTTATTTGTCTTTATTAAAGGCATTTCTGATTCAATATAAGTGAATATCACTTTATAGATGCTTTCGTTGCTTTTAATAAATAAATAAAATCTTTATGTATTTAAACTCTCTATCTGATTATCGTTGCTGACGATAGTTGTTAACGGATGTTTCTTAATCTATTTTACCGAAAAAAAAAATATGAAATAGTTCAATCATGAGACTGACTTATTATTCTCTTTACGTGGAAAAAAGGACAACTTGACATATATCTTATATCAGTCCATATGCTTATTTTCACATAAATGCTTTTTGGTCAAATATAAAGAATTTCGAGTCATAAAATGTGATTAGCTTGCCGTATCTATTTATTTTTGCCCCAAGTGTATTGAAGACAATATCAATTGATCAGAAAAAAGTTCATCTTTTATTATTATTAATAATAATGAAGAAAAAAAACTTGATAGGTCCAAAGAGTTATAAATCTACATTGTTGCACTATTTTGTTAATAAGAAAAGCCATTGTAATGTAGATTTTTTTTTTTTCATAAAAGACTAAAAAATTATTATAATATCAAAAGCTAACTAACTAGTGATATAGATACTTTCAAGTAATTTACAAGGCTGCTCTTCCTTAATAAGTCGAAATAGATTGATATATTTAACCTTTTTCTCTGCAAAAGAAGATAAATCGATACGTTTCCTCTTTTATTTCTGGCTTCATATATAAAATCGTGCAGAGAATTTATATAAAAATAGATACTAAATATTTATTATATTATACTATATTATATCATTAATTACTTTCTTGTTTTCCTTTTGCCATTGCTTCATTATTATTATGATTATGATTATTATTATTAATATGATTAACTGTTGTTATATTCTTAGCGACGGTATCATTATTCTTTGTTATCTTTCCTTTCATCCAATCATACCATTCCTTTTCCGTTTTACCATTTAAAATAGCAATAATCATGACTGACATATTATCAAAGCCAAGTCCAGTAGATGTTTGATCATCTGCTAAACAGTGATCCATCATATTTTCACAGATTGTATCAAGTGTTTTACCATCTGCAATACTTGAACGTACAAAATCAACTACTTCTTGATTCGTCATACAGTCCCAAATACCTATTATTATATAACAAAAATACATAAGATATAAAGTAAAATCCCATTTTTGTTATTTCTTATCACCATCACAGGCTAAAACGAAAAATTCATCTTCTTTCGTAATTTGATGATCAGTAATATCAGGATCACCTAAAAAAAAAAAAAAAAAAAAAAAAAAAAAAAAAAAAAAAAAAAAAAAAAAAAAAAAAGATGAAAATATAAGTATATGGAATCACATATCATAGATGATATAATTTACAGGTAACCACTTGTTTTTCAGCAGGAAGATTCTCATTTTGTTTAAATTCAAAATCGCCAATAGCACGAGAGAGAGCCAAATTACCTAAATAAACAGTATTAATCATGTAGCCTTTACACAGGTTTCTTTATTCACCATTGACGCGTCCAAATTCAACAAAGCCTCCTGCTTCAATAATTCTTTCCATTTCTCCCTCATCTGTTGGCTTATGATCAAACGAAAGTGGTTTTACTTTGCCTTCAATACTGATAATTCCTCTTGAATCACCAGCATTTGCCTAAATTAATATATTATATAAATAAATAAATATTTATTTAAAGGACAAAGTTGTATTAGAATTATATTTATTTTACCACAAAAATATGATTATCCTCAGTTATAAGAGCAGCAATGGCAGTACATCCAGAAGGATCATAAGCAAAATTATTATCTACAATATCAAGTTACAAAAACAGTTTTTTTTTTTTAAAAAAAAAAAAAGAAACTTTTATATATTTTACCTTCAATTATGCTTTTATCTAATGATAAGAAAGCATCCTTCAAAGCCTTGGAATATTCTTTTGTTTCAAAATATTTACTTTCAAGCACTTTTTTATATAAAGTTTGTCCTGCATACTGTGCAATAGTAGAGCCTATATATATTCATAAATATATGCATATGAATATGAATACATACAGTCCTCCCTTTTGGATGTATAATTACCTCCATGCCCATCAAAGACCCCAAAGAAACTAGCATTAGTATCACCTAATTTTAAAAGCGTTGTATGGGCATCTTCCATGGCTAACCATTTAAAAAAAAAACATTAAAACAAAAACAAATCATAATATACACACACAACACACAAAATCATTTACTAAGTCTCCATCCTTGCATGTGAGAGCATCCATAGAAATATTTATGATTTGACTCATGAGTCGTTGTCTTTTCAGTAACTGGTTCAGATAGTGTTTGTCCCATTCTATTTTATTTTATTTTTTTTTTTTTTTGTTTTTTTGTTTTTTTTTTTTTTTTGAAAAAAATATGATTATTATTAATTATTCATTCTTTTATTATTTTATTTCATTGACTCAAGATTTACATCTTTTAAAGTATTAGTAAGTTTTAATAAGTCGAAAGAGAAAAAATAAAATAATATAAAATAATATGAAATAATATAATATAAAATAATATAAAATAATATAAAATAATATAAAATAATATAATATAATATAATATAATAAAAAAATAATATAATACAATATTATATAATAAAAAAGGTGTCTTTTTTTTTTTCTTGCGTATGCTCTATTTCCACTCTTACCACTTTTTTTCGGTTTTGTTTATGACGTGTTCACGTGACCATTTTCATGGATCGATACTATTTCTTTTCCCATCACAAGGCTTTGCCTTCCGATAATGATAATTTTTATTGTTCTGACAGAATACATACTACACATTTATATTTATTTATTGTGAATAAATTATGCTATATAATCAATATACAATAAATGTTGTTGTAGGATAATATCAATAACAAACGTCATTCTAATGTAAATATTATGTAAGCATGTGTACCCTTTTTTTTTTCTGAAGAATTATGCATAATATTATATTGAACTGTAAACTAGAAAAAAACATCCCAAAATAATTGTGTTAGAAACATGTTATATAATACTATCTTTTACGAGTAATAATACCTGATTTAATTAATACCAAGATATACTATTATAGTCTTCTTTATCTTATCAAATCAAGATATGTTAGTCAAAATCTGATAATGAGCACATACACACACACATGTGTATATAAATATATAAATATATGTATATATGTATATACATATATTGCAATGACTACTGTTGCAATAGCAGTGCTTTTATTAGTTTACCAATGTTTATCGTTACACACGATGCAGATCAAAATCAGTGTGCTACAACATAATAAGATATATATTAATGATATATGTGTATATATATATACACTCATATATTCCATCGATCGTTTTACTTTAAACCATAGTTTATAATTACAACTGGTAAAATTAGTAAAAATAACTTTCTTTTCCTCCTTCTCCCCCCCCCCCTCTTTATATGTATATATATTCATCATTTTTCGTATTATCATTATTATTAATACCTCTTCTTCTTTTTTTTTCCACTTTTTATTCCAAGTAAAATGAAGAACAAAATAGACCATCTTTTATTTGTGTTGTTATTAATCTATAGTTGGTTATTATTAAATGTGATTGCTGAATGTAATGGTGGATCTAATCTTTGTCAACAATCCTATAGTAACATAACGCATCTTATAACACATGACTCATATGCTCTTTCACCTAATATTGCAGCAACCCAGGATTATGATATTATCAATCAACTTAGTAATGGGGTCAGAGGGATCAAGCTATCGGCTGTTCCTTCCCTTATGAATCCAAATAGGATTCATCTTTGTCATACTACTTGCGCCATACTAGATGCAGGATCAATTACCGATACACTTAATAATATTACAATATGGTTACAATCCAACCCAAAAGAAGTGATTACTATTATGTGGAATAATCTTTATGATCTTGATGCATCTCAAATAGCCATGGCTTATGAATCAAGTCATATTATACCCTTTATATACCTTCACAATAACTCTTTATCATCATGGCCTACATTACAAGAAATGATTGATTCCGGAAAACGCGTAGTTAATTTTATTGATAGTAAAGCAGATCCTGTTCAAATACCTTGGTAAGCCTATATTATGTATATATAATATATATACATGTATTTTTTTTTCTTTTAAATATATATATATATATGCATAATGTAGGTTAATGGATCAATTTTCTAATATATTTGAGACACCCTATGATAATACTGACATTAATTCATTTAATTGCAATGTTGATAGAATAGCTCCCAACTTGAATCCTAAGGACCTTATGTATGTCCTAAATCACTTTATCTATGGTGTAGTCGATATTGCTATGATTAAGATAGAGATCCCTTCAAGAATAAAAGCTCAAGCAGTAAACGCTAAACCATCCCTGAGTCAACATATTCAAAACTGTACAACCATCTTCCAGAAGAAACCTAATTTTATCGAAGTTGATTTTTATACAATAGGCGATGCGTCAAGTATAGTAGCAGAGCTGAATGGAGTGACGTTAAAGAGACCTATTATGCCTTTGTCTATCAGTACAGTGAACAAACCCACTACGACAAAACTCTCTAACGTCCAACAAAAGAAAAATCATGTATCAGTTATTACTGAACATATAATCATCGATAATATTTCATCATCTACACATTTAACCCCCTTCCCCCACCACAATTGGTTTTCAAAATGTACACTATTTGTTGCTGGTTTTTTCTTTATTATCATTTTCTTTATTTAACCTTGTAAATACACGTACTTTGATTTCATATACAATAGGGGTGAATAATTGACATTTATTATGTATTAATAAACATTTGAAATTACATGATAGATAAGTATAATATATATATCCTTTTACCTCTTTTGTAAATAAGGGTAAAAAAGATAGGGAAAAGAGCTACATATCATTTGTTGAAGGAGTAAAAGACAGCTACTCTTAGGATGGCTGTGCATGTATAAGTTTGATATTTAAATGGGGATCAAGTTTATTATGAAAATGATAGTCAAGGCCGTAGAGGATATGACAAATGAAAAGCCAGCAAATATACCATTTTGATAATAGTATTCGTGATCTTGATGGATGGACGGGTAGGTAGCTAATTCAAAAGAAAGGAGAGTGAATCATCAATCGAGTTAAGCATGTATAGATGTTTGTGTATATTGAGAAAAATTATAGCATGTAACTTTGAGAGGTGAACTTCTGGATGGCGGGGACAGTATTTCGATTTTCCTCTAAGAAGCCAGCTTCGTTCAGCTGTGGTCATGGGCAGCCAAAGAATGGGTGTCAATTGAGAATTTGTTATGGCAACATGCTAATAATTTGGTATGTTTTTGCAGAAGTCTTCTTTCAAAGGTTTTGTTGTCGATATGTTTGTTTTACGGGAGTAAATTCTTTAGATGAGAGTTCGTCATTAGAAGATTGAAATTGTCGCCAAAGAGGATTTTTAGATAACTTGGACCATTGACTAGTACGAGAAGTTGATATAAACTGCAGGAGTTGAGAAGGTAAAGCTGATTCTGGTAACGAGTATGCTCGCCAGAGGAAGATATGTAGTCGTTCTTGCATTGAAGGGAGTTGGGCTAAATATCGCATAACTTTGATTGGGCTGTTTGTAGATCCACCATAAATTCTACGAATGTGATTATTTTGAGTTTCTTTCTAATTGGATTATTTGATAGCTGGTGAATGCGCTAATAGCGAGATCATATTCAAGCTGAGCACGGACAATTTGAGTGTAAAATCGAAGAGCTGTGAGTTTTATGAATTCAGAGGACTGTACACCTGGAGAAACTTAGGAATTCATAATAGAGTTAACTTTAGTAATATGATTGTTAATTAATGATTGATTGTTCAAAAGACCGCTAGGTTTTAAAGGTACGCCCAGATAGGAAAATGAAGATTGGCATTATACAAGGAAAATTGTATATTATACTGATGATTACCATTGCTATATAGTGTGACACATTTAGATGGGCTCTATCAATATCCTCTAAGAAGACTATGTTCTTCAGAATGTTTTAAGAGGGAAGGTATATCAGTTTTTGACGATATTAGAACAGCATTATCTGCATAAAGTAAGCAGTTCATATGAGGGACTAGGTCAATATTAGAGAGGTTTGAAGTGGGTTGAAAATACTGTAGCATTTGGGGAAAGTCATTCATATGAACAGAGTAGAGGTAAGGAAATAAAATAGATCCCTGCAGTACCCCTGTTGTTGGATAGAAGCGTCTAAAGGTGAGATTTGATTACACTACTTCAATTTGCACGTTATCGAAAAGGTATTGAACTAGAGAGAGAAGAGGAGGAATTACTCCTGTAATATTACTTGTAAAATATCAAATAAAAAAATATTACAAAATAAAAATAATAAAAAGACAAAAGAAGTCGATGAGATCGAACAATCGTTCTAAAGTCAATCATTTTATTTATGAATTTAAGTTGATGGGTATTTATAAGAATTATTAAAGAGGTCTGAAATAAGATGTGAATCAGAAAACAGTTAGTCACGACTTAATAAGATATGTTAAAGATAATGAAGTGTTAGAAGTTTTTAATATTATTTGATAAAGTGGATCAAGAGAGTTTCATGAGAATTTAGATAGAATTCGTTCAATAATTTTATAATATGCATGTTTAATTAAGAAACATGACATTATGACAACTCTAGTCTGCCATAGTGTATGACATATATATTGCCTATTAGCTATGTTATACGTAGATTTTTTATCTAAAAATGTGAGAACTGATTCAATAGAGTAAGTTTTTCGTAATGTGTTACATATTTCGATAAGACAAAGGAATTGATCTAGTGCTTCCCGCTTAGAGTGGAAACTACTCTAAGCAATATCGATAGTAGGACTCTGTTGTTTAAGTAAGGGTTGTAAACATCATTCTAATATTTTTCTGAATATAAACATAAGACTAATCAGTCTAAAGTCATTAGAACCCATGGAGTTGCCTTTCTTATAAATAGGGATAACTTGTGCTACACGTCAATTAGTTTGAGTATATGATCACTGCTAACATAAGCAAAAAAGTTTGTATACTATATTTGATAAAGGAGAAGTAATAGGTTTAAGCATATCACTAGTGATATGGTCAACTCCTTGAGCTTTGTTAAGAGGAAGATTGGAAATTGCAAATTTGATATCTTTGGCAGCAATTAAGTAATTATTTTCAAATGGAGGTGATAGTAGATAACTTGGAGAGAAAGTGTTAGTATTGGGTAAATGAGTACCAGAAAGATTCCAAGTGTCGTGTCATAGTATTAGCTGACTCTTGTGATCCAGCAAATTTAAAAATTAAGAAGCGCAAAATGAAAAACTTTATATACAAAGTACGTTTGAAAATCCAATACATCCCCTCTTTTTTTTTTTGAAATTTGAGCCTTCCTGTCGTATCAATACCACATAACTTTCAAACTAATATGAATATGAATAAGATACAGTATGTAAGAAATCACCCAATTTCTACTATGGTAGTATTTAACTGTAATATGGTAAAAAGTCTTCATGCATGAAAGTCGTTTGGAGAAATTAAATTTTGAGTAACGTTAGCCTCCTTAAAGCTAAAGTAATCAATTACATTGATTTTATCAACCACGCTTTCACATCTGTTTATGACACAACAATATATAATAATTATAGACATAGTTCAAACAGGATTATGGCTGGTATATTCAATTACATAATTATACATGAGTCATACATACCATATAAATATAGATAATGTTGAATTTTGTATTATTCTACAAAGTTTTCACGGGTTTGTCTTCTGTTCATTTATCTTTCTTTAACTTTTGCTATTCAAAACAATATACCAATTTCTTTATCATATGCCAAGTGGTTAACCCTTGTAATTTGAGTGAAAACACTAATTGTTGCTCTGATTGGAGTACTCTTTACAACAATATAAATAACAAGCCATATTATTATTGTCATCATTTTTATTCTTCTTCTCAACAACAACAATCTTCAGAATCTACTTCTTCTTAAACAACAACAACGGTAATATAAGAAATCTCTTAAATTGGATAACTCTAATCTACTAAATTTTTGATCGAATATGATATTGGATAAAATTACTTACTTTTTTTGGTACTTGAATAAGTTATGTCTAAGAATTCACATAACATTAGAATATTAGGACTACCATCAAATTATGCTTATAAAAACTGGTTGTAACAAGCAGTACAAAACGAGAGTAATCCCTTAAACTACTTCTCATTCACAAGTAATTTTAATGGCAGTGAGAATGCAACAAATGCTCGTTATTCTGATTTGCTGGATTTGTTATCAAACAAAAAACAAAGTAAAAAGTTAATTCATATAGTTGAAACAACGAGATCTAAGTTTGAGATAGAAATTTACATTTAAAATCCATTACTTAATTGACTCAAATCCTTTTCTAGAAACGCAAGAAAAACAAAGGACAGTCAGGTTTCGCCGAAGACTATCAGGTATATTGGGCTGATAGAAGAAATAAAAATACCCAAACTATCATAACAGAAAGACAGAATAAAACCTTGGAGAAATTGAATGATATGACATGCGAAAGTTTAGAAAGGCTGGCAGAATGGGTATTATGATTATGCAATTAAAATTAGCATTCTTGTATTATATATTAATATATGTTTTTAAAAACAGATATATAGCGATGATGGTGTAGGCAGTAGCAGCAGCAGTAGCAACATTATTGTTCGTAACCCTGTCAGAACTGAAGATTCTAATAAGTTTGATGGTTTAGAATCTTTAGAAAAAATATTAAATTTCTCGTCAAAATTATCATCAGACAAGTAGGTGTTGAAAATATCAATTTGTTCTATAAAACTGCTAATTGTATTATGTATAGGGTTGGTTACTTAGGAATTCTGGACCTCAGCTCTGACACCGTTATCTTAATGCTTAAAAAACAGCTTGCTGAAAAAGATTATAATGATATTATTCAACATGCTACATTACTAAACGTTGAATTAACAGAATATGCTGAAGATCTAATAACTTCTCTCTGTGAATCCAAGCTTGCAACGATCTCCTTAAGAAATATAATGTATGAAATTGGTTATAGACAAGCCTTTAATTTAGTTCTCAATCGTGATGCTGGTTTTATTGAAACAACTACTCGCCATTTGTAAACACAATATTTTTTGACTGAAACTATAAAAACTCATTTTTTACTTTATTATTTTAGCCTCGATTTAATGGATAGTCCAAACAATTCACTCATACAAACAACTGGAGAACGTGCTGCCTGCATTCATACTATCATCTACATTATAAATCAGCTTTTTTTAGCAGACAATGATGTAGTTGCTTTAGACTGGATCGAAAAGGAGTATTGCCAAACAGGCAGATGTAAATGGGATGGTATCATTATGAAAGTAAATAATAAAAAAATATCTACAGTTTTCGTAGAGTTCTCTGGTGGAATTAAAGTCAATGCAACAATGAAAAAAGAAAACCTCTGATATTAATAAATTATATTCTAATATATTGAATATTATTACTGGTTTGCCTGCCAGTACCCCCCAAGAAAATATTTTGTGCCCGCTTCTATGGTAGCCAAATATTTATATACATATATCAATCACTTTTTAACACAATAGGCTAATAATGTTTATGTTTAATTGATTTAGACAACTGCATATATTTTGAGGAACTATTTGTCTTCAAACAAAATTATTTCAGAAAGATTCATGTGTCTTTCCATTGTCCAAGCACGCCAAGATTACTTCTCAAATACATCAAACAAATCAGCAAAATGCTACAATGGAAAGAAGCTGTAATCAACCAGACGTTGTAATTACAAGATTAATTAGCACTTACTAAATAATTGCTATTGATATTATTGTTGATAAGGCAGATATAAAAAAGAAAGCAGAATAAATCTGTGAAAACTTTGTATAAGACTTTTATTATCAATTGAATAAAAATAAAAGTGAATGTCTAAAAAATGAATGCAAAATGGATTATTATTTATAACTTGTGGGGAGCGGGTTACTTTGCGACAGGAACAGAATGAAGATATCTTGAAAGTAGAATATTTCCCATAAAATGATTAAAGTTATTTTGTTTGAGCTCTCTAATCTTTGCCCTGATTGAGAATTAATCACAGTTAACTCTAATAAATATTAAATTATTGGTGCTCGATCTATCAAGTTATTTTTCTTAAAACCAAATAATGAAATCTCGTTTGCTCATACTTGTGAATGATATAGGGAAGATACTTCTGATATAAATTTCTTGTATTATATATTCATTCCTCAATGTACTACTTGAATGAATTTTATTATGTTTTATAGTGTATAGATAGTATATGATTATATTTATAAATTAATATATTAGATAATATCATAATATTAATGTGAATATGTAACTAATAGGTATAATCTATAATTCATATATCTTTATTATTAATAATCCTTTACACTATGTCTGGCTTATTATTAATTCGTAACGTCAGTATTTATTGTAATATTATTTTTCTCATTACAAGAATGTCTTATAAACTGAAATTAAATAATATTGTATGAATAAAGTGGACAACAAATAACTATAATATCATTCAGTCCTTCATGACTCTGATCTGTATATCATAAGATACTGTGTAATACATCATTATATACATAACAATTTCTGTCTATTTTTTTTAAGACTTGTAACAATGCTGATACTTTTTATGTTGTGTTCTATTTCTTTCAATTGACTGTCAATTTTAAATCCATTTTCAAATCCAATAAAGGTATGAAATATTCAAATAATCAGCTAAAACATAAAATAAAAATAATGTAGCAAAGTAAAAAGCTATATATATTCAAAAATAATTATAATTCCTTTAAATATATGATCTTTCCTTAAAACGAATATAATAAACTGAAAAAACCTTAAAGACGGAAATTAAAATAATTACAATTAGACCGAAAAGGACAGGATGTCACGTGACACTTTCCTCACTACAAGTAAAGAGTTGTGATATACAGTGCGTCCGCCGTCAATTGGACAATTTTTTGAAAAAGCTGGTCAAATTTTTGAATAAATTTGCCCACTTTTTTGAAACTCAATTGGTCATTTGTTTGAAATTCATTTGGTCATTTTATTTAAATTCAATAGATCATTTTTTTGATCATTTTATCTGAGGTATATTTTGTTACTTTTTTTTTATACCATTATTTCGAGATTATTTTTCAAATGAGCATGAATATTTTTTATGAAGATGGTGCTGGTAATCTCATTGATGAACAGGGCGAGCAAGCAAAAGCATATGTTGAAGAGAAGTCATTTCGTTTGAAAAGATTAACAGATCTACGAAAATACATTAAGAACAAGGATCTCCAATTTGAAACGATCAGTTCAGACGATACAGTCATGAAAGAGGCTAGTCCAAAGAAAGAAAGACCTCTTGAGTATAACATTTATACAATGGAAGACCGTAGACGTTACTTTTATTTTTTGAAAGAAAAACTCATGAGACCAAAAGATGCGGCCATAGCCGCAAATGTAAATTATAACACAGCGCGCAAATGGAAAAAGGCTTACGAGGATGATCCGGAAAGGAAGATTCCTATCAAAAAGACGAATCTGAATCCCAACAGACCAGTCAGTCAACTGAACGAAGCTCATAAAGTTTATCTAACCAGTTTTTTTGATGATGACTCAACTGCAACAATCCAGGACGCAGTTGAAAGCTTGACAGCCAACTTTGCTGGCTTACAAATAAAAAAAACAAGAGTAGCCGAGTTCATGAAGGAAGAATGTAATCTCAGCATCAAACTTATTAACCGACACCCTCTTGCCAGAAACGATGATAAAAATCTTAAAGCTCGTGCTGAGTGGGTTGAGAAATTGATCAGCAATGGCGTCAATTATCTCGACAATTGTATATTTGTTGATGAGTCCGGGTTTGACATTAATATGCGTCGTAGTCGTGGTTGGTCACAGCGCGGTACGAAAGCAACTACCACAACTCCCTCCACCAAGGCTACCTCACATACTGTTCTTGGTGCAATATCAGCTAATGGTGTCGTCAATGTGAGTATGCGAGAATCTGGAAATGTTAAGAGAAGGAAAGTTGTAGGGGCCAAAAAGAGAAAGGCTCCTAAAGATAAATTAACTATTCCCAGTGGCACTACTGGCGATCATTATCTTTTGTTTCTTAACGATACTATGGATATTATGGATGAGTTCCCAGAAATGAAAGGATTTTTTATTGTTATGGACAATGCACCAATTCATGTTCCTGCTATAATTGACCCTGTAATTGTAAGTCGGGGCTATAAGCCATTATACCTTCCTCCCTACTCGCCCGAACTCAACCCAATAGAACAATTTTGGGCCATTCTTAAGGGAAAAGTAAAGCGAAGTAAACTTAATGATGTTGAAACGCTTACTTCAAGAATTATTGAGGCTAGTGAAGAAGTACCTGTTGAGCATCTTCGAAATATTATTCAACATTCCATAAACCAATTTAGTAATTGCTTAAATAAGGTCCCTCTATAACTTTCCCTTAACATTATATAAAGTATAATAATTTTCAAAAAAAAAAAAAAAAAAAAAAAAAGATCAATTGAATTTAAATAAAATGACCAAATGAATTTCAAACAAATGACCAATTGAGTTTCAAAAAAGTGGGCAAATTTATTCAAAAATTTGACCAGCTTTTTCAAAAAATTGTCCAATTGACGGCGGACGCACTGTATTGCGGAGAACTATACGTAAAACGATCGTTTTCGGTCTCGTATTACGCAACACGTAATACGAAAGTATTCGGTACTTGCGGAAAACGACAAGTAAAACGATCGTTTTACGTCCACTGAAAACTACCGAAAACGTGTATTCCGCAATTCTGATAATACGTAAAACGTATCTTTTGGTGATTATTATAGGTTATTATTTTTGGGGGGACAACGATATTACGCTAGCAACTGCCTTTATCATTGGTCTCTAACGTCGTAATTCATATCTTTACTCTTACTTATAATTGGATCTTATTAAAGATGTTTATACTCAATTGAGGCTTTTATTATACAAATCTGTTTGCATTATTGGCTCATTATTTGCACTTCCTTAACGTTTAATAGGCTTATAATGCCCTTGTTTATACAGCTTTTCTTTTTTAAAAAAATGTGGCTTTTTATTTATTTATTTATTTATTTATTTATTTGAAATTGGGTTATAGAATATTATATAATAATGATAATGGCAAAAAAAAATATATAATAATATATACTATAATACAACGACATACTTACCTTGAGTTAATATAACTTTAGTAGTAGTAGCCAAGATTACCATTGATTTAGCCATTTGATCTGTAGTTAGTTATTCAGTATTACCAGGATATAAATGTCTACCTAAATGATAAAAATAAAGACAAGTTACTAATTATGACATGTTATATATATGATTTTAGCCCTTGTAATATGATATTTACCTTTAATATAAAGAGAAAATAAAAGTTTTTATTAGTATATCTATCTATTGAATAGAACAAGAGCCATCTAAGCATGATTAAATAATAATGAGTAAATATATATATACTTTATAATACTTGTTGAATTATTGTTGTAAAAGAAACTTACCATATTATTCAATTGATTGTAAAAGAGAACACTTGATCATTTGTATTCAATGGATAGACAATACAATAAAAAGCTTTATCTAAATATAAATATACAAAATTAGTTTCAATAACTTGAAAAAGAAGAAAAGCCTTGATGATATACCTTTTCTCTCTCTTTTTTTTTTATCTGTTACCAAGAGGCAGTATTCTTTAATAGAATCTCAATATCTCTGTAAAATAAAATGAAAAAGTGAATACATTATGTTTGTTTAGTTTATATTATTTATTTACAATTATATATTAACAATTACCTAGTAAAAAATAAATTCTAAAAAATAGAAATAATAGAAAAAAAGCATGTTATTACAATATAATGAAAAGAAAGAAAAGATAAAAAAAATAAAAAAAGGGACTAAAAAATTTTTTAGCACTAATTAAAATTGTCTAATTAAAGTTTACAATAAGTTTATTCTCCCCCACAATTTTCTTTATTAGTTATTGTTCATGTACTTTTTTTTGTTTACAAGTTATCGTTCGTATTCCATAAAATAGAAACATTAGTAAAAGAATAATATATTATTAAATAATTGTAAATTAGAACTCATTAACGATTACATTGAAATTTGGACATTTCATGTAGATCATTTGACATGCATTTACGAAATTACTTTTTTTTTACATTAGTTCATTAGTAATGCATTCGCATAATATTTTTTTGTCATTCTAAACTGAGCAAATAACAGCTATAATAAGAGAATAATATATATATACAGTTAAATATAGTTGAACACAGTTAATTCGACATGCAATTATGAAATTACTTTTTTTTTTTACATTAGTTCAATAGTAATGCATTGACATAATGTTTTTTGTCATTTTAAACTGAACAAATAACAGTCGTAGTAACGTAATAATATGTATGTGTACATTTAAATATGGTTGAAAGTGTTTTGTATTTTTTTAGGGACAATTAACATGCATCTATGAGATTACTTTTTTTTTTACATTTCCATTAATGTTTACAATTACATTGACATTTACATTTACATTTACATTTACATTCGAAATGACTAAATTAAATAAAGATGCAAAATTATTTTTTTTGTTTATTATATGTATTGTATACTTTTATAATAGTTATCTTTTCTTGTCATGTATGAAATATTATATAAGAATTTATGTCTAACTGTTTGTAGAAGAAAAAAAAAGTTAATTTTTTAGCATGCTGAAATTACAAGTGAAAATTGTGGGGGTGAAAGAACCAAAAAAAATAAAAACGTCATTTTAACTCCAGCTGAATGTTTATTTTTTTATTTTTAGGACTTTTATTGGTCAATTAATTTTTTTTCTCCCAATTTCTCTATGAAAATTAAATACTGCCAAAAGGCTGTAAAATTAAAATTGCTATAAAATAATCAATTTTTGCTATAAAGTTGTAGTTTTTTTTAGATATATAAAAGCTTGTATATGATAAAAAAATTAATATTAATTTTATTTTCATGTTTACTAGTAATAAGTTGACGAAATAATCATTTTTTGAAAAAATCACTTAAAACTCAGCAAAAAGACTTGTTTTACGTATGTTTTCAGTTGCGGAATATTTTCATTACTTGTAGTGCCTAATTAGGAAAGTTTCTTTCTCTTATAATATTTAAAATTTTTATAGACATCAGTTCCTCATTGGTCCAACGGCTAGGATTTGTCGCTTTCACCGACACGGCCGGGGTTCGACTCCCCGATGGGGAATTTCTTTTTTCTTTTTTTGGTATTGCTGTTGTCTTAAGAAGAATATTTTATTTGTCTTAATGGACTATTATAATTCTTATGAAAACTATTATAGTGTGATTCTTATATGGAAGATAGATGATGTTTTCAATATTTTTGTTAATTTAATTAACTATAAATTAATTTTAATATAACATGGAAATAAAATAAAGTGGGACGCTGTCGCGTCTGTCCTTATAGGGATGACATTTATGTAAGACTTAATTACTTGTGTTTGTTATCTAAATAAATATAATATGCAAATAAAGTTTTTATTAAATAGTAGCATAAAAGATAAATAATATCAATGATAATAATTCAAATGAAGATTTATAAGTAATATAAATCAACACGTAATAAAGTTTTATGTAACGGTTATATCAAAGTATGACACTGTTTATGATGATATTTTATTACTATTATTATTATTATTATATATGGATTAAGAAAGATACACTGAATATGTATATGAGTGGTGAAGAGAAGGAGAGAAAGTATATAACTCTAAGAATAATACGGTGCACTTACATTTTGCACAAACATAGGTTGTGGCGGTGATGGTCCATAATAAGATGGAGGAGGTACGCAAATATAGGCAGGTGGTGTTTCCTCTGCTTTTTCTTCTTCTTTTGGGACTAACTTTTTATTATTGGTGCCAAAGCCATCTAGTTTTAAACAAATAATGTTGTAATAATATTGCCATCCAAAGGATGCTATCAAACAGACAATTACGAAAGATAGCATAATATAAACACTCTGATTTATCATGTATGTATTGCGGTGCAGCGAATTACCATCAAATATGGAGAGCCAAGCATTGATAAAGCCTGTATGGGCAAAGAAGTCAATACCAAAAATAAACAAATAGGACCCCATAAGGGACGTACTAAAAAGTACTACATATGTTTCTATGAAATATTCAAAAAATGGAACTACAAGTGATGTGCCAATGATAAAGCACACCCGAGCTACTTTCTATTATTATTTAAAATGTTAGAGTTATTTATATAGTTCAGTTTTCTTTTTTTTTTTTTTAAAAAAAAAAAGAAAGAAAAATATATAGCAACACTTTACCAAGGTGATAACAAGTTCAGGTTTCCACGAAAGCAAAAAAACTGCAAAATAAAATCCTCCAAGACCTATGATTATAACATATAAGTATACTTCTTCTTTCATGTAAATCTTTTATAAATATTACATGCAAGGCAAATAACGCCAAGTTGATAAAAGAAAGCAAGTAATAGGGCGCCGAGCAAACCAAGTCCTGCACAAACACAAATGTAAATTACATCTCCTAAAGGATAACCACCAGCAGGTTCATTATTAATTAAACCAATCCATGTCATTGTAGCTAAAATTAAAGCAAGATTAAAACTAAATGCCACTCATTAGTGAGCATATATATATATAGTTTTACCAAAAAAGACGAACCCTACGAACATAAGAGTAGGACGAAAAGAACGAAATCCAAAGAAGCAAAAATAAAGACCAACAATTGCACAAACTACACCAGTAAAGCCCTGAGCTGGGCTTATACCATCGCCATATGTATCTATACATATATGTACATAAATATTTAATTTTTTTTTCTAATGTATATGAAATTATATATTATAAATTTACGCCATATATAATCTGTCCAGCATTGTTTAGTACATGGTTTCTGGCTAGCAACAGTTGCGGTAGCAGTTACAACAGCCACCGTCTTTGTAACCGTTATTGCGTGTCCTCCACCACAATTAACAGTTTGGGTAACAGTTTTCCATAAATTATGAACAGAAATATTAGCGGTCTCTGCCAAATCAACATATATATTTGTTTGACTATGTCTACATAGACTCGCCCAGTTTTGATAAAGTTCCAGATTATTATCAACATTCATATCATCTCTTTTAAAAAAAAGTTTTGTGGGTGTTGCTGTTGGTGCTGCTACGGACTTCAATTGTGTCTGAAATGAAGGAGGAATATAAGAAGTCTTTGTAGGGAGGTCAAATAGATGACAAGAAATATGATGACTGAATAATAAAATTAATAGAATCAATGACAACTGCATAAATTTTATATGAAACATTTAACAAAGAAGAGGAAGAAAAAGACAACAACAACAAAGGAGAAGTTCCTTAAACCAGTCGTATAAGCAATAATTGTTTTTATTGTTTTTTTTTTTTTCGAATTAAGGATTTTTTTTTTTTTTTTGTGATCTATGACACTTGCCATTTATAGTCCAATGTTTTCAATCTTTTTTGCACCAAGTCCACTACTTTTCTTTTTCTCTCGTAACTCTGCCATACGCTATAATAATTATATAGTTTAGCTTTATCGTTTGTTATATGCATATTTTTTTTGTATTGTACCTGTCTTCGTTCTTCTCTTCTTCTTTCGAGCTCAGCTTTTCGATCTTCTTTACTTACGCGTGGTGAAGTCGTTGCTGTAGTGGGGGTTTCTGCCGTAATTTGTGTTACAAATGCTTCAATGTTACCATCATTAGTACTTGAAAACAGATCTAAGACGGTGGTTTTTGTCAGTAAGAGAGAAAAAAAGATATATCTTCTTGATATAAACACATTTATTTACCTGCTGTTTTGGACTTATGACTTAATTTCATTGATCCATGAGCTTTAGTTGTTGAACTAAATGAAGAAACTACACTATTATGTATTGGTGGAGGAGAAAACGCTGAAGAGGGCTCTTGTTGATCGAAAGAATCTATTTAAAAAATTAATCAACTCCTGTTTATAGTATATCTTTCTTATATATGTATATACTCCATGTATTATTTTCAGATTGGTTAAAATCAAAAGGTATACTATCTTCGTCATCCCATCCACTTGTATCATCAGATTCTATTATATTCATAGTTGAATGATCTATATTTGTTTTAGGTGTTATGGGCTTTTGAGGCATTTCATTCAATGGTGGTGATACAGAACTACTTTCAGAGTTAATAGGATTACCAATTTCACCACTAGGTGATGAAAACTAATGTATATAAATATATTTATGTATGTATATAAGTTAATCATATATTACTATTAATATATATTTAAAATTTTACTCTAGATTGAATTGATGATACTGCCCAGCCAGCAAGATTCTTAGTGGCTCCACCAAGAACACCAGCCATACCAGCAGCTGGACTACTTGATTCTTCACTTGTAGATGTATTCATAATTGCTGTATCAGGCTATTGTAAAGAAAGTAACTTTTGTTAAATTTACAAATCCAAGATAAAGAAATATTTTGTTACCATTTTATTTGCAAATTCTTGGATCTTACTGACAAAAGAATTCATTACTTTAAATGCTTGATCACGGACAATTCTAAAATTTGACAAGTTAAAAAAAAAAAAGACATATTTTGCATATGAACTATTTACTTCTCTTTGTCAATCAAAACCATAGATATAGCAGGAACAATTTTTCCTGCACATTCTTGAGCATCATAATAGTCGGAGGTAGCTACAGTTTTATATAAGTTTTCGCTTAGTCTGTTTTAATGATAAAGCATTACCGTTAAGTGCCATCAATGCTGCAATTCTAGCATGATGAAATCCATCTCTTAAACTCCTTGTGAAGGCAGGCACCAACACTTTTTTCCTTGTCTACAAAATATATACTTAATAAGACTGATACGTACTTTATACAAATAAAACATACACTTTCATTCAAATATTTTGCAATTTTCCCAAGACAAATAGTTGTATTAGTTCTAATCCCTGGTTCCGGATCCATCTGCAACTTTGCCAAGTGCTTTAATAAATCATAATTGATAATTTTATCATTTAGTTTAGGCACAATTAGCAAAATAGATTTAATTGTTTGTTCTCGAATAATGGGTACTGTATCTGTAAATCCTGTTGCCTATATAAATATATAAATAAATACATATATATATATGATATACATATATGTATATCATTCCTTAGCCCCACACTTTCGGTAAACAATGAATATATAAAAACTTACAATATTTGGAAATACTTGATTTGTCACCATCTTATTTGACATATGACTGATAAATTTAGGCATATTTTCTAATAAACTAATACGTATTGCACGATCAGGTGAGGCAAACATACGTATAATTGGCTCAATCATAATAGCTTCATATTCTTCATCTGATAGATGATCCCCCACTTTCACAATTGCACTTAAAGCTTTAGCTCCACCCGAGCCAAATTCAAAAGCCTTTATCAATTCTGGTAAAATCTTGTATTTAGCAAAATCACTTGGAAAACTGTTAATATGCGAGTCTAGTTGCTTGAAAAATATTTCTTTTTCATTAGGTTCCTTAATACTGATGTTTTCTAAGAATAGGTTAACTTTAACAAAGTCATTAGAAAAGAAACCTTTCGGTCTTAGCCCTTCATCTAAAAACATTTCAGCTGTAGCTCGTGAATGATAGACAGGATTAAGGAGTTGGGTATAGATTCGTTGCATAGAAATAGGGATATTACCCTTTTGTGATAAAAGCGAATCTGTGCTTTCAAACCGATGATTATAAGCTTCATAAACAAGACAACCTAAATGATAAGAATCAGTTGCATTGACAGAAAGACTAATATGTAGGAAAAGGAAAAAAAAAAGTTAATGTGAGGTATTAGGGTTTATTTATTTATTATTTTTTTTTTTTTTTTTTTTTTTTTTTTTTTTTTTTTTTTTTTACATACTCCTTAATGGCTGTCCATCCAGATTTCTTTACTTCAGGTGTAGCATATTTTTGTGCATCAGGAACTAGACCACCAAACGTCTAGAAATATAGCAAATTAAAATTGGCAAGTTAATTTATTTTATTTTCTCTTTCTCTCTCTCTTTTTTTTTTTTTTTTTTTTTTTTTTTTTTTTTTTTTTTTTTTTTTCTTACCAAAATAATTGGACTTTCTTCTTTTAATGAACATAACAACTCAAGTCCACCTAATTTCCATTCACCTGCTTTATTTGTGAAAATCGAAGCTACTCTTATGTTACCATGAACAACATTACAGTCATCATTAAGAAATTTGATTGCATTCTAATAAATATATGTTAATAACGTTATGCATCTATAATTTCCATTTAACTTTACAGCTATTTTATAAAGACCCCATAAAATAAGATTTTTATCGGGATCTTGGTTGAGTTGATTTGTAAGGGGCTCGACAGGTTCAGTAACAAACATAATGCTTTGTTCTGTCTATAGAATAACAATAAGTTTTTCTTTTCTAGGAGAAAAGACAAGTTTTGGAATCCAAGATTACCTCAATTCCATCTAAATAACGTAGAATATCAGGGTGTCGCATTGTTCTAAGTCGTTTAAATGAATTTCTTGCTAATTGAACTCTATCTTTATTCTTTACACTATCAAATACAAATATAGACACTTCAGAACCATCTTCCTATTATGTAAAAGAAAAAAAGAAAAAATAAATCAGTATTTTATACATGTGAATAATGATCAACTTACTTTTTTAATGCCACGATGAAGTGTCCAAATGGACTGACCTGAATAGAATTCGACTTTATCACCGAGACTATATCCAAAATTAGAATTGTCTTTGCCAAGTAATGATAGGCTACTTTTGACAATGCCTGAAAAGAATGCCATGTTGTATTGATGAAATAGAAGAAGAAAAAAAAAAAATTAAATAAATAAATTTCTTCCTATATGAAAATTTATTTATTTAGGTACATAAAATTACGATACAGCATGTTATTGTAAAAAAAAAAAAAAAAAAAAAAAGTACGTTGCTGCCAAAAAAAGGTACAGATTAATTAAATCATATAATATCTCGCTAATGCAAAATGACTTAACGTTCAAAAGCCTCTTGAATAGATATACGTTTGCTCTGCAATATTTATATATATACATATACATATGCACAATCATAACAGTATTAGATTATTCGAATTTACACAAATTAGAGAGGAGAAAGAAGATGTATCATCAGAATACATAATTTCAGCTTTAGATATCAAAATTACAACTACTAGCAACTACTTGTATTAGATACTTTTTTTTTCCGTTCCTTATTGTTCATAATAATAATATTAAATAATATGGATTCTGCTGTTTAAGAACTAAAAAGAAAAAAAAAAATTCTAGCTAAAATTGTTTATTTGACGAAATAAAAAAAAATAATTTCTGACAGTTGCGTGTACATGTATATTATATAATCGTGTATGTGGGTGAGATGAAGTTAGTTGGTAGTAGCCAATAATTGTAAACGTTCAGCAACAGCAAGTTGAGTACGTGTCATGTTGGCAAGATAAACAACCATCAAAAGATCTTGCAAATGAGAATTAAACGTCTTTTCAAATGCTGAACTATCGATTTTAGGAACAACAGAGACAGTATCCATGATGTATCTACCAATGGCATTATTAGGCTCAGTTTTACCATCCTACAAAAATATTTGTTATTTTAGTGCTATAATCATATAAAAATAACATTCAAACTTACAACAACACTGTCAACATATTGACTGATCCTTTCAAGCATTTCTTGAAGTTTGATAATGGCAATTTCAATATGATCCATATCTGACATCAAAGAAGCAGTGCGGTTTTCATTTGACTTGGCAGAAGCAAGCATATCCACTATTCAATATTGTTAAATTTATTCACAATCAACATACGTTATCTGAAATACAAACTTACATCCACTTCTTTCTGCATCAAGATATTTTACTTCACAAGGAACAGGTAAGAATAAAGAATCTCCAGGCTTATTAGAGAAACCAACAGGTGCACTATATAATAATAATAAAGAGTTATTAAATAAATTCATTTTTTATACATCTATATTGACTCTTCCTCCTTCCTTTCTCTTTTTACCTAGCATAAGCACGAATACCCATATCAGAAGTTTTGAAAAGAGCATCAATATCCACAGTAACTTGAATAGGTTGAAAAGGAGCCACGTCCTCGGCAAAAAATTCATGAACAGGTGTGCTAGTAGGTGTCAATTCTTTGCCAGCAGTATACCAACCTAAAATGAATTCTTCGGGATTTACTCTTTGGTGTAATTCTACCATGCTATGATAATGATCTCTATCAATTTCGTTGTTATAAATGAGGGGAAGGGCGTTTCTGATCTCAACCTCAGTGGCGTCAGGGCTACGAACACCTACAAGTGCACCAACAACTTTAGTTTGAGGATCATCTCGACGCAAATAATGATCAAGAACGGAGAATAAAACAACAGGACTAATACTAGTAGTGAAAGCACGTTGGAATGGTGCACTAGCAAAGTTGACTGTTAAGGTATCCAATTTACTAGCCATTAGTCTTTATTTAATTGTGTTCAAATAGAATAAAAAAATTTATATGAAAAGGGTGTAAACCAAAAAAAAAAACAAAAAAAAAAAGTTTTATGACGGAAGATGAATATAGGAAGAAGTGACTGTTTTACTAAAAATGCAACCCACATTAAGACTATTTTTCTTCAAACATAATTCCTTTTTTTTTTTTTTTTTTTTTTTTTTTTATATATATATAATGACTGAAGTAATAATAGAACATCGACCTGGTGAAGCACGTATTAAACCCGAGTATGTAACAATTAGTGATTAGAAGTTAAACATATTAACATATTTTTCAATGATTAAATAAAGATTTCGAAAAGAATGCTGGGTAGATCATGAAACTTCTGTAGTTCCTTTAGTTGATGATAATGCAGCTGAAGAAGAACCCAACCAAAAAGGAAAAAAGACTAAGGTAAAAAAAAACAAAAGATAATTAGAGAAATTTTGTAAATGAGAATATACTTTATTGATTTTTTTTTAAAAGAATGTTCGTGGAGCTAATAAAGGCAATAGAGGCAAAAAGCGTATTGTGGATACTGTTTTGGTAAGATTGACATCCCATCAATCTGATCATTTAAAAACTCATTCTATATAGATTTGTAAAAATTTATCTCGAGGAGAAGAATGTACTTTTGGGGAAAAGTAAGAAATAGAGAGTTCGAGTTTATAACTCCCCTTTTTTTCCCCTTTTTCTTTACTCACTTTTTTATTTGGTTAGGTGTAAATACTCTCATGATTTAGAAGCTTATTTGAAATCAAAACCTGCTGATTTGGGTGATCGCTGTGTTCAATTTGATCTATTTGGAAGGTAAAATAATTGAACAAAAATTGTCTTTGAAACTATAAGAAAAAGAAAAAAAAATATTTACATTTCTTAGATGCCCTTATGGTTACAAATGTCGTTTTCTCAATGCTCATTTGAATAAGGAAGATAACACATTGATTATTGATGAAAAGAAGGTTGCTGAGCATCCTACTTATATTTTAAATGGTATTACTTCTGAACTGCAAAAAAAACTTCAAAAAAACAAGGTAATTAAGACAACATAGACCCTGAATTCTAGAATTATATATTTAAATTTTTATTACAGTATGAGTTCCCTAAAACAAAGGCTTATATGGTTGAAGTTCAAAAGGAAATTGAAGCAGACCAGCAAATGAAAGATGCCAATGCTTTAAAGAAAAGAAAAGCCTTGGAAGATAACTTTGAGGAAAATGACAAAGTAGTGGATGATAACACCAATAAGAAAGTAAAAAAGGAAGAAATGTATGATAGTGATGAAAATGATGTATTTTTTGATGCAGCAAGTGAATTTACAAATGTTACCATTGAGCCTTCCATTGAAACAAATAAAGAAGAAGAAAAACCTATTGGGCCTATTGATACAGGCTATAAAAAGGTATATATATATTTGTATATATATTCATAATATGCGTATAATTCCTTTATGTTAATATATATTTATAGATTATTGACTTCAGAAATAAGACTTATCTTGCTCCACTTACGACAGTGGGAAATTTACCTTTCCGTAGAATTTGTAAAGAGTTTGGTGTAGATATTACATGCGGTGAAATGGCCCTAGCACCTAATCTTTTAAGAGGTCAACAGTCTGAATGGGCTTTAACAAAACGCCATTACACAGAAGATATTTTTGGCGTTCAAATTTGTGGCTCTAAAGTCGAACAAATCACCCAAGCTTGTGAGGTGTTGAGTCAAGAGGTTGATATTGATTTTATTGATCTTAACATGGGTTGCCCAATTGATCTTATTTACAAACAGGTGGGTTTTGTTAAAAATATTAAATTTGCATAACTAATTTCTTTTATAGGGTGCTGGATCTGCTTTATTAGAATCAAGAGGTCGTATGTATAAGATGTTAAAGGGTATGAAGACCGTATCTACTGTCCCTATTACCGCCAAATTTAGAATGGGTGTTAAAGATAATTACCCTATTGCAGATCGTATTGTTCCCAAACTTGATGAGTTGGTAAGGAAACTATTATTTTGTATTATTTGTCAACTAAAGACTCTATTTTATTTTATTTTTAAAAATAATAATAATAGGGCATTGCATTAGGTGTTGTAAGTAGTAGTGCAGCTTAAAAAAAAAGACATATTCATGTAATACTCATTATACATATAGCTTCATGGGCGTTCACGTGCACAAAGATATACCAAAAAAGCAGATTGGGAATACGTTGGTAAAATGAAAAACTTAACTAGTACTATGCCCATTTATGGCAATGGCGATATTATGAGTTTCGAAGATTATAATCGAGACCGAGAAATAAGTGGATGTGATGGTGTAATGATCGGTCGAGGAGCCTTAATTAAGCCCTGGATTTTTGATGAAATCAAAAACCAACGCCATTTAGATATTTCAGCCAATGAACGATTTGATATGTTGAAACGATTTTGTAATTATGGTTTAGAGCATTGGGGATCAGATAGTCAAGGTGTTAACACAACACGACGATTCCTTTGTGAATGGCAATCGTTTCTCTATCGATATATCCCGGTTGGTATCTTGGAACAACCTCCTCAGAATATGAATGAGAGACCTCCACCTTATGTAGGTCGTAATGATTTAGAGACTTTGATGGCAAGTCCCCTTGCTTCTGATTGGGTAAAGATCAGTGAAATGATTTTGGGACCTGCTCCTGAAGATTTTAAGTTTGTACCAAAGCATAAAGCAAATTCATTCGAAAAAGTCGAGGTAAATATGAATATATTTATATATTATTGCGTGATGAAACTAACACTCCTCATATAATTATTGATTTATTAGGGATAATATTATTTTATATTTAATAAAGAAAAAAAAATCATTTGTTATTTTCACAGCAAAATTCTATATCTACAATTTCCTTTGGTGCGGATGCAGTAAGGACATAAGGTTCATCTTTTCCAATAACTACATTATCTTCAATACGAATACCAATACCTTGATATTCTTTAGGGAATTTATCATCAAAAGGAACATAAAGACCAGGCTCAATTGTGATAACCATATTTTCTTTTAGTTTACGAGATCTGTCTATGTCATATGTATCATGTACATCTAAGCCTAAATAATGACCTACATGATGAGGATATAAAACTCTTTCGATATCCTAGATTTCTGTTAGATGATTATTATTTTCTAACTTTTCTTTTTTCTTTTTATCAATTAGTTTACCCAAATATTCACGTTAAATCCAATATTTTTTAATTCCTGTTTCATTAATTTGACAGATTCTGAATGAATATCATGTAAAGACATATTGTTGATCTCTCTACACAACTTAATACAAGCTTTATTTACGTTCAAAACAGCTTGATAGAGTTCTTTTTGAGGTTGACTAAATTTACCATTGACTGGCCATGTACGTGTGATATCACTAGCATAACCTTTATATTCTCCACCACAATCAACTAAGACTAAATCTCCATCCCTATATATATATATATATAAGTTGAAGCTAAAATAGAGTCATTCTAAAACTTACTTTAATTCCATATCGTTACGAACATAATGCATGGATAAAGCATTAGGTCCTCCTCCAATGACAGGCACATATGCTAATACACTTGAGCCTCTTACTCTTGTTTCATATTCAAATTTAGCCCATAATTGAGATTCTGTCAAACCAGGTTTTGTCCATTTCATAGCTTCAATAAAAGCCTTTGAACTAATCATACCCGACTCCTTCATAGCCTCAATTTCACTTTTACTTTTAATTGTACGAAGTTCATGAACGACTTTACTCAAAGGTAAAATAGTTTGTAACTTTAAACCTATCAACATCATCATTTAGCCCTGTATTATATATATAAAATCGTTCTTTATGCATTACCCGTATCAATAAGTTTGCTTTCTGCCTCTGTTAATAAGGTTGGCACAGTATAGTTATCCATAAATATATGTTTTGAAGAGCCAAGTACGTTTTTCAAATAAGGTATAAATCTTGTATTTTCATATGCCTCATCTGCTCCAAATAATTCCTTGACGCCTTCAAGGCCTGTACGTGGACCATCCCATAACTCTGCATTTGGATTCTTTGGTAAAACAAACATGATTTGTTTATAGCCACGGGTCGAGTTACTATCCTTTTCTAAAATCATGGCTGCGTCAGGTTCATTGAAACCACAAAGATACCAAAAGTCAGTGTTTTGATGGAAAGGATAAAAGATATTATTGGTCATATACCGTAAACTGTACCCAAGACTTACAACTGTACTCCCCTCAGGTAATGATGACATTAAGTTTGAGCGTCTCCTTTCATATTCAGTAGCACTAAAGCCAGGTGTCACTTATAAATATAAATATATAAAATGTCAATATATATTTTTTTTTGACACTATTTTTTTTTTTTTTTTTTGTCAATTTCTACCTTCTCCCTTTTTCATTATATTCGGATGAGTGAATGGTGTTGGTTGGCCGTAAGATTTAATATGGGTTTTAGGTACACGATCAGACGCATAGTGACGTTTCGCAATGGGAATAATGAAACGACTTTTGGAGCTGAAACTAGAAGTGGCCTTTTGCGCAACTAAAGAATAATTAAGCATCGCAGCCCCTTTTTTTTTTTTTTTAATTATTTATTTTAGTTACCTGCGATAGAAGACAGTTTAAGTAAACGAGATCTTAACATTTATTTTGTTTTTGTTAAATAATAATTATAAAAAATATATACAAATGGGACACATTATTCAAGTATTGCGGGGATAGTGATGGTGATTGTAAAATGCGATATCACGTGATTTGTTTACCTCGAAAACAACTAGGCTGCTGCTGCTGCTGCTGTATATGATAAATGACAGCAGCTGATTGATAAGCTAAAAGTGGCATAACAACTTCTTGTATGTCATCTACATGTAGAGTAACTGTAGGATGTCTTTGATATCTACCCATCCCTCTTGAAATAGTCAAAACACGTGGCATTCTTCGGTGATCAAGATCAGGACTAATGTTAGCAGATGCCTGAAAGTGTTCAAACCAAGAAATAATCTGTGATACTTCACCACCTATAGGATTAACTAAATATTGTTCATGAGTTGTACCAAACCTAAGTCTCAAGACATTCTTTTTTAGATGATCAGAGGCAATACCACTTCGTGCTTTAAGCATAGATATAGTATGAAATGGACTAGTATGAGAACTCTTTTTAAACATTTGAAGCATTGTGCCTTGTAAACGAAAAAAGACCTTACTATAGTATTTTTTTAAGTTATCATGCAGGCTCTACTGTTACTTTATCATGATACATACGTCCATACTTTTATATTTTTTATCTCCATACCACCTACCTCCACTTCCTTTTTCATTTTTACATAACCTTCTTTATAGACAGTGCAAGTATAAGAAGGTGGAGATGCTAATAAATCTTCTTCTTTTTCTTCTTTTTTCTCTTTAAAAAGCTCAATTTTTGTCATTCTATGAATATGTGAATTTAGAAAAAAAAAAAAAAGAAAGAGAAAAGAGAGAGTGGCTATATACGCTTTGATTCCCATGCTCTTAGTTAATTGAAACAAAGATTAACTATTGAGTAAGTTTCATTTATTCATTGTAAGTGTAGAAGAAGACTTGCATAAACTATCTTTAGTTATACATGTATAATAAATTGAATGGCACGACGCGACTTTTTTTTTTTTTTACATATCAACAAACGCCATATCAAATCAATCTTACATAATATACAAAATACATTAACAATTTCATGTAAGCTAAATTCTTCCTTTCCTTTCCCTTCTTTTTTTTTATTTTTTTTTTTTTAATTTTATCAAGTCCTATTATTCTGTTTGTAGCAGTAATAATATAGTACAACTTCTTTTAAATATGTAAAGTTGTTTGAAACCTAATTAAGATCCTGCTATTCAAACTCCTTTTATTACAAGAAGAAATGAACAATTTTTTTCTTTTTTTTTTTTTTTTTGACGTTCCTTTTTTTTTTTCCACTTTATGTTTCTTAAAATGAGAACCACTCGAAAGACAGTATTTATTTCAAGTTTTATTTTATTAATTTCATTTTTCGTGTCTCAAGTTAAAGCGACTGCATTAACATATAAACTTGGTTCAAATGAAAAGAGTTGTTTCCATCTTTGGAATGACAAGCCAGGCAAAAAAGTTGGTTTCTATTTTGCCGTAAGTATAAATACATGTATCTATTTTGACTTTATTTCTCAACTTGTATACATATTTATATATATATATATAACACGCTGTAATAGGTTCAACAAGGTGGTTCATTTGATGTTGATTTTGACATTCTTGCGCCCAATGGGGATTCTGTCTTGAAAGGTGAAGAAGAAAAACAAGGTGACTATGTATTTACAGCTAATTACTTTGGTGAATATTCTTTTTGCTTTTCAAATGAAAAATCAACTTGGGCCGAGAAGCTAATTGATTTTGAAATCTTATTGGAAAACGAACAAAGGCCTGAATTCACAATAACTAATAATGGACAGGTGGAACCTGTTAAGATTACAGAAATGGAAGAATCATTGATGCGTATTTCAGGATCTGTGACTAATATTTTACGTACACAAAAGTATTTTAGAACAAGAGAAAATCGTAATGCAGCTACGGTAGCTAGTACGGAAGATAGAATCTTTTGGTTTGCACTTTTGGAAAGTTTGGCTATCGTGACTATGGCTTGTTTGCAAGTTTATATCATTAAAAGCTTCTTTAATGTAAAAAGAGGAGGTGTTTAAATATTGTTGAGAATAATAAAAATAATGCAAAAAAAAAGGAAAAAGAATTATCAGCATTGCATTAATGATAGTATTATTACATAAAATGGGTTGTCATTTTTTTTTTTTTTTTTTTTTTTTTTTTTTTTTTTTTTAGAATGGATAATTAGTTAACACAGCAACACATTATCCTTATTATGTTATCCAATCATTAGCTTTGTTATAGCTTTCTTTATCCAATCAAATTATTAAAATAATCGTCATTTCTGTTTGAATTACTAATCAAGTTACTACTAAAAGAAGAAAGAAAGAGAACAATAAGTTGATCAGTAGACTGTATTTTTTTATTTTTTTTCCTTTTTTTTTCTTCTTTTAAACCAAAAAAAAAAAGGGGGAGGAGAAAGAAAAGCAATGATAGAAAATGATAATATTAAAATGAAGTTCCTCCAAGGTAATTAATACCGAGAATTTTTTTTTTTTAAAAAAAAAAAAAAGACAAAAATTTGTATTAATGCAGGCTTTTTATTAGTAGAAAATCACTTGTATGAAAATTCTCATTTTACTGTAAATAACATAAAAATGATTAATATTTGAAGCTTATTTTAACTAATTTCTTCTTCTTCTTCATTAGTTTAGAGCAGTTATTTGTGGATTAATTATTGGCATATTAATGTGTTTCTCCAATATGTATTTTGGTTTACAAACAGGCTGGATATCCATGATGTCATTACAATCTTCGTTATTAGGTTTTGCTATATTTAAGCCATTTCAACACTTGTTAAAACATAAATTTAGTCCTATTGAAAATGTTGTTTTGCAAACAACTGCTGTAGCTACTGCAACTATGCCTTTAGCAGCAGGTAATATATATACATATACAAAAATATATATATTATGTGTGTGTAAATGTATGAATGAAATATTAATATGATATTAACAATAAGGCTTTGTGGGCGTTATACCTGCTATGGAGTTAATGACAAAAGAAGATAACCCAACAGGTGCAGTCATTTTAAATGGTCGACAATTATTATTATGGTCTTTAGCAGTAGCATTTTTTGGTGTATTTTTCGCTATTCCCTTAAGAAAACAGACAATTATTAGAGAAAGACTAAAATTTCCTTCAGGTACAGCTACAGCACAGATGATAAGTTTACTTCATCATCAACAACAGCAACCGTCATCATCTATTGCACCAAGAGTAGTAACTTTAAGAAAAAGAAAAATTCATAATGTAGAACAACAGCCATTATTATTATTACCACAGCAGCAATTACAGGATTACAATACAACTGATAATCATCAACATGATTCATCATTCGAATATAGTTGGTCACTTAAACTAAATGGTCTCATTGCTTCCTTCAGTCTCTCTTCAGTTTATACACTCTTATCCTACTTTATACCCATTATTAATACTTTACCTATTTTTAATTATCTTACATTTGGATTTGTCGATATGAGAGCATGGGAATGGTATTTCACACCAAGTTTTAGTTATATGGGTCAGGGAATCATTATGGGTCTACCGACAACTTTATCTATGTTGTTAGGTTGTATAGTGGGATGGGGCATATTATCTCCTGTAGCTTATTTTGCAGGATGGGCACCTGGTCCCATTCATGATTGGAAAACTGGATCTAAAGGCTGGATCTTGTGGATTTCATTAGGTGTCATGATTGCTGAATCTTGTGTATCTTTATTAGTTGTATTAGCAAGAACAGTAATAAGGATCATGATAACAAAATATGAGACTGACGATATTGGATTAGATGATGTACCTCAAGATCAACAAGTACCAAAAATAGTAACCATACTAGGTCTCTTTGTTTCTACTTTGTCTTGTATTTATCTTGTACGAATTGTGTTTGGACCTGATGTGTTATCGGAGAGTATGACACTATTAGCCATTCTTGTTGCTATGTTTTTGAGTATTCTAGGTGTTAGAGCATTAGGTGAAACTGATTTAAATCCAGTGAGTGGTATTGGTAAAATTAGTCAAGTATTTTTTGCAGCAGTAATGCCTGGTGGTATTTTAGCAAACTTGATAGCAGGGGGAATTGCCGAAGCAGGTGCGCAACAAGCAGGTAAATTAAACACTATATACAAAAAAATATAGATTGTATACTCATAATAACTTTATAGGTGATTTAATGCAGGATCTTAAAACAGGACATTTGTTAGGTGCCTCCCCTAAAGCTCAATTCTATGGCCAGATGATTGGTTCCTTTGCAAGTGTCTTTGTAGCTACTGGTAAACAATGATCATAAAATTAATTAAAATGCTTTCTATTTTAACTCTTTTTTTCTATTTAGGTGCTTATGCTTTATATAGAACAGTATACACTATTCCTGGCCCCGAGTTTCCTGTTCCTACTGCACAAGTCTGGCTTGATATGTCACGACTTGTCAACGGTCATCCCTTACCTCCACATGTTTCCGAGTTTGTCTTTGCCTTTGCTATTCTCTTTACTATCTTTGTCTTCATTAAAGAGCTCTTTCAGGGACAACGATGGACACGTTTTATTCCTCAAGGTATTGCATTTGCAATTGGCATGTACAATCCACCTAACTTCACATTGGCACGTGTCCTTGGTGGTTTGATTATGTACTTTTGGACACAATTTTGCGAACAAAGGCAAGAACCTTATATGTACGATAAGCATAATAACAAATTAAGGGCCTGGATAGAGCCTTATAGAGTTGTAGGTGGTAAAGTCTTTATCATCATTATTGCCAGTGGATTTGTGCTAGGTGAAGGCACATTTGCCATCGTAAATATGATGATGCGTGCTTTAAACGTACCTCACTTGTAAAAAGAAAGAAAGAAAGAAAGAAAAAAAAACCCCTACCCTACCCTCTATCTCATTTATTTATTCCCTCTCTTTATTTTCTGTATAATAATGTAATTATTGTAGAATATATGTATTATGTACTATTTGAACATGTAATTTAGCTTGCTGTTATTACAAAAAAAAAAAAAAAATTCTATATTGCCATAAATAACTGTAGAATATATCATTCTTGATATGTAATTGATGCTAGTCTACTCTCATTTTTTTTTTTTTGTAACACGATTGAAGAATATTGATCTAAAACCAAAAGCATATTAAAAGAAATTCACTTTCTTCTTTGGACAGTCTAAATCCTAGAATCCAAGATACTCAGATGACTGTTACTACAGAAGACTGTCTTGGTTGGGATCAGAAGATCAAATCCATTCAGGAGTAGATGTTTAGACAAAGAACTTGGGATCTTCTAAAGTTTATAACTTTATATCTGATTTTGTTTTTTTCTTTACACATGTATTTTGTTTTGTTGTTGTTGTCGAAGGGTCAATAGTAGAATGTTAATGCTTAAGAAAAGAGAAAACGCTATATTATTGAAATAAATAATAAGAATTCAGAAAACAATAAAAAGACATATTTTATTAATAAAAAAAAGGAATAAAACTAGAAATAATTTAACGATGATAATACAAAAATACCAATTACAAATAAAATCTTGGAAGCATTAGAGGATGTTTGTAAAGTGCTTACCTGTTCTCAGATATGTATAAATTACTACTAATTCGAACAGGTGAATTTGTTGCAGATGCTGTTGTTGATAATATAACAAAGCTTTAAAAAACTATTAAACCAAGGGTTTCAATATAAAGTTGCTATCTGAGTCAATAGATAGGCAAACAGACAAAAAGATGGACGGGGGTTTTCTCTATACAGGCTCGAACCTAGAAGAACAAATGTGTCAACAGCTACTTATGGCAATAATGAGGCATCGCATTAGATTAGAAAATCAACTAATAAAAACTCCTACTCTATTCTAACAGAATCTAAACGTTATGAAAGGAAACGGTAATAGAGAATAGAACAGCAAAAAAAAAAGTACGATATTTCCTTAAAAGCAGCAGCAGTAAAGACAGATAGTTTTTCATTATATATTCAATATCTTACCTACATTATGCTTCATTTAAAAGAATACCATCCTTCAAACGCTTCATTTGTACGAGGGGTTTCTTTTTTCTTTTCTTTTTTTTTTCTATTACCAAAGTATACAACGTGCTAGACAAGAAACGGTAAATATCTTAATAAATGAAAGAAAAAAAAAAAAAAGAAAATGCAAAAAAAAAAGAATTGAAAAAAGAAAGAAGAATAAAGTTAAAGATAAGAAAAATGGTGTAAAGTATAAAAAACCTCCATAAATCTCCCCAAGTTATAAAAGGGATAAATGATAAAATTTTCATTTTGTAATAAACAAAGAGGTATGTATTGGATACCTTGAAATAAAATGAAAATTCCAATTATAGTCTTTGGGAGTAAAATAGTTAAAAATGATACTGTCAAGTTTAAATGCTTTCAAACAGGAGTCACCAACACATTGTAGAAAGAATGATTGAATAGGTACAGACATAATGATTTAATTGTAGCTACTCTAGTGAATATATAATTCCCAAATTAATTAATTATTACTGCTTTGTTAATATCAGTTTAACATATTTGTTTTCATATAAAACAGACCTGTCATTCGCCATAATTTAAAAGAAATTTTGTGTTTCCAATAACAGACTATTATAGCGTCTTCTTAGCGCACCAAAGCTGCGAGATACTGTCTCAACATGATTACACTATTACAGAAAAAAAAAATATATGTTTATTTATCAAATCTCTAGTGAGATAATAACTAACCAAGATCATCCTACTGCATTTTCTTATCAGAAACAATAATATCATCGTCTTGAACATGAGGTTTTCCTAATGGAAAGTTTATATCTAAATATATGAATATATTTTTACAGATAAACGTGTCTAAGAACTAGTTTTATCTCGTCTCAATCTATTTTAACTTTTTCTTAAAATTATATTGTTGTTATCGTTGGTTGCTTTTTTATCTGAAAATACCGTAGTATGTGAAAGGTCCTTCCCCCCTTTTTTTTTATAATTACTAGTATGCTTATTAGGTTAATAAATAAAATACATATTTTAAATATAATATCTGAAAGTTAATCCTGGTATCAAGCTGATGTATTGATTATCATCATAATAGACTAGCCTATTTATACTGTCTCTGATTTCTCTTTTGCCTTTTTTCTTTCCTCTTAATCCTTAAGAGACCTTTATTACCTTCTCTCTCTCTATTTTTTGTTTAACTAACTAGGGAAATGCAGCATAATAAAATTGCTATGTGTTCATTGGCCATTTTTATTTATTTTGAATAAATAAATTCGTTTAATCACAATATCTAAAAAAAAAAAATCCCTTAATATTAACTCCGACAAGCGCGTATACTGTCCAATAAAATTAAATTCGTTCAAAGAGAAAGAAGTGAGAAAAGTTATCAAAGCAAGAAATCCTTCCTTTTCACATTAGGTAAAGTAAAAAAAGGGAGAGGAGGAGGAGGAGGAGCATACGACATAATAATAATGGATGAAAAAAAAAAGATAGATAGATGGATGGATGGATTAAAGGGAGAAAATTATATGCTTTTAGTTCAGGAAGCTAATCTCAAATTTGTTAATTAGCCCAACATGGAAGCTGTTCAGACATTCGGTCGCAAGGTAACAAAGAAAAAAAAAACTCCACCTCATTCAATGACAGCATAAAATAGAGAAAGAAAGAGAGAGAGAAATTGATGTTTTGGATTCAATGAGACAATTTAAATCAAGTACAACAAATAGCATGTTTTAATGGAATTCAAATGTTAATGAAAAATTATTAATTTTTTGGCATAATCAGTAAAAAAAATTGTTAGACGCACTAGACATTCACTTTAGTTGTTAATTTTGCCAGAAAAGAAAAAGCAGTACAGAATATTTAACAAATGGATTATTATTTTTAAACATCATTCTCTTTCTCTATTTTTCTTTATGCTGTTATTCTTTTCTTTTTTTTAAAAAAAACAACACAAACAACTTACTCTTATTACAAATATAGAAAACTGCTACTGCCGTTGCCCATTGTAAGCGTGGTCGCGGTCTCATCCGCATCAATGGTTCTCCTCTTGAACTCCTCGAACCTGAGATCCTTAAATTCAAGGTTTACGAAGTCATTCTTCTCTTGGGTGAAGAACGTTTCTCCAACGTTGACATTAGAATCCGTGTGAACGGTGGTGGTCACACCTCTCAAGTCTATGCTATCCGTCAAGCCCTTGCTAAGGCTATCGTTGCTTTCTATCAAAAGTTTGTTGATGAGGCTGCCAAGAAGGAAATCAAAGAAATCCTTGTTCAATATGATCGTACCTTGCTTGTTGCTGATCCTCGTCGTTGTGAACCCAAGAAGTTTGGTGGTCCAGGTGCTCGTGCCCGTTACCAAAAGTCTTACCGTTAAAAAAACGATGGCATTCTTTTTTGCCTTTTTTTTATGTGTTATAATTAAAAAATAAATAAATAAATGAATAAATAAATATATAAATAATAAGGGTTTTGTTATAAACTGTCATAAAAACAGTAAAAAATAAAAAAAATAATAATAATTTCCGCATAATATTTGGGGGTGGGGGAGATTTGAAATGGTCAATGACTTGACTAAGCTTTTCATATCATCACTATTGTACCTTGTGTATTATATGTATGTGTTATCTTTTTTTTTTTTTTTTTGGGGGAGGGTGGGGGGGGGGAAAGGGAAACTAAGAGAAACCATAGTAAAGTATAGTAACCAATAAGATGTGTTTATTCCTTTCCGTAATTGGGAAAGCATATGCAAACAAATAAACAAGAATTCATTACAATATTATAAGCTTTTTTTTTCTTTTTCTATTTAATATGAATCAAGTAGGTTACGCATAAAAAAGTATTCTATGAATTTTTTTGTGGCTCTATATTCGATGTTCTTATTCTCACTATTAAACATAGTGTGTATTCATCTATTATTCGTGATGATACGGGTGACGTATATTTAAAGTCCGATATTGATTTTTTTAATTTTTGATTTTTTTTTTTTCTTCTATTCTTTTTTGTTTTTCTTCCTTTTTCTTTTTTCTTTTATATACAATAATATATCTACAAATTTATAAGAAAACTTTTGACAACTTTTTTTTTTCTTTCTTTCTAATTCTTTATATTAAATAATGTCTACTGTAAGTTATTGACGCGTTTTAGAACATGTTGTCATGTCGGTTTCAAATTTAACATCTTATATATATTTATAGGAGCGTGAAAACAATGTCTACATGGCCAAGCTCGCTGAGCAAGCCGAACGTTATGATGGTAACTCTTCATTGTGTAAACATGGTACAAAAAAATATTTACAAAAAGATTTTTTTCTTTCTATATAGAAATGGTTCAATATACTAAGGATGTTGCAAAGGTAATATACATACATACATAAACTATAAGACAATTTTTTATTTATTTATTTATTTATTTTTTTGTAAAAAAAAAAAAAAAAAAAAAAAAAAAAAAAAAAAAAAAAAAAAAAAAAACTTAATTATATTTTAGATGGGTAACGAGTTAACTGTTGAAGAACGTAACCTTTTGTCTGTTGCTTATAAGAATGTCATTGGTGCACGTCGTGCTTCATGGAGAATTGTTTCATCTATTGAACAAAAGGAAGAAAACAAGGGTAACACTGCTCAAGTAGAAAAGATTAAGGCTTATCGTCAAAAGATTGAAAGTGAACTTCAAGAAGTTTGTAAAGATATTTTGAACGTTTTAAATGAAAACTTAATCCCTAATGCTCAAGGTGGTGAATCTAAGGTCTTTTACTATAAGATGTAAGTCCAATAAAATAAAATAGATGTATTAAAATGATGATTAAATTTCTTTCTATCTCTTTTAGGATGGGTGATTATCATCGTTATCTTGCTGAATTTCTTACCGGTGAAGCACGCAAGGAATCAGCCACTCAAGCTCATGAAGCTTACAAGACAGCTACAGAAATTGCACAAACTGAATTGGCTCCTACTCATCCTATTCGTTTGGGCCTTGCCTTGAACTTTTCTGTCTTTTATTATGAAATCCTTAACTCCCCTGATCGTGCCTGTCATCTTGCTAAACAAGCATTTGATGACGCTATTGCTGAACTTGATACTCTCTCTGAAGAATCTTACAAGGATTCCACTCTTATTATGCAATTACTGAGAGATAATTTGACTTTGTGGACATCTGATTTACAAGAAGGTAAGCTTATCTATTTTGTTTTATGTTTTTTTTTTAAAAAAAAGAAAGGGCCAAAAAAAGAAGAAATGAAGTTTAACATTCATTTTTATTAGAAACCGAAAAGGCTGATGAAGTTAAGGGTGAAGCTGTTGACGAATCTAAATAAATTAATAATTCATATTTTCTATCTCCTTTCTTCACAATAAAACAACACCACTATTATTAAAATAATATGTAGTCGGGACTTGTATTTATTTATTTATTTTATTTTATTTTCTAATTACAACAAATGATATAGTTATAGTTTATTATGTGTTTGTTATTACTGATGATGATATTAGATGATCATCATTTCCTCCTCCAGATATTTCCAATAAGCTTAAAATAAAAATGAGAAAATAAACTCTTTTTTTTCTTCAAAAAAAAAAAAAAAAGAAAGAAAAAAGAACAAAAAAAAAAAAAAAGAGATAATAATGATTACTTACTGATCAATTGATTTTGTCAAGTCACCTTCATTTTCAGTTAAAACAAGATAACATACACTACTATCTACATTAGAAAACATATGATTTAAGGTCTCTAAATTATCTTCAAATTGTCTTTGATGAGGGGGTCTTGGTGGTAAAGGTGGATGGTAGTGTCGATCTTCTTCATCAGAACTACTACTGCTTTCACCAATTCTGTTCTCACTTAAACCTTGAAATATTTTACCAACAAAACTTAAAGGTCTTTGCATTGTCTTTTGTGCAAATTGACTTCCTCTTTCGAGTAAAGCAGCTGCTTTAGCAGAATCAATAAGTAAAGGTTGTTGTTGATGATAACCTTTGTTAGTAGTTGAAGAGGGATGCAAAGTGTTTTCATAACTAATTTGTTGTTTATCTTGTATCATCGAGGGAGGTCTTTCCTTTTTTAATTCAAGCATTGTTCTTTCAATATTCTTGTCAAATTCTTCTTCTGAAATAGATAATGATTTAGCTTCCATCGTCTCTATAAATGAAATAGCACCCATCTATGTTTATTTTTTCATTTTAGTTTAGTTTTATCTTTCTTTTGTATAATCATAAATACCAAATTTGTTAAATAATAACCAGCTTCAGCTTGAAGTTGCTCGGGATTTCTAAATCGATATATATATTGAACATTGGAAACTAGTTTTGGTGGATTAGCTCTGATAACAACATAGATTAATATAGGTAAAAATTTATCTGCTCCAGCATCTCCTTCTACGTGCTTAATCAAACCTACAATCATTTACATATAAACTTGAATATTTAAATATGTATATATTTATATGCGTGTGTGTGTGTGTATGACTTGGTTATATTCATTACTTACCAAATATAACTTTACAACAGTTTAAAATACAAATGAGTTTATCTCTTGGTGATTTATAGTTATTCATTTTTAATATTTCTAATTTTAGCAATAATTAATAACTTGGTAACAAACTAAATAAAGAGAGGCTTCCCACACCCCCTTTTTTTTTATATATATACCTGATTCAGCAAACGTTAAAAATGACTCATTATACTCAGTTTCAGGTATATCTAAATGCTTTTCACGAACCCATCTAAAGATGTTGATCTTTTGTTGTAGAATTTCGTCTCTTTCTTTATCATCTGTTGTATTAGGACAAAACGTACTAAGTTAAAACGGGGGAAAAAATTAGATAAATTGCTTACATCCTCTCTTCATTGTCATTCTTCATCCTATCCTTTCCATACTAACACATGGTATAATCTATTCATCACTAGCTTTTCCATTCCTTCTTTTGCATTACCAAACTCTTGTTCTGACATATCTTTCCAAACATCACATTCTCTCATTTTAACATAAATAAACTAATTATTATCAGTATTTATTCACCTTCAATAAATATGAATAACTTACGTCAAGAAAGTCTTGAATGATCTTAATTTGCTCATTCACTGTCCAAGCTCTACGATCAAATGCTTGTAAAAAGCTGTACACACACAAAAAAAAATATTTATATATAAATGTATTGTTCAAGTTACCCTCTTTTCTTTTAATCTATTTATTTACCTCTTAAAATATCGTGTAATTGGCTTTGAACTTTTATTCTTCATTTGATCCAAAAATCGATTAAAGTCAAAAGGTATTTCTTGTTGCTGCTGTAACGGGGTATCAATCTTTAATTCATTTGCAAAGGAAGGCCTTCTCATCATCTCTGAATGGTAATTATTATTATTCTCTAAAAAAAAAAAAAAAAGAATTCAACTTCCGCATTAATGCCATTATTATTATAATATACGCATATTCATATTTTTACCATCAATAAACTGATTAAAAATATGTTCCATTTCTTTTACATCATTGACTTTTATACTATTAAACTGCTCTTGTTTTCTATTTAAAATGGAAAAAAAAAAGAGGAAAAAAAAATCATGTCAATAAACTTTAATAGTGTAATTTAATAATATATATCCTTACTGATTATTTTTAAATTCTTGTTCATCCTCATCATCAAGTTGTGAAATGACCTTCACTTTCTCATCAAACTCCTCAATTATATCATCTGTTTGTTTCATGTTTGAATTCTCTTCCATTATGAAATAGAAAAAAATAAAAGAGAAAGACTGAATAGGGTAAAAAAAAAAAATCAATTTCTCTCTTTTTTTTTTTTTTTAATTATATTATTGAATGTTATACAGTCACACCGTTTTATAATTATCATTTTAAACAGTGCCTTTTAATGCACTCTTTATCTTTTTTTTTTTTTTTTTTTTTTTTTTTTTTTTTTTCAAATCATTATTATCAAAGCAAAAAGCTGACATGTGAGAGTCATATTAATACTTACTGAAAGCTTCAAGAGGAGATGGAAATAAGTTTTATAGAGAAAAACTTGGAAGCGATTCCATCTAGAAGACGTGTTATCACCAATTAACTGTTTATGATGAAGTTTTAATAAATAAATAAATAAAAATAAGGAGCTCTAATGAATGTTTAAAAAGTGTTCCAATGATGTACAAACTCGGTAAAAAAAAAAAAAAAAGATTTCTATGTACATCTTAGGAACTCATAAAAGCTTGTACTTTCATATTCTATACGAATACGACTAGAATAATTCTAATCTTTAGGTAAACTCTGTAACCTAGTTAGTAGTCCTCCTCATCCTCCTCATCATCACTCTCTTTTTTTTTTTTTTAATATATCTAGATTCTGTCACTCATGATACAAAAGAACCAGACGGTCTTAGTCCTATTTGGACCTTTGGCTTAAAGCAACAATGTGTATGGACTATAGTTCCAGAGTTAAAGGCTCATTAACAATAATAGGGCCTGTTCATTCTACTTCTGTTGAAGAGGGAGAGAGAGGGAGGGAGAGAAATGAAAATAGTATATATCAGCACTTTATGAGCCTCAAAATCATACATAAATATTTAAACAAAGTGCTAACAGAAGGAGAATTTTCATCCTATTCTTTAAATTATGTTGAAAGGAACTATTCCATAATAGCAGTATAAATAATGCAATTATATCTGCTTATCCATTTTTTATTTTATCAAAAAAAAAGGGGGGGAATAGCGCTTTATTTAATTACCCTTAAGGGATTCAACAAGAGCAATATATTTCTCTTCAGCTTCGTTTTGGGACATACCTTTTTTTTAAAAAAAAAAAACCTCCGAGTAAATAAATATTGTAATAACGTGTATTCATAAATAAGCTTTATTTTTACCCTTCAATTTGTTCCAGGCTTCCCATTTAGCACGACCCTTAGGATCAAAAACACCGGGTTTAGCTATATAATTTTATTTTATTTTAGATGTAAATAGACTAAAACATTACTTTAGGACACTTACAAGTTTCATTATCACCAACAGTAACTTGCTTAAAAAGACCATAAAGTTCTAAGAGAGTACTTTGAGAGGGTGTAGAGGAAAGCTTATGAACTTCTTCAGCAGCAGTGTTGAATTTCTAAAGAAACATAAAATGAAACAGAAATACTTGTCAATATAACTTTATAAAACTATTTTTAACAATAACTTACTTCCGAGGGCATCTTAAAATTGAATTATGAAAAAGGAAAAGAAGAGAAAAAAAAAAAAAAAGAATATGTGTATATAATACGAAAATTCTTCTGCATTTTTTTTTTTAAATGTCACACATACATGTGTACATTTATTATTTAACAACTGCTGGTCATATTCGCACCCCTGGTCATGCATGTTGTCAAGTACTCATCTGTTCCAACTGTTGGGGATAAAGGCGGAGGTAAAGAAACAGGATTATTTATTTATTTTCTTTCATGTTCACGCCCTGATTTACCCCAACTGGGACACAACAAGATATTATTGAATACCTTAAAAATTGTCCGGCTTGAATCATAAACAAAGAAAATCCTTACAAGAATCAAGGATAAAAAAAAAAAAGGAAAGAGTAACTATGAAACAATTAGTGAGCGGGGGGAAGAGAGGAGCCAGCCGAGGCATTGCAAGTTTTTTTTTTTATAAAGAAAGAGACAATCAAGTTTATGAAGGATTATGCAAATGACTAGCTAACAGATAAATTAAAAAATATGTTGTACACGTAGTTGATGTGTTGAAAGTCGATTTAAAAGAAAGGGAAGAAGACCATCAACAATTTTAAGTTTTTCAAGTTGATGGTGTATTTGGAGACAATATAATATGGCATACTACTTTGTGAATCATTGTGTAGGTTATTATACAACATGCACTGCTTTCTTATCAAATCATTACTCTTGTCAAGGGACATTAATAAAAGAGGTACTTGAAGCACATTTTGTAATCTCAAATGGAGCCCCTCTACTGTATTCATAATCCCCCCCTTCTTTTTTTTTTTATTTTAAAACTCTGATATCAAGTAACATGGCTGCAACAATGAATCTAATTGATTAAGCGTATATGCGTATATATCTAAAAGACTAATCCCGACACCAAATAGCATACATAAAAATATATGCAATAATAAAGAAACAGCTCATACTTCCATGAATTGCCTATGATTTATGTTTCGACTATATCCTTATTAGTTATATTGTAAATGAAAGGCTACTTTTTTTTTCTTTTATTCCAAATTTTTCCTTCAAAACAGACAGATGCATATACGACATTTAAATTCAAGTATCAACCAAACCACTATACCACATTTAAAGTCAATGCCAAGGATAAATTAAGTAGAATTCATTATATTTAAAGAATGTTTGTAAAGTAAAAAAAAAAAAAAAGTATACTTTAAGTCCATTACTTTATTGTTCAAAAGTAATAATCATTGATTGAAATATTAAAAAAAAAAAAAAAAACTAATCTTGTTGCCGTTCAAATAAAACGCCACAAGATTTATAAAGTAAATTAATTTTATTGGATGTCCTTTAAAAAAAAAAAATAAAAAAAATTTCGGCTTAAGCTTGAGAATGCTGTTCGCGAAAAAAAAAAAAAAAACTTGCTAGTCTTTTCCATACCCAATTTGATTAAATATTAATCCTCCCCCTCTTTTTTTTTTTTACTAACTTTACACATATAGTCACTTGTATAAAAACATGGCACAAGTAGCAAAACCAACAACCACTAAAAATAATACTGGTGGAAATTTCCAAGACAAAGATAAACCTATGGAAGTTCGCATGTCAAACATAACTGCTGCAAAAGGTAACAATATATACATATATGTAATAATAATAGATTCATTTCGCGTTTCTAATGTTCTAATCATTTAACATCAATAGCTGTTGGTGATGCTATTCGTACTTCGTTAGGTCCCAGAGGCATGGATAAGATGGTAAATCTTAATAAAAGATTAAAAAAAAAAAAAAAAAACTTAAAATCTTTATAATGATGTATTCATGTTAATTGAATAGATTCAAACTGGTAAAGGTGAAGTTGTTATTACTAATGATGGTGCTACTATCCTTAAGCACATGGCTGTCCTTCATCCAGCTGCCAAGATGGTAAAGAGAAAAAAAAAAAAAAAAAACGACAATGAATCGAATGGACATTTAATTGATTTATTTATTTTATATACGTATATACATATATAGCTTGTTGATTTATCTGCTGCACAAGATGTTGAAGCTGGTGATGGCACTACCTCTGTTGTTGTTTTATGTAGTTCTTTATTAGCAGCCGCCGAGAAAATGTTGAATAAGGGCATTCATCCTACCACCATTGCCGAATCATTCCAAAGAGCTGCTGCTAAAGCAGTAGAATTTTTAACTGAAATGGCTACACCTGTTGATTTAAGTGATCGTGAATCACTTTTGAGAGCAGCTTCTACTTCACTTAATTCTAAGATTGTCTCTCAATATTCTACATTGTTAGCTCCTATTGCTGTCGATGCTGTCACACGTGTTATTGATCCCGCTATTGCTAATAATGTCAACTTGAATGATATTCGTGTTGTTAAGAAAGTAGGTGGTACTATTGATGACACAGAATTAGTGGATGGTCTTGTCTTGAATCAGAATGTCGTTCGTTCTGCTGGTGGCCCTAGTCGTATGGAAAAGGCTAAGATTGGTCTTGTTCAATTCCAACTTTCTCCTCCTAAACCTGATATGGACAATCAAATTGTTGTTAATGACTATAGACAGATGGATAAGATTCTTAAAGAAGAACGTCAATATCTTTTGAATATGTGTAAAAAGATCAAGAAATCAGGTTGTAACGTACTTTTGATTCAAAAGTCCATTTTACGTGATGCTGTCAATGATTTGGCACTTCATTTCTTATCCAAGTTGAAGATTATGGTGGTTAAAGATATTGAACGTGATGAAATTGAATTTATTGCTAAATCACTTGGTTGTAAGCCTGTTGCTGATATTGAATCCTTTTCAGATGATAAACTTGGCTATGCTGATCTTGTTGAAGAAGCCGAGAGTGCAGGTTCACGTATTGTTAAGGTAACTGGTATGAAACATGCAGGTAAGACTGTCTCTGTTATCTGTCGTGGTGCCAATTCACTTGTTCTTGAAGAATCCCATCGTTCACTTCATGATGCTCTTTGTGTTGTTCGTTGTTTGGTAAAGAAGAAGTTCTTGATTGCAGGCGGCGGTGCCCCTGAAATCGAAATCTCTCAAAAGTTAATGGACTATGCTAAAACATTAACAGGTATGGAACAATACTGTTTCCAAGCATTTGCTGAAGCCCTTGAGGTTATTCCTACTACTTTGGCTGAAAATGCTGGTTTGAACCCCATCTCAATTGTTACTGAATTGAGAAATAAGCATGCTCTCGGTGAAAAGACAGCTGGTATTAATGTTAAGAAGGGAACAATTACAAATATTTTGGATGAAAATGTTATTCAACCTTTATTAGTTACTTCAAGCGCTCTTGAATTAGCTGCTGAAACTGTCAAAATGATCATGAAGATTGATGATTTGGTTCAAAGTCGATAAATATCATCATCTTATTTCCCTTTCCTATTTCCCCTTCTTCGCCCCCTTTTTTTTTTATTATTATTATTTTATATTAGTAGTAGTAGATTTTTTACTCTTCCCGTTTTTTATAATATACTTTTTTTTTTTTTTTTTTTTTTTTTTTTTTTTTTTTTTACCATAACCCTCTAATATATTATAAATATGTATATGTATATATGTATGTGTATGTGTATGGATATGGATAGGGTTATACAACTGTGTACAATTTTCTAGAATTAAATATGTATTGGCAATATAGTATATTCTATTGACATTTTATTCACGTATAAATAATTTAGTATTAAGGGATATTGTCTATTGTCGACGACAGAAGGGTTTCATTTCCTCATCATTCCAACTATACATTTTACCCGAGAGCTCCTTGGGCGGGTTGTTGGCTAAAGCAGCCAAGACATGACCAGGATCTTGAGGTTTAACGAGTTTACCAGAACGATGAAGATCGATAAACTTATCATGATCTTCCTTCATACTCTCTTTACCTTTAGTACGAATAACATTTTGCATCTCTGTATCAACAACACCAGGACGAAGAGCAATGGTTGTGACGTTTGGTTCTTCAACCGACAAAGTAGTTGCAATATGATTGATTGTGGCCTTTGAACTAAATACAATATATGAGTCGTTAATATTATTTATCTATCTATCTATTTATGTTTCTACTTTACGCGCCATAAGCACCCCATCCTTTATATCCTTTCAATGCAGCACCAGAAGATACAACAATGATAGAACCTCTTTCTGACTTTCGAAGATAAGGTAAAGCATTTTGCACAAGAGAAATGACAGAAAAAACGTTAATATCAAATAGTTTCTTCCAACCTTCAATAGGAGCTTCAGCAATAGAAGCAATAGGCTCGAGAACACTTTTGTAATTATTATTATTAATAACTTGGAATTATAATCAATGTCAATCAGTTTTACCCAGCATTAGCAATGACAGAATCTAAACATCCCCATTTGTCAATGGCAGTATTAACAGCTTTATGGATCACTCTATCATCAGTGACATCACCAATAACAATCTCAAGTTGACCTGGTTTATTTAACTCGTTTGACACATGCTTTTGTAATTCCTCGAGTAAAGCACTACTTCTGGCAATGGCTACTACTCTAGCATTGTATGAAGTTAAGGCTTCTAAAGTGGCTGCTTTACCGATTCCTTTAGAAGCACCAGTAATGATCATAACAGGTGATTTGACACTCATTTTTTTTTGTATTACTCAAAAGTTATAATTTTAAAGAACAAAAAAAAAAAAAAAAAAAAAAAAAAAGAAAAAAGAAAATTGTATAAAAATAATAATAGTAGCCTTGATTTTAAATAATGATGATGGTGGTATTGACAGCAGCAACAAATAATGATGCAGTATTTCTATTTAAAACTCAGATAAGTTTATTTATTTCGGTTACCAATAAGATTGATCATAAAATAAGGGAATTGTTATATTCAATATGACGACTATGTACTGATAGTATGATCATAATCAATAGTAGGCACAACAGAACTCATAAACTTTAAGAATAGGATCAAATACCTAATAAACGAATAGAAAAAAAAAAAAGGAAAAAAAGTGAATAATAGCAATTTACATGAATTCTGTATACACTTTACTGATCTACACGTATTCCTCCTTCTTGACCTACAACTGAAGTTTTACCCTGACCCATTCTTTCGATAATTTTCTTCATTACTTCAGCATGTTTACAAGGATGAATAGAAGCCAAGTTAAGTGATAAATGAGGATGCGTCTCAATTGTTACCGTCTTTTTTACATAATCAGGAGAAACATCTTCAAAGACTTGAGTTGAATTTAGAGGACGACGTTCTTCATCATAACCAAATAACCACATACGAGGCGTTTGATAATATTTATCATATGTGATAAATACATCATATGTTCGAACCTGAAGTACTTTATCACTAGTAGCCATTCATATATGTACAGTGAGTATATAAATAGATGCAAAAATATATACATATAAATATATATATATATGTGTGTGTGTATATATGCAGGCTTACTTTGTCACTACTTGTATAGACTAATATGATTTACATTAGATTATATATACATATAGCTATTTAATACTACTTACAGGATCTTCTTCTTCTTCTATTTGGTCATCCATGTCTGGTATATCATCCATGTCTGGTACATCATCTAGATCTGGTATATCCTCTATCTTTAATTTTTCTAATCCTCTTTTAATTTCTGCCTCTTCCTCTTCTTCAGTCATAATAATTTGTGCCATTTCTTCCATTGTTTTAGTTGTTCTTTTACTATGTGTAAGCATCCAATCTTCTCCACTTTCATCTTTTATTATTGATTCAACGTCTTCATCTTCAGTCAATTCCATTTGACGAGCACGTCTAATACAAGGAACTTTTATAAAGTATTTAATACTCTTCTATTAGAGTTGTAAAGTTATTTTATCTTTTTTTTTTTTTTTTTTTTTTTTAAAAAAAAAAGTTACCATTGCGAGTGACGAGGAATTGTTTGTCACTTGGTAAGTAGTCTCTCTTTTTCTCGTTTAAACCTCCTTCCCTAAGTTTAAAATAGTTAATCGCTTATTTATTTTGTTTAATGTCAATAGTTCATTTATTTACCATTGCCAAGTTGGGCACTTGTAAACCAAAAAATCACCTGCAGCAACAAACTATTTATATTGAAAACGATATCTACTTTCATTTGTCTGTTACAAAGTTGCTTACCTCTTCAGGAGTAATACAGCCTGTTTCTTTAAATTTAGAATTCTTCAAGACAGGTGCAAGATATTCTCTTACTTTTTGAAAATTGGAAAATACTTTATTATATGCGTCTTGGACAGACATGATAAGAAAAAAAAAAACAAAAGAAAATTAATGCCGCTTTTTTTCGTCCAAAAAAATTGAATAATAATACTCGGTCAGCTGACTTTTTTTTTTCCTTCTATTGATCATTTGATGATAGTTATATCTTCAGGGGATTTTTTATTGCACAGTTTCATTAATGCAAGTATATATTTGTACATGTGTATTATATAAATAACTATTATTATATATTTCATTTTCTTTATTTATTAGTTAAAGATAATCAAGTCTACTACTGTATTATGTAATAATATTCATAATATGCTTGTTATATTATTCTCTCTTAGTTGAGTACATACCTTTCTTCATTACATTAGCGTATAAAATTATATTAAACTAGTGGAGAAAATTTATACAATATTGAGAAGAAGAGAAGCCAAAACACGTTGTAAAGAAAAAAAAAAAAAAGTGAACCCAAATTTTTTTTTTTTATAATATAAATTATTATTCATATTTTCAAGTTTGTTACTTTAATAAGAAGCTCAAGGGTGTAGTAACGGTTAGTCTTCATCACGTACCATTAACAACAATAAAGTTTACGGTCTTTTAAAACTAAACACAACAAAAAAAAGGTAATTTTTCCATCATCTATGATGCATTGTGTATCTCCAACAAAAAAAAAAAGGTCACTAAATAGTTCAACAAAACATTCTTTGTTTTATCTATTTCTAAGCACAATACACATATAAAGTGATTTTCAACTATAAAACAAAATAAAAAAAATTTCTTCCGAGACGGTTTTTTTTTTTTTTTTTAAATGTTTATATTTCTTATGTAATGTTTAAGAGAAGGATTTTCAATCTCCGAAACCTGAAATAGGATAGGATAGAAAGATAGAAAAAAAAAAAAAAAAAAACTATCAGAAAGAATAAATGCATTTAAAAGGCGGGAATGCGTAATTTTTGAAATTCTTCTTCATCTTTTTTATTTTTTATTTATTTTTATTTCTATTTTTCTACATGGTTAACATTCAAACTATTCCTACCCAACCTTTCGAAGGTCAAAAGCCTGGTACTTCAGGTCTTAGAAAGAGAGTCAAGGTTTTCCAACAAAAGCATTACACAGAAAACTTTATTCAAGCTATCCTTGAGGCTATTCCTGAGTCTGATGGTGGTGCCAAGGGCGCAACTCTTGTTATTGGTGGTGACGGTCGTTTCTATTCTAATGAAGTACTTCAGGTCATTGTTAAAGCAAGTGCAGCTTATGGTGTAAGTAGTATATGATGAAATGAAATATGGAGGTGTTTTTATTTATTTATTTCGCTTATATCGTTTTCTTGTGTTGAAAAAAAAATAATAGGTTGCCAAGTTAATTGTGGGTCGTAACGGTATCGTCTCTACTCCTGCTGCATCCAACATCATTCGTAAGCGCAAAGCTACAGGTGGTATCCTTTTGACTGCTTCTCATAACCCTGGTGGACCTGAGAATGACTTTGGTATCAAATATAACTGCTCAAATGGTGGTCCTGCTCCTGAATCTGTAACAGATAAAATTTATGAAATCTCCAAGACAGTCAAGGAACTTAAGGTAGCGGATGCTCCTGAAATTGATTTCTCTAAACTTGGTACACAGCAAGTAGGCGATATGACAATTGAAATCATTGATGGTGTTGATGATTATGTAGAACTCATGAAGGAAATCTTTGACTTTGATTCTATCAAGTCCTTCTTTGCCAATAACAAAGATTTCAAGATGTTGTTCGATGGTATGAATGGTGTCACTGGTCCTTATGGTCATCGTCTCTTTGTTGAAGAATTCGGTTTACCCGAATCTAGCGTAATGCGTTGTGTTCCTAAACCTGACTTTGGAGGTGCTCACCCTGATCCTAACTTGACTTATGCTCACGATTTAGTGGAAGCTGTTGAAAAGCAAGGTCTTGATTTTGGTGCTGCCTCAGATGGTGATGGTGATCGTAACATGATTATCGGTAAGGGTGCTTTCGTAACTCCCTCTGATAGTGTTGCTATCATTGCTCATTATGCAAAGGATGCCATCCCTTACTTCAAGAAGAATGGTATTCATGGTTTGGCTCGTTCAATGCCTACCTCTCAAGCTCTTGATTTAGTTGCTAAAAAGATGGGTCTCGAACATTTTGAAGTTCCTACCGGTTGGAAATTCTTTGGCAACTTGATGGATGCAGGTCGCTGTTCTATTTGTGGTGAAGAATCATTTGGTACAGGCTCTGATCATATTCGTGAAAAGGATGGTGTTTGGGCTATTTTAGGTAAGAAATTTTTTTTTTTTTTTTTTTTTTTTTTTTTTTTTTTTTTTTTTAGATATAATTGTATGTGTATGTGTGTTTGGGGGGGGAGTGAGGGAGGAAAAAGGAAGGGGAAGGAGGGGACGGACGATCGGTGTATAATGGATATGAAACAATGATTACATAATGCTGATTTTAAATTTTTCGTCTTTTTTTTTTTTTTTTTTTTTTTCATTATTATTTTTTATTTAGCATGGTTGAGTATCATTGCTTATACTAATAAGGAAAAGCGTACCAGTCTTCATGATATTCTCCAAGAACACTATAAGATCTATGGTCGTAACTTCTTCTCTAGATATGATTATGAGGAGGTCGATGGAAAACGCGCAGAAGACATGATCAACCGACTTCGTGAACAAATTCAAACAAAAGAACTTGAAAATAAGACTGTAGGTGGTTTCACGATTGATAAGGCAGATGATTTTGAATATTTAGATCCCATTGATGGAAGTGTATCTAAGAAACAAGGTATCCGTATTATCTTTAAGGATGGCTCTCGTATCATTCTTCGTCTCTCTGGCACTGGTTCACAAGGCGCCACTGTTCGTCTCTATGTTGAAAAGTACAGTAACGACGCCTCTGAATATGGCAAAAATGCTCAAGAAGGTTTGAAGCCTTTGATTGATGTTGCGTTAGAATTATCTGAGCTTGAAAAGTTTACTGGTCGTAAGGAACCTACTGTCATCACATAAACAAAAATGATAAAAAGAAAAAATGTTATATAGCATATACTTATTCCCTGCATATTTTCATAAATACATATATGTTATACATGTATACTACTTTTTTTATATATATACATTAAATAAAATCAAAAGTATATAAGCTACTTGTTATACAGTATAATAATATTGAGTTTGTAAAGAACAAAAAAAAAAAAAGTTCTAGTTTATAATAATAATTTGCGACTAAATTAAATATGCATACATTCTATTAAAATATAAATATCTACATACTTGTCCCCAAAAATAGTTTTTCTTCTATGATGATGGTTGCACAAGTTGTATATCAAAGATAATAAATTGAATGTATGTTTTTTTTCACTTATCCCAGTTTTTTCAGAACTGAATCAAAAAAAAAAAAAAAAAAATTAATTTATATTAAAAAAAAACGTGCTTAGTTCCGAATAATGTTTAACATAGAATGATATAGCATCTTTTTACAAGTGATCCACTTTTACTAGCCTTATCGATTTTTTTTTATTTTTACTTCTATTTGAAACTAGTAAACCTTCTTTAGATTTTTCTTCTTGACTGCTGCTGGTAAATTTTTTAATTTCTGGTTCCTGAATTCTAATCAACAAGGGATTAGTTTAAGGAGATGAAGACATTCAAAACAGTAATAAGATAGATCCATTTTGAATATCAAAGAAGGGAAAATAGTAAATAAAACATCATATTCTTGTTTCACCTTTAATTTTAAAAGTATTATTTTATAATAAACAAATCCTTTTCTTTTTTTTTTTAAAAAAACAAGTATGAAATAAACAAGTCTAGTATAAAGCACTACAATCAAATATAGAATAATTTCATTTTATAGTGTACCAATAGAAGATATTGTTAACCCTATAATATTATTTCTATTAACTAGGCTTGTCAAAAGAAAAAAAAATGATGCACTCTATTTTCATGTTTGGCTGAATAACTAAGATCAAGAAATCTATTTATTTTTTCTTTAATGGATATCATTATCGTAATATATTATTAAACAGTAAATATGTATTAGAACATAGGAAAACAAAAAACAAAAATAATACAAATATATACAAAGTTCTCTCACTCCCCCTCTTTTCTTTTTTGGGAAATAAGGATTTTTCTTTTTACAATTCATCGTCATTTGTAATCGATGTTCTTTTCGACTTATTCATTTCTTCATCTATAATACGTTGTGGCGCCTTTGGAATCATGATTTGCTTGACTTGTAAGGTAAAAGTGAAAAGACATAAGAGGATCATTACTACCGTCAAGGCCATTGTGACGATTTTACCTAAGCGATAAGCTGGTGCATTACTCACATTCTATACCTTGACATTAATAAAGTTAGGTTTAAGGTTACCAATCGAGTTAATAATAGCAATGGCCAACGCACACGATTCTCTACTACATGCATAGGTTTCATTAGCTCAGGTCATCATGACAGGGGAGATTCCCGAAGACAGGAGAGACCAAATAGGCGCAGACCAACAAAAGGGTAACTGGCACATGTCCAGCATTCACAGCGACCAAGACAATACACCAAACTAACGGAAAGAGTCCCACATGCTATAATATGATATGCACGATTTCCATATTGATCCCATAATTTACCTTAGATAATAATCACAATACCTACTCAACACTAAAATAGGGACCATCATATAATTAGCAAATGTGGCCTCATAACCCAACGTCTTCAAGATGATGGGTAGGTTCTATAAGACACCCATATCCATCTGCATACAAATAAACAAGTGAATAAAAGGGAGTTGTGAATAAATTACGAAATGTATTCATGCTCAGTCCACTAACGAGACTACTTCGACCTTGTCGCTCAAGACGCGTTATTGCCAACTCTTGCATTTCATCCTTGTATAAATCGTATGTTGTGTGGGAAATCAGGCAAGACAAAGAAGCCGATAACACTAATAATGACAACAATAATTCCATCAATAATGAAAAAGCCATTTCCAACCGCGCATACTATCAAGACTTTGAGAAATGGCTCCAGAAATAAGACCACTAAAGGCGCCGGATATTTGCGAACCTGCAACACAAAGACAGCGGTACGCGTACTAAGTTCCTCTTTAGTATACCAGGAACCAAGTAAGAAGACAATACACAGGTAAAATGCAGCCTCCGTAAAGCCAAGGCAAATACGAAGGTCATAAAGACCTTGGTAATTTTTTAACAAAGGTCATAAAACAAACAACTGCATCATCAAGTCGTAACCACAGTTGGAAGCATAATACTAGTTCAAACACAAGCAATAATATAATTTGCAGGGATCTGTAAACTACATTCATGAAAAGAGAAAAGGTATGAGAGACGTCCTATAGATAATATTAAAATGATTTAAATATAACTTACATAATATATCCAATAAGGAACATCGTAAGAGCCCAATTGTATTGATTACCAATAAGATTCAAATCTTCACTTAAACCTGTTGTTTGAGCATTAGGCATATTATTTCTATCCAAGCCATTTGCAAAATAATCAAAGAAAGCCTAAATCAAAAGATAATAATCGAGTAATTGTACTAGATATTTTTCTTTTTTATCCTTTTTAACAAATACTATATTTTCTTCTACAAATATAATCTCCTTTTGTTGATTATTCATTTCTATTGATATCTTCTTTTGTTATAATAAACTTTGTATGCATATATAAATAAAAGGAGAGAGCTTTTATATGAAAATAATAATAATAAAAAAAAAGATTGATACCTTTCCTCGCATTTTTTTACGCCAATGACCTACATGTCTTTAACGCAACGCAAAATACAATGCAAAGAGTTAAAGTTAACTAGGGGGAGGGGGGAGAGAGGCTAAAGATTCGGGAAAGTTTCTGTTTAACAAAATAAAAGCAAGAAATTAAGTAAAGTTTTAGACTATTGCCCAGTTATAAATACATATACATGTTATAGGTATTTCGATTTATATATAGCAACCAAGTATACAAACACGTATAAAAAATTGTGATAGACAAGGATTTTATCTTCTTGTCATAACATAATTGCTTTCTTTCAATGAACTTAAAAAGGTGTGTATGTGTGTGTGTGTGTGTGTGTGTAAGAAGAAGACTAAACTGTACTTAGAAAGTAAATGTTGTTTACTGTTATTTATTGACGGTAAATAGCGGGTAACCTCTATTGTTATACAATGTCTCTTTAGAAATAAAAACATGAATCGTTACTAGATTTCATGACTTTGAAAGTCCGTGTATAATTGAATTATAAAGCATCATCTATTTTGATTACTACTCCAACATTCTTTTCCTTCTCCATGGGAATATACATAATTGCTTATTTATTAAATAAGATAACAAAAATGATAATATTTACTAACTAATTCTTCTCAAGGTTTGGTTACTTTGGAAGCCCATGAGTCTTCTTCCTCTTCCTTTTCTTCTTTTACTGTCCACGCAGCAACTCCCCAAGCAGGGTCAGGCTTATCTTCACCCCAAGAAGCATGAGTAATGTTAATATTTGGTGTATCTGCATTTGTATCCCAATCAATATCAGGATTCCATGGCATATCATCATGTTTATGCGAGTTCCATCCAATACGTTTTTGCTTTCTTTTATTTTTAGCAACTAATTTTTGAAATGATGAAGAAGGTCCCGGTGTATAAGCAGTAAGATCTCGACTGGATCTTCTATAATTATTTCTATTCTTATTAATAGGTTTGATATCATGTGGTAGATTATTAGCTATATCATCCATTGCAAATATATCTGTATTATCGTTATTATTAAATCTCGGTGAATTATAAGATGCTCTTCTTTGTCGTTGTTTGTTATTAGTTGTTTGATGAGTGGGTGGTGGTGGTTCATAATAGTGTTGTCCGTGCATATTACTATAAGGTCGGATAATATGATCTACAGGATTCTTTTCAATATCCTGTTGCCATTTACGTTCTGTATGCCCTCCAAATGGTGATTTCACAACGATTGAATAGCGTCCTCCTTCCAACGAGCCTTGTAAAAATCGACGCAGCAAATCATAATTAGGTTCTTCTAAAAACTTAAGTTTACGTGCATATTGAATGAACTCTAAGAAACCTTGAGGTAAACCAGCACATAAATCCTCCATAAATGTATCTTCCTTAATTTGTCGCATTCTATCCCATCCTACTCGAGAATTACGTGCCTGAATACCCGTCCAGGGCAATGTACCAAATAAGAGATCAAGTAGTAAATAACCAAGACTTTCAATATCATCACGTCGGGAATGAGGTTTACCACGATGAACGTTCAGGGAAGCATACCTTGCTGTGCCTGTTTTATTCTTAATATTTCGTTTCGTTTCTGGGTATGGTTTTTCGGTTGTTGGGTTACGCCACCAAGTTGTTAGACCAAAATCAACAATGTGAAGCTTTGGATGAGGTTCATTCCATTTCTTAAATACTTCTTTACACGTAGGATTTATATACTTGATATGAGGCATTCCATTATCATCTGGTATCTCGATCATTTCTGCTTCTGGTAAATGACAATGAGATGGAAATAAAAAATTATCGGGTTTAATGTCTCTGTAAACAAGACCACTCTTATGGATATGTTCCAATATGGAAACCTAATAATAATAGTAGTATGATTAGTCATGGATATAGACACATCTATTTCGTGCATATTTTCATTATCTTACAATCTGACAGCCAAAGTCAACTACCACATCAAGTGGAAATGTTTGTATAGTTTGTTTTAGTTGATTTAAATTAGGTCCTAACAAATCAATGACAATGCAATCAAAACCATCATGTTGTCCATGCCAATGGCATTGTGGAATACCAGCTAAAGTAAATAAATAAATAAATAAAATATTATTATTAGTCCATGAAAGAATACGATGATATTAAATACTTTACGTCCACCGGCTAAAACATCATACATGATGCTTTCATGTTTTAATTGAGGATGGCGCATTTTAAGTGGTTCTCTTTTAATAGCATAATGTCTAAAAGTATCAACATCCTCCGCTAATAATAATATACTATTAATATCTCAATTATATCATGCTATAAATTATGTGTATACACATATATTTGCTCATTACCTTCAAATACTTCACCAAATGAGCCTTCACCTATTCTTCCAAGGACTAACCATTGTTCAGCAATAATGACATCTCTACTATTTATACTTAAATCTGTTCGAGTACTATCAAATGAAGCATATTCAACACCCAACATGTTATTTTGATTATTGGGGGATTTAAGATAATTTATATCGACTGAACGGGATAAATAACCCTTTTGTGGATGTGATCTCGGCTTTGACTGCTTAATATGAAAGGGACTTGTCATTTAAACAGTATATAAAGAAGAAGTGTTAAATAAAATATTTTTAAGATATGTTGTTCATGAATTTATATTAAAGAAAAAAGAAAAAAGAAAAAAAAATATTTAATTGGTGTTTGAACTTTGACCGTCTTAATATTTTGTTGGCAGCAGCAATAGAAAAAGAAAGTTAAATAATTCAATGATTAATATTATGCTTATATACAAAGGCTTTTTTTTTTCTTAAAAATACAATAAAAGTACACACGTGCTATACTCCTCATTCAACCTACTCTCCTTTATATATACAAATATTTATATGTATGTATGTATGTGTATGTTTAGTTACTTTTCTATCTTTGCCCTTTTTTTTATTTTTTATTTTTTTTTTAACTCTTGTTTCTTTTCATTTTACTTATATAATGCTTCATATCCAAGAAGCTTTTACTATTCATAATTCTAATTTATTAATGTCTACTACTACTACAGTTATAGTACAACCTCAACCAAGTACTTCTTCAAGGTCAACTAAAGTAATAGAGCAATTGAATATAAAATACGATACAATACAGAAAGAACTAGCTTCCATAAAAGTACAGGTAAGGCAGCTAAACAAGGAGTATATCCATTTATTTAATGTTTTTATCTTTTATAGCTTGAAGTATCAAGGCAAACAAAATTACAATATGAAAAAGATATTTCTACTCATACAGCATGCAATAAACAATACAGAGCCCGTATAAAAGATATAATGCAACTTCTTGAATCAAAACAAAAACTTCTCGAGACTACAAAGATTCTATCCAACCAACTCGAACTCAAAGTAAAGCAACTAAAAGATGAAGCCTTACGCTCTCGACATCAACTTGAAGGCTTACGACGTCAAGAACAATCCTTAGAACGTGTTAGAGATGTAGCTTTTAAACACAAAGACCAGTTACAACAACACAGACGGCAGTTATATATATCTGTAGATCAATTTAAGTTACGTTGTGAGCGAGAATTATCATCATTCGAAAGTAATTATACCACTCTAATGGATTATACGTGCCTCATTGCTAAAAGAAACAAACAGATGATTGACTCTATTAATAACAAGTTAAAATTACGTCAACAAGCAATTAAGCAGTTAGGTTTATTAAGACTACAATTAAAGTCAAATACAGAATCATTTATGGATCATATTAGAACTAAGCTTGAGGCTATACATATTCAACAAAATATATCGAAAAACATATCAACAGAAGCTACTGTTTTACAATATCGTGATGAATTTCACAGTTTACTTAAAAGAATTAAGACGGCAATAGCAGAGGAGTTAGCAGCAGTAGCAACCACTGAAAAAAAGACAATTTCAATTCTTTAATTCAAAATAAACTCCTTCTTTCTTCTTCTGCTTCTAAATAAAGAAAGTTTATAAATCTCCTAAAATTGGTAAAAGTAATACCTGCTGTCTATATAATCATTCTATGTCTTCAATTCCGGGAATTTTATTATGTTTACATAACATACACTCATTTTTATATATACAAATGTTATACATAACCTCTAGTAATATATAAAAAAATGTAGTTAATGCAGTATAGTATTATACCTAATTCATTAGAAAATACTTTTATGAAGCCATGCTTTTTGCTGACAATATTCAAAAGTATCTTATAGATTAGAAAAAAGGTTAAGGTATATAGTTTTTATTTATATAGCTTGCATGAATATATACATATAAATATATATAGTTTATAAGGGTCCTACTATCATTTTATATAACCTATCATCTCTCCTTTTTATAACAGGTTTTATTACAGTTTACTTTAAAATCTGAAGCATGTAGATGACCTATCTCTTTCTCTGGCATATAACTCCTCATTTATCCTTTCATTTTTATGCCTTTAACTCCTCATTATTATCATTATGCTCCTAATCAATATAGGAAATATAAAATATCGAACTCTATTATGTATATTTTATAAATAAAAAAAATAATAATAATATATAAAATTGACAGTTAATACTTTCTTTACTCTCCCTATCTACATAGCCTCCCTCCTATTTTTGTTACCCTCCAAAAGAAAATACATATATATGCTATAAAATCAATGTAACTATTTAGAAAAAAAAAAGGTAGATTTTTATGTCATTGAGTATGCTCACGAAACAAAATTTTATTGTTCTTCATGATGACTTAATATTCATACTCTACTAACAAACAGTCAAACTTTTGCTTATGACACCAGCTGATTAAATGTTATATAGTATTTTGCATTTACAAAATAATTTTTTGATGCGACCGATCAATTTTTCCTTCTCTGTTATTTACATTGATCTGAATTGTTCTTGCCTGAGGAAATACAATGTAGGACTGATCATGACTAAAAACGATCTCACATAAATACATACCAGCAGAATCAAGAGTTTGTTCCTGTGATTTGTTAATGGTCACAGAGCGAATTTGGTTTTTTATAGTTACAAAAAAAAAATTACTTACAAATATAAAGATAAAATCAAATAACGAGCTTTCTCATTTTTATTCTATTCATCAGTTGGTATTATATGATTTATTCTATTATAAAGAGTTCTATTATAATCTTCAATGTTTTATCAAAAAAGTATACTTTAATACGTTTATAAACCTTAGCGGAATGAAAGTCTTCATAAGAAGAATATATCTTTATTTTTATTTCCTAATAAAATAGCAAAGCATGCAAAATGATTGAAGACACACAGCATAAGGATATCATTAAGACTAAATGTAGTCTTTTAAATCAAGATTGGATTGACTATCCATGACTGAGATACTGTGGCTCTCAATTATTAGCAATTTCCATATTGTTATAAGACAATATACGTATTTTGATTAATATAGTTGAGCCATATTGACAGGACAATTTCCTTGATGCATGTTATGAACGTCATTATGAAAACTCTCCATAACAATGGAACAGCATGAATATCTCTCAATATGTCTTTTGTCAACATAAGAGGAAAATAAACTTATCATAAGCACCAAGGTATACAATTTCTTTGTCTCCATCTAGTATGCGGCTCGAAGCACAATCAGTATGTTTTTAGCCTTCAACTTCACACTTCAAGTCGACCTCCATCACAACATTGTTTTTAGATATAAAATTTGTATGTTATTTCTTCACTTCTTGATGTATGAGATAGTGTAAGCTAGATAATATCAGACAAAGACTATAGTTAAGTTTTATATGATTTATTGCTTATTTATCAGTATTAATATTAAAATTTCTTAAATAACTAAGTTTATGTGAAAATAGGGAAATTGTAATGATAGTAATAATGTATAAGCATTCTCTCTTAATTTTCCCGTGTTATCAAATAATTATGCCGACTTCTTCTATATTCACAGACAACACATAGTTTCGACTTCTTCCTTCTAGATTCTAAATCCTTTATCGTTGATTTGAATTTTTTTTTATTCTGCCTATTTATTTTAAATGACAGATTGTATTACACTTCTATCGGCTGCTTATTTATTTCCTTATCATTAAACTGGACATGTAGAACCGGTAAAACTCATGCTGGATATTTACAGTATGAATTGATCTTCTTCTTCCTCTTCTTCTCTTCCGTCTATGCCTCTCGTTTATTAGTTATAACAAGTTTGAAGCAAAATTTAATGCATTTCTACATATAATTTCGTTTTTGATGTCTTTACTAGACTTTTTTTTTATATGTTTTTATAACTGTATGTTTATCTTTATTCTGGTATCATATCTCGAGTTAGAATCATTCATCGTTTGGGCCTTGTTCAACCAAGATAGAAACCAAAAATTCAATTCCACAGGAAAAAGTAGGATTTTTCTTATTCCATACAACAGCAGTGAATAAAAGTGGTAAAAAATGCAATACTCCAGCAAAATATTTTAAACTCATTAAAGATTTCAATATTTCACATATTTCTAAGATAATCGAAAACAGGAAAAAGTTAATGCAAGTTTAAATAGTCTGCTATTAGTAGACGTGACAAATCACGAAGCGTAAGAATGATAAGAAGATTACTTGTACTATAGATATCTTCTATAATTAAAAAAGTTAATGAAGTAGTTTTATACTGAATAATACATATTTCTTGACATTCATATTATTAATTTTTTAAATGAAATTATCTTCTTGACAGCCCTGGTGTTTTACCTCAATGTTATGTTGGCCTATCATTTGTACCTTGGACTCTTTTGAATACAATGAAATTTCATTCTCCGTTACAAATCCTAATAAAAAAAAAAAAAAAAAACTCAGAAAAAAAAAGCATATTTCAAACTAACCTTCTCACAAATGTCATTTAATGAAGTAGAAAACCAACTGTGTTAAAAAAAAAATCTGATATCTGACTCACTTTCTGAGTTAATTGTGGGCCCTTTTATGGAAATCAGATTTTTCTTTACCAAAAAAAAAATACTGTGACAATTTTTTTCAGGATCAGTTAAATAAAAGAACGAAAAAGTTCCTTAATTTTGTTTTCTTTTTTTTTTTTTTTTTTTTTTTTTTTTTTTTTTTTTTTTTTTTTTTTTTTTTTTTTAAATACAATCTATAAATGGAAGACGTTGTTAAACAGCCAGATTTATCATGGTGGAATGTAACTGAAGCATCAATAGCTATTATTTTTGCAGGTTTTTATTTACTAGAAGAACGCTTTCTTTTTTTGTTTCAATTTCTAATAAATAAAGCTAGCTTTCATTAGTTTAATTTTAGGGCTAAAATTGGAATTTTCATTATTAATATCTGGTCTTCGATGCATTGTTCAATTATCTTTAACTGTAAATTTACACCAAATATATATAAAAATATAGTCTTAAATAAAAACAACTGTTTTCTATATAGGGTTTAATATTGAACGATATATTAAGAACTCAATATATGAGTATTGTTATAGGAATGTCAAGTAAAGTACAACAATATATAAATATAAAAAATGCTTAAAACTTACTTTTCTATATACACATATGAAAAGTTTTTTTAGTTCTTTTAGCCACATATGAAATAGTTTGTAACAGAACAAAGAAAACATTTAAAGGCATGGTAAATAGAGTTTATGATCCTAATTACAGTATTAGTAAGCTTATTTTTTTTTCTTAAAAAAAATAGTTTCCTTTAATGTTTGCTATTTTATTCTTCAGTAACTTGATTGTCACCGTCATTGGATCAGTATTTGTTATGAAAGCTGATCCCTTTTGGGAGCCTTCTATTTTTATTCCTGTTATCGGTATGCTTCTAGGAAATTCAATGAGTAGTGTAGCAATGGCTGTAGAACGTTGCTTAGATCAATTTAGGTAACATTATATAAACCACTATATACACATATACATATATAATGTATTTTTACTCTTGTTTATTCATTTTTATATTAGTATACATGCACCTATACTGGAGACTAGATTATCCTATGGAGCATCACGATATGAAGCTTCTTTACCGCTGGCGGTAGAGACGATTCGAATTGCATTATTACCAGTTTTTACACAACTTAGTGTGATGGGAATGATTAATATTCCTGGCATGATGACAGGCCAAATTATGGCAGGAATGCCAATTATGCAATCTGTTATGTATCAACAATGTATTATGTTTATGGTTGCAGCAAGTAGCGCATTAGGCGTAGTGATGTCGGTTGCAGTAAAGTATTATAGATGAATCTTTTGCATATAATTTATATTTATTATTAATAATAATATCATGTAGGCTTGTTTATCCATACTTATCGATCATAAACAAGTAATGAGATTCGATAGAATTAATGATGTTAAGCCGTTTTATTGTTATTTTGAAAAGCATCGATTAGTTCGTTCAATCGTTATGAAACATGTTTGTAGTAGAAGAAAAAAGACAGTTAAAAAATCATTATTAGATTAATCTATGCGCATAATACCTTTACATAATATATTTATTTATTGTATACATAAAATATAGACTATTTATTATAGTGTTATACATTATTTGATTTTGATATAAAAATAGTGTGTGAATGTATATATTTATATTTTAATGAAGAAAAGAAATGAATATTGTATCGAGCTTTTTGCCTTTTTTTTTCTTCTTCCCATAGTAGTGTATAAAAGATATTACAATCTCCATATTAAGAAAGGTATAAATTTGAAATTCCTTTTTTTTTTTTTTTTCATTTATATAATCTATTGTTTTTTCCCATCTTTTCTTATTTACTTTTTATCAATTCATATTTATGATTAAATCTATTTCTTCACTTCTAGACGAAGAGTCTAACGAAAGAATACATAATAAAAAAAACTATAGCTGGTATGATAAAGACCCGGGAGAGTCTACTCCTTTGTTAAATATTACAACACAGAAAAGCTCTAAAAAAAAAGCACTTCAAATTATTGCTACAATAGCAATTTGTGTTTTTATTATCGTCTTAGGGACTCAATTTGTCTATAATCCTTTCAAGAAAAAATCAGGTAATAGCCTATATTCTTTATATATATATATATATAAAAAGAATTAATTCAATCTTCTTATTTATTTATTAATAGAAAAATTACCACAGCTAACAGATGCTGAAAAATTTATACTAGAATTCCCTTCCAATACTAGTATTCGTAATTATCTCAAAACATATACTTCAGAAGCCCATTTGGCAGGTACTACTAATGATAAAAGACAGGCTGAATGGACACATGCACAATTCCAAAGCTTTGGTTTACAATCCGAGATCGTAACCTATTGGCCTCTTCTCAATTATCCAATTGAACGCCGTCTAGCGCTCATTTCTGGACCTCCCGAGTTTCGATTTGAAGCCAAATTGAGAGAGGACGTTATTGAGGAGGATGAGACAAGTCAGGATCCCAATGTTATTCCAACCTTTCATGGCTACTCAAAGAATGGTACAGTGAGAGGTCCCGTTATTTACGCTAATTACGGTCGTCTCCAGGACTTTCAGTTCCTTAAGGATCAAGGTATCCCATTGAATGGTACAATAGCTCTTGTTCGTTACGGTGGATCTTTTAGAGGCCTCAAAGTACGTGCTGCAGAAGTCTTTGGATGTGCAGGTGTCCTAATTTACTCTGACCCTATTGACGATGGACCTGTCGACAAAAAGAATGGTGAATCCTACCCTAACGGTCCATGGCGTTCTCCAAGTTCGGTTCAACGTGGCTCTGTTCAATATATATCATTAATCACTGGGGATCCCTTAACGCCTGGCTATGCCGCTACAGAAAATGCAACACGTATTCAACCAGAGGACTCACCGGGACTTGCTAAAATCCCTTCCCTTCCACTTTCATGGGAAGATGCGCTTCCACTCCTCAAAGCTACTCAAGGGCGTGGTATTCGTGGTGGTAGTGATGATGATTGGTCTGGAGGCTTAAAAGGAGTGGACTATTTTAGTGGTCCTACAGAAGGTGAAGTGATCATGATAAATCATATCAAAAATAAAATTACACCTATTTGGAATGTAGTAGCACGTATTGATGGATGTGAAGAAGGTAATAGAGCAGTTATTTTGGGCAACCATCGTGATGCCTGGGTGTACGGTGCTGTAGATCCTTCCTCAGGTTCTGCCTCATTATTGGAATTGGCTCGTGGGTTTGGTCAACTACTCAAGATAGGATGGTGTCCACGAAGAACGATTTTGTTAGCCTCTTGGGACGCTGAAGAGTATGGCTTAGTTGGCTCTACAGAATGGGTGGAGGATAATCAAGAATGGCTTAAACAAGAGGCTGTTACATATATCAATGTTGATACAGCTGTTTCAGGCTCACATTTTAAAGTAGCGGCTTCACCTTCCTTAAAACGTCTTTTATATACCATGACAAAATATGTAAAGGATCCCAACTCGAGTAAGTCTGTCTTTGATGTCTGGTCAACTGAAAATACTCTGCCACATATAGGTGAATTAGGGTCTGGCTCTGATTTTGTAGGATTTTTGGACCACTTGGGTATTGCAAGTATCAGCATGGCTTTTAAAGGTGCTTATGGTGTTTATCATAGCAACTATGATAGCTTTCATTGGATGGAAAAGTTTGGTGATCCACAATTTTTATACCATGAGACACTTGTGAAAGTATGGGGTTTAATAGCCCTACGTTTAGCTGATTCGCCTCTATTGCCTATTCATCCTATTGACTATGCACAAAAATTAAATGAATATGTAAAAACCCTAACACGGTACGCAAAACACCAATATAAATTTTCCAAACTAGAGGCATCTATTAGGGAATTGAGCAAGCAGGCAGATCGTTTTGAACGATATTTAAATGATCAAACCAACGATAAACTAACCTATTTTGAACGTAATTTTATTGATGAAGAAGGTATTAAAGGGCGTGAATGGTTTAAGCATGTAGTTTATGCTCCAGGCCTTTGGACAGGTTATTCTTCTCAGGTCTTTCCTGCTATTGTGGAAGCTATAGATGCCAAAGATAAAGATCAAATTAAATATACGGAAGAAAGAGCTGTCTTAGCAATTCAACAGGCTACTAAGAGTTTACAGCAATAAAAATGTTGGTTTTAACTTTTATTATACAAGAAAATATTATTTGTTTGAGAAAAATAATAAAATATTCTATACAAGATGGTATATGTAAAACTACTAAATCCCTCCTCCTCTATTTTTTTTTCTTTTTTTTTTTCTTTTTTTAGTATAAAGTAGAAGAGGGCATATTTGATCCTATGTTTGTTTGCTCATTAGCTGTTAATAATAGTTTAAATACAAATTGTCGATCATTTTCATCCATCATGGAACCAAATATCAAAGGTAGCTCCGTTTTATGACCATTATTTAAACATTTTATTTCTTTTCCACGAATCACTTGCTCAATGGTTCCCTATTATATCGAATCATAGTTAGTATATAACGCAAGTATATTCCAACAAGTAATACTTTACAGTGATTACATTTCTAATTTCAATGAAGGTAGAATCAAAGGCCATAACATATGGATAGCAAAATGCATAACCTTCTGGATTTCCTTCCCATTCTATCAAGAAATTAACAAATAAACGATTTCCCTTACTATCAATGTAAAACGCATATTCTACATGTATATATATATCTATAATTAGTTTCTCTCTATTTTATACTTGATTGCTATATATACCATCGTAACAGACAAAATAATGATTACGAGGAGTTCTAAAAATTGCTATATGTTTGATGGGTTGTCGCAAATTTAATGAAGAAGCCTCCTTTTCACGTTCCAGAATAAACGCCAAGTTTTTATCTGCAGGATTCAATAATTCTGTACAAAAAAAAAGAAAAAAAAATGTCACTTTCCAGAAAATTAATGACACTAAGCCAAAAATGATTGTCCTTTCATGTCTAGAAATTTTGTCTTTTTGAAATAAGAGAAATGTCACAGTAAGTTAAATCAAACTGATCTAAAAATGATATGCATTTTTTGACTTCAAAATGATTAGAATAAAGTTTTATTATAACATTGAATAATTTGTCGTTTAGAATGACTGGCAAAGTTGTATAGAATTTCAGCAGGTATGCATTACATCTCTCAGCAATTCTATTAGACATTTTTTCTTCAGTCAACAGTTTGTGACGTTTCAATTTTCCTTTTAATATTGCCCAAAACTATTCAATTGGGTTTAACTCAGGCGAATATGGTGACATATACATCGGCTTATAGCCACAGCTTTTGATTTTACTCATTATTGGTTTTGATTTATGTGTAGTACAGTTATCCATTGCCAAATAACCCTCTTTTATATTTTCGTTAAGATTCATGAACATTCATAAATTTGTTAAAGTGTGCTGTTGTCGTACCTTTTGATATCGATTCTGAACTATATTGCGCACTGCTCTCGTTATTATCATCAACATACTCTGTAACTGGTTCTTCTATAATAAACTCATCTATAGTATCTTTTTTGCCCTTTGCTACTTTTCTTTTCTTGCTTGTAGATGCCTTGCTGCTTTGATGCTTTTCTTTTTTTTTGGTGGTGGCTTCTTTATCGCTACATGAATGACACTGGATGCATGTATAGCTCCAATAATCGTATGGGATAGGGTCTTTGCTTTAATTGTCTTCAATATGGAAGGTGTTCCAGTATCTGCCCTGGCCCAATCATTTCTCATATTTATATGAAATCCAGCTTCGCCGATAAAGACACAGTTTTTTGTAAAGTCTACATCAGAGTCTTTCCATTTCATAAACCATTCATATCTTTTCTCTAAGTTATTAGCAGAGTTTCTAGCTTCGGGTACTAATGTAGATTTTTTAATCGTCACAAGTATACTGTTCCTCAAGTGATGATTAAGCTGTGTTTTGGAAAAAGAAAAGCCCGTAAATTCTTTAGATAGGTCACCAATAATATCTTCAAAATAAAGCTGAGGATCCTTATTAAGTAGTTCTCCAAAATATGTCTCATGTTCAGTTGCAAAAGAGCTTGAGCGGCTAGCATTACTTTTTGAACGTTTGTATGAAACTTTAATTGTTTCTTGATAACGTTTTTACCATCTTCTGGTAGTGCAAGGCTCAACACCAAGCTCTTTTGCAAATCGAACTATCCTTCCTCTCTCTTCAGCGCTTTCTAACATTCGATCTATAAACACCTCTCTTATACTATCGCTATAATCATTATACATAATTCTGCGTCAATTTTGGTTCCGTGGCAACTTTTAGCTCTAAATCATCGCTTTTCTTAACATTTTTTTTCTTCAATAGATTTGCAAGCTTCTAAATATAAACTCTGTGTGGCTATAGTTTCCAGGACAATGTTAGGGCCTGTGATTTGCGTTAGAACATCCTCCACAGGGTCAAGAACTTTTATCCTAAGATCGTTGTAAACATTCTCCTGTTCATCTTCGTAAAAAAAAAAGTATTTTTCATAGTTTTGAGATAAAAGTATAAAACAAGTTGTTTGGAATTTAAAATGAAAAAAAGAAGTATTATTTCGGTCAATTTTTAACTTATTAGAGACGGTATTGGCTGTGATAGTACGTAATACAATAAAGAAAAATAAAAATAAAAAGATAAAGAAAATAAAAAGATAAAGAGAACAAAAGGAAGTATAGTTTGAGACTGTTTTTATTCAATGAAAATGAAAATGAAAATAAAAGAATTAAAGTTTAAAGATTATTTTGTGTCTACACAACTGCTTGTATTTATATTAATGAATCCTGAATTAAAGAAATAAAAGTAGTTGTCAAAGAACATGAGTCATGAAACAGTATTAATATTCAGATATACATCTTGTTGATTCAAGAGACTGATCTGTGGATTATCTATTGGATGTTGTAATGATCTGATTAAGTTTCAAATAAAAAAATTATTGTTCAATCTGAGCATATGTTCCTGATATCTTTTATGTTTTATTTTTACTGGATCAAAGACGACTTGAATCCTTTGTCAAGGTTATAAAAATAAATATTTAGAAATGATATGATATCTTATTTAGTCAACATATTTAGTTGATTGGATGTCAATAAGTTTTATATTACTTACAAGATGTTATATATAGCGTTTTATTTCATATCTAGGCTTATAGTTTATCCTTTAATATGTAATTTATCTACTATAATATTACTTATGCTTATATCCAGAGCTTGTTCTATAACATTGGCTAATAGAAACTTTTAAATTACTTAAAAAGCAGCCATATTGTGATAAGGTGACAGTGATCAAGACGAGAGGGTAAAACCAGGTCCAGGAAACTAAATTGTGGAAGTGATACAAGCACACTGGTGTTACAACGAGTAAGCTAGAAATTAGAAATAACTGTCATAATAAAAAAAACAATCTCTCTTACCCGTTCTTATTTGAGTGGTCAGTTATAACACCTTTTGAGAGTTTTAACTATCATCAAGAAATTAAGCAAGGATAGAATTTAACAAGTCAACTGGTAAATTACAATCCCGATACAACAAGTTATGCAAAGTCTCGAGTACGACTCAAATTTATTTTTATTTACAAAAATTCTAAACTCCCATTTGAAAAAAAAATTACTTAGATTGAATTGCCAGGTCAAATCATAAAAGGGGAGAAGGAGCAAAAAAAAATTTTTGATGGCAAAAAGATAAAAAGACAAAGAAGAAGAGAGGAAAAAGAAAATGTATCATCAAATACGAGAGTTATTATTAAATAATCAATTAATTACCTAGTACACAGCTGAGGAGTTTTAGCAGATATATTGCCAGAATACGGATAATCAGGTTTAAACAGAAAGCCACCGTGCAAATATAAACAACCAGCTACTGATTTTGCTCAAGTTCAGCCAGACTGTGTGTAACAAGTACTTTTGTAAAAAAGTACTTCAGTACTTCAGTACTTTTATTTTTTTCAAGCTTGGCCAAGCTGTGTGTAACAAGTACTTTTGTAAAAAAGTACTGAAGTTCTGAAGTACTTTTATTTTTTTCAAGCTTGGCCAAGCTGTGTGTAACAAGTACTTTTGTAAAAAAGTACTGAAGTTCTGAAGTACTTTTATTTTTTTCAAGCTTGGCCAAGCTGTGTGTAACAAGTACTTTTGTAAAAAAGTACTGAAGTTCTGAAGTACTTTTATTTTTTTCAAGCTTGGCCAAGCTGTGTGTAACAAGTACTTTTGTAAAAAAGTACTGAAGTTCTGAAGTACTTTTATTTTTTTCAAGCTTGGCCAGGCTGTGTGTAACAAGTACTTTTGTAAAAAAGTACTGAAGTTCTGAAGTACTTTTATTTTTTTCAAGCTTAACCAGGCTGTGTGTAACAAGTACTTTTGTAAAAAAGTACTGAAGTTCTGAAGTACTTTTATTTTTTTCAAGTTTGGCCAGGCTGTGTGTAACAAGTACTTTTGTAAAAAAGTACTGAAGTTCTGAAGTACTTTTATTTTTTTCAAGCTTAACCAGGCTGTGTGTAACAAGTACTTTTGTAAAAAAGTACTGAAGTTCTGAAGTACTTTTATTTTTTTCAAGCTTAACCAGGCTGTGTGTAACAAGTACTTTTGTAAAAAAGTACTGAAGTTCTGAAGTACTTTTATTTTTTTCAAGTTTGGCCAGGCTGTGTGTAACAAGTACTTTTGTAAAAAAGTACTGAAGTTCTGAAGTACTTTTATTTTTTTCAAGCTTAACCAGGCTGTGTGTAACAAGTACTTTTGTAAAAAAGTACTGAAGTTCTGAAGTACTTTTATTTTTTTCAAGCTTAACCAGGCTGTGTGTAACAAGTACTTTTGTAAAAAAGTACTGAAGTTCTGAAGTACTTTTATTTTTTTCAAGCTTAACCAGGCTGTGTGTAACAAGTACTTTTGTAAAAAAGTACTTCAGTACTTCAGTACTTTTATTTTTTTCAAGCTTGGCCAGGCTGTGTGAAATCGGCACTTGAGTACTGAAGTTGTGATATTTCTTTTTAAAATATCAAATGAAAAATATTAAAAAATAAAAAATAATATTAAGACTAAAAGAGTCAACGAGACCGAACAATAGTTCTAAAGTCAATTATTTTATTTATGAATTTAAACTGATGGGGTATTTATAAGAATTGTTAAAGAGGTCTGAGGATAAGATGTGAATCAGAAAAGTGTTAGTTACGACCGAATAAGGAATATTGTTGACAACGAAGTGTTAGTGATTTTAATATTATTAGATGGAGCGGATCAAGAGAGAGTTAGGATAGAATTTCTTAAATGAATTTATGATCCGCATGTTTAATCATGAAACATGTCATTATAAGTCAGTTCAGTACTTCAGTACTGAAGTAATGATTTTGTTCAAGTTCAGCCAGACTATGTAAAATCGGTACTTGGTGTCGTATAAGACACCTCTTTAACTGAGTAGATTTCTACTCGTCAATTAAAGTCTAATTGTGTCTTATTTATATTGAAACTTCTAATTCTATTTTATTCTCTCCGATATTTTTTATCATGAGGTCTTCCTCTTTTACTTCTAATAAAATTTTGGATATAAGAGAGTCTCATTTTATATGAAGTCATATTTTATGTTCAAAGATTGCCGTTAATATTACACTCAAATACTACAAATACTTAGAGCTCGCGGGTTATTAAACGCTCACAAGTAAAGGTTGCCCTTAAGATATGATGGTAAAGATAAAACATTTGTTTGGTTATTGACAAAGGGAATAATATTTTAGCGTTGAGGTAAGTAAACTCTTTGTTTTATTTTAATATGCAATGGAGACAATAGACATCAACATTTGATGTGAACGATTATTTAAATGGCTGGGGTTGTATGAAGGTGTAGAAATGGAAACGGATAATTTGATGCTAATTTACTAATGGGTGTAAATGCGGCATTGTGGTTTGTCCTTCAGTCAAAGGCTCAATGGAGATAAGTTATAACAACTGCAATAGAGTAACCCTGTTATTTTTTTTATTAATAAATATAATATATATTCGATAATGTGAATATGATGATAGAATGAGGGTATTATACAATTTCCTTGAAATATGTTTAACTACTGGTATAATTGTAATAACTTCTTCTTCACATTTTTTGCAATCATAGCATTTGCTGTGGAAATTGAACTGCTTAATTTTTTTGCGATTTCACTGACTAATCCACTATTATTATTGCAGAAGGAAATTACGTTCAATTCACCAGAATTTAGACTTGCATTTATTTCATCCATTATTTTAATAATTGAAAACCACTCTTTAACATCACATTTTTGTTTCATTATATCCCCATACTCTAATAAAACATTCTGGAAATCACTGAGTTGAATGATACCTTTGTTGACTAATATTGCTTTAGCAAATATTTGTAGTATATGAGAGCCAAGTTTAGCACCAGATGTTGATCCAACACCATATCCATCTTTATGCGGTAAATCACAAAGAGTGAATACTGTTGCTGGCGAGTAAATACTACTGTCAAATACTTGCAACGTAGATCTCCATAGTAAATATGATGAGCATTTACTGAAGCTCGATGTCACTTGTCTCAGACTTGATATATTGATATGTGAAGGATTTAATTTGTAAATCTCAAACTTTTTCAAAAATTCTTCAACTTTCGATTTCATCAAATAGATTTTACAGTTTGAGTCTGTAATTGAGCCATGACCAAACTCTACACCTGGCCCAATGTTGATTTTTGGCTCTGGTGATATTTGAGCAGAACAAGTAATTAATAGGTTAATGGTCTTTGTGCCAATAATAAGTTTTAGTTTTGTAGCACCACCGTCCGATTTTTCAAAAGTAGTACATGACATGCGATTCTTGTATCCAGAGGATTCTCCAGGAATAGAGAATTCAGTTGACTCGGAATGTATATCAACTGAAGAGTAGCGGCTGTACACTTCACATGTAATAACAAGTAAAGTAATGCTATCGTGTAGTAACGCACCGCAGAATAATGATGGTACTAATCCAATCAATTCAGATCTGAGTCGAAAATCATAGTTTAGTAATTCTAGCACCGTTGCATCAATTTCTTGATGTGGCCCTAGCTCCTGTAAAAGTTTTGGAACAGCAGAGGCGCGTACAGTCATTTCGAGCTTGGCAGTGATACAAGCATTGCTCTTTAATACTGGTTCGATCATATCATTTGATGAGAAAGAAATCCTTCCGTTAAAAATACCAGACGTGATATTATTTTGGAAATCAACCAAAGAAGTAAGACTAAGAGCAGAATCATTTGTCATCAAAGCAAATGTTGTTGAAAGCTTTGTACGTTTATCAACATTAAATACCTCCAAGCTGAATGGTTGACAGTCCACAGAATGTACAAAATGATGTGATCGTTTTCTTTGACTAACAGTTTGACCATGCGTACCTAAAGCTTGCTCAGAGCCTTCTTCAAAATTGAAGGTTTGCTGTTTCTCCCCTAGCATTTTCTTACAACCTTGACAGATCCCTATTTTATTTCTTAAGGAATGAATAGGCTTAAAACATTGCTTGCATTTAGATTTTAGTGTGTTGGACATGGCTGTAGTGATTAAAATTTGTGGAAAAAACTTATGTTATCTCACAGAAAATATAAAAAAAAATAAAAACAATGAAAAGAATAAATTATAAATGCTGTAACGCGTTTAAAGTTTAAAGAATGAAAAAAAAGGTACATAATTTTTAGCAGCCATATTATCCTTTTTTAATTTTATTAGCGAAGACAATACAAAAAGTCACATTCAACATTTCATTTGTAAGTGTTTCTGATCGTCATGTAGTTTATTTTCTTCTCCTGAGAGATCAGCAGATCATTGATCATGGCTTGGACTTTTTTTTTTTTTTTTTTTTTTTTTTTTTTTTTTTTTTTTTTTTTGTAAAATAAAATTAAAGCGTCACACATCGCAGAGAGGTGAAACAAGATTATATAAAGGCAGTGGAACAAAGGAAAAGAGGATAAACAGGTTGCGGTAAGGGTATAGTAGAAGAACGGTTTAACTAAGAACAGGCGAATCCAAAAGGACATGGTAAGGCTTGGACTTCTTGCTTCTTGTTCAACCAAGGAATGGGATATCGACAGAACCAGCTTCTTTTCATCGTTTAGGGATTTCTTTTGGAAAGCAAAAATGAAAAGCCTACGTCTGATTAGCACAGAAAAGCCAAGTTCGATAGTTTACCCCTTGAGCTATGACAGCAAGTACAGCCTATAGAGTGTACTAATTCCAACAAGTCTTGCTGCCTATAGGTCCTCCCGTTTTGGGCACTAATATTGCTTTTGTCACTGATTTCTGCTTCTCTCTTATTTTCAGATAATTGCAAGCACGTAATGTGTATCTTATTTAAGGTTAGAACACAAATAAGGTTGGACTAACGATTGGTTTTTAATGTGCTTGCGAGCATCATCTTTGTTCATAGCACTTTCATTAATAGTTCATGCAAGGAAAACTTTGATTGTTATATAAGGGTCTTGATCGTGGTAACCTCAGACAATGGTATCAACTAGTTGATCAGCATTGATATTTCAATATAAGAGCATTAGAAAATCAGCAACAATAACCTTGGATTTTCTATGATTGTGTTTTTCTCTTCAAACGCGTATTTTCTGACAAAGCATCTGTGTTCATGCACATCTGATCAACACTCAATGGAACTTGAATATAAAATTAAATTACTTCTAAATCATGATATTAGCAGCAACCTATGCATGCATATCACCTTTCTCTCTTGAACTGCACAACCTAAAATAAAGCTAGAAAACTTTAATGATTGTATATACAGTACACGAAAATAATTCTTAAGGGGGGCTCGTAATAAGAAACCAATCTTTCAAACAATCTCTCATAAACCAAAAGGTCCTGCAGAAGGTGAAGTGATCATGATAAATCATATCAAAAATAAAATTACAACTATTTGGAATGTAGTAGCACGTATTGATGGATGTGGAGAAGGTATTAAAGGGCGTGAATGGTTTAAGCATGTAGTTTATGCTCCAGGCCTTTGGACAGGTTATTCTTCTCAGGTCTTTCCTGCTATTGTGGAAGCTATAGATGCCAAAGATAAAGATCAAATTAAATATACGGAAGAAAGAGCTGTCTTAGCAATTCAACAGGCTACTAAGAGTTTACAGCAATAAAAATGTTGGTTTTAACTTTTATTATACAAGAAAATATTATTTGTTTGAGAAAAATAATAAAATATTCTATACAAGATGGTATATGTAAAACTACTAAATCCCTCCTCCTCTATTTTTTTTTCTTTTTTTTTTTCTTTTTTTAGTATAAAGTAGAAGAGGGCATATTTGATCCTATGTTTGTTTGCTCATTAGCTGTTAATAATAGTTTAAATACAAATTGTCGATCATTTTCATCCATCATGGAACCAAATATCAAAGGTAGCTCCGTTTTATGACCATTATTTAAACATTTTATTTCTTTTCCACGAATCACTTGCTCAATGGTTCCCTATTATATCGAATCATAGTTAGTATATAACGCAAGTATATTCCAACAAGTAATACTTTACAGTGATTACATTTCTAATTTCAATGAAGGTAGAATCAAAGGCCATAACATATGGATAGCAAAATGCATAACCTTCTGGATTTCCTTCCCATTCTATCAAGAAATTAACAAATAAACGATTTCCCTTACTATCAATGTAAAACGCATATTCTACATGTATATATATATCTATAATTAGTTTCTCTCTATTTTATACTTGATTGCTATATATACCATCGTAACAGACAAAATAATGATTACGAGGAGTTCTAAAAATTGCTATATGTTTGATGGGTTGTCGCAAATTTAATGAAGAAGCCTCCTTTTCACGTTCCAGAATAAACGCCAAGTTTTTATCTGCAGGATTCAATAATTCTGTACAAAAAAAAAAAAAAAAAAAAAAAAAAAAAAAAAAAAAAATTAGTTATCATATTACCTTCATCATTTTTTTTTTTTTTTTTTTTTTTTTTTTTTTTTTTTTTACGTTGTGGATGATCTGTTTTCATGTCCACCATAATCATTCCTCTTGAAGTTGTAATCAGCATCATTGTAGGCGAAAGCTCAATAGCATACGCCTCACAGGGTACATAACAGTTCTTAATCTTTTTCAAATGTATTAATTCATCAGATGATAAAGTTTTATTATATACTGAGACCCAACGACTGAAGGCATCAGATAATCTTTTATTTTGTTGTGGTGTTGCTGATTTACTAGTGTGTTGTTCAATTGTAGTCCCATAGATGGTAATAACAGAATTTAGAGCAGAAACTCTGGGTATACAAACCATCAAACGATTTAAACATATGCCTACGTTGAAAAAGGGAACATGGTTTTGGACAAGACGCCCTTTAGGCTGTGTTTCTGGTTTACCATTCACACTATCTAAAGGATATTCCCATAATGTTCGATCGGCCAACACTAGTAACGTTTCAGTGCTTTCAATAACCTGTATTTGAGTAACTTTTTCAATAGATAGTACTTTATGTGGTAATACATTTGGGCATTTATCATTGTGATGGCCTACATAGACGCCATCATCTGCAGCTAATAAATACTGTTGTCCATTATCTAACAAAAATTATGTAAGTATACCCATAAATACTTTTTTCTTTCTTTCTTTTTTTTTTTTTTTTTTTTTTTTTTTTTTTTTTTTTTTTACGAATATAATATATGCATGCATATTTTACTAAATGTAATAAAATGATTGATTTTGTTCAAACTATTAAAGGCATGAATAACAGGTGTTAATTCAAAGATAGGACTACGGTTAGTTTTTTTCTCCTGTTCGTCTTGAATTTTCTCTAACCATAGTTTACGAGTTGCTGCTGATGTTGCATATAGGGTATATTCAGTGAATGTCTTTCGTCCCAAATGTTGAAATGTAATCGGATATTGCTGATTTTTAGTAGTATTTTGTTGCAAATAAGGCCTAATATCAGTGGATACTGATGTTGTTGGAACGACTGCAATAGTATGATGTGTAGAAAGGTAAGTTAATGCTAATGCACTTGATCTTTTACTGCTATTCAATGAAATATCCGGGAAATAGACATATAAAAACTCAATAGGTATAGGCTATATATATACAAATATATAAGAAAAAAAAAATTGTAAAATAATCCTCTAATTTAAAATGTGTATATGTATACCCTTTTCTGTATCACGTATTGTTCTGTTGTGCCATTAATTAGCTTGATCTTTGCTATCACCAAATAGTTATTCAACAGAATTACTTGATATTCAATAGAGTCAGACTGAGGGGATTTTTTTAATATTCCTTGTTTAATAATAGTACGGTTTTCATCAAGTAAATCTAGATTCTATCACAAAAAAAATATTTATATATACATATATAAAAAGGTTTTGTATTATATATCTTATACATATATAAACATATACACATACTACTTCATCAGTTCTGAACTTGAATGATAGATTATAATAAATTCGTTCAATATCAAATTTGTTTTTAGCTTTCCCAGTTTCAATGTTAACACGAGATAAGAATTGTTTAATAATATCAATTGCCTTTGGCAAATTTTCTAAATCAGGATGCCCTGGTGGTGTATGTTTCAAAATTTCATTTAATAATAGCGTATATCTACCTAGTCGAGTCGTTGGTTTTGTAAGATAACCATTTAATTCAAGTTTTAATGAATTAGGGTGTCTTTCTGTGTTCTGCAATAAACAATAGTAAGTATAAACCCGTAAATATGTATGTATATGATTTTTACCTCGACAAATGCATTAAAATTTGAATTTGAGTATCTTTCATTCTCTAAAACATATTTAGCTTCATATTGCTTTGAACCATAATGAATATACGGCTCAAAATTAATTACAAAGTTAATAAGAACATCACCGATTTGATTAATAATAGCGTGTTGATTTTGTCGTAATTGTAATGCTCGTAACATTTCAATATTAACTTGATAAATATCATCAATATAACCAAATACTTTTTGTATAAATTGTTCTCGTCGAGAAGTAGGAAGAATAGGCCTTTCTGTCAATGGTTTGATCCACATCTATATATATAAAAAATACATACATATATATATATATTAGCTCTCCTCTCTCCCTTTTTTTTTTTTCTCCTAATGTAAAATATATAATGTACATCTTGTAAATATTCTAAACTCTGAATGTAATCTTGTTCTGTATATATCAATTCATAAATATTTTCTTGCCTTTTTCTTTCAAGTTTCGAAAGTGAATCATAAAGTATTTTATCTACTCTATCTGCCCAGTAATCATATAATTGATTAGCTGCAGATTTCTCTTTTAATCGAGAATGTTTACGTTTGCTATTATCAGCCAATTTCAACTATAATTTGTTTATAAATAATTATATACACATATATGTCATATTGGTTATACTAATATTATAATGTTACCTGAGTAAATCTCTTTGGACATATAGGACTGTAACAAGGCTTTACATCCCAACACGTAGGTACATAACAATAGGTTAGCTCTGTAATAATTCCACTTGGATTTAAGTTATTATTTTTATGAGCCTCAGTCTTCAAATTATAAAAGGTTCGATGATGATTTGAAAATTCATAAAAATAAAAAGGTGAATCCATTAGGTGAGTTTCGTAACAAACATCATGAAATAAGCGTTGTGAGCCTAATTCTCTTCCTATTCTTAAAGCTAAATTTCTATCAGAAGTTGTTGGTTGTATAATCAAAGATATCAAGTCCTATATGTAATATAACCTGTTTAAGTAAAACGAATCAAATGAACAAGGGAGGGGGGGGAGCAATTATAAGTAAACATTACAACAACTTGTCTACCATCAAATGTGTTTTTATATTCAACTTCATCCTTGATATGATCAGACAATATGATCCTTTGCCTCAGTTCAACTGCAATTTTCGATAATAAAGCTGGATAAACGATAGGATCTTTCGATTTTTCTGTAGTCTTTGTTGTTCCATATGCAAAACTTTGAGATCTTTGAGCTATAACTTCTTGCGTTGTAATAATAGGTGCTAATGATTCTTCTATACGTAGAAGAAAACTTAAGTATACATAATAAAAATGTATTAGTTAAAAACCACAAATATACTTTTAAAAAGGCTACTGTCATGCATATCACTATTTTTCTTTTTTCCTGCTGATGATATCAAATCCCATGGTTGATATATTATATTGTTTCTTACCATCTAAAAAAAAAAACAAAAGAAATAATAAAAAACAAAAGAAAAGAAAAGAAAGGAAGAAAGAAAAGTAATAAAAAAGAAAGAAAAAAAAAACAATGGGGACTTTATTTATTTAATAAACAACGGACTTTCATAAAAAATTGTTTATTAGTGTCACTTTTTTCTTTGAATTTTTTTTCTTTTTTTTTTTTTTTTTTTTTTTTTGATTATTTTGCCCCTGAACTTGAGTGATATGTTAATTATTATTTAAGCTTTAAGCTATGGTGATACAGATCATCCCAGATACCTAAAGTTGTCCTAGTTTCAAATTCAAGGTTGTATATCTTGGATAAGCTTTAAAAAACAAACTTATGTTTCTTTTTCTTTCTTATACTTGAACAAAAGGAATGAACAAATAAGGTTATTAATACTAACATTTTAAATAAATAAGATTATAAGAAATGAGTGTAACTTCTCAAAAAAAAACTATAAAGTTACTATTTGTTAATAAAGAAATTATAGAGTCAGATAGGCTGAATTTTGAAAAAAAAATATACATATTATAATAAATATGAGTATAAAATTAAGCAATAAGAGCATGACCAGCTAAAAGGAAAAAAGCGAAAAAAAAGTTCTCAAAAATCACCTTCAGCAAAATTATTATCTTTCTATTTAATTATCAGAACCACTTTATTCATTTATACAAGACCTTAAAGCATTACAAAAAGTACGAAAAAAAAAAGAAAGGCCCTCTGACGCAGTTTCCAGAAAGGATGAAAGTACAAAAAACAATTGTCTAATATATAAATTTGATTTTAGAGTGATGCGTTGGATATTACTGATATATACGATAATATGAAAGCATTTTATTCCATTATAAAGAATAATATATCAATTCATAAAATATTTCAAATAAAATAAAATAGAGATAATAAATATGTCCATGGCCATCAAAGCTGAACTCGATTGAGTATATATAAATATGTATACTTTTTTTTTTTTTTTTTTTTTTTTTTTTTTTTTTTTTTTTTTTTTTTTTTTACCATTAATTAGCTAAGGGTAAAACTAGGTATCATACGCAGAAGATTACTAAAGCTATTGAAACAAGAATTATTAATGATATCCTTTATGAAAAAAAAAAGGGTAATAAACAGTTTATATTTTTGTAGATACTTGTATCAAAATTTATACAATTGTAGACTATTCATGATATATAATTATATTTATACAAATATAGAAAGAACTAATTTTATATTAGCTTATTTTACATAACTACATACTGTAGAGTTTTTTTTTTCTTTTTTTGGATACTATTTATCATACATTGTTTATAGCTCTTCTTCATCAATGGTATCTATAATTAAAGTTGCACTTGGCCATAATCCACTTTCATCTTTAATCCTTTTGTTAGCATCAGCCTCATATACCTTTCTAGGGAATGGCGAGTGAATTTTAAAGTTATATTCATGAATGTATCCCTCAGGCATAGAACAATCGATGTTTTCATTATTTTGTTGTTGATATTGTTGTAAATAAGGATATGCTTCAATAAATTGATATAATGTCTCTAATGTATCATCAGCTCGAAACTTCCGAATAACACGTACCCCATTTGCCAGACGAAAACTAATTTTGGTTGTTTCATCATTATCATCATTATTATTGTCTTTGTTAAAGACATGCTGGCAAAGATATTGAATGTATTGATTTCGTTGATGAGCTAACATAGCTTGTCTCTCCTTTATCCTTTCAGCAGCTATACGTTCCTCTTCAAGACGCTGCTGTTTAAGCTGATCAGCTCGTAGACTTTCTTGATAGGCTTTATCTTGTTCTTCTCGAAGACGACGTTCAGCCTCTCGTTGTTCTCGTTCTATTCGAAAACGTGCGAGAGTTGCATCAACGCGATTCATGACATTTTCGAAACGACACAATAATAGAGGTACAGATATTAGACCTTCAATACGGTCCACGACTGACATTTTTGATACATTCAACGAAGAAGTATTACTGGAAGAAGGATTCTGTAAGGCAATGATGGCTATAAAGGGGTATGTTGTGGCTTGAAGGGTATGACTAACTTGAAATGCCTCTGTATAACGTACATTACCTCCCCATACAATCATTTGATGCTGATGAAAGAAATCTATCAGTTCAGGATTTGTTAACGTATCCCTAATATAAGTGATATCTTATGAGTCTATACATATATATTCGACATGGACAGGATATATGTTTTATTTACCTGCAAAAAGCATCATTATCATCATGCTCCTCACTAATTAAAATAGCTACCATATATTTGAGTTCATCTTTAGCTGTAGTAAGAGCCTGTGTATATCCACCTTCATTAAAAAAATTAGGATGTATTGTACCATAAGTGAATTCAAAATCACGTAGAAAACGTTCTGCTTCTGAACGAGCATCCTGTCGACGAGGTGCAGTAATTGTAGGTTTATATAACAAACGTCCTAAATTGCACATGTTAGTTTTAAAGCAAATGAGCCTACATTCTACTTTTTTATTTATTTATATTTACCCATTAAATGAACCACATTCCAGCAGAGTCTCCATGCCAAATTAAATGGCCATGTGAAAAAAGATAGAAAAAATCTTTTATTATGTGTTCTTCTTGATGTTGTACCTAAAAGTGCCGAGGTAGAAGAAGGTGAGTCTTCAGCTTCAGTTTCAGCTTCGTAATGTACAGTTGCATGGCTACTAGAAGTTGCATCTATTGGTAAATATCGATTTTGCACAGAATTCTATTCAACATCAAACAATAATAATAATAAAAATTTAGTATCTTTTACTATCTTTATTTATTTATTATAGTTTTTATTATTATCAAAAGTTTACTTCAAGATTCCAGTCGTTGTCTCTTAATATGCGTATTGATTCAAGAGCATCTTTACTATGAGTTATGGACTATACAGATATCAATGTTAAATGAAAATTATTGTGTAATTAAATTTATTACTTGATATTGATTTAATGTTTTTCTTTGTTGTTCATCGAGAGTTTCTAAATCACTCATTTCGACACTTAAGTATATATGTTTTTCTTAAGACAAAAAAAAAAGGACTGTACCAGCCTTATTTTTTCATATCAGAAAAAAAAAACGGTCGGCATTTTAATGTATTTATGATTTTTTAATTGAGCACATATTTCAGCTAGACAGTACGGAATTCATCCTGCCTAATATCTAATTTGGGGTTGCTGATCCCAAGATTATCTTTTAGATAGTATTTTAATAACTTTTAAAGAAATTGAGGTGAGGCTGATTCATAAGAGATAGTAATAAGGATCTTTAAGGGAGCGCTTTTTATAAATGGAGATGACTTGAGCTATAATTCACTTCTATTGAGGAGTATAATAGAGTCATTGACAGCATAGATGAAACAGATGTAAGAGAATAGTAGGTGAATTCCATCCTGTATTTCTTGACGTAAATCATCAATTCCGAAAACTATTTCTTTTTTTTTTTAGTTGATAATATTACAATAATAGCTTTAATAGTATCAATCGTGATTGAGCAATCATTGGTAATAAAAAGTCGAGTAGGTTAATTCACAATGTCAGTTAATATTAAGTAAGAGATATGTATTATCGTATCTGCAACTTCTTATTTTATAGTATTTTTTTTGTCATGTTTAGCCTTACTGCTACATTATATCAAAGTAAATTACACCTATTTTAATGTATAGATACATAGTATAATCTAGTACTATCGAAGATAATATAGCTTGGACTATTTCACCTTAATATCATAAATTGTATTATGTATATACATCATTTAATTGAATTTATTTCCAAAAGAAGCAAGTAATAATATTGTTAGATTCTACAAACTCTGACACAGTTTGCAAGAGTTGAACAGGAGAATTTGCTACATCCTTAAGTCCTCATCTTTCTTCATTAATACTAATATTATATAAAGCCAAATACTGCAAGAAAGTCAAGGTCCTATTTACGATCGTTACTATCATTATTACTTGTAGCTTTTAAGATTACATAAACGATCTTCTAGTCTAAAAATCCCATTACATAATCGCTACTACTAAAATATGAGTTATCTAAATTGATTGAAATATCTCTAGTGTATTTAATAGAGCCCTAGTAACAATCTTCATTGTCAAAGAGCGTCTTCATATTTCTCTTGAAAAGAGGGTGGTCAGTTCCTGGTCTGAGTAATTTGGATAACATAATGAGAAAAGATAGTAGAGGATTATAGGTTACGACTTATACGCAACTAACAGTCGTTTATTGTTACGTAGGTTGACTTATTTCTTCCTTTGTCAGGCTTTATGACATATTTAGGTAGGTAGAAAGAAAAGTTAAAGATTCTAAAATATTTTTTCTTTTTTCAAAAAAGGAAATTGAAAAAACTAAATTCTAACGCCGACAATAATTTCTTTTGATTGAAATTCTAGGCTTGGTTCAACATAATGTGATGGTCCGACCCTCCCCCCCTCCTAAATCCGAACCTAAAAAAAAAATAATTTTTTATATTTCAAGGTAATGCCAAAAATTAACAGATTCTATTTCTTTAAAGCGTTTCGTATCTCAAAGGAGTTAAATCGTTACATACGCAAATAATTAATAGGTAAAAAAGAAAAAAAAAATAGGATTGATTATTTGGATGGATGGATGAGATGAATTAAACTTATGTTATTTAGTCATGAAGTATCTCGCTGCTTATCTTCTTCTTAACGTTGCTGGTAAGGCCAACCCTGCTGCTGAAGATGTCAAGTCTCTCTTGAGCTCTGTTGGTATTGAATCTGATGAGGAACGTGTCTCCTCTTTGATCTCTGCTCTTGCCGAAAAGGATATTGCTGAGGTAAATAAATAGAAATATATATAAGAAAAAAAAAAGAAAGAAAGAGAGAGAGTGTGTGAGTGAGTGAGTGAAAGAGAATGGCAACTTAATTTCAATTATTATATAGCTCATTGCTGAAGGTAAGGAGAAGATGTCTTCTGTCCCTACTGGTGGTGCTGTTGCTGCTTCTGGTGCTGCCGCTGCCGCTTCTGGTGATGCTCCTGCTGAAGAGCAAAAGGAAGAAGAAAAGGAAGAATCTGACGAAGATATGGGCTTCGGTCTCTTCGATTAAGAAATTCCAAAAAGAAACGAGTTTATTTTGTGTAAATAAAATAAATAATGTGCTTCATTCTTAATTATAAATGTATTTTTTTTTCTTTTATTTGTAAAAACAAAAATAATAACTTCATAAATAATGAACAAATTCTATTATTGTTGTTGTCCATCCATTAACCATTTATCTCTTTGTAAACGAAATTGTGGTAATTGCTGCTGATGAGCTTGATTCATTGCATGTTGATTCATAACTTGTTGATTTATTTGCTGTTGTTGATTAATCTGTTGCTGTTGCTGTTGTTGCTGTTGCTGCTGTTGTTGTAACTGTAATAAATGAGGCTGTTGTTGCATCTGTTGTTGAATAGCAGCAGCTTCCATCATTTGTTGTTGCATGTTATTTCCCTGTTGTGGTTGTTGTGGTTGTTGTTGTTGTTGCATGTTATGTCCATGTTGATGATGATAACGTAACCCATTAGGTGTTCGATAGGCCTTTTTACAACCAGCAATTAAACATTGATATGGCTTCACATTGCTTCCTTCTACATTACCATGTCCTGATGATCCTTTTGCTTCACGTAAATGATATTGGAGCCCATTAATATTTTTATACCGTTTAGGACATCCAGGCATTGCACAACGATAAGGTTTGTAAACTTCATCAACATTTGGATGAACACTTTTCATGTGATAAAATAATCCGTTAGATGCTGCAAAGCTAGCAAAACAACCCATTACACCACAACCATAAGCTCCTATTTCCCCTTCATTGTTATTATTGTTATTATTGTTATTATTATATGATTGCGGAGTCACTTGTTGTCTTTGAGGATAAGGTGATGACGACGGCATTAATCTACGATCATATTGTACTAAAACGGAAGGGTCTGGCTGTTGTTGGTGTTGTTGGTGTTGTTGTTGTTGTTGGTGTTGTTGTTGTTGTTGTTGTTGTTGTTGCTGTTGCTGTTGCTGTTGCTGTTGCTGTTGTTGTTGCTGTTGTTGTTGCTGTGGTGTTGGTATCATGGCAACAGTGCTGCTATTATTATTGTTATTTGTGTCTGGATTTCTAAATAAATAAATCAATACATGATTCTATTATCATACGCTATTTTTGTTTTATTTTTTTATTTTTTTCAATTCTGTTTACCTTATCGAATCTTCTGGCATCCAACGCGGTGGACCTTTAATTTGAGGAGATAATGGGGGCAAAGTAGGTAACTCATTATTGTTTGTTCCGCCTGAACTATCATTGTCAAAATTTGTAGTAGGTTGTGTTAAACCATTCACAATATCTTGCTATTATATATGCAGAAAAAAAAAGGAAATAAGAAAAAAAAAGGAAAAAAAAAAGAAAAAAAAAAGGAAAAAAAAAGGGAAAAAAGGAAATAAGAAAAAAAAAGTAATTATGACGCGTTTTTGTTACTTACAGAAGTAAATCCATTACTTGTATTTGTATTACGAAAGGAGGGCGACGACGTTTGTCTTACAGCTGAATTATTATAAGGATATTGCTGTAAAGTAGAATTTATGTTGTGTGATGTTGACGAATTGATTTTTGCAGGAGAAGCCATGTAAGAGTTAAAATTGGGTAGATTACGATTGTCTGATGTTGAAGAATAAGGAGGTTGACTATTATTATTATTACTACTGTTATTAGCCTGCGGTGACTGCTGTTGGGGTGTTCCTTGTTGCGATTGTTGCGATTGTTGGCCGTAGCCATAGACTTGATGGTACTTTTTATATAAATTATAAATTACATTATTAAATAATATTTTTTTTTAAAATCAAAGTAAAAAGAAAAATAAAGTAAAAGGAAAATAAAAAGAAATATGTTTGTATGAAATATTATAACTTACCATTTTTTTTTTTTTTTTTTTTTTTTTTTTTTTTTTTGTTCAATAAAAAAAAAACTGTACAAAAAAAAAAAAAAAAAAAAAAAAAATAGTAGAAATTTTTTTTTAGTCTTTTTTCTATTCGGCTCCAATGAAGTTAGTTTAAATTAGCCAATTATATTCCGCCTTTCATATCTGCATGCAGTATCATCACATGTACTAGTAATTTTTTATTGGAGAACCAACAAAATACATAAATTTTCATACAGATAAATATATAACTAAAGAAGACATTACTTGGTGAAATTAACTTTTTGTTAAAATAAAATTCGAGTAATATAGCAAAGTTATCATGTATTTAACTTAAAATGAATCATTCTTTATTATAAATTTGAATAAGCGCAGTAAGGAGGCAAATGATTTGTTTATTATATTTAAGCAGTAAAAAAAAAAAAAAAAAAAAAAAAAAAAAAAAAAAAAAAAAAAAAAAACTAAATTAAGAAATGCTTTTTTTCTTACAAAATAAAGGGAAATAAGCATTATAAAAAAAAGTCACTTTTTATGCCAAGAAGAATAAAACTATAATAATAATATAGTACTTTTTTTTCCCTTCTATTTTTATTAATCATTTTCTTGTTCTTTTATTTATTTATTTCTTTTGCTTATTCAAAGCTACTCAAAAATGTACAATAATCATCCTGATCCATATGCTGGACAATATCCACCTCCTCCTCCATTAAGGATACCTCCAGTAACAACAGAAGAAGAAGAACCTTTTACTACTCATTCAATACCAATGCCACAACCACTACAGGATGTATATACAGTGCCTTTATCACCACAGCCTATCAATAATGCTTATTATCCATCTCATTCTATTGTAGTAGAACCACCACAATCAAAACCTTATATCTCCCAACAACAACAACAACAACCACAGTCTATCATCTATAATAACCACTCTCTTTCTCAGCAACAGTATTATAACCATCACAACCCTTCTTCTACTACTGCTCCTCTTCTTCCTTCTCATCAGCCTATTTGTAGTAATAGCCCTTTACCTAATAGTCAACAAGATCACCCATTAGAAGATTATTTAAAACAAGAACGAGAGGAGTATCTTAAGCAAAATACGCATCCTCACTATCAACACATACAACAAAATAATTCATCCTATACCAAAATAAATGAAGAATTAGAAATCGAAGGATTAGAAGAAAAGGCTCCAATGGTTCAACATCACCAGCCCTTTGTGGCTAAACCTGCACCACCACCTGAGAATGAAGTAGAGTCCTATCGTTATCGACCATCAGCAGGTTATACTGACTCAAATCATAAACGAGACTGTTGTTGTTGTTGTTATAATCCAGCTATTACATGTTATTCATTCTTTGGTTTACTACTAAGTTGCGCATTCTTAGCTGCTGGTATTGCACTCATGATTGCTTCAAAAGTGATAACAAATAAATGTAACAATAGCTGTACAGATACGTCAGTATGTGGTACAGTCTGTAACAAAGTACTTCATGATGGTCTATTTTACGGTGGAATTGTTGTGGCTGGTTTAGCAGCCATTGCTGTTTTATGGAAACTTATAATGTGGACATGTGCAGGCTACTCTTCAAATAGAAGATAATGATATACCTTCCTTAGTTGTTGATATTATCAATAAACTTATTTATGATGTACCAGTAGATCTGCTCTTTTATATAGACACATTTGTTAATAATTTGTAGATCCGTTAATAAACAAGGCTACATCTTTTTCTTGCTCAGTTTTAAAATGACGATAGTGAATCGTTTTCTAGATAATAATTGATAGGAGGAGAATCTTTTTATTAAGTAATAATACAATATACTTTTTTTTTTCTTTCTTTCTGGAAATGAAATATGAATAATGTGTTTTTTTAAGAAAAAAAAAGAATGCATTATTATTAATGCATTATTATGAATGCTTTATTACATAAGCAGCTTATTAGTAAATGATAAAAAAAAAACTCGGACTGTCGGATATCTAATTAATATCTAATAATAAAAATAATAATGATAAAAAAAAAAAATAAGACTCTAATCAATAAATACATTATGCACGTAAGCAAACAAACAAAAGATAAATATACAAAAGTTACTTTACTTTATAATGCTTTTTTTTTTATAAAGAAGCAATTATTTCCTTACAGAAGATGACTGCATAAATGAACAAGCAAATCAAGGGTGTAGTAAATCAAAATAAATTAATTTTGAACCAAACAATTGAAATCGAAATTCCATATTTGGGAAAAAAAAGTTTTGGACTACTGATAATAGACTTTATAATAATAGATTTCTTGATATCTTTATTTTCTCTCTCTTTTTTTTTTATTATTGATGTTTTAGCTTTTTTTTTTTCATAAGAAAAATCCATATAAAATCCAACATAAAGAATGCCAGAAGAACCTCATAAACGTCAAAGAGTTAGTAAAGCATGGTAAATGGATACAATAATTCGGAAGAGAAAAAAAAATTTTTTTTTCCTTTCTTTCTTTTCTTTGTTTTTTTTTGACATTTAACATAAAATCTAATTCTCATTTCACCAGTGAACAATGTCGAAGAAAGAAAGTAAAATGTGATGGAGCACAAGCTATCTGTGGTAATTGTGCATCCTTAGGTTTACCTTGTACTTATAAAGAATCAACAAAAAAGGTAACTAATGTCTGTTACTATCAATGCATATAAGAAAATTAATTATTATTATTATTATTAGAGAGGTCCACCTAAAGGTTATATTGAAGCAATTGAAGGTCGATTGCATCGATTGGAAGCTTTATTAGGTAGTATTATTCAAGAAGATGATCCTCGTTCTCAAGCTATTCTAGCTGAGCTTAATTCTCCACTTGAAACTGCTTATGGTGAACTTGTTCGTCCTCGTCCAGCACGTAAAGAAAACTTTGAAGAAAGGCATCCAATCCTTAGTGAAGCAGCTCTTCGTGATTCACCTTTTATTACAGAACCTCAAATAAAGCATGATGATACGATCAATGATAACCTTGGAAACCTATCTATCGATGAAAGTGGACAGCTTCGTTACTATGGTAAATCTTCGGGTTTTTACATGCTTCAAAATAGTAAAAACTTTCAAAATGGTGCTTTTCATTTTAATTCGAGAGGTCGAAATAAGAATAATCCATTAGCCGTAGATCCTTTCGAATTACCTCCGCCTGACCTATCAAAGCATTTATTAGATCTTTATTTTACTCACTTTTATCCGTTATTACCGTTGTTACACAAAAAATCCTTTTTGGCCTCTTTAAATTCGAAAGATTCTCCTCCTCCTCCCTTGTTGTTAAATGCCATCTATGCAGTAGCATCTCGTATTTCACCTGATGTTAGGGTGAGATCGGATCCAGCATTACGTGATACGGCGGGTGATATCTTTTTAGAGCGAGCTCGAATCTTATTGGACTTTGAATGGGATGACTTTAAAGTCTCAACAGTTCAATCTCTCTTATTATTGAGTAGTCATCAAAATGGTGCTTTAAAAAATATTCGTGGTTGGTTATATAGTGGTTTGGTATGAAAAAAAAAAAAAAAAAAAAAAAAAAAAAAAAAAAAAAACTCATATGTATTGCATATTCGCTCGCTAGGCTTTTCGAATGTGTCAAAATTTAGGTTTAAATAGAAATTGTGATTCATGGAATTTATCTGATGCAGAAAAAGAAGAACGTAAAAGAGTATTTTATTGTAGTTTTGTTGTGGATCGATTAACATGTGCTATGCATGGACGAGCACCGATGATTGATGAACGAGATTTAGATGCACCTTATCCCTCTGAAGTAGATGAAGATGATAAGGATAACAAACCTACCATTATGGAAGATTTTCATCAACTTATTAAACTCTGTGAGATTCTCGGTGAGATTCTTGTTCAACTTTATATGGTAAAAGGTAGAAAACAGTTAGCCATGATGTCCTCACCTGATGATGTTATTTCAAAACTTGACCGAGCACTTAACAAATGGATGGCCAAACTACCGCCTTATCTTCAATATCGACCCCCTAACAGTCGTATGGCCGAAAAGGCACCAGCCCCAAAACTTGAAATTTGTCAAATCCACATGTTATTCTATACAGCACTCATTTTATTGCATCGACCTTTCATTCCTGGACCCACTCAAACCACCACGCCTTCCGTCTTTCCCTCGGCTTCCATCTGTACCTTTGCTGCTAACAAAATCCTTGACATTGTTGAATGTTTAATGGCTGAGGGACGTCTAAAGAATGTCAATAATTATGCGCTTTATTTTATGTTTACAGCAGGTATCATTTTCATCAATGATGCCCTTTCATCTGATTCCATGTTTGCCTTCGAAGCCAAGATTAGTATTAATAAGATTATTAGAGCCATGGATGAAGTTGAAAAGACATGGATTACATCAGCTCGTCATTGTAACATTCTAGGAGAACTAGCAGGTCTTCGCGATATTAACCTGGAAAATGTAGATGAAGAATATAATAATCGAAATACAGAGAATGCAAATATGATAAATCGTGAATCATTATCTATTGCAGTACCTAATTCACCTATTCTATCCGACCAACAGACATTTGAATTTAATAAAAATCCAATTGATGCACAACGAGGAACAGAGCATCGATTTCCTGATTATTTATATGTAAACAGGTCAACGACACATGATTTTTCATCCTCTTCACAACAATCTACACCTTATACCACTCCACCTACAATGACTAATTATAATACAACTAATAATACAGCTAATAATACAACTAATAATACGACTAATAATACGACTAATAATACAACGACAGCGGGAGATTTAAATTTTGGACAAGATAATAGACCTTTCGATGCAATTAGAACAGCCTTTTGGGGTGTTCCAATGTCCTTTGATATTGATGAATGGAATAGTTATTTCAGTAATCATAATCAGCAGCAGCAGCAGCAGCAGCAGCAACAACAACAACAACAGCAACAGCAGCAGCAGCAGCAGCAACAACAACAACAACAACAACAACAGCCAACAAGGTCTCAACAACAGACTCCAATGTGGTAAAATGATAATATAGATTTTATAGAATACGGAAAAAAAAATAATAACCATTATTAGAGAAAAAAGGAGAAACAATAAATATATTATAATAAATAATGTAACATCATTTTAATACTGTAGTAGTAGTAATAGAGGAAAAGAAGGGAGGAAGGAGGGGGAGGGTAAAACAAATTCTTTTCGGCAAAAATAAAATAAAATACATGTACACCATTATTTAAATAATTGTTTCTCCAAGAAGAGATTTCATTAAGTATTTTTATTAATTAAAAAGGAAAAGAAAAGAAAAGCACACATATTAAACTACTATATTCAGATACATTGAAATAATATATAAATATATCTTTTTTTAATACAAAGAAAAGTATTCCATTTCTTTCATTTCATTTTTACGCGGGAAAAAAAGAAAAAAAAGAAAAAGAAAGACTTTTAAATAAGGAGAAGAAGAAATACGGTTTTTAACAAGATATGCAACATGTATACTAATTTACTGATAAATGAACTTCTTTGTACTTTTTTTTTTCTCCTTTTTTTTTTTTTTTTCTTTTGAGTATGTTTGTAACATAGAATGTCTTTATATATATATCCGTCATTATCGTCTCCTTTGTGTATGTTAATTTAACAAAAAAAAAAAAAAAAAAAAAAAAAAAAAAAAAAACTTTATATAAATCCTCAAACCATTTTTTTATTTATTATTATTATTATTTTCTTTTTTGAATATAGCATGAAGCTCTGTGCTATCCTTTTCTTTATTTTAGTCTCATTTTATTTTACGATATCAAATGGGTTATCACATTCAGTTGATTTAATTACATCAGACGTTGAACGTCATGAGAAGAATATTGCAAAGTAAAAAAAAGAAAAAAAGAAAAAAAATATGCGTATGATATATATTATTTTGAAATATTTAATTCTTGTATTCGATAGTTATTTGGTAAAAAGAAAGTCAAATGATAACAAGAAAAAGAAAAGTAATACAAAGAAACATAAATCAAGTAGTGAAGATTGTCGTAACGTTAGTTGTGCATTAAAGTTACAGCCATGTCCAAAAGCTTGCCCACAAACTTGTGGCTATTTAAGTAAGTAAAAAGGAAAAGGGAGAAATACATGTAACATTTAAATTAATTGCTATAATTTTATCTTAGATTCCCCTAATCCTTGCTGTCCATTATTAGGCAAGCCTACTTGTCCTGATTTGTAATAATATCAATGTTGATTGATGATATAATAAAAAGAAATGTATTTATTTAACCTATTTTTTATTTTATTTCCTTTTTTTTTTTTATTTTATTTTATTTCATTTTTTTTCCATATTATAAATGATAATAAAGCACACAAGGCCCCTAATAGAGCACCAGCAATGACTTGCGACTTTGTGTGATGACCTAATCGAACGCGAGACCAAATGACAGCTATTGAGAAACAATGAAAAGAAAGAATGGCAATTAGTGTAACAACTGATTTTAATAACGTTCGTTTCTCTTCTGTGTAATGATTGACAGTTGTTGTTGCTAAACATTGCAAATAAGTAGTAAAGAAACTGATGGCAGTTGAATGAGATGAAGGCATACCATAACTTGTCTTTTAATATGACTATTTACTAGAATGGGTCGAGGTTGTTTAATAATGCGTTTAAGGACTTTTGCAATGAGTGTTGTTATAATGGCACAAAGAGTAAAATATATTATATGGCTGGATCTTAAATAAAGAATGGTAAGGAATGTACAAGTAATGACAATTTCTCTTGTCTATAAAGAAATGGATTAAATTATTACAGAACTCGTAATTTTATTATTTTATTACATAGGATAATATTCTCAAAAGTCTATTTATTATCATCCTTTTCCTTATTCAATGTATTATAAAAGGAAAAAAGGGGAGAAAAAAAATTTTTTTTTATACTTTTTTATATTTTCTTGAATCGTTGTTATTGACCATTTATCCATATTATCTTGAATATTTTGTATACAAAAGTTGAATTCTGGAAATAATTGATTCATAGAAAGATATAGATCAAATGCAATATTTTTGATAAAGGAGAGTTGAAATTTGGCTAATGCCACATTATTATTACTGTCATGTTCATTAATAGGAATGGCTGGAATGCATAATTCCTTTTCTAGTTCACTCTGTAATGAAAATTCTTTAACAAGCATAATAGCCCATTTTTTAGCATTCTCAAATGGTCTCGCCTAATGCATATATTTATATAATAAGCGAGTTAGTGATATAACATATATTAATTATTACTATTATTATCTTTACACAGTTACTAATATCGGCACATTTCATAATAGCACTAATCAAAATCAGTTTTTCTTTTTCCTTTTTTACTTCAGTCGATAAGTCTAATTCTTGATTTTGTATGCGTTGTATCAATAATTTTATATTTTGAACATGATCTTGATGATGGTCCATATCTGTGCATAAAATTCCATGGATAATAGTCTTTCTAAAAGCTACAATATGTTGTGTTGTTTGTTTATATAGACAGGCTACCTAAAATGTGTCTTCAAAACTTACATTTATATTCTGGATGTGAATTGATATTATGAGCGAGATGCTTATGTAATAGACTGAAAAATGCCATTGAATGATAATTCTCCAGAACAGATTTATCATTGTAGAAAATAGCTAGAGGATTAGCAGTAGTTACCTTATTGAAAAAAATATATATATATATGTATGTATAAGCAAAATAATAATAATAAAGAGTGATATCTTTCCTTGTTACCATAAAATGATTATTCACGCCTGGATGCCCTACATCATGTCCTATACTAGCTATCAATAATGCCAGTCTATCAATAGGTTGTAGTAATTCTTTAATTTGATTATTATGAGTGGTAAATGAAGGTATTTTTATAGAGTGATTATTTTCTGTTAACGAGCAAGGAGATTCAATCAAACCTATTGCACATAGAAAATACCATGTAGACTGTAACACGTCTACCGCATGTCTAAAGTTGTGATAAGGGTTTGAATTATGGTATGAATTACAAATATTTATAGTCATTTCTAAAATAATATCTAAATATAGAATTGTGAATATCGTTGTTATTTTTTAATAATAATAATAATAATAATAAAGGAAAGGGAAAAGTTTGATTTTATAAATATATACCATGATTCATTTGTAATGAGTTTAGTTCTGGAAATTGTAAAAACATTTGTTCAAAGATTGAACATACACAGTAAAGCAAATCTATTTCATTTAATTCGAGTGGCGTAAAGTTCCAGTCGTTTATAAATTGTTTCAAGTAACATTTACGTTCACTACAAAAAAAAAAAAAAGAGAGAGAGAAAGAGTTATAAATGACTTGTAACTTAAGTTAAATAGAGAATAATACTTTGATAAAGAAGTTATAGAGAGTCGTTCAATAATGGTCGGTTGAGGAGTAAATTCTTGTAAAATATGATTTGTTATCCTGATAGTCATAATGCGAAAAAAGAAAAAAAAAATTAATTTATCTGTATTTAATCTATAATACCTGTCATATGCTAATATACCATTGATAGCCTTTTGATAAAGAACTGATAGAACTAGTTTCATTAAAAGTTTTAAGTCTATCTTGGAAATGTGTAATTATTATCGACTGTTCTTTTTCTTGTTGCTTTTGATGATTTTGTTTACTCTTATTATATCTATAAATATTCTATAAAAATTATCAATGATTAGAAACGTAAAGAATAATTCAACAATATGATTTACTATACCAAAAATAAAGTCTTGATAACAGATTCATTGAATGGTTTTATTATAAAGTCAAGGGCTCCTTTTTCAATACATCGCATTATATTAGATGTTTCATCATTCCTAGAACAAGCTATGATAATAATAAATATCATATAAATAAAATTTAAAATAATAAAATTTCACTTCAAATTTCCTTTTTTTTGTTTTACCTATTGGAATTACAGTCGTCGATATTTCATAATTTTGAATTGATTGGCATATTTTTTCGAGTAAATCATAATGATAGTCAATATCAATGATGATCAATGTTGGAATATCATGTTTTCTTTTAGAGAGAATGGATTTTATACATCTTGGATCGTCTTTTACATGATAAACTATTCATTATATCGTATATTAATAAACAGTTATAAAATATTTATTTATATAATAAATACCATTCTTAAATGTCTTATATAAAATTCTAGTATTTTGTTTATCCTCAAGTTTACATATAAAAACAACATCAAAATCATATAGTTCTGAATTTGACATGATATTGAAGTAACGGAAGAAACTATACGCTTATTTATAATAAACTTTTTCCTTAAATAGGAAAATAGAAAGAATAATGGAAGAAAAAAAAAAGTTATAATATTACTATTGTTTTTTCAATTTAAGATTAATACTATTTCCAAAATAAATTAAACGAAACAGGTTTTACTTTTTTTTTTTTTTTTTTTGGACGAACCAGCTTGTAATTTTCGGTATCTCAGTTTAGAGGTGAAACTAAAATGTAATATACATTATAGATGATCTGCAAGTAAAAAAGCAATCATGTATTAGGCACATTGGATATTTAATGAATCTAAAGTCCACTCAAGTCTTCAATCGTATAATTTTAATTACATCAAAGATTTTAGCAACCATTATTCAGCTGGAAGAAGCAGATAACCTCTCCATGTGTATATACTGTAAAACAGAAAAACATTCTTGTTGCAGGGAGGGCGTGTTTTTTAGCAGCATCGTTGAAATAATGTGATTATCATCTTCAAGTCTCCCCTTTTGCAAACAGCTTTCTTTGTGAATGAGTTTTCCTACTGATACTAATATATAGACTTTATCTTATATAACTATAACTATTCGTTAAGAATCTAAACTATACTTTATGTTTTTAATAAAATTAATAATTTAATATCGAACATACTACTGGATCGAAAAAAAAAAAGAAAGAAAGAAAAGAAAACGCTTTCGGTATAGGAACGTTCTTATTACACCTGTGACAGCCTTCAAAAATAAATTCACCGAGAAAATCGTTAACCTTGGTAGTTTCATTAGAAATGTGATATTCCTTTACCCAAATTTCTATCAACATCTATATTATTAATGACTGTAATAACCTAGCCATATTTCTGGTACTTTATATGCCAGTTGATTTTAGGGCAACATGTAACAAACAAATACTATACCTTTGATAATCATCTTACTTGCTTTTGTCAACTTGAAAGAAGCACATCTTCATATTCTTTAACCTTTTAGACAACACCCTATTACTGGATATAGTGATACATATTTAGCTATTGTAACTGCATATCTCATCAACAAAATTACTGAGCATTTTAAACAAATATTTTTTTTAAGAAAAAAAAAGCTATAAACATAAGAAGAAACACTGGTGGCTAAATATATTTTTTAAAGTATTAGAGTCAGTGTCATTGATTGTATTTTTTGATGGTATAAAGAATACAATACCAATAGGAGAAATAATCTCTGAAACTGTTAGTATATCATATAATAAATTCAAACAGGGATCAAAGTTATTCACATCTTTAATGGTTGATATCAATGAATTTAGAATGTCTAAAGTATTATATACTATGTTGTATTGTATGAAGCTGAAGTATTTGTATTAAATTTAAAGAATGGATATTAAATTTGCAATATAACTGTAAAAAAAAAAAGGCGGAGGAACTTGAAATCATCAATGGTAAATGCTTTTACAGTATACTCAAATGCAAAAATTGTAACATAACGTAGAATAGAGATATCAATGTTAGTGAAAATATGCTTGACGTTTCATTTTTTATTTAGGAGGAAAGGTAAAGACTTGTTATTTTTACTCGAGATACTGCCGTAGATAACATGGTTTTGATCTTAGTGGACGATAATTAGGATATTCACATTTAAATTGTCTACAAAATCTTCCTTATTTGTTTAAAAACAAATATGAATTCATTCCTATTTGATCCCAAAAAATTAATAAATTAAACTGAAACATCATAGTGCAAATCTAGAATAATTTCTATTGAAATTCCGATCAAAATCTGAAAGAATCTACAAAAATATTGAAAATATCGAAAAAAAAAAAAATAGTAAACAAGGAAGGACTGAATGAAGAAAAGGAATTTCATAATAAAAGAAAAATAGGACAATGAGGCTAACTAGGCAGAGATACTTTCAGTAATCTTAAGCTTCTCCTGAAGAAAGATAAAGAATCTTTAATCTTGATAAAGAATCATTGCTTACAAGACTGCTGTAAACAAAATAATAATAGTAATAATAATAATAATAAATTAATCAGGTCTATAGTATATGCAAGTTACAAGTTATATAAACTGTATAAGGGTAGAGTGATGCTAGATCTTATTGAAATAAGTTATTATCCATATTACTGCCGTAACTGGATAATTTATTACTAATAAAAAAAAATACTTTTTAAACAGCTAAACTAAATTATGTATAAACATACTCCACCGATAGTATCCCTTTATATAATCTCTATCATATTATTTTACTGATTTATGAATATTGTAGAATGAATTAAATAATATTGCAGGAAAACGAAAAAAAAATAATTTCAATAATACATTGTTGGTAATTCATAAATATCAATCTTCAAACTATAATACAAATATAATGCCATTTTTAATCTATAAAAGCAACCAAACAATGTGATATCGTCTCGCCCAATAAACAAAAGGAGTATTAAAACAGTCATGTTTTAATTTCTTATTTTATTTTGCTGTATTTTAAAGGGGTAATAATTATTTATTTTAGTATTTTTCTTTTTGGCAAGTATAAGTGAATTGACTTTCGAAGTTGTACGAAATGGAATAATTGATATTCCTTATTTTCTATGATAAAGATTAGATTATAATAATAATAATAGATGGATAGCACATGTATTGATAGGAGAAAATAGTGTAGCGTCTTGTTTTAATCTTGATACGAATTGAACTTGAAATTACATCCGAGGAGACCCTATTATTTCCACTAATAAGATACCCTTATTTTTATTACGTAATCATATACATGTAATTTCATTTTATGAACACTTTAACCTTACATAATCATTACTTTGCTGCAATTTTTTCTTTTCTTTTATTTATCTATTTATTTTTCTTTTATCTTTTTTTTTGATATTTTGCATTCAAGTGTAATATATTCAATGTATATGTTTAATTTATTCAGTCGTAATTTCCATAGAAAGACCAATCACTCATGGGATAATTCACGCTAATAAACTAGCTTTTAAATTATATATATTTATTTTTATTGCTAAAGTCAATACTTTTGGGGTTTAATTAGACTACTTGAAATACGTGTATTTATACAAAAATAAAATAAAGTAAAATAAAGGGATTTTATTATAGTAATGTTGCGTTATGAGAAATAAGAATAAATAACTAACTCATGAAAAAAAAAGGAAAAACCCAACCTATTATGCATCATAATTACAAAGATATACGATATACGAAAAAAAAAAATTATCAGACATATGCTTATGTAAATAATACACAACAGGATTATAAGCAGAAAATAAGTAAATAAAAAAGGATACATCATTTCTTTAAAAATAGGCTACGGCTGAGAGGAAGAACTTTAATGCTTTAACTTATTTCTATCGAATTAAATTAATGATCAACTAAACTATAAAATTGAAGAAGGTTTATTTATGGAGCAAAATGATTTTATGATACGCATTTTATGCTAAAAATAGCTATAGCTCTTTTTTTTTTTGAATTTCCTAAAAATATATGTCAATAAATCCCGAAAAGGAAAAAAAAATATTGCTATAGCAAAAAAAAAAAAAAATAGAATAATAATACCATGCTTAACTTTTAATGGCCAGTTTATATCTATGGTAACTTCATTTAATACAACTTTCTTTCCACCTCCTCCTTTTTTGTGCGACCAGAAGAAAATATGCAAATGACCAAAAAAAAAAAAAAAACTCATTTTTCACATGTAAAGAAAAAAAAACCCCCCTTCATATATTGGCATAATAATAATTATTATTTATTACATTCTATATTAAATTTAATAATAATAATAAAAAAAAACCCAAAAAAGAACCCCACACATTCCTTTCCTAGTCTCGCCCCAAAATTAATAATAATAATAATAATTAAATCTTGGCTTGAGGACTGAAGAAGACATCCACCATCTTACGTCTCTGGATTTTACCTGTTGCAGTCTTGGGCATCAGGTCTGTCACATAAATTCTTTTAGGTACCTTAAATTTAGCCAACTTGGTAGCACAAAATGCCTGCAAATCGCGCTCCACTTGTTTCACATCTTCCGAGCTGCCTTCCTTCATGACGACAGCGGCATGAACCTCTTGACCATACATTTCATCGGGGACACCGAATGTCACAGCCTCTGCAACCTTGGGATGACTCAACAAGACAGAGTCCAACTCGATAGGTGAGATCTTCTCTCCTCCTCGGTTAATCAATTCCTTAATACGACCTGTCAAGATCAAATAACCATCCGCATCCTTTCGACCTTGGTCACCTGTACGGAAAAAGCCATCCTTTGTAAAGGACTCAGCTGTAGCCTTGGGGTTATTGAGATAACCATGGGTCACGTTCTTACCACGAATACAGACTTCACCTATCTCTGTGGGATTACCTTCACTGTCAAGAATGGCAATCTCTACACCTTGTCCGAGACCAACTGAACCGGGCTTGTGAATACCGCGGTGGGGTAAAGGATTTGAGGTCATTTGATGAGATGCCTCAGTCATGGCATAGGCCTCCAAGACGGGGGCCTTGAATTGTTCTTCAAGGGCTTGTAAAGTGGCGGGAGCTAAACTAGAGGAACAAGAACGAATGAATCTAATCTTGGGAACCTCTTGAGGTGGATTACGAAGAAGGATTTGATGAATGGTAGGTACGGCTGTATACCAGTTACATTGGTTGGCCTTGAAATCTGGCCAGAAATGAGAGGCACTGAATTTGCGAGGAATGACAGCTGTACCACCTGACAACAAGGTGGACAAAAGACCACAGACAAGACCATGAACATGGAACAAGGGCATGACGAGAAGAGTACAATCTTGAGATGATAATTCATATGTACCAATAATATTCTTCATGGAAGTAAGTAAATTAAGGTGAGTAAGTGGAACACCTGAAATAAACAAAGTAATATCAGTTTGTATCTGTATATATCCAGGGGGGAGGGAGGGTTTTTTTTTTCCTCCTTAATTATATCTCTCTATATATACACCATATGGATTGTAAAACTTACCCTTAGGTCTTCCAGTTGTACCACTGGTATGTAATAATAAAGCAGGCTCGTCAGGCTTAGGCTCAAACTTTTCAATAATACGATGGTCGCCAGAGACTTCAGAAAGAGACTTCACCTCCATTTCATTACCATTCCAAAAGACTTCAACTACAATAACACCTTGCTTTTTAGCAGCTAAAATGGCAGGACTATTGGCTTCAGTGCCCTTGGGGACAATCAAGACTGTACTCTTGGCATCTTCGAGATAAAAATTAAATTCATCTTCGGTATAAGCAAAGTTCAGGGGTGAAGCAACCAAGTTCATGTAGTTAACGGCCAAAAAGGAAACCGCGAATTCAAAAGAGTTGGGATAACTAATAGAGATAGATCTACCGGGCGCAAGACAGTTAGCTGGTACTTGAGCAGCTAATTTGCGAGCAAAGTCATAAAGAATATCATGGAATTGGGAAAATGTAACTTTAGTAGGAACCTCGGCTGATTGAGGAATAATAATGGCAGGATGTGTGTTATCCTTATGGCGTTCAAAAATTTCATATAATGTGTTTGACATTTTCTTAAATTTAAATAAGTAAATAAATAATGAAAAAAAAAAAAAAAATAGATAAAAAGGGAAAAAAAATAAAGGATTTTTTTTTTATAAATAGAATTGCCTTCACATAATAGTAAAACCATGATTGTCTCACAAAAGGTTTTTGATAAAATTATCACGTAATCTTGTTAATTACTCAGCTTGATTTAAATTGATTTTTTTTTTTTCAAAAAAAAAAAAAATATCCATATTTAGGCAAAATATATTTATTTATTTATTGATGTTGTTGTGTATGAGACAGCATTGTTGCTGGCCCTTTATTATTTACAGGCAGATGTTGTCTAATTACGTCATTATGATGTTGATGTGCTGATGCATAAATACCTAAACCAATACTCATATAAGGTTGAACAAAACTGTTATAGTTTTGTCGTGTAGTTGATGAGGAGTCGTTATGAGAAGAAGACCTTCTTTGCTGAGTGTTATTATTATCTCTTTCTTGATTGGATGATAATAATGTATATAATAAGCTTTCATTCTCTATAGATGATGTAGATGAATTGTTAGCATTTTGTTGTTGAGAGGTTGTTCCATTTTTTATATTAGTATTAGTAGTATTAGTATTGTTATTATTGGTAGTGGTAGTAGTAGTGGTAGTAGTAGTAGTATTAGATGTAGATGTACTATGATTGGGCCAATTGTGTTGTTCGTGACTACCATTGCTATTTTGATTATTATCCTGTATTTGTTGTGCGACAAATGCTGCAATGTCAGAAGAATTAGATTGATTCATTAATAATTGTTGGTTATTATTTGATGACGCTGTCTTTTGATGGGCCCTTTGCCATGACTGGGTTGTAGTATTAGACAAGAGCTCATCTAGAGAAGACCTTGCAGAATAAAACCGAGTAGAAAATGCATGATCTGTCGCTGTAATTGCACTATGGCCAATATCATAATCAGGGAATGTGTTAGGTGGAACAAACATGGTCGATGACATAGTAAATCCTCTTGCTTTTGCAGTTGGTGGTGTAATTAATCCATTCGCAAAATAATCCAATTTGGACCACTGTTGTCTTTCTTCCTCCATATATCGTGTATTGCCAAGGACAAAAGGTGTCATAATATCACTTTCTTCTCCATTAAAGAAATTAAGATTTGCTGCATCAGCTTCAGATATTGCTTGTTCCAAGGCTATTACAAACTCGTTCATTAAATGGATGCTTTTTGTAGCTTGCTTCAACACCATCACCGACAAAAGATGCTTCATGGCCATCATAGATTGTTGAAACATCATTCGTGCCTGTCGTGCAAGTGGAAGATTTTCATCATTTGAACATAACCTTAAATGAAATCGTGTTGCTTCCATAAGAGCGCTCATCAATAAGTTTATATTGAAGATCCATAAGGTATGTGTTGTTGACAGATTTGTTATCAAACGTGTTATATGTGCAGCTACAATAGCAGATCTTTGGTGAATGGATTTGACATTTGAAGATGAATAAGGTTTCAAGACGCTAAGTTCAATGAAATTATAAATAAGATGAAGATGGTATACCATCGCATTTGATGGTGGTGGTGGTAGTTGATGTGAATTATTATTTACTGGAGTCCATTGTAATTGAGAAGGTAAGGTCCTTAGCCAGTGCAAAAGGTCGTTATCAGTATTCAAAGACATCTGATCGTGTGCATGGGTTCGAACTACAGGTTGACCATTCTGTTGTAGTGATGCAGGTTGTAAAACACGTTCTGCAATTTGTAGGAGTTTTAAAAGAGCTACAAATCCTTCTAATGTCTCATGCTCTTTTACATTGTCTCCTGGTAACAATGAAGGCATATCTAATTCAATATCTTTACTTCGAAGCATCCATGACTGGCCCGTCTGCATATGAATTAGTTTGTCTAACGCATAACAGCCCCAACAAGTGCGTTTTCTTAGTTCTTGTAAATCGCCATCTTCATTCCTTCTTTCAAAATCAATTTCACCACGATAATCTCGCATTAAACTCAAATCAAGTGCCATTTGAAAAGCTATGCCACTATACATAACTGGATAAGGATTTACACTAGATTCATATAAACTCATCAAGATGAGGGCAGCAACTGTACTTATTTTTGGTTGATCTACCAAATTGTTATCTAGTAAAATAGAACGAGCTTGTAGAAAATAACTATCTGCTTCTGCTGTTATAGTGTCTGTTATTTCTTCTGTAGATCTCCTTTGAGCTCCATGTGCCATCATGATCAAGATGAGTGCTGGATTTAATAAATAGGATTCAGAAGAAGTTGTATTTTTTTGACTAAGGGAATCAAACTGTTTATAAAATAAACGTTTTGGGACAATAGGGAACATGGAATAACAATGTTTGTAATAAAGTCGTATGCATTGTTGTTGTATTGCCTTTGTTTGATGTACAAAAGCATCTTCATGTTCATTTGTTAATTGTCGATTTGGAAAAGGATGTAAAAGTAATTTTGATTGAGCTACTTCCCACTTTCCTTCTCTCCCTTCACCTGGCCAAATTTTGTTTAATCTGGTAAGTGCCTCTGTCATGGATATAATCTGCTTTTCATCAAGTTGCGATGAAGATGATAGATGAGGAGTTGCTGATGGCGTTGAAGCACTTGATGATGGTGATTGTTCTTGTGATGCATTATCAGTTTCAACACGTTGATTTGAATCTATTGTACCATCTTTAGAAAAGGTACAAGGTCTTTTACGAACTAATTTTAAAACATGATGAATTACATTATTAATTAATTAATTTTTTTTTTTTATTTTATCTAACCTTTGCACTATATACATATGAACAAGTTATGTAAGAAGAAAAAAAAAATATGTTATTATGTATACATTTGAATGTATGTATTTTCAAATACCTGCATACAAGGCTGTACTCCATCACACTAATTAAAAAGAAAAATGTCATCAAGTGTATACATTTAAATTAAATTTGATTTATTTTACTTTGATCTTCTTGATGCGACAAGTGTAACAAGCTTTCCCTACTTTGAACCTTTTTGGCTTTGTTTGGTCTTTTTTATTTTCGAGATCATGTTTCATAGCAACCTTTTTTTTTAAAAAAAATATATATATGTGTATGTATATAAATATTTATATAAATATACACAGATAAAAGAAAAAAAGAAAAAAAAAGAGAGAGAGGGAGAGGGAGAGAAAGAAAGAAAGAGAATAAAAAATTCTGTGCTTTAAATATACATGTGTGAATATAAACAAGTAAAAAGAACAACAAAATAGAAGTGGCAGCTGTTTGTGTCTAAACTTCAACTTTATCCGCGGAAACCTTTTAAGAAATTGAAGGGTTCAATATTGAGGGTATACAAAGCATCCGCGGTATACAACATTATGTGCAGCAAAGTACTTTAAATAGCTCCGAAAACCCAATATTGTTAATTATATTCACTACTCTATTAGGCAAGAACAGTACTAGTTAATAAAAAAAAACATGTTAATTTAGGATCTTAATGAACATTTATTGAGAAACTATTTGCTCATGTGGATTAGATCATGGACTTAATTACAAATGCATACAAACATACAAATAAAAAAGGAAAAAAAAAAAAACTCTTTTAAGTTAAGGGATATATGACGTAAGAAGGGATATACAAATCCTTTAACTAATGAGGGGAAGAAGAATGACTGTAATATTAATTAGACAAAAAGGTGTATTATCAGTTAAGGTAGAGATCTTAAAAGAAGAAACAGTTTGATGCTTGATATTATATGGAAAACATTAAGCTGTTTAAACAAACTTATTACAGTTAAGCATTGGCTTGTAAGAAACAAAGCTTGAACAAAAAAAGGAAAAACATAGGATTCATACAGTATTGAATAAATATAAATAGTTTGTAGTCATGAAAATGAAAGATGGCAACGTTCAGGAGTGCCTCTTGATAGTCTACTTAAGAAGCCAACGACTTGGTTCACTTTGCTCTTGATTATTAGTCATAGAAATTTATAAAGCAGACCCTTATGAATAGAAGAGAACAAGAGTAGGAAAGTAGTTATTGCAACTTTAATTAATAATCAGTTTGTAGACATATTCTTTCGTACTTATGGAAGCCTAAATCTGATGTTTGTCTGGGAAATATGAGTAGCATTTAAAACTGTAGTGCTTCATACACTAAGTAGCAACAGGATGTAACATATTTCATTTAAAAAAAAAAAAAAAAAAAATGAGGCTCAGTAGTACAAGAGCTTATAACTAATTGGGCCACCACCAAGTAGCATTGTATACATATAATAGGATGATAAATGGCTTGCACATATTCTAAAGCCTTAAATTGGGTTTTTGTGAACTTACCTATTGCTAATCTGCATTTTATCTGTGAAAAAAAAAAAAATAATAATCATTTATCAATATTATTATAAATGACAGGAAAATGATAGCTTGGATAATTTTCGTTTTATTAATATCAATAGAGAATAAGATGTACATTATAATGTTAGCTTTATCTGTATTATACTATAAAAGTTTACCAGTAAGATTAGACATTATTAATGGCTTAGATAGCATAGTATACTTGGATAAAAGAGATCACCATGTTGAAGGATAACTTTACCTAATCTTTATTCATCTTTAAATATTTTAGAAGCTTGTTAGATAGAGTCTTGATATCAAACTACTAGTTTAGACTATACTAATAACTTTATTAGAAATTTAATGCATAATTATGTAAAATGAATGCTTCTATTTCCAAAAAAAAAGATGATTTTATATCCCTGAATAAATTTATTTATGAGAGGTAAATTATTCACTTCCTCTATAAGAAGATTAAAAAAGTCATTGGAAAGTATATGCAGCCAGAAAAGGCACGTCTATCCTTAAAGTTGATAATAAAACTTGCCAAATATATAACACACATGATTTAGATAAATATACACACATGTACAGTGCTAATAGCAACAAGGAGTATTTAAAAAGACTCTTTTCGACAACAAGAAGATGCATCTAAAAGATGGATAGGCCTTAACAGAATAAAAGAGTACTGTATAGCATAAAATTGATAGAAGATGCTCAAGTCTATGATAATCCTTTACTTTGGTTAAGCATGAATTTATTTAAATAGCAAAAACATAAATAGAAGCAATGATGATATTGCATACGTATGTATACATCATCATTCCAAAAAGGGGGGATACTTTTTTATTTATTTATTTTTTAAAAAATAATTTATTGCCACAAAAAGTTACAAAAAATTGGAATGATCCTTACAAAAGGATCTAGTCTATAATTCGTTATTTGAAATGACTCGATTCATTGTCATGTCATGTTTGTCAATTAACAAAGTTTAATTCTTTTGATATATAATATTAAAAGTGAAAGTTTATTGCGTGTTGTAACATTCTAAAATACATTTTCTACTGTAATATTTTAATTTATATAAAAGACAATTCGAAGGTATATGATTATTTTAATTTTGAAATGATTGACTTCTTTTTACTCTTTTGACATTATTGAGGCCTAATCTACTTTCCATATCCTTTTCTCTAAAATTGGATTGAAATCGACTCAAAAATGAATTCTGAAGAATAGCTTCATCATTATCAGTAGAATCAGAATAGCTTGTATTTTTTAGTAATTCTTTAAAGTTTTTTATATCATCCACTGTTAATTTGGCTGAAGTAGGTGGCAATCTTATCATGAGCTATAAAGAAGAAAAACCAAGTAGTAGATTTCTAATCTAGAATTAAACTGTTAAAAAAAAATAAAACTGGATGATTTTATAGACAATCGTAATTTTTTTTTTTTTTTTTTTTTTTTTTTTTTTTTTTTGGGTACAAAAGAAAAATGCAGTGAGCAGGTGTGATTTTATTCAAGTGATGCAGAAATAAGCCAGAAATTTGAAAGAATAACAGGATATCTATTTTACCAAGCCTTACTATTGCCACTGGACAAGAAAAAAAAATATGAAAGTCTAACATAAATAACTCAAGCCTTTCTTTGATTTCATTATAGTTCCCCAGGGAGAGAGGGGACACTTTAGCTCGTTGGGGGGGGAATGGTCGATAATATTATGTATATAAAGGAACAAGCAGATGAATCAAATTGTAACTAAAATGAATACGACTTTCTTAAACTATTTTCTACTAATGGTATAAATACGCAAGTAATCATAGTTAGTTACCCTTTATTCAAAGTACATGGACAAATAATATAGAAGAAGGGATTATTTCAATTTGTTAATATACTTCTTCATAATCTATAGATTTAAGGACGTTGTAGACTTCATTCGGTCATAACTAATATAGTCCCAACTCTTCTCAGATATCCCTGTATTATTCAATAAATACCTCTCATAATCATCTTTTAGAGCGATTGTTGGGTCGTGTTAACTAATTTAAACTTATTTTTTGTTTTGATACCTTAAGAGAAATACCACAAATGTTGTCAAAAGCCGTCTCAAGATTCATATTGTTTACATTCTCTCCTAAAAGAAAGAAAAAAAGCAAAACAAAACTATAGCTGTTTTTCGTCGTATAGCTTATATTTTAGACACTACACATGTTACTTTAGAACTTTGTCTATCATTGAGCTTTTTTGTACTAGTGAACACATTCTTCAAAAATTAATATCAGAAAGTTCATAACCCAATGGCTTTATAAATAATAAACTTTTTTTTTTTTAGTAGGTTCGGTGATAAACATATAATAATAAGAAAGTAAGATAAATGTGATAAATAGGACTAAAAGTAGAAAAATAGTTGAAAACTATGGATCAACCAGGAAAGAGCAAATAATTGGACCAGTTTATACTAGAGAAAAAAAAAATAGGGCTCACCTCCATTTTAGGCTCTGTTGGGAAACGCGGTATCTTGTGTAACCGTAGATTGACTCGTTGCCTAAATTTCTCCATTTAATGAAGGGTGAAAAAAAAATTTTTTTTTCTCTTATTTTCTTTATATTGAACTAATTTTCAAAATTTATAATCAACTTGTAAAAAAGGACATTCTTATTCTTTTTAGTCTAATCGCGATTTATTAATTATAAATAATATGTATTATTCATATTTATTTTGTTATTCTCATACATCATTGACGATAAAAAATAAATAAATGAGGATTTGCTGAATTCGTTATTAATGAAGTTATTGCCAATTTGAACAGTTATCCGAGATTAATTAGTATAAACAAAATAAGTATAATAATACGTATAGATAGATCGTGTAGAATGAAAAGAATTTTAATTCCTTAAACACGTTTGTTAACAAAAAATTTGGAACTTTAGTTCAATTTTGATAGAGAAAGTGTTTTGTGCTTTGTTTCTATGATTATACTATTACAGTCCTCCTCTTTTTTTTTTCTGCTAAAGAAGACAAATATAAAAAAAAAAATACTTGAATTATTTAAAAAGTCATGTAAGTTAATTTAATATAGTTTTCAATCTGAAGTTCTTTTGATCTCTTTTATTGATCAAATGAAAAGAAAAAGAAAAAGAGGTAGGGAAGGAAATGGATAGTATAATTAGAAACCCTTAACCTTCTCATTACAACACATGATGAATAAATTAAAGGCGAATATGAAATTTGGTTTAATGAATTCGAATAATATCCAATTCTGATGTTGTATATATAAAGATTAATCTCATTCTTTATTGATTAAATAAAATTACATATTAAATATATTTACTCGTAAAATGAAAAAAAAATGTATAATAATGTATTAAATGCAAATGATAAATAAAAATACAGTTTAAAGCATGCCATATAACAAAGATTAAAATGATAAATATTAATAAATATGCGCAAAATTAGTTTCATCAACACTTTTTCTTCATGTCTGTAAATCGTTCTGAAATACCACGAATGGCCCATTCCATCACACCTTCCTTCCATACCAAATCATGACCTTCACTTTCTAATATCTTGAGTCGAACATCATGTAAACTATTAGCGAATACATGAATTGCCTTGGCTGATATCAGTCCATCCTTATCACCCCAGACAGCAGAAACAGGCACTTTTATATCTGTATAACTAAATCCAAACATATGATATTTTTCAAGGGCAACCATGACATCGCATAACTGGCCTTGACTATAGCTCTCTGACAGACGTTGCTGATTCATGGCTAAATAAAGTGATATATGTCTGGGTCGAACAAAATGCCGTAATGGTCGTTGTGTTGGAAAATCGGTCGATAACTCAAATGCTGCCTCTTCTTCAAATGAAGCCAATAACTCGTCCTCCTCAAAAGCTACGATCGTATTTCGAAACTTTGAATTGTTAACGGGGTGATGGTGATGATGACGATGATGACGATGATCATCATCATCATTATCTTTAGTAAATGGTAATGTTGTTGTCGACTTTGTGAACATCCACATGACATCAAGGGCCAATGAGATCGTCTTGGCTACAAGTGGGGCAGGTAATCGTCGAGTCCATTTAAATGTTTGTGCGGCCTGTGTTGAGACCCAAGGTGAAATCAAGAAAATAGGGCCCACCACACGTTCAGGATATCGATATGCTACAGCTAATGCAAAGACAGTTCCTACCGATTGAGCAATGATACTGAATTTATCAATTTTCAAATGATTGGCAAGTTGAATAACGACGTGAGCCCAATCAAGAGCTCGTATTCGTTGAGAAGAAATGGGTTGACTAAGTCCATAGCCAGGTCGTTCTGGCCAGATCATACGAATGTTGTAACGTATTGCTAATTCTTCAAACATGATACCAACGAGTCGTGTACAGCCATATCCTCCAATAACAAATGCCGGATGTCCATTGTGTGGGCCATAGATAGCATATCCAACACGATGAGAACGTAATCGACCATTAGATTGAAATAGAAATGTTTGATTAAGACGAGCTTCACGCAAGGCGCTAATACGTGTAGGTGAATTGACTGATTTAAAGGAAGGTGATGTTGATGGTGGTGGTGATGGTGGTAAACGATGTGGTTCAAAACTATACTGCTTTGTTGTCTTTTGAACAGGAGCCGATTTTGAGCTTTGTAAGTGGATAGGCGCTGACCTATTCATAGCTTGTTTTATAATTCTATTTATAATTCTTTTTCTCTTTCACACAAAAAAAAAAATTGAAATTAAAAAAAAAAAAAAAAAAAAAATAAAATAAAATAAAATAAAATAAAGTAAAAAAAAGAATTACATGACAATTTTTCTTTATTTGGATTCAAAACAAAGATGCGAATATGGAGAAACTGTTTCAATTTTGGTTTAATAAATTTGTACCTTTTGCTGAGGATGAAAGTCTGAAATTAGTTGTTATGTAATAGAATTCATGTGATCTTTCTTTTTTGTTAGAAAAAAAAAATACCAAAAATGGAAATATGAATAACAACATGAATAATAACGTCAAATGTCATGCACTATGATATAAAAGATGATTTACCTTTTATTATAACTACGATCGTAAAGGAGAACAAGTCGAGTTAATACATTAAACAAAGGTATTATTTACCGAAAAAAAAAAAACTTTTTATATCTGAACAAGAGTTAATATATACGTGACAAATTCATATACACTAGGGACTAAATTGTATAAGCAAAATTATTTTAGAATCGATCTTCATACTATTTTATTCTTTTTAATCTAGAATAAGTTTAATTCACTTTACCTTTTCAGGAGGTTTTTATTTATTTATTTTTGGCATATATATAGTATATACCACATATATTCTTCAAGCTTATTAAAAGTTACAAAGTAAATATTTAGTTGATCTATATCACACCTAGAACATAACTAAAAAAAAAGGAAGAAAAGAAAGAAAGAGCAATAGAACAAAAGAAGAAGAAGTATTCTATAGCCTTCAGAACGTATTTTAGGGAGAGATGAAATAAGATTCAAAAAAAAAAAAAAAAAAAAGTGAGCTACATACTTGGTTTAATTGTTGTACAACGCATGTATTGATAATAACTTGTTCCTTCTCTTCCTTTTTCTTTTCTTTTTCTTTGTTTCAAGAGAAAAGAATATATATCATGTCTAGATTTGACCCTTCTAATTTTCAAAAATCTACACAGCCTGATAGTGGAGAACTTCTCTCGGAACTAGTATCACTTTTTTCCATTTCTATCATGTCCGTCCTCTTTGGCATTAAAACATTTAACGTGCAATTCAAATATCTATCTTATTCACGTTGGCTTGTTTTGACTTTATATATTTTGTCATGGTCATTTACAATGTCTGCTGCTATCTTTGCATCAACAAATAATGGCAATTATATGAGTTGTTTTCTTTCCGAGATGACATGCGACATTTTTTATTCAGGAACCAAAATTGTCATTTATTGCTGGTAAATAAATGATTCACAATTGTAATAAATGCATATTTGTATACATATTTATTTATTTATACTAGGTTGATTGAAAAAGTGTGGGTTGTTTCTGCAAGTCGTGAATCGAGATGGAAAACAATATCCTATCGATTTCATATATTTCTTTTGACACCTTACATAGCTATTTTTACATTAATGGTATTTCTTTCTTTCTTTTTTTTTTTCTTTTTGACATACAAATAATCATATTATATAATGTTTAGATTATTTTTCATATAGCCGAATTAGAGGAAACTGGCATGTGTATAATTGGACTACAACCTATTGCCAGTATTCCATTGCTTGTAAGTTATACCATGTATAAAAATTTATATTATATATTTATTTTGTCTTTGTTCATATGATAGATTTATGATTTTGTAAGGAGAACAAAATAATGTTTGTTTGTTTGATTTTTTTTCTCCCCCCCTTCTTTTGTAATTTCTTATAGTACTAAAAGATACAAATATAAATATATGTATACATATATATATATTTGTATATTTATATATTTATATATACATGTATAGGTTTTCAACATGTACATGACCATTTTATTTGTAAGGCCTTTGGTACATACAGGTGATGGGGTTCGAGTAAATTGGAAGGAATCTCGACTTCATCACGTGGCTAGACGTACATTAGTTGCCTCTATTGTCTCTCTTTTGGTTTCCTTGGCCAATATCATGGCCTTGACTATCTTGAACGGAAGAGAGCGAGGTGTTCTTTGTCTGTCATGCTGTATCATTGATGTCACCATCAATGTCATTACTATTCATTGGGTTACAAATACTGGCAAAATATCCAGTAAACTTTCAAAGAATGTCAATTCCAATGCGACTTATCCAAACACCCATCATTTGGATAACAGAGACGTCAAGGAAGAAAACCAATTACCGATGGATCGATTTTCAATGGATGACGCTGTGCCCTCCTATTATGATGCCATAGCGATACATCATGGCTATGAAACTAGATTTAATGGTTATAAAAATACAATTGAAGAAGATTGTGTATCTGAGAGTAGAAGATCATCTATTCAAGAATCTCAAAGTAGTAGAAAATCCTTAACAAAACGCTAATAATTATTATGGGTAGTTGAAGCATACATGATGTATATTCAAGTAATATGTATTTAAATAAATAAAAAGAATAGATTAGGACGATGTTGTGTTTTTTGACTGAAAGAATAATGTCTTTTTTTGCTTCTTCTTTATACTTTTTTCTTCTTCATCTCTATTTTCTCTCCTTTTTGATGATTCATTTTTTTCTTCATCCATCAACGTTAACGCAAAATGATAATCTGAATGTTCTTCAATAGCTGTAATATGAATTCTTTTATTGCATTTTTCACACAGAAAGCTATCATTATCCTCATTTGTTTTATGACCAGTATTAGCCAAATAAGAAAACAATCCTCCTTTCTTCTTAGTATCTATTGTATTCATGACTGAAGGACTACTACTGTCATGGATAGGCTTGTTTGTCTTTGTAAAGAATTGATTAATACGATAGGATGATGTAGATGAACTAAAATTAGAAGCGCAAAAATCAAGGCCAATACAAGGATATCCATCTCCTAAAGAATTAAATAATTGACCACACCGTTTTGCAATTATTTCTAAATAGTGCTACTTTAGTATTACACATGCTAAACTGATAGATATATATATATGTTTATATACATGTATATATTAAATTACCAGGTGTTTTAAGTTCACTTTGAGAGAATGAACGTAAAGATTTTGAACGGTAGGATCTATGATGAATTGATGCATATCTTATCTAATAAAAATAAAATAAAATGCCGTATAAAAACATAGATAAATGAGTACTCTATGTTCTCATTTAATAAAGAGTCTATTTACTGTTATTGTTTTGGGCCATGTTCCATACTCTTCAAAATGCCGCATAATACGGTTTCGTAATTCAGCTGCCAGAATACTAAACCACTTTTCCATTTCTTGGGGAGTTTTGATAGAAGGATTAAAAGATTTAGCTGCCATCATTGATTTTGGTGCTTTCGTTGGACTCACTGAAGGAAAAAAAAAAAAAAAGGATGCGTATATACATATTTAATAAAATATAAACTATTTGACTTTCTTTTTTTTCTTCTTTTTCTTATTCTTGAACAAATACCTTCTTCATTGTCTATACCACGACATATATTATATAAATAAATGCCTGTAGATTCACCAAATTTTTTTTGAAAGTCTTCAATGCTAAACTGCCATAACTCACTCGATTTTAGTATTTCAAATTCAGATCCTACTTCATTACCTAATTTTCCACCAAAGTTTCTTATTTTCGTGAATGGAATATCACGCATAAAATCCAATCTTGCAGATTCTCTTAATATCGTCTATTATCATCACCATTGTTTAATTATTAGAATTACAGTATTGTATGTATGTATGTATACCTGTTTATTTGGCTTATTTCTACTAGAACATAATTTAGCTAATACTTTAGAATGTGCAATGCCTGCAGAACAAAAATAATGTAATTTATCATACACTTCCTTTCGTATTTCAGCTGCCAATTCAGCACCTAATGCCAATTGTAAATCTCGCCATGTTGTAGGAGCCCATTGACCGTCTGTCTCTTCCTGTTGAGATTTTACAGTATATCCTAAACTATCCCAATCCATTTCAATATCACACACTTCATGATCTATGTAGCCATGAGTAGGGTTTTGCTTTATATAACGTTCTATTAATCTCTCATTTACAAGTTCTGTCACATCCATAAATCCTTCATCTGTTCCAATCTTTTGTATTATATTGACATGTTGTGCAAAAATCTTAAAGATCTCACGAGAGGCAGCACGATAGACATCTAATGAGACTTTATGAGTACTGCGATCAGGGTTTGAATGGTACTGTGGCTCTGTATCATTAGGTCCATACGTAGCAACATGAATGAGACGAATAGTGGGACATTTCTTTTGAGCTTCTTGAAGGGTTGTCATTTTTTGAATACCAAACTCTCTAGCGGCATAATTAACTACCAAATAACTAGTTATAAGTTATTAGGGCACCTCTCTCTCTCTCTCTCTCTCTCTCTATTTTTTTTTTTTAATTGAGTATATATTTATACTTTACCTGCTATTAGGTTTTGCCATTGTTGAACTGCCAATGGAACATCAAATGGAATACCTAATCTAACTTGTTCTGTAAAAAAAAAAAAAAAAAAAAAAAAAAAAAAAAAAAAAAAAAAAGGTTAAACAGGAAGGGTTAGATCTACATCTAGTTGTTGGTTTCTCTTACCAACTTGGCAATAAAAACAATCTAACATATATAATTGAGATCAAGTTATGATTGAGAATAACTTATTTTGGAAATGTTACCTAGATCAATATGCAATATGCATTTTGAATTCTTAAGAGCAGCAGGTAATAAAGCATTCATGAGCAAGGTATATATGAATAATGATATATAAATATATAGATATGGATATAGATAAAAGAATAGATTTTAACTACGCGCAAAAAAAAAAAAAAAAAAAAAAAAACGGAACACATTAGTGACTTTTGCAGGAAAATGAAACAAATAAAAATGCAATAAATTAATAAAAATAATATGCATAGTTTATAATCTTTTATTTAAAATAAATGTTAGAAATACGAAAAAGATTGTTATGATAAATATCAGGAAAAAAAAAGATAAATTTTAGTTAATTATTTATTTTTTTTTCAGGGAGAAAGAGGGGGAATCAGTGTGGATATTCAATAAATGTGTGATAAAATGAATTCAAGCAAAATCCCTTTTTTTTTTTTCCTTTTAGTAGACTAAACTTTTGATTTTAGCATTTACATTCAGAGCCACATTCACATCCTATTAGTAAATAAAGAAAATTGATTAAATAGAATGTTAAAAAATATATTTATATACCTTCACCAGAACCTAATAACGGCCATGGATAGGAAATATCGCGTATGTTAACATGATTTATACAAATTGATATAAATTGATTTACCTTTACAAGCACATGTATCCTTATGTTTGGGTTGATGATGAGCCTTACAATCAGGGCAAGCACAGTCGTTACCACATTTGCATTGTCCAGTTGTGGTGCAACTATTTAAAATAATTATATTTAAACATATTAAAAGAAAAAAAAAAGGGGGAAGAGGGGAACTTACGAGCAAGAGTTTTCTTTAGTACAAGGGCAAGCCATTATTGATTTATTTATTTTATATTATTTTTTTTTGTTAATAAAAAAGAATAGAAAAATATATATTGGAAAGAAAGAAAAAGGGAAAAACAACATATTGACCCATATTTATACTCTTTTTTTTTTTTTTTTTTTTTTTTTTTTTAATTGTTATTATCGAAACACGACGTTGACACGTCAAACGAGTATTTTTTGACTGTTATTGATGACATATGATTTGTGTCAGGGGGGGAGAGGAGAGAGAATACTAGCAAATCAAAAATCAAGCATTTATTATATTTATCTTCAGTAAATTATTATTATTTTTCACTTTGGTCTTCATTTGCATAAATATCGCTGTGGGAAAACTTAGTCTTTTTTATTATTTTTTTCTTTCTTTCTTTTCTTTTCTTTTTTTTTTAATAGCTTTGATAACAGGGAGAAAGAAAAAATATATAATAAAAATAGCATTTATCCCTGGAATTTATTTAAGCTTTTTTTTAAAAAAAAAAAAGAAATAAATAAAAAAAAAACTTTAATTAATAATAAAGATACATGATCCTATCTAGTACAGAATAGATTATTATATATCAATACTCATTTAGACTAACAGATTAATTATAAAATAAAGTAATTTATTGTTATATCGATATTTTCATGTTATTCACTCTTGTTTGAAACAATTATTTTATTACCGAAGAGGTGAATAGAGTTTACGCGTCATTGTTTATTATTATTGCTGCGTAGCAACGAATAGGAATAACATAGTAACGCTTATTTATAAAACTAATTGCACGCCCAAATCTCCCCCTTTTTTTTCTGATGCATGTATATAAATAAACATCGCAGTAGTATATGTTGACTTCATACTACGCGTAAATCCAATAAGTAGTTTTTTTTTTTTTTCTTATATTATATCCATAATATCAGGGCTTTACCATCTCATTATTTGCTCATGAAACAAAAAAAAAAAAAAAAAAAAAAAAAAAAAAAAAAAAAAAAAAAGAAAAAGAAAAAGAAAAGAAAAGGATTTCTAAACAATGATATAGTCCAAAATGAATTCTAATAAATAAAAATAAAAATGATCAGCAAAGTAAGACGAGTCTCCAGGCATGATAATATACATATAAATATTTGGTTTAGATGAATAGTCTAGATCATAAAATAAAGACAATTATCGAAAGGTTAATTTTAGTAAATGATGATATTTAGCACTGTAAAATGAGTATATAATATGCATGTGTTTATAATACATTATTATGTTGTTTATAATAATGAAAAAAAAAAAAAAAGAAAAAAAAGGGGGAGTTCTTAAAATTGATTGTTGATATATGTGAATAAATTGCTCTTTATATACATGTATATACTACTTCTTTGAGCTAATTGTAATGACTAATTCACAACAACAACAACATTACATATTGTTATCTTTTCTTTTTTTTTTTTTTTTTTTTTTTGTAAATATCTAGATTTGAATCCCTTTGTTGACAAAGACCTTTAATTGCTCTGGTTTTCGTGTTACATTTTTATGCAACTGAGGGACTCTAAAATTTGATTTTTTTTTTTTCTCTTTATTCAATAAATAGTAATACTTTTTTTTTCTTTGAACTATATATAAATATGTTTTCGACAATAATAATAATATAATAATAAAAATATATTTACAAGACGAAATGATATGATAAAAATGAGAAAGGAGGAGGGAATATGAAGGTTATTTAAAAAGATGCATTTGATGAGTTAAATAAAGTAGAGCTAAAAGAAGCTAATGTTTGATTTAATACAGCCATATGAGAATGCTCAATATGATATTTTAGTCCATTTAAATTCTTATATCGTTTACCACATTCACCAATTGTACATTGATAAGGTTTAGAAAGACTATCACTATCATCTTCAATTAAATTACAATGTCCATGTTGATTATGATATTTAAGTCCATTTGGATTTTTATATGCTTTATCACATCCGGAGACTGGACATTTGTAAGGCTTATCTGCATTATTAGCATCTATTGAAAAGACTATTCAGAAAAGAAAAAAAGTCAAGTTAGTATATTAAGGTAGATAAATAAAAATAGATTTATAGATGTATATGACTTTACTTGAATTGGCAGAGGCTAATAAAGCACCTGCTTGGGCAAGAAATTCTTCATCTGTTAAAATAGGTGTAGGAACATCACCTCCATTTAATGAAGAAGATGCCATAGCTAATTTCTTTACAGCAGATTGTGTTAAAAGATCTAAAGCAGAAGGTGTTTGATGATGATGATGACTACTACTATATTGACTATAAGTTCTCTTTTTATGATTATGATTGGATGTCTTTTTAACTGCAGAAGTAGTCGTTTCTTGACTTGATTTCACCTTTTCTTTTTCCTTTTCCTTTTCTTCTACCTCTTCTTGTTTTTGTTCTTCATGTGTTGTGTTATAAAGATCAGATAAATAAGCAGCTGCCTTTTTTTAATCACTTCCATGTCTGTTTGTAAAACGGGACTTGTTGGAACAGAATCATCAAGAGAAGCAAAAGATAGAGAAGGAGAAGACCAAGCGTCTTCTTCATCAAAGAATGATCCATCATCACTTTCTATACGTACATGACATTCCTCATAATGTTGCAAGAGGTCATGTAAATCTTCAAGGACAAGACCACAGCAAGCAAAATCACGACAAAACGAAGCTTCAAGATCCTTTGATTCAAAAGCATCTTTAATATCATTTTGTGGCACGCAAAGCTGAAAATCATAAGCACTAATGTTATATAATTAGTTATCTATAAGCGCGTTTTTCTTTCCTTCTTTTTCGTTTTTTTTAAAAAAAAAAAAAAAAAGAAAAAGAAAAAAGGAGATAGAGAATGATACATACTCAAAGTTAATATCTTGTTTAGGTATGGTAATTGTACTCATACGACGAATCGAACTATATTCAACAGGAACTGGCATTTAATTATAAAATATATATTCAAATCAAGATAATAGATTAAACTCTTTTATGTAATGATAACAATAAAAGAAAAAGAAGAAGAGTAAAAAAAAAGATAGAGAGAGAGAAAAAAAAAAAAAAAAGTGTATTGCGATTTGCTTCTTTTCTATTTAAATACACAATTGTACATCATATTTCATAACTCCGCTTAGTATTACCTTGCTATCGGTAGTTCAAATCAAGTCATTTTTAACTAACGACATATGAGACAAAAAAAAAAAAAAAACGACATTTTGCTATTCCGTCTTAAAGTCAATTTTATTAACAAATGAAAGAAAGAAGAAGAAAAAGTCAACTATTTATGAACAAATAAAAAAATAAAATAAAAAAAAGGATATATTGACAACATATAAAGTATTGAAAAAAGAAATAATTTATAAAATTCATGTGAGTTGATATTGTTGTAATAAAATAACAGCAGAAAGAAGTATAAATATTAAAGTTAAAAAAAAAAAACTGGATATCAAGGAAAAAAAAATAAAAAATACAAGTTACAGCATGCTGATTATTTAATTAGTAGTAGTTGTAAATAATAATGACACCTTTAAGCTCACATACACAAAAAAAAAGACTACTACTAACTACTTCTTTGATGTATTATATATGTCATTTATTTGATATAGTCGTGTTATACATTGTGTTCTACTTAGGAAATATAGAATAAAGTGTTATGATTATTTTAGTTTATATTTTTCTATTCTACTAAAATAGCTGTAAGTAGCATGAAACTTTAATAAAAAGTCAAATTAGTTTATTCTCTTTTCCCTTATCTCCTTTTTTTTTGGGCTGAATTCTTCTTCTTTATTGAATACATAACATATCTATTTATATTGTTTGTTAATAGTAATAGTTGTTGTACAGGTTACTTTATCTATTGTAATGACACATGACACATACACACACAACAATATGAAATACATGCTATTACCAAAATATGGATCGGCATTTCTATATCGAGAAAACGAATGCTATAAACTGGCGTCACTTGCATTTACATTATCTTCTCTTTTTTTTGTTTTATACAAAATATATAAAAATCATTCACTTTCATGATAATGCATTGCATCTCATGTGACTGTTTAAATGGATATGGTAACCAATTAAAGATATTAAACTTTTTTTTTCCATGTCTGTTTTTTTTTTCATTTTAATTCATCTCAATTAAAGATGGACAAAAAAGATCTGTTACGAGATCGTTATTTACAGCTTTGGCTAAATGTGACTGACACAAAACCTCAATGTAAATTTCATTTATATGGGGGAACAGTTGTTCAAGGTGAATTGATTGCAACAGATAGTGAAAATAATCGGTTTAGAGTTAATCAATTAGAATCACCACTTGGAATTTACAATAAAGTTATTGTTCGTGGAACTGATGTCGATTGGATTGAATGGAAGATTTAATTATACAGAAATATTCTTAACTCTAGTTTGATGTAAAATACTATATTCTTCTTCCCTATCCATGTTTATATTATGCATCTATCAATCTCTCCTCCTGTGCCCTGGATACAAAGAGCTTTCATTGGTAAAGATAATCAATTGAAACTCCTAGTGATTTTCATTAATAATAAAAACTATTTTTTTTTTTTTTGTTTGTTGTTTCACAATACCCTTTATTATTTGGATCTCAAAAAAAAAAAAAAAAAAAAAAAAAAAACCGCCATGAAGTGAACAAAAAAAATGTGTTTTAAAACAACTAAATATTTTTTTTTTAATATCAAGCAATTGTTTTAAACCAAAAAAAAAAAAAAATCTTTGTTTTATAATTGTATATATCATGTTTACATGCATTTCTTTTTTCAATGAATTTGTACAACTGATTTTTTTTTTTTTTTTTTGCATCTCCCGAAATTTTATCATAGTGCAAAAAAGAATATCCAAGGAAGCAAGAAATAAAACATGCTATTGCAATAATAATAATAATAATAATAATACAATGATGATGATCCGAAGTAGCAGATCTAAAAAAAAAAAAAAAAAAAAAAAAAAAAAAAAAAAAAAACATCCTTCATTAATAAAAAGTTATATAACATACTCAAAAGTCTAAATGATAATTTTAACAGATTTAGTTGGTCCAAATAATAGACACCATGCTGAATTATTCTGATACACTTTTATATTACACTATTTCCGCTGAATGGTGGTCTAGTAACATAGATTTTTGGAAATAAATAGTATATTTATAATGCATAAAAACAGTGGACATCACACAAAATTCAAACACTCGCCTTACAAGTAATTTCTCTAAAAATAGATACTTAACCCATCATCATCGTTGTATTTAGCTTTAATTCTCTATTCTATTGTTTACTTTAATTCAAACCTATTTAATAGAAAATATGGATAGTAATAATAGTCGCTTATATGTTGTACAATAGATATTACTTGAACTGACTTATAATTGGATAAGAACACATTTGTTTTATACCGAGAATGAACTCTTTTTTTTTTTAATATCAATAAAGAAGACTCCTCATATCTTATTTTTCTTTTTCGAAATACAACTTGATTTCTATGTCAAATATTCACACTTATTGTTGTAAATCAGACATTTAAAATTGCTTTGATCCATTCATATCGGCCCTCTTTTTGCTTCTACACAGTTATCAGTCCACATTTATTATTTATTGTTACTACACAATCATTATGACTAAGGAATCTATTTGAAATTAAAAAAAAAAGAAAAAAAAAAGAAAACGATATATAGTGTTAAAGATTTACTTGTTATTGTCTTCATCATGGTATCACTGCTTTGGGCTTGTCATTTTCTTAAAAAAATAAAATAAATGAATAAATGGATCTGTTTCGCTTCTTTCCACCTCAGACAGACTTCACATGATGCCCGGAATCTGTCTCTGAAATACCACGTTTTTGTGTTTCTTCTTTATAACGTAAATAAGATGACTATTGAAAAAAAACTGAATACTGCTGTAGTTACTGAGCTTGATAAAGATGGGTAGGAGATTTTGTTTTTTCCCCCCTTCCTCCTTGCTGACAATAAGAAACGATGAATAAATCTACTTTATAAATAAACATACATGCACAAATGTAAACAGTATACGTAAGAGTCTCAATCTGAATATTTTCTCATTATAATAGAACACTTTTTTTTTATCTAGTAATTGCAATAATATCAAGTAGTAGTAGCTTCTTCTTCCCATTTGACTCAGTATAGACAATTTAACGAACTTTATTATCACATATCTTCTTTTCATAATAATACAAATGAATCCCATTTATAGTAGTTCCTTTTCTTTAATACACTACTTTTGGGGTTAATAAAGAAAGTCAGCGTTTTACAAACAAATTAGAGAAAAAAAAATATCCCTTGTGTAATCTTTACTAAAAGTCCTTTTTGATCCTTATTTCTTCTTTCAAAAGAAATTTGATAAAAAATTATTTTCTGAAGCTGCGGTTAAAATTATATAATACAGCAACGGCGGTAATAAAGTTAAAGTTTTTTTTTTTTTGTAGTCTATTATTTTCATTCAATAAAGTTTAATTCAGTCGCCTACGTAATAAATATTTACTATTTTTTCAAGTTAAATTATCGTAGTTCATTTAAATAAAAGTAACCTTCTGATGTTGTTGTAGCTGCTGCTGCTGCTGTATTATTCTTAGACAGTTGACAAGTTGTATTACCTATTTTTTATGCATGTGATATAAAGTTTTGTAATAAGTAGAGATTTTACTATTTTTTTTTAAAAAAAAACTATTATTCTACTTGTTTTTAAATATGTATAAAAAAAAAGTAACTACTAATAATGCAACAAATAACACGTAAACGGTAAATTATTAAATTTGAGTTTAATGCATTATCTCTTGATAAAAAAAAAGGGAAATTATTAAAATGTTGCAATATAATGATGTAATAATTAAAATAAGAATTATTCAAATGAAAAATATGTATGCATACATGTATGTATGTTAGTATGAAAGAGCGTAGGGACATGATGAGCAGAATCATATAAAATGACTCCTTTCGAAAAAATTCTTTTACTGCTGTCAAAGAAGCCGATCCTATTTATACACTTGCAAAAGTATGCTGATAACAGTCATTCTTAAGGATGCACGCACGTATATAGGCCTCAATGATATATTTGCTCGTAACAGTTTTCCGATACAAAAGAGATACAACAAAAAAAAAAGCTCATATTAACACGAATGAAAAAATGAAGCTTACTAATAATGCTTTTGACCATCAGTTTAATATATTATCTTTATTTATTGCTTATTGGTTTTGTTTAACATAATACAAACATGTAAGAAACTCGTAAAACACACACACCCTTCCCGAGTATCTGTTAAAGAGCCCTTCTATCCAAGATGTTTTTTTTTATTATTATTATTCTTATTAATAAACAAGTCGAGTATATATGCTGGTAGCAAAAAACAAAAGAATTCATTTTTGTCTACTTTTATTCTTGATAGAAACGCGTAAAGGTAGTTTCCTATATTAACTTAATTAAATGTAGTACAATAGGCTCTTCTTTATTTAATTGATTTGATAAAATAGATAATACTCGAGTTTTTTTTTTCATTTTACTCTTAATTTCCTTGATCAATCAATCATTCAAACATAAAATAAAGAAGGCATCATTATCAATCAACTTTATTATTATAAATAGCAATTCAAGCTGATATTAACATAGTCTCCCGCCCCGTGTTTTATTAACAATCATTATATCTATTCATATTTACACACAAAACGGAAAGAGAGGAAGAGAACTATTTTTCTTCTTGATAAAGAGAACCATTAAATTATCAGATGTTGTTTTTTATTATCATTATGATGACATTTTATTCGTTAATACTGAGAAAACACTAATTTTTATCCCCCCCAAGTAGGGTTTTAACATGTTATGTGTGTTAAGATGCTTTTATTCTCAAAAATCAATTGTTTCCATCATTTTATTTCCTCTAATACTGTCGAGCATGGTTTATTCGTGTCGGTCTCTGAGGACGGGAGATATTTCCCTTATAAATCGCTATGGCTTCATGAGGAACGGAACCCCTATTCAGTTTATAAATTAATTGGTTTACTTTTAAGTTCAAAACAATCATTTCTTTGTCTTGAAATAAAAATAAGAACAAGGGATTTATCAAGGCCGTCTACTTACAACAGCGATAAGAAGCTTTGTTGTCCAAGTAATAAAAGGGGATAATAACTCTTTCTTTAAAATTAAAGAAGTGTAAACTAAATAGTGTTAATCATTCTTTATTTCTATTAATATTATAATAAAGCATCAAGTCTATCTGTACATTTAGGAGATAATAACAAAGTTACCTAAAATAGAGTATAATTTCATAAATATTAGCCACCTTTCTCCTTTTCACATTTTAATAATAATCATTCAATCTAGCATATATATAAAGACAAGACTTTAATTTATCGAGCCAAAGCTATAGACTCTATTTTACTACAATTCATGGTCTTTTTTTTTTAAAAAAAAAATGTGTCATATGTTCTAGAATAAGAAACATATTCACATAACCTAGAGAAAGACAAAAGATATCAAGTGACTAGATGTATATACAGTTTGAAAAGATACAAAGCCTAGAAAGTTAAAGTATCCCCCCTGCTTAAAAAAACAACAACAACAACCTTATCTACTCCTAGGTAAGCAATAGCTCTCTCTTTTCTGGCGAGTAGAATGGTGTAGTAAATAAGATACCTGTATAATAACCCTATCAAATTTCAAAAATGAGAGACCTTTATCTTTTAATGATTGCATCTAAACTGGATGGTATTGTTAGATCCCATATATACTAATTTAATAAAAAAAAAACAAAAAACCATGTAGAATCTTAGTAATTAATATAAGCACTAGCCATTATTAAAGAATAAATATACACTCTTAACAAAAGTAAAAAAAAAATTAAACAAAAAAGTTAGAGAAGCTTAAGTTGCGTTTTGGCACATCTCATTCCCTCTCCTTAGTGTATACACACACACACACACACACAATGCTAAGCTATCATAATCATCAGACATTTGTTGGAATTAGATACAATTTTATTTAGTATATAATATTTTGTATTTTGCATGGAAATTCCTTCTTTTTTTTTTTTTAATCCATTGTTTGGTATCTTATTAATCTTATATCGTCATCATTAAGCACAATGGCCATCTAATTTACATATTAGTCTGTAGCATATTATTGTTTAATTGCATCGTTTGTCTAAAATTACAGCTTTATAATTTATATGCTCGATTTTCTTTTAAAAGTTATTAGAAAATGCGGTGAATCTATTAACCCTCCCACCCCGCAGTTCTCGTTATCTAATACAATAGGTACATCTTGTAGAGAAGTCCTTTTTTTTTTAACAGCGCATCATTGGAGTAGATTTTCTCCATATTTTAAGGAGAAATTGGTAGAATATAATGCTGATGATAATATAGCAACCCACCACTAACCATCAAGATATGCATAATATCTACGCTAAATTTATCAAAGAATGAGTTATAAATAATGCAAGTAAAACCTTCTTTATTAAGGACGTTCTTGATTCATATGTTAGATCAAACCATGGTGAATTATATGGCATAAAGAGCCTTATACTGTATTATATAGGAAAGAAAAAAGTACATATACACACACACACATATATATATATATATGTATATACATTGATTCAATATCCTTGATAGTATTTTTAAATATGGCCTCTTTGAAAAAAAAAAAAAAAAAAACTTTCAAATTAGAAGGCTGTGAAGTCTTTCAATATGCCTTGCTGAAGGAAAATGAGTTAACTGATATAAAACTACAAGCCAATAGAAAAAAAAATTCAATATGAATTCAAAGGATTATAGAAACTCAAGCAAGTATAAGGTTACTTGGATTTTGTAACTGAGAATAGTCCCTCGACAAGAAAAAATAGGGTCCATGGCTTATATTATCAAACAAACGACTTCATAGTGTGTAAAAATACACAAAAAAACGAAGAGAAAAATAATAAAAAAAAAATGCTTTCCTACTAGAAAGTAACGAATCAAATAATATGATAGAATTAAAGTTTCAACACATAGAATTTCTGCGCAATTTCTTTAATATGATTTCAGGAACAATCCTTCGATAGAAAAAAAAAGTGTTGTTTATGGCCTTTCTAGAAATCAGTTCAATTTTGTTATCAAATCTTTGGAGGCATCCCATTTTAAATGCTTCTATCGGCACTCAAGAAGCTGAAACCGGTTGCTGTGTTCATAAGAGAGAAAAAAACCCTCCCCCCAACAGTATTATTAAACTACGCAGAAACAAAAAGTCTCGAATAAGAGAATTACAAGAATATGAACTTTTAAATAAAGACTATGACTTTATCAACAAAGAGGGGTTTCGATATACATATTTGAAGATACTGTAGCAAATCTAAGAAAGATAAATTTATGAAAGCAGTTATTTTTAATTTTTTTTTAATCAGAGAAGTCACGATGACTATTGCTATAATTGTGATTTTGTCTTTATGACAAAATTAATCGTCGAAATAAAACGTCAGTTATTACATAATAAATAAACATTTGAAATAAAATCAGTATATTGTGCTTTACAACACAAAATTCACTCAGCCTATAGTCGTTGTTAGACTATATCTGGACATAATATTAATTATATATTGTATTACGTAATAATAGAATGGATACTACTCAATTACATATTTATTTAGAATTATATATTATGAATATAACGATATTTCATGATGAAATTTTAATATAGTGACATATTTTAATACTTGATATTAATATATTATTTACCCCGCTAAAAAAAAAAATATAAATATTAATATTTTTTGAAACCGCGACAGCTTATGGAGAAAAGATAAAGATATCTTATTGTAGATGTAATATTCCGATACAATTCTGTATTACACCACATTTTTTTTTGTGGCAAAGTCACATGTCCATAAATAGTACCATCGTTTATCTTACATATAAATATCCCATTATTATATTTCCATTTTTTCTTTTTTTTTTGTATTATAACTATACAAAGTTTTCATAGACTTTCTTCCTGTTTTTGTTAGATTTTTACTATTCAAGTCATTCTCCATCATTAAGATGAAAGAAGGATTTACAACATCAGTGCCAGACTATATAAATAAAAAGCGTATTTAAAACTTTTAGAAGCTTTAAATATCTACTTTTTTTTTATATAAAAACAAAACTCAAAAGAAAGCCATTGTACATATTAAGTCGAATCTCTTTAACAATAAATAAAAGCATAATTTAATTAAAAAACAAATGCTTGCTCACACCACAAAGGCCAACATTTTTTATTTTTTTTTTTAAAACCTCGTTGTATAATTGAGTAAAGAAAAATCCAATAATTACCTTTTAAGGTATTTATAGCGGAACAACAAGTGTGTATGTGACTTAGATTTAGATCTAGAATAAGTGAATCATACTTGTTAAAAAAAAATAGATCTTTCCTCTATTTTCATATAAAATATATATCAAATAGAAAGTATTTTATTCTGTTAAAAAGCGACTAATGTTAAAATAAAGAAAAGAAAATGAACAAAGGGGTTTGATAAAAACAAATTTTCATTTAGGATTCTTGTCCATTATGCTTTATTTTTTTTATCTATTTATTTATTTTATTTTTTTTTATAGATATAAGACTCATAGATGAACCTGGATTTATAACTGACTTTGAAAATTAGTTTCTTTTTTTTTTTTTAGAAAAAAAAAAAAGTATAAAAAGGACTCCAAAATACAATTTATGAACTTTTCAGCTTCTTTGGCTGACAATTCCCGTATTACACTTTCTTTCTTATCAAATAAACTTTTTTTCTATTTTATAAATACCTATTTACATTACTTGTGTTCTCCAAATCAAGGCACGCACAATTAAATTATCTTTCGAAATCAAGTTTCTTGTCATTTTCTGTGTGTATATAAATTAGATTTCCTTCTATTTTTTTTTTGTAAAGATTTATTTCATGCAAATTTATGTTAATACAGACTATAGTTAATACGATACTAATGCATATTTTTTTTTCTTCATTTATATAAAGAATTTCAAGGAAAAAAAATAATCGTCTAGACATTCTCTCGCATAGTATCTATTTAATCTATTAAGAATTTTCCTTTTTTTTTCTTTTCAAAAAAAATGACATCCAACATGCCTTCTGCTGCTAATCCTCTTCTTAATGCCCATATTACGGCTCCTGCTGCTAATGCTACACCTATTAGTCGTTCCCCTCGTTCCCCTAACGCTCCTACTCGTCCTGCTGCTGCTTTGGAAGATCCTAAGAATGTAACTACTGCTGCTTTTGTTTTAAAAGATGGAACCAGTTTCCAGGGTATTTCATTTGGTTCTGAAACAAAGAGTATTTCCGGTGAATGTGTCTTCCAAACTGGTAAGCATTTTTTTTTATTTTTTTTTTAAAAAAAAAGAAAGCTGCGGTTTCATAAAGAGGGAGGAGGGGATAGGAGAAATGAAAGGCTATTTGTTATGTGTATGCATATACGTATGTCAATATGCATACATGTGTACAAAGAGTTGTGTGAAAGAGAATACAAATATTTATAAATGTGTAATCATTTATTTTGTGACACTAACAAAAAAAAAATTACCTTATACAGGTATGGTCGGTTATCCTGAATCTTTGACCGATCCTTCTTACCGAGGCCAAATATTAGTAATTACTTTCCCTTTGGTTGGTAATTATGGTGTACCCTCTCGTACTGAAATGGACGAGTTATTAAAGGATATACCTAAACGATTCGAATCTAACCAAATTCATATTGCTGGTTTGATCGTGGGTAGTTACTCATATGATTATTCTCATTATCTTGCTGAATCTTCCTTGTCTACCTGGTTAAAAGAGAATAATGTCCCTGCTCTCTATGGTATTGATACTCGTGCCATGACCAAGAAGATTAGAGAAGAAGGTGTTACTTTAGCCAAGATTTTGTTTCCTAAAAAGCCTTCTAGTGCTATTGAAAGCGCTGCTTCAGCTCTCGGTCTTTCTAGTTCCACCGAAGAACCTTTGAAAGAACGTTGGATGAAAGATTATGAAAATGTCGACTGGGTAGATCCTAATGAACGTAATTTGGTTGCTGAAGTCTCCATTAAGGAGCCTAAGGTATATTCTCCTGATCCAGCTAATGCGATCAAGACCCCCTCTGGTCGTAACTTACGTGTGATCGCTGTTGATATCGGTATGAAGTACAATCAAATTCGTTGCTTTGTTTATCGTGGTGTTGAACTTAAGGTAGTCCCCTGGGATTATGATTTCAATGCTGAACCTGAGGACTCCTTTGACGGTCTCTTCCTTTCTAACGGTCCTGGTGATCCTACTACCATTGACCTCACCATTCATCGTGTTCGTGAATACATCAAAGATATCAAGAAACCTATCTTTGGTATTTGTTTAGGTCATCAAGTCTTGGCCCTTGCCGCTGGTGCTAAAACGATGAAGATGAAATATGGTAATCGTGGTCATAATATTCCTTGTACAAATATGATCTCGGGTCGTTGTTATATTACTTCTCAAAATCATGGTTATGCTGTTGATGCTTCTACATTACCCAAAAACTACATGGAACTCTTTGTGAATGCTAACGATGGTTCAAATGAAGGTTTGATGCACACATCTTTACCCATCTTCTCTGTTCAATTCCATCCTGAATCCACACCCGGTCCTCGTGATACTGAATTCCTCTTTGATGTCTTTATTAATAATATTAAGGATTGCCTCGAAAAGAAGGCATTAGTACCTGTTCAGATGCCCGGTGGTCTTAAGGCGGATAACATCAAGAAGAATCCTCGTGTTCACGTCAATAAAGTCCTTGTCTTGGGTTCAGGTGGTCTTTCGATTGGTCAAGCTGGTGAATTTGATTACTCTGGTTCTCAAGCCATTAAGGCTCTTAAAGAAGAAGGTATCTATACTGTCTTGATCAATCCCAATATTGCTACTATCCAAACCTCAAAGGGTCTTGCTGATAAAGTTTATTTCTTACCTGTTACACCTGATTTTGTTCGTAAGGTAATCCAATATGAGAAACCAGATGGTATCTATGTTACCTTTGGTGGTCAAACGGCTCTCAGTGTCGGTATTGCTCTTAAAGATGAGTTTGAATCCCTTGGCGTAAAGGTCCTTGGTACTCAGATTGATACCATCATCACTACAGAAGATCGTGATTTATTTGCTCAAGCCCTTTATGAGATTAATGAAAAGTGTGCTAAATCATCCTCTGCTGTAACCGTCGAGGAAGCCCTTGAGGCTGCAAAGGAAATCGGATACCCTGTTATCTGTCGTGCTGCTTATGCCCTTGGTGGTCTCGGTTCTGGTTTTGCTGATAATGAGCAAGAATTGATTGCCCTTTGTAACAAGGCCTTTGCTACCTCTCCTCAAGTCTTGATTGAAAAGTCGATGAAGGGTTGGAAGGAAATTGAATACGAGGTCGTTCGTGACTGTCAAGACAATTGTATCACTGTCTGTAATATGGAAAATTTTGATCCTCTTGGTATTCATACGGGTGATTCCATTGTGGTTGCACCTTCACAAACACTATCTGATGAAGACTATAACATGCTTCGTACCACTGCTGTCAATGTTATTCGTCATTTAGGTGTCGTTGGTGAATGTAATATTCAATATGCCTTGAATCCCTTCTCAAAGGAATATTGCATTATTGAAGTCAACGCTCGTCTCTCTCGTTCCTCTGCTTTAGCCTCTAAAGCTACAGGTTATCCATTGGCTTTTGTAGCTGCTAAACTTGGTTTAGGTATTCCCTTGAATGAAGTATCTAACAGTGTCACTAAGGTCACTTGTGCTTGCTTTGAACCTTCACTTGATTACTGTGTTGTTAAGATTCCTCGTTGGGATCTCAAGAAGTTCAATCGTGTCAGTACTGCTCTTTCTTCTTCTATGAAGTCTGTCGGTGAAGTCATGGCTATCGGTCGTACCTTTGAAGAAACTATCCAAAAGGCTATTCGTGCCATTGATTATAACCTTGTTGGTTTCAATTCTGTAAGTTTTTTTTTTTTTTTTTTTTTTTTTTTTTTTTTTTTTTTATAATTATTATTAGTATAACATAAATTTATGTTTATTGATTTTTTTTTTTTTTTTTTTTGCATTATAGTCCAATACTATTAAGGATGAAGATATTGAGTATGAACTTACACATCCTTCTGATCAACGTTTGTTTGCAATTGCTAATGCTATGGAAAAGGGATATACAGTTGATCATATTTGGGAATTGACAAAGATTGATAAATGGTTCTTGAACAAATTAATGCGTATTCATAAATTGGGAGAGCGTCTTACAGGATTTACTAAGGCTAATCTTCCTGGTAATTTGATTCGTTCGGCTAAACAGTTAGGTTTCTCTGATCGTCAAATTGCTAACAAGATCAACAGCAATGAGCTAGCTGTTCGTCGTCTTCGTCAAGAATATGGTATTACACCTTTTGTTAAACAAATTGATACCGTTGCTGCTGAATTCCCTGCCTTCACTAATTATCTTTACATGACCTATAATGCTGTTGAACATGACATTGAATTCAATGATAATGGTATTATGGTTTTGGGTTCAGGTGTCTATCGTATTGGTTCATCAGTTGAGTTTGATTGGTGTGCCGTCCGTTCAATTCGTACTTTACGTGAAAAGGGTATTAAGACAGTCATGGTCAATTACAACCCTGAAACAGTATCCACCGATTACGATGAAGCTGATCGTTTGTATTTTGAAAATATCAACATTGAACGTGTATTAGATATTTATGAAATTGAAAAGTCATCTGGTGTCATGATGTCCATGGGTGGTCAAACCCCCAACAACATTGCCTTACCTCTTTATCGTCAAAATGTGAAAGTCCTTGGTACTTCACCAGAAATGATTGATAACGCTGAAAATCGTTACAAGTTCTCTCGTATGTGTGATAATATTGGTGTTGATCAACCTCTTTGGAAGGAATTGACAAGTTATGAGGAAGCTGAAGTCTTCTGTGCCAAGGTTGGTTATCCTGTCCTTGTCAGACCTTCTTATGTTCTCTCTGGTGCTGCTATGAACGTTGTCTTCTCTAAGGATGATCTTGCTTCATATCTTAAGGAAGCCGCTGCTGTTTCTCGCGATTATCCCGTTGTCATTTCTAAATACATCGAGGACGCTAAAGAAATCGATATGGATGCTGTCGCTCTTGATGGTAAACTTATTATGCATGTCATTTCTGAACATGTTGAAAATGCTGGTGTTCACTCAGGTGATGCCACTCTTGTCTTACCTCCTCAAGATTTAGCCCCTGAGACGATCAAGAAGATCGAAGAGGCAACTGCAAAGATTGGTCGCGCCTTGAATATCACAGGTCCCTTCAATATTCAATTCATTGCAAAGAATAATGAAATTAAGGTGATTGAATGTAACGTACGTGCTGCTCGTTCTTCACCTTTTGTTTCAAAGGTGACTGGTGTTGACTTGATTGAGATGGCCACCTTGGCTATGTTGGGCTTGCCTGTCACTCCTTACCCTAAGGTTGATATTCCTAAAGATTATGTTGGTATTAAGGTCCCTCAATTCTCCTTCAGTCGTTTATCTGGTGCTGATCCTGTCTTAGGTGTCGAAATGGCCTCTACTGGTGAAGTTGCCTGTTTCGGTAAAGACAAATACCAAGCTTATCTTAAGGCACTCTTGGCTACTGGCTTGACCTTACCCAAGAAAAATATCTTGCTTTCTATTGGCTCTTATAAGGAGAAGATTGAATTGTTGCCCTCTGTTAAGAAATTACATGAATTGGGTTATAATTTATTTGCCACCACGGGTACCGCTGATTTTATCTCTGAACATGGCATCCCTGTTAAACATTTGGATACATTAGATGCTGATACAGACGATAAGCTCAAGGCTGAATACTCTTTACAACAACACTTATCCAACAACTTGATTGACATGTACATCAACTTGCCCTCTCGTAATCGATTCCGTCGTCCTGCTTCTTATATGTCCAAGGGTTATCGTTCACGTCGTATGGCTGTGGATTATTCTATTCCTCTCTTGACTAATGTCAAATGTGCCAAATTATTTGTTGAAGCCCTTGCTCGCCATAAGAACTTTGACATCTTGAACATTGATTGCAAGAGTAGCCATACACAAGCTCAGTTACCTGGTCTTTTCAACATCAATGCCTATCTGGAGTCCAACGATGAATTTGCTGCTGTCTCTAAGGCTTCTCTCTCTGCTGGTTTCACTACCATTGCTACCTCTGTCAAGAGTGTGACAGATAATATTCAACTCAATGATTTAAGCGAGAGGGCACTCAAGACAAACTATACCGATTATTTATTGAATATTACAGCTACTTCTGAAAATGCCGCCCATATTGGTGATTACGCCTCTGATGCAGCTGCTGTCTATATCCATTCCGATGTGATCGGTAGCAACGTCTCTGTTCTTGATTCAGCCTTTTCATCATGGCCCGATTCTCAATTAATTATGACTGATGCTAAGGGTACCAACTTGGCTTCCATCTTGCTCTTAGCCTCTCTTCATAATCGCGTTATCCATGTCACCAATATCATTAGCAAAGATGATTTGGCTCTCATCAAGATGAGTAAAGAAAAGGGATTAGCCGTTACCTGTGATGTTGCTATTTATTCTCTCTTCTTTACATCTGAAGAATTCAATCATACTCAACTTTTACCCACTAAACAAGATCAAGAAATTCTTTGGAAGGATTTGGACGTCATCGATTGTTTCACTATCGGTACTGTTCCTCGTCAATTGGCCAAGGAGTTGGGACATGAGGTAGATGCTACAGCTGGTATTCATGAGGCTTTACCCTTATTATTGGGTGCTGTTGCTGCTAAACGTTTAACTGTGAAGGACTTGGTTGAACGTCTTTATGAACGCCCTCGTGCCATCTTTGGTTTGACTCATCCATCTGATGCCTCCGTTGAGGTTGTGATCGATCGTCAAATCAAATGGTCTGGACAATGGTCTCCTCTTCTCGGTCGTACTGTTCATGGCTCTGTCGAACGTGTCACGATGAACGATGTCACATTATTTATGGATGGCTCCTTTACAGATAAGTCTATGTTTGGACGCAATGTGTCCTTACAAGCTCAAGCCATTATGGAACCCATAAAGAAGAAGAAGAAGACGAAGACAGAAACTCCTGCTAATCATCAAGCTGCTGAAGTTGCCTCAGCCACTTCTGTCGCTACCACCACCGCCACTACAAAGACAACAATCGAACATCCTGCGATTGTCAACAAGGAGAAGGCGCCTCATGCTGCTGGTTCTATTCGTTTAGCCGGTGTCGCTGGTCAACAATTGGTATCACTCCAAGCACCTCAATATGAGATCTCTGCCTCCCTTGCACGCGTTGTAAGTCGCTCCCCCTTCTATCGTAAACATATCTTAAGATCTGCTCAATTCGACCGTGACGATCTTCATCTTTTATTCGGTGTTGCACATGAAATGCGTAACTTGGTTGAACTCTATGGATCTATTAATTTATTGCAAGGACGTGTGATGAGCACGATGTTCTTTGAACCTTCTACACGTACTTCATCTTCATTTGAAGCTGCCATGTATCGATTGGGTGGTCAAGTTGTGTCTGTCAGTGCTACTACCTCCTCTGTTCAAAAGGGTGAATCCTTGGCAGATACAGTTCGTACCCTTGGTTGCTATGCAGATGTCATCATTCTTCGCCATCCTCAACCTGGTAGTGCTCAAATTGCTGCTAAATATTCCAAGGTGCCCGTTATCAATGCTGGTGATGGTATTGGAGAACACCCTACACAAGCTTTCTTGGATACATTTACGATCCGTGAGGAATTAGGTACTGTAAATGGACTCACGATTACTCTTGTTGGTGACTTGAAGAATGGCCGTACAGTCCATTCACTTGTCAAGATCTTGACTTACTATCAAGTCACTATCAACTACGTCTGTCCTGAGTCACTAGCCATGCCAAAGGAAGTCATGGATGAAGTTGCAGCTGCTGGTATTCAACAAAATGTCTATCGTACCTTGGATGAGGTCATTGGTACTACTGATGTACTCTATATGACTCGTGTTCAAAAGGAAAGATTTGAAACTGAAGAAGAATACTTGCGTGTAAAGGATAGTTTCATTTTAAACAATGATGTCTTGAGTAAGGCCAAGTCACAAATGATTGTCATGCATCCTTTGCCACGTGTAAATGAAATTGAACCTGAAGTTGACTTTGATCAAAGAGCTGCCTACTTTAGACAAATGCGTTATGGTCTTTATGTTAGAATGGCTTTATTGGCACTTGTAATGGGAACTCTTCGTGGTTAAAAAAAAAAAAATCACATATTTTATTAATATTATTATTATTATTATTATATATAGTCATATACATTGTTTTTGGTACATATATGTAGTCATTTATTTTTTATAATTGTTAAATAAAGTATATTTTATGCGAACCTAAATCAATGATTTGATTTGCTTTGATTTTCTTTCTTTTTTTTTCTTTTTTTTTTTTTTTTTTTTTTTTTCATTTTTATTATTCGTATTACTGTTATAATTATTAAAAAATTCAGTCACATCAAGTATATAATGAACTCGTTGCTGCTGTATATTCATATACAAATAAACATACACATATACAAATAAATATATATATAAATATATACACATATACAGTATTTATACATATCTATTTTAATTCATATTTTATATATTCTTTTCTTTATTAATCATGTCGTCTTATCCATTTGTTTCTGAATTCTCCGTAAGATCCAGATTTAGCCGACGTAATGCCAACGGTAATCCAAGCATAGCAGCAGCACTCACTTCGTCTTCTTCATTACAAGCACTTTCACGCATGTTAAAACAAAGAACCTTTAAAGATGAACTTTTAGGGTTTTATGCAAGGCAATCAGAGGGACAGTCATTCATTCCACCTTATTTATCATCATCGGTCTATGCTGATTTGGTCAGACAACAACAGTTTATTTTTCAAACCATCAAACAAATAGACGGAGACGAAAACAAAAGAATACCTACATCAAACGAATATGATACTCTTCAAGCTTGTCTTTCAAATGATTCGTTCAAGATGACATTAGCATTACAGGATCTACGTTTACCAACAGCATGGGATATTAAAGCAAAAGGAGAATATATTGACATTAGTTTGGATCATATGCAACTGACTTACAAAGGTATATTTTAATAAACCTTCCCCCCCCTCCTCCTCCTCCCTCCGAATCTAAATAACGATTCATCATTTATATATATATATATACATGTATATTTATTTATTTAATCAAGGTAATGGAAAAGATGAATCTGAAGTTTCTTCTGTACGAGCCAACCATGCTATGCGAAAACAATGCGGCATTTATTATTTCGAAATTCAAATTCTTTCAAAGGGAGTTGATGGACACATTGGCATTGGGTTTTGTCGAAAACTAAATAGTCTTGATCGATTCCCAGGTTGGGAAGAATATTCTTGGGGATACCATGGAGAAACAGGCAAAGTTTATTCAGGATCAGGAACTGGCCAAAACTATGGACCTAAATTTGGTACAGGCGATATTATCGGTTGTGGTGTCGACTTTCGAAACATGACAGCATTTTATACGAAGAATGGAGTTTATTTGGGAACAGCATTTAAAAAGATTAAAGAGACTATGGAGTTGTTCCCGTTTATAGGATTCAAGACACCAGGCGAAAAGATAGAAGTCAATTTTGGAGCAAAACCATTTATGTTTGATATTGAACAATGGATAGAGAATGAAAGGAGAACACTTTTAAGTCAGATTGTAGAGGAAAGAGAGCAAGAAAGTGAATCAGCCGATCAGATTGTAGTAGAATATTTGAAGCATAATGGATACACAAAGGCAGCCAAATCGTTAGAGGCAGCTTTATTAACTAAAAATGGGGATATAATAAATAAGGACAAAAAGGGTTCTAATGATATTATCGATGTTGATTCATTATATAGACAAGGTAGTCAATAGGACATATATATATGTATATATACCATACAGAAACAAGTATATACATACATTATAAAATTTAAATATAGATATTCGAAAAGCAGTTCTAGAAGGAAGCATTGATAAAGTATTTCAATTATGTTCAGAGTATTATCCCAACATATTAGAAAGGAACCCAATGTTATTATTTAGATTAAAATGTAGAAAATTTGTGGAAATGGTGAAAAGAGTACAACAGACAGCACCCACTTATGGAGAATATGAGACAAATAGTTTAAGAGTATCAACAACACTACCATCCAATACTAATAAGAATAAACGTACAACAAGCCATATTGATGATTTTGATGAAAATGAAGACGAGCTATTATATGGAAAGAAGACGAAAAAACATAAAAAGTTAACCAATGATGAAACTCACTTTATAGAAACATCATTATTTGCAGAAGTCATGGCATATGGAAATAAATTAAAACAAGAGTATGCTGAAGAAGCCAAAGATAATATGATAATCAGAACTGAATTATTGGTAAAAAGAAAGGAGGAAAAAAAAAAGTATAAGAGTAAAGAGTTTTTACTTAGAATCAACATATAGTCTGCATTTTCTACTTTAGCGTATACGAATTTATCTAATCCTGCAATTGCTTATTTGTTTGAGCCCTCATATATAGAACAAGTTGCATCAGAACTAAATTCAGCTATTTTAGGTAAGCAATCTAGAATAAAATGTAAATTAAGTAATTAAATCATACCTTATTAGTGTCACTTGGAAGATACCCTAATTCATCCCTTGAACGTATTTATCGTCAAACAACAGCCAATATTCAAGAATTAGTTTTATTAGGAAATGCGCAAGCTGCACTTATTCAGCCTAAAAAAGATTGTTTTTAACATCAAACATGATATCCTTTTAAATATATGAAGAACTTCTCCTCCCCTTTTTTATACATTTTTTTTTTGTCTTGTATCTGCTGTATGTATATAATAAAATAAGGAAACATAATTCAAATATGTAAGCTAAATTATTATGTAACACATTATGATAAAGGGATAATATTTACTATATCATGTGAGAGATATAATCTTTGATTTTGAAACAACAGGAGTTCCATGCATGCAATATGAAATTGAGTTGCAACATCAACTCTATTCAAACTTATAAGATACCTTTTTATTAAATATACTTTCTTTAATATTATTAATACTACACTGTATTCTTTATATATTAGAAAGTAATAGAAATAATAAGCACGAAAGAAATAACAAGCACTAAAGAAATAATAAGGCACTGAAGAAGTAATTGTTTTAGTGTCACTATAATGTGTCTCTTATCAATACAATCATTAATGATCTAAAAAAAAAAAAGAAAAAAAAATGTTAAGGAGTCATTTATTTATATTGTTATGCATTTACGCGATTATTTTTTTTTATTTTTTTTTTAATAGTATACGCATGTATCTGTATATATTTTAAGCATATATAAATCAGGTTAATTTTTACAAGACCTCTTATTCTTTCTTTCCCTCTCTCTATCTATCTTTTCAGTTCTCTTATTTAAATATAAATATTTATATACTTTCTAAAAATGTGTCCTACTCGCAATGCTCTTTTCACTTTAGAAGATACTATGACATGCATTATTTGGTATGTACATTGCTTAACAAATGTTGTTAAATGCTAATTTGTAACTGATCATATACTAGTTCTGAATTTATTATTGAAGCAACTATCATTATTGATTGTGGCCATGCTTTTTGCAGGTATATGTTGTTATATCTTGTATTTAAAAAATAAAAAAAATAAAATTGTATTTTAATTTTTTTTTTGTTATTGTAGAGAATGCCTTGAAAAACATTTAATGTTTAGAAATGATTGCCCTACGTGTCTTCTAGAATCTTCTATGGATCGTGCATCCTATGATTATACAAGTAACAAATTTATTAAACAAATTATTCAATTAAAGAAATATCTGTTTAATGAACCTCTGAATCCTTTAGAACGCGCTCTACAAGAAAATTGGCAATCTGTTATTTTGGCTGATAAACGTCCTTATTCAAGTATCTCTGAAGATGACCAACTTGAAGATGAATATAATAGCACTGCATCTTCTTCTAATAAAAAATTAAAATCTTTTCAAGAAGGTCAGGAGAATACTAACTCTAAAAAACGTTCTTATCAAGATATATCTGACTCCAATGACGTTAAAGGCTATGAATCTGATGACTCTAGTTGTAGTAAAAAAAGTAAATTATATATCCCATCTCCTACCCATTCTACTAGTAATGCGTCTACTCTTCTGACTCACTCATCTTCAAGTGTTATGGATAACAAACAACCTAAAGATTCTGCTCTTGCTCCCCTTCCTCTTCATACTGATAGTGATTGTGAAGAATCAGGCAGTGTCATCTCTATAGACTCTTTATTCAGTGGAGGAACTTTCTTAGATGCAAAGAAAGAAATTGACGCGTTAGTTTCTGGTGATGAAGAAGATCAGGAGAATTCTAATACGTGCTTATCTGGTTCAAATCCTACTTCACAAACTGCTAATAAAATATCCCATGCTTGTATTGAAGCTGAAAACAAAGCATCCTCTGCTGATACCTCAAGTTCTTTTGAAAAGACTTCTTTTATTGAAAATCAACAAGAAGAATCCTTATCAATGATTGATAAAAAAGCCATCGTTGATGAAGCAGCACAACAGAATGAGAGTCAAGATGATAAAGAAAATTTATCTGTTGAAAAAAAGTTGGATATAGATTCATCTGATGAAGAGGTAAAGTATATTAAAATACCAACTCTATACGAATGCTAATTTTTTTTTTTTTTTTTTTTTTTTTTTTTTTTTTTTGCAGTTTGGTGAAAATTGGTCTTGTCCAGAATGTGGTCTTGAAAATAAACCTTACATTCAAACATGTGGTGTTTGCCGTGTTTCAAGAGATTCTGGTGTAATAGAACCTGCAACAATAGAAAAAGATGAAGATGTACAGCAGACATTAAAAATAGAGGATAAGGTTCATATCCTTTTAACTGGTCTCACACCTGCCGCACAAAAGCAAGTTGATCGAATTCTCACTCGTGACTCTTCTCTCAAGGTTGTGGTACATACTCAATTTGAAGATAGCGTTACTCATCTTGTGACCAGTGTCAACAATCGTGGGCTTTGTCGTCGTACAATTAAATATTGCCATGGCCTTTTAACTGGTAAATGGATTGTAGATGTCTCCTGGCTCCTCAACAGTCTTCAAGCCAGAAAATGGCTACCTATGTCTGACTTTGAAGTACAAGGTGATCAACAATCGGGCCTGACGCATGCACCTAAGCGAGCCCGATTAAACGGTGGTGGTGTCCTGTTGAAAGGTATGACGTTTTACCTTTGTGGTGTTTTCAAAGGAAAACACAGTAAGGCGGATCTTTTGGCCTTGTGCAAATCGGGAGGCGGTCAAGTGATAATAAGAAGGCCCACAAATGGAAGGCATGAAACAGGGCCGGAAATTGTAAGAAATCAGCCTGTGGTGATTGTCTCAGGGGAAGAAAAGAGACGTCCCACATGGCTGAAAAACTGCCAGGTACGTGATTCGAGCTGGCTGGTCCAGTGCATCAGTACCTTGTGCATTGAGTAAACTTGGCCGTCTCCCCCCTTCCATTCCTTATTTTTTTTTTATTATTATTATTTATTATATAAAAATTAAAATACAAAGTATTTTGTTAAAATTTAAAAAATTTTGTCTCTTATATTTTGAAGCGTTTTTTTTTTTTTTTTTTTTTTTTTTTTTTTTTTTTTTTTGTAAACTTGTTTGTTTCTGCTTCTTTTTTCTTTTTTAAGTTGTTGATAAGCAGGAGGAAAAAAAAATCTAAATAAACATTTGACAAGTATTATTTGTAAATACAGTAGATTAATTTTTTAAACTACAAAAACAGAAAAGAAAACTGCGTTATTATAATTATTATTATTCATATAAAAAAGCATATAAAAATTAAAGAGTAAAAGTAGAGGGAAAATTATACTAGTTATGTATGAAAGTATTTATACATTTACAGCATATGTTATTAGGTAAGCCAAACAGAAAAGAAGTCATACTTTAGATGCGCATATATATACATATATAAATATATATATATATATATATAAATGTAAGTAATGTAGAATAAATAAGATGGAGGGTGATTTGATATAAAATAAATAATTTATATACTATAATAAAGCTCTGTTCATGTTCAAATGTCATGAAATGTCACTACATCTTCATTTGGAGTTGCTGCAGTTGTTGTAAAATGAGAAAATATAGGCTGTTGTTGTGTTGACAAGACAGCAGAATGAGGATCCATAAGGTCTATATTAGTACGCATAATTGACGGATAATAGAAAGTTGAATGATGATATCCTTGTTGTTGATTATAAAATATGTTATGTGATGTAGGACGATAATAGTTATTATTACGAGACTGTTGTTGTTGTTGTTGTAAACAGTCATAAGGATCAACAGCTACTAAAAAGTCTTGTTGTTGATGCTGTTGCTGCTGTTGCTGCTGCTGCTGTTGTTGTTGTTGTTCTTCTTCTTGATAGATAGAATTAAAATAAGTTCTTCCAGGTGAAGGATGAGGAGGAGGCATCGTATCATAACTACTATCTGAAGAAGATGGAGGTCCTGATGAAAGATCGTCTGTGGCATCAAATGAATAACGGTAGCGAGGACTATTACATTTAGCAATCAAGACACTAGGGCTATGGCCACTGTTACGTCGTGTGATACAAAATGGACAATGGCGTACAAATCGAGCTACCAATTCTTTTGGAATCCAAGAATATCTTCTTCGTACCTAGAGGGAAAATACAATAATAATAATACAATTAGCCAATCACATTGCAATTTAATTACTTTGATTTATTACCAGGGCAGAAGTTTTATCTCTTCCTCCATGATGTGCTTCTCGATGCGCTTTGACTAAAATTTCATAAATTTGCTCTTTCATAGCTACCGGCTTATTATCGTGACATACAACATCGGTTGTACCAGGTTGTAATTGAAACATTTTTTTCACCCAAAAACGAAATTGAGCTGTAGAAATAGCCGTATTACGCGGATCTCTTAGTACCTGTTGTATAAGACAATATCGGTGAGTATCTACAAGAGCCTTATCTCGTTTCTTTGGACTTAAATTATTTAGATAATCATCAATAATGGTCTTGAATTCAGTTACAGTAGGGATTTGATCATCATCATCAAATATCGGAGATTCTTCTTCAGATAGTGGTTGATCATGGCTGCTATATCTAAAAGCTGAATAAGGATGATATAATGGCAATGCTGTAGTGGTAGGATTTATCATTTATTTATCTTTGACTAAATAAATAAATAAAAAATAAATAAAAAAAAAAAAACGAAAAGAAAAGAAAAGCGAAAGCCCTTCGCTAATTGTTCAAGATATGTAAAATAAAAAAAAAAAAAATTGTAACTCTAAACTCACGTTTACATTTGGCAAAGAATAAAATAACTCTTATTATTGTTATTTATTATTCATGCAGCCGCACGGGCCCAAGATATTATAATAAATATAAGACTTTTAAGGATAAAGGAGTCATTAGTATGTGCTTGAATATAACAGTTATTATTCTCTTTTCAGCCAATTATATTCATTTTATATCTAATTCCGGGTTTCCGGTATACAATTGCATATATATTTAATTATTAAACCTTTTGCATAGACAACAGTTGATATGAAACAATGATGTAATTTATATAAGGAATGCTTTCAGACTTAATATTTGTTGATTGTTTGTAATTTTAGTTTCGTCCATATTATATGTCTATGTCCATACTATTAGCTGCTATTGTAGTTTGTTCAGATAAAGAAGTCTCTGTCTCCATTGCTTCTTCTTTTTCCTCGTCCTGATCTTTATTATCATCACTTTCTTCTGTCTTACTGCTAAAATTATGTGGTTCTAATTCTATAATCGAATTCTCATCTAATCTATTTAATGTTAACGAGTTATTATTATTATCTAGTGATAGTTCCTGTTCTTCTTTATTTAAATGTGCAAAATCTTCCCAATATGAATTCACTAAAAGTACCTGTCAAACTACTGTATTAATTTACAATACTAAAAATAAAGGGTATCAAATATCCTTGTACAAACCTTTTCTACTGCACGTAAATATTTAATATACATTTTATAATACTTTTTGGGCTCAGTTACTAATTCACATAAACGTTGGATAGTAAAAGGACAACTAATAATAGGAGAAAAAAAAATGTAATCTTAATAACGATTCGTTTCTTCTCTCTCTCTCTCTTTACTTTAAATGATCATTAATTGCATGTGTAATTTTTATTAACAAGTCATCGGCAACCTTTTTCACTGATTTATCAGTAAGCTTACTTTCCATCAATTCATGTTGCTAATCTACAAGTTATTATACTGCTAATCTTTGTAAATTTGAATACATACCTTTGAAATTAAATCAACTAATATCTTTTGAAGTTGCTTCCAGCTAATTTCTAGCTGGTTTGTCTTTGCAATATGAAAAAGAACGGAATCAACAGTTACATCGTCTAATGTATCATTAATCTCTACAAAAAGTTCATTGTTAACAGTGTCTTTAGGTTTTGCATCATTCTCATTGGCTGACACAGTCTCTTCTGTATCACTAGCTGTTCCTGAAGATGAAGAGGAAAGCATAAGTTTTTCTTCTATTGACATAATTTAAAAAAAAAAAAAAATAAAATAAATAAAAAAAACACGAAAAAGAAAAATCAATGTTATTGTGACGACAGTTTTGAAGAGTACACAAAAACACACAATATTTATAAACTTTTTTTCTATTTTTATTTTTATTTTATTTTTTCAATCTAAAACTGCTTAATGGTAACAGAAATTATAAATAATGTTTTAGAAGCACTGTCTTCTTTGTACAGTTCTACAAATCGACAAACAAACAGAGAAGCTAGTCGTTGGTTAGAAGGATTTCAAAAAAAGGTAGTCTAAATTGATTACTCAAATAACCTTAAATTACTAAAGCTTGCATTTTCTTTTCTTTTTTTTTTTTAAAATAAAAAGCCTGAAGCTTGGGCGGTCGCTGATTATTTATTAAAATCAAAAGATTCGAATTTCGAAACACGTTTATTTGCTGCACAAACCTTTAAACAAAAGGTATAAAAATACATGAAGAAAGATCACTTCATTACTAAATCTATTTTTATTTTTCTCTTTGCCAGATTACATATGACTTGCGTGAATTAGATGTAGAAGCTCGATTACAATTACGTGATTCACTTATTGAAATGGTTTGGCAATCATCCACTCGTGAAAAAGCTGTCATGATCCAATTATGCTTGGCTATTAGTATTTTAGCTATACAGTTATTACAATGGAAAACAGTTATTCCGGACCTTATTAATAAGTTCAATAAATCAAGTACTCAGGGGTTGATATGTTTACTTGAGATTCTCAAAACATTACCCGAAGAAATGAATGGCAATACAAGATTACCTTTAACTGTACATTTCTACATCCATACCTTATTGATATATCTTTGATTAATAACTTTGCTTTCACATAGGATGCAGAATATAAATCAAGAGGAGAAGAATTGATTGACAACAATGCTAAAGAAGTACTTAATTTATTAACCATGTACATGCAAACAAGTGGTAAGATCAAGTTGTAAATTATTAATTATTCATTTCTGACATTCCTTTTTTTTTTTTTTTAAATTATCAATAGGGAATAATACAGAACTTCAAGAACAGATCTTTAAATGTTTAACAAGCTGGATTCGTACAGGTGAAATAGATATGAGACTACTTAGTACAAGTCCCCTACTCGAACTTGCATTCAAGGCTCTCGAGTCACCTGAATTATTTGATGTTACTGTTGACCTAGTTTCAGAAATCATCTATGAAACACGAGATGTCATTGAATCACGGCCGATTATTGAGCAGATCTATCCTTATTTTACCGTCTTGCTGTCAAAGTTAACAGAGGCCATTGAAGAAGAAAATGAGGATGATGTTCGTGGTTATTGTCGTATTTTTGTTGAAGCTGGAGAAGCATATATCAATTTAATTGGAGCTCATCCTGAGTCCTTTAGAACTCTCTTAGAGGGTATTTTGAAATGCACAGCTTATCATGAAGATCTTGTAGATATCGTACCTATGACATTCAAATTTTGGTATGAATTGACAAACTTATTGGAGACTGATACATATGGACATCAAAAACCCCAATTTTTAGCTTATTATGATCATTTAGTAGACATCATGTTAGGACATTTACAATATCCTGATGATGAAGGCAAAATGACAGCTGAAGAACGTGATGATTTTCGTGATTTTAGGCATAAAATGGGCGATACGCTTAAAGACTGTTGCCGTCTTTTAGGTCCACAGCCATGCCTTTTGAAACCTATGAATCGTTTAACAGCACTTTTAAATGATAGCAATGCAACATGGCAACAAATTGAAGCACCCATTTTTTCCTTAAGAGTGATGGGATCTGAAATACCTGCAGATGAAGATCAAGTGATGCCTCATATTATGGAATTTTTGTCGAAATTGCCAGCACATCCAAGGATCCGCTATGCAGCTACTTTGGTTATCTCTCGATACTCATTTTGGACACAACTACATCCCCAATTTATTACGTATCAGTTAAATTTTATTTCTAATGGTTTCCAGAATGAAGAAGTAGCTGCTGCTAGTGCACTTGCCCTGAAGCATCTTTGTAAGGATTGTAGTAAACATTTGATCGACTTTGTACCACAACTTCATGTTTTTTATTTAAATGTTATCAAGACATTACCGTTTAGAGATGTTTTGGAGGTGACAGAAGCAGTATCCTATGTCATCACCGAACTTCCTTTTACCAAAACAGAAGAAGCTTTACGTTTATTTTGTTTGCCTATTGCTCAAGAGTTGCATACCCTAGTTTCTAAAGGCAAAGAGCAAGTGACTAATGATGAATGTATTAAGATAGGAGGTATATATACATATACATATATATATAATAGTAAATATGAATGAACAACTTATACACTTTGAAATAGATTTTCTTGAACAAATTAGTGTATTTTTCCAAATAATTCGACCTGAAAATATACCAAGTGGACAAGCACATCCTTGTGTGACCTTTATCAGCGAATTATGGCCCGTTTTGGATATTATTTTGGCTAACTTTGGAGGATTATCAACTATATCGGAGCCTCTTTCAAAATGCTTTAATAGTTTTATAAGCTCGTATGGAATTGATTTTGTACCTTTGTTACCATCTCTTATGGAACGTATTGTAAACGCCTTTGATCGTACTGGACTGAGTGGATATCTATGGGTAGCACTTCGTATGGTACGTGAGTATGGTAAACGAGAGGCTGCAGCAAGTCCTTGCTTCGAACTTGTACAGAGATTAAGTCAAACTATGTTTACTAAATTACAATCGAGTCAAGTTAGTGATATTCCTGATGGTATAGATTAAATGACAAAAAACAATATATATATATATATATATATGTATATAGTTCCTTTAGAGTCTAACACTTTTATATAGTAATTGAAGATTATTTCCGTTTAATTACAGCCTTTTTAGATAATACACCTACTATCAATGATGATTTGCTGAGATTGCTTTCAACTGTCTTTCAAGCAGGATTAGTAGGATTGACAGTGACTGAAATTCATGCTCTCTTTGCTGTATTAGGGTTCTATCGAAGAATGTTATCATTAGGGGCTACATATGAACTGATCATTAGTAGACTATTTAAAGAATTTGGACAACAACTGGTGATTATTATGTTTGATGGATTAATTGACTTTTATCATCAAGATGTTATACCTGATGTAGCAGCCCTATTTAAGTCATTAGCTGAGTTATTACCTAATGAATCAACTACATGGATAATGCAGGTTGTAAATCAAGTTCCTGATGATTACATGACAGTAGAAATTAAATCAGATTTTATGACAAATTGGACAGCGTAAGGAAAAAAAAAACTAATGAATATTAAATATAAACTCACTCATTTTATAGGGCAATTCATGAGCAACATTGGATTAAAGTAAGAAGAATATTATCAGATTTTATAGCTACTTATCGTAGAAGAAACGCTAATAAAGTGAGACGTTGACTTGTTCAATAATGTATTATCATCAAATATTTGCTGCATTAAAATATTGGGTTTATTTCCAAATTAAGAAACTCTGCCATATATATAAAAAGAGAGAGAGAAAAAAAAACTTTGTGCTACAACACTATTTATTTTTAACAATTATATATAAAAAGATCTCCTCTTCCTCCTTCTTCCTTCCATCCCCTTTTGAAATACATTTTTCATTTTCATTTTCTTTTTATTTATTTATTTATTTGTTCTTTCATTAATATTTGTATATACGTATATCATATTGTAAAATGACATCACCAACATTGTTATCATCATTATCACGTATATCATTATTATGTACAACACTTTTACTATTAGTAGTACTACTACTATGGCTATTCAATAACATGATGATGACAACAACAACAACAACAAGTGTAGTTTTATTTGATCCTGTTATACCATCACCTCAAGAAATAGATGCCATGTATGCATCAACTCAACTACCAGAACCTATTGAAATCACAAACTTATCATTATGCAAAAATATTGATTTTCATTGGCTGTAAGTAGTTAATCTAAGTAATAAAATGCAACAATCATCCTATTAAATCTTTTATCTATCTGGAAGGGCTTCTGATAGAGACTATTGGGATGGATGGACATCCAAGTCTATGTTTATGAAACCTAATGGACAATTTACACGTAAAAATGTTTATATTCAAAAGGAAGAGACAGTCTGCATTTTAGTTATGGTAATTGATTCGATCTGATAATAAGCTAAGCTAATAAAGAAAGTTGATATATAGTTAGGACCTATTCCAGCTGTTTCTTCTATCAAAATTGTACCTCATTATGCACCACCTGATTCTATTATCGTCACAGTTAAATCTCTTGATAACAAATCATCAATACCTGTTACATTAATACATCATCCTATTCAATCTAACATCTATTTTGCCCCTGTTCAATTTGTGATGGAAGGTGATTGGATACTTGAAACCAGAGTTGAATTTCGTTCTTATTTCTGGAAACAGCCCAGTTTACATCGCTATTTACCTTTAGACTTCAAATCATCCAATCAACTTACTGTTACTTCAACAAATGATATAAAAGTATCGCATAAGACACGTTGTATTGGATCAGCCACGAAAGGCGTATGGCAGTTAATAAGCGGGAAACATGTCTTTATGCCTTCCTGTCAATTGTTTGATGTTCGACGTGATGACTGTCCACAATTACCAAAGGTGATACATGCATGGGGTGATTTCCATCTAAAACGTAATATTTTGTCTATGAAGAAAGAAATGATCATGTCTTCATCATCATCACCACTAGAAGATAATGATGTTTCTTTTTGTGATGATACTCACTATTTTTATGAAGACGAAGAAGTTTCTTTTTTGTCATCTGCCTTAGTAGATAAACCAGTCTTATTGAATAATAATACAATGGCAGTGTACTTTGGTGATATGTCACATGTTAAAATCACTGAAGAAGCCATGTTGCATCATCGATGGAAGTTGAACATCTTACAGATTGCACGTCGATTGCCTAAACCTAATGTTGTAATAATTGGAACTGGCAATGAGGATCTATCATCTGGACAGCAAAACCCTATTGAGTTTGCAAAAGCCTTTTCATCCTTTTTAGAATTTATTGTAACTGAAATATATAAAAATGTGTCTATTATAGTCAAGACAACCCAATATGCAACTCATGGTTCAAAAGGATGGAATTATGGACGAAGTCTTGCTTATTCCAATATTATTCGTTCAACTGTTGCCAGTTTAGTAGCTCAAGATAAACAGGTCATGCTATGGGATACGCATCAAATTGGATTTAAAGAAAATGAATGCCAATCAAAAGGATTCATTTCAAATCATAATGTACTTGAAATTGAAAATAATTTACTTTTCCAGCTACTTTGTTGGTAATAATCAATATCACGTGCTTTAAAGAAATTTAACACTTTTTTTTTTCTCATCATTTCTTCTTTCTATCTCTCTTTTTCTCTTTCTCTCTCTCTCTCTCTTTTTTTTATATATATTGATATTCATATATAAAACATGATACGGTTTTTTTTAATTGTAAATAAATCCTGTCAAACACGTTTTTCTAAATATTTTTATGACTTGAATTGTAAAGATCGTCCTACCTTTGAATTAGAAATAGCAAGACAATGTATAACTCGTAAATCAAACACAGTAAAATAAAAATAGAATTCTACTTTATATATACATTCTTAGTAGATTATTATAGACATTATTCTTTAGGACAAAAGAATATAAAATAGGTTATTTTATTATCTCTTAGGGAAAGATAAATAATCGGAGTGTTAATATTATTTCCAAAATAGTTTATAGAGTTTATGCGTCATTGTATTTTATCATTGGATGTGATTTTGAAGATGTAAAAAAAAAAAAAAAAAAAAAAAAAAAAGAGTAATTTTTTTGGTGTTCAATTCTAAATTACTTTATTATAGAATGAGTTTTCGTTATTAGAGTTAATTCAAACATTTGTAGGTCAAGTATTTTTTTTTTCCTCATATAAAAACAAAAATCTATTTTTATTTTATTTTTATCCTAATTTTATTTTCTTCTATTAGAATGTTTAGATCAATATTTCGAAAAAGTTGTAAGTAAAATAAAAAAAAAAATTCTATTTTCTTTTTTTCGAAAAAATTAACCTTATCCAAATATGGAAATTCAGACTGAACTTGATCTTGTGTTTAATATCGAAAAAGTTCATATAATCATGGACGAAATTATCTTGAAAGGCCTTATCTTGGAAACCAATCAAGAGCGAGTTTTGTCTGTACAATAAGAAAAAAAAAGCCTTACTTTATATCCCAGCCTATCTTTTAGTGTAACAGTCCTTTAATAGAACATAATAGGCAAAAAAAAAAATAAAAATTAAAGTATAGAAAAATCATATTTCAATTCTTTTTGGTTTTATTTTTTGAATTTTCGTTTCCTTTCCTTTCCTTTCAATAAAAAAAATATATATTACATATTATAATGATAGATAAAATAACTAGTAATGGGAACACTAGTAGCTATGAGTCCCAAAAAATAGAAGAATTTGAAAAAGCACCTTCTTATTTTTCAAATAGTCATGTTGACCAAGAGGATCTTGAAAATAATAATCATATTCAAGATGGCACTGTACGTGGATTAAGTGCTAGACATATTCAAATGATTTCCCTTGGTGGTGCTATTGGGTAACTATGGATACAATTTGAGTAAATAAAGTTATATTCTTAATCGTTGTATTATAGTACTGGTCTTTTCTTGAGTTCTGGTAGTAATGTAGCTGAGGTAATAATATACAAACAGATATTCACATACAGCACTTACTAATATATATATTTATATATGTATAGGCTGGTCCTGCTGGTGCTCTTATTGCCTATTGCGTTGGTACATAAATTTAATTCTTTTATAGACAATATATATATGTTATTCTAAACTTATTTTATAGTCGGTTTCATGGTTTACTGTATTATGACATGTCTTGGTGAAATGGCTACTTTTATGCCTGGTATATAAATGAATACAATTTTTTTTTTAACTTTAAACACTTTAATTAACTTATTCTTAGTTTCTGGTTCATTTAACCATTACGCTACTCGCTTCGTTGAGCCTTCATTGGGATTTGCTTTGGGTTGGAATTATTGGTAAAAATAATAATAATATAAAATTCCTTTAAATAAAACAATAATAATGACTAATAACGTTGTTGTTTTTTTCTAGGTTTTCTGTAAGTTCTTTTAACTTGTAGAATTATTTTTTTTTGTTTCTCATCTGTTTTATTTAACAACGTTTATTTATTTATTTTTTATTTTAGTGGGTAAAGTAACAAGATCAACTTTTTTTTTTTTTTTTTTTTTTTTTTTTTTTTAAAAAAAAATCTAATTTCTTTTATAAAATAGGCAGTTACAATCGCTACTGAACTTGCTGCTGCGGCAACTATTATCAAGTTTTGGAAAGAAGTGCTACCAGATGCTGCATGGTCTACAATCTTTTTAGTTTTAACAGTTGCTGTCAACTTTTTAGGTGTTCGAATTTATGGTGAACTTGAATATTGGTTTGCTATGATCAAGATTGTGATCGTTATTGTCTTTATTATCATTGGTATTTTAGTTGCAACAGGAGCTGTTGGTGGTCATACGATTGGCTTTGAGTAATATAATCATAATTTTTTTTTCTTTCTTTCTCACTTTATTTACTAATATAATCTATATGACTTAGATATTGGAAAAATCCTGGTGCATTTAATAATGGTGTCGTTGGTACCATTAGTGTCCTCTTAGCAGCTGGTTTCTCTTTCCAGGGTACAGAGATTGGTAAGTTTATTAAGCATGATGATTAAAGTATTACAGTTTATATAAAAATAACGTCCCTTTTTTTTTCCTTTCTTTCTTTTAGTCGGTATCACAGCAGGTGAAGCCAAAAATCCCACGAAAACTGTACCTCGAGCTATTCGTAATACCTTCTGGCGTATTATTATCTTTTATGTCTGCACTATATTCTTAATTGGTTTATGTATCCCCCATAATAATGAGAATTTATTAAATGCAGATGGTGGACCAGGTACTGCTTCTTTTACTTTGGTCTTTCAATTAGCTGGCATTGAAGCTGGTTCTCATGTCATTAATGCTATTGTTCTTACAAGGTAAATAGATGTTTGTTTTTGTTTTATCTGTTGAAAAAAAAGGGGGAGAATGAAACTAACCTTCCCCTCCTTAACTCAAAGTGTATTATCTGCTTTGAATTCTTCCATGTATACTACATCTCGTACACTTATGGGTCTTGCTCGTGATAATAATGCACCTGCTTTCCTTGGCCGTGTCAATAAATATGGTGCACCTTTCTGGTAAATTATAAAAATAAAATAATTGAAATACATATTAATCATCCTTATTTAATATAGGGCTGTTTGCTTTTCTTCGTTAGTTGGATTTGCTTGTGTGTTTGCTTCTATCTACAGGTAATAAAAAAAAAAAGCTCTTACATAATATAATTTGCTATATACAACGCTCACAACTTTAATCCCTCTTTTTTTCTTCTTCTTCTTCTTCTTCTTTCTTTCTTTCTTTATAGTGCTGAACAAGCATTTGTTTGGTTCTTAAGTATTACTGCTGTTAGTGGTTTTATCAGCTGGGCTGGTATCGCTGCTGTTCATATTCGTTTCCGTCGTGCATATATTCGTCAAGGACGTAGTATTGAAGACTTACCTTATAAAGCCTTTGCTTATCCCTTTTCTGGTCTCTTTGCTACCATTCTCTGTATTCTTATTATCCTCGGTCAGGGTTATAGTGCTTTTTCACCTCAGTTTGATTCAATATCATTTGTCACAAGTTATATCGGTATTGTTCCCTTTTTCTTATGTTATATTATACACAAATTAGTTACCAGAAAGAAATTGATACCTCTAGAAGAAGTTGGTAAGTTTATACAAATCCTTCATATGCTCTTTTGTATACAAATTCACTTTATTATTATTATTATTATTAGATTTTGAGACAGGTCGCGTTACTCGATATGATATCGAAAAGGATAACGAGCAAGATAAAACAATTCCTCGTTGGAAACGTATTATTGCCTGGATTATTTAAAAAAAAAAAAAGAAAAGATATCCTACATATTAATTAAAGAACCAGAAGGTTGTTTTTAAAGAAAAAAAAATACATATTTAATTATTAAAAAAAAAAAAAAAAAAAAAAACTATCTTCAAGTCATCTATTTTACTCATTAATTCTATAATAAATTCAAGGAAATGGAATTATCAAAAAAAGACTTGGTCATAAAGCATAACTTTGTTGAATTTGTCTTTAATAGTTTATTATACAGAGTATTGAATCAAAAAAAAAATAATATTATATTAGCTATTCTTTTTTGTCCTCTCATGTTTGCCTCCATATATCTTTGAGAAGAATACTAAGCTTAACTACAAAAGAATACTATGATAATGCTAGACAAATAGAGTTTTATAGGAGTACATGAATGAAACAGGTATTCTAATCTGCTCCTCCTAAATAATAGATTAGATACACTGCGGTTCAACTAGATATATACTCGATTTAGCGAACCTTTTTCTTTTTTTTTTTTTTGAATACAATTGTTTAACCTTGTGAAAAAACTACTTACTATTCAGATATTACGTATATATTTATAAATATATGCATATATTATCTCCTGAATTTTCTATTTATGATACTGGGTATCATCATATACTGAATATGCTTCATAAGTAGAAGAGGAACTGAAAACAATAATTTAAAGGTGCACATTCACTTTTTATTATATCCTTCAACTTTTATATTTACCTAATAATTATTGAACAATGATTAATCCAATAAAAGTAATTACAGCAATGCAAGAGAGTAAAAAAAAAAAGGAATAGAAAGGAATAGAAATCTTATTTGTAATTATGTAGAAAGTTGATTTATGATCTCTAAGGATGTATTATATAATTAAAAAAAAATATAAATACATAGAAATGAAGCATTAGTTTTCATTAGAGAGAAGCTAGAAAAAAAATAAAGCTTCTACTAAAATACAACCACTTTCAAGTTACAGATTGGTTATAGAAAGAGGCTATGCTAGAGTTGAAATAATCATACGCAATAGAATAAGTAATAATAATCTATGAAACAAAATAATAAGCACTATGCTCATTCATAATTAACGCAAGCTTCTTTTTTTTTTTTTTTTTTTTTTTTTTGATTTATAAAAAAATGAATATTACACGTATTATTTTAATAATTATTGAAATGTATTAAAATGGAATCCTTTATCCCTATAAATTGATGATATATTGAAGTCAACATTAATAAATAAACAAAAAGAAAAAAGGAGTTTTTAAGATTAATTTATTGATCCTCTACTAGTCTTTATTATGTTATTAAAAAAAAAGGTACTTTTAAACTAAATATGTATGAGTTATTTCGTAAAATTATTTTTTTATTTTCACGGTAATAATTGCAAAAATAACGCCAAATTGAATACTATTTAGTAAAGTAAATAAAACTTGTATATTTACAGCATAATAATAATAATAATAAAGAGTGAATAATGTTCAACGTGCTATATATTTCAATATTCGAGATTACTTGAAAAATAAATTTGAATCATTCTATCAAGTAAATACCATTTGGCTTAAAATACAGTGATTGACTGGCGCCCTTTTCTTTTTTAAGGATTTTTGTTGTATAGATGTGTTACATCGTACTACATTAATTTTGCTCTTAATCCCGGACTTTATAAGTATGAGCTGCAAGAAAAACGTGCCAAACTGTCAAGGAAAGTTTATTTATTTATTTGACAAAATTATAAGGAGAACATAATTCTAGTTCAATAATTTTTGTTTTCCTTGGCAAAAGTATAGTATAATTAAGGAGTGTAATTTAAGCTCAAAGCCAAAATTAGACTTATTTCCAAAATGAGCCATTGTATAGAATCTATTATATGCTTATACAATCCATAACAAACAATAAGAGTATAGTTAGTTAACAGGCTCATAAGTTTGTTGTGTGTAAAGAGAAAAATAGAAAGAAAAAAAAATTGATTGACTGATTCATGAATACTAAATTATAACGATTGATGTACCAATTAAAATACATTAATAAAAGATGACAGATTGCTGGTATTTTATTAAAAAAAAAAATACACAAGGAAAAAGGATCATTTGCCTGAAAAGTAAATTTTACTCGGGAAAATAAGAAGCTTTTTCTTGTATACAAAAAGTTATGTTTTATTTTATTTCTATTTATTTTGTTTTTATTCTTGAATCATTTCTTTAATTTTATCTTTATTTATTTATTTACTTTTAAAAGAAAAGAAAAGAAAGAAAAAGCAGATTTATATACTTTCTTTTTAGTACGGAAGAAGAAATTTATTTTACAGAAAAAAAAAAGAAAAGAAGCAGCAAATGCCCCTAGAAAATAAAATTATTTTTCATGATAAACAATGTTTACAATAAAACCAAAAAGAGAAGAGGAAGAATGGTGTTGTTTAATTGTAAAGCATTATTAACAAAGACACAATGGTGGCGTCAGTTTAAATCAAAAAGAGAAGATTCCTCCCAACAGCCAAATATATTTAATTGGAGATCACTTTCTCCTGATCGACCCCCGCTTCCTATCTTTATACCTGAATTTTCATCACCATCCATTCATGATTCTTTAAGCTTAGACAACAACAATATTCATAAAAATGCATTCAATCATTCATCTTCACTCTTACTAAATACAACATTAGATATACCCTTAGACTCTTTATCATTTAATAAGGTAAAAAAAAAAAAAATCTCCCCAAGAAAGCCCCTTTATGTTCCATTCAATTCCTTTGCTCTTTTTACTTCATTGTTTATATGTATTTGTATTCTATAAATGATGGTCACATATTACATAAATATACATGGTAATACACAATTATAAAGTGAATTCTCCGGAATTATGCTATCCGATAATAAAGAGATCAAAGAACAAATACATTCATTCTATGCATACATGTATAAAAAAAAGGGGATTCATTCATTTCTTTTACCTTTGCCATTATCTATTCTTCTTTAATATTCTCTCTTTATCCTTTTTTAATATAAATTCCATACTTTTTTATTCTAATTTTGTCTTTTTATAACTTAGTCTATCTCTCGGAAAAGTTCACATAGATTTAGAAAACAACCCCTTTACCCTATTCCTGAAGAAAGCGAAATAATGACAAAATCATCCACTGTAACAAATAATAATAATAGTAGTAGGAGCAGTAGTAGTAGGAGCAGTAGTAGCAGCAGTAGCAGCAGTAGTAATAAAAATGAAAATACTCAACAACCAAAAAAAATACCTTTACTCGATAGTCTTGTAGAAGAAGAAGAAATGCTTTATGATTCTTCTACTCAATCTTCTATCAGCTTTCATCCCGCTTCTGTCATTAATGATCATTCAAGAAAGAGATCTCCAAGATTAGAAACTATTCCCGAACCATCCATGAGTTCTATTGAAAAGAAAGGTAATTCAACTGCCTCAACATCGGCTGATCCCTTTAGAATTGATATTTCTTCTTGTCAACTTAAAACTATAAATATTGAAGATGCATCCCGTATCACTCACTATCCTGATAGTTTTAAAGGCAATGAAAATCTTTGTAAACATGAACTTGCAACTATGATTTTGACAGCTCGAGAGTATCGAAAGAGTAATTTAAACAGAAATGAGCCAGTAGAAATGAATTTATTGTTTGATATTAATGGCAATGTTGAATTTATGCGCTTGCTTCGTCAAAATGATCGAACTGAGTATCATAAGTTTATTGGTAACTGTCAATTCCTTCCACCCGAGTTATATAATGATCCTACCTATAATGCAGAAAAAGCAGATATTTGGGTAATGGGTATTTGTTTGTACCTTATGTATTCGGGAGATCTTCCATTCATGGCTCCAACACATCAACACATGTTTAAGAAAATGCAAAACAGTAATTATCAATTCAAACATCGTGGTTTTTCTGATGGTAAAAAAAAAAAAAAAAAAAAAAAAGACTAAATAGTGTTCCATACATAAATAGTTTTATAATATGTACCTTCTTTTTTTATAGATTTGCAACAACTTATAAAGCTCATGTTAAATCCTATACCAGAACAAAGAGCATCCTTGGATTTAATTTCTCATCATTCTTGGCTTCAACCTTATCGATCTCAATTAATCCAAGATAATAATAATAATAACAGATTTTCTGGTGCAACAGTTGTAAATAAAAGAAACAGCGAAGTGCTTTCAATGACATCATCATCTGCATCTTCCAAGCATCATACCAACTTGATGGATTTTCCTGTCCAAAGATACAGAAAATCTATGAAAAGATTCGTAGCACCTAATCAAAAGACTAAAACTACTCCACTTACCTTGATTAACCCAATTTCAGAGAATCAAAGTCGTGCCCCTGAACAAGATTTACCAAAAGATAAAATGCATAAACTGAAAGGGATTTGGAAAAAGACAATTAAATTTATCGTTCATGGTCCTTCTCCTCCTCCTCGAAGATCTCGTGAAAAATTAAATAATCTTGGTATTTGCCAAACAACGTTTACTGAATATACCAAGTTTTATAATATGCCAAACTGAGAAATTTCCTTCTGTATTTTGTAATAATATAATTAGTTGTATCTATCTTACATAGATTTCCATTTTTTTTTTTAAATAGTATACACTCTATTTCATTATTTTATAAATTTTGCATTTTAATTTGTTGTAATAATAATAATAAAATTACATATAATTCGATTTAGATTACTCTAACTATGCATAATTCAAGTAATGGTATTTCATGGCGGAGCAATGAAATTATTAGGAATTATGTTTTCCTCCATTTTTTCTATGACCATCTTGAGTCGGAGAATTTTTTTATTATTTTTATTTTTTTACTGCTACGATAAAAAATGTTTACTATTAGAAGAGTTCTTTTTTCTTTTAAATTAAAACAAAAAAAAAAACACATTAAAACAATATAATGACACAAAGTACTCTCTTCCGTTCGGAGGAGATGTCTCTTATCCAACTTTACATCCCTGCCGAAGTTGCTCAACCAAGTGTTGCTGAATTAGGTGAATTGGGCAAGGTTCAATTTAGAGATGTGAGTACATGATTATTATTTCAGAAGTTTTGTTTTTTTTATAATTGTTTATTTATATTCTAGCTTAATCCTGAAGTCAATGCCTTTCAACGTTCTTTTGTCTCTGAAATTAGAAGACTTGATGAAATGGAACGTCAATGTCGTATGTATCTTTTTTTTTTTTTGTTAATTTACTTCCTTGATAGTGTCATTTGTAAAAGAAAAGAAAGAAAAAAAAAAGGGGGGGAGGAGGAGGAATTAAGAAGAATTGAATATAAATTATATCATATACCAAATGTTTCTATTTCTCTTTCCTTTTGTATCGTGTTTATTTGTGTTTTCTATTCTTTTTATGTCACTATCATGAAAACAAGTTTATTTTATTATTATTATTATTTTATTTTATTTTTTTTCGTCACTATGATAAAGCAAGCACTAAATCTTTCAATTTTAATCTTGTTTTATAGGATTTCTTCAAACACAACTTCAAAAAAACGAGATTCCAACTCGTCCCTTAACACCTGCAGCTTATCGTTCTCGTGCACGTTCAGCTCAAGAAGTAGACGATCTTGAAGAAACTTTAAAAGAATATGAAACTCGTATTTCTCAAATGAACTCCTCCTATGAATCTCTTCAGCTTCGTTATCTTCAGTTAACTGAATTGCGTCATGTTTTAAGAGAATCATCTGGTTTCTTTGAACAAGTAAGCATTCTACTTACCAATCTAATTAAATAAAAGGTATCAACTAATTCTCTCTCTTTTTTTTATGCTAACTTAGGCCGATTCAAGACAAGATACCATTCGTAATTCACTTGATGATGATTCAGCCCCACTCTTAGAAAACGATGTTGAACAAGCACATTTTGATAGTGAGAATTTACATCTTGGATATGTAACAGGTGTAATTGCTCGTAATCGTATACAAACATTTGAACGTGTCCTCTGGCGTTCTCTTCGTGGTAATCTCTACATGAAGTCTGCCGAAATTGATGAACCTATTGTAGATCCTAATACAGACAGTCTAGTTGATAAAAATGTCTTTTGTATCTTTGCACACGGTACTGAGATTATTGCTAAAATTAAAAAGATTTCTGAAAGTATGGGTGGCACGTTATATTCTATTGATGATTCTGCTGATAAACGTCGTGATGCTCTTTTGGAGGTCACTTCTCGTATTGAAGACTTGAATAATGTAAATTCTTTATTCAAGATTAAATATAGATGTTATTACTCTTACTATTGTTAACCAAGCTATTTTCTTTTTTTTTTTAGGTTTTATCTACAACAAACCAAACTCGTCGTTCTGAATTGATTAAAGTGTCTGAAAATGTCGTTGCTTGGACTACTATTGTTCGTAAAGAAAAGGCTATATACCATACTATGAATTTGTTTAATTACGATGTTAATCGCAAATGTCTTATTGCTGAAGGCTGGGTTCCTACAAATGATATCCCTTTAGTTCAACAAGCCTTAAAGGATGCTACTGTAAAGTGTTTATAACTTTTGTTTGTTTGTACGTACTTTATTTATTAACTCATTCTATTTATATAGGATGCTTCTGGAACTAGTCTTCCTTCTATTCTAACAGAATTAAATACCAAAAAAACACGTCCTACATACCACCGCACTAATAAATTTACAGAAAGTTTCCAAGGCATCATTGATGCTTATGGTATTGCTCGTTATCGTGAAGTCAATCCTGGTCTCTTCACTATCATCTCGTTCTCTTTCCTTTTTGCTATGATGTTTGGTGATATTGGTCATGGTGCTCTTTTGTTCCTTATTGCTCTTTATCTTTGTATTAATGAAAAGAAATTGGCTTCTAATAATGGCGAGGTAAAAATAGTTTATCTCATTTTTTATATTTCATACTTGAGCTGTTTTTTTTTTCGTTAGATCTTCAGAATGTTTTTTGGTGGTCGTTATATGATGTTGATGATGGGTCTGTTCTCTATGTTTACAGGAGCTGTTTACAATGATATGTTCTCATTATCACTCAACATTTTTAAATCCGGCTTTGATTTACCTTCTAATTACACTTCAACTGAGTCAGTTGAAATGATTCCTAATGGACACGTTTATGCCTTTGGTTTTGATCCTGCATGGCATGGATCCGAAAACTTTTTGTTATTTTCCAATTCATACAAGATGAAGCAAGCGATTATAGTTGGTGTACTTCATATGTCATTTGCTATCTGTCTCAATGTCTTTAATCATATCTATTACAAACGTAAGGCATTCGTTTGGCTTGAATTTTTACCTCAAATCTTATTTATGGAATCTATATTTGGCTATTTGATCTTTTGTATCATGTATAAATGGAGTGTCAATTGGTGGGAACTTGATGCTAATGGTCATCATATTCGTAACCCTCCTCCTAATCTTTTGAATATGTTGATTTATATGTTCCTAACTCCTGGTAAAGTAAATCCTGAGGAACAGCTTTATCCTGGTCAGGGTTCTGTTCAATTGGTATTAATCTTATTAGCTGTTGTCTGTGTTCCTTGGATGTGGTTTGCTAAGCCATTCTATTTGAAAAAAGAAGCAAGTAAACATCATTATACATCTATTGCCGCTGATGATGACGATGAAGAACAACAACCTATGATTGAGGGTGCATTGAATGAAGAAGATGAAGAAGAAGAAGAAGTAAGGACAAGCAAACTAGATGCATTTTATATTTATATTTATGTTGCCTACGTTTTTTTTTTTTATATATATATATACATGTATAGTTTGAGTTTAGTGAAGTTATGATTCATCAAACAATTCATACAATTGAATTCTGTCTTAACTGTATTTCCAATACAGCTTCTTATCTACGTCTTTGGGCTCTGTCACTTGCTCATGCACGTAAAGTTTCTATTTAATATTTGTTTTAAATAATGCAATGCTTCTAACTCCTTTTATTATCTAGAATTATCAAGTGTTTTGTGGGACATGACAATTAAAATTTGGTTTAACATGACAGGTGCCATTGCTGTTATTGGATTTGTAGTAGGCTTTGCTTTATGGTTTTCATTAACAATTGGTATTTTATTATGTATGGAAGGTCTTTCTGCTTTCCTTCACGCTCTTCGTTTAATGTGGGTTGAGTTTGATGGTAAATTTTATAACGGTGATGGTATCAAGTTTGAGCCCTTTACTTTTGCTAGTATTATGGAGCCTACGATTAACAATGAATAAACCTTTTTTTTTATGAGTGAGTGTGTATGTGTGTGTGTGTGTATGTGGCTTAATATAAAGTATAATAAAGAGTTTCTTATTTTAATAAAAAGTATTTTTTTTTTGTTTTGTTTCTTTTTATATACACATATTTTTTTTTTTTATTTATTTCCTTATAATTATTATTTATTTTTTTTTTTGCTTCTTTTTCATGTCAGATGTTAATACGCCTTTATTAGCAACCAAAGATCAACGACCATCAACTTCAATCCATCCTAATAATGAGGAACAAGAAGAAAGTTATGTTAGAGCAACTGATTATGGAACAGGCATATATCGTTACCCACGACATCTTCAACCAACAAGACAATTTACATCGTTAGAGAAATTCATGTTTTTCTCAAGTTCCATATTGGTCATTCTTTTGTTTTTATTTATAGACCTCTATGCTAGAAGCAGTCAAAAGGACGATGACGAACCTATCATAAGACCACCTGCACCAACTCATGATATACCGAAGAATCATACAAAAGTAAAGTGGAGGAAATATTATTATTATTACTATTATTATGATAGTAAGAATTGATATACAATGGTTTGTATATAGATTTCTTATTGTTTAGATTCAAGTTGTATTGTAACAGCAGCTCAAATTCTTCAGGCAAATAAACAAAATTTATATATGTGTGTATATTATCAACTTATGATTGCGTATTGATTTTTTTTTTTTTTTTTTTTTTTTTTTACCTTTTATAGGATGTAGATCGTGAATTGGATCCATGCAATGATTTTTATGCCTATGCTTGTAATATATACATATTTATATTTATATACATATACATATTATATATAAAAAGAGGATAAAACTTTTAAAATATATATTTACATTTTTTTTTTTTTTTTAGGTAATCAATGGAAAGAAAATCATGCTTTATCTGATGATAAATCAAGACTGGATAGACAAGAAATAACAACTGAATCTATTTATCATAGACTTGAACAGATATTAAAGAGAGAATGGATGGATGAGAGTACAAGCTTACCTAATCCAGAAGATATACTCAATAAGCAACTTTTCACAAAACTGAAGGATCTCTATCAATCCTGCATAAATCAAGAACCAATCGTGATAGAGCCTCTTTATGCCCTCTTTCGCGATATTCAATCTTTCATTCCACTTAGTAAGCCCCAGCTGGATCGAGAGAGTCTGAATAAAGCCATTCACTATCTAGCCGACCTCAATATATGGCCCCTTTTCCGCATAAAAATGAAGTCAGATGTCTTCACCAACACGAGACGGCCCATTCTGTCGTTAGAAGTTCCTTATCTAACTCTACCTTACCGTGCCCTTTATGATGATCCCTCTACGATGTCTGTTTATACACAGCTGATTGTCACCATCCTTGATGCTGTCTTTAAACATGATGTATCGAATGAATTCGGCTGGAAGGCCTGGAGTACGATTGCTACTGCGCGTCGTATTGTTGAGTTTGAAAAAACCATTGTAAAGGCACTTGTGTTAGAAAAGAATGAAGAACAAGAAAGTAAAAAGTGGAGGATAGAGGAGCTAGAGGGAGAGGTATCGAGTATTGACTGGCGAGAGTTATTAAGGGGACATAAAGGAACAGTACTTGTTCCATCTATTCCATTTATGAAGCATCTTAAAAGGGATGTTTTGAGCGTAACAAATTCACGTACGATACACATGTATTTCATTTGGCGTATCATTTGGTATCATTTGGATAGGTTAGGAGATCAATTGAGCATTCTCAAGACACCTATGTATACCAAGTTAACAGGCGTCCAAAGGACAGCAGGGTCTGAAAGGCAGTATAGCTGTATGAAATGGATTCATCAAAGTGACATGGGTCTATTGATGGGACACTATTATGCCCTTGATCAACAAGAACGTATCGAGAAAGCTAAGCGCCAGGTAGAGGTCATGTCTCAAGATATCGTCCGTATCTTTAAGGAACGTATCCCACATCTTCCTTGGATACCCCACAATGATAATTTGACAAAACAAGCCATCTTGAATAAATTAGAAAATATTGAATTCCAAATTGATTATTCTCAAGCGTCTGTTATTTCTTTAGTGGAATATTTTAGCGATATTAAGATTGAAAAGAATGATTTCTTTCGAAATATGTTAAGAACTGATATGCATAAAATGAAACAGATATGGAGATTGTTGGATGATGATCTACCACCACCACTCATCCATAAAGACGTGTGGAATAAAATAAACACGCAATTCACTCGTGTCTATTATGACAGAGAATTAAACAAGGTAAAGTTTACGTAATAATAACTGTTGAATTACATTTACCAATAACAATTCTTTTTTATAGGTGACTGTTCCGGGAAGTCTATTGCAATTACCTTATTTTGATCCTAACGGACCACTCTATTTATATATGGGAACACTAGGATGGATGATTGGACATGAGATTATGGTAAGTTTAAATTAACCAATGAATTGAAGTCTCCTGATCCCCACGTGCATCACTCATTGTATACTCCGAAATAGCATGGATTCGATAACATAGGAAGACATTACAATGATAAAGGCCAATTTGGTCAACACTGGTGGACAGATGAGAGTGTGAACAGTCTTGAACAAGAAACCCAATGCTTAATACGACAATTTGATGACTATGGTTTAAATGGTCAACTTATTGTAGATAATAATTTTGCAGATCTGGGAGGATTAAAAGTCATAGAATATATGAATATTACAAATAAGATGGATTTACCCGGTTTAGAACATTGGAATAAAGAGCAGATTGCTTATATTCAATTTGCAAGACTAAAATGTAGTAAAACAAGAAAAGAACGAGAAGAGGTAAGATAAATTCTGCATGTATTGTATTATTTTTTTTTCGTTACTTAAGTATTTTTTTTCACTATATAAAAGATGCTTGACAATAACAAGCATGCACCTGATCGATATCGAGTCAATGGCCCATTAATCAACTCGAAACATTTCTCGAATACATTTCAATGTAAATCAGGATCTTATATGAACCCAGCAGAAACAGCAAGTAAAAAAAAATGTCAAGTTTGGTAGAAATATACCTCTTTTATTTTATTTTATTTTTTCTTTTCTTTTTTTTTTTTTTTTTTTTTTTTTTTTTTTTTTTTCTTTTCTTTTTTTTCTTTTTTCTTTTTTAATAATAAAAATGAAGTTTGGAAAACAGTTGGAGAGTGAGGCAGAAGATATTCCTTCTGAATGGAGACCTTACCTTATTCAATATAAGGCTCTAAAAAAACTTGTTACAAAAGTAGCAGAAGAAATTGAAAGTAGAGGTCTTTCAGCTTCATTACTTCATGAATGTCTAGAAGATTCATCTGAAAATGAACATTCACAACATCCCCGAGAAGAAATACCTAGAATAAGATATTATTTTAGAGGTAATTTTACATTTACATATTTATATAAATATTTATATATTTTTTTTTCACCCCACACATGAATGAATCTATTTTATTATTTTTTTTAATATTATGTAGGTGAGCCACCTAATGTAAAACCTAATATAGAATTCACTTATGATACAAAAAATCCTCAAGTGCAAAAAATGGTTTCATGTTTATTATCGACAAATAAGAATGATATGTTAGAGAAACCAAAACTAGAATTTAAAAGAAGTCAAAATAATAAAGACTTTTTTGGTTTAATTTTGAACAAAGAACAAGAGGCAGTTGAAGCTTCAGACGTTAAAAGACAAAGAAGAGATTCGACAGTAGTATTAGTGAAGGAGTTATTAAGTCTAACTCTAGAAAAGAAACAGCATCCAGAACAAGAAGACGAAGATGAGGAGAGGAATTTAAAGACGTTGGTAATAGAATTAGAACAAGATGATGAATTCTTTAAAATGTTGATGGAAGAAATACAACAAGCGGCTCAATTAAATGATATTAATTCAAAGAAAATTACAAACACTATATCTGATCTAGAGACAAGAATAGTGAAAGTAGTAAGTTTTTTTTTTTTGTCATTCAATTATTTATTACAAGTTTGTTGTATTAAATAATTATTTGCTAGGCGTCACCATCTCACAAGTCAGAAATGTATACTTGGCGTAAAATATTTTCAATCTATATGGATGCTCATATATTTCAAGGAAGCAATACAACATCTATCGAGAAAGCTAAGAAACAAATGACTTGGTTTGTGGAACAATTACACAATAAAGATATTCTCAAGAAAATAAAGTCTAGAGAATCCAAAATTGCTTTTGAGCGATTTGTAAATTTGAATAACGAATTGGTGACCATGAAGCATTATCAATTATTAAATCAGACAGCGATGCGTAAGATTCTAAAAAAACATGATAAACGAAGCGGCCTAACTGCTTCTCAATCTTTCCCGGGTTTTATTTCTACGGAATGGTTAATTAATCCGAAATTAATCAACATGTTGTATAGTGTAATCACAACAAAATTAATAACTATTATACCACAACCAGAAGACTATGGTAAAGTTTATTGACATTATATCTATGTATATATTTATATACTTAGTTTATCTATCTATGTTTATATAGCTTGTCCTATTTGTATGAATGTCGCTTGGAGACCTATTCGATTAGCTTGTAGTCATCTATTTTGTGTTCGATGTTTAATTAAAGCTCAAAAAAAGAAGATGGACAGTTGTCCACTATGTCGTCATCCTACAGCGGTTCGAATCGCTACTGCACTTAATTTAGATGAAGGTTTACAAAATTTCCTAAAATTATACTTTCCCCAGGAAATCAAACAAAAAAAGTTAGAAAATGATCGTGAACAAGCTATTGAAGATGTACAAGCAATGACAGGGAAGAGATATACAGAAGAACAATTATTAAGAATGAATCAGCAAATGTCAGATAACAAATGCTTTATTATGTAAAACACTTTATAGAATGTATACACACACATATGCCATTATTACCTGTACATAAACATATACAAATGCATATACATACACATATACATACACATACACATATACACATACATATACATATTTATATATTATTATTAATGTTGAAAGTAAAAAACAAACTATTTACAAGAATAAATAAAAAGGACTTTTTTTTTTTTTTTTTTCTTTCTTTCTTTCTTTCAAGACTATTAAGGCTGATAGGGTGGTGGAGGTAATAAAGAAGTCGGAGATGAAGTTTTACTTGAAGAAGAAGAAGAAGTATGATGTTGAATTGGCTTTAAATTCGAATGCTGTTGTTTTTCTCTTTCTTGTTGTAATAATTTTAGTTGTAATTGATATTGTTGCATTAATGGACTCACATCTTCTACATGTGTTACTACTGGTTTAGGTGCTTCAACGTGATTATCAAAATCACTGGCAAATCGGTTAATGATTGTTTGTTGTATAGAGATGTCTGTAGATTCCGTCATTCTATTATTCTCAACATCTCTTTTTAAATAAGATTGTTTTCTTCTTCGTTTATATAGTATAAATATAATGATTGCAACCGCTATTGCCACTACAATACCAATAACAGCAACGATGATATGTATTGTATTAAATATAGGTGTATGTTCTGTATGTGTAGCAAACGTTGAACCCCCTGACGTTGATCTTTTTTGAAACAAACTAGATGATTTTTCTCTATATTATAAAGGGAAATTAATTCAATTGACATCCTTTTCTTTCTATGTTGTGCGTTAAGTTTACTTGTTTATAACTGTTGTTAAAATTAAGTTTTGTACTGCAAAGATTATATTTTTCATTTTTTTTTTTTTTTTTTGGGCCAAGCTAGTTTCGTTTTCCCTTTGAAGAGATAGTAAAAAAAGAAAGAAAGAAAGAAGAAAAGAAAGGAAAGGAAAGGGAAGGGAAGGAAAAAAAGAGGTATTATTACTTGTATATCAGTAATAATAGTTATGTGTATGTATATGTATTTATTATGGTAATCATTCGGATATTCAAAAATAGCTTAGAAGTTGAAGAATGTCAGGAAGATGGAGTAAAATGCGAGTATAGAAATCTATAATTTTTTTTTTTTTTTTAGGTAACCATTCTATATACAATATCTTGTTTATTAACGGGTGTAAATAATAAATAAAAAGAACTTTTTTTTCTTTAAAGAAATAAACAAGAATTCTTACATGACCTTTAAAAATATCATTATTTGCATATCAATGGATCAGCAACTATTACAAAAAAAAAAAAAAGAAATAATGGAAAATCGGATTCCCATCATCCCCCTCTTATTACCCCCCCTTCCTCTCTTCTAATTTATATAATTTATCCGCCAATAAAAAATGTTTTATTGTGTGACTGTATTACTAAAGATGAAATAAAATAACGTATAATGATGCAGAATTTCTTCTTAAGAAAGAGACACACATCAATTGATAAAACTCGAATTAAAGAATATAAGCAGTTGTCTATTATGGAACAAGGGTATGACTGTTTTTTTATAAATACATTTGTAAAAGAAAAAGGAAAAAAAAGAATTAGTATTGTTATGGTGACAACAAGAAGAGAATGGATATGAGGATAATTAGATTATCAGAGTTAAATTATACGTCATCTGATAAGCTTAATAATGAAAAATAAAGTTTTTTTTTTTCCACAATAAATGATAAAAATTAATTCAATTCTAGTTTGTAACTATGCTGCATTCTACCTTTTTATATGTGTATGAAAATAAATACGCAAGTTATTTATAGTCGTCATTTAAAATAAGGGACAACCAATGAAACGGGTCATCTAATCTTATATCCGAAACATTGATAACTGAATTCAATAGGCCTATCTAGGTTGACGCCATATTTGACATTTCTTAAAAAAATACAAGCATATCCAATATCTATATAAATATATATTTTATATTTATAGTTATATTTATATTTTTAATCTTCTTTATTTTTTAATACTAAAAAAGAAAATATACATACATAATAGAATACAAAAATGAGTGAACATCAATTCCATTTTGATACACTTCAATTACACGCTGGTCAAGAACCTGACCCTGCTACAAATGCTCGCGCTGTGCCAATTTATGCAACTTCCTCCTATGTCTTTAATGATGCTGATCATGGTGCTGACTTGTTCGCTTTGCGTGCATCTGGCAATATTTATTCTCGGTATTATTATAGAGCAAAAAAATATAAATATATATATGTATATAACTAATAGAATGATTGAAATAGTATCATGAATCCTACAAATGAGGTACTTGAAAAACGTATTGCAGCTCTTGAAGGTGGTGCTGCTGCTGTATTGACTTCTTCAGGACAAGCAGCTCAATTCACTGCTATTGTTACTCTTGCTAATTCAGGTGATAATATTGTCGCTAGTGCCTCTTTATATGGTGGTACCTATATTCAATTAAAGGTTCTTTTGCCTCGTCTTGGTATTCAAGTTAAATTTATCACCGAAGATAGTCCTGAAGCTTATAAGAATGCTATCGACGATAAGACAAAGGCTATTTATGTAGAAAGTATTGGTAATCCTAGTTTTAATATTCCTGATTTTGAGGCTATTTCTAAAGTAGCTCATGATGCTGGTATTCCTCTCATTGTTGACAAGTAAGTTTTATATATATTATAAAGTAAAGAATTGGATGTAAATATAAATGATACTAATGATTTATATTAAAGTACATTTGGTGCTGGCGGTTATATTTGCAAACCTATTGAACATGGTGCTGATATTGTCGTTCATTCTGCTACAAAATGGATTGCAGGGTAAATTAGAATTTACCTTTCATATAAATAATAAATACATCATAACCTATTTTTTATTTATTTATTTATTTATTTTTTTGGTTCTATATTCTAGTCATGGAACTACGATCGGTGGTGTTATGATTGATTCTGGTAAATTTCCTTGGAATAATGGTAAATTCCCCAACTTCTCTGAGCCCTCAGAAGGTTATCATGGTATGTCATTTTATGAGACCTTTGGAAATATAGCCTTTGCTGCTCGTTTCCGTACAGAGGGTGTTCGTGATATTGGTGCCTGTCAAAACCCCTTTGGTGCCTTTTTAATTTTACAAGGTGTTGAAACATTATCGTTAAGAGTAGAACGTACAGTCAATAACGCCCTTGAATTAGCTCGTTGGTTAGAAAGTAGAGATGATGTGAACTGGGTATCTTATCCTGGTCTTGAATCTCATCCTCATCATCAACGTGCTCTGAAATATTTAAAACATGGATTTGGTGGTGTATTCACTTTTGGTGTAAAAGGCGATTCTAAAGTATTTATTAATAATCTTAAACTGGCATCTCATTTGGCTAATGTAGGTGATGCAAAGACACTTGTTATTGCACCTGCTCTAACAACTCACCAACAATTAACGGATGAACAACAAGCGGCTGCTGGTGTCACTAAAGATATGATTCGTGTCTCGGTTGGTATTGAACATATTGATGATATTAAGTGGGACTTTGATCAAGCATTAAAACTTGCTGCTCAAAAGAATTAAGTTTGCCTGTACATTTTGTTTATTATATTTACATGAGTAGTACTATCATTATTATTTTAATTTAATAAATTAGCTAATCTTAAAAAAAAGGTAGCTAAATTAGCTCTTTCAAACTCGACTTCCTCTTTAAGAAATTCAGGTAAAATGGCTAATAATTCAGTATTACGAGTAGCATTTATATGTGGACAATAATTAACTGGTCCATTTTTGTCTTTTCCAAGGAACATGTCGAATTGAATACCTAATAGATAGAAAAAATAAATTGCTCCATCACATTCCCATTTTTTTTTTTGTTCTAAAGCAATCATTATTACTTACTTCCTTTCCTGCCCGATATGACACATTTATACATAATTCCATCATTTTTTTTCTCAGTATTTATTACTTTGATATTTGTCAGCTCTTCTAAAAAATCCAATATTGCTGAAGAATCTTTTGATAATACTAAAAATAGACATGACCATCAATAAGTAAATCTAAGTTTCCTACTCTCATTGACTTACTAGAATCTTTTAAAGAAGCATAAGCTACAAAAAAAAAACAAAAAAAAGAGAGCTTTACAATAAAGAAATAAATATATATATATTTTTTAATATTACCTTCATCTTTTGCTTTTGCTGCTTCTATATAGTTAGCCAAAACAGCTTCTGTTTCAGTATATCTAATATTATGTAGACGCTCATATTGCTGTACAAGTTCTTCCATCTGCTTCTTATACTTTTTTCCAAGATAAACAAACATTAACTTGATGATATTTTTTTTTTTTTGTGTCTTCATTAAACTTACTAATTGATTCATGTCCTTCAAGTGTTGAACTTCTTTCATAGCTTCTCGTGCTCTTTGTTCCCATGTAAAAGAAGATTCAATACTGGTATAATCATTAGAATAAGAAAACAAATAGTCCCTATTTGGTATATATCTTTCTTCACTTCCAATTGATTTTTGAGAATTAATAATTTCTTGTAATTGTGTAGATCGATTTCTAATTGAGGGACCTTCTAGTGAGCTATTAAGAAATTCTGGTTCTTCATACTCTTCTTCGTGTGATGTCTTTTTTTGTGAATTGTTTAATGAAATAGGAACTGATGGTCCTGTTTGATCGATTGATAGTCTACCTTTTTCCATTTTTCGTGAGATAAAAAAAAAAAAAAAAAAAAAAAAAAAAAAAAAAAAAAAAAAAAAAAAAACACACCAAAAATCGCAACGTACGGTAACAAAAAAAAAAAAGGGGGGGAACAACAAAGAATAATTATAATTTTTATATACGCGATAAAATTTCCCTCTGTATATTTTTTTTTTTTTTTTCTGTTATCACCCTTTAAAATGACCATCCAACATGAAGAACATCAATATCTTGATTTAATTAAACGCATTATGAATGAAGGTGAGCATCGTGCTGATCGTACCGGTACAGGCACTTTGGCTATCTTTGCTCCACCTCAACTTCGTTTTTCCTTAAAAGACGATATATTCCCCCTTTTAACCACCAAACGAGTCTTTTTCAGGGGAGTTCTCGAAGAATTACTTTGGTTCATTCGAGGCGATACTAATTCAAAACATTTAAGTGAACGTAACATTAAAATCTGGGATGGTAATGGCTCACGAGAATATTTGGACAAGATTGGTTTGAGTCATCGACGAGAAGGTGATCTTGGACCTGTATATGGTTTTCAATGGCGACATTTTGGTGCAAAATATGTAGATTGTGACACTGATTATAAAGGACAAGGTGTCGATCAGCTACAAGAAGTGATAGATAAAATTAAAAATAATCCAACGGATCGTCGTATTATTTTGAGTGCCTGGAATCCTGCTGATATTCCTATTATGGCCTTACCACCTTGTCATGCGTTTTGTCAATTTTATGTCTCAAATCCACCTGCAGATGGTGGCAAGGCAAAGCTTTCGTGTGTCATGTATCAAAGATCATGTGATATGGGATTAGGCGTACCCTTTAATATTGCCTCTTATGCTTTATTAACTCGTATGATAGCACACGTTACTGATTTAGAGCCTGGAGAATTTATTCATACAATGGGTGACACGCATGTTTATGTAGACCATTTAGATGCTCTCAAGCAACAAATTCAACGGGAACCTAGACCTTTCCCTACATTAAAAATCAAGCGTAAAGTGAGCAATATTGATGATTTCAAATATGAAGATTTTGAACTTGAAAATTATCATCCTCATAGTAAACTTGATATGAAAATGTCAGTTTAAGAGGAAAATAGAAAAAATAAATAAATTAATTAAATATAGTCTTATTTTGTTTTACTATCTTTATTACAACATTAAATTATTAGGGCTCATCATCAAGATGTAGTTTAGCTTGATATTAACAAAGATGAAGAAAAAAAAAATTGCTGATTAGATTCTCTCTTTTAATATACTAAATTAAGCACATCTATTTTTGTGAGAAACAGACTTTTTTTTTTTTTTTCTTTTTAATCATAGTAATTACGACCTTTATATTTATTAACTTTGTATATGAAGCGTTACTCTTTTTTAGGCATTTTTATGCCTATCCTAGTGTTTACACTTTTAACTTATTCATGTTATCAGTATATTTTTAATATTCGACAAGGTAATATATAACCCATTATAGAACATTTCCTTCAATCTTCACAATTGAACATAAAGTAATGAATTAATCTCGACATTTAATGACCATCAATCGATCTATACATGTATGTATGTATATTTATATATATGTATATAAAAAAGTGCATTGTTTAATGAATCAGACAAGTTGGTGCATGGATACAAATTCGAGTAAATATGGGATAACAATGCATGACATTATCATATTTATTTATTTATTTTAGTTGTTGCACTGACTTTATGCATATTGAGCTGGATTTGCTATCTTACTATTATGCTTAAACCAGCATGTCAATTACCATTGAATAATGATAAGTTGACTCTAGAAGAAAGATATCAATTTCCAAGACTCTATTATGTACCTTCTACTATTTATTCTGAGCCCCGAGTTATTGCATTATCTTTGACAGGAGAAGAAGGTGAACCATTATACTGTCAAAAATGTAATTCAAAAAGACCTGAACGAATGCATCACTGCAGAGAATGTCATCGCTGTGTACCTAAAATGGATCAGTAAGTATGTTGTATATGTATTTGTTTATTTTAGTTAAAATTATCTCACCTCAACAATGATGTTATTATGATGGTAGCCACTGCATATGGTATATTTTTGTACTGGTTTAATTTTCTTTTTCCTTTCATAGTTAATAATTTTCATGACATTTTACAATGTAGGATCAATGGCTGTGTCGATGATAGCAACTACAAATACTTTTTTTTATTTGTGTTTTATGTTGCGTGCTACTGTTTATGGATAGAATTTGATATAATTCCCAAGATAGTATATGCTATTCGGACAGAATATAAGAAAGACATAATGACGTTAAAGTTTTGTTGGGAGCTTTATAAATTATATTTATCTTGTATTTATCATGTATGGAAAAACATCATTTTAATGATTTGGTATAAAGAATGGATTCCTTTATTTCATGGTGTTCAAGGTCTTCATTTAACAAATATCAATTTACATTGGTATATATTAACAGCATTGTAAGTAAACTAATAAAGAACCTTTTATATATATATACTAATAATATTAACATATAAGGGGATTTCTCTTTGGAATAACGCTCTTAGGCTTCACTCTAGTTCATTTATATTATATTTTAACAAATCAAACAAGCATTGAACATATAGCTGATCGTTTCATTTTTGTACGAGCTGATTTTGACCAAACAGGAAATAATTTTGAAGTTGTTCAAATTCAAGCTAACAATAAAATATATGACATTGGGTATTTTAAAAACTGGTGTTCTGTAATGGGATCAAATCCTTTCTTATGGATGAGTAAGTAATTCAATAATATATTAAAGAGAGAGAGAGAAATTTATATGATTTAACCATTTTATCTTTATCTATAGTTCCAGTTCAAGCTTCTAAAGGAAATTATGGATTTGATAAAATATTTCCTTATAATCCTAGCTTTTGTAAACACATTATTCAGGTTGCTCAATTACAACATGAAGCGCGACTGTTAAATAAGGAATAAACCATAATATTAAGTTTTTAATTTTACATAATAAATATACTTTTATATATGTGTATATGTATATACATATTCTAATTCACTGCTCTATTTAAAACATCTTCCACTTTTTGTTTAACACCAAACTTTCCATTTCTATCCTTTTCAAACCATTCAACTGTTTCTTGAACAGTTTTTAAATTTTGTAAATCTTTAGTCTGTAATATCTCTTTTTCAGAAGGTAATGCAAATCTTCTATAAGGATGTAAGTCATAATCTTCTTGATTGCTAAAAAATAAACGTCGCTTCGTGTTAGCATAGAAAAATTTGATTCTGATATCTTCTTCAAGATCCAAATCCTCTAGTCGAGGAGGATTCCATTTTGGAGCTCTTTTATGGATAACATGAGAGGTAACACCTTCGACAAAATCATGAGCAAACTATCTCATTTTTTTTTTTTTTTTTTTAGAATTAATAAGTAAATAAAAAACATATTATATATATATATATATATAACTTACAGGTACAGTTTGCCATAACTGTAACTCCATTCGAAGACAATTCATCCAAGATAGTTTGGATCCTCGACAAAGATGTTCTAATGTTACCTTGACACTTGTAGGAGACCTTTTCAAGATGGTATCTATTGTGTCTATAGCAAATTTAGATCCATTCTCTTTTAAAGCCCTGATGATTTCTTCTACAGTTTCGTATTTAAAACATTGATTTATGATATGCTGATGTTCACCGTGTAAGGTATAAGTCTCGGGTACATGATCCTTGTTGACTGCAAATGCTTCTATCGTACGATGAACGGCTTCATGATCATATTTGTTATCTAATTTTGCAAGTTGAGCTTCTAAAGCCTCAAGTCTTTCAGAGGGAACAAAATGAGTAGCAATACCAGCAAACCTATATAGAAATACATAGATAGATTAATCTAAAGAAAAGGGATTTAAACAGAGAGCTCTATTTCAATACATTACAATGCATCTTCTGCTTTTACAACCCTACTTGTTAGTCCCATATAAGTGCCTAAATAACCATCTAATCGAGACAAAAAGAAACTAGCGCCTACATCACAGAATAAGCCGATAGATGTTTCAGGCATAGCAAATTGTGTATTTTCTGTAGCAATTCTAAAAGGGGCAGGGCATACTATTCCACCACCTGCACCCACTTTTTTTTTTTTTTTTTTTTTTTGAAAAAAATAGACATACAAATATGATTAGTAAAGGAAGAAGAAGAAAGAAAAAACAAAAGATTCACATAAAAGGCCTTTATATTACTTGTAATTCCATCCATAATTGCTATATAGGGTGTTTTCATAGTGCCCATAAAATGAATCATATTATATTCTGTATCTATTTGATGAGCCAGCCTTTCGTGTTTGCTTGGATCTTTTACCATTTCAATAACATCTAGATAATGTATCAACCATAATAATTGAGGAGAGAGAGAAAGAGAGAGAAAAAGCCAGTTTTTATTACATCATGTATTGACTTAAAGTAGATATTATATATAAATATATATATATATACCTTTTACATCACCACCAGCACAGAAGGCTCTACCTTTACCATTGATAATAATATTTTTGACTTTGTATGATTCTTCCCACATCTATGATATGCATTGTCAATAGACTGAACTTGTCAAATAAGTATCATTTCATTACCTTTAGATGAGGATAGATTATATCTACCATTTCCAGATCAACCGCATTTAATCGACGTGGTTTATTTAAGATTAATTTTCGAGATGTGAAATTATTCTTAACCAGAACAGGAGGCTTGAATGTTATATGGGTGGGGTGGATATTAGGAAGGGGAATCTAATTGTATTGGAATAATAATAAACTTTACCTCTTTTATGACAGCATGTGTAGCGAACTAGTGCAGTGTATATACATAGTAGAGAAAATGTTATTTTTATGTATTTAATTTATTTATTTTTGTTACCTTTCTTTTGAAAGTAAATAAATTAGTAACGAGCCTTTGATATGTCATGATGAATGAAAAAAACAAAAATAAAGATAACCTTATTCATAAATACTTTTCACACGAAGATTTTAAATAGTCGGAGATGTCCATTGAAAATTGTGGGGGAGGGAAAAGGAACATTTCAGTTTGAAAGGAAAAAAGGAAATCCGTTGTGGCACGCGACTGTCCTTTTTTTTTTTTCATACATGAAGCACAAGTAATAGGAAATAATAGACTTGAACCGTTATAAATTAGTCATTTCAGTTTCTTTATATGTCATTTTAAAACCTCTTTTTTTATTATTATATTATTTTATTCTATGCTCATTGTTAATAGAAAAGTTATATATTTTGCAAGTACTGAAATCTTTTTTATTTTTTATCCGAATATAACAAAAAAAAATGAAAGTTACTATTGAACCTAAAAGGTCAAGTATTCAATCTATTACTCCCTGTATTGATAAATAATAACCTTCTCCTCGGCTTTTTCTTCGACACCTTTATCTACTCGTGTTGTTCTTCAACAACAACAGCAGCAATATGATAAAGGGGCAATAGCTATTAAAACAAAAGAAAGCGGAACACAATATCCTATTCATAGTAGTAGAGCATTTATATGTCATCTATGTTCACACTTATTTAAACACACAAGTGCTCTTCAAGCTTATTTCAGTAAACATACTTGTCAAAAACCTTTTCGATGCGAATAGTAATATTATATAGTATATATGTATAAAAATATATATTTATATATGTATATACACATTTTAACATGGTGGAAAATTTGTAATAGTACTTTTACAATACAATCTAATCTTAAAAGACATTATAAAAAGATGCATTATATAAATATGGGTAAAAGAGATAAAAAACGATCAAATAGTCAACAGGAAAATTGATTTCGAGAAATTCTTCCTAGTGGTGCAAACAACAATGATGGTAATAATCATATTAAAATGAACTTGGTATTATCACAGCATAAAGATGCTGGATTTTATATGAATTGTGAAAGGCAGATAACTGCGGGTGAGTTAATTGAGCATTTACTAGGACCTTATACAAAGAGTCATGATCAACAAACATCTTATTTCTCTCAACAAGTAGTAGCTACTACTACTACTACTACTACTACTACTACTACTACTACTACTACTACTACTACTACTACTACTACTACTAACTACTACTACTAACTACTAATATTCAAGAAAGTGCCACGATACATAATGACAGTAATTTTGTAAATGTATTACTGAATGATATTCATTTTGCTTATGAGCCTCCTTTTATGTTAGCAACAATTATCATTAGAAACATTCAACAACTTTAATAATAATAATATGAAGATATTAAGCCATATTCTTTATGGTGGCTACAATTAAACAAACAATACTTTCTTTCCTTTTTATATAAATATAGAATGAAATGAAAAATTTATTAATAATGAATAAAAGCCTCTTTATTGTACTTGAACAGATGACGTTGTTGTTGATGATGATGATGATGCAAAAGAAGTTGTATTTCGTTGTTTTTTAGCATAGTTTTCATTTATCCATTGACTTAGTTGTTGTAATAAAATGCGATGTCTTTGTTGTTTACTATTATCCTTTGAGTCAATCCGAGTAGTAGGATAAAGTGTCTTTTCCTTTTTCCTCTTTTCTTTTTCTCCTTCAAGAATAGTTAAATCTGTCATATCACTAACTAAGAGATCCAAGATATTATTATTGATAGGTGATTTCTTGGCAGGTGACTGCTTCTTTATCGATTCATCGTGTAAGGCACAAGTACCCTTATTTAGACTACTATTATCACTAGTCTTTTTATATTTTATGTTTTCCCTCGAGCTAAATAAGTTTTGATTCCTTTGAAGATCTGGAGTAAATAGATTTTGATTAGGAATAATGTCAGGTACAATTGCATAATGTTGCCTTAAGCCATTCATATGAGGATAGTAGTTATTTAATTGATTTAAATTATCACTATATAGTTTTTCAGGGGGCGGTGGTGTCGGGAAGGTTTGTGTTGGAATAGTAGGTTGTTGATTTATAGGATAGGATCTTACATACATGTCCTCTTGTTGATTGTTAGTAGTCGTGATAGGATATAATAAATCATTATTATTAGGTAAAATAGTGTTTGAATCAAATTGTAGTAACATATTAGTATAATTTGTTGCTGTAGAAATAGGCTGTTGTTGCATATGGCTATATTCATACATAGACTGATCTGGAATGTTTTTAGTAATTTGAGATAACCAAAGATTGAATTTATTTAATTGCTCTTCAGTATCCATATTAAATGAATCTTGATTGATAGAACCATTATCAACAAGATATTGAAGCATATCAAGGTTATTCATCATATCTTATAATCAAACAAAAATGAGTTATCCATCATGCTTACTATACAACTCCTTCTTACCTGCGTTATAGTCAGTTCTCATTTGGTTACATGACTCATCAGCAAACATGATAGTGTTCATAACATTGCCTGATGATGATAAGTAATTGGATGGCAAGCATGGTGTTGAAGGTTCTTGTTGAATAGAGCTACTAAAGCTATCATAATAATCTGATGAAGGAGATAATACTGTATTATTACTTGAACCAGGTTGAGTATGATCATCTAATGAACACAAGTATTTAAATGGAGTTAGTACTTTATTTATTTATTTATTTATTTATTACCTTCAGAATAAGTTGATGTAGTTATGGTGCTATGAGGAGGAGATATGGGTGTATGACTAAGGACTGTAGCATTCGGTGATAAAGATATTTTAGAGTAATTTGATGATGTTACATACTGACTTGTACTTGCTTTCTCGCTGTGAATTCTTTCATGCTTTTTTAAATCTTGAGGACGTTTAAAAGATTTATCACAATACTTTTATATGAATATATTAGTCTACATAGATTACATTTATTTTATTTCATTTTATTTTATTTCATTTTATTTTATTTCATTTTATTTTTTTTTGTTTTCCTTACATTGCAATGATAAGGCTTTAACGGCACATGAACTCGAAGGTGACTAGTAATATGATCTCTTTTGATAACAGATACTTTACAATCATCCCAATGACAAGTTAAACATAAATTACCAGTTGATTTTCTACCAACATGATCATTAGTTAAGTGATTATAAAGCTGTTCAGGATCTGAATATATTCTGCTACAATTTTGCCAGTGACAATCAAACATACTATTCATTTAACGTTAAAATAGAAGGAAAAAAAAGAAGAAGAAGAAAAAAAGGAGAGAGAGAGAGAGAGAGAGATAATGATTATATGAAATTAATAAAATTAAAATATCGGCATTTATAAATTATAGTATGCGCACAATAGCTACAAGCAGCAACAACAGCAATAAATGCATCATCGTTATCTATTTTTATAAAAAAAAAATTTAATAGGTCATGATAAGTGCTTGGCTAAAAATTTTCTGTCCGCTCAGACTCAGATCATTAACACTTATCAATACAGTGTTTTACTGTAGTACTTTTCCCTTTTTATATATTCATATATATTACCACTACTACTTGGTAATATATTCATAAGCTTTTCATTACACCTGACCTTTATGAACTTTAAGAACCGAAAAAATAATATCAAGTTAAGCAACAAAATGTGTTCGCTATGATGAATTAATTATAATTAACAATCTTAAGAAATGAAAGCTTTAATTCAAACTTATTATATTCAGTTATATTCTTTAAATTATAATAATCTAACAAAAAAAAAAAAAAAAAAAAAAGAAAAAAGAAAAGAAAGAATGGCTTACGTTAGATGATTTAAAAAAGTTACATAAATTATCTAATTAGGATTTGGACAGAATGCTACTAGGAACATATCAAAAAGCACTATTGATATTATAAGTGAATATGACAAACTAATTTTTTTTTTATTTATTTTAGTTTTTTATAGATACTTTTCTTTACAAGGCCAATCAAGCCAAGTGGTTAGTTGGAAATAAAAGCTATAAATGTATTTATCTTAATTACATTGCCCCTTTCTAAATTCAACAGTAGGATTTCTATGAACACTAAAGTTTGAAGTGTAACAGAAAGGGGTTTATTAAATAAAATGAAGGATTTTTCTATTTGTAGAGTTTATTATATTTAGCATTATCTGCATGGATAAATTTTATCTGTTTAACCTTAACTTTAATATATACAAATATACTTAATTTTGGCAGGAAAAGCAATAATATGTAAATTATAAAAAATAGCGTCATTACCAATTTTTGGAAGGTGTGCTTAGAAATCTAGAACTTAAAATCCAAAAGGGAAATATGACCAACAGGAATATTCATTAAAACCTTACTAATAACTATCAAAAATAAACTGTTTTGTTTAAAAGGATAGTCGTAGTAAATGTTCATTATTCTTAAACTTAAGCCTTTCTATTCTATCTGTTATATAGCTCACCTATATCTTCTGTAATAACAATATTATAATCGATATACACAATAGTCCTTAGCCGTTTAATTCATATACAATTATAGTTAAATTTTATTTTATTTCGGTGTTTTTTAAAAAAAAATAAAAAAAAAAAATAAAAAAATTTAATGCAAAATTTTGATGCCTCAAATGTGCGAAAATGTTTTCTTTTATTAAATAGATTTATGCTCCAAATAATCAGTAAACTTTGCTGCAGAGTATTTACAAATACCTTTTAAATCACTTATAAGTATGCTATTTCAAGAGTTACGAACTCGTCAAGTTAATGTTTCTTCCTCTAAAAGAGCTTCTCTCTTAAGCTTACTTCAGGATAATAAAAAGGGAGGGCATAAATAAACATAACCATACCCATGAGTTTCAATATAATTTCTTATACCTGAGTGCTTATGAATAGATGCATTATCCATTATTATGTAATGACCCTTAAATTACTCATGTTTATCCATGATATATAATGTATTAGCTATAAAATTAAAGTAATGTCCAGTAACTAGTACCACTTTTCCCTTTTGCACTAGCTCCCCAGTTGTTACCTGTTACTTTTCTTTTTCTTTTTATGCGGCTATAACTTGGATACTTTTCACTTTCACATACACGACACCCTAAGGTGAATTAGTCCCGGTAATAGTTAGGGTCCTAGCTTTTGATTTTGGGATAACAACTACCGCACGCTCTCCCTTTTCGATCATGCAACAGAACGTTTCATAGTTATATGAAAAGCAATCTCGTCTATAAATACGTAGTTGTTTTCATAATCCAGATCAGTTTCTTACTAGTCTTTAACCCATTGATATCTCTCCTCGATTATTTCAGGGCTATTTCTTTCTACAGAATGAAAGTGAGCCCTCTTTAGAGTGACCCTATACTTTTTAGTGACATAATTATATAAGGAGGTTCTTTGATATCTCAAGATCTTTAAATTGGTTGGTTAATCCTTCCAGCATTTCATTTAAAACAGAATCAGACTTCTCAACAATCAAACTAATAAGAAACTCTTTATGGATATCATTCAATATCAATGGTCTGCCACTACCATTCTTCCTTGCTTGAATTTCACCATCATTATTTAAACTCTGAACCCCTTTTTTTATACCAAATTAATAAGCAGTACTGCTAGGAACTTTGATTTTTGCCGCAGCACCACGAATTGACATTTGCTTTTCATGAATTAAAAAAAAAAAAAGAAAAAGTATTCCATATTCTTCTTTTTATATTTTCTGTAAGTCTTACGAGTCTCTTTCTCTATTTCTTTAAATATAATTTCATCTTTGCGCTCATTCAGATCATCTTTTTCCAACTTCACGGGTTTTTCAGGTGATTTACAATCTAAATACTGACCGAAATTGGTAACATTGTCCAATGAATAATTAACTTCATCAACATCCATCTTCAAGATTATAATTTCATCTCCTTCTTCGTTGAACATTCTACCATTTCCATCTTTGTAGATAATTGAATTCATTTTAGAGGTACTCTCATAAAATAAAAATAAAAACCCCTGAGAGTGTCCCAATAATAACTGAAAATAGTGTTAATGTCTTTATTATTGATTCTCCTTTCATTATTTACAATATTGCCCGAGGAAAATATTTAAATCCAATAATGAGCTGCTTTCTTGATATATATCTAAAGTAGGAAAGATGTTTATTCAACAATATGAGAAATGATAACTCAGGTTTTAGTAAATCAGTTAATTAGAAATCAGTTTTTTTTTTTTTTTTTTTTTTTTTTTTTTTTTTTGTTATGTGTGACACATTTATAATATATTTATTGTAATGAAGATCTTTGTTGTGTAATAATGCTTGTTTTAAATTACATAATATAAACAATTAAAATACATAAAAACAAAATATTCTAGCCTTTAAGGATGATAAAAGGATTTTAATGTTATGCAGATGATAGAAATAAGAGCATTATTAACTACGTAGTATTTAAATCATTTCTATATTAGAGAAAGAATGATTCAACTCAACTCGTACAAAGATGTTTGTTTCAGACTAATTCATCAGTCATTCTTCGGTAAAATCACTTTCCTTGAATATCTGGGGGGAGGAAGTGGGAAAAGATCTCATTATATTCTCCAATTCGGACATCATAGTGTCTTTACTCTGTTTTATTTATTCCTTATTACCATTATTATTTTGTCTACTGCTATTTTTTTTTAAATCATTTATATTACATTTCTAGCTTGATTCGGGCAAATCTAATATTTCATCTATAATATTGTTGTATTCAAAATTGACTTAATAATATGAAGAAGACTTATGTCTTGATTATTTTAGTCATTTCCTTAGAAATAAAAATAAGACTCCTTTTCTTTTTTTTTAAAAGAAAAGTCTCTAAAGCGTCCAATCGTAAAAATTAATAACACCTTCTTCTATGTTTTTTTTTTTTTTTTTTTTTTTTTTTTTTTTTTTTTTTGGTAAAAACACTTTAGCTTTGTATACAATCCTTCTTTTTTTTTATGGATAAAAATAGATAAAATTATTAAATACTATATCCACAATCGAACTTTCTTTTATTGCACATAAAAAGAGGGAACAAACAAATAAATCCGACTATACGGAATTAAACTTGTAATAAAATTTTTCTGAAACTAAACTGAAAAAAAAAAAAATTGACAGATTCATTTTTTTTATTTTTATTTTTCTTCCTTGTTTTCTTCTCCCCTTTTCAAATAATATGCCACAAAAGGAAGAAGTGCCTAATAATTATGAGGAAAATGAAGCCTCTGCAGCTTCCACACTAAACAGTATAATTTATAGTGAGAATTCTAAAAAAGATGAAGTTCAATTCCCCGAAGATCATGATAATTTAAAGCAACAGTCAACAGATGATTTAAAAAAGTCAAAGAGTTGGAGAGATAGCTTATTTTTAACATTTATTGGTCTTCAAATTGCTTTATTTTTAGCTGCTCTTGATAGGTAAATCAATACATTAAAAAAAAAAGTCAATTGAAATCATAAAATTAAATTGATCTGTAATATTATGTATTTTGCAGTACAATTGTATCAACTGCTTTACCACGTATAGGATCTGACTTCAATAAAATGGATATTGTTGCTTGGGTTGCTACAGCGTATATTCTTACATTCGATGCTTTCCGTAAGATGAAAATCGAATTATATATTGAGATATCTTCTGATCTTTTATTTATTTGCATACAGAACCATTATTCTCCAAATTTTCAGATATTTTTGGTAGGAAACTAATTTTACTATTTGGTATTTTTATGTTCCTATTAGGCTCATTACTTTGTGGAGTTGCTAAAGTAAGCTGAGAAAAAACACAATTTTTTTTTCTTTCTTTTTTATAACATACACACAAAACAATACTAATTTATTTATTTATTTTTTAATATTATTCTCTGAAAAATAGTCAATGATTATGTTAATTGTTTGTAGAGCAATTGCTGGTATCGGTGGTGCCGGTATCTTCTCAATGGTATAAATGAATCTTATTTATATTTTTAACTTTATTTTTTACTAAATGTATGCCTTATGTAATAAAATAGGTTTTTATTATTATCTCCGATTTAGTTCCACTAGAGAAAAGAGGCGCTTTTCAAGGGTAAAATATTCCCCTAAAAACAAAGAAAAACCCCTTCTCTTTTATTTGTGTTAAAAAAAAAAACGACAACTAATTTTTATTTTATATCCTAGTGTCGTAAATGCTGTTTTTGCATTATCTAGCGTTTTTGGTCCTTTAATCGGAGTAAGTAACTTTCCTAACTATTATAAAATTAAAAGCTACTTATATTTTGTAACAGATCTCTAACTTGACTTTTTTTTTTTTCTTTACAGGGAACATTTACTGATTATGTAACATGGCGTTGGAACTTTTATATCAAGTATGTCTTTTTTTTTCTCTCTTTTTAACAACAACAACTTATTACAATACAACAGGATATCTAATATTTATTATATAGTTTACCAATTGGAGGTGTTGCAGTAATTATTCTTCTTATTTTCCTACATTTACCTATTCCAAAAGGTGATTTCATGCAAAAGTTAAAAAGAATTGACTATTTGGGTACAGCCCTTGTCCTTCTTTTCTCGACCCTTTTCTTGTTAGCCATGAATTTTGGTGGCCAAACATTTCCTTGGAAATCTGCTGCTGTCATTGTACCATTAGTTTTGACCGGTGTATTTATTGGTGCCTTGGTTTTTGTTGAAACCAAAGTAGTTGAGCCTTTAATGCCACCACGTTTATTCAAGATTCGTTCTGTAGCTGCTATTCTAAGTACAAATTGGTTTTTCGGTATGTCCTTCTTTAGTATGGTTTATTATCTGCCTATTTATTTCCAAGTGATTCGTGGTGATTCAGCCATGTGGTCTGGTATTCGTTTAATTCCAATGCAATTGCTTTGTGCTACTTTCTCTACATTATCTGGTCTTTTTATTTCTAAAACTGGTATTTTCAGACCATTGTAAGCAGTTGTTTATTATTATTATTATTATTATTATTATTATTATTATTATTATTATTATTATTATTATTATTATTATTATTATAGCTAATAACGCGTTCAATCTATTTTTTTTTCTTTTTGAATAGACCTTCAATTGGTATGGCATTTCTTACAATAAGTGTAGGTTTACTTTCTCTACTTGATTTAACTAGTTCATTTTCTAACGTTTACGGGTTTACTATTCTTGGAGGTATTGGTCTTGGATGTATGTTCTCATCTGCTATCATTGCACTTCAGGCATCTGTACCACCCAAAGATATTGCTGTCGTTACTGGTCTTGGTAATTTTAGTCGTATCCTTGGTGGAGCCTTAGGTGTTGCCGTGTCATCGACCATTCTTAATTCTACACTCTCTAAGAGTCTTCCTCAATATGTTCCTCAAGATATTGTAGAAAAAATTCTTGCTTCTTCAGAATATGTTAGAGCTGGCTGTCCTACTGAATACTTGGATAATGTGTTAGACTGCTACTTGGAAGGCTTAAAGTTGATTTGGTATGTAATGACTGCTATGGCTGGCGTTGGATTCATGTTATCTCTTTTTGTTAAATCAGCACCTATCCTAAAGAAACAGCAAGAGGAAGTACCTAGTAATAAGAATAATAACGCTGATCAAGATATTGAAAAGGCTACACCAGCCACGCCTCAGAGTTTAAATGACGATGATGAACAACACCAACACACAGTTTATGAAGATAATGTAGTTGCTGTTGATATACAACCAGTGAAAGAACAAATACATCTTCATCATGGTGGAGATAATTTATGTAGTAGAAAGCCACCACAATAACAATTCTCTCTCTTTTTTCTTTTTATCTTTTGAAAATTAACATTTCAACATATTTGTATATAATAGCTAATTTCTTTTATCATGTACTAAAGTACAATTTTTTTTTATAAATACTTATTTAACAAAATAATAATTCGGTTATTTGCTAGTAATATATTCCTCGATTTTTAATAAAATAGAATTTTTAATGCTAATCATGTTTAGTAGATAAATTTGCACATAATATAATGTCAAAAAAGGAAACTAACTTATTTATCCCCATTTATCGTACATGCATTTTTAAAAATTGAAAAAAAAAAGGGAAGAATCATGACTTGAATAAAGCATATTTCAAGTAAAATAATAAAATGCAACGAGTAGTGTATTAGTATGTTGTCATAGTAACATACTGTCGTAGCAACATGTTGTCATCATAGTAGCATTGTCTATTTTACTTACAAAGGCTAATGGTCGGCATTCTAAATATTATAGAATTTGTAAACATTTGATTCGAAGGCTTTCTTTTTGTAAAAATAAAAAATTAATAATCACAAAGTGAAGTTTTATATGTATTTAAAGTATAACCTATTCATTAAAGAATTCTGCATTATTAAATAAGTTTTTTTTTTACACGGTTGTTTCTATTGTTTACATTTTGTGTAACATTAAATAAGAAAAGAAGGGGGGGCTATCGACTCGGTGATGAAATATATTTTTCTGGTTGGTTGAATAGGCCGTGTCCGTGGCCCGTCAAAAGTGTCACTTTTTTTTTTTTCATTTGAAACCAAAACCGAAACTTATCTTTTTATCATTATTTTTTTTTCCCTTTTCATATATTATTATTATTATTTTCTCTTTCTTTTTATAATAATCAATCATTAACATTACTTACATTTGATTACATGACATCACAAAATATAAATATAATTTTTAAGCGTAAGCAGTCCGTGTAAGTAAACTTTTTAATTAATAGTATTTCAATAACTTAATGTCCATGTTTAATTATTAGTGGTAATAATGGCGTCGGTAGCATAGGTGGTGCTTCAGCTATGTCTTATTCACCTTCATCACATACAATGCCAACTTTATTTCAACATCGAGATAGTTTTGTTCATCAACGAGAACTAGAATCTGCCTTTTGTAGTGATTTAGTATGTTGTGGTACTCCTGTGCGAGATCTTCATGAATTATTACACCATTATGAAGAACATCATCATGCTCCCATTGAAGAAGAGCCTGAGCCTAAAGAAGAAAACGAAAATAATCCAACTACAGAAGATGATATTGTTATGGATGACCTTGATTCACCTTTTCCTTTACCTACTCAACCCCATGAACTTGCTGCGCTTACAAGTAGTCCATTACTTCGAAAAAATAATTTAACTACTACAGTTATAAATCCTTCAACATCCCCACCTACAACTACGTTAGATACTGCTACATCTTTAAACCTAAGTCCCAGTACAACTACAACTACAACTGCAACTACACCTACACCTACAACACGTACTACACTTAGTCCACATCAACAGCATACAGAAGAAATATTGAGGCAAGCATTACCTGCTTTAGCTAATCATCCCTCTGTCATTAATGGATCTTCACTACAAGAAAGTTTAAATTATTTTAAAAATGAAGCATTATATCAAACATGTGGTAAAGTTAATGAATAATTAAAAATTGATTTATCTAAATTTTGCCTATTATTATAGATGATGGACAAGATAAGCCTTATAAATGTCCTATTAAAGGCTGTGATAAAGCATACAAAAATCCAAATGGTTTAAAATATCATCAAATGCATGGACATTCAGAAGAAGATAAACTAAGTGAAGCAGAAAGAGATGCACAAAAGCCTTACATGTGTACTATTGGCTATTGCAATAAGCGTTATAAAAATTTAAATGGACTTAAATATCATATTGAACATTCTCATATTGCGAAATTAAAACAATATTCCTCTCCTATTCATAATAGTGTAGAACACATTTTATTTAATACAACAGCATCAAATAATAATGAAGCCTGGAGACCTTCTTCTGAACAGCAGCCTTTTCAAGGTTAATAGAATATAAACTATTACTTTCTATTTATAAATATTATCTTGTATATATAATATCGTTATGATCGAGCATACTCTCTTGCACACAGACACACATACACACACACACACACACACACACACACACACACACACACACGTACACATACAGAAAGACACACATACACATATACACACATACACAGACACAGACATATATACATACGTATATATATACTCACCTTTTACACACATACTATCGATTTTATATTATATTTAATATATAATATTTTTATTAATAACAAATAATGCTCTTACGCAGTACATTACAATCTAGATAAGTAAAGATTTTTCTTTAAAAATATAATCAGATTCTTCATATAAATAAGTATATATTCTGAGCATGTGCTACATGTATATTGAGTCCTATTATTTTGTATATGTTTATGCTGTTGACTCTAAGACTTTCTTATATGTATAAAAAAGAGAAAAAGATAAATTGAATGAAATATGCACTTATAATATATCATTCATATTTTATGATTTATCACATAAAGTAAATGTGCTTTGACATAATGATAATGTGTAACCAACATAATACTATTAATAAATCATGTGCTTTTTTTTATTATTGTTATTATTATAAATGATTGATTCGTCATAGTTTTAGCATATAAATAATAAATGACGACGGTAATAAACTGTATTAAAAAAAAAAAAGACAGATTTTTTTTTTTTTTTTTTTTTTTTTTTTTTTTTTTTTTTTTTTTTTTTTTTTTTACATTTTTAATTTATAACTATTTTTTATTTATTTTTTTATTTTATTTTTAAAGGAAAGAAAAGCTTATTAAAACTATTATTTTTGATTTTTAAATTATTTTACAATAAGCAAAAATAAGAAAAAAGAAGTGAAAAGTTCAAGAAAATACTGTTAGTGGCAATGGCAGATGACCAAATTACAAATGCTGTTGCATTAGCTATTGAACTCGAAGAAAAAGGACAAACTAAAGTAAAAATACATATATAGATATATGTATATTATATATTTTAAAAACGCTTTTGGTTTATGGATATGTATTTATATATTGCAATATAGGAAGCATATTTCGCTTTTACAGCAGCAAGTCAAACAGCAATTCAATCATTAAATGAAATCAAATTTGTACATTCTTGTAAGTAATTATGTATATTTATAAATGTATTAATTTAAATAATAAGAATAATGTTTTAACTTTCTTTTCTTTTTTTCATTAGCTATTGTATCTAGTCCCAAACAATATTTAGCACTTTTGTCATCAATTAGGACATGTTTGACACATGTTGAAAATATTATTGAGCAGCATTCCCCAACAGCACTTCAACCAGCCAGTAGTCAGACAACGAGCGATAGTAAACTGTTGTCTCGACCTCCAAAACCCCCAAAACCATCCAAAATGCAAAAGCCTACGATACCACCAAAACCCACTCGAGTGAACTCAAGACCTGCTTCACCAACACAAAAATCACAGGAGAATGAATTGCCGGGTAATGCATACAACCCATTAAATGTTAAACTTTATTTTTAATTTATATATATATATATATATATTACTTATTAGACAATTCATCAGAAATTACAATCATTAGACCACATGTACACGAAAGTCGACCCACCAGTTTACCACCACAAACTCGCAACGATCACCCATTAAATGTGACCCATAGACCTCATACTGAATATCCTGTTAATACGGCTGATATGAATCATTCCTCTTCTATTCATATAGTAGCCGAAGGTGAAATTGATCCTAACTATCTTGTCCCCGCTCAGACAAGTGCTGGTGATAGTTTAGCACCTTCTTCTTCAATTATGAATCATGATCATGTTCCTCTTATCCCAGCACCTCCTCTCCTCACAACACATCGTGTATTACAAGCTAAAGTAAATGACTTGGAAGAAAAGATTCGAAATTGCCGAGCTCGTAAACAGGCCATAGCTAAAGAACAAAATCCTGACGCATCGACTGAAGATAGTCTTGACCAAATGATTGCTCAATACTTACGTGTGCTAGCAGAGTTAAAAGCAACACTGAATGGTGTTCGTACAACGTATATAAGTGCTGCTACTATCCCTAGTATCCTTCAATTTCAAGCTCATGTCATTGCCTATCAAATCACTTTAATTGAGGCTGCTATCTTTAGTGCGATACCCCCACATGCTTTACTTGAGCATTCATCAAAACATCCTCACCCTCGTATTGTTGCTTCTACCGATTTTTTTAATTACATCACACGTATTATTGAGCATAGCATCTTACTTCCTCAAGAGGCTTCAGCACGAGCTCAAATTATTCATTATTGGATTAAAGTCGCTTCACGCTGTTTTGACATTAATAATTATCAAACATTGAAAGCAATCATTTCAGCTCTAAGCACACCACCTGTACAACGATTACGACGTACTTGGGCCTATGTTCCTAAAAAGAGTTTTACAAAGCTTGAAACACTAAATGACCTTATGTCAGAGGGTAATAATTATGGGAATTATCGAGAACATATGGGCATGGTGAGTACAGCTGTAGTAAACGGTAAAAGTGTGCAGCTTATTCGAGACGAGCATTTTGCACGCCCTACGGTGCCCTTTTTGGGCACCTTCATTCATGATATTACCTATCTTTTGGCTGCCTTTAAATCATCTCCAAATGCAGCAACCATGAATTCAGCGGATGAACCACGTATTCACGATGTTCTTCATACAATGCATCAATTCCAAAGTGGACCCCGTTATACACCTACTTTACCCCCCGCTTTTCTCAAATCTTCACAGAAGCATCATTTTAGACCTTCTCTTTCAAATGCATTACATCGCGGAGCCTCACGTATTCAGAGATTCAGTGGTGGTAGTCTCTTTGGCAGCAGCTTTGACTCAAATACCCATAACAGTAGTAGCAGTAACACTAGTCTCTCTAGCCAAAATTATGATGTGGATGATGAAGATAACAATCTAGAGGAACAACAAAAGATGGCCACGCAATATATTTTAATGCGATCCTGGGTAAGCCAGAATACAGTGGATGAATTAAGTCATTTACGTGAACCACCACCACAACAGATGAGATCCAACGGTGGATTACGAAGTAACAGTAGCAATAGTAGTATCTCCATGAATCGTACAAGCTCTATGTTCAGTAATACATCAAGATTTAGTAATGGATCTATGAATTACCTTACAGAGAGTCGACCCACAAGTATGGATGATGATCTCAAACGACGTTCAAATGGACAATCTTTACGTCCAGCGACAATACATGAAGGTCTTTCAAAAGAGGAAATAGAGAATTTTCATATAATAGATAATAAGCCTGTTGTGCCACCTCGACCTCCTATTCCACCTCCTCCTCTTTCGACCTCTGTTTCAAATGATGAATTTAAAACAGCCTTAGCACAACGATTAGCCAAAGTGGAAAGAAAATAAAATAAAATAAAATAAAAACAAACAAACAAACAAACAAACAAACAAACTCATTAGAAATAAATTTATATACTTCAATGTGTACATATTTAATAAGGGATATATATATATATGTATGTATATATGTATATATTATAACATGAATATAACAATAAATTTAACGTAGCCTGACGTTTTTTTTTTTTTTCTTTTTTTTTTTTTTAAATTTGACTTCCAAAATATGAATGCAATCTAGGATGTGCATACACGAATTTTGCAACAAAAGGTTTTGTTAACTGACAGGGATTATCAAAATGGAATCCCCAAGACAAGAAGCCATTCATGATGTAATAAAATGTGAAATAACCAAAAAGGATTGTCCAAGTATGTTGAATAACTCTACAAGCTAACGAGTTTTTAAATTGTGGAGATAGTCGAGGAGCTACATATAACTTGATCAAATTTTCAAAAAAGGCACCGACACCATGACTTATAAAGAAGATACATTGTTGACCCTTAAAATAACGATTAAAAATGGGCCAACCTAGATTAGCAGCAACAATATATTCGTGCATGAAAGCAGAGGCAAAAAAGACAGAGATGGAGGCTAAAAGGAAAGCAACAGATCTAGAGGTATCATTACTAACACGTTTTGCAAGAGCTCTTTGAGTAAGGATACGAACAGGTCTGAAAGGAAATGCGAGCCAGGTTGTTTTAAAGAGTTGATGCCAGCGATAAGACCAAAGATCATCTAAAGAATGAGAAACGATAGGATGACGCATCAAGGAATTCCATTGTTCTAAACAGCAAAAAAAAAAAAAAAAAAAAAAAAAAAAAAAATATAAATTATTATGCAAAGATATATATATATATATACATATATAAGCACACTCTATTATATTACCTGATGAATATGAGCCATGCTCTACAAATACACAATACATGAACTGAAGAATATAGCCTGCTAAATTAAACCCGGCAGTCATGACGACAATACAAGCAGCAAAAAAGAAAAAATAGGTTATAGGCTTTTCTTTTATCATAGCAACAGCTTCATATCCTGTAAAAGAGCAAATCCAGCTACCAAAGATATCAAGTATAAAAGCACAAATCAAAAAATTTAAAATAATATGGTAAAATTTCTTATTACATAATATTAAAAAAGAGATTATCATCGTTAATATCATTTTAGATATACATACACATATATATATATTTGCCTATTACCTTGTCTTTTTTATAAATCTTTACAGGTTTACCCTTTTTAGGAAAAGTACGTAGACTACTCCAAAAGTCAATCCAAAGACTTAAAGGTGTAGCATAAACAGGTCTGTCCTGAATTAAAGGGCCAACCCAATATAATTCCAAGAAACGTAAAAATATATTATAATTCGTAACACCTGCGACAAGATCAATTACTGTAAAAAAAAAAAAAAAAAAAAAAAAAAAAAAAAAGGCACAATTTTAGTATAAACATATAGACTAAATATCAAATAAGTCCTTACTTCTATTTCCATTTGTAAAACCAAAAGGAATAAAAAATACAGCTAAAAGTAATGGAATGGATAACAATTGTTTTAAAAAGCCTGGTAATCTATCATTTGGTATAATGATGATCGATGACAAAATAAGGGACGGCGCAACAAACAAAAGAGGATAGAGAAGAAAAGGTAAAACAATTCGATTTTTCCCACCAAGAAATATTGAAAAATCAATCATTAAATAAAAGAAGAAAGAAACAATGAAAATAGGTTGCTTTAGTAATTATCAAAAATAAAATAAAATTTAATTCTATTTAAGCTTCTTTAATTAAGGAAAAAAAAAAAAAAAATCATGTTCATTTTATCCAGTAAAATATATTTATATTTTTTTTTCAGGTTGCATTTTATGTTCGAATATGATGTTTTTTTTTCTCTTTTTAGCTGTCAATGATAGCTTACTACAATATTCATACTAAATTTACTCTCAAAATAATATAGATTTAATCTATTTACTAGTTCCTAATGTAGTCGAAAAATAATACCCATTTTAGTTCATCAGGCATGCTTGGAAATCGATGAAAGTTAATTGCATCGTTGTCGACTTAAAATTAGACTAAATAAAACTATATAAAAAAAAAAGAAAGAAAAAAGAAAAAAAAATATGGTACCAATAATTTGTTGAAATATCACCTGTTTATGACGACAAACACCTTTTTTTAAACTAGATAAGGTTATAGCCACGAATTACTTTCTTCTAATGTGTATTAATCCAAGAATTAATAAGAAATAAACTTCCAAATTTAGTAATTGAATAGAATTTATGTGTAATATTCATGTAGTATTTCTTTATATTATTGTTTTCTAAAATACTTGGAATATAAATGCTGAGGTATTTTCAATAATTTGTGTAAAATAACAGATTTGCCATTGAACTGGTCTGGTTTTATCATTGGTTGTGTTTTATGAAAGAACAATAGCGTTGTTGTCAAAATATTAAAGTAAGCTCATTACATAAATACATCATTTATCTTTTTGTTAATAACATATTTGGATATAAAAAATCCTAGGGCATAAAGTTCTACTAATAAAAGGATGATATTATTGGTTCATTCAATAATGACGTATTAATGATATTAAAATATCATTTTCTCCATCTTATTGTTGTAGTAAATGTATAAATAAATTATTAATAGTATGAGCTCTATCACTTATCATTGGACAGCTTAGGAACTTTTTTTGTTATTACATAGTGAACTTACAGGCTATCATATATTTACAGTATATAACATACAATTAATACTATTTTTATTAAGAAGGATAAGAATTAATAGAAAAGCATACTATATAGACCTGTCAAAGGATGATATGCTAAAAAGTTGGGTTAATATATTTAAGATTTTGAAAGAAGTTCCTAAGGTTGTATTAAAAGTATCCTTTGTTTATAAACTTCAGATAGAACAAAACACACACACACACACACACATACACATACACATACACACACACAAATATATATATATATATGTATGTATATATTACTCCAGTTAGCATATCGTCTTATAAGAATATACATGTCACTATAACCTCTTTTTATTGTCTTTGGAATACATGGAAGACTAAGGTTATGCTGTACTAGGAAATTTAGTTTGTAGATATTAAATAAACTACAATAATATATAATTCAATTAAAAGAAAACAATATATTCAAGAAATACTTGTATCAAATCTAATAGCCGGCTAGTTTTAAGCTTGAATAATTTACCTAATTGATAGTTCTCTTTTTCTTTTTTATGATTTAAAGAATTAACCTCCTTTATATTATAAACTTATTAGTAACAGGTTTACAAAGTTAATACATTGATGAATTTCTTATAGGGATTAAATAGTCAGTATCAATTTCTGATAATGCAAAATTAATAAGAAAGCTTAAAAATATTCTTATACGCTAAAATAAAAAAAAACATATGTACGTTATAATCAAAGTTAAATTATCTATTGTTATCAAAGAGTACAAATTTTTATTAAAGAAGTTCGTTTATTTTAAGTAATTCGAGCCTAGAACAAGTGTTTATGCGATTTTCATATGCACATATATACTTTGGTATTATATACACATGAATCCTTTTATATTCATGTAGTGCAAATGCTACACAGAATAATTTTATTTTCTGCATTTGTTCTTCTTTCTTTAAGATTCTATTTTTTCCTTTTTTTTTCTTTTTCAATGCAAAATGGCTGAATCAATACCACTCTCACCTTCACATATTAGTCCTCCACAAAGACCGAATAAAAGTCAGTTGAGAGCTATTATAGAACAACCTACTGGTAGCTATTCTTCAAGTGGCAGTAGTTCAGTAAATGTATCTCCATCAAATGAAGATGAATACTCTAACAAAATACCACGATATACAAGCCGTTTTACAGAACATTTTGATTCATTAGAACATCAAATATTATCTCTCAGTAATGATAATACTGCCATATGTATGAATACAGAATTTGTAGGTAATCCTTCATCTGGTTTTTTTTTTATAGCTTAAAAAAAAATGTCTTTAGTTGATGAATATCCTTGTTATTCTTTAGAAAGTCCAGTTACGGTAAAGCGAAAGCCTTTAAAACCATCTTTATCTACACCACTTATAACTCATTCTGGAACGATAAAAAAGACCAATGGATCCATCAAGTCACCTACGAATAGCAACTCACCAACTAGTTTTAATCGAGCCAATTTTATTATTACACGTCTTGAAAATTGGTTCCTCTTTCTCAAGGCACTCATTAAATGGATAGAAGAGATATCTAAGGCTGCAATAGTAAATGCTCGAAATTATTCACAACGGGTATATCCGCATCTTGACATATCCTGCTCAGCTCAGACAACCATCTTAACCGGAATCCAAACAATGGTCATGCAAATAGCAGCTCAACAACAAGAATTTAGTAAACATCTCGAGCGTCATTATTTATCTGAGCTTGTTAAACTGCGAAAGGAAGTTAAAGAGATGATTCAAAAGTTGAAAAATGATCAGAATTTATATATGGATGAATGGTTACGTCGTGCAGAAGTAACAAAATATAAAATGCTACATTTAGATCGTTGTTGTAAGCAGTCAGAAAAAACAAAAGGACAATTAGAGATGGATCCATGGTTAGCTAATTCATGTAAAACACCTTATAGATAGAAGAATGATTTTATATTATATATTTATATTTATTTATTTTATTTATATACTTTTTGTGTGTGCGTGTGCGTGCGTACGTTTGTGTGTGTGTGGGGGGATTTATTTCTGTAACAGTGGTACTTTGTCAACTAAAACGAGAAGTAGATGAAGAAAATCGCCTTCGACTATTAATGATACCTATTCAAAAAGAGGCTAAATCATTGGAGAAACGATTATACGATGCTATTAAACCAACAATTGAATATTCCTATAAAATATTAGCGCCTAATTCAGAACCACCGTCCATGATGACACAAGAACAAGAATGGAGTCAATTCGTTGAATCCCATATGAATGATTTTGTCAATGAGCATTATCCGAAGAAAGATTTTCTCAAGATCAACTATCCAAACAAGTTTCATCCATGTGTAATGACATTATTGAAGGGAAAATTAGAAAGAAAGATCGGTGTACGAAAGCAATTTACTGAAAAGTATTACTTCCTTAGTCAAGGTAATATTTAGTATGTATGACAAATATATTGTGCTATACTTACCCTTTTTTTCTTTAGGGGGATATCTTCATCAATATAGTTTGGATAATAAACGTATGCCTGAAAAGACACTCTTTATACCAAGCACAACTATTGTCCCTTCAATTGACTTGAATGAAATAAGCAGTAATAATATAAATTCAGATAATGCATTGTCTCAACAAAATGCAACTAATAATTATACATTTGAGATATGTAAACCTGCTACTAATGTATTACAACGTGATAAAATATCTGTTTTTCGAGCATCGACAAAATCAGAGTTGATTACTTGGTGTCGTATGTTGTTGAGTATTGCAACAGGCACACAGATATCCTCTTCTCTAGATGATTATCATTCCACCAATAACGACTTGTTTTTATTACATAATCCATCCTCCACAAGTGATGAAGAAGCACATACTACTGATGTAGCTAAAGTTGACTTATTAAATGACAAAAGCAAGGAACCCACACTGCTAGAAGTTGATGTTAGCAAATCATTAGTTGATGCAATAATAAACATGCCAACGGCCTTATTGACTACAACTAGCTTCCAATCTGTTGAGACAGAGGAATCATTTAATGAACCAGCAGCCATAAATCAATCCTCAACGCCTTCCGATACGAAACAAGAAGATGATACTAACACGGATACAGAATCATATACTACTGCTTTATTAGATAAAGATAACGACGAAGTCATAGATACTTACTTCCAATCTGATGATGATATTATGAGTATTGACTCTACTTTGACGGCCAGAAGTCCACCTGATACAGCATGCATACAAAATAATCCAGAACAACAGAACTTAAATATAGCAATAGAAAAATCACCTTCGCTAGCAGCAAGTTGTTTTGATGATGCTCAATCATCCCTCTACTTTTCATCTACCTCATCTCCTCCCTCCATTGATCAATCAAATAGATCATCCATTATATCCGTTCCTGAATTTAATTTAATTTCTGTAGCAACTACTATAAATAAGCGCACGTCAACAAATATTAATTTTTATAAAACGACTTTAAATATCAATTTGGAAAATGAATAATAAAAGGAAATTTAGTAAAGACATATATTACAATACCAATATATATATGTATGTATATATCTAATGAAGAGTATTTATATGTATTTATTTAAAAAACATATGACATGATTATAACTGGAAAGGGATATTGTATAACTTCCAATACAATGAATGTTTGTCTTGTACTGTTTAAAAATGCAATTTTACTTTATCATTATAATTTTCCGTTAACTATTCCTTAGAGTGACAGCTTCTGATAGCTCTATATCTAAATAGCATATTTACACATGATAAACATATTAATTGAATATACTATCAGCATTTTTTTTTGTTGCTTTCATATTGCTAATAATTCTATTACTGTAACTGTTAACTTTATTATTATTATTCACTGGTACACACTGAAGTAGTATTGTTCTTGATTTTTATCATATATATGATGAAGCATTTTCAAATTTTAAATAGGTATTAATAATTATATAGTTCCAAAGCTGTTTCAAACTTGATTGAGTGTATTGTATATGCTCATTTTAAGGCTGCCGTTTTGATATATATCTTCTAAATACATAGACACACACACACACACACACACATATATATATATATATATAGCAGCTAACTATTTACTTGTGTTGCTATAGTATCCAGAAAATTAAAATTTAGTATGTATTCAGGGGGGGTCATTTATAAAAATTCTTTGTTTTATAAACTTTTATTATTACTATTATTATTATTATTATTATGCATGCAATAATATGCTATGCAGTTTATATATTTAAAGAAAAAAGGGTAGTGTAGTTAATATACATAAGATAATACGGTTGAAAATTACGCAGACTTTATATGCGTGAAATAGCTATTACGATGCAAATAGAAAAATGGTGTATGTATGTATATATGTATGTATGTATATATGTATGTATGTATATATGTATATATATTTATATAAATGCCATGACGATAGAAAGGATGTTACACACTTTAAAGACGATAAAAGAAAGTTGTATCTTGTACATCACTTAAATCATCTTCAACATTTGTTACGACAATATTAGCAGACATTAATCTTCTTTTGTTCACAACTGCCATTTTCCAACGAGCTATTAAAAGCAGTACAACAACAACTGAGTTTGCAACGATATATCCTACCATGGCACCGATATAACGAGGTGCTTGACTTTCAACAATCAAAAGGGGACCAACAAAATTACCAATCGTATAAAAAATCATCAAGATACCATTGTAAAAAATCTTTTTTGTATAGCCAGATACATTATTAGAGATAGATGTAACCATAAGGACATAGGCAGCACAATACGACCAAGCAAGATAGAAACCTACAAGTTTAATATGAGGGTTTGGAATGACCAAAAGTAAAATAAGTCCAATTATGTCAATCACCATTAGACCTATAGCTGTATAAATGGTCTGCTTTGTTTTATGAACTATATAAATCGAACCAACAATGAAAATAATATCAGCACCACCTGCACCAACACTGAGAAGGACAGCTTGAAGTCCCTACATTTAATATGTTAATATATATATATATATATAAGGAGATGGAAAAGTGTATTATTCATTATTTACATTATATCCAAAACCCATAGCAAATTGAGTATTGTAAATCGTCATGGCACCATTTTGTAAATTAATAAACAAGCAAGAAAAGCAAAAACACCAAAATCGTGCTTCTTTTAACGCTTCCCATATTTGATCTTTCTTTATCATACTCGTGCGTACAACTGCATTATCTCTCGTTCGCTCTTCTACTAAAATTTCTTGTTCAGCATTTAGACGAAGTGCAGGAGATTTTGGATTATCGATCAAGAAAAAAAAGCTGAATATACCCATAAATGCTGTAATAGAGCCAAGAATGATCATAATCCTATAATAATAATAAAATTATAATGAATATAGAATGTCCCTTTAAACATTCCTTTTTTTTTAATAGATAGTATACCATTTCCATTTTGGTAGGCCTCTAGCATTCCCCATTCGATCGATACCATACGTAATAAGCCCACCCATTATTAAGGCAACACCATTACAGAGCCAAAAGGCTCCTAAACGAGTTGCCTGTTCTGATCGACGATAGAAAGTGCTAACCAAGAGCGTTAAAGAAGGGTAGACTCCAGCTTCAAAGAAACCTAACAAGAAACGCAGAGCTATAATTTGAGAGAAATTCGTACCGGCTGCTGTACAAGTTAAAATTATACCCCAAAGAAACACTATAATACCGATATATCTTCCTACTGATATTGTCTGAAGAAAGTAGTTATTGGGTAACTATAGTGTATTTTATAGAGTAATTTATTAAAGAAATTCTAAATATAAACAAATATATAAGTATACCTGATATAATAAGTAGCCTAAATAAAATATTGAGCCTATTAAACTATATTGATTACCAACAAGCGTGAGATCTTGTTTAAAATCTAACGCAGCAGCATAATTAATAGTTGATTTATCTAAGAACTATATGAATATACAAATATATATAAAAAGGAAAAAAAAACAGTAACAAGAAGAAGAGTTCTATATTAGCATATTGATTTATATATATATTACATACATATATATCTGATTATACCTGTAAGAAATCAATAATACAGATAATAGGCATTAAAAAGAAATCAATCTTTCTAACAAGTGATTTTTCTTCCATAGATATTGGAACATCATCATCACGATAAATATCGTATTGATTAATTGTCTCTATCTCATATCGATTTCCATATAATGATGCATTTGATCGTTTTTCCAAAGACCCCATATTGATATCGGCTGTAGTAGTAGTATACGCCGTTGATTGAATAGATGCTGTGTCGAAAATTTTGGGCGTTATTTTATATTGTATTATTTACTTTTTCTTTTGTTTTTGTTTTTTTTTTGGAAGAAAAAAAAAGTAAGAGGACAAAAAAAAAAAAAAAAAAAAAAAAAAAAAAAAAAAAAAAAAAAAAAAAAAAAAAAAGACAATTAAACAGTATAAGATAAAATATTTTTGAGCGGAGGAGGAGAATGATTTAAGTGTAACTGCTTTCGGATAAGGGGAAGAAATGGGTATTTCTTTTCATAAAAAAAAAAAAATAAAGCTGAGGAAGGAGATGAAATTATTTTCCCCTTTCTCCTTATACTAGATCATAAAATATACTTTATTATAAGAATAAAGAATTGTGTATCTTTATTTAAGCAAAAATTATATAATAATCAACATGGTTAAAAATGAACGAGTATTCAGTTACAGGCTTCATTTTTACTCCGCTTCTAATTTCAGTCTATATCCATGGACACTGATTAGTTGTAAAACAAATCAATATAGTACATTATTATAGTTACCCTGAAATATTCATAAATTTAAATGCTTCTTCAAAAGAATAAAGAAAAAAAGAAGCTGTATTATTATATTTAACTGTCAAATTATGATGTAATTTCTTTTTTATAGTAAGAAATCAAAAGAATATAAAAAATATATTTGCTCTTTTTATTCGTCTTTTTATTAAACCTTATTATTTGTTAACAATAGTACTTTATTATTTTATACTATATTATAAACTAATATCAAATTTACCCAAATGTATATACATTTCACAAATTGACTTTTCTGTCTTAGTCAAACTGACGTTAAAAGCAATATCACCGCAAGTTAAAAATCCACTCGTTGTTATATAAATTTAGGTCGTTGCCTTTTATTATACATTAAAAAGAATAATAATAATATTTAAAGAGGAAGCATACATTCAACCGAATAGTACAATGAAAATATGAATTAAAGATATGCAATGTAAATCTTCTAATAAAGAGTAAACTATGCCCTGAAAGAAGATATAATGTTTATTTAAAAGCTTCAAACAATATTTTGTATCAGCAAAAATGATTTTAAACGGATTATCTTCTGCACTTTTACTTCTAACATTAAAGATTAAAGTTACAATCTATTGATTTTGTATAGAGAAGAAGATGATATAGATATAGAATAAAGATAATATTTTGTCGCATGTAAACAATTATTATTGCGTACATAAACTACAAAGAAAAAATTTCCCTTAAATTATTTCTAGTTGGCTATTAATTGTTTACAAAAATAATCTACTTGGTAGAATAATAGGACTCTTTTTAAGTGATCTATTACACTACCATTCTATTATTGTCTATTTAGTATTTTTTTTTTTGTTTGTTAACATCAGAATCAGTTCCTCCGCCATTTATACATATAATGAATAGTGTTTCAATATTTTATAACTAAAAATTCAACTTGTGTGTAAAAAAAAAAAAAAAAATTCTAACCCAAGTTGTATGTACAAATAAGAAGTTTTAAATGTGTATTTTAGAGGATAATCGCTTTGTAATTAAAATACAATATACTACCAATAGTAAAGTCTAAATTCAACCTACAAATACCCCATATAAATTATTAACGATAATATATATGAATATTTGTTGAAAAAGTTATCTATGAAATTATATGGCACAAAGAGGAGACAGATTATTGTTATTCTAAGATTTCTCACTCCAGAAAATAGTGCTTCTATAATAAAATAAAATAAAATTCGGTCGTCTTTTTTTTTTTAGGGTTTGTCTCAACAAAACCTGGAAAAAATCATTTGAGAGAAAGCGGTAGATAATGTGTATTTAAAGAAAAAAAAATCAAAAATATAAGGGAAACACACAGTTGCTGGAGGATAAGATCGTGCACACTGCAGTGCTGATTTTATTGTTTACTCATCTGTTATGTTTAATATTTAGACTTTTAATTGTTTCATTTGCTGGTAATAATGTAAGCATTAGTTGATAAAAATTATTCCACCCTTTTATATATAAATAGATATTTTTTTGAAGCCAAAATTATTCCTTAACTAAAATACACATTGGTGAATTTTTGATTCACAACAATTTGATATAGTGGTAATATTACACCGCATACCAAATAGTTACACGTAACTTTATCGTTTGTGGAAAAAAAACACTGATCTTGTGTTGAAGTTGCACATCATTCTTATTGGTAAATTCAGTGGTTAGGATTAATTTCTGTACACGGATACAGATTGCGGAGACATTTTACTTCAAACCAGAACTGTGGTCCCTGAAATTAATATTTTCTGTTTTACAAATTTAAAATTTATAAGATGTTGTGCGGAAAATAATATACATGCCCAAGTTTGTTATATTCCCTTATAGAATATAATAAAGCTTTATCATACGATTATGGATTAAATGTTAGGTTTTATGTTAGAGGAAAAAAAATAGGATAAATTGATTAAAATGTGTAATTTCTTTGAATATTATATATATCATTAAATCGATCATAGATACACTGTTTTATATACGAAACAAGCGCATAGGACAATAATGTATTTTATTAAAGACTAATAGGGTTTTTTTTTTTTGAGTATTCTTTGATACCCTTTTATTATATGCTTCATAGCAGTAAAAAAGTATATAATTCTTTATAAGAAGGTATTATGACTTATTTATATATTCGAAATAATAATTCAAATTATTAGATGACTATTATAAATAAGGGAACATATGAAGGTATAAAAAATGAATTTATAATGTGTATTTTTCTTTTTCTTTTTTTCTGTTTTTTTTAAAGTCTATAAATGAAATGAGGGTCCTCCCTATCAGTAAGGTCTTCAGCTACATGAACTTTATCACTTGAAGGAGTTTCAATGCGTTCTTTGTTAGATTTATCCATGTAGTAACGAGCAATCTGTAAAAGAATAATACAGATAGCATCAGCAGCAATATAGCCGATCATACCACCAAGGTACAAGGGTTTTTGTTCAGCTACCATCATTTGAGGACCGGCAAAGTTACCTACTGTATAAAATACCATGACAGAACTGCTATAAAAAATTTTCTTAGTGTAACCAGATACATTATTAGCAATAGAGGTCAAGAACAAAACGTAAGAAGCACAGAAGGCCCAACACATATAGAGTCCAAGGAGTTTAACTTGAGGGAGGGGGATAACGATAAGTAAGATGAGGCCAAGAATAGTAACACCAAGGAGAATACAAGCAAGATGAAGTGTTTGACCATAACGACGATTATACCAAATAGCAAAAACAATATAAATACAATCAACTACACCTGAAGGTACTGTAAGTAAAATAGCATTCAAGTTCTATATATATAAAAATTGAATGAGAATTGACTTTTTTTTTGCTATAACAGCATCTTATTACTTACAGAAAAACCAAAACCAGCGGTAATAACAGCACTAAAAGTGTTAAGAGCACCATTTTGGAGATTGAAAAGAAGGGAAGCAAAAATAAAACAATAGTAACGAGGTTCCTTGAGCGATTCAAGCATATGATGAAATTTGATTTGTTTTGTAATGACAGTAGCATTATCCAATGTGCGAAGATGAACTACCGTTTTTTGCTCCGGTGTAAGATGAAGAAGTTTAGAATCAGGATTATCAGCAAGTAAAAAGAAACAAAAGATACCAAAAGTAATAGTAGCAGCACCCAAAATAATCATAATCCTATAATATATATATATATATTAGTAAATATCAAAATATAATACTTATTTGCTTCATATTTACCATTGCCAGGCGTTCATGCCTCTAACACCCATCATATGGCCAATACCATAACCTATAAGACCACCAATTGCCATAGCAATACCATTGCAAATATAAACAAAGCCAATACGACCAGCTTGTTCTTTACGACGATATAAAGAACTGATAATCATAATACAGCAAGGATAGATACCAGCTTCAAAGAAACCAAGCAAAAAACGAAGAGCAGCTAACTGAGCAAAGTTTTTAGCAAGACATGTCACCGTAAGTACGACACCCCATATGACGATAAGTGTACCAATATACTTTCCAATAGGTAATCTTTGAATAAAGTAAGTATTAGGAACCTAAATAATATGTAACAGTTAGTATTCGTGTAAGAAATCAACCTCCATGTCATTATCTAACTTGGTAAATTAAGTAACCGAGATAAAAAATAGAACCTAACCAACTGAACTGCTTATCATCAATATGAGTATCTGTTTTAATACCAAGTACATTAGAATAATTTAATGCTGATTTATCGAAAAACTAGTTGACTGTGTTAGTCACATTTAAACTACCATAACTATTATAGAATGATGAATACCTGTAAGAAATTTAGAACAGCAATACAAGGCATAACATAAATGAAATCAAGTTTTCTAATTAAGGATTTTTCGGCAGCTATCAACTCTGGTGATAAATTATTTGCCTTTTCTTTATCTTCATATATTGTTTGAGTATCATCTAAATGCTTGTCGTCCAAAGAAACACTTTTCTTTTCATCTAGCTGTAGTTCAGACATATTTTTTTTTATTTAATTGTAGAAAAAAAAAGCTAAAATTGTTTAAAAAAAAAAAAGAAAAAAATTTAGTTACGTTTATCTTATATAAAAGTCCAATAAGATGTGAAAGAAACTGATCTTTGCTTCATTTGAAAAATTGATGTAACAAGGTTTTTTTTTTTTGTACTTCACTTAACGGAGCTCATAATATATTCGTTAGCGTTACATTTTACAGAATGGACTTTTAAATCTTATACGGTATTTTCATTATGAAAGTGATTTGTTAGTTTTTTGAATTTAGCACATTGGTAGTTTCTTTGAAATAAGCGTTTTTTTAGAATAATTTGCAATTGTTATTCATATATAAATATATAGGTTATCTTTTAATACACCTTAGTAACAGAAAGAAAAAGAAAAGAATTAATTTATGATTTACATGCAAGGATAATTGTCAATTATAAAGGTGGCAGAGTAGGATTCAAATACGATACATCTAACAAATCAAAAATGGGATACATATATAAACTTTAATCTAATCAACACTCATTACTAAAATATCTTACTAGTATTATTTTGATACACATTCCTTTAAGACTATAAACTACATATTTAACAGAAATTGACAGTGTTACAAATGCTATAAATCATATTTGTTTTTCTTATTCTTTTTGTATATACATAATTTTTTTTTTTTTTTTTTTTTTTGTGAAAGGTAAAAATCTCGTGTTTTTATTTTTCTTTGCTTGGTTACTTTTTTTTTTCTGAAGCATACATGTATGTTATACTTCTTTATCAATTATTCTTTTCATTTTGATGTATATACAAATCGCTTCTTTTTATGGAACACCGTGTAACATAGTCCCCTGCTAACTAATTGCATATCATGCGATGAAAATGGACAATCTAAAATAGATTCGAAGAGAACGTATACTGTATTTCTTATATGAGATATAATATGAATGAAGGAAGCATATAAAATAGATGTTATACACAGGAAGCGTAGTTTAAAATTCAAACTGAATTAAATCGAAAAAGAAAAGCTGTTATAACGCTTTTGAATTTATTTCTTAAAATATGCTATTGATCTTCGTTTATCATAGATTTGAATACTCAATCCGTTATGTATATGCTATGATTGAAATCAGACTATATTATGTATAGATTTGCAAGATGACAAATAGTGATTTGTACAATGTAGGTTAAAAATATAACGTTGACCGCTTATGATACAATAAAGTACTACCAATGACCATGTGGGTGTATTTCAAGCATGTGTCTAATCTTCATTTACGTATAACTATTTTATTTGTTTATGAATAGAATATCATTCCTATAGAAGTAATTCCAAGGCGTATATATAAGTAAAGGAAAGGAAGCAGTTAAATATAATCTCTTTTGTATTTTGGTACTAATATATGTATACATATAGCATTAGTTTTACACAAAATTATTTGTAGATTATACCTGTTCTCAAGGTATCACCACATTTTAATATGACGCACTTTTCAGGAAAAAAAAAACGTAGCATAAAAAATTTCGATTTAAATAGGATACTCTTATAGACAATTCTCGATACATTTTACAGATAAACTAATAAAGCCTTCAAACATATGTCTAGGATTATTATTATATATATATATATATTCCTTGTTGCATCAAGAAGTAGTATATTTTTCTCTTTTAACTCTATTCCTTAAAATCAACTAGACTTATTCAATGGATAGAGGGGAAAGTAGTAGTAATGATAGTTATAACGAGGCCCCCATTCTTCAATTGGGCTTCTTAATTTTATTTATCTATAATGATTAATATAAGTACACTTTCGAACACAATATAACTTTCCTAAAATATAAAAAATGTGTTATTATTTTAAGAAAAGGTATATATACATTCTATCTAAATATAGGCTTAGTAATTGATATAGTAGATTAGCAATATGCTCTGTATTGGCAGGATCTCATTCATTTAAAGTTTTTTTTTCTTTTAAAGAGTTAATTCCTCATCTTTCTTCTTATCAAAAAAATGAATCCTTTGCTCATAATTTTCGACTGTTTTATTAAATATAACTTACATGTTTGGGTAAATTCTATATATACAGGTATTAATTAAATATCAACTATTATTATAACAATATATCGTTAAAAGTATTTTAGTAAATATATCTTCCCTATCTTCCCCCTCCCCCACCTCAAATATTACGGCTATTAAGTTAATGTAGTAGTGATTCCATAAGCAATACATGGCCTGTTTATACTTTTGATGCATATATATATATATATAAATATATATTACAAGTGCGTCTGAAGAATATCATTAAATCATCAGCAATAAACATAAATTGAAGCATGTTTTATTAAAAAGTGTATTTATCTGTCATGTTCTATGTGGCTCAAAGTTTATTAATCTATAAAATATTTCTAAACTTCATGCTCCACAATGCAGGTAATTATATGCTGTCAATGTATTTATTGGTCAATAAAGCTAAATCCTGTATCACCTTCTATAGGCTCTTAAAACATTACATTAACTGTAGAGCAACAATATGTATTATAAAATATGGGTTTTCACCAAACTTTTAAATGACCTTACGCCTTTAGTTTCAAATTAGCAATTGCGATACTAATACTCAAATTTCAATGATAGTATTATCTCACCTTAAAATTGGGGATGCTTTGACAAAAAAAAATATTCCTTGTCCTAAAAAACTCTTGGATGATGAAGCCATTAAAAAGAAGTGAGGTTGATGCTTTTGAAAAATATAAGAAGAGACAGAATAAAATTTGTGAAAACTTTGTATGATATTTTTATTAAAGAAAAAACAATTTGATTCTTCAAATGAGTACAAAATGGATCCTTATTTATATCTTGTGGAGAACGGGTCACTTCGCGACAGGAACAGAATGAAAGAAGAATATTTTCCCATAAAATGATTAAAGTTATTTTGTTTGAGCTCTCTAATCTTTGCCCTGATTGAGAATTAATCTCAGTTAACTCAATTCTAATAAAAAATTAAATTATTCGTATTCGTGCTTGATCTAGCCGGTTCGGCTATTTTTCTTGAAACCAAATAATGAGATCTCGCTTGTTTATATTTGTGAGTGATATAAGGAAGATGCTTTGTATTATATTCATTCCTTAATGTACTACTTGAATGAATATCATTATAGTGTATAATGTATAAATAGGATAGTATATGATTGTATTCATAAATTACTATATTAGATAATATTATAATAATGTGTATATATGACTAATAGGCACAATCTATAATTCATATATATCTTTACCATTAATAACTCTTTACACTATTGTTTGGCTTATCATTATCTCGTAACGTTAGTATTTAATATAATATTATTTTTCTCATCACAGGAATGTCTTATAAACTGAAATCAAATAATATTGTATCCATACAGTCTACAACTAATAACTATAATATCATTTGGTTCTTCATGACTCTGATCTGTATATTATAGGATATTATGTAATACATCATTATATACACATGTGATATTTCTTGTAAAATATCAAATAAAAAATATTAAAAAAAAAAAAAAAAAAAAAAAAAAAAAAAAAAAAACGTCAACGAGACCGAACAATAGTTCTAAAGTCAATCATTCTATTTATGAATTTAAGTTAATGAGGGTATTTATAAGAATTGTTAAAGAAGTCTGAGATAAGATGCGAGTCAGAAAGGTGTTAGTTACGACCTAATAAGATATGTTAAGGATAATGAAGTGTTAGAAGGTTTTAATATTATTTGATAAAGTGGAACAAGAGAGTTTCAGTGGAATCTAGATAGAATTCGTTCAATAATTTTATGATCTGCATGTTTAATTAAGAAACATGACATTATGACAACTCTAGTCTGCCATAGTGTATGACATATATATTGTCTATCAACTATGTCATACGTATATTTTTTGTCCAAAAATGTGAGAACCGAATCAATAGAGTAAGTTTTTCATAATGTGATATATTTTGACAAGACAAAGGAATTGATCTAGTGCTTCCCGTTTAGAGTGGAAACTACTCTAAGCAATATCGATAGTAGGACCCTGTTGTTTAAGTAAGGGTTGTAAACATCATTCTAATATTTTTCTGAATATAAACATAAGACTAATCAGTCTGAAGTCACTAGAACCCATGGAGTTGCCTTTCTTATAAATAGGGATAACTTGTGCTACACGTCAATTAGTTTGAGTATATGATCACTGCTAACATAAGCAAAAAAGTTTGTATACTATATTTGATAAAGGAGAAGCAATAGGTTTAAGCATATCACTAGTAATATGGTCAACTCCTTGAGCTTTGTTAAGAGGAAGATTGGAAATTGCAAATTTGATATCTTCGGCAGCAATTAAGTAATTATTTTCAAATGGAGGTGATAGATGTTATTCAAATAAGACTAGTATATTGTACTTTACAGCATGATGTTCATTATACAATATTCAGTTTTAATAACAGTCATTGTTAGAGTATTCGAGCATTAAAAAAAAATAATATTATGTAATAATAAGAATTCAATAGGATTATGACTGTTATACTCAATTACATAATCACTTACATAAGTTATACATATTATGCATACATCTATAATGTTGAATATTGTTATGTAATAACATCCTAGAGGATAATAATAATAATAGTAGCATATAAATAATTGGTATTGGTTATAGCTAGAATATTCATTGTGAATTAATATGAACGCGTTGCTTACGCCAGAAATAATAATTAGTAACAGCGACAGCTAAAGGAGAAAAAAGATAAAGATATATCATATTGCAAGCAGGATTATACGGAGACAACATTTATGCACAATGCTTTAATATATCAGTATTTATTTATCCAAATCATACTTTTATTAATATCACTTACCTTGCAAGCAAAAAGCATATAAATAGCCCTTATCATTTTTCCATATTATTTTTCTTTTGTACTATGTTTGTATTTTTTTTTCTTTTAATAAACTATACAGAGTTTTCACACACTTGTCTTTTCTGTTTTCTCTTTCCTTATCTTTTGCATTCAAAACAACAACTATTCATCATTTGTAAACACGGTATCTTTTGACTGAAACTATAAAAACTCACCTTTTACTTTATTATTATTGTAATCTCGATTTAATGGATAGTCCAAACAATTCACCTTTACGAGCAACTGAAGAACGTGCTTCCTGCATCCATACTATCATCTACATTATATATCAGCTTTTTTTTTTTTTTTTTTTTTTTTTTTTAGCAAACAATGATGTAGTTGCTTTAGACTGGATCGAAAATGAATATTGCCAAACAGGCAGATGTAGATGGGATGGTGACGTTATGAAAGTAAATAGCAAAAAAATATCCACAGTTTTCATCAAGTTCTCTGGTGGAACTAAAGTTAATGCAACAATGAAAAAAAAAAAAAAAAAAAAAAAAAAAAAAAAAAAAAAACCTCTGATATTAATAAATTATATTCTAATATTTTGAATATTATTATTGATTTGCCTACCAGTACTCCCAAGAAAATACTCTGTGCCCGCTTCTAGGATAGCCAAATATTTATATACATATATCAATCACTTTTTAACACAATAGGCTAATAGTGTTTATGTTTAATTGATTTAGACAACTGCATATATTTTGAGGAACTATTTGTCTTCAAACAGAACTATTTTAGAAAGATTCATGTGTCTTTCCATTGCCCAAGCATGCCAAGATTACTTATCAAACACATCAAACAAATCAGTAAAATGCTACAATGGAAAGAAGCTGTAATCAACCAGACGTTGCAATTCCAAGATTAATTAGCACTTACTAGAAAATTGCTATTGATATTCTCTTTTCTTGTTTCTTCTTTTTTTTTTCAAGGCATCCCACAACATCATTCTCCCAATGAAAAAAATAAATAGCTATTGTTATTATTTATATGTAAAAGTATCTTTCTCTATCCTTATCAGTATAAAAATTGTATCATGTAGTCCTTTTTTTTTATGGTGTTAGGATCTTCCATTTAAACATCAGAGAACACTTGTTTTTTTTGATTTTTGATGTATTTTCTTTCTGTTAAATTTTTCTATTTAAATGGATTTTTTTCTACAAAAACTGTACGTTGCTTTTCTTCCTTCTTCATCCATAATACTTCCGCAATCATCTTCATGAAAAACAGCATGATCAAATAAAAAGAAGAGATCTACTGCAATCATCTGAGTATATTTTTTACAGGATATAATCAGAAAATAGACAAATCCTGTGCTTTTTTCTACAGGATATATATAGAGATTATACATTTCCTGTACTGTTTTCTATAAGATATATACATATTTTGTTTAAATCCTGTAGTTTATAATTGCTTTTCATTTACTAATACTTTAAATACCATACTTTTTATCACTGGTTTTATGCTTCATAACTCATCAATACATGGTTATACATTATTGGGTTATATAGACGGTATATTATTCCCTTTTAGACTTTATTTATATTAAATAGGCTTCTTTATTGCCTTTCTTTATTGGACATTACAAAAAAATGTGGCTTTTTGTTTATTTTTTATTTATTTATTTATTACATAAAAAATCGGTACATATAAAACAATTATAATAATAATAATAATAAATAGTGAAAAACCAAAAATATGCTATAAGCATTACATGTAAAAAATCACACTTACCTTGAATGCATATTCTATTGATAACCTGGCCATTGCTTGGAGGAATATTTAGAGAAAACAGCCCCAAGACTACAAAGACTATCATACAGAACAGAATACTAGTTTTGTTTCCTGTATCTTTTAAAGTTATATTGAGTAACGTACACTTGTACTTGGCCTCCCTATTGTATAAAAAATTGTTAATACAAATGTTGAAATAATTAAAGATAAAAGTGTTATTAGATATACCTTCATCAATAGATAAATAATACAAGTCTTTGTTGTATAATAGTAGATGTGAATCAAAAAATGCTGCTGTATAATAAAGACGAGCATATACATATTTATTTATTTGTTGTTTTTGATCCAAGGAAAGAGAAAAATTAAAAAAAACATATTTATGTACAAAATGATATACATACTTCCAACATCAAATAATCTATAAAGATCTGTAAGTTATGAAAAAAAAGTAATAGCTATTAATATTAAAGAGAACATCCATAATAAGAAAATAAGATTAGAAGTTAAAAAAAAAAAATCTCGATCCGCTTTTGAAATGGAACGAAATAAATTATTAAATAGCAGCAAACGCTATATACAGTGTAAGAAATCTGAGCAATATGGTTATATTATTTCTATACTTTTTTGCACTAACTTTTATCTTTTACCTTTCAAAATGTCTACCTCAAATAATAATACTCATCAAATACCTGTTATCAGAACTGCTTCTAGTACTTGACAACATAATAGAGGAAAAACTGTTACCAGTAACAGTAATGCTGCTTTGTTGACAGCAAGAATCCAGCGCTTAGAAGTAACAGTCTTACGTTTGCAGGAAGAAGTTGAAGCCGGTAGATTTTCATTAAAATCTTCTGGCCAGAAGATTCTGAAAAATTTATATACCACTGTAAGTGAACCCCCCCCCTCGAAAGGCTATCACTTAAGAAATTAAGTCAAAGCCATCAAAGAAAGGAACAATTTCATTTCATATTGTCAAGTTTGTGGGGGGGGGCGGTTATGGATGTTCTGGATCAAAATGATATGAAGGGCCACTTTATTGTCATGGATAACTGTAAAATACACCATGCACGTTTTGTGGTTCAGGCTATCAATGATTGTGGGTATAAATCGTTGTTTCTCCCTTCTTATTTGCCCTTTCTTAATCCTATAGAAGAATATTAAGCTAAATTCAAGAGCAATATTAGAAGAAACCCGTTGAAGAAAAGAGACGAGCTGACTCCACGAGTTGCAGAAGCATACAGGTCAGTTACACCAAAATACTGTAAAGTATGGATAAGAAATGCTACCTCATATTGGGATAGATGCCTTCAAAAAAGAAGTCGGCCTAAAATAGTCTCAATAGTTTTGTCTCTTACATTACTTCTTTCGACTACAAAATCAAATGATAGATCTCTAAATTTTTATTGACGCGTCTAAAACAAAACTGAATTTAAATGTAGAAAAATATCATTGGTAACTGAAATTTAAATAATAATAATGGGGAAAGAGGAAATTTATAAAGAACAGGCTTTTTTTAACCTTTCTTTAAAATTTGGAAGGATAAGATTATATCTATAAATCGCCGAGTTTTTTATGATTTATAGTTTAACTCTTCTATTAAATCTCACAATAAATGTACAGTTTAGTAATAAAGAAATAAATAAGCAGTTAATAGAAGTGGAATACAATCTGCCATTTAAAATAAATGGTCAGAATAATAGAAAATTCAAACCAACGATAAAGGATTTAGAATCTAGAAGGAAAAAAGTCAAAACTATGTATCAATTGTGAATATAGAAGAAGTCGGCATAATTAGTTGATAACACGGGGAAATTAAGAGACAACACTTATACATCATTGCTATCGTCACGATGTCCCTGTTTTCATACAAACTTAATTATTGATAATAAATCACATGAAAACTTAAATATAGTCTTTGTCTGATATTATCTCGCACCTCAAGAAGTGACGAAACGACATGTCAATAAGTTTTTTTTATTTAATAAAAGCTCAAATGATTAGAATTGGGATTGTTGTATTCCTTAGTAATAAAGACAAAGACTATAAATGATAAGCCTAATACTGACTATTTAACAAGGCAATTAAAAGCTAATTTTCATTATTTCACTATTTCTTTATTTAATATTATAAGAGTACTTTTATGCATTTTTAAAATATGATTCTTTAATAAGGTGCACTTTGCTAAAGTACGAACTAAAACCAATTTTTTAACACACAAAACAGCAAATATGAATGGATTATTTTCATTCTTGTTTATTAAAATTGTTTAAACATACTTTGATCTATAGTTTTTGTGAAACTATTCTCATTCAAAAAAAAAAAAAAAACTACACATATTTATTGATTTCTACGTCTGAAGAGTATGTCTTTGTCTTGAGGACTACATCAGATGATATATTTTATTATAATTAAAACGAATGGTAAAACAGCTAGAATGCGATACAAGCAATTAAAAAAGACAAGCAAAAGTATGATGCATAACTTATTTAAAGTATAAATATGAAATGTATGGTGCATTCATATATACCCTTTATGTAGTAAAATAGAGATTAATCACTGTGTTTCTTCGTTTAAAGTAGGCAGTAGGTATGGTTTAGTGACTTGCTAACTTCTCGAAGAATAACTATGAATTTAATATAATTCATCATCTCTAATATCAAAGCACTATTCATGATAAGGGATGATATATTTAATATTGTAAATAAAATCAAGAAAAATAACTTGAAATAATAAAAAAGTTGATTAGAATAAAAGGGATTTTGGACTAAATATAAAAAAGAAATATATTGAAATAGAAATAAAATTACTAGGAATAGGAAACTATGCGTTCTCTATAGAAATCGTATTTTAACAAAATATGATATGATAAGATGGAACCTTGTTTTAATACATCATAATCCAGAGGCCCTAAGATCTTAATCACAGGTCCTATTGGAATCTACAGATTGTAAGATCTTGGAATGTTAAAGAATTGCCATTTTAGGATCTAGTCACGTTGAAATGTCAAAATGCTAGGATGTTAATAAGTTCACATTCTGGAATTGATTTAGAACGTAAAAATATCCAGATTTGAAATTATTGATTAGTGTTGTTATAGGATTCACTTTATTTCTAATTATATAGAATATAATAACACTTTACTCTATATAATGCAAAAACATACTTTTTTGTTCATACTGACTATTAATGTCTCCGAATCCTATATATTGTGTATTGATGACTTTTCGAATTTAATTTCCTTAGACATCAGAAATGAACAAATTATATTTTACTTGGTAGCTAAAAATTATTATATAGTAAACAAATTTTTATATTCCGCGTAGTATATGTATGAATATAAATATGTCTATTTTTTGTTTATGACAGGTGCCAGACAGGGACATTTTTATTATTATTATTTTTGTTTAGTTTTGTATATTTTGCCCCTCTTATTAATATAATTTCCATTCATTTGCATTATAAATGATACCTTCTACAATTTCAGTATGCTATAAACAAAGCCAAGTATGTCGAAAATATATATTTATATGTTTTTACCCCACTTTTTTTTTTGTGTGTGTTTGTTTTGAAAAAACTAATGTATTATAGAGGTGTCAATGCAAATTCAAAAAAATAAATATTCTTAATTCAGCATGGAAAAAAGAATGTACACAGCAAATGCAGCTTAAGCGATATTTTGTAATGAATAAATCTTATACATACAGCAATAGGCTAACAAAAAACGATGTTAGTGATCTCAACAAGCACTTTTATCACTTAAAGTCTAAATCTTGTGTTTTTAGATCCTTGTCATTTAATTTAGAATTAGGAACAGCTAGAGGAATATCAACTAGTTCAGTACTATTTAACAGAGATTATGAAGCCGTTTTATCTGCTGCGTTAGATCAGTCCAAGATTTCGACAGCGCAGTTATTATTTGACAAAATTGTCATTTTAATACGAAAGGGTAGTCCAGAACTTGCTTGGGAATGTTATATTGATTTAAAGCAACGTAAAGCTCACCAATTCATCTTCAATAATCAATACAGACAACTCATCAAATTATTTACCCATTCGAAGTCAAGCAATGAGCAATCACTAGAGTATATCTTATCATTAGTAGAAGATATGAAACAACTTGGGTATCAAGTGGGACAAAGAGAAAAGCTTTTAATGATGCGTTTATTGGGCCGTAATGGAAAAATTGAAGCAATGGAAAGCGTTTTCCAAGACTTGATTAAAGACCTGCGTTTGATAATACCAAATTCGCCAATGGCACAAAAACCATTTAATGTTGTGCTGGCATCCTATCAGCTTTATGAAAAAGATATTGGGTCAGAGGTGGTTGCTAGAAAATCTATGGATCTTTATAAGAAAATGTTAGACCTTAACATGCAGCCTGGTCAAAATATAACATTCATATTAATGGATAATATTCGATCGGCAGGTTTTTCAGATGACATGGTTGAGGAAGTATGGGATTGGGTATGGACTAAAATTGGTATGAATGTAGGTGGCAAGACAAAAGTATTAGACCCAATACTTTATAAAGAAATGATTATATATTTCACAAGTGTAGGCCGACCAGAATATGCCCTAGAAATTAATGATATCATGGTAAAAAAGAAGATTCCACGTTCATTGCGAATGCTAACAGCATTAATACACAAAGTGGGAAGAGCTGGTAATGTTGAACGATCTATGGAACTTTTTAATGAAATGGTGAACATAGACAAAATCACACCTAGCCTTGTTACCTATAATGCCTTAATCGATGTTTATGCTCATAAAAAACCAGACGCTAGTGTCAAAGATGCACATAAAGTGTATGACATGCTGAATGAGGCAGGATTGAAGCCTGATAGTATAACTTTTAGTATTCTTATCGATATGTATGCAAAACAGGGAGATCTTACTAATGTAAGGAGACTGATCGATACAATGGTGAAAACATATAATTTTGAACCCAATGAATATGTATTGTCATCATTGATTGAATGCTTTATTAAACTTCATGATCACGAGTCTGTTATGGAATTTCTACCATTATTGAAAAAGCAAGCATTACGTCGAGCAGCAGTAGCAAGACAAGCATATAATTTAATCATTAAAGGGCTTATTCAAGATGATTATATTCTAGAAGCTGTTGAACTTTTAGACTATATGTCAAAAAATATGATACATCTTGAACCAAGGACATTTACCCCTTTATTGGCTTATTACGCAAGGCAGGGTGATGTTTTGAACACGCACAAAGTAGCCTCTATGATGTCTCAGGCAAACGTAAAACCCAATTCACATACATATTCTATTTTAATGGAGGCATATGCTAAAGCTGGAGATATTGAAGGCACTGAAAACATTTTTAAGTTATGCAAGACACAATTTAGGCCTAATACCTATATTTATAATGCCTTACTTTATGTCTATGCTAAACGGAACGAGATGGATAAAGTATTAGAAACATACAAGCATATGTCGAACGCAAACGTACCTGCTAATGAATTTACTTATGGTATCTTGATGAATTTTTATTCAAGACGAAAAGATGTGAAGGCAGTAGAAGCATTAATGAGTACAATGTCAAATAATGTCACTCCTAAAACCGTCTCATGGACTATTTTGATGCAAACTTACTTTGAGAATGATAGACCTGAAGATGGAAGAGATGCATTAAAACGTATGATTGATGCTGGTGTTGAACCATCGATTATATCTTGGGGTATTTTAATCAAGGGCTGTGTTGACGCAAATGAATTAGAGTATGCCGAGTCAACCCTACAGGGAATAATTAAAAGATCAAAAGTAGAATATATATTAGATGAGCATAATTTGCTTCGAGACAAATGTTTTGGTTCAACCCGGACTTATATAAAAACAATTCCTGATACTATTGAAGATATTCTAAACAAAGCCCGAAAACCTATCAAAAGGAATACAGCCCTTTCATCTTTCTTATTTACACCTCTTATGGAGGCTTACATGAATGATGGAAGATATAGCAAGGCTAAAAATCTGTTTAATACTATGATTAATTTATCAGTACCTGTTTCTGTTCCAGCATATACAATTCTAATGAACTTATTTAAACATGAAAATCGTTTTGAAGCCGTAGAAACATTATGGAAATTACTCTATAACCGAACACCTGATAAGGATTTCATAGAAGGGCTTGACCCCCTTTTACCTAGGATCCCTTTACCAAAACAAAACTATGATTATTCGAATTTGCTCTTTTTAGATCACGATGCTGAAAGTATAGAAACGGCCAAACCTATACCAATACAAGCTACTCCTTTTGCATTATCCATCTATTTAGATACACTTATTGAACAAGACCGGTATACCGACATTGAAGATCTTTGGAACCAACTTACACAAGACGAGTACTGCTTCGATGAACAAAACTGGAATAGATATATTTACGCATTGCTTTTAAATGGTGAGCTTAAAAAAGCATGCGAAACTGCATATAGACAATTCCTTGAGGATAAACCAAAAGGAAGTAAGGGATCTGGTCAAGCCTTCAGTATAGTTCGTAAAAGAGATAAAATTGATATAGCAAATGAATATGGTCTTCATCTCCGTACATGTATTACATTTGCTGAGGTTTTCAAAATCCGTGGAACAGAGCATATGAATGATCATCAGCTAAAGTCAGTCGTGTTTAAGAAAATTGAAAGATATATACAAGACAAATAATATCCAAAAAAAAAAAAGACTTTAGAAACAATTAAAAAAGTATACAATAATCGTAATGTTATTTTAAATTAATATAGACAATAAAATATATAAATATAAAAGCAATAGCAATACATATGTCATTATCTGTATATCCATAATGAATGCAAACGATACTTAAGTGAAAAGATGTTATGTCTATACAAACAATATTAAATATAAGTATAGAAATAGAATTGGTAAAAATATGCGTGTGTATACAAATATTTAAACAATAAAATAATAATAAATCACTTTTATAATTTTTTTTCTTAAAAAAAAAATTGTTACAGGAATATATCTGCATGTATCTATATTAGTGAAAGCAAGCAGCTTGTATAGAGATAGAGTATACACAGTAGCATCTTTTTTTTTTTTTTTTATTAATTGATTAATGTTAACCACTTGTAGGTAAACCGACCATAACCTTAAAAGTATCATAAACTCCCCATTGAAGTGCAGTCAAGGTACCAATCATAAAAATACGAGGGCCAAGACCAGTCCATAGTCCTCGCATACCTAACTTTTTGAACATATCCATAGCATTAGCCTGCCTTTCACCAGGGGCAGCCTTTGGTTGATTATTTAATTTAGAAACTAACACATCAGCAGGATGGGAGACAACAGCACAGAAAACACCAGCAATGTAACCACCAGCAAAACTAACACCTAATTGTTGAAGCTTGTTATATTCTGATTTAGGCTTAGATAAAAATGTTTTGTAAAGCACTTCAACAGTTTTTTCAAAAGAAGCAAACTTGACCATTGTGTAAGGCACTTGCCGAGACCAAAGGGGAACAAGGCCTTTATAGAACCCATAGATACCTTCTGAAGCCATAATCTTTTTAAGCCCTTCAGCAGTTGTCGTAGCATAGGGAGGTATTGTAGTTTGCATTCTGATTTTTAATGCTTCCATTGGACAAAGAAAAATATCAGCAATGAATTCAGCAGAGGCAGAGGCTGTAAGATATACAATTGTACGATATTTATGTGCGTTGTCTTCACCAATTACTTGAGAATACTTGTATTTAAAAAATTCGTAGAAACCATATTTACTTGCACCTTGTAAGGAATAGCCAATGGCTGTAGGCCCAATTCCTGTAAAAATGCCACGAAAGCCTTCGGTTTTTGTAATGTTTTTCCAACCATCAAACACATTTTTATATATTCCTGGTTTTACCTATATTTATGCAAAAAAAAAAAAAAAAAAAAAAAAAAAAAAAAAAAAAAGAAAAAGAAAAGAAAAGAAAAGAAAAGAAAAGAAAAGAAAAAAAAAGAAGTTATAATTTACTTTTTAGTAAGAACTCTAATAATCCTTACCTGCGAGCGACACTTAACTAAATCTAAAGGCGTTACCAAAGAATGTGTCGGACTACATATAAAAATCGTTATAATACAATAGATATACAGTTTAGAAGGTATTTACCCACAAGCAAGAATACCGCCAATGGTACAAGCCAAAAAATATTTTTGAGAATAAAGATCAATATGCTTAGGGTTAGACATTAACAGTATAATATATAAGAGTAAAAGCTGCTAAAAAAAAAATCCTGCTTAGTTCCTTCATGTTATAAAGGATAAAATTCATGTGATCATTACACAGATTCTCGAATAATAAAATTACTTTATGAGTCATCCTTTTGCTTAAATTTCGTAGTACATCGGCTTTCTATATTTAAAATTGAAGTATAATTTTAAAATTTCATGATTAAAAATATCTTTAGTATGATCAACATTTGCAAACATTTCAATTGTATTTTGAGTATAGATCTTTTATTTTACGCCTCTTAAAATTTTAATTTACATATCAAATTAAAGTATAGGTTCAAAAAACCAAGTATGTACCAAAAGATGACACTGAATGCTTGTTCTATCCTAAATAATTATCGACAGTAATTTTCTTTGTGGAATCCGTGATATTGCTGGTAATATTTTCTGTGGAGACAAGAATACCTCTTTTTTGTACTAGCTTTAAAATAATTCAATTATATTTAGAAAAAAAAATAACTTTACTCATATAATTTAATAATTTTATAAATTGAAGCATTATCTATAACTAAATATCGCCCTATCATACCACGTTTATTTAACATATACATAAATTTCCTAATGAACCGAAGAAAATATTAGCCTCTTGTACCAATGTTAATATCTACTTTTTCAGTGTCTTCAGAGACTTTACCATCATCTCTTTCTTTCTTTCTTTCTTTCTTTTATTGAGTTATTTTTATTTATAAACAGCTTTAAGCTTGTATAACATTAGACCTGTAACGCCTTTCTCACATATTACGCCAGGAGTATTTATAATAACACTTTTATCAGAAGAGATGGCAACTTTAGAAGGCTTATATCACTTTGATCTTTCGAAATTACGCCTGATAGGCATATTCTATATAAAATAAAATAAAATATTGTATGCAAAAATAAGAAATATAGAATGTAGAAATTAAACTTTTATTTTGTAAAACATAAAGTAGAATAAAAAGGCGAACAGTGCAAATTAGTTTACATTTCTCTAATCAAAATTATCGTACTGATCATTATATACACCAAATTGAAGAATAGGAGCATTTTATTGGTCTTTTGCACAGCAGTTTAATCAAAGCATAGCATCATGTCTAAACAAGACTTGCACTTGATGAAAAATTAGCTGATGAAGAGCAGGAGTTTTATGTCAATATAAGAAAATCTAAAATTAGAAAGATCAATTATATAAAGTTAAATAAATATTCTCACTGTTAAAATTTATTTGCTTTATTATTTTCATTCTATTGTAGATAGTAAATAGCATAAGTGTATACATTTAAAATAGTAGGACAGCTATCAACTATTATTTTTTTCTATAACATAGAAAAATATGAAGTGATATGAGATGTTTTTATGTATTAATTTATAATATACATAGTTTATCAAATTATTTAAATAATTTTAGAAACAAAAGCAAGAAGGGAACAAAAAAGTTTCCTTTCAGGTTATACAAGAACAGTATCTTTGATATGTTTGATTTTAGTGCACATATACTTGATGACATTAAAAAGCATGAAATGGAATAATATCTAGTTAAAATCATTATTATGAAGAAGACCAAAGCTGTTATGAAATTAAATACCTATATCAAGGCTAAATTTGATAAAATTGACTTGTTAAGACCAGCTAGTACCATTGAACGGGTCCAAAAGGAAATATCCTGTTACATGTAATCCTAATCAATTTGGCTTATGTACTGAAAAGTTTATCTTATTCGTTAGCTTGAGTAATGCACATAGATAAATCACGCCTCTTTGCGATGAATAGAGTTTCTTAATATTTAGAAGAGGATTATAAGCTTAGGTTTTGGGAATTTATATTTGAAGAGTTGTTTGGATACTCTACAATGTCTATTAAATAGTAAGGCATATATATTTTAAACTTTAACAAAAGTGTTATGATTGTAATTGTCTTTACAACTTAGTTGATAGAGATAAACCATCGTTTGTTACATATTGAAGAGATTATTCAATTACAATTAGTACATTATAGACTTCACAGCAGAGTATTCATTCTACACTCAATCACAATAATAGTCATTATTAGAGTATTCGAGCATCAATAATAATTATGTAACGATTAGGATTTAATAGGGTTATTGCTGTTACATTCAATTACATAATTATTTATAAGCATAAATGTTATACAAATAGTCATTAATGCTAACAATAGTAGCTAGCTGGACTAAACATAACAAATATACTAAAGTACCATATTATGTATTATTTTGTCAAGATAATCCTTTTAAAGGCTAATGAAGATGAACCATACCATACTAAAATATATATATATATATTTCTATTATTTTAAGATTTATATATTATTATTGATTTTTGCTTATAATGAGTTGTCAATACAGTCGACGAAACTAGGTTGGGTCAATAAAATAAAATTTGGTCACTTTGTCCCAATTTGATTTGGAAATGACCAAATTTTATTTTATTGACCCAACCTAGTTTCGTCGACTGTAGTTCTTATTTGATCTGCGCATTATGTAATATACTTATTTTAAAATTAGTTTCAGGTGGCTTTGACTAGCATAAGACTGCTTTTTCATTTTTTTTTCTGTAAATTTAAGCTGAGATGGTTAATCAAGATTCAATACAGCAAAAATAGGCCTTTTTTTTTTTTTTTTTTTTTTTTTGTTCATTATTCTTTCAAGTCTTCCTCCAAAGAAATAAAAACTAATCAATATGAACATTTCAGTTCCTATTGGTACAGAGGTTGACTCTGTTTCTTTCTCTTTTTATGAGCCTAGCGAAATTAGAAAGATTTCTGTTAAGCAGATTGTGAATCCTGTCCTTTTTGATGCATTAGGTCATCCTACTAAGGGTGGTTTATATGATCCAGCACTTGGTCCTTACCAAAAAACTCAAATGTAAAAGACAAAGAAACATATATACATATATAAGAGAATATAACAGACTCATTTGATAATTCATTTGTAGTTGTGCCACTTGTTCTCAAGATCATTTCAACTGTCCCGGTCATTATGGTCACATTGAAATTCCCATTCCTGCTTACAATCCCATGTTCTTTGATAATCTTTATGCACTTCTTCGTGCTAAATGTGTATATTGTCATCACTTTCGTATTTCTAGACCAGTGGTATGTCTTGATAAGAAAAATGAATGATACAAAGTTATACAATTTTTTCTCTAATATATGTATATGCATTTTTTCTTAGATGAAAAAATATATTGGTCAATTTAAATTATTACAACATGGTATGGTTCAAGAAGCTCAAGCTTTAGATGAAGTATTGTACAACAATAAAAAGTCTAAGAACAATAAAGACGAGGATAATCTTGAGGATAAGATGGAAGAAGATAGTCTTTTATTAGCAAATGCTGAAGAATATATCGATTTTATTGACAATTATGTTAAGAATGCTTTGAACAATGAGGAGTCCCGTAAATTTGCGGCAAAGGACTATAAAGTTACAGTTATCAATGATGTTCGTAAAAAACTTATGGGTGAATTCATGAAACAGTGTGTTTATGTCAAGAAATGTCTTAACTGTCAAGGTATTTCCCCTCCTATTCGCCGTGATGGTGCAGCTAAAATTTTTCAGCTTCAGCTCAATAAAAAAGAACAAGCTCATATGGACCGTTTAAAGAGTAATATTGGTATGACAGATGAAGTTACGGGTTTTAATAAAAATGGTCAGCGTTTTATGACTCCTTATGAAGTCCGTAAGGAAGTTCAGGCCTTATTTGATAAAGAAGGCGAAATTACTACTTTATTGTACGGTTCACGTAATCCTCGTGTTCCTTCTCATATCAAAAAAGCTACTTATCATATGTTCTTTATTGAAACACTTGCTGTCGCTCCTACTCGTTTCCGTCCACCTTCCGTTATGGGTGATCAAGTATTTGAATCCCCTCAAAACGAGTTATTGTCAGGTATTCTTAAGGGCTGTCATTTAGTTCGTGATTTATCTGATGATCTTCAACGTGCTTCTGAAGAGGACCCAGTGGATAAGAACAAGGTTGAGCGTGTTCGTAATAACTTTGTAGATTCTATCATTAACCTCCAACACGCTGTTAACTCCTTTGTTGACTCCACTAAAAATCCTACACAAGTAGCTCAAGGTAAATCTTTGCCTCCTGGTATTCGTCAAGCCTTAGAAAAAAAGGAAGGTTTATTCAGAAAACATATGATGGGTAAGCGTGTAAACTATGCTGCTCGTTCTGTTATTTCTCCTGATCCTTTTATTGAAACCTCTGAGATTGGTGTTCCTCCTGTTTTTGCTACTAAGCTTACTTATCCTGAGCCAGTGACTCCTTACAATATTAAAGAATTAAGACAGGCCGTTATCAATGGTCCTAATAAATGGCCTGGTGCTACACATGTTCAAAATGAAGATCAATCTATTGATGTTCTTGCAGATTTAAGTATCGAATCTCGTATTGCCCTTGCTAACTCCCTTTTGGCTCCTCAAAGCTCTCATAACGCTCAAACAGGCAATAATCCTTATCCTACTCGTACTCAAACAGTTAATAAGAAAGTTTTCCGTCATCTTCGAAATGGTGATATGCTTATGTTGAATCGACAACCTACACTTCACAAACCTTCTATTATGGCACACAAAGCTCGTATTTTGCCTGGTGAAAAAACAATTCGTATGCATTATGCTAATTGTAATACCTATAACGCTGATTTTGATGGTGATGAAATGAATATTCACTTTCCTCAAAATGAAATTGCTCGTGCTGAAGCTGCTTTAATCGCCAATACCGATAATCAATACTTAGTTCCCACCAGTGGTGATCCTCTTCGTGGTCTTATTCAAGATAATGTCGATTCTGGTGTTTGGATGACATCTCGTGATACTTTCTTCACTAAGGAAGAATACCAACAGCTTTTATATGGTTCACTTCGTCCTGAAATTGATGGTACTGGTGGTGGTAAGATCCGTACAGTTCCTCCTGCTATTTTTAAGCCTCAACCTTTATGGACTGGTAAGCAAGTTATCTCTAGTATCCTTAAGAATTTAACTTGGGGTAAGGCTCAACTTAACATGACTTCCAAGAGCAAGGTCCCAGCTAGATTCTGGGGCCCTAATGCAAAAGATGAAGAAAAAGTGAATGTTATGGATGGTGAATTACTGCATGGTATTTTGGATAAATCACAATTTGGTGCATCCTCCTTTGGTCTAGTTCATTCTGTCTATGAAATTTATGGTGCTGAGTCTGCTGGTATGCTTTTGAGTATTTTGGGACGTCTCTTCATTAAATTTGTTCAAAGTCATGGTTTCACATGTCGTATGGACGATTTAGTTCTTACTAAAGAAGGTGATAAATGGCGTAGAGATTTATTAGAAAATGGCAAGAAGCTTGGTGATGAAGCTCATTTAGAATTCCTTGGTTTAACTGAAACTGCCAAGACAGCTAGTCCTGACATTCTTGAAAGAGAATTCAAACTTCGTATGAATGAAGTTATTCGTGATGATAACAAGTTAGCCGGTCTTGATAATGCTATGAAGGCTAAGGTTAACAAGTTAACTTCATCCATTACCCAAATTTGTCTTCCTAATGGTTTGGTGCGTCCCTTCCCTAAAAATGACATGCAGATGATGACTGTTTCTGGTGCTAAAGGTTCTAATGTTAATGCTACACAAATTTCCTGTTTGCTTGGTCAACAAGAACTTGAAGGTCGTCGTGTACCTCTTATGGTTTCAGGTAGATCTTTACCCTCTTTCCGTCCTTTTGATACCAGTGCTCGTGCTGGTGGTTTTGTTACAGGTCGTTTCTTGACAGGTATTCGTCCACAAGAGTATTATTTCCACTGTATGGCTGGCCGTGAAGGTTTAATTGATACTGCTGTAAAAACATCTCGTTCTGGTTATTTGCAACGTTGTTTGATCAAGCATCTTGAAGGTTTACGTGTACATTATGATCATACTGTTCGTGATTCAGATGGATCTGTCTTACAATTCCATTATGGTGAAGACTCTTTAGATGTTATTAAAGCTAAGCATATCAATCAATTCAGTTTCTCTGCTCACAACTTTGAAGCTCTCTCTCAAAAATATAATCCTAAGGCTGCCTTGGAATCCCTTGAAACAAAGGAGGGTGAATCTTATGCCAAGAAGGCCCTTAAGAAACCTAACAAGTATGATCCTGCTTTGTCTGTCTACAACCCTGGTACACATCTTGGTGTTGTATCTGAACGTTTTGCCATTGCTATGAAGGACTATATTGAGAAAAACCCCGATAATATGCCATTTGAAAAGAATACTGAAATTCCCAAGAACACCGCACGCTATGCTGGCTTGACCAAGAGTAAATTCAAGGCTCTTATGAACTTGAAATATCTTCACAGTTTAGTCGAACCTGGTGAATCTGTTGGTCTTCTTGCTGCCCAATCCGTTGGTGAACCTTCTACACAAATGACATTAAACACTTTCCATTTTGCTGGTTATGGTGCCGCTAACGTTACCTTGGGTATTCCTCGTCTTCGTGAAATTATTATGACTGCTGCTCGTAAGATTAAGACACCTACCATGCTATTACCTCTTCGCCCTGAAACTAGTGCTAAGAAGGCATCTCAATTCTGTAAGGCTGCTTCTCGATTAACGTTATCCCAACTTGTCGATAATGTTGCCGTTACAGAAAGAACAACCGCTAAGACTGCTGCAAATAACTACCGTAGAACAAAGACATACTCAATCCGTTTGAATCTTTTCAATGAAAGTGAATACAATGAGGAATATCGTGTGACTGCCAGAAAAGTCAAAGAGATTCTTTCTTCTACATTCTTAAAGAACTTGGAAGAGATGATTCGTAAGGATTTGAAGGATACCAAGAAGGTCGATGATATCAGCAAGGCACATAAGATGACAGGACCTGCTGATAATGATAACGTGAATGAAGATTTGGGTGATGCAGTTGCTCAAGACACCGGATATGATTCTGATCCTGGTGCTGAAGGTGATGCTAAAGCTGCTCGTATTTCAGCGCAGAATAAAGAACAAGCCTCTTACGATGAGCCTGATGAGGATGATATTATAACTGATGAAGTTGATAAATCTCTTGAAGATGAAGAAGCAGAATTTGAAGAAGCAGTATTAGCCGGTGAAGATGATGAAGATGAAAATGAAACACCTAAGAAATCCTCTTCTAAATCTGACCAGTTTGTAAAAGATGCTGTTGAGAAGAGTAAATATTGTAAGAAGTTTATCTTTGATGATGTAAATGGATCCTTCTGTCAAATCGATATGGAATTCCCTGCTGATACAAAGAAGATCTTGATGGTCAACTTGATTGAACAAACTTGTGCTCGTGTTGTTGTTCATGAAATCAAGGGTATTCAAACTTGTTTCGAATATGTTAATCCTACTGAAAATGATACCGCCAAGCGTCTTCAAACGGAAGGTGTGAACTTAAGAGGCATGTGGCCATTTGCTGATTTAATTGATGTTGATTTTATTGACACTAATGATATTGCTGCTATCTTGGATACATATGGTGTTGAAGCAGCTAGAAATGCTGTTATTAAGGAAGTAGCTGCTGTCTTTAGTGTTTATGGTATCAAGGTCGATCGTCGTCACTTAACTCTTATTGCTGATTATATGACCTTTGAAGGTGGCTTCAAGCCATTCTCTCGTATAGGTATTGGCTCTAACGTTTCTCCTTTCCTTAAGATGAGTTTCGAGTCTACTTGTAAATTCTTAACAGAAGCTACACTGTAAGTATCATATTCTTAGTATACAAAAACAAAATTGATTTATTTATTCTTCATTTATATATAGTCATGGTGATTATGATAGTCTTGATTCACCATCAGCTCGTATTGTTGTGGGTCGTGTTGTTGAAAGTGGTACCGGTTCATTTGACGTTCTTCAACCTCTTAGTGCTGAAGCTTAAGGGAAACATTCTTTCGTCCATCAATAAATATTTTATGTATACAATTTTTTTGTTTTTATTCATCACTATTAACTTATCCCACTTATTGCTTTTATAATAAAAAAAAAGAATAGACCTGTTTTTGATTTCTCCATAATACAGTTAAAATCTGAATATATTTTTCTGTAGTGGCATAATCATTAAATGTCCGGCAGCACACACTTTTTCTCTTTTCTTACTTTCTTTTCCTTTTTTTTTTAAAAAAAAACTTGATAATCTATAAAGATGGATGTAATTAAAGCAATACAATATTATGCAGATAAAATGATAAATGATGTGCCGGGTATGAAGGCACTTTTACTTGATACAGAAACAGTAAAGTAAAGCTGTGTTTATATGCAAATAGTATTTATCCCTTTTTAACATCTTTCTTTATAGACATCCATTATTTCGCTTGTTACAACTCAATCTAATTTATTAACTAAAGAATGTTATTTGATTGACAGAATCGATAATAGGAATAGAGATAAGATGAAGCACATGAAGTGCATCTGCTTTCTTAGACCTACACATGAGACACTTCAATACCTTTTTGCTGAATTAAGAGAACCTTCTTATGGAGATTATTATTTATGTAAGAAAGTATAATAAATCTGTGTCATCTATATCCATGTATAGGACTTATATATATATACATATATATTTAATAGATTTTAGTAATACACTTCGTAAATCAGATATTGAACAGTTAGCAGAAATAGATGAACATGAAGTGATCCGAGAAATTCAAGAGTATTATGGCGACTACCTTGCTATCAATCCCGACTTGTTTTCGTTAGGTCAAGATCCTGAATGTCTCTTTGGCTCCAACATCTCTAGTTGGGATGCAAATACCTTTGAGCAAACTGTTAAGGGACTTTGCTCTGTCCTATTGAGTTTAAAGAAGAAGCCTCTTATTCGCTATGAACGTGATTCACCTTTAGCAAAGAGATTAGCGCTTGAGGTGCAAAATACAATTATTTCAGAAGGACAATTGTTCGACTTTAGACGACCCGACACACCACCTATTTTATTAATTCTGGATAGAAAAAATGACCCAGTTACACCCTTATTAATACAATGGACATATCAAGCGATGGTTCATGAATTAATTGGTATTCACCATGGTCGTGTTGATATGACACATGTGCCCGAGATTAAAAATGAACTGAAGGTATATATTCAAAAAAAAAAAAAAAAAAAAAAAAAAAAAAAAGATATTTATTATAACATGACTAGGAAATTGTATTGTCTCCTGATCAAGATCCTTTTTTTAAAAAATCAATGTATTTAAACTTGGGTGATTTAGGTGCAACTATTAAACAATATGTTGATGAATATCAAACCAAGACAAAATCGAACATGAGTATTGAATCGATTGCTGATATGAAAAGATTTGTGGAAGAATATCCTGAATTTAGGAAATTATCTGGTAATGTATCAAAACATGTAGCCCTTGTCAGTGAGTTAAGTCGACGTGTATCAGAAGGACATTTATTAGAAGTTAGTGAATTAGAGCAAGGATTAGCTTGTAACGAAAATCATAATAATGATTTGAAGAGCATTCAACGTTTGATTGAATCTAACCATATTGATGATGATTCTAAAGTTCGGCTTGTACTGTTATATGCCTTAAGATATGAAAAAATGGCAACGAATGCAATTAAATCTTTGATTGATTTGCTGGATCAAGTAGGCATTAGTGAGAAAAAAAGCTCAGTAAGTTATTAATATAAATATGAATATGAATATGAATATAACACTTATAAAAAATAGCTTATTCCTGCTATCTTATTTTATGCTGGTTATCAACAAAGACAAGACGATTTATTTTCAAATCAATCTTTCTTTTCTCGTGGTAGAAGTGCGTTGAAAGGATTGAAGGGTGTTGAAAATGTTTATACCCAACATACACCTCATTTAGGAGATACCTTAGATTTGTTGGTTAAAGCTCGTCTTAAGGACACAGATTATCCCTTTGTTAATAATAACCATAATGATGTCTCTATACGTGAAAGACCTCAAGATATCATTGTCTTTATGTGTGGTGGCGTTACATTTGAGGAAGCTAAATACATTGCACAATTAAATGCTACTCTTCCTGGTGTCCGTATCATTCTAGGTGGCAATCTTGTTCATAACTCAAAAACATTTTTACAGCAAATTAGTCAAGTTGGTGAAAAATACATGAATTTATCTTCTTCATCATTAAGATAATAAAACTAAGTGTTTTACATGTTTGCAATCTATATTATAAGTGACCTATTTCTTTAATGATTCTACTGTAATTGACCCTATGCAACACTCTATTTATACACGCAGTCTCTTTGTTATATTATGCAATTAATATTCTCCAAAATAACTTAATCGAGTTTAATAAAGAAAAAGAAATAAATAAATGTCTACACACACACATACACACACACACACACACACACTATATATATATATATACATTGACATTCATCAAAAGTTACATCCATATATAAAATGTTTATGTATTTTTTTTTCTTTTAATAATTCTTTTGCTGTGTATATTTACTGAATTATTTATGCACCTTCTTGATAGCCTTCAATATATATAATCAAAATAAAACAATAATGCTCCATCTAATATCTAGGTGGGGCACCACGTCCTCTAAATCCACGACCTCTTCCTCTTGCTATACAAAAAATAAAAAAAAAAAAGTCAATTAATCATCTGTTTGCTAATTGCCAAAACTAATTTTAATATTTGTATATTACCTTGTTGAGCACGTGCAACAGTAGCTCTTCCTCTACCCAAGCCAATACCTCTTCCTTTAAGGCCACCAGGACCAGCTCCTTTAAACATGGGAGCATTCTTCAACATATCAGGTACAATAAAGAATCGAACGTGAGATCCACGAATATAAACTTGATCCAATTGTGAAACTCGGCCATCGCGTGCAGTCACTGTAATATCTTTTAATTGAACATTCATGTTATCTTCGGCTATAAACACGAAATAAAACTTTGATTAATCCTTGATTAAATACATGGATATATAAAACTAATTAAACCTTCTAATAATTTTCCACGATAAAGCTGTCCTGTCTTTAATTCTAAAGTAATGATGTGACCTTGTGCTTCATGGAGAAGTTTAATGGGAACGCCAATAGTCATTTTTTATATATATTGTGAATTTGTGTTGTGTATAAATATGTATATATATTTATATGATGTAGGAAAGAGAAAAAAAAGAAAAAAAAAATTAGGCAGCTTTGAAGTGAGTGAGAGAAAAAAAAAATTTGTGACGTATTAGATAATGGAGTTTCAATTGATTATCGTTCTTTCTGTCATCAGAAGTACATTCACAAAAAAAAAAAAAAAAAAAAACTATTGCACTATTAACAAAACAGTTATTAAAGAAGCTTTTTTTTTTTAAAAATATATTAACCTTGTTATCAACTAATAGTCTCTTTCCTATACTTCCATTTTATAGACCTATAATTTTTATTATTGAATATAAATCATTTAAAAGATATGCTTGTATAAATGTACAAGCATGCGTTTACACTTTAAATTTGGTGCATGATAATTATTTTTATTAATTATCATTACAGGTATATCATACACTTCAAAATAGTCGTTGGATGTATGTTCATGCAGCAAGGAACTTCTTGCTACCATTTTTATACCAAGCCACTATAGTATCCTCTAAAAAAGGAAATAGTGACTATTTTTCGAGCTTCCCCTTTATGTCAAAAAAAAATCAATATGTGAGTGTACGTTTTTCTTTTTCTTTTTCTTTTTTTTATTCCTTTAAAGATGAGTAAACTTTTAAAATTTGAAGGCTATAATTATTTAAGACAAAGACTTATTCTTGCCACATTAAGTGGTAAGCCTGTACGCATTGAAAAGATCAGATCCGATGATGAAAATCCCGGTCTACGAGGTACATATTATGATTCTTTATTTATACGCATACATATTTATAATATTATTTGACCTTGAATCGTAGAATTCGAAATGAAATTTCTTAGATTATTAGAAAAAGTAACCAATGGATCTGTTATTGAAATTAGTTATACAGGTACATCTCTCTTATATAGACCTGGCGCTATCGAAGGTGGACGTATTCAACATGATTGTGGTACTGATAGAAGTATTAGTTATTATTTGGAACCAATGATAGCACTTGCACCATTCTCTAAGAAGCCATTTGTATTAACGTTGGAAGGTATCACAACAGATCATATCGATCCTTCAGTAAAGTATAATTTTATTTGCAAAAAAAAAAAAAAAAAAAAAAAAAAAAAAATGGAAGTATTTATTTTTTTTCTTAAAAAAAATTATAGGTGGATCTTATACGTACAGTTTTATTACCTCAATTGAAAAGATATGGTGTAGATCAGAATTTAGAACTTAAGATTACAAAGAGAGGAGCACCTCCTTTGGGTGGAGGAGAAGTTATATTTTCATGTATTCCTATTCGACAATTAAAACCAGTTCAATTTGTGGATGAGGGACGTATCAAGCGTATTCGTGGTATTGCCTATTGTACTCGTGTTTCTCCTCAAACTGCAAATCGTTTGGTTGAGTCTGCTCGTTCATTATTAAATAGATACATTCCTGATATTTATATTTATACTGATGTTTATAAAGGAGCTGAAAGTGGCAAGTAAGTAAAGAAGAGTGAGAGATGAGAGAGAAAGGAAGCCAACTAACTTATATAATAGATCACCTGGGTTTGCATTATCTCTAGTAGCAGAATCAAATACAGATGTTTTATTGTCTGCAGAAAAAGCAGCAGAACCAGGTCAAACACCCGAAGATGTGGGCATTATGGCATCTAAATTATTATTAAATGAAATTCGCAAAGGTGGTTGTGTGGACACTACAAGTCAATGGTTAAATTTATTAATGATGATTTTGGCTCCTGAAGATGTTAGTAAAATTAGAATTGGTGAACTTTCTGCGTTTACGTAAGTTGATATATATACAAGTGGTTTTTATAATAAAGCTAATTTGATATTTGTATTATTAGTATTCAATATTTACGTGATATTAAGTCATTCTTTGGTGTATCTTTCAAAATACAGCCTGATGAGTCAAATGATACAATTCTTATGACTTGCTTAGGTATTGGTTATGTAAATCACAATAAAAAGACAACATAGATAGCATTTTGTACAAATAAAACCTATAATATATATACACACACATACACACACACACACATATATATATATATATATACAAAGAATTTTATTTATTACAGTTCCATGAAACATGTGATAATAAAATTGAATACTTGTATGGACTCTATTTATTTTAAAAGAATGAATGAACGATAATAGTGGAAGCTAACAATAAGATTAAAGTAAAAAAAGCTTATTTAGAATTCAAACTAAAAGTAGGTCATATTAATGAGAATTTCTTTAAATATTCAACAAACTTCTTTAAGCTATAACAAAAAAAAATGAGAATTAAAAAAGGGAGAGGGTTCATTAAGCTTTATTTTTTATATACGAATACAACAATTGCTTTAATCATTCAAAATTTACATTTTATATATATTTCAAGTTTGTCAATTCTCCTTTTGTTAATTATAAAGGAGTCTTCTTCTTTTTTTTTTTTACCATTGAAATATACCAACTATTAGAATCACAAACAGTCAGAATGACCTTAGCATTTGAATCTTTTGCATAGTTCTTTATAAAATAAAGCTACAAGTCAATCAATAGAAGCATTGTGGTCTTTGTATAGCTTATCCCAATCTGCCTTATCTCTGTCGAGATAGGTTTGATAGAAATTACCTGGTTCTCGTAATGTATCTTACCCGAAGGATTTTATGACATATGTCTTATAACGATATATATATATGTATATGTATAAGCAAGATTGCTATTAATAATCAAATTTAAATGCTAACAAGATCACTATCGTTATAAATGCAAAAAGTATTTTGTTTCCTAGCTTTGCCTATAGATCCTCTTTTATCTCAATTGTTATGGTATAACACTATCATCAACTGATTTAGTTTAAAAAGAAACACATCCTTTTCAACCAGGAATAAAAAAATTAAATCCTATCATCAGCATTAAAAAAGTCTCTCATAAGTCTGAATGACTAACTCATTGAAGATGATGTATATCATTAAAACTTATTCTATATTCAAACTATATTATTTGAATGAGTATATTAAATATATCCTCTAGTCATCTAGTGGTCATTTAACATACTATCCAAAGCGTTCTATATAAGCAATGAGAAAGCAATATTCCTCTACCCACCATCTACAAGGAGGGGAGGGGGCATTGCCAGCCTCAAATATCTGAAATGTGTTGAAGATTCTTTCAAGTTAAAGCATATCAAGTATGGGCTGCGTTCCTATTCTTGGTATAATTTATTTTGCATGTTATCCTCCACAAACCTAATTCTATATCCCACTATAATACTTTGTTTTTATTCATGTCTCTTTTCCCACTTTCTGACTGTATCATAGCTCTACTCTATAATACCTTTTGCTTCTTAAAATTGATTACAAATAGTACTATTTTTGTTCTTTAAAATTAAATTTATTACAAATAATAATAATTATTATTATTATTTTTATTTTATTTTTTTATTATTTTTTATTTTTATTTTTTAAAGGAGAGGATTCATAGAGCTTATTCTTGCCCTTTTCTATCCTTCCTTTTTTCACTGTACGACTTGCAGGCATCTTCTTGCTGCATTGTACTAACTTGTTCTTGTACTGTAACAATTTTGCTTCCAGCAACGAACGAGATTCATAGCCAGGCCACGATCCTCGTCGGATGGGCACTATTGGGCTTGCAAAGGACTCACTTGAGGAAGATGGGCTCTTGGGTGAGTCTTCCTTTTCAATTGCTACTTTTGAAGAACAAGGTTTATTTGTATGACGGGTATAAGGTTTGTTATTGTTCTTTGACATTTTTCTTTCTTCTTTCTTTGTACGACAGACCGTCAATTTCCTGCCGTGCTGTACAACATTTTTATTTTCAGCCTTGTTCTCTTTGGACAAATGGTCATCTACTTTGTAGGATGACTCATTTGGGGCTTGCTTCAATTTTAAAAGAGAAGACGTTGTATTTTCATACAATCTTGAAGTAGAGAACCTAGGAGCTGTTGTTGTTGTTGTTCTTGTTCTTGTTCTTGTAGCTCCATTGGATGCTACTGTGACGTTAGAATCAGACTCATTCTCTGAACAAGAGGCTATCATATGAGTTATATGTAAATTTTTAGCTTGATTATAGTCAACAGTTTTGATAAAAGATTTTAAAATATCTTCAGAGACTTTTTCAGAATAGGATTGAAAAAAGAAACGAGCGGAAGATCTCACGCTTTGATCAGCATCCAAGGAGGAAACACGAATGGCATTTTCAACCACTGAATGAAACTTGATGACTTGGCTAGCATCATTCGAGTTCACAAGGGTAACAAGGCATTCAATAATACCACGACGAAGGATCGTATTATTTTTGTGCTTGACTTTATTAGTCAAGATTTCACAAAAGAAGGGGAGTAACCGTGGTAACTTTGCATGCTCAATCACACGCTTATAGGATTGAAGCATTTTTGTAGTATGGATTTTATTGTTACGACCCAGTTCTTTTATAACCGTATTGACAAATAAATCATTAAGTTTAATGAATTCAGTACCTAAGGCAACTGCTGTTTCTGCCAATACATCTGATGCGGATGCAGCAATAGCATTTCTTGAAGAGCCAAGCTATTCAAAAAAAAAAAAAAAAAAATTAATAAAGGAGGAGGTTTTTTTTTTCATGTGATAGGATACTTACACATTTACAAATAGGGTCTTTGAGGATTTTGATTGATTCTACAAAGCTAGAAAATCTAGCAACCCCCTTGACTGAAATCCAACCGGCAAGTTTTTGTAACCAGTTATCAAACCCATTACAGGTGTCTTCGTTTTCTTGCTGGTTCAAGAAGAATTTCAAATATTTAATTTTTTTGTTAAAAGTATTTTCAGTCTTTATCTACATTGTTATCAAGAAAGACGTGAGAAAAAAGAAACTATTATTTGACGCGTAATCAAAATAAATACACTTACTTCTTCCAAGTAAATCATTTTTTTAAGAAAATATATAGATAAAGTTAATAATATAAAACGCTTTTTTATTTTTATTTTTCAAGTAAAGGTAAATAGCTCTTGAAATAAGTAAAGAATAATAAAAAGGTTAGAAAGAAAGAAAAAAGAAAAAGAAAAGGCACCCATATTTTATATCCTAAAAATAAATTAAAGCAGTTGTATGAGAAAAAAAAAAGGATGTATTCATTAACTAATCTCTTGTATAACATTGTTTGTTTATTTAAGCTATAAAAGTTGATGCATATTTTGTTATACCTAAACGAACGATTGTTTGTTCCAAAATGATTATTATTTAAACAAGCACAACTGTATCATAGAATTTATGAAAAGATACAGGGATAATAGGCTTCAATCGTAAATAATTATGAAAGAAAGACATATCTCCTCTAATGACTATACGTTAAGGCACTTTTATTTAGGAAGAAGAAGATCGGTTTATGTGTACAAATAGGAGCCTATATATGATGTATTCATTAATAATTACATACTATAAAGAGTATTATGTTATTTATGAAACGATAATATTAGTCGTACAACACTAATGAAACATATAAAAAATAAAATAAGGAGAGAAAAGGGAAAGGAGAAGGGAAAGGGAATAAGGGAGAGGGGAAATGGTTTAGGTTTGACGTCTATAACCAATTATTTTCACAAGCAACAAATTTAAACTTATGCATATTCTATCTTGTACTACTTTTCCTAATCTTTTTCATCTTCTTTCCTCCTTTTCCTAAAAGACTTCCGTAGTCTAGCCTTTTTACTTTTTCATTATTCAATTACACAGTTTTAGGAATGTGAATATTGCAGTTTTATATTTACTATAGAAGTGTACACGTTATCTTTTGGGCAGCTAATGATAGAACAATAACAGTATCAAAACAAATTTATGCTTTGAAAACGAATAGCCGTAGTACATATTGCGAATTTATTTTCTTTGCTCCAAAAGAAAAAAAAAATTACTTGGCGATGTATTGCTAGTAATTATCTAAAGATCATTAATTCCAAGTAATAAACATCTTTATGATACAATTATAAAGGACAAACAGATTTAATATTCTTTGATCGTTACAGATATAAAATAACTTATTGATTGAACAGAAGATAGATGTGTCCTTAGACTGTAGTATTTCATAAAAATCATAAATTGTATGATTTCCTTACGACTTTTTTTTTAATTGACAAGATAAAGAAAATATGAAAACAAAAGACTAGTCTACACAGTTTATTAAAGAATTAATAATATAAAAAATAAAAATATGGAAAATGGAGAGTTATTTATGTGGTTTTTACAAGGCAAGTAAAGACTGGCGTAATAAAAAGAATTATGTAAAAATTATTTTGTTTGAATCATTCTGATATTTTCTTTCTGGGCTGTCGCTGATACTAAAGATATAACAAATTATTATTTCTGAAATAAGCAGCGCGTTCATATTAATTCACAGTGAATATTCCCGCTATAACAATACATGCTACTATTATCATTATCATCCACTAAGATGTTATTACATAACAATATTCAACATTATAGATGTATGTGTAATATGTATAACTTATGTAAGTGATTATGTAATTGAGTATAACAGTCATAATCCTATTGAATTCTTATTATTACATAATATTATTATTTTTTTTAATGCTCAAATACTCTAATAATGACCGTTATTAAAACTGAATATTGTATAATGAACATCATGCTGTAAAGTACAATATACTGGTCTTATTTGAATAACATCTTTATTATGTAATAAACAATGGTTTATTTCTATTAACTTAGTTATAAAGACGACTACAATCATAACAGTAACTCTTACAAACAAAAGCAAAATATCTGCGTTAAAATGACCAAATATTGATTATTAGCAAAAGAAAAGAAAAATCAATAAAGACAGTTTTATCCTTTATTCATATAAAATAGATAATTGACAAATTACAGGAATAATTTGGTAGACACACTATTTCTCCCTGTAATTATAGGAAATAATACATCATTATTGTTTATAAAGCATGTCATGGAATTTTGTTTTATTTCCCGAACGTGCAGAAGATCATAGTTATATGAGTTGAGCTGAAAAAAAAAAGAAAAAAAAAAGATTGGCTCAGTATAGATAAATTATTTTATTATGTAAAATGAGTATACTTAATGATGATATAAAGTATTTTTTAATCACTTACCAAGCCTATTGCTTTATTTCTTTTAAATTAGGAAAGAAATTTCTATGGATTTGGTTTATTTTTATTTGAATAAAGCCTATTTTAAAAAAATTCTTGTTTTCGTTTGGACGCGTTTTTTTTTCCTTTTTATCCTTAAAGTAATAATATGTTATTTTATATACAAACATGAATTGAATTAGTGGAGCATTTACAGTTACTGCTTTCATGTATGTTTCTCAATTTAATCTCAGTCTCTACCAAAAAAAAAAAAAAAAAAAATTAAGTTACTCTATAGATTCATTCTATCGTCATTTTCATATAAACATTCTTTCTTTTTAAGTGTACATTTTCCTTTTTTTTTCTTCTTCTTTACTTGCATTTTTTTTTTGTTGTTATTTCTTTTAGAATGAGAGAAGTTAATGCAATTGACCAGAAGCGTATAGTTAATATTGTCTTTAAGGCATTACTGATTGACTTGTTTTCATTCACAATCATTCTTCCACTTTTCCCAAGATTATTAAACTACTATCAGTTTGAAGAGGGAAGTCAAAAGGTAAGATATATTTACTCATTTTGATATGATTTTAATGTGACTAATTTTTACTTTTATACAATTAGGAAAATATGTTGGGTTATTTCCTTCAAATCCTGGAACAGTTTAAACATCTTATTGTTACCAATAAGCGTTCTTCAACAGACAATTATGCAGATAAATGGGATACAGTTTTGTTAGGTGGATTGGTTGGATCTTTATTTTCTTTATTACAATTCTTCATTTCTCCCATTATTGGACGTGCTAGTGATCGTTTAGGTCGTAGAAAGGTTTTATTATATACGATGGTAAAGTAGAAGGTGCACTTATTAAGTCGAAAGGGAAAAGAGAAGAGAACTTGTTTTGTATGATATTAACATATTCTTCATAGGTAGGTAATATTTTATCTACTTTAATATGGTTGTTTGCTCGTTCTTTTACCTTATTTTTGTTGGCTCGTATCATTGCTGGTTTAAGTGAAGGTAACGTTCAGTTAAGTATTGCTATTATTTCTGATGTGACTACACCTGAGAATAGATCAAAGAATTTGGTAATTTTGTATATATATATATAACTATTTATATATCTTAACATATTTATCTAATATGATTTATCATTATCATTTAGGCATTAGTGGGTATTGCATTTGCCATTGCCTTTACTGTGGGTCCTGCTATTGGTGCTTGGTTTGCCTCTATCGATTTGAGTGTCAACTGGCCTTTCTTGGTTAAATTTGGTATCTATCCTTATTCTATGGCTGCCTTTGTTGGTCTTGTTCTTTTAATCATTGAAACATATTACATCAAAAAGAATTTACCTGAAACTATATACTATCGTAGAGAGATAAATAAGAAGCAACAACAACAAGATGCTTCAACTACTACTACTACTACTACTACTACTACTACGACATCCAAATCTATTCAACATCGTTTACACAATTTAAAAAGTCTTAAACAACTCATGTGTCTATTTTCTTTCTTATTTTCGGGTATGGAATTTACATTGGTCTTCTTGACATTTGATGTACTTGATTATAGTCATATGCAGCAAGGCAAGTTATTAGGTTATATGGGTATTGTATCAGCACTTATTCAAGGAGGTTATGTTCGTCGACGTGTTGAAAAATTAGGTGAAAAATCAATTATTATTCAAGGTATGGCAAGCTGTACTTTTGGACTTTATTGTCTAGCACATACTGTAATGGCGAGCCATCCAACCTTTTGGCTCTATTTGGGTGTCACCTTATTAGCATTTACATCAGGTACAGTTGTAAATTGTTTGACAAGTTTAGCTAGTCTTCAATGTCATGAGGATGAAACGCGTGAAGATATACTTTCAAAGGGTCGCGCATTAGGCGAATTCCGTAGTTATGGACAATTGGGTCGTAGTTTGGGTCCTATCTTTGCTTGTACTCTCTATTGGATTTTTGGACCCGGTCTTTGTTATGCATCAGGAGCTATATTTATGCTCTGCACAACTTGGATTACTATTTTGCATGCACCTACTGCTGGAAAGCAAAATAGAAATACACCAGCATCTACTATCAAAAGATCCGAGAAGGCTGAATAATTAATTTTTTTTTTTCTGCTTAATACATGTTTATATTTTTTTTTTTCTTAAAATAAACGCTGGTATAATAGATAGCAAAATAATTTGTTTCAGCATAAATTTATCTAAAAAAAGTCTAGTATTTTATTTTTGTTTAATAATTTCATCATTAAACAGATAGCATAATTTTTTTTTTTTTTTTTTTTTTTTTTTACAAGCCCTTGTGAATAACCAAAAAGACAAAGAAGAAACATTTACAATATGTATATGTATTATAAATATATGTTTTATTTAAATTTGTGTGTATGAGCATATTAAAACTAAAATGACACATTAAAATAAGCCTTCTTTTGTGATTTATTTAATACTTACATAATTACTGGGAACAATTCCTATTGTTCCATCTTGCTTACGAGCATGCCACCAATTACCACGTTTATCCAAAATATCAAGTACTTCATCTTTCTTGAATGAAATTTCATTTGGATCGTCTGTATTTGCTTGATCTTTATATTATATGCGATTAAATTAGTTATGTATATGTATGTTTAGTAAGATGAGGGGAGGAAAGGAATCACTTACAGTCATGCAATGCTGTAGCTTTTTCTACATTTTGATTTTTATTAGCACCGCCATCAGCATGAGAAGAAGCTAGATCACTTTCTTCATCCCTTTGGTAAGGTAGAGGAGCATCTCTTCTCTTATTGTAGTGATTCGTTGTTGTATCGTCTCTATCTGTTCTTTGTGACATAGAAGGTCGAATCGAATTATGGTAGCCACCAAATCGAGAACCATGATGGTTACCATAATCATGATTACCTCCAAATCCACCACTTCCTTGACGAATATCACCACTGCTTAACCATGTACCACCAGGTGCAGATAATTCAAATGCCCAAATAAACTAAAATAAATCAAATCAATTATAAATATAATAGAGTATACATATGTTGTTTTTACTTACTTCAACAATAGTTAAAATCACAGCACCAGCAGCAGCAGCTCTTGCACCTTGATTATCATTATGATTTAATGTCCATTGACAAAGCCAAGTCAAATAAGCAAGACTTAATGCCATAAAGAGATAAACCTAAGTTATAAATATATATAAATCAGTCATCATTAAATCTTATATGTATATATTCTCATTTACCGTGTTATGCCAATGCTCGAAAAGGCCAGTACCGAGAAATACCATCACCATAACTACAAACGCAAGTTCAAAAATAATTATCCACCAAACTACACCATGAAATCCTGCAACACAACCACCAATAAATAGAATTAACCAACCAGCCTAAAATAAAATAAAGGGTTCTATGAACACAAGCTGTCAAAAAAAAAAAAAAAAAAGTCAGTTAGTCAGCCAACTTACACAAGCTAAGGCTGATGTGATTGCAATCAAAGGACTAGTTAAACTATGATTATATTCTCCCATGTTTAAAGATAAAAGAAAACAAGATAAAATGAAATAAAAGAAAAAGATCACCAAATAATACTTTATATTATCTCTCTTTCTCTTTTTTTTTTTTTTTTTTTTTTTTTTTTTTTGTTTTATATTATAACTGGGGAAAAGTGAAAAAAAAAATCAGAAACAGCTTTTACATCATTATTTGACAAAAGAGATAAATCTCTATTATATGTCGTTTCAAATGTTATATAGATTTATTCATGTGAGTAGAGTTAAATATTAAACAATACGTAATACATATAAAATCATTATATGATAGACGTGTGTGTAGTCATCCTTAATCACATTTTAACGATACTAAGGAAAAAATAAATTTAGTATATACTACTCTTTATTTTTTGTTTTTTATTTTATTTTATTTTATTTATTTACCTTGTGGAAACCAATATCATTGGCATATTCACGGAAACATTGACGACAGATGTTCAAGTTGTACTTGCGAATCAAACCAGCACGATGAGCACAAACACGACTATATAATAAAATAAAATAAAAATTATATAAATATTACTGTTTCATTATTACAAAACAAAAAAAAAAGGAGGAGAAAAAGGAAGAGAAGAAAGAAAAAGGTTAAACCCGAAATTTCATCAAGATTAAACACATAAAAAACAACATGAAATAGTTGTTCATTAAGTCTTAATTTTTAGAAAATAAAATCAACTTTATCTCATCGACCCTCCTCCATCTCTTCCACTTTTACTTGATACATTACCATTGACGAGAGCCCTTACCATAGGACTTGGGATGAGAGTTCCAAACGTTAGCGTGAACCATATTGATATTTAATTTCTTCTAAAAAAAAACAAGAAAGAGAAAGAAATAACAAAAAAAAATTATTGATGCCCGACTATACTGACTTCCTTGTAGCGGATAACTCTTCCTTACCTTGGATATTTTGCAGAGGAAAAATTTTTTATTTTTTTTCTTATTTTATTTTTTTTTTTTTTTTGTTATTTTTTTTATACAATTCTGACTAAGCCACACGAAGAGTGTATGTAGTTATTATATATAAAATTAAGTAGTAAGAGATCAAAAAAAAAAGAACATACGAGTAACAATTAATAAAGGTAAACATAGTTTTAGAATGCATCCTCTAGCAGTTAAACAAGTATATTTATCTTTTGAGAATATAAACTTTAAGTCTGCATGCATATTCCCCTCCCTCCCTAAAAGAAATAATAAGATTATATGATGTTTGTGCAGCAATAAGCTTTGTAAAAGCATGTGAATCATCTTTTTTTTTTTTTTTTTTTTTTTTTTTTTTCAAAAAGTATCAACGTGTTATTGCTGTCGAGACACACAAAGCTTTCATAACAATTTTATTGCCTTTTCTCCTTTCTATGTAAAATAAGTATAAGCATTATGAAAATTTGAAGATAAAAAAAAAAAGATAATATGTATAAAGCAGCAGCAACAATAACGTAAATAATAACTTGAATGTGTTTCTGGCAAAAATCTTGACTATTATATATAGTACTAAAGCTATCATTATTCGAGACAGTTACATATTTTGTTTAATAAAATAATAAATGGCTAATAAAATACTATATATTATACAAGTATGTATATTTAAGATGGTTACGCTAATAAATAAACTTTTTATTTATTTATTTTTTGGCCAATTTGCACCATTGTATCACATACTACTAGCAGCAACTTTATTAGAAGTAAAATCAAGTTTAGACTTATTAGCTTTCATTATATAATATAATAGAACAGATCAAGAAGAATAAATAGTGATATAATTACTTATTTGGAAATACTAGATTGTAGGTTTCCAATTCCCCCCCTCCACCACCTCCTCCTTTTTATGTACACTCCAAATTAGCACACCACCAATCATTTTTCTACAATATCCTTTGAATTCGACTTGGCTTTTTTTTTTTTTTTAATGTATAACAAAATTGAATATTTTATTCCCTTTTTTTTTTCCCCTCTCGAGACATATCAAGAAAATCTAAATAAGAAAAAGAAAGAAAGAAAAAAGGTAAAGGAAAAATTAAAGAAGATATGCAATATAATGTTATAAATTTAACAAAATTATAGTACCTAATACATATATAGCTTATCATTTTAAACAATTTTTATTTTATTTTATTTTATTTCTCTTTGAAGAGGGGCGAGGAGTGCCTTTTTTAGTTCGAATAACATAATGGTATATATACAATTACCTGATGGTACACAAAAGAAATACGCTTGTCGAAAATGTATAAAGGTATTTAGACATGGACATTGACAGCACTGATGTATAATAAAACTTATTTTTATTTTATACTTGAAAAGGGTCATCGTTCTTCTAAATGTACACATCATGATAGGGAATTATTTGAAATTAAAAGAAAGGGACGACCTATAACGCAATGTGAAACTTGTCGTTTATTAAGAAAGACGCAACAGGTACATGCTAAATGTGAATGTCGTATAAAAAAGAAAGAAAGTATAAAACAAGGTATGTAATAAATAAACCTAATATACGCATGCATGTTAAATTTATGTCTATTTTAGAATCTATCTATACGACTAATAATAATAATAATAATAAAAATGTTGTTTTGGATGAAAAGATTCGATATTATGAATTTTCCTTAAATGGTAAAATTATACAAATATATACAAATGCAAATATCTATACTCAGTACTATTTTGTAAAATTAGTAAATAAATCTGAAAATACTTTGTGTTTTCAATGTGATAGACCAAGACTTTATTGCATTTGTCATAACAGTAGTAGTAATAGCAGTATTTGTTCAGAGGGCTCATCTTCTCCTATTGTTATCACTAGTCCAGCTCCTGCCTCGGTCGTATCAGAAGGGCGTCATTCGATAATACCAATACATGATCCATCGGATGATATTGATAGTGATACACCTATTTATAAACCCTTACTAGAAGAAGATACGACAAGTAGATTAGGCGAATTTACAAATAAAAGTTCAGAGGAATTAATGAATCAAATTTATTCTGGCTTTAACAATTCATGTTGCTCTTCTACTATCGCGTCACCTTTTGTCAAAGAAGAAGAAGTAGATACATTTATTGAACTATCAAGAGAATAGTATATACGTATATATGTATATATGTATGTATGTATGTATTTTTTTTTCCTTTATTATTATTATTATTATGAGTGATAATAAAATTTGGCTTAAATTGACATGGCTTCATTCTCATCGTATGTGTATATTTTAACAAATCCATCTATAAAGTATACATGTTAGCATTCATCTGTAAATATATATATATATATATACATATAAGTATATATATTATAATATGTATATTTTACCATCACCACAAGAAAATAATAGTGGCTTATATGGATGGAATATAACATCTCTCACTTCAATATCTATAATAAGATATCATTTAATTTACATAGGATACGATTTCACCGATTAAAAAATAAAATAAAATATTACCTTCATGTTCTTTAATGATAGCAGCTACTTTACCCGTTGCAATATTAAAGACAAAGATTTGTCCATAAATGGTAGGTGCCAGTATATAGCGACCATTTGAAGTAATTTTAACAAGCCACGAATTTGCATGATAACTAGATTATATATACAAGTGAATATGAAGAGAAGAATCGACTCTATATACATATATACTTTACTCTTCATGCATAAATTTCTTTACAGTTTCCAATTTAAATTGTCCACCTAGTTCAGTTGGATACGTCAATTTATGTAGAGTACATGTATTTGGTTTAGATGCTTTACATATATAATATGTTATTCAATTTAATGATAAAAATACACGTGATATACATATCTATTGTGGCTTACTTACATACTCCTTCACTCACATCACACATCTCTGCACCACGACTAATAAACCAAGCAAAAGGAGTATCATTCGATTTGTTACTTTGCTCTTCTTCTTCTACTACAGATAATTCTTCAACACGTCTTTCTACTTCATCTATCACTGTCGTCTGCTGTTGATCATCAACCCAATGAATAAACTTTCCACAATCACAATAAGATGAATACATATCTTCAAATGTTTGAAGTAACTTTATATGCACATATGTATATATAAGATGAGTTGTATAATAGTTTATATATATATATTATTGTTATTAACATTACCATAGCATTCTCGAAATCATAAAGTCGAAGATGTTCATCGCAAGCAGCAATAAAGTATTTATTACCTGTATTAGGTACAAAGCTAATTGTAAATGCCATACATGTTAAGCCGTCTATCATCTTTACAGAATCTAATAATTCACTATGTATAGCCAAATGTGTATATATATATGCATATATACATCTTTAGAAACCCCCCCCATTGAACTAATTTTTTCTTCTTCTTCTTCTTCAATAAATGGCTTACTTACGTCCAATCCTTGTTCATATGCCATTTAATAATATATCCATCTTGACTTGTAGAAACAAAGTAAGGTTCACCCTTAAAACGAACTGCTTTAATACACAAGATCTCTTCCATATGGCCTTCTAATACCGTTACTCGTTCACAGCTCTCAATACGAAATACTTTAAGAGGACAAGGTAAGATGTGATTATCACCATCCTCTGCAGACCATCGATGTCGATCCTTTAATTTACCACCTGTCACTAATAACCCTTCCTCTCCCAAGAATTGGCCACAATAAAATTCATCAATTTGTGTTTCGGCTTGATCCCGAATCTTGCGCAACAATTGGAAATTAGAAAGGACATCCCAGATTTTGATAGCGCCTACGTTAGAGAAAGTAGCAAGTAGTGTGCCATCTTGAGAGAGTGTCATGCCGGTGATGGCGCCCTGATCACTTATATCAAATGGAAGTACTTTTAGTGGATTATCTGCATTGATCGTATCCATCATAGCGTATCTATCAGCATAAAACTGCCAGTAATGATCAGGATACTCTTGACAAAGTTGAGATACAACTTTAGGATCATAACGAGCTTGTTGCTTTTGTTGTTGCCTTTTTGTAGTAGTAGTAGTAGTAGTAGTACTAGAGGAGCTTTGTCTTTTGGATTTCTTCTTTTTGTGCGTTAATGTCTTTCTGAGACGTGGAAGTTGATCAACTTCTTCAAGAAGGTCATCTGTATCGACTTGATCTATATCAGACATCGTATTAGAAGAAGAAGTGGCTAAAAATTCAGATAATCGTTTCTTTTTATGTGAGGTCATGTTTTGACAAGAAGAAAGTAGTGGCTCTTTCTTTTCTTCTTCTTCTTCTTCTTTCTCTTCTTCATTATCATCATCATCATCATCACCATCTATCATAGCAGACTGTAGTAGGTTTGCCGTATCATCTTCTTTAGCTGCTTTGTTCGTTTTCTTCTTGCTATTGTTGATCATCCCTGTCTTTTTTGTAGATGGAAACGATTCATCATCAGATAAGAACTGTTTCTTTTTTCTTAATTTTCTTGTTTCTTTAGTTAACAATACTGCTTCAGACGTATCTTCTGGCGAACTGATTATGTTAATATTATCATTATCTTGGGATTCAATATCAATATCGCTTGTACTTTCAGACATGAGGGATACCAAAGTAAAATAAATAAATAAACGAAAAAAAGAGAGAGAGAGAAAAAAAAAAAAAAAGACAAAAAATAAAATAAAATAAACTAACGAAAAATAAACTAACGAAAAAAAAAAAAAAAAGGATAATGTTGCACAATTATGTTTAACTGTAGTAATCAATCAAAATATGTATATATATAAAAAAAAAAACGTTCCTGGATCAAAGCCTATTATCATCATAAATCAGTTCTACCAAAAGATATTCGTTGGTTTACTTAATGCCATTTATAATTCACTAATGGCTAAACAACTACAACGTTTCTAATGTTATCTCAACTCAAAAAGTAAATAGCTTATACTTCTTTAAAGAAATTATCTTTGCAACTCTCATTTATTTCTTATTATTATACATATATACATATGTATACACATATATAATGTTCTTCTATACATATATGGGAGGAGAGGATGTGTATGTTAATTTTATAATACTATTTTGTTTTCTTAAATAGGATATTGGCAATATTGATCCTTGATGCTTACAATCTATGTAAATAAATATATTATATGTAAACAAAATATTCAATTGTATATGTATAAAATAAAACTTTTTCTTTTTTTTTACCTCAATAATACCCTCAACAGATGTGTTGATCAAATATTGATGTTCTAAAATACCTGTCACAATATGACTTTCAAGTACTTCCCCTTTATAATGTCGTTTATTCACATGATCCCAAACAAGTCGACTACGTCGCCATTCAAAATTAAATGGTGGTGTACCTACTAAGTCTACTGTAGCCTGAACCATATCACCTAATACAGATAACATAAATAGGTTAAACTATATGCATATATATATATATATATTGGTAATTACAACTTTACCTTCATGAATACTTTCAATAATTTCTTTACCACCACTAATATAAGAAGAGGGTACTTCATGAATTCGTTTCATCATGTTTTTAGGGAATGATCGACATTGATTACGTTGATCACCAACAGAGAGAATGGTAAGATTACCTGGTTTATCTGCAATCATAGATAGTTTAGAAGTGGCTGTCTTTGCTGTTTCGCTCTTGCCATTAAACATATAATGGACAGTAAAAGGTCCTACACCTGAGAGACTAAAATCAACTGTATCACCTACACAAACATCATCATAGACTTCCATCGCTGTAATGGTAGCAATGTCAAGAGCCTTTACCTTGACTGTCGTATCATCTACTACAGCTGCACCACATCCATTGGCATCATTTACACTTAACAATTTGATATCATAGGTACCAGCTACATGAACGACTTCATCGGGTAAATCTAATTTATATTTGTTGGTCATAATGTTGTCTACTTGAATCACACGACCACCCATTTCAGATTCAAGACGCAATCCAAATTCAACACTAAAGGGTGCGACACCTGTAAACTCAATATAGATAGGATCCATCTCGGTTTGCCAAGTATCACCAACACAAACAGTACGTTCCTTACGTGTTGATCGACTACTAAATTTAACAGTTGGTTTTGCATGCACAACTTGTTCAATTTGCAAGCGTTCGCTTAACTTGAAGGGTTCAGTATAACGTTGGTCAGCAAGTCTATCAAAGACGTAACGATACTTTCCTGGGTCAGAGGTCTTGAGAGGGAAACGGTAACGTCGATTACCTGTAGCAATTTCTTCTTGTTTAACAGCATAAAAACTGCGTCCCGCACCACGATATTCTGTATAACTACAGTAGAAAGGTCCTTGTCCATCAAATTCAATATCAATAGCATCATTTGTACCTTGACAGACAGCACGACGTTCAAAATGATGGTGAGAGATTTCGACAGCGCCTTGATCTTTAGGAACTGAAATAGTAGGCTTATCAATCCATTGCACAGCATAATGAGAGGGGACAACATCCCCCTTACAGATTGCATCCTCTACCGTCAAAAGCTCATAGTGGCCTGGTTTATGTACAGTAACGGAAGCATTAGGATCATGAAAGCGTCTTGTGGCTTTTTGGTTGCTCTCAACATGTCGATAGCTGACTGTCCAAGGCCCTTCACCAGTCAAACGAACAGGTAGGTTTGCTTCTGCACCCTCTGTCACATTCATTCTGTCACCAAAGAAGAATGCATTGGGTCTATCGCGTCGAACATCAATTGTAAAATCACGAGCTTCTAAATCCTTGACACAATGGTTATCATCTTGGATCTTGATTAGTGAAATAAGATGACGACCTGGACGATCAAAGGGAGGTAATTGAATAGTGTATCGGTCACCTTCAACACGATCCGAATAGAGTTGATCACCTACCATCCAAGTTAACACAAAAGGTCCTGTTCCTCGTAACTCGACTTCAGCTGTTAAATCTTCACCTAAACAGGTTCGTACTGCATGCTTTGTTTTGAATCGAGCATCAGGCTGAGGATGAACGGTTTGTTGGATAGGAGCCATATCTGTGGGTCGTTTCTTATAATGTCGATCATCCAGAGAGATAAAGCGATAAGTATATTCACCACTTGAGCTTGGCAAATATGAAAAGATGTGACGAGATCTGTCGATTGTTTCACGCTTACGTTCAATAAGCTTCTTGGAGCGACCAGATTGTTTTGTAATTTCGTATTCAAGTACATAAGGGGGTGCACCAACGAATTCTGCAACAAATTTCATACCTACTTCATTATCACCTGCGCATTCTGAAGCAATTGGAGTTGCTTGAATTTTAACAGAAGGTAATTGAGGTTGTACAACATGACAGGAAGAAGGGAACATAACTTGACCTTGACAGTATCGATCACTTACTGAGACAAGATTATATTCTCCAGGAGAGGAGACAGATATAGAAGAGGCAGAAGTTAACTTTGCCTTGTGTTGGACTTCATCACCAGAGAAGGTGTATTCAAGTTGAAAAGGACTAGAACCTTCAAGAGCCAAAGGAATTTGAGTAGACTTAGATCCAATTAAAAGATGAATAGGGTCTGTTTCACTACACTTGAATTGAACAGAGGGACGTTGATGAACTTCAAATGTTTGAGAAGCTGACAAGCCAGAAAGATCTAATTCATTGCCTACACCATCAACAACACGTAGAAGAGTGTATTCTTGTTTGGAAGCAGAATTAAAAGTCAAGTTCAAAGGAACGTTTACTTGTTGAACAGAAGCCCAATTATAATTATCATCAAGCTTTGTATCAAATAATGAAGAATCCAGGCGATTGTCAGATCGAGGCTTAAGAAGAAGGGGTGATTCAAATCCTTCAGGTTGAATACGATCCAATTTGAGTTGAGCTTCACGATGACCTGCTGATTTCTTTATATATTCAATATTTAATGGTGGAACACCAATTACTTCTAACTGGAGTGTTTCTTTATCGCCTGTACAATAATCCTTATTTACAATAGGTTTAAATTGAGCGTAAGGACAGGTAAATACAAAAGCATGTCGGTTATATAATCGAACATCTACACCATCTTTGGAAACAATTTTTTCCAATTTATAAGCGCCTGGATTCCTAACACGTACATAATAATATTCTACGCCTTCTTTTGTATGTCCAATCTCTGTTGCACGTTGAATATCTCTTCCAGAATAATCTTTAATCGTTTTCTGGTTTGTATCAAAATCATATCGAGAGATAGAAACAGTACGAGGAGCTGTATTGTTTAAGATAATGGGTATAAAAATATCCTTTTTTCCAATTTCTGTAGTTGTTAAGCAATATACTTCATTATTAGGATTCAACTTGGCAGTTCTAAAGAGAAAAGAATAAACGAATTTTAATATACCATCCTATTTGATACATATGCTTCTTCTTAATTTTAATCTTTACCCATAAGGAAGAATATGAACTGTATGTCTACCCAAAATATGTGAAGAATTTTGTACAATATCCTTTACATTTACAAGTCTTCCTTGAGATATACTAGTTTGTTTACCAAAACTATCGCCTACAATAAAGTTAAGTTTAACATTATGAATGTGTAAATTTATTTTTTATTTTATTTTATTTTTTTGCCTAATTACCAAATAGATTCTTGAAGAAAATTCCACCAAGTCCAGCCTAATGAGAATAGTATATATACATATATACATATACATATATAATGTATTTATAAGTAACTTCACTTTAGACTATAATTAAAATTATAAATAACTTACAGTTGGAGCTACGAAAAGTACGAAATTTAACCAAAGCATAAAAAGTGTCAACAGTAATGTTTTAATCACACTAAATTGTAACCACGGAATCTTGGCTACATGTAAACATAACAAATAGATCGTATCGATCAACCACCATTTCATCAAAATACCACTATATTGCTCAGGATAAGCAGCTGTATATGCTAACCAAAGATCGGTTATCTTCCAGGATTGAAGCAGAACAAAGATAGAAACAGCCCATCGACGTTGTGTAGGAAATTCCATACGGGAAGAAGGTATTAATGCTAGTCTATGTGCTTCTGACACAGGACCACCAGGTTGTTGTCGTGGTGGTGGTGGTGGTGGCATGGTGTTTATATATAATTAATACTGTACGGAATTATAAAGGAAAAGTCTTTTCAAACAATGATTTAAAGGGAAAAACGTAATGAATTAAAATAATTGAAAAAGAAGAAAAATGAAAAAAAAAGAGTTAAATGGTTAACTCGAATTTCAATAAAAGAGGAATTCTTCTTGATTATTTAATTATTATAAATGTATATAAAAAAAAAAGAAAAAAAAACACGGTCTACGCGTTGCAGTGAAGCTTTATTGAACAGAAACACAGCAGGACTGAAAAAAAAAAAAAAAAATTACTATGGTTTGATGTGACTTCATCCCATTTAAATTCAGATTTTATTATTATCTTCTTCGATTAGCAGAAGGAGAATCTTCAGGAGGAGCAGAACCAGCTAAACTTGTCAATAAGAACATACCAGCTAAAATTAAATACCAATATTTTTGAAAGAAAGATTTTTCTTCAATCTCTGTGTGTTCAGGTATTTCGTCATTAATTACAGCTGTAGGCTTTTTTGACTTGGACTGTGTCTTTTTATGTTGAGAAGCACTACCACCAAAGTGACCAATTAAAGGCCTAAATGTATACTAATGTTAGAATAGCACATAACCTAAACCCTATTTTATATATTACTTGGGTCCAGCAATTGGTTGAACTACTCTTATTACAGAAGTAAAAGGTTTTGTTGTGATAGGATACTTTATATATATGAAGCTTTGTTTTAGTATAAAATTAAGGCCTTTTTTTTTTTGTTTTTAGCTATTTCTTACCTTGATAGTTTCCTCAGAACAATCATTTGATGAGGCATAATAATCAACATGATAAAAGATATTATTTTCATCCAAATGTAAAATAAATTCATCATTCCAATCACTATCTACCATTTGACACTATTCAATGGAATGTTAATTTTTTTTTGTTTCGTTAGTTGTAAACTTCTTTTTTTTTTCTTTTATTACCATTTTCACAGACTGTATATATATTTTCCCAGTACGTTCATCCTTTACTTTGATTTGATAAAATGATCCCTTTTGAAAATCAACAATTTCGTTTTTTGTAGGGTGGTATTCTGGTACTCCAGGAAGACCAACAATAATGCCTCGTTTAATGTATTGACCATCTTTTTGATGATATACAGTTAAATTTGTATTAGTTATTGCTTCTTGCTAAATACATGGAAAAAAGACAAGATATATAAATAAGATTAAATTTCTCTACTACCTTTTATACACATGTATATATATTATTTACCTCCTTTATTTCTTCTTTTTGTGCTGTTGTTATATGGCTCACTAATAGGAGCGTAATTACAAGAAAATTAAAAAATTTAATTATCAATGATGAACGCGACATGATTATAAAAATAAATATATTTTTATAAGAATAATATGATTGCTTTAGAAAAATAAAGAAATAAAAATGCCTTATTCAATCGATTTAATCTTAAAAAAGAAAAATGGCTTCAATTATGTTGATGTATAAACACGGTTAAGAACTACTAATCAATAATTAAAGGGCCGCTTTTTTTTTCTCTCTATCTTTAGAGTAACTGAACATCACAAGTGATGATTCATAGCTGTCATTTTTTTTTTTTTTAATTTGACTGAACAATAGTATAGTCAACCTTAAATATTTTTACTTATTTGTTCCCCCCCCCTTTTTTTTTTATTTTACGCTTATGCATCTATGAAAAATAAATGTCTTTGATTGTAAATCAAAAGCAATTATTTAAAAGAAGATGCAATTAATGAAATTTCCAATAAAGATAGTTAAAAACTTATAAATCAAAATACACAGTATATTTATTGAAACCATTCACCAGATGGAAAATTTCTTCTTGATTTCATACATTGTCTTTTAAGACGTGCTTCCTCTTCGTAAGATGACATTCTTTTCCTGTTATTTACAGTGATGGGTGTTGTTATTCCTGGTTCAATCTTTACTTCAACAAAATCTTTTTTAGATTGTTGTTCCTCTACAGCTAATTTCGCATGTTTTGAAGCTGACATGTTATTATTATTATTTTCTTTTGTCACTACTACTTCTTCTACAGTAGTTATCTCGTCTTGCACTAATTCACCTTCCTCTAATTCTTCAATAATTATACCTTCCTCTTCCTCATTATTTCTAATCGATTTTACTTGTGGACCTTGCTCAATCAATAGAGGTCCATCTTTTAACTTTTCTTTTGTGACAGGCGTGCCTATTACTTTGATTTGCTGAACACCACCATCAGGAATTAAATAAAGACGAATATGTGAAATAACGATATCATCATGAATATCAAAGGTACTTAAACCACCAGCCAATAATTTGTTATTATCTGGTACTATTAAAGAAACCCAATTAGCAAAAGGGTCATAATGTGGATCAGTATCTTCACTGTAACAGCCTTGGATAAATACATTTTTAGGTGCATTATTTTCAAACCCTGTGGTATCAATTATAATTGAGTTAGGTTTACACGATGTTGCGAGTTGAATGACGACAAAATCATTTCTATGTTTTTCTAAACGAGATCGAGGAGTCAGCCAACCATCTGACCTATTTATATCCATATCCATATATTATATTATATTAGTTAACATAACAAGCTTGATTTATACGTATCTAATTATCATACATTTTGGTTCCATGGTTTAGTAAAATGTTGGATTTATTGGCATAACCTTGATCTGTCCAACGAACAATACGTGCACCTAAATTAGCAGCCGACATATTGTATTCTCTAGACTTATCAGTGAAATCTGGGGTAATATCACCATAGACACGCAAACGACCCTATATTAAAACAATAAGAATCTTTTTGTATTTTGTGTTTTTGTTCACTTACAATACCACCGCCAGGCGCAATGTTTAATCGGATTTTTGAATACAATTTATTACTATTAAATTCAAAAAAATTATGTGAATCAGCATTAATAGGGACTTCGGGTAGTAATGATTGCCACTATAAATTATTATTATTAGTCAAATAGAATAAAATATGTGTACATAAATGTATGCACACTTACAATCGCATCAGAATCTTGGTATCCTTCAATATTAATATAAGATGCACTACTATCAGTAAATCCAGTTGTATCAATATCAAATCCAATAATTTTGCTTTGATTGCATAGTTTAATAGTCACACTATAATAAAACAATACAATTAAAAATGAATAAAATTATGCAGTAATATAATACTACCTTCCAATTAACTCATGTCGTTTGATAAGCCAGCCATCATTTGTATCTTATTATAAATATGTAAATATATATAAAAAGTCTATATATCGATATATAACATTGCTTATAATATACCTTTGTCTTCTGATATTAAGCTTCTATTCACAGCCTCTTGCTTTAATAAATTTATAGCTTTTCCACATGATTCATCTGTTACATCTTCAATTTTAGCGTCTAATAGTTGTGAAGAAACTTCTGTATAACCCTCAAAGCAAGTTTCTTTGAGTGATTTTGCATCGAGACGACGATATGTTTGTGAGCTAAGAATATTTCCCATATTATTTAGTATTAAAAGAAAAAAAAAAAAGTGAAAAGAACGATTAATTTGTTTGCATGTCAAAAATTTTTTTTATTTTTTTTTTTTTTATAGTTTTGCTGAGATTGAAATATGATATCATAATAATCGGCCTTCAGGGAGAATAACAAACATAACAGGTATTCGACAAAGCAATAAGGTAAATAATGTCTATATTTTTTGAAGAGCCAAGTGAAAATATTCAATTCTACTCTAAGCGAAAGATCAACCTTTACATATTTGATGAAAAAAGAGAAGCCCTTAGTTAGACTCACTTTGAATTATTCTATAATACACGCTATTTTTTTTTTAAAAAAAAAGTCTGAATTTTAATAACAATTGTCCTTTTTTTTTTTTAAATAAAATAAAAAAATAGAGTTTTTGACCCCTTCCTTTATATTTACTTTATTTGCTTACAGTTAATCATGTCACTTCGATCAATTATCCGTCCTCTGAATTTATTAAGTAGAAAACAAACATCAAGAATTACTATACTTAAATCACCATATAATACAGCTGGTAAGAATTCATTTCAAGTTTATTAAATCTCTACCCTTGTCATTTATATACCTTTTTGTTTTGGTTTTCAACGCTCAGTTACCTCGAATCAAAATATTACTAGTTCTACAGAAAATGCGATACAGAATGAGAAAGATCCAAAGGCAGATCAAGGTAAAATATTTACACACATAAAATAGATACATACACAAAATACTTAGGATTCCTTTTTTCTTTTTACTAGATGATTCGAAAAAAATAAAAAATGATGACATGCAAGGTTATGCTTATGGAGCTCATCATTGGAACATGGAACGTGCATCAGCTATTACATTAATACCTCTCATAACTACTCAATTTGTTTATGGTGCACATCCCATCGTAGACGGACTAATGGGAGTTGTTTTACCTTATCACGTATATATGGGATTTGATTCTTGTATTACAGATTATATTCCAAGACGTAATTACCCTCGACTTCACCAAGTGGCTAATTGGACTCTGATGGGAACAACAGGTTTAGTAATGTGGGGTTTTTATGAATTTAATACAAATGACATTGGGATAACAGAGTTTTTGCAAAGATTGTTTGCCGCTTAGAACATAAAGTTAATTATTTCGATCTGCTTTCTCAACACATATTTATGCACATTCATACCATTTACTTTAAAAAAAAACAAGTTGTTTAAGGTTCACATAGAATAAATTTAATGTATATACAATAGTCTTTTGTGACGACTTTTGAGACAGAAAAAAAAAACTGGGGTACATGTGTATATAATAAAGAGAAAAGATCAGTTTCTTTTCTCTTCTTCTTTTTTAATATATATCTTAATGTCTCATCATACTTCTTACACTTTAGCTGGATTATGTGCTGCAGGGTATATATTATTAATGTATTTTACATATAAAAGTCATTACTGATTTATACAACAACCAACTATATTATTTTAAGTGGAATTGCAGGTTTTGCTAGAACTCGTTCAATTCCATCTTTAGTTGCAGGACTTGGCGTAGGTATACTTTATGGTACTGCTGGCTACTTGATCCAACAAAATAAAGATTATGGACATGAAACAGCTGTGGCTGCTTCTACTATCTTGGGTGGTGCTATGATTCCTCGTGCTCTAAAGACAAGAAAACCAGTTCCTGTTGCCCTATCTGTCATTTCAATTGCCGCTGGTAGTTATTACGTCAAGAAGATCATTGACTACAGCTAAATTATATAATCTCTATGGCCTAATGGCAATAAATTCTTATATTTTTTTTGTAAGCTGTAATATAATTAATGAGAAATTGCATACTGATGATGATGGTATGATGTACTATTAAGCTTATTAATTTTGTTTCTGAATAGTGACATTGAAATGTTGATGACATAATTACTAATTCATTTCAATATTTTATCAAAACATGTAGTATTCATGACTACTTTTAATATTAAACTAGGTGTTGTATAATAAATTTTATAATGTCGTTCTATCAATGACATTCATGTAAAAAAAAAAAAAGGAATCTTTTGTGTTGAAAAAATGGATAAAAATGTCTTTGTGACCGCATTTGCTTTAATTTTCGTCTTTTTTTTATTATTATTATTGTTATTATTTCTTGATAATGATGAACCAACAAGAAGGTGATTAAATATAAAACAACATTGCAGCAATTTGCTTTCTTCTTTTTGTTTTTTAATCTTTACTGTAGAATCGAACAATAGGAAACGTTCAATTGATGACATTAATACAAAGGAAGGGCCTTTTGATCAGCTCAAGATTGATAATGATCAAATCTTGAAACAAGTTCAACAACGATCTCCTTGTCCGATCTGTAAGAAAACTGTAAAATATTTTTGTTATAAATGTTACCAGATTGTTGGAATGCAGCGATCTGATATACCTCAAGTGGAGTTACCTATTCATTTAGATGTGTGAGTTCAATATTGTGTATATAAACTACATTATAAACTGATGTAATACTAGTATAAAGCATCATAAGGAATTAGATGGTAAATCGACAGCAGTGCATGCAAAAATTATCGCAGATAAAGATGTTGATATCTATACTTGGCCAGATGTGCCACAATTTGAACAGCCTGAAAGAACGTTACTGCTATTTCCCGGACCTGTAAAGTATATAATTTTTTCATGTAACAAACACACAAGTTAAACACATTACATGCTGTTTTATAGGGAGCAAAACAATTAAAAGATATTCCACGAGATTCATTTGATAAAGTTGTAGTGATTGACGGCACATGGATTCAAGCAAGACAAATTGCTAATAACACACCTATTTTAAAAAAGATGCAATGTGTAACGATAGCTCCTCGACAAACACATTTTTGGCGTTTTCAAAACGTGAATGACGAACATTTAGCAACTATTGAAGCCATTTATTATTTTTATCGAGAATTTAGTGAGACGTTTGAGGATTCAAGCTATGATGGACGATATGACAATTTAATGTTTTACTATAAATTTTTTTATCAATTGATACAGACGACATATCGTAAGAATAAGTCTGTTAAGTTTAATCATCGACACCAACAAAAAGACTATATTAAATATGAGTAATAAATAAGGCCATGTATATTATTATATTATAACAAGGAGATAAAGCTTTTAGTTGTTAATCTTTTCATAATTTGTATTTCCTAAATTATTCAAGAAATGAATGTTTTTGTTTAAATCAATACAAGATGCTTTTTTTTTTTTTTTTGTTAAAGGAATCCTCTCTAGCTAAAATAACTCTAATAAAAATTATATACTGTATAATATGATGCTCGTTAGCAGTTTATTTTGTAATAGAATGAATAGCTTGACTGCATCTAGTGTCATAGAATACATTTACATCTTTAAATGTAAAATATGAAAGCATATTAAAGCTATTTCGAAAGTATAATAATATATATAGAAAGTAGATGTATTACTAGAAAGGATAAAAGTATAAAGCCTTATGCATGTTAAAGATGAATCACTTTGCATTGTTTGGTATTAATTTATTTATAGGCTATATACAACAATCCTCTTCACATATACATGACATTGTTTTAAATCGTGCAATACTTTGATAAAAGTAACTGCGCCAAATACATATTACCACTTGTAATATAAATATGATGAAGATTGTATGCTGCCTCAGATTTTAAATCAGTTTCATCATCCATATCTTGTTCCAACTCCTTTTGTTCTTCTTCTGAAACTGGCCACTTGTAAACTTCATCTAATGGCTTCATCAATGATCCTACTAATGGCGCCTTTTTTATGGATGGCATACAAAGTACACGTTCATAATGCTTAGTGGCTAAATGTGTAAGGCCCAACATATGGAAAGCACGTGCTAAATTATACGCGGCTTCCTGCTTGCTTTCTGATAATCTCTCGTATTCTTGTAAAAACATCATACCTTGCATGATCTGTAAATGACGATTATCTGTTCTACGGTTAACAGCTGTATGAAGTAAAGCCAAGCCTAGTGAAAGCCTGTTAACTGGATCTTTACGCGCTAAAGCTAAAGCTCTCATATGAAATAAACTAGCTGCTGTATGGTTTTTTGAGAATGTCATCATATGTCCGATAGCAGTTAAAAGAATAGGATTAACATATGTCACATCTGTAAGACCTAAATTTCGTACTGTACGAGTTGTATCATTTTTGTTGACAGCTGAAGGTACGTATTGAAATGCTCGAAATTCAGGATAATTTGTATTGCTACCATTATCACCTTCATCAATATCATCACTTATGTTATCATCGTTAAGTTCGGCATTAACAACGACTTCCATTCCCATCACTGCGTCATTCAATCTCTGAATTTCGTCCTCAGTTCCCTTACCATCGTTTTGTTCCTTTGTTCGATTTTTAGCAGCTATAGCGTCATTAAGCTGAACCATACGATTCAAGTACTTGATTTGTGAGTAGGCAATTGAACTATTTCCTGTAGGTGAAGACGCATCAACAACAGCTGTATAAATTCTAAACGGGTCATTTTTAAATTGATAAAAATTACATAACCAACGTGCTCCTTCTTGTGCAATATATTCTTTTTTTCCAATTAAACCACAACCTATATACAAAAAGAGTTAATAATTGCTTGTGCGTGATAAAGACTTCTCTGCTTATATATATACCTACCTATTAATGCTAAATAAAGAGCTGTCTTTTTGGGTATATCATGATAAAACACGTTAGCTTCAATTGCCTTTTTTAATAATTCATATGCTTCATCAGCTCGTTTAGTGATGGCTAGCATATAAGCATATTTTATAAAAGTACGATGCCATTTATCAAACGGTATAGTTCTAAAATGAGAGGCAGCCAACATTCTCTCTCGTCTTTCTTCTTCTTCTCGCATCTGTCGTTCTTCTTCATCCTCTTCAATTTTTGGTTGTTGACCATCTTCTGTTTTCACTTTAGGTCGAAGTCGACTGGCCATATTTCTTGCTTCTAAATGAATATCGTCTCCACTAAATGCTCTCTTACCTCTTCTTAATGCATAAAAACCTTGGAATCTAGTAGCCTATATGTTTTATTAGTATATATTATTACAAAAAAAAAAAAAAAAAAAAAAAAAAAAAAAACTTACTCTGAGAGATGGATAAAATGCCGTTGTCGATCTAAAGTCCTCCCATAGTTCCTGAGCATTTCTCATATAATCACGCATCATTGTACGATCCATCTCAATCAACTTTGGCCCTGTACATTCATCCAATTCTTGCAATTTATCAAATAGCGCCTTTGTAGCATATATCTTTTCTTCTTCTTGTTTTTGACGCTCCATTCGTTTGATGCGATAGTATTCATTCTTAGTCAGTTGCATTGGTTTTTCATCAAACAAGGATGCCTTTTTGTTCCTTTTGATAGCTCTATCATGTTCAATTAGCATATCAGCCGTGGAGAGAGCCTTCTTATGTCGGCGTTCTTCACGATTCTTTTTCATAACATATTCAACTAATTCAAGTGCTTTGTCTTCTTTGCCTTGCTCTTCATAGACAGTAGCAAGCGACATCATGACATCTAGATTATTGGGTTGTTCATCAAGGACATTGACGTAAAAGACAACAGCAGTTTCTAAATCACCTATTTCTCTGTAACAATCAGCAGTACGAATTAACAAATCTACTTCAATTTCCTATGTTTAAAGATTAGGACAAATTATTGACATACATAATAAATTTTAATAACAAATAATTACTTCGGATGAATCAATAATCCTTTGAAAGACCATTACTGCAAGATCATAATGTCTTTTATCGTAATAAGCATAAGCAATATCTTGATGTAAATCAGGATAGATTGTTGGAGGATATTGTAGCAAATATTGAAAATGTCTCTAAACGAAAAAAGAAAAAGAACTGCTATAAATACTTTTATTTCACACACACACACACACACACACACACACTCACACTCACACTCACACTCACACTCACATATATATATATATATATATATATATGTATATTAAAACTACTTTACAGTTGCCAATCTCACTTGGTTTAGATATAATCGACAAATACCCATTCTTACACGAAGTTCAATTGGGAAATCTGTTCTTGGTATATCTCCTTCTTCTGAAAGATACTCATCGTCATCATCTATTCGATCGGCCCACCAAGTCTCATTTTGTCTCTTTTGAATATGTCTCAAACCAGTCTTGATTGTATCTAAAGATCTTCTGTAGTCATTTAAAATCAAGTAAAGCTCACTTAACATGTTAATCTCTGAATATCCTAAACGATCCTGAAACTCATCTTCTTCTTCTTCTTCTTCTTCTTCTTCGCTATCGTTACCATTACCATATTTATCGTTTTTACTGTGATGAACAATAGCGTCTTCATAGAGTTGAATGGCTTCTTTAGTTCTACCTTGTTGTCGATAGAGTTGTGCAAGTTCATTAATGACCTTAAAATGATGTGGCATTTGTTCCAGAATGGCTAAAAAGCCATCAATAGCTAATTGATTCTTGTCAAGCTGTTTAAATAGAAAAGAACGGTCCCAAAGAGCATCAACATCTGTGGGATCTAATGTAAGTACTTTTGTAAGACAATAAATAGCTTGTTTTGGAACATCATTTTCACTATATACGAATACATATATGTATTTATATAGATGATATGTACATAAATTTGTGTTCTACTTTGTCATTGAAAATTGAAATATATCGACTTACATTGATTTCAGGGCTAATTCTTTCCATAATTTAATATCATTACATAAATGAGCAGCAACCATACGAAACTTGATAGACTTTTCATTATTTCCTAATTCTTCATGAACTAAACCCAATGTGTTCCAAGCTGGATGTGCATTTGGATGTTCTGTAATAATCTCTTGAAGTAAACTAATGGCTTGACCATAATCACGAGCAATATAAAGAGAATTGGCTTGACCAAAACGTTGTTTTCCTTCTTCAGAAAACTTGAATTCGCCTGCCTGCATGCGTTTTCTAAGTGATCCTCTAATTTTTTTAGCACCAATGCCGGTTGTTAATGCTAAATTATTGTCAAATTCTTCCATGTCTCGTTCGAGTTCTTCAATGCCACCTGTTCTAAATCTTTCACGTTGTTCAACGATAGTTTGTAATTGTACACTAGAAAAAAAAAAGAAGAGAGAGGGAGAGAGAGAAAGAAAGAAAGAAAAAGAAAAGATTTTAGGGGAATTGTATAGATGTGTATATTGGTTTCTTTTACTTGATTTCATCATCCATTTCTTCATCATCAGAACGAACATGCGGTGTTTCGTCAAGCCAATCATCTAGAGAATCGTGATCATCATCTTCTTCAGCCATCATATCGTCAAAGGCTCGTAATTCAGCTATTTCTAACATTTCTGCTTCAGTAGGTGGTCTATTAAAATCGTCTAGTGCTGCATCATATTCCTCCTCTTCTTCTTGTTTAACTATCAGTTTTTCTTTCCCTTTTTCTGACATTTTTGATTTACAGAAAAAAATAATAAATAATAAAGTGAATAAAAAAAAAAAAGTTTTGACTATTTTTTTTTCTTTTTCGCTTTAGAATAAGTCACAAAATTGTCCAACTCAGGAGTAGATGCAAAAAATGCATAATTTATTACGTAAAAAAAAATAAAAAATAATAAAAAATTTAAAAAAAAAAAAGCATAATATTATGAGTCAATCCATGACAAAGTCAATACACAAATTTAGGCTAATAACCTTGAAGGCACAAGGAATACATTATTATTTATAGTAATAATTTTTTATTATTTGAAAACTTCGGTGGTAAGCAAAATACTAAAGAGCAGAGTAGAATTGAGACAGGGCATTACACTATTAACAGCGATACATCAAACATGCAGATTTTAGAGACTGTGGAGATATAAGCCCTAAAAACGTTTAATCTATATATTAATTAGATATTATATGGAAGCATATGAAACGATCGTTAAGTAGCGGACTACAATCCAGTCATTATAAATGAGTAGAAGAAATACACTACTTGTCTAGTGCTGACACTCATGGAATTGTTGTCAAAACCAATCGTATACGCGCTCATTCTGGTACTTCTGCTTAGGAAAAAATCAAGATTTTATTTTCAAAAATCATGACATAATAAAATGACTGATTAACGATCACAAATATGCACTGGGTGCGAGGATATAAAACTTGTTAAACTACACATCCTCTATTTCAAGTGCGCGAATGTAACTTTATCATGATCAAGTTTAAGAAGCAGTTAGTTGGGATTTCTACAATTTTAACTCTTTTTTTTTTTTACTGAAGTAGTAAAAAAGATATACATATATATTGTCGTTGTCGTTGTCGTTGTCGTTGTCGTTATCGAGGAGGAAGAGCATGAGATGAATTATCTACTTCCTTTGACATGGCTGTGACAGTTTCTTTATATCAATGCTACTGACTTTACATTCACCTTTTTTTTTTTTGAATCAGTAATACAGCATCTTTTTTATTCCTAGTAAGGCAATATTCTATGCCTGATAAGACAACACTTTGTTTCTTAAAACAACTATACTTAATTTCTGATTGGACTAGATGGTATTATTGATTGGAAAGTCTGTTACACGGTGTCATTATGTTCTTCTCTATTTATGGCAATCAAACAGATATAAAAGTACTATTTAAAAAGAGGAAAGAAAAGTAAGTCTGTTGCAGTATTAAGTTCTACGAAAAAAAAATAGATATGTTTGTAAGACTATAAATATTAAATATACGTGCTCACGATACCTCTGATAAATGCTTTCTTTTTTAAGGCCATAAAATCACTCTAATTGACATATTTCTGCAAAATATTTGACATATTTTTTTTTTATTCGTTATTATTGTAAATAAACCATGTACTTCTTTACTAAATAGACCTTTTCTTTGTTAAAAGCTTTGAGTGTTCCTTATGACTTATATTCACTATTATTTAGAGATGTTTAACCTAGAATTTCACTTTTTAATAAGCCAATCATTATATAAACATATATATTGAAGGCGCTAGTTTCTTTTTTCTTTCTTTCTCTTGTATAAAGAATATAAAAATAATCATTTACTTTACACTAATAAAGTATTTCGTCACTCATTATAACAAAATATAGCAGCTTAGCATGTTTAATTAATCAAAATTCATATGTAGCAAGTATTATGTGAAACCTACTTTGTATATTAATTATTAAATTTTTTTGGACCTTTTTTCTTTTTTTCTTTTTCTTCTTGGTTTATAAATAATATAAATGAGTGAACGAGAACTTTTACTACCTCACCATGAGGGGAGATTAACTTTTAAATCGTCTTTGAAACATACATTAACATCTTCTAAATTCAATTGGCTGCTTGTCTTTGTTCCTATTGCTTTAATATTATCAGGATCTTCTTCAAGTGTAGTTTTTTCCTTGAATTTCATTGCCATCATGCCACTTGCTCGACTTCTTGGTTTCGGTAAAGTAGCATCAGTATACATATATTATATAACATTCTATTAAAACGTCCTTTTTTTTAAAAATATATATATATATAGCTACTGAGGAAATTGCACTTCGCTCAGGTTCCGTCATTGGTTCTGTAAAGTGAATATAAAGATATTTATACATACAGTCACATGTAACTTATATTATTTATGATTCATGTAGCTCTTGAATGCTACTTTTGGTAATGCAGTTGAACTAATCCTTGGCATGATTGCTCTAAAAGAAGGCTTAGTACGTGTAGTTCAAGGTAACTTTTTTATATATATTTATATATGTGTGTATATGCATGTGTAGATTCGTTCAAATTATTCACTTTATATATGCATAAGCTTCTATTTTGGGTTCTATTTTATCCAATATATTACTTGTTCTTGGTTGCTGTTTCTTAGCAGGCGGTATCGGTAGATCAGAACAAACATTTAATGCGACAGGTAAGCTGGAATTGTAAAAAAAAAAAAAAAAAAAAAAAAAAAAAAAAAAAAAAGATATTTATTAAGAAAGATATTGACTACTTATTTTAGCTGCACAAACATCTACTTCTTTATTGGGCTTGACTGCTCTTTCCTTATTAATTCCTGCCGCCTTTAGTGCAACGGCTGGAACAGAAATAAATGAAGTGAATAAGGGTATCATTAATTTAAGTCATGGTACTGCTATTATTCTCTTAATTATCTATTTCTTATATTTGGTGTTTCAATTAAAGACCCATTCTGAATTGGTAAGTTGCGAAAAGGGAAAAAAAGCTAATCTTTTGTATAAAAGATACTAATAATGTGTATATAAAGTTTGAAGATGAAGCAGATGAAGAAGAATATCCTCATACAACTCTTTCTTTTGCTATTATTGCGTAAAAGTGTATATTAAATGACAAAAAGATAAAAGTAATATTAACATTTTTTTTTGGTTTGCGTTTTAGTTTGTTAGTGATTGCTGGTTTTATTGCTGCACATGCTGAACTCCTTGTTGGAGCGTAAGTGAATAGTACAAAAAATGACCGTGAATAATGGCTAATAATAATTTAAATAGTATTGAAGGTGTTGTTGAAGTCTGGGGATTAAATGAAACATTTGTTGGTCTTATTATTTTACCTATCGTTGGCAAGTAAAGTATTTTTTTTTCTTTTTTACATGGATTCTATATGAACATTATTGTATATATACTTATTCATTCTTTATAGTGCTGCAGAACATGTTAGTTCAATTACATTCGCTATGAAAAACAAAATGAACTTATGTATTGGTATTGCAGTATCATCCTCTTTACAGATTGGTCTTTTGGTATCTCCTATATTAGTCTTGACAGGTTGGCTTATTGATGTTCCTATGACCTTCTTTTTTGAAATCTTTGAAACAGTCGTTTTGTTTTCAAGCGTACTTGTCGTGAATTATTTAATTGGTGATGGTAAATCAAATTGGCTTGAAGGGGCTTTATTGTTAGCATGTTATGCAATTGTAGCCTTAGCTTTTTATTATCATCCAACTGTTTAAAAAAATAATAATAATAATAATATATACATGTATGATGTGCACAGGCTTATGATGTAACTACAAGAAGCGGCAAATAAATCTTTTTTTTTTTCAAATGGCTGATTTTCAAATCTTAAAAGCGAGTGGCGTTTTTTTTTTTATTGAAGCCCCCCCCCTTTTTTTTTATTAAAAAAAAATCGCCCATTGGCATTGGAACCACTGTACATAAATCATGTAACGATTTCCTTTTATATATTAACGAAACATGCTGTCCTATTGCTTTTATGTCTTATTCTTAGTCATACAATTTTAAACTATATCAGTGATGGTAGCACGAAGCTTTACAACAATGGGTTTCTTTATCCCCGACTAAATATAAAATTTATGTGAATATAGCATTTTATGATAGGATTCAACTTTGTAACACTCCAGTTATTCCTTTTTTTTTCTCGTAAGGATAATATGTTCGTAGATTCTGAAATTTATATTCCATAATCATTAACAATTACAATCTTAGCCTATTACCCTTTACTGGAGCTAACGAAATCTCGCTAGACTAAAGATGATTACACACTGCTGCCAACTTAAAATAGTATATCACAACTTACTATTGTTAGACGGTGAAGATATGACTGATGATTTATAATGACAATCATGAGACACAGAGTAACATAACAAATATATAAATGAAGACACTTCATCATCGTCAATAAACGAGAGGGAGAGAAGTACATCATGCACTATAAAACATTATATCTTTATTTGGTAATTTGTCTGAGTATCCAAAATGTTCGTTACTTGGTGTTAAACGTAAATTTTTATGACATCTGTTACATTTTCTTACTGTTATACTAACAACAGAAATTGAGCTACGTCTGTAAAAAGAACATAAGCATATAAAAAAAAAAGGGATAAAGCAGATGATGAATACTTTTGATAACATTATCCAGATACATATTTAGATGTGTGTAAAAGAAAAAGGGTTTTTTTTTTCTTCTTTCTTCTTTATAAAAAAAAAATCCTCTTTTTTTATGCTAAAGTTCGCTTATCATATAATAGTTCGTATATAATGTATTGAGCTCAAAAGTTAAGTTTAGCTAAAATTTATACTTGCTAATACACTTTATAAATTTTTTATGATTCGTTATTAAAGACTAAAACCTTCAAGAGACTGTCAAGTAATAACGAACATTTTGGATACTCAGACAAATTACCAAATAAAGATATAATGTTTTATAGTGCATGATGTACTTCTCTCCCTCTCGTTTATTGACGATGATGAAGTGTCTTCATTTATATATTTGTTATGTTACTCTGTGTCTCATGATTGTCGTTATAAATCATCAGTCATATCTTCACCGTCTAACAATAGTAAGTTGTGATATACTATTTTAAGTTGGCAGCAGTGTGTAATCATCTTTAGTCTAGCGAGATTTCATTAGCTCCAGTAAAGGGTAGAAGTTTAAAGTTTCTAATAATGCTACTTCGGATATCTTAAAGTACGACTCAACAAATTCGGTAAATGCAACTTCAAATGTCTAAAAATGCAACCAATGAAGTTCTAAAATTGTAACTTTTGTAGTGCAACTTAAGATCTACTATAAAATAAGAATAATAATAGTGCATGTGTAATGCTTGTGCACATACTACGGAATGAATTATTTTATATACAATTAAATAATTTTATCCTTTTTTTTTCTCTCTCTTTCTCTTTCCTTTTCTCTTTCTTTTTCTTTCTTTCTTTCCTTTCCTTTTCTTTTCTTTTCTTTTTTTTTTTCAATTACTAAAAACAACAATGATTTATAATAATAAAAATGCAGAAGAAGTTGAAGCAGGATCTATTTTGGTTTCTTTAGCAAATCAAAATCGAGTAAACAACAATTATACAAGTAGATCAATGTCTATCTCAAATTTACTGGGTAAAATGATATCATTTATTTTTAACTTTGTATTTATATGTTTGAAAAAAATTAGAAGACTGTGATATCGAATCAAAAAATTATCATGTATGTATTTATATATTTGGATAGTTTACATAAGAATATTGATATTATACATTTTCCCTTTTTTTTTTAATTTTTATTTTTATGATGTCAGTATTCTACAAAATCATCACAAGATCATGTAGATTGTAATATGTTATTATTTCAATGAATAGTTACATGTAGTATAAATAACGCTTTTCTTTATGCGGTAAAATATATGTATATATAATAGATCATAGGAATATTAAACCATCATCTGAGAACCATTCGACATATTTGACGCCATTCCAAAAATTGGACAATAATAAGACGTCCATCGTGGTATTAAATTATTATATATTGTTATAAATTATATCTTAATTTCTGTAAACATTTTGTAAGGTATCTAAACCTCCATTAAGATCAGACTATACAGCAACAAAAACTGCATTTATCAAGCAATCACACTATGTTAGTATGGTATACATAATAACAATAACAAAAATACAATACATATCTCATATATATATATATAGAAGCAACATCCTAAAATAAGACGAAATGCACTTCAAGCCTATATCAGTTACATGACTTATACAGATCTTACTCAAAGACAGAAAAAGACAATGGTAATAAATATATAGATATGTATATATATATATATATATACGTACACATATAATGTTAAATATCTTAATGTTCATATAAACTAAACTAAAATAAAAAAAATAGCTACAAAATATACACCAACAAATGAGCCATCATCCTACCTCTTCTCATAATAGATTAATGAGTCCTGAAGAAAGCACGAATACAACGAAATTTTCAGAAACCTTAATTGTTGAGCAACCACTGACTGCCTTCTTGCATCATCAGCCTTTATCATCACTTTATCAAGCAAAATAATATGCTATTCTAAATTATTATACTACAGAATAAAATAAAATAAAATAATTTACATATAACAAATATTGTTATGGAAAACAACATAATAGGTATCTGCGTATACATTTACTTAAACGCGTACATGCATTATGTAGTTTTTCTTTTTTTTTCGTATAAAAAAAAAAGATCATAGTTTATACAGTATACAAACATGCATAAAAAAAGAAGATAAAGAAGCATTTAATAGTCTCAAGTTATGAAGGAGTAGGAGTGAGGAAGATAAGGGAACAATGACGTAGAAGGGAGTGTTAATGAGGAGGCTTTTCCCTTTCATATAATTTGAATAAAAAGATATAAATACATATATTCGTCTATTTTTTTTATATAAAAATAGATAATAATATATGCATATCTTATGGGATGAAGAAGATATTGTAGTAACTAATCAATAGTAGTATAATACTCGCTTTTTTTTTTCCCTCTTTTTCAATCATGAAGAATTTACATTTAATTCTGTTTCAGTTAAACCCTGTTATTATCAACTTTTATTTTTATTTTTATCTTTGCTTAATAATTCTATAGTAAATTAAAATTCAGCATATGTCTTACTTTATCTTGAAAAAAAAAAAAAAAAAAAAATTAAAAGAACAATAATATAAATCTATCTTTTTTCATATATTTATATACATTTATAAATATTTTTTATTATTATTATTATCCTCTTATTAAACATGGTTTCTAATAAACAAGTCATCTTTACCAAGGTTCCTAAAACCTTCCCCGTTGCTGATGAGCATATGAAAATTCGAGAATCAACAATTGATTTGGACGCAGAGCTTCCTAAGGGTAACTTTATTCTTAAAACTCTTGAAATTTCTGTTGATCCATATATGAGAGGACGTATGCGTGATGCGTCTATTAAATCTTATGCTCCTGCTTTCCCTATGGATAAGCCTATGACGGGTGATACTATGTCAGTTGTTGTAAAGTCTAATAATCCCGATTACAAGGTAGGTGATCTTGTCTATGGTCGTACCGGTCTTGGTCTCTTTGAAGAATACGTCCAAGTTACTGCTGAATATGCCAAGATGGCATACGTAGTTCGTAATGATGCTAAATCAAATGGTTTACCTCTTAGTCATTATGTGGGTGTCCTTGCTATGCCTGGTTTGACAGCTTATTATGGTCTTCACGAAATCGGTAAACCCAAGAAAGGTGACACGCTCTATGTCTCTGCTGCCTCTGGTGCTGTTGGTCAATTAGTAGGTCAGTTTGGTAAAGCCGCGGGTTGTTACGTTGTTGGTTCCGCTGGTAGTGACGATAAAGTCGAATACTTGAAATCAATTGGTTTTGATGATGCCTTCAACTATAAAAGTGGGGATATTGAAGAACTCTTGAGGAAGCATTGCCCTAAGGGTATTGATATTTACTTTGAAGGTGTCGGGGGTAAAATGTTGGATGCTGTCTTGGCTGTCGCTAATAACTTTGCTCGTATTATCGCCTGTGGTATGATCTCTCAATATAACCGTGAAAAGCCTGAACCAATTTATAACATCATAAACATTATTACCAAGAGAATCAAGTTTGATGGCTTTGTCATTATGGATCATATGGACTATGAACAAAAATTCTTAGAGGAAGTCACACCTATGTTGGTGAGTGGTAAAGTAAAGTATCGTGAAGATATCTCTCAAGGCATCGATAAGGTTCCTGAAGCCTTGGTTGGTGTTCTTCGTGGTGAAAACTTTGGTAAGAAGATTGTCCACATTGCTGACTTGTAAATATTATGTACAAAGATATATGTATATTTGTTTTTTTTTTAATAAAAAAAAAACCAACAACACAAGTATTATAATTTATATCTTTGTAGTTGTAAAAAGTACATTTGACGCGTATTACTTGTAAAATATTTATTCATTTCTTTCTTTTTTTTTTTTTTTTCTTAAAAAAAATGATAAGAAACTGCAAAGTTATATTAACTCTATTCCTCTAGCTAAGAATATGTTCTATTATAAAATAAAATAGAATGACATTAACTATGATATATTTCATTTGATAACACTACTGATATGTATATATTAATTGAAACTTACAAGCTCGTTGTCAATTAAACTTTTCTCAACGATAAAATTTATTTCCTGAAAGTCTTTAAAATTAAACATAACTGAAGAGATATTTTTTTTTATATACATATTAACTTATAAGTCACACATGCGCGGAGAGATGTAAGTTGAATATAAAGTGTTGAAAGATATACATACAAAAAAAAAGAAAGAATCATGTTAAACTAAAGTAGTAAAGTAAAGGGAATAGTCATATTGATACTCGATAGAATTACTGGTTAAAAGGATATAATTTTTGGGAGAAATCGTTGCAATATTAAAAGGAATGCGGCGAAGGAGGGAAATATTATATATATAATTGGGTGGTGGAAACAAAAAAATAAATAAATAAATGAAACATGTCAAACGAACCGAAAGTGAAAATAAGACTAAAGCGTATATAAGGATTGTAAGATATCATCGATCATAACAGTATATGTAGGGTAAAGATAGTTGAAGTACCATCAGTCATACGTGCTGCTTGATGGGGGCAGTAGGCTAAGACGTGGTTAAACAAGTCGTTCCGAGTATTGCATAAGCGGGTAAAATGAACTAGTTACAGTGCCCATTTTACACAGTTAGGAAGCAAAAAGCAGGGGTTTTTTTTTCTTCAAAGAGCACGATACCACAGGGAACAGAGACTTGTAGCAATATCAGAATCAACCAAAAGGGCTTAAATTTAATTGTTTCAGGTATTTTTTTATTTCAATCAATCATATCATTTATTTTCTTACTTACCAATCACAGCTAAAAATTTGAACATTCAGGGCATTATGATATAGTCATACTATCTCTAATTATTTTATAGTACTCCCATCTAAAGGCTAGTAGTTTCTTATAATTTTAAATTTTATTCAAGCCATTTATATCGTGAAAGAAATAATTATACACAAACTATAGTTCAAATATACTCATAAAAATATATATGCTGAAGTAATATGAATGCTGTTTAAAAAAATAAACCTTTGTAATATCATATCTAATAAACAGTCACATAGCTATACTATTAATAAGTGTGAAGAAAAATAACAAATGAACTTTTCACACACACAGTAACTTAATTCATCAAACAATGGCATCCTTAACGCTTGTTGGCGCACCATTCTCTACTTTTACACGTACATTTAGAATGGCACTTCATTGTCTTGAAGTCCCTTATACATTAGAAACAACTACGCCCTACACTGATTTGGCTTACAAATATCATCCTTTTGGTCGTATTCCCTCTCTTTTACACAATGAACAAACCTTGTTTGAATCAGCTACTATTCGAGCTTACATTGACCATGAATTTAACAATTCACTTACTCCTACTGATTTTTCTAAACGTCTCCAAATGGAAACTATAATTAGTTGTTTATGCGACTATGTCTTTCATCATGTTGTCTTTGGCATTGCTAAACCACGTCACTTTTATGAACAACAAGGATTGAAAGAAACCGAGATTACTGCTCGATTCGCAAAGGGCCCACTTGAGAAAGCGGGAAAGATTATGGAGGCCTTAGAGAGTATCATTGTGAAAGACAGTGAATTCTTATGTGGTGAGCAGCTAACCTGGGCAGATTATTATGTCTTTCCAGTTCTGGCTGATTTATTTTGTCTACCTGAGTGTGACTTTTTCAAGGAAAAGGCACCAGGCTTATTTACATGGTATGAAGGATTTAAAAAACGCGAAGAAGCTGTAATTACATATAAAGATACTGTAGCTGATATGAGAAATAATGATAATAATAATAATAATGATAGTAATGCAAAATTTTAAAATAAACGTTTTTTTTAAAGTATAATAATAAAGTGGAAATACTTGAGAAAAAAAAGAAAGCAATAATTGATGAAAATCCCGCCAATAGGTAAAAAAAAAAAAAAAGAGTTCCGGACCGGACCCACCAGTTAATCCAAACTTCACAGTTTAATGAAGTAAGAATAGTGTGCAAGTTGTTATAACCTTCCTTTCTCAACATATCACAGGTAAATAAACCATCCATCCAACTTGCCTAAGCAAATGTCATTAACATAATTGTCTTACAATTTAGTATGCCACCAAAGTTTGATCCCACTGAAGTTAAGATTATCTACCTTCGTGCCACTGGGTAAGCAAACTATTCATGATAGATTCGAAATGAGAGTGACAGATGGGGGAAATGAATATTAAAAAAATGAACAAGCGATCTAAAAAAAAAAAGATGGGAAATGGGAGATATAGGGAAAAAAAATAAAGGACAGAGATATATAGACAGCAAATATAGACTAGAGAAATTCTTTTTTTACAAAAAAAGAAAGTTACATTAGAGGAATCGATTAGCTAACATGTCTCTTTTTTTTTCTTGAAATTCTTTAGTGGTGAAGTTGGTGCTTCCAGTGCTCTTGCTCCCAAGATCGGTCCTCTTGGTTTGTCTCCTAAGAAGGTCGGTGAAGATATTGCTAAGGGTACCAAGGACTGGAAGGGTCTTCGTGTCACTGTTCAATTGACCATTCAAAACCGTCAAGCCCAAGTTTCCGTTGTCCCCTCTGCTTCCTCTTTGGTCATCAAGGCTCTTAAGGAACCCGTTCGTGACCGTAAGAAGGAAAAGAACATTAAGCACAGCGGTAACATTTCTTTGGATGATGTTATTGAAATTGCCCGTACCATGCGTTTCAAGTCTTATGCCCGTGAATTGAAGGGTACTGTTAAGGAAATTCTCGGTACTGCTTTCTCTGTTGGTTGTACTGTTGATGGTCAAAGCCCCAAGGATCTCTGTGATGCTATTGATGCCGGTGAAGTTGAAATTCCTGTAAGTTATTTTTTTTTAATAGAGTGAAGGAAGGATTTTATATTAATTTTATTTATTTTATGTATAGGAAAAATAAATTTATTTCAGCTAGGAAAAATTCAATAAAGTAAATAACATTAATGACTTTTTTTTTCTTCTTCAAAATGAGATCGACTCTTTTAAAATATATCAAATAAACATTAATGATTTTGCTGTATTAAACTTTCACCCGCAATTTTATTTAATTATTTTTTTTTTTTATCTCACAGTTAGAATTGATCCAATTTTTTTTTCCTATCTTTTTTTTTTTTTCTCTTTTATTTCATTTCTTATTATGAATATAATTGCAACTAAAATAAGAATAGAGGATGACGAAGAGGTAGATAGTCAAGGACTCTTACTGCCTAATGTTGCTCAACCTATTAAAAAAAGAAAAAGTCAAAGATTTCTGATTATTATAATTACTGTATTTACTATTGCTTCTATCTTTGTCACCTTAACATTATTACAAACAGGTATGTTTATGTAAGAGGTGTCAAAGAAATATATAAATGTATATATATCTATCTATATCAATAAATCCCTTAATATATATATATATACATATATTAAAGACAATAGTAAAGAGCAGCAACCCCATCTCATTGTGGGAACAAAGGGTGCAGTTGCTGTAGAAACAAAAGAATGCTCCGATACTGGCCTCCAAAGTATATAGCATATCTATCAATGTAAACAACTATGTAGAGTTTTATTAACAAATTACGTGTACATTAGTTTTAAAAAGAGGAGGTAGCGCAGTGGATGCAGCTATTGCTTCTGCTCTTTGTATTGGTGTTATTAATAGTTTTGCAACTGGTAATATGCATACAAAAATGTATAAAAGAAAAAAGAAAAAAGAAAAAAGAAAAAACTTGCATCATATTTATTTATTTTTATATTAGGTATTGGCGGGTAATATTATAAATAAGAAAAAAAAAACCCCCACATCTTTATCTTAGAATTTTTCATATTATAACAGTGGTGGATTCATGTTGATACGTTCACCTAATGGTACATTTGAATACATTGATTTCCGTGAAACTGCACCTGCTGCCTCATATCGAGATATGTTTGTAAAGGACCCAATGGCTGCTCAAATAGGTGGATTATCGGTGGGAGTACCGTAAGTTTGTACAGAACAAAATAGATTGAGCAAATAAAGATAAAAAAATATTATGATTATTAGTGGTGAAATAAGAGGTTTTGAATTAGCACATCAAAGGTAGGAAGATTTGATTTATATATGTATATATAAAATAGTCTCATGATTATATATTTATGTGTGTATATACTTATAATAGACATGGAAAAATTCCCTGGAAAGACCTTTTCACAGCAGCTATAGATATAGCTGACAAGGGATTTAAAGTATCTGATCTACTGTACAGTAAACTAGTGGTAATATAAATAAAAGTTTCATATATGATAAAAAAAAAATAGAGATTATAATGTTACTCCCTCCCTCCCTCCCTCCCTTTTTTTTTTGTCTTATTTAGAAATCTAAAAAATGGATCGAGGCATCTCCCGAATTCTCTCGAGTGTTTGCTCCCACAGGGGTTATTGCACAACCTGGTGATATCATCAAAAGACCTACCTTAGCCACTACTCTACGAACTATTGCTAATGAGGGTTCTAATGCATTTTATGAAGGAAAAATTGCCGCATCTATCGTCAATGCCACACAGGCCCTTGGAGGTATCTTAACCCTTGAGGATATGAAGTCCTATCAGGCCAAGATACGTCCTACTATCAGTACAATTTATCATAGTCGTAAAGTGGTAACAACCTCTGGCCCTACAAGTGGACCTGCTCTCCTGAGTATTTTAAATTTAATTGAACCTTATTACTTTAACGTCACTGGTCCAACACCTCTTACCATCCATAGATTTATGGAAGCTCTCAAATTTGGATATGCCTTCCGTACTGAAATTGCTGATCCAGATTTTGTGAAAAATCAAGTACGATTAGATGAGATTATAAGTAAGGCATGGGCTGATAAAACGAGAGAAAATATAACAGATGTAAAGTATACAGATGTACATAAAAGAAAAAACGAGCTTAGTACTTTATTATTATTATTATATAGGATGCAACGCATGAGTATTCATATTATCATCCAAAGTATGATCATCATGATTCACATGGAACCATGCAGCTTTCTGTAATTGATGAGAAGAATGGGGCAGTCGCATTGACTTCTACTGTTAATTTGATGTTTGGTGCTAAATTCATGGACCCTGTTACAGGTATTATTCTAAATGATGAATTAGATGATTTCAGTATTCCTGGTATTCCTAATAGCTTTGGATTATATCCCAGTCCTTATAATTATATAGGTAATAATAATAATAATATATGATTCGAATTTGTATATGTTATAACTACGTTACAATAGAACCTTATAAACGTCCTTTATCTACTATCACACCGACCATTATTGAAGATACAGAAACAAATGAATTATTGGTTGTAGGTGGTTCAGGTGGATCACAAATCATGACAGCTACATTAAATGTTATTCTAAATACATTTGATTTCAATAAGAATCTATTTGAGGCAGTACAACATCCTCGCATACATCATCAATTACTGCCTAACGTTGTACAGTATGAGACTGGATTTGAGAACGACATATTAAATGAGTTGGTCAAGAAAGGGCATGCCGTAAATATATATATATATACATACATATAAATATATATATTATAGGCTATTAATTCTTATATAATATGTACATATAGATTCGTAATTTGATTGAAACGGGCACTGTATCTGCTTCTCAAGCCATTAGAAGATTTAGTAACGGTACACTTCATGCTGCTAGTGATCCAAGGAAAAATGGTTTAGCAGCAGCCTATTAAATATGCATATACAATTTATCTATTTTTTATTTATTTTATTTTGTGTGTGTATTTTTTTTTATTGCAATTATTAATCAAATTATACTTGACATATAATAAAACAAAGTTTAAAGTTTTTTTTTTTTTTTTTTTTTTTTTTTTTTTTTTTTTTTTTAAGCAAGGTTTTTAATAATAGCATCAGTCACTTCTATTGTTGTATTCTTACCACCCAAGTCAGGTGTCAATATGTGTCCATCTGCCAAGACCTTATCTACAGCATCATAGACTTGTAAAGCCTGAGATGTATAGCCCATATGTTCTAAAAGCATACCTGCTGAACGAATAGCAGCAATAGGATTTGCAATACCTTTACCAGCGATATCAGGTGCAGAACCATGTACAGGTTCACCCATTGCAAATCGATCTCCAACATTAGCAGAAGGCACAAGACCTAATGAACCTACTAAAGCAGCTGCACCGTCTGATAAAATATCACCATATAAATTGGGCGCTACAACAACATCAAATGCCTCAGGTTCACGGAACATACGATACACCATTGAATCAACCAATTGTTCTTCCATATCCACATCATCATATCCTGAGTCGTTGTTCTTTACATTACGTACTGTTTCACGCCATAAACCGTCAGAAATACTCAAGACATTTGACTTATGAACAATGGTAACACGAGGGTTATGCTATACAGTTATAATTGAAGAAAGAAAAGAAAAGAAAAAAAAAGGCCAATATTACATCAGAATAAATGTATATATTTATATGCATATGTATATTTGTATACCTTCCAGAAACGCTTTTCTACTGGAATTTCTGAACGAAGCTTTTGACGTGTTAAAGCCATATTAAACGCCATTTCACCGATACGTTTTGAAGCATATTCAGATATTTTACGATCTGCCCAAGCAACTTTCATATCAGTTTCAGGATCAATCTCTTCTCTTTCTGATTTAATATACTTTATATAAATTTATTAATATATGTATGTATATCATCGATATACTTGACTATGTATACAACTTACTAGACATTCTGTATTTTCACGTATAATCAACATATCTACTGGTTTTTGATTAGGAAACGCAGGGGATTGAACAGACTTGACAGGACGTACGTTAGCATATAAATCCAAATGTTTTCGTAAAGCGACAATAGGAGAAGAATAACCAGCTACTTTATAAGAAGGAGAACTAAAGCATCATAAAAGGTATAAACCATCATTGTCAAACAATACATACATGTATATATATATATATTCTTCTTTACCTTACTGCACCAAAGAGAGCACCATTACATTCGTTCTTTAAGATATCAATCGTTTCTTGAGGTAATGAAGTTCCATTTTTTTGAAAGTATTCAAAACCTGCATCCAAGTCAATAAATTCAAATTTGGGACCATTACTTAAGGATTCAAGAACACGACGAGCAGCCTAAATAAATTTGAAAGAGAAAGGCATTATTCAGTTTCTATTATAGTATAGGAAAATAACAATTTTTATAGTAACTAACAGGAATAACTAAAAGAAAAAAAATGGAAAGGATTTAGTGTCTTGCTTCAAATACAGATAGCTATGCATTCTTGGAATATGCCCTTTTTTTTTGTTTTTGTTTTTTTACCTTCTCTACCAATACCATCTGCAGGGATTAAACCAATCTTATATTTTGGAATAGAGGTTGTTAAAGTACGTTGAAAAATACGAGAAGCCATGATAATAATAATAATATATAAGCTATAAAAAGAAGAAAGTAAATTGTAGTTTTAATAGCTTGCATTATTATAAATAATGGAGGAAATAAAATAAAGGGGCCGGCGATTTAAAAGGAAGATGTAGATAATCACGCCCAAATATAGTAATTTCTCTTTGATGGGATTTTTTTTTAAAAAAAATAAAGATGAATGTGGTATATTTTATGTCATCAGTATAATGGATAAATTACTGTATTTTTTTTTATCCCTCTTTATTCTGATAATCAACAATAATAGAATATATTCAAACTATTACTGCTTAACCAATGATACTAGAGAAAGAATATTATATAATGTATTATTACTTTGACTTTTATTAATAGTTTTTCGTGTGTATAAATTTATATAACTTTCTTCCTGGCTCTTCTCCAATCATATCTTGAATTCTTTTTAAACTTAGCTGCATTAATTCGTCTAAACTCTCTACTTGATTCATAATGATTTTATAATTTTTTGAGTTAACACCTGGCATACTTCTCAAAATATCCTACAAAAAAAAATATACAATAATAATATAGATTAGGCACACCTCTTCCTCTCTATCTCTCTATCTCTCTCTTTTTCTTTTTCTTTTCTTTTACTTGAGGTGTCATGTTATAAATCGTTTCTCTATCGTCATTTTCTTCCGTTCCTATAGTCGCTGCTACTTCTGTATCTGGTTCATCTTCTGTTTTCTAATTAAAAATAAAATAAAATAAAATAATAATAATAAAAAAAAAAGAATATTTGAATTCTATATTATTATTTACCTTTAATTCTATGAATATCTTTGCGGTTTCATGTGGGCTTGAGGACCAAATAATTCGTAATTTAGGAAATGCTAATGTGAGTAATACAAGTTTTGAAGAAAGATCAGTTGCTCTAATATTTTCACTCATATCAGAAGTTCCCTTTAAAAACATATATGAATATATTATAGATTAAAATACAATTTTTTTTTAATTATACAAATGTATTCCCTTTTTTTTTATGCTTACCTGTAATGAAAATGGCTTGTTTTCATCAAATTCAATTAAAAGAATAGGCATCTTATAATACATTGACATATTTTCACATTGTGTATATAATCTACCAGAATTAAATGACTGAATTAAATCCATTAGAGACTTTCTCTCGACACACATGTCTGGGCTCAAGATATAGTCTCCTACTTGTAACGTACATGGTACAATTTTGACACCTTCTGCGTATAAAATAGGTGGCAACGAACTACGAAACTCTCGCATATCAACTGTTATTAACTGAGGTCCTTTTTCAACTCTTAATTGACCTCCTGCTAAACGTGTATTCGTACGAATAGTTAATTCTGCTTCTTTCCTTCTTTGATCTGGTAAAGGTAATGCCATGACCTAATAATAATAAAAAGTTAACTTCACTGTATCTCCATATTATATATATATAGTTTCTCTACTTTACTGATTTTTCATGAATAAGTCGTTCAAATGATTCCTTTTCCTTACGAATTAAACTTAAATAGTTTTGCTCTTCAACAGAATCTTCATAGATCATAAAATAAACACGAATATCAATAGACGGATGTAAAGCACGATAGACCTCGATTTGTCGTATAAATGCAGGATTTGGATCAAATAAAATAATAAAACGTGGTTCTGTGTCTTCTAGGACTTGTTCGTAAGTATTATCATCATAGCATTGGATAGTAAGAAGGGATGTATTGGGTATTTCATCAAAGGTGGGTAATAGGGTATCAGTTAATATCGCATCTTCTGGAACTATAATGCCTTGAAATGTGGATGTATCATTGTCTTCATTATCCGTTGTGTCTGGTGTATTTGTATCCAATCTATTATTAATAAGTGAAAAAAAAAAGATAATTGTTTAATACGTATCTATCAATTTTGATTAGCTATATTTACTCTGTAACGTTTTGTATTACATCGTTTCGAAATGTTTCTGCTAATGTATATGCTCGACCACTGGTAGATGATGCAGTAGATGATCCACCTCTTACTCTTCTACGCTTATTAGGAGGCGGTCTACCTCTTAATGAACTGGACTGGTGAGAGGTTATTGCTGCTTCATTCACTACTGTTGTTTGCATTTGATGTATTGTTGATCTCCATTTGAAAAAATTACGTGCAATTGGATCCAAAAAACTACCTTTGTGGTTTTCAGTAATATACTTTTTCAGCTGTGAGCATGTTCTTCTTTCAGATACCATAATCAAGATAGGGGCACCATCGCCTGCATTTAACTGTAAACTGTCTTGTTCAATTTCCTCCAAAATGGTCGTTAATAATGCCCATTTAGGTTGTTCTTCTAGAACCAACTTGATATGTTTTGGGATACTGTCATCTTTATTGTTAGTTTCTGGAAAGTCTTTATATTCTAAATCTCCTTCTTTCACATAGACTCTTTTCCTTGCTGTCTTTAATCGAAATAAGTATATACATATAGGAAAAAGCAAAAAAAAAAAAAAAAAAGTTTTATAACTTTACCGAAATAACTTTATCGCCTGCCTCTAAAAATAACCATTGCGATTGTCTAACTTGTTTCCCATCATATGAAGTATTAGCTGCAATTACAGTTTCAATAAAACTATAAAATGACACACAGTCATATGCAGTCAAATAACTAAAATACGGATTAGGAAAAAGAAAAAGAAAAAAAAAGAACTTCTATCTGTTTGTTCTCTCCTTACTTTAATAATTGTCGTAATATCTTTAAATCACCCACTAATTGTTTAGATGCTGGTGAGACACGGTGCCAGATAGGATCTAATTGTTGTCTTACTATCTGATCAAAGGATTTGAAGAAAGCATTCTCCATAGTAAATTCTCCAACATCCACAGTTGGATTTGCCCTTCTTAATTCAGCCAATGTTTCCTCTAAACAAAGCACTAAGTTTTGTTGAATAATTTGCATCGATTCTGTCATGGGCTGCCTTAATTCAATGACATTATCTGATGCATTACATAAACCTTCCGCCACAAGTACTTGAAAACGAGGCCAAAGATGCACTTTGCGTAACATCAAGGTCTTGAGTGTTGTCTGCAATGGTGCAAAGCCTGTCACAAATGCTTCCGGATGATCAGAGAGAGCCTTGATAAATCCTTCTTGATTTTTTTCTCGATAGATGCGCAAGATCAATTCCTCCAATGAGTTGGATTTTATACGATGAGCGTTGGCAATAATGATGCCGTTAATAAGTGTTGTTGGAATTCTATCAAGCAGCATATCGACAGCTAAAATACGCGCGGTGATCGAAAAGAGACCACTTTCACGGTACATACTGCTTCTCTTTTCGATAGATGTATTATATTCAATACGACGTAAAGGATGTGAAACTTCATTAGCAATCAATTGTTCTTGTATGAGATCATCCTCTTCTTTAGTCGTATTAAGTAACAAGACAAGGTGATTACCACTAGAGTAAACTTGTATAAGTGAACATAAAATTTGAAATAAACCTAAGCCAGGTGAAATGATCAATAAGCCATCTTCTGTTACAACTTCAGTTAAAATTTGTTTTTGAAATTCAAGTAGCATTTACAATTTTTTTTTTTTAAAAAAAAGAAAATAAATAGATAGCATTATTTTGCATTATTTTATACTACGCAGTGACACGCTTTTTGTTATTTATTATTGCGCACACCACCTTTATTTATTTATTTTTTTTTTTTCCACACACACACACACACCCCATTCTTTTCCATTTCCTTCTTTATTGTTGTCAAGATGGACAAATCCTCAGCAGAAAGAAAGAGTAATTTCAAAAACAAAGATGCTTTTGGTGCCGATCAAGTTCGAAACCGTCGACAAAAACACACGGTCGAAATTAGAAAGCAAAAACGTGAAGAAAATCTTTCAAAGCGTCGTAACATGCACATTCCCACTGCATCCATGTCAGATAGTGAAGATGATATTGAAGTCGAAGATGATTTCAACGTAATTATAACTTACTATTATCTATTGAACACATTTACTAACACATGTCCTATTATGTTTTTTTTTTTTTTTTTTTAAGTTAATTAATAATTTATCAGGTTTAATGGTCGATCTTAACTCAAATGAAGTAGAAAAGCAATATGATGCCACAACGAAATTTAGAAAGTTACTTTCTAAAGAAAAGAATCCACCTATTAAGGAAGTTATTCAGACAGGTGCAGTTCCTAAATTTGTGGAATTCTTAAGATCAAGTCATCCTTTATTACAGGTAAAAAATTTTTTTTTTTAATTGGTGAAAAAAAAAATATAAATATTTATATAAGAATAGAAATAAAAGCTTATTTTATTATTCGTATAGTTTGAAGCAGCCTGGGCATTAACCAATATTGCTTCTGGTTCTTCTGACCAAACTCAAGTTGTTATTGCTGCTGGTGCAGTCCCCATTTTTATTGAATTACTCAAGAGTAACATTCCTGATGTTAAAGAACAGGTATGCGTATTAAAGTTTAATTATATTAAATCAGTTAGCTGATTTTTTTTTTTTGAGTTAAGGCTGTTTGGGCATTAGGTAATATTGCAGGTGATAGTGCAGTATGTCGTGACTATGTCCTTGAACAAGGTGCACTTGGACCTCTCCTTGTTATTCTTAATGAACAACATAAACTTTCCATGTCACGTAACGCCACTTGGACATTATCCAACTTATGTAGAGGCAAAAACCCTCAACCTGCATGGGAAATGGTTGTTCCTGCTTTACCTGTTCTTGCTAAACTTATCTATTCCACTGATGAAGAAGTTCTTATTGACGCCTGTTGGGCTATTTCTTATTTATCTGATGGTTACAATGATCGTATTCAAGCTGTGATTGAATCAGGAGTTTGCCGTCGACTTGTTGAATTATTGATGCATCCTTCCACCTCTGTTCAAACACCTGCTTTAAGATCTGTGGGTAATATTGTGACTGGCGATGATTTGCAAACTCAAGTCATCATCAATTGTGGCGTTTTACCCGCCCTTAACGCTCTTTTGAATAGTAAAAAGGAAGCCATTCGAAAGGAGGCCTGTTGGACAATTTCAAACATTACAGCCGGCAATACTGTTCAGATTGATGCTGTTATTGAAAGCAGTATCATTCCTCCTCTTATTCACATCTTGGCTACAGCCGAGTTTAAGACACGTAAAGAAGCCTGTTGGGCTATCGTGAATGCTACTTCTGGTGGACTTAATAAACCAGCCCAAATCCATTATTTAGTAGCCAGTGGTTGTATTAAGCCCCTTTGTGAAATCTTGACAAGTATGGATAATAAGATTGTTCAAGTTGCTCTTGACGGTCTTGATAATATTTTAAAGATTGGTGAACAAGAACGTCCTAACGATCCAGATGGTATTAATCGATATGCACTTTATATTGAAGAATGTGGTGGCATGGAAATCATTCACCAATTACAACAACATCAAAATGAAGAAGTTTACAAAAAGGCATATCATATTATTGATCGTTACTTTAGCGATGAGGATGCGGATGAAATGACAGAAGAAATGGCACCTCAACAGTCATTCCAATTCCAATCCAATGTGGATGTTCCTCAAGGTGGATTTAATTTTGGATCTTAATTACAAATATACACAAAAAAAAAAATATAAAATACTAGCAATTCCTTCATTTTTTTTTCTTTTTTTCTCCCTCTATAAATAAAAAAAAATTATACATATATTTATATATATTAATATATTTATATAAATATATTCATGCATACATACAATATATAAAAAGAGCCATTTTTGCCAAGATTATGTAAACGTGTCTCATTTACTTGAATTTCAGCTTATTAATTCGTTATTTTTATATAAATGAAAAAAAAAAAAAAAAAAACCAGGAATATCTTTTTTTTTTTCTTTTCTTCTATTATTAATAAAAGTAATCAAATTAATATGTCAGAAACTTTACCACCTGGATGGGAACGCCGCCAAGCCCCTAACGGACAATAGTAAGTGTATATAAAATTCGATAATGGGCGCGTATTAATGAAAGATATTGAAAAATGGATTAGTTATTTTATTGATCATAACACACGTACAACGACATGGACAGATCCACGTCAAAATTACCAAGCACAACCACCAGCAGAACGTGATAGTTATTATTCAGCTCAAGCAAGTTATCCTACTCCTCCTCCACGTCCCGAGGGATATCCTTCCTATGCGAATGCACCCTCTGTTGTAGAGCAACAACAACCTTATCCTACTCCTACTCCTCCTCAAGAGAAAGAGAAAGGCCATCATCAACATCATTCACATGGTGGATTTTTCTCTAATGGTATGAAGGTAGCTGCTGGCCTTGCTGCTGCTGGTTTAGCAGGTTTAGCTATTAAGGATGTTGTTCATCATGAAGAACGTGAAAATGAGCGTATAGCTCGTTTAGAACAAGAAGAACGAGATAATCGTTACAGTTGAGTACTTTTTTTCGGGGACTCTTATTATCCGTCCCCTCTCCTATTAAGAAAAAATAGATGTATATATTGACTTTTTTTTTTGATAATAACATATAATAGTGGAAGAAGAAATGTATAATGAAGAAAGATACAATGAAGAAAGATATAATGAACCTCCTCCTCCTCCTCCTGAATATGGTTATGGTGGTGTACCCGAATATGGTTATGGTGGTGGACCTGCTCCTTCTACCACTATCATTAATGAAGATAACGGTTGGTTTGGTGATGATAAGCAAACTGTGATTCAAACAGGTAATTATTTTTACTATATTTAGTTATTTTTTTTTAAAACTGAGTTATTTTTTAATTTTAATTTATTAAAGACGGATATGGTGACACAATTACTACGGAAACAAAAGATGGATGGTTTCATGATGACACAATAGGTAATTATTATTATTATTTAGGAGATGATAAATGATGGCAATTGACGTGTATTATTTAGTTACAGAAACAGATCGATATGGAGATACTGAAGTGGTAAGTATTTTATATAATACAAGAGTAAATTATTATGTATATATATATATATATATATACTCATTTATATATAGATTGAAGATGATTCCAGCTGGTTATAAATGGGTTAACCTCTTTATTAATAATGATGATTTAAACCAGATAACATAGTCTTTAATGACGGTAATCTTGGTTTTTTATGTATAAGTTGAGTTGCTTGAGTAGCTAATAAATGCAGATTTCTACTACTTTCATCATGACTTTTTATTATTCTATCATGTTGACTTTTATTGCCTGCAATCTTTGTCGACGTCATTTGATAATATTTTCGTTTAGTAGTAGTAGTATGAGTAGGTAATTTTTTGTGTGTGAATGATATACGCCGTTGACGAGTTTCAATAATGGCTTGTTGTTGTCGAGCTACAGATAAGTCACCACATAATAATAAATCAGTTGATAACCATTGATAGAGTAAAGCGATTGTAGGATTTTTGAATGAAGGTTGTTTACTGATATGTTTAACATGATTCAATGTTCTATAATAATAAATATGTATATACAGAGTAAATAAAAAAAATGAAAGTCATTGTTATTGATCCAAAGAAGAGTTAACATACACTAAAGAAGGGGATGAACTCATGTTTAATCTATCATCATTCTCATTTACAAATATCCACTCATTTCCTTTACAGGATTCATAAATACTTGAATCTTCATCCTTTAGTATTTGTTCTTTATAGGATACTTCCCAACCACGACATTCAATTGTATCTAACAAAGGCTCAGCTAGTTGACCATGTACAATTTCATCCAAAGTTAATTTACATAGCTCTGCTAAACAATAAAGACCTAAGAGTCTTGCAATCTCTAAGCATACTTGACTTGTCACCAAAATACGACCTTCCTTTTGATGTTTAATAAATTCCGTAGGATATTGTTTATAAAGTTCTAAAAGATATTTTGATTTTTGTTTAAAAAGACTTTGATTATCATTACAAAAGACAGCTACTATTTCTTCTAAACAAAAGTGAAGTTGTGGAAAAGTGTAGATACAAAAAGGTTGAGATGAATATCCAAAGGTACCTAAAACGATTGTCATTTAAAATAAGTAAAAGAATGTATTTTATATGTATTAAAAAAAAAAAAAAAAAAAAAAAAAAAAAAAAAAAAAAGAATGTTGTTGTTTAAGAAATAAATAAATAAATAAATAAATAAATAAAAGGAGAGGAAAAAAAAGAAATAGAAATAGTTGAAACTTGAAATAACAAAAAGAAAGAAAGGGAGAGAAACTAAAAAAAAAAAAAAAAAAAAAAGGAGAAAAATGGGGGGAGGAGGGGATAATGGTCAAGTGTATCTATTTTGATCATTTTCCCCTTAAAATTGGCTTTTTATCCAAACAAACTTGACTGTTTCATCCTACAACACGCATAAAATTATTCCGCGTTTTTTTTTTTAATACTTACACAATTTTTTTTTTTATTATAATTCAATTAATAAAAAAAAACATGTCAACAGATGAAGAAGATCTTGAATTAAACGATGATACAACTTCACAAATAGAAACAATAACAGACGATGGAGGTGATACGTTAGATACAGAAGGTATATTACGCATCTAGTCTTGCGATTTTTTTTTTTTTTTTTTTTTTTTTTTCAGACTTGAATAATTCCTCCTTATAGACCTACCATCACCTATACAAACAACGGCACCACTTGCGGAAAATAACACAAGACTTCAACCTGATCCCCAAATGTTGACTTGCTCATCCTATGACTGTGTGCCAATAGTAATTGATCATTGACTACTCAACTTGATCACATTCAATTATTCTAAATTTTTTTTTTCTTTTCTTTTCTTTTTTTAGGTTGCAGCTGTTCATCCTACCCCTATCTCAAGTCTAGCTACAACACATTGTTATCGTTGGGTATTCACGGGTTCAGAAGATGGCTATATTCGTAAATGGGACTTTTTTAGTTCTATGAATGGTAAAACTTCACTTACACAAGCACAACGTCACTATTTTGTGGATTCAGTTGTCTATGCAGGTGTCTTGAGCTCTTGGTGGGAAAATGAAGAAGTTCCAGGTATATATATATATATATCAAATGTATTCATTTTAGATACTGACTCTATTCTATGTAATTAAGAAACAAATTCAAATGAATCATCTTTACCTCCAATAAAACCATTCGATATAAAACTTTCTCCTGTCTTTAGTTTAGCAGTTCAGTCAGAGGCATTATGGGCTTTATCAGGTTGTGAAAATGGAGCTATTAATTTAAGTACAGTAAGACACGAAGAAGGTAAAGTGCATCATGTCCTTCGAAAACATAAAGGACCTGTATCAGTATTAGAAATTATGCCCAATGAACAATCAGCTATCAGTGGATCATGGGATACGTCTGTGCTTGAATGGGATCTACATACAGGTCATCTCGTACGTTCCTATTCAGGTCATAATTCACAAATTTCATCCGCTTCATGTCATCCTAATGATGAACATGGCTTATTAACAACGAGTATGGATGGTCAATGTTTATTATGGGATAGAAGAGAATCTAATTTCAAACGATTACCTCTACCAGAACGTACACCACCATGGTGTTTATCTGTAAGAAGAAGAAGAAAAAAAAAAGAGACATGGAATTGAATAAATAAAATAACTGTTTCATTCTATAGGCATGTTGGAGTGTAGATGGTAAAAAGATATACGTTGGAAGAAGAAATGGCACAGTAGATGAATATGATTTTAGAGAACAAAAATGGATTCAATCATTTCGTATGCCAGCTAATTCAGGGCCTGTCTCCTTTGTAAAAAGTATGGCAAATGGCAAACACATCATCTGGTAAGGGTTATTTTTTATTTATTTTTATTCATTCAACTAACAAAACAAAACTTATACTCTACTCTACTCTACTCTACTCTACTCTACTCTTTAAAGTGCTTCAAATGATAATATACGTTTATGGAATACAACAATAGAATCTAATTTTACTATTAGACCTGATAGTGAACCGGGATTTACAGCGAATAACAAGAAATTATCTTCTGTCATTCCATTTAGCATCTTACCCGGTCATCATGGAGGTACTATCTCTCACATATCTATTGATCCAACCTGTAAATATATGATCACTACTTCTGGGAATAGAGGTTGGGAAGGAAATTCAACAAATGGTTGTCTATTTTATGATATCTCTCCTCTAACCAACTCCTAAAGTATATCTGCTGCTGGGATTCAAATTGTTTATAATAAATAAGGAATAAATACATGTATATATTTGTATATTTATATTTTTTTTTGGAACCCCCTCTTTGTTTCGTTGTCTTTTATCTGGGGGGGAAAAGAAAATAATAAAGGAAAAAAAAATGACAGGCTCAACACATGAAGATGAAGACACCAAAGCATTTTTTGCAGAGATAGATAAAGAAACGAAACAAGATTATGAGACCTGTAGTCTTTCACAAGCATTTGATGCTGTATTTCAATGTTATAGTATGTACTCCTTTTGTTGTTGTTGTTGTTGTTTCATCAATTGATATCCCTTTTCCTCTTTTACAGCATTGGGTGCACAAGCTATTCATTATTATAGATATGGTACAAAAAAGGATTGTTCAGGGAAATGGGAAGATTTTAAGTTTTGTTGCAAGACAAAAACAAAATCATCCGAGAAAGCACATGTAAAAAAAATATATATATATATATATATACATTTATAAATATATAGGTGGATCAAGTTTGAATAAATATTAAATGTATCTATTTGTTAATAGATGATGATTAAGCAACGTCGAGCAGAGAAAGAAGAAATGAAAAGAAAAGGAAGAAATTCAGAAGAAGTTTGGGAATTACAACAATAAAAAAAAAAAAAAAGAAACTGTACAAATTTAAAATTTATGCTTTGTATGATTGAATGGTGGTGGCTTAAAATAATTTATTAAAAATTAAATTACGCGAATACATAACATTGGTTTTTCTTCTTTTTTTTTTTTCTTATTATTTTCAATATAAATAAATAAATAAATAAAATGAAGTTGGTTAGGTAAATTAATATAAATTCATTTATAACATAATGACTCCAACTATTTATTATTGTTTATAATAAACTTGTTTTAATGTCATTCTTTTGCTTTTCTTTCAACAATGATAGATTCTTAATGAAATTAAACAATGAAACAGTTTCTGTTGAATTAAAAAACGGCACAGTAGTTCACGGTACTATTACAGGCGTTGACATGAGTATGAACACCCATTTAAAAACAGTCAAAATGACTCTTAAAAATAGAGATCCTGTCAGTTTGGATTCTTTATCTGTTCGTGGTAATACTATTCGTTGTGTCATTTTACCCGATAGTTTACCATTAGATACACTTTTGATTGATGATACTCCTAAAAAGAAGAAGCGTGATGGTAAAAAAAAAAAAAAAAAAAGTCAAACATTTATAAACGGAACAAAAGTTAATTCATGGTCTATATTTTAGATGATGGTGCTGGTCGTGGTCGTGGAAGAGGAATGCGTAGTGGACGTGGTGGACGTGGTAGAGGAAGACGTTAAATTATATGTATACGCCTTTATATACTTCTTTTTTTTTCTTTTATTTTCTCAGTTTGTTAATAATAAATACGCAAATCATTCAATTCAAATGTATGTTTTTTTGATTACAATTGCAGCTCAAATGTTGTAAAGGTAAAAAGACAAAAAAAGACAAAAAAAAATAATGATTTAGGATTGTTATTTAAAGAAGTTTAAATTGGTTGGGAAGCGTTTGCAGTCTCCCTGTCCTATAACAGAAGTTTCAGGTGGAGGTGTAGCCCAAATAATTTGTGAGACTTTATAGGAAGGATCCTAATTAGACAATCAACTAAGTTTATGTTTTTCTTTTCTTTTTTTTTTCCCAATGTTCATTTATACTTACATTTAAAAAGGGTGTATCTTCTTTCACTAACTTTAATTTCGATCTATTCAGTTTTAATTTAATATATTCATCAAACATGAGTATTTCTGGTTCTTGACTAGACTTGAGTAAGCGATCTGTAATGAATTGTGTAAACATTTGTGAATTACTTAGTCCTGATAAGAACGCCTATTTTTACATATAGAATGTTATTTTTTTCTTTTCTTTTTTTACAAATAATAATAATTACATACCCTGGTATCTTTGTCTGAATGTTTAATAAATCGATCCTTGGAAAAGCATAATTGAGTTGACTTTTCATTATCGTTGGCAGTAATAGAAGATGCTCCTGACTCTAAACGATCTACAAAGCCTGTTCTATAATTATATAATAATGAAGCAAACATTCTTAAAAATGCTTCATGTACTCTATTTTCATCAAAGCAAGCAGGTAAACAAGGATGTAGGATTTGTTCTGTACATGTATCATGCGTTACTAAATGGCATTCTATAGAGATAATAAATACACATATACATATACACATATGCATACAATATATATATATATATTACCTTGACAGCACATAAACATGCCGGTTTGATATCCTTCTGTTTCTTCTGTCACTTGCTTGCCACAAATGCATCGATATCCATGAAATCGTTGAAGTTCTGAAGTAAAGATTTCTGCCATAATATGACCTTCAATATGCTGTGTACGTCGAGGCATTTGATTATGATAGCTTGGGTCAAATTCAGTCATGGATGTAGAAATGGAGATACGTGGAGATGACATGGTACCCTCTATTGTAGAGCCTGGTTGTTGATGAAAGACAGCTCTTGGCTTTGATGTTAACGTACTAAATCGATTTCTTCCATTCTAAAATGAGATGAATCATAAAGTCTGAGAATCCATAGGACATGTATTTTATATAGAATTTAAAATTTACCTCTCTTTCATCGTAGCCTCTTTTAGGCGGTGGTGGCTCAGAGATTCTCTTTGAATTGTAAATCGTATTAGTATATCCATTCTTATTTGTTGTAGGCATTGAGATACGTTTTGGAGCGGATGATAGGTTGGAAGTTGGACGAATAGGACTCATGGGTGGGCTTGTAAAATGCAATGCCATATCCGTAGTCGTTGTGTTCGTCGTCGTCGTCGTCGTCGTCGTCGTTGTCGTCGTCGTTGTAGATGTTGATTCATTTGAGCGACGACCATTTAGAGAAGACCAAGTAGTTATATCTGATAATGCTAATGAGACACGTGATGCAGGACTAATAAAGGCATCTGTTGTCTTGGATCGATTACAATGAAGTATCATTTTTCCTTTTGGATATGCAAACTGAACTGAGAGTGGGAGTCCATAGGGAACCTTGTGTTTTGTATGAAGTGGTGCATATTGTTCTAAAGCCAATTGAAGTTTACGTCGTTGACGATCAGGAATAGGCGTAGCACGTTGACTTGAATGCATTGTATTACTATCTAAATTAACAATGCATGCCTACATGTATATGTATATATAAAAAAAGCATGAATTTAGGTTACCATCTATGTCTATTTTATGTATACATGTATATACATATATGTATTTATATAAATTAATCTTACATCATCTGGCGCATGTTCTTCTATTTCATCCATGGTTCCTTTGAATCCAATGATATAAGGCACAGGGGCTTGTAAACAGGTTAATAATCGTTCAGGCAATACAGGAATAAAAACAAATTGCCAATAAAATGGAAAAAGTAAATAACGAAATGATTCACAAGCATAAGAGAGTATGCCTGCATATTTTGATAAAAATACAACTTTTCCTTCTGCTAATAATGTCTTTTTTTTAAAAAAAAAAAGAAAAAGGGTTAGTAAACGATTAGAATGAATAGAATAATAGACTTTTACTTCAAGTATAACGAGTATTAAATGAGGTGATAGAGCACGAAATAATGGAAATAATGAAAACTAGAAGAAAATAAAAAAAAATGAATAAGAAAAAATAAAATAAAATAAAAACATGAATACCTACATTTTTTAATATAGGGACTTGATTGATAGGTGGCCTTGAAAAGAATAGAGGTTTATGATTAATGGTTAAGCCAATTTCAAATCTTCCTGGTGGCGGTAAAGGGACTTCATCAATCAAGTTCATCACTGTACTATAAGCAAACAAAAATTGAGTCAACATAGAGGATCAAGTCTTTCTGCTTATCATTTCCTACCTTTCAATATCAATCGTTGGCCTTATATTATTACGATGTCCACCTACACCTACAATATTATCTAATAAAATCTTCATCCAGTCACTATATAAATTCGTCCATGGCATTTTCCCTAATAATCCAATACTCTTTGGCACCCAAACTTGATCTGCTGTACAGACTGCCATCTTGACTGGTTCCAATAACTCTTTATAAAGTTGAATGTTTTCCTGACACTTTTTAATATCTTCTTCTATTGATAATTGAGTAAGCTGCGCTTGTTCAGCTTGAATCTTTTGCTGTAAATGTTGAGCATATTCGATACTACTAGATGGCATATTTATTTTAACCCAGGATTGAATCGCTCCATTTACTGACTTCTTTAGCTTGTCTGTTAATGGTTCGTAAAATACAAGGCATGTACCATAGACAGTCGCCCCATTCTCATCTGTTATTGCCTTGATTACAAAATATATATATATATATATATATGTATACATATATAAAGGAGAGGGAGAAGAAATGATGTAAGTCTATTATTGCATTCTATAATTTATAAAAGGATTTAACATACAAATGAATGATATTGTTCAGCGGGTGGTGTTTCTCCATAATGTAGCTTTATATCTTTTGGAAAGCAAAACTATATTGTAAAATAGGCTTTAGTTTAATTATGACTATAATGACTCTTATTACTTGTATTACCATAGCTGCATAAGCAGGAAAAGGCTCATTGGACGAATAATTTGATTTTGGATACCTTAAAAGTACAGTTGGCGTATATTTCAATTCAAAAATATTTGGAATCACTTTTTCTTCTAAATTAAAACTTAATGAACGATGCTTTTCTACTACTCAAAAAAAAAAAAAAAAGAAAAGAAAAAGGATATATATATGTATATATATATTCATTAATTATTGAGGGTTTTTTTTTCACAACAACACGTTTATTATTACGAATCTTTGGATCAGATGGACTCCTCCATTTCCTTGTCTTGTCCTGTAATGATGAATGCCTTGTTTCTAATGAATAAACACTTGCCCGATGCCTTCTTTTTGCCGGATCGTGCACTGAAATCACATTATCCCGAGCTATATCTCGTTCTTTATCAAAATGGTCAATGACTGATTGAACATGATTAAGAACGCCCAATAAGGAATCGTCTTTTTGAAAATGGTCTTGGGCAATGGTATAACTACGATGACGACAACGAATTTGCTCAATATCAGTCGCATCAAATTGTGGAGGGGATTGTGAAAGAACAGCTTGTTCTTGTTGTTGATAATAGGTGGCGTCGTCTATTTTATTTTGTTTTGCAGACTCAAAGGTTGGTATAAGGTGATTATCATGAAGTCCTGCTACAAAGAAATAGTCTGCTACTCGGGATGCAGGACTACTAGTAGACATAATTTATTATCTTTCTATATAAAATGTCTTAAAATATGAAATAATAATAGTAAAATAGGATAGACTAAAAAGGATAATTCATAGTGGAGAATTTAAAAAAAAATGATACTTTCAGCAAAAAAAAAAAAAAAAAAAAAAAATGCCATTATTAACCATGTTTTCATTTTTATGTATCCAATAAAAATTCACCTTTATATTTGTGTAGCTTTTTTTTTGAACGTTTGTCCAATTAATTTTACGTATTCTCGTTAATGAGTTTAAAAAAAAAACATTATTACTTTTTCAGCATTAATTTATGATGATACAATTAAGCATAATATGAATAAAAAAAAAAAAAAAAAAAAAGATCAATAGACGCGTAGCTTGTAAAATTGATGCTGAATTGTTCTAGTTAGATGAAGAATAAAAGGTAACTAAAAGATATGTTATGATAGAAGGTATAGGCAAAAGTAAAATAGTGAATTATGAAAAAAAAAAAATTGTTTACAGCATTTTATTATAGAAATCAACGTTTCTTTTAATAGAACTTTTTTTTTTTTTTTTCACTGATCTTGCTTTTATATACAGGTCAAACTTACTTGATTGGATCAAGTTTTAACGAATATATCCTTTATACTTTATTCTATTGATTATATATGAATATACACTATTTTAACCTTCTTTTTATTAGTATTATTATTACTTAATTTACCGCCTTTAATTACTCGTATAAAATGTATTTATAAATAGTAATGACTCTAATCATAATACCTTTGTTTCTCAAATGCACATATAGAATATATGTTACGAATGCTAGTTTATATGTTTTATAAGAATACCATATAGTAGTATTGTATGTACAGTCAAATATGAATAAATGTTATATATTCTTCATTTTAAAATAATTATGTAAAAATACATTGAATATTATGTAATGGAAATAATATTTTTGTTTCCTTTTACATGTCTTCAGTTGACCAAGAATAAGCCTCCACAGCTCTGGACTTTGCTTGATTTTGTTGTAGCAAGAAATGATCTTCAAATCCAGTTGATCTATCCACGCCATCCCAACGATATCCTGGAGGAATCATGAAGCGATTTGGCTTCCATGGTCCTTTATATGTAGGCTTTACTAGCTTTTTACCTTCAGATTTTTTACCTGATTCATTCTATTTATTAAAGTGTAATATTTGTTAAATACAGGCAACTATTAAATAAAAAAAAATTCTTATATTTATCTGCTTACTGTTAAAAAACCTGCTGCTGGATCATTCCATCTTATTTTTTCTTTTAATTCATTATTTAAATCCTCATCATCAGCATATCTGAATAAAATATTTTTTTTTTCTCGTTTTCTTAGGATTATTTTTTCTTTTCATATTTAATAGCTTTTTTTTTTTTTTACCTTGCTAAAGGTTTATATTTTTCTTCTTCAAGTCGTCTTTTTTCTTCTTCTGCTTCCTTTCGTTGTACTAAACCTTTTCCCCATTCCATCTTTCTCGCTTCCCTTTCAATCTTTTCCTGCCTTGCTTTTAACTCCTCTGCTCGCTTTCTTTTGATATCTACTTTACGACCTGATGTATCACGATACACAGTTTTTGCCTCAGACTCTTTTAAGGCTTCTAACGCTCTTTGTTCTGCCAATCGCGCTCTCTCTGCTTCTCGTTTGATTTCTTCTTTTGTTAATATACCAGCCCGTTGGCCATTTGACATGCGAGGTATGGATCTTTCAGTTTTTTCCTCAACCACCACAGGTCTCTCATCCTCCGTCTCCTCACTACCCTCACGAATAATCTCCCAATTATTTACAATCTCTGTCTTTACATCTTTCTCTACAACCTTATAATCGTCATCATCGTCTGGTTCTGGCTCTTGAGGTTGAGATTTCCATGAAATGTCCTCTTCATCATCAATTATCCCAATGCCTTGATAAGATGCTTTTTTAGACTTTTTCTTTTTCTTTTTAGGTTTTTCAGAAGTGTCTAAATATTTCGAAGCAATATAAGCTTTTGTAGCTGCATCACCTGGATTACGGGCCAAGTATTTTCTTTTCAAAACTTCTTCGTGATTTAATTGATCCATTATTATTTTTTTTTTCAGTTATTTAACTTTTTCATAAATGTATAAATATGAAAAAAAAAAAAACGAGTTTTGTGAATTGTCCAGCAACTTAAAAAAATGTAGATGTAGAAAAAAAAAAAAATGCCGCCTCCTTTTATTTCTCTCTCCTCTCCTCCTCCTCCCCCCAAAAAAATGATAACTGGTTCCCCCCCCCTATTTTTATACTCTATATAATAATGTCTGTGACTGTATTTCATGGTTGAGAAAAAGCCACGCATTACTACGAATTGAAGTTCAATTTCAAAAAAAAAAAAAAAAAAAAAAAAAAAAAAAAAACTCAATACTATCTCTAGTTTCTTTTTTTTTTTTTCTTAACCAATATCTGTAGTTATCATGGGAAAGAAAAAGACACCCGTATTCCGACAAGCCAAAAAGACAGCTGATGAGTATGACCGAGAAGGCAGCAAAATTAAAGCAATTCGTACCTGGGATGATGTTGAACATGACTCTGAAGATGAATTCTATGAGGAAAGAGAGAAAGTTTTATTAAATGATCAACCATTGGAGGATGAAGAAGAGAGTGATCGTGAAGTCTATGGCTTGGAAGGTATCGATTCTGATGAATTATCCGATGATGAGATTGTTGAAAAAAAGCAAGAAGATGAAGAAGAAAGATTAGAGGCTTGGGGTACTTCCAAGGACGTCTACTATGATGGTGATGACGTTGAAGATCTTGATGAAATGCGAGAAGAAGAAGAAGAAGCTTTACGTATTCAAAAGGAACATTTGGATAACATGGATGAAGCTGATTTTATGGATGATGGCTTATCAGGATGGGGAACAGGCGAAAATCAAGATTTGGAAGCTGACAAGAAACTTGTAGAGGATGTGAATAAAGAATTAGAAGATATTTCATTCGAGTAAATCGCCATGATATAACACATAACTATAATTATTTATATTAATCTTTTTTTTTTTTACTTTCTTAAAAAAAAACAGTAAATTAAAGATTGAAAAGCGTCGAAAGAATCTTCCCGTTGCAGAACAATTAAAAATCATTCAAAATGAATCACCGGAATTATTAGATTTACTTGATGAATTTAAAGAAAAGACAAGCGTTGTAAGTCAATTGAAACCTATTGTTGAAAAATTACAAGGTCATAAAAAGCGTGAAGAAAAGGAAGGTCAATTTTTATTATTTAAATATGAGACTTTGATGAATTACTTGACAAATATTTCGTTTTATTTGGCATTGAAAGCATCTTCTACAGCAGAGACAACCGATATACGTGAACATCCTATCATTCAAGCATTGTTTCAATTACGACAGACAATTGAAAAGATTGCAACTCTAGAAGAAGAATGTCTGGATGTACAATCATTTTTAGATAAATTAGATGAACCTGAAGCAGAGTTAGTCAAATCAGATACCAAGGGAATAAAGAGAAGCCCCAAGTCAAAGAAGACAGTTAAAGAAATACAGGATATTATTTCGGAAGATGAAGAAGAAGAATCTGAAAAAGAAGAAGATATTTTGAAAGAAATTAGAGAGATTGAAGAAGAGTTCAAGAGCTTAAAGAAGTTGTCTAATAAAAAACGTAAGAGAAGTGTGATGATGACAGATGATTTCGGCGAATTAGATGCACTAGATGAATTGGATATGGAAGATAAGATTGCCAAGAAGAAATCACTCCGAGATTACATTGCTAAAATCGATGCTGTAAGTTAAAAGTTTATTATAGAGTAGCTATATGCTTAAGCCTCCTGTTTCTTTTTTCTTCTTCTTTAGAAACAAGCTAAGAATGTTAACAAATATCAAGGTGATGTTGATATACCATATAGAGATCGTGTTAAACAAGAACGTAAGGGAGTCGCACAACCTCAAGATACATCAGCTGATTTAGATGATGCAGACTGGGATGAAGAAGATATGAAGATAGCCTCTGAGGCTAATGCCATGGACTCTGATGATGACTATTACTCAACAATAGCTAATACTAAAAAAGCACAGAAACAAGCTAAAAAGGAAGCCTATGAAGCAGAAAGAGCGCCGGTTGAAAGTCGTGATGTGGATGTGGAAGAAGGTGAAAAACGTTTGGCAACATATAAGATCCTTAAGAATAAGGGTCTAACACCTCGTCGTAAGAAGGAGAACAGAAATGCTCGTGTGAAACATAGAAACAAGTACGCACAAAAGATGAAGAAACTTTCATCTACAAGAGCTGTTGTCAAGCCTCAAACTTCTGGTTATGCTGGTGAAATGAGTGGTGTTAAGACAAATGTTGTCAAATCTGTCAAATTATCAACTTAATTTTAGATTTTATAAAATGTAGTGTATATATACATATTATTATAAAAATAAATAAATAAATAAAAAAATATAGATATTAGGGAGTAAATGAATGTCTGTGCTAATATGAATGATGTAATGCATGCATTGCGTTAAACAAAATATTATGCATGTATGTATGTGGCTAGGATAGTAGGTTGAACTATTCATCCATAGATAGTGTTCAAAATGCTAAGAAATATAGACAATGTTCAAAGAAAGGGTCGAATTTAATGATATAGACGTTCCCGTATTGAATACATAATTTAGACTTATCATTTTCATTAAGGATATAAGATTTAATTACTAGTTTAATATGTCTGATAAAAGTAAGGAGTGTATGTTCTTTTTCTTTTTCCAATTAGAGTCTTTAACAGTTTATTCCATTGATATTTTTCAGTAATTAGTAGGTTCTTATATCTTTAGTTGAAGTTCAAAATATATACAAATAATAATTTAAAGCATGTACTAAAAGAATTAACTATCTTTATGACCTGCATAGATAATATTTCAATTAAGTTTGGGCCATTTAAGAATAGAGCCTAAATAATAAAAACTTATTTAATCTTTTAGTATTTATTCTAATAGCTAAGATTTCATAATAGAATTCAAAGGGATCTCTTTTAACTCAAAAATAAACAAGATGTTAGCATGAAGAAAAGAAAGAAAAGAAAAAAAAAAAAGAAGGATAGTATCTCTTATTGATACAATATACATGTATAGAACATATCTACAGTTGGTATGAAGAAAGTAAAACAGTTATTTTAGCCATATCTCACAAATTATATTTAACCTGTTTGCTATCAGCCTTTACCATATATTAAAGTATAAAAGGATATGCAATGTCTACAGGCTATTCTTTTGGATACCTCAAATTACTCTATTTTTGATTTTGATATATATGAAAGCAATTCTTATCCAATCGTTGATGAGACTTTAAACACTCTATTATCAATTAGCAATAAATTATATGGCCTTATATATATATATGTATATATATGTGTGTATGTATACTTATATGTATGTATAATAAATTAGCACTTTATCATTATCTTTTCCTTTGAAAGTCTGGGTATAATAGTAGATATATTGAATTAGCTTCTAAATATCTAAACTAAAAACTATACCTAATTGAACTCGGTCATTATCGATATTGAATAATAACTGTTCTAATTTAAAGAATTTGTATCTTCATTATAGTATTAGATGTATTTTCTAGTTTACTGATATACATAATATTGTTTCACTATTCATATTCTTCCCTCAATCGCTAATAAGAACTTTTTATAACAATATTGATTTTGGCCACATTGAAGCTTCTTAACAATGATAGCTTTGTTAAGTTAAACTTGAGAGATTGCAAATGAAATAAAATAAAATAGTATAAGCATGTAATAGAGTTATTTACTGGTAATCAATAAAATTGGTTTTAATATATTATGAAGACATCACACTCACACTTTTATTGCTAGTACTAGCATTGTAAATTTTATATATAAAGTTGAAAAGAGACAAAGTAATAAAAAAAAAAAATAGCACCAACATAGCGATAACAAGAGTATCTTGATTTGCTGACGTTTCTAGGAGATATATTTCATCATTCTCAAAACTCAGAATACAAAAGTATGCGTCTTATACTTTTCTTTAAATGTTTATTCTACAGAGATAAATTTCGATTACTATAACCTCCACAACAATTTTAATAACATGTTTAAGCATTAATAAAACATTATTTAATAAAGTATCTTATCATACATTTCTTTATCTGCAAAAAAATAAAAAATAAAATTCATATGTTAACTTGAAAAAAAAAAAAAAAAAAAAAAAAAAAAAAAAAAAATAGACCGATTTGTCAAATGATTTGCTCAATGAACATACTGATAAAATTAAAATTTTAAAGGTTAGTTAGATCAGAACAAAATTGTTATATTAGCTAATACTCTCTATGTATCTAGACTTGCTAAATAAAAGCATATATTAATTTATGTATGCTTAAATCTAAAACTTTGTTATATAAATATAGTATTCAGGGAGTAACAAAAGGCTTATGCTTCATAATACTCGTTGGTAAAAAAAAAAAAGGAAAAAAAAAGGGTACAGAAATAAAATATTCCATATTTATTGAAATAAAAAAAAACATACGAAATGAACTACTATATAACCCTCTTGTTTATTTATTTATTTATCTTTTCAATAACAAGGAGGCGCATTACCAATAAGTGTATTTTATGATGCGACAATCTTTTAAATTCATTTATATCTTGAGTTAAGCTTTATAATTTTGAGGTCTTAAACAGGTATTCTAAGCTATTTTTTTTTTCTTTTTTTTGGATTCTCAGGTACCTTCTCCATTTCGATTTAGAGACATACATACTTTAATTCTGAAAAGTTAAATTTTGGTTTTAGAAAACAAAATGGGGCAATTAGTATCGTCAGTAGTAGAAATGATGAATAACTATGAGATTAAAATGTACAATATGCATATGAATTATATCTGCTTACTACTAAATGATATCTTCAACAAAAGGAGAAACTGATAGATTGAATTATATTTGTACATATCTTAATTCTCTATGCTCCTAATTCAAAACTGTTAAATACAAGGGGCCGCAGTTTTTTTTTTTTTTTTTGGAGAAGCAAAGAAAAGGAGTGTTATATAAATTTTAAATATATGTAGTTAATTACATATGGGAGAAGGAGAAGTCAGTAATATTTGTCAATAAAATACATAAACATCAAATAGATAAAGATCTTCGCTGCATATATGTAAAAGACAATAATCGTATATAATCTCTTTGTTTACCATTCATTCATCCCCTTATTGTTTTTTTTTCCTCTTCCTCCTCAAACTGTTTTGTTCTCTTTTATTAATGTTATTTGCTAATTTGACATATTGAATAAAAGGAGGGATTAAACACACACACACACACACAATATATATAAATTTTATTTCTTATAAAATATAACTCTTTTGTTTCTCTTTTACCATGCAATCTTCTACTACAATCAGTTTACCATCCATATCCAGCCTTTTCTCGATAGGCAATAACGATAATTTATCAATATATTCGGATAGAAAACGAGCTCGTTCATCAGTACTCAAGATTTCAAGCTTATTATCTAATGATGCAAATAATATTACACCCACTACAATCAATAATCAAACAATAAAAGCAAAAAGAAAACGCGCTTCGCCTAATCAGTTGCTTGTATTAAACCAAATATTTAGCCAAACCTATTTCCCTTCAACAGAAGTTCGTGCACAACTAGGAAAGCAATTAGGTATGAGTCCTCGTACAGTTCAAATTTGGTTTCAAAATAAACGTCAATCTCTTCGTTTCCGTGGAAAACAAACTATGAACGATCATAGTTCGTTTTATTTGCCCCCAATTTCACCACCTACATCTCCGTTACAACATAGACATTCATTTAATAGTGATAATAATAATTATTCATTACCCCCTTTAACAAGATTTTCTGTTTCTATTTTCCCTCATACACCTTCTTCACCAACTTTCCCTAATAGTCCATATTCATCGATTTAAGAACTGATTCTATGTACATCTATATGTATGACTTTCTCTTTATTTTCTCCTCCCAAAAAAAAAAAGATAACTATTTGTTATATGCACTCTATTGCTCAAACATGTTTTCTCTCTCTTAAATATTGCATTACATATGGATTTTATATGCTTTATATTTTGTTTATGTAAAAGTAGCCATATTTTTATTATTATTAAAATCTCTTTATATATTTATATATATATGTATATATGTATATATATATCTAATCTATTCAAGAGCTTATGTTCTTTCCCCCTTTTTTTTTTATTTAGTATATAATTAGATTTGTTCTTCCCCTTCTCCACCTTTTTAATTTAATAAACAATTGCACACAAAAGAACGTTTCCCTCCCCTGTGACCCTATTTTTACTTTGAAAAGGTTATTTATTTGAGTGTAAAAATTATATTATTGACTCCACTATATTACGGTTTAGAGCCAGTAATACATGATTAAAAGTATTTCATCTTCTAAGCTTTAAATGTATTTACTGCATAATGCACACTCTAACTTTATAAAAAGTTTATTTTATTTTATTTTTTTAGTTTATTCATATTCATATAATACTATACATTGCTCGCTATCTAATATACTCATAACCTCCTTCTCCTCCTATCATCTTTTTTTTTTCGTTGTCCCCCTTCTATGTTCTTTTAATACTTTAGTATCTGCTAGAACAATCTCTAGAAACTCCTTTTTTGTACTTTTTTTTTTTTTATTTTCTACACATGCATTCAGCATCTTTAATTACAATTGTTTTTTTTAATATATACAGAATAATAGATATAATCTATATATAAATAAATTATTACTAAAGGCTTATATGCATGATATTTATTCAAAATATACATGTAAATGCAGTTATCACACTTGTCTACAATATTGTATCTCCCTTTTTATTATATAAAGCAGAAATCATGGCTTTTTCCTGCTGCAGATTATTGTATTTTTTTTTTTTTTTTTACTAAAAATATCATAGTATGAATATTAGTTTGAATTATAACCTCTCCTTTTTTTTTTTTTTCCTACATAATATAGAACTAAAATTATATCTTTGATTAGATACATAGAACTATCAAAAGAGTATTAAACGATTGTTTCCTTTTGAAACCATCCTTCTTCTTAGTAGTAAAATAGGTATAGTTTCTTATTCTTCCGTGCTTGCTATTATTCGGAATAAAGATATTTATCTCTTTCATTGAATGAGCTCTTTTATACACAAGAATCAAACGATAAGCCTTTTAACGCTCATAAATTTCATTTTCTTTATGGCTATTGAAATACTAATTATGTAAATTAGAATGGGTGTTGTTTTAATAATTATTTACAAGAGGGGTCTTACAGGGAAAACAGTTATTGAGGCTTAGTAAATTTACTTGAGTGCATCTTCAATAAAATAAGGCCTGTTATAAAGATTATCTTCAACTAAATTACCTCTATTTGCAATACTTGGGAATTAATACTTTTAAATACAAGTTTGAATTCATATATATACTTTAAACTGTGGCTTTTGTAATTACAATTATAGGTTAAGGCTTCAAGTATATACGTGTAAGGATTTGCTGCCTATTATGAATACAAATAATAGTAATATTTTATTTGTTGGCTAAATGATATTAATCATAGCTTCTTTTGCATTTAAAATGTAAGGTCTGAATCCTTGACCTTAGTTAAAGGCTGTTGAGGGTATATATGAGCCTAGTATCATGAACACATAAAAAATATTTTGTTTATAAAGGTTTCTCATTGTTTAGAATACATCATAGTTGTTGTTTTTTTCATGTAATTAGAAGGAGGATAATGATAAGACTTTATAGTTTAAAAAAGTAAATTTTGTATATGTCTTTTTTATATGTAATCTAACTCTTTCATTATAAATACTGACACTTACCGTCAATTATGTAATTAATTGATTCAACTTCAAAAAAAAAAAAAAAAAAAAAAAAAAAAAAAAAAAAACGGAGTTGACTATAAAATTTGCAGAGTTGAAAAGAACTCACAAATAACTTCTTACTTTTTTTTTTTTTTTTTTCTTAATGGAGGTTCTTAAAGCGCTTGTTTTTAGAATAGCTAGAGCTTTTTACGATCCTAAATATATCGCCATTTTAGATGCTTTAAATAATGCACCACCTAACAGTAATGGGTAAAAAAAAAAGCTTCATTCTTATTTTTTTTAAAAAAAAAATAATAATTAATGTAATATTATGGATAGTGTTCGTGAAGAAGATTTAGTTTTAACTTTAAAGATGACACCACGAGACATACATCGTATTTGTGGTAAATTAAAAGAAGATCGACTTGTTCGCATGTAAAGCATGGTTGCATTTTTTTTTTTTTCTTTTTTTTTTTCCCCGAGTAATTGACATAATCGCTTGATTAGGACAACACGCATGGAGCCTAGAAAACAAGATCAACGTTTGGTCCCAAAAACTTATTATTATATTGATTATAAAGAATTTGTTGACGTTGTCAAATGGAAGATGTACAAGATGCAAACGATAGTTCGTGATAATTTGAGAACAGAATCAGAAAATAAGGGATATGTGTGTCCTAATTGTGAAAAATCTTTTTCTCCTTTGGATGTTTTGTCCTTGGTCGATATGACCGATCAACTATTTCATTGTGATATGTGTGAACATGTGTTGGAAGAAAATGACAATGCTGAAAATGTAAAAGGGAGTCAAAAAGTGTTGACGAGATTAAGAGAACAATCGCAGCCGATTATTTCCCTTTTAAAACAAACAGATTCGATTGTTATTCCTTCGAGTTACATTTATAGACCCGGACCTAGTGGTAGATCTACTGGAAATAAGAATGGTAAAAAAAAAACTTTTTTTGAAAATATACATGTAAATACTTACGCTTTGTGGTATAGATGAATATGAATTGGCAATTGCACAAGATACAGGCGCTGGCCAAGGTGATATTATTGTTGATTTACAAATGGATAATGAAGCTGCTAGAAGACAAAAAATGGAGGAAGCAGAACAAAAAAGACAACAAAATGCACTACCTATCTGGCATCAAAAATCAACAATCTCTGGTACCAGTTTGGTGAATATAAAAGAAGGACTTACCGACGTGAATGAAAATCAAGAAGAAGAAGATACTTTTGAGGAAATTGGTCCAACTGAAATTGATGCAGATACTGAAGACTGTAAGTTAAATATGCATAACATCATAAATGTTTCTAAGTTTCTATATTGGTAGACTACGCTAAATATTATGAGAACTTGAATGCACAATCTGCTTTAGAAGATGAAGAAGATGACAATGAAGGATATGAAACTATGGAAATGTATGATGAAACAAATAATGATCAGCAAGAAGAATTTGAAGAAGATGAAGATATTCCTCTAGTTTCAGGTACATAAAAAAAAATATTCATATATTTGAAATAATTTATTAAACTTTATATAGTTAATGGTAAAATGATTCCATTAAATGAAGTCCAAGAGGAAGATCAGAGAAATATGACTACAGATGAATACAAGGTAAAAATATTTATTTACATCTATAGTCATTGTTCCTTTTTTTTTTAACCTTATTTGTTTTATAGGCATACTATGAAGCATGGGAGAAATGGCAAAATAACTAATATCTATTTATTAAATTGATAAATTTTCCATTCCTAAATGTAACTTTCTTTTGGAAGGTTAACATGCATGCAATACAACATAGATAAAATACTCGTATTAACTTACTTAACAAGTTGTTCAGATTCATTTTTTCGTCTATAACAGTAGTCTTTACATGTATCATAGTATTGTTTCAAACCTTTTGCATGCTCATAATAAAACTAATCATTCTTTGTTAACAGTCATTCTAAAGTCTTTTTTTTTCTCTATACACTACCTTCAATCCTTCTGATAAATTTGTCTTGATTTCTTTATATTTCAAATATGCTTGATTCAAATTCTGTAATGCCTTTTCTCGCTTCCCACTCACATGCGGTTGATTACAAACTTCATTTAGTTGTCTCAATATCTTACTTTGTCGTTCTTCTTCTTCATCTACTTTCTTAATAAACTCATCATATTTTTTGAGTTCCTCTGCAAAAAGATCTTCAAACTGAGCTGCTTCAATTTTGACAAGTGATGAGTTGGAAGTAAGTTGAGCGGCTTTTCTCAAGAGCGTAGGTGAAATATCGTCACCATTAGATACTTTCTTTACCGTTTGTATTAAATGCTCACGTGCCTTAATATGATTATTCATATTATCTACTAGCGACTTTATTAAAGCCAAGGGACTATCATCATCGAAAGGGATTGAGTTTTCGAGTTCCTCTTTAGGAAGAGCTAAAACATCAATTATAGTAGCCCATGTATCAAGTTTGCCTCTAACAATAAGATCTGCTTTTTGTGCTGCCAAAAGCGTCTGTTGATGTCTTTTACCTTGCGCCACAAGCTGTTGTGTTAACTGATGTGATTCTGGTCGCTTCCATACTATATATATATATATATATATATATATATAAATGACATTTACAATTAACATACTTTTACTTTATTCATTTACCATTGCTATACTTTGATCTTAGAGATTCATCTAATTCATGTTCTTCATCTAGTGCATTGAATACTTCCTCAAGTATTTCTGCATTTTTCGTAGATGCCTTTTGTACCTCTTCCCACATATCATATAGGGACTGCGAACCGCCATCAATCCTCACTTCCTCCGCTCCCTTCAGAATTGCCACTGGTAATCCATTCATCGCTAATATCTGGTTTATACCTAATGACTCTATCGAGCTATCATAAACTGCTTTTAACTCCTCTAACTTTCCTATAATATCCTCTTTAATCAAACGTTCCTTACGATCTACATAAACACTTGCAGCTTGATGTACTGCAAATGGTACTAACTTTTGAAATAAGGCTAGACCAATCATCGTAGATCCTTCATTCATTAAAGACACCGGGTCTATAATCTCTCGTGGCGCCGTTGCTTTTACCATCTGCGTTTTTAATATCGTTGGTAATGTAGTTGGTGCCGGTATCGTCTCTAAATAAATAACATCATTATCCTTTTCTGCCCTGGCTAAATTACTTGCAATAATCTGCTGTAAAGATCGCAAGTCATTTAGAACTGCTACCATTGCATCACCTTTTGATTTTTCTTGTCTTGTAAGATCAAAGGCCTGTCGAACAAAGCCTGCAGCTAACTGAAGTCTCGCAATTTCTTCACCATATCGATCCTGCGAGATGCATTCGCAAGACTTTCGGAACTGAGCTGCAGCTGTAAAATGTAATTGTTTGATTTGCATGTGTATAATCCATGTAGAGGGAAAGACGGTTTGAATAGCAGCGTTTGCTGATTGCATATAGGCTAGGTCGTAAAAATCGGCAATTTGAAGTGCCAATCGTGCAATCGTGCCATCTCTGAGTTGATCCATGGCGGCTTTTTGCCAGACACATTCTTGTGCTTGTGCAAGCATGAGATAAATAAGTGTTTGTAAAGCATATGTAGACATATCTAATGGTGGGGTCATACGCATATCGGGAATGACTTTATCAAGTAGTAATTGGAAACAGCCTGCTGCATACTGTCAAAAAAAAAAAAAGGGAATTAATACATATAATCAAAAAAAAAAGGGGGGGGTCTAATGCTAGAATTTACTTGAAAATAATTACACGCTTTTTTCACTCCTTCAGTTGTTGTTTTATTTTCGAAATTGCCTAGCTGACTATAAACTGCACCTATTGAATATAGAATACATGCCTTTTCATAATTCATGTTTCGATGACATACTATAAATTATTTAATTTGAGCATCATTTACCACATGTTGAATTTATTTTATTTTACCTAACTTTTCTTCTTCTGCTGTTTCCAAATACCAGGGAAACTCCAGCCCTATCTATATAAATGTTAATTCAATCAACAGTACATCCTAGATATAAAATATATATAATACATCAATAGGAAATTTAGTACTAATGAATACAAGTTGAGCATAATACCTATATAACACTAATTAACTAACTGAAAAAAGAAAATGTACTATATATATGTATATGTATATGTATAGATATATTACTTTATGAGTCTGTTTAAAGACTTTTCGTTTGCTTCAATATAAATACAATCGTTCCTCAACTCATCTAATAATCTAAAATCATCTGTATAAAGATCAGGATGCTCTGCATAACCATTTGAAATATATTCTCGAAGATAAGGTGTCCATGTAATACGCTCTGTCTTTTTGGGTTTGCAAGCTAGCATATTGGTAGTAGCTATCCTCATTTTGTCTTTTACTGATGATGAGAATATTGTATACAAGTTATTGGAATAAATTAAATTAAAAAAGAAAAAAAAAACTAGACTATAAACGGAGCATTAAAAATCTGATAAATTTTATTTTTATTAAAATTCATTTGGTGCCTGCACATTATATATTATATTACTTTTTTTTTTTTTTTTTTTTTTTACTTAATATTTTTTTCTTTGGGATACTCTTCCCTTAAAATAACTACGCCCTCTCCTTAATGGTGATCGAGTGCGATTTGGAGGCTTTGGTGAAGATTCCGCTGATGATACTTCTGCTGCATACGATTGCCAACTTGATACTACTTCCTCAACACTTTTTGCAGAATTCTTCTTCTCATCATTGTCTTTTTTTGGCTCCTTATCTACATGCTTCTCATCATCAGAATTAGTGCTATCTATGTGTTGCAATTGAATATGGTTAGAAGAATTTGATGAAGCCTCTATTGATGATGTTTCTACTGTATTTGATAATGTTTCCTCATCAGTCTTTACATCATCTTCTACTTTATCTTTATTTTTATTTGGCTCTAGTTCTTTATCTGCAAATTTCTCAAAATAACTCACTGTACTATATACGATTGGTGTCGTTGAGGCCGTTGTATCATTGCCACTGACATGACTATTTTCTTGTTCTTCTTCTGCATCCATAAATTGCTCTTCATCAGGCAAGAGTTGAGTGTTGTCAATCGAGTTAGCATATAAGTCAGCTTCTCTTTCAGTGGAATCCATTCGTGTATGCTCGATTGGTTTTTCTACTTCTGAATCCATACATTTTCGGTCACTATTGCTATCACTTTCTTCCTGTTTGTCCTCCTCTTGTAATTCGTCGGTTAACTTGGCTTGTGAAGTAGTTTCCTTTGATTCATTGCTATGTGGTGGATCCTTATTATCAATACTATTCATTTCAACTGTAGATGTTGATTCTTTGTTATTGAGATCGTTTGTCTCAATTGTAGATCTCTGTTCTGACTGCTTATCAGATGTCATTTGAAAAGCATCTAATGGTACCAAGTTAGGTGGTAACATAGTACTAGGAAAGGGAACAGTTGGTAATGTAACAGGTGGCACATCATTCATAGGAAATGATCCTATCATACTGCAATAAGGCATAAAAACCCAAATAGGTGGTTGTTGAGTAGCCTCCTTATTGAATGTTTGTTGCTCACTATTGTTCATTTGTGAAATAGGGGATGCTAAACTTTGATTTACAAGTCCACGAATGACTGTCATAATTTGCTTAAACGTTGTTTTGTATCCAGGCCCAACTGGTTCATCTGCTTCCTTAACTAATTTTTTAGCAAGTGTTCTTGTTTTATCTCTATTCTCCATTGCAAAGATATTTTTTTGATCAATAGTCATTGGAGTTGTGTTGTTCGTAACAGAGGTATAAAGTGAAGCAGTAATCATTTGATCACAAAGGTAAGAGATAGCTTCAAGTTCAAGGTATGGATAAGTAGCAGTGATAAAATAAAAAAAGCCTTGTTGACATAGACGAACAAGATAAAAAAGTTGCATTATTGCCCAAACTTCATTTTCGCCGATACGATCAGATAATGCAGTTTTCTGAGAAAAGAAAAGTTATATAGAGTAGGTATTATTAAGCAATAAAATTAAATATTGTGTTATACTTACTGTAAAAGAAGGACTGTACGAAGTAGGAGTGGAAGAAGCTGTGCTTTGGTGTTCTAACATATTATTCAATCTTCCAATCATTTTATTATTAATTTCTACCTCTTCAATCGTTCTCAATTCATCTTCAGTAAGTTTATCACCATCATTTTTACGAATATTAAGTGCATAGGCTGCACGCTAACAACATGCGGCAATTTAGAAATAAAGCACAATAATATAAAGCATATATATTTACCACTTTTTCTTTGAGTTCCTTTATTTCATCTTTAATGGCTTGTTTAATATAACTATGTTTTTTATCTCTAAAGGAATTGTCTTTACTGTATGACTCTCGCATTACCATGATGAATGAAAAAGACAAAGAAAAAAAAAAAAAAAATAGAATGTCAACAATTTAAAAAGTAGTCACTATTTATTGTTTTATTCTTTATATCGTTCTAGTATTCAGTAGCTTATGAGTAATAGTGGTTAAAAATAAAGACACCTGCTTTAAATAATATATAAAGATTGACCCTGTAGATCTTACTAAATAATTAATTAAGAATGATATGTTGAAATATTGCTTATTTGATGCTCATAGACACAGGACGAGGACATTATTATTGCTTTCGGTTTTAAGAAAAAAAAATTGTATCCAAAAATAAATCCAATTTATTATAGGTACTCGTCTGTAGACAATGAATGAAGATATCACTGGCACCTTTGGTGAACATAAAAAAAAAAACAATATTGTGCTTTTCCAATAAATTTGTGTATTAACCTTTTTTTTTTACAATTTATTAGTGGCGTAATTGATACTTCAGATGCTCATGAAATGACTGGCCGTTACTTAGTTATGGATAATGATACTATACATAAGGTTCATAATATGGTTGTTAATCGAGGCTATAAAATGGCTTACCTGCCTCCTTATTTGCCCTTTTAAAATCATATTGAGCTGTTTTAGGCAAAAGTTGAGGCTGGTATATAGAAAGATTGTATGACTGTTACCAACAACTTGAGTGATAGTATAAGAGAATCCGCTAAATTGGTAAATATTAATGATTGTCAGGGATAGATTCGGCATCCTTTTTCATTTTCCAACAGATGCTTAGCCCTTGAACCAATATTACAAGTTATTCCTTAAGGCGTAATTCATTTACAGAAATAAAATTTGATATATAAAAGACCAGTTTTGAAAAAGCGTCAAGAAACTTTTAATATGTTATTTAAATGATATGATATGGGCAATCTAGTCGGATATTCCTAAGGATTTAACTACTTATGCCTACTATTCATTAAAGGAGATACATAAATAAAAACAAATAATTAAATTGTAACCAACTTCCGCATTATTATCGCTGTATTGAAGAAGACATGAAGTAATTTATCTCACCAAAATAAGATCGAACAATAGTCAAGTATTCTAAATTATTAAGTGTTTAAGAGAATTGTTAAAGATATATGTAATTAGGTGTGAATCAAAAAGAGATGTTATTTGTAGCTGAATGATCTATGTCATATGTAATAAAATGTCATCATTTGTTAAAATAGACTATAAGAATTTCAGAGGAATCTTGATTAAACCACCTTTATGATCTGCTTATTTAATCAAGAAACATATCCTTATAAATCATCCCAAAAAATCTTTTTCCAATGATATGGCATATGAATATTGTTTATATATGAGCTATCAACTTTAATCATATCCACTGGTTTTAATTATAATGACGATAAGCAGACACTAAATGTCTTTTGTTATAAATGAAAGTATCATTCATAATGCGTATATCGTTGTAACCTCTTGAATGTTCTATTGTATAACAAAAAGGGCTATTTTACGAAACAATCTTTAGAAGCATAACACTTTTGTATATGAAGAACTAAATATTGTTTGTAGTTAATAACCACTCTTATTATCAATAAACATGAATTCACTATTCTATGAGTCTGTATTGATGGAAGGTAGCACATAGCTTCCCCCCATCGGAGGCACTATACAGACGGGCGATTCATAGCCCGACTTAAAACAGGCTCCCCATATTGCCTCCGTGTTCGAGTATTTAACGTGGTGAACAAGGCGGGCTCCACGGCTACGGCTGATTGGTTGATTTAAAAGAAAAAAAAAAGAGAAAAAAAAAGAGAAAAAAAAGAGAAAAAAAAGAGGGGAAATTAAATATGTGTGCCTTTTTATATCTTTTTTTTTTCATCATGCATAATGATGCATAAGGTGACTGTTATCGTCATTAAAACTTTAATGATATAAAATAAAATGTTACACAAGTTATCACTACTTTTATTTAGTCATGCAGTAAAAGAAAATATATGTATGCATTTCTTTATATAAGGATATGAACAGCAGCAGCAAATGTCAAAATAAAATATATACATATATATTGTGACGCACGTCAATTACATCCTGAATCGACCCCTCCCATGTATTTTTTTTTTCTACTATAAATTCTAAATTTTCTTTTAAACTACTTTTCCTTTTCTTTGAGTTCAATTCTTTAAAAACTAACACAGTCAGGAAGGGTAAGTAGTTATCAGTTCAATTTTTATACATATTTTTTTTTATTCTATTTTATAAATAAAAAGCTGTCGTTTATTATTAAATTAAACCCGAAATAAATAAAGTCACAAAATTTCAGGAGTAAAATTTAAAATACAATTTTTATTCGCTAACTCAAACAATGTTTATAAATCTTAAATAATGAAGATTGCATAAATTAATATAGCAATTTAAAATTGCAACAAGTAATCATTAAATATGAAGCTGTAGTTTAAAGTAAAGAACAATTAAAAACTTGGATGTTTCAAAAAGATTACTTCAATCTGCTCGACAACTAAAATGAAGTAGATATTTACCATGTCAGCGGAAAAGTTGCTCAAAAACAAGATATGGGTGGTTGAAATTCAAACAAGTTGTATATCTATTTTGTTTTTCGAAAAAATACACGTTTTTTTTATAGTACGTTTAGCACTGAAAATAGGACAGCTAAAAAAAAAAAAAAAAAAAAAAAAAAAAAAAAAAAAAGAGAGAGAGAGAGAGAGACATCAACAGTATATTATTCTGCTACCAATGCAATATTATAGGGATACTATATCTTCCGTATATCAAAAATCTAGACTTAATTTTACCTTTTTTACTAAATATATGAAGATGGTACAGTTGTCGAGAAAAAGGCCTCTAAAAGATTAATAGATTTTATAGAGAAAATTTGTTTTCTCAACTTGTCAAAACTCTGTATCATTCATTAATGAAGCTCTGGAATTGTTATTAGGATTCAAAGTACTTTATTTAAACCAGAATAATAATTATGTACTAATGGCGATGTTTTATAACTATTAAGATCGCATGGAAAAGAGTATTATCAAACCGAAGAATATAGAATTATTCTCGGCACTCTTCAATGAAAAAAAAAATACAACTTATACTAATCGTTGTATATTGCTTCAGAAGTATAGAGTGATAAAGTCAAACAAAATAAAATCATTCGTTCGTTTGTTATTTATGTGTAAATTGGAATAAATAATGAATATTGATAACTTGATTATTGTTTTTATTAGGCTGCTATCATAATTATAACTTTTACTCATCTCGCTTGAAAAGAGCTACAATAAGTAAATGCTATTAGTTGTTTAGTGGCTATATCATGTATAAGCTAATAGTATGTTTCGCTCATATTAAGTTTTTCTAAGAGTTTGTCATTGACAAGTTATTTATATAATTGTTAAAAATGTGTATAAGGAGACTATCATAAACTTGATTGGCTAAACAATACAAATTAAGTATACCAATTGATCAGTTTGAAGTCTATCAACTTATACTTTTTTAGAAGTTTCAAGAATAAAGATTCTGATTAACCTTAGCTGCTATTTAAGTTTGAGATTTTTCCATATTAGTCTGTGCTACTTATTATGTACACCCAATGTAAACGACGGAGATCAAGAGATGTATAGTGGAATCTTACACAACCTTTAGAATGGAAAGCTTTCTTCTCTGCTGATATTCTTATTGATTTTCATATATTTTGATTTATAATTTTATGTAGAAAGTAAGCCATTTTCTGATAGCAAACAAAATCAGGGAGATAAAATTATCTGATTGGAACAAATTAAATAAAAAACTCAGATCGAATAAAATTTTAGATTTGGTCAAGTTAGCATCTGTATTTTTATTTTATTTTTTTTCTCTTTTAATAAATTTAAGTATTATTGCACACATTAGACTGTTATGGTAAGTGTGAATTATATACTCTTGTAACTCATTAATAACTGTTCCTATTTAGTATCAACAGATCTATAATTATGGGCATCAGCCAGAACAACATCAAGAAGATAAAACATTCATAAAGCACGAATCTATGTTTTTTAATAATCAATCTTCTAGTAATTCTACACATAATACCATTTCTAATCCAGTTACTACTACTTCTACTTCTACTACACCTAATGGCTCATTTGTTACTCTAAGATATGCTTCATTTGACTCAAATAGTTTTGATCAACAACATAATCGAACTGAATCATTTCACTCTTTTTCTAATGTAAGTTTTATCACTAAATTAAAACAAACTCTTCAGCCTGATTCCCTTTTCTTTTTTCTTTTTTTTTCTTTTTCTTTCATGTAGTTGAATTCACCACAAGATCTTGTAGCTACATTAACAAATACACCCATCTTTAATCAACTTGACCTTTCACCTACTTACACTCCACCTCTTTTACCTCCACTTAATACTACTCCTATCGTTGTTGCTCCACTTCAACATCACTTAACTTCCAACCATCATACCTATCTGTTGTCAACCAAAAAACCTCCTCAAAATACACCCTCTGGAGGAGGCCGTGAAAAACGTTCTCCTTGGACCCCCGAAGAAGATCAATTATTACGTCTTGCTGTTCAATTGTATGGCGATAAAACTGAAAAATGGGCCAAGATCGCTGCCTGTGTTCCCGGACGCACCAATAAAAATTGCCGTAAGCGTTGGTTTCACTCACTTGATCCCTCATTACGAAAGGGAGCGTGGACAGAAGAAGAAGATCGATTATTAAGAGAGGGAGTATCAAAATATCCTAATCAGCAGTGGAGTAAAATTGCAGAAATGTTACCAGGCCGTACTGACGATCAATGTGCAAAGAGATGGCGTGAGAGTTTGGATCCATCTATCGATCGTTCAGAATGGACAGAATGGGAAGATCGGCTTTTGATGGAAAAATATGAGGAATATGGATCTCAGTGGCAAAAGATTGCTTGTTTCTTTGATGGAAGACCAGGCTTACATTGTAGGAATCGATGGCGAAAGCTGCAAAGAATGGTGCAGACGAAAAAAGAAAAGGCAAACCAACTACAACAACAACAACAGCAGCAGCAACAACAACAACAACAACAACAACAACAACAACAACAACAACAACAACAACAACAACAACAACAACAACAGCAACAGCAACAGCAACAACAGCAACAGCAACAGCAACAACAGCAACAGCAACAACAGCGTAATGGGACATCATCAGCATCAGCCTCATCCAATTTCTTTAATACATTATTTATTGACCAACAACCATCCTCTTCAACTATTCGATTTCAACATAGTAATCCTACAACCTTGGCGCCCAAAAGTAATTCAGACATAATACAACAGGATATTAGTCATTTATTACCTGAGCAACCGTCTACAGGTAGTGATACAGCTGTTAAACCGTATGGCTGTGATATTGTAGGCTGTTACTCTGTATTCGCTTCCTCTTCTGAATTATTTTCACACATGAAAGCGACTCATCCTAATATAGATGTTGAGAGACCTTATCGATGTGCCATGACCAATTGTAACAAAAAATATAAAAATATTAATGGTCTCCAGTATCATATCAAGGATGCTAAGGGTATGACAGGACATGGACATTCTTTAACATTAATGGGTGAAGAACGACCCTTTCGATGTCAAATAGGTGAATGTAAAAAAGCTTATCGAACTGCAAGTGGATTTCGATATCATCAACAAAATGGACATTCATTAAATTCAATGCAACAATAAGTCATCTATTTATTTATTTTCTTTATTTTCTTTACTTTTTTTTTTTTTTTTGTATTGTGTAATTAATAATAATTTAGTCTGTGTATATTTTTTATATTTTCCGCTTTTTGTTTCTGTTTGTTATATTTTCTTGTTGTTGTTGTTGTTGCTTTTTAACAGGGAAAAGAGGTGTCGTTACATATTCTTTTAGCTCTGTCTTCCATAATCTTATACTTGTTTTATGAATTTCAGGTTGAACGTATACTTCTCTGTCAAACACAAGAGCCTTTGAATCTTCATCATAAGTTGGCCAGTACGCTATACCTTCATGATTAGGATTACCGTTACAAGCAAATGCCACCACTGCTCTTGACATTTGCTTTGCTACACGATCCCTTTCAAACTCATTTCCAGGTCCTAAAAATGGATTATCTGTCCAATAGGCTAAATTGTCCCACGAAAAGACGGAGTCTACCATATGTGCTGCCTTGATTATGTTTTGGGCATCATTTGATTCATAATCCCATTCATAGACCCAGACTGCATGGCCATTTTTTGACAGATTTTCAGCTGTCAGTAAAGTAGCTATACAGGCCATCACGTCTGAACACATTTGACGAGTGACTTCAGAGGGTGGCACCATAGGTGGCACTATGTGTTGCTTATAAATTTCATAAGCATGTTGAGCATTTTTGCCAAAGACATGTGTAAAGTAGGTGCGCACAAACATGGTATCGTCCATGTCTTGGAAATTAGGTAAAAAAGGAAAAAAGAAATTAAACTCATCACGTGTGTAACCCATCACAAACTTAAGATGCTGGTGTTCTGATGGTAAAGGATGATGCAGAAGATGCTGCAAGAGGGTGGAATTTAAAATATGATTATCTTGACTAGGGCCAATAGGCGCTAGGCCCTCGAGAAAGTTTGGCCAAGTTGTCATGAACGTTTGGGCATCTAAAATAGTTTCAACAGGCACTTGTTGGATTTCTTCCAGTAAGTTAGACGTATCTAAACCGAGAGAGCGGGAGAAAATAGAGCCTTTGAATTGAGACCAATCACTTGGATTGCACATAAACATGGGTGGAGATTGGAGGATAACGTTATGGAAGAGTCCGCCCGTATGTGGGGTTAAGATAAGAGCAAGGATGCAAGCAGCTAATTTCATAACAAATCATAAACAATTAGGGAAAAGAAATGATGAATTTTTCTATATTATACTTTACCACCAGCTGAGGATCCAAATGCAGTAACATTGTCAGGATCACCGCCAAAAGCGGCAATATTTTTTGTACCCATTTTAGTGCAGCTATATCAGTGTGTAAATAATAATTTAACATTCTTTAATTAAGATCATATATACTCATTTGATCTAATAAGCCTAAATTGCCACTTCCTTTCAAATCCTCTGAAAGATGATCCATCGCCATCCACCCCAGTGCTCCTAATCGATAATTAAAGCTTACAATAATGGCCTCATTTCGAGCAAGATTTGTTCCATCCCAAAATGGCTGACTGGAGCTTCCACTATAAAAAAAAAAAAAAAAAAAAAAAAAAAAAAAAAAAAAAAAAAAAAGGAGGGATTCAGTTTTGGTGAACATTGTATAACTACGTTATTTTACCTCATACAAGCGCCTGGATGAAACCATACAATGACAGGCAATTTCTTATTATTAGCGGTAATGACTGGGACCCAAACATTTAAATAAAGACAATCTTCAGATTGGTATTCGATTTCGACACACATTAGTGTATCAAAAGGCATAGCTGTCTGTGGTGCAGCAGGTGCATGTTCAGTACATACTCGTTCAACATAAGGTGTTACTAACTCTTTTGTAGGCTTATACCTCAACGCTCCTGTAGGTGGCTCAGCATAAGGTATGCCTAAATAGACTTGAACCTCATTGGCTTCATCAACAAAACCTGTAATTTTACCTGATGAAGTTTGTACTGGGGAAGTTAATGGAGGATTAAAGTTTTCCTCTTCTACATTTGTGATCATTACTTTTAAAAAAAATAAAATAAAATAAAAAAATAAAATAAAATAAGATAAAATAAGGAATAAAGCAATGATACAATGCTATTATATCTTTTATTGCAAGCTTTTATTACAAGTAGCAGTGGATAGTTGACTTTTAAGAAAACCTAAAACAAGTGGTACCATTGAATTTTGTACAACCAATTTAACAATTTCATGTCCTCTTTTGGTTACTACATTTGTCGTTGTTGTTGTTGCGGCTGTCAATACTGACTTTCGATCTTCTTTCTTCTTGGTTGGTAATAATAATCGCATTGTCTGCCCATGTCTTTCATATACTGAATTATTTTCCTTGTCTCCTATTGCGTCAGTAGATCTTATCGTTCCCTTTTTGACCTCATCTGCTAACAATACTTCTTTCAAAACCTGTAATGCGACTCGTGCCTCAGGACTCATCTTTTTAAGCGCCTCTAAACTAGCTTCATTACGCTCCTCATTCATATGTCCACTTAATTTTTTTAGAGCCTCTACCCACTCATGTCGTTCCTCATCTGTCTCCACACTAAATGTATATTTACGTTGTGGTACTTCTTTTGTCTTTTTCTTGTCTTCTATCTTATTAGGTTCTATCGTTAATTTTTTTATATCTTGCTGTTGTGGAAAGCCAATTTGAAATGTGTATCTCATAAATGGCCTTTCTACTACCACACTTTTAGTACGTGGTAATGTAGGACTTACATAGTTGCCTGCATTTTCTCCTGTCTTAATAAACATTAAGGATGTACGTCCCAGCGTATAGCCTGTTATCCTAAACGTTTGTATACATGAAGTTGAAAAATCCAAAACGTTAGGCTCAAATACCAAATCTTGTCCTCTCAATTTAATTTGTAGGCCTTTATCGGGCTTTGGAATGGTAATAGTAATCGGATTTGATGGTATACCCTTTGTCAGCCTAGAAGGTAATCGATGTGGAATAACGGTAATTACCACATCTTGCTGCTGACCACCATGCTTTCCCATCTTGTTGTCCCATCCTGTCTCGAGTCTTTCTTCCTTAATTGATCTATACATTTCCTCCATAAACTCACGCGGTACTAAATGATACTGATCATAGTAATTCCATCGATCTAAAAATTCTGTAAGTGTCGGCTTTGTTGTCTGTCCACGAGCTCTCATTGACATAATGTAATGTAAAGGTGCATTTGTAACTGTGCTATCTTTTGTATGAGGCATTGTTCCCATCCGTCCTCGTCTTTGCTGTTCACCATCTTGTCGTTCTTTGACTTCTCTTGCATACCAAAACACATCTTTCTCTGAACTTGCATCATACCAATACTCTGCATTCAAAAACAACATAGCTACCACTACCTTCACTACCATATCTTCATGAAACTTGATCACATTCTGGTTAGCGTCATGCCATTTTTTCGCAAATCTTTCAATTAGATATTCAAGTGATTCCCAATGGCTAGGTAATCGAAATGTGGTTAACAAAATTCGTAATGCTTCATCGAGCCTTAAACCAATTAAACGGAAACATTCAAGAAAGGCATCATAGATATCTTGTGATGATTCCATTGCCAGATAATAACCCAATTGTCGTCGGTTAAGGTCAGGCGTTTTGAACAAAAAGTTAGCTATGCTTAATGGATCGTTTGTTAAGATATCCTTATCAATCAAATAATGAATACCCAAATTGGCGTTTAATTCAAATTTACGTAAAGCAGAAGCTAGAATAGGATGTATCTTGCGTGCAGGTGGTAGAATGGGTCGTCCTTCTTTATCTAGTTGAACAGTTGGGTATTTTTCCTGCTCTTTTAGGACTTGTTGGTTATAATATTCTTCTTTAGAAATATATAACGTTAAATGGCCTAGTTGAACAATATTTTTAACTTGAAATAAAGAATTTTGGTTGGGTCGGAATCGATACCTATTGCGCTCCATTTGTGTACTGTTATTAACAATGATATTTTCGTCCATAATTGGTTTACATATCAAAAGTAAGTCGCTGAATAAAAATAAATAGCGGTCTTTCACTGTGTTAGCATTAACCACTTGAAAGACAGGTGTTTGCAATAAATGATATCGTGGTGGTATTGGCAAAGGCTTTGTAAACGTTGGTAACGGTTTTGTGACTAATAATTTGACACGTTCATTAGTGTCTGACATAGTCGGGTGACATTGAATGTTGTCATAGCTTTCTGTTTCTATGAGGTTAGAGATATTATTACCCGGTTCAATAGTAGTTGCTGGTGGATCGGATAGTGGTGAATGTGATCGTCTCGTCACTCGCTTCCTTAAGGGTAAGATTAACTTATTATTATTAGCCGTCTCTTGTTCCTCGTCTGATAACTCAATATCACTGTCTTCATTTTTCTTTTGTTTTTGCTGCTTCAGTTTATTTTGCAGGTAGTTGGGTGAGCTAAGCTCTTCTTCTTCATCTGTTGTCAAAATTCGAGCGCTACTTGTTCCAAGTGAAGACAATGATAGCATTTTTTCTCTTTCATATCTATGTCTTAATGACTTATAATAGAGAGGTTGTTGCTCAGTGTCATGGTCGATACTAAAGGAGGGCGTAATGAATGGAGACATGCCATAATGGCTTTCTACAGAGCCTGATGAAACCAAATCTTCAGGAATGTTTCGATCTCTATCATTCCAGTTGGAAAAAGATGATGGTACAGTAACCCCACGATCAATGAGTCTTTGAGTAAACGAATTATGACTTGAATTACTGGTAGCAGAACTGCTTTTCCGACGAGGTGGTATCGATGCATCCAAGTAATCTGACACATTAGTAACAGGCAGCCTGTTATTGTTATTAGATGATTCATTTTGTTCGTACATCAAATAGTAATTAAGAATAAAAATAATAATAACAAATAAAACAAACAACGAAACAAAAAAAGAAGAGAATAATAAAAAGTATGTGTAACAGTAATAGGAGAAATATACAAATGAACTTTTTGCTTGAAAAAAAAAAAAAAAAAAAAAAAATACCCAGTTTTATTAACTTATGCAAATGTTAGAGAATCCATGCGTTGTGACTTATTCTTTCGAGCCAAATTGACTAAAGAAATTAATTGCTGAACATGCTGCAAATTTAACTACAAAAATGATAAACGTTAAGTTTTCCAGAAATGAGTAAAATACACAAATGTGTAACTTACATAGCTAGGAATATATGAATTAGCCACAACATTATGTGGTTCAGGTGGGTCATAATCACTATCTTCAATAGAAACATTATCTAGTAATAAGATGTCGCCTGCATCACCACTACTCACACGAGATGCAACTGCTCTCAAAATATCATTACTTATAGGATCCTATCATATAATCAAAGGTATAAATATGAAGAATGTACTTCCTATTATCTTGATATTTACCTCATAATCTGCTACACAATAATTTTGAATTAATTTTTGTACTTGCGTTGGTGCGAGGAACCAACAAACATCATAAATAATCTTAATATCCTCTAATGTAGCCTTCTTAAGTTGTAATAATTTTGTAGCCTGCATTAAATGCTCGAGTTGATTTGTAGCTTCTGCTACATCATGTGCTTTACACCATTCTTCTAAACGAGTAATATTATATTGAATTTGCATAGCTAAACAGAGAATATAAGTCATTTATCTTCACTATATATGTATATATATTTGCAATTGCACTTACCTCGTTTCCATGAATTGAAGTTTCGCCTCATCACTAAATCATTAAAGGTTGTCACACCAATTAATCTTAATAACTCTGTTAATACTTGTTCGATTACATACAGCTCTACATAATACGCCTTCATTGTATGCCAGACTCGATTTAAAAAGTTTAACAAATCATCCATGGAATAGGTTGCTTGATTATTCAATAAAATCTTGCCAAAAAATCGGGTTGAGTCATTAGTCATAAATCCGGGTAATGATTGACTCTCAATTACTGCTGGTATCGCCATCTTATTTAACTTCTTCTTAAGTTCAGAGAGCCAATGATGATAAATATTATCTTCTAAGCATTGGAGCTCGAATTTTATTGTAGACACTAGTTTTTCGAAATCATGCCAGCCAACAGCCCGACGTCCATGAATTGAATTATAATGCATTTCGCGTTCAAGCTCCTGTTCTATCGAATACACTAATGACAATAATTCATGTGTGTTTGATAACCAATAAGCACAGGGTACAATTGTGTCTTCCGCCATGAACGATAAGCAATCCTTTTGTATCGTGTCCATTGCTCTAAATAAAAGGCGTTCTGATTCTATTAAATAACCAGATCGCCACATTTGTGTCACAACCTGGGCAATAATGTGTACAGCAAACACAACTTCTTGCTTGGGAGGCTGCTTCTGAGTGTCTGGTGGCACGATCTTTAAAGACTCTAGTAAACCATCAATAACCTCCTGTTCCAATATATCACTATTATTATTTAAGAGAGTATTAAGAGCTTCTTCTGCATTTGACTGTTCTTGATGGTTGGCAAATGGCATGGTACGATCAGATTTGGGTATCATTTGCTCTGGCTCAGCATATACAACTTTGATAGGCGAAGTAACAGTACTACTATGTCGTCGTACTGCTAAAGAACCAGGTGAACGTCCTCTTCGTGCGTCAGGTGATGGTGAAATACGTCTTTGTGGTGATAGCGCACGATATACTGATCCTTGTCGCTTAGGATGATTATTTTTCAATGACTGTGATAATTGTGCCTTAAGTGCCACGATCTGGTTCTTAAGTTCTGTAACATCCTCATCACCTGTATCTGCAGTAGATCTACTGGTTTGTTGTTTTACAAGCTTGGCTATTTCCTCCTTTTGTTTTGCCAGGTCCAGCTGAAGTCGTTCAATCTCTTGGTCTTGCTTTTTAATACGTTCCAAAGAATGTTGATAGTCAGATTCAAGTCGATCACGTTCATCCTTAATAGTTTCAAGCTCCTCTGTTGATGAAGCATTGCTAAGTGAAAATTCAAGGTCTTTAGCTCGTGCATCTAATTGCTCGTATCGTTGTGACCACGATACCACCTGCTGCTCCAATTGATCAGCACGCACACGCAACTGATCCTTTTCTTCTTTATAGCGTGTTACGCTTTGTGTCAATTCAACTACTTTACTTTCCAATTTATATGAAACTTCCTTGAAATGGTTCGCTGATCGTGCTTCCTGCTTGAGTACGATCAATGCTTGCTTTGCTAGTCGACATCGTATAGCTGTTTGCAATCCTGTAATCACCTTTCGCTTTCTTAAAAACTCAGATCGTACCTTCCAGCCTTTCAATAATGCCTGAATCTTGATTGCTGCAAAATGTTGTCGCAAATGAGCGAATGATTTGCGTGTCAAATGAGCTTTTGCAGTAGCTTGGAATCTTATTATTACATCTCTTTGTTTTAAATATTTCTGGCGCTGTGAATATCGTCTCCAACATGTTTGAATCTTGATAGCAGCCTTGTTTTGTTTTGCCAATTCTAATTTTCGTTTACCATACTTTTGTCTTGCCACCCGTTGCAGTCTTTGAATCAATTCTAACTTTCTTAGGTAGTTTATACGTACAATAAAACGTCGCATATTCTTTTGTAAAAGAATTGTACATTGATCCCATCGTTCTCGACGACATTTTTCAAGATAAGCCAACTGGCCTGCTCTAAAGAAAATCTTTGTTAAACCTACTTGATATTTGTCAGTATCAGGGATATATTTCTCCAAGATAACACGACAGAGCTGGTGAATATCTGGGTTCAGATTTGGATCCCAATATTTAGAGTTGACAAGGGCATAGAAACGGTCAGCAAAATCTTCAAAAGTCCAGCGAGATGGATAACCTGCACAACTAATTCGAATGGTTTCTAATACACCACATGCCCTTAACTGTGAAAGAACCATATTGGGTTCAAAGCCCCAAGCAACCTTAGCTTCGTTTGGTTTGATACACCGAATATAATGTACATTAGTGTTATTGATCGTATCCATCAAGTTAATTAACGAAAGCTATAGATAATAATTAGCTAAAACATATCATAAAGAATTGTTTGAAGTTTACCTTGAAAATAGAGCCCAATGTGGGTTTTTTGGCAATTGCCATGCCCATTTTTTTAACAGGTGCAGGCTGAAAAAAAAATACTTTTATTAGCATAAATAGGTATATATATATATATATATATATTGGTCTATTTACCTTCACTTCTTGACTTGTTGCAGCTTCTGTAGCTGTCTGTAACATTTCAACTAAAAACTTTGATTCTGAATTCTGCAATACAGCTAACATTTCATCAGGTACTGTATCTTTATTTTTATCTAAAAACCCTTCTGCATCATACTCAACATCGTGCGCATAATGACAGATAATAAATGCACTATTTGAAAATCTAGGTTTCTTAAAATACTTTTGGTACTTGCTATTATCGCCAAATGATGCATAAAGCTTATTACAAAATCCTTGGTCAGTGCCCGACGGCATTCTTGACTCCTCATCTAACAATGATAGTACACCTAATTTAGATTCAATTACTTCAATACATCCTTGATTGTCACTAAACTCGATAAATTTCCAATCAATCTTTTCCTTCACATATTCTTCCTGTTCAAGCTTAAAAACATGTTGATTAAATTGCTGCTGGAGCTTTTCATTAGCATAATTGATACAAAATTGCTCAAAGGAATTCTTTTTAAAATGTTCAAAACCGTAAATATCAAGAACGCCAATAAAAGTTTGAATTTGGCTAGCATCATTACAGGAGAGGGAGTCATTGACGACTTTAACAAGCCAATCAAAGAGATTAGCATAGATATACTTAGCAACAGAGTCTCGAACAACAGTGGCTTGTAATGGATTGAGCTTTTTTACGATCTTATCATTACGTGTTACAATTTGTTTTTGAATGAGCCACTTGCGGAAGTCACTACTTTTGATGCCTAAGAGGTGTGTGGCGGTGACTAAAGCAGGCTGTTTTTCATCTAGAGTAACATTATCATTGCGTCCCGTAATTTCAATGTTACCGATATGTAGGAGAGCTGCTAATAATTTAAAAATATGCCATTGAGATTCGACAGCAATACCCACAAGAGAAAGTGATTTCTGAGTAAGCTCAAATTCAACAGCGTCATCAACGCCGGGGATTGTGCCCACACCACTTTGGTTAAGATAATGGAATTTACTCCAATCATTTAATTCTAAATTTTTTCTTTCATTGCTTGGTGCACCTGAACAAAGCTTTATAAAAAGTGAGCAAAAAATCAAAATAACAGCTTCAAGTTTTCTTTTTACCTGATAAAAAATGTGGTAATTTCTTTCCGTTTCAGGCTGGAAAATTAATCTTGATCTTTCTAAAAGATATGTTCTGATTTTGGCGCCCACAATGTTATTTTTACCATCAAATTGAATCTAAATTTTGAATAATAAGTGATTTTCTTTTATTAACACATTTAATATCCTTTACCTCAATGTATTTACCAAATCTCGAACTGTTATTATTTCTTGTTGTTTTAGCATTACCAAATGCTTCCATAATAGGGTTTGTGGCTAAAATAATATGCAAACTTAGGGCTTAGATTTATAGTTTTTTTTCCTTCCATTTTGTTATATTAATTACCCATAATTTGCTCTTCTACTTCTGTCATTCCCTGAGATGTATCTTTCATTTTTCCGGACTCCTTATCATCAGCCGTAGCAAAATATCTCATAATATGTGTTGCACTCACTGTTTTACCCGCACCACTCTCACCTGACACAACCACAGTTTGATTCTTTTTTTCGCGGACCATACAACGATAAGCATCTTCAGCAATAGCAAATAAATGAGGTTCTAGTTCACCACGTCGTCTACCTGAATATTGCTGGATGATATCAGGCTCATAAAGTGGAACATTAGCAAAAGGATTAGCAGCAATTAAGACGATACCAGAATAAGTGTATATGTTACGTTGAAAGTAACGTGTACGAATTGTGTTTAGAACTATAAAATTGTGTTTCATAAGTAAGACTTATTTTTAGATTGTATAAATTTATACCTGAAGGCTCATTTAAATAACTCAAATTAGTTAAATCTTCTGTATTTTCTAGACGAGGTGGATTCCTTAAAGGTGGTAAATTGGCGCCTTTTGTTTTCTCCAATAGAGCAAATGTGCTTTCAAATACATGTTCCTGAAAAAAAAAAAAATAAATAAATAAATAAATAATGATGAAATATAAAGTAATTCATCTTTAATTGCTTTTTACTCTTTCTTCATCTTTATCATCTTGAAATATAATTTTAATGCCATTAGATGTTTCTTGCTTGGAAATCACGGAAGCAGATACCCAAGCCTCATCTTCATCTTCAAACCATGCCTTTGTATCCTTCGTATATACTTCGATGGCTTGCTTTACTCCTGAAGATAATGTATCTGCCATCTATATAATGTTTAAAGGATACTCTTTTTTTTTCCAAATTTAAAGAGTCCTTTTTTTGTTTTATGAAAAAAAGAAAAGAAAATAAAATAAAAAAAAATAAAATAAAATAAAAAAAGGGCAATTAAGCTTTTTTCAATTTCAAGTAGTGTAGTACAATGTTTGCCTTTTTTGGATCAAGTAATATACAATTAAATAAATTTTTTATTACATAATTAAATTTTTGATCTTCATAAGCACATAGTATTTAAATGATACTGGATTATTGCCCAGATTAGCTCAATAAAATAATAGAAAAAAGAAAATAAAATCCCTTTGTATGAGATACAAGGTTAAAAAAGAAAGGGGAAGGAGGGGAGGGAGATAAAGAGGGAGAAGAGGTAAAGGAAAGATATACTAAAGTTATAAAAAAGTGAAGGATGATGCTCTAGCTTCGGTTGCTAAACAACCATTGCAGCAATTTAGAACCAGGATTTTCAATAGAAGGGGAGGGGGGGCTTATCATGAAATATATAACCTAATTCGTGGAGAATCGCACATTTTTCTGGCCAAAAGATAGTTTATGCAGAACCACAATGTGATGGACGAGACGGTTTAACTGGCAACTGGCTCAACAGAAAGAATATTGGATCAGCAACTAAGTCAAGAAGATATAAAGAACGATTCATGTGTAGGCAACGAATTGAGTGAGATTTGGTAAACAATTCGGTAGGATGATAAATGCATGATCGAAGTTCACTGCCTAGTAGCCATTCAAGACGTTTCAAGAGTAGGTATGGAAGATTGCAAGTTAGTTTGTAAGTTAGAGGATGAATCGACTATGAGTTGATACATGTCGAAGGCAATTAAGCTCTTACTGCATAATGTATATTTGAACAATAGTTGACTAGGATCTTGGGGAACATGACCGTGTCGATAAAACGTGGTCTTTTGGTAGCATGCAGGACATTTTACATATCTACGAACTGTGGTGAAGGAACTTTGGAGTTCCTCTGATTGTTCTTCAGAAAGTACGGGTGAGGACCCTTTCTATAAGGGCCTAAAATAGGTAGTATAGAATTTGATGAGAAAGGATTTAAGTATTGTCAATAGTAGATAAGTCTAGTAATGTGTTTAGAACGCTTTCCATATAGTGAAAAGTTTACTATAATAATGGGAAACAGAAAGGAAATTATCGTTACAGTTCTTATTTCATTTTTTCATTCTTTACATCATCTAGTATATATTTGAACACAAGTAGTCTTAAGGGGATTAGTTCTATTCTAGGGAACTCCAAGGGCCTTATTCCATTAAAGCTTTACTGTGTTCTGCTTGTGTAAGATTTATTATAGAAGCGTTTACAATATCTGTCAAAAGGGTAACTAATTTATTGTTTCTGATATTTTTTATTTTTATTTCATGGTCGTGAATGAAGTTATCCATACTCCAGACTGACTGATTCATGCGGTGCTATAAAAATCAGTAACAATTTTTTATTAGAAAAGTTCACATTTATTTGATAAAATTGTTATCTTCAAGTCCTAAAAAAATGAAAATAATCAAAACCTATGCGTCTACTCTGGAAAGAATTAGAAACTATAAGATTAGCTATCATTTTTTATTGTAATATCATATGTACCTTCTTCAGCAGTTGCTGACTTTTTTTTTATTTTATTATAATGCCTCTATGCATATTCTTTTTTTTTTTTTTCTTCCTTTATCAAAAAATTATTACATGATAGAACTGCAAATGCCGTCTTAAAGTTAACAGGAAAAAAAACAGTAATATAAGTTAAAAAAAAAAAAAGTGATATGAGTCAAGTCTATTTCTATTTATCATTGATCTTTTATATGGTTCTTGTCTGTCTAACTACCGTCACATTATTCTTTTATACAGCGACTCAAAAAATGTGAATCTTTTTTTTTTTCTTTTTTTGTGGCAAAATTGATAATGAGTGAAAAAGCTTATTTTACGAATATCGAACCTTTAAAGTCTCATAGTGATTTAAATTATCTTGATTTAGATCAACATGAAAAAATTTGGAAGTCTATTATTGACTCGCACTCTTTTAACCAAACAGTAATAAAGTTATAAATGTATTTTAATCGATGAACGATGAACTAACAAGATCTATATCTATATTGATAAGCTTACTCTGTTTTTGCCTTCACTTAGTAATAATATAGCAGCAGAACATTTCAACATTAGTTTTGGAAATTATTATGAAATAGAAGCTCCTTTACGAATCATTCTTGATCCTGACTTTTTCAAAAGTATATTAAATCAGGTAAAATAAAAGTTAAAATCTGAAATGATATTTTATTGTTAACAGTCTTTTGTAGAACAATATAATTTAATAATGCATAGTCTTGATACAAACTTAAATTCAGATGATGTTGTTGTTTTAACATCTCAAGGTGAATTAATTTTCAGCTTGATCAAAAATACTTTTGAAACCTTTGGTATAGAAGCCTTAACACGCACAAAGGCTGATATTAAACACGATAAGCACAGTAATGTATTCTAAATTAATAAGGGAACAAACATGATTATTAAATTGTGTGTATTAGTTATCAAGATTGACTTGAAAAAAAAATGTTTTCAAGTTGGAAGCAAAGAGTTTAATAGATTAAAATGGTGTTTAGAAAATACTCTGACAAGAAATTTTAATATGGTATTTTGTGCAACAGATGCGTGTAAGTTAATACTATAAAAGATTAGAAAGTGATACTGAAGGATACATAAAGTGACAGGAACGACGGTCGATATTCAATGGCCAACGATGGTATCAAAGATTAGTAAAAAAGAAATGAAGGCTGAATTAGAAACGTTGATGGATATAAATATACCTTCATTTGAACCCATTGCATATCCACTAAATGAAAAAGCAGATGATTGGGATAACTTGGCTATGGAAGCCTTAGAATGGCTCGGTTTAGCTCATTTAAAAGCTAATCGAATTAAAAGGAATGACAAAGTAGATCCTTTTGTTTCTGTATATCAGCCACCAACACCTTCAATTAAAAGTAATAATGGAACATTAGTGAAGTTCAAAGGGTTAATTCCAACAACATGTATTCAGAATATTATGATTATTATTAGGTAATCAAATAACTTATGTCTTATGAAAATGAGCATTTTAATAATATTTAATTGTCTTAGAAAAATGATGAACTTAAACATAACATCTGAATGGGTGTCTTTAAGCTGTTGGGGATATAAAGATTCGCCATTTACATGGAATAATATGGGCCATTATCAATATTTAAATGGAGAAAATGATTATACATTTTTATTATTGCCAAACAAAAAAACAGCTTATACATATCAACTATACGGTTCACATCATGCTACATTATTGAAATAAATCAAATGAATATGTTCCTCTTATTAAATACTTAATTTAAACGTTTTCTCCAAAGTATAAACTTCTTTCGTGATTTAATTAAAGTTGAATAAGAATTTCTAAAAGATTAAGCTTAATAAATATAATGATGACTTCTATCATTTTACCAATTCTTTCACAATAAATATAATTCTATGAATATGATATGCTGTTAATATATTTTGCTTTCATATAGTATCTAAAGGTTGGATCAAGTATGTAAAGACTTATTATAAGAAATAATGCCTTGCTTCTGTAGAATTTGGGGGCAGAGGTAGAATTATGTTACAGTATTTACACATAAAACAAGATGATGTCCTTTAAATTTTTTATTTCCTATCTTGTTTGATAAGTGAAAGTTTACCTGTTAGTACAATAAGAAGACATATATCATTAATTAGCCTTACTCTGTTTATAATACTAGTATAAACTATCTTTTTTTTTTGGGGGGAAAGTGGTTTTAGAATATGAAGATGATATGTTGCAAGTCGTGATTCAAAATTCTTGACTATCATGTTAGTGCATATCGTAGTGGTCTCAATACATGCAGTAATCAAGTACTGGCTATATTCTCGTACAAATCTTTCTATAATGTATTGTAGTTTTAGATATCGTTGGGAGAAACTGTTTCAATTTGCCAAATAATTAGCTGTGATATAGAATACTATAAATGCTGTATAATCAACGTTTTGCTAACTACTTCATTAGAGTGGCATATCATACAGTAATCAACAAAGATTTGAGATCTTATGACAATATGTCGCATATCTTGAATATTTTTGTATTTCAGTCTTAGAATTGTATCAAGTTGTAAGTAACATGGCAGAGTCTAGTCCGTAGTCCGTTTTCTTTGCATGCAACTGTGCTGTATATCATTTATAGACGATAAATCAATCAGTGGCCTTTATTCTTCCTTATTTATATAAATATATTTTGGACACTAATAAAATGATTTTTTCTTTTTTCTTTTCTTTTTTTTTTTTACCTTTTTATCGTTATATAGTTTGATATGAAAGCCTATAAATTTTATTTTACTTTTTTACGAATATGAATATACTAAAAACAAAATCTATAGTTATCATTATCTTCAAGTTTTATATACGTATACATGTATATTTTTTTTTCTTTCTTTCTTGATCCGGGCAAATTTGATATTTCAAATAACATCTCGTGCTTTTTGAGCCTTCAAATTTATTTATTTTTAACAGTCCGCAGCGATTAGAATACAACTATAGTGTTTTTGCCTTTTTAAAAGTTATTATCCAATAGATGAATTTCTTATTCTTTTTTTTTTTTTTTTTTTTTTTTTTGTCGTAAAGCAGTATGAAATCGATCATTTGGACTGCAATTACATTATTAACAGCAATAAGTATTTCTTCAACTTGTGCATCAGATGTACTCTATTTAAATAGTACAAAAGAATTTGAAAATGCAATTCAACAAAATGATCTTGTATTATTAAAATTTTTTGTTCCTTGGTGTCCTCATTCTAAAGCTTTGGAACCTGAATATGAAAAAGCTGCCACTATCCTACGACCAGATAATGTTACCTTATCAGAAATTGATTGCTCTATAAATCAAGATATTTGTACAAGATATAATGTTCAGGGTTATCCTACTTTACAAGTTTTTAGGAAAGGACATCCTAGTGATATTTATCCTTTTGAACGTAATTCAGATAATATAGTTGAATATATGAGAAGGTATTATTTCTATATGTAAATTATGCATATAATAATAATATTTATATGGAGTTTTTTTTTTTTTTTTTGAAATATAGTCACTTGTCAAATGGTTTGATATATCTAAAAACAAAAGAAGAATTAGAATCACTTAAAAAAAATGAGTCACTTGTAGTTATTGCCTATCTCACTGAAAATGATACATCAAATATAGAAAAATGGAAAACCTTTTCTGCAGATCTAATTGATGACTTTGCTTTTGGTATTGTTACTGATAAAGTATTGATAGATGCTGAGGAAATTCAATCTTTTCCTAGTATTGTTCTTTACAAACGATTTGATAACTTGCGTGACGTCTACAGAGGAGAAATTATAGCTGATCAAGTGGAAGACTTTATTAAGCTTAATTCAGTACCTTTATTGTCTTCAATTGATCCTTCCAACTTTATGGATTACGTGGATGCAGGTCGTCCACTTGTTTATATCTTTTCTAATTCAGAAGAAATGCACAATGAAATGCATGACTTATTCTTCCCCTTGGCTAAAAAATATAAAGGCATCTTCAGCTTTGTATATATCGATGCAAGACAATATGCATCACAAGCAGAGTTTTTATCCTTGACAGGTAACAAATGGCCCGCTTTAGCTGTACATAACTTTAAAACAGGCGCTCGATACCCATATGATGAAAGTAAAGATTTAAAAGAGAATGATATTATTCAATTCTTGGAATCTGTTCGAAAAGGTCAAGGAAAGCCAGCACTTAAATCACAAGCATATCCTATTCGTAAGCCTGATGATGTTGTAAAAGTGGTAGTAGGTAATGATTTTGAAGACATTGTAATGGACAAATCAAAGGATGTACTTTTGGAAATTTATGCACCCTGGTGTCGTTATTGTCAAGCCTTAGCCCCTATCTATCAGCAATTAGGTGAAATTATGCAATCTTATAATGCTGAAAAGGAGCATGATATTGTAATTGCAAAGATGGATGGCACACTTAATGATGTACCTCTTTCTGCTGGCTTCAGTATTAAGGCTTATCCAACAATTAAATTTTTTAAGGCAAACACAAACGAAATTATTGATTATGATGGTGAACGTACTTTACACGATCTTGTCAACTTTTTAAACCTTTATTCTACAAAGCAAACTTTAAAGATCGATTTGGAAAGCTTATTATCCCAACCTTCTAACATCGATAAAGAAACTTATAGTAGTGTTATACAGCATGATGAATTTTAATTACTTTTCTTTATTGAATGAAATAAAGAAATGGGTTAAATATAGATACAACAAGAAAAAGAATATGCTCTATTTTTTTTTTTTTTTGTAAAGGTGAAAGCAGATTACATAATATTCTTATAGAATGACAGACTATAACTTATATTGTTAACTGCCGAGTCATTATGTCAAATGTATTAATGCGATTTTCTATTTTTAATGGTAATATAGCCTATATAATTTAATATATAATTTAATAAATAATAATGAAAGAAGAAAAAAAAGCTTTGACATCTTACCATCAAATGCAACATTATCTAAATCAGTACCAACTTCAATTACATAATCCTTTCGAGGAGGGATGTTACATGGTATTTTCCATTGGTGGAATCCTAAGCCTAAGGAAACTTTCTTAGCTATAACATTACAAATCGTCAAATTATCTCGACTTCCATAACTGAGTGCAATTGTAACGTATGGAGGTTGGACCTCACTTTTTAATTCATTTTGCCTACAATAAAGGATAAGCTATAAGATACTTTTTTTTTTAGTCATATATTATCAGGGGAAAAAAAAATACCATTCAATTAATACATTATCACCTGCGCTGAAAACACTTCCTGGTTTAGGATAAGTTATGTATAGTGATTGACATAAAACTAAACTCGTTAAGCAGCAGAAAATTGATAATAGTGTATATAAAAACTTCATTTTAATAAAGGGAAGGTATAAATGTTAAAAAAGAAAAAAGAAAAAGAAAAGAAAAGAAAGAGAAACCAGCAGAAGAATAAATTAGGCAAATTCATTTATAGATATTATTAACAGATCAGGCCTCCTCCTTTGTTGTTTCTTTTTGGAATATTAACCACAAGTGTGTTAATAACTATTATCTTTAAAATTCAGTCTATTTACTAGCAATATTTAATTTTATACCTGCTGTCTTTTTTTAATTATTTTCTTTAAAGAAAAATCATCTTGATGCTCTTCTTCTTTTTTTCACTCCTATACTTTTTTTTTTTTTTTCAATATAAAGAGTAATAAAATAATTCGTTGTTTATTAATTGCCTTTGTCTGTTTCTTTTTTTACTTCAAATATTTAATTATGTTTCATTTAATCTGGGTTTGACATTTTATATTAGAAAAGGCAATAATGGAATATTTGTGAAGTTTGTTGAGCCACATAAGCATTAAAAGAGCAATTAAATTATTAACACTAAGCTAAAAAAAAGCCAACTTACATCTCTTTGTTCTTTTATTTCTATCCATGTTTAATAAAAAGCTCAAATTTTAAAAAAAGTCGGTTTCATGCTATTAAATGCCACATGTTAACATGGTAAATTTAGTATCATGATAATTTTTATGATAAAGCTCTATTATTAATCTTCCCCACTCATAAATGGCTTTTAGCCTTTATATACTTTGCAGAGTTGTACAAAGATAAGCTTTTTTTTTATATAAAGAAAATAATCAGCATTAATATCTGATAAGGAAGTTGTATCTAATACAGAAAAAAATTTTTTTTCAAACATAAATATAAAGGAATCTATAAAATATTTATTATTATAATTATTACGTTGGCAAGAATAAATATGGCTTAGGGAGCTTATTATTACATTCTTTATTGTTATAAGTATTTTAGATATAGTTCCTTTGCACAAAGATCATCATTATAAATACAATCTTAATTACTTGGTAGAGTAGCACAGCAGTAACTTAAATAAGCATATATTAAAAGATATAAGAAATTCAGAATTCTAAATAAATACAACAAATATAATAACAGTTTTATTTAAATATATAGCTTATTTTCTCTTTATAGAATTATTTAAAGAAGTACTACGTATTTTTTCCTGGCTACTCCAAGCATGTTTATTTGATACTAATAGGATTAACCGCGTAAAAGCAAAAATAATACTACTAATTTCAAAAGTTTTATTTTCAAAATTATCAGTTATACTTTTTTTTTTCTTTTATCACACCTCAACTATCAAATAATAAATATCGTCTACACAACTTGATAAAAAATGTTGAATTAAAAATGGTGTATATACAATATTTAAGTGATGATGGCAGACTATTGTTTAGTAAGTATAGCCCCCCCCAATGCTGTTTAAAAGGACGTTTTATATGCTTCATTTATCACTTCTTATTTTATCTAAATAAGCTACTATCTATTCCAATAAGACATGTAATAATTTTATTCCAAGAATAAAGAATAGATGTTATTATAAAGCCAAAAAAAATAAAATTTTGATGCTATAAAAAAAAATCCTTTTATATAATATTTGTATGTTAATGATGTAAGAATATTGTGTTGATGATCTAAACAGAAATAATTAAAAGTGGCGTTTCATAAGGGAATAATCTCCTGCAGAGGAATACAGGCAGCAAATTATTTTAAAAACTCTACCCGAAAAAAAAAATAGTGTCAAGAAATTAAAGCAAGGTAAAATCTCTCCTTTATTCAAAAGTAATAATACAATTCCTTTAAATACAGTCATTCCACTCTCAATCTGTACATATATCGAAAATGTTAGTGTAAGTTGTAAATTCATATTCGCATAAAAAATAATAAAGAGAGTATAATATGATATGAACTTTACGCGTAATGAAAAGGATCATATAAGATATACAGCATAGTGCACGATATAACAACATAAAAACTCGATATAAAATGCTAGTATATATTTATATAGAGAAATAATGAAGAATGGATAGATATATTTAATTAACATATAAAATATTTTCTGTTTGAAGATATAAATCATTTTTTGAATGACAGGGACGGTGTTAGACTTTTTGGTTTTTTAATGTTGATAATTCGGTGAAGATCTGGTATATCTAGATTGGGATTTCTTTTCCCGGCTCTATCTTGAATTTCAACATAAATATCTCTGCTGCAAATCATGACTTGCTTTAATTTATCGAACGAACTCAGTAAGAGTGAAAGTTGACCGATATATGTTGCTGTTTCAAATGAATAAAGCTCAACCATTAAGTATAAGTTGTCCACAGAAACGAAGAGATAAAACGAAACATAAAAACCTACATCATGAGAAAAAGGTGTAGTAGAATTGTAAGAAAGTTTAGAAATGATTTGACCTTTCTCATCAGCTTATAAACTCTTACCAACAACTTGCACTGCTGTTTTGACAGCAAAAAGTTAAAGAAAGAGAAAAAACAAAAGACAAGTCTGTGAAAACTTCGCGTAGTTTTTTTATTAAGAAAAAAATACAAAAATTGTACAAGGAAAAATTATGTGAAAATGTAAAGGGTTATTTATATGTTTTTGCAAGGTAAGTGATATTAATAGAACTATGATTTGGATAAGCAAATATTGCTATAATAAAGCATTAGTCATAAATATTTTCTCCGAATAATTCTGCCTACAATAAAATCTATTTTTATTCTTTTCTGCCTGAGCTGTCGCAGTTACTAAAAATATTAAATTATTGTTTCTGGGGTAAGCGACGCGTCAATATTAATTCACAGTGAATATGTCAGCTATAGCAATACCAATTATTTATATGCTACTATTATTATTATCCTATAAGATATTATTACATAACAATATTTATCTTTATAGCTGTCTATATAATATGTATGACTTATAAATAATTATGTAATTGAATATAACAGTCATAATCCTATTGAATTATTATTATTACATAATATAATGTATATAGTTATTTTTAATGCTCGAATACTCAAACAATGACTATTATCAAACTGAGAGTAGAATGAATATTATGCTGTGAAGTTCAACATACTAGTCTTATTTGAATAGCATCCTTATTATGTAATAAACGATAGTTTATTTCTATTAACTTAGTTGTAAGAACGATAACAATCTTAACAATTACGTCATATTATTCAAGCAATATGATTGGCTAAACGGGTGAAAGGCAAAATTTTTGCGTATATGTTAACACTGTCTCACATGTTTCAAAATCATGATAAGTAAATACTTATGTGAAAGGAAAATTAAGGAAGGTTCGAATCCTTAAGTGTTTTGTTAGTCTGCAAGAAAATATTTTTATTTTTATGTTTTTATTTTCTTTTATTTAAAATATAAATCCTTGTTCCAAAAGTTCTTTTCTTCTCAAAAATTAATTACTGTTCAAAAGTCGTCTCTTTTTTTTTTTATCAAAATATTCTTCATTATATATTCATTTTTAAGACAGGGATAACCCCACGAAGATAAATAGATATTTAAAGTCCGTCCAAGCAAATATTATGTAATACCTGGCTTATCTAAGAGAATTCCTATATTCTGATTGGCTGAAATTTTGAGATTATAACTAAATCTACCACAACACGTAACAAACCTCCCCCACTTAATCAAAATTTCAGCTTCTTGCTAACCATTCTTCGACTAATTGATATTTCTTAGCTTCTCTTACACAAGGTACCATTCTTGAGTGTTCTCTATAGGGTAAAAGATAATTTCCATTGACAGCACCATCTAATCTTCTAGAATTAGGACCCATAAGATGATATGTTGAATTTTTGTTAACCTTAACTACGACCATAGGACCAATCCATTTTTCAGCAAATTTATCCTGAGGGACGTGATTTTTCAATAAGACCTTATCTCCCACCTTGAACTGCATAGTTTCAGTTATTTCTTTATCATATCTTGCTTTCATCTTTTCTTTCTTTTTCATTGAATTTGCAACCGCTTCTTCTCTTAATAATTTCATAACATTTGATATTTCTAATGACCTACGTTTGATTTCTTCATGAATTTGACCTTCTACATAATCATATTTAGGAGGAGACCACAAACTAGGTGTTCTTATTTCATAACCATATAATAGCATTGAAGGAGTATATCCTGTCGAATCATTGACCATAGTGCGTAAACAGAATAAAGCATTATTAACATAAGCATCCCAAGGTTTCTTAATTTTATCATCCATTCTAATTTTTGCTATAGTTTGTACTAAGGTTTGATTCAATCTTTCCACTAATCCATTTGATTGAGGTCGATAAGCTGTAGTTGTTAAATGTCTACATTCTAATTTCTTTAATATAAAATCAATATAATCCGCCTTGAAAGAAGAACCACGATCAGTCAATAAATATGTAGGTACACCATGAAATTGGAAAACATGATTATTAAGAAATTCTTCAGCAGTTTTAGCAGTAATGTCCTTACATGGAGCAGCAATAGGCCAACGTGTTAAATAATCAATACAAACTAACATAAAACGATTGCCAGTAGGAGTAGTATCCATTGGTCCAACGGCATCTAATCCAATCATGAAAAATGGTCGTGACGGGGTCGGTATTGGTTTCATTTTGACAGTTCTTTTTCTTGGTACAATCTTTCGTTTTTGACAAACATCACAAGCTCTAACTATATCGACTATCTTTTGATACATATTTTTACCTTCATATGATACAGATAGGCGTTCCCAAGTATTCTTTATCCCAAAGTGACCTTCACGATGCACCTTTGAAATTATATCTTCAATGTTTGCTTCATGTAAAATTTCCCTACCCATAGTATATTCAGTTGAACCATTAGAAGTATCAATAGGAATTTTTCTATAGAGTTTCCCTTTATGAGCCAAATATTTTCTGGACTTGTTATAAATTCTTTTCTTGTTAACTGTATCAGAGTTTATAGGATATGTTCCCCGAGTGATATATAAATAAATTGCAACGTATAATGGATATTCCATGAGAGTATCTTGTGTATTCAA